CTTCCCGAGCGCTGACTCTATCTGGAAGACACCTCTATTTGACTCTAGCTATTGTACTCACCCCACTATGAATGACATATAGCGACTCTTGCGAGATAGAATTTAGATCCCCATATCTCCAAGACTTAGCCTATAGTTCTTCATAAATACATTTCCCTTACCTCTTTCTACCTGTTGTCACGGTATCATCTTATTTCTGGAAAGTTTAATGTTGATTGTAGGCATATGCGGCGTCGCGCGAAGATATACGCAAATCGCATACTAAACGGCTTGAAGATATAGCCAAAGATTTTTTCTTCAAGGCGCGTTTGAAGTGATGTGTCCCTTAGTTCGTATTTGTGTCGATGGTGTTGATCACCTCTCCCTTGACAGCTTCCGCAGAAAAAATGCAGGTTGGGCGATTCAATGGAAGTAGTTTTCTTTTGGCATATTCTGGTAGCAAGTTCAACAGAGACCGGCTATTCTTTATTTTTGTCTCGGCTAAGTTGATGGTACGGTCGTCTAGGATCATAGCTCCCACATTTTGGGGATTTGGCATCTAAAAGATGTCATCTGGTTCCGAAGTCTTTGATGTACCTTATCATAGGGCTGATCCTAGATGATACTTTACGACGTTTCGTTTTCGGTGAAGGCTCGATTTAGCTTTTGGTGATCATGTGATGTCCTTGACTACCGGCTACTGAAAGGAATGAAATTCTTGGCGGATATGAATATATTCTTGTATATTTATCTCTTTTCTACACGAGACATAGCTAAGTTGAGTTTATTGGTATTAAATTTCTATCCAATGCTGAGAATCAAAGGCTGAGGAATAATTGATCAATCTTTTTCTTCTTTGTTTGCTAACGAACTCTTATAGGACTCTGTAAAATGCACATATTCTGGGCTTTCACGCACATTATAAGAGCCGAATTTGCGCAAAGGGATTTTTTTATCAAAACAAAAATCAATTTCCTCAAGTGATTTGCCATAACACTCGGGCACCATGAAACAGGTGAAAATTAGTCCCAGTACCGAGAAGGCGCCATATATGAATCCAACCTTTGATTGAAGGTTAGCGTATCCGGCATTTAGCAAATAAGGAAGGGTAAACGCCACCAGAAACGCGAATAGAATGTTCACTAACATTCCAATGCGATACGTCTTATCTCTGAGCCTCAGTGTTGGTATCTCGCTACTCACGACATAGCATAATGGAGCATATCCGAACGAAAACGAGAATGAGAAAATATTCATCATAGCAACGATACCGTTTTTCATTTCTTTCGTTACTGTTTTGCTAGTTCCCAACCCACCCATAGTCATCAGTGCCGCACTTTGTCCCAACAATCCCATGTAAAGAAATGTTTTCCTCCCATATCTGTCGTTCAGTATAAGACTGAGAATCACTCCTACAATAGACACCACAGCACTTACGATGCTCATTTGAAAAGCATTAACAGTTCCTAATGATTTAATGTAGATGGTACCGTACTGTGAGGCAAACGCCTGCCCTGTAATCTGCTGAAAAACATTTATGCCAATCACGATGAGAGTCCGCGTGCTATTGGTCCCCTTAAAGAGGTCAAGATAGCTGCCAGTATTTTTTTCGGTCTCTTTTAAGCTGATTTCAATCTCCTTGAATTCTTCGAGAATCTGTAAGTCAGTAAATTTTCCACTCCGGAACTTTTTGAGAGAGTCCATAGCTTCTTTCTCTCTTGAATGAGCTAAAAGCCAGCGCGGGGACTCCGGAATAAGATTTATCAAGGTCCCTATCAATGCAGGAAAGACGAAAAATAGGCCTACAGGTATACGCCATGCAGATGAGTCTTCTCTATTAGCAGTTGCATTAGTAATCACATGTATTATTAGTCCTCCGATGTTCAAAGAAAGTTGAAACGCTCCAACCATAAACCCACGCGCATCTGCAGGCGTGATTTCGGCCTGGAAAACTGGAATAACTGCCATTTCCATTCCAATAAAAATATAATTCAAAACTCTAGCAGCAAGTATCTGCTCCCTTGCTTTTGAGGTTACTGCAGTAGTTGCAGTTACAAGGGCGTATGCACTCATTGACCGAATGCACCATTTTCTTCCGAATACAGAGCTCACATAACTGCCTAGAGTCAATCCAAAGCCAAATCCTATGTACTGAAAACTGTTCAGATAAGAAAGGAAAAAAGAGGGAATGGCGTATGAATGCGTGAGCTTATTGTAATCTCCGAATTGTTCTGCGAAAGAATCCATTGCTTGTATCGTTGCAAAACCTTGATTATCGAATCCATGACTGAATGATGAGCATATCAGCAACAGACAGGTGAAAGCTAATGTAGGATTAAATTGTGTCCTTAGAATTGTAGTTATATTGGAAGCATTTCTCTCGGTACTCGAGTCTGCGGACAAAACTGAGGAAATAACAGTAGACTTGTTGATATCAGTCATCGCTTACTGATAATGATATTGCAGATGAATTAGGAAATATATCGCAAGAAAGCTGGAACTTTTGAATAATTTTTCTTTATATGAAGCTCAGCATATTATAGGATGTGCAAGTGCCCTAAAGTCAAAGAGTCTAAAGACAATATTCACACACCACTTTTGGTACTTTTATTAACCGTCTCAGAAAAAGTCACGGGCTTTTATTCCCCTCTTTTTTTTTCATCATGTATAGTATTTGTTCTGTCACCAAGTCACATGGTAACACTGGAATGAAGACAGAAAAGTCACGATTACTATCCGCTTGCAGTCACGCGGCAGAATTGCCAGGTATGATATAAAACGAATTTCTGTCCCTTTCTGCAGGCCCATCATGATACTAAGGTAAGACTAACTGCGTCTCACCTCTCTCATAATGGGAAGCGTAGATGTATCAAGCCGACCTAATTTTGTACTTTTTATGCCAGACCAATTGCGTTACGATTGTATTGGAACTTTTGGAAATAACCATATTAAAACTCCAAATATCGATAGTTTGGCGGCATCGGGCACAAAATTTACGAACTGTTTCTTACAGCACAGCGTCTGTAGTCAGAGCAGGTGTTCAATATTTACATCTAAATATCCACATGTGACAGGTAAGCGTGGGCTTAATAGTCTGCTGCAACCCCACGAAGACAACTTTTTGAAATCTTTAAAAGAAGACGGTTACATGTTGCTGTGCTAGGTCCAAGAGGAGACCTTTTCGCAAGTGGCGCCACAGAACTTAGCGTCGATGAGTACGGATTTATCATCGAGCCGGAAACATCATTTCTTGGTAAGATCGAAAAACAGCCAGTCGACCTTAAACGTGTATTTGACTTGTGGGGAAACTTATTTTACGAAGGCAGAAGAGATATTAATGTCGATTATGATGAGGCTGTCATAAAATCTGCAGAGCTATGGTTGAGGAATCCGCCCAAGGATAAGCCTTGGTTATTACTATTACCTCTTATATTTCCTCATTGCCCTTTCACAGTGGAAGAGCCATACTTCTCTTTATATGATAGAGAAGCTTTACCAGATCCCTCAGAAGCAAGGAATAAAACCGGATATGAACCTCAATACTTTGATTATGTGCGAAAAGTGTTTCAGTTAGAGGATGTCAGTAAAAAGGTTTGGAAAGAGATAGCTGCCGTATATTACGGGATGATTTCACGCGTTGATGCACAACTTGGACGTATCCTTCGGCTCGTTGACGTTTCTGATACGTATACGTTATTTTTCACCGATCACGGGGAATATCTTGGGGATCATGGGTTAATTGAAAAGTGGCCAAGTGGTGTATCTGACTGTCTTGTACATGAACCTTTAATCATTTCTGGTCCTCAGATTTCAGAAGGAATGGTCGTAGATGCTTTGACTGAAATGGTGGACATTGGTAGTACAATTTTAGAGTTATCCGGAGTAAAGATAAACTATCAAACCAATGGAAAGTCGATGATACCGCTCCTAAAAAGCAAAGTTAGCCATCTAAGAGACTTTGTAATTTCAGAAGGTGGTTTTTTGCTAAGCGAGGAACCAATTATTGAATACCCGACAAGTTTTCCTTATACCCTTAAGGGAAAAATTCAACACGAACACACTGAGGTCGTAGGTCGAGTAATTGCGCTTAGGGATGAAAATTACACATTCGTCTACAGACTTTATGAGAAAGGCGAGCTTTACCATAGAAAGAATGATCCGCAAGAATTACATAACCTCATTGATAGTAGCTCACACTCTCATTTAATCGCCAAATATGAAAAAATTTTACTGAGATTCTTACTTGAGAGTAGCGATCATGCGCCGCTTACCATGGATGGACGATTTCCTACAGTTTCACTACTCTCGCCTAAGGAACAGTATGAATTGCGCGTTTCTAGAAATTAACCTTTTTTTTTTACTATTGAAAGACTGAAATTTGTTTTTTCACGCTTCTATTTCTTGAGAGCCTTCTTGGTCTAAAATAGATATACTGGACAGTTAACTGCACTGATATACCTACCAAGATTTTGGTCATCCCTGCTAAGTTTGATTGTCAATAACTTTGTAACATTTATCAAAGATCACTCTAAACTGCTCAAAGAAGAAGTAGAAGAAGAATATGAAACTGAAGAGGGCAAATCCATATCTTTTTCGACAAGTATGCATTTTAAGCTCTTGGTTTCCTTTTGTGCCAAGATCACGAAATAAGAGAATTTACAATCTTACAAATTTCAGCGTCGGCAGCGTTGGTCGACGGTGTAGTCTAGCACTCCTTAAACTGCATTTCTATTTCCTGAGTTTAATACCTTTCTTTTCTCTTGAACGGATTTCACAACTCTCCAGTATGTGAAAAGTCTTAAAAAACAGCACTTATCAAAAAACTTTGGCCAAAAGCTACAGCTTACAGGGTCTTGGGATAGACGATGGGAATATGTCGACCTGTTGCTGTTACCAAAAATATCACATATATGGACCTCAAAGAATATCAGAAAATGATCTTGAGGTGAGTAGAATCGAAATATCTCGAAAGTTAATTTAAACCAGCTGCAATCACGTTAAACGAAAGCTGATATGAAAGCACCTTTTCGTGGATATAGGAAAAATAAAATGCAGGTAATTGAACGATAAGACTCTTGCGTACACACAATGCTTGAAAGTTGAAGCTACAGTGTTGACCTAATTTTAATAATCTCCAAAGAAAATGAATGCAAATTAAAATCTCAGTTCTCCTTCTATTCCAAGCATTTAAAGCGCAACTTCAGAATTTCTAGTGGCCTATTTAAACGACAGGATCCCCCTCGATTGTTACTTTTATTTAATATTTGATTAGTTAGAAATTCTCTGATAGCTACCTATTCCAATTTAGCTATACCTGTAGCTGCTAATTTAACTTTTGGATGTATGTAGAGCAAAGGGAAGCTGTTTTTTGACAATGTACAAGAAATTTTCTTAATGGGTCGTACCTAAGCACATAGAATGGCAACCCTTTCAGCCCAAACTATACAAAAGTTGTCAGTAAACCTCCGCATCTCAGGTTCTAATATGCCAAAACTCCTCAAAATATTTTTTTTCAATCCAAGTTTAGTTCAGGGATTGATAGGAATAAAATGAGCCTAATAACAGAGACTGTAAATCTCTGGCGAAGTGGTGCCTCTAAATCATGTTTTTCCCATTGTTCGCTTCAACAACCGACTAAAGCTTAGCGAAAGATACCCATGATTTTTATTAGGTCTTTATTCTTCGGCAAATTTCTGAAACCTTTGGCTCTCTAGGATTTTTTCCAAATGGCGTAGGTATCTTGGTATTATGAGAATCGATCTGTCTCTGGACAGCAGCATTATTTTGCAAGTCTAAGAAATCTTAAGAGGATCCTCATCAATACCGAATTATCATCACCATCTTTGTCGTAACGTTCGGAAAAAAAATACATTCTTGCCTTTATTTTGCACATGAAAAAACAACTCAAACACTTATTCGCGTTACAAACCTTTAATCTTCTCTTGTTGGCGTGCTTGTGGGAACAGAACGAGAGTTGGTCGGTATCTGGTAAAATAATTTCCTGCAATTCTCAGTTGGCTTTTCGCGTTGAATTTACCATGTAAATACTACTAAGTGCTGTGTCGGTTGCGACAAAAAATATGGGGTGTGGCGCAGTTTAGCCTTTCCTATATTTTGACAAGTCTATCACCCTTGTTGCCACCTTTTCTGTAAAGTATCTGTCATGTGTGGTGGCAATAATAATACCCGGAAATGTAAGTAAAGCATCTTCAATAGCTTCTAGACTTGGAAAATCGATGTGATTGGTGGGCTCATCTAAGATTAATACGGAGCATTTCCTCATAATAATTTGACAAAGCTGTGTTTTACGACGGCATCCGACACTCAAGTTTTCAAGAGGACTTTTTAAGTCGTGCCATTTATAAATCCCAAAATCGCGTAAATTGCGAATTGCCGCCTGTTTGGAAGCATTGATTTTGATTTCTTTTTCTAGTAACTCTATTGGAGATTTTTCCATGGGAAGGTTTTCTTGCTCCTGATCCAAGTATCCGACCACTGCGTTACCGCTGATAGAAACTGATCCATGATCTGGCTTAGTGAGACCCATAATTATTCTATTTAAAGTGGTTTTACCACAGCCATTAGGTCCCTGGATAATAAGTCTCTCACCTTTCGCCAAGGAAAAAGATACGTTACCGAAAACCTGCTTTCCGTACGATTTTGATACTTCATTCACGGCTATCCCCAAAAGAGAGCTAAACGCAGGAAGTTCATCGAAATCGAGGCATATCCGTGACCTTTCAGGAATAACATCCACTAAATTATCATTAAGGTTTTCAACCTTATCAGTGAGCTGATTAACAAGACCTGTAGTACTTTTTTGAGCTCTTTGTTCCCTATTATTGTAACTTATTTTATCTCTATCTGAACCTGACCTCATGATTCGTGCCTTAACTTTAGATTGTGCTTTTAGAGCTTTAGACTTTAGTTTCTTGAGCTCCTTGTCCTGGAAACGTCTTTCCTCAATCAATGCATGTCGTCTCTTATTCTCTTCCTCCAAGTAGTGCTTGTAGCCTCCTCTAAAATGTGTAAACTTCTTGGTGTGAGGTGACAACTCTGAGATAAAGTTTGAAACTGCATTAATCAAACTACGATCATGAGTAACAATCACTACACCCCCCGAGTACTTATGCAAAAAGGACTCTAACCATTTAATTCCGTTACTGTCCAAGTGATTTGTTGGTTCGTCAAGTAAAATGAATTCAGGATCCAAAATGCTCAGTGCACAGAGAAGGGTTTTCGTTTTCTCACCACCACTAAGTAATTTGAAAGGAAGTTTTAAAATCTCATCTCCAAGTCCAATGAGAGAACACTGCTTGAAAATTTCATGCCCTCCTAAAAAGTTAAGCTCCTGAAGCCAGTTAGATGATAATGGTTCCGAAGGTAATTTCAAGAATTCATTAATCTCATCATCATGTAATGATGCCAGCAACACTTCGATAGCCAATAAGTCCCCGTCAACTTCTTCGAAGTGTTGAGGCAAAAAACCTATTCTACCTTCGATTTCAATCGACCCGGAATATGGATAATCCTCGGCGTCCGATAATAGCTTGAGAAACGTCGTCTTTCCGCTCCCATTCTCGCCAACAATGGTCACCTTATCTCCATACGATACTGCAAAGTCAAGGTCCGTAAATAAGGTTTTTTTACCAAAAGAAAGGTCGAGGTTGTGAACAACTATTTCAGGAGGTTTTCCGGTGACTAACTCACGATAGCAAATACCATTCTTGTAGGTTTGCTTTTCTTGTTCCTTACGATTAGTGGATTTGTTTCTTTCAGTTAGCATGCAAAACCTATTGATTCAAGGGTTGGTAGATATTGCGCTCAGACTCTAATGTGTTCCAGTATGCGCTTACTCTGTGCCTTTCCTTGAAGTTATATGTGTTCAACTTTGTTCTTTGAAGGTCAATAAGGACCTTTCGTGAATATAAACACCTAGAGGTAATTTATGCAATAGATAGCAATTATGGTACGTGATCGTTCCGTTTATTTATAGCTCAGATTCTAGAGATTTACTTTTAGCCGGGTAACCTCCGTTTCCATCATTAATGGACGGGTAAACTTCACAATAAAATTAACTCGCTCTAGAAAGTCCTTACTCTGCTTTTTCTATCTGATATGATAAGAGCCATTTATTCCGTTGTTTTAAACCTTTTTCGTGACGATAACCGATATGAAAAGCCCTTTATGGTACAAAAAAAAAAAAACTATCTTTGAATAGAGTTTCATTTTTTTTTTTTAATTTACTTCGAAAGCCAATAGTGGAGATTCACAGAATGGTTGAAATAAATTTAGCCTTCAAAAGAGTTAGCTTTCGTATTTAAAACATTCTTATAGGAGGTATAATTAGTAAATTTAATTGTTTTAGCAACGTATATATTCATCTCTATGAAATGAAAGAGATTCAATAATAATCTACCAAAAATTAATATATATCATCAGGTCGAGTGTATCATGCAGGAATTATGACCTTTTCCCATTCGAAATTCTGACATCAACTTTTATTTATTTTGTCAATTTCTAGTTTCCTTATTTCGGAGAAATCCATTGTTGAAGTTCGCGTTGTAATAATGTAAGGCATCAATAGGTGAATCCATATAAATAATTTTAAGAAAAGTTGAAGCAATTTCCTCGGATCTTCTTGTTTTTGACGATACGTTTGGGAAGCGTATACGTATATATTTAGTTTTCTCTATTGGACGTTATGAATACATAAACAACTGCAGGAAAATATAAGCTGCTAAGAGGCCATAGATTCTAGAAGGTATGCAAATCAGCTGGTTTAATAGATGCACGTACCTGTAAATTGCTGTTTCACATTTGAAGTTCTTGAAATATAATGAAATCATCAGTTAATTAGCTTCCCTCTTCTTCCAATACCTAATGAGCTTAAGCCTTAGTGATATTGATATTGATTGAACTTGAGCTGATATTGAATCTTATTATTGTTGTCGTTCCTCACCATCTCTATTTTTTTACTTTTATTGTTTCAGAATCATTACTGTTTCATGACATTATAGGATAAGGTAGTCTTGCAGGATGTTGCTTATCCGAAAGTGTGCTTTTTTGCCTTCGTGCCTGTTTGGTTTCTTGTCATTCCGTTTTGGTGGGAAACAAAGTCAATGAACGAATTAACTAGTCGTCTCATGTGGATCACCAATAAACAAAACTTAAATAAAAAAATAAGTCACAGAAAATTTCCAGAATTCAATACAGCCCTGGCTGGCAAATCTTGTGTTCTTCGAAACCTCCTTAATTTGAGTTTCATCAAATTAACGTATGGTAACCGCCACTAGAATAAAAGAATTTACTTCATAACAAGAAAGATCTTCATTAAAGCCGTAAAAACATAAATTATGTGATAGAATACTTTATTTTAGTTTTTCATGCCAAGAATTTCACAGGAAAAAAAATTTTTGCAACCATACGGACTTCTGGCTTTGTCTTCTAATACATGAAAACCTTCTATTATTATGCCAAGAATGACGAGTCCTGTGGGCGTGACATCATTACCTGAGGCATCGAGAACCCCGTACTCCGTTGAGACAGAAGGCTAGACTGAATACATAGTAAAGCTGATTTCGATCAGTGCATCTTAGGCCATGTGAGTGCATTGTATTTTTCATACTTTCATGCCGTTAGAGTTGAACAAACAGTGTAAGAAGAAAATTGAGAAAAGATTTCTTTTTCAGCTATTGTGCTAAAAATTCTACCTGAACAGACACTCAAAATCAAAGAAGTATTTCATATAACAGATTTAAAAGGCCTTTTTGTAATCGAATGCTTTGATAACTTCAAAGGTCATGAGAAGGAGTATATCACGATGTCATTCCACATCACCCACAAGGTCGAAGGATCATGAGGTCTAAAACGACCCTAAAGGTAACTGTAAGGGACCTTCCACGGCTATCCAAAGGAACCTCGTTTACTGAAGGTAAAAGTCTAAAACCATATATAAAGGCTTTATCTAATCATTGAAGGAATTGTTATACTTCATTATGTAACACTCAACAATGCAATTTGAATTCGTTTCCTTACTGGTTATTGCCCTATTTTCTATCTCGGCTCAAGCCTACAGATATGATTGGTCGAACATTACATGTAAAGGTTTGCACGGTCTTCACTGTGGTACTTACTACTTGAAGGTTAAGGACCAAAATGATACCTACATTGGTCAGAGTTATTTCGTGGGCGCTGATGTCTTGGCAAGCGAACCTTCCGATGCTTGGGCAAGATACTTGAAGGAAGAATATAAGTTTCTTCCAAGACTTACAACCGTTCAAACAATTAACGCCACTAACAACTTTGTTCCTTTGGTTGGTACCACAAATCAAGAAACTTGTAATTTTCAATCTATCGAGAATGCTATGATTCCATTTGTCAACACTGTCACAAGTGAGTTATCTTTTGATGCCTGGAATGACAACAGTTGGAACTCTACTAGAGTGACTGGTTTGGCTAGTCAATTACTGAACGCTTCGTACTATGGTGTCCAGGTGGCTACTTGTACTCCCGGTTTTGTTTCCGATCTTTTGGACGCCCCTACTGTCAACATATTCAATGCTGAAGATACCTTACCAGTCTGGTGTACGCCAATTGAAATCGAACCAGTTTGTCCTGTTGACGTCAATCTTTGATTTGATTTATTTGTGATAAATTTTAATACATTTTGATAGATTTGATTCAAAAGTACCGTATCCTAAACTAAGATTTGATTTTTTAATACATCTTCAAATAAATGAAGGTATTTTTATAGAAGAATTCATTTATAGCTGCTATGAATATTTGCTCTACTAACACATCATTTTCATGTCTAATTTTACGCTTGAATGCCGCTATGATAAACATGTGTACTGACTCCATATAGGTTAACTTGTATTGAAATAAGACATTTGCAGCGGCTCGAATATTTTCAAATTATTTCTGACATCTAATTAAATAGTGGCCCAGGTTTATTTTCGTAATATCATAAGTTCACCGTTAGACATATGGACATATTGGCCAGCTATGAACGATGTTTGATGACTGTGAATGCTGTATCGAGTAATCTCTTTGCTGGAAGGCATAACAATGTCGATTAGTACTGAGTATGTTTGTGTAAAGAAAGTGATGACACAAAATTATTATTTTTTGACATGATTGAGAATTGTTTTAAAGCATTAAAAAGGGTTGTGACACATGGATTGACTGATCCCACCAGCAAGTAATGTGTTGAAATTTACTTAAATGTACAAATGTCAGGCTATATTGAGATTCTTCAGTACAGATTTTATTTCACCAGCTGACTTTTTCATGAGCTCGATTTCATTCTCATCTAGCGTGAGCTCAGCTGCTTGGTGTGCTCCACTCTTGTTGAGTCTTGTGGGTACACTAATAGCAATCTGTTCCACTCCAAAGTAGTCACCGACCGTTGAAACAGTGAGAACAGAATCCGTATCTTCTAAGATAGCCTTTACGATACGAAGAAGCCCTGCAGCAATCCCATACGAAGTGTAACCCTTGCGCTTGATGATATCATATGCAGCATCACGCGTCTGCTCAAAGATCTTTTGAAAAGCCTCTTCATCGAAATCCTGCTTGGACTTTTCACAATAGTCGCGAAGTTTCATACCATCAATATTCGTCAGAGACCATACAGGAACACCAGAGTCCCCATGCTCCCCAATAACACAGGCATCAATTGAATCAGAGGAAATTTTGAAGTGGTCCCCTAAAATGTATTTGAAACGGGCTGTGTCTAAAACCGTTCCCGACCCTATTACCCTGTTGAGAGGAAAACCGGATGCCTTGTAGCTGATGTATGTAAGCACATCGACTGGGTTTGTGGCAATCAATAGGATGGTATCGGGTGCGTATTTCGCTACATTAGGGATGATGTCCTGCATGATCTTTGCATTTTTAGCAGCCAAGTCCATTCTGGTTTGTCCATGCTTCTGGTTGATACCGCATGTGACTATAACAATTGCGGCCCCAGCACAGTCGGCGTAATCCCCCGCACGAGATTTCGTAATGGAGGGAGCGGCATGATTCAAATCCATACTTTCACCCTCAGCTTTATCTTTGTTAATATCTATCAACACGATCTCATTCACGATACCACTTAGAAGCAAAGTATAGGCAGTAGCGGATCCGACACTACCTACTCCTATCACGACAATTTTGACTGGTCCAGCCACTGTTGCTTCCTGATTCTCTTCCATGTGATTTAATTTATTTGGAAAAAAAGCGCTAAATTAATGACCTTTTTCGCGACTTCTCCTTAGTCATATTCAGTTTGTCCTTCTTACTTATATAATTTCTCCTTTTGTTCCATGAGAGGGTAGAGAAAACTATTAATGTTTTCAGTTTCTGTCTGCGCGCAGACAAATTAGGGAGTTAACAAAAAACAGGGGAAAAGATAGGAGCCCCTTAAAAACTTTGCCGCGAAAATCTCTCGATTCTTGAAGTTTCTGTGTCGTCCAATAAAGTGACGAATTGATGAAAGGCACGGTGAGTAGACGCACTTAATATAATTTCTAGAGTTCTTTGCACAGAAGAAATTGCCGGAGATGGTTATCAAATACGCTTTTCATCAAGGAAATGACTGGGTTCTGCGGAGAAGTGCTCTACTTCGAGCATGGGTAACTCAAAACGGTTATTTTAGGGATAATACCATGTTCTTTTTGCGCCATAGAAGGGGCTGCATGGTGTGCTAAAAGTGCGCCAGTTATTCCTTGCTGAAAGCATCATAGTAACTTGAACTCTGCCATTGGCAATGGCTGCCAAGTGATGTGCCACATTCGATTGAGGAATCGCCACACTTGCAGTTTAAAATTCCGTGCTGGAAATATCAATTAATCATCGACAAAACTCGCGTGATGTAACAAAAACACCAACAAGTGCCTTGAGGCTTTATTTGTCGCAGTTACGTTGTAGACACATCAAAGATGGAGATTAGCGCAAAAAATTAGGGTCAGATTGTTGAACCAAACCAAATGAAATAGGTAATGATTTGAAGCTCCTCTCTAAAAGATACGATGTTCTTTTAAATTTCTATCTTGAGTTCCCGATGAAATGTGAAATACTTTCTGAGAAGGGTATAATACAAACTTATCATCAAATTCCTTACTCAATTTCAATATGGACTAAAATCTTACTTGTGAAGTAAACTTAAAATGACTTCTCCTCATATATTATGCCAGCTAATGTCTATGAACCAAGTTTATCCCATTTCAAGGTTAAAAACAAAGTTCTAAAGAGCGAGAAGCAACGTGCGGAACAAGATTTTGATATAGAAGGCACAAGTTCACGTCCATACCATTCACTTGTTGTTTTTTCCCGATGTAAATCAATCGATGTATTTTTAGTTTATCGAATGATGAGTGGCGTTCTATAACTTCTCAAATTGAAAGACGAAGAGGAAGAAGTAGTGTAAGAAAGTGTTTTTACTCTGGCTAATAAATTGAACAACATCGGTAAACGAATGAAGTTGAGAGTTGTTGATCAAACAGTTAGAGTTCGCAAAACAACGAGGTACGTCGGTTCAATAACCTTTAAAAAGGTAAGATAGTAAGGACTCAATTCAAACGACTTATCCATAGTGATTAATGATGAATCATATCAGAAGAGTGGGAGTAGGACGCTTTTACTGATAGGTTTGGACTCATGCTAGTTTTCTACCTAGCGCATGTTTTTTAGTATGCTTGCCCTAACAAAACTATCTAAATTCAGAAGATACTTCGCGATAATTGCCGGACAATACCCGATAGTGAACAAACACCCTTTTTCGTGCCTGGAAGTTACCAATAACTACGATGGCTTCAAGGAAAATCTATTTACGGCAAATAAAAAAGATCTTAGTCATTGGCAAGTGGATGAAATACAAAAATCAATATCTGTCATTTAAAGATCCTGTCCAATAGTCAAAATTCTCTTCTAGGGCACCGTCAAGTATTCAATTAGATGGTCCTTTCGTACATCCTTCAATACTTTTTTCCGTAAGATCTGCGCATACTCCCATAAGGTGACGAAATCTCGGCTTTCAGTTTTTTTTCGATGTACGCTGAATAGATCAATCAATCCCTATTGAACAACAGAGTGATCAAAAAAGAAGAGCTTTCGGGCTAAGAAGCATAAAATGTTTACTGGTCCGGCATAATGAAGATTTGAATATTTGATTGGCTTTCTATGTAGACGAATCACACTCTAACGACTGAAAATAGTGTTCGTATAAGCGGATATGTTTCAATCATTCGCACCGTGGTTGTCTCCTGGAATATAGATGCAGGCAACTATGGTCAAAAAAGGGTGCGATTTGGATAAGTGCACCATTGAGTTTCTGAGGACAATGTGCAGTACAAAAGTGGCCGATTGCTTGGCAAGAGTGCCCATCCTCTGTAGCCTTTGAGTAACCTTTCAAAAATGAAGCCAAAGGAAGACGTCCACGTGGAAATGGAAGCCTACAATGAGGAAAAAGATGTCCAGGCTACTTCTCCAGAGTAAGAAGAAACTAGAAATGTTCTTAAGACGTCTAAGTCCTTAGTAATTAGAAAAACGGAAATCATGGCAGCCGAATATACTGAATGGTATCATCACGTGATCTTAATCGTTGCCACTTTCATCTGTGGTTTTGGATATGGTCTCGATGGGAGTGTTCGCTATGTTTATACAAGTTATGCTGCTTCCTCTTACTCAAGCCATCCCTTGATTTCAACATTGACGGTTATTAATGCTATTATCAGTGCCGCTGCGTACATTGTTTTTGCAAGGTTGTCTGATGTGTTTGGCAGACTGTCTCTCTTCATTACTGCAGTGGTCTTCTACGTAGTGGGAACTATAATTCAATCCCAGGCTTATGATATTCAGAAATATGCTGCTGGTTCAGTGTTTTGGACAATTGGTTATGTTGGAATTATGATTTTGCTGATCTTGATCGTTTCTGATTTTTCATCTTTGAGATGGAGACTTCTCTATCAATTTGTTCCATCGTGGCCAACCATCATCAATACTTGGATTGCTGGTCTAATCACAGCGCGTGCTAATCCTCTTCAAAATTGGTCCTGGGATATTGCCATGTGGGCCTTTATAATACCTTTATCATGTTTGCCAATTGTATTCTGCATGATTCACATGAGGTACAAGGCAGGTAAGACTCTTCAGTGGAAAGCTCTTCAAGATGAGAAGAGTTTATACCAGGCTCACGGTCTATTCAAAACTGTTAATGAGCTTTTCTGGAAATTGGATGTGATTGGGCTCCTTTTGATGGTTATCTCTATCGGGTGCATTTTAGCGCCATTGACTTTAGCAGGAGGTACGAGCTCCAAGTGGGGAAACTCTCACATCATAGGGCCTTTTGTTTTGGGCTTTGTCCTTTTACCCATATTTCTTCTCTGGGAAAGCAAATGGTCCAAAACACCTATCATACCTTACAAATTAGCCAAGGACAGAGCCGTTTGGGCTGCTCTAGGAAGTCAATTTTTGATCGGCTTCATTTACAATCTTGCTGCTGGCTATATCTATACCATATTAATTGTCGCAGTCAACGAATCCGTTAATTCGGCTACTGTTATTAGCTCTTTATCTTCATTTGTGTCGTCAGCTGCATCACCATTTTTTTCACTTTGGATGGTTAGACGTAGTAGAATGAAAGGTTACATCATTGGAGGATGTGGTTTGTGGATGCTTGCAATGGGTCTATTAAATCATTATAGAGGTGGATCGTTTGCACACAGTGGTATTATTGGTGCTATGGTAGTATGGGGAATCGGGGATACTTTACTAATCTATCCAGTCACAATCTCAGTTCAATCCTCAGTATCCCACGATAACATGGCTACCGTGACTGCATTGAACTACACGGTTTATGCGATTGGGTTGGCTGTTGGATCTGCTGTTTCTGGTGCAATTTGGACTCAATCACTGTACGGTCAACTTTTGAAGCACTTGAAAAGTGTTGATTTAGCTTCTGCTGCTTATAATGCGCCTTTTGAGTTCATCGTTGATTACTTATGGGATAGTACAGAAAGAAATGCGATGGTAGAGGCTTATAGGTATGTCCAACGTTATGAAACAATTGTTGCTCTTGTTTTTACTGTTCCATTGCTAGTGTTTTCTCTATGTTTACGTGATCCTCCGTTGACTGATAAAGTGGCTCAGGAAAACATTGAAGAAGGTGAATATGTGGATATTCACCATGATGACCCTATCAGTGACTGGTTCGTTGAAAAATGGAGAAGGATCATTCCCAAGAAAGAATAAATGAAATTTTGTCCCTTAACTCATTCATAACAACCTAGATAATCATTAATCATTGGCACTTGCTATTTTTTTATGAATTGTCTCGTAGCCTTATTTTATCAAAATATAAGTTCAGTAGTTTATCTATTAGATACAGAAGTGCTGTCAAAAAAAAAATCTGAATACCAAAAACTCTTCGTTATGACATGTATACATGCTCATCGAATAATCTCAGACGATAGATGGGAATAACCAGCTAATTTATTCACAAGAGGTTAAATAAGTGAATAAGCATTGAACATCAAGGTCAAGGTGTGAATGATACTTTGGGCCATACATAATCAAAACATGATGAAAAAACACAGAAAAGGTAATAGAAATGTAATGAAACTCACTGTTTTATATTGTACAACCTATTACATTCCAATGCATTACTTTGAAGATTATAAGTACTCTGAAGAAATCCGAAAAATCAAATCTTCTGCAGAAAGTAAAACACTATCAGAGCTCAAAGTTTCAGTGAACCATCGACCTGAATGTAGAATCTATGAGATCCTTTAGTTCTTTGTAGGAGATAATAATACAATTCATTTCATCGGGTGTAACCAACATTATTTTTTCAGCTACTCCGGCGTCAAGCTTATTCAAGCATCTTAAAACGTGAGTCAAATCCATTATAGGCTTTCCAGTCTCATCAACTTGGTGAAAAACGTAATCATAGAATAGAATGATTGGGAACTTATCTCCTGATTCGGACCAGTTGATATCGACTCGAGACTCTAATCTCCCGAAGATGAAGTTTAATTTACACATCAGTCTGAATAAACGACTGTTTTCCAATTCTTTTGCCAAGATTGATTCGGCGTATTCAGAAAAAGTCTGAAAAGAGCTTATCAAACTTAGAACCTTATGCGAAAAGAGAGACATCAATTCCTTGAGTGTTTTGATGTTCTTCTTGTCTAACAAGTACCGTAAAACGTCTTTAAAATCGTCATCAATTGCCAATGCTTCAATATTTTCGTCCGCACTACCTGTCATTTTCATTGCAAGTTCGCATAAAACAGTACCCAAGTCAAAGAAATCTTGCTGCTGTTGCTGAACAAGGTCCAAGTCTTCCTGGAAATGCAAAATGTCAAAGACACAACAGTCTCCAACTTTTATCCTACCTGGATTTCCGGTTATAATAACTTTGTCCAGGCACAAGTTGTTTAGTGCTAACCCAATGGAATGAACTTCTTGAATTGCATTACACAGCTGAACAAGGTATGACCAAAGTACGTCTTGAGTAATGGGGGACAAATTGAAGCTTACAAAATGACCTTCATACAGGGAACTTGACAACGGAAAAAACTCATGAACAACACATAACGAAGAGTCTCCAAAAGATCCTGTAATGAACGCATCCTTTAACTTCACAACGTTTGAGCAGGAGACATTTTGCCATAATTGATACGGCTTGGAGATTTGAACAGGATCTGTAACTTTCACGTCGTGAATTCTTCTCATAATGTAAATTTTACCATCAAAATTCGAAAAGACCTTGTAAATGGAATTCTGATGACCCCGATAACTATCCCTGTGAGATACTCGATTGTGAAACTCTAGAGGTACGAGACCGAAATAGTCGCCCACAATTTCAGGAAGATTACCACCAGCCGGAAATACCTGCAGCAAGGACTGATTTCTTTTAAGAAGTTCCTCCCTAAGGTTATTAGGAATGAAAAGAGACTCAGGGGTACGTTCATTCGGCTTTAGAGGAACTTTCAGATGCAAAGGTGGGTCGGGAGCATAGAGATGATACTGTAGTATGGAATGACTGGGGGGATATATCGTCGGAAAGTTATATGCTGATCTGTTAGTATTGAGAGCAAATTGAGCAGGTGTGTTTTGTACAAAGCTTGTTGTGGAAGCCGCTTGTGCTGAAACCTCGGGAGTGCCCGATAGTGGTACCGGTGTAGAATAAGGATTAAAGTTATTACCGGAAGATGTCGAATTTGCGGATCCTGCCGAAGCACTTGGTGTGAAGTGTGCAGCATATGGGTTGTAACTTGGCGTATTTGCTGATGCCTTCAGGCTCCCTGCAGTAACGGTATGAGCTTCCGTTACTAACGGAGAATGGCCTACTGACAAGTTATCAGTAGAACCTAGATGAAGGCTTGACTCAGATGTCACCGATTTGAGTGGAGTGAATGTTGATGCCGTTTTCGCATTGAACTTCGCAACAGGAGCGTTTGGTACCGCCTGTTTCTTCGCGCCATGATTGAAAATGCAGCCATCATTTTCATATTTGCAGAAGCCATATATTGTTATATTCTTACAAGGAATATCCTTTGCCCATTCAGAATTGGCTTTGTCCATGTTGCACTTTAGTTTAATCCAAAAGTCTAGTAAAAATCGGATCGCGGATTTTCTACGTGTTTTTCATGAACATAAAATTCGAAGTTATCTAAATGCTATCACATGAACTGAAATGCCAAAAGTTATCATAGTTACAGGCGTTTCTAGAGGTATTGGGAGAGCCATAGTCAACGTTTTAGCTGATAGTGGAAGAGATGTAAAAATCGTGGGGATTGCAAGGTCAGACGGTCCATTGAAGACTCTTAAGCATGAATTAGGGGATAAATTCGACTTCCTTTGTGCAGATGTCACTGACGAGCAACGAATCGAGCAGTTTATCAAAGAAGTTGCAGACAAATATGGAGGAATAGATGCGATTGTAGCAAATGCTGGATGCCTTGAGCCGGTTCAAGATGTCAATCATATTTCTGTTAGGGAATGGAAGAAGCTCTTTGATATCAATTACTTCAGCATAGTATCTCTTGTGAGCTTTGCAATGCCGTTTTTGAAAATTTCAACTTCTGGAGACATAATATTTGTCAGCTCAGGTGCCAGTCAGAAGGCTTATGTATGTGAACTAATCAAGATTCTTTTTGGCTTGCTTGCGGCATTTACTAACGAATTGGGTAGTACGGATGGGGTGCTTACGGTTCATCAAAGGCAGCTCTTAATCACTTTGCAATGACACTCGCATCTGAGGAACAGAAAATCAGAGCCGTTGCTGTGGCCCCTGGGGTAGTCGACACACAAATGCAAAGCGACATAAGGGAGAGGTTCGGTCCGAAATCAATGACCCCTGAGGCTTTGAAAAGGTTTACAGACCTCAAGGAAAATAATCAGTTACTTGATGTCAAGTTACCCGCAACTATATACGCTAATTTGGCGTTGAACGGCATATCTGACCAAATAAACGGAAAATATTTGAGATACAATGATTCTCAATTGAGCTCCTATTATAATTGAGTTTGAAAAGAACGTTATTCTTATGTTGTTGGCACCGATTTTCTATTCAAATTCAGACAGAAAAAAATATAGTGTTATTTAATACTTATGTTGAGCTTAAATATGGCATATTCTGAAGCGGCTACGCGTTCACAGAGCTTGGATCCTGTATAGCGCCTTCCTAGAAAAAAAATCGCGTTGTAAAAAGTTTGACAGTTAGATTAACGACAGAAAACCACTATGATTAGAAATTTTTTGAGACCTGCACCGGTCAGACTGTTGCTTTCAAAGACCACGCGTTACGGTAAGGTTGGACTTCCTCCGCTGCGCTCTTTTGCTTCTCAAGGTTCATCTCCTCAACAGCCAAAATCGAGAGGCAAAGTGCTACTCTTATTGGGTGCGCTCGCTTTAGGCTCCACAATTGCGTCCATTTCATACCAGAAAAATTCGCCAGTTGAATTCGTGGAGAAAAGTGAGTCAAAACAGTTGAAACAAATCACTTCTGCCTTTTCAAAGAACGATGTTTCTGTGATTTTTGTCTTAGGTGGCCCAGGCGCTGGGAAAGGAACACAATGCGCTAGACTTGTTCGCGACTATGGATTTGTACACCTTTCAGCTGGTGACCTTCTTCGTGAGGAGCAAAATCGTGAAGGATCGCAGTATGGACAACTAATCAAAGATTACATTAAGGAAGGACTTATAGTCCCTCAAGAGATTACCGTGGCACTTTTAAAGAATGCCATTGAAAGTAATTTTGAAAACGGTAGAACCAAATTTCTGGTGGATGGATTTCCAAGAAAGATGGACCAAGCAATCACTTTCGAAGAACAAATTGTCCCCAGTAAGTTTACCTTATTCTTCGACTGTCCAGAGAAAGTTATGTTGGAAAGACTTTTGGAAAGAGGTAAAACAAGTGGTAGATCTGACGACAATATCGAATCTATTAAAAAGAGGTTCAGAACTTTTATAGAAACTAGCATGCCAGTTGTTGAAATGTTCGAGAAGCAAAACAAGGTTGTCAAGGTCAGCTGTAATCAAACAGTTGAGGAAGTATACCAACAAGTGAAGAATGCAGTACAGGACAGAATTGGTAAATAATTAAATATCTTGATTGTGCTTTCATGCAAATTATTTGCTTGCGGAAGCTTTTGATAAACTGAATTTTGAAAAGTAGTTTGAATTTTTGCGTAGTAGAAACCAATTTTAACCACTGAAACTAAGTGAGCACATGGAGGAGGAATCTCTCATTGACTTTCTTCTACGAGATGAAGTTGTAGCTATGGAGGAGGAATGGAGATTCAGACCTTTACTACGATCGACTGAATCCAAACAGATAAGAAGCAAGAAAAAGCCCGGCCGACGAATTAAAAAGACACGTTCGCCAATAGTACAAAACGAAATTGAAGATACGGCAAATGAACTCGTAGATCTCATACTTAAAGAGCCGGGATTTTCAAGATTTCAGCCAATAGATAGTAATCGACAGCGGTTTGAATCCCAATTAAGGATACCTGACACAAATTCTAACACTACAGAACACAAGAGAGCCTCCCGGCCTAAGAGGAAGGATCAGAGAAATAAGAACGATAGAGCTGGCACTAAAAATTTGAATAACGGACTGCAAGAGAGTGACCAAGATATTTTTGAGTTTAAGTTCGAACTTCTATCCATAGAAAATGATTATGATTCGAAAAGGACGGGAACGAAACGTGAGAATCACAGGAAAAGCAAAAGAGATTCAAGCAAATTCTTCATCAAATCTGAGAGGGTATTAGAGGGTCAACTAATCATGGAATCTCTCGAAAATCGTGATGCAAATAATAATAGTGTTGTAAAAGAGCTTGTGGATGGATCATCTCGGAAGTCTAGGCGCAACCATAGGACGAAGCAAAATCAAGCGTGCGATTCACCCTTAAAACTTAATAGAAGAAAGCGTGATCGCCAAAGAAAATCAAATCTAAAAAATGGAGACATAGCAAATGTTAAAGCTGAGATCAAGATGGAAGAAAATGATTCAAAACAAAACTTGTCAACTGGTAGGAGTAAATCTAAAAAGACTAGGGAGAGTAAATCTAAAAAGATTAGAGAGAAAAAAAAAACATATCTTCTGAAGCTGAAGCTGAACCTAGAGAATCGAATTACCAACTAGATATTACTTGAACCATACAAAAACATGCTCAGTCGAAGTTATTAGAAACATATACATGTGCCATAACATTTATTCTAAGTCCATTTCGTCACCCTCATCATCTGTCGAGTCCTGTCCCTGTTTTAAGCGTTTAGCTATAATTGAAGCATCAAAATTCGCAGAGGAGCGTTTTTTTGATGTAAGCCCCACGCCGTATTCTTGAATTCTTGAATTGACTACTAGAGGGTGATTTTCATCCAGAACCGTAGTCAAATTTACATCCAGCGCTTGTTTTAAAAGGTCCTGTGCAGCTTGATTAGAAGGACAAAGGGCTAGAGAACTGTGCAAAGAATCGATTGCCTTCTCAATTCTATTCATTCTAAGATAGACGAATCCAAGGGCACAAAGTGTATCTGTGTCCTTCCCTGCTGTTTCAAGTACTAACTTGAAACACCTCACTGCACGTTCGTTATCTCCCAGCTTACGATACGTATGTGCTAGATTTGTGTGTATCGAAACCCAAGACTTTGATTCGGAGTCAAGCCTTTTAATCGCTTCCCATGCTTTCTTCAGGTACTTTTTTGCCTTTAGGTAGTCATTTTTCTTGAAGAATAAAACGCCCATCTCATTCAATAAAAGAGGATCATAAGGACAAACATCATAGGCTAAAATAAAATATTCCTCTGCCAGGGAGAGAGTATCCATGAGTAAATACTGCATTCCCAAAAAGAGGTTCGGTAAATGCGTACCTGGGAAGAATCTTGATGCAGTCGAATATGCAGACACAGCTTGTTCATGTTCGCCCTCAATAGCATAAGTATGTGCAAACCCAATCCAAGCTTGTCCAAATGTTGGATCTAATATAGAGGCCTTTGAAAAGTATTTTCTTGCTTCTGAAATTTTGTTAATACACATATAATATGTTCCAACACCAAACCAAGTAGTAGCATGTTTAGGGAAGTTTTCAGCCAACTTATGAGAAATGAGAAACAGCTTGTTTTTTCCACCCAGCTCATACAAACACGAAATATATGTCGGGAGAATTGTGAAGTTGAACTCATCTTTCTCCAAAACGGTTTCGCATAACTTCAAACAGTTTGTGAACTTGCATTGGGTGAATAACATATCAACCTTGCTTTGAATAACACCAGTATTGTCCTTTAACTTATATTCTTCCACTAGAAAATCATGAGCCTTGTTAACTTCCTCGAGATTCAAATATTTGGAAAGTCTGGTTACATACAAGCTTCGTATGAGGTCCTCGTTATCGTCCAGATCTGAAAAATCCAGTGTAGAAAGAAAATCCCACTCTTCATTAGGGGTTAACAGATTGTTACTGATCAATTCATCAAACGCCTCGAAATTCTTGACATCCACTTGAACAGCTTCCTTGAGAGACTCTTTTGCTTTTTCGAAACTATTTTGTGCAGAATATATCTTGCCTCTAAGATAGCATAAGGAAGACTCTAGCTTGATTCCACCGTCTTGATTCTTGACCAAATGCCCCGGGGAATCTCTGAATGGGTTGAGCTCGCCCACAATGTCAAGAGCTTCATCGTATTTCCCTAACTTGATCAGGCAAAGAGCAGTAAGGTACCGGCACATAACACTCGAGGAATCGAGATTATCTCCTGAAAGAAGTTCGACTGCCCTTATATATGATCCATTACTATAGTAAACCTGTGCCAGCCAAAACGCATCATTAGGATCTTGAGTCATTGAATAAACTTTATCACCAATGTACTCAGCGGTGCGATAGTGATGCTGCATTAAAGCATCATGTCTCCATAATCGCAGCTTCTCAGCGGCTGGAAGGTCAGCGATATTTATCCCAGGCATGCCAGCTGTGATATATGCAGTTGGATTTCCATCATCTTTATCATGATTTCCCGTAACTAATCCATTTGGTTTACTCGTTGAATGAGGTATATCTCTAGCTCCTATACTAACCTTCCTCAGGGTCGATGGAATTGCGGGCCCAAAGAGTCCATTCTTTGTCATTGATGCCAGTAGGCCCGCAGTTGAACCATTGTCAACGTGTGGGGCAGGTGTAGCTAAAGAAGCATTTTTCTGAATTTTTTGAACTAGTGGGCTGTATGCCACTGGGTTGTGTGGTGTTTGTGCAGTTGACGTAGGACCGGACCAATGCCGCGCACCAGATTGTTGCTGTCGCTGGGATTGTGCCTGTGAGCTTGCATTCGCAACCAAAGGAGAAATGGCTATTGTGGAGTTATGTTGAGATGGCGTGTTTCCATGAGACATCCCAAAATAGTGGTTCCCGCCCACTTTCGATTGTAGTGGAGTTGATTCTTTATAGCATCATCTCTCCTAGAAGAAAGTACAAAACATGCAAGGTCACTAAGTACGTACTCACATGATATCTTCGAGATGTTGAAATACATCGAGGCGAGATTCCAGCGGAATTTGTAAATTCCAGTGGTATTTTTACTCAATGACTCAAGTAAAAACTGTCGAGTATAAATTTAACAGCTTCGGAGATTATTCTAACTTACACAAATCGTTATAGACCAGCATCATTAACAACAATGGCCCCAACAGTTACTTTGCATTTGAGAGCAGAAACCAAACCACAAGAAGCACGTGCAGCTTTGACACCCACCACCGTTAAGAAGCTTTTGAGTAAGGGTTTCAAGATTTACGTGGAGGAAAGTAGTCAATCTACTTTCGACATTAAGGAATACAAGGATGCCGGTGCTCAAATTGTGCCTGCTGGTTCATGGGTGAATGCTCCTCGCGACAGAATTATTATTGGTTTGAAGGAGATGCCAGAAACTGACACATTTCCTCTGGTGCATGAACACATTCAATTTGCGCACTGCTACAAGAACCAAGCCGGATGGCAGGACGTTTTAGGCCGTTTCAAGAGGGGACACGGTGTTTTGTACGACTTGGAATTTTTGGAGAACGACCAGGGCAGAAGAGTTGCAGCTTTCGGTTTCTACGCAGGTTTTGCTGGTGCAGCTCTAGGTTTGAGCGATTGGGCTTTCAAACAGACGCACTCTGATGATGAAGATCTTCCTGGTGTTACCCCATACCCTAATGAAAATGCTTTAGTGAAGGAAATTACTTCCAAGTACAAGGCCGCTTTGAAGAAGGGTGCAAAGGCTCCAACCGTTCTTATTATCGGTGCTTTGGGTAGATGTGGTTCCGGAGCTATTGATATGCTACGCAAGGCCGGTGTGCCGGAGAAGAATATTATTAAATGGGACATGAAGGAGACGGCTCGTGGTGGTCCATTTGAAGAGATCGCACAGGCTGATATTTTCATCAACTGTATCTATTTATCTAAACCCATTGCTCCTTTCATCAACTACGAGTTACTAAACAAGACTAGTAGAAGGCTGAGGACAATTGTTGACGTATCTGCCGACACAACTAACCCTCACAACCCTGTCCCGGTTTACACCGTCGCCACAGTCTTCAATAAGCCTACTGTGTTAGTACCTACCACCATTGGTCCAAAATTATCAGTGATTTCTATTGACCATCTACCTTCTTTGTTGCCAAGAGAGGCCTCTGAGTTCTTCTCGCACGATCTATTACCATCCTTAGAGCAATTGCCATACAGAGATACTGCCCCAGTATGGGTAAGGGCCAAGAGGTTGTTCGAAAAGTTCTGCGCTCGCCTTGATAGACAAGCTAAGCTTTAATTGTAGGTTCTAGTGGTATTCCAGAACCGACTAAGCAGACCGGCTATAAGCAATTATTAAATGTACGTACTTTTCTCTTATTCTAATTGAATATCTACCTTTTTTTTGGAGCGCTTGCTCTTCTTTTTCTTTGTCTTCGAGCCTAATAAAACCTTTCTCAGAGCTTCAGGATCTTCTTCAACTTCACTTTGTTCATCAATTTCTGCTTTTTCAGCATCTCTCTTCCTCATGGTTTCTTGCTTTTCCACACTTTCATCACAAACAGCAAGGCAATTTAATCTTTCTCCACAGTCGTAAACTGCAACTTGTTCTTTTGCGCCAGTATTCCAAACCACCACCTTTCCGTCGGATCCAATTGTCACCAAGTAAAGAGCATCACCATTAGTGTAGAACTTGAAATCTTTCACACGGTTACTGTGACCACGTAATTCAAACTCATGTTCCACTTGATTTTCAAGTGCCTCGTCTACGTACATGCTTTCACCCGCATAAAATCTCACTGATCCATCACTCAAACCAACACAGATGTATTCTTTGTCACCAATATTTTGAACTTCTAGATGCATGATTGTCAACCTACCTATTTCAATTTCACAATGAACCTTGGCGGTTGAAGTCTTGTAAAGTAGTAACTTGTTCAGAAGAGCCACGGCGAAAAAGCTACCGTTGTCACCACACCATCTAACATATTGCCCATTTTGATTGTACTTTTTAAGCTTCAAAACACCAGCTTTTTTAACTGTCATTAAATTCCACAACCGAATGGTATGATCTTCGCTAACACTAATTGCAACTCTGTTTGAAGGGTGGATATCAAAATCGTTGATCCTTGCAGTGTGACCCTTTAAGATTCCAAAGTTCTCCCAATCCTTGACTCGCCAAATAACTATTCTATGATCCTCAGATGAAGACAGAAGCCATTTACTATTGCTATGTTTCTTTTCAGCTTCAGATTCATCTTGAACCTCTGACTTTTCTGATTTTCTTGAAAATTTCAGGCCTGTGATAGAACCCTGGTGGCTCAATAAAGTACCCAATTCTTTCCTCTTTTGCAAATCGTAAATTCTTATGTGTTCATCATTTGATCCAGATACTAAGTACCTTCCTGAAATGTCTAAGCATTTTACACTCAATGAATGAGCTTGAAAATGAAAGATTGGCGTAAAAAGAGGTTCAGAAAGTGATAAATCTAACGACAAACACAGTAAGTTGTGTTCATACGATCCAACAATTACTCTGAACTGATTAACTGGCATTCAATTATTGTTCTTCAGTTACTTGATATCTAAAGTCAGTCTCATCGCTAAAGAAAAATTTTGGCGCATCTACAGGAAAAAATCAAAATATACAAAAAGAAACAAAACGTAACAACTATTGAACCCAGGTACGAACGTAATGTATTTTGAACTTACCACTTATGTATAAACTAGATAGCAAATTAACTGAAAGCCAGCCTCAAACACTTTGACCATCGCCAACTGCTATGCCTGTTTGCAAATTGTGTAGAGATTCCTTGAAAGCACCCTTCACTCTTTCGTTTCCTAGCATTATCTTGGCCAAGCCGACCCTCAGATATTCAGAAACGGCTTCGGATAGATGATGTATGCGGTTACCATCTTGACCGAACTCAAATATCAAGAAAGAGGATAGTAAAATTATGGTTAATGGCAGCCAGAAGAATAATAGCATTTTATCGTTCTTAAAATTTTGACGCTGTTGGAAAAATCTATTCAAACGGGCCTGCAAGGCATCTTCTTCGTCCTCAGAAGACGTTTGAGATTCTTCACCTAGGGCAGGTCTGTTGGGTATTGTTTCATGTGCTACCGTTCTTTGCAATGATCCGATCACCTTTTCTTTGCCAGCGCTTGGGAAAAGATCCTCGTACTTCGGTAATTCATCATTAAATGCACTTAGCATGCGATTCCAAATTGACGTTTCATCTTCATTAATGGCATTTTCGCGTGCCGCAAGCAAAGGACGCGAAGCATGACTATTCTCACATTCAGAATCGTCATCTTGTAATAGTCCCTCATCGCCATCTTCCTCATAGTCGTCTAAGTCATCGTCATAGTCATCTGATAGAGTGTCCTCTACCATTTTGGAAATGTGAACTTGGACGTTACTGTCCAGAGAGTTCAACGATTCGACGTCAAAAATACTTGATTGAAAGCTACTATCCGACATTTTTCTGCCCATAGAATATGATAAATCATTATCACTGGTGTAATCTGGATCCAGAATTTCCAAGACCTCATTCAAATAGTCTTCATACCTTTCATCTTCTGTGTCATGATTGGCAATAAAAAGATCTCTTGGAATTATTTCATTGAGTGCCATGGAGCCTAGAGAAGCTTTGCACTGAACTAACAAGCGGATTATTCTCGCATCACCGTTCAAGCACGCAAAATGAAGAGGGGAGAATCCAAATGAGTCCTTCGCATCAACTCTAGCTCCCTTTTTGATTAAGGTAGATGCTAAGTGGTAGTAGCCCTTTAAGCATGACAAATGTAGCATCGTTTGACCTTCCTCATCACACATTGACAAATTAGAACTCGAATTTAGCAGTTTCACGACCCTTAAAAGCAATATCTCATCAGAAAATAAAACTTGGCTAGAACCATTTTCAAAACTGTTCTGAGGAGCATTGGATGGAGTAGGGCCATTGGATGATCCTCCATCACTTCCAACAATACGCTTGGCAATATTTCTTGCGTCCTCAAGTTTACCATTCATCTTCAACCCCACTATTTGCAACGCCAATTCTATCAGTTGCCTGTCCGTATCATCGACGTAAGTAAATATAGCCTTGCTATTCGTCATTTGACTGATTTTAGTTTCTTGGACATCATCTTTATCGAATACACTCACAAGCACTTGGCCAGCAGTAGATGATGGAGGTAAATACGTGACTAATGTTGAATCTGACCAACACTGTGTTGAAAGAGCCCGGTTTTCTCCAAATTTAACGATCATTCCGGATTTGAAATTAGAGCCCAGTAGTGTAACTTCTATACCTCCTTTCACAGGTCCCTGTGAAGGGATCACACGATGGATAGTGGGCTTGTTCTGGAGAGATGAGTCCTCGAAATTAGCGACACCTTGCAAAGCGTTTGATTGTGGAGAAATAAATTGTGAAATTGACTGCGCCGTCTGAAGGGCAGGGGTATCTAAAACTGAGATTGAAGCACTAGATGATGATGCTGACAAAGACCTATCTGGTCGAGAAATTGACAAAGATCTCGTACTGTCGGGAATGAAATATGATGCGTGTGGTCCCTCATTCCATGTCCTTTTCCTTTTATAGCCCGATGATCTTGCCACTGCCGCTGAGGACGAAGCGATAGAGCTAGTGGGAGGTGCATGGCTGTTCGTATCCGTTGTGTGGGGTTCTGAACTTTCCTCTCCAATTGAAGTAGGTGAAAGCATGGGTCCACTTTTTACTGACAAATTAACGTGGTTTTCATCAATCTGTGGCTTCAACTGTTCAGGTCCGCTCAAATCACTAGTGGAAGTAACATGGGGAACATCGCTCTGTTCGCTCTTGGACCCATCAGTATGTTTGGCAGATTCTGTGGCAGAGTCGTGTCCATTGATACTAACTGAATGATCTCTATTAGGCTTTTTATCCATTATCATGATTGAGCTTGTTATAGCCTTGCCCAAGGTGTTATTTTTAGAGTCTCTAAGAACAAATAATAGCTTAAAGCCTTCTGGTTCCTTGTGATGTCTACAGTAGCATACAATTCTAGCAGATAGTTCAAATGACTTTGAATCCTTACCACAGTTGGTATCCTTAATGACAAAGACTTGTTTGCTATTGAAAACAACGGCTCTTCGATTTTCGTTGTTACACCAAAGCATGTTGTCGCTCAAGCCGGATTTTCTCCTCGACGCCCTTCGCTGTTCTCTTTTTACACAGCGGCTACAAACGTAGGTAGACTTATTGTTGGACGCACATATCAAAAAACTTTCTAAATAAAGCATTTGATCTTGAATTTCTTTGGGATAGTTGGTGACATCATCCTGTAAGTAACACTTCTGTTTAGTTATGCAATCGGTAGGCAAATGAATGATATACTCCTTAGGGGCAGGAGAAATGGAAATATCCAACTTAATCTGAGTTTCCACACGAGATGTTGGTGGCATTCCTGTTACCTTCAATTTAAAAGGTAAAGATTCTTCAGGAACACTCAAGAAATCGCTAGGGTTTAGATAGACGGTTTGAATTGGCTTTGACCTTCCAAAAACTAACTGATGATCAACCATTTTTTCGCACTCATGGCTGTAGCTTTGGGAAGCCGATACGTAAAGTGGGAGTTCATCTAACGGAGAAACTGACTTCTTTTTTATAGAAGCCATCCCAACCTCCATTCGATCCAATAGGTTTGGCGTAATGTTGTCGACTACTACCGCGTCAGCCTTGCTTATGTCTGCCGATGCGATGTTATTTGGAGCTTGGATTTGTAGCGCGGATGAAGAATTCAGTGCCTCTAAGTCGTACTGCCGCGTCTGAAGTGTATAGTTTGGTTGTGGTTGGATCACATCTGTATTGATGAATGTATTGAAGATATCTTCGTCGTCAGCACCCAGTTCTGCTTCAGCCTTGTTACTGTCCTCCGCATTTCCTGGAAACAGGAAGTCTTCTAGGAGCTCTGTTTCCATCATGTTCACATCCTGTTGGTAGAATGACCCGTCCTGATGTCGTGTTGTAAAAGTCCCCATTTTCTGTTATCGAGGTATTGCCAATGTGACAACTCAACTTTCTGTTTAGGCCACCTTTTTAGTTCAGGGAATGCTTCCTTATCGTTCCACTTAAGGAAAATTTTGTTTCTTACCCGGATTGCCCCAGAGAGGTTAGTTTTATGCGAACGTCGTATTTGAGGCACCTAGACATTACAACGTTAAAGAAGAAGATTAGAAAGTTGCTATAACTTACTCTTAGATTCAATGAACAAGAATGCTAGATTTTAAGTATGACTTCGATGATATTATTCCGTTGCCCATCTCTAGTGATGCAGAAGGTGAACTATGTCAGATAATGTATGACGACGACTACAAACATTTAATGGGCATCGCTCGGGCTATGCTAGAGTCAAAGGAGCTTTCAGAGCGTGCTTTGCACATTACCAATTCGGTAGTGGAAGTTGTGCCTGCCTTTTACACAATTTGGAATTATCGGTACAATATTGTGAGATTTCTATACGGTGAGAATGCTGAGGCACTCGATAAGGAATTGGACTGGTTAGATGAATTTACATTGAACAACCCCAAAAACTACCAGATTTGGTCTTACCGTCAAGCAATTTTGCAGTTGCATCCCAAACCAAGTTTTAAAAGAGAATTGCCCATTCTTCACTCGATGATTGATGATGACACTAAGAACTATCATGTGTGGTCCTACAGAAGGTGGTGCGTACTGTTCTTCAAAGATTTCACCAAAGAACTCGCGTTTGCAGGTGATTTCATCCGTAGGGATGTGTACAATAATAGTGCGTGGTGCCATAGGATGTTCGTACTCAAAAACTATCATCCTAGTGCACAAGAAATAGAAGCTGAAATAACATACGCGAAGGAAATGATAGAGAAAGCGCCTCAAAACATTAGCCCTTGGAATTATTTAAGAGGAATTCATGAAGTTTTCTTAAGCGGGAACTATAGTCCCGAAACAGTAGAATTCGCATTGTCGTTTGTGGGAGATTTCTTCGAACGCAAATTCTCAATAAATCATGAAGGCAGCCTGTGTGAAGAAGCCCCTGTAGTCGAATCATCTTTTGCATTAGAACTCCTGGCTACTGTTTATTCCAAGAGAAGGGAGCATTTGCAGAAAGCAAAAGAGGCCTACCACGGTTTGATTGCATGGTATGATCCCATACGTAAAAATTTTTGGGAATACAGACTGGGTCTGTTAGAAAAAGATGAAGGTAAGTAAATAAGGTTCTCAAATATGTTTTTCGACGTTGATGCAAATATTCTTGCTTTTTTTTAGGTTTATTTTTTCTTGAAAAATTAATTTCAGCTCATCGCATCGACTTTGTTTTTCATTACAGAAGCTCAAGAACGTTAAGGCACGAAGAAAAATGGCCGACATGGATAGAATTCTTGGTGGGATATATGTTGGCTCCTATCAGCCAATTGTCGATCATTTTCCCCTGAGGACCGAGCACAATATTTCTCATATTCTGTCCGTGATGAAATTCGAGGTTATACCAGAATACCTGGTAAGGAAGAGCTACGTCTTGAAAAATATATCTATAGACGATGACAGTACAACAGATATTTTACAGTATATCAACGAATCTAACAGATTTATTGATTCGTGCCTATTTCCAGATGAGCCAGAATATGATCCTCGTAAAGTCAGTTTTAAAAAGAAACCACAACAGGGAGCTATCTACATCCATTGTCACGCAGGAGTTTCGAGATCTGTCGCCTTTACCGTTGCTTATTTGATGTATCGGTACGGCCTTGATCTTAAATCGGCTCTTTACGCAGTGAAAAGGAAACGAGCCGTATCTCAGCCTAATGAAAACTTCCTTGAACAACTACGAATCTTTGAGGCAATGGGAGGTTCCTACGTGGACGAAAATCACCAATCCTATAATGTTTGGAAACTTTCTAACTCTGTTAAACAGGACGGCACAGGCAACAGCATCTTAGCCAAAGATGACACGTTCGAGCATAATGACGAAAAGCGGATTGAGGACATGACGCCCGAGGAGCTATCCAAAGTGACAGTTATACGATGCAAAAAATGCAGACAAAAACTCGCACTATCAACGTCTTTCATCAAACACGAGCCACCAAGTAGAGAATCCTCGGAGGGTCATTTTATCAGAAGGGCAGCCGGTTCCAGAAGAATAATTGATATTCAAGAATCTCAAAGAAATTGCTCACACTTTTTTGTTGAACCGTTGAAATGGATGAAGGAAGAACTTCAAGGCAAGCAAGAATTGGAGGGTAAGTTTTGTTGCCCAAATTGTTCAAGCAAAGTCGGCGCTTATAACTGGAAGGGTTCGAGGTGTAGCTGTGGTAAATGGATGGTGCCCGCAATTCATCTTCAGACGGCCAAGGTCGATCAAATCTCATATAATCAGGAAGAACTTCCCAATGTGGTGAAAAATCATTGAAAGAAACATAATCATGGTTCTTAGCTCTGTATATAAAAAGCTATTGTATTTTGAATTTTGTAGCTCATTTTTCATCACCAAGTAAACAAGTGAAATAGGCTTAGCTTGGTCGTAAAATTCTGATTGTCGGTATTTGAGCTTCGCTGTGGTCATCGTCGTAATCGACAGTGTCTGAAATATTGACTGGTGGCATGAGAGTTAAATCGCCATCTCCTGAGTCTTCTTGACCATCGTCGCTATAACCATACCCATTATTATAATCTTGTTCAATAGCATATGGATGGTTAATCCCATCAACATGTGAAGTTTCAACAAATTGCTGAACGGAAACACTAGTCCCTGCTCTCTGATGTTGATCTTGTCTGGGATTTGTCTGTATTTCCACTTCCTGTTCCACGCGTGCATATTCATCATCGTAATCGTAAGAATTATCCTCCTCCTGCACTCCTTGATCTAAGTCGAAATCCATATCAGGTGGCGATATTGCATATGAATTTTCTTGATAGGATGTTATTTGGGGAGGGTCGGTATGGTTATCCTCAACACGATTACCTTGATGGCTCCTTCGATCCTCGTTCTGCTTCTCTTCTTGTTGTCTTATCATTCTTTGAGCTTCATCTAATTCTTTCGCAGTTCTACCTATCCCAATGGGTTTAATGTTGTTCCATCCCAGCATTCGAATTTGTGCTAGTTTCGAATGGTTAAGGTTTGATTTCATTTCAAATCCATCAAATGCCGCCGATTCGCCGTCAACGAAAGAATATGCAGGAGACTCATATTCAGCCGTGTATGCTGCTAAAGGTGGCATGAAGCGACTTCTGGTTCGATTGGCCTGCTCCTGTTTATTCTTCATTTGGCCCCATTGCTTCCTTTCTTGAGCTTGAGCGTTTTGTTCATTTATTTCTTTGAATAAGGGTAGATTGATCAAACTATCATCCAACTTTCGTTTAGATGAAATCTCTAAGGCCAATACTAAAGATTCAGACACATTCGCGTCCATCTTGTTGTCTGGTTATATTCAGCTACGTGGTTTCGAAAACAAACTTCAATTTGCCATTAAAACTAATGAATTCTTTCAAAAATCATAACCAAAAACGCACATGAATATATAAGTGTACAGAAACTAACTAATGAATTTGTCTTTACGCCCTACTTCTCCTGCAAATTCGATTTCTTTTCCTCGTGATAGAGAGGTTCCCTCTTAATTTCCTCCACTCTCTTGAATATACCATCTAGAAACCCATCTATTGCTGATTCTTTTCTAAAATATGCGCTTCGTTTAGCCATTCCAACTAACTTATCATACCAGTACTCACCCCAATCAAGGTAGCGCCTCACATATCTTTTCAAATCTGTTGCCTCATATGTAATAATATAACCTGTGTTTCTGCGTAAACCCGCTAAAATGATAGACACAAGAGTTAAATCGAGACCTAAATGAATTATCTGCTTGAACTTAATACACAGCTAGTTAGTACAGGTCAAAATGAGAACATTTTTTTGGTATCACGTACACTAGGCATTGCTCCTGGGCTGCAGAATGAACTCGCTAATTTAGATGAGAAAAATTTCCTTCACAAAGTAGAAACCACAGAAAGCCAAAACAATGGCATTGGAGATAAATAGGGAAACCCTGATCAATTTTCAGCCAGTGAAATCATTCAAAGCAGGTGACCATGAGGTCGCTCCTATAACTTCGCTAAGCTTCGACGATCATGGCCAATACTTGTTGACTGCTTCTGCGAATGACAATATGCATCTCTATGACGCTGTAGGCTGCCGTTTCCTGAATACAGTTGCATCAAAAAAATATGGTTGCCATTCAGCCAAATTTACACATGCTCAATCAGAGTGCATATACTCTTCCACCATGAAGAGTTTCGACATTAGGCACCTCAATTTAGAAACCAACCAATACCTTAGGTATTTCACAGGGCATGGTGCTTTAGTCAGTGAAATAGCAATGAGCCCTCTTGACGATACTTTCCTATCTGCATCATATGACGAATCTGTTCGTCTATGGGACCTTCGATCATCCAAGGCGCAGGCTATGATTCCTAGTTTGGTTCCAAATCGCATAGCATACGATCCCAGTGGTCTTGTTTTCGCTCTAGGCAATCCAGAAAACTATGAGATCGGCCTATACAATGTAAAGCAATTAAAATCGGGACCATTTTTGGTAATAAAAGTCGATCCTTCATTCCATCAGTGGTCAAAGATAGAGTTCTCGAATGACGGGAAGTATATCCTACTTTCGTCTTCAGCTGGAAAAAACATGATCTTAGATGCTTTTGATGGTTCTAAACTATTTGAGCTTGTTGGGACGAGACCTTTTCCTCTCAGAGAATTTATGGACGCAGGCTCTGCTTGCTTCACGCCTGACGGTCAATATACTTTGGGAACAGATTATTCAGGAAAGATTGCGCTTTGGAACCATGCGGAATCAATTAGCGGCAGGAGCTTGAAGCCGATTGGTTCTATTCCTTCTGTTTCTGAAAGCAGCCCAAGAACGATAGCATTCAATCCGAAGTATTCCATGTTCGTCACTGCAGATGAAAACGTCGATTTCTATGTATATGATGGAAATAAATAGAGAATTTTAGTCTATAAAACGTCGTTTACATCCGGGTACCTAATCTCACTGTTTTCTTCAGACCAGTTTACCCATTTTTTTAGAAACGTCACCTGGCTTCTTTCTAGAGTTTCCATGTTCCCTATTACGCATAATTGTTTCTTAGGTCTAGTCATGGCAACATTTAGCCTTCGATTATCTGCTAAAAACCCTACTTCGAACTTGTCATTGCTTCTCACTAAAGAGAGAACAATCGCTTCTTTTTCTCTCCCTTGGAATCCATCCACTGTCGAAATCTCAATCATGGGAAACTTTGAGTGAATGAGCCTTTTGAGAAATGCAACTTGGGCATTGTATGGGGAAATTATTCCTATGCAGTCTTGTGGAACATTGCTGTCCACGAGTTTTGTTATATGGAGAAGCGCCAAATATGCTTCGTTTTCGTTGAATTTTGAAGATGCAACGCCCTTATCATCATCTTCTTCAGCTCTCTCAGGAAAATCATCACCTTGCGTGTCATACCAAATCAAGGGAATTTCCGTATCGTCGTTACTATCAACTCCTGGTATATCAGGAAGGGTCCATCCCTCTACTGAGGGTGCAGCTTTCAGCTTACCCTCATACATGACCTCGGACGAAAATTGCATTATATCTTTATTCATTCTATATTGCACGTCCAAGAGATTTTTGAATGAGCCACCATAGTGCTTTATTAGTCTATCAAATAATGTTGTGCTCAAAATATCCTTAACTTTGTCATCATCTTCTGTTTTAATTGTGGGTGGCAGCTGCTTGTCATCGCCTGCTAGAACCAATTTGCTTATCCCAGATTGGTAATGGGATATTAAAGGGATCCAGCATTGCGGTTCGAGACTTTGTGAGACCTCATCAATTATTAATGCGTCAAAAAGATGCGAAGTGGATTCATATGCGTTTGTCAATTCTCGGGCACTCGAACCATGAAGAGTAGCAACCACGATCGAAGCAGAAATAACTAGGTCGGTAAGCACTTTACGTTCACGTTTTTTCAATTCTTTCCTCAAAGTGCGAACCTCTTTCCAACCTTCTCGACGGTCTTTGGATGACTTCATTTTCTTAATCTTGGAGATGTTTTCATCTATTTCTCGTCTGATATCCTTCACAATAGCTCCAGATTCACAACGATTGGATATCACTTCTAGGGAATGGCCAAGGTTACTCTCGAGTAAGCGTGCCGGATGTCCTATACGCAATAAGTTACTGCCAGGTAATGCTTTACTTAATCTCTCAAGTAATGTGTCCACTGATATATTGGAGGGACCGCAGACCAATACTCGTTTCCCCCGATCGAACAATTGACGGATAAGCTCCACCAGAGTGTATGTTTTCCCTGTTCCTGGAGGGCCGTGGATGATACTGATGTCATTATCCAGGGAGAATTTGATTGCTCTTTTTTGGGAATCGTTTAAATCTTGGTTATGGAATTCTATCTTAGTGTTGCTCTTTTGTGGAACGAACGTGGCAGTGCCTAGCAAATATTGAATGATTTTATTATTTGGGATAGCATCAAACTCTGCGAGTTTACGCATAGTTGATTCCATTCTTTTGTAAGTTATTGTATTAGTCGTTTTGAGCAGATATAGGCGTGAGAATGCATAAAGTTTCAAAGCTTCTTGTTCTTGTGATTCATCAATAGCAACTACTATAAGCTTGTCAGTACATTTAGAGACGACGCCATTGCACGACACAGACTCCTTTTTCGCCGAAGAAGGCTGAACAATGACTATGTCTCCCACTTTGACGTCGCCTCTTATGATCTCCTTACCAACAGCATTATCTGGACTGAGCTCCACGTATAGCTTTCCCGCAAGTCCTGTTCTGACGTTTCGAAGTGTCAAGTAATTAACGGCTAGTCCTTTGGCTACCAATTTCGATAACGGAAGGGACTCTAAAAGTCGAGCAGTAATCTCTGTATCCTGTGCCTGCTCGTGGGCGATGCTCGTCAAAAACTTCTCGGCGACTTCCTTATTCATGGTGAACACTGGAGCAAATAATCGCCTATAAGAATGGATACATATAAATTTTCAAGGCCCCAGCTCGAAAAACTCTAATCAAGGCATTTACTCTGATCGCTCCAAATTACGTTGTGGACACGACCAGACTTTCGAATTTGAGGGACTAGCTATACTACATAAAAAACCATAGATAGCACTGTGGAGTGAAGATCTGACTATCTAATACAAATTAGGTGCTTAAGAAAGCTTGAGAATATGGAATGTATAATGACTTCGTTTCTACATAAAATTGACGCTTGCAGCAAGCTGCGCCGGCTCACATAACTGTCAAATCGCCAAACTTTTCCTTGTAACCTGGGACCTCCCATCTGCCCTTCTTGACCATTTCTTCCACCTTGGCATCGATGTCGGGTCTGGCCTTAGACAATTCATCCACAGTTAATTCGTCGAATGGTCTAGCAGATTCAATGTTCTTCAAAGTAGCTTTTAGGTCTTTCAATTCCTGCGCAACAACCTTTTCGGTCTCCTTGGCGTTATCCAAAGCTTGGGACTCGAAGGCGGAGATAGTTGACAGCTGCTTAGAAACATCAACAGTCACTGCTTTGTACGACTTAACAAAAGACTCAATCTTATCAATCACCTCCGTGTTCTTCAATACGGAACGGTAGTGGTCGAAGTCCACCTGGGTAGGTTGACTTTGCAATTCGAAAAGCTTTCTGCGGGCTTCGTCATTTCTCTTCTTGAATGCAGATAACTGGGTCGCGGTATGACCTGTAAGTTTGAGAGAGGAGATGACCTTGGCCCAGTCTAGCTTATTGGCAGCAGATTTGGCGAGAGACATGTTGTGCTTGGTCTTACACTGATATTGTCTAATTGTTACACTACATGTAAAAAAATTTCAGGGAGCCACCCTCCATTTCGATCATAGTAATGAACGACCAATCACAAGACGTATTTTCAAATGTCACATTGTACGCCATTTTGATACTAACAATAATTTTAAACCCGGTATTCACGTGATGCGGAATTTGCAATCCGATTGTCGCGAAAAAGGCTGCATCGTGACAAGTGTAAGTCATCGTAAGCTGTAATGCTCATATAACTGGCAACTATTGGTACCATTGAAGGCCATGGAAGAGAGCGAAGTCACCTCTGTGGGCTCAAATTCGACTGAAGGCGTGTTTGGGTTTCTGGAAGAGGGCGCACAGGAATATCAAGGATCAGACAGTGAGGACGCCGGGTTAGGTCAAGCCAGAAAGCGGGCAAAGCGATCTTCGCTGGCATGTGTGCGCTGCCGAAGACGACATGTTAAATGTCCAGGCGGAAACCCGTGTGCAAAGTGTAAATCTGCAAATATTGCTTGCGAATATATGGAACCGAATAAGAAGTTGATTGTCTCTATGAAATACCTGCAAAAACTGCAATCCGATCTGGCCGAGATGAAGAAGGAGAATGTAAAGCTGCAGTCGCTAGTCAACTCCATGGAGGCACAAACTGCATCAAGAACTCTTCCGAATAAGGATGTTAAGGCAGAAGATGTGCGGTTCCAGCGCAATACTGTGAATCAGCACTCCAGTCCTGTACCGCAAGGTGCTGAAGATGAAGAGATCGTGCCAAATTTCACAGAACGTCGCGGGCGAGTAGTTGAATCTCGGACTGGTCAGAAATATTTCGTGGGGTCTTCTTCAATGACCCTGTTTGGGATCGAAATACAGTCACTGATCCCCAAGTCTCTGTCTCAAAGAAACAAGAAAGGCAAGCTGCTCGAGAATCAACAACTGAACTCTGCAAGTTCGCTCGTGGAGCCAATTGACGCAGTTTTGCAAGAAGAAGGAAACGCATATCGGATTGTATTGGCTAAGAATGAGGGTAATACTGACATTAGTGTCAACTTTTCTCTCCCTTCGTACTCCTATGCGATGCTGCTAGTGGATACCTTTATCACATACAATGATGGATGTTTTTATTTTTTTAACGAAGGAATAGTAAAGGAGCAGCTACGAGTAGTTTACGAAGGGGGCAGTAGCTTCGAAGATCATACCCTACAAACAATTTGGTTTTGCAAAGTTTTACTCATCTTTGCTATTGGTGAAATGTATTTGGGAGCATCCAATCACATCAATGGTAATAAATTGTCATCGAAAGAAGGTGCCAAGCTACCGGGCTCTGGATTCTTTGAGCAAACATCGAGAATATTTAGTTGCCTCTTTTCTAGTGGTCGCATTGAAAATGTCACCAAAATTGGAGGTATTGAAGTAATGCTACTTTATGCATTCTATTTGCAAGTAGCAGATTGCACAGTTGCTTCCTATTTCTATTTTGGGCAGGCTTTGAGGACATGCTTGATACTTGGTTGGCACGTAGATGCACAACGGGATACTTTAACGAGGTTTGAACTTGAGCATCGGAGGCGGCTGTGGTGGACAGTTTACATGTTTGAACGCATGCTGAGCAGCAAAGCGGGTTTACCTTTGAGTTTCACTGATGATACAATTACCACTGAACTTCCCGACGATTTTGATATGACTAAGCCGCCGCCAGGATGCGAGCATTACATTTTCCCGGAGGCTGAATATATCACAAACTGTGTGAGGATTACTCAAATAAATGCTCAAATTTTGAATAAACTTTATCAAAGACAACCTGGATCTAATATATTACCGATTTTGAAAGATATCGTAATGCAATTGCTAGAGTGGAGAAAAACTCTTTCTGATTTTTTACAAGTCGACTTCACTCAAAAGAGGCTCAAAATTTCACGCTTGTGTACTAATATGTTCACTGAATACTTCCAAGGTATGAATCTTGCAATCAGACCTTTACTTTTCCATTTTGCCTCTATTCAACTGAAGCAGTTGGAGAGTTCCAATTCATTTATAAATTTACAAAACTACTCAAAAACTGTTTCTTCACTTTTAAACTGCTCATTGCAAGCATCGATTAATTCAATACGCTCTTTGTGGTGTTTGAAAGGCCAAAACATGGTGGCGCTCTTTGGGTATATGGATAGAGAGTATTTGTTCACGTCTGCATGCACACTAGTTCTTTTTAATACAGCGTTTGGTATTCACGAGCAAACGGCAGAGCATCTTGACCACGCATTGTTGATATTTACTAAAATGAGAAATCTCGGAAATAATCCCGCTGGACTAAGACGCGCCCAATTACTTAAACTCATGAGCAACCTGGATTTTCATAATGTTATGAAAGATCTCATTGAGAAACATAATGATGCTTTGAAACCTGATGCTCAATTTGATGATCATGATGACAAGGAAGTTGACATAGTATCTTACGCTTCTACAAGTCCGACCAATGTTCAAATGGATATGTCATCCTCAACTGAGCCTAAATTCAAAAGTCTTCACAATAGTGATACTCAAGTCATTGAAGGAAATAATAGCACCCTTGAACCCTTTAATTTGGAGACCAGTAGCGACATACAGACACTATTGGAAGGCTTGGAAAATATAGGAAAAAATGACAACCAATTATGGAAGGAGATCTCTGATCAAGCAATGTGGTTAGGCAACTCTATGGATCCAGCTGGTGCAGCTGGTGAGGAGAACGGGCAAGGTGAACTTAAGTTCTCAGATATAAAATAATTTTATAGAGATTTATAGTTAAGCACTCTTTTTAATGTTTTAACCCAAAAATTCGAAATCAGAAAAGAGCTCTGCAAAAAAAATATAGTAGGAATTCGTATTCCCAGTGCAAAATTATATAATTTACAAACGTGTATACGGATGACCATATCACCAATCATATATTCACATATAACATACTCTCTTAGTGAAATTATCTTCATCAGAATCCATCCACTCACGCAGCCTTTTTTGCGAAGAAATTATTGTCGAATAGCCCAATGCAAGCTCCTCACCATTTAATTCTGACTGTCTCAAAGTTAAGATTTGCTTTAAACGAATTTTATTTTTGAGGTTTGTTGTAGAGTCAGCTTGTAATTCAACTAATTTGTGAAGGGATTCTTGCTGGTGGGATTCCATAAATGATATTGCTGCATATCTTGTGATCAACGTGGAGCCACCTGTTTCGATTCTTTGAACTCTGTAGATGATAGAACAGATCATGTTTCTCAATTTAAATGACAAATAAGGTGAATTGAGCAAATTCATAAGCCATTCGAAAAAATTCTTGGTCTTCAAAAGTTCTATGTCTTTCTTGGTCTGCAGCCCTTCAAAAATACTTTCTAGGACCCAATGAAGTTTTCTATAGTAGCCCTCATTATCTTTAGAGTGATTTAAAGATAATATCGAGTTAAGTAACGGAATTTCATACGGCCTTATTGAAGGAAAGGAGAGGACCCAACGGTAGGCAATCTCATACATGGGGGAGGTAGGTTGACGGAGACAGCTGGATAGGCGTGAAATGGTACGCCATGTGATGGGGCACACGTCATCCAAGGACTGCTTGTTCCCATTTTCATCAAGCCTCTCAAAGGTGTAGGCAATTTTGGTTAGGAAGATTTTGAAAATTTTCCCGTCGCGGAATTGGTTATTTCCATCCAGAGAGGAGATCATTTTGTGAATCAGTTGCAGTGCAACCTGCGATGCCTCACCATCGTCAGATAACGCCATTAAGATGAATTGAAGTATTCCTGTGTCTACAATTTTCTTCATGTCAAATTCATAAGAAGTGTTACCACTTTCGTCGATTTTTTGCCTTAACAGCTCGTCATTGTGAATAATCAATAACAAAACAAATAATGGATCATAATAGTTGCGACTAGCCCCATTGGTCACCAGCGTTATTTTTTGGTCAAAATTCAATAAATTTTGCCAAGAGTCCCCGATCTCCCTCCTGTTAAACTCCGGAACCCCAGGAATCCCCAAATAATAGTGAGATGCTGTTTGTTCAAGCATTTTCCTGCTTAGAACAATAACAAGACCGCCTTTTTCTTTAACTATGAGCTTAGGGTTTTCATGATTTCCAACTTCTTCGTCATTTATATCATCGATAAAGTCCCATGATAAAATTTGATTCGTCCATGGAGAAGAAGTTCTCGATTCGATTTTATCCAAGATGCTCAAGAGAAGCTTATCCGCGGACGAAATGGTGCCTTGATAAAAAGATAGTATCTTCTCTTGAATAGCTAGGTTTGAAGAATTAGCTGGGTCTAATTCGAAGATGTTGAAAATTAGCGAGGCCGTCAAGAAATTAATAGATTCATCAGACATGTTCCTGCTATAGCAAATATTCTTATTGTTTACCAACATTTGAAGAATCCGATTGCTGTTTGCGTGCTTTTTGGGGCAGCTTAACATTAAAAGGTTCAAATAAGTCAGAACTTCTTTGTTGCATATCCATTTACTTCCAACAATCACTTCGATTTGTGTATGCAAATTTTTAACAGAAGCCAAAGACCATATTTCTGTCTTTAAAATAGTGCTGCAAAATTCGTGCAAGAATTCAGAAAAGCTTGGGGACATCGTCATACACTCTGAAAATGATTTGGTTACAAACAAAATCGATTTGTTCATCCAAATACTAATATTCTTGTCATCGAAATTTGAAAACAAACTGATAAATTTAGCTATTGGTGCAATATATTTTTGCTCGTATTTGGTTGCAATAAACTCCAAGATGATGGCTTTCTTTTCGTTTGAAAGTAAATAGTGACAGTTTAGGAAAATGTTCATGATCAGTTTAAATTCTAAACCCTTCGAAGTTTTCAGTTTGGAATACCCAAGATCAACGGCCTTCTGCAAAAAGCTTGATGTTTCCTCCCGACTGCCCTTCTTCATGTAGGCCCCAACTAACAAAATTATATCATCGTCCACAATTTCATGGAGAAATGGAATAAGAGTATCATAAAAGGTGTTCAATTTCAACAACTGCTCCAAGATAGGCATATTATTGGGCGAACGGATCAATTGCAAAGTAAAGTTATCATCAAGTAATGTCTCAGCGAAATTCTCATCTACAAAATTAGCCAGAGCTTTTGCAATAGTGGAAGAGTTTCTCGATAAAAGCTTTTTGAATAGATGTGAATCTAAATGATGCCTTTTTTGATCGAGTTCTTTCAAAATCTCAATAACAGCGTCATCATCGTCAATAAAGTCACTGTTCAGCACCTCAAGCAATTGCGATCCGTCCAACAAGTGAAATGAATTAACGAAGAGTGCACTCAATTCAGGCTGTTCCTTCCATTCGCTGTAACAACTTTTGAATAGGCCAAGGATATACTGCTGAAATTCGAATACGTTCGTTCCTATCTGGTAGAATATCTGAATTATGCCATTCGTCAAATATGCAAGTTTCTGACAACGCTTTTTGTTTGTTAGGTCCATATTTTCAGTCACTGAGATCAATGTGAAACAATTCTTTGAGGTGAAAGTGCCGAGAAAACTTTGGTTGGATAATGCGTAATTTGCAGCTTTAGATAACATATCGTCAAATAGAGTCGATAACTGCTTGTCCTCCAGTGAAGTATCCTCATTGAGCAGAAACTTAATTCTGTACAGTAATGCCATCGCATCCAGCTCATTGACAGGATATCTGATCATTGACTTCAACTCTTCAACGGGAACTAACGTAATATATTGAAAAAAAGAGAAGTCCACGTTTTCGATCAGGAAATATTCCTTCTTTCTCATTTCAGGAAGCATCTTTTCGTAGCAATCAAATCCCAGATAAACATCCACCATTTGAGTGGGTACAGATTCTAAGCCCTGAGCGAGCTTTTGAATACCCAAAGTGCTCTCTCCCGTGAAAACAGTGATACGAAGATACATCAAAAGCCACTTCAGAACAATATCAAAGGGAGAAGTTTTCTCAACAAAGGCCCATTGCTCGGATAATGCAACCAAGAAAGGAGATATATTTCCATATTTGTTTGCGAGGTCAACATATTTATATGGGGTTTTAATGATCCTTGCAATCGTTTCATCTAACAGCTTCCAAATTTTGAGTTTTTGAGGGGAATCGATATCAATCTCTGTTGAAACACTCTGAAGGGATGTAATTAACGCCAAAATGGGAGACACCAAAAGATTTTCGAAGTCGAAAACAACATTGAATTTCAGAAGGTTTTCTAATAGATCATTTACCTTCTTGATTACAATATAACTTACATTCCTGGACGACGTCAGTTTCAAAAGCAAGGTGAAAAGTGAATTTTCGTCTTTTGCAGCATGCCACCATTTTGTTTGATTATTGTTCATCTCCTGAAACTGTAAAAAGTTGTCTAGGATGAGAAGGTCAGTGCCACCAATAGAAGCTGCCTCCATAATTTCTCTGTAGATATTTGGAGTCGGCAGAACAACATTGAAGAAATTAGGAAATGCTTCACTATATTGCCGTAAAATTATCGTCAATGATAATGACAAAATCTTATTGTCATGGTGCTTGGTAAAGGTATCTTTGATGGTATTTGTTATTATGGGTAAATCTGGTATCCTGCTCCTAAAAGCGTTGCTTATAATAGATTTTGATGACTCCCAACCTTTCTCATCATATAGTTCAAGAACTTTCCGGAATTTTTTGAATGAAAATACCATCAATTGACAGGTAAGCTGTGTAATTAATGGGATATCATTTTGAAGGCCTCTAGTAAGAGAACTTTTTGAGATGGACGCTGGAAAAATTGTCTCCATTACAAGCGATACTGAAGGAACGAGATCGGTCTGCACAGACATCATCCTTTCGGGAATGGGCAGATTAATAATTCTGCCAAGCAGTAAAGTCATACCAAACCAATAAGATGTCATTCTTGGATCATGATTTCCGAGTGTAGCCAAGTAATTACAATAAGGAGGTACCAGTTCAGGCACATGGCTCAAAATTTTCGCTACTGTGTTGAGTTGCATGTCATCTTCCCAAGGTTTAAAAAATGTAATCACTGTAAACAGAAGTTTATTATAAAGATAAAACTTCTTGTTGTTTACAAGAACAACGGCCCCCACGTTTCTGGTAGATGAGCCATCTGCTGAATATACAGGCTCGTTGAACCAAAGCTTATCATCGATAAATGCAACGCTGTATTCAGGATCAGTTGCGTAAACTTGAAAAAAATCGTCTGCTTTTTTTATAAGTTCTTTCTCATTGCAATGGTAGAGGTTATGGATTTTACTAATAAGGGCCTCATTGAGGACTTTGCATTTGGTAGTCTTTCTGAATGCCTTCTCCTTCAATACAAAATCTGTAAAAACTTCGAGAGTATCACCCAACAGTTTCGAATTATCCACTTTGTTCATGTACTTGTACCATGTACTCATAATCTTATAATTATCTATCAAAACACCTTTTCTCAACAGAGGGGTGGAATGCTTGATGAGGGCTAACCAAAGGGCGATGAAGTTGCTTCGCATTGATATTCTAGAGTTTTTCCGTGCCAATTCCTGATCGGCAAGTTCAGCCTTGGCAGGGGTTAAAATCTTTGGCAAAGTGGGTAAAGAGAGATCGAAAAGGGTTAAAAAATCATCTATGTATTGACCATCATTAAAAGTGACGAATTCTTTTATTAACCGCAGTATGGGATTGGTGATCGACGGCTTCATGTTATTAATACCTCTGTAAAGAACTTTGATATAATTGCTTAGAATATCCCTTATCAAAGTTGATCCGAGCTCTAGCGTGCTTGAATCTTTGTTTAGGACCACTAGTGCTTTCGTAAGTTTAACCGTAGAGTCAGTAAACTTTTGATGATTGTTAACCTGCGCATAGTATGACCATGCTTGTAAGGCTTGCGTAGCAAAGTTACTACTAAAAAATTCGATGACTGGTCCAAAATCGTTTACCACTTCTTCGTTTATCACATCAATCGTAGATGTTATCTCATGTAACTTCTCGAAAACGCCATTATCGATCATTGATCCTCCGCCGTAGAGCTGCTTTTTTTGCTTTTTCTTTTCATTTTGGATCCCTGAGCGCGAGACGCTGTCGCTAGATTGAGGGTCCATAATGCAATTTGATTCAGATGATTATGGCAGGCAGACTTGTTGAGATGAGATGAGCTTGCAGATGCCATCTCATTTCAGAAAATTTTCATACTCTTCGTGTAAAAGTACATTATTTTAGAGCCCTAAAGGTCTGTGAAGATTTGCATCTGAAGGGACCTAGTATGTTTCAAGATTTATCATACAATGGATTCAAGATTATTGAGGAGTAATCTGCCATTATAAACTAACGGTGTCCATATTTAAGACCATAGCCACCACTCTCTGCTAAATTATGTAACAATTTCAACTTTTCGGGAGGATGAAAAACTTCCACTAGTTTGAACATAAAAGTCAAGAAGGACATTCACTAATGTATCATTATCACAATGCTAAAGACGACAATTAGATTTCTGAACCGCAATGTCCGCACATATGCCACGAAAATAGCGCCAAATGCTCCTCAAAAGTCCAAGTTCGACAAATCAATGGTAAAACCTGCTGTCGTTGTAATTCTTTTCGGATCAGTTTTGACAAACCTTATGGAAGAACAGAAGAGCATGTCTGAAATGGAAAGGCGTTACCACCTGAAAATCGACATTTTGAAGGACATGATAAACAAGGTAAAAGTAGAAGGAGACTCTTCGATAGATATAGCTGAGGAACTGAAACTCGTGAACAAGTCGTTCGAAAGATTTGAAAATTCAAAGTTGACTGATCTCGAGAGAGAGGCGCAACGTGTAAGAGAAAGAGCAGATAAGAACTCCTATTCAAAAAACTCTGTAATAAACAGCCTAAACTCGAGACTGGAGGATGAGTCTCTAGAGGATTTGTTTAAGGAAATCATGCAAGACATTGACAGGGAGGGTGACATCCTAGAACCTACTATGCCGTCGCAAAGCCATGTAAAACAAACCAAACAGTCAAATGCAGAAGATATTGTAGCTAAAGGAGACATCGTTACTAATGCTAAACGTTTGGCTTTGGAGGCAGAAAAGGAGAAAAGGAGTTTGAGCTTCAAGCCCAGCACTGATGCACACGTCATAGTAGAAAACCCAGGAGATTACAGTACTGCAGCAGAAGAGCAAAAGGTCTCAAAGTTTCTCTGATTCAACATTACCAAATACCATTAATTAAATAGCCACAAGTATGTTGATCTATATGAATGATGCAAAACAAGAACAACTAAATGATTTAGTCATTGTCGGAAGTAGATTGTCGACTTTCACCTTCACTTGTTTTAGTAGGTGATTCCGAATTTACTTTAACCTCTTTGCTTTCACTAGTCCCTAGACTCGACAATTTCGGAGAAGAATGATCTTCACCTTGATGTCCAGAATTGCTTGATTCCAAGGATGAAACTGGAGAAACGTTAACGTTGGCATTTTCCTTTTTGAGCTGACTTTCATCAGAGTTGTCTTTCGAGGGTTGCTGATTGATATTCTTCCCTGTCACTCCATTAACACTTTGGGGTGTTAAAGGCTTTGGTTTATTTGAAAGACTGGACGCTTTTCCGGGGGAGTTTTGCCCCTTCTGGGAGCTCTCCTGTAGTCTAACTTGTGTAAACGAAGACTCTTCCATGGCCTGCTGAGAAGTTTTTTGAGGAGATGCTTTGGTGTCTTGCGCTTGTCTCATGGGCGAAGTCTGCCCCCGGTCAGAATGATCTGCGTTTTTAACAGAGTCTTTCTGCACACCATTTGACTCTAGATCCCTATTAACAGGACTCATTCCACCAGCGACTTGATTGAGCGCACCAGGTAATGAAGGCATGTTTCCCTGTAGACTAACCAACTGTTGAAGCACATCTGGAGGAATATTCTTGACGTGATTTAAAGGTGTTTGTTGATGAAAGGGACTTTGATCCGATGAATTCGACACAACAGTTTGCGGTTGGACCAACGAATGTTGGGACATCATAGGAGATTGAGAAGGAGGTGGCATAAATGATTGCTGAGGCTGGTGGGGTATGACTGGTTCATCAGTCAAGAGGCCAGGTATTTGCGTTAAAAGCATGTGAATTCTTTTCAAACTGTTTCCCGCCTTATCGAAACTCTTGGATGTCATTCGAAGAATCCATACGTAGTTTCTCAAACAGTCTCTGAATACAATCGCTTCTTCTTTTGTTGGGGCTGTGACGTACAGAAGCGCAGCAAACGTTCCAATGAGAGTTAAATTACCCGTTGAACAAGTGTACCAAAAGGAGTTGATATGCTCGAATTTGAGATCACGGGCGAATTCAATAGCAGCGATTAGTCTTGTTTTGGCTGCAGTTCGACATACTTGTACGAGCTCTCTAGCGGTATCCGGCTTCAGCGTCGTAATGATCTTTCGGTGCAAGGTGATCTCAACGGCAAAATAAGACAATGTCAAAGCGGCATTACTATTAAATTTTCTCTGTTGAAATGTATTCATTGATAACTGTGAAGGCAAAGAGTGGTACCATTCTCTCATTTTCAACTGCAGAGGCTTTGCTAGCTTCAATACTTGCTCTATCTTTGTCACGGTTTTGAGTGCACCCAGTGTATAAAAAGTATCAAGAACTTCGCCTAAGATAATGCTCAAGGAAACCATTTGTTGAAACATTAATTTGCCATTATTAAAATCTTCGTCCGTAGGTGACATATCCAACATGGATATATTACCACCTGAAACATCATTCCCTAATTGGCCATGACCCTGACTCGTGCTTTGGCTACTGCTGATCACAGGCGACTTATCAGGGAAATCTTCTTCAGTAAGCATTTTGACCAACCAATTACGTCCTAAAATTAAATGAGAGTAACGTGCTTCCATCATAGAAGTCCATTTATCTTGCAACCATACGGCCCAAGCTAAACGGCGTCTCAAGCCCCTTTCCCAGCGAGGTAATCGCCAATCTTGACAATCAACGCCAAGACCTAAATCCTCCGCCAATGCAACCACTTCAGAACAAATCACCCAGTTACTGGAGCATTCGCTCCTGCACTGTAGAATGAGTAACCCAGTCTGAATTATACTCAACTTCGGTCTCTCAACTACATCGAAGAATGTTCGCAGGGCAATCTCATTGAGTTGCTCTGTCACATCAGGTTTTGGAAATCCTACGAGCTGCGGGTGGAAGTCCCACCATTGTAAAGAGAGAGAATAGATGGCGGCTAGCAATGGAGCAGTGAGTTCACGGTAGGATCTCGAATACTTTTCTAGGAGAACCCTTTCATGCAAAATTGGAAAATAAGGATGAACTAGTTTGAAAAATATGTCCACTAAGATCTTTCCGTGAGGATGCACCAACTTTTCGACTAGGTCAATTTCTTGTTCTTGTTTCAAATAAAGTCCTTGATTGAAGTCATCCCTTAATATAAATTGAACATTTGGTGCGACTTTTCTAAGTGCTAAAGTTTTGGACAATTGAACCTGATCGATCTTATCCAGCTTTACATGATTAACCAAATTTATATCAAAAACAGAGGTTGGTCCCACGTAAAAAGATGACCTAGGGTATTGAATTGGTGGTTGAGCATATGCTGGTTTCTGATTTACACCATTACCCGTATTAAAATTAGTTAGACCAGAAACATTGGATGGTAAAGCGTTGTTGTTGTAGCCTGGTGTACCGTATAGGAGAGGTGAGTTTCCTTTTGTGCTCCCACTATTTACGTGTGAGAACTCAGATGAGTTCATGTTCCCTGAGTTTTGATTAAGGTTCTGTAGAAGTTCTGAATAGTACTGCGAAACTGAGTCATTGTTGCTAAGCTTTGCCCTCTTCAAAAGCTCGTGGACGTTGACGTTCTCGTCGACTCGGCCACGCTTTTGCTGGTCTTGAACCAACTCGGTAGCAGTTCGGGACGAGGGAAGCTCGGAGCACACGCATTTTATTCCTTTCGTTTCACATTGCACACAGTTTGGAAGATCTGGCACTATGACACACTTAATTTGTCTCCTCCTGCAATGATCGCAAGGCTTGTCGGCTATTACGGATTTGTTCTCTTGAGCCGCGATTGTCTTTGTGTTCATGATTGGAGTAGGTGCGCCAGAAAAATCTGGGGAATTATCATTGCTAGCAGACCGACTAAGTAAGTCTTGGTAGTGCTGTAGTAACATATTTAAGTTGGGTTGTTTATCAGTCTGCGCCTTATCGTTAAGGTTGGGGAGGTTATGTTGAGCGGTTTGATGATCTTGTCGGTCTTGAAATGCGTCATTTAATGAGCTAGAATGGCCGTTGGCGAGGTTATTCAAAATATTTGTGTAGTCATCGTTCAGATTTAGCATAGAACTGTTTATATTGCCTGAGTTGTTGTTCCCTGAAGGTCCGGTATTCCAGGCATCCATGCTGTCGTTGGACATTTGTGATAAATTATGACCAAGTACACTGGAAGAACACTTCAAACACTAACTTTTAAGCGTGCTTTCGTGATGCAGATCACAGCTAAGTGCTATCTATCGATGACTTACATGTCAAATTTTTTTTTTAATACCTTCCATTATTCGAGAAATGAAGGGATGAATGTGTGGCCGGGTAAATGTATGCTATGTCATTGAAAATTTAGCTAGAAGTTATCACGTGGGTGATGTATAGTAAAGTGCTGCAGTTTATATTCATGGCTCATCTACTAGATAGTGATATTTACATCTTCATCGTGGCAAGTCAGTAAACAAATTCACCAAGATATGCTTCGGCCACGAAACGAGCTCTGGCGTTGAGGAAAAGCTTCATTTCACTGATTTCTTTGTCAACCTCTTCCATGAACTCGATAATAAAGTCGACCAGTTTTTCAGTGTTCATGGTTTCCGTATGCATGTTGGTAATCAAAAAGGAAATGCTAAAACCTGGGATGGCCACCCGTCTCAACACGTAAAACGATTCTGCGCGCTGCTCGAGAAACCGCGTAAACTTGTGGACAAGAATCTGTTCAATTTCATCTGCTTGCTTTACCTTGATACTCACACGCACCGAATTCACACTTGGCTCAATGAGCACTTGTTCATGCTCGTTACGTGATATGTGCATTGGCTGCAGCAGCAGCTCAGCGCTAGCATTGGGTACCTCAACCTCGGGACGATTGTGCCTCTCTACAACTTGTGAGGAGAAATTGGAAAGATTCAAAGCTGCTTGTAAAGAGTGGCGTACAGCTGTGAGATATGGACGTAGTGATTGTGACATTCGTGTTTTGTCGATCGCTCAATAATCTAGTATTACACCTTCGAACCAGTTGACCCCTTTTCAGTTTTCTTGTCTAAAGCATGAAAAATTAGAAAAGCAATTACCCGGAAAACTGTAAAATATTCAAACTCATCAACTCATCATTGAAGCAGTACCGTGAATAGTTGACAGTTCAGCAAAAGGTAACTATGGGCGATTGGAATGAAGCCACCGATCCAGAGGGCCGTGTATACTACTATAATACTTCTGGAGAAACAAGTTGGGAGAAACCCAGAGAATTGTACACGGATTTGGAGTTGAAACTGGATCAGCATGGATGGAAGGCTGGCAAGACTGACGATGGAAAAGTGTACTACTACAATACGTCCACAGGAGAATCTAAATGGGAAATTCCCACATTTCCTGAAGGTCAGAAAACATCTGAATCTAGTGAACCAATATCTGATATGCAAAAGAGCTATGAGAATAAATCGCTGCTGCTCCAAGTGAGCACAAAACCTAAACAAGAAGCAGAGAAAACATTTATCAGCATGCTGGAAGAACATGGAATTGATTCAACGTGGTCTTTCAACAAAATTATTTCTGAGCTTAGTAGCACGGATCCAAGATACTGGTGCGTGGACGACGATCCCCTCTGGAAAAGACAGATGTTCGAAAAGTACTTATCGAATAGAACTGAAGATCAGTTACTAAAAGAGCATTCTGCTGTGAATAAATTCAAAACGGCGTTTGTTGAAATGCTGAAGCAGAACAAGGAAATACACTATTACACACGATGGGTAACTGCAAAGAGGATTATAGCTAATGAGCCAATCTACAAACACTCGGTAGTGAGTGAAAAAATAAAAAGGCAAACATTTTCAGATTATGTTGAAGCGTTACGTCAAGAACGGTCAAACTTAAGAACGGAGAACAGGGAGCAGGCTCTTCTGGAACTTCGGGAATATCTAGAAGAAATTATACCAGGCAGAAGCGCCCTTTTATCTTGGCACGATCTTTCAAATAAGTATCTGTTTGAAAACAATTCCCGTTTTATGTCAAACAAGCATTTTGTACTTTTAACGAAGGAGGATGTTTTGAAGGTTTATATCAGTATCGTCGAGAAATTCGCCACTCAAATTGAGCAAGAGATTACCAAATACCAAGCAGTAAACTACACGAAAGACCGAATCGCGAGGGACAATTTCAAACAGCTATTGAAAGAGTTTGATCACGATATTCACTCAAACACGAAGTGGGAAGATATCTACCCTCTTATCAAGTCCGATGAGAGATTTCTGTCGTTGCTGGGTAGAGATGGTTCTTCTCCACTAGATTTATTCTTAGATGTTGTCGAGGACAAAGCGATAACGGTCAATGCACAAAAGAGTATTGCTCATCAGTTTTTGATAGACACAAAATTTCAGTGGCTTGAGGATGATGAATCCAACATTTTAGCTCTTAAAAATGTTCTAGGGAATAGCGAACAATTCAAGGGCATTGACGATGTGGACCAAAATACCATCATTACGAAACTTCTCACTGATTACCACAAAAAACTTTCCGAGCAGGCGCAACTGACATTGCGATTAGAGGAGCAAAAGAAGCGGTATTTCACGTTACTATTACAGCGACTTTACTCGCCACCCAGGACAAAACCCGAAACCTGGACGATGGCAGTCGAGCAACTTAAAGATTTCCCGGAGTTTAATGACCTTAAAGATGACGAGGTCAGGAGAGAAATATTTGAAGGATTCCAAGTACCATCGGAGATTTCAGGACCTCCCCCATCGACAGTAAATCCGAAGAAAAGAGCGCTTGCACCCGTGGAGCTTGATTACTAAGGTATTTTTTTAACGTATATGCTCACTAGTATATACAAGTGCGAAAAATATAAGCTTCACTGAAATACCTTCTCATCGCTCCCGCACTACTCATTAGTTAACAGAGCACTTAGTCCAATGAATCCCATCAGCGCGAACTTTGCATACTTATTTTCTGAGATCCAAATTGTTGCATAGCCTAACATGGGGATATAACCTTTCACCGTACCGACAATATCCTTGTCCTTCTGTAAATATATCTTTTTCTTAGCATACAAAGGAATATCGTTTCCAGCGTTGTTATCACCCTTTGTGAGTAGCAGTTGTTTTCCCGAGTTTTCGTTCTTGTGCTCTCGCAACACTCTGTGTACAATAGGTATATCTTTACCATCCACTTCATAAACAACGATGTCACCAACTTTACTGTATTCATTCCTGTTCCAAAGGAATAATATGTCCCCCCTTTGAAAGGCGGGTTCCATCGATCCTGACAGCACAACAACAATTGGAGAATGCGAATTGGTAACTATCGACAAGCCTTTCCAGAACATGAAAGCCGAAGCCAAGGCAAAGCAAACGTTAAGGAAACGTGTCAGTTCAAGCCGTATATTCATCGCTATTTCAGCTTGTTTTAGATGTGTCAAGAATACAACACCGTGAAATGCTGACAAAAATCTCGCCCTGTTTTTCATGACTATAAAAAAGTGACATCGGATTTTAATAGAAGTATCCATATTCAATTGACTGATTCCTGCAGGAAGGTGGCAAACATGGGTTTAAAAGTAGTGGTGATTGGCGCGAATGGAAGAGTTGGGCGTATCTTATGTGCACAATTGAAGGCGAATGATAAATTTGACACACCATTAGCTATCGTTCGCACATCAGAGCAAGTTCAATATTTTGAAAACCAAGTAGGGGTTTATGCATCTCTAACAAACATTGAAGATTCAAACATTGATGAGATTGCAGATGTTTTGGAAGGTTATGATGCAGTTGTCTGGACAGCTGGTGCCGGAGGTAAAGGAATTGAAAGGATTTTCACAGTGGATCTAGACGGAGCCATGAAGGTGATCGAGGCCTGTGAAGCAGCAGATGTCAAGAGATTTGTGATGGTTTCAGCGATTAATGCAGAACACCGGGAGTTTTGGTGGCACACTGCTCTTAGGAACTACTACATTGCGAAAAGGACTAGCGATTTTGTTTTGAGACACTCGAGCTTGGATTACACGATCTTGCAACCTGGCTCGCTACTCTCGGGAGAGGGAACTGGCAAACTATGCCCCGAGGACAGGGTGCAAGAAACACGTAGCAATCACTATCAGATCGAGCGCGAAGACGTAGCATCTGTGATTGTGGAGTGTTTAGCCAATCCAGCTAAAACTGTGAAAAAGACCATATCCTTGGCAAATGGGGACCAGCCCATTTCCGAATTTATACACACACTCTAGACGAGTATTATACGCAAATTATTTGGAACTGTACGTAAAAACATTATTTATTGGTTAGGGATGCAAGTTTTAGAAAAAGACAGGATATCTGCATTTTTCTGTTTCACGAATGCATTGAATGCTGCGAGCGCCACTGGACCTTCGGTGCCATTTGATCGTATAACCTTAGTTAGTTCGTCAAACGTGTTGACCCAGTCGAACCAAGCCAATGCATGCAAGAGTGAATCTGCAAGGTCATCTTCTTTATTCTTACCTGCGTCTTCACTCAAACCCAGCCCATCGAAGAGACTAATCTTCTTATTCAGCGTTTGTGACCTAAAACTAGAGACGAGATTACTTGGGAGAGAAAGCTTATGCAAGGACTGGGAGGTGGCCGCGTCACTCACCAAAGAGTGCGCAAGCGCTATCTTTAACTTTTTGGTGACCTGCGCCGGCAGAGGCTTCTTCGTAGCTGGCACCAGATTGATTTCTGCTTTTGTCACCGCTTTACTCCGCGACGGCATATGTTTGCACCAGTACTCGGTCATTCTTTTTGGATCTGAAGAGCATACCAAGTATTCTGACGGCGAACCAGCACGCTTCCCATGCTTCGGCTGCAAACGACCGAATAAATTTGAAAAGAGAACGTGTTCAAGCGTATTGACGCGCAGAACAGGCTCGAAAACATTCGAAGAGCCCATGGTGCGGGTGCGTTGGCGCTCGAGCACAAATGCATCTGAAGTATTACGCGTCAATTGCTCTGTAAGCTTATAACCTAAACGCGACATGTTCTCTGGTGTGAAGGGGATCTTGTCGTCGTCAAGTCCAATGGATTTACCAGAGAGCTGAAGCTTTCCCCACTCAAGTAATTGAGGACGCGGCGCGGTCGCAGACCAGTCCAGCCGGCAGTGGGCAAAGTTGTCTATCCCCATGTCAATTGCAGTAATCGTAAGACTTCCATTGATATTGCGGAGTGACGCTAATTGCTCGAGAATCGCGCACTGCGTCACAATGTTGGAACGAATCGCGGATTTTGTAGAGCCTTCTTTTGAGCCAATGGCGAACGCCAGCTTCTTTAGTGTTCTTGTGTCAGACTTTCTGCAGAAATAATCTACACAAGTGCCGAAATTGTTCACGCTCACACGTCCTTTCATGCTCCTCGAGGATGCTGTAGTGTGGTAAAGCTGAAGGTTTAATTGCATGGACATCGCGATTTTGAAAAAACTCACCGCACGTGATGGCGTTTTTACTTAAGTGACTGGTTTTATTGCAGAGATTCATGGTTTGTGCCTTTGAATACCTGCGAAGTCCCTACAAGTCAATTGATGGCCTTAGCAAAGTAGTGTGCTCGTACTAATTTCTCCTTCGGTGGTTGAACAAATCCTGGCAAAGAAGATATGGCAATCTAAATATTTATTGGCAAGTGCTGAAGGATTTAAAAATCTGTATGTACTCCAAAAGAGAAGTTTCAATCAAGTAAAAGTTTCTATTGTAGAGAGTCGTTTTACGCGGCTCCCATGGTTTCTATTCTCATTTATAGATATTGAAAAGTCTGCCAATTGGCGGAAAAGAGAAAACCAGATTCCTTTCTTGAATTGCCAAGGAAAGGAAGATTAAAATCATGCTTTCCAGAAATACCATGAAAGTCGTTGCGAAGCTTGGTATTATCTAGACGATGTTGAGAAGCTTTTTGCGCTTATAAACAATTACGGGAATTTTGTACGTCGATGGGAACAGTTTGCGTGCTTTATTCATTATGCTATTTTCTAAATTGTTATAAAGGACACTACTGTTGATTCATTTCGACGATAAATGACGGATAGCGGCAAAGTGACCACTACAGTCCTCAAACAACCATCAATTTGTTAAATGCAAATACCAAAGAAAAGTCCATCCGTGCATTTCCTACTCTCTAAAACATTACCAAACCAGGATACTCATAATATCGTATTGCCGCCCAGTTGACATTATGGCCCTCCTTATCATCCCGACTCCAAATCGTCAATAGCATCTTTTCAACTTCATTTACGTAACCGAATTTTAGCTTTTTCTTTATTCTCCGAACCCTCTCCATTATGTATTCTCGATCGTCCTGCTCAAACGCAACTGATCCGGCCATGATTATTGGAAAAATCAACCCAGTTTCTAAATCCGCGCCCTTGTCTATATTATCAATCGACTGCAATATGGTACGTAGGCATATTTGAGCTTTACGATCCTCACGATTGTATCCATACCTAACCTGATGCAACCTTAGAAATGCAGCCCATTGCAAAGCCAAGACATATGAATTTTTTTGCAATTCGATTGCTGGTCCAGTTAAAGAAAAGTTCTCCCAACTTTCTTCTGAAGGTTGCCATGACTGCAAATGATTCTCAATTACATCTGCAATGGTATCGAACTCTTTTCCGTATGCTACATTTTGATCCCGTATATGACGAAGGGAGGCAAGTGTGGATATGTTGCCTAAAAGTTTGAAAATCTCTCCTCCAATACTAAATCTAAACCCGAAACTACTGTTTAATACCTTAGCTATTTCTTTTTCATCAAACTTGGCATAGTTTTCCAAAGTATCCTCTCTTTTAAAGCCATCACTAGGAATAGTTTCGACATATGGTTGTATACAAGTGCTTAAGGAGCTCACCAGATCCAGATATGAAAATAAATGCACCAGAAGTGGGCGATCTTTAAAAAGCTTCTTTACTCCACCACGCTTACTAATCACTATACTGGCACGTTTCATCGCACTTGCCCACATAAAAGAAGTTCCTTCCAGTACGCTTAGCATAGCTAAGAGTAGTAAAGACAGCAATACAGAATCATCAAAATAGTCCGTTTCTTCTAATACCAGGGTTAGTTCGGCTTCCGATTTATAGGTTAACATATCCCTCAAGAATTCACTTCTCGTAGTTACAGAATATCCTTTAGAAACATACAGTGAACTTGGCTTTTCCGGTAATTGTGCATCTTCTTCATATCTTCGTATTGCTGCAATAGCAATCAAAATATTCCGTATTCGCTGTCCCTTAATGGCTAAAGGAATCACCATTTGCAGGAAGGAATTAGAAGTTTTGTCGATAAATAGTATGGGAGAAACCTCAAACACAAAATACTGTAGCAACTGCATCTCTTTTTCAGGTAAACGCCAATAGTCCAATGGAAACCCATTTATTGCATCATTGAAAACTTGTTCAGCTTGTAATATTTCGTTTTTTTCACTGGACTCAGAGAGAGTTTCGTTATCTACTTCATATTGTCGTGGTTCCTCCGAAAAAGTTAAGAGCATGTCAAGAAACCGTTCTCCGATATTAGAGAAAGGATTTTGTAGATTTATCAGTTCTTTTGATTTATCCAAAAATACCTTAGTGAAGGCATTTGAAGGGATTGGTGACTCTCGAGTTTCAGCTAGCCGTGAGTCAGACACTTCGTGTGACGAGCATTCCACTCTTTTGGCCAGCTCTTTATCTACTGGTACCTTTTTTGAGGGTCTTCCAGGTTTTTTTAAAACCCTTTGAAACGTACATTCAGCCTTCAGCCTTTTACAGCGTGAACAGGGGATGCCTCCGTCACAGATTTGCTTCATTTTATGACATTTATCACATGCTTTTTTCCTCAAGCGTGGGTTATGCGTTGCCTCATGATATCCTTTGGACCCACCCATTTTTGACTCTTTCTCCAAAGCTGCTCGTCGAAGGTAAATCTCCTACCTTCAAGCAAACTAATATATACTTTGTAGAGTCTCCTTTTTCTCAAAGACTTCAAATAAAGTTAGAAAAGTGTGATACCCTAACTGATAAGATACTACATCGCGAAGAAAAATATACTGTCCAATGGTATCGGCAATATGAAAAACGAAGGAACTAGCCTAAAAGAATAAATATACCTCAATTCAAATCCGAGTCTGCAAATGAACGTGTTTAATCCACATAAAAACTAAAACATTAGATATACAATAAATTCATTTAGCTAAACCCGTACAGAAGTCTATCTCTGAAAGTTGGCTCGAACTATAGTTTCCTTGATGATAGCAGAGGACTACTGGAATTGGTAAATATTTTGGTCATATCATGTGCATCCAAGCATGCTTGATGACTTAATTTTACCGCGGGAGCACACCTCTCATGAATCATATCGTGGTATGTGCTTGAGAGTGCGGACCATGCCATTCTGTCATTCAAAAAATCATCAAAGAGAGTGAAGAAAACTGCAACATCTGTTATTCCATGATTCGCAGCTTCACCGCGGTACATAGTCATTGCATGCGCTGCGTCCCCTGCCAATAGAATCCTATCACTACCTTTCCAGCTAACCTTTGGCCAATCAGCTAGTTTTAATTCTTTCATCAATCCTGCACCGTTTTCAAAATCATTGCTAACCATTTTATTGACCAAAAATTTTAGATCAGGACTTATATCTCTCGTTCGGTCTATGACACATTCTTTAATTTCCTCCTGCGTTTTAAAAGATTCTTTTTCAAAGTCACACTTCCAGGATAAATTTACTTGACACCAATATTCATTCTCTGCCTTTGTATAATTGGGTGACGCCAATAATGAAAACCAGAAAAACGTCTCAGTGGAGGGAATTGTGCCCTGAAATAATAATGGGTCGTATTTCGCGGCAACAAAATCGTACTCTTGCTTATTCATTTTGCACGTCGAGCCGACAAATCTGATTGGTAGACGAGCTAGACTGCCTTCCAGAGGATCCAAAATCTTCCTAGTTACCGAATCCGAGCCCTCACAGCCAAACAAGATGTCGCCTGTGAAACTCCTTCCATCAGCACAATGAACAGTCACATCGATATCTGTATATTCAACTTTAACAGTTTGACAATCCCAATTTACATCAAGACCTGTCAGCAAAATTCTCCTTATCTCTTCTCTGCGAACTCTTAGTCTCCTTGCGGGAGGTATCGACACAACTGTTTCTCCATTTGCAGCATTAATGTACTTAAACGTTCCAGTATCTTTTTTGTCAAAATCCGGGAAAACTTGAGCTTTAAATACCTTCTCCCTCAAAACATCGCTGGGCAGTAGATCAAGAAATGTCTGCAAAGCCCAATGAAGAGTTATACCCCACCCTTGCCCTCTCGCGTTTTCATTGGTATCTCTATCTAAAATGACATAATCAATACCTCGGATTTTCAAGTTTTGAGCTATTAGTAAACCGACAATGCCAGCACCACTTATTATAACTTTCATAATCAACGTATATTATCGTATTCTCTTTAAACCTCCAAATAGCCGGATGGTGCGGATTGACCACTTATATAAGTGATTGTCATGAATCTTAGGACGCTTAATGCTGTTTGCACACTGAAGATCTCGTAGTTCATAATGCTGCTCCTACAAAACTCACCGACGGTTAAATTTACCTATCTGGATTAGAGATCAAAATTCCTTATCTAGAAAAAAACAATTGAAATTGCTTGAAGATACGCCTTTGAAATAATTACAAAACGAAAACGGCCGATCGGGTGAAGCAAATAACTACCGTCGGGAGATTGATAAAATCTACGTAAGTAATTTCGGCTCTTCTATTTAATAGAGGGCAAACGAATCAATGGCTCTCATGATAGTTTTGACTTGAACCCATTGTTAACGACGATAACATTCAGAAATCTAACCCTATGATAGTTGGTCATGAAGCTTTAAATCCCATCCACCCTACAATGGTGGATAAGATGGATCCTGCTTTCACCAAATTGTACAACGAACATGTTGCTTACACCCCAAACAAGCCGATTGACCTCCCAGTACTAAGGAAGAACTACTCAAAGATTTATTCTTACGGTACCGCACCTGTACCTACAATCAATTATATCAAAGATATCAGCTTTCCATCATTTGATGGAAAAAAAGTTATCTTGAGGGTATATAGACCAAATGGATCTACCGAAGATGAGAAATTGCCTGTTCATATCGATTTTCACGGTGGTGGCTGGGGACTGGGAGATTTAGAAACGGAATCCCACATCCTTAAACACTATGTCAATCTTGCCAAGGTAGCAGTTGTTGATGTTGAGTATCGCCTAGTTCCTGAATATCCTTATCCAACGGGACTTTTGGATTGCTTTGAAGCTACTAAGTTTGTTCATGATAATGCAAAAACTCTCGGAATAGATGCTACCAAAATCTCCATTGGCGGGGTATCAGCTGGTGGAAATATCTGCCTTGCAGTTTCTCATTTATGTCGAGATGCAGCCATTAAGATAAATCTTTGCGTTGCAGGAACACCTCAGGTTGATGATATTGAATTTTATGACACTGCTGCGGACTCTCCCTATAAATCGGTTCAGGAATGTGAATTCGCTCCAACACTTAACTGGACAAGGCTAAAATGGTTTGACAAATTGAAGTGGGAATCGTTATCCAATTCTCCAGAAGAAAAAAGCGCCCAGCTTGAAAAGATCGGATGGTTTAAAAGTATAATGACAGCTCCAGATTTTAATAATTTGCCTAAGACTGTCGTTTTCACGGCGGGATGTGATCCCATGAGAGATGAAGGAGAGGCATATGCTCAAAAACTAATTGCTCATGGAAACGAAGTTGTCTTCAAAAGATTTGAAGGGGTTCCTCATCCTTTCATGCATATGGACAAAGATCTGTGGCAAGCTAAGGAGTTTATCAGGTTGACTGCGTGGGAGATAGCGGTGGCCCATGGTACAGTAAACGTATTTTAAATTAGTTTCAAACCGCTTAGTGCCAGGCGACACTATATCATGTAGACTTTTAGGTATCTTCAAATAATATTCGTTAGAATAATCTCAAGTTATTTTCTGGGGAAGAAAACAGAGAAATAATTGAGAATATTTAGTTAATTTTTAAACGAGAGCAAAACTGCCCAAAAATTCGAAGCTCTACTGTACTAATTCTACTATTGATTGATTTGTTTAGAAGCTTGTATTTCTAGGAGCTGATTCACTAAATCAGTGACAGTCCTTTCAAAATTTGTAAAGGTGATACCTAAAACCTTGACAGCCTTGGAGCTGTCAGTGGTCAAATGGGTACCGGTTAGCCTTTTACCAACTTCGCCGATGGGAATGTTCAATGCGGTGTATTCTTTAGATATGGATGCCCGTAAGATATCGGCAATCTGCTGATTATCAAAGTCACCAGCACTTACCAGAAAACGTTGATTACTTGCATCTGATTTAACAAGGGCATTCACATGGGCTTTCGCTAGATCACGTACATCTACCCACACAGGTCCCTTTGTTGGTGGTACTACGTCGTCAATTGACCTACTCGCAATCTCCCAAATAATATTATTACTAAAATTCAAGTTTGCGAGATTGTTCTCAATCATCGCACCAGCAACCAGCGGGCCAAAAACCATCGGTGGGCAAATAACTGCGATGTCAAATGATGGTTTCTGCTTCTCAAGAAATTCCCAGGCAGCTAATTCAGCGACAATTTTTGAGGCGCGATATGCTATTGCAGGATCTTCAGTAGATGCACCATCTTCCCATCTCAGAGGGCTAAAATCGCTTTCAGTTATAACGACACCTGGTTGCGGACCTTTCGAAGCATCAAACATAGCCGCAAAGCTTGAAGTGATTACAATTCTCTTGATTTGGTTATTTGGCATCGAGGCGGCTGCCCTCATGATTGTTGTCGTCCCCTCTAAAGCTGGCTTTAATAATTCATCAACAAAATTAACGACAGAATATGTGTAAGGCGATGCAAGATGCAAGATACCTGCAACATCGATCATTGCCAGCTGTAATTCTGAAAAACTGCAAATGTCCTCGACTATTGCAAAGCTTAGGAGCTCTTTATACTCAGAAAAAACTGAGGCCAAGAGATGCTTCTTTTTCTCACTTCTGACTACCGCCTTGACTTTGAAGCTTTGGTTTAAAAGTTCTTTAATCACATGTGAACCAATAAATCCAGAAGCCCCAGTAACGAGAATTGTGGAGTTTTCAAAATCCAATTCCTTCAATTCAATAAATTTCTTAATCATTTGTTTCCTTCACTTGTCACTAGAATAATTGTAGCATGTCGACCGCGAGAGAAAACTCTCCGATTTTTATATCATCACAGATGCGCCTGTTAAGATCTATAATCTACCAAATCGAATTTTATAGATAGAACGCTTTATGGAATTAGGACAGTTTCGGGGAATTAAAAATGTTTGTCATTAACAAACCGTCGGCCAATTTCCGTTATCAAAGGAAAACACAGGAAAAAAAATCATTTGGTAGACAAAGAGATTAGATATAAAGAATTAGTTATTCTGCCGTCGTTGAATTAATAATTCACCACAGCTTGAACATGAAATAGCAGTTTCTGAGAAAGGAGCTCTTAGCTAAAAGTATAAGAACACCATCTTTTACTCTTTCGTTTGCCAGGGTTTGATTGCAGTTTTGTTTTAGAAGAAACACTCAACAATGAGCAGAAACTCTTCATCGAGCATGTCAGAAAGAGAAACTGAAAAGCTGCCATGCAATATTGAGGTTATCTCTCAAACTTCAAAGAACCTTTCAGGTTCCATCAAACAAATTAGTGGTTCAAAGGATAAAGATGTTGTGTATGATTTCATCGTGAATTTTGACCCTGACTTGTATGCCGGGGAAAAAGTTGATGAGAAAGAGATTACCAAAAAATTAGATAAGACCTTTCTGCTTCCATTGTTGATAACTTATTTGTTTCAATTTTTGGATAAGGTTGCTTTGAACTATGCGAAAGTTATGGGCTTAGCAGTGGACTTAAAATTGGTCGGAAATCAATTCAGCGACTTACCAACTTACTTTTTTGTTGCATATATCATAGCTGAGTTTTTCCAAGGCTTTTATATTATTCAAAAATTTCCAGTTGCCAAAGTTTTGGCCGTTAATGTGTTCTTATGGGGTATTTTCATTACTCTAAGTGCTTGCGCCACCAATTTTGCTGGTATTATGGTCTTGAGAGTATTGCTGGGAGTCACAGAATCATGCATCACGCCATGCTTGATTTTATTGACAACTTCCTTCTATTCAAAGAAGGAGGGTACCTTTCGGATGGGTATATGGTATTCAGGTCTAGGTTTCGGGCAGATTGTGGGAGGTATAATCTCGTTTTTGTTTCAACTCATCGAGAATACTACCATACCAGGTTGGAAAATCATGTTTATCTTTATTGGAGCTCTTAACATTTTTTGTGCCATCTACCTGTATATGTTCATTCCATCGACTCCTCTTGATCACAAGGGACTGTCCGAATTAGAAAAATACACTCTATTGGTAAAATTAAGTGCTGGTAAAATTGGTGTTACATCAAAGAAACTCATTTGGTCGCAGATCGTCGAATTGTTTTGTGATATCCAAGCTTATTTGCTGTTAATAATTTCTGCAACAATCTCGTTTTCTTCGAATACAATATCCACATTCAGCTCTATAGATATCATGTCCTTTGGATTTAGCGCTAAAGAGGCTGCTCTGCTGAATATGCCATCTGGGGTTGTTTCAATAATTTCTTCGTTTCTTTCGACATTTTTTATCATGAAAGGGGTTCCTAGATATTTGGCAATTACCGTGTTGATTATCCCGGCTGTTATTGGAGCAGCTTTGATGAGTTTTCTTCCAAAATCCAACCAAGCAGGTCTTTTGGTAGGAATATATATGATCAACACGATTACTGCACCGTTAGCCATTTGTTACAGTTGGGCTGGTGTAAACTTTGCTGGTTCTACAAAAAAAATTGGTTCGACGGCAGTTTTCATCAGTATTGGGTTTGCACTGGGGAACATAGTAGGACCTCAGTCTTACAGAGTCAAAGATGCCCCGGATTATTACCCTGCTAAAATCTCAATGTTAATCACTCAGGCTGTATCCATTCCGTTGGCATGGCTAATTGCTTTAATATATTATCTCAGAAACAAGAGGAGAAATGCAAAGCAGGCTTTGGAAACAGTTGAAATTGAAGATGACATGCTCAATGCATGGTCAAACTTGACTGATTTCCAAAACAAATCTTTCAGATATTCTTATTGATGTGTTGCTAATGATTCTATTTCTGTACAGATTTTGGTTACGTATTCTTATTTAGGGTCTTTTAGTATTGTTTAAAGGGTAAAGTATGATCATATTCTAACGTCGGTTTTCAGTAAGTTGAAAGCAGCTGTGTATTAGCCAAATGTTGCGTCGCCAGATTATGTTGCAATTATGTTGGGTATATGAATTGGTTAGTTTAGAAGGTAACGATTTTGTCAGTTTTCCAATGGTCATTTCACATTGCTCAGAATAACTTGAAAAGTGGTGAGAAAGATTAGCGTCGTTATCGTTAATCGAGTAATACTGATAAACAATGCAGATACGGATGATTTTTCAAATGTTTACAGTCGAAATCTTCCGCAGGTTTTTTCGAATGTGCCGGCGGGGAGTTTTTCAGCTTATCCTCAAGCTACTCTCCCCAGAGGACAAGACGGCAAGGAAATATGAACTGGAGCAAATGTATTTAAGACCGTGTATCGCACAAGAACTGGGAAGATGTACTCTCAACTGTGGTGATTACACTTAACACGACAACAAATTATAACAAATGACAAACGCTTGGAAACAGCTAGATGTGGCCGTTATCGGAGGCGGGCTAGGTGGTTTGGCAGCCGGTTTAGCGTTGAGAAGGGCCGGCCACAAGGTTCGTATATATGAAAGGTACGATTACGGTGGCGAGATTGGTTCCTCAATTTCCGTAGCTGCTAACGGCGGAAAGTGGCTTCATGAATGGGGGGTGGATGTCAAGAAAGCCAAACCTGTTATCCTCACCAAGCTCATTAGACACAACTGGGAATCCGGAGAAATCGAAGGGGTCTACCCGTTTGGAGATTACGAGAAATTGTTTGGTTATCCGTATTACAACGTTCACAGAAAAGATTTACACGACTTGCTACAGAGAGTGGTCGTTTCACCAGACGGCGAGGGGACTCCATGCGAGCTGATCTTGAAGCACAAGGCAGTGGTGGTGGATTACGAAACCGGACACATCAAATTCGAAAACGGAGAAGAGACGAGCGCCGAACTGATCGTTGCAGCCGATGGCATCAGAACTACGACCAAGGCCCAATTGGGGATTACACCCACGTTTGGAACGTCCAACTCGTGCTGTTACCACTTGCTGATGAGAAGAGCAGACCTGATCGCCAATGGGCTCACCGATTTTTCCGTCGAGAAGGCGATTGAGTTCTGGGGCGGCGACGACAAAAACAAGATCGTGCTGTCGTCGTGCTCTGACGGAGAAATTATTTCGTGCTACTGTTTCTATGCAGCAACGGCTGCAGACACGAGGGACGGCTGGCACAATTCGGCGACACGTGACGAGCTTTTCCAGGTGTTGAAGAAGAACTTGGATCCCAAAATCGCAGACGCGTTTGCCAAGGTCAGCTTCGACATCAAGCAGTGGCGTCTGTACGTGCACGAGCCCTTGCCGTATTTCTACAAGACGTCCAGGAAGGGCGACGTGGGGGTCTGCCTGCTGGGGGACGCGGCGCACGCGATGATGCCGGACCAGTCGCAGGGCGCGGTGGCGGCGTTCGAGGACGCAGGCGCCCTGGGATACATATTTTCCAAGGAGTTTATCGAGAACACGGGGGTTGTTCCTTCTCTGGCCGGGGGCCTGAAGTTGTACGAGTCCGAGAGGATGCCGCGAGTGACGAAAATCCAGGCCGCGTCGCTCAGGGCGAGAGAAAACCTGAAAGAGCGGATCGGGTGGAGCACGGACGGCGTGGACTCGCCGGACAAGCTGACGATCGAGGAGGTTTGCGGCTACGAGCCCAAGACGCACATGGACGGCTTGGCGAGGGAGATCCTGCGGGCGTAGGCGTGGACGGCGTGGCCAGCGTAGAGGGTATGTTTAGGTTTGCACGTATAGCTTGGTCGTCGCCCACGTGGTACGACGATATATATAATACCAAGAGTGACAACCAGAGATGCGGCGGGCGCGCCCTCGAGCGTGTCTGCAGCTTGTCGTTTTCATTGTTTCCAACAGCCCGTTACTTCGCGGGGCGGCGCGGCGCAGAAAACGGGCACCGGGGAGCCGTGTCGCTCCTGCCGCTGTCGCTCCTGCCGCTGTCGCTGTCGCTGTCGCCGCTGCCGTCGCCGCTGCCGCCGTCCAACGCGACACCACGGCCACGTGACCCGCCCCCGCCACAAAGCCCGTCCTAGCCGCCCACTTCAGCGGCCCCACCGCCCCCCTGCTCCGCCCGCTCACACACCACCACAATCACAATGGACCTTGCCACTGTTATCGGCGGCTACGAGCCCCACGTCACGGACCCCCACCCCACCAAGCACTACTCTGCCATCCCGAAAGCCCCCACACGCCCGGGCACCGTCTACCTCGCAACCTACAGCATCTCGAAAGACACGCTTGTGGAACGCACCCCTTCCCACGTCATTCCGTCCCTGCCCTCACCCTCGCGCCCAACCACTCCCAGCTTGTCGTTCTCTCTCAGGCGAGTTTTCAGCCGGAACGGGTCCCGGAGGACGCCGCGTCCGGAATCCAGGCATCACCGGTTCCGGCGCTGGCTTAATGCCCGCGATCCGCCCCATAGCAATTTTTCTCGCGGCAACTTTTCCCATGGCAACTTTCCCCAGGGCAACCTTTCCCAGGATAACGTCTCCGCATCTGCGTGGAGCAGCGTCTCCGGATCCGTGCAGCCCCCGCGTGCCGGTCTGGGCGTCGCGGCGTCGGCGGCTACCGCCGACGCCGCGGAGTTTGCGAGCGCAGACGCAGAGTCCGACTTTGAGTCCGACACAGACGAGGAGCTGGACCGCAACTCCGGAGCAAGCGGCCCAGACGCATACGTAACTCCGCAATCGCGAAAGCTGGAGTGTCTGCGGAGGTTCCGTCGGCGACTGCAGCGCGACCATGTGCTGGCGCCAGCGAAGCTGGCGCAGCCGGCGCGTCGCGCGCTGACGCTCACAGACCGGTACCTGGGGTCCGAGGAGAGCATCGAGCGGTGTCTGCGGGACATGGACGCAATGCCGTTTGCGCTGGCCGGGAACGACGGCAGCGACGGCGACGGGGGCGCGAGCACGTGACATTGCGTCATCGCGAGAGTGCGACGGTTTTACGTCGCGGGGCGACGCCGCCGCGCGCCGCGCGCCCCGCCGCCGTGGGTGGGTGGAACGGACCGCCCAACCTCACCGGCTGGCGCTGGCGTCTGCCCCCTGCAGTGGCGTCGCGTATGGCAGGCCGCGTTCGCCCACGTTCCGTACCTGGGTCTGGCGTTCGGCGCTGCGCGGCGCGCCGGCCTCAAAATTCCCTCGTCCGCCGCCGCCAAGCGACGAGGGGCCCGCGTGCGCGAGCTCTGCGCGCGCCATGCGCGCGTTGGTAGCAAGAAGGTATATAGTGTAGAGGTTATAGGGCGTGGCGGGGTTGTGCTCGGCGCAGCGCGGCCCAAGTCGCTGGTTCTTGGGTTTTCGCCGCTGTACCGTTTTTACAGGCCGTTGCAAAAATTTTCCAACCCGAAGCGTAGCAGAGAAAAAATTAAAATAAAAAAACAGAATCCACGAAGGCCCCAAGTGGCACGCTTCACACCTGATTTGCGGATTTCCAGCGTACTCTAGTCTTTTTGATGCCTGAAAACAGCAGGGAAACGGTGTCGACCACGCCCGTGTCGATCCTGGCCAACAAGGGCGCGCCTACCGGCGCGCACGAGCCCAGGCCCGACACTCTCGCCGCGGCCGTCAGACCACAGCCCGTTAGCACCCAAAATAGCCAGGAAAGCGTCCCCCGCTACCGTCCTCTGGAGGAGCGTCGGTACGCCAATCCGCAGAAGCTGCAGGTGGTGACCGCGCGCAAAAGCTCCGAAAACAGCCCTCAAAAGTCGATGAGCAGCTCCGGCTCCATCGCATCCACGCCCATGTCCGCGCTCAAGACCCCGCAGACCGCCCTCCACACCGCCGTGTCCTTCACCCTCGACAACCTGCCTGAAAAGATCTCGCATCGGGGCTCGATTTCAGCCCGACCCTCTTCTGTCGCGCTCAGCAACCAGTCGCAGCCCGCGCCCGCGCCCGCGCCCGCCCGCCACGACGAAAACAGCTTCTCGGACTCCTCCAACCCGTCGTCGCGCCAAAACTCCATCCACATGCCGGGCGACTTCATCTTCTTCGAATCCAAGAACCAACATCACCCGCCCACCCCCGCGGCGGCCAAGAAGTATCACCACACCAACAAGGCCGTCATCGACGCGCTTATAGGCCCGCAGGTGCCCTTCACCGAGTTCTTCCAGAAGCAAGACGACGAAAAAATTCACATCCTGATCGGAGCCACCGGCTCTGTCGCCACCATCAAGGTGCCGCTCATCATCGACAAGCTGTTCAAGTACTACGGCCCCGAAAAGGTCTCCATCCAGCTCGTGGTCACCAGCAAAGCAGAGCATTTTCTGCGCGGACTCAAGATCTCCACGGACGTCAAGATTTGGCGCGACCAAGACGAGTGGTTCGGCTTCAAGCGCATGGGCGATCCCGTCCTGCACACCGAGCTGCGCAGATGGGCCGATGTGTGCCTGATCGCCCCGCTTTCCGCCAACACTCTGGCCAAACTCGCTAACGGCATATGTGACAACTTGCTGACGTCGCTCCTACGCTCTTGGACCCCGTCTACCCCAGTGCTGGTTGCCCCTGCCATGAACACCTTCATGTACACTCACCCGGTCACCAAGAAGCATCTCACCATGCTAGAAGAAGATGCGCCCTACGTGACAGTTTTAAAACCCGTTGAAAAAGTGTTGGTATGCGGTGACATCGGCATGGGCGGAATGAGAGAATGGAACGATATCGTGGACGTGCTCATCAAAAAGATCGTCGACATCCGCAGAAGCAGAGCAGATTTGAAGGCTATGGATTTAGGAGAAAAAGACGGAGACGACTTCGATGACGACGACGACGATGACGATGACGAAGAAGAAGAAGAAGATGATGATGACAACGAAAATGACGACGACACTGACTCCAACGACAGCGGAGTAGACGAAGATTACGATGACGACGACGACGACGATCCGGCAGAACGTGAAGAGAAGGAGAACAAAATCATTCGAGAGAACGAAGCAAAACTGCGACACTCTTGAAACTCAAGTAATAAGAATAGCATCTATTTGTAATAATTGTACTTAGCATTCACCGGCATTACAAAAGCTTGTAACGCTTACTCCATACTATAATTTATGTTTGGATAATTTTCATGACCCGGGTAATTCTGTTACGCAACCGTTAAGCAAAATTTTGAAAAAACTTCCCAGAACAGAAAACTGTCTTTACAACTTCCAGGAATTGCTCAGATATAACTCTTCATCATGTCTTTCTTGGGTTTCGGCGGTCAACCACAACTATCCTCTCAACAAAAAATCTCTGCAGCTGAGGCTGAATTGGATTTGGTCACAGACATGTTCAACAAGTTGGTGGACAACTGTCACAAGAAATGTATCCAGCTATCATACAGCGAAGGTGAACTGAACAAATCTGAATCTACCTGTATTGACAGATGTGTCGCCAAATACTTTGAAACAAATGTCAAAGTTGGTGAAAACATGCAAGCTCTCGGCAATTCTTTCCAACCTGGTGGTAGAGTTTGATTTCTAGAGCGTCATTTGCGCTTTGTATACTACATAGAGCATTTTTACACCATTTTCTTGTGTATAAATTCTACTTATCTTCTTTCTCTTTGTTTGGTGAATAAATATTTGCATTAATCTTATTTACAAGATGCTAACTGTTCATAGGCCAAGCATTTTTTTGAAACGAAGCTTCACTCCTTCAAAGCTGTTCAATTTGGGTCTCACGTCAATGTATATATCTGGACCTGTCACAGGACTGTCATTACTGTAAAAATCAATAACATACTGTAGTTGCTTCCCACATCGATCAATAGTCCAATCGTGCCTGTCAAAGGGTTTCGAATACCCCAAAATCGCGCTTCTAAACCACGCTCTAGGTGTTAACTTCTTAGCGTCTCCCTTGAAACTCGAAAGCTGAATGCCTCCGCATTCTTTTCCGCCTTCGTTGGCCTCCCACAGCTTAATGTAGTTCCACACACGCTCGTTCACAGAGTTGTGGATGGGAACCACCGTCTTCATGTCTTCAGTACTGGGATCCCAGTTTTTACGCTTCATTGCCTCGAAGAACTGCTTTTGTGATGGGTAAATCCACTTCGAGTCTGTTCCCGTTCGTGGTATCGATGAAGTCTCACGTTCAGTTGGCAGAGGAACGTCGGTGGTGTAATGAGGTGTCGATGGGAGTTCTTCTGACGAGCATTCAATATCTTCTACTTGTTTAGTTGCATTTGCATGCTTCAGCCAGATGCCACGAGCTTCATGATTGACAGGACATGCTGCTTCGCCGTTACCGGATGGTATAACTGGGTGATCCGCTGGTAGTTGTTTGGGGACCTGTTCACCAGTGCCCATGTTTTTGACCCAAGCCTCTCTTGTCGAGTGGTCTACCGGGCATTTGGGTTGCTCTTCGGTTGTCATTTTGCAGGGTACGACTGGTGTGGGATGCCATCAAATGCCGGTTTCAGACAGATCCCGTTTTTCATTTATGCACAAGGGACAGATATAAGCACGTGACGCGATTTCTAACGTGAACATATTGTCTATCAAGACTTTGACCTCAGCATTCCAGCTAATTGGTAACATCTGTTAAACGATGCTTTAAGGTCTCTCTCATCTGGTTGAACATCTTGTCCAATATTTACCTCCCGAACGTAGAATTTTAATTGCTTCATCGTGATACACAATTGTTGACTGTCACCTCAAAAAAGACCAACTAAGTAAGAGATTTAGGGTCATATTTAGGAGTCGAAGGATGCGCACCAAGATGCATCCCAAGTGTACTTGAGATTCGAAAATTAAACTATTATGGGCTGTACAATTAGTTCTATGGCTCTAGAAGACGAGCATGATCCTTTCTTGCAGGGCAAGAGAGCAAACGACGCAATTGAACAGTCGCTCCAATTACAAAAACAAAAAGACAAAAATGAGATTAAGCTGTTGTTATTGGGGGCAGGGGAGTCTGGAAAGTCTACGGTGCTTAAGCAGTTACGTTTGCTCCATCAAGGAGGATTTAGTAATCAAGAGAGGTTGCAATATGCTCAAGTCATCTGGGCAGATGCTATTCAGTCAATGAAGATCCTTATAATCCAGGCACGCAAAATGGGAATTCCACTGGACTGCGATAATCCGCAAATGCATAAGGAGTTGTTTGAACAAAAGAGATTGGTTTTGAAATCCAAGCCATTGGAACTCATCGATGCGGGGTTGGCAGGAGGATCGAATTTTCTCAACGACTATGTCCTCAAATACTCCACCAGAAGCGAGAACAAGAGGAAATTTCAAAGTACAGGGCAGGCAGAGGCGTTTGACGATGCGGCGGGTCAACAATTAGGTGAAGCTGCAATTGATTTGCAAGAACTGTCGGAGGGGTTAAACGAGAATGGCAATGGGCCTGTTTTCTTGAAAGCCCCACCGGCAAGCGCGCCCAGGACATATACCAACGAAGATATTGCAGCTGCTGTGAAGCAGTTATGGACTGAAGATCGGGGAATTCGGCAATGCTATGCACGGTCGAATGAATTCCAACTCGAAGGTTCAGCTGCATACTACTTCGATAACATTGAAAACTTCGCACGCCCCGGTTACGTATGCACAGATGAGGATATACTCAAAGGCCGCATAAAGACTACAGGAATCACAGAAACGACATTCAATATTGGGTCTTCTAAATTCAAAGTTCTTGATGCTGGAGGCCAGCGCTCAGAAAGAAGAAAATGGATACATTGTTTCGAAGGAATCACCGCTGTGCTATTTGTGCTTGCGGTCAGCGAGTATGATCAAATGCTATTCGAAGACGAACGCGTGAACCGCATGCATGAATCAATCATGCTTTTCGACACCCTGCTCAATTCCCGCTGGTTTAGTGACACGCCATTTATCCTGTTTCTCAATAAAATCGACTTATTCGAGGAAAAGGTTGCACGTTCGCCCATCCGGCAGTTCTTTCCCGGCTACCAAGGACGCATCGGTGACGTGGAGGCAGGACTCAAGTATTTCGAGCAGATATTTCTAAGCATGAATAGGTCTCGAAGACCGATCTACGTCCACAGAACATGCGCTACCGACATTCAGAGCATGCGCTTCGTTCTTACCGCTGTGGCAGACCTGATTATCCAGCAGAACCTGAAGAAGAGTGGTCTGTTGTAGGCTCTCAAGACTGGGTGTATTAGTCAAAGGTCATTGAATACGTATTGTTCTGGAAGATGTTCCTGGTCCAGCCCCAGTTCGTAATTGCTAAGCAGCGAACGAGCATCAGTATATATTTCAGCATGGAAAATCGCACACCGAACGGATTTGATTTAGCGATGTCATCCACCAGCAATGTCCATTCAGACTAACAACCTAAACAAGATTAGCCTCGTACCACTTTCTCAAATCAGACGGCCCATCGCACCCGTGCTTGACTATGACAAGATTGATGCAATGGTATCAACGATGGAAGGTAAACCTGCGCCTAGCAGAACCTGTTCTCTCGAGGAAGCCACAGAAATGAATGGCGAACTACCTCCCATCGACGTACTATGTGTCCGTGAGGACGGAGAAAACTACTACTTTGCGTTCGGAGGCTGTCATCGCTTCCAGGCTTACGAGCGTCTGAGTGCGAAGACCGGCGAGGACGCGCCTGTGCGGTGCAAGATCATCCCAGCCACACGAAGCCAGCTACGCTTGTATGTCGGCACAAGTGTCGACAAGATGTTTGCAGCTATTGACGAACAAAAGCAGCAAAGAAGCCAAGAAGCTTAAGAGGATCGGTGAACCTGATTATGTAACATATTAGTATCATTAATTACGTTAAAAAGTAAAAAATACCATCATTGAATACGAATGCCTGTAATTGCCTGTCACATGACCTTTTCCATGTTCGATTTTCGTCATTCCCCGGTCGGTCCCGTTGATTGAACTAGCTAGGCGTGACGCTACAAGTATAAAAAGGGGCCGACCAGCGAAGAGCAAGATCAATATCAGATAGAATAGCCAAGACGTCAATTGAACATGTTTTCCAGAGTAGCTAGACGTGCATTTTCTACCACTAAATTTAATCCTTACAAGGTCACCGTACTGGGTGCCGGAGGCGGTATTGGACAGCCTCTATCGCTGCTGTTGAAGCTAAACCACAAGGTTACAGACTTGAGACTGTATGACTTGCGTGGTGCCAAGGGTGTAGCTACGGATTTGTCACATATTCCTACCAACTCTGTAGTGCGCGGGTTTACACCTGATGAGGGAGACGGCCTCAAGGAAGCTTTGAAAGACACTGACGTGGTTCTTATCCCAGCCGGTGTGCCCAGAAAGCCTGGTATGACCAGAGACGACTTGTTCTCGATCAATGCTGGTATTGTCCGTGACTTGGCTGCCGCCATCGCAGAAAATGCCCCTAACGCGGCTGTTTTGGTGATTTCCAACCCTGTGAACTCTACCGTGCCTATAGTAGCCGAGGTCCTCAAATCTAAAGGTGTTTACAACCCTAAGAAGCTGTTCGGTGTCACCACTTTGGATGTGATCAGAGCATCCAGATTCATCTCGGAGGTCGAGGGCACCAACCCAACTACCGAGAAGGTAACCGTTGTTGGTGGTCACTCTGGTATTACCATCATTCCTCTCATTTCTCAGACCAAGCACAAGTTAATGGACAAGGAGAAGAGGGAAGCTTTGATCCACAGAATTCAATTCGGTGGTGATGAGGTCGTCAAGGCCAAGAACGGTGCAGGCTCCGCCACATTGTCTATGGCTCAAGCCGGTGCTAAGTTTGCCAACTCTGTCTTGGCTGGCTTCGAAGGTGAAAGAGATGTAATCGAACCAACTTTCGTCGACTCCCCTCTCTACAAGAGCGAAGGAATTGACTTTTTTGCTTCTCCAGTCCAGCTAGGTCCACGGGGTGTCGAAAAGATTTTCCCTATTGGTGAAATCACTGCTGAAGAAGAAGAAATGTTGGCAAAGTGTAAGGAAACTTTGAAGAAAAACATCGAAAAGGGTGAGAAATTCGTCACTCAAGCTTGATTTTGCTGTTCAGATATTCATGATACATATATTTACGATATTTAACTTATTTTTAACTTATTAAGAAGTGCTCAAGATATAGTTTGGCCATTTAACGAAAAAAAAAACCATGAAATGTCTATTTGAGATACTTTAATAAGTACAAAGCTTGCCTTTGATCAGCGGGGTGCCTCGCAGATTTGGGCCGTAACTTTTTTTTGCCTAATTAATCAACAATATTCAGTGCTTTCTGCTATCATGTGCTTGATACGAGGAGATCTTGTCGATGAAGAATCCCGATGTGTTCATTGGCATTCTCCCCTGGATGTGATTGCCATCAAGTTCAAGTGCTGTAAAACTTATTATGCGTGCTACACTTGTCACCAAAGTCTTGAATCTCACAAAGTTGAAAAATACAGCCTGAAGGAAGATAATAACGAACATCTAGTCATCTGCGGCGTCTGTAAGACGACAATGACTTTTGATACCTACAGAAGTAACTCTGGTGATGAAAGAAGCTTGTCATGTTATGCTTGTCATGCTGAATTTAATCCAGGTTGCAAACTACATTATTCAGAATACTTTGATATGTAAGATTATCAATCCCTATTTCGAAGTTTGGAAATAGGAATATTTAATAATGAAATCCGCTTAGCTCTCTCTGAAGTTGCAGGGGAAGAGATCCCTGTACTCGTGTCGGGGTTGTTAGTTTTGTCATTCTCACGAAGCACACATTCCGATGTTGAGGATGCAGAAGGTAATTTGTTGATAAACTGACCATCACAACTATTAAAGCTAGTTGTGGATGGATTGGGACGACCGAATATCTCTGAGCTTCCAGAAGTTTGAGACCTTTTTATTCCATTTGATGAATCATAAAGTTTGTTTCTATCGCTATTCATGCTGGTACTGCTGTCCTTGTGAATCAAAGAAGCAGACGATGTGGAAAGCGATTGGTTTAAAATCGATGGTCTTGATGCAAGTTTGTTTGGTGATTTTCCATGGGGCGGTGTTGTTAAGGGATGGCTGTTTAAGTTAAATGTATGCGAAATAGGAGTTTTAGGGGACCAGAGATTCTGGCTACCTATGGATGCCCTGCGGCTAGTTGAGATTGTCGGGAGTGGCGGAAGATGGGATGTGAATGATTGCATTGCAGATGATGTACTTAAAACGGGTGATCCACTGTTTTCAAATGTCGGTTTTGATATAGTGACAGGGGATATCATTGAATGATAACTGGGTTTCTTTTTAACTGCATGGGATTGAGCTTCCTTGAGAACCTTCTGATAGGCTTTTGCAATATCGAAGGTTTGAGCGACGTCTATCGGCTTCCAATTTCCTTTATTCCTTATTGTGTCGTCCAGCATGTTGCCCTCTAGTACTAGCATCTTCATACAATTGACGCTCCCATATGTTAAGCATATATGTAATGGGGTGTTTCCTTCATCATCGGTGATTGAAAGATCAGCACCAAGGCTTAAAAGAAGACTTAAGCACTGGTAATGGTCATTCAGACATGTTATCTGTACCGGGGTCATTCCTGAGTGGCCTTTGCAATTTAAATATCCTGGAAAATGTTGGAGTAGAAGATGTGTAGTTTGTTCGTGGCCATTTAGCAATGCTAGGTGAACGCACGTATTGTCCTTAAATGTTCGCAGAATCTCTTTTTGGTCATGGCCAAGCTGAAGTAGGTAAACGCAAACTAGGTATCGACCATAAAATGATGCATAATGAAGCAAGGACCAGCCATTTGATGGATCAACAATATCCAAAAGGTCAGGGAACCGGGTTAATATTCGCTTTGTAATTAGCAGGTTTCCATCGACAATTGCTGCTCGAAGCCTAATGCTTGGATCCTCAAGCATTTCTTCTCTTCCTCTTGTCTTCCGTCGGGTTCGGAGAGCGAGTTCTGAAAGATCATTTTTCGGGCACCAAATGCACCGAAAACAGCGGAACATTCACAATCATGTTCCTGTAGAACCTGATGCTTCATGCATATCAATACACCGTTAAACATTGTATCAGAATCTTAATATATGTATCCACCTATTTATAGTTTGAGAAATTTCTTGAGTTTCATATTAAACTCTTCAGGATTGTCAAGATACAAATGATGGCCGGCATCGGACACCACAGCGTAATCTGCCTGACTGGCAGTATTACTATTCTTTATTTCTCTGACCATCACGCTTCCTGCCTCTTTGCTCATCCAATCGTTACTACCATACATCCAAAAAGAGTTACACTTCAAATTGCCCGGAACACGGCTCAGCAGTGGGAGCCGTGCCAAAACTCCCGGAGCCAAAATCCGTGTGAGTGCATATTCGCCACTACCAGGTGCCTTAAATACACTGTAGCAGTATTCATGGAAAATCAGTGTTTTCTTAGGATCATCAGAAAACGAGAACCTGCGGAAAGACCAGTTAGCGCACGACCAAGGCCCCAATGGCCCCAGAGCTCTTAGTAAACTGAATGGAGAAATGTTATAGTTCCACATGACCGAGAATATCTTTGGTAAGTTAGGTACTCTTTCAACATTCCCAGACTCATCGGGGACGAGAAATGAACTCGTTTGTTTGGGTATGGTTTTATCAGTGGTCGGTTTGTCCTGGCTGTTAGTAACTTCCTTCGCAACATCGGGGCCCAATTCTGTAGCGTGGATATGCGACTTAGTGTGCTTTCTAGTTAAGTCGAATATCGAGGTTTCTACACCAACGGGGCTGACTAAGACTAACTTCTCCACCCGTTCAGGATATTTCAAGGCATAACAGCAACTCAAATAGCCACCAAGAGAATGTCCAACCAGTACGAATTTGTCCAGAGCTCGCTCCTTTCTCCAGGCCTCGATCGAATCCACGAAAAAGTCCTCTGCTTGGTGAACTTCCTCCTTACTGACATTTCCTCTTTTGTAAACACTTGAAATCATACCCGTTCCTGGAAATTTTGGTCTAGATGATAACCCGTAGCCGAGCATATCAAGAGCGTGAATTCTTATACCTGGTACTTTACTCAGACCATCAAAGTTTCTGACAAATAATCCCAAAGCAGCGCCATACCCGTGGACCATAACAAGGTCTTTGCAGTAAGTACGATTGGTTGGTTGTAAGTTCTCAATGTAAAATTCGTGAATGAACTGCTTGTTTCCGATATCCACGTCCAAAACATTGCACTTGCGGATGCTGTCGCCATCGGGGAAGAAGCTTAAGGTCGAAAGTACCCTTTTTTCGTTTTCTCTCCCATCTGCTGCATGTCGCCAGGTTTTGAATGAAGCTTTCCAATCATAAATTGATTTAAGATCTGCTATTAGAGCTTCTTTGTCGGGATTTTCCACTGCTGCACTACTCATGGTTCATGCGCCACCTTGATAATGATTATTTAAAATTAGTAATCTCTTTTATATATCAACGCCACCAAAGGAGAAAAAAAAACTTGCACAAACAATAAGTACAGCTGAGTAATGTCAACCGTTACCGTAACCTATGGATTTCATAACTTCAAATGCAATATTAAACCAAGTTCTGTGCTGAATGATGTGTTAAGCACGTGTCTGATTCACTTTAAGCTTAGCACTGATAAGGAGGCATGGTCATTGGTGCACGCCGATCATGAACTTCCTCTAACTTTGCCATTGCGGCTGCTGAACCTTCCAGCAGGTGCTAAACTTCTACTCAAAGGAACAAAGAAGACTACAGAAGATACTAAGCCAATTAGGATTAAATTTCAAATTGTAGGTTTTGGAAGCGAGATTATCGAAGCAAACCGGACAGATAATGTACTAGAGACAGTAAAACAACTGTGTGAAAGGAAAGGATGGAAATTGCCAGTAGAAGGAGCGAGACTTCAAATTTTTGCTAAAGTGCTAAATTATGAAGATATGGCGGCTGCTACATTTGCGGGCCTTGGGATCCACAACGATGTTTCTGTGCGATTGACAATATCCTCAGAAATCCATAAGCCACCTGTCATATCATCTAAAGAAAAATTGACTTCTTCAGCTTCCAGAAGTTTGTCTGCAACTGAATCTGAGCTTGACTCTCATGTAAAAAGTACACCCGAAAATACTCCAAAGATCCATGAAGTGGCAACATATTTGCCAACGACGAACTCACCAATTCCAATTGTGAAAGATAATGAATCTGATTATGAAGTTACGGTTAATCATGTTCGAAAATATCAAGAAATGCTATCTCGAAAAGCTGGCAGTGGTTCAATGCTAACCAAGAGGCTACGGGAACAGCAACAACCGAAACTTAAGCACCACGTCGAGGTTTGTAACATTAGGGTTAAGTTTCCAGATCGCACTCATATCGAGGTTTCATTCAAGCCTGATGAAACAATTGATGCTGTTTATGAGGTCGTGAGGAATTCCCTTCTTCAACCCCAAATGGACTTTTGGTTGAGTTATTCTCACCCACATCAAAGAATCGAAAATTCAGCACAAAGGCTTGAAGAAGACTTGCATTTCAGTACCAAAACCATGCTATTACTCGAGACGCATGAAAGCGGCCCGTATTTGAATCCATCTCTAATGCAATTTGCCAAGGATATGTCAGAAGCAGCAGATGTCAAGTTAGATAGAGGTGTCGATCAGCTGGAATTTGACGAAGATAAAAAATCAGAAACGTCAAAAGAGGCTTCTAGACCGACAAAGGGCGCATTTGCTTCCAAGACTCCTAAATGGCTAAAACTCAGCAAAAAGTGAATGTTTGTATTTACAAGTATTTCGTCAGTCATTAAATAAAAATATCCGATTCCTCAGGGACAGAACTGCACTGTTTAACGACCACTGCTTACGGGATGTTCTATTCCTAAATATGCAAATGATTCGTTAAAATCTGTGACATCACCGTTGTTTTTAGTTTCGACAAATTCGAAAAGAGCTTGAAGCACCTCATCCAGAGCCCCGTCACTTTGCAAAACTGGTCTGTTAGTTGAGTAAAACTCATTCTCCTTTAGCGTAGAGGTGGAATTTTGATCATTAGCCCCGCCCTTTTTGCTCAGCACCCTCGCAAGTCTCGAATTCTCCTCAGGAGTGCATTCACGCTTCAGACCATTGAGAATATAGGTTTGGCTCTTCTCATTTAAAGGAACTCCATGAACTTTATTCATGAATGTTAAGACAGCCGGTAAAAAATCCCAATCCCGGCTTCTTATAATTGTATAGATTATGATATGATAGAAGTGAACATCTGGAAGAATGTTGTCATTGAACGTCATAAACTTGAAAAGCTCTCTCAGATTTCTTTGAGGATGCGCATTAGTTCTTGCACGAGTGGAACTTACATGGTGCTTCCAAGCAGCGTGATTTGATTTTATTTTCGGAGAATTTGAACCCTCTACAAAAAATGTGTAGTATTTCTCATAAGTTTTCCAAATTTCAATGTAGAGCCTTCTGGTTATATTACGGCGATCAAAAAATGATAATGGAGTTTTGAATGACTCGGCAGTTTCTTCTTCTGCTACTTTTAATGCTAAGACAGGGTTAATTATTCGAAAACAATTCGTGAAGTCGCTTGCGTCACTGTAATATTGAAGTAGTGATGTCAAAAACACTGAGTTGTAGGCTATCTCATTGCTATTCATCCTTTCAACTATTTGCAAGACCTTATTATCGTAATTTTTTCGACTCTTTAACCTGACATTTTTGGACTTGGTCTTGTAGTAATTGATGAACAGCGCATAGTGATGTGCGTTCGCCTCCACAAAAAAGGTATTTGAGTTTTGGCCCTCATATGGTTCTTGTGTACATAATTCCTCCATTTTCCCTAAAACTTGCAGAGCGGCAGCTTCTTTATCGCATTTAAGAAGAATATCGAGTAAGCCACGAAATTTCTTAGAGATATCAAGATCCTTTGAGCTCTTCACATTCTCATCATTCGGTACCATCCAAAAATTGACAAGAAAAGTTTCTATGCTGGAAGTAAAAGCAGGGTTTGCAGATAACGATAAAATGCTATCAAAAAAAATCTGATTGCAAGACTTTCTAATATTGTTCAACTTCATCTCATTGGTTAGACTTTCAAAGCTCTTTCTCAAGTCTTCCAACTTTTCTTCAGCGGTTTCGGGGTACATAAAAGGACCAACGTCTTTTTTCAAAACTTCGAATTGCTTTAATAGATGAAGCTTCAAATTTAGGAACAAGATATGATGACTACTAACCTCTATGCCTTCAGTTGCTACAAATTTCGCAATCAGTTGAAGAGCTTGCTTCTTGTTACCGCGATAAAGGTGAGAATGAATAATCGAAACAAAGTCCCTATCAGTGGGTATATCAGTATCATTTAAAAAATTCTGCGCCTCTAATTCTTTTTCGAATAACTTGGTATGATGAGCATCTGGCAGGGTTATGCTAGGCTGGCATCCATACTTTTCGACGATATGAACAAACTGTGATGTTAGCTTATTGGCTGAGTGAAAGTCTCGAAGGAAAAGCTTTTTCTTGATAGCAGTTTTCAAAATATTAACATTTGTGCAATTCTTTCCAAATTTGATTTGTGTTTGGCTCCATAACTTGTCAAATAACCGTATTCTATTAGCTCTAAGGCAAATCATCATACCCATTTCATTCCACCACCTTTGATTAACCTTTTCTTGGTTACTCTGGAAAAGTTCTAGTGCTTTGTTGAAAAATCCATAGAAAACCAGGGCATCAATGTAAAACGACTCATTAATTGGATCCATTCTCACCCGTTTCAAAGAGTACAGAAGATTACCCGAGAGTAAAATGCATTTAAGTCGGTGCTCTGGATTTATTAACAATTTGGATAACTCAAACGCTTGTACCATCTGCTCTAGAGAGATCAAGTTCTCCTTTCCCAAGTCATGCAAACTCAAGTCCGAAACAACTTGAAACAAAATTTCTGTATTCCGTAGCAACGAGTATTTTTCATCTTCTGGAGAAGACGAAGATATTATGTCCTGAAAGATAGCATGCTCTAATTCTTTTTCTGACGATATTTCTCTCTTTTTGAGCTCGAAACTATTCGCTTGTCTTTTGCGTTGTTCCTCCTCTAACCTCTGAGGACCCATTCTCTCCAATCTTCTTATTTCCCCTTCAGCCTCTTTCAACAGATAGTCAAACACAATTTGCATACGATTGTCTACCACTTCAGAGTTCTTTGTTAATGAGAGTTTAAGCGCGTTGAGATTTTTAGATGATTTCTTGAACGAAGATTGTGTGGCGTTTAAATAATCCAAAAACGTTTTTTCTAGTGTACTCCGTTCATCTATGCTTCTGAACCCGAACTTTTTAAGATCAGCAACTACCTGTTCGGCAGATTCAGCATGTAAGTTTATTTCCTTGTCAGTGATTTCGCTTTTCAGTTGTGTGACATGCGAGGTTGGTAAATTCGCCCGTCTTCTAAAATATCGTATCTGAATTTTAACAGCATTTCTCATTATAGCGTTGTGAGAACGGATCATAATCACGGATTGTCTCTGTTGGGTGTTATTAAGATCACTATGATAAGTATGCTCATCTCGAAATTTTTTTAGCAACTCGCATCGAATTTCGCGAAAAAGCAGAAAGCCAACGTCAGTCATTAAAAATCTCATAAACAATGCAAAGCTTTTGATTATATTCTACAGACTTGTTATGCGTTATAAAGTTTATTTCTTTTTTCCACTCTTGAGACGACCTTCGAAACCAGCTCTTTTCTTGGGAGCCATCACACCTTTAAAACCACGCTTCATCTTTTCTCTTTGCGACCTTTTCTTACCTTTGTTGTCCTTTCTTATCTGTAAGTTTTCTTCTCTTCTCTTTTGTCTATCAGAGATAGAATTTGCGACAGCCTCCTTACGTTCACGCCATTCAATGGCAGACTTCCTCTTCTTGTTTTCCTTCCTTTTTAAGGCTTTGCGTAGCAGTTTCTCGTCGTCTTTTATCTTCACACCTTCGGCTTGCAACATAGCTCGTTGCCATTTTTCTTTCTCTTTCAATTTAATCTGTTCGAGTTCATCTTTGTTGGAGATCTGAGCTTTCCGAGTTTCGGCCAGCTTTAAATGAGCCTTGATGTCATTCTTGGCAGGTCCCTTTTTCTTCCCCATCTTCCGCAGGCGCTGTAAGTCGGACGTAGCCCTTTCACCATCATCAAATTCAATGTTTTGGAACATTATTTGCTTACCGATAGCCTCACCATCTTCGCCGCGCTGTTTCTTGTCTGGGGAACGGCCTTCGTCTTCGCTGTCGGACCCTGAATCGCTATCATCGCTCGACTCTTCGGCTTTAGTCTTATCCTCCATTCTCTTGCGCTTGAGTTCCTGCTTCTTTTTACGTTGCGCCAAAATAGCCTCACGAGAGCTTGGTGCCCCATCGACCTGGGATCCTGGTGCTTTTCTTTTTTGTTTCATGGCTTGGATTCTCTCTTGCAGTTTCGAACGCAGTTTCTCAAGGTTTTCTTTTCTTTGCTTTTCATGTTGTACCTTTTTCTCCTTGGTTAGCTCCTCTTGTTCATGCTCTTTGTTATCTTCCGCATTCTCGTGCTTATTCAAGGTGACTTCGTTGCCCTCGTCATCAAAGATCACGTCGATTGTCTCCTCCTCTTGGTCGGGTGTCTCGGTTGTAGCTTTCTGTAGATCTTCACTTTCTTCTGCGACTGACTCGGCTTCGCTTGAATCCTTTGGCTCTTGATTTTCCTCGGAGCTGCTGCCCTGCTCGTCGCTGTTGCTGTTACTAGCATTGTCGCTGTTAGCGGCGTTGACTCGCATTTTTTCGCCAGGCAGCACGACTGGCTTAGCTTCGCTCTCACGCTGCCTCATAATCTCAAGAGCAGATGCAGAATCCTCGTTTTGTTGCTCCGGGTCCAGCTTCTTCTTTTTGTCCTTTTTGGACTGCGCTTTTGACTTCTTCTTTGCGCGCCATTGATCTTGAGTCTTGTCATCGTAGTAGTATTTGGCTGGTATCAATGACAGTAGACCATCGAAAGCGCTAGAGTTGAGCCTTAATCGCTCTTCAAGTGTATTACTCATGACTTTTCTCAAGTATTTCCACTCAACGGCTGGTTCAAGATGAGATGCTCATCGTGCCAAAAATTTTTCATCAGTGAAAAAGGAATGGATATGATGTCACTATATACGCAGTAATTACGGACTGTCACCAAGCTTAAAGTTAACCTTACTCACCATCTTGTTCAAAGAATACGATGCATTGTGATAGTTTTAAGCTCTTTATTTACCTATTGTGGCTAGGATATTAATTACCAAACGAATATTTGACTGTGACACGCCAAAACCATTTCTTGATGTACCAAAGTCCTCATCTGGTGAATATTATAGACTCGGTGTAAAAGCACAGGTTTGTATATCACTGTTGAAAGTGAGAAACAGCCTTATATCCATTTATAGGTTAGGTAGAATACATAATTCGCTAAGTTTAGCTTGTTTTGTCTTCAAACCCTAGAGGAAGTATTTGAGATTTATAGCCGGGTAACTGCGTTTTCCGGTAGTTTTTTCCACTTGACAAAATTTTTCGCTTGTAAGAGCTTGAAAAAAAGCGTTTCTTCATGTAATTGTGTCCATTTTTGAAACTGGAAAATGTACAGCACATCCATCAAGTAAAAAGAAAATGTCCCAAGGAACTCTTTACGTCAATGGTCTTGCCAGAGGTATCTTGCCTCAATCTCTAATTGAGACCTGGAAGCTTGACATCAAGGTTGAACAAACTGATTGTGAGGTCTTCGCCAAGGAATTCCCAATGGCTAAGATTCCAGCCTTCATCGGTCCTAACGGTTTCCACTTGACTGAGGTGATGGCCGTCCTATACTACCGTATGTTAAAATTTTGTTGCTAGAAGGTCGGTTGTGCCATATACATGCAGAATGGATTTTGTCCACTGCTCGAGCGCGCATTGTTTTGCATGATGAGAAACTTTTCAATCATTAACAGTTATCCCTGTCTGAATGGGTACTAATGGTAACACTCGCATGTCGATAATCTATACTCTGAGCAAACAAGCAAACCGAGTGGTGTGAAACTGTCAGTTGTTGCAGCGCACTATCGTGGCCGTAGGGTTTTTTTTCACGATTTTACTAACATCCGCTACGCAGTCGTCAATCAAAACGAAGACGAAAAGGTGAAGGAGGTTCTTCTCGGTGCTACCGTTGAAGAACGTGCCCAAGTTATCAGATGGTTGTCCTTCTTCAACTCCGAATGGGCCGCAGCTTTCGCTGCCGCTGCTGGTTACTTGTTGGGATTGGTTCCTTACAACAAGAAGATGTTGGAGGAAAAAATGGCCTACCTTGACAAGTGTATTGGTGTTGCTGAAGCCAGACTACGTGACTACACCTACCTTGCTACTGAATCCATTTCTCTAGCTGATTTGTTCGCTGCTTCTATCGTTGGTTTTGCCCAGACTCTAATCTACGGTCAAGACTGGAGAGTCAAGCACCCAGTGCTATTTAGATGGTTCAACACCGTTGCTGCTCACCCAGTCATTGCCAACTGCGTGGACCAATCCAAGTTCTTGAAGGAAAGCAAGCAATACGTCGCTCCAAAGAAGGAGAAGGCTAAGAAGGAGCCTGCTGCTCCAAAGCCAAAGGCCGCTGCTCCAGCTAAGGAGGAGGAAGCCAAGCCAGCTGAAACCCCAAAGAAGCCAAAGCATCCTTTGGAAGCCCTTGGTAGAGCTACTTTCAGCTTGGAAGACTGGAAGAGAAAGTACTCCAACGAAGATACCAGACCAGTTGCCTTGCCATGGTTCTGGGAACACTACAACCCAGAGGAATTCTCCATCTGGAGAGTTGACTACAAGTACAACGACGAATTGACCATGACTTTCATGTCCAACAACTTGGTTGGTGGCTTTTTCAACAGATTGTCTGCCTCCGTCAAGTACATGTTCGGTTCTTTGGTCGTCTACGGTGAAAACAACAACAACGGTATCATTGGTGCTGTTATGGTTAGAGGCCAAGAGTTCGCTCCTGCTTTCGACGTTGCTCCAGACTGGGAGTCTTACGCATACACCAAGTTGGACCCAACCAAGGAAGAAGACAAGGAATTCATCAACAACATGTGGGCTTGGGACAAGCCTGTCGTTGTCAACGGTGAATCCAAAGAGATTGTTGACGGTAAGGTCTTGAAATGATTTAAATGGCTCATATCGATAATGTACTCTAATTGCGTGCATATAATGTATAATCTTTATAGATAACTTTATGACCATGGAACTAAAATTTCGCATACAGTTTGTATCCATCACTTTTTGGCAACATGCCATCACGATAATTTTTTTGCTCGTATAAAGAGATTTGGTTGCAAAATTTTCTGCTTCAAAATCTCAAAGGGGTTGCCTCTATGGTGTCACCATATACTATTCATCATTAAAGGGCAAGTGGTTGAGTCCAGATACAAGAGTTTGAAAATATAGTAGTACACAATGGCTACCGCTCTATATACCGCGAAAGAGTTTATACTTCTTTCTTTGCCTGTAAATGCTCAACCATCATCAGCTCCTAGTATGGATGCGACTGCTTGGTTACAACAGAGTCTGCTTGGAGGCAAGACATTTCAAGCAGAGTTCAAGATCCCCGAATTTAAGATTGGGTCTCTAGATAGCTTGGTGCTTGAATCTGAAGAGTTGTCGAAGATCGACGGGCAAATTGGTGCATCAGTGGCGAAGATTGTGGAAATCTTGAATGGTTTGACCGAATCCGAAACGAACGCTTACAAAACCATCTCCATCGGGAACGTGCCCATTGTGGAGTACCTAGAGAATTTTCATTGGCAAACACGCAAGTTTAAGCTTGATAAGTCTATCAACGAGCTGATCCACGACATCTCCACGGAATCGTTCCAACTCGATGCCGACGTGCGGGCCACAAACAGCAACTACAGTAATGCTAAGACCAACCTGGCGGCTGCCGAGAGAAAGAAGACCGGTAACTTGTCGGTGAGATCGCTGCACGACATCGTCAAGCCCGAGGACTTCGTCCTGAACTCGGAGTACTTGACAACGGTGCTGGTCGCGGTGCCCAAGACGCTCAAGGGCGACTTCGAGTCCAGCTACGAGACGCTTGCCAAGAACGTCGTGCCCGGCTCCGCCAGCATCTTGAAGCAGGATGACGAATACCTCTTGTACAACGTGCACCTGTTCAAGAAGTCCGTGAACGAGTTCGTGTCGGCGTGCCGCGAGAAGAAGTTCATCCCACGTGACTTCAACTATTCCGAGGAGCTCATCGACCAACTCAAGCGCGAGCACGACTCCGCGGCCAGCCTCGAGCAGTCGCTGCGTGTGCAGCTCGTGCGCCTCGCCAAGACCGCCTACGCCGACGTCTTCATCAACTGGTTCCACATCAAGGCTCTGCGCATCTTCGTCGAGAGCGTGTTGCGCTACGGGCTCCCTCCCCACTTCAACACCAAGATCATCGCCGTGCCTCCTAAGACCCTCGACAAGTGCAAGGCTGAGCTCGTCCAACAGTTCGGCTACTTGGGTGGGAATGCTTTCTCCAAGGACAAAAAGACCGGTAAGATCAACCAGAACGACACCAGCTTGCACGAGTACGCCGGTCTGGTCGATCCAGACTACGAGCCCTTCGTCATGTATACAGTGGCCCTCGAGTAGGCCGTTGCACTTGAGTAGACCGTCCATCATGGAGGTCGGCGACCTGCGGCCTCCAGTGTCACGTGTCTTTGCCCGTTGCTCGCAAGGCTCGAGCCCTTCTATAGACGCAGAGATCATCAAAATAATTATCTAAAGAAAAAAAAATTCATAGTCATATAGTAACCCCGGGTGTATGCGCACATACGCTCTCATCTCGCCACACAACCAGAGTGGCTGGCTGTCCATTGCGCTTCAGCCATCTGACCCTCACACCATGCGTCGTGTATCGCTTTTTAGCCGTACAACTACTATGATATGATTCATTCCAGCGCGATTTCACCCGAATGCCCGGGTAACGCGGACTTTAGAACGCGAATGTCCGGATTTAGGAGAAGGTTGACACCGAGAAAAAAAGAAACTGATAGAGATTTTTCAATTCGTCCGATGAGCTTGTTAGCCGCATGAAAAAGTCTCTCCACTGCAACCGTTGATATAAGAAAGGTAATTGACATTAGAAGGCGGAGAGAATCGTATTATCTTGAAATCGTAAGAATAAAAGAGACAGAAAGCTAAGAATATGTCAGCAATATGTCAGAGTAATCCTCTGAAGCAGTTTGTGGCCAAGAGTGATCAGCTCCGTGCGAGCGGGTTCGGTCAAGTCAGTCGTGCGGTGAACGGCGGGGCAGCTACGGCGCGCGCAAACACGCTGGAGCCTCAGTTTGGCCTTGATGAATCGCAGAATTTGCTGATGCGTGTGGAGGCGCCCGAAACGATGCCGCTTGGCGGCAGAGCTGGAGCCAGCGACACCTGGGTGCGTCAGTTTTCGTCAATGCAGCTTGACGATCCGCTTGCTTTCAGCAACGAATACAAAAATTTTTACGACTCCTACGAGAGACAGCAGCAGCAGCGGCCTGTAGAGACGCACATGTCCACACGGGAACTACCCAGAGGCATGTTGGAGCGGCGCAACCTGGTACTCCCCGCGATGAGCCTTCCTCCGCGCAACATGGACGGGTACTTCGACGAGGAGTTCGACAATGTGGAAAAGGAGCTGCAGGACGAGGCTGCGCGTGCAACAAGCCCCCTAGAGCCCAGCGAAATGGACGTAGACGTGTCCGTGACGCTTGACGAGGAGCAGCAAAAATTCCAGCAGGCAGCCTCCGACATATACTCTTGTCTAGCATCCAGACCCTCCGCTACGACGGGTTTTTCTTCTTCGAACAACTTTCAAATGGAGTCGAAGATGCAGAGATCCAAGTTTTTGGGTCTGATGAGAAGCATAAGTGACGGGGTCGTTACTTTGAAGAAGAATGATGGGCATGATAATGCCTACAATGAACTTTACTCCCCCACTACCGGTGAAGTCGTGGGGAACGAGTACTTCCATGTGCAAGAAGGAACTCAGGACCGCTCAGGTCACTAGTTCGAGCATTGGCTTCCTTCCCGGGATTGGGCGGAAGTTCAGTTTGGTTCATCTCCGACATTAGCCTGGCGAATTCGCTGCGTATTAATTGCGAGCTTAGGTTAACATCCCGCGGAGGCACCACAATTATTCGGCAGTGCGGATAAAATGAAACGAAAAAGTTTAATTTGATAATATATACTGATTATAGCTTTACGACGACACGAATACACAAAATTGGTCTTTTAAAAGGTTTTCTATGTATTACTTTTGTAATCTATTAATTCAACTTCAGCGTCCAAATGGCTAGCTTGCCCGTTTTCCCTTGGTAGCAGCGATGGGTCGCCCTCATCTTCACTTGCAATGAACTTGAGGTGGTTTTCACTTGAACGACTCTTGCGAGTGGAGCTACTATTCTTTTGGGGTTGCTTTTGGAACGTCTCAGTCTCCTCTGGCTCCTCATTAATCCCCAGTAAGCCTGTTCTCACGTCGCTAACGAAGTTCCACAGCGATGTCGAAACATTACCCAAAACATCTTCTGTTGACGTTGCATTATCGTGTGTGCTTTTACTGTTTGGTTGTGAAGAATTGTTTTCGTTGCTGTGCTTGTTAGTGGGATTTGGCCGTGGAGCTTCTAAATCGTCCCAATTTAGCTTCTTTTCTATTTCATGCTGAATCAATTGGTCAAACTGATTGAATAAGGATAAGGGCCTCGTCCACATTGACTCTTTTTTGGCAGGAGTTGGAGAGGGTGCTGGAGCTGGAGAAGCCTTTTTCTGTGCCATGTGCTCAAAGTCCTCTCCAAGTTTCCCTAATTCGCCAGCATGGCTTTCATTGCCATTAAATCCGGTGCTTGCAGCGACATTGTCGTTTAATATCTTGGCAACTTGAACTTTGAGTTCATTCAACTCCTTCGATTTCATATGCAGCGTTTGCTCTTCCTGATGTAGCGACCTCTTGATGTCATCTACTTTGCGCTTTGAGTCAAGCAGTTCTAGTTCTTTGTTTGCGAGCATTTGTAACAAAGCATTCAAATCCTTACCTGCAGGTGACGCGTGCTCAGAACCTATGCTACTTGTTCGAGAGTGATATGACGCGTTGCTCATGGAACGCGTTCGCTGTTGCTGTTGCCGGTGCTCGCCCGGCGTAGCCTCTGGGGATATGATGGGCTGAATGAGTGATTTTCGCTTCAACGTATTGGACCTGTTGAGTTTCATGCTATTTGGCGGCCGAGAATATGTATCTTTTAGTGGATGTTCCTGGTCGCTGGGCCTACCCGGGGTGACTTGTGGCTGAACGAGGGATCGCCTCACTGACGACTGGCGAGTTGGCTCCCTTGGAGAGGTCCCACCGCTCGGTGTATGCGTTATCTCAATTCTGGTGGTCGTATCAACATTGAGCTTTTGGTCGTTCTCCTCTATAAATTCATCGAACTTGTTCATGTTTTTATACACTTGACCATTGGTTTGTCGCTTAAGGTACTTTGCAATTGTGACCAACTCGCGTTTAGATATTAGCGCACACAAAACACACACAATGTGGGAAAAGTTAATTCAACATAATCTCACCCATTAATTGAGCCATAAGCATGCTATAAGCTGGGTTTACTAGTGTTTAGGATTTAATTTGTATTTCCCGGCAGGATTAGATTGTTGAAGAATTGGAATTGTAGCAAAGAGTTTCTATCCTGAGCAAACAAAAATAAATCAGCAGGAGATAAGCTCAAACTAACTCCATGACCGATCTTCAAACTACTGCAGACATCTTAGCATTAAAACTGACATCTATAACCCATTGTCAGCTGTACGGATCGTTTCACCCCATTCCTCGCTGTTCACGAAATTCAGAAATCAGAAAATGGTTACATCAACAAACAGCGGGATACCGATCCACAACTACTTACTAGAAGTCTTGAAGCACAACAGAGCAGGAAATGGCGCCCTTTAAGTTTGGGAAGAAGCTCTCAAAAGATAAGTTAAAACAAGAGCATGTTAGTCCTGCTCAAAATACTTCTCCATCACAGCCATCAAAATTCTCGCCCAGTCCACAAGCTCAACCACATGGACTAGTTCAATCTCAACCTCCCAGCCAACCTCAATCTCAGCCTCCCAGTCAAATACAATCAGGGCCTCCAGTAGCACGCATTCCACAACCTGCACTTACACGTGTGTTTCCAACGCCAACTCCTGCCCAACAACGAAACGTTTCAAGTGCGTCCGCATTACAACAACATGAATACACGCCATGGAATCGTATCAAGCTGACTAACTCTCCGTTTCCTCGTTATCGTCATGTGTCGTCTTCCTATGTATCGGACCAAAATCAAGTGTATGTTATTGGTGGGCTCCATGACCAATCAGTGTATGGAGACACATGGATTATAACTTCGCATGATAACGGAACGAAATTCTCCTCCAGAACCGTTGAGATCAGTGACTCTACGCCTCCTCCGCGTGTAGGGCATGCATCGACCCTATGTGGCAATGCCTTCGTTATCTTTGGTGGAGATACACACAAGGTTAACAGTGAGGGACTAATGGATGACGATGTCTACTTATTTAACATCAACTCTTATAAATGGACTATTCCTAAGCCAGTAGGTCCAAGACCGCTGGGGCGTTATGGACACAAGATAAGTGTAATTGCTACTAGTCCTATGAAAACAAAGCTCTACATATTTGGAGGGCAATTTGATGATACATACTTCAATGATCTCGCGGTGTTTGACCTTTCATCATTTAGGCGTCCTGATTCACATTGGCAATTCATCAAACCTCAGAGCTTCTCTCCTCCTCCCTTGACAAATCACACAATGATTTCTTATGATCATAAATTATGGGTATTTGGTGGTGATACACCTCAGGGTCTAGTTAATGACGTATTTGTTTTTGACCCTCAAATTAATGATTGGTACAAGGCCAATACTTCTGGAGAGAAGCCACCTCCACTACAGGAACATGCTGCGGTTCTTTATGGTGATCTATTATGCATCGTCGGAGGTAAGGATGAACAAGACGTGTATTCCAATTCCGTATACTTCTTGAATTTGCGATCTCTTAAGTGGTTCAAGTTTCCCTATTTCAAATCGGGCATTCCACAAGGCCGTTCGGGTCATTCTTTGACTTTATTACCCAACAATAAACTTTTGATCATGGGCGGTGATAAGTTTGATTTTGCTAGAATTGGTGAGGATGATTTACACACATCTGAGGCAGATATGGGTTGTGGAACAATTCTTTATACGCTTGACCTTTCAAGATTGAGGGAACTTTGTCCGGGCATTATGGACTCTCCACTAGCAAATACTTCCCAAAGAAACACCTCGACCCCTACTTCATCCCCAAGACAAATGAACAAAAGCTTCCCACCTACTCAAAACATTTTGACGCCTTATGGTGACAAATATCAGACTCCTCAGGCTGAACAAGGCGCTTTTACACCCATTGAAAATCCGCAAACTCCAAGGAATGGAGAAAACATAACACCTAATGGAGATCAAAATACACCAATCGAACCCCTTGCTACATCAGTAGAGGCCAAGAAACCTAAGTCACCAATCCCTCAAATTGCCACTTCTTCTTTGCCACCCGCTAATATGCCCCCTCGTGTGGTGTCTTTGTCCTCCAACAACGACTCAGACGCTACTCCACCAAGATTTAATGATAGCCAAATTAGTGAGGGTAGCGCCGAAGAATACGGCATCGCCACTATAGGAAGCTCACCTTCTAAGCATGAGGTGATAAAGAGGTCAATGGAGCACGATGACAGAACTCTCGAACAACTACCTGAAATTAGCACACCAACTGCCAGCGAAGAGCATGACTATTCGTCAGTTCCTTTTTCACAGAGTGAATCAAATGCTAAAAAGATTGCCTATCAAAGTCATGAGCAGTTGGGATCTTCATCTGATACATCAAAAGAAGAACTGAAGTCAGTGATTGAAGGTTTACGTCAAGAGCTTCAAGAATTGAAATTGGACGCTGAACGGCGAGCTCAAACAGCTAGCCAGCGTATAAAGGAAGTTGTCATGGAGAATTCCAAATTACAAAGTGAAGATTCTGACACTAGATTACTAAAGCTACAGACAAACTTTGACGTTGCCAAGGCTGACAAGATGGCCCATCAGGAACACGCAACTCAGTTGGAAAATATTTTGAGTCAAAGGTTTTTAGACGTTGAGAAATTGAATGAAATCATCAAGGATCAAAGCAAAAGGTTAGGCGAGTTAGAAGATGAAGAAACTTTTAAGGAGAAGTACAATGATCTGATGACTAAGTATGATGCACTACTAGAAGAGAATGATTCGTTAAAGCTTGAAAAAAAGCAAGAGAAACGAGAATTACATAATAGCATCAGGGATTATTCCTCCAAATTGGAAGAGCTTCTTTCCATATGGAAAGAAAAGGGTTTTTCAGATGTTACTGGGGAATCGGGCGAGCAACGCCAACAGGTGATTGCAGGTTTTTCAAATCGAATCGATGTTTTATTAAAAGAACGTACCGAGTTGAGTTCAAGCAAGCAAAAATTATCTGACGACTACACGGATCTTCAAGCAAAATGTCGTTCATTGGAGTCAGAGCTTTCTACTATTGAACAAAACTACAAAGATAGTCTAAACTCTGTCAACAACGCCAGTAGAGCTCTGACATTGTCTCAAGATGAGCTCAATCGACTCAAACAAGAAAACAAGCGCCTAAATGATGAGCTAGAGGAGATGAAATATAAATCAGGCAATCGTGCGGACACAAGTTTAACGTCAAACGATGATTCTCTCGCTAACACAAGTGCCGTGACAGTCGACTCCTCCAGCGACATGAGGGATGCTCCCTATAAATTTAAAATCAAAGACTTGAAGGCCGAACTGTTCATTATTAAACAGGAAAGAGACTCTTTGAAGGATGATGTGATGGAGTTAAAGAAAAAGCTATTGAACCTTGAAAATGATGACGATTGATGTCATCAGTATTTCGAAAAGCATGCAACTCTTGAGCAGAAAGAACACATTTTAATTATTTTATCTGACCACGTCGGTATGTGTTTGTTCTATTGTTAAATAGGCGCAATTGTATTAATATAGCACTGATCTTAAGTCCAAACTAGGGGTGCGGCGGGCTACTGCACTGCTGGTCGTCTGTCCACGATTGTAAAATCTCGCCAAACGAGGGTTCTATGCTCTGTAAGATCTCATCCACGACGTCCTCTGTATGATTCGTGTTAAAAGTCCCGTAGATATCACTGCTTTCACATAGGATGATGGAACCGCCTTGCTCCGATTCAAGAATCTCGTGAGACTCAATATCAACTGAAAGCGAGTTTGCCTGGAATTGCGGATGGAAGAATGATAAATGAGAATCAGTAGACGTATCAGGCACTTTCCACACCTCTTTGCAGCTTTTCTTGATCGGTCTTTCAAGTTGTTTTTCTGCGATGCGCTTCTTTGATTCTTTCATAAGTGTAAACAACCTCTCATCCACAACGTGAACTCCGTTATCTGGTATCAATAATGATCTAACATCTGCTGGAACTCGATATCTTGAACAAAACTCACTCATACACAAGATATTAAGGCTCATGATCTTTGCCACAGTTTGCTTTATATTTGTAAAATAAGTGGGGAGGTTAACCGCTATTGAAATCACCACATTTCTTCACTCATATAAACAAAAAAGAACATGGAAAGGAAACCGTCATTCACCAAAGAGCATAATAGTATTGGATTAGTTAACAATGATCAATGAATATTATACTTAATAATTGCCTTATAATTTACTACGTTGGTCGGGCTCGCGTGACGGACTTAATTATTGGACCCTTATTCGGGAACCTACAACAAGCGATCTAAAATAATATAACGCATAAAGGGAGAAAGCAAAACACAACAACCGTTAGAATCAGCAAGATTGTGGGTGAGTCTATTGCATAAGAACGAATAGAATATATTATAATATCATTTCAATATCCTCCAACAATACTCAACAGCTTGCATATAGGGTTTGAGAGAAAAAAAGTTGCGAGAATATACTATCCTCGAACGAATATACACTAGGCAAAAGATAACACATGTCAAAAAGTGCTGAATATGTCAATCATGTTTCGTTTGACGACCTGACGCCTTCTTTGGTTGATGATCAGATCCAGCATCTCAAGAATCGCAACCTTCCCTTGACATTCACGAATCCGTTCGTGCATATACCGCCCCAGTACAATCCAATGTACGTAGAGTCTTCCACTCGATTTGACGACGGATCACCGGGAAGCTCATATGGTTCAGGGAAGCGGCCGCTGCTAAATCTTGATATGGCATTCGCAACCGGATCGCAGCGAGATGTGAATAGCCTAGGTCAACTTGGCCCTGACTGGGGATATCCAGATGATCTTCGAAGGACCAAGAGTGATATGTCACCAGATTCTTCCCGAAGCACATCTCTCACTAGAACTATCACCACACCAAGCAGCTTTCTCTCAGGAAAGCTTCCCCCTGCGCCATATGCATCATCTCTCAAGCTGGGCAAAGACCGCGAAGCTACCGAAATAGAGGATGTGGACTTAGGTAACATGGATAGGCACTTGGAAAAACACATTGAGCATGAAACCGACCGTAATACACAGGAAAATTCGGGATCGGCTGCTGGCTATACAACTTCAGCGTTCTCGCATCTGAATGAGGTGGAAGATAAACTGATGAAGGGAGGCTCGCAGGGTCCAGAGCAGAGCAAGAAGCCACCAAGAAGAAGCTTTGCAGACATGACTGATGAAGAAGTTGCAGAATTAGAAAAGAAGTACGAATCAGGAGCTAGAACAAATTATAATATGCAGCAATTTGACTTTGGTGAGCAACAGCAGCTGTATATTGGTCCTGAACTCAACAAGAATATGGGCGCAGCAAATCAGAAGGCGTTTTCTATTTACCCCTCCCGTCCCTGTGTTACGCATAAAGCTCTTTCACTGTCTAAGATCAATCGCAGCTTTGATGAGTATTTGCAAAGTGTTTCTGCAGCAACTTCTAGAGATGCAATGAGAACTGTTCTCTGCTACATTTCAGGAAGACGCCATACCTGGTCATCCGTAGATTGGTACGTGGAAAACGCAGCTAAAGATGGTGACTACTTGGTAATAATGTCACGACTGCCGAATTACGAACAACACCTTACAAACACCAAGTCAACGCAGAATTCTTCTCTAGAAGAGTACCAATTCGGAAAAAACGTTGGTTCTTCGAGGAGAAAATCAGACCCCAAGGCACTAAGCAGCACTGAAGTAGGGTTGATCATTCGTGATGTTGATCTTCTAGCGCGTCAGAAATGTAGTGAGATATTGGATTACTATACTGAAAAATGCTCCAAGAAATACATGAAAATTACCGTGGAGTTGATTAAGGAAGACTCTTTCGAAAAATCTTTGACGTCTGCTGTTTCGTTATATAAACCTGATTTGCAAATCATTAGCACCGTGAGCACGAATCTACAAATCAAGTTCAAAAACGGTCATGTGAAGTTGCCATTTTTCATGATGCGACACTACTGGGTTCCAACGTGTGTTATACCATTCGAGTTCATTAATCCAGCTCTGCTAGGTGAGCCAGTAAAGGACGCACGCAAGGCACACAGGGATCGTCGCTACAAGTCGGATGAGGCAACTCTGGATGAGCTTGACCAGATCGTCCTGAAAACCTTAAAGAATCCTTTCCAACCCAACGGAGGGGGCGCGCGCGCGCCTATTGACGACGACAGTGATGTAGAAGATCGCAGCGTGAACTCATACTTTCCCCTAGATCCCAAAACGAAACGTAAAATCGAGGATTTTGAACGCGTGGGCTACTTACGTCCGATGCCTACACGCCGTCCTTCTGACTTGAGCAAGGTAACGTCGTATGCGTCATCCAACAAGTCCAGTAGGCGCAGTTCACGTGTCCAATTCAGAGATGATTACAGTCCGGTATACAAGGTAAAGTCGCTTTTGGACGCCAGCGATGATGTTTTGGACGACAAGGACGGCACTGCCGTCAGGAAGACAAAGTCCATCAGCAATATGTCGTCTCCACCATTATCCCGTAAGCCTTCGGCGAGACGCGTCAAAAGTCATGACACAGTCCAATTGATTGGTGCCAAAAAAAAATCTGGAAAGCTTGGAGGATTTTTCAAGAAATTGGGTTTTGGGAAATGATTCAGATGAACTTCAACCGTTGGTGAACTACCCCGCCGTTCGTGTTATCTAATCAGCCCCTCACGTGATTGATGATTTACCTTTCTGGTGTTAGGATTGTAGAGCACGGCTGACACGGCGAGGGGGGTTCGCAAGGAGAAGGCTTGCTTCGAGGGTGCAGGGCATGCATGGAGTGACTAAGGAGCACGGAGGCTGGTCGGTCACAAGGGAGGGGGGGGGGGGGGGGGGGGGGGTAGTCGGGTCAACATTTCAGGGATCGATGACAGTGGAGAAGCTTCAATTCCGGAGTTGCTAAGGCCCGCCGTAGACAAGTCCCGGGTGATGTGGTGACACCACTCCTGACTGATCTCTCGGCTATAAGTTGGTGTGATGTGTGTGCATGCAAGCAAGGATAGGGTCAGTTAGCGTAATCACTTTAGCAAGTTATGAAGATCGACTCAAACGTTTACCGGGAAGCTCACAAATTGGCAGTCATGCCCCGCATGAAAATGTTATTTTACGGGATCGTGTGTGGGGCAACCGTACCAGCAATGTATTTAAGGACCTACTATCTTCCTCAGATACGGGCTGAAGATGCAGAGAATATCCAGATTTTGGAAAATCAAGTAACACAACTAGAACAAAGAACAAAAGGAATGGACCCAATAATGAGGATAAGTACTAGGACTGAGTCCAAGAAGAAAAAGGCAGAGCCTTTTAGTGAGAACACAACAAAGACAAGTGAGAACCTTGGAGCCATGGGAGGTGTTGGAGAAATACCCATCGCAAGCTGGCACATTGGTGGCAGAAACAGGTTCGCAAACGACGAGAAATACCGTCAGTTGGTTGAGGAGGCCAATGCCATAATGTTCTCATCCATTATGTAAGAAGTGCACCACGCATATCCATTACGAACTACGGTCAAGCTCCATGATTACATTGGTTTATAGCATTTATAGGAACTTTTGTCAGAAATCTATTCAATTAAGCAATCCTTTTTATAGTCGGGAATATGGGGTTTGTCACGTGACACATGGCACATCCAATCAAGAACATTAGATTTTCATTTTTATACTAATTTCTTCGACTAAATACTGAGTTTAACATAAACACCAAATCCACCTTAAATGGCCCCTAATTTCTACCCTGAGATAGATCTTGTGAAGGAGGCAGTTATTCCACCTGAAAGTGCGGTGATTGTGTCTTCACCTGCTAAAGAAGCTGCCCCGTCCAAGACTCAAAGCAACTCTCTTTCCCATCGTTTTACAGAACTGGTTGGCGATAACAAGCTGCTTGATGGCATATCCGTGAGATCTCCTGTGTATCTGACAGATTTCTTCTACACGTGGCGTACAAAGCTAGGAGAAACCACAGATTACTTTTGTAACTCTGTGGACCGCGCGTCGATGAAATACTATGACCATGAAAGAAGGCTGACGTCCACTATCGCAAATCTACATTCGGATCCAAGAGAGCTATTATTGCCTGGTCTGACTTATTCCCTGGTAGCTGCGATGTCCGGATCTGTCCTCACTAGGAACAGAAATATACTTGCTAGGATTGCAGCACCAGTCATCCTTGGTGTGTCTTGTTTCTCATACGTGTTGCCTGTTACTTTCTCGAACACTGCTGGCTTACTACACGACCTAGAAAAGAAGGCATTCCCCAATCTAGTTCAAAAGCAAGATGTTGTTTACAATGCTTGCCGGAATACGGCGATAAAAACAAAATCAGCTTTCGCATCAACGGTAACTGGTGTGTCAACCGGCATTCATAAGACCGCAACGTTTGTGAAAGAGTGGACTGGTCTGAATATTTAATTTCGTCACCTTCCCAATAATGATTAAAGGCGTAAGCAGTTTCGATCACATTGTATATAGTATTGTAGCTACATCTTCGCTTATTGTCTATGGCATCATTTTAAAAAAAATATTCTAATTACATTGTAAGCTACAAATCAACTCATGCTGTGATTTTGATTAGTTGTGTTTTTGCTTCAGCTTATCGTTCAATGGAAAAACATTTGAGACTTCAGTCTCTTGTCTCTTTTAAGATATGCATCCAATCGGAAGGTTGCCACGTCAGTTTGCCCTATAAATCGTTTTAGAAAGATTTCCTGTAGATTACATACTGACCATCTTCGAAATTGGCGTCTAAGTTGAAAATGCTCCTCACACACCAATTCCACTCCACAACTGTGACAGTTCTATCCTTTTTTTGGCAAATTTTAGAAAATTTCTTGGCCTGAGAAGCCTTCTGCGCTATGAGAAGATAGTTAGGGCCTCCCTTACCATTACTCTTGTCATTCGCAATCACATCAGTAAATTCGAATTTCTTTGACAAGACATTGACTTTTTTAATCCCGTGAGCCACCAGAATAGACGAAATTACTTCGGGTCCACCTGGAATATCATCCATTAGATTAATGTTCGTGATATCTGCCCTTTCAAACACCTTAGTTTTGAGATGTGTCTTCTCAAGAATCTCTGGATGGACATCAGGAATTATGTATCTTGCAGTTTCAGGTAGAACAGGACTTGAAGACGCTTTTCGTACAGTGGTCAAAAGATCTGTAATAAACGTCGGTAGCAGAGCATACTTGAGAGGATTAAAACTCAAACTAATCAAAAATTTGGCTGTTCTCATTCTTTTAGGTGCGATGATGGTATTTGTTTGCGGAGTTATTTCTTCTGTGATTGTGATGCCTAGTCTCTTCAAAATTTCCATGTCAAGATCGTCAATTTGTTCATGGCACCCAGTGCATATGGCATTGATGTTATAAGGACGGTTGCGACGGCCCTTAGAAATATCTATTCCAACGTTTTCCAAAAGCTCCTTGAGCTTGTCTTCCATCTCCTTCAATTTCTTCAATTTTTGTAATTCTTCCGGTAGAAGACCAGACGTTTTCTTCCTTTTTGAGTATCTTTGAAACTCATTCAAGGATTCCATATCAGTATGCAACTTCATAGCCGCTTTCTTCTTGGCCTGGCGTGTTCCACTAGACATTAATTGAGATGATATGGTGGGTGCAGGGGAAGGCGTCGTTGTATCTTGCATCTGGCTTAATTCATCGGAATGCTCTTCGGCTGTCGTAATTGAAGCTGCTGAGGTAAGTTGAACGGATTCAATTTCAGAAGGTTGTCCAGGAAGTAAAGACTGGCTTTTTTTGTCTTTGAGTTGGGTGTCATCATTTGCTGTTTCGATTTCTACAGCTTCTCCCATTAGAGGATCAGTACCATTTGAAACATCGAGCAATTTTTCCCTCTGCTTGTCATCATTTGATTTCTGGACAAATTCAATATCTTTGTCTTTATCCTGAGACGGTCCACTGGCGTAGTTAGTTTCATCGAGTGAATCATCATTATTCTCGAAAATATCTGGAATTCTAGCCGTGCTGCTCTCTTTCTCATCAGGATTAGTTCCCCCATCGCTCCCGTTCATTCCCTCAGGACTTCCTTTAGATAATTCGGGCTCATAAACTTGATCTGTCAACGATAGTTGACCCAGTCTTTCGGTTAGTCCATTAAAAGCTTCAATAGTTGAAAATTGTTCTAATGTACAGTCAAGTTTTTGGCCTCTTTTATAGCATTCTTCAAGCCAAAAGTGATTGACTATTCTACAGGTGTCTTTCCATCTAAGCGCTGCCTGATATTTCTGCCCAAAAGGCATGCACGATAAAAGATGAGTGTTCTTTCTGGTGAGCTCCGTCGTGCTTATTCCTCCAAGAGCGTCGACAAGCTTCTGAACATAACTTCTCTGTTGTCCGACGTAGTTGGTATAGCTTAGAATCAATTCGTTCCCTTTGAAAATACGAGGTTTCAAGGGAGATAACAGCAGTTTCTGTTCGGGTTCTATAAATTGTTGCATCGACCACATATAGAAAATCCACGAAATATTGCCCTTGTACAAATGTTCCGCTGTGGCCTTGTCATACTCCTGAGACTTCGTAGATTGGCTAACGAAGCAGTCACCGACATTTTTAGAAACATCTTGTGAATCTACATGCCTTACAACTTCCCCACCGGCGGATTTTATGACGTCTATCAGAAAGCTATAACACTGCGCAGGGAGAATAAGATCAAGAGACAGAAAGATCTTGTGGCCAGTCAAATAATGAGAGTGTGATGTAAACTCCTGTAATTCGACTTTATTCCACAACTCAGACATTTTGGATTTCATGGCCTCTGGCCTTTCCCTTGGATCCAGTAGATGCTCGCTCTCAGTTGTGTATGTCTTGCTTTTAAATACAGCGGCGATCCAAGTTGGTAAAACGTACTTTATACTGAGGCCAGCTATGTTCGCCACAGCTGCTATTGCCGGATCCTGCGGATCGACAGTGATGATATGCGATGCTCTGCTCGATAAATAATCAATGCAGACGCCGCCCAAGCTTGTAATCATAGCGGAATAGAGAGCATACTCGCTAGGATTTAGCGAATGTCTTGATACGTAGATCTGACAATGTTTCAGAATGTGAGCAGGATCGGGAGAAAAGCAGCTCGCCCTTGTTATGCGTTTTGTCGATATACAAGCCTGAACCCACGCTGCTGATACCACCGGGATGAGGAAATCAAAAGCAGCCAATCGATAAAACCAAAAATTACATGTGTTTGATATAATGCAATGAATATCCTGTTTGAACTGTCTAGTGAAGGCCGCCTTCGTGTGCTCTTTAGCATCTTGCAATTCTAGCACCGATATTATTGAACATTCCGCGGCCCCATTCTCCTTCAAAAGTGCAGCAGTTTTGATCATGTTATCATCAGTGGCTCCTTCATCAATGAGGAGGAAGTTAAGGTGGTCAAACACATTTAATGTTGAACTCATTAGGTTTACTATTTCTTCGCTGCGCGTTAATGAGGACTACGCGTAATGGATTTGAAGATATCGCGTTTTTCTGTCATCGCGGGACAAAGCGATGAACATAAATGAGCGAAAGCCAGCCTCGAATGTCGGGGTCAGATACTCTGAGCCTTTTGTGAACATTGCTCACGATGGCTTTGTGGTACTTTCATACCAATGAAGCCTGCTTATAGAAAAGGATCGTAGCTTAGAACTTGAAGTACATGCGATGTAATCAAAACTAGAGCAACGGTTGGCTAGGATATGATAGATTATAACCCATTCTGTAGCTCTATGATTAGCTTGTTTGCTCGATTACTGTCTTTACGTTTGAGCTCTAATTTAGTGATTGAAAGTATTTGTAACTTTACAAACATGAATACCGTTGAAACCCCTTAGTTGCCAAAATTGGACCAGGTTGTCAGAGTCGACATACTCCTCAATATGACATCTTAACAGATACAGACATGTCAGAAACATCGAATAACAGCTATATAATTTATTGTTTCTTCTCGAGCAGACATATCCAATAGTCCCGTTATCACATCGCCTTCAATAGACGATATATGTCTCCATATGGAACTTCTATTCCAACATCTGGGCGTGTGGCGTAGTTGGTAGCGCGCTCCCTTAGCATGGGAGAGGTCTTCGGTTCGATTCCGGACTCGTCCAAAATTTTTGCCACGATAATTGGGTAACAAAAAGTTGATGTTTAGGGCTGAGGCAACTTTTAGAGACAGTACGGCTCTAAATTATTCACTGAATCTTGGTCAAAAACGGTTATTACTACAACGTTTTTATTCATTCAACATAATAGGCACACGTTGTAACCGAGTCGTTTCCAACGAGTATAAACCACGTAAAATAGTGGCACAACTGATAACAACAAATTGGCACGTGTGCTTCCCCTCGATCATTCGAATAATTGACCTAACTACCGAGTTAAAATCTTCTACCACTACTACACGACATTTGAATTTCAGGATAAGACTTTAAGAAACGATTTGAGGCTACTGGAATGAAGTTTGGCAAGTATTTGGAAGCTCGACAGTTGGAGTTGCCGGAATACAACGGCCATTTCATTGACTACAAGTCGCTTAAAAAGCTGATAAAGCAGCTTTCGGTCCCTCTGCAGCCTGCTGCGCGGAACTCCCCTTCACTTCTGTGTAATCTGGACGAGTCTGTCATACAACAGAGTTTACAAGAGCACAAGGCCTCTTTTTTCTTCAGATTAGAGAGAGAGCTTGAGAAGGTTAACGAATTTTACCTCGAGAAAGAGTCCAACTTAAAAGTCAAATTGGAGATCCTGCAGTCGAGGTACGAGGACTGTAAGAAGCGTGGGAAGCTGGCCTCCAAAGAATCGGTTTCTTACAAACACCTCCGCGATGGAATCAAGAAATTTGAGCGCGACCTCGCTCATCTGGAGCAGTTCATGGAGCTGAATAGAACCGGGTTTTCCAAAGTGTTGAAGAAGTGGGACAAGCGATCCCACTCGCATACCAAGGACTTCTACTTGGCCACCGTGGTCTCCGTACAACCAATTTTCACACGAAATGAGGTGGCAGGTTTGAATGATGCGGCCTTAGCCATGCTGATGGAATTAAATGAAATAAGCAGCGACGAAAGACCACTTCTATATTCGGTTGAAACAACAACCTCACTTAATTCAGGTGCATTTACCAGAGTTGTAGAAATCGACCCTGTACTTCCGCCTCCTGTAAATTCTGCCAATTCCTCAAAATCAGGCTCGGTGTCTCAGCCAAGGTCTAACCTTTTTGACATTGAGATGGAGATAGAGGGTTGGTACTTGGAAGTGTTAAGTATCGGCAGACTGAAAGATGAACAGCCCAGATATGACCTACTCTCAAGCTTTGCTAAACATAAAATACAGGCGTTTGTCAAAGATTACGTTCCTCAAACCAATGTTGACAAGAACCTGATTATAAAAGATGCCCTCACAAAGATCTTTGTGTTGTTGGTAGGTAGCAAAATTGATGATGCCTCCCTTAAGGTGTTTCTTGAGAGCGCATATCCCAACATTGACCTCGCTTACAGTGATGAAGATGTGGTATTTTCTCGCAGAAGCATATTCCATGAAGCTGCTATCTGCGAGTTTTATTCAAGAGCTTTCATTTTGCGTGAGGCATTACGCCAATGTAGTGAGTCATTTTTACAAGGAGAGATTTTGAGAAAACTACTGAATGCAGAAGATATACACGGTCGCACTCCACTGCACTACGCAAGTGAACTAGGGAAGATTGAATTTGTCCAGTGTTTGATAGAATCTGGGTTGCTAGACTCTGTTGATGTGTTAGACAATACCTCAAAGACTCCTTTGGTGTTAGCTGTTATCAATAATCATATCGAAATTACTAAATCCCTTTTAGTTGATGGGCATGCCAATCCTTCACCGAGTGTTGATGAATTTACCAAGCCTCAATTTTCTCCTTTGAATGTGGCTTGTGCTCACAAGAACTATGAAGCAGCTAAGCTTATCCTCGACATAGGAAATATCGATCTGTCTGCTGTGCGAGATTCACAGGGCTTGTGCCCACTTCATATCGTCGCCAAAAATGGTGGTGACGCCAAGTTAGTTGAGTTATTGATTTCACGAGGAGCCGATCCAAATGGAGTTGATGGATTCAACAGATGGACCCCTGTCTTTTATGCCATTCAAGAAGGTCACGCAAATACTGTCGAGGAGCTGCTAAGAAATGGTGCCCGTTTGAATATTAGTGATGAAGACAACTTGTCGCCTTTATTCTATGCTTTGTGGGAAGGTCATTTAAGCGTTCTCAACATGCTTCAAAAATACAAAAACAACATTCATGTTCACTCACCAAAATTCTCGGATACGCAGAAATCTGCTCTTCTAGCCGATGATGTCTTGAGTGCTACAGATTCTTTGAACGATATACCAGATTTCACTCTACCTCCTCCAATTATTCCTCTGAGAAAATATGGGCATAATTTTCTAGAAAAGAAAATATTTGTCAAGTTGTTGTTTCGTTCGGGAACTGGATCCATAGTCTTGAACAAGGAAGATGAAATGGTACTATCTTCACCTGGCCGCATAACATTGACTTCCAACGTCTCTGATCTAATTCCACGTAATGTAATTCTTCCTATTGAAGAGGACGACGAGCATGTTGTAGTTTTCCAGATAAATGACGTCACAAATTTTTCAATTGATTTCGAGGTGTTCCCATCCTTTGGTACACGTTTGATTGCTAAGACTACTGCAATGCCAACCTTATTCACTAACGAAATGAGTAAGCCTTCAAACGGTGGACACGTTGTATTGCCCCTTTTCGATTTCCGTCTAAAAAATGTTGGTGAACTAATACTAGACTACAAGATAATTTTCCCCTATAATGGCAAGCCTCTTGAAATCACCAAATATGAGACTTACTGGAAGTCGACTAGTGGCCTTGATGGTGGTAAAGGAGGTCATCATTTTGTCACTTCATCGTCGTTATGTGGAAGATACATTACTCTGTTTGTAAGCCCATTGAATGATGGAACGATCGTTGTCTCTCCAAAAAAGTCTATTGCGGTAGGTGATGCAAACCTTATTTTGATGGATTTGAGTGCCCGCCAATTGGAACAAATCACGGGCAATTCTTTAAATGACGTACCTGAAATTTCCGACGAAGAGAGTTTAAAGAAGATTGTAAACTCCAGATTTTTGACGTTATCTGCATTGCTAGAGAAAATACCTCAGGGTATTCAACTGGAAATAGAAGTTTGTTTCCCAACAACGTGCGAAATTGAAAGTGTTCCTCTGAAGTTATCACCCCACGTGGATATCAACGACTTCATTGACTGTGTGCTCTCTTCTCTCTTCGATCATGTTCGCAAGTTGTACAACAAAGGCTCTACTTCATCAATTGTATTTTCTTCTTGCAACCCCCAGGTCTGTTCTATTCTAAATTGGAAACAACCGAACTTTCCAGTTTTGTTCCATATGAACGGCCTAGAAAAAAATGGTGATCTGTTTGAGAAGGAAACACCTCACCATTTATCATACTTGGCATTGGATAAGGACAAAATCGACTATGCAGATCCTTGTTCCCGTTGCATTAGAGAAGTGACACAGTTCGCTTGTCACAATAACCTCCTAGGTGTAACCATACCCTTAGACCTCTTGAGAATCAGTGAAGAACTAATAAGCGAAATTCGATGCCAGGGACTTTTGTTGATTGGTTCAACATTTTCAAGCGAAGCGATACCATCTGATTGGACTGAGGAAGACATAAATGGCTTAAGAACTGATACAGCTCTGGAATTAAAAGGCAGTATCGATATGTAGTTTTCGAAACAGCGCGAGTTTCTGCATCTCATTATACGTTATATAGCATTGCAATGCATTCTACTGTTTACTGTAGTATGATTGACAATTTTCGTGGACATATGTGCAATTACTGCTTATTGGACATTCTTGAGAAAATACTCCTTCACCTTGTCGTCAGGCACTACGTCGATTGGATATTTACCACTGACGTCTTGAATGTCCTTATATTCGGCATTGTATTCGAGAACCAGTAACACAGCGACATCTCCTTGTCCCTCGGCTAAAGCGTGGAACAGAGGTGTCCACCCCTGGATATCTTTGACGTTCACAGGAGATTTTTGATCGCACAGTAACTTTACCAAAGGAATGCTTCCTACACTAGCTGCCCTATGAAGAGGGAGCTGTGATCTAGAATCCTTTATTCTTGTAGATGCTCCATTGTCCACAAGATAGCGAGCGACAGAGAAGTGCTGCTTAGAGCATGCTAAATGCAAGCCAGTGACACCTTGTGAAGTCTGTAAATTCACGTCAGGTTTGATGGTATGATTCATCAGCTTCGTTACCAGCTCCAAATTTCCAACAGAGCATGCAATGTGTAGAGCCGACCATCCTGAATCGTCTAGTAAATCGTCTAGATCCACTTTTTTCATCTGATGAAGAAGCAAATCCACGATTGCTTCATGCTGGAATGAGCATGCCCAATGAATAGGGTATCTGCTGTCTAAATCCTTAGTTAAACATAATTCGGGCTGCTCTTGTAACAGCTCTCTAACCCGATCAATTTTACCATCTCTGCATGCCTCGTGAAGTGGGAATGACTCCGCCATGCTTGATATGGCAAGACTCCTTATTAAAAGCTGAAGTTTAAATTGCTTAGGAAGTTTAAATCTCCTAAAATTTCTAGACTAAAAGCACAAACTACAAACGCCAGATTACTAATTGGTTAGCTAAATAGAATGCGTTTCATAGAGCATGCAACCGTCAAAGTATCTCGTTCAACCTATTTTATAGCTATTCCTCGATTAAGGTAGCAGGCAAGGGAAGCCTAAGAAGCGACAGTCCTGTTAGCACATGGGAAAATAACTCCCCAAATATAGATAAATTACTGCAGAGATCTGGCAACTGCAAGATATTTGACATCTCAGCCTCTGTAGATTAAATTCTCTTACATTTAGCAGCTGTTCACTAGCCTTGTACCCTTCACAAGATTTCTGTGTAAACAAGGCCGCAATTTAAGCCAGAAACGACGAAGAAGTCACCAAAAAGATGTATATAACCGATTTAAAGACCACGAAGAGTTCAAGATATTCTAAAGGATAATGCTTCTCAATAGGAGGCCCATTCATTTATCAATTACAGAGTCCATTACACGTGATTCAAGCACGTGATTTGTTATTTTCTTGTAATAATTATCTTTATTTCGGTGGCAACATATTGGTTAGAGAAAGCATTCGGCTGAACATAACATCGGCAATGAATAGATCACCAGGAGAATTCCAGAAATTTGCCAAGGCTTTCCAGAGACAACTAGCAAGAGCCCAACAGGCGGGTGGTGGCTCTGGTCCTCGTGCCCCCCGCGGTGCTTTCGCCGGCTTAGGAGGGTTGATTCTCCTTGGGGGTGGGGCCATGCTTCTCAACGCCTCTCTTTTTAATGTAGATGGTGGTCACAGAGCTATCATGTACTCACGTCTAAGTGGTGTACAGCAGCGTATTTACAATGAAGGTACCCACTTTGCTATTCCATGGCTGGAGACCCCGGTGGTATATGATGTGCGTGCGAAACCCCGTAACGTGGCATCGTTAACGGGAACAAAGGACTTACAAATGGTGAATATCACTTGTAGGGTTCTTTCGAGGCCGAATGTTGCAGAATTGCCCACAATATACCGTACACTGGGACTGGACTATGATGAGAGAGTCTTGCCCAGTATCGTGAACGAAGTGTTGAAGGCGGTCGTCGCTCAATTCAATGCTTCGCAATTAATAACACAGAGAGAAAAAGTCTCTAGACTTATCAGGGAAAACTTGGTGCGTCGTGCGTCCAAGTTCAACGTTTTGCTTGACGACGTGTCAATCACTTTTATGACCTTCTCACCTGAATTCACATCGGCTGTAGAGGCGAAGCAGATTGCCCAACAGGATGCGCAAAGAGCAGCTTTCGTAGTCGACAAGGCCAGACAGGAAAAACAGGGTATGGTAGTTAAAGCTCAAGGTGAAGCAAAATCTGCAGAGCTGATTGGTGATGCTATCAAGAAATCCAGGGACTACGTCGAACTTAAGAGATTGGAAACGGCCAGGGAGATTGCAGACATCTTGAGCACATCCCCAAACAAAGTTATCTTGGACAACGAGGCCCTATTGTTGAATACTGTGACGGACAGCAGAAACAAAAAGTGAAGTTTTCTGACTATTATCCTACTAAGTATGTTCTTGTTTATAGCACTATTTCCAATACGGGTACTTTTATTCAGTTATTTAATGATGGAGCAAAGCCTAAACGCTCTGCGTAGACCAATGAATGTGATTTTTGGTGAAAAGGTGGTGAAATCCGATGCAGTAGAGGGTTAACGAATGTACACAATCCGGATCACGATGAAAAGGCGACCGACACAATCAGAACTGCTCCACTACTTTAATTCTTCGCGCAAACAGGATTTCTGGTTGTTTCGATGTTTTTAACTCTATTATTTCCTAGGGGTATTATATCGACGCATCATGGAATCGCGCCGTTTTATCGGGCAGAAGGATTTATTCTTCATCGCTGTCGCTGTCACTACTGTGTTTAGCAGTGGCAAAATTCAATTTGGTAGGCTTTGCATTTGCACTGAACAGTTTAGACTTGTGTTCATTCAATCTCTGAGAGCATGGAGATAGTAAATCATCAGTTGGTGATGCAAATTTGTTCTTCATTTCGAGAGCTGCAGGCTTCTTGAACATTGCTCTATGGAGATCGGATGTCGCCAAGGTTGGGACAGGCTTTTGATGCAAAGGTTGGATTGAAGGTTGAGACATCTTTCGCGTTTTTGAGTAAGAAGAAGAGTATTATGAAGCAATTGTCTGCACTTTTCAATAGTGAGGGTTCCATGCCTACGTATTTACATTTTTCCATAACGGGAAATCATATTAGTTCCACTAAATGGACGACAAATAGCGGACAGCGCACGAAAGATACATGACACCGCAACTTGCAACACAAAATACAACAAATAGTACGAAACAGATACGTTATGTATCAGTGAGGAGCCGTAGAGTTATGGAACCTGGCTATCTCCTATTATTACTCAATTGGTATTACTCCTTATTAAAGAATGTTACGTACTTAGTGATTAAGCAAAATTTTCCAATTTCCTGTAAAAGGATTTAGTGTTTTAACAATATCAACAAGGATAGTCTTAAGTTAGTTGATTTGAATTGTGTGAGTCCATTTATACCATAAATTCGATATCAAGCATTTGAACATGGAGGGAGTTAAGAAGAAATGGAAGGAACTTTTGTATTCCTTCAGCACGGAAGATCACTACGCCGAGTATAACCCAAATACGTCAGTTCAAGGTCCCAGCGCCTCAATGGCGGCGGATGGAATCAATGGCATGGCTTCATCGTCACAGATTCAATTAACAGAATTTGTGGATGGCGGCGACTTAGGAGGCAATGACGGAGTAAGTGAAGCCATGTTGGCATGGAGACACATCGACGCGTGGGCCAGTGAGCATAATCCGGACTTGTTTGCTACGTTGAGCGATCCTTGCACGAGAAACGATCTCAACAATGCCGAGAGAGATCTTTCTATCACGTTTCCAGCTTCCGTACGCGCATCTTTGCGGCTGCACGACGGTCAAGAAGATCTCGAATCTCTGACAGGTACTTCGGGCTTAATCTACGGTTTGCAACTCATGCCATTGGATGAAATTGTTCATATGACGCAAACTTGGAGAAATGTCGCCGAAAACATGATGAAGAGAAGAAAAACGCATGTCCCAGCTGCAACGGTCCAGGGCTCTAGTGTGGAATTGCCAAACAAATCAGCAGCCCCACAATCGCTGAAGACCAAAGGTTATGGGAAACTAGACAGCCAAGACTACGCCAGTGGTAACCCAGAGCTGCAACGCAATATCTCCGCTAACCATAACAAGCAATTCAAAATGGCCCGCATCCCTCGTCAGAGTTCCATACCACCAGATAGCATACAGCCGGTGTATGCACATCCGGGATGGATTCCATTGGTTACCGACAATGCCGGAAATCACATTGGAATTGATTTGGCACCAGGTGCCCGCGGAAGATACGCACAAGTCATCTTATTTGGTAGAGATTTTGACACTAAATTTGTCGTTGCGGCCAATTGGGGTGACTTCTTGTTATCGTTTGCTAACGACCTAGAAAAGGGAAATTGGTATCTGGTAGACGAAGATGATGATTTTTTCGGCGGCGAGGGTGAATTGGTTTTCAGAGATAAGGAGGCAAATAGCTCGATTCGTGATTATCTCGAAGTTCTTAAGTCAAGAGCTTGGCAAAAGTGGCAATCATCACGGGAAAAACAAATCGAGAAATCTAATGAACAAGCACAGGCAAAAGATATTTTAGACGCAACTCCTAGTGAACTAGAGCATGAATCGACTTTATTCGAAAAATCCCCATCACCTGAACCTCAAACAGAGACCAAAGGAACAAATGATCTAACAAACGAAAGTATCGTTGAATCTCCTGCAGAATCTGTTCATAGTGTTGAGCTGGATAAGGAGGAGCAAAAGGAAGAGCCCAAAAGCGAGCCAGCTGAAGTTCAAGAACATCAAACCTTGTCCGACGAGCAGCCTAATTTAACGAAAGAACAGTCGCTGGGGGAACAGGTCAAAAAAGAAGATGTCTCACCAGCAGAGCCTTCCGGAGATGTCAAAGAACTAAAGGAAGAGTTCGAAAGTATCGCTCTTTAATTTTTCACGTTATGATTACTTCAATGTTTATATTTGTCATGTAGTAGTATAGTTCTATATTTGTATCAAAGAGAGATTTTCATTGGATTTGAAAGTTATTAAAAATATTGCTTACTTGTAAAGACAGGTATTTAGGGATCCTACCAAGTAATACGTTGTAAGTATTGCTCTGTTGTCCAAACAAATGGATATTTTATGAAGATGAACAAAGTGAAGGCATTGATAATTATGAACCAGATGAGCTCAAATGTCAAACGCTTTGTGCAACTAAACCTAGTTGGCACTTCTTTGCTAATGTAGGCTTCTGGCGAAGCAGAAACAAACAATCTCCAAAAAATAAAAGGAAGTATGTAATATCTTGGTTCAAATAAAGGCGAAGGTACTACCGTCATAAAAGTGCACAAGATAAGTACTGTCCATGATATGTGTGTTAATTGAATTGGTAAATCAACCGCTGACTTGATTTCTATAGGTAGAATTGGGTGGAAATGCATTACTCTTGGCCTCACGACTTCAATGTATGTGAATGTGGCAAAATGATACACTGCTGGCATCAATAAATATTTGAAACAGAAGTTTCTTGTGATAATCTTTTTAAGCAGATAAAAAGTGAAATGGCGGTTGTCCGCAAGAAGAAATGGATGAATAACCGTAAAATACCGAATAACCAGTATTATTCCCAGGAGTTCAAAGATAAAGCGTAATGGCTTTCCAAGATTCCTGGTAAGATATGACTTGAGGAATAATCTTGACACCCAAATTGGGGCACTAAAAACAGCCATAAAAGTAAGGCAATAAAAAAACTGGACGCCATGTAGCCCGACAACATGGTTGTCCTTATCGCCCAGGGTGATGGATCGATTGAATAGCAAAAATAGAGCAAAGGCGACCATATTCAACGCATATGGCAATATCAACGTGTGGAAGTTTTCAATTGCATGGATAGTGAATTTCAGGTAGTTATTGAAATTAACATTGTTAAAGTCCTTATGAATGAGAGCTCTTCTTTCAACGACCAAAACCATTATAAATATGTTCCAAATAATATTGGTCTGTCTAAATGTACAGCTTACGAGCCCACACAGTGCGCTTAGCCAAATACTAGCAGTTTCCCCAAAGGGTAATGTCAATGCGAGTGTTAAAGACTCCACGATGAGTATCGTTGACCAAACATCTGTATAATAGAGATAATAATATGCTGCCATAAGTGGAAAGGACATCAGAGTAATGGGCCAAAAACCAATAGCATTAAAGAGAAAAAGAGGTCGAAGAACTACCCAAGGCCACACAACAACACCTCCTAATAAATTAACCATTCTCAGTATAGTCAAAGTACTCCACGAAGTAAAGAAGTGCATAATTTTATAGTTGAACCACCCTAGAATATATAGACCAGGAGGGGTCGTAATTTTTGGATTCCACTCGGTCCAACGCCCAGAAATATAACGAACTGTTTGATCAACATGGAAAATCTCATCTATAAACTGGTAAGGTACTATCTCAGTGGTAAGCTTATAAAATGAAAATCCAAGAACCATGGAAAGAACTGGCCACCCTATTAGGTTGGCAAGAAACCCAGTTTCAACTTCTCTTTGAATATCCTGTTCTAGTAGCTCCTCAACATTTTCTTTCGGCTTTTCTTCCCCACTTGTCATCGTGGATTAGAAGGCTAAGTGTCACTAATATAATTAGAATCGAATCTCGCGGATTTATTGTCTAAAACTTTAATTAGTGGATGTTCTTGTTGAAGACAATATTTTAACTCGTGCAAAAGTTTTGAAAATTTCTGTGCTTAAAACAAATCGAAGAAGTAAGGGAAATCGCAAACATCTGAAGAGTGGCATACTAATAAAGTATAGATGATAGTATTGGGTATATTATCATGCATATACCTTTCTATTGTCTCAGCTCGAGACTTCTGGCCGTCGTTATCTTCAGATGCGGAGATTGCGGTACGATCACAAAGAGATATGATGACGAACGTTAGCATAGACCAGTTACCATTAGTAGGGGTTGAGCTTGACGACGTCATATTCAGAGGTGAATCGAATGTGACACATGCATTACAGAGTATTAGTACCCTGTTGGAAGTTGGCGTCCAAGCATTTGTGGTTGACATAGATGCCGATGAGAGTGTGGATAACTTGATGATAATGAATTCCCAAGTGACCTTAGGTAATCTTTTGAGCGTCTTCAGCAATTATATCAGTTCCACGAACAACTATCTAGAGGCGAATGTTCTCGTAATCCTTCTGCGTCTGCGATCGGAAAGCAACAGCACAGTTAACTTTCCACCAAATATGACACAATATCTCGAACAATATTTAAATCTTCAAAAGGTTTATACGCCAGAACAGCTTCAGTCTGATAGAAATAGTGGACATACTATTGGTTATCAAGGAGTATCGAATTCAAGCGGGTGGCCAACATTAAAATACTTCCTTTACGAAATTGAAAAAAGAATAGTCATAACATCCATTTCCGAAGAATTATTAACTGAACTTCCTACGAGTATGATATTTGATTCTTCAACCTTGAACTATGAAAGTGGAAACGCCACCACTGTTTGTCCCTTGACTTCTGATAGCCAAATTACCAGCACCTCCGTCATTAGTTGGAGATTCCTGGAATCTGAATTTCTTCCGGATCATATCCATGAATATGTCAAGTGTGGGTATTCTACTGTTATATCTAACTATTACAATAGTGATAACATTTCTGCTATTTCTGATCTACTTGATCGTGGCATTATCTGGTCTTGGGGACCTGGTCAACCGAACTCAACCGAAACAAGTTTCGGTAGCAGCAGCACTACACTAGTTGCCTACAGATGTGCCATTATGCATTATACTTCTTCAAACTCTTCAACTAGTTGGAGAATTGGAAACTGCTACGACGAAAAACGGTTTCTATGCGGGCGATCAGATAATGTATCAGCCTGGGCCACAGTTAGTGAAGAGAGTGATTACTTTACAACTGGCGATGATAATGAGAAAACCCTCTGTCCTAGCGGATACAAAATCGGTCTCCCCGAAACTCCGCTACAGCAAAGGGCAGTTGAGCTTTATCTCGAGAGAATCGAGTCGGACGATATGGATTTATGGATCGACCTGAACTGTATCTCTGTTCCAAATTGTTGGGTCACCGGCGGGCCTTATGCATCCTGTTCTTATGAGAAAAATGTTTCCACCCGAAACTTCGTCCATATGATTTCCCCAGTAAGTGTATTTTCCTTTGTCCTCTTAGTTATGGTCATATACCTGAATTGGCTGCGAGTTCCCATACAAGACAATAGAAAAAGTTGGAAGAGACTTTTAAATGCACATTCAAATTCTGAGTTCGAAGGGGTTCCTTCTTGATTATTCTAGCATTGTAATAATATTTAAAAATTAGAAAAACAAACAATCCAAGCATCACATCAAATTCCCGCCCTTCAGCTATTTCATCTGTATGATGGTTTCCGTGCTGGGTTAGCATATCTCATAACCTTTCTGATTAGTCTTCTTCTTTTGAATAGGTCATCTACCAAGAATTCTCCTTCAATGGTTAGATCGAGACCTCTTTCCGTAGCCCAGCTCTCAACGTCATAATCTATTTTCCATTGCTCATTGTTTTCGAAAGAATATGTAGTCGGCGGCGATATCAACTTTAGATCATCGACTCCAGGTGGAGGTATTTGTGCCTTTCTAAAAGAATCACTTTGATCGAAAACACTAGTAGAGTAAGTATAAAAGTGCCATATCTTAGGAGTAATGCCTTGCTTGTATATTTCAAAAATTTCTGCAGTTTTCGTTTCCGGAGGCTCATCCAAAATGATATCATAACGTTCAGTTTTCAATAGCGCCTTTTTACTGTTGTCCAGTTGTTCCTTCTTGATTATTCTCGAAAGTTTCGGACGTACCTTTGGGTGAGTGGCTATCATTATAATCCAAAGGCCCATGCTAGAAACCAAGCTCCAATTGATAAACGGTGCAACCAGCCAAAGAAATAGAAGGGAAAGAAGCCCTGCTAAAAATAAGGCAGTAGACCTATGCTCGTCTTTAAAGCCAGCAGTCCCATATATAAACTTTTCGATGTTGTCAGAAAGTTTGACGATAGCAGACATAGAATTTTGCAAATCGCGTAGATTTACAACGAATTCCATACTCTGTTTGATATGATGGGCTCTATTTATATCATATTGCTTCATATCTGTATTGTATTCATATTCCTGTATGCTATCGCTGGAATGCCATTCCGTTTTCTTGCCCCCACTAGCAAGCGATTCTATCAAAGACTTTCCATAAGTTCTTCTGGACAGATATGCAGACCTCCGCATAGGGTGCCTATGTATGTACCCTGGAGTCATTAACCCATAGAGTACATATAGTAATGGAATAATGACAACATACATGGGATTAAAACATATGATCGTTAAGAAAATCAGCATTGTCACTGTTGCAGAGGGGTTTCGCCAGGTAATCACTCTGACCACTGAATCCTGGAACTCAAATACGCCACCCAGTTTAGTTGTTAGTATCTTGAGATTTGCTGCGAAAACAGTAGCAGATAACTTTTGGCTTTTCCGTCGAGTCGGATCACCTACCCTTTGGGAAAACTGCTCTCTTTCAGGGAAGTCCTCGGGCAGTATACGTGAGATCATTTTGTCCAGCAAAATGTCAATGAAATGATCACCAGTTCTTTTCGGTTTTGACGAAGCTGGCTTTGATTTTTTTTCTGGTACGCTGTCGCCATGCTCAGCATCAACACTTAGTTCATAGTCTTGTCGGAAATTTTCGTCCTTCCAAAAACTATCCGAGCTTTCAGACCTGCTGGCCAGCATATACTGTTCAAAATCTTCATCAATCGACAACCTATCAGTTTCTTTACTTGCCTTTACCCTTTCAATTGTCGCCTCTAGTAATGAGCTTGCTACCCCATGAATTAGCTCCCTGTTTGAGACTTTCTTTCTGTCACCTTTTAAATCATTTGCAAGGATAGACTCTAGTGTCTTATCGTATTTTTTGGCCATGTAATCGCTTACTAGTGACCTTCCAATGCCAAATGCACCACTTGAATTGGACTCCATGGTGCTTATTTCATAGTTTTGATCCAATGTGAATTGACAATATTGCGGATTTCTCTATCCAGGTTAGGGATGTCAGAAAAAAACAAAACTACTTTGCGGCCGGGTTGTGACAAAAATGAATATACCATACTTATGAGCTTATAGTATGGACAACATAGTTGGAAATCTCTCAATTGGATTCTTAACTATTATTGACGAACTTAAAATTAATACCACGGTACGTTTGCATTTTTGAAGGAAATGCCCTATGATTGAAATAAAATCTAACTCACATGATATTAACAGGCCATAAATTTATTTGATTGATATTACTATAGTTATATATATTTAGCATTTAGCTTAGATGTACATCTGAGAAGAGATATTTACCTTATTATTTTGTCGTTTTTATTAATCCCTTCACTGAACTCTATCAATTCACTCCCGTAGATCCCTTGCTGTTGAGCTTCCATAATAGTAGACTGCTGTGAACTCCATAGCTCATAAAATCTAACAGTTTCATCATTGGTGGCAATGCATATTGAGCTAAAATCTGGAGATGGCACAGCACTTAAAACTCGAAGGGCAGTGCTAGAATGCACTTCAGTTAGCGGCTGGAGTAACGGGTACGAATAAACGGTAACCAACGTGGGTCTTTCCAGATCACCGAAACCAAATGTAGCAACAATTTGCTTTTGTTTTACTGACCAAATCAAGGACGTAATTTGCCCTGGGGCTTTAACATGCTGTAACAAAGTCCCCGATTGTGTATGCCAGAATCGAATAGTACGATCCTTACTTCCACCACCCGTTGCCAGTAAAGACTTGGACCACGGACAGAACGCAACTGCCTTAACAGCTGCTTTATGTGGTAGTACAAATTGCAGACGAGGGCCACTTAAGTTTGTGGTGTCCCAAATGGTACATGCATTATCATTTCCTCCAACAGCTAATTGATTGGTAGCATCGTTGTATGACAAACCTGTACGTATTTCGTTAGTAAAAAGCTTTCAATCTTAACAATTTGGGATAAAAAGGTATCTTATTTTGATATATACCGCAAACTTGCTGGTTTTGAGCTTTGAACTTCGATAGAATCACGAATATCCACCTGCGATTAGCTGTCGTACAGCGTTTAATTTTTGGCAGTTGGTTCATTCTAGTTGATGCTTCCTCCCCATCTCTGTATCTATTATCATTGCTCTCTACTGGGCTAGTCATACCAATATCTGCTAGATTATCATTACATCGAATTTCGCATAATTCTTCGTGCACGCATTCTAGTTGTATCACATGAACATCGCCACTTTCCTCACCGACCAATACCACATTTTTATCATGACTTTTGAACCACTCGATGCAGCATACACCCTTTAAAGTAGCATCGTTAGATATGCACAATGGTTTGAAGCCGCCAGCAAAGGCTTCGTCTGGGTCATCTCCTTGAGTGAAAAGCAGTAGACGACCTTGCTTCGTTCCAACTAATAAAAGATCATTATATGGGGAAAACGATACGCAAGTGACTATATCATTGTTAGGCTGTAGGTATGAGTAATGTAAGACATTGATGGCACCTCTAGTATCAGACCAAATATAGACTGCACATCCGAGACCAACCACAATGTTCCCACTTATGCGTGACCAGGACACCAAGTTGGAGTAGAAATCATTTCTCAACGAAGGAGCATCTAAAACACGATAAGGTACATGAGATTTAGTTCGTTTAGTAGGTCTCTGGTTCATGGGCACTAGGCTTCTGCTCCGTAAACTATTCGAAAACGCTTGCATCGTGAGATAACGGATAAGCTTTTTTGGAGGAAGAATCGAGAGCATGGGGTCAACATTGGTGTGGCTGGTACTCGTACTGTTCAAAGTATTCGATTCGGAGTTGGAAACGTTCGGATCAGAAGCAGAAAAATGGTAAACCCGCTCAGCAACATGGAAGCCCAACGCATCTGCGATGTATCTTCTGTGTAGTTTCTGTTTCAGTGGGGATTTCTCATCTTTTTTGGGGGCGTCTGCATTTGAATCGGTGGTTATCGAGCTGTAATTCCTAGTGAACCTTAAATTCGAGAAAAACTCAGAGGACGTTAGGTAAGATGGCGAACGTGTGCTTTCACTAAGTTCAGATGCCTCAAAATCGATTGTTCTCAGTCGGTGAGCCGCATTATATGCTCGGTGAGAAGTCTGCTGTGGAATATACCTGTCCACAATATCGCACGCATTGCCGCTGATCGCGATGCCTTTGTTTTTCCTTTTGGGAGTACTAGTGGAGAGAGCGTCTTTCGGATAAATAAAAGAGCTTGCGATGACTTTCTCTTCGTCCCTTCTCGTCTTCATAACAACGTTTGTGTTTACCTGTTTGGTTGTTTGTTGATTGTCACGCAGTATTTTCGCAGCTTCCTTCTTATTTTACCTCGTTTTTAATATAGTTTACCAATTCCTATTATTATGAAGATAAAGCTTTCAATTTGCTAATGGTTAGATGTTTGTTACTTAGCAATAACCCGTCTGGTTGTGATGAAGATAGTTAGCAATAACAACGCTGTTTATCAGCAGCGCTATCGAGTCCCAGTCTTTAAGTTTTGGGACTGCAGAAGAGGTAGAGCAATTATTCAGGTCTCAACGTGAGTTTTGTCTACAGAAATATACTCATACTCATTTGAAGACAATAGTGGCACATCTTCTGTGGCATTTGTCGTCGAATGTCGCCAAACGTCAGCGGCGCCTTGAGTCAGAAGTATAACTCTCACAATTAAGAAAACGATCGATCAATGAAGGAGTTTCAAGTATCTGGAGAAGCTTAAATATCTGGAGGAGCATGTTGCCCAAACATGTAGATAATATGTGACCGAACTTGACTGCAATTTCTACGATTATTGAATTTGTTTGTGCTCGTCGCATCTTGTTCTGTTTAGTAAGCCATTATTCGTGACAAAATAAAAGCTTTTGGCCGTTTGAAAACTCTGTAGACCGTAAAATGATTCATTGAACTGTAGATCTAATGAATCCAATGGTAGTTTTCCGGACTCATGATCGCAGATCTGGGCGAATGTTAATTAGTCTGATATCACGTGATTATTGATCGCATCGATTTCGTGATCACAACATTGAATTTAAAGATGATTTCCGCAATAGAGCGGAACAGAACGAGCCAACAAAAAGATTGTTCCCACTAAATGAACACGAGGAACCCTATAGTGAAATCTAGCCCAATAAAACCAGCTAGATTTCTCAGTGTAAATTTCAACCAAGATTATACATGTTTCAGCTGCTCCACTGAAGATGGCTTCATGGTATTCAACGTTGATCCGTTGGAAAGTAAACTAAGCAAGCAATTTTCCAATCCAAATGCTAGCGGAATCGCCTTTACGCGGATGCTGTATCGAACAAATTACATTGCTTTAGTAGGAGGTGGCAAGCGTCCACGGTACCCCCAAAGCAAACTAGTTATTTGGGATGATCTACAACAGCGCGAATCCATTACTTTGAGCTTCATGTCTCCTATTCACAACGTATTTCTCTCGCGCGTACACATGGTTGTCGTTTTGCAGAATACTATCGAGATTTATCAATTTGGGTCCAAGCCACGCAGACTGACGTCCCCTCTTGAAACGGGAACGAACGCGACCACTGACTTTGTTGTGTGCCAGCGAAAACTGAGACGCTCATCTTCGTCGCAAACGGGCTCAGGAAACGACTCGCTCATGGTAACAAAAGGGATATTGGCTTTTCCCTCCGCAAGAAATGCAGGGCAGGTACAGATCGCAGATCTGGCACAATTGCAGCTCAGTGAGATCGAAGAAGAATCATCCGCGCAATTGCCTACTTCAATTATCAAGGCTCATAAAACACCCATCAGGTGTATCAAGCTAAATCCACAGGGAACAATGCTCGCTACGTGCTCCGTGCAAGGAACAATCGTGCGGATATTCAGCACACAGAACGGATCTTTGATCCGAGAATTTAGGAGAGGTCTGGACCGCGCCGATATCTATGAAATGGCGTGGAGCCCCCGTGGAAATAGGCTAGCAGTTGTTAGTGACAAGCAGACGCTTCACATTTACCAAATTACCGACGATGATGAAGAGATGAAGAACAAGACGCATGTTTTGAAAGATGTTCCATTTTTTTGGAAACCAAAGTATTTAGAATCAACGTGGTCCATGTGTTCGCTGCATTTACATTCTGCTCTAAAAAGTAAGGATGACTTGAACGACCAGGAGTTTTATAGTGATAGATGCAAACTTGGGTGGTGTCACGATGGCGAAGAGGATAGCTTGGTACTAATTTGGAGGAAAAGTGGGATTTGGGAAAAATATGTGATTTTAGAAAAGGAAACGAAGGCATACACCGTCAATGAAACGTTACAGAAACCATCAACCTTAAGCCAAACTAAAAAGAAATGGGAGGTAATCAGAGAGAGCTGGAGACAGTTGTAACGTACGGAGTCCTGGAGCAGAGTTATGGTGCCAAATAAAAGTAATTAATTTCGATGATGATTTTTAAATATACTTTTACAAGTGTTATCTATCGAAGTGCTTCAACTAACAGTTTGCATTGGTCGTTTTCATTGAAGTAAACTCCGTGAAAGTTCCTTTGGAACTTACTGCAATCTTGCGCCGAATTAAATGCCATGTAAGTAAGCGTCTTACCAGTAGACGTATCCCAATAAAGTTTGAAACAATGCTTGATTTCGTAGCACCAGTATTTTTCTGTAATATCGTAAGGTCTCAAGTCGGGAGGAAAGTTCCACACGATAAGGGACTTTTCCTCGACGGGAGCGATTTTTCGTCTTAGTTCATCAAGATCTAAGTTAGCAAATTCTGCTGGTGCAGTTGTTGCATGAATGGTCTCGAAAAACTTCTCTCGTGATTGAAATGCGGCTGACAGATTTGAAGCGTACTTGGCATAGGGCCTTTGTGGATTCGCAATTGGCACTGTCCGAAAATTTGGTCGCACGCCGTCAATACGACTGTATGCGACTTGTACCTGGTACTGCTTCATTGCTTTGAATGTAGGAAAAACAAGCTCATACTTGTCTCTGAATTGGAAGTATCGAGGATCTCGCACTTTAACCACCTCGAAGGCCGAAAGCGATTCCGGTAAACTTTCCGTCGAGAAAACCTTTTGAGGAAGAAGTTGAAGAAAGTCTTCCTTAGAAAGAAGTGGATTATAAGACCGCAGACTCAATACTCTAGGTCGCTGAGCACTCTCTAGAGGATGGCCCTCTCCACGAGTTTTTATAGAATGGTTGAGCTGACTTCTAGGGCCTGGCGTCGCACCCACAATATTTCCAGATCGTTTCATGTGTCGAAGCACATCCAGAGCCAGCTTCCGGGAGCTCATACTGCGTGGCTCACTCACTTAAGTTTCGCTCATTCACTGAAAAGGCCTGTCATATGATGATCTTTAAACTGTGTTCGTAATTGATGATGGATTGGCTAAAGTTACCCTGATATAAGAAAATGATAAACCCACGCACCATTTTGATGGTATAAAACGAAAATCGCTTGCCACTAATTTCGTTTTTTTCCTCACTCTCCAAGTCGCCCTTGTCTCGCTAACGGGGAGATCAGCATCAGAAAGGTGCACGAGTTTTTGATGCGCTACTCTATATCGAACATGGTTCTTGCCTTTTACCAGAACCATCCGGGTGTTGTCTCTTCCAGAGATAAGGTGTTGCACTTCACATTTTTTGGAACCTTTTCTTCGTCTCATTATTTGAGATGAAGGGCACATTTTTGTCCAAATTACGGCCCATGAGTACATGGAACGTTGAATTGGAAGTGTGTGTATTCTCACTAATATCTTCATCTTTTTTTGTCATAGTATCTTTAACCTTTACATAGGAGTCATCATAGCAACGCACAAAAGTTCGTAACGGTTTTTCCAGAGGTGTCTGAAGGTGCAGTTTCGCGGAACATGGAAACGCCGAGAGTTCGCAGGAACTCTCCGATAGTACCGCGCTGTAGATCGTATTTCTCGACAATGCCTTTTTTGGGTATAACGTGAAGTCCCTTCACGAAACGAAACAAACAGTTCTACCGGAAAAAAAATACAAAAATTTTCGCGTCATATTCTGAGAAGACAAACGTTGTTTTTACATCTTTCTTCCGGCGACCCAGATCCAACACTGACCTGTCCAACGCGCCAAAAAAGATTGAGGTGTCTGTTGGATATTGCACATCATGAAAACGATTACTCTTGCACGCAGAGCTGATTCATCGTCTACCAGTACCAGCTCCAGTTCAGAGAGCGCAAGCAAATCTTCATCTTCGACAAAGGCAACCACCAGCAAATGCGCTAGTGGTTCATCATGCCAAAAATCGGAATCTGCAGACAATTCTACCGGTGTTGTGGTAGCTGTAGTTGTACCCGTTGTGGTTGCGATATTGGCCTTGGCTTTTGTCCTATGGAAGGTATGGCGAAGAGGAAAGAAAGAGGCGCTTGAGGACAATGATCCCGACTTCGAAGGAGATGACGAGTTCTTACCCAATTTTGGACCCCAATATGAGCTCAGAGAGAACGGGGTACGCGGAATGGGGTCTGCCAGTAACTTTGACGACCTCGAATCTAGAACTCCGCAAAACCCGTTCGCGTCCAACTATATGGGTGGAAATGCGAGCATTAACACCGGTCTACCACTTGATCCATTTCAATTACCTCAGGGTAATGATACTAACGATTTGAGAGCATTTGCCCGAAATATTCAAAGTGCTGAATTTGATGGGTATAGGTTAGCGTCCCGCAATGCTAGCGAACATTCGCTGTCCTATCCGGAGAGTCGTTTCAGTCGTCCACAGGCTTTAAACAGTCAAGGTAGATTAGCATCCTTCACTAGCAGTAACAGTCAATCGATGGGTAGTTCTCCCGTGGATTACAACCAAGGTAAGGAGCAAGGTTTGTACAATGAGAAAAACTCTAAAACAGATCAAAAATCTTATTCTGATTCTTCAAGAGATTTGAGTCCAGCTCAAAATGCTCAGGACGAGTCATTCGAGTTTGAGAAAAGTCCTATCAAAAATGCTCGTGGAGATGTTACTCAAGGATACGTTAATTCTAATGTAGGCTTGGATGCCGAGAAAAGTTTTGGTGATCATGATTCTTTCGAGTTTCAAGATTCGAGTGAAACGAGAGAATCTGATCTTGCGTCCGCTCAAATTCAAAACGAAGAAATTGAAAATGTACCAGCAAATGTTGACGATGATGTTTACGCTTCAAAACTCACCAAAGAGGAGGAAAATATCAAAAGAATGAAGAGCATCTACGAGGTCTACTTGGACAGGCAGAAAACAATGAAGAGTGATAGAGGTAACAGAGATGAACAAGAAAATGCTTTTGGAGAGCAATCGAACTTCGAAAACGGGTTTGCAGCTGCAGAGAGCTTACCAGTTGGTGCCACTAGCCAGATCGATTCTGCTGTCAAAAGAGAACAAGAAAAAGATTTAAATAGCAAGCAAGACTTAGATGCACCTGCTGACATGGTCACTAAAGCAAATACTCTACATGTTCCCAGCCAATATGACAACTCAAAAGCTCGTCCTGCTTCTTCCATCTACTCTGAGATTCCTAGAATATCTCAACAGCCAGGTTTGCAGCCTGTGATGCCAGAACAAGACTACGCACAGTACCCAATGCAACAGCAGCAAATGCCTGAGGCTCAGTATGCCCAGCAAGGAGTGCACCCCGGACACATGCAACATCAGCAAGGAACGCAATATGGGGAAGGATTACAATATCCCCCAGTGGCTTATCAGCAAAACACCTACCCACCTCAATCAGTTCCGTATTCTTATCCTCCCCAAGCATATATGCCTAATCAGAGGTACCATCCTCAAGCGCTTGAAAATATTCAAGAATTGCCCAATCCTTCAAACTTGCCTTTCTCGGCTTCATCACATTCCTTAACTTCTTTTAAGAAGCGTGGGAATGAAATACGCCTACCAAATGGTACAATGTTGAATGGCAAATCATTTAGTCCCATTGATCATCCGGAACTTTTCTACAGTCAAAACATGGCTATGGAAGATTCACAATCTGCTTTCAGTCAACAGACTGGGGCGGCTCAAGTTCTTCCTCATCATTTAAGACAGAGTGTAGTTATGACCAACCCTATGGACTTATCGCAGCCAACCTTATTTAAACCAGCCGGATCCTTTAGAAACTTAAGCGCTGCAAACTCCCGCAATAACAGTATGACCTCTCAACACAGTGTTCAGCAGTACAGAAACCAATTGGCGCATCAACGAGTTAGCGGAATTTTGGATGACCATGACACTTTCCAACCACCTAGCGTTGGAGGCATCCTACCTCATAGCGGGTCCCAGGAGGACTTGCGCCGGCAGCTGGGCGCGTCTGAAAACTACAACGTAACATGAAGAAATATATCAAAGCTTCGTTGTGGTGTTTCCCAATCAAATTGTTCAAGTCATTTGATAACAGGCGTACTGTAAAAAAAATATGTTTTGTTTATGTAGCATTATCCACTAGTGTACATTAGTTATAAATCCTATACCCGGTTCTTGATTTTGAAACACCGAGGCTCATGCAAAGTCGAAATCGTCAATTTGGTTTCTGTATTTGAGAATAGTTTTCTTTATCTTGGAGCTATCGACCCAGGTGACATAATCTTCCATGTTTCGTGTAACCAAATAGGCAGGATCTGTGATCAAATTAGGACCCACTCTCACATGCCCCTGTTCTATAAACTTCACAGCATCTGAAAGAGTTTCAGCCATCTTGAGGCGGTGCATAATCACTGGCAAACGCCTTCTACAAATCGCGCTGACGGTGACACGGTTTTCTAGGTCCGAGATTTTGGATTTAGACGTGAGAATGCCCATAGCGTATAGCTTCTCCAGTAATAGCTGTTCGTGTTTTATTCTGAATGGATCTGTAGGTGGCAGAAGTGATAATTTGTGAGCCAAACGACGCACATCACCACATATCTTATTATATTTATGATAATCTTCACGATTCTGAATATGATAGGTCCGCATTACTTGCGTATCCCTGTGACCCTGATCTTGCTTCCATTCTAGAAAGTCCACTTTCTTCAGAAGTTTCTGCTCATGATGCTTAAGTTTTCTGACCATCTTTGGGTTCTCTGCTGTCTTTAGTCGGTACTGGGCAAAGCGATGAGATGAGCTACTCCATCGGAAGAACTTAAAATTTTTCATGTTCGTCTGCTGTGATTTAAAGAAAACCGTACACGTGATTGAAACAGGTGCTGATTCAACATGATCATAATCATGCTAACCTGATCCAATCTCTTAATGCTAAAGTTTAAAGTCATACATAGCTCATATTTAGTATTCATGTTCATGTCGGACTAAGCCTCTTTCACCTGTGTGATCAACTTACCTTTATTGATTCCGCTAAAAAGACCATTCCAAATTTGTGGAACAAGCTTAAAGTCGTCGCCCTCCGCTTTCTTGATAGTTGCTGACTTGGTGACATCAATGTAGCCTTCTTTCACTAAAGCCGCTAATTTCTTCCATGCGGTGGGGAACTCGGATATGTTGTCAGTCACCAAAAGACCTTTGATTGTCAATCGCTTGGTAATGACAGCACCATATGCCTTGTAGACAAACTTGCTGGGGTCGTTGTAACCACTAATAGAGCCACACGCAAGGATGGTACCTCTTTGCTTCAAGAGTACAGTTCCCAGGTCCAGAATTTCTCCTCCAACATTATCAATAAAAAAGTCCACGGTATTGGGGCCACCAGCGGCTTTCAAAAGATCATCTCTAAAAGATTCTTTCTTATAGTCAACGACAGTGACTTTGTCACTGAATGACTTCAAATACTTCACCTTTTCAGGACCACCAGCAATGGCAATGACTCTAGAGGCCTTGAAGACATGGAGGGCAAGCTGGACGGAAACTGTTCCCACAGCGCCAGCGGCGCCAGAAATCAAAAAAGTCTTACCATAATCCTCTTCTCTCTCTTGCAATCCTGCGTACTTGTAGAAAATGAAGTAGGCAGTTAAAGCTGTAGAACCTAACACAGACAAATACCACCAAAGCTCGTCGACCTTTGTGGCGTCGATAGTTCTAAATTGCGATTCGGAGTTCGCAATACAATGTGTCGCCCATCCAGTAAGACCCGTTACAAAGGCGCCAACAGAGAATTGTGGGTTCTTAGAAGCAATAACCCTAGCTATCCCACGCGCTGGAATTACATCACCTGGCTGTACCCCGCTGCTATAGTTTTTGTCAATAGATGCTATCCAGAATTTCTGCGCTGGATCGTTGGATAGATATAAAGTTTCAGACAAAAATTCACCATCCTTGAGATCTGAAGACGACAACTCCTGTTTCACTAGTTGGAAAGTTGATTTTTCGCTGTCTTGAGAAAGGTCGAAGGGGAGACCAGGTTCTGGCAGCGTTTTTAAAACCCACTTTTTGACCTGAATAGGGGACATGATTGCTTGGAAAATAATCGAGTATAGTGGTCAAACATAAGCTGAATTTCTTGATAATGAGGTCCTTGTATACGCCTCGTATTTCGGAGACATTTTTGCTGCTTACTAATTGTGTCAGTTTCGTATTACCAATTGCCTGTGAAAACAGCGGGGATAGAGAATACAGACCGAAGTTTCAATCAAGACAATGTGCAAGTGTATTAACACCGACAAACCGCCATGAGAGTTGAGTTAATTGAAGGCAATGTGTGTTCTGTCAAGAGGCGTTTTTTTTCCTGCAGGAAGAGGGCATTATCTTACACACAGTGACCCCAATAGCACCCCATTGTCAAGTAAAAACTTTCTCAGAGATAAAATTATCTTATCGACTCTAAATTATCCATGCCTTGCTTATTGCATAGGCTGGCACTTAAACTACCATATATATCACTTGCACATGCATGAATAGTCATGGCCGAGGAGACTGTGCGGGGCAAATTTCAGCAGTCATCAGACGCTCATAAACTCAGGTGGATTAAAAGGATAAAGACAGTAGTTGGTGATCTTGGAAGGGCGTGACTTCCTCCAGATCCGACTTCAAGTTGAAATACAGAGTCTATGGTCACGTGCCTCGTGATAATCTTTCAAAAATTTTTCGAGCTTTTAAGTTCCGTTCTGTTTGGACAGCTCTCGTAGCAAAAATAATAGCCATGAGAGGTGGGATAGTTCGCCCAATATGGGTCTTTAAGAGGTCTTTTATGGGAAGTAATGTTACCCGTTCACATATTGGGTCTTTACCCGTGTACACGACCCCGGAGACAAAACTTAGCGTCGCAGAGCTCAATCCGGCCAGAATTATCCGTAAGGGAAACAAGACTTTGAAATTGTCTCAGGTATTCAGTGTTCAGGGTCCACTGGGAGAAATTGCCATGGAGGTACCAGATTTTGTTAATTTGAAGCACAGCCCCGAGGCAGGAAAACTGACAGTGTCGGTTCAAAACGAAACAGACAAGATCCAGAAGTCAATGTGGGGTACCGTGAGGAGTCATCTTAATAACCATGTTGTTGGTGTTAACGAAGGCCATATGGCTGTGCTGAAGTTTGTAGGTACCGGTTATCGTGCTCAGGTCGAGCAAGAAGGCCGGTTCGTGAGCGTCAAAGTTGGAGCCTCGGTGATGCAAGGCCTCCCTGTTCCAGAGGGCATAAAAGTAAAATCTCCATCACCTACTTCTTTGACCGTTGAAGGTTGTAACAAACAACAGGTTCTTCTGTTCGCAGCCAATCTACGCAAATTTCATCCACCAGAGCCTTACAAGGGTAAAGGTATTTATGTGAACAATGAAAAGATCGTTCTCAAAGATAAGAAGATCAAATGAGCTATTCATTATAGTATGGATGGAGAGAATCGTTTAAATATCCATTTTTCCTGGTACTCCTTTAAGGTTCTTCATGGTCACGTGTACATAGTATAAGTTTTTAATGTCAAAAATTTTTTATAATGGCCCCAGAAGCGAAGACAACTTGTTTCGAGCTGAAGCACTGATTTTGATAATGAAGGGTATGCTAGCGCGTGCGATTCGCACTCAAATCAGATTTTCATCTCAAAGGGCATGTCTTATCTCTCCAGGTGTGGTTTCCACCGTGGTTACAAAAGCACCTCCCATTAATCATAGTCCACAGCAAGCACAGTCCAGGAAGAGGCTACCTACACGTTGTGGTGCTTTAGCGGTAAAGCGTGGAATGATGCCATATTTCGATTCTGCCAATGGTACACGTGTGGCTGCAACTGTACTTGAATTAAATAATGTCGAAGTTTTGATGCACAGAACCGTTGAGGATAACGGCTACTTCGCATGCCAAGTGGGATTTGGTAACAAGGATCCTAACAAGATTTCGCGTCAAATGTTAGGTCACTTTGCCTCAAAATTGGTAAATCCAAAACAAAAAGTCGCTGAGTTCAGAGTAAAAAATGAGCAGGGTCTGCTGCCACTTGGAACGCTTATAAGGCCTTCATTTTTCCAACCTGGCCAATTTGTGGACCTAAGATCCGTAAGCAAGGGTAAGGGTTTTGCAGGTGTCATGAAGCGTTATAACTTCAAAGGTTTAAAAGCATCTCATGGTGTTTCCATTTCTCATAGAAAGGGTGGATCTTATGGTCAGAACCAAACGCCGGGTCGTATTTTACCTGGGAAGAAGATGCCTGGTCATATGGGTGTTCAACAAGTCACAATTCAAAACTCGCAGATCCTAAGTGTCGATGATGAGAATGGCGTGGTAATCGTCAAGGGCTCTGTTGCAGGCCCTTCCGGGTGTTACGTTAGGATTCAAGATTCCATTAAAAAGGCACCTGTATTTTGATGATAAACTATGTTTGATCAACAGTCGATTCAAAACAACTTTCATGTATATATAACTTTTGAATTTTTTAAATTTAGCCACGACCTTCGACTATATATGTGTTTGTCAATGCTTCGCCCCATTTATATAGAATGGGCGCTTAAAAGATTAAATAATTCACAATAAAATCGGTTAATTACAAATCGGTGAGCTACTAATCCCGCAGACAAGTAGCTAGCTCAATCCTCTAATTCAGAAGGCTTCAACAAACCACCGATTTTCGCGGCTCTTTCTCTTTCAAGTTTGTTTTTCTCTTCTAAAGCTCTTTCCTTGTCTTCTGCATACAAGTAGTCGGTTGGATCGCCACCAAACTCCTTGATTTGAACCAAAAAGTCTCTTAAAGTTCCATAAAACCTGCTTGGGTCTTTATATTGCTTGATCAAGGCACTAACAAAACTTGTAACTTGCTCCTGGCTCAAGTGGGGAAATGCATTACTCAACATGTTGGCCATGTAGTTGGCTAAGTATATTTGATTACTAGTACCCTCTGGAGCTTCTCCTGGTTTATAAACAGGGACTGCTATCTTATTTTCTTCAACTAAGGATATTAGCTTCATTAGTAGCATAGATTGCTTAGAAAATCCGGACTTGTGATCAGAATCTGTCAATACAAAAAAGGTCTCGCTGATAAAAGTGAAAAAGAAGTTTTCGTAAAATGCATTTGCGAAGGGAACAGCACCCATACTTTCAATGTTCTTGGTCAAATCTAGAGCAATTTGTAATCCATTGACTTCAACGTCCCTATTATTGTGCTTAAAAGCCCAACAAATGGCATCGATGAATAGTTTAAATGCAGCTGGAGGTAATTTCAGCAGAGCATTAAAAGATTTGCTATTAATTTCTTTCAACAGCCTGTAAAATTCAACACGGTGCTCTGGGTACTCAGTGAAATCCTTGTTAATCATATCTAAGGTGCATTCGAAAACACTTTGCAAAATCAATATGACCCCATCGGGGATCATGTGCCCAACCTTATGAACAACAGTGGTCATACAATTTAGAACTTCAGCATCTCTAGCATCAGGAACATTATTCATGTAATCTTCAAGGACGGCATTCAAGAGAGGCTCTACCAGAACTTTGACAACTTCATCCAGGTTCTTCGCGTGAGAGATATAAAACTCGACTAGTTTCAAAACTTCCTTCTTGATGGTTCTCAATCCACGAACTTTTGGAGTTTTCGTTGCAATTAGGCCATCGTTAGCGACTTGCAACGAGATCATAGATGATACTGCCCTGTAAAGTTGTAGCATGTTGTAGTAAATATGACCCAACTGAGGGTAAAAATCAGCACCCATGGTGGAGCAAACAGCAACATTTGTCTTCAAAATATTTGCTATGATCTTAACAGTATCGGAATCTAAAAGTAAGTCTGGATTAGCGGATGACTGCTCGACAATTGCATCCCATGCCATGTTAGGAAGTTGCATGAGTTCAGCCAGTAACCTGTCCCTCTCACCCTTATTTCTCTCATCAGAAATAATAATGCCACAAGCTTTGTAAAACGTGTGGACTTGTTGTGGTTGAAGATCAGCCGTAGTGCTTTGGATATCTCTGATGATTGTATGAATAAATGGCTCTTGCTCGTTTGGTTGTTGTACGACAAAGTGGTGCTTACACTTACGTACAATCTTGATAAAAGTATCACAAGCCATATCTTGGACACCCTCGTGAGTTTCATGCATGAATTCGAATAATTTTAAAATGACTGTTTTCAAAAACTTCCAGTGTGCTTTGAGGAAACGAGGGTATTGGCCAACAACGTACATTATATTAGAGGCCACAACAGCTTTATTATCCTTCCCACGCTTCTTTTCGGTAAGGGCCAGAAGGTCCTTGATAACGGTAACGACGAACCGTTTCTCTGTTTCTTCGCTCATTGTACCAGAAATAGAACCGATGGCCCAGCACAATGTATTAATGTTATGCCAAGACCACTCAGACCCATCTATCTGTCTGGCCAATTTGTTAATCATGATCTCTTCTGTGTCTACAACATCCAAATGAGTTAAATAGACAAGAACTTCTCTCTCAGACTTGTATAACTGAATGGTGTCAGATTCCTTCACAAACTCTCTCACAATTTCACCCTCATCGTTTTCAACAATTAGAACTTCTTCAGGTCTGACCATTGACTCGATTATTACCCATCTCAATTGAGAGCATATGTTATCGTAAATATGCTTTCTAAGAGGGAATTTCTTTAGGTATTGTGGATTTGGGGCACCGCCAACCGTTAGTTGTAGTAGTGGGTTCAATTTAGGAACAGGAACTTGCTGAACTTCTTGGAAAAGACTAGCCACTAAGTTATGCCAGTAGTCTAGCGTCGTTTTGAATAATTCTCTTTCATCAATCTTGGACAATTGAATTAAGTATTGGTGTGCTGTCAATAAAAGCTCTTGAAGTCTCTCGTCGCTTTCCAAAAGTGTCCGATGGTGTGCAAGATAGGTCGTTAAAAGCATGGCAAAATCTTGTAAAAAGGATTGATCTTTGCCACTGGCATTGGTGTAAGTCGCCTTTAAATCCGCATTAACTGCTATGACATTGTTTGCAATCTGTTGAAGAGTGTTTTGGAAAAATAGAACCGTTTGTTCGGCAATCTTGGGGTCGTTTTGAGGAATGTCAAGATTCGATACTTCCGTGAGACATTTTAATGTGACAGCTCTGGTGTCAGGGGACACCAAGAATTTGGTGCTCAATAAATCCAACAAGTTCGTGCTGTAAATGTAGTAATATGGAATCCAGTGTAAGTATCTAAGCAAGGATTCTAAGGCCGCAACGACCAAAGTCGTCGAGGATCCTGACTCCAAAACCTGGAAGCACAGTTTAAAAATTTGCTCAAACTCCTTCGACATGGAAGTCTTCAAATGCAAGGCCTTAGCCTGAGTCATCTGCTCTGCTGAGAAATCAAAAACCTCTTCTGACAGCAATTTTAAGATGACCATGTTGTTCTCGCACACGTTAACAGATGATTGTGAACTCTGTACCAGTTCTGGGATGAAGTCAGGCCAGTTTTGAGGCCACTCTTGCTTCAAAATTTGCACTAAAGTTAGGTCTGATTTATTGATCAGATTTTTCTGAGTTTGGAACACCGCGTCGTCCTGGCATAGCGAGATGATCATACCAACAATGAAGTTTCTTATACCCACGCGGTGCTCGGGTGGCAACATCTTCCACTTAGTCGTAATGAGCTTGTCAAGGATAGAAAGACCGATGAACTTGGTCTGTGGATTCTGCGAAAACTGCAAAATCTGGTCTGCCCGCTGCCAAGAGTCCGGATGATCTTGGAACTTGGTCAAGACCTCCTGTGCCTGCTTCTGCTGCGCACCAGAGCCCTTGTAGAACGTGTCTACCACTTGGTCTAGTGCATTTATATCCAGGTCTTTTGAGAAATCGAGCACGTTTTCCATCGCTGCTCGAGTGTTATATTTTCCAGTTTTTCACCTACGAGGGACACTCGCGAAAAGAGAATATTCAATAACCAATAAGACGACAATTACTCGATATACAGCCTTTCTAGCAGTCGTGATACTTGAAAGAATCTCAACGACCTTTCTATTCGCTTAATGATTTTGCGATTTTGGTTCTTGTATATAGACATTTCAAGGAGAAGAAAAATTTTGTGTACAGAAAAAGGGCTTCCGCAGCCCCGTCGTACGTGATAATTCCCAACAAAACTACAGCTATTTAACATTTCCAAAGTTTTCCTTCTTGCCCTACCATTTTAACTATATACCAGCCATGCTACAGTTTTCAAGTCTTCATTTTCATTTTAACTCGTCTTTGTCCGTCTAGCACTTCTGCTTTCCCATGAGCGTAACATGACCAGGGTGTCCTCGTTACACGTGGCGTGACTTCGCGTCATTTACTCTTTCTAGCTTAGTGGTCAGGCTGCTGATATTTGTGGTCATTTTTATTTTTCCCATATAGTTCCTCGTTCGAAGCCTGCGGAATTCGTTTTTGTTGTCGCGAGGTTTTTTCCAAGGTTGCACTGATAAGGCGGAAGAAAAAAGGAACGCAATCACCTTATCCTGTCGCAGAAGTATCCGCTCTTATCAGCAGGATTATTCAAGATACCAAAGAAGGAGGCCTCAGAGGAGACCAGGGACTTGAAAGAGTCGCAGGACGGTAATTTTGACTACACCAGAGGTCAGCTATATGCGGTTTTCGTTGCAGCTGTCGTTGCCATGGTGCTTTGTACGTGTCTGGCATCTTCAGTCATTTCTCGTCTGCAAACCGTTTCTATTGTGTCCAACTGCTTCATCATCATTTTACTATTCATTGCTCTACCTATTGGCACAAAGATAAACAGAGGTGGCTTCAATAATGGTTCTTTCATTTTTGGAAAGTTTGAGAACTTAAGTGATTGGAACAACGGCTGGCAATTTTGTTTGCAAGGTTTCATGACCTGTGTGTGGACCATCGGTGCCTTCGACTCCTGTGTCCACCAGTCTGAAGAAGCAAAAGACGCTAAGAAGGCCGTTCCTATCGGTATTATTGGCTCCATCACTGTCTGTTGGATATTAGGATGGTTGATTTTGATTGTCCTCATGGCATGCTGCGACCCAAGCATGGAAAACATCATTGATTCTCCATACGGGTTTGCATTGGCCCAAATTATTTATGACAGTTTAGGAAAGAGATGGGCTGTTGCCTTTATGTCCTTGATTGCGTTCTGTCAATTTTTGATGGGTGCTTCCATTTTAACTGCCGTTTCAAGACAAGTTTGGGCCTTCGCTCGTGATAACGGTTTGCCCTTTTCCCGTTACATTAAAATGGTGAACAAGACTTTTTCCGTTCCATTTGTTGCAGTTTGGTTTGCTGGTGCAGCCTCTCTAGTGTTGGGTTTGCTGTGTTTAATTGATAGTGCTGCAGCTAGTGCTCTGTTCAGTTTGGCAGTTGCGGGTAATTATGTTGCCTGGGGTACTCCTACAGTTTTGAGATTGACATCAGGAAAGGATATTTTTAGGCCTGGTCCATTTTACATGGGGAAATTCTGGTCACCAGTTGTGAGTTGGATTAGTGTTATTTGGCAGTTCTTCATCATCATTTTGATGATGTTCCCGGCCGATCAGCACGGAATCACTAAGGATACTATGAATTACACATGTGTGATTGGCCCAGGTATTTGGATTTTGTCTTGGGTCTACTACATTGCATACAAGAAGAAATACTTCCATGGTCCAAAGTCAAACTTGACAGATGATGAATACGCTGAAGCAGTGGGTTCTAATGTTCTAGACGAGATTATGTCCGAGTCTGGTAAAGGTGCTTGAAAAGGCTTATATTTAGATAATAGATTTATAATAAAAAACAGCATTGCAGTAAATATGCAATCTATTCTTACTAAGAGCTTAACTGTGCACTTGAGCTGTCACTATCGTAGGGTGGGTATGAGAGCAATGCACGTCTCTCAACGCCACCTTCACTTTGAAGTGGTACATGAGGAGACCATCTAAAATGATTTTCACCATAATCAAATGTTGGAGTATGTGGAATTTCAAACTCACGGGGAATTATTTTGCTAACTTGAAAGGTTTCGGATCTTGAAGATACTCCAAATTCATCTCCAAATGGATTGATAGATCTTTCTGTTGGCATTGAACGTCTTTGAGATAAAAACTTCCAGCGGGTAACCACCATTTGGAGGACATCGACGTTTCTTTGGTTTTCCAAAAACTTATCCACTTTTCCCATAGTATATAATCGACGCACGTAATCATCAATGCCGAGACACTCACGAGGATTATAACTAGTGTACAACGGAATTTGTTGGATGATGCTAGAGAATCTTATTCCACTATGATATGCGTTATTGTGAGTGACTTCCTGTATAAATCTTCTGTATTGCTGTTTCTTCTCTATAATCTTCCTTTTATCGATGCTCATTAATTCGTCGTTTAGGCCGGCTAAATCAACTTTGACATCGTAAGGGTCTAACGGGTTCACTTCAAAATACTTATTGACCAGGTTTTTAACAGACAGGCGCCCTTCCCATATTTTGAAGGACAATGGACCATCGAAGGAGTGCATGAGTTTGGGAAGGAAGGCGATGTCTATCTGTCCGACACCATCAGGATCGAACTTCTTCCAAGAATTCTTGAATTTTCTAATCTCCTCCCTACTTGCCACTGATTTTGAACCTGATCCTCCGTGGTACAAATAGCTGAAATTCTCAAGAATGAGAGAGATAAACATGTTTAGGAATATGTACATGGAGAGTAGGTTCCATGACATTAATAAAACGTAAGCATATGCTTTGGAGCCACAGTCACTATGTCCAGATTCTTCATCAACGTAACAAAACGGAGAGCTGACAGTTAGGTCATTCATTATATAATTCCAGCCTTCTCCAAAACTGCAACGAAATAGAACGATCATACTCTTGGTCACAGTTCTGAAATTTATATTGTCACTTGTATTAGGACCCAGCCTGGTTAAGCCAAAAATTTGATTCATGGCAATGGAATAAACCAAGAAAAGAATTCCCCAGGTGTATATTAGAGAGAGCATAGAAGGTAAACTTGCCATTGCAGTGCTGATCAGTTCACTGAGTGTATCGTTCTGCGGAATGACGAACAAAAATACAGTAAGCTGGAAGAAATCCACCACGTTTGTGAATCCTGCTATGCTCATCTTGAAGAAGAAGTTCGTAAGTCTCAATGAAGCGGACATTGTAACCACAAAAAACCTAAAGATATTCCACTTTCTTGATGACCAAAGCCGAAATCCCAAGGCATAAAGGTAAAAGCATTCATGTAGTGTGAAAACAGACGATGAGAACATGAAAAATACATTCTGATAGGTCCTCATGGTGCTCTCTCCATTATAATTTGTCAATAAAAGAGTGAAAATGTGAAGGCAAAGGATGAGTTGCAAGAATATGGCGTAAAGGAAGCTCTTCTTTTCAACAGCTACTCTGTAAAGAAAGAGTCGAACTCTGCCCATATGAATTATGTCCGGGGTTGCCTCTGGTTTTGCTTGAGAGAGTAGCTTTTGGACTTCAAGCCATGACTTCTCTTCAATGGTGTAAAAGGCACTTCCTGTTCTCTTGGTATGATTGCTTATAATGAACGATATAAACAAGGTCAGAATGAAGACCATACTCAAGAAATTGAAGAGGACAAAAAAGATTCCATTCTGAGGAGTTGCAAATGTTTCAGGTACTGTTCCAATACCTGTGCTGGCCATACTGTTCTGTAGAAGATCTACCCATCCCTCAAGCGACACAATTTCATATAATGATCGAAACGCACTCGAAAATGAATTCATATAAAGGTAAGGCTCATCATAAACACGAGGCATCAAAATATCCCACTTAAACACGGTATTCGTGTACTCGTTATAACAACTAGTCAGATTGACGCTGTCGTTGCATACGCCCAAACGACCCCTGAAGAGTCCCAGACCCCACACAGCAAATGGAAATAGTAAACTCAAAGATATGATCGCTGCACCGATGATTTTTCCAAATCCGTCAAAGAGAACCTGATTGAATATTGCTCTAGCTGTCTTGCTGATGGTTAGACATCTCAAAGCCCTCAATGCCGTCAATCCTCTAAAAACCCTTGAAACACCTTTGTCTTCCTTACCGTCTGAAATGAAATCCACTCGTAGCGAAAACAATACTATGAGATCAATACAGTTCCAGGGATTTCTTAAATATGCATTCGGTGTGTGAATCAAGCCATCGGCTACCGTTTTAATAACAAATTCAAGCGAAAAGATTGTAACAAAAGTAATTTCACAGTATGATGTCCAATTCAATGTTTCCGTTGAATGTTCCATCCGGTAGAGTGGCGTAATGTAGCAGGAAAAGATGACTAACAGAAATGTAGTCAGCGATATAAACGCAGTAAAAAGGTCTCGTTTTAAACTCATTAGGTTGCTATGTCTCGTGTAGTCGTTCGACTCATTTTCAAGAAACCTCTTCCCGTCAGTTCTTTTACCAACACTGGGTGAAACAAGACTCTGACAAAACCTTCTAAACATATGGTTGGGAGCGAAGATGAAGTAAGAGTTATTATAGAAGGGGTGTTCCTTGAGATATTGCAGCTTTTCTTCTTCAAATTCATTCAATCTCAAAGAGAATTTTTTGGAACCTAATGAATCCACGGTTTCAGAATATAAGATCTCAGGTTTTTTGTAGAATGGATTTTCTGTAAAATTTTGGACAACTTTCAGCTTTAAAAAAGCTCTTTTTACCGATTTGAGCCATGTATGACTAACGATTTCAATGTCATCATTATCATTTAATTTCTCAGAGATTTTCTCGTAATCTTTAGCAATACTCACTATAGCTGTTCCTCGAAATAAGAACTGTCGGAAATCTCTAGAATCGGCGTTATGATCATTACTGTTTCTTTTTGAACCACGCCTGAAGAGTAGCCTTTTCATTCGAGTAACTAACGTGGAGCTGGTATACTCTTTAATCTTTTTCGGGTAAACATTTTTTAGGTAATGTCTTATTTGAAGTGGTCGTTTGTTTTCTTCATTTACATCTAAGCTCTCAGCAATCAATGCGATGAAAATATTCAACACAACAAAATTGGCCAAAAAGAACCAGATGATTAGAAGAGTGGATCCAAAAAACTGTGAGGAAGTATTCGGAGCATTTTCCTGTAATTTATAGAGAATGTCAGTCCAATTTTCGGTTGATCCAATGATGAAAAGTGACAGAAAAGAATTGGCCAGTGAATACATCGCAAAAGGGTTTTCATCCTCTTCTTCAATAGGAACTGTACCTTCAAAATAAATTGAAAGAATAATCGCTACCAAGAAAAGGAATAGAAAATAAAACCCGGATAAGTTCCATATCATGAGAATATTACCCAAAGCACGTTTCCACAGATTTTTCGTGACTTTAACTGTAATAGCAACTCTATAAAATCTTGCTACCTGAAACAAGTTGAGCCAGTAGTAGGATTCCCCTAGTTTTTCACGCACATGCGGAGATGTGATGACCAAAGAAATTATGGACACAATGAGATCAAAAACGTACGACGGTTTGAGCAGAAACCTCCAAAGATTAGGAAAATGAAGTATTACTCTAAAAATCGATTCAATAAAAAGAGTAATAGCGACTGCCTGATCGAACTTTAAAATTTTTTCAATGTGGCTATTTGAACTTCTAGATGTAGCTGTTGCCTGCATAATCATATCTGCAACGATTAGAATAACAAAAATCCACTCTACTTTTTCATAAAAGTTAATGGCCTTTTTGCTAATGCTTGGTAACTCCTTACTATGCGCCTTTTTTTTAATAAAGTGTATCACCTTCCGGATGTTGGATTTATTGTCAAGTCTAGTTCTCTTCTTCCTTTTGAACATTTCATTAGCACGTTCGAAAGAAGAAACTAGAACAGCAATTAACAAATTGATCATCCAGATATTCAAAAAAAATATAGAAAAAATGAAGAAAACACATGCAGCCATGCTATCGGAATCCATCGTGTAGTACATGATATCCGTGAATGTGTTCGCACTCATGATAACAAATATTAATTCCATAGAATTTATAATGTTATCAAAGCTTACCGATCCCGAGTAAGGATTGGAGTCCGATATACATTTTGAATAGACAGGACAAGAAAACCCCTTTGCTAATGGTCCTTCATCTCCATTGCTGAAAATGTAGTTCATTTTATTCCCTGTGTTCGGGTCAAGGTAGCTGCCACAGAACTGCATGTCAAAGTCATACGTGTCGCTTGGATCGCTCGGATTAGTCCATACACAACGTCTTTTCAAAGATCCTTGAAAACTTTGAACTGCTAAAATTCCAAAGAACACCCAAAAATATAAGAGCATAAATCCGACACTAATAAGTTGAGGAAGGCCATACTTCAAGCTTCGGAGAATTGAAGACAAGCCTGTCTCTGTGTTAGTGATCTTCAAGATTCTCAATGCACTCAGTGCCTTGAATATACGAATTCCATGTTTTTCATCAAAATTCTTGAAAGATAGACAGAGGGCAATCCAAAAACAAATAGTAGAAAGAAGATCGATTCTGTGCCAACTACTGCGAGCGAAAGCTCGATAGGGTGGAAAATCGGTAGGAACGTCCGGAAGCCGACCTGTAAACGTCAACGAGCTCTTCATTTCTTTTTTATGCTTCTGAGGATTTTGCGGGTCCCTGATAATATCAAAAGGGACTAGTCTTCGCATAAACTCCTCTCCATATTTAGCTTCAAGGAAGGAGTAAAACTTTGTAATTCCTAAAGTTTCTAAAACTGTTTTGTATTCCTTGTCGTAAGCGTAAAACATTTGGGAATCATCCCAAAACCCGAATGCGATTATTTTGGCCACTACCTCCAGCGTAAAAAAAACATTCAGAATGATCAACACAACACCAGTATTCTTAAAGTCCGCCTCTTCGGACTCATTTTGGCTTGGAGAGTTGTACGTTTTATAAGCTAAGATTATGACGAAAAGGGCCATAAGTATTCGGAACACCACTGAGAAAAGTTTTGTTTGGACAATTTGGGCGATTCTATAACGTATTTGATTTGCCGGAGAAAAGACGCCCAATGATCTCCCATAAAGTACAAAAGTTGATTTCTTAACTCTATCATCGGACGACTCAGCCTGAGCAGTTCTGGAATCTTCATGATTAGAGGATTCATCCACATTGTCGCGGCTACTCTCCGAAAACTGTACTGTCTTAACATACGCTTGTGTTGCTTCTTCCTTCATTATATTATCATCTTTTTTGGTTGCTTCTCTTTTCAAATCCATTAACTCTATAGTCTCCGCATTTCCCGCTCCATGATCGATTGGCCTCTCTTCGCCATTGTACACGGTAGTTGGCTCTTGTGAAGTTTCAGGGGAGATCTCCCCAATGCTTTCTGAGCTGTCACGATCTTGTGCGTTCTCTTCTTCTTTTTGTAAACTTGGGAGCCAAGTAGTATCACCGTTTCCCAATGCGTTTCGAAACTCCTCCTGTAAATCCTTGAAGTCATGGTAATCACCTTCATCTATAACTGATATGACTTTAGCTGATCTAGGTGCTTCATCCTCACTAGCACTTAAATCCCGATCACTGCTGCGGCTGTCTCCATTATCTGATTGCGATGACGCTCCACTGCCAAGTCGCGGGCTCATGAAATCTTTGATGTGACTTGTTATGCTAGATGCTGAAAACTGTCTTCCATCTGTGAAAGACTCCAACCCCTGCGTTAAGACGCTTAAATTGGGACGACCTGAAGGGCTTGAGTGTTTCCTCCTTTTTCGAGTTGATTCGTTTCCTGTGTTATCTTGAGATGGCCCTCCTAAAGGTGGCTCATCCCGAAGGTCGTCGGGGGGATCAACTTTTAATACGAATGGTGCGTGCGGTGGTTTCTCAAAGTCCTCATCATCATCAGAGAGCTGTTTGTGTGTTAAATTTCTTCTAGAAACCATCTATGGTCATCTATGTGTAGGTATCTGGGAAACTTGATGATTCTAACGATAATCTAAAAAGTATTTTCGCGCTGTTTAAATTTCTTCCAAGAACGATTAAATATCCAACTAGTAATGATATAATATGAAATACATATACTGGCCCACGCACTTATCGCATGGTATCAATGAGAGGGCAGTAGTCGTCGCATTGAAAGGTCAAGAAACAGACTGGATTGTACTATCTTTGATCCCCGAGCTCGCATTCGATCACATTGCCTATCCATATTTCAGAATTGGAATAGTTGACGAGTTTGGAAACTATACCACAGAACTTAAAGGCGATCTCCCTATTATTGAGTTTCGCCCTCCAAAACTGAATATGATGCAATTTTTCTCAATTGAACCAATACCTCTGATCTTACCCGAAAAGGATTCTGACATAGCTAATTTAAATGAATCATCGGGTGTAATCCTTTCAACTTTCGAGACCACACATTGCACCGCATTTAGAAAGTCTGTCAGTTTAATCAATTTGTATTATAAACATGAGCATTCGTTTCGGCTCCAATACCCAGCCTACGATGGTTTTGCTAAGCAGACAATAATAAAAGCGGCGTTTGTTCGCAGTAAAGAGTACTTTAAATCTACATTAATGTACCATTTTATTTGTCATTCCATTATTTACATCGTGGTCTCGATTCAGTTCGTTGCTAACGGTATCTCAGGTCTTTTAAATTGTAGCATAATACCTTTCGTGAACTTATCAGCTACCGCACAACAAATTGATCTTCGTTGTCAACAGCTTTGTTATTTTCCTGTGCAGTACCTAAGAATCTCCAAGAATATTTCATTCAATAAAATGCAGCCTAGACATAAAATTAAAGGAAATTTACCTGCCAATCATAAGCGCCGAGACAGTGTTTCAAAAATAAAAGAGTTCCCCTGTGAATATTATCCGGATTATATTAGGTTATACAATACATTATGGCTCATAGTCAATGACATATGCTTTGGACTTACAATTGGAACTCTACTTCAGGAAAACAGCAAGGCAATTGGGCGATTCCTGCACAATATTTTGGAGCAGTATTTTTACAAACTTCTTCACTCTATTACCATATTTTTGGGCGACAACCCCTTTGGTATCAAATTGAATGGTGAGTTGGCTAAATTTTTGAGTGAATTGTTTCTATGGATTATTGACTTCTCTTATCACACTTTCATTCGAGACATCATCAGCCAAGAGAACATAGAGTGGTTAATAAAAATATTTTCATGCTCAAGCTGCATGTTGGGCGTCACATTTACATTATCTCTCATTGCTGACATGCTATCTTTTTTATCCATGCATATTTCCCTCTTTTATTTCATAAGTGCCAAAATATACCATTGGCAATTACACGTTATGATAGCACTTTTTCATTTGTTTTGTGGTAAAAAGAAAAACGTTTTAAGAAACAGAATCGATGCTAATATGTTTCAACTCGATCAACTATTGATGGGCACTTTGTTTTTTACCATTTTGGTCTTTCTTTTTCCAACGGTTTCGGTGTTTTACGTTTCCTACACTTTGCTATGGATGGTTATCGTCATTCTCGAGGTTATTTTGGAATCTTTAATGGCTTCATTGAATCATTTTCCCTTATTTGCACTTTTATTGAGGCTTAAAGACCCAAGCAGAATACCAGGTGGTGTCTCTGTTTATGCTCAAAAATCTCCTGGAAAGTTTGTGTTGAACAATAGCCCCCTTACTGTTAGGCGTATGTTCAAGCCTTATATAGTGCTGATGGGTATTATGGCCGACACTTATTTTTCTTCAACGACAGTCCGGCAGGTTTTAGTAGGAAAGCCTATTGTGGTGAGGAGAAATCGGATGTATCAGGTCTTGTATTCAGCATTACCGAGGAAACCTATCAGCGCTCAAGATTTATGGGATACCTTGAAAAAAGCCATGGCCTGATTCGCGGTCAAATAGAAAACTTTTGCATTACTGTACATTCGATATTTACAGGAGATTTCTAGAAGTATATTATCAAAAAATTAGTTTAATCAGTCGTGGTATATGGTCGTATTTTACTTTCTCTTCTTCGTCTTACCCTTTTCTTTCGCCGCCTCTTTTTTCTTTGTTGGTGCTCCCTTTCCTCTACGTTTCCTTGCTTCATTCATTGATAACCGGTACTCTTCCTCTTGATCAACAAATTGCATGCCAGGATAAAGCGTTTTTAGATGCTTGAACTTGAGAAAATCAGGATTGCCATAATAGCTAGCAATTGAAGAGCCCTTTAACCGTTTTGATAGAATCTTACCACCAGTTCTCGTAGCGGACGGATTGAACTTCTGGTCGAAAATTTCAGCCGATAGCTGAAGTACCTTCATTATCCTACTTTTGGGCACTGACATGCTGCTTTTATGCTGATACACGCCGGTTGGTTCTCGACAAGATAGAGATGCAAGATTTAAACCATTGAATTACACCAAAAATTTTATATATCATAATTAACGGTGAATGTAATTGGCATAGAAGCTCAAAATATCAGCAATCAACGTTATGTTCACTAATTTGCAAAGGGGGTACAGAAGAATCACCCTGTACAGCTTCTTTAAATTGAAAACAACCGATTTGATTCAACAAGATTCATCATATTATATTTATATAATTTGACAAAAAGGGTAAAAGATAAAATTATACTAATGAACAAACCTTTTTGGGAGGGGGATGTAGAGATGTAAAAAAACAAGCGTTTAGATTCAAACTCTGATATGATTACCAGGAGGCAACTTCTTCAGTGTTACCTTCAGCCCAGTCGGCAGCTTCGGTTTGTTCTTCCGCAGCAATTTCTTCCTTGACTTCTTCCTCATTGGTGGCAGTTTCTTCAGCAACTTGTTGCTCGATTTCTTCTGGGTCTCTGTAGAAGTACAAGTCTGGCATGATAGACCATGGTTGAGTTCTGTCAACCAAAGAGCCTCTTAGTCTCAAGACTTCTCTGGCCAACAAGTACCAGATCAAACCAATGGAGTGCTTACCCTTGTTGTTACATGGGATGGCAACATCGACGTATTCGGATGGGGAGTCCAAGTCAGTCAAAGCGATAACTGGGATGTTGACATAAGAAGATTCCTTGATGGCTTGAGCATCGGATCTTGGGTCGGTGACGATGACCAATCTTGGTTCCTTGAAAGAACGAGTGATGTAGTTGGTGAAAGAACCTGGGGTGAATCTACCAGCAATGGCAGTGGCACCGGTGTGAGCAGAGAACTTTAGAACAGCTCTTTGACCGTAGGTTCTAGAAGAGATGGCAACAACATCTTCTGGGTTTGGAATAGCAGCAATGATTCTGGCGGCCAAGACGATCTTTTCCCAAGTCTTTCCGACGTTGATGACATTGACACCGTCTGGTCTAGTCTTGAAGACGTATGGTTCTTGGTGGACCTATTAATAAAAGTTAGTACTAGCTCCTAAAAATTCAGAGGGAGAACCGTTCGCAGCATGCGAAAGACACGTTAATAGGTTGCTCTGGAAAACGCACGCATGTTTTGTCAAATCTCTCGGTTACCTGAATTGTATCTCTCACTTGCGCAAAGCGTCAATCGGGGATTTGCTGTTTATTATTGTACTCTCTCAAACTGTTACACATGTTTCTTCAGAATCACCGTCAACCTCCCTCTAATCTTATTAATTCAAATTTAACATACTTGAACGTTCTTGGAACCTAGGTGCACGTTGGCAGCCAACAACAATTGGGCGTCCTCTGGAGTCAAGTCAAAAGTAGCTGGTAAAGACATTCTTGATAATGCTATCTCTTCTTGAGTGTATTACTATTGCACAACTAGCAGACAAATTTGTTAATCTTCCGAAAATTTTGTGTAGATGAGAGCTATGATTTTTCAGGTGATGCAGGAGAACTGAGAAGCGAGCAGGGTGTCCGGCCTGCCGGGCACAGGTACTGGTGCGGGGGGTGAGCATGCTGCCGGGCTAGGCAGAGCTGCTGGGGAGCGCTAGGCAGAGTGCAGGGGGGTGGTAGGAAGGAAAGAGGGGCAGCGCAGGCAGACGCCCTGCCTAGCGCAGGCCGGAGCCCCCGGGCAATATGAAAAAATCCTTCTGGGTCACGTGGATTGCCGGGTGTAATCGTTTATACGCTTTCGCTAAGTCGGGGCGGGACACGCCGCCGAGGTACCTTGCGCCTAGGCTGAGAATCTGGGTAGTTTCTCCGGTCTAAGGTGGGCGGCCACAACACCAACTACAGTGGCCAGGCGTCCGACAACCCTATCTACCTCCTTGCTAAGAACTGCACGCGGGGAAGTTGAAAAAACAAAAACACTTGATCTCAAAGATTCTGTGATTTCGTATGTGTGGGTTTTATTTCCTTTCATTGTATGGGTGGATCAAAAAGAAGTCAAATGTCATTCTGTACTAGAATCAGTAATGCACCCTAAAAGCATGTACAGCCGATAGGAACCATTATGAATAATAGATGTTGAGATTATTACATGTGGCGTGCATCGTGCCAAGCCTTCGAGTTCCTGACTTCTGTATTTAAATACACCGTCTGATTTACAAAGGTGACCTTTTTGCAGTGGGGTGAAATTGTCTGTGTTCGAATATACGATGAGTAACACTACAGATAAAGCATCTAGCATCGAGACGCTGAAGCTACTGGTTAGTAAGCTTGCTGAGGAGCTACCCAGTTTTACTAAGGCAGTTGATAGACGTACAAGAAGGATTCTGGTGAACAATGCTGCTCGTGCGTCCTTTTGGATCGCGATCATAGCACTCTGTTTCTTATTGCCGCTATGGAACTATCTTTCTCTTACGCGATGGTTCTTCCGCGTGAGGCATCATCTAAGGCACGATATATTTAGGAAAAGTCGATGGATACACGGATCGCGGTTCTATCATAGCCGTGGATTCAAAATATGTGCGTTTTGGATTCCTCTAACGGTGGCGTGTTCGATATTTCACGCCAGTGGTGATCTTGCTCTGATCACGAAGCGCCTTGGCCGGATAGCAGTTGCGTTAATGCCCCCTTTGTTGTTTTTGACAATGCGGCCAACCCCTTTGCCACACACACTATACCTGGCATTACTTCCCCTCCATAAGTGGATCTCGCGGATTGTGGTGGTTTTATCTCTAGTTCACACGATCCTTTATTCATGGTACTTTTTAGCAACGCACACGTTTATTATCAAAATGAAGAAACTTGCTAATATATGGGGAGTGGTTGCAATGATTCTATTTATTTTAATCGGTATTACTTCTCTGTCCGGCGTGCGGAGATATAACTTCAGACTGTTCTATTACACGCACTACATTTCCACATGGTTAACTGTTATTTTGATTCACTATCATGCACGCCCCCCTGTATCGTGGTACACTTATATGAATTGCGGAATTCTAGTTGCACAGATTATTTACAGAGTATGGCGGACGTCCCATACACGTGTCTCAATCGTTCCTGTTTCTCCAAGTATTGCATTGATCGAGTTTCCGTGTTCAGATCTAAAGAAGAAGCCCATATTACCTTCTTCTCACGTTAGAATTAATAACCACTATCCTAAGTCGTTCTTCAGACGATTTTTGCAACAGATGGTTCCTCTTCAGCATCCATTCACGGTAGCGAGTCTTCCAACTGACGATATGGTGAGATTGATTATTCGACGGGGTAACTTCAAACTTAGGGATAATGGTGAATATCTGGTTTGTGGCGCATTCGAACCAAAAATCGACTTCATTTCAAAGCACTCTTATAAATTTCGGGAGGGACAATTTACTTTTCAGAATAATACGCCCGCACTTTTGGCTTCGCCCTTACATTACGATATTCGAGCGCGCAGGGTCCTTATCGTAGTAGGAGGAAGTGCTATTTCCTTTGGCTTACCATTATTGAGAATTTTGAATTTCAACGGTGTCACAGTGCGCCTAATCTGGGTGAGTCGTGATATAAGGGATCTAAAGTTGTTAAATGTTTTCAAAAACAATTTTGAAGGAATGGAGATTTATATTACTGGATCGGATGGCTCAGAGCAAGATATACAAATTGATTACATTGATTTTGACGACGAACAAAATAGCTATAGTGATGCAATAACAGCTTCCAATTCGCTTGAGGAACCAGTGGGTCTGAATTCTTCTAAATCAGCTTATGGCAGTCTTCCATATGTAGATTCCACACCAGAAGCTGGTCTTCAAACTCAGCGCGGAACTAGTCATGAAGATGAAGTTGACTTCACTCAATTGTTCAGTGCTGAGAGCTTAAGGTCTAAGAAGAAATCCATGGGTGAACTGCCGTCATCTCCTTTGAACAAGCAAAATGTGTTCCGAAAGCCTTCCATTGTGGCCCTTCCTCATATTGATGGTGGTGAAGAAAGCGAAAGTCGTTCAGTGGAAGAGGAGCAAGATAGAGTTTTGCAAATTCCTGCAGGTGTCAAGGTTTTTTTTGGACGCCCAAACCTGACAAATGCAGATTATCAATGGTGTTTAGAAAAAGAGTGTATTGGTCCCACAGATTCCAATGACTGTTATGAACCTAATGTGTCTTCTACCCCCATTGATGATCTATCACAAGTATGGGTCACCGCTGCTGGTCCACCTGGGTTGGTGGAAAGCACAAAAAGGTGGGCTACAGATGGCGGGTTGCATTTTCACGAAGAGAGTTTTACCGTTTGAACTTTATAAGTTTACCCTATGTAGTTTTTTTACATTGTTCCGTTTAGATAATGAGTTAATTTGGGAAATGTATTGCTAGATCACCTTTTGATTTTCAATTCGAATATTCGATTGAAAGAAACCTGAATACACCTTTCGCCGAGAAAAACTAAAATTATGTAAAGGCCTACTCTTGGATGGTATGAGAGCTCCATCTAAACTGCGAAGCGGTCAATAGATAATTGGGATTAGAAAATTTGAAGTTTTAATCAAAACACTACTCAGTAGTTACAGGGGAAGAGTATTCCTTCAAGATCTCTTTCATATAATTAAAGGTAGGATTTAGTTCATCGAATATATCTTTCGGACAGCTAATACAGCAGTTCAGACCTCCAACAGATGATGACACTAAGGAGAAAGTGAATATATCGCTAATGCTTTGGGGTTCATTGAATAATGCATTAACAATATAAAACTTATCATCAATAGAGCTTTGAAAAGATTGCGATCCCAAATTTGTTACTTCAAAAGTGCTACCAGGGTACTTAGCTTTAGTTTTTTCGCGAATTAGCTTTTCATTGTCTGCAAAATCTAAAAGTTTGATCATATTTATTGATTCAAAATCGTTTTTCTTGGCATCGATCTGCTCATTGATATCCTTGGCAATGTTCCAAATACCTTCAGTTTGTGACAAATCATACGTTAATTCTCCATTCTTTATGTAATTGCCCATGTCTAACTGTGCTAAATTCAAATTCAATTCCCTCTCCATTTGCACCCTAGTGTTCATGGGCAAATCAATCTTTAACAGGGTGCCCCTGGCGGATGCTGGTCTATTGCTTCTGAGAGAGTAGATGATAGTAGCAACAAACATGGAGGTGAGAGAAACATTATGTCTCTTGCATTGGCTTAACAAAAAAGTCAAACCATTGTTGCAGATGTGTAGTTTAACCTGGCGGTTATCGTTCCTAATAGTTTGCGTGTTGCAATTTCTTTCGAAAAGTCCACTGGGAAAACTGTAGCCTGGTAAACGAAATTGTTTCCCTGATATCTCCTGACGGTAAGGGAACATTCCAAGAGCTAAAATTATGCGAATCAGCCATCGGATTAGTATCCACTTAAATGATATGGGTATCAGGTCATATGGATGTGGGGGTAAATTGGGCACAATGCTCGAATGAAAATGGAGAATCTTATCATCGTCTTTTGGTTCATCATTGTTAAGTGCTCCGATGAATTTTTCCCAAAATTTGACTGTCGACATACCATCAAATAGCACATGATCCACACAAAGTATAAACGTGCATCTATTCTTCAGTACAAGTAGTCTCCATAGAACTTCGTGTTCATTGTAATTGAATTTTACTGTTTTGAATATTTTATTAATTAAGTCTTCAGAGAGTTCCTCTTCTTCAAGGAAAGATACCACATCTTTGAAATGGATGGTCACTGTTATCGGTTCTATCCTTTCAAATGTTTCATCATTGAATACATTAGAATGCAATTGCGGAAATTCATTAATTGTCTCTTTCAAGGCGTAGCTTAAATGATTGTCGTCAATTTGGCGGTTAAATTTCACCGCTAAGTAGAAACATGAGTGTAACCCAAGTTTTCTCCTGTTGTAAAAATACCTTTCAATGTTAGATAATTGTCGACTTGGCATTTGCTGTGCGATTGGCCTTGACTCAAATCAGATCACCGATTGCCTCCTATTAAGTTTTTCATTGTAGAAAAATACTTCATGCATTTTGATGACAAAGATCAAATCTAATCGCGGCCAATAGAATCGACAAGAGAAACGCTTCAACTTTTGTAGAATTCATAATGTTCACATTTTCTTGAGAGAATTCTGGAGCGCCATTTACGATAAAGTTATTGTGGGATGAAGTATTTAAAGAATGCAGCATAATAGAATATACGCCCTTGTCCCGTGGTATCTTCAGAAATATTCTTGATAATCAATTTACAATATAAAGTAAAATGAACTTGAAGTATGGGCATGCATCTATTCAAAGTGTGAGAGAATTATGCCGATGGAATGTAAGGAAGAGAATTTAGCTGTCTGTAGTAATTTTCTATCAAGTTCAATTAGCGACGATAGCCTACTTCAAAGTACCGCGATTGCAATTATGCCGGATGAGCTTATTCTCTCCCCAGTTTGTTATTATACCTGTTATTTACAGAAATTTATACTGTCAGTTCAGGACTTCATGGAATTTAGTTTACAAACTCAATTGACTTTCACATCGTTCAAACCGAGGTCCTCATTTTGCTGTTCAGTTCTTTCATAATCCTCAATCTTCATGTTAGGGTCTGGATCTGGAGCGTAGACGTTTTGAATATAAGAGCCAGCCAAAGGATCCTCCATGATAACTGTAAACTTCACTTTACCTGCTAAAGCTTCCTTTAATTTGCCGAAAAACCCCTCCCAGCGCTTCTTAGTCTCTTCATCCATGGAGTCTGATGTTTGTGTGAAAACTCTGTTCTCTAACTCTTCATAAACTTGGCGCAATAAACCTTCTAATGTGGTAAATCTGCCGCCTAAAGTACCTTGCTGGATATCCAAGTGGAGTTCAGGAATTGTCATCGAGCAAGATTCACTCTTCAAAATATCACGAGACAAATCTTCTGGATCGTCACAGTAAAGGGTGATTTTCCTACCCTTTTCTGGTATAGCACCTCCGGTTTTAACTTCATTAGATTTGTAACCACAATGATCACACACAGTAGACATGATGATAACTTCCTTGAAATGCGGAATGTTAACAGGTTTCATGTGTGTCTCACATTCATTTAAACAGGATGGACAGGTAGCGCGGAATGTTTGAACTTCGTTATTGAAATTTTCAATGTCAGTGGCATCAGATAGAAATGATTTTTTTTGAGCTTCTGAGGGGTTTCTTTCCTTTTCGGCAAGCTTTTGGCGCTGTTCTTCCCGGCGGTCCTCAAGTTGGTCTTTCGTGAGCAGGCCAACAATGACATTTTGTTCATCTGATCTGATATATTCAGTGTGCGACCACTTGTGCGCTGGTTCTCCAGGTTTATATTCGATCCACGAGTTACCAGCGGGATCATCAAGTGTGAAAGTTAACGGAAGTGTTCCTGGTTCGCAGTTAATGTAAGACCTTACTTTTGCTAGGAATTCTTCGATCTTGTTATAAATGTTTTCGTCAACCGCTTTTCTGGCCTCCTGATCAGCGCTCAAATCATCAATCATCTCGCTCAGTAGCCCTTCGACGTTGGTGAGCTGCCCTCTCTTGGCTGGGATCTCGATGTCTAGCTCAATAAACTGACAGGTAGCAGTTTCTGATTTGACCACCTGCCTGTTAAAATCCTCCTTGTTCTCGATCTTCAACATGTATTTGGAACCCTTTTCCTGGATTTGAGAGGCAGGTTGAATTTCAGAATTCTTAAACCCACAGTGAGGGCATTCAAATGACATCAAAACTACTTCCCTGAAGTATGGAATGGACGTCAACAGCAGTCTTGTGACACCATTTTTATGGCAGTTCATGCACAGAGATTCAATTTCTTGGACTGGATGTCCTTGTGCGTCAGTAGCACCTGTGAGTGTAACTCCATCATTTGATTGTTCTTGCTCAATCTCTTGAACAGACTCTCCGACCGGTTTGAATAAATTTTGTTCCTCGTTGGACATGGTATGAGGTTTTTTATTGATATTAAAGTCTTTAGAGGAGATATCAGTCCTCTTCATCAAAAGTGATTGTCCTTTTGTCACTTTATTCCCAGGGCCGAGATGATGTAAATTTTTTGAAAAAATTTTCTAGATACAGCTGGAAAATGCTTCTATGTAAGATTATGTAATCAAGTAATGCATTGCTTCAATGGACTAATTTGTGCCGAATTGATGTTTTCCAGCGACGTGAGGACAGTGATGATGGATCTGCATTGGCAAATCAAGTTAAGTACTAAACAAGAGAAAGTTTGGAGTCTCAAGATCCTCTGTAGCATTTAGCTCAATTACATATCAACCAAGTTATTGTTTTAATCATTATCATTGTCGAGAGATGTTTTTTTAATGTTTTCCTTCTTGAAAAAGACTTTTTTACCAATAAAGTAAAATATATAGCAGTAAAAGTAAGAATGTAATACAAGCAAAAGGTTTAAGTTTCAAACCAAAAACAACCAATTTAGCAAAATGATTTAAAGAAATTTAGACTAATAATTTGGGTGAGAGGGTGAGCTTCACTGTCTCTTTTATAAGCGAAGGATTCCAGTCTAAACATACAATAAAAAAGAAAATCTCCGAAATATGGAAATTGCTCAATATGCCTCCTGTGGGAATTGAACCCACGATCCCCGCATTACGAGTGCGATGCCTTACCACTTGGCCAAAGAGGCTGTTGCTTGAAAAAGCACTATTTTGGCTATTAGGAGAAGGACAGAGATGTAATTAAATCCAACTCCCACGGACGATAAGACAATCCTCGAGATGTAGGAACGGACGCTCAAACTCCTGGAGTTTTAATGTTCCTCATAATTGGTGACCTGCTAACACTTCTATGTGTATGTAAGATGAGTCTAATGCTTCTCTCCAGGGTGTTGCCTCAGAAACAGATGCCTGTGGATTTTAAAGTTGAATGTCAATGCTATTATCAGTCTATGTAAGACAGCATCCTACTGGAAACCTTCAGGAGGTTGTTGAGGAGACCTATAGTATCTTAACATGGTTGACAGTAAAATAATACAATCACGTGTACACAATATTTGCATTGTATGGTGCCTCCGTAAAAGTCTTGTAAAAGAGTTGATGAGAGCCTCATTTTCAGATCCTTATAAAATACACCCAAGGGGAGAGCAACGAGATGAGAAGGAAAACAACGCATTTACACCATTTTATCATTGTGGCACTACTGTTCTTTGTGATATACAATATTGGTGGAGGTACTCTCCACTCAAGGACACACTCAGTGCAGGAAGATGGGGAACAAGTCGGTACCCCACCTCTGGTGAAGCCAAAGGCTAAGGGCTTAAAGAAATACGTAAACAAGGTCAAAAAATGTCCGAAATACATGGATTATGCATCGGTCCCACACTTTCGTGAGGAAAGGGGAGAAACGCCGCTCAATCTGCCTTACCAGCGCCCTCCAGAGAATTGTCGTACCTTCAAATCGTCAATTATTGATGATTTTCTGGAAGCCTTTCTCGTCAGAATAAAAAATCCTGATCTCGCTCGTCTGTTCGAAAATACCTTTCCCAATACTCTAGACACCACCATTCTTTGGCATGTTACTGCTGAGCAAAATAAAAAGCTACACAATCATAAACTGAAGCATATTTCGTACCGAAATGAGAAACCGGAGACATTCGTAGTGACAGGAGATATTCACGCAGAGTGGCTGCGGGATTCTGCTTGGCAATTGTCTACATATCAGCCGTTTATAAGGTACGACTCTAAGCTGCTGGAATTGATGAAAGGAGCCATAAATCTGCAAGCACAGTTTCTTTTTCATAATCCATACTGTAATGCCTTTCATCCTCCAGCGTATACGCACGTTCATCGCGGCGATAGTGCAGTTGATGACGTTTCTCCTCGTCCGGACTGGAGGCAAGTATTTGAATGCAAGTACGAAATCGACTCATTAGCATCATTTTTGACTTTATCAAGACAGTTTTATGAAAATGCTCCTGAAACTGAGAAGTTTACCTTCATTGATGACGATTGGCTCGTAGCCGTGGGAAGACTAATAACAGTTTTGTTTCGAGAGTCTGTACCCACTTACGATGAAAATGGGGTTGTTAATCCATTCTATTATAAGTTTCAGCGACACACCAATATAGCATCGGAAACACAACCTTTAGCTGGAACTGGTAATCCTGTTAATGGTGGAATTGGGTTAATTAGATCAGCTTTTAGGCCAAGTGATGACTCAACTGTTTTCCAATATTTCATACCTGGTAACGCACATATGTGTGTCGAGCTAGAACATCTAGCGAACATACTTAAACACTATCATTCTAAGATAGTTCTTGAAGAGGAAATATCAGAAGACGGAAAACAAGATCATACAGCGCTTTTGGAACTTATTGACAAAGCTTCTTCCTTTTCCACGGCTATCCGTGAAGGAATTCTTGAACATGCCATCTTTGAACATCCAAGATACGGACTGGTTTTTGCTTATGAAATTGATGGTTATGGTAGTTCTCTATTCATGGACGACGCAAATATTCCATCGCTTCTATCTTTGCCCGATTTGGGCTTTATCAATGCTCATGACCAAGTATATCAGAATACTCGTAAAATGATTATGAGCAAAGACGGCAATCCGTACTATATTCAAGGCAGCCATTTCCAGGGAATTGGTGGTCCCCACATCGGAATTCACAATGCTTGGCCAATGAGTTTGATGGTAGCCATTAGAACCACTGACAGAGACAAAGATATCGAAGACTATCTCCAAAGGATCCTTGAGAGTACTGGCGGTTTGGGCTTAATCCACGAATCAATCCAAGCTTTCACACCTAATGGGATGCTCTTTACTAGACCATGGTTCGCTTGGGCAAACTCAGAATTTGCAAAGACCATATTGAAGTTGGCAGAACAAAAGCCTCATTTGATTTTTAAAGAGGAGTATCTGAATAACAAATTCACCCTTGATAAGTTCTTATCTTCATTATTAGAAAAAACTAAACGCGGGGAAAACATAATGGATGACTAGATCCTCCGTTATACCGTCAACAACTTCAAGAGAAAACCTGTTAGTCCTTGATCTACTGATGAGTCTATGAATGCTATTATGGGAAATAAGTACATGCCTTTTTGGAGCTTTCGACACTCTTGCCGCCAGAAAATGTGCGAATACAACCTTACATCTTTCAATTAACGCGATGGAGTTAACAAGCACTTGCCTGATAATGATCGGAGTTAGCCTTGGAATCTCCAACCCTAATGACTACTATCCCAATATACCTTGAGAGACGGAGTTTATGGGGCTTCATACGAAAAGCGTAATGTTACTTAAAACAACGCGAATAGTAGCTCAATCACCTTTTCAAGGTAAAACATTTTCTGAGTATTCACCTGCTACGTTTCCCGGAGCCTCGTAATTGCAAATTGTGTACTGTCCAAAGTAGGAACCGCAGTATATGTAACCACATCCAATTATTGTGGAGTTTTTCCAAACTACTTGAGTGAAATGGCCGGTTTCCTCTGAAAATCCCGGATTGTCGAAGTTGTACAGTTTTATTTCATCATACCACGCCTTCACGGCAGCCGATGTATTGAATCCTAAGGCAATGTTTTCACCATAAGGCGAGTGTGAGTGTATTAATGTTCCATTACAGTTGTACTCATTGGCATACGCTTGAGCATGTTTATACAACTCATCCGACCAAACTAAAGGTGAAGCTCCATGTAAACTGCGGTATTTATTATGAACGCTGATAGTATCATTAACAAATATATCATAGTCAGAGGCTGAAGAAGTTCCTGGTGACGGTTGCGCAGTTACTGTTCTAGATGTTTCGTCTAAGGTTGACCGAGTGACTAACATGCTATTCGTTGCGACGGAATTTGTTATCGTTTTAGCACTGTAGATAGTGTTACGAGAGGTAACCCACGATATTTCACTTTGAAGTAATGCTGTGCTGTGAAGACTCTTGGACGTTTCAATTTGCGTTAAGAGGATCGAGACAAAGGCATGGCTTAATAGTGGTAGCCCAAAAATTATACCGATTAGAAATGTGGGAGACATCAGCCTTCATTATGACCGAAGATAGGTGTTCTTGAAAGGTTCAATTTTATATTCTTATAATATAAAACTTTAACTTAATTCCAGCTCTCTAAGCCTTGTGGCTTTCTTGCAAAAATTTCGTAGCAGTGATTCAGAGGTGTTACCAAGCTGTTTCAAATAAGGTTTCAAAGAGTTAGACCCAATTAGCAGGAAAACGATTCACAAAGATATTATCGACTTCAAAAGACCTGTTTTGTATAATTTTATGATGAATGAGCTGCCTCCCACTACGAAAGAAGCGAACCGAAGTATCCAGAGCCTGATTATTACATCTCATTTTGGCTTTGGTTTAGTATTGAAATCACACCAAGTATTTAAAACTTGAAACTACAATCTCATAGTGTATCACAAGATCATAATGCGAACAGAAAAGGGCTGTGCAATCGTAACATTGTTGATTTCTTGGCCTTATTCATTTGTAACGCAAGTTATTCGTTGCATATTTTTTCAAAGTCCCCTTAACAATTTTCAACAACTTCCCAGTAAAAGAAAGAGAAAACAGAGAAAAGCTGCTGAGTAATTTGGGATGCATTTACCGTCTCTATTATCATTTTTTGAGCTCAGCAAGGAGAATGCTGTTGCAGAGCTAACGCTTGATCCAAAGTTAAAATACTGGGTGTTGCTTCCCATTTCCATTGTGATGATATTAGTTGGTGTCACACGTCAGCATATCATGGCTCTCATAGGATTAAAAGTGAAAAGTGTCCCTCGAAAGAAGATAACGGAGGCACAATATATGGGTAAGGCTCAATCCCTATTGGGTAACGGTTCCAATCTGTCTGATGAATCCTTCAAGACCAGGCAGGAGTACTTGGCCCAGATACTGGCCGAGGGAAAGTACGTTGCAGAGCAAACTAAATCAGATGAACCCGTCAATCCATTAAATGATCCTAATGCTTCAGATGCAATGATGAACATGGCCAAGGGTAATCTGGCAAACTACATTCCTCAAACATTAATTATGTGGTGGGTCAATCACTTTTTCGCAGGTTTCGTCCTAATGAAGCTGCCATTCCCCCTCACAATTAGATTCAAAGAAATGCTGCAAAGTGGAGTAATGACAGCTGACCTCGATGTTCGTTGGGTAAGCAGTATCTCCTGGTACTTTATCTCCGTTTTAGGATTGAACCCACTTTACAACCTCATCCTCGGTAACAATGACGTTGATGCCCTCGGGATGGCTCAACAACAACAGCAACTTGGTGGTATGCCTGGCGGACCAGCTCCAGAAGTCATGATGAAGAATTTGGCCAATGACGTGACTATCGCCCAACATGAGACCTGCTTCAAGGGAATTGAAGAGAGAGTGCTTAAACTTTACAAAAATTAAAGTTCTATAAAAATTAAATCTTCATTCAACTAAATACAAGCTCAGAAACAATACAATACGTTAGAACTATAGCTCATTAGCCAGCTTACTCAGTACGTAACAGTTACTCCGATGATCGTGGAGATTATGTTTTATCGTCCTAAACGTAATAAAAAATTTGATTCTGGAAAGGATTTGAAATCAGCGAAGCTCATCGACAATTAATTAACATTCTCAAACATCACAGGAAGGAAACATGGCTATAAAGACCGTTATTTGCATCGGTATGGCCGGTTCAGGGAAAACAACTTTTATGCAACGTTTAAACTCACACTTACATGCTGCTAAGGAACCGCCCTATGTGATAAATCTCGATCCAGCAGTCTTGCGGGTTCCATATGGTGCTAATATAGATATTCGTGACTCTGTCAAGTATAAGAAGGTAATGGAAAACTATAATCTTGGTCCTAATGGTTCCATTGTGACCAGTCTTAATCTATTCAGCACGAAAATTGATCAAGTTATCAAATTAGTGGAGAATAAGCGAGACAAGTACGAACACTGCATAATAGATACTCCCGGCCAAATTGAATGTTTTGTTTGGAGTGCATCTGGGTCTATAATCACAGAGTCCTTCGCTTCTACTTTTCCTACTGTCATCGCTTACATTGTGGATACTCCGCGGAACTCCTCACCTAGCACCTTTATGAGTAACATGCTTTACGCCTGTTCTATTTTGTACAAGACCAAACTGCCCATGATTGTTGTTTTTAACAAGACCGATGTTTGCAAGGCTGATTTTGCACGCAAGTGGATGACCGATTTCGAAGCCTTCCAGGAGGCTTTGAGGGAAGATCAAGAATTAAATGGCGAATCAGGTATGGGATCAGGATATATGGGGTCTTTGGTCAATTCTATGTCGCTGATGCTGGAGGAATTCTATTCACAATTGGATATGGTTGGTGTCTCTAGTTACACGGGAGAGGGCTTCGATGATTTCTTGAACGCGGTGGATAATAAAGTAGTCGAATATGAAAGCTATTACAAGGCCGAAAGAGAAAGAATATTGAAGGAAAAAGAAGAAAGGGAAAAAGCCGAGAAAGAAAAGTCTCTGGAGCATTTAATGAAGGATCTTGGCATTAAAGAGAAAGTCGGGTTGGAAAAGACAAGTAATGATGATGCAGATGTGCTGAGTGACCTAGAGGAAGGAGAGAATGATGGCATTATTCTACGCGATGAAGAGGAAGGGATTGATAGGGAATACACATTTGCTGGTGATGAAAGACTCACTGGCGAGATAAACAGTCGTGACACTCCTGATTTGCAGAGGAGATATGAGGAAGCGTTACAGAAAGTGGCAAAGTCAGCTAGTAGTGAAACTGCAGAAAACATTGCAAAATATATCAGACAGTAAGCTCATAATATAACTTTGTTCAGGTTACATAGATTCAAATGTAGAGTCCCTCTTCAAAACACGATGGTACATCTCTCACGCCGTAAACTCCCTTCCAAGATACAGGGACTACAAAGTTGTCAACCGCTGGAAAGTTGTCCACAAGACGCCGGAGGTGCTTTGATGCAAATACTGCGTCTTCTGAATTGTCACCTTCTTGGACGAAAACATTCATGTATTTGATTCGCTTCAAATTTGGAAGTGGCGGCGAAGCGTGTAGGAGATGATAACATAGTTTAAATACAAACTGGTCTGTAGAAATTCCGAGTTGAAAACTGTCCTCAGTAAAATCAAAGAGAGTTTTATTCACGGAATGTGCCTCCGACTCTTCAAGCTGTAGCGTTTGTTGAAACTCGGTTGCAATGTTGTCGATTTTGGAAAGATCACAAATCCCCAGGGAAAACCTATTAAGTCTGTTTGAGTAGTTGCTTATGGTCTCTTCAAGGGCATCTATAGAATCCAGAACAAATACAGCTTCCACACCCAGTTTTTTTACCAACGGAACCAGCAACTCTTTGCAGAAGTTGTTCTCGTAACCTTGAAACACAGGCACCCGCTGTTGAATCACGTATAGCTGCAGTTTTTCATTATAAAAGAGTTCAATTGGCGTCGTATACTTCTTGTATTTGTTTGCTTTGTAGAGTTCTGGTTCACGGCCTTCGACGTAATCAAGGGGTCCAACGAAGGGGAACAGGTATAGGTTCTCTAGTTCACACACATACTGGAAATCAGGGCTCAAGGAGTGCAAGATCAGATCTGTAGATAATTGGGGCACGTTTCCCGTAGATACCAATGGAATCAGAAGCCCGCTCATAACTACTATTTTGAAGTTTCAATACTTGAACAAAAAGTTCAAGTGACTAAAGATGTCTACAATTTTATTTTTTAATGACAATTTGTCAGAAATGAAAGAAATAATTTACAAGCTGTCGTGTTGACGACTACACAAAAGCCAACGCGGAAAGCTGTATGCTCAAATGATATGATTTAAAGAACAACTACATCACGATATGCCATGGTTAGCAGTTTTCTCGTTTGAAGTAATGGGCCTTTTCTTTTTATTCTAGGAACGAGGTGATTATGAAAAATTTATGAAAAAATTCATTTTGAGATGAGCATATGGCATCACCCTACAACACCTATACTGCAAAGGCCTTTGTTAAAACGGCACGATGTCTACTAATTTTGAGAAGCATTTTGAGGAAAACGTTGATAACTGTACTCTAGAGCAACTTCGGGATATCCTAGTCAATAAGTCCGGCCAATCAAAATTGGCAAACAGATTTAGAGCACTATTCAACTTGAAAGGTGTGGCTGAAGAGTTTGAGAAAAATCCTGAAGATGCTGCTAAGGCCACTGAGTACATCAGTGAGACGTTCGGAGATAGCAGCGAGCTTCTAAAGCACGAAGTCGCCTATGTACTTGGTCAAACTAAGAACATGTTAGGCGCTCCTGTCTTGAGAGATGTGTTGGCTGACGATGGCCAGCAATGTATGGTTAGACACGAGGCAGCCGAAGCCCTTGGTGCACTTGGTGACGTGGACTCTCTACCAATTTTGGAGAAGTACTTTAAAGAAGACCCTCTGGTGGAGATCAGACAGACTTGCGAACTTGCCATTGGGAGAATCAAATGGCAAAGTAGCGGCAGCGCCAAGAAGGAAAACTTGCAAGATTCTTTGTACTCGAGCATCGATCCAGCTCCTCCTTTGACGCTCGATCAAAACTACAAGATCGAGGAATTGAAAGAGATTCTTAATAACCAGGAAAAGCCTCTGTTCGAGAGATACAGAGCAATGTTCAGACTTAGAGACATCGGAACTGACGAAGCTTGCTTAGCGCTTGCCAGTGGTTTCGATGACCCATCTGCTCTTTTCAAGCACGAAATTGCCTATGTGTTCGGTCAGATAGGGAACCCTGTTGTCGTTCCAAACCTTGTTGAGGTGCTTGGCCGCGAAAACGAAGCCCCAATGGTGAGACACGAGGCTGCCGAAGCTTTAGGTTCCATTGCCACTGACGACGTACTACCAATCCTCAAGGATCATCTGGAGGACAAGGATGACGTTGTCAGAGAATCTGCCATCGTTGCGCTAGACATGTACGAATACGAAAACAGCAATGAGCTGGAATACGCTCCAGCCTAATTTATAATACCAATTTGTAAACTGATGTATAGGGCTACCGAAACGTTTTAATTGAATCAACTCTGTAAAGGTTACAACGATGGAGTCACCTGCAACGGTCTTCCACTTTTTTGAGATTTTTGTTCGCATCCCAAATATCAACTGTTAGTTAAAGCAGCAAACTCATAAGTCAACAATGGCGCCGCAAATCGTCTTCGTCACCGGTAATGAAAACAAATTGAAGGAGGTCAAAATGATACTCTCACCCAGTGAAGGTGAAGAAGAGAAATTCACGCTAATAAACCAAAACATCGACCTTGACGAGATGCAGGGTGCCGACCTCGAATTTATCGCCCTCAGTAAATGCAAGCAGGCGGTAGCAGAGCTGCCCAAGGGCCAACCTGTTTTTGTTGAGGACACCGCTCTTTGTTTTGATGAATTCAATGGGTTGCCCGGTGCATACATCAAATGGTTTGTCAAGAGCATGGGCGTCGACAAAATCGTACAAATGCTGGCCGGTTTCTCCAACAAGTCCGCCCAGGCCGTCACTACAATTGCGTATGCAGATTCTGAGGGTCAGTTTCACACATTTCAGGGTATTACCAGAGGCAAGATCGTCAATCCGCGTGGACCACAGACCTTCGGCTGGGATTGCATTTTCCAGCCTGATGAAGGAAGCGGTGTAACTTACGCAGAAATGCCCAAGTCTGAGAAAAACAACATTTCGCAGAGAGGGAGAGCCTTTGCGAAGTTCAAACAGTTTCTATACGCTCCCAAATAGATACTTTATAGATAATTAACTAGAATTGTTCAAAGGTCGTTTCCACGTGATAAAGATCTCCACCATTTTCGAAGATGAGTCGCTACAACCCACACCGCCGCCGCATCGCTTTGGGAAGGCGCTATGCTGAAAAAGTTTTCACAATGAAAAGTGAACACAGAGACAAGTCATTTGGCTTAACATTTAAAGAAGCAAGGGGAGAAAGGGAGTTGTTGGACGAAAAGGAGTCTTAGAAGCGAAAGGACAGTATCTTGGGACATATACACAGAAATAAAAAGACAAGCTTAGACATAGTACCGAGGATAGACTAGTAAGAGGCAGTTTTAGCATCAAATTTCAAAGAGTTTTTGTGAAGAAATGATCCAGCAGATTCAACAGGCTGTGAGTATTGCAAATTCTTCAACTGAAAGTCCAGACTTGAAAAAGCAGGCGCTAGACTTTCTAGAACAGGCCAAATCAAGCGAAAATGCAGCACAAGTGTTCTCATCGCTTTTGCAGGACACCAATAGCAGTGACATTACCAAGTTTGTTGCGCTGCAGGTGCTGAGCGATCTTGTATTACAAAGCTCTGGTGAACAGCTCTTATTTATCAAGAACACTTGCGTGGAGCTGCTCCGAGACAAAGTGGCGAAAAACAGCCAGGACCCGGAGTACGTGCGCAATAAGATAGCGGAGTTGGTGGCGCGTCTTTTTTACTGCATGTACGGAGACGTCAATTCACATTTATGGTCGCAGTTTATGCAGGACCTTCTCCAGACGCTAAACGTTGCAGTTCTACAGGCCGGGCCTTCGAATGAGTATTCACCATTAGGGTTGGACTATCTACTTAAAACCTGTCTTTCCATCAATTCAGAGATTGCCGATCAAACATTCGTGAGATCCAAGGAAGTTCAAGTAAAGAACAATAGTTTGAAGGATGACATGAGACTACGAGACGTCCCACTACTGGCGTCACTTTGGTTCAATGTGCTGAAAACAGTGCATAATCAGACCGACCTTGCTCAGCTAGCTAACCTTACACTCTCTTGCATTGGTTCATACATTTCATGGATAGATATCAACTTGATTGTGAACCCCGAATATATTAATGTCATTTACGAGTTTTTGGACCATCCCCACTCTAAAATCGCATGTGCACAGTGCTTATGTGAAATAATTTCTAAGAAAATGAAACCCGGGGATAAACTCGCTCTATTGGGTATGCTCAATTTAACAGACAAAGTTGTGAGTATAGGCAATGATGATCTAGAAGTCCAGGAGCAAATGGCCAAACTTGCCTCTTCAGTAGGTGTCGAGTTGACTGTCATTCTTGATCAATGTAACGATGGTAACCCGGGACCTGACTTGCAGAACATTGCAAATACTGCCGATCTTCAAATATTAGGCCAGGTCTCACCTCTTGTCCTTAAGTTCATGGAGCATGAATACGATTCTGTCACCCAGCAATGCTTCACTTTCATATCTCAATATTTGTCATTTCTCAAAAAATTCTTTGCGCTGGGGGGTAAACCAGGCAGTGCAATTGCCATGAATTCGAAAAGGTTACCGTTGGATAGAGATCACGAGGATTTTCTCAATGCCTTACTCGCAGTTTGTATGAAAAAGATGCTTATCGATGAGACATCAGACGAGGATGCTACAGATGATTTAGACGAGTTCAACGAAACAATAAGATCGAAACTTAAAGTCTTTCAAGATAATGTTGCAGTCATTAACCCTGGAATTTATCTGCAGAATATTTCCAAGCACATACAAGAATTAATGGCCGGCACAGACTGGAGGCAACTTGAACTGGCAATTTATCAAATGCATAATTTGGCTGAAAGTATTCGAAACAATTTATTTGGTACCAATAAAAAGGAAATAGTCAATTCTGAACCACATAGAATAATGTGCAAATTTATGAGCACTTTATTGGAAAATACAAGCATATTTCAAATTCAAAATTCCCTAATCCAGATATCATTCTTCGAACTGGTTGTCAGGCACTATCTTTTCTTAGACACGTCCACCAAGGATGAAATCACTTTGTTAAACATCTTTTGCAGTGATTTCGGAATGTTTAGTAGCAAAGAGAGAGTAAGATTGAGGGCGTGGTATTTATTCACCAGATTCATAAAGACAACGAAGCCAAAGCTGAACACAGAACTTTTATCTCAGCTCTTATCAAAAGTATTGCAATTATTAACGATAAAGGCTGTAGTTCAAGTTCCGGGAAGTGGAGATATTGACATCACTTTTGATAACCAATTGTACTTGTTTGATGGAGTAGGTATGCTTATAGGTTCGAGTGCGGATTCAAACTTTGATCTTTTGGATAGTGTTTTGGTACCACTGTTTTCGGATCTGGAGGCGTGCATTTCGGCTCCAGTCAAGACTCCGGAAGTCGTTCTACAAACTCATCATGTACTAATGGCTATTGGAACTGTTGCGCGTGGCATTCATTCCGGATTGGTCCCAGAAAACCAGGTGAACAATGCTGACATTAATAATAAATTTATCCATAAATCATTGATTGAAAAGTTTTCCAACATCGCAGAAGTTATTCTGGTCACATTCTCATATTTCAACAAGCATGAGACGATTCGAGATGCTACAAGATTTTCATTTGCCCGTTTAATACCGATTTTAGGTGATGGTATTCTACCTTTCGCCAGTAGGCTAATATCGATTTTTCTGAATTCGGATTTGAAGACATTAGAAATGAATGACTTTCTGGGGTTTTTAGGACAAATTGTCCATATGTTTCATGCTAGTGAGATTTGTTACCAATTATTGAATAATCTACTAACACCCGTCATCAAAAAGGTATTTGAGCTGCTAGCACAGGCTGAACAAGAATCAGAGTTGGTTGCTGCGTCCGGATCTGTTGCATCTTCTGCAAAGGTCTCTAATGGGAAAAATGTTGTCATAACGGATTCTTTTAGAGACAAGGTCACATTGAAAAAAGCGTACTACAACTTCCTACAGTCCTTTGTCACAAATCACTTGACCTCTCTATTTCTCACTGAGACAAATCGTAATGTTTTGCCACTTATTTTGGAAGATCTTTTAACATATACGGCAGATGAGATTCATGAAACTTCTTCTATGAAGCTGTCATTGAACGTACTTATTAATTTTATTGAGTATTTTGGCACAGGGGTCTGTACAGATGCAAAGGACATCAATGCAAACAGCTTCAACAAGATCGAGGGTCTTGGGGAATATTTTATATCTAAAGTGATTCCATTAGTATTCGAAATTCCATTCAACCAAGTTTATGCCTTTAACATCCAAGACGGAAGCTGCAGAGTCATTGCTTGCGACCTCTCCAGACTCTTGAAAACTCTTTACTTAGTGCATGGAGATGCTAACGAAAATGCATGTCTGAGTTATTTAACTGAAGTTTACTTACCGCAGGTTCAGTTCCCAAATCAGCTTTCCATGGAATTTGCCCAGGCACTTGCCTCTGCCGATCAAAAAACGTTCGAAAAATACTTTGTCAATTTTATCAGCTCTATCATGGCTTAGGAATCATAGAATGAAGCTGTTTTTATGTCAGCGTATCAAGTCTTTGAGCCATATGATATCTGAATTCATTTATGTGCTATAGTTTTTGACCTTCTGACTGCATCATAAATTGATCTACTAATTAATGCATCGTGTACCTACTCCTTTCAGCATAAAAGTCTATAATCTTTAAACTAACTAAAGAAGCTCGGGGTCGAATTTACATGAAAACCGTTGAGAGTCCCCTGAAGCTAATATGACTGATTGTTCGCCTTATCTACATACTTCTCTCTCTGTCACGTGGAGTTTTTAGACTCGCTTCATTCAAAGGTGGCAAAATTTTCCCTCTATAAAACCCCTTTTACATAAATCAAATATCATTGAATTTGTTTCCTACAAGATATAGGGTGGTGTGAAGCGTGTACGGCAACATCATTGTTCGTTTAGCATTATTTTTGATAAGCTCGTTCTTCTAATTGTTCAGTGATCTTTAAAATTCAGAACATGTCTTCTCAATCGGACGACTCCTCTGTAGGACCAACGTCTATCCCGGAGGCTACAGATATAATATCGAATTCCAGGGGTTCTAAATCAAATAAATTAAGCGATGATCACGCATTACCTGAGCCTATAGATTCTATCGGAGAAAGCAATCAAAACATGCATGTTGCACAAGTAATCAGCGCCGAAACTGGCAATGAGAATTTGTCAAAATACAATGTGGATTTCAAGCCAAGTTCATCCAGCAAACAGCATATCTACAGTATTCGTGAGTTACTACAAATATCAAAAGATGTACCCGAGAAATTGAGCAACTCTATCTCTGGCTCCTTACCCAAAAAGAGCTTTTGGAGACTTTCCAGTAGGCACCCTGATGGAAGCGGCGGATCTAATCACAAAACCAATAATTTTAGGATTGCAGAACCCGGTTCTGAAAAGAAGGCGCATAGAAGTCGTGGGTCTAGAAACGGTAGACGAGGAAGCAAGTTTTCCAAGGGTGAGAAGCATTACGTGGAAGAGAAAGATATCAAAGTTAATAATGATGATCTACTGGCATTGGAAGAAGAAATCAAGCCTACAGGCAATAGCATTAGTGACTTTGAAAACTGGAAAGCGAAAATGAAAGAACTCGAACGCAGAAAAAAGGGTCTTCCACCTCTTGAAAAGAATGAAGCCTCTGAAAGGCCGCCACTAGACACTAATAGAAGTTCTCTATCGGACTTTTTTAATTTGAAGAAAGAAAACAGTTCTAATTTCGAAGAGCTTGAGTCATCGGATGGGCATGTAGACACTCCAAAAGGTTCATCGTCAAGGTTTTCATCGTTTTTTAGTTCTGCTTCTTCTTCAACTCCCAACATAGCTCATTCAAGCATAGCACAACCACCAACTCCCAAGGAAGATGAGGCCCGCTCTGCTACAGGTTCCAGGGTTCTCTCGTTTTTCAACAAGCCAGAACAACGCCCTATGCCCGAGCAGCATCAAAACAAGGGACTCAACAGTGTTGCATCCGACGCACGCTCCGAACCACATGAAAATAAGGTCTTTGTGAAAGAGCAAACGAACAACAATTTTTTCCAAGGGTTACTTAATAAGGGTAAGTCGACTGATAGCATACCCACCCAAATGCAAGAACCTTTACAATACTCTCGGCAGGGTCGTGACGCCCGCGAATCCTCAATCAACTCTAATATTCTTGGAAAAACAAATGCTATCAACAATGCGGGCTCAACAGAAGGACCCCCTGGCCTCTCAAAGATGCCTCCTAATCCACAACGTGGAAATTTATCGTCAAACTTTCAAATGGGTATGCCAACCAATATGATGCCACCCATGGGGCAACCAATGAATATGCCTCCTCCTGGATACCCTCATTTTCAAATGCCACCTCCTGGAGTACACCTACCTCAACAATTTTTTGGAGATCGGCCTAAACAGCGAGTTGGTCAAGATGGCAACGATGGCAATCCTGAAAAAAATCAGAGAACTCAACAAATGCATGCTCAATTTATTTCAGGACCTCCTAATATCCCACCTCCTGGATTTGCTCCAATGCAAGGCCCCCCTCCTGGAATTGCACACGACATGCAAATTCCTATGAACGGCATGATGCCTCCACATGGGTTTTTTCCACCACAAGGGCCCGGCTTTCCGCAGTTTGGTAACCCACAGATGCCTTCTAATGGAATGCCTTTGCAATCGCATCGTATGGCCCCACGAAGGGAATGAAAGCTGTCAAGTACTTCGGTTAATGGTCATGAATTAAATTTCAATGTGCAGGCGTAATTATACATGACATAGTTTATTATTACGTTTCCTTCCTATATAAGTCGGCAACTTGCAAAGACAAATTTAACAGCTGCAGATGCTCATTAGTACCGTTTGACAGTTTTGAATCGATATCAAAAAGTTGCCATGAAACATTGTTTTTGAACTCTGTGGAGCAATTGTCATTATTGATATAGTAGTCATGTAGCTGATTGACAACTGCCGCTGCGCTCCAACCACTCTTCATCAAGTTATTCACATATTCAATAATATTTTCAAAGTTCGCCGCAGAAATTCTATCAACCAATTCATTCAATACCTCTGATGGAACAGTACCTGCTACTTCATCTACCATCAGAGCTGTGATTTCAGGAGGGTCAACATGTTTCACCATTTTTGAGGAAGATTGTAATAACATGATTGCTCTTCTCAAGTCACCTTGCGAAATGTCTAATATTTTCTCAAGTACTTCACGATTACAATTTAACGATTCTTCCTTTGCAACGTAAGTGATCCGATCAAGGGCATTTGTAGAATCAAGTGGTTTGAATCTAAACTTTGAACACCGAGATGCTAGTGGGTCAATGATTCTAGTGACATAATTGCAGATCAAGCAAAATCTAGTAACGTTGGAGTATGTTTCCATCGTCCTACGTAGTGCACTTTGGGCATCTGCCGTCATCGAATCAGCTTCATCTAAAATGATTATTTTATAAGGCGGACATGGGTAATTCTCGAGGTCCTTTTTCGATGGGTTTGAAACAGTTAACCGTGCAAAATTCTTTATCTTTTCCCTGACAATAGATATACCACGCTCATCTGAGGCATTCAATTCTAAAACTCTTGATTTCTTTAAGTCAGGTCCATAAAGTTCTTTAGTCAAAGCTAAAATAGTTGATGTCTTTCCGGTACCAGGCGGCCCATAAAACAACATATGGGGTAAATTGGCAGATTGTAGTGTCTTTCTCAAAACGCTCACAGCATGGTCCTGTGCCGCCACCTCGTCTAACTTCTTAGGACGATACTTTTCTACCCAGGGCTTAGAATCATCATCATTACTTTGCGGATTCAGCTTTGGCCTCTTTGCGAAGAATCCTTGTGCACTCATTGCAATTGGATAAGTTTTCAACTTGCTTCCTTTATCAACACTGGTGTCGCGTTAACAAATTTTTTTAAATCATCACTAATTAACATTTTTTAATCGAAGAATCCGTTTAAGGTGTACATGGTCATTTCGAATACTTCACAACATTTCTGTCATGTCCAATTCATACGATGATTTTTGGGGCTCGGATTCTGATGATAATAGTACTTTCAAAGCAAATGAAGAGTCTATAGAGATTCGAAAATTGCGAGCAAGACATTCTAAGAGAGGGTATCTTGATGGTCTTACATATTCAAAGGAAGAAAATCTACAAGCCGGGTTCAATACTTCATTTCCAGAGGGATGTGATCTCGGATTGAAGGTCGGCCTTATTCTTGGGACGTTGCAATTTCTGGCAGCCTACTATGGACCTAAAGACGAGAAGCTCCGAAACGATTTTTCAACTGCTCAAAAGGAATTGAAAATCAATAGTATCCTTAGTAAGACTAACTTCGATGAAAACTTTGATCTGATAGGTGATAAGCATCCAATTATCGATAAGTGGGAAAAGAAATTAAAGGACTATCAAGGAAAGTACTTTTGAGTGAATATAACTGAAGAAACATGTATTTAGTACGTAGTAAACTACCAGAAGGAGCACCATCCAATGTAATGCTGGCATAAATTCTCTACAGATGTAGCCTGTTGAATCAACTTTCCTACTTGTTCAGGAACATCGAGATGGCTAAATCTCCGGAAATCATTACCAGTAAGTTTATCTGTAATCCTCTTTAGAACCATGGTAGCTCTTGCATTACGAATCTCGGTTTTTTGTTGAATTTCTAGTTTAGCAGCTTCTTCAACCGTGATTGCACCTCTTCTTAATAGCTCGCTTGGATTTGTGAGGGGCAATTCAATGCCGGTCTGTTCAGCAATCGCTTGAGTAGGCAAATCGAACCCCCAATTTATTAATGGATCATTAGCGAACGCTTCCAAAATCGCCATCAGCGACTCTTTATTATCTCTTAAAACTCTCAAGACGTTTTCACAAGTAATGCGGAAACTACCCTCTATTCCGCTCACTTCCATTGCGTACGTTAGCATTCTTGTTAACCTGAAGGGAACTTTCTCTGGGTATTTCTCTCTTAAAATCGCAGCCTCGAAGCAATCACCAAAGTCGATGTGTACCACTTTCCCAGTGTTGCGGTCTAACATCAGGTTGCTTGGATGACGATCACCCAGACCGAGGATATATCCTACCATTGACATAACCGCTAATGATCTTGTATAAGTTGTACGGCGTTCAAGCCATGACTCTGACGATCTACTTTTCAACCACAAAACTTTATACAAATCTTGTCCTCGTGTGTTATCCAATGCATACGTGAAAACCTCGACTTTCTGTAATAAGGTTAAGTTATCATAATCGGGTGCCATCTGTAGCATTATTCTATGCTCGATGTTTAATGGTATTTTGCGTGCCTCTCGATGTTCTCTAATTAACACATGGAATGTATCACTGTTGTAAACCCATCCCAATAAGCCCGACTTAGGGGATAGGGGAATGGTGGGATATTTTCTAATATCTAAATGTCTTTGGAAGCATTCCGGATCATTTTGCAATAGGGTATTGACCAGGCCAAACAGTTGCATGACCAGATTATCTTGCCTAATATCTTCGTGACCTTTGAGAAGATATTGATAATCCTTTCCATCATTACATCTAATTGATAAACGACGGGGTCTTTGTTTGGAAGATATGACATAGAAAACTGGTTCAAAGTACGCAATTTTGATGATTGGCTTTCCTGCTTTGTAAGTACCTGGAACGGCAAGATTCAGATCATGAGCAGCCAATAACTTGGGTGAAACGTGTTGAAGTTCAAGTGTCTGTAATTGAGGAAGCTGCCTACTAATACGACGGAATACATTGTAATAAATGTCCCATGCTTGATTCAGATTTGTTATATCCTTGCTGCGTTTAAAGTTCAATACCCATTCATATGCATCATTTAAGTCTCTACCGAAGGAATTTTGGAAAGAAATCTCTCTCAAGGTCTCCGGGCCACGCTTGAGCATTTCATGCAAAGGCTCTAACGTAGCAAGCATCTTCTCAGTATTGTGTTCACCAAAAAATTGTCGACTAGCATCCTCCAACCCTTCATACCAAAGCTCATGCCATAAAACAGCAACCCGGATTAACTCATGACTAACTAACTCAGCCTGATCAACTAAAATTGAGCTATGGATTCTCATTTTGTCAATAATTGATAGGGCTGCTTTCTGACGAGAAACAGACTCAGATTTAATAGCGACGGTCAAGGGATAGACCAAGGCTTGTGGGTGTGCCTTTCCTAAATCTGATAGAAGAGAAAGTAGGGATCTACTAACAGTTTGGTTGGGTTGATGAATTCGAGTAATCAACTGCGGAACCACATCCAGCCAAGTGTCGATTTTGATAAGATTGAAGCCTTCGTGCATGGCTTGTGCTGCCTCAGGTATACCACCAAACGTGAACCACAAAGTCAAAAGTCTCAAAGTGTCCTGCAGCGAATTTGACTCAGATAGAGAAATTGAATGGAAAAATCCCTTGATGGCAGGGACTACATGTCTCTGGATGACCTCTGGTGGGTATTGGGTATTATCAATGCTGGCAGAATCAACACCGACGAGAACCGAGTTTTGAATTCGCTGAGGGTCAACCTTTCCTGAGTTTTCATTACCATCAACTTCGGCTGCCCCGTTTGCTAGTGGATTCTTCTCCTCCTTTGCCTGAGCTGTAATCAAGGATATGACGTCGAAGTTAGCCAAAGCCCAATTGTGCCAAGCCTTATACCATGTGTTATCAAAGTGGGTCGCTAATAAGTAAGAGCCCAGGATTGCATCTGGGTTTTCCATCCTCCAATTATCTTTCAAATGCACACGCCATTCACCTTGCTTAAGAAAACAACGTGCAAGCAGTTTGGTATAATCCTCGATATGATGAGCTGGAATTGTGGTACTTTGTGGAACGCTTTGTGCAATCATGTTGCTCGGATCTAGCCCTAAATCATGAGCCACTCTAGATGTGAAGCTAATCAAATGTCTCAGGGCTTCTTTCTGTGATCCGGTAGCCCACATATATTTCAACTGAGCATATACCACTGGTGGGGGGGCTCTGGCGGTGTTGGGATGATCAGGATCACCTCCCTCTTCTAGAAGAGAATTTAAAGCCTTTTGGGCCAAGCCCATTCTGCCAGATTTGCGACAAAGGTTGGCAAACTTAATCCACACCTGCATATCTTGTTTTGGTTTCACTACTAAAGACCGAACCCTCAAAATTCTTTGCCAAACATCAACATTCTTCTGACAGCCAAGTAACCTTTTGTTCCACGTCTTTCTCATCATAGCGCGTTTTTCGGATGCATGCGGAAGCTTCTTGTACTGTATTATCTCTTCTAATTCGGAGATCATTTGAGAACGAACAACTACACCATATGCTCTGTTATAACTTTCGTTGATCAAAGCCGAAATCTCTGTGACCAACAAGTCTCTTGCCTCAAATATATGGTCTTCGGCTGCCGAAAAATTGTTTCTATGCAGGCATAATATTGCATCAAAGAACGCCTTATCGGGAGATTGGTCCTTCATTACTTCAATATACTGTTGGATCCTATCCCATTGCCCAAGGCCCAGTGCAGCACCAGCAGCAAGGGGAGCTATTGCTCTTTTAATGTCTGTTTTTGAAGCACTCCATTTCTCTGCTGCGAGCTCTGATAATTGGTCCCATTCACCTAGTGCATGCAAAGACCTCATTTTACCCATTGTCACTTCAGTGGAATCTTCACCAGCTGCCGCGCGCAAGTTGTAAGCATTTAATGCATCTTCCCATCTTTGTAACTTCTCGTACCAAGTTTCTTTCAGCTGTAGATCATGTTGTTGTTGGGCATGTTTTAAAATTCCAATAGCTGCGTCTGTTTGGTGGAGCTGATTGTTGATACTAATCAACGATTCAATAGTAGATGTACTTGGCTCTTGTATGAATGCTAGTTCCTTGTAATGCAGAGATTTAGCATACGCATGACATTTCTGTGCATATTCACCCAACGTTAGAACAGGAATAGGTAAAGGTTTGTCATCATGTTCCATGAATTCAACTAGGTTTAACAACGTTTGATGTATCTCTGGAGGATTGTTAGGAGAAGACAAAGCCAGACAAAGAGACTGCACTAGATCTTCTTGATACTGTGTGTATAATTCAGTCCAACAACTCGAAAAGGAAGCGTTAAACAACTCCCTGGCTAAAGGGTAGTAAATTCCCGCGAGACCAGAACAAGCTCTAAGGGCATGCGAAGGTGACTCTTTCAGTAACTGAATTGAGAGTCTTCTAATCCACTCTCGCCAATCCTCCTTTGTCCGTTGCTGAGAACATTCCCAGGCATTCTTCAGTACCAACTGGTTGACAGGTAACTTTCTTGAAGGTAGTTCCGCTTCGGCTAGTTCTTTGCTAGGCGCATCAAAATCTTTGTCCACTATAATGTTGGTTGGGAGAGTCTCATTGTTCAAAATTTTGTTCACCAATTGGTCGTAAACAGTATGCTGAATATGATTTTTAACCAGGGCTTTGTTGATAATTGGAATAAAGACCGTAAAGTCGGTGCCCAGCTGTAATAGTAATAAACTTAGAGTATTCATAGTTGCCCTTACCAGATCTGCACTACCGGTATTCAGAACTCTGATCAAGGCTTGAACAATTCTCGTAGACATTTCCGATAGATTAATGTTCTTCGCAAGTCTGCCTAAGGTCACTATAGCGACTTTATTCAACGTTCCAGAACCGTATTCCGCCATTCGCACGATTGTGGGCACGATCAGATGTGCAAACTCTTCTAGGTTTGAGTCAAACACAACCAAAGATTTCAAAATTCTCACGGAAACGATCTTTTTATTGGAGTTGTCTTTTTCTAAAACATCAAAAAAGAGCATTAGAGTAGAGGGCAAGAACACTTTGAATTCGCCTTCTAAAGATTTTGAAATTGATTCTATAACTGAAATCACAGTTATTTGCAACTTGACTATGGGAAAGAATTCTTTTATCACCTCGAAAATGTCGGTCACAAAAGGACGAATATGTTGCTTGACAATAGAAACCAGAACTCCTAGCTGTTGGAAGTAAAACTCCAGCAGAGAAGGTGGGCATGTTCTCATAACATTAAGGATGTTAGGAATAATTTGCTTGAGGAACGAGACACAGCGCAGACCTAACGTCTGAAAAATGTGCATTACCGCCTGTATAACTGAGGTATGATGTGACGAAAGTGAAGGATCTTTGAGAATTTTCATCAAAGTTGCAATAACAACAGTAGGGTAGTACTCTTCGTTCGATGGAGACATGCCCTGCATCAATAGAGCGACATCAATTGGAGGTGCATTCTGTTCTGAAGGGATTCGTGCGCTTGAAGTTCTCTCAACCTCTCTATGCTTGTAAGGATCTAAAGCACCGAGAATACCAATCAATCGAACGGTCTCTCTCCTAATGTTTTGAGAGCTCTCTGATTTGAGAATGTTGATCAAGACAGAGAGTAGTTGCGGATAATCTAATAGTGGATCAATCACATAACCAGCAGATGCAGATAGTTGGCCTAGTGTCTTCAACGCTGCATCTCTTTTGAACGAGTTTGATTGATCCTGAAACGTGTCTATGATCAATGGCATCAGTTGATCGAGAAACTGATTCATGACTTCGCCACCCACTACAGAAAGCTCACCGATTGCTTTCAGTGCTGTCGAGGCCACCGCAGAGGAGCTGTCCTGAGATTTGGGTAAAAGAACATCTAATATAGGCTCAATGTAAGGCTTTGTGACGTCTTTACTGGAGCTTATAAGAGTACAAATCAGTGAAGCACTTTCCTCCTTTTTCCTGGAACGATTCGAGTAGCTCAATTGAGTAAGAAGCTGGAGAAGAGTTTTCCTTAAAGAGGGAATGATGTATGCTGGGTTAATGGCTGAAAGTCGTCCAATAATTTTCATGGATTCCATCTGTATAGCAAAAACCTCATCGTTTAATGCCATAAATACTAGCCTAACATTATCTGGCTGCGATAATTGAGGATCAAAATTAGTGTCCAAATGTCTCAGTACTTCAAACCTAATCTCAACTACAGGATCCGTAATTGCAATGGTTAGAAGTTTGCTCAATACCTCTGAAACAGCATTGAGTGCATGCAGCGATGTCTGTTTACAGATATTGTCCTTGACAAATAGGTCGCACGATGTCAACGCTGCCAATTTCCGAACTTGTGGGTTTTCATGTTCGATATAAGTAATAGTGATTAGCCTTACAAATTCGGCAAGTGAATATCTGTAGTTCAGTGAGTGAAGCATCTTGAGTGCTTGAGTTAGCATTTGAGCATCAAGATTATCATCGTTGAAATCGCCAGTTTTCCTTAAAACTTGCTGATCCCTATAATGCCTTGCCTTTTCCACCGAAAGAGGTTTAAGAGATATTGGCGAGCCTGGTGGTCTGAATTTATCCCCGGATAACGATAAACATAGCATATCTAGAAGTTTTTCGTTTATTACCGGTCCTAAGGAAGGAATTTTATCGATGAGTGTGGTCAATGTCTCCTGCATATAATCAGAAAGGGGACAAGCCAGCATCAAATCTAGGAGATCCTCGTTGAGGTTCTTAGAGAGAGCAGGGCCTACAGCACATGCAAGCTTGGCGATACAGTAGAATATTTCACGTTCAAAACCCTTACGGGATTTAAATTTCGTGAGAAGCCCATCCCTTATATTATCTAATATGGAATCCATGTAGGGAGCAACATTTGATCCAACTTGGAATGCAATATCTCCGATGGAAACCAGGATTGCGGCTTTATCAGAGTTGTTTGTGGGAGTCGCATGCATATTTTTCAATAAAGTCAAGTAATGGATCATGGTTTGGTCCAAGTATTTTTCATTAAACAATTGGGGATCGGCTGAGGCTAGTAAAGGTAAAATTGCATATATTTCTTTTCTGATCACATTATATTTGTGATCTCTGTACCTCATGGTTGTTTCGTAGATTTCATCAAAATGCTCCTCAAGATGAGTGCCTTTTAGAGATAGCAGCTCACGATATACCAGAAGAGTGGCATGTATAGACTCGTTAGTGTTCAGTTGCAATCCATACGCGCAGCCTTTAAATAATCTTTGAAACCACTTTTTTGTGAGTTTTGAATCTCTGTCCTGAATTATTGCCAAGCATTTCTCCAAAGTTTCTGCAGCGTCAACCCTAATCACTAATTTATTATCGCGAAGGGCTCTCCAAATATTATCAAGTAGTGAGTTGATATAAGGATACAGGAGGTAAGGGGAATTGTTAGCTATAGCGGTGATAATTAGCAAAGAGGCATGCTTGCGGTATTCTTGTTTGGAATTCGAAGATGAGTTTTCAGGTGAAGTTGTAAGCCATTCAATACATGTCTTGACCTCAAATTCGACAAAGTCGGATGTTAAAGTCCCTCCGGGAACCGCTAGCTTTCCCAGTGTACGGGTGGCAGCTCTCATAACCTCCACATCACTTGAAGGTACCAGTACCCTCAAGTAGTTGGCCAATCTAGACGTTTGATTGGGCAATTCGTCAGAATGAGCATAAAAGTCTATAATAGTGTCGACTGCTAGGACACCACCTAATTTCTCGTTCGAAGAAGCGCCGTGAATGAGTTCGAAGATTTTGTTGTTAATATCGTTACTGAATCGTTGGAATTGCTCCGTTGATACTTCTCGAGCGAGTGATATCAGGCTGTTTTTAAGTTCAAATGAGGCGGCATTTCGCTCCTGGGCGATAGGACTTTTCAACTTATTAAAGATGATTGTAAATGCCATGTAGGTAGTATCTGAGTCTGTATCTCCTGATCCTCCCGCACCCGGTCCGCCAGTGGAAGCTTGACTGCCATCAGTAGCATTTGATCCCGCCACTGTGACTGCAGAGGATGAAGCTGCATTCGCTCCCACGCCATTAGCGGAATCCTTCGAAATGTCGCTAGTAGATTTTCCATTAGAGGTCAGTCTTCTCCTTCTACCAATCTGAGTGTTCCTTCTTAGCATGGTCACGATTAAATATTGTGATAGCCACGATACGGACGTGACTCTTTCCTCAGCTATCGGATAATGTCTGAGGCAACAATTCTCTTTCCTGAAGGAGGTTATTTATGAAAAATTGGACTTGACATGTATCACGTGCTTCTTGTCATATGTCACGTGATCGCTCGATCAATTGAAAACGAGTAATATTGCGACCCCTTTTCTATAGAGCGTCTCGGTGAACTATCCAAATTGAATCAGGGAAGAGAAAGCCAAAGTAGTGAACAACAATGTCTTACCTTAACAATCCTGCTATTGTGATGGACAATGGTACCGGTTTAACCAAACTAGGGTTTGCTGGTAACGATTCGCCTTCGTGGGTGTTTCCCACTGCAATTGCGACAGCTCAACCATCGACAACGAAAAAATCGAGTTCTGGTTTGGGTGCAACTCAATCGCAAACTGGTGGGAGTGCATACTTTGGAAATTCCACTTCGGCGACCTCCTTTAATAACCTTACGTCGTCTGCACTCCTTTCGAATAACCTTGCGGGAAAAAGAGGCACAGAGGACCTCGACTTTTATATTGGAAACGAAGCTCTCATTGCCTCCCAAAGCTCATCTTATTCCTTGAGCTATCCAATTAGACACGGACAAGTGGAAAACTGGGACCATATGGAGAGGTTTTGGGAAAACTCGATTTTTAAGTATTTAAGAACCGAACCAGAAGACCACTACTTTCTATTGACCGAACCTCCGTTGAACCCACCAGAAAACAGAGAGCAAGTAGCGGAAATTTTCTTTGAGAGTTTCAACTGTGCAGGCCTTTACATTGCAGTTCAAGCTGTGTTAGCGCTAGCAGCATCGTGGACATCTTCCAAAGTTACTGATAGATCTCTTACCGGTACTGTCATCGATTCTGGTGATGGTGTAACTCACGTTATTCCAGTGGCAGAAGGCTATGTAATTGGCTCTGCGATCAAAAACATTCCAATTGCTGGTAGAGACATTACACTTTTCATTCAGTCGTTGCTAAGGGAACGTGGTGAGGCTGATACGTCTCTCAGAACTGCAGAACGTATTAAACAAGAATACTGTTATGTGTGTTCAGATATCGTCAAAGAATTCAACAAGTTTGACAGAGATCCACAAAAATTCGCCCAATTCATAGTTGAGAACAGCGAAAAGACTAAGAAGAAGGTAGTAGACGTCGGTTACGAAAGATTCTTAGCCCCTGAGATTTTCTTTAACCCAGAAATTGCATCATCTGACTTTTTGACTCCTCTTCCTACGGTTGTCGATCATACTATTCAGGCTTGTCCTATTGATGTTCGTAAGGGTTTGTACAACAACGTGGTTTTGTCGGGAGGTTCCACAATGTTCAAGGATTTTGGTCGCCGTTTGCAAAGAGACTTGAAGTCCATTGTAAACAATAGAATTGCGCAGAGCGAATTGCTGAGTGGCACAAAATCTACTGGTGTTGATGTGCAGGTTATTTCTCATAGAAGACAAAGAAATGCCGTGTGGTTTGGTGGTTCATTGTTAGCACAGACGGCTGAATTCAAGAGCTATTGCCACACTAAAAAGGACTACGATGAATATGGGCCTGAAATTGTGAGAAACTTCAGTTTGTTCAACATGATTTAAGTGGGAAATTAGATAAATCATTGTATACAAATTCCATCTGTCCTCCAAAATTCCATAAATGCGTACGTAAAGTTTTGCGAGTATATAGCCGTCAAAAAAAATATATATACTACTAATGTGCAAATTATCCATCAAATGTCTAAAGTTTTAATTCTTATTTCAAGAAAGTGTGTGTATTATTTATGTACAACTCGATACTTAATATTCATCTTTGCCGCTAATGATCACGTTGTCGATCTTGAGAATCATTCTACAAAGCTGAGTAGCGAGCATGATTTGTTGCTTCTTGCCAATCAATGGATCAACAACGAAAAGTTCTTTCATGTTGTGAGATCCGCTTCCTAGGCAGTCCACACCGATTGTTGATGATTTTTCTTTGATTTGGTTACTCTTCAATAAGGAGAGGGTTTCGATAGGATCCAGACCCGAGTTTTCCGCCAAAGTCATGGGGATTGTGTCTAATGCCTGTGCAAAAGCACGGAAGGCGTATTGATCAATACCGTGTTGTTTGTCGGCTTCGTCGGATACAGCGATGGACATGGTCACTTCTGCGGCACCACCACCGTAAACAACTCTTGAGTCTCTCACCAAGTTACGGACAACACACAAAGAATCATGCAAGGCACGCTTGGCCTCGTCCACGATCATTTTGTTAGAGCCTCTTAGAAAACAAGTGACAGTTTTGCTGTTTAGACACTCCTCTATCACAAGCATGCGATCTTTGGTAGTGCCGAACTCCATCTCTTGTATCCTGCCACAGGTACCTAGTTTATCCTTGGACAAATCCTGGAAACGTGGGACGATACGACCTTTGGTAGCGATGGCAATCAATTCAAGCTCTTGACCACCAACCCATCTAACGGCGGGTAGATCGTTCTGTAGTAGCAAATGGTTGGCCTCATCGTCAAACCCCCATTGGCAGATAACAACATCTGCACCGGCTTGTTTGACATAGTCTATCATTTCGACGAATTTATCGTGTTCGTAAGTTTGCAATTTCTGGTATTCTTCGACGGTGGAAATATCGAGTTTGTGCTTGGTCTTTGGTTTTGGCGGTTCGAAGGGACATGTCAAAATGGCCAGTTTTACGCCGTCGTGGCCCTCCTTGGGTGTGACGAGCTTGGGCATCTGAGGGTGGGAAAAATCCTTGTCCAGTACCACACCTTTGATTAGTTGAGAATCCTGTAGCGACCCACCGACACGGCCCTCGATCTTGATAAGCTCAAAGTCGACATCTTTTCTGTCGAGGTCCATGACGCTCGTGACGGCGTCAACGGCCATGTGTGCGAATTTGTCGTGATCTTTGGACACGATTTTGGAGCCCAGAGAGGTCTTTGCAGCTTTGAACAAGTATTCGTGGAAGGATTTCTGGTCCACCGCAACGTCCTCAGCTTGTTTTTCCAAGTGTTTCACGGCCACTTTGGCGGCCTCGTCAAACCCGTTGGCGATCTTGATCGGGTGAATTCCCTTTTCCACGAGCTCGAGAGCCTGGTCGAGCAACGCGCTGGCAAGCACGACGACACCGGTGGTACCGTCACCGATTTCGTCGTCCTGGGATTTGGAAAGCTGCACGAGTAATTTGGCGATTTCGTTGTCGAGTTCCATCTGGGACAAAATGGTAGCACCATCATTGGTGATGGTAATCTCTCCGTCGGGCGAGATCAGGATCTTGTCGAGACCACGGGGACCCAGCGAGGTCTTGATGATGGACGCGACGGATCTTGCCGCCAGGATGTGCGATTTCTTGGCCTCCAGGCCGTGCTGTCTCTTTTTGTTGCCCTGGTCCTTGACGATGATGAACGGCCTTCCCATCTCGTCCTGTGCGACAATTGCATTGGACATGTCTGGCATTTCCATAGCGTGGGGTTGGGGCTGAGCCATGGTGCGGATATCAGCTGCGGTTGAAGATGCTGGTGTGTTGGACGACGATGGGGCCCGCTTGGGCTGGAAATTTTTTGCCACCTGTGCTGGGAGGGCGCGGCGGCCGTGCGTAGTGACGGGGGCCCGCGCGCGGGGCTCCGGTCACGTGCGGGCCGGTGATGCTGCTGCTCTCGAGCCATTTTATTACTATACACTGGTCTACATACGGCGCGGGGCGCCCGTCAGTTGTTGGTACGGAAGCGGTAGCCGCACGAGGTGCAGGTGTAGAAGACCGTGGCACCTTCGTCCGCGGACCGCAGCTGCAACGTGTGGTAGCGCATCTCGTCGTTCCCGCACTGGGGACACTTTTCCTTGATGGTGGCACCTTCGTCGAGCTCGTTCTTGGCCAGCGACGTTTTGACGACGGAGCGTTTGGAGCGCAGCGCGGACGGGAAGGCGTCGTCGGCCGTCGCGGTGACGACCTTGAGGTCAGAGAACTTGGCCTTGGGGTACGACGCGTCGCACTGCGAGCACACGATGTGCGCGGTCTCGATGGCGGACGGGTTGTCCAGCAGGTTGCCGCACTCTACGCAAAAGATCAACGACCCTACCACGGACATGAGATGGGATGGGATGGGGCGATGGGGCGATGGGACGGGTCGGACGAGAACTAAAATTTTTCAGAGGCGCGATGCCGCACGTGAGCGTGTCACGGCGCACGGCGCCGTGCGCCGTGCTCGTCTTCGTGTGTGGTGATGCGCCCACGTGACACGCCTTCCCTCCATCCGCCCGCCCGCCCCGCTACGGCCGTAGATCTGCGTCGCCGCGCGTGTTCCTGTTGCCCGCCAGAGATACGCGCGCTTGACGCCAACACTTGCTGGGCGCCCGCGCAGAAACCGGGCCCACCAAAACCTGGCACAAAGCTTTCCTGTGACTCCGATAACACGACAGCCGATAGCACGGCCGCGTGCCGTCTGGGGCCGCCACCCGCTGCAAATCCTGGCCATTGGCGTAATTTGCACGCTTGGCACGAGTGCAAAAAACGGGCCTGGAGGCCTTCCACAGGAGCTGAGCCGAGAGACACCACTCGCGGAGGGACGGCGCGACGTTACGTCGCACGACGCAGCGCTGTTTGCGGGGCGCCGAAAGGGTGGAGGGGACGAGGGGAGCCGATCATGCGGCCACCGTGCTGCGGCCGGCGCCGACACCAGCAGCCTGCTGCAGCGGCAGCGGCAGCTGCAGCAGGAGAAAAGCAAAGCTGAGCTGAGCGCGCAAAAAGAAACGCAGCGGAGTCGCCGGAATGGGCCCTGCCCCGGCGGCACGTGACCAACGGTCGTTTTTCCTCTTTTCTTTTCGCGCCCATTCCCCATTCCTCTCGTCTCCGCCGCCACCCTCGAGGCCATCCCACCAGGCCATGCCGTTGCGCAGAGTCCCAAAAGCCGCTTGTCTCCGCCCGTGCATGCCGCAGGCCCCGCTAGATAAGCATGGAAACCACACCGCGGGCACGGCCCAGACCGCGCCGTGGCATCCTAGACGCGCGACTGCCCAAACAGCACCCCTTTTCACGTATCTCGAGCCCATCTAGACCCTCGCCAGCCGGATTGTCCCGGCTTTTGCTACCCACTGGAAATTCCTCGTAAATCACGCAGGGTCCGCGGAGGGCACTTGCGGCTTACGACTGCAACGGTAGAGGTCGCCGCGGACGGGCAAGTGCGCCGGCACGTCGCTGCGCGCGTGTCTGGGGCTCGGCTGTGCGAAAAAGGAACGACCCCTGGGAGCAGTATGTGCAGTTCCGAACTGCATCTCGCAATGCGTCCGCGCTGTTGTTGGCTAGCTGTGCAAACGGCTACTAACTCGCACGCGCAGCTGTGCAGGTTTCACACGTCAGCTATGTGCATACGTTTCCTGCCGTAGCGTTCACGTTTCGGGCAAGGTCCCTTTGGACATCATATGTATACATATAAATGGCTACGATGCAGTTATGTAGGCGGGCCTGAGCCCGTCACCGGAGTAGACTCTCTCTTCTGGATCCAGTTATTTTTCCCTCCAGTCTCTCAAGCATCGTGCGCACGCTGGCTCATTTTTCCAACTATCTCTCATTCGTAAACCTCTGAGACTGCGCACTTCGACCATTCCGTTGTGCCCACTTCACACACCGCCCCCCTCACCACCATGAAGAGCAAGATGCTCGCTCACAGAAAAGTGATCATACTGCTGCTCGCCACCGTGCTCGTTGAGCTCCTGTACCTGGCCGTTTCGGAATACGCTTCGGACTGGGGCGCCCTGTGGGAATTGACGCTGTCCCGCAGCCCACACGATCCCAACGGGGGCCTGCCCCTGGGCACGTCGGCCGTCGCGCGCGGCCGGCTGTCGTCCGCGACGCTGGAGCTGATCGCGGGCGTCGCGCGGCCCGCGGCCGCGCAGCTCGCGTCGTTCTACCATCGCTGGAAGTTCTCCAACGCGCTGCACTACGTGCTGCCGTGCACCGCAGCGCAGACGCTGTTCGGGCGCCTGCGGCGCCCGATCAGCTCGCTGGACGAGCTATTCCCAGCCGGCGCGGGCGAAAGCTACGCGGCGGCCGAGGACGCTCCGCTGCGCACGTACGACTACGACCCGCGGCTGGTCACGGCCGTGTACTATGACGCCCTCTCGGCCGAGATCTCGGCCGGTACGGCCGTACCGGCTATCGCGGTCCCCTTCAGCTGGTACGACTGGTCCGACCTGTCGCTGCTCAATGGGCTGATCGACCTCGAGCAGCGCGAGAAACCCGAATGTGCGTTCTGCGTGCGCAAGTTCTTTCCTGCAGACGAGCTGCTGGAGTACGAGCGCAAAGTCGGGTACCGGCTGTTCGACCAAGACCGCGCGCGCGGGCTGGCCTCGGCGAGTTACGCGTCGTCGTCGGACGTGGCCGTCAAGGGCCCCGCTGTGCCCATCGAGGATTTCTGCAAGGAAGCCAAGGACAACGTGTTCATGCCTGGGTTCGTGTCGCATGACGTGCTGAACTTCTCGAGGCCCGAAGTGTACGGGCTGCAGGCCAAGACGTTGCTGTACGCGACGGCGCCGCTGCCCTACTCGCTGACGTTCCTGAACCGCAACGGGTCGTCGATCCAGGTGCGCGTGGCCAACGAGTCGCCGCTGCGCGACGGCGTGCCGCAGCACATCTTGTTCAACGGGCTGCTGGAGCAGTACTTGCGTCGTAACGTCGCGTCGTATCCCAAGCACCCGGACCGCGAGATCGTGTTCGACAACGTGGCCAAGTTCGAGGAGCTGAAACGGGCCGCGGTGTCGGCCGAGAGCGGCGATAGCGGCGATAGCGGCGCGGAGCCCGCGGCCATGCCCTACTACCTGGTCCTCGACCCGGCAGACTTCGAGTTCGACGCGCCCGCCAAGATCCGCGAGCTCGAGGCCGCAGAGGCGCTCTCCACCCACCAGCAACGCTACCTGGAGTCCCTGCGCGTGTCGCTCAATTCGCACCCGGTCGACCTGCCCAAGTTCTTCCGCGAGGCCTCGCACGTGGGCGACTACGTCCACATGGGCCACCACTTCGACGCCCGCTTCTTCCACGGCGCCCCCAGCAAGCCCGCCATGCGTGCGCGTCTCGACGCCATAGTCCGGGCCTACCTCTCGTTCGTGCACTCGAACGGGCTGCAGTCGTGGATCTCGCACGGCACTATGTACGGCTGGCTCTACGACGGCATCGCGTTTCCCTGGGACGGCGACCACGACGTCCAAATGCCCATCGTGCATCTCAACAAGCTCGCCGAGCTGTACAACCAGACCGTGGTCGTGGAGGACCCCTCCGTCGGCAACGGCCGCTACTTCCTCGACGTGACCAGCTCCATCACCAGCCGTATCCACGGCAACGGCAACAACAACATCGACGCCCGCTTCATCGACGTGGACTCCGGGCTCTACATCGACATCACAGGGCTCTCGGTCTCTTCGGACGGCGCCCACTCGAGGTACAACACCCTGATCAGCGAATACGAGCGAGACAGAAACAAGAACGGCTCCTCGCTCTACTACCTAGATCCCAACCGCGTCGAGGGTGTCAACGATCTGACCGTGGACCAACTCATCCAGCGCGAAAAGGAGCGCGGCACCCTCACCAAAGAGCGTGAAAAGCAGCTCAAAGACTACAAAGACACTGTCGATCGGGTCCAGCATGATTTCAAGTCCAAGTCGCCCAGTGATCGTTACAACTATAACAAGCACATCCAGGTGTTCAACTGTAGGAACAACCACTTCAACGTTATCAGTGAGCTATCGCCGCTGCGTTTGACCTATTTCCACGGCGCGAAGGCCTACGTCCCCAACCAAGTCATCAAACTCCTGCGCCAGGAGTACGCGCTTCCTCCGGGCTACACCTACATAAAGTATTCTCCCAGAGAATTCTTGCCTGAGGCGCGTGTCTGGTTAGAAGAGTCTGTCGTCAAAAAAATCGCAGCAGGCGGGCCTATCCAGAACGGTACTGCGCCCAAGATCGATCTGGATCACATGTCCAAGTTGACAACCTCTGAGTTCCGCGATTTCCTAAATAACGCGGCCACCGTCATTGATCCAGACGTGGAGACTGCCTTCACCTACCTTGTTAATACATTTGAAATTTCAATGTTCCGCAAAAAGGAACTAGAACTTATCTACGACGAGTCTTTGTCTGACAATGAAAAGGTCGAACTCTTGGACGAGCTCATCAGAGGAAGGTTTTTTGTGGGCGCCTACAAAGACATCTTCCAAAATAGGCTGGAAACAAACATTTGGAACAACCTCTTAGAACGAACCCCATCATCTTATAAAGATGTCTTGGCTGAGTTGGAAAAACTCCACTTGAAGAAGGCCAGAGAACTGTTGCACCTCGACGAGCTAGAGGCCCGGAACTCGTACGATTGGGATAGAAGAGCAGGCTATCAGCATCCACCTAGTGGAATCGACTTCAATACGAAGGGCCGTAAGTTTTACACATTCGGCCAAGAAGCGAAAAATGAGATTTTTAGTCATGATCCGAAGGGCAGTGAAAAACTGCACGCTTCTTTGACGCAGCGTAAGGACTAGTACCACTAATTCAAAGGTGCAGGTTCGCGTTGTCTCTGCATAAAAGTTTAGACTTTTTTTTAGTTTTGGTTGGTAAAGGCAAAACTTGTACTCATCGCATCCATTTCAACAATATGATCATCGAAAAAAGAAACTCATTCAACGCAATACATTTTTGTCTGCGAACCTTTCAATTTCATCTCTTCCAAAAGATTCTGGACATAACGGTTTGACAGGCTTTGCATGGCCTTTTGCTTCAAAAAATTGTATTTATATGTTTTGGAACACGTTTCTGCTTATAATGCAGTAATGAACTACTAGTATTTCATGTAATTTCAAACTTTAATATTAATAGCTGGAAAAAAGCTTATTCAAAGGAAGCAAATATTCTTGCGTTATCTATGGACCTTTTTCTCCTCTTATCTCCTATAGTATTGCTATCGGTTGGTTATCGAAACGCCGCTGCGGTATGACGGATCACTTCCAAACTACTTCTTGCACCTCTCTGGCGTACAACCAATTCGCCAGAACAAAAGTAAGTTTGAACGAACGACAAGAAAAGTAAATGGATTACCTTATATCAGGATGTATTCACTACCATTTTAAATTGACCGAAACAACATGGTACTGACCAAACTCAGCGTACGATTGCGCATTGCGATAGTGCAATTGAATCCTCAAATTGGAAGAATTGATGAAACAACATTTCGCGCAAAGCAGTTAATATCCCGTATAGAACCCTACAAACCGGACATCGTTGTATTCCCCGAATTTGCCCTGTCAGGTTACAACTTTCACAGTAGAGCCGCCATTAATCCATATCTCAGTCTACCTACAGAGGGTCCTGCATGGAATCTCTCCCGAGATGTGTCCAAGCGACTAGGATGCATTACAGTTATGGGATATCCAGAAGGCAGGCCCTTCAAGACTGATGAGAATGACAAAGGTAAAGTTTACAATGCAGCAATTGTGGTAGATGGAAACGGGAATCTGATTTTCAACTATAGGAAATCCTTCATGTATTACACAGAGGAAGAATGGGGTTGCTCAGAGAATCCTGCAGGATTTCAGACATTCGATTTACCAATCCACGGAAAAGCGCGCGATCCAGAGACCGGGCATATACATGACATTGCTCTAAAGACAGCTCTCGGAATTTGCATGGATCTAAGCCCTTATAAATTTGAAGCACCATTTTACGATTGCGAATTTGCTACATTTAACATAGACAACGGCACCGAATTGATGCTATGCCCAATGGCCTGGCTACATGGTTCATCGGTGACGCGAGACACGCCCGATCCTGATCAACAGAAAGAACAACTAGCTGAGGCTTTAAAGAAACAACATTTACCGCAAACAGGATCGCAAGGCGACTATCAGGTTGATATCCAGACTTTTGACGACGGAAACTCAGAAATTAATAAATGTGAGGAGAACGATGACGAAACGCTCGACGTTCGTACCAGTTACATTGATCTCAAAAAGCCCGACATGTCAAACGTAAATTATTGGATGATGCGATTCATGCCTTTTCTTGCACTGAGAACACGGGAAAGTTGGTTTGCTCAACGCCTTTTGTTTCCGTTGATTGCCAAATTCCGCGGCATACGTAGCTCATACGTTGGCAGCTCCATGCATAAATCTTGGGTTTTTAGTGGAAAGAACGCAATCCTTGTAATGGCAAATAGATGCGGGGTAGAGGACGGGACAACAGTTTACGCAGGAAGCTCTGGAATCTACAAATTTAATGGCAAATTTGAAAATGAAGAAGAATCGATGGGCGCATCGAACAGAAGCGTAGACCTGTTAGGGAATCTAGGCAAAGGGCACGAAGGTGTACTGCTCCGAGACGTCAATTTTGAGATTGAACGTGACCTATAAAACTCCTACGTACATGCAACTACTCAACTAGCAAAGGATCTTGGCTAAAAACAGCGTTTCTACTGGATTCTCCTGCCACATATATGGGCTCACATTCAGTATTAAAATCGACAGATGCAAGTCTGTAGAAATCTAGAGTCTTATCATGTAAGCTCTCTGTCCAATTTTGTAATTTTTCCGCAATTTCACGGTCTATTTCGCGAGCTAGGGAAGTTAAGTTTGATTCCTCTTTTTCTAGACGCTCCCATGCTCTCCTCTCCGTGCTATAAAGGTAGGGATCCTTAAAAGTGGGCTGAATGTGACTACTCAAGTTATTATGGAGATTTGTTAGCAAATTAAGTTTCTCACTGGTCGAATTGGATCCAAACTGAATATCTATTTCCTTAAGTCGATATGTGCTCAACTTTCGACTGTTGTACAGTGTCGAAAGAACTTTGCTATCCCCACTTTGTGCAAGATTTTCATACATCTTTCTGATGTCATCCAACTTGAGATTATTCAGCGATGAATCGATGATGTTCCAATCGATATGCTCCTGCTTTTTGTTGGCCAAGGTTTGCAAAAGACTCGAGACACACCAATATCTAAATTCTGGCATAAAAACGTTACCCTTGTAACCTATGAAGCCGTACTTCAACGGCACTCTGTATTCTCTCCTTAAAATTGTGATATACCTGTTTGGTACAAATGCAGATACACCATGAAACTCTGTTAGCACTAGCGGAGATATCTCATCGAACTTCATGAAATGATTGTTTCGGCAGTTATAGATTTGCAAGTCGTAATTGAAACTGTACCTTTGCTCCGCACTGTACAATTTCTCCGGAGATGTTGACTTTCTATAATCTGCATTGCTTCTATCAACCATTGTTTTCACGAGTTTTTTATCCTCATTAGAATATGATGGATCATTATCAATGCGTACTTGAAGCAATTGCAATGAAAGGTCTGTTTCGTTTGCAATTAAGTTGGGATCTCTATGAACAATTTCTGCACCCAAAGTCTTCTTATCATTTTCAAAAACGTCAGAGAATTTTGAACTGATCATTGCCGATGATACGCTTAGCGCCGTTATGTCTATGTATAAGCCTGTGTCCACACAAACAAATCTAGCGTCAATGTTGTTTTTTCCATTACCATTAATCCGAGTAGTTATAGAGCTTCCAATATCAATCAAATACCTCCCAGTACCCTCGGAAGGATCTTCTACAACCAGTGTTTGATTGAAATGCTGAGCCAGAATATGAAGATGCCTGATGGGCATCTGGACGTCGAAATCAAAATCCCACGGAAATGTTTGCCCGTTGTACACATAACCGTACAAAGTACCATGTGCGAGCCAGGAGATGAGACCATTCGATTTCAGGAATTTTTGGAACGTACGGATCAGAGCGTTAAGTTTCAATTGGGAATCGTAGGGGTCTTTCACAATTGCACCATTGAAAAATCTATGGTCATGGTGTGCACCAAGACTGGCAAAATCTTTCAATGCGCTCGGCTCATTAAAATATTTGGTATCAAATGCATAATGATTTGAGGTGGAGAATTCCAAACTCTCCAAATATGTTGTTTCATGGAAGGACAAAGAGTCCTTTCTTGCTCGAAGTTCCTTGATCTTGGCAATCGCGTCGAATTCAAAGTCAGAGGGCTGTAAATGGAAGATTTGCTTAGAGTAAGCATTACGCTCTTCATCTGAAAGTTCGTTGATGGTAACTTGGTTTTTTTGTGCAAAACTGGATGCTAGAAACTTTTTAAAGTATGCGGTGTGGTTGAACATTTTCGTTTGATCGTCTTTGCGATGCTTTCCAACAAACTTATTGAGTAAACCGGACTGTGCGATGTTGGCGCGGGACGACTGGTTCACATAAACTTGAATTGGTGCATTTCTACCGTTCAGAATTGTCAAGGATGTGGGGTTTCGCAAAGTGGACAGCATGAAATGTCTGCCCAGAAATTGATATACTTCTGGACGCACCTCTTCGAACATTTCCATTACTTGAAATCCTGAAGAAAACTTTCGATTCGACGAAGTTGTGTTACCCTCGTTCGATCCGTCGGCCTTACAATAGACTTCTAAGTTTTCAAAAACCATCTGGTCCTTTTGATGCGTGAAGCTAGCCGAATTGTAATCACCTCTTCCATAACGAAAGAGCTCTTCGCCAATCTCTGACTCGATTTGGTCTAGTATCTCTTTGTTGAAAAATGGCTCGAACAAAAAATCGCAAGATATTTTCGTGGACGACAGTGATGCTAGTTTATTCCAGTCGTGAAAATCGGCCCAATCATACCACGAAAACTGCGTGAGCTCTGTAGTGTCCACCTGTGTACCGTCCATCCAGTGGTCGGTGTACACACTCCAGATCAGCCTTGGATCTGCGTCGTAAAATGCCAGCTCATCGACGCTTTCCAACCGCTGGCCACGGTGGGGCCCTGTTTGTACTGTAAGCAAATCGTCCTCGAGCGTGTAGGGCTCCAAGAATTCGAATTTGGTGTCATATCTTAGTTTCTGGTATAGTTTCTTGGGTTCTATGGCTGACGTTTGCGTCGTGGAATGCAAGCGGAGCGTTTCTTTCACAGAACTCAGGTAGTTCTTGATGCTCTCATCGTGATATAGCGATAAGTACGAGTAAACCGCCACGAAGAACCACGCTGTTAGCGCCATGCGTGCCCACCGAACACGGAAGGGCGATTGTTTCCCGTTCTGCACACTTCTTACGAAATGCCCCAGACGAGCTACAAATTTCATTACGACACCCGGTAATCTCCCCATTATGAATAAGCTCTTGTAGGACTGAAATCTCCAGCACGCAACTGAAAGACCACCCAAAGAGTTATAAATCACCGCCTTACTGCTTCAAGGCTGTGTTTGGTAGATCTCCAATTGCGCTGGAACATGTTTCTAACTATTCAGGTATATAGCCACGAATTTCACTCACCGACACCTACAGTGTACAGTGACTCCGTGGAACTGCAGGAACCGCTGCAGAAAGCCGCGGCAACTGTGGTGGTATCATTTAAGCACGGCCCAAAAATGCATAAAGCACCCATTATCTCTTTGAAATCCCGAATGTACGCTGGATTGTAGGTATTTTTTTTCTCTAGGCAAGTGCTGTAAATCGGCCGCAGTGGCTTGGCTTGGCAAAACAGCTCTGTGACAGAGGAATGCAAAAGAGACGTCAATTGGGGCTGAAAACGTTTGACGTTGAGTAGTGCGCATTCGTAGAAGAGTGATAAGTTCTGGACTCTACGTTCTGCACTAAGATTCTGGACACCAGGTTCTTAAGCCATGGTTGAACGGGCCAGTATCGTAAATTTACGTAACAGGCTACCAGATTGGCGTATTCTGTAGCTGCAGCTGATGCTGCAGCCACGCATATCATTATCGAGCGGCATTTGCGGGCTCGAGCCGGGCATGCCCGTCAAAAGGACACAGGAACCGAGATTAGCCGGAATAGTGGGGAGAAGTGTGAGATTCACACGGTACATAGTCATGATCAAAATACTGGTAATTACTGTTACACAAGCCAAGAAGGGGTCTTAAACCATAATAAAAGAGACAAAGAGAGAAGCGGAGCCACGCACTGCGGGGCTCCAGCACAGAAGCCTATTTGTCGTCGCCGGTTTCGGCCTCGAGTTTCTCGATCTCCGGGTCGAGCGGGATGCCCGCAGCTTTCAATTGGCGCTTTAGAATGTCAATCTGCTTGAACGCGTTGCCAAGCTCGAGCTGAAGGCTCTCGTTGGCCTTGGTGAGCGTGCTCACCTGTTGCTCGCTTAAGAGCTTCTGTAGCGTCCATTTCTCGATGTTGGCATTCTCGGTGTCCTTGAGTTTCTGGATGTACTCGGCCGCGCGCGCGAGCACGGTTGCCTTGCTGGACTCCTTGACCGGCAGCAGGTCGCTCAGCTTGTTAATGGCCGTGTTGATGTTCTCACGACGCCGACGCTCTACCTCTTTATGCGAGTCCTTGCGCTGCTGGCGCCATTCTGCGGACCCAGTAACGGGCGCGGGCTTACGCCCGCGCCGTCCGACGCGCTTGGGCTCGTCGTCCTTGCCCATATCCACGTCCACATCCACGTCGTCCTCGGGTTTGGCCCCGTGCGTGTGCTCGTGCTCGTGAGCGTGCGCGTGTGCATGCAGCTGTGATTCGTCCACATCTGCCTCTTCGTGCGCACCCATCAGCCCGCCGTACACTGCAGCTGCGGCCGCAGCCGCAGCTGCCGTGTTGTCGTTCTCCTCTGAAGAACCTGGATCTTGCTTTTCCTTGAGCAGTTCTGCATCAATGTTGCTCTGCTCTGCACTCTCTGCGTGCTGCCTCTTGGCGAGCTCCTCGTTGACGTCCACGTCGTTGGGCAGTAGTCTCTTGGCCATCTAGAATCACCTGTGGTGTTTGTTTTTCACTGCGAGTGCTATGGTCAACAAACAAAACGTGATAAACACGTGTAGGTTGCCAGTTGTTGTTGTTTCTCCTTTTTATATCCCGTGAAAATTTTGCTGCTGTGAAATGAGCACGGGACGTGGCGGAAGGGGGGAAGGGAGGCGTGCGACGCATTTGCGACGCGATGTGGGAGAGCGGGAAAAAAACAAAAAAAGAAAAACAAAAAAAAACCGGCGACGCGTCGTCAAAGCGTCGCGTCGCGTCGCGTCACGTCGTTAATACGTCACGTCGTTAATACGTCACGTCACGTCACAAAGCACGTGGCGCGGGAGGGCGTGAAAGTTCTTTTGTCGTTTGTGGTGATATCACTCTGCACGCGCTCATGCCTCGTCTTTTTCCTGTTTATGGTTAATGTTCTCTTCTCGAAAGTTAGTTTTCATTACATGGGAAATTAGATGACTGGAAAACAGAACAGGGATAAAAACATTCTTTTTTCTCCTTTCTAAGGTTGCTATGTCTTTGCTGTAATTACATAAATTGCGATGCCACATGCGCTCTGTATGCGCTCTGTATGCATTGCAATTGCGCACCTGTGTCTTTTCTGGGCCTCCTGAACTTCTCTACTTGCTTGTATATCTAGCTACTTTTGTGTAACGAGAGTGGACACAAAGAATATCCGGATGGACTCATTGCATCTGCATCTGAGAACGCATACCCAGCATCCACATCGAGAAAACTAACAATTATTATACAATTCACGCGCAGCAGCGTGCGCGCTACGTAATCTCTTACTTCGCACCGACCGGCGCGCTTTCCAGCTCATCGTGTGCGTCCTCGAACCGTTCGTCCTGGTCTTGGGTCACGAGAGTCGCTAGCGCTGCCGTGGTGGCCTCGACTTGACTCTTAGTATTTTGCACGCTGTCGTTGTCGTGAGCAACGTCACCGAGCTCAGCGTCCTCACCGTGCTCTGCCACTTTCTCGAGACGTGGTTTGCTCTCATGTAGGGCTTCGGTGTCTCGCTCAGCATCGCGCTCAGCGTCCTCTCTAGTCTTTTCCTCGCTCAAAGTGGGCAACTGTTCTGCGGGCGAGGGCGAGCCCTTTGGCTTTAGACTTCCCTTCAACTTCGCATCGGGCAACCCCTCCGCAATCGACAACATCGACTTTTGCTTGCTCTTCGGTTTCGTCAGGAACGGGTTCGACGTGTGTGCCACGTCCTCCTCGGACCGGTTAGCCGAAGACGACCCTATCGGCGAAGGCACTCCGCTTTCTGTACTGGAGCGACGGATCTCGGGTGCCTTAGGCACAGGCGTCTCCGCCTTGTCGCATGGAACGTCAATCGTCGCCCACCATGGATCCTCAACCAGCGACTGCATCGTATAACGCGTCTCAGCGTTCGGATCCGCAAGACGCCACGCCACACGCGATGCGTTCCCATCATGGAACTCACGCCCATACTGGAACTCGCTGCCTGGGCCCGGACGATAGTTGCCCGCCTTCCGGAAATGCGGGTTCATGTGGTCCACAAAGTTGTCGTACGACAGCACATATGCGCGGAACTTGGAATCCGTTCGATACGCATCGAAAAATGGCGTGGATTGGTACACCAACGTGAACATCAGCATCCCTAGTGCCCAACAGTCCATCTTGTGTGCATCGTAAGGTTTCTTATCTTGCTTAGCGGCATTCTTGTCCTGTAAAACCATAACCTCAGGTGGCGAGTAAGGAGGCGACCCAACGTAGCACTCAAACATTTTGATGGGACTAGACAGATCCTCTGGGTCCTCGTGAGCCCAGTCCGAGATACCAAAATCTGTTAGCTTTGCGACCCCTTCCTTTGACATCAAGACGTTCTCTGGCTTCAAGTCCCGATGTACCACACCTTGCTGGTGCATGTATAGAAGTCCCTCGGCAACCTGCTTCCACAAGCTGAATTTCTCTTTTAACGGCCTTTTCTTCCAATCTGGCTTTGAAATCACAGAGAACAAGTCACCACCAGAGCAATACTCCATAACAAACGCCCATCCACGTGTCATCGACGTCGAAGTTGCAACCTTCACTAGATAATACGTGTTGGCAATGTGTAAATTGTTGCTTAAGCGCTTCGCAATGATAAACTCTTTCGAACATCTTTTGTAAAAGTGATCTGGTTTTTCCTTACGCAAAAGTTTAAACTTCTTGAGCGCATATATCTCCTTCTTGTGGAAAAGCGACCGTACCGTTCGTACCTCACTCGACCCTCCAGAGCCCAACGCTATATCATCCGCGGAGTTTCGTTCAGGGTATGCGAAGTTGTCAGCTAGGTGAATACTGTATTGTTTGAACCCTTCAGGGAGATAGTCGTTGGGGTCTTCTAACGGCAAAGGCAATAGCGGCATCTCGTCCTTCCCATCTTGCAAATAAAACGATATATCATGTTGCGAACTAGACGTATTCGACTTTGATAACGTACCGTAGGGATTATAAACCATGTTTGAGTTATTGGAAGATGACTTCCGTGACAGCGCGTTGGGGACCGCTGACGAAGGTTGTCGAGGAGCTGCAATGTCAGTGCCAGTGCCTAGCATGGAGAATGGGGAGTCAGCGCCCCGCACGGATATAAATGGGTTCACGTTATGTGAAACAGCGTTATTCAAGGCTGACGAAGATTTGGACTGTATCAACACTGGCTGGTGGTGTGCGTTCTTGTGCATCAACGATGACCCACGAGCACGCGTCCTCACCTCTGGGGAGCCCCCGTTGTGAGGCGACGCGTGTCCACTTCTTGAGCCCAGAGGAATACCAGCAGCTGCTTCGTGATGCGACTGCGACCTGCGAAATATTCTTCTGAGCGGGTTTAACGACTTGGCCGAAGCACTTCTGTGAGGCGTGCTAGAGCGTTTTATCGCATTATTTGACCTCGAAATACCGCTTTCCGATTCTCTTGACCCTCCACCGAATAGCTTGGACCCAGATTTCTTCAAAGAGTGTTCGAGCCCTGTTCCATGCGCAGCTTCTGCTGACGAAGGAGTGCTATCTTTAATATCTTCGGGAATCATCGAGCCTGAAGCACCTGTTTCAGAGCTTGTAGCCTTCATACACAAGTATCAACCAGTTGACCACGACAATGTTATAAACCTGACTGAACCAAGACTTTCACCTCTTCAGCACGATTTCCAATTTCATTAGCCAAGGAAACAACGGTAAGCTAAAGCCGGCTTTTTGCTGCTTGGGAACTCCGTACACAACGACTAATATACGAGTTAACACATGGTTCCACGCAAGGATGAAGAATGCCTTGTATAGCTACGATGCGACCTCGAGGGTGGTGCTTGCGACCTTGCGACTTCGTTCTTACTACATAAGAGTGGTCCTACCTCCGATTTCGTTGGAAGCCTCTCCACTGCGCATTTCGCCGTCTCTGTCATTGGCGAATTTACCATATATCTCGCTCAGTTTTTGAAATTCACTGGCAGAAATGCTAGGCTTCGTCTCAGCTGACGCCTCTATAAAATCATTAAGTGTTATGACCACCGGCGTGGACCCTGATACAGTTCGTTCAGATACAGATTGAGTGTAACGCTCTCTCACCCTCTCTATGAAGTCGTGTGGGGGTGCGGCGTTGTCGCTAAGCAACGTGTATCTCATATCAGACTCAGGGTCACCTTGGGAATCTTCGAAACTGTCGGATTTCGATGCATGACTGTTCAGAGTTCTGTGCACGGCTTTCAAATAAGCATTGTAGCAGAGACCCTGCAGATCTGCACCCGAGAAGCCATGTGTTTCTCTGGCCACCTGAGATAGGTCGCAGTCAGATTCCATATTCATATCCCCTGATGTCGTCACGGCATTGAGAATTTGCAGCCTTTCTGTTTCGTTCGGTATTCCGCAAAGGATGCTCTTATCTAATCTTCCGGGACGTAGAAGCGCGGAGTCAATAAGATCCGGTCTGCTCGTAGCGGCCAGGACATATACTCCATCAAGCCCCTCAGCACCATCCATTTGAGTTAACATTTGGTTCACTACCCGGTCGGTGACCCCGATGGAATCATGACCTCTCTTGGGCGCAATAGAGTCAAACTCATCGAAAAATAGTACACAAGGTTTAGCTGCCTGTGCTCTTTCAAAAATCTCTCGAACACTTTGCTCACTGGCTCCAATGTATTTGTTCAAGATTTCGGGACCCTTGACTGAAATAAAGTTCAACGAGCATTGCTGCGCCACCGCGCTCGCCAACATTGTCTTACCACAACCGGGATAACCGTACAACAGAATTCCTGATCGAAGTCGTAAAGGGCACTTGGCGAAGACAGGCGCGTACTTGGTAGGCCATTCTAATGTTTCAAGGAGAAGCGTTTTTGCCTTTTGTAGGGCACCTATGCTGCTCCATTTGACGCCTGTATTTTTCTGCAATTTGATACCTTTGAGAGAAGAAGGAGTGAAGCCTTTGATAGCCTCATCAAAAGTTGTCTTTACGAGGGGCTCCGTCTCATCCTCATGTGCAGAAATATGCAAACAGAATATTTTGTCAGACAATAAGGCAATGTCTCGCGGCGAAAACCCTTCGGTCTCAATAGAAAGCGACGTTATATCCACGTTGGAAGCTAGAAGTAACTTCTTGCGATCTAAAAGATCTAATAATATGTCGCTGCGTTGGTCTCGTTGGGGTGGCTTCAGATGCCAATAAGTACCGACAAAATGGTTAGAAAATAGCATTTGATTTAAAGAATCTTTATTCTTTGCAGACAGTAATACACGCATAGATGCCCAGTTCTTGCGATTGATATTCTCAACAGCGCTAATAAATAACTGGCATAATTTTACCGAGCTAGCGTCAAATGCAGAACCTGCCGGAGCTTCCTCTTCTGATTTCGTACTGGGGAAAATTGTCTCTGCATTATCGAGTATGAGAAGAGAGGGCTTATGCCAATAACATATCGAGCACCACTTTAACACAAGCTGCTTCATCTTGGGAAAGCTGCCACTTTCTGCTATTTGTTGACAATCGACATATTTCACATAGTGTGGTGATTCTGACAACAGCCTATAAGATAAATTTTGCAATAATAGAGTCTTGCCCATACCAGATGAACCATGCAAAAGGGAGCCACTGGAGGAAACAATGGGAGAAGTCACGTAGTCCAACATCTCTTCAAGCACACTATCTACTCCAATGGCAGTATCGGGTTTTACGGGCTGAGCATATCGTATTGGCTCTAGGACTGTCACATCATCTGGTGAATATCTCCAAGTAATCTCCTCACTTTTCCAGCGATGGAATGGAACACGATTTCCACTTTTTGTAAATAACTCCAAGTAAATGTCTTTACCTGACAAGAATGTTTTGTCTGTAATAATGATGTCGTTCATTGAGGTCATAAAATTTTCGATACTCTCATTAGTGGAATTATCCATGTCACCCTTAATCAATATGTTGCTTGGTTCGGTGGAATGCTTCACTTTATGTGCAATGACAATGGGAGCAATTGCTTCATCATTTTGATCCACAAACTCAACTTGGATCTTTTCTCCGTTATTTGCCACAAGGTTCAAGGCTTGCCTACATAGATCTGAAATGACCACATGATTCAAAGGAATTTCCTTGTTCGATAATATCTCAACCACTATTTTCTTTGCCACTTCAACTGCTGTCTTATCATCTGCGTCCGAGGTTTTCTTTTCAGATTCAATTGGATTTGAAATGACTGAAACAAATGCTAAAGAGGACTTAATACATTGCGGATGCATTTGCAGTTGGAATCCTGCCATGTCATTTTTCCTTAACAAGCTTCTCGTTAGTTCCGGCTTTTGAATTGAAAATGCTGACAAGCTCTGGGGAGCTTTTTCATTTGCTGTGCGAATTCTGTTTTCTCGTGGTTTGACAATTATCAGCGAATCAGTAGTTAGCCTCGCAAAACTCAGGTTTTCTGGAATAATCTTTTGTACATTAAATTTTGCAACAATCTCTTCTACATAACAAACCAGTGTCTGATTTTTAGAGACAATTCTTGTCTGATGCAGAATTTGATCTTGGAAAAACTGAGCATTGCTTTCAATTATTTCCCAATCATCACTTGTCTCAGGATCGATGTAAACCTCTGTAGCTATTAGTGAATCATCAAAAAGCTTGACATTTATAGTGACCTCCTCTCCTCCGCGAAGTCCATGAATTGCAGCAACAGTGGGATTGATCTGAACGACCGATTGTCCATTGAGGAGTTGCAAAGATTCGTGCCCATCCCAGCCTAGATAAAGGTGCCTACCCTTGTAGCTGGTTTCAATTCCAAAATTTTGAACTGGAATGGGTGTAGATTCCAGCATTTGTACTATCGAACCAGGCAAACGAACAAAGTTGCCTTTGATATCATCGGAAAGACCGATCCGAACCGATGGAAAAGATAATTGGCCATCACCGATAGAAACCATTTGAAATGGAGGTTAAAGTTCCAAAGTGGGATCTGAATACTCCTATTCGAGGTATATCACTGCTTTTCTTCAATCAGTTTTAAAGTTTAGAAAAAAAAACCGCTGTAGGATCTTCAAGGCGGAAGGGAAAGCAACAATCTCCGCAAAATAGAGGCAAGAGAGAACGCACAATGGCGATTCAATTCTTCATATGTTTGAATAAACAGGGTATCTTACGGCTAGTCAGATGGTTTCAGCCGTTTTCGGGTGCTGCTCCTAACAACCAGGCCACTATTGCACAAATTTACAAACTCATATCAACCCGAGACCATAAACACCAGAGTAACTTTGTGGAATTTTCGGACTCTACCAAGCTTGTGTACAAGAGGTACGCTGGACTGTACTTTTTAATGGGCGTGGATTTGCATGACGAGGAACTGATCTACCTGTCACACATACATCTTTTCGTGGAGGTGCTAGACGCATTTTTTGGCAACGTCTGCGAACTAGACATAATATTCAACTTTTACAAAGCTTACATGATACTAGACGAGCTGATAATCGGGGGTGAAATTCAGGAGACCTCGAAAGACGTGCTACTTGAAAGAGTGAATTACTTAGACAGACTAGATTAGAAATACATAAACCCAATTGCATCCTCCTGTAAATTCTCATTCACGAGTCCGCGCACTTCGCCGAAAACTTGATCAATAGACTTTCCCGAAACATTGATCATCCTTAGGTGGCTTTCCTTGTATGCCTCGTCCTCCGCTTCAAATATCTCGAAGAACTTTTCCCTGACTTGATCTTGGAACGCGGAGGTTTCGTATCGCTCGTCACCAAAACCGTCACGGGAGGTAGTGTCTTTCGACTCATTGACAAAAAATATGGTTAGATCAGGCTTCAAAAGCCCCTTATCGGGTTGCAGGCACCACTCCAGGTCCATACCCTCGGTGTGCTTAGCTGCGGAGTATGCTACGCCAGAGTAGACATACCTATCAAGTACAACATGAGTTCCGGCCAGCAACTTGAGCTTGAGTTTCTCAGCAACCTCCCACCTATTTGCTGAAAACAGAAGGTGGATGGCCTGATCAGGCAGTATAAAGCTGGAATCAGTGAGGTATTGGTTGATGAGCCCACCGATTTGAGTGGAACGATCCGGGAACTTGATTAGCTCAGCATTGGGCTTCAGCAATTCCACCAACTTTTCAGTTTGCGTGCTTTTCCCCGTTCTATCGAGGCCTTCTATCAAAATCAGCTTCCCACGGGCCATCGACGTGACGTTCAGTGAGCAACTTGTCGGAAGAGGTGCCAAAAAAGGTCAATTTTCACGTACAAGGAAGCGCTATTGAACGACCAGCTAATGTGTTTGGCTGCTTTATCAAAGCACGGGAGTACTCAGCCTGCCTTGCATTGATACAAGGTAAAGAGTGTCACTGCTTAAAAGATACTTTGGTCCCTCAGTAGGTTCTGTCAATTCATCAATTCAGAAATCCATGCCATATGTACTGCCTTGCAAACACACCTCCCCATCAAATCACCTCTCGGTAGCCAAGTTGGTTTAAGGCGCAAGACTGTAATTTCAAAAGTAATCTTGAGATCGGGCGTTCGAATCGCCCCCGGGAGATTTTTTGGCACGCACTTCCTTTTTGTCTCGAGCGACACAATCCATTTCCTGAAATGCCTTTAGCAGGGAAGAAGGCACCGGATTGTAACTCTTTTTCGCCAGGGTTGTGGATATCTGGAAGCATACATAGCGAAAGCTTCGCTTCCGTGTGAGTTGTATGGGCACAGCTGTTGTGAAAACCCTACTGCCTGTGTTCTACGCTGATATAGGACTGAAGACGCCGAAGTACGGCCCAAGACGGGCTGCCGACATCGAATTCTGTATACGTCGGTGTACGTCAGTGAGCTTGGTGCCGTTGTACTTTTGCCAGTGTACGTATTTTTCCCGGTGTATGTGATGGAACAATTATCTGGCGCCGCAGCGAAAGACAAAAAGGCCGGTAGATTGCAACTTGAAACCAACACAACATCTTCGAAGTTCACTTGCAAGAACCACACCATTCTACGAAGTAGTACGCACACCTGTAATGGTGGGCATGTTGGCAAAGTGCAAACTCCGACGCCCAAATGTGATGAACGCGCTGCAGCACACTGTAACACACTGGAGCACACTGTCACACACCTTACTCAAGGGCATTGTCACATTCTCTTATCTTTGAGCTAGATACGATGGCTACCGCCTATTATACACATTTCTCTATCTATCATTCAGTCCTGCATTTCGATATCCTCGACGTCCATGGCGTCAGGTGACTCGAGAAGCGTTTTTCCGTCGCTCGCGCAGTTGTCGCTGTCGTCAAACTCTTCTGCGTCCAGGTCGTAGAGGCAGTAGTTGACTGGCGCGATGTTGTCGAGGCTGAGCCGGCTGTTGTAATTGTCGTTGATGAGCGCAGACCCGTAGCCTTCCAAGATGTAATCCTCGATCTCCACATACGGCGACGAGGAAGACGAACAGGTCGACGAAGTAGAGCTGTTACGCTGTGTCATGCGAATTGAGCCCACCGCGTTCGCTACCAGCGGTGCACTGGGGCTTGCCAGCTTGGCGCAGCTGGGCTCGTCAGCGCCGAGGCACGGTTTGGGACGTTTGGCTGCGTGCGCAAGTTCCTCGAAGCACACCACACGCCTCTTGAGCGTGTCTCTGGTGTCGTAGCTCGCATTTTCGAATGTGCAGAGCATGGTCCGGGGGCAAGCCTGATGTGATTTGCGCGTTTGGAACTCTGGTAGACAGAAGAGCTGGAAATCACCTGTTTTAGCCGGACGAAGCGAGACGGCGGATGCGATGCCGTTCGGAACGATACGAAGGTTCCTTTTTTTTTTCCTCTTCTCCCGGGAAATCTACAATGGATCTCAGATTTGTCATGGATCATCAGCTCAAAACCATCCACAAACAAAGCTCGAATGGACAAGCTAAAGGCGCTGGAGAGCAGTCTCCCGCCAGAACAAGCCCCAACGCCACACACAATCGATAAGCTCAACCAACAGGTGACGCAGGAATTCAAAATAGCCGCCAACGCCGTCACCAGCCTCTATCGGCTGTCATCCGAGAAGAGCTCGCTAAATCGGCACTTTGGATACACAGAGTGCGTGCAAGACGTGCTCCAGCTCGTGGAAGAGGGCTATACAGCAGACCAGGTCCGTCAATGGTGCATTGCGAAGCAGCGTGAGCTGCTAGGCGCCACGACGCCCGTTGCCGACGCCGTGGGCGGCTACACTAGCGGACGCGACGCAACCACGTCGCAGCACGTCGCAAACACAAAGAAGACCGGGTTAGCGCTGACAGCGGTTCCAGAGGCTCCAACGTTCCACCTATCGCGACCCGCGCTGTCCGTGGAGCACTCAGCGCAGCTGGGCGAGCGTCGCATGCTCAAGCCGCAAGCGACCGAGCGGTATCTGCAACAAAGGAGCAAGAACGCAGCTGGGACAGGCAAACGCAAGACCAAAAAGCTCAAGACGAGGTAAATCCTGAGTAGAGGAAGCAAAGACGGGCATTACTAGCAGCGACGATGACAACTGCACGTGACACGAAACTATCGCCACACACGAAAGTCATGTGACCTTAATTTCGGCTAATTTCTCAGAATAATCACGATGTACGAAAACAGTATTCCGGCCTTGCTAATGTGGTCTCGGACCTCTTGCCCATGTATGATGTCATCGCAGCATCCCGCCGCGCGCCGTGCAGGCCCCAGACAGGAAGTGAAATTAGCGAGCCAGATCTAGTGCTTTCAATTGACTACGTCGCCGCTGGCGGGCGTTCGCTCGCTGCTCACTACCCTCCCGACCGTCCGCCTGCTTCTATGCGAGTGAACTGTCCTTTGCCAGACCAGCCTACTCCGCCGGGGCTCCGACGCCCGCGCCTCCTCCACCGCTGTAGCTTTCGGTGCTACCGAATGCAAATAGTTACCCGCACTAGACCGTTCAGGAAATACGCAGAACGTGGGAAGCGATGCCGAAAAAAGAACTGCGAGGCCCTCTAGGACGCTTAGCCCAAAAGGGTAAAACGTAAGCATTCGTGCATTTTTTTTTCACGTCCCGAGCTAGTCTAACCCAATGCTTGTCACGGGTGGGCTTTCCCATAGCAAAAAAGAAAACAGAGAAGCAAGGCTTTTCAAGGGTCATTACCATATATTTTCGGACAACTTAATCGGCACAGTCTTTACATACCTCCTTTTCGTTTCCAGGAATTGTTACGTCCACGATCAAATACAAAAAGTATCAAACAAATGGGATTCTGGAGCTTTTCCAATAAGCTAGTGAGTTTGTTGTTCTTGGCAGGTACTACTCTACTGCTCATCCTGATTGTGCTGTCAGGAGCCATCAACGATTACCCTGTAGACCGCTTCTACTGGGTTCAGGGTGACACTTCGAACATCTCAGGGGCTCCTGCGCTCTCGCGCTGGACGTTCTGGGGTGTTTGCGACCGCAACAGCTCGGGAAGCACCGTCTGCTCGGACTTGTCGCCTGCATACCCTATTTCGCCTGTCGACAATTTTGGCACTACCGTTAACGTTCCCTCAGACTTTGTGGACAACAGAAGCACTTTCTACTACTTGACCAGGTTCTCGTTCTGTTTTTTCTGGATCGCATTGGCGTTCATCGGCATTGCATTCCTGCTTTACGCCATTTCATGGTGCTCGTACGCGTTCACCAAGGTCGTGTTCATCCTCGTTACAGTGGGTGCCCTTGTAGACATGGCCGCCGTGAGTTGTCAAACTGCAGCCTCCGTGATGGCCAGAAACGCATTCCACAATGCCAACCTCTCTTCCGATATTGGCGCTAGCTTGTTTGGTATCGCATGGGCCAGTGTGGCATGCTCTCTATACTTGTTCTTTGCTACTGGTGCTTCCTTCATTAAGAGAGCCTACCAATCTCACAAGGAATTCGTTGAAATGCAAAAATACAAGGAACAAGCCTTGATGTATCAGGGAAAGCAAGAGGCACTTGCACCAACTGATGTCGCCGAGTCCTACGGCATGAACGAAGATTTGGAACACAACCAAGCCGCTGTCATCTCCGAGCCTCAACCTCAGGAGTCTCATCACAGCGGTATCAAGTTTTTCAAGATTAGAAGAACCCAGCAACCAGGTGATCAGGAGTCTGTTTGAGAAATATACCTGTTAAAGAGACGAATCTCAAACTATATTCTAAAAAAAAAACCTCTCACCGGGATGATGGCGCTATCATTCACTATACCTCGTTATACCCCGCTTGATTCGTGTCTTCTCCTTTCTCAATGTCTTTTACCTAACCGCAACACATTCGATTCTTTTCCACGTGAATTCCTTCTAGTTCTTCCAGACTTTTTTTTTACCGCCATCTTTAACATCCCGCTAAAGCTTTTGGCTCGTCTCACGGTTTCAATTGTATTATTTGAACAAAAATACTCAAAAATCCCTCCATCAGCCATAACAACTAAAAAGTCGTTGAGCTTTGATCAACTTCGAAGCCCGTGTTTCGAATGCTATTGTGCTTTTATTTGCTTTTTTTTCACGTCCTACCTTATTCTGTACTAATGCTTTCTAATCTATAATCGGCAAACTGGTGCTAACCTTTGGGAGCAGATCCCGGGAATTATCTAAGTCAACTAACTCGTCTAATCAGTTAAAACTATATCATATTCTCTACCACCTCATTTCTTTTCTTGTAACGGATTACATACAATGTTCGGACCCTCCTCATGGAAAATTTCGGAATACACAGTTTGATGAGCGCGTGGCACTAGTAGTGCCCCATAAGCACCATTTACTACTTCGGTAGTCACTTGCCCTTGTTACTTTTGGATATCAACGGCGGCATCATTAGTAATTCCTTGCAATCAGTGCGTAGTATTGATCTTCATCTTTTTATTTTTTTCTGGTAGACCGAACGCGGGGGTTTTGATCGGATGTTTATGGTCCGCGTCACCAAGTCTTGGCCACAACCTCGTTTTGAGAACACAATTCAATTCGAGCAGCATCATAAGACCCCCCGGCATCATATGAATAACAACAAGCGCTCCGCTGTATCGACTGTACCAAAGGCCAATCCCCTGAGAGTTGGCTTTATTGGGCTATCGGCGGTGAAAGGCTGGGCAATAAAATCACATTATCCTGCCATACTCCAACTCCCTTCGCAATTCAAGATTACTGCATTGCTAAATTCAGATCTAGAGTCTTCATTAAACACCATAAAGAAACTCAAATTGACGCATGCCAAAGCGTTTGCTGATGTGACTTCGTTTGCATCGTTCACAGACGTAGACATGATTGTGGTATCTGTCAAAGTTCCCAATCACCATGGTATTTTAACAAAACTACTGGAGCATTCAGTCAAAAATCCGAACCTCAAATATCTCTTTGTAGAGTGGAGTTTGGGCAGCAATTTACGGGAGGCGGAGGACATCTACAAGGCAGCTCAAAAGCGTGGAATACAGACAATCATTTCTCTACAAGGTCGCAAGTCTCCTTATATCGTGCGAGCAAAGGAACTTATCTCTGAAGGATGCATAGGTGAAATAAACAGCATCGAAATCGCAGCCAATGGCGGATGGTATGGCTATGAGAGACCTCTGAAATCACCATCCTATCTCTATGATATAGAGAGCGGCGTCAACCTTATTTCCCATTCATTTGGTCATACTATTGACCTTCTACAATATATAACCAGCTCGTATTTCTCAGAGATCAACTCCATGATGTTCAACAACATACCTTACCAAGAATTGCTTGATGAGCACGGCAAAAGAACAGGGAAAAAGGTACCAAAAACTGCTCCAGATCATTTGCTTTTCCAAGCTGCACTAGCAAATGGTAATGTACCTGTATCCTGCAGCTTCAAAGGCGGTACCCCAGTTAAAAAATTTACTAAAAATCTGGTCATCGATATCCATGGTACAAAAGGAGATTTAAAACTCGAAGGCGATGCTGGCTTTGCAGAAATTTCAAATCTTGTACTTTATTTCTGTGGCATGAAAGCAGCTGACCCCGGAGGGCCCAGTTCTACTAGTAAAGCCGACGAAGCGAACGAAACTATGGAGGTATACCATCTAAGAAATTACAATTCAGTAGTTGGAAATATACTGCGAATTTATGAAGCAATAGCTGATTTCCATTTCAAATCGAATCCAAGGCATAATCTACCAGCAAAGCTGGAGCGACAAGGCTTTTTGTTTGAAGGGTTTCCTACCTTCAAAGATGCATTGATACTCCATCGATTGATTGATAAAGTCTTTCAAAGTAGTGAGGAAAAGAAGACCTTAACGGTTCCCATAGTAAGCTAGAAAATGTACGTACCTAATCAAAATGGAGTTCATGATTTCATTGGGATTCTTCTGTTATTAACTCAATGCAAATTTGGCAGAATTCTTCTACTGCCTCATTATAGTGAATACCACCATACCTTAGCGTATTGAGGTAGTCAACTGCGAGTTGTTGCTTCATCTCTGTTGACAACTGTGTATCGGACGATCCTAGTGCTCCAGTGCCTGCATTAAGTATCTTGTAAACCTTTGCCAAGTGAAATTTGACGGTGTTGTATTGGAGAAGCTCACGTAATTTGTCAGATCTTTGCAACATTTCATTATATTTAGGAGTGTGTAGCTGCTTAGTGACATCTTCGGGCTTTTTTTCTATTGGTTTCTGTTCTTTGACTGTACTCTCATCATGTATATGCTTTTCTTGGTTCTTAAAGCATGCTAGAGAACAGTAACGAACAGCACATTTAGGGCACTTATATTTAGACAGCTGCTGCTTACAGATTTGGCATTGTATCGACATTTTCTGTTGCCTCAGGGTGCGGATTTAAACTCGTCTAGTTCTTGACAAGGCCCATCGCTTGAATCACGGAAATAACCGGAATTTTTTCTTCAATGCGACTAAGGTAATTCTGCATATAAAAGAGCAGCAGTGACAGAGTCATGAATAAATGACCACGATAGATCTGGCCTAAAGAACGAGAATGCTTCGCTTAGCACCTACATTAAGATATCCAAATTTAGCAAAGTATTCAAATTTTGCAGCTTGTTTTCATCGACAATATCAATATGTTGATATTCCAGATCGACAAAACGTCTACCATGAGTGTGATTGCTACGCTAAGGATTTAAACCATGATCTGCCGCGATATAGTTGGCTTGATATCAACTTGAAGTTGCCTCAAAAGACTCCGGCTTATCATAAGCATCTTCTCTTAATTTCACCTCCAGACTTAGTAGGGCAGGAGCCCGAGTGGAAAGGCTCCTGGCAAAGAAAATTAGAGCTCAACCCTAAATGGCCCTATTCGGTTATTGGAGAATTAAAAAGCTCTCTGAAAAATACAAGACATGGTGATGGCGTACTTGTAAATGCAATGTCAATAATTCACGGAGAATTAGCAAATCAGGCTAGAAGAGAAAACACGGCCAATATACTAGCTATACCTGATATGAAAATCTATGAAATACGTGAGAAAGACATAAAAGAATTTGCAAACTTTATTGGTGGCGGTGCTCGATCAAATACTCTCAACTTTGCAGATTATCTGAAAGGTGCCATGGAAATAAGAAAGAAACTTGAAACGGAAGATACAGAGGTATACGCAGCTGTGAATTCATTCAGTTCACGGGAATTCGGAAAAAATTTGGTTCTGGTGTGTGGACATCATCAGAGAGATCAACGATGTGGTATTTTAGCTCCGCGCATAATCAAAAAATTGCAAACTATCGTCGAACCCGAGACTGAATTGGGAATTGTTTCCCATATAGGCGGTCATAAATATGCGGGAAATCTTATCTTCTACAATTACTTGGGAAGAGACAATGCACAAAATGCGAAAGTCGATGGATTATGGTTCGGTAAAATACTCCCAACAAATGTACCAACTTTGGTAAAAAACTTGAATGATGGTAATATCATATCTGAATGGTTTCGCGGTGGAATATCGTCTCGAAGTAAAGACTAATATACATGCATTGCCCACGTAGTATTTATTTATACATAGTTCACTCTCATTTCGTTAATATCCCGGGCAATAGACGAAACACTGCCCTTTCGTTCTCCCATCATACTTTGGCAAAGGAACTGCTGTTCGCTCGGATACAAGCTAAGAAAGGTCTCACACAAATCTCCATCAATAGTACTTTTTACTGGGGCATAATAACTTCTATAGGCCAGATGATCTCTGAGCACAACACTATAAGCTCCTTCAAGTACTGGCCTTGATTTAACAGTCCGGATAGAAATTTGAGATGATGATATTTCATTTGGGTCGTCTATATCCTCTGCATTACCTTTGGCCAGTCGACGTTCATTGTCTAGATAAAACAAATCGTCTGCGTCCCTCATGGTCTTTTCTAACTTCACGAAGAAGTCAACTTCCCTCTTGGTGATTAAAGGTATCAAACATCCAACGGTTCCTTGCAATCCAATGTAGATGATTAGTGGTCTATCAGACATCAAAACGCCTTTCAGAATATGGAACTTTATGAGTATGTCGTTAACGTAAAAGTGATTCGTCAGCGCAAGCTTGAACGGACATTCCATGATGTTTGGAGATATGTCAGAGGATGGACGATCGTGGTAGTTACTCATGAAAATTGCGTATTCCTCAGTAACAATTCTTTCATATTGCTGCGGTAGCCGCAACGTCCAAACATTACCAAATTTGTCGCTACCTATAACTGTAGATCTATCCAGAAATTCAACAGCGACAACATACCTTTTGATAACATCATCTGCTAGCCTGATAAATTGATTCAGTTGTGCGTCGTACTGGAAGAGCATCACTGACTCACTAACATCACCCAAAACCAGCCTATCATTTTCCCATTGTGCCAATGATGTTACTTTAGTAATCGAGGGCGGAGTAGCTGTTATACTCTTCTTCAATAGCTGCTTTCTGCCTTTTCCGTACAGCACTATACTTCCAAAGATTGGGACCAACAATTTATCTCCGAAAGGGACCATTGACGAGACGACATCATCTACTTGTGTATCATGTAAAAAGATTAGGTTGAATGTCTTTTCTCCTGTTCTTCTTTGAAGGTCGACCAAGAACGTTTTGAGTAGACCATTTGTAGTCGACAAAATGAGATGAAGGTCATTGCTTCCAAACTTTGCCAATTGTGCATCCACACAAGTGCAGTTTTCAATGACATAGTACCTCTGCTCTGATGATTCAACGGAGAAAAATTTCTGGGACCGGCAGACACCGACCCGGCAACTATTACCATCAACTGAATTTTGAACAATATAAGAGAGTTTTTTGTTGTCTAAATCAGAAAGAATACGCCTATTGGAATAAAGTTTCGAATCATCCAAAACTTTCAATTCAGGCTCGCTGCCATTATCATTATCTCCATTGTTCTCATCCTCGGTATCCGGGACAATGGTGTTCTGCTGAAACCAACTATTAATACTAGCAAAATCATTCAAGCGCCCAATGATAAGATTTCCTGATGCACCTATCGCACAGCACCCATTTTGCTTCATTTCCTGTGTTCTGAAGGGTGCAAGAGCGGCTATGGATCGTGTGTTAGACAGTAACAATGGCCTTACTAGCATCATGTTGTCAGCTTCATAGCTGATCCATGTCCTGTTAGAGTGCAAAATTGCGCAAGGAACTTTTAATGCTGGATCATTTGATTCATCGATATCTTCGTTGCTTTCAATCTGTTCATTATTCTCTTCTTCCCCATCGTCCTCGGTATCAAGATTGCCTCTCACATTTACCGATTCCAGTATTGACACGCTAACTGGATTCGTTCCTAAGTACCTCGTTCGAACATCAAACAGGCGGCCATCGTGACTGTCCACCTTTGAACGAATATAAACACCGCTCGTAAGTCCAATATGAAGTTGAATCGAATTTCCGGAATGAATGAGTTTTAAATCATGCGGCGAAGAAACAAGTGCCTGCATAGAAACAACTTCCAAAAATGATTCATCTTGGTGCTTCACGTTTAGGATCTTAACCGAGGAATCATCCACACCAACAGCAAGAAAATCTGCCCGGTGGGTCGATGGAAATGTAATAGAAGTAATTCTCTCTTCCATTTCAACTCGATCTTGATACTCATTTAGAACATCACTTCCACTAGATGTATCCATTTCAAAATAGGCAATTTCTCTGTTTGACAAAGCGAGAACTAGTTGAGTTGAGGTACACGTTGCTTTCGTTATTCTAATACCCGCTGGAGGAAACCATTCAAGCTCTGTTCGATATTCTGTTCCTGATTTCAAAGCCACTACTTGAATTAACGAATTTGTACAAACCTGAATGATCGACCTCTCGCCCATCACACCTACGAATACAGTTTTATCGGCCACCTTCTTGAAGTTCTCTACCTCTCCTCCTAATTCTTCGACAGTTCCATCATCAATTTTCAAAACCATTGTTGTTTTCGGGAGACTTATAAACAGTAGTCTGTGTTCTCCCTCTGACGGAATTCTAACTGTCCATATGCCATTGGAGTTTGGCGGAAGGGGAGACGAGATGAATTCCTGCAAGTTCACCCCTGTGGTCAACTGCTGAACGGAGTTTTTGGTTTGTGTTAATAGAGTTAAAGGTGTTGTGTCTAAAGCCGCAGATGATATTGAAGGATTGACTGCTTTAATCCTATCAACAATCTCAAGGTTTTGAGGCTCTTCACTAACATCAATATTCAAAGTTTTGTCCGGGTTCTCTGACGTTAAAATTTTCGTGAAGTCATCGTCGTTGCCTAAACTCTCGAACTGATAAAGACAACTGTCCCCGAACTCAGAGTTTGAGAATAGAAAACCGTTTCTAAAGATGAGAAGATCCTCTGACGGAGCAATTGTGTCGAAATACGTCACTGTTAAGAGGGGACCGGCATTTTCCGCATTTGGTACTATTTTTACCTTATAAAGATCCCCGACTTGTGACTGAAGTAAGATGAAAAAGTCTTTTTTTAATTTGTGTAGTTTTCCAGCGATAATAATCGTGTCTGTGGATCTTGAACTCCTGCTAGGGAGTTGAACCTTGACATCAAAAATACCCCGAGAGTCTCTTAAAGTAATATGGTTTTTGAAGCCCACAATAACGAACGGGTTCAACTCATCATCGACGTCCTCATAAGTACTCTCCTTCGTCCTAATATTATACTTTTCCAGATTGGGTACTGCCATTATGAAATTGGCATCGTGTGCAATTCTATACTCATTCTTTTTTGTAAGAAGATTAAGTCCCAAATCAAGCATGTAAAAGACTAGAGAACGAGCCTTATCTGTGAATTCCTCCTCTATAGATGCGAAGGTTGGATTGTCAAAGGCCACATCGCAAGCGGTGGTGTCCAAAGTTATGAAATTGGGTCTATTAGCTTCCAAGGGTGAAGAAACAGACAATTCGTTGTTTTTGAACTCAGTTAAATAGCACAGTTTATTCTTTTCGAACGCCGATAGTAAAATGCAACGTCCATGCGGGTCGACGTCCAAATGGGCTTGTGGGGAGAGTCGCCTAATACCACTTCTCGCAAAAGGTTCATTGAATAGTGTGTGAAGCCTGATGATTCCTGCATCATACACGAAGCGTGCTATCGTCAAATTGCCTGAGTCTGACACCAACGCAAGGTAGGAATAATTGTTTTCTGTCGGCAAACGTTGCATAGAGGTGATGGTAGCAAATATAGGCAAGACAAATATTCTATTAAGGTTTCCTTCTTCCACATCATAAAGTTCAATATGTGTTTCAGTTGCGATGCAAAACTGTAGCTCTCGTCGACTTTTTCGCTTCTTGGCTGCTCCATCATTGGTGTGTAATTGGTGAGGTTTGTAGTCTACAAAATGGCCCACACAACAATGCACAAAGTTCGTTTGCCGCTGCAGCGTTAAGTGGTAGAAATACAAGCTTTCTGGTTCCACAATCATCTCCGTGCGTGTTGCCACCGAATGATGCGATGTAGATGAACCCGATGCGAAAGCCAAACTTACATGTTGTCATAAAAATGAGCAAGATCACGTGACAGTATATACTTTTCAGCAAGAGAGTACTCCAGGCCTTAGATTTATAAGTAGCAACCGGCCCAGAGTGCATTGATCACCACAAGTAGTCTTAAAAGGCTAGATTTATATATGTTACGCCAACAGGCTTATAGCATGCTCCGTAAACCTATTGCAATTCAGTGCACGATTCAAAGAGGAGTCTACAGATCAGCTTAACATCAAGAAAGCAAATGACATGGCGCAGTCTCAAAGATGAAGAATAATCGGGTAAGTTATGTAATTGCCAGAAAAAATTAACCTTTTATGCCTATGATACCAAAATTATTTTATCAGCGTTCTATATGGTTGGATGTCCAACAGAGAGGGAATGGATGAATTTTCAAATGATTGACACGGTACCTTATAAACTAATAAACAAAGGCTGATTGGAAGGCAAACACATAAAAAGACCGACGGAAAACAATAGTCAAGTTACTGACTGGTCGCTTATTGACACATATTATTTGCTTGGTTTAACCCGCTTTTCGATGGTGCCATATTATAAAGAACACCCTGACACCATATCATATCCCCACACCTTCCGATTTTACAACATAAAAAAATTCATGAGCCCCTCCCGTTTACTGTCAGGATTAATTCAGTGGCAACAAGGCGGAAGTGGTAAACTAAACTTCACTAGAGGAAATGGAGATCTACATTCGTTTTAATGATGACTGTGAAAACGACTACGCCTTCCAAGTGTCTAAGGAAGATACTTTTCAATCAAAGACTATGAAAATATTTGAAGAAACTGGTGGGCTGTCACATTACATGGTGCTGAAGCCATCGATTTTTTACAAGGACAGACCTATTGCACTATATAAGTCAATGCATCCAGGGTTCTTGACGGAGAACGGCTGTGTGATTTTTCACTATGACGCAGACAAGAAAGAATATTTAGAAAAGTTAGACCTAACGGACAAGAAAATTATTGATCAGTTATGGCCGGGCCAACTGGTAGTTCCAAAGTGGGAGGTTAACCGCAAGACTGTTATAATCTACATATTGACTATACTAGCGTGGTTATACACCGATCTGCCCGATGTGATATCTCCTACGCCTGGTATTTGCTTAACCAACCAAGTCTCAAAGAGAATAATGGTGTTGGCATATAAATTCAACTACGTTGGTGTCGCAAATAAGTTGAAGGAAGAAATCCAGGTTAACTCTGCTGGTGTGATTGCTCAATGGCTTTTCTTCCTGCTGCACATCTTAAAGGTTCTCATCGTAACCTCCATCTTCTACACTGGTATGGCCAATCCAATTTCTTTCAACCCTTTCAAGTTCTACAGCACCAGAAGTATTGTTGTAACTAAGAATAAGGCAACTATTAAGGACACATTGCGTGACCTTGGGTGGATTGGCGCCAAGAGAGCGACCTATGATGATTACAGAGACACTTATTACAAGTACGCTATCGACAAGGCAGGCGGTATGGTGCCTGCTTACAAGAGTGGGGCGATGAAGAGTGCTGCTAGTCCAGGTGTTGCGCTCACAAACGGCGAAGGCTTCCAGACTCCTCTGGATAAAAGATTCACCGAATCCACCTTTAAGACCATGGAGAAATCGGGCAAATTTGTTTTGAGTGAAGAGTATTTCATCCAACTTGAGAAAGATCTCAAGGAAAACATAAAGAAGTGCGATGGTGTAATCCCAAATATCAATGCTGAAATAAGAAGATTCAGGAGATATGGATTATTTGAGTGCAGCGAAGAACTTTCCCACTTGGTAGAACTAAGAAAGAAAGCTGCCGCCGACGCTGAAGCTGCTGCTCCAACTGATGCCAAAGAGAAGAAAAACCAATGATGACAGTGTATATATTTCCGTATTAGACTTTTGTTTTATTTTCGATGCTTATGTCGTTTTGTGATGATTTTTGAAAAGGTCTATAGTGCCAAAGAACCAGTGTGTGGCTTGCGAGTCAAGAAATGTCGGGTTTTGCAAACTTTCATTTCAGACTATACAAGCAGCAGTCTTTGACAATCATACTCTTGGCAGAATCTTCAGCGGTGTTTAGAACTAAACTCCTCCACAAGTCACGTGAGATATATACTCTGGATCTAGCCAAGGAAGACAAGCTATATTGCCCGGCAGATGTTGAAATGAACCATAAATGGGTTCATTTTGAAATGTAGAAACCGGAGAAGACGTATTCTTGGGAGTTGTATCGATTTCTCACGCGCTACGTAGTAAGAATACTCTAGAGAGGCGAATTACACGATGTGCGCGTAAATTTTAGACGCCTTTTCTTTAGTTCACTATATCTGCAGTTTATTGAAAAGTGCTTTCGCCAACTTTCGAAGCTCTTTGTACTTTACGGGCTGCATCTATAGCCGATACTGCCACGTTGGCTCGAGAAAGTTGAGGCCTTCTGCATGTAACTTATTGTCACAGGACTGGAGACTTTGAAGATGTTAAACAGGTCACAATGAAACACACTTATTTTCAGCCATCGAAAATACCCTTTTAGCACCAGCAGCCGTTGATTTTGCCTCTCCCCTAAACCACATCATCTTGCTCAAGACCCTGCTTACAACAACGTTCTGAAGACCACCCAAAGCCCCACAAGCCGCTGATTCATATGTTCGGTAAAAATTGAATATCATTATATTTTGACGCCTACGCGACGCTATTTAAATTCATTACATAGCAACTGCTGCTACTGAGCGAGGTTTTGCCCTCAATACTTCAATATGATGTACAAAGCATGCAAAATACCTGGAATGTAACCTAGACACGTTAATAGAATATTGATCAGTAAATCGCACGTGCAACCTCTTTCTAGGAATACACCTAAAGGAGGAAGGAAAATTGCGACGGCAAATTTAATAATGTCACTGCAGGTAAGGGCCATTTCTGTAAGTTTTTGAGATGAATATGGTTATTATGATATTATAAGTCGTTTACAGAAGTCATTTCAGTGAAGATATATATACACCTTCGATCTCAATCGAACCCTTACTTTTATTGCTTTGAACGCCTCAATTGCTCCGAAATTTGGCACGCAAACACGTACGGGCTTTGTTATATTGCCGCGTGAGCAATGTGAGCAAATTGGAAGGCTGTGCATTGCGCTTAGGGGTTGCTGTTTTTTTCTCGGAGAATGCGCCTAGTTTTCTAAAAAAAAATTCACGTTCCGTACGGGACTCGAACCCGCAGTCTTCTCCTTAGGAGGGAGACGCGTTACCATTACGCCAACGGAACTACTAATGACTGTTTCAAAGGGAGAGCTACGTAACACCAAATAGTATATTGAAAGGATGCAAGATTGCCATAAAACAATGATATTTACTAGGTAACTTCGAAATACGGAAAGAACCCCAGAAATAATGCGTTCCGCTATAAGCTCCCAGTCTATAACTGTAAGTAGTGGCGAGTGCTCAGCATATCATAGGATTACGTAGAAGAAGAAAGAAGTGTCAAAACTGATTCAGTACTCGTTTTATTTTAGTAAAAAAGGCGGTAATTAGATTCGACAAAGAGTCGATGTACAAGACAGAAAGGACTGGTACCATAAGCATGACATGGTAGCTCAATCTTTGAAGCTTGACCCTGAGGAAAAGTGAGAGCCGCTAAAAACAATGTATTAACCGAATGAGGAGAACCAGAGTTGATTTCAAAACTTAGCGCCATGTGTGTAGACGGGATGTCCAATTCTGGAGATAGAGACCAAATTTTTGGCATATGGCTTAGCGCAATGACATTCTCAGGAGTGCGGAAACATCAAGCCGGTATGCTCACAGCAAACCTTGAATTGATTTCTTCATCGTAATATACAACCTCTGTGTACATCTGGAAATCACAATCGTAACTCCCATCACAGCGACTTTCGACCAACAGATATTATATTAGCAAGAAGTATTTAATGAATAAGTTATTAGAAGGATGCTAAGAACGTGCTGTCGACCAAAGAGAAAGATATTTGCAGGGCAGTAATATCAATAATGTAGAAGGATGCCTTGACGCGTGCTAACTCTTATCCGGCAGATATCGACCAAGCGAGGAAAAATCAGTAAATGCAGAAGGATGCCTGATCCGTGCTGCCGGAGTTCGAAAATTGTACGTGGCATGTTTGTGAATAGCTTAAGCTAGATATTGAGACATTATCAAATCAACTTTGGTGCAGAAATCCATATCGTAAACACGATCGAATTCTTGCCTTTCAGATATATCTGTTGCTATCGACTTTGCGCGCGCTTCGCCATGAAGCATAATGAGGTCCCATAAGCTCGCTTTTTCCCGATACATATTTATCGCATATTCCACCAAGTACCCGACAGAAGCCTTTTCGCTCTCTAAGTTTGCGCAGCAAGAGCGCTTACTTGTAAGGCCGAAGTCAAGCCAATAAAACTCGAGTTTTTCCAAATCAATTACAAGCGGTAGTGCAAATTTTGTGCCTGCTACGACATCATATTTCTGCTGCACTGTTTTTGGCTCAAATAAGTCACCCGTTTCGCCATCTCGAACCATGTATCCTGCTTTTGCGGTGAAACTGTCGAACGGTTGTCCTGTAAAAGAATTTACAGTGACACCAATGTATCTGATGTTTGGGAACAACTCTTTGGTCTTCGCAATGTCAATATCAATGAATTCTGCGGCACCATTAGGAGCAGATGTGAAATCCCCAGAATGTGTCATTGCACCATTTTTTAAGTTGTAATAGGCAATCTCACCTCCAGAGTTGAAATCCTTGTCCAGTTGAAGTAACGACAGATCAACATCTACTCGCTGACTTTGCCCGTTTTCTTTGATGTCCTCCCAGTATAGAAACAAACGAATCACTTTAGCATCTTTATCAGCGCGAAACTTGGACCCCCGAGCAACGGTTCTCAATGATTCTGAGATATTGCGCATAGACATAGGAATGAGAATGTCTTTCAATATTGGATCAATATAAATATTCCCTAGACTGCCTAATTTGCTGAAACGTCCCTTGAGTTCAGCATTGATTACATCTATCAAACGTTCTGTAATGTCTTTAGGGAGTAGATCTCTTGGATCTTTTTCTTGAATAATACAATTAGTGGCGGAACCTTTCGGTAGGTGTACTCTCAGCGGAGCTTTATTGGTACGATGCCCGAAGTGCGTCGCAAGGTTGACCAACAGAGGCGTAGCGACCTGGTTTAATGCTTCCTGGAATCTCGTCACCACTAAGGATTGCGCGGACTTGGGAACCGTACGAATTACGTGATCCAACCGACGTGCAAAGTCGCCAGGCCGAGACTTCAGTAGAGCGAGCAATTCTTCGATGTCTTTGGTGTCATCTTTCTGCTCTAAATTCAGTAATGCTGCCTCAACTTTTCTATTGAAAGTACTGATTTTCTTGGGTTCTGCACGAATAGTGTATACTAGTTCGGTCGCCCTGGGATACTGTTTGGAATAGGCGTTCACATGCAGATATTTCGCTAAAACTAACCACAATCCGCGAAAACGAAGCATATCTTCAGCCCCACTTTTGAATTCTAGACAATTTAGTGCTCGTAAGATAAATCGACGCTGCCAGTTGGACAAACGAAATCTTGTGTGGTTGACAAGTGAGACATCCGAACCTGAAAAGGCAACTGCTACGCGTAATACGTCAGTTGCTGTCTTTATGTACGTTTGAAGTTTATCAGACAGTTCTGTTGCCGCCAGTCCTTCCTTTGGGCAAGACGCTATCACAAAAGCCATATTTTCTTTATTTGGAATTTCTGTAGGCAGAATACTGAGACCTTCTATATTTTGTACCACCTCCTTCACAAATGCGCGATCGGACTCGGAAAGCGATCCATGAGCACACATAAGGTTTTTGCATACTTCCAAAGCATCAGCGCGATGTGCAGCACCTATTAAATTTAGCCTTTTTTTGTGAACAAGTTCGGGTCTCTGTATAGCTTTTTGTAATGACTTCTCAGGAAATTGTCGACCAGTCCATGTACCATTATACATCTCTGGGGACCAAACACCATACACCTCGTAAACTAAAAAAGCTCCTTCTGCTCCCAACTTCCCAAAAACAATATTTATGAGATGATCATGATCAGGAACTTCTTCTGGGAATTTCCGGAAGAGAGGAACATAGCTAACGTTGGATCCAGTTTTCTTCTCCAGTACTGTCTTGGCACGTTCTCTAAAATTCATTAAAGAGCTTCTGTTAAGTCCTTTAAGGAATTCCAGTAAGTCGGAAGTCAGACCATAGCCGTTCGCCATCATTTCTGCCACAATGGCAAGGAGAATATCCGCATCATCAGCAGTCACGATGCCCGCATCGTAGTCACCCACATACAACGAATTTCTGTAAGACAGTAGTGTATTTGAGAGAATATAGCTATCGCACATCAACACAGGAAAAAAAACAGTGGTGAATGCTTATCAGACCCTTGGCGGCAGACAATTCATTAATTGTAAGTCAGGGAAGTTGATAAGCTTACACAAGTTGGAGAAAGTGTTGGTAGGTCAGAAACCTATTACCTTTTATAGATGAAAAATAATATTGCAGGGCGGATTTTTTTTTGTCAGGGTCCCAACAAATTCTCGAGGTGACTAAAAGGAAAACCCAAAAAGTGGAAAAAGAAAGGATAGTGGGTGTCAGGGTCTAATTGGCGATGCATTCAAAATCAAAAACTTCTTTCTGAATTAAACTAAAACCCCGAAGCTGCGTTAAGTTCGATGATCAATTAACGGTATGCACCGCTTAATTATTCACACTAAGACACTCAAAAAGCAGGTACTTACTGTTGAAGCTCCTTTCTAATCGGAAGTCTGTTTCTGGAAAGCTGTTAGAAGGGCAACCATGCAATCCGTAGAAACTGCAAACTTGGATGCCGCCACAACACCAATTATTTAGCTTTGAAATCACATGCACAAACTATGAAGCCGTTGATGAAGTACTCTTGCTGAACTTGGTAAGTCAAGACATAAAAATGGAACCTCCATGACTCTTAAGTTGATTTTATCGTAAGGGCAGAGGAGATAAGATTTAGACTTTTGCAGTTTTTGCACATTTCTAGCCTATTCATAAATTCTGTAGCGGTAAAAAACTGCCATTTTTTTGACTAGCTTTTGCAGTGTTGATTATCTTGTCAGAATTGAAGTCGATGAACCATCGGGTCACATAGGCCCGCCATATAGTTAACTAGTCGATGATGCTCTGAGTTCCAATCCGCATAATCTAATCGAAGTTACCAACCATTTGTTCATTTGTATACGATCTTTTTTAGGGAAACAACCTTTATGGTTTTTTCGCACTGCCCGAGGCAGCAGATCAGAAGCGACGTTGTCCTGATGGAACTTTACTACATGGACTAATTACAAATGTGGAGGAAAGTTTAAAGCTCAAATATAGTTGAGATAGCACGATCAAACATGAGCGAAAGAGATTATGAAACGTGACGACAACCTGTTACCTCGAATATTTCGGTGTCAGCATCTGATCTGGTAATAAGGAAGTAATTAAGATATAAAAATGTTTAAAGGACAAGAGAAGACCTGAATAACAGGAATTGAACTTGTTTTCATCATACTCGATAAATGAGTGAGATTCGACCCTGCAAGAAGCAAAGACACGGGATCGCTCGAAACATTTGATTATTGGGGACAGATTGCACACCACACAAGATATCAAATTAACATTAAGTTATCAAAGAACAAGAACATGAAAGATTTGGCTTCTTCTGGGGGGATACTCGTCTTTGAGTGATAGAGCAATACAGAATTTGTTATGGGTGGGGCTGATGCTGGTATAAGTGGCATCTTTGATCATTTCATTTTGGTAGAACATGATATTTTGGAATAGAGAAAGTCTCTTCTCTCAAAACACAGAGTCCTGGACCCATCAATTCTCAAGGGTGATGACTAAGACTGTGTCAAACTGAAGGTATCTGAGGGTGACAATCGAGAGCGTATAAAACCAAAAATATCTGACTCACTTTGAAAAATCCCTCTTTGAGAGCAGATGTGATTGACCGAAGATCATATGCTGACTCAAATTCATGCGAATCTTCTATCAAAAAGTGTGGCGGTTGCATCGCAAAGAAAATTTGATGTACGTATGTTCCGGTCATGGTTGGATGAGGCGAGCACGCATATTAAAGTACTGATATCACTGACAGGTAATAGGGAAAATGTAATTGTCATTCCTTGAATGTATGAGTAATGCTATGTGTTTTGAAGATGTAACCCAAAATTATAATGCATGATACCCATTTTAACGTTTTCACAGAAGTAAATCAGCAACAACACTCCAGCTCCCGCCCAAACACAAGTATATCGGTTTATTTTCTTCAAGAATGATTCCCAAAATTCCTATATGAAGTTTCTATGTTTCTGCTTTCCGCCAAAACAGACTCTTCAAGAGAGTAAGCCAAATGGTTGCTATGAAAAAAAAAAAGGTAAAGCAGACAGCCGTTCGTTAAAGCAAGATACCAATTACTTTTGCTGTCATTCGAGGATGTTTATCGGCCTTCTGTTTATCACCACAATGTATCGGATCTCGAATTTTATCTCCAATCAGTGTACTTTTTCTTATCCAGATTATCAGCGACGGAAGGATGCGGAAGCAAGATTGATGAAACGTTCCTACAAGATACGAAGATTAAACGGAATTAAAGCCCCGAGATAAAAAAGTATAAAAATGTCATAGCATCCCATTATGAAAGCTGTAGAGTATAACAAGCATTCATCAGAACATACTCATTGCAACCTGAATAATGCCCTCAAATTCAATTGACGTAAATGAGAGGAACAACAAGAGCATAGCAGATCTAGTTGCTCCATGGCGCCCAAAGGCACTCGAATGCTATTGCATAATTAATACAAATTTAATAGATGTAATTAGTGGAACGACTCACTCTGGGGCGTACATCTTCGTTGAGAAAGGCATTATTTCAAGGGTTGAATATGAGTCCGAAATACCGGTTTCCGTTGATACTGAGAACTACAAGGTCATAGATGGCTCAGGCAAATATGTAACACCTGGGTTGTTTGACAACCACGTCCATATTGCTTCAGTTGCAGGAGATGCAGATTTAATGAAGTTGATGCTAATGCCAAAGTCCGTCGGCCTTCTAAGAATAAGATACACTTTGGAGGCAGCTTTAGCAAGAGGATTCACAACCGTGAGAGATTGTGGTGGTGCCGAAGGCTTTCTAAAAACCGAAATTTATCAAGGCTCACTAAAGGGTCCTAGACTAATTACCTGTGGTCATGCGATATCGCAAACCGGTGGCCATGGTGACCTGAGATTTGGCAACTTGCCTGCTAGTGCCTTTGACAGTTGTACATGTCATTTAGGCCAGGTCGGAGTTATAGCTGATGGTGTGCCCGAATGCTACCGAGTTGCGAGAGAGGAATTTCGCAGAGGTGCTGATTTCATCAAAATCATGGCTGGTGGTGGTGTGGCTTCTCCAACTGACAAAATTTCGAACAGACAGTTTTGCGAGGATGAGATCAGTGCTTTAGTGAGAGTAGCGGACACATACCATACGTATGCCACTGCCCACGCGTATACTTCAGAGGCAATAAAGACCTGTGTCAAGCTGGGTGTTAAAGGTATCGAACACGGAAATTTGCTAGATGAAGAAGCCGCTGAACTAATGGCCAAAAATGACTGCTACTTAACACCAACTTTAGTAACTTATAAAGTGATGGCGTCAGATCAATTTTCCAGATTTTTAGGGCCAGAGAACAGTAGAAAAAATGCAGAGGTGCTTCAAAAGGGAATGGAAGCATTAAAGATTGCCCAAGATAAAAATGTGAAGATCTGTTTTGGCTCTGATTTATTGGGACCCTTATACGGCTATCAAACGCAGGAATTCTTCATCAGAGGCAAAGCTCAAACCGCTCAACAAGTTCTTCTTTCGGCAACTGTAACACCTGCAGAAATGAATGGATTAGGAGATAAGTTAGGCCAGATTAAAGTAGGATTTATTGCAGACTTACTTCTGATGAATTCAAATCCTTTGGAGGATATTACTGTCTTAGATGAGCCAGAAACTAATCTCGTATTGGTCATGAAAGAAGGACGGATATATTGAAAATCGGCTCTCATATTAGATATTCTAGCTTTGCCTTAAAAACCCATAATATATTCTCAAAATGGTAGGCTCTCTGAGCCTAAATTATAATATAGATAAAAACTGCTTGGAAGGCTTAGGTTTCCGCACCGGTAAACTCAAGGCCTGTCCATATTTACAATTATCATAATTCTGTAACTAAGTAATAATTATAGATGAATTTGCGTACTAACATCTATCAGAGGTCTATTTGATTTTCATTTTGTCCGCGAAGACTATTTGTATTTTGTTTTCTTCCCAAAATCAAAGACCTATATCTAATTAGTAATCTAAAGAATATGCATTCATTATTTACTAAAACTTCAAAAAGCACAAAAATTTCAAATGGGTACAATAACATCTTCGAGTTGAGTTCCTCATGCAGAGAAATTGTTTTAACTTTGACGTTTTCGAAGCAATTTTCAAAGCAAATTAAGATTCTGCTGTAGCATCCGAATCGTAACGAACGGATTTTCGTGCCTGTTTTCCTGAGTCATATAGTATTCTTGGCATTAATTGCAGGATTATGATTGAAGCATGGTTCCTAACAAAATTTCTACGTAAAACTTTTGAAAGTATATCATGATGTCGAGCAGTGATTAGTTTTTCTGGATAAGTGGTTTCATAAGGCTCAGAATGCTATTGAGCTTCTATTACAGCCCATAAAAGATGAACAGATGCCGCTCCAAAGACACACAAAAAAACTATTAAGAATTAGTTAATTTATACTAGTTTCACATTTTACTAATGATGTATTTGCAGTGTGAGAGATATCCCTGACACTACGAGTAATTAGAGAAAAGAAGGCCTTCCAGAAACACCCACTTGGTGCTGAAACTCATGTCTTTTAAAATGTCAAGTCCGACAAAAAAGAAGATTTCGGGATATCAAGATTGCTCCACTAAGGGTAGACCAAGATGTAAGCATTAGTATTGAAAGCAACTGTTGAATCGCAATAAAAGACGACAGGAAATCGGTATTCCAATGATAAAGAAGATAGAACTGTGATGAAGAAAATTCGGATTTAAATGTAATTCTTTACTCTTCAGCTGTTGCAGTGATAAAACCAGCCGACCAGTCAAAATGCTCTTGTTTTTTGTGTCTCAATCGCAGATGAATTACAACTCGGATTTATTTGAAGATTTGAGAGCTGGCGAATTACGCGATTTCATATGGATCTCGACTTCTTGCAGAGTATAAAATTACTCCGAGTTGATACACAATTCAGCTTTGCACTCAGTACGGAGAGCCAATTCTCAGTTTTCTGCTTAATCGCTAGACGACACCGGTATTTATAAAGGGCCAGCTTCACATTGACCAAAGACAATACTAATTCGATCACAAATTTCGTGAGCTGTACTCTTATTTAATTCCTTACAAATAATCATGGAACCTAATTATTATTGTCATGATAATTAGCTCATAAAGTTGAACAATCTATGAAAAAATAAAATCTTAAGATAGTTTGATACTTGACATCGACGTATATGAATACTGATAGATTACACTGCCAAAAATGTGAAAATTGGAATCTTAAGTTCTTCAGACATAATCAAACAAAGAAACGGAAGATTGATTGACCTTCTTTAAAAATAATTGAGCCGCATATCATCCAAAAGGTTCAGTTCCCTCGGTTCCCAGCCTAGTTGAGCCCGAGTCTTTTCACTTGAAAGTGGAGTATCTCTTACCAAGAAGGCTGCTAACGAGCCGAAATGAGTTGATGCTTCTTCTGGATCGATTGGAACCACCGGTAAGTTGAGGGAAGCTCCAATTGCTTGAGCAATATCTCTAATCTTCACACCTTGTTCAGCAACACCGTGGTAAACGCTACCAGCACTTCCTCGTATCAAAGCCAGATTAAATAGACGGGCAGCATCTAAGCGATGGACCGCGGGCCACACATTTTGGCCCGTTCCAATATATCCAGACACCTTTCTACTTTTGGCAATTTCGATAAGAATTGGGATGAACGCCTGCTCTCCTTTCCCGTGGACTGTAGCAGCTAATCTTATGACCATTGCTCGGACCCCCTTGTCTTTATGTGCCAAGACAATCTCCTCAGTTTCGCCACGTAGATTATGGACGCTAGGATCCCTCCTCTGCTCCTCATCGGAGATCTTTCCGTCAGGTAACATAAATGTGCCATTGGCATAAATAAAAGGTTTATTAGTGCCTTCAATTGCTTTTAACATGGCGAGGTTCGCAATGCGATCAATCTCGCAACACTCGTCATATCGGTCGAACTCATGTATGAAACCTAAATGTATCACACCATCAGAATTTGCAGCAGCCTTGCTAAGTGTATCCAAATCTTCAAGATTACCACGAACTATATCAATTTTGGGGTCTAATGAAAGAATTTTTCTTGCAGACTCTTCAGATCTCGCTAATGCCGCAACCTGATGACCTGCCTGAATTAAATCAGAAACGACGGGAAAGCCAATGAAACCAGAAGCTCCCGTGACAAATATTTTCATTCTGAAGAAATAGATTTGTATAACTTGATTATCGCAACAAAAATTGAAGCTGCCTAAGATGCCTCTCTCCTTAGATTGATTTCGGTGGCCGCATTTTGTAGTTCGACAGAAAGCACCCTCGAAATCGATGACGGAGACATTAAGATAAAAAAATCATTGCGGAGAAAGTCATTAGGAAATGAATGACTTTTGCAAACTCCATACTGAAATACGTACCAAAATCGTACGTTTCTTCATTTTTGGATGAAAACCAAGTTAATTTCAGAATCAACGAAGCTGCTGAACATCAGCGGGTTCACGTCACATGTAGTACTATAACTTGATAATAAGTGATTAAATTTTTATCTGATAAGAGGAAGGGTCGACATCTAATTTAAAAAGCCATTATGCTAAATGATTAAATGATCAAATAAGGTGGAGTTACCTACTTGCGATAACAGCTGCGTATGTGCTCCTACCAAATATTATTTATAACCCCTACAAATATCTAATCCGTAGCTAGCTAGCTATGCAATGAAATACCCAACGCCGTCTGTCCACTATAAAATAAATTCAATAAATACCTCTCTGGGCATAATACTCATAATCCTCATTCTCAATCCTATCCCGCCTATTTAATAAGCTTGTTGATCTTTGCGGCAGACTATCCTGCGCAGTGCGATCCCTTTGGAATGCAGATTCCCCGAAGTAGGCCCTGTCTGGTGTATAGACGTGGCTGTTGGAAGTACTCGGCGGTGGTGAACAATATGCTTTAGATTGCGGTGTGCTGTCGTCAACACCGTCGTTAATCGCAAAATTATCGCTTTCGCCTCTATTTATGTTATCGTGAAAGTTTTTGGAGGGCTGTTGATCTAATACATTCCTCCTCAAATTGTTCTCGCTTTTCCCTGTGGCAAAGTAGTAACTTGGAACAGTATTTGACGTTCCAACAGAGTTGAAAGAATCGTTATTGTTAAGCCTAGCAAACGAAGGTTGATTGTTCGACACCGCGGAATCAAAGGTGTGTACATTAGTGAATGAGTTAAATTTCACTTCCCTTCTTGGAAAACCACCCTGTAAGTTAACAATGGGTGAAGTTGCCACTATCGGATCACTTTCATAGTCTGGCAGGCTTTCCACTGATGTTAACAAGTTTAGCTTCGGCGCTGGGGAAGCACCACGAGAAGTAGTGTCCGAGTTTTTCTGCAGTAGATCAGCTGTGGAGGTGTTCAAACTTGGTTGTGAATAATTCTTGACCGCCCACCTTGCAGGCTCCAAATCGTCAAGTTGCAATGATGAGCTCGTAGATGGCCCGTTTTGATAGGCTCTAGTGAACTGTTTCCGCTTTTCGTATTTATCCACAAGTTGATCGACTTTATCACTCACAGTGGTACATACGAATTCTTTCAGACCACTCATCTTCCGATCATGGATTAATCGATAGTATACGAATACAGAGCAAATGCATGCAATCAAAAGTTTCGAAATGAAGAATGCCCATATGATGAAAGAAAAGAGCATAAAAGAAAGCAACACCGCTTCTTCACGGTTTGTATTAGCAATTGTCTTGATTTTTGAAATCAATCCTTGGAAGTTTTCAACATTGCCCAAATTCGCACCATTATCCACAGTCACGATAACAGACCAGAGAGTCAGTCCATTAATAACCTGTCTTGGAGTGTCCGCAAAAAGTAGTCTGATACAATCCTTTAACTCGAAAAACGTAAAAAACGCAATGCGTTGATAAGTGCCCTTAGGCGTGACCTTGTTGAATACGCAAAACTTATCGTATTGTGTTAGGGAATATATTGCTCGAGAAAAGTTGTTCACATAAGTTAGGGAAATGTTTCTGGTGCGATATATCCTTATTCCGTTTACTACTTCCCATATCATGAGTGCGATAGAAGCTAAGATACAACCACTGAATAGCCACTTCGAAATTCGGAAGGGAATATATGGCTGAATAAGGTCGTTGGACCAACTATTAAATGCCAGCAACTTGACACAAGTGTACACATCCGAAATGAATAATGCTGCTTTCAAAATTGTGAGTATCAGCACAAAGAAGAAGAAGCTCATCAAGGTAGTAAATTTATAATTGATGAATAAAGACGTATCCAAAGACTCAAACGTCTTCGAATTAATTGAGAACTTCCAGTCGTTATTGAACATAGCAAATGATCGGTGGGGTGTGGGAACTGAAAGATCCTCCGCTTAATCTTTCAGTCATTAGAAGGCTGAAACGTCCAGTCCATACCGATTTAGAACAACCGTTTGGTAACGATCTGGACGCGAAAAAAGAATATACACCTTTACACCACATATTGTCAAATCTATCAGTAACATGTGCAACATCAAGTTCTTATGTATACATACTTTGGCAAGATCTTTCCCAGATGTGCTTCCTGAAATATTGCGCGTGTAACATGGAAGATGTCCCAAACATATAAACATAAATCACCAAGAGCACTCGTACTCCTAAGCCGAGGGTACCAGGTACCGTCATGAATAAGACTTTAACTGACAAATATTTGTAGAATCAAGATAAATTAGTGAGTAATGCAGATATGTTGGTAGCATGATTTGATTTATTACCACTTCCTTGGCAGCCCTTTTATCCTTTTACGCCCCAAAGGTCGTGTTAATAATATGATCACACTAAAAAAAGGGTCAGTTTCGTTAAACAGAACTTAAAGGCTGATCATAAATCATGTATCTTGATTTGCCACTATGCCGGGCAACAAGGAGCCACTTAAAATAAATCAGGCGTGAGACATCTGTAAGTAGCGATTAAAACAGTGTCGTCCAGAAACTGTTGTTGGGGTCTCAACTTTACGAAATATTTTTTGTCGGAAGTCGCGGAGTTGGAGTGCTGCATTAAAGAAAAGTTCGACATTTGGCATAATGGTGGGCCGTCGAGGTAAGGGCGACACGTCCCCTCGACCATACCCCGATAATGGCAATGAAGTACAGGGTTTCTCGGGAATGCTTGCCCCCGATCCTTACGCCTCTCCTAACGGTATGTATCCTCCGTGGAGTGAACACAATAATCTACCACCTAATTTGATCCCGCTACCTTTTGGTCATCCAAACGCCCCTATTCGGGTCAGTGTGCCCCCACAACCTCCTTCAGATGTTATACAGACCTCAACAGGTCGAAAAAAGCGAACACTTTCTTCTGATCGCCGACAATCATCAAACACACCAAAGCATCCTAAAAAAATATCCTGCGGGGCTTGCAGAACGCGAAAGATCAAGTGTGATGGCTTAAAACCAGTCTGTGGGTCTTGTAAAAAAGGAGGACTGCCGAACTCATTGTGTATTTACGATAATTCTCCTTGGGTTAGCACGGTCGTCAAAGAAAAACAACTGAAGGAGGAAATAGAAGAACTGAAAAGGAAGAACGAGACCATTAAACAGCAGATGAAAATCCTTAAAGCAGAGATGACTCTCCTACAGAATGACAATTTGAAACTTGGACTGGATTGCGCCAAAGTCAAACCTCCAGAGAACAAATTTCCAATAGAATGCTTTCATAAAGGATCGTCAGATCTGGTACTAAATTTCCCATTTAAAGAAGAGTTCAACGTGCTTCAAAAACTCGAGATTTCAAATCTCTTAGGATCTCGAGAGCCCAAACTTGTTGGACCGACAAGTTGGAGGACAGCTATTTCAATTGATAAAAAAATGAAGTTCATCTTCGAGAAAATATCTAAATCAATCAACACTAAACTACATGCCATGCAAGAAGACTCTTCTGAAAGCCCAGGTGAAACAGGCTCATTCGATTCATTTTCTTTCCATCCACTTTCAATTAACAGTATAAAAAATGAGCGATTGACTCTGAGTAAGAAAGAAAGTATCGTAAAGTACCTATATCAAAGATTACCAAACCCTGCAGTATTCAGATTACTTTTTGAAAACTTTTTCGAAGATACAAGTATTCAATTATGTCCTGGAATGATCGACAGGCACGAGCTTTTTGAGGATTTCGAAAAAACTCTTGGGATTGATATTAGTGATGGAAGATGGCTAGAGAGTTTAGAAACTCCTTTCGAATATAGAGTATCCAAAATTGATGACGATTTAACGTTCAGCAAAGTGGCAAGAATTCTAATGGTTGCTGTAACGTCCCTTTTGTTCGGGTTGAACACGTTCGGTAGCTCTGGTCCTGACACCTTGACAGAAAAATTATCCTCGTTCTCCAGCTCATCCGAGATCGTAAAGTGCTTCAGATCGTTTCAAGATCAGGAGCATACACGCAACTTGCGAAATGTGGCAGAAACACTTTTAACGCTTGGGAATGTACAAAAATTTCCCTGCATAAGAGCTATCCAAACACTTTTGCTCATTCACATGAATAGTTTATATGGGCCCAGCTTTTGTACTGAGCTCTTTGATGATCTGACTTCATCAGTTCTTGGATTGGCTTGCCATATGGCAATGCAGTTGGGATTGCATAAAGACATTGATATACTTTACGAAGATCTTCCGATGCATATACGCAAGACATTAAAAGCAACATGGCTTATATTGCTTGGTTATGATGGAAGGCGAAGTTTAGTAACAGGGTTGCCGTTACTCATCAACGAGTCATATACATACACGTACAAAAGTGGTCAAGATGAAGATTATGAGCCAGGTGATTTTGAAACAAGAGAACGCATTCTTATCACAAAATCTCTTCTTTTATCCCGTGGCACAATGAATGAAATTTTAAGGGAAGAAAATAAAACTGCTTTGAATCTGAAGCTTCAAATCGACAAATTGACGTTCTACAAGAACCGATATTTTTTGACCTCGTTAAGTCGACATTTAGAATGCTTAAAGTTAAGTGACTTATCTGAAAGCGAATTCCAACTACGTTTAAGACAAATAAAGAATATCCTTCATTTGTATTCTTTGCAGCAATCCATTCACCTAATGCTTTACTTGACATACGATAGTGATGCTACCCCCGAATTCGAACCTTTGAAGGAAAAGTATTGTCTGTTAACGCTGAAGATTTCCGTGCTGTTGATTTTGAGCGTGGTTCAGGTTGGGAAGACATTACTCGAAATATGCACCAGAAACAATATAAATCGCGAGAGACTATCTTACGTTTTACCAGTTATGAAAGAATGCGAGATTAAGGCTGCATTATTCATTTTGTCTATCATACTACGGGATCTCTATAAGCTGAAAAATATGCTAGAGAACAAACCGAAAACTTCGATAAGTGAGATTATTCATGGTTCCACTGTTTATGATCTCACATTCGAAGGATTAGAAGATCACTTTGTCAACGAAGAAGCCGAGGACTTGAGCAAGTTGGCTCAAATTTTCACAAAGGATAATACTTTCATAACCCTGAAGTTCCTGTCTGATTCGCTTGAAGAAATATGGACTACTGATGCGACATTTATAGTAATGAACCCCCACTTTTCTTTGGGGCTAGAGCTAATCAGAGACATGTTTAGCCATTTTGTTCAGACGCTCCAAAATTTCAAGTTCAACACAGCATCTCAAGGAAGTTCGAAATACGATCTGGACTCTACTTCTCACAGTTCTCCTTCAACCATCAAGAGTAAAAATACCATTGGACATTTAAAGACGGGTGGCTGGGAGACGCATCAACCTCATCAGACTGTGACCGGAAATAGTTGTCAAAAGCCTTCAGAAAGAAGTAGTATTTCCTCTTCTTCTCCCAGCGCAGCAGGTAATAGCGCCGGGTTTTCGGAAAAAACAGATATAGGAAGCAGCCAAATCACGAATTCTTATTTAGTGGATTCAAATGTTTTCCAGTTTGCGGCATTCGAAAATTCTAGTCATATTCCACAAGAAACAAATGTAAGATCGTCACTACTGTCAGCAGAACTACCTGATCGAACAGAAAGCGAAAAGTTAGATGTCGGTGATTTTTTGTATGATGAGCTTGACAGCCTTCTTACTCTGGACGTAGAAGCTTTTAGCTCTAAGTTCAAAAACGACATCCTGACAAAACGTAAGGGAAAATACAATGATAAGAACTAATCATTTTCAAGGGAGAACAGAAATAACTTGTACTAGCTTAATTAAGTGTGAATTTTTATACAAGAATATAGCAAGTATTGTAATATCTGTGAGCTAAGTAGTGGTTCGACGTTATGAGGCTAGTTCCGTGCAGAACTGATGACCATATTTCTAATCTCGTACATGTAGCTCTGGTTTTTATGATCTGGCAATTTTTGCTCATCAATATAACTTTCTGATTCAGCATCTCCCAGAATGAACCAACCACCTACTGTCCTATTCCATTTATTTTCTTCATGATAAAATCTTTCAAGCAGCTTGGAATCTATGTTGAACGTAGGCTCCGTGTTTCCGGCAAAGGCTCCCAGTGAATGATACCGCGTAGTCGCTGAAGAGTTTAAACGGCTGCTGAAGCTATCTCGACTCGGAAGTAATTGGCTATGCGATCTTTTCAACGCTGACTTTCTCTTTGAAAGTGTATCTGTAGACGATAATGAGGAGATATAATCCGGGACGCTGGAGAAGGGGTCTTCTTTTTCTCCTCCAATTCGTATCCATCTCAAGTTTTCTTGATCAAACATCATCTTACCAACAATCTTCCCGCTTTGCTGAGAGCCGGCTCGCATATCGGAAGGTTTAGATTTTTTTGATTTGGATGTGGATGAAAGAGGCCTTCCTTTACCAGTTATAACGATGGCCTTTTTGTCTGGTAAGTCAATGTCACAAAATTTCGATAAAGCTTGCTCATTTCCTCGCCATTGGAGAGTCTCCGGATCATATGTCATCTTTCCCTTTTTCATGGGGGTATTATGATCTATTTCTTGTTTTATTGTCTTTAACCTATGCGAAGCAGTGATATTTGTCCTCGATGGTGACGATCTCGAGCCCTTTGCCGATTTTCGCCTTTCCTTAAACAGCTCTAATTGACCTGCTGTATTCCATTCAGAGTGTCTTTTATGGAGCTGTGGTGTTAGAAGCAGATCATCATTTCGTATGTTATATTGAGTTGGCGATAGCTTCAGAGGCGGCGAAGCAGATTCTTGATCATTCAAGAATTGAGGTTGAAGTAGACTTTTTTCGAATTGAAAGTCGTCTTCAAACTCTTTGAGATAGTCCTCGTCTTCCTCTTCCTCACGAATTGCGTTGTACTTCGACAGGGTAGGCATTGACTTTTTATAGTTGATTTCATTTGACCCAAGCCGACTACCTATCCTTAAATTTGAAGCAGATCGACTGTTAGATAGTTGTTGTATTCTTCTGGATCTTTGAGTGGGTTTGGACTCATTTTGTAAGTCCATCATGGATTTCGGCTGTTTCAAAGCTTTTGACCTACGGAAAGGAACGCCCTTTAGCTGACGATTATCCAAATTTAAATTCTTGAAGTGCTGACTTAGTCCACGGTATTTTTCTTCTGCTACTTGATTCTCTTCATTACCAGAAAAGTCCACTGGTTCAGCGCTGGAAGGCTCCACGAAATGAGTCTTGAATACATTATCATAGTCTTTTCCCTGAAACTCCTCGAAGTCACTCAAAAAATGTTCATCATCATCTGCATCTTCACTTTCTGTATGTGTTGAATACACTTTTTTGCTATTGGAAAAGGTTGTGCTCTCGGAGCTAGCTGTGGAAGGAGGTGCTAGTCCATTGCTTAGCGGTGATGATTGTTTGTTTGCAACTGTAAATCGATCAAGACCATTAAAAGTAGTTTCTATATCTTCAAAAGAAGTCTCAGGAATATTATCCGAAGGGATAGGTCGTATAGACATCAAAAACAGTGAATTTTTTGTAACTATTCTTTATTGTCTTTTGTAACCGCTTTGTTTTGTTTTCCTGTTGGGAAAAAGCCCGTTTTTTTCATCAGAAAATTGAAAGATACATTTGTTTAATCCTTCATTACACGACCATTTGCGATAAGTTCCATTGTTAATGGATCAAACTAATACTCCCGTGCTATATTTTAATGATAAAAATAAAAAAGATGCGTTAGGAGACTTAGATGTGGCTTTCTTAAGAGATAACGAGAGGTGGGTGGAGGCATATAAGACTGTTCAATGGAATGACATCACATCTTTAGACAATCTGATAAAAAGGACCGAACAGCTGGTAATCAAATACAAGAATCCAAATAGCGCTATTAAAATTGCCATAGAGAGGATATTTGAAGAAGTCTTGGGCAGATACCCATTATTATTTGGATACTGGAAGAAATTTACTGCTGTTCAATATCAATTAAATGGGTTGGAAAAATCCCTTGAAGTATTATCTACAGCGGTAGATGCCTTTCCACACTCGCTAGAACTCTGGTGTGATTATCTGAACGTGCTTCTTGCGAATAGTGCAGACAAAATTGATCATATTCGAACAAACTTCCAACTGGGTAAAAAGCAGGTGGGATACCAATTCCTATCTCATCCTTTCTGGGACATGTATATAAAATTTGAAACAGATCAAAAGCAGTGGGAAAACGTTGCAGAACTTTATCAATCAATCAGCAAAATTCCGCTGCATCAATACGCCAGATATTACAGCTCCTACAAGGCCTTTTTAACACAACACCCGGAAGTACAACCCACCGATGATGTCGAAAAGATTTTTGCTAAGACACAAAAAATGGTGAATGAAATTTGGAAATACGAGTCGCAGATCAAACAAAGCTTTTTCAACTTAAGCGTAGTAGGCGAGAAAGAGCTAGACAACTGGGATACCTACTTATCCTTCATAATAAAACGATCAGAGTATAGTAAGGACTTAGTGAAGTCTGTTTTTGAACGGTGCCTGATACCTTGTCAGTTCTACGAGTATTTTTGGTTGAAATATGCTTCCTGGTCGAAAAATACTTCCAGCTTTGAGGAAAATATTGATGTGTTCGAAAGAGGCTCTAAATCTCTCCCGCTTGACAAGAAACAGTTTCGCTATGGCTATCTTGAGTTTCTGAAGCTCTCCATGAGAAGAAACAAAGAGTTCGTCCGGCACATGATCTTTGCTGTCCTGGAGACTTACGTTAAATATTGGCCCCACGATATTCAATTAATGGCTTACTGTTTATTTTCAATCAAAAGGCTGAATTTCTCCTCTAGTTTGACACATGAGGATCAAGAGATATTGAAGCAGCAGTCAGATTATGCGAGCTACCTGGAGAAGAATATCAATCATTTTCTTGGGAAATCCTTCGAAGGAGATCATCAATTACTAAATATTATGAATAAGTCAAACGTTGCGCTTGTTATTGTGGAACTAATCAAGGTCACATACTTGACATTAAAAAATAACATTAAAACTAAGAAACTATTTACCTCTTTTGGAGCTACTCCGCTTCTCCAAGACTCCGTAACATTTTGGCTAATGTACTACAGGTTTTTGAAAGTTTCATTGGACTTCTCTGAGATCGAAATTTTCATCACAAGGCTTGGTACGGATATTTTTCTCCCCACTTCAATCAGCAACGACATTATCACTGATTATAAATCTTTCTATTATACTAATGCGAATATCATGACGCATGAGCAATCCATGATACAAAATCAACCCAGAAGAACTTTAGATCCACTTGTTGAAATAGATCTAAAAATTAACGATCCTCAATTTAAAGGAACTACAGAGAAATATGTTAAAACTGAGTGGCAAAAATCTCCCGTCTACAAAGAAAATGGTCACATAGGAATATCGATTGAAAGACCATCCATATCAAATACAATTATTGAACAAGACTCCAAACTATTTGAAAATACTCCTCCCGCATTACCTACCTTTAAAAATCTCGAAAAAATGAACAAGACACCAATATATATAGATCATTCAATTCAAGACCTTACTCCAGGAAGCTAGTTTATGTATAAAGTGCAAGAATTTTGAACTTCAGAAGGTATGCAAGATGCAACAGTATGATTAGTATCATTAAATATGCCCGCTTGTATATTATATACTATCGCTCTGCCTCCCAATTACCGCAACTCCTGACCTGATTTGAGCGCTGCCAGTCACCATATTGTCTCCGAATACCTCGATAATTTTCAAGCTAGGGTTTTGAAGACATATCAAGTTTATCGCTTCATCGTCAATGCATCGAACAAAACCCAAATCCAGTCTTCGCAATAGAGGACAGCTCATTATCTTAAAAGAATCTTTCGTTAGAGTCTTCAGTGAATTCAGATTCAAACTTTCGAGGCGTCCACTAGCTTCATTTAGAAAAAACTCTGTAATTGCCATATCACCCACTTGAAGGCATCTTTTAAGGCTACAATGAGTCAGATTAGGCATTTGTACTTGACTAAATAAAAACACCAATCCGTCAGTCGTAACCTGGGCAAGCTCCTCTAATTCCAAAGACTCAAGCACACTAATACCAGAAGACTTAGGCAAAAATGTCGAGATTCCATTAATAATGGTCGCATCCGTTAGCCCCACACAACCATTAAGATTGAGTTTCTTCAAGGATCCACCGACTTGACTTAAAATGTTAATGATGACCTCGTCATTGATATAGTCCTCCTTGTGCGGGTATTGCAAATTTAGGCACTCAAATTCGGAATTTGTCAAGTATTGTGGAAGAAGTGAATAATCAGTGACTGCATCCAATCGCGAGAGCATCAAAGATCTTAAGCTGCTTCCACAGTTCCGAAGGAGGCTACCCAAGCAGTGATCATCAAATCTGTGAGTATTAGAAACATGAAAAGCCTGAAGCCTGCCTTTCATTTTTTCAAAAAAACAATTCCACGTTTCTTCATTGATCAAGAAGGGACCGTCCAAATAAAGCTCCTTTAAGTTGGGCAATTTTTCAGCGATATACAACAATGATTCATTGTTCAATTGACCACACATCTGCAAGGACAACTGCGTCAAGTGTGGTGCAAAAATGGCCAGAAGCTTATAACCTTCATAGGAAATCTTGGAACAGTCATGAAAGCTCAGAGAGCGAAGCTGAGTTCTTAAAAAAAGTTGAAGCGTGTGATCATTCAATGCCCTATTCTTTGACAAGGTCCGAGCTAATTTATTCAAATTTTCTAATGATATCCCGCCCAGACTTTCTCGAATGTTAGATGAAATCGAATCGTCACCAGTAGAATTTTCATTTTGAAGCTTAGAAATATTGTCGGAAATTTTGTTAATGCAAATATCTTGAAGAGTTGAAATCCGTCTTACTTTTCGATCCAAAAGTTCCGTTGCTCTTTTTTTCTTACGCTTTCGCTGTTGCAGTTGTTGCTTTCTCCTTTTCAGCCTTGCCTCCTCATCAATACCGTTATCTATAGGCCCTGGGGTTGTAGAAACTGTTCTTGACTTACCATTGGATTCGTATTCCTCTTCGTCACTATCATCTGAGTATCCAAGCCTTTTGAGCCGGCCTCCTCTTCCGTTTGGATCAGGATCTGATTCCGTTTCACTATCTTCAAGTGACGGAAGGACAGCTAGTTCTTGTTCTGCCTCATCCTCCTTCTTGAATTTCTCAGATTCAAGTGCGCCCTGACTTTCTGCTTCTTTGGATTTTAACCACCGTTTCCTAATACTGTCGGCGCTGATACCTTGTTCCCTCAAGAATTGCGTAAGGGCAGAATTTGGTCCTCTAACGCTGTTATCCTCAGAAGTGTCATTGTTTGCAGTCTTTCTTCTCCTTTTTGACATGACTCCGAACAGTTCATCAAATTGAGATCTCCTGTTGCTAGACTTTGCTTTATCTACTTGAATCGATAAATTTCGATCTGTATAAGTTCTGATTGGCAAAAATTGCGCAAGCCCGGAATCGAACCGGGGGCCCATCGATGGCAACGATGGATTTTACCACTAAACCACTTGCGCCTGTCTTGTAGTATGGGAAACTTACATGGCAATACATGTAGATTGTTTTATAATGATCCCTGTCATGAAACAATAAGATCTTGAGGTACCTCGGAGATACCAAACTGAACCTCAAACATAAGTGAGGATCGATACAAGTTCCCAATCTATAGCTATAAATATTACGAAGCCCTGAGGATACGATGAGACTAAATAGGAGAGGAACAAGGCTAAGTAGAACTCATTTCATTAGTTTCAAGAACGTCATAACTAGTTACGACATCTGGTAGCGCCGCTCGAGTAACGATTATCATGGAGAAAGAAAATGATGTGTTGACAGGAAGTGGTCCTATATTCAAAGGAACAGATGGCATTAACGAACTCCCTGAATTCTTAGCAGCCCTACGATTGTGGTTTGTTAGTAAGTCAATTGAAAAAGATGACAAGAAAGTAAGAGAGTTGATTGGCAGATTAAGAGGAAGTGCCATAGACTGGTTTGATGGATTTTCAGAAGCCAACGATATCAACGAGACTACATATGAACAGGTAACAACTTCTCTACAAGACTATTATGGTTGTACGGTCTCAAAGTTCTATCTTTGGTCTCAGTTCATAAAACATAGACAAAGTGGTTCCTTAAATGAGTATAACACTAAATTTAGGAATCAAGTAAAGTTATTTTCTGAGAATAATCGACCTGACAAAGAGATACAGTTATTACAGTACGTTCATGGCCTAAGGGCAGGGACTAGAGAGTATATTTGTAGGAATAACCCTGAAACTATACTAGAAGCTCAACGACTAGCAAATTTAGTGGGAATTGGCCGATGAACCTACCAAAAGTCAAGAGACACCAAGGTCCACTTTTGATTTCAAAAGAGGTGCAGGTAGAAACCCCAAGGGAAGCAACGAAAACGACAGTAACCGATGGAAAACTCGTCGACTCAACGGGAATCAGCAACATCAAGGAGTAACGCCCCGCAGAAATACAGCGGAGCCTCAACTTTGTTTTACTTGCAACAAACCGGGTCATTACAGTAGGCAATGTCCTGAGAAGAGTAGATTTGACAGAACGACGTTTCTTATAACACCTCAATCTGAATATGATGAACACCTGTATAACCACGAAAACGTACTGGAAAGACATCAACAGCAGAAAGCGCAACTTCCCAAGACAGGGAACCGAAAGGAGATTGAAATAGAAACAAACAAACGAGTTAAGGTTAAAACCATATTGGACACAGGTGCTCCAACATCATTCGTTCACAAGAATTTAGTAAGAAGACTGGAACTACAGTGTGTACCAGTACCATTGTATAGATTCAAAGGAGCACTACCACTCCACATTGGAAGCGCACAAAAAGCAGCTATGGTAAAATTCACTTATCGAAGAAAGCGTTACAATGTGCAATGTTACGTGACAGAAGATCTCACTGCGCAACTAATCATAGGCAATCCGATCTTGGAAGAGTTCCCCGAACTCATGAGCACGGAAAACAAGGAAGCGATCAACAAGGAAGGTCTGGAGATTGATCAAATAGAGGATAACGACATACAAGATCAGTATGAAGGAGATACCGAGATTTTCACTGTACAGCTAGAGGAAAATGAATGTAACAGAACCGATGACACTTTTAGAAGGTTACCAGAGAGCTTACAGGCAAAATATCGAACGACAGTCAGGAATGATCTACCACCGCGAGAGGAACATATGGGAAAAGTACAACACGAGATAAACACTTTACCAGACAAACCACTCCCTAGGTTACAACCTTACAGACTAACACCGAAGAACGAGCTTATTGTCCAAAACCTGGTGGCCGAACTCATCGAGAAAGGGTTCATTGTACCATCCAAATCTCCCTGTAGCTCCCCAATTCGTCTTGGTCAAGAAGAAAGATGAGTCATTTAGACTTTGTGTTGACTATAGACAGTTGAATCGAGCTACTGTAAAGGATCCATTCCCTTTACCACACATAGAGACATTACTGGGAAAAATTGAAAATGCACAGTGGTTTTCCACTATTGATCTGCACAGCGGATACCATCAAATACAAGTTAAACAAACCGACCAGTATAAAACGGCATTTGTAACACCCTCTGGGAAATATGAATACCGTGTAATGCCTTTTGGACTGGTAAACGCACCTAGTACTTTTGCGCGATATATGGCCGACTTATTTCGTGGAGTTCCATATGTGTGTGTTTACCTGGACGACATTTTAACGTTTTCAGAGACAGAAGAGGAACACTGGAACCATTTAGATCATGTTTTAGGTATCCTAAAAAGGGAGAGGTTGATAGCGAAGCTCAAGAAATGCCATTTCTTCGAAGAAAAAGTCGAGTTTTTAGGATACCAACTGAGCTATAATGCTATCCGGCCCATTCAAGAAAAGTGCGAAGCCATCGCAGCTTACCCCACGCCAAAGACCATCAAAGAGGCACAGAGATTTTTGGGAACTATTAATTACTATCGTAAGTTCATACCACGATGCTCAGAAAAAGCAAGAAGTATTATTAAGTTTATTACGCAAGAATCTAAGTGGGGAGAAGCCCAGAATAAGTCCTTTGCAGAATTGAAAAAAGCATTAATGCAAGAACCTTTGTTAGTACCATTTAAACGCGATGGAATATATAGAGTTACCACTGACGCTTCCAAGGAAGGAGTGGGTGCAGTGTTGGAAGAAATACAAGAAGGGAAAGTAGAAGGCGTCGTCGCATATTTCTCTAAATCACTACAAGGAGCTCAAAAGAACTACCCTGCAGGGGAATTAGAATTACTTGGAATCATAGAAGCATTGAGACATTTCAAGTACTTATTACATGGTAAAGAATTTACTTTACGGACTGACCATATCAGCTTACTTGCTTGCCAAAGGTTTGAAAGAACCAAATCGACGCATTGCAACTTGGCTGAATGAGCTCAGTGAGTTCGATGTAAAATTAGAATACTTATCCGGCAAGGATAACGTAGTTGCTGACGCAATATCTAGAGCGGATTATCCCGATGTTATGATTCTAGACACTGTAACATCGGTAGAACCCAATCTATGGCTCGAGGAGCTGAAGGCAGATCCGCTGGGAGCGGCTGCATTACGTTTTTTGGATATCGTGGACACAGTATGTGTGTCGGACGAGGATCTAAGTGCATACGAGAAGTATCGCAAGAAGTTTCGTCTGTCCGAACAGTTTCGGCAGAAGTTTAGCTATCCGGAGGATAGGCTGTATTATGACCAAGGCTGGTCGTACCGATGTTGAGACATCGCGAGATTTTAGAAACATACCATGATCACACACTATTCGGAGGACACTTCGGCACTAATATTACTTTCGCTAAAATTGCAAATGTATATTATTGGCCCAGGCAGTACCGAACTGTGGATCAGTATGTGCGTAGCTGTTTGCAATGTCAATTGATGAAGGCACATCGCCCACGGAACCAAGGACTCTTTAAAACCCTCGCAGATTGCGGAGGGCAGGTGGAGGCACTTGTCAATGGATTTTGTTACAGGACTACCCAAGACCATTGATGGTCAGGATATGATCTTAGTAGTGGTTGACCGGTTTTCAAAAAGAGCACATTTCGTTGCATGTCGAGAAACGCTAACTTCACAGGGAGTTATCGATTTACTGTTTCGATATGTTTTTGGATACCATGGATTCCCACATACTATTGTCAGTGATAGAGACACCCGATTTACTTCAGACTTATACCAACAGCTTACTAAACGCCTCGGTATTAAGCTGCTATTTTCGAGTACTAACCACCCCCAAACAGACGGACAAACCGAGCGATGCATACAAGTACTATCCCGATTGATGAGAACTTACACACAAGCAGCTGCGACCACTTGGCATACTTGGCTCCCACACATCGAGTTTGTTTACAATGCAACCTACAACACCGCCATTCATGCCTCACCATTCGAAGTCGATCTAGGATATTGCCCTAATGAACCCCTTCTAGACAACACGACACAGGGCAACGCTAGAGACACCCCAAGGACTGAACTAACGGAACAACTGCAGGCCCTAACAATGCGAACGAAGGACTACCTCATTGAAAACCAAGTAACCATGGAAACTTCGAAGAACGAGGGAAGAAAAGATATTAGGTTCAAAGTTGGAGAATGGGTCCTATTACATCGAGATTCACACTTCACAAAAACAACCCATCCCAAGACGGCCCCGATCTATTTGGGACCATATCAAATAACGAAAGTTGTGAACGATAACGCCTACGAATTGAATATCCCCAACCATCCCATCTTACACAAAGTTGTGAATGTACAATGGCTTAAGAAATACATACACAGATCAAATGAATACAATAAGGCAGTACCAACATCTTCCCTAGAAAAGATCCTACGTGGATCAGAAATAATGGAGGTTATCGGATTCGACACGTTAAACAAAAAATACTTTTGTAAAATGAGGGACGTAGACCCCACACTAACAGTTGAATACGCCGAACACGAATTCAATTCTATCCCCAGTAGTAGAAGGCAAGAATTACTAGACCACTTTAATCAATCGCTCACAATCAGAACGTCCCAGCGGGAGGAGGGGGAAGATGTCATGAAACAATAAGATCTTGAGGTACCTCGGAGATACCAAACTGAACCTCAAACATAAGTGAGGATCGATACAAGTTCCCAATCTATAGCTATAAATATTACGAAGCCCTGAGGATACGATGAGACTAAATAGGAGAGGAACAAGGCTAAGTAGAACTCATTTCATTAGTTTCAAGAACGTCATAACTAGTTACGACAATCCCTCATGAAACAATAACTTGAGGTATCTCGGAGATACCAAACTGAACCTCAAACGTAAGTGAGGATCGATACTGTTGGAACGAAATACAACTATCGACCATCGACTAGTATTCGTGTTACTAGTATATTATCATACACGGTGTTTTAAGATGACATAAAGAATGAGAAACGGTCATCGAAGTTAGTGGACGCTGAAACGCAAGGATTGATAATGTAATAGGATAATGAATGAAAATGTATAAAAGGAACAGAAAGAGCATGAATATTTGTAAGTAGAATTATCGACTCTTCTTTCTGGATTCTTAGAAAGATGAGGAGAACTTCTAGTATAACCATATACCAATAATTATAGCCTTAATCAAAAATGGAATCCCAACATTTAGCTCAATATTCACCCATTTCTCAAAAGGGATAATGCCAAAAGTGAATGGTTACACCATTTATATCAAGATCTGTTATGCATCATAAGTTTATAACTACAATTTTCACGGAATTCTCAGTCCAGCATGGGATTAGAGAGGAAAAGAACAAATTACTTATTAATTTCATTATTCACCAAAAATTCATAATTATGTACGACAATGCTGAAAAGGTTAGGGAGCTCCTTGACAGTACGGATTCAATGGCGGAGACTACATATAATAATGCTCAGCTAAAATTAACATCCAAGTACAGTTGGAATAAGCTATAGCGTCATTACTTTATCGAAACAAGAACTACAATGTTGTTTCCAATTCCTCATATCGTACATGACGACTTACGCCACTGTTACTTTGTTTTAGCTGCTCAGCGCGAATGGTTTAGTGGTAAAATCCAAGTTTCCCATACTTGGGCCCCGGGTTCGATTCCCGGTTCGCGCAACAAACAAGTTGCAGTAGTCTTATAGGTTGCCTCACAATGGTACGGCGGTGATCCAAGTTTTTTTTATCTTGTGAAATCTCGAACCCTTATTTGCTTCAGCTGATATTCATAAAGCCTTCTCTTTGAAAGGACAGTGTCTCAATCAATTTCTTAATACTCTTGGTACTTAATGCACGATTCTGAAACCAAAACATATCATTTAGTCGTGCTCGTCCATGGGCTCTGGGGGTGTACTGCCCATTTTGACTATATCTCGAACGCTCTAGATGATGCCTTTCACTCGAACAGCCTATTTCGAAATGGGGGCCGACTGGAGAATGAAGAGATTGTTGTGTACACAACGCATCTCAATGAGGGCTATAAAACCTACGATGGAATCGACGTATGTGGCCTAAGGGTAGCCAGGGAAATCGAAGAACAAATTGAAGAACTTGGATCTGTGACTAAGTTTTCCCTTTGTGGCTATTCCTTAGGTGGCTTGATAGCACGTTATGCGCTGGGTGCACTGTACAAGAAACAGCTGTTCAAGAAACGCGACATAAGACTTTTGAACTTCACCACATTTTGCACACCTCATGTAGGAGTGTACGCCCCCGGAAACAATTTTGCTGTGAAACTCTTCAATGCGATCCTTCCCAATCTTCTTGGAAGCAGCGGTAAGCAGATGTTTCTTCAAGATTGCGTCAAATCTGCCAATGGGCTACCACTACTCTCCTTAATGAGTAGCGAAAATTCGATCTTTTACAATGCTCTTCAAGAGTTTGAATACAAAGCTCTCTATGCAAATGTGATCAACGACAAGAGAACTGCTTGGTGGACTTCTGGGATATCCAGAAACAATCCTTTTTTTGATGTTGATGAATACAATGGTGCCACGCGATTTAGCTATATACCTGGATATGAGCCTATAGTTATAGACCATACGAAACCGATCCAGATTAAAAGAATCGAGGATGCGCAAGAAGAGCTAGGTGAAAATGCGGATCTCAATGAAAACCAGGATGATACTGACGCTGAACAACGATTGAACAAGAACGAGTATTTCTTCATTAATTACTGGATTGCGAAAATGGGCAGATGGCTGATGGTATTAATAAATATCTTGCTCATTGCTCCATTGTACATCATGTGGTTTTGCATATCGGGGGTGATGGAGACTACTAAGTCTACTATTAGAGCAACTAGGTACGTGGGGAAATACTCTAATCAGCTCATTCATGATTTCTATGAGATTTCACCCGAAGTGACAGACGACGATGATGAAGTGACGTCAGTTTTGACAAATGAATATGAGCAACAGATCCAGGAAACGTTGAATGATCAAAGAGATACTCTAATTGAAAGTGTATTCGATGCGATAGAGAGAAAGAACACATACTCTGCTGTGGTGGATGAGGCATCTAGTCGCAGTGAATCGTGCGAAAAGGAAACCACAGATGGGGAAGAGGAACATGAACAAGAAATCACAGAGCATAGCATGAAGACAACTATCCAAGAATTGGAACAGTTTCCTATCGAAGAGATTCTCGCTCGCTTTGAACATAACAGTAACGAATTACCCTCTCTGGAGAACTTCCATCTCTCTTTGACTCCTGCGCAGTTGGAAATTATTGATTCTCTTAACAAGATAAAGTGGAAGAAGTTCCCCATCTATATCCGTAAAACACCTAGTACGCATGCATGTGCGATTGTTCGCCACGCAGATCCCAATTTTGGTGAAGGCGAGGTTATCATCAGGCACTGGATTGAACAAGTGTTCCGATTCGAGTGAATTTACATTAAAGTTCTCTCCGTGGGTAATGCTGAAAGTAGTCAACTTCAACGTGGAGGATGAATTGCTTGATTAGTTGAACTTCTCATTGAATTTCTTATCTAGTTGAGTAATCAAATCTCTCTCGGTTTCAACAAACGGATTGCATTTGCATTGAACGTAGATTCTTGATACAGAGTGGAAAATTTCTGTTACTTCATTTTCTATACTTGTATGTTTCACTGGAAAGCCTATAATTATTTTTAAGCTTGTCTGCTTGATCAACTTTCCGTAAACAGATGTTCCTTCCATCTGAAATAGCGATTTGATTTCGGGACTATTCTGATTAATGCTCATCCAATCAAAAATACTACTCTCAAAGTAGTCAAGGGCCATGTTTGAAAGAATATTAAACTTCAAGCTGCTATTAATTTTAATATCATTTTTTGTCACAAATACAATTAAGGGCTTGTTGGTATGATCGATTAACGATATAAAGCTGGGTACAACTGTCATTGATGTTTGTTGAAATGAATGTACGGCAGATCGAGACAAAGAATTACATTGTGAACCCTTCGTGAATGATGATAAATACGTGAGCAGTGTGAGATTATAATTAAAGCGTAGTGCAACTAAATATCTATCTAACTTAGCGTTAGTGATTATTTCAACAGACAGTTCTTGCGAGAAATAACTATCCGCCCGCGAGTATCTTCATAGTAACTCTTGGAACTCGATCACAGCTAAACGGTTCGTGAGCTTTTAATTCGCTAACTATTTTAAAGTTTGCTCATAATGGAGTTTGCAGCTGTCCGTCCAAACACTACACATTCAAGTAAACTGGATCCACCAAGTCTGTTTCCACCATGGACACCTCCAGAAACTTCACCAGCGGCATACAAACCCTCAGCCAACGCTTCGCCATTCTTTCCTATGACCTCGGCATTTTCATTAATTCTAACACCGCCCATGGTGAAGTGGACCACGGGAGTGATTTCACCAACATAGATGGTAGAATCTTTCGAAATTCCCGATTCAAACGTGTTCACTCTAAGAGAACGACCAAAAGTATCCTCCTTAGCAGTACTGTAAGTTTCTAATTCTTTAGACAAATCGTCCTCAGATATAGGCAACTCTTGAGCAAAGTCACTCACCGTGGTCTTCTTAATTAGCTTTTTGAAAAGATAAAAATCCATGTTGTTCTTGTATTCAGCGTAGACAGATTCACTCATGACCAAGTAAGCTCTATTCTCATCCTGAGGACAATCTTCCTGAATTGCAGCTGTGACCTTATCTCTAGTATCTAACTCATTAACAAACCGCCTACCGGTAGATGGATTGAGAAGAATCCCTCCTAACCCTCTAAGCGCCTCGGCAGCTAGAAATTTCCAGTTACTGGAGCGGTTAGCAGGATCAATGAATCCAGTAGGATGAACTTGAACTTGAGTCATATCAATTAGATCACCACCGAGCTTTTCCAAAATTTTTTGGCCATCTCCAGTCGTTTGAGCACCATTTGTAGTTGGCAAGTGCCTCAATTGTGGTGCATATTTCTCTAGCATTTCTGTCGAGTAACCGAACCCACCAGAACAGAAGACGATATGATTTGTTTTAATTACCTTGGATTCGCCATTTTCGTCAACATACTGGACGGCTTGTACTTTTCCTTTTTCAATGTCCAAGTCAACGACTTTGCTGTTGTTGTAGATGGTAACCATGTCAGGGTTCTCCTCCGAAATGCTCTTCAAAGCGTCCGACAATGCCTTGACAATTTCGAATCCAGGTGGTAATTTGCCAGATGATCTGTGAGTTCTAGGGCGCGAGTGACCCCCCAATTGAGCAAGGAGATCCAACTTTAAATCAAACTCCTGTTGGAGCCACGTCACCGCAGAGCTTGACTCATTGGAAAGCTTTTCTTGTAAAGCTGGAATCCCAAGACCAAGGGCAGACTTGACAGTGTCTTGGTAGAAAAGATCAGTAGAGTCTTCGACGTTGAGAGCCTTTTGGGTGGACGTGACTGCGCCGTTTATACCACTGGAGGCCTTGATAGAATTACCACCCAAAGTAGAAGCTTTCTCTAATAAGACAATAGGAATCTTATACTTAGAAACCAATTGGTTACCAGCGCTTAATCCAGCTAAGCCTGAGCCAACGATAACAACGGGGAGTGATAGTTTTGATGACATCTGTGTTGAGGTATTTGGTCTGTACAGAATAAAAAAAATGAAAGCACAAAATAGAGCTAGATAAATTTTATGCCTTCTGCTAATCATTCAATGGTCAGTCCACGTAAAGGATTTGCACATTCAAATCAAAGTCATATAAAATATGGCTTTTGTTCCATTTTGAAGGTGTGGCATGATTTAATAAACGACAAGGTGATGTTTGTATACGAAAAGAAACAATCGCCACGCGAGTTTCAAATAATACAGTTAGAATGTAATAATGGTTTAAAGTTTAACTCTATAAACAGTATATACGAGCATGAGCATCTAAAGAATAGTGAAAAAAAGCTATTTACCTCAACGCAGTAAAAAAAAACACTAGACCGGGAAAATGCCTTAGGACAACAGAGGTTTTATGCCCTCGCATGAAAACCGTAAAGATGCTGCCAGCGTATAATTCCAAAAGAACCAAACATATCAGTCGATTGGCAAAGTAGCCAACCACGTTTGTCCCTCCTTGATAGGGTAGTTATTCGCAAGCCACCTAAAAGCGTGGAAAGAATAAATGCGAATGAACCATTGATCCTCAAATGTTCAGATTGCCATTTGAACTGTGATCTGCCGTTCGAAGTGGTAAGAGTCAGTGAGCTCTGAGGGTGTCTGCTAGCCTCCAAAGTTGGCCATAGACATGATAATGCATATGCAAAAGTAGATGACAAAAATTCCCAAATGCAAAAACTCCCAAAGAAAACCCAAATTTCCTACCTCCCTAACGGTAGAACAAAAAAAACAATTTACCAAATAATGCCTTTATGCCAGTAAATATTTGTGAAGTGTCCAGTTATCCGCGTACTTAGTACTTGTACGTCTTGATCTCTGGGATAGCGTTGCCCTCGATGTCGATCTCGGTGGACTCACTACGGTAAATCTTGGTAGGACCCTCGGTGTCGTAAGGATGCTCTTGGGCGTGCTTGAACGCCTCCAAGATGGCGAGCTTGACACGCTCCAAGGAGTCGTTAGAGATTTGGTAGTGGAAAGAGACTCTACCACCCATGAGCTTGACGCCGTATTTGAGACCCTTCTTGACCAAAACATCGGGGTTCATCTTGGCTCTTTGCAAGTCCAAAAACACGAAATTGGTGTCAGCTGGGGACTCGAGTGGGATGCCGTTTTCAACGCAGAAGTCGGCGAGGTTGTGGGCCATACGGTGCGATTCGCGCAATCTGGCCTTCCAGTCACTTTCGACGCTCACGAGCGCCATGCGACTCATCATACCGCTCTGTCTGACACCACCACCCTGCTGCTTCCTGAAGTGGTTGCACTTCTTGATGAACTTGAAGCTACCGACAAGAACCGAACCCATTGGGGCACCCATGGACTTGGAGAGACAGATGGAGATCGAGTCGAACAACTCACCGTACTGCTTCAATGGCACGCCGGATTCGGCCGACGCGTTCCAGATACGAGCACCGTCGCAGTGCAACTTAATGCTGTTCTCAAGACACCAAGCCTTGATGCGTACAAGCTCTTCTAGTGGGTAGATGATCCCGTGCAGAGTGTTCTCGAGCGACAAAACGCGAGTTGGCGCACCGTGGATGTCGCCGTCGTCGGGGATATAATGGCGCTTGATATCCTCGAGCGTCATGTAATTGCCGTTGCTGGGGATAACTGGAGTGACCATAGCCTGCGACAGAATGGCAAGCCCGGCAGCCTCGTGCGTGTACACGTGAGCACGGTAGTCACACAAAATGGAGTATGGAGGCTGCAACAGGTGAGTACGTAGCGCAATTTGGTTCGATAGAGTACCAGACACACAGAAGAGACCGGCTTCTTTGCCGGCGAGCTGCGCAACGCGCTGCTCCAACGCGATCGTGTCTACATCTTCGTTGTAGACGGCGTCACCAATCGAAGCGGTGAGCGCGGCCTGGATCATTTCCGCAGTGGGCGTCGTGAAAGTGTCGGAGCGGAAGTCGTTGGCCGCGGACGTGTATGGCTCTGGAAGGTCTGTCATCATTTGTAAAGGAGTTAGGATTAGAAAGTGAGTTGAATCAAGCTGGCTAGCACCTTTTTACCGTTACTTAAACAAGAATTGCGCGCTATATAGCCCACACCTACTACGCTCCCGCGTTTATATATCGTCGACGCTCCGGAACAACGTATGAGTAATCACTGTTCGCGGAAAATTTTTTTTGCATGGCGAGGCACCGTTTTCGCAATGAAAAAAAGGCGTCTGAGGCACGGCTGACGCTGTGCTCTGGCGCACGTGACCTCTTTTTCCAAGTCCTTGGTCGTGTCTCAGAAAAAGCACGCGGGGCGGCGCCGCGGCGCCGCGGCGCGGTCTGGGTTGGCGGGGCGAGGTCCCCCGGCACGGCGGCCCGGACCCACTCGTTTGGCGAGGGCTCCGCAGAACGGCGGAGCGGGCGTCAGGCTACTACCCAAATGGGAAACTGCCGGGCATGCTTGCTCACGTAAGCCGGTTGACGCAACGAGCGCGGCGAGGGCACGCCGAGAGAGAAAAGCAATGAAGCCGCAGCCGGGCAGCCGCGGTGGCCGCCCGGGCGGCCCGTGAGGGCGGCCCCGGGGACTTGCATGCTGGGTGTGAAGCGACAAGCAGGGAAACGGAAAGAGCGCGAGAGCGACGGGCCGCGAAGGGAGAAGGAAGAGCGAGGAAGAGAGCAGTGCACCCGGACACCAGCACCCATACAGCCGGACAGGTGAAACGGCGGCGGGTGGAACGGCGACGGGGCTTGAGGCGAGGCGGCAGACTACAGTTATTCGCCACGGGACGAGTTGGAAGCGCGCGGCCTGGGAAGCAAACGCGAAACAAACTGGAAGCGGCCACGTGACGCGGATCACGTGGTGCGACGTATCTGCAGGTATGCAGTCGTACCTCCACCAGCCAGGGTTCTGGCGGCCCGTGCAGGCGCCTACAGGGCTGGTGCGCGCTCAATTCGCACAGACCGTGTGTTTTATGCCCTCTGGCGCGGTCTTGCTGTGCCGTGTCCTCTGTCGGCCCTCTTTCCTGAACGATTTCTGGAGCTGAAATCTCACTCTCACCGTTGCTCTTCACGGCTCGCTCGCAGACCACAACTCCCCTTTGCGCACTCTAATGGACAATAAGCTCGAGTATCTGCGCAGCGTCGCGGCCCAGAACGACACCTCGGGGCTCAAGCTGAAGCGTAGCTCCTGGAAGCGGCCCAATCGCCGGCACAAGGCCACCCGGCAGCTGATGACCGACGAATGGAAGCGGGTCACCAACGCAAACTCCGACAAGAACATGCTCACCTATTTCAATGTCGAGGCCCCACCAAGCATATACCCCGCCAAGAAGTACTGTGATATCACGGGCCTCAAGGCATCCTACAAGGCTCCCGGGAACGGGCTCCGATTCCATAATAGCGAGGTGTACTCGCTCGTGATCAAACCTATGGCTCCAGGCGTCGACCAAGAATACCTCAAGCTGCGTGGTGATAACGTGGTGTTGAAGTAGACCAACTATGTCCCGTGGCCGGCAAACAGGCCAACGTGACCCATCAGAACGCTACCTGGTCCATGGACAGCCTGAATCCGCGCTTGCGGTTCGCAACTGCTCTCGCAAAGCAGAATAGGTACTTTCTGACGCCTAAATACACGTATATAGCCCCTTTGTAAGTCGTCCGGCTAGCGCTTCGGGCAGCGCCCGCCGCTGGTCGGCATTTCTCGTAAGGATGGATGTGATTTGAACGTGAAAATTTTGGCTGGCCCGCTGACGCATGCCAAGTAAACATCAACTTCGACTAACGCTAGCGGCTTGCAACATGCTCACGTATGCTGCATTCACGACGGTCGCCATCGTGTGGCTTGTCTATAGACTTTTCCAATTTCTAGGAATTCCGGTGTGGAGAATTGTGTCCACGCTGGGACTCCAAGTCCCGCATACTGCAAAAGTATCCATCGATGGGATCACAAGCACGGCTATCACACTAAGGTGGGAAAACGAGCCCTATGAGACCACCTACAAATCAAACAGTCCCATATCCCACTACGTTTTGTATCTCAACAACGTGAAAATTGGTGCGTTTCCGAATGTGGCGACTTCACTCTACACTTGTTGTTCGTTGACGGGCTTATCACCACAAACTCAATATCAATTCGACTTTGTCACAGTAAACAAACATGGCTTCATGAACAAGGTTCCTTCCATTTATGTCATGACTAAATGTGAAACCGATAAAGCGAGTGATCGTTATTTGACCATCAATGTTGAAGATAACGAAACTGCGTCTCTGAGGACCCCAAACTTCCCCGCAGATGCTAAATGGAGGAAATCACAGGTCTCCACACCAGTTGATTCACCTACTTCGTACGCTAGCTTGACTTCTTTGCAGGACTTGGAAGACTTTTCAATTAATGACTTAAAAAAAATCCTCATATGCGCCCAGGAAGATCTTCACGATGTTCTTCAGCAGCAGACTTCCATCCTACAGGATTTCCGAGAAAGTGAAATTCAGCTCCAGTTAGAATTGGATAATCTCAAGACTCAATGGTCACATGAAATTGATCTGCGCAAATCGCTTAAATCGAGTATAAAATCTCTCGAGAATTCGAAACTTTTATATGACTTGAAAAGAGGCAAATTGGAAAAGAATATAGAACAGGTGCGGGGAAAGATTGAGAAAATGAAGAACGATATGATAAAATGGGAGGTCGAGCAAAAGGATCAATTAAAACAAGACATATTGGAGGAAAAGTACTCCCAGGAAAAAGCTCAGGTCATGGAGGAGATTAATAAAGCTAGGAAAAAAATAAGTGTACTACAAGAGGACATTTCTGCTCAGGAAGAAGAGAACAAGAAGCTTATTTTGATTAAAAAGTCATTAGATGCCAACGGTAGCTCCCCACACCTTGCACAAATGAATCCTTCAGCAAAAAGAGAATCTCAAAAGGACTCGCATCCCCCTCTTTCTCTCAGTGCAATTCTAAAAAAAATCAATGAATTTACAATTGAAAAGAATGGTCTTTTGACTGGAGCTGGTCAAGAGTTTTTGAATTCTTTATCTGAAAACTCTTGTGTGACTTCAAAAATCAGAGAAGAAATCGGTAAAGATATGGAATTAGAAGCGGAATGGAGGGCTAAAAAGTCCAAGCTCAGGAAAAAAGTCGATCTTTTGGAGAAAACTTGGAACGAACTAAATTTCAGCAATAAAAGTATGATCGCAAATCTCGCTGCGCAACCCTATACAGTCGGAAATGCTAAACAAACACCGCTAGGTTCTTCTGGAGTGGCCCCGCAATTAGTGTTGCATGATCCTACTACTTATGTTGATGCTGAGTCTCATCAGCAGTCCTTTGGAAGTCCACCTTTTACCACTGCTAGTGATTCGATGGCGTTCAGCAACTGGCCTATCCAACAAACCGACTCGCACCTTCACGATTCTGCACGCTCTCCCCAAGTCCAATATATTAATGAAGACCAAAACTTCGAGTACGATAATACAAATCATTTGTTAAGTGGTTTGCAAAACATGATTTCCGAGGCCGATTACCAAACGTCTAATATTAGCACCTCGAAACTATACACGACAGATCAACTTGATAGTTATTGGAATACGAATAGCAGACCAGCAGGGGTTTTGGGCGGTAATGGCATGTATTCAAATGCCGGTGTTGAATCACCATCTTTACCCTTACTATCTCCTTACCTAATCGGACAACGTGATTCCTTCAACCAAAATACACAAAGCACGCCTCCAAATATGCACACATCTCTTAACGAATCCGCTACGCCTCTATTGGGTAACGACTCTATATTTACAGAACCCGAGCAGATGAGGGCGACCGAAAAAGTGAATCAAATATCCATGCACGAAGATGTTATATCTTTAACCTCGAATTCAAAGCAAGATCTGTCGGCAACCCCGCCGGTTGAAATATTGAGGCAAGATGGTGATCCTGCTGCTGATGGCGCGTTCCATTCGACGAATTTCAATAGTATCTGGAGTAACCCAAATACCAATTCTGCATCGAGCTTTTCTGAAACACCGAAATTGAGCACACCAAAGCATGGTCATCATAGGTCAGGTAGCAGAGGGAGCTGGGGGCTCTCGCAATTCATGCATCGCTCACCTGTCAGCACAACGACAGAATCCAAGTCAACAACTGAGTCCGCATCCTCTCCACGACACAATGGAGATTCTAAAGATAAGGACCACCAGTCTGGAAATGGTCGCCGTATGTCGAAGCTTTTATCAAGAAGCGGAATGAATCACTTGTTTAAATTACCTAGTCACGATACGTCATAGCGCTGTAAAATCAGATGCAACAATTTAACAGTTCAGTAGTTTATTAGTAATTTTAGACTTCTCTCATGAAGTATCCATCAGAGCGGTACACATTTTTCAAGCACTTCATCTTGAGAATGGACTGGAATTTCAGGGACCGTTACTTTCATTAACATCTGATGGGTCTTTCAAATGCGAAATGTTATCGCTCTGACAAACTGCATATAACGTGAATATTTATTCTACTATTAATCTGAAAAGCAGGCAAAGTACAGATTCATTGCACATATACGGAAACAGTTGTTATAATAGGTGACTAGGATGAATTCCTATCAAATTGCATGATGTCAAAACATTGTGTGTATCAAATTACGATGTTCTCGATTACAATAAAATAAGTACTAAATTAATTCCGTCTCTTCTTCTTCTTCTACTTAATCCCATAGTGTGCTTATTGTTGGAACGAAATACAACTATCAACCATCGACTAGTATTCGTGCTACTAGTATATTATCATACACGGTGTTTTAAGATGACATAAAGAATGAGAAACAGTCATCGAAATTAGTGGAAGCTGAAGCGCAAGGATTGATAATGCAATAGGATAATGAATGAAAATGTATAAAAGGAACAGAAAGAGTAAGAATATTGTAAGTAGAATTATTGACTCTTCTTTCTGGATTCTTAGAAAGAGGAGGAGAACTTCTAGTATAACCATATACCAATAATTATAGCCTTAATCAAAAATGGAATCCCAACATTTAGCTCAATATTCACCCAATTCTCACTTATGACATGCTAGTATTTCTAGCTATAGATTCGGGACCTATAGTAAGCCTCATTATCGCTGAGGTTCCTTTTAGTATTTAAGAGTTGCCTAGTAATATTGTTGTTTTATGGCAATCGGCAATCATTGCCTGTTCTAATATAGTTTATCACAAGTATAAATGTCGAATTTTTCAAGTCTTATTCCTCGTGGCCCAATGGTCACGGCGTCTGGCTACGATTGTATCCACTTCTGAAACCAGAAGATTCCAGGTTCGACTCCTGGCGGGGAAGACTTTTTTTGCACAATTATTCCAGTACCGATATGATTTTTTTTTATAACAGAGGAAAACAATGAACGTTTCTTAATCTATATTCTATGTTCTAAGATGTACTGGGCAATTTCTTGTCCTAGGAAGTTGGTCACGTCTTTATTGGAGTTATCCAAGTGCGAAATTCTCTCCACCACCCGCAGTAGATCAAAATTGATATCCTTACTGACCCTTGAATCTTGACTGTAAGAGTTATGTGAGAGAACATAATCACGCATAAACTTGGCTGTCGTTGGTAATATTCCTGCAGCTCTATCAGAGACGAGCTTCAAATAATAATAGAGTCTTACAAGAGATCCGTTTTCAGAGGCACGAAGATCGCGCCAGTTTGTCGAAACGTACCCCTTGTGTTTCAAGATACGATCTATGAATATTGGAAAAATACCATTTCCTTCATTGTGGAATATTTCGTCCATAGTATATTCTCCTGTCAGAGTATTCTCAAAATCTTGCTTCCAATAAAATTTTTCTGTTAATACAGCATCGCGGTGATGCGCAGTGTCCATGTTGGCCCATATCTGGGACATTGGCATATAACCATTGATTTCGCTGTTGAACTCAAGAATAGCTTCAACAATTAGATATATAAAATTGCTGTAGGCAGCATTCTCAAAATCAGTAAGCTGAATTTCCATGGGCCTAAATTCAACTCGCCACCCAGGTACAGTTTTGTTATCAGGAGTTGCTTGTTGCGTAGGTGGCTTGAATCTCAAAGTTTGCCAGTTTGTACTTTGGATATTCTCGAAGTGGTCTGTTGAAGTCTTGTTATCCTGATTGACACACTCTTGGAATATGACCAAGGGGTCTCTGATATAGAGATGGGCAAAATGGCGAGCCAGATCATAATCCATTGTAAAAATCGAATTCTCTTGCAGCGTTTGAAGAACTTCTTCGTTCAATGGAACGTCAGTATCGTTGAATTTACGATCAAAAAAAGCGTTACCACCTAAGAACAAATCAACGACGCTGTAACGAGATTTTGGGATCCTGATTGGATTTTTCATGATAGATGCACCATGTCCATTATTGTACTCAGGTAGAAGAGGTTCGACGCCACGTTCAAATGGAGTGCGATCATCAACTGCTCCTGAGATAACATTCCAACGCACATCTTGATCGGCCAACCAGCCTTTGAAGGCAGGTGAAGCAGCAGTAGCGGCCAGCATAATCGGGGCGAAGTTGGCAAGAGTATCGTAGAGGTAACGTGCCTTGCCGACTGTCGGAGTCTGGAACGTCAACTGCAAACAACAGCAGCCCATTCCAAAACCCATCGAATCCATGTAAATTTGGCCACGCTTCATTGCAAGAGGTCCTTCCTTATCCTCCGAACTGAACCAATCGCGAGTATATACAGTATCATCGTTTTTTGGCGTTTTCTCGTCTTGATACATGGGCACATTCATACAAACCTTCTCTCCCCGTCTCGTCCGAATGTTCGACGTTAAAGTCGGAAACCTCGCATGGCGGTTAATAATTTCATCCGGCAAATAAAGGGAGCGTGATGCCTCATTATGGTGATCCCATGGGTGTTCTATATTGGTGAACTCTTCACAACCCATCCGGGGAAATGCGGCCAGCGAGAGTAATTCAATACCACGCTCTTTGAAATGTTTCTCCACAATTGCTCTTCTTTCGCGCATATTTTTCTCCACGTAATCATTCACTTGGCCACGATAAGGTTCAGCCGGCGTAGCTTCAACCATATACCGTCCATATTCGGCGTGAAAAGACGCATTGTGGGCTTTGCAAAACTCCAGTTCTTCCGTATTCAAAATTTTTAGCACGTCATCATCTTTGACAGTTAGCATTACGTTTTTCTTCTTCTCATCAAACTGGCAAAGCATGAACTCTAATTCGTCTCCCCAAAGCAGAATATCGTCCTTTCTCGAGCCAGCTGCCTTGAATATGTAAAGAAGCTGCTGTACCCCGTTCTTCTTTACATGTTCATTGTATTGGCGCGATTCAAACCACGTGAGAGGCGTCCCCAACGAGAGTAGCCCCATCCCTTCTCTTTAGTCTACAAATTAGATTGCAAAAAGGGTGGTGTTGATTCCACTACTCGGTATTATCTACTTTTTTCCTGAGATGCAAAGATGAGAAAGTATGACAAATACACCGGAAAATTTTTATTTGCAGGTTTTTAGTAAAGAGGACGTCGTTTGGACCACCAAGCCAATCTCTATACTGATAAGCCAGTCAATTACGCTAAGATAGTGTGATTTTGTTGCTATATATTATGAACCGGCCTGACGAAGGGGAACGCGGCACATTGGACCAAAGACCGGTAACCTCTTTGTCTCGCGTTGTCAAATCGCACGTGATGATGCCACAACCATTGCGTGATTTGGTTGAGGTTGCATATCAGGGAAGGTGCCCTTTTGATACTTGATATGCACTGTAGGTGTTTCGGAACCCTAAACGATTTCTTCTTACTAAGCATAACTGATAAACGCTCGGTGTTAAATGCCTTTTCAGCGAAAATCTCAGCTTTCAAATTCGTAGTTGTGGAGAGGGTTTAGAAACATCGTTGTTTTTCGGATCAAATTATATGCTCGAGAAAGAGCATACTTCAAGCCTAGTAGCCCGTGGAGACCTAATATTGACGAAAAGGGACCTTTCGAAGGGCAATAATAATCTTGAATCGATTTGTTCTTTAAAACAACAGCTCTGCAGTTTTTCAGGCATCGCAGATTGGTTTATGGTTCTAAAATGTCAACGAGAAGGCCGACTTTCTGTAATGATCGGTAATTAATGTAGAACATCAGACATAGTCGTCATAATCGAATTCCGTTAAAAGAAAAAATGGCGTATTTAAATGAGTAACCATTGAGATGTTCTTATGTTAATATTCTTGACTTTTTCCACATTTCAAGTTTTCGAGTATAAGGAAAAGCCGAAAACTTCTTGTCATTGGCCGTTATTTCCAGTTCCACACCAGAACATACCAGGGACTGAATGAACAAATGGGCCAGCAAGAAGATCATGTTGGTAATTCTAATCAGTTGGTAACAACGAATACTTATGACTGGCTACAGTATCAGGAGGAGGAGGAGCGTCGTAGCCATTCTGCCCATAGCTCTTTTATTTCGATGAATACGCTTGGCAGATGGACAAGTAGGTTGTGGCACGACCACGGCGTTGGTGCTCTCCCGCAAGACGTGGGTGGGGAGGCATATGAGATACAGTACTGTGTGTTTAAACCTCTGCGAGGTTACACGACACTTCCGCCCCTTCCTGACAGGGAAGTACTACAGCAGAATTTCCAATACATAGTATCAGAATGTGTGGATGCACTCACACGATACCACATCGAACTACGAAGGATTAAGGCCGGGTCAAGCGGATCTTACTTTGTTTATGGGTCTGTTGATTCCACACCGCTGGGTGTTTTTAAGCCCAAAGATGAAGAGCCTTATGGTCCTTTATCGCCCAAGTGGACCAAATGGGCACACAGAACTTTTTTCCCCTGCTTCTTCGGCCGCAGCTGTTTGATTCCAAATCTCGGATATATCTGTGAGTCAGCAGCAAGTCTTTTGGACCAAAGACTCGCCACGAACCTAGTTCCACACACAGACACTGTGGTCCTCATGTCAACCAGTTTTTACGACACAAGACAAGCATGGTTCTCCATGGAGGCACGAAAGCAGAAAAAAATTGGGTCTTTCCAATTATTTCTCAAGGATTATGTGGGGGCTGGAGAGTTTTTTAATAAACATCCGCTGCCTGGTATGTTTAGAGAGCGAATTACATCTTCGAACGAAAATGATTTTCATTGGAATGAGCAAACATTATCTAAATTTAGATCTGAACTGGAGAAACTCATAATTTTGGACTACATTATGAGAAACACCGACCGAGGGCTGGATAACTGGATGGTTCATACCAAAAAGCTACCAGATGGATCATGGGATATAAAATTAGCTGCAATCGACAACGCGCTCACTTTTCCGTGGAAACACCCAGACGAATGGAGATCTTTTCCTTATGGGTGGCTATACTTACCGGTAAACATCCTGGCACAACCTTTTTCGGAACAGACAAGACGACATTTCCTTCCACTTTTGACTAATGTAAAATGGTGGGAGCAATCATACATGGAATTTACTGAGCTTTTCAGCAGAGACTCTGAGTTTAAAATGAGAATGTGGAAAAAGCAGTGGAGTGTCTTGAAAGGACAGGCTTTCAATGTCATTGAAACGATAAAAAATCCTCGACAAGGTCCCCTAGAACTTGTTCGAAGAACAAGAACCCTGGTTATTGATGAAACAATGGAAATCCCATCAACAACTCTTCCTCTGGCCATCCTTCATAGTGCAATGCAAGAACCTATTCCTTTCTCAGCTTCCTCACCTATGGTTTTATCATCAGTTCCTGAAGATCGTGCAATTGATTTAGGCTCAGATTCAAATCTCGCTGACGTAAACGTGCAAAGCGGCGAGGAGGTAAATGCACTTGAACAGGGCTACAAGACCAAGAAAGTTGTCATCGAAAGATTGATGCTAGTTAATTCGAAGCCGCCGGTATTTACATGGTGGTAAACGCCGATTGTTCTCATTTCCTTTCACAATTTCCTGTGGGCACATGCTGTGAAGTAAGCACATTATTCTACGTATATAATGACTAATAATAAATTGTAATATATGGGGCATTTCTGAATGAGCTTTCTAACCATTGACTAAGGCTGGAGGACTCACAGCACGTCTGTGTATTTTGCATTGTTCTCGGAGTAATACAGGCTCTCTTGAAGATCAATGAATCTCTTCTCCTGGAGAAAGAAACCCCAACCGCCGAACACCAAAACTGAGAGTCCAAAGGATGCGCTCTTTGAACAAGTTACCGAAAATGTTAAATGGTCCAAAAAATTGCAGGAATCTCCAAAGATTGTGGAGCATCAGTTTGGAGAAAGCTTGGGGCTGAGAACCCGCGTGTTAAGGACGTTAGTTGATGCGGATCAGCTAGGGATAGGTCCGCCAGATATGATACATGCTACTCAATTCGACAAGTTTCATCAAGAAGAAGTAGGTGAGTACCACTATATGACGGGGCTTGACGTGTCATCTGAGATAACTCCCATTGCATACCTCAATGCCCTCAGATTCATCTCAAACTCCTCGAAAACAGAGGGTCGGGTGTCGACTTATTGTACGACAAACATATTTAGCAAGGTGGACATTAGAATCCGCTATGAGTCAGAAAAGCACTATCAGGTTAATGCCATTGAATGCCATTCGGGTACCACAAATGTTCAGTTGAGTCAAACTATTTGGGAGGAAACGTTCATTAGCGGTTTCATTAGATCGATCATTATCAGTAAAGACAAAGAACGAAAGCTTCCTGGTTTGGTGGAGATACCGTTCGGACTTGACAATGGTTTAACATACTGTGAGAAATTTGTTCCGGTCATTTGTAAGTTTTTACCACGTGGAATTGAAAGCGGCTGCGATTTGACCAAGCACTCACAACCTTCGCTGAAAAATAATTATCTTTTGCATTCGTTGCAAGAGTTTTTAATGATCAGTCCAAATCTTTACGATGTTACTATTGATTCATTAGAAGATCTGATAAAAAACGATGGAGAAAACGAACTTTGTTATAGAATAGCTATGATAGCCATAATGGTACAAAGTGGAACTAACGATATGGTTGCAATCAAAACCATAAACAATACTATAAAGAAATTCTATCCTTTGAATTTTTTGCATTTGAGACAACATGATCTAACAAATATAGTGGATCTTTTGTGCTTACAGATTGAATTTTTACTATCGAAAAATGACTATGAGTTAGCGCTGCCGATTGCTAAGAAAATCACAGAACTGAGTTCTGATAACTTCGATGCCTGGTACAAGCTTTCTGAATGTTATCTTCAAATGGGTGAATATGAATTGGGATTGTTATCTATCAATTCGATGCCCCAAATGCCAATGGTAGACAGTTGCAAAGAAGCGATGACTGAGCAAAAATTAGAAGGGTTTTATTATCAAAACCCCTCTGGGATTGGCCCTCACTCAGAACTGCAATCGAATGAATTTAATCACGTCTGCTCAAGCATGAAAGAATATAAAGAGAAAGATTTAGAGTCTTTAATTTTCGGTCGAATTGTGATGCCTAATGGCAATAAACGAGGGTATATCGAGAATATTTGGAATGGTTCATGCCTGCAATTGGGTCCAATATATGGTCCTCAGAGCAAGAATTTGATCAACTTCGTTTCACCACAGGAGGTCAATTCCATCGGAAACCCGCTTCTGCTACGGAGAAATTCCATGGCAAAGCAATTGAGTTGGTCCTTGTCCCAAGTTTATGGGCTGGTAATGTTCATTGTGTCTTCAATTGGATGGAACTCATTCCTAGAGCTCAGGTCGAAAACATTTGTGATGGAGCGTGAGTATCTAGGGACAAGGAGGACGCTCACACAGGAGATCAAGTCAAAGCGTCTCTGCGAAAGATGGCTCGATGATTTGTTTCTGGACATCTACGATGACTTAAAAATCGCCATGCAGTCTCAAGAGCATAGAGAACAGAAATACAGTGGACTAGAATGGGAGCTCCTTGGTCTGACACTATTACGTACGAGAAACTGGTCCGAGGCTGTTGCTTGCTTGCGCACAAGTATAATGGCTCGTTTCGATCTTGTCAGTGCAGAAAAGCTTCTGAAATTATACCTCTCTGACGATTTCACAGAAAAAGGAGCCCTGGATCCAGATGCTGTCTTGGCACTTTTAGTGGATAAGGTTTCCTATGAAAGTAGATTCTATGACACTTTCCAACTACCAAACTTATTGATTTTACGTAAGTTATGTGCATTTGAAGGTGTTGAAAGTATCAGAAATCATGTGTATGCTTTACCATCGGCTCAAAAAGGCTTTGTTTCATTGATGGACAGGTTTCTCGATTACATAAAAGAAATGTGTGAGTAAACTGGAGATATAGTTAAACCTCTGTTACCCTGCTCTTTTAATAATATGTTACCCTCATTTAAAAATTTTTCTTGTCGCCTCTTCAATGACATCGGTCTGCTAACCAATCCAAAGTGCAAAAGATCAAGAAGCAGGGTTTGGGATACTCACTGATAGTAAGAAGAGTTAAAGTCTTTTCAGATTTCTCTCATACACTCTTTGATTAACAGAAAGGGCTCAAGTTCGAGGAATTGTCGAGCAGCCACAGCGATTACTCAAAATCCTAAGAAATATCAGGGGTTACGACAGTTGCTGATCTCTACTCTGATTTATATTATTTCTGCAGTTATTCTAGGACTTTGCAAACTGCCAAGCTCTACTCTCATTCAGGGCTAGTATGTCCGGTTCATTTTGGAAGTTTGGTCAAAACTACGCGACAGAATCACCGCTGTCGAAATTGCTGAATAGAGCCTTCGTTAAGGTAAACGATAACGAAGTTGAGAAGGATGAAAACAACAGTAATGAGACACCAAATGAAAACTCCGTGGAAGCTAAAGACACTCGCTTGGAAATCTCTGAAAAGTCAGATGAGGGTGTAAATGTTGATGAGGGAAGTGAAAAATCCACATTCTCGGCACCCGACTCTGAGTCGGAGAGTAAGGACTATAAGCCGAACTTGGAGGTTCTCGATGATTTATTGGACGACGAAGAGCTTTATACAGAGCTAATGTGCTCGAACTTCAAACTGTTGATATTCTTTAAATACCCAGAAGTGCTTTCAAAGTTGGTTGAATATGTTACCAATGAACACGTATTGAACGAAAACTTAGAAGAGTCAAGTGATAATGAGGACGGTGAAAGTATTGAGAAAGTAAAATCGAATGTCGATGAAGACGAATATACCATGGACAAGAAGCAAGAAGAGAAGGAAACAGTTTCTGATCAAATGTCGGTATCATCGGCAGAAACTAGCATTACGCTTCCTCCAGAATCTGAGGAGCAAGTTGAATCTCGGCGGGCACGCATGGCAGCAGAAATATTATCTGCTGACGTTTGGCCTATTTCATCTGCATTCATGGACCATGAGGAGTTACTTGCCAGATTATGGTCCATGTTGGATCACCCAGCACCGCTCTCAATCGTTGCATCCACATATTTCATGAAGATTAATGAGCGCCTGTTAGATATGGATATTGCTGGGATGTTGCATTTTATCCTTGCACAAGAGAACCTTGTTGATAGATTTTTGAAGCACATTGACAATCCTCCATTGATGGACTTTCTCCTCAAAGTAATTTCGACCGATAAACCAGATACCCCCACCGGTGTTATCGAGCAACTTAAGCGTCAGGCCCTGATTTCTAAACTTTTGGATCACTTAGGTCCTGAATACTCTTCGTCCACTAAGTCCGCGGCAGGAGACTTTCTCAAGGCGCTTATAACTATCAGCGCAAATTCAAATAACGAGATTGCATCAGCAATAGGTCCAAACGAGCTTACAAGAGAGTTGGTCTCATCTCCAATGGTCGAGAAATTAATGACTATCATGTTGCATGGAGATACCTCACTAAGTAATGGTGTTGGTATTATTATTGAGTTGATCAGAAAGAATAACTCTGATTACGATTTTGTTCAGGTAATGTACACTACTTTGGAAACTCATCCTCCCAATGATAGGGATCCTATTTACTTGGGGTACCTAGTGAAGTCTGCCTCAAAGCATTTGCCTGACTTTAACGAGATGCTAGTTGAAACTGTTTTGCCACCCCTAGAGACTCCTTTTGGGTCAATTGAACCACTTGGATTTGAGAGATTCAAAATTTGTGAGCTGGTGGCTGAATTACTTCATTGTTCAAACATGACATTATTAAACGAACCTAACGGGGAAGAGATTGTTTGTGAGAGGGATGACGTTAGACAAAAGACGCTCCAGCAGGAAAGAAGTGAACGAATGGGGAACGAGGTAGCCGAAAATCACTTAGACGCTGGTGAAGAAGTTACAACTAAAATGGCAGAGCTCAAACTAGCTACGACAGATTCTGGTCAGAGCAGTGGGGATGAGAGCGTGCACGCTACCAACGATTCAGAGAACGCTGGAACGGAGATTCACTCTGAAGACTCTTCAGATTGTGAGGTATCTGAGAAGTCGCTTCGTGATAATCCAGTAGTGGGCGACGAACTTAAGATTGCTCTTCAAGATAACCGAATTATAACGACCATTTTGGAAATGTTTTTCAGGTTTCCATGGAATAATTTTCTCCACAACGTGGTTTTCGATATTGTGCAGCAAATTTTTAACGGCCCACTCAAAACTGGTTTTAATCGCTTTTTGATAGCCGATTTGTTCACTGGAGCGCATATCACCCAAATGATAATGGAAGGCGATCAAAAGTGTGAGGACTATGAGAACGAAACTGGACTGAGGTTGGGTTACATGGGGCATTTGACTTTAATTGCAGAGGAAGTAGCCAAATTTGCTGCTTATATTGAAGAAATGAAGATAACGTTTAGTAATTCGGCCATTTGGGAAAATTTGAATGACGCAACTTGGAAGGAATACACGGAAACAGTTCTAGCAGATACGAGAGAAAATTACAGTACTGTTTTAGGCGATTTTGGTGAGGACGATGAAGACGATGATCACGAGGACATAGAAGATGAGGATGAAGAAGGCGACTCCAAAGAGTCTGTTCTTGGCTCGTCTGACATGGGAGCATATAGAGATTTTGACAGAGACCAAGATAATGACGACGACTACGCTGAATACAGTGATGTCGACAATCCTCGGTATTACGAATATGAAGATGGGCAAGGTAACAAAACTAAGGTACATTTGAACACAGACATGGACTACGATGTTGGGGTAGGAGCACTAACTCATGATACTGAGGGCAAGACCCAAGAAAGCGTTGAAAATGATGGAGAGAGAGCGAATAAATTTAGTAGCTATATGTCTCATCAGCTAGCCAAAGACTATAGCACATCTTCCTCGTCGGATGACGATGAGGAAGAAGACGCATGGACATCACCAAGCCCCAACAATTTCCAACCTCAAACACATCAGAAATCAGCTACTGCCCCCACCGTTGACAACTATACACAAAACGACGTCTTTCAATCTCCTCAGTTTGGTTTACAAGATGACGACGATGACTATATGGATCCGAATGATGACGGGCAATCATATGCAAAACCAAATCACCCGTTATATAATCATATCGTGTCTCAAAGCCAGCCCAACAGTCACTCATATTTTGACCAAAAGCAAGTAATAGTGGATGATGAAGACAGTGACGAAGATAGCGATAAAGAAGACGAAGCCGATGAAGACGACCAATATTCCTTGTGCAGGACATCTAGTAAGGATAACATGGCGTGGGATTGTACGGAACAGAATAGAATAATTAGTATAGCCAACTTCAGGCAAAACCAACAGGGGCGAGAAGAGCAATAAGCATTTTCTCCCCATGTGTTACGCTCCTATTTCGTGCTTCGAACACTAAACAGTATTTGTGTATTATAAAAAACCTCTAGTAAATAATTTTCCTCTCGTAATAGTTTGATCAAGAGAAGTCCTTGATCCTTGTTTTTTTCAACTATTTTCGCAGAACTCGAAAGTCACAGAGGTATAGGTTAGAAAGAATGGCTAAACAAGTTTCTCCTTTGAATCCACTGGCACTCTACAACCTTGTATCCGCCTTGCTTTGGGGATATCTGTTGTATAATGTTCTCGTTGTTTATCCAAAAGTGGGTCAACCTCAGTTCTTTGAAGAATGGAAAGACAGCGTAACATTTATTCAGTGCGGAGCTATCATTGAGGTTTTGAATTCTATTTTGGGCATTGTTCGGGCTCCAGTAGTGACAACCGCGGCGCAAGTTGCGTCCAGATTACTTGTCGTCATTGGTATCTTCCAATATTTACCGGAATCTGCAAACTGTCACAATGTGGTTTTTCTCACTCTTCTCCTAGCGTGGACTTCTACAGAGGTTGTTAGATATCTCTTCTATTTTTTCAATCTAAGTTTGGCCTCTGGTGCACCTAAATTCGTTGTGTTGCTACGTTACAACTTGTTTTGGGTATTGTATCCCCTAGGTGTTGCTTCTGAATTGTTGATTATTTATTCTGCATTGCCATATGCAGAGGAGAAGTACTCTATCTACTTTAAGTGGGCATTGATCGGCAGCATGTTCACTTATATTCCAGGTTTCCCCGTGCTATTCATGCATATGGTTGGACAGAGAAAGAAAGTTATGCGCTCCTTGAGCTCGGCAAATAATACTACGAGCACCACCAAAAAGACCAATTGATTGGTGTATTGAAGAGACGTTGAACTGACTTCTATAAAGACTTGATGACGTCTGTATTAGACTGCAACTAAAATTAGTTTCATTCCCTTCTTATGTAGGCCCGTGACAAGAAAATTTTTTTAGAGGATCGTAATTTCAACTTGGTAATTCGCAGAATTAAGTAGTCAATTAAGTTATGCTTAGACATCTAGCACATTGCATAAGAGGCCCTGCGCAGTTTGTCAAGACCCCACAGTTTTGGTCGCCCGTAAGAGCTTTTGGAGCATCAGCTTGTGCGCTTAATGATGCTCGCTCTGTGATCCCGAATAAGACAATGGATACAACTCCCTTGAAACTTTCGAATGAGCTATACGCAATATTCAGAATTCACAATCGGCCATACTTGGTTACTAAGGGTGATAAAGTATATTTGCCCTTCAAGTTAAAGCAGGCAGAAGTTGGTGATGTGCTTGATCTTAATGATGTAACGACAATTGGTTCTCGAAACTATAAAATTGTTGATTATCCGTTGGACCATAGCCTATATACGATAAAAGCAACGATCCTAGAGAAAACCAAGCGTCCAATGAAGGTGAGGGAGGTGACTAAGAGAAGAAATAGAAAAGTCCGTCATGCGAAGAGTAAAGCTGATCTGACAGTGCTAAGAATATCTGAGCTTAAGCTTAACTAGGGCTTGGGACTTTTGCCTATAACAACCTAGTTGCGCGTATATAAGAGCACCTTGTACATAATAAATGAGTATCTACTGTATTTCAGCTGATGTGTGTTTCCTCTGTATAGGCATTTTTTCTTGAGCGGATTAAAGCTGCTTCTGCCAAAAATAATATCATCTTGCCATCCTCCTGCCTGTGGAAAAGAGAGGACCTCCACGGAGTAGTATGGCATTTCTCAAGAAGAAAATTGCTAACGCGAGTTATTCTTCACACTCTAGGTCGGTTCCTGTGGCTTCTACGAAGGCGCCTGCTGCTTTCCCGGCGACTGTTAAATCAAGTGGGAAAGCCCCAACGCTCCCTCCTAAGCTGCCTATTAGCTCTAGTCCGGTAATCCAAGGCGGATCAGATTCAATACAGCAAAATGATAATACGGCAGTAAGCCAGGAAGATATCATTGTTGATCAAAATGATAGCGGCTTTAGCTTCGAGGAAGGGGTATCACTTCAATATGCCGGTAATGGAGGTGATTCGAGTGAAAAGAATGACAGTCCCTCAACTTTACGAGCATCAAAGAAATCGTTAGTGTTAGAAGATGAGCAAATACCAGCAACTCTAAGCTCTCGCAAGTCGTCTGGTGGTAGTGTTGCTTCTTTATCGAAAGATAAGTTGATATATTCCTGGGATGTTACTGATCCAGAAGAGTGGACAATGATACGTGTGATAGCATGGTTTCGGTTCAATGAATTCAGTGATGCATGGATCAATTATTTCAAAAGGCATCAGATTTATGGTGATAAGTTTCTCAAATTGATGGCTCTCGATAATTTCGTCAAGTACCAAAAATTCCTTCCCCAAACACACAACTCTTCATATAACAGATTTCAATACCTGTTGAAAAGGACTTTAGAGACTAATGTTGGCAATGGTCATATCAGAAATAAGAGTGATAAATCGAGTGGTTCTCGAAGCTCAAGTGATTCACTGAAATTAAAGAAGAAAAGATCACAGGACGGCGACCATTCTAGATCGACTTCGGAGTCAGTATTGACTGATAACAGGAAAATTGGATCTGATATACTCGATGACAAGAGCGTTCCTCTAAGGTCGCATCAAAAGGCGAACAGTGCGAGTTCGTTGTATCGAAGAAGTTTTATTTCCCTTCGGGGGTCATCAGTCTCTAATGCTTCAAAAAATGAAAAGACTAATATAAACATAAACATACCACAACGGCCTTTATCTACTATTGAAAGTGCCACGCAAATTTGCCCTACTAATAGCAGATCATCGTCCTCGCCTCTTTCACCAAACTATGCCGGAATTTTTAGAAGACAGCACAAGAGCAGCTCATCCGAATCCTCGATATTCAATACACTTTTTGGTTCTGGGAATAGTAGCAATCAAAACAATGGCTTGACGGATGCTAATCCTGCTAGTGGTTCATATCGAAGCGCATCACTTGAAAGTTTACCTAAAACCAAGCGAGAAGGCTCGTCATCATCTCCATTGAAGCAATCTCCGGTTGGCGCAGAAGAGAAACCCAAGATTTGGGAAAAGTTAAAGAAAAAAGAAGCTGTTTTGGACAGCGTTAGTTCACTCCCGAGCAGAAGTACGACAGAAACTGAAGTTAAAGCTGAAGCGAGCCCCATACCCAACGTCGAAGGCAACGCCCAAGAAGAAAAGCCATCTGCGTTTAGTTGGAAAGAATTTGTTCTCGAGAAGAAATTCTATCCTCTCAAAACATCTGGTGCCGATGATAGATTCATTTTGATAACCAAGGACAATAGGTCTTTTATTCCACTGAACATTAATATGATCAATGGTATTGAAGAGCTGAAAGATTCGATGGCATTAACCTTAGGCATAACTCATAAGAATTTTACTATACACTTGACTGATTTTGGCTGCGATATTGGTTGTGTGATCCCTGACGATCTTTTAGAAACGATGCGAGAGAATATGTTCTATAATCTTCCAGGGAAATTCTATGTTAAAGACCAAATGAAGATTCAATTAAGACCTAGAACAGGCACCATCAGCAACGATGTGTCGAACTCACTGCGTTCAGTTAAAAGCAAAGGGTCGGTTAAATCAGCGGCAAGTAGCGTTATTAATTCAAACGACGATACATCAGTTGTGACTTCGTGCTCTGACGCAAACTCCTTTGATGATACTGCAAATTTGGCAGGAAGGCTGGTTTATCCTCAGACACCTAGTTACTACTATGATACGGAAAACACTAGCACAAACACAGACGTCGACTATTGGAACTTCAAGGACACTCCTCTGGAAGAATCGCAGCCCTTAAAGCTTCCGAAAATTAGATCAAGATCTAATTCGAAGTTGAAGCGTGTACCGGAAAGTACACCATATCCAAATTCCGTATCTACTAGCGGAAGCACATTCAAAGTCATCAGAAAGGGAAGTGAGAACGAAATTGATTTTGATAAAAGGCGTGAGTCTCCTTATGTTTCTTCTGATTTTGCTCCACGAAGAGAAGCTCCGAAACCACCCACTGGCTCTCAAATTTCACTAGAAAATACGCCCTCTTTGCAAAATCTCCCACATACTAATTCTCCACCTAAATTACAAAGAAGGAGAACAGGAACTTTCTCTAAAAGAAAAGCAAGGCCCCCTCCTCCAGTTAGCATCATTCCCAAAGGCACGAGTCGATCTTCGTCTTTCGGTTCCGGCAAGCAAGTCAAACACTCCTCTGCTAGTCCCGTTGAATCTATCGTTAATTCTTACACGCCTGGATCGACTCAGGTTTTAGTTCCTCAACCATATAAGGGAGCTACAGACCCGGGAAAAATTTCCAAAACTGATGACGGGATTGGCAATCCAATATCGGTCTATATACAAAATCAACGAGCGAATCGGTCTAATTCAGTCCATTCTGTTGCGCAAGGAATACATCCTTCTCCTCCAAGACTTTTGAAAAGAGCCAGCTCCAAAAGAGTCTTTTCATCGGCTTCGGCGGCTGATATTTTTGACGAAAACGATATATCATTCGCCGATGCACCTGCGCTCTCTGATTCAGATAATGATGACGTTAATTCCAGCTCTTCCAGTGAGATCGTGTGGTCCAAGAAAACTCAAAAAGATGATGAATCAGATTCTTCGGACGACATCATATGGACACCTGAAGCTCGAAAAACCCATGAAAAACCATTAGAAATTCCTTCTATCGAACTCCAAGATGAGAGTTCCGCACAAGAGAGCGGTAAAGAAACCTATCATGATGTAATGGAAGATAGTACCGATTTTGATACAATTTCTGCAACATCTAGTCAAAACAAGCTAGGAAGGAAAATGACTCTCAGACCCTCTCCTGAGGTAGTATTTCAAAATTTGGAAAAGTTTTTCCCTGGAACGGACTTGGATAAACCTATAGTTGAAGGCGTTACGCCGCCATCTTCTCCAAAATGTGCCGAGCGTGATTCCCCTGATGTTCGCTCCTCTGTTAAGGATAGAAATGATTCAGAAGTAGTTTCACCTATTACTTCTAGAACAGGTACCCCTCAGACGATGATCTCTAAGCCGTCAAATAACTCTCAAGAAGTTTTGACGCCTGTTTCAAGGACCTTGAAGCCTCCCAAGAGAACTAAGACAATTAGGATTATTGCAAGGGAAGCAAGTGAGGCAAGAAGAGATTCTCAAAGTAGACGGCTCAAGCGTAAAAATACTAAGATGTGGGGAACTAGAGTAGTGGAAGTTACTGATAAAAGAATGGTTGCAATAAATAAGGCCAAGAATTCGAACGGTGAATATAAGGAGTTTGCTTGGATCAAGGGTGATATGATCGGGAAGGGTTCTTTTGGATCTGTGTTCTTGGGTCTTAATGTTACAACGGGAGAAATGATGGCAGTTAAACAAGTCGAAGTCCCCAAATACGGATCACAGGATGAGACGACTTTAAGTGTTTTGGAGGCCCTTAGATCGGAAGTATCAACTCTAAAGGATTTAGACCATCTCAATATCGTCCAATATTTGGGTTTTGAAAACAAAAATAGCATATACAGCTTGTTCCTAGAATACGTGGCTGGCGGTTCTGTTGGTTCTTTGATTCGTTTGTATGGCAGATTTGATGAAAACCTGATTAGATTTCTCACTGTCCAAGTTTTGCAAGGGTTATCTTACCTTCATTCAAGGGGAATTCTTCATCGTGACATGAAAGCTGACAACCTTTTGTTAGATCTTGATGGCGTTTGTAAGATAAGTGATTTTGGCATTTCGAAGAAATCAAACAATATCTACTCTAATTCTGACATGACTATGCGGGGAACGGTATTTTGGATGGCGCCTGAAATGGTCGATACGAAACAAGGGTATAGCGCAAAAGTTGATATATGGTCTCTTGGTTGTGTTGTTCTTGAAATGTTTGCAGGAAAGCGGCCATGGTCAAATTTTGAAGTAGTTGCAGCAATGTTCAAAATTGGCAAATCAAAGTCAGCCCCACCAATTCCAGAAGATACTTTACCGTTAATATCTCAGCATGGTAGGGAGTTTTTGGATGCATGCTTTGAGATAGATCCTGAGAAACGGCCGACAGCAGATACGCTTTTATCACATCCTTTTTGTGAGGTTGACGGTATCTTTGATTTCAGCAAAACAAAGCTGGCCAAATTCATTAAATCGAATGACAAGATAAACTCGAGTAAGCTCAGAGTAAGTTCGCAAGATTCTTCTAATTGATTATATCTGGATTTGTCTCACAATCTGGAGCTTTAAAAAGCTTTTCATACAGATAGCATTATTCGGCCAGAAGTTGGGTATCAACATCATTAAGTAAAAAAATTAGTCGATTTGTCATTGATGTTACGGTATAAGAGTATATAGATAGGTACGAAATTTTAAGCATAAGAATAATTAATTAATATACATCATATACGTATAGGCAGCCAGCCGCACGCACGCACGATAGATGGGCGAACGTTTGTAGTGACCACGTCGGACAAAAGCCGTTTAAAATGTTGACCCCGGACGTCGTCATCCAAGTTGGAAATCTCAATCTTGGAAACAAATTAGAAACAATCTGGAAATCTCCCTTCTCCAACCATAAATTATTCAAGAATTTACAACACTGATCGAAAGTAGTACCAAAGAAGCAGCCGCAAGATTCGACGATTTTCTCGACCATAAAGAAAGGAACTCTCATATGTATACGGGCTTTTCTTGATATTGAGTGAGTTATACGTTAATGATAGTACAAAGCTTATACTTGCCAGAAAACAACTAATACTAATTAATTTCAAAGTACGGCCATATCTAAAAGCGCAAAGTGCTTTCCTTTTCTTGCGTATGCATTCATTACTCCCCCTGACGAAGTCCATTATCTAAAAGAGGGAATTTTTCTTTTTTTTCTGTCCATTTTATGGTGATAATTATTAAAGGTTCGACTGATTCTATTCTGACGCACTATCATCATGCGGTTTTTGGTCTTTTAACCGAGTAATTATATCTTGAATGTCGTTCTCGATACTAGTCAGTAATCTGTACATGATGTACCGAGGCTCATCAAGAGGGTATCTCAAAGGAGACTTTTCTGATAACCAAAAGCTTGGGTCATCTGATACAGCGTAGCCTTCTTCTTGAATAACGTCGTATAGTCTCATCCATTGTTCGAAAGTAATTTTCGTGCGTGCATCATTCCTTGAGAGCTGTTGCAGCCATTTCACCGACCCTAGAAGGGCACCTAGTTCTTCTACTAGTTTTGATTCCTCTGCAGGTAGGCTTTGTGAGCGGCTGTGATTGTCATCTGTCGTTTTCATGCGGATAGAATTTGATCTATAATCCGTGCGGTTGGCGCTTGAAGATAGAGGAAAAGTTGCATCTCTGGAAGAACCCAGTTCCTCGTCAACACTCCGTTGACAAGAATCCGTTGGGTCGGAGCTGGTCTCACTGCTCGTGGAAGTGCTTTTCGACGCGCTGTAACGGTTCCACTTGGAAAAATGACGGACGCACCAATCGTAGCATGAAAATGCAGGAATTGTTACCCATTCGGAGAGCTTGATTATGCTAATTTCTAAATTAACTGCCATCGCATAAAGGTTATCCGCAAACGTGGAGATGATTGCAGTCATTAACGGTACTGCTCCAATGGCCCATGTCACAAAGAAGGCCCTCCCGCATCCTGTTCTGGGGGCAAAGTCACCATACCCAATGGTGATCAGACAGAGAAAGCAGAAGTAAATGCAATTGAAATAGGACCAGCCCTCTGCGAAGAAAAAAACAAGAGCGCCCACCAGCCAGAAAGTGAGAAATACGAAAAAAGTTGAGAGAAGGGTCCACTTCTGCTGCTTAAACTTGGAGACCTTTCTGATCTTGTTAATTTCATCGAAGGAATCCCTGTTCTTGGTGTTGCCAATATTTGCCAAAAGCCTTTCCTGCGCTTTCACTCTTGCAGTCTCCACCGTGTAGAAGAATAGCACGGGACCCGAAGAGGACTGTATGACGCCTCTGGTCATCCCGATAATCAAACCGAGAATGATGACGCCGGTTAACGAAAAAATCAGAATCATGATTTTACCAGCCACCGTGGTCGGTACCAAATCGCCCAGGCCAACAGTGAGAACGGAGATTGTGCAAAAGTAGAGTGCGTTGCCAAAAGTCACGTTTAAAAGTTGCGAAAACATGGCGGACCCCCATATGAACCAGAGCGAAAACACGCAGGTAAAGATCATGACGTTGCGCTCGCTGTCTGTGAGGTTGAAAGTGGCGGGATAGTGGCCCTTGTGGAACCCTAGGAAATGCACGCACAGTAAGATGGTGCAGAGCGCATACAGCGCCACGGTGATGCACGCGTACCAAAAACCGATGGTGCGCGTGTGGCCGTGGCGCATGTCGCGGTAGCTGTCGACGATGACGGCTATGAGCAACATGCCGGCGGCGATGCTCCATCCTATTATGTTGAAAAGCTGTGCGCGCACATACGACACTTTTTTGGCAAAATGTAGCAACAGCACCAGGTTGGAGGAACAGCCAATCACAAGGGAGATGACGTTGACGGCGAAAATGCCGGGCGGGTCCGGGACGAAATGGCCCTGGTGCATGCCCCACTTGTCCACGATCCCGGCCACGGCGATCATGTTGACGATTGGGCCCAAACAGGCGGCGAAAACAGGGAAGTAGCTGGATATCATGAACCAGGCGACGAAAGAGGGGCTGGACGGGTCGGTGCCCATGATGATGATTTTCTCCCGGTTGAACATCAGCGACTCCTCGATGAGCTTTCGCGCATCTTGGTGCTGGGTGGACTCGGAGGCGGCATCCATCGAAGCATGGTGGTGTTCTTGGCGGTGGTGATGGCGGGGGAGCGTGGGCTTGATGAGTGGCTGGAGGGGCCGGATGTGGGTGGGTGGGTGGTCGCTGCGTACGGCGGGCGCCCGTGTCGCGATAGCCGCGCACGACGGACGGGGGAAATAGGTGACTCGAGGTGAAGTAGGAGACTCAGTCGAGCTAGGTAGAAGCAGGCAGAAATGCGTGAGCCGGGGCAAGTGAATCCGGGTGAGTTAAGCAGAGCTACCCAGGTCTACGCGAAACTGGGTAAGTGGAGGCGGAACCAGGGAACTGGGCAACGTTACGCAGAAGTAGGCAGAAGTAGGCAAAAGTAGGCAGAAGTAGGCAGAAGTAGGCAGAAATACGTAGAAGGAGGTAGAAATACTCAGAAATGCGCAGAAATGCGCAGAAATGCGCAGGACTACGTGAAACTGGGCAGACTTGGAGAGCGCTAGGTGAATCGAGCAGAACTACGCGGACCCACCTAAAGCAGGGTAACTCTGGGCGGAACTAGGCAAGCTAGGCACACCACGCGGAATTAGGCGGAATTAGGCGTATCTACGTACAACTAAGTAAAGCCGGGTAACCTGTAGGCAACTCTAGGTAACTCTAGGTAACTCTGGGAAGGTTAAGCAGAGCTACGCACATCGGCGCACATCTGCCTAAGACTGGGTACCGCTAGGTAAGCCAGTACGCGAACCACGCAAACCACGCGGAACTAGGAAAAATAGGCAGCAGTAGGCGCAGACTACACGAAACTACACACACGCCCCCGCCCGCGCCGCTCACAGCTTGCTCTGCACAAACCGCTTGCCCTTGCGCACGTTCGCGTCCAGCTCCTGCACGCACACGTCCAGCATCTTGCGCTCCTGGGGCGTCACCTTCTCGGTCCACTCCGACTCCACATGCACCACTACTCCGCGGTCCATACGCACGGGCGCCGCAAAGTATTCCACCTGCGTGCCCAACCGCGCTTGTAGCTCGCGGCCACCGGGTAACCCGGGCAGGTACACGTAGCAAGGCAACAATGCGTCGGGGGCCTCGTGGTGGATGCTACGCAAAACTTGCTCTGCGAAATAATATCCGGCTAAAGCCATCGACAGCGTCGCGGAACCGGCGCCCTGCTTGGCCTGCACCACCTCGTCGCCGCCGAACTGCACGCGCTGTACGTAAGCGTCCCACAGCTTGCGGTGCACGAGTTTCTGGGCGAGGGTGGGGTTCAGAATCACGGGCACGATCGTCGTGCCCGAGTGGCCGCCCACCACCGTGACATGTTTCTTCATGGACTCGCGCGAGTATTGCTGTGGGCCGAGCGCGTCGCTTAGAAACGTCTGCGCGCGCACCACGTCGAGCGTGGTCACGCCCATCACGCGTCCGGGCTGGAACTTGCCTAGCCGCCGAAGTGTTTCGCACGCCACAGGCACCGTGGAGTTGACCGGGTTGGAGATCACCAGGATCCGCGCGTTGGGGCAATGCTCCGCACAAGCCGCCACCAGTTGCGCGACGATCCCCGCATTTACGCGGAACAGGTCATCGCGCGTCATGCCGGGCTTCCGCGGCACACCGGCGGGGATAACCACCACCTGCGCGCCCATCAGAGCATCGGGCAGCTCGTCCTTGCCGTAGCCGATGCAATGCGCGTTGGTGTTGACGTGGCTGAGGTCACGCGCGACCCCGGCCGCGAGCCGCAGGTCGTACAGCGCGAGAGTCGACACGAAGGGGCACATCTTGAGCAGCAGCGATAGGGGCTGGCCAATGCCGCCCGCAGCGCCTAAAACTGTAACTTTGGTCATTAGGGGAGAGTTGCGACACACAGTTGTGAGGGTTTTGTTGCGCACGACGCGAGCGTGCGACGCAATACGGACGCGCGCGCGACGCCGCCTTATATAGGGCGGGCGCCGGGGCGTGGCCGCGGCGCCGGGCGCGCGCGCCAAAGGAGACGGCGCGGGCGGGAGGGGCTGCCGTGCGGAGCGACGAGCCCGCGGGCGGGCGGGCGTCGTGTCACGGGGAACGGCGGCAGCGGCGCCCGGTCACGCGCAACGGCCGCGGCCGCTCAGGTGTCACGTGGGCCCGCCAGCCCCGCCAGCACCGCGTCCACGCCCGCCGCCGTCGCGCCGCTGGTCGCGTACGTGGTCAGCTCGACGTTGTCCAGCGCCAGGGCCGCGTCCAGCTCGCGCTGGAACGCGGCCGTGCGCGCCGCGGCCGTCGCTGCGTCCACCAGGTCCGTCTTGTTCAGCAGCACCATGATCCGGCAGTTGTAGCCCAGCCGGTCCCGGTCGCGCAGCAGCGCGCACAGCTCGTGTTGCGACTCGTGTGCGCGCGCGGCCGCCGCCACGTCCACCACCCACACCAGCACGTCCGTTTTGTCAAAGTAGTTCGACCAGTACGGCCGCAACGTCGACTGCCCGCCCACGTCCCACAATTGCACGTTGCGGTCGTCCAGGACGAGCGTGTGGATCCGGAATCCCACCGTGGGGGCAACGGCGGGCGCTTGCGCGCCCGCCTCCGCGCCCTTGCTCGCCTCCACTAGCCGCTCCACCAGCGTGCTCTTGCCCGCGTTGTCGAGCCCCAGCACCAAACAACGCAATTCTCGGTCTTTTCTCTTTTGTTTCTTGATAATCGTAAGCAAACCCATGCCGTGTTGATGTGTGTAGTTGACGGCGCGCGATCAACTTTGCGCCTTCTTTACACGAGCCATGCGCAACCAACGCCAGCGAACGCTGTTCGAATTCGCGGCCGCGCGAGCGGCGCGGCCGCCGCGCTCCGCGCCCGTAGTGATCGACCTCGAGGCCGACGAGGACTCCGAGCACGACACCAACGACCGGCCAACGCCCGCGCAGCCCATCCTGATCGATGACGACGACGACGACAACGACGACGTCGCCACTCGCGTCGTGGCGCCCGTGGACCCAGTGGGACCAGCTCACCAGTTGGAAGTCGAAGCCAAGGTATCCGTGGCAGAGCTCCCACTGCTAAAACCCGCCTCGCCAAAGCCCTCCTGTCCTCTGTGTGGTGTCTCTTTAGCGGCCCTAGAACTACACCTCCGTGAGCTCCATTGCGACCAATGTGCCGACATCAAGAAAACTTCACCACCCCTGCCAAAGCCCAAACGACCCCGCAAGCCGCTTCCGCCGCTGCCGAGCGTGAAAAAGGTCCATTTCCGCAACTTCAGCATTGCCGTCGACGGCTTCAACTTCGCAGATGCCCCACCCATCTCCCAATACTTCCTGTCGCACTTCCACGCCGACCATTACATAGGTTTGAAAAAGTCGTGGTCTCAAGGCGCCATCTACTGCTCTACGGTCACCGCCCAGCTCCTCACGCTCAAGTTACGCGTCCCACCCGAGATCATCGTCGAACTGCCGCTCGACACCCCGTTCGAAATTGGACCCAATGTGTCGGTAATCTGCCTCGACGCAAACCATTGTCCGGGCGCAACAGTGTTTCTCTTCCACGAAACAGACCACCTAGACCGGTCTCGGACGCGCCAGTGGGTGCTGCACACCGGTGATTTCCGCAGTAACAACTTGCTTATCGACCGCATCCTAGCATATACCCATGGTGAGTCCATCCACAAAGTGTATCTCGACACGACCTACATGTATCCCTCCTACCACTTCCCCCTGCAACCTTCCGTCCTGCAGGTCACCTCCGAATTTGCTGGTCAAATCAACGAAGTGGGCGCCCGCAAACTTTTCAACAATCGACAGTCCTCGATTTTGAGTTATGTGACTGCGTCGCTCTCGCGACGCCATATATACAACTACGTGTTTGTCGTTGGAACTTACACTATCGGCAAAGAAAAACTTGCCGTGGCCATCGCTCAGTGGCTTGATACCAAGATCTTCTTGCCAAAGGATTCTCCCAAAGACCGCATTGTGCAAGTTTACCAGCATCTATTGCCTCAAGACATTTTCACATATGACATCACAAAGGCTTGCGTGCATCTCGTGCCCATGCGCACATTGTCCTCAAAGGATTCTCTCAATAATTACTTCAAGCCCATCGCCCACATTTACAAAGACATGATTGCTTTCACTCCTACAGGTTGGACCTTCAGTAACGGTGGCAGGTTTGTAAAACTCTATGAAACTCCGCAAGAAAAAATCGATCATACTCGTGCTTTAATGCAAGACGCTCAGGTCGATAAGTTCAATAGCGAAATCATTTTCAAACAGTACAAACCCTTGGCCAAATTTCAAGTGTTTAAAGTCCCTTACTCCGAGCACAGTAGTTTTAAAGATTTGGCGAATTTTTGCATTCGTGTGCCATGGGTTCAGATTATACCTACGGTTAATACCCACAACGATTACATGGTCAACCAAATGAAGGAGTGGTTCTCTACCTGGAAAAAAATCCAATCTCTGAACTCTTGAATTATTCTTCATCAGCACTTTACTTTATTTTTTTTTCCTATAGATACCGTTATATTTATTAATTGTCATCGCGCCACGCTGAAATCTGCATTCAAATGCTGTTGCGTTTGCGTTTGCAGCTCTCGAATAAACGATTCAGGCACGAAAAAAGTTGACGGAACTCGTCTATCCTCCGGTAACGTACTTTTCCTGTAATGCATGATAATGTTTGCCTTTTGCACTCCAAACTTTCTTATAAGTTTGCCGTAAAACAGCCCACAAGCATTACATACTGTACGATTCCCATAGGGACCCCTACGCCATTCAGGAGTATCTTTCCGTGTACAATGTACACACTCCATGGTGCCATAAGAATTTTTACGTGAACTGTCGCTAAGAGGCTTTTCTACAGACTTTTTTGCCGAAACACCTGGCGTCATGGCCATTGAATGCGTTTGTCTTGATTTCTCAATTCTCCCAATTTGAGGTGTTGAAGATTTCCTTGTCACGTTACTTGTTGCTGCTGCTTGCATTAATTGGATCATACTGTCTGAAAATGCAGCTCTATGCGTTTGGATAGGCGCTCGCAAGCCTAATCCATAATCGTTTCCGCCGCCTACTCCTCCTCCGCTATCCTTTTGTGTCATCAAGTTCACAGAAATCGGTGGCAAAATTGTTTGAGAACCAGAACTCTCGCTTCCACCAATTCTTGGGAATTTGTATGTCCCAAAAGTTTGTAGTGTACCAGTGGGATTTGGAACCGCTGCTGTTGTGGGATAAAATGCTTTTGTATGACTGCTAGCCTCGGAGGTTGACCAGCTTCCGCTGCCCAGAGATGAACGTCTGCCAAGAATATCAACGTCTCTTTCTTTCTTCAAAACCAGTATTTCTTTTGTGATTAAAGCTTGTAACTCTGACAGCTCAGATAAGGATTTTACACTCTCTAATGAGACATCATCGAGTAGACATGCAATGGATTCATGGTGATGAAGGCCTTGCCCAGCTTGAGTTAGTGGCCAACTTTTAATCAAATTGGAGGTTTTGTTCTTAATTTCAATTAAACGTGCCATTTTAGTTTGATAAGCGTTATTTTTATCGATGATGGAATTCCTCAAGGGTGCCAATTGATCATCCGAAACCGTTTGAACTGCATTCATCAGCGAATCTAACGAGCTGCGCCTGCCATTATTCAAATTTCGACTATTAAGGTTTACCGTGATCGCCCCTTTCTTGTGATAACTCGGAATTTTGAAGTCAAATGAATGCCCTTGTATTCTGTCTTTTTTGGCATAATCAAATGTGGGTAGAGCTGAAACCGGGGCACTTGCTGCGTTGCGTATATCCTTATCGGCTTTATTAGCATCAGCTTTAGCCAGCAAACTCTCAGGGGCAGGCGGTGAATTTGGATTCGAAACAGTTTTTTCGATATCAAATGTAGGTGACAGTCGTTCATTTGCATTATAGTTCTCTACTTCTTTTCGAACATTAGACGCTCGTGGAGTGATATGAATTATATTAGAAATACTGGGTGTGTACCGTGGATGAGATATAGAGCCCGATAATTTACCTATCGAGCTCACTTTGGGGCGAGGGCTGGTTTCGGAAACTTCAGGATGTGATATTGATTTTTGTGTGGGCGCTTTCGGAAAATCGACTCTGGATTCCTCTCGAGAACGAGGACTTTTGCTCCTAAGGCGTTCAGAATGCGACATTTTGGGACTGAGTATAGAAGCACTGGCGCACAAATTCATCTGGTGGTCGGGTTTTTTTAGTATTAGCTTTTGTGATATTTCTGATAGCCACCTGTTTATTTGTTCAATCAAATGACCAGCAAAGCTAATCTACAAGTTAAACTCACTATTAATCTAACTCAGGGACTTTAATACAATTAAAGAGTGAAATAAAAGCCAGTTTCAGTTTTTAAGCAAAGTTTAATGCGCTTTATCTAAAATTGCTCTCCGCACACAGTATAATAGACCCAATTTCGAGATATTTTCTTATATACAATAGCGAAACCTCAAAGGTCTATCAATTTACATTTTGTCAACTGCATTAAAATGCGACTTTTAAGGGGTTTTCTGTAATTCTAACGCCTTTTCATTTTGTGCCCGCTTCATATCTATATGACACAAACTGTGCATAAGGATAGGCCTAGAATAAACATAGTACCCGCAACTTTGCAACCAGTATATATACGCATGATTATATAGGATGTTCGCAAGACAAGCGTCACATTAGTCGTTTAAAATGCAAGATATCTATATCATAATAAGGTTTGCTTTGTATTTTTGCCTGATGTGTATTATTCAACGGCTTTTTCTTCTAGAATACTGTGTCGCACGCAAGATTACTAAAATCAAATAAAACATGTATAAACAACGTCTTGGAAAAGATTTATCTCACATTGCCTTTTAAATGTCAGGTATGAACGATCAAAAGAACTATAGACTAGCACGTATCTCTTAAGAAGCTTGAATATTTAAGCTTAAGTACACTGAAGTGATAGATTTTTAGTGCAGTTTGTGCTTTTGCATAGATACGTACAAGGGTACCGAGAGATAAAGCCAATGGAAGTTTTAATCTGTCGCGAATATGCATCCCTTACATGATACCTGACAAAAGAATTGCTAAAACTAGAGAAGAACAGACTTTTTAGTGAGCCAGATAACACAATATGACTAATTCCAAGTCTGTATATGAACGAAAGTCTTTTAGCAAACAAGAATGGAAGGATTACGTGCTGGAGTCCTCTCTTCCCTTTGATGCTAATGGAGCCTCAACCGATCGTCGCTCCAATACCATAAGCTTGAATAACAGGCCATGTGTAGAGCCTTCAATTCCGCATTTACTTCTCAACTACTTTATTGTCATGAGCTATGAGGAATCAAGTATAAGGATGGCTAAGGAGCTTGGCTACATACGGAACAACAAGGATGCAGCAGAATTCAATAAGATATATAAGATAAGGGATAGAGCATACATTCGGGAGCTGATCAAAAAGGGAATGGTTCTCAAGGCCATTGACGAGATAAATTCTAAGTTTGGCGTGGAAGTTTTAGAGAATCTGACTACCGATTCTAGCTCAAAGAAGAGATCCAATGAAGAGGATTTACATTTCAAGTTGCTGCTTTTGAATCTCATCGAAATGATAAGGAAACATCATCAAAGCTCCAAAACGGAGGAAAATTCTAACAAGTTTATCTTAGAATTAATAGAATACTCTCAAGATAAGCTCGCATTGAAAGCAGGATCGAACAAGAAATATATGAAGGAACTAGAATTAGTTATGACATTACTTCTTTTCCCCATGGAGCCCTCTCAAGGATCGCATTCTAAGTCAAACATCAACTTACCGAAGAGTCTAAAAAACTTGTATTCCTTGTCACTAAGGTCGAAGATCGCAGACCTCGTAAATCGCAAATTATTGGAGTCGATGCACCCTCAAATCCTTTCATCCAGCAACAACGGCTTGTTCCCAGATTTGATTGGTCTCAAAAAATCTCAGAAAGATTTATACAATTATAACGGGCTTCTCAAAGCAAGCTCTAAAGATACTATCTCGGCTGAGTTCACGGCTACTAACTTGGGGGAACTAAAGGACGCTCCGGAAGGTCCTTTGGGGGCTAAGCGCTGGTCTAATAACGATTGGCGAAGTACCACTGCTCTTATGAAGGAGCAGAATGCGCAAAATGATGCAAATACCAATACGCTAGACAGCGGTACGGGTCTAAAATATGAGGCGAAATTAATTCAGGCAATGAAGGTTTGGGCCTGGTGCGAGAATCAGTTACATAGTTCCGACATTGGTGTCCCAAGAGTCGAAGGTGGTATATAGCGGTATGCTTCCTACAGTTTTGATTTATATGACAAACTTGCATTTGATGGTGTCGCCTGTTTCGATCTTTAGGAAGCAAAGCTGGATCGAGTCAACTGAAGCAGGTAGGGGTTCGCCTCGGCGATTGTAAATAGTCACATTATTCGACACTGTGAATTGAAAATCATCGCCCTTATCTTCGACAAGATCGTTGTAAATGTTGGTTTCTTTGAAAAAGTGGTACAGCTTTCTTCTTAGAACACTGAGCTTACATCCGAATTCCGGTCTCTTTTCGTGTTCGTATTCCTCAGGTGAAAACTCTATGTGAAACTTCAAAGGCTTTGAGAGGAGCGAAGAGTCATTGTCATGTCTGATCACGTCGCACTCGACGTATAGATGTGCAACATGAACAGGTTTTGCGAAGAATTTCTCTCTTGCTTCGAATTCCTCAATTACTATGCCACTTTTCTCATCGAGGATCTCTCTGCTGTGGAAATCATCATCTAAAAGCATCCTATGGCTTTTCAAACTCTCATCCAGCTTTGACTTATTGAGCTCTCTATAGGTCTCCTTTTGCAAGAAAGACATCTCAATGGTAATGTACAATTCGTTTATAAACGCCAAAGTTCCTACAGCAATCAAGAACAGTGTGATTCTCGCACTAATCGGGTCATTCATGTACTCTTCTAAGAAGCCAATCCTTGATAAAATGTCCATGGCCTTCGATTCATAGTGTAGGTAGCCGTTAATCAGTGAGTTCTTCATCTTTCATGCATTGATTACTTTTAGTTTCGCGCTGCTTGACGAGTAGTTTTTTTCACGGTCTTCGTTTCTGGGGTGAAAATCATGTTCTAGATTTATTGCAGTCTAGAACAGAGGTGCCGAGCGATCCTCTAGTCAAGAGCTACCAACGATCCATTATGTAATTTACTATATTCGCCACGCTGAATTTCCTGAAATGATACATGTCCATTACGAAACTGAGTAATGGGTCAAGCTGAGAGGGAATTTCAAGGCAACGTAAGGCTGCTGCTATTTTTTTTTAATTTAGCAAGATCTGAGTTCTGGAAGAGCAATTTTCGTGGTTTCGAGGCTGAATGTCACCAACGCTCAGCCACTTCGCCGCATGTGTCAAATCACTGAAGTGGCTTGGAAAGACATCGGGGCACGCATAGTTAGCCAACGGCCGGTAGAATGAAATTCTTGGAATCAACTTCTAGACTCTTATGGTAGCTACAAAGACATACACTACAGGACTATAAGTATGCGAGCTCGAAAATATTCGAATAGAGGATCTTGGAAGTGTAATTCTCTACTCATCATTCGAAAACTATTGAAAACTAAATCAAATGAGAGCAACCACAATTTGTCTATTGGGCCAGCTGCCAGCTATAATTTATGCTGCCAGTACAACCACAACCGCAGGCGCTGGTTTTGTTGGATCGGGAGGGAATGCCAGCTCAGTTCAAGCTGCCGCGGCCTCGTCTGGTGTCAATGATGCAAGTGAAGGCGCTTCCAGCGAGAGTGCTTCAAGCGATGATGCCTCCAGTGACGATGCTTCCGGCGTCAGTGGAGTCAGTGGGGAAACTATTTCAGACGCCTCGAGTACGAATGCGGCATCACTCGAGACTATTACATCCAATAGTACAGCAACAGGCTCTACCAATTCTACCAGTACGCCAATCATAGTTCAACAAGATTCTTCAGCTATTGCTTCGGAGACTGTTGGCTCGCCATCTAACTCTACATTATTGAGCGTATTCACTTCAGGTTCTGCTACGGTCGCCGGTTCCGAAAGTACCGGTGCAGCTTTAGGATCAAGCTCTAATTCTTCATCATCGGGGCTTGGATCTTCATCCGGGTCGAATTCATCAACTGGGTCAAACTCATCGTCCTCTGCGTCGTCGTCATCAAGTGGAAGTGGTGCCAATATGCTACAGACTCCGCTAGCTGCTGGTTTGCTTGCTGGTATGATTGCGCTGCTATGAAACTAATGATCAACTGGGGAAAACTTTCCCAAATAGCCTAAATAGAGTTCAAAATTAGAATTGAATGTAGCTGCTGTAAATGCGACGAAAAATAAATATATGAATTTCTCCCCGAGGATGAGCAACATACAATATACTTGTCTTAAAATAAGCTGGCTCTTTTATGCGCTTTTAATTCCAGTTCAATCGCGAAGGCACAAAAGGTTAACATACGGCATATGGAGATTGCACGAAATTTAGGATATATTAGTTTTAGGATTAAATTCATCAGTTTATTCTTAAAGGTACGCAACATTTTCTTAATAACGGAAGTATTTATACCCTGATACTGTCACGTTTTGGAAGACAGATATCTGCACCACTTACTCTTTGAACTCACTCCACTAGATTGTTCATAATATCTTCGACAATATCCACCTGTCATTCATTAGTAAAATAAGTCATTTAAAACCGAATACGAAGCCTCTTTATCGGCCTGTTACATACCCATTTCATAAACTGCGGATCATTCAATTTTGACTTTAGGAGCTCTTCCGTAATTTGTGGGATCGTGAAATCGATGATTTTGGTTTCCTGAGCTTCTTCTTGAGCTTCTTCTTGAGCTTTTCGCTCTGGTTCTCTATATGTATCCACTTCTACTTCACTGTTTACAGTTTTTTGTGGATGTCTGCGTTGATCTGGGTCCTTGAAATTTGCTGGCGACACCACATGGTGGCTATAATTGGCAACTAGTTCAGATCCAATTGCAGTTAACTTGGCTTGGGATTGGTCAATAATGGAATGCCGAATTTTTTGGTGATCATTGGGTTGAAATTGCGTTACCGATTTTGTTAGTTCCTTAAATTGTCCTGGGGAAGGAGCAGTAGTTGAAGAATCTATGGTCAGAGTGGTAGGTAAACTATTTTGCAGTAAAAGTCCAGGACGTAATTCTTCCTCACTCTCATGGCTTGAAACTTTGAAGTTATTCAAAACTTGCTGATTATTTTGACCCAGGGTTGATGAAGAGTCATTGGAATTGCTTGATTGGTTCTGTAGAGGATTTATTATCTGTGTGTCAATTCTACTTTCCTCGGTAAGAAGCACCGGTAAATGTTGAATCGGTTTACAGTTCACTTTTGCAGCATTTAAAGCTTCTAAATGAGATTTACTTACCGTCATAGAGTCGGAGGAAAAGCGAGACATGTTTGAAATATCTGTGTCATTTTGCAAACTGAAATGAGACGGCGATAGTGCATTTGCTTCCTGTACAGCAGGATTAAACAGTGGTGGGTGGAGCTTATTGGGTGCATTTTCTGAAAAAGATGCCTGAATGTTCCCACTTGGCCAATTGTTCGCAAACTGAGAGCATAACAGTGCGCTGTTGTTCAAAGAACTCTCATCAGAGGCGCGTGTACTTGTTGTGTTCGCAGCGCGTATCACGAATCCAAGCTCATTCAATACCATGTTACATCGTTGATAATCGTTATCAGTATAGAAACTAATCTGAAATCTTTTAATAAATAACCTGCCACTTTCAATAATTAAGAATTTGCACATTATAGATGGACTTTTAGCAGAAAACTGAATGGGGCAAAATGAAGTCGAGCTTCCATCTGTCCACTTCAGAAGCCCAGTATCTGTATCTTCCAAAACACGGTCAGTCCCCCAGAATACTCGAATACGAATGCTATTCGTAGCATTCTTCATTATGCTCATGGATAGTGTGTTGTCTACTTGATGATGTTGCCATTTATTAATATCTGTGGGTCTCCTTGGAGATAAAAAACCCTTGGGGGCGGGTATTAACTCTCCATAATTAGAATACTTCCGTATCTTGAAGTAATATTCAGACATCTTGATGGTTCTGTATTCTTCAAAGGCTAAGGTTAAATCGCGTTTCATTAGCCGCTGATAACCTCCCTATTTTTATCACTATATACGCGGATACTTAAGATCGTTAAACTTCCACTTCGTCTGATCATTATCGTGATGCTAAATTAAGCAAGATGGTATATTTTTATCAATCTCAACCCGATGAGCTTTCAATTCCACATTGGATAGTTGTTGGGAAAGATAAGGAGGAAAATGATCTGCTGATCAAATATGGCTACAAGGATCTAGGTTATTATTGGTTCCATGCAGATAGGTATTCGAGCGCACACGTCTACCTTAAGTTACTTGATTCAGAAAAGGACCTAGCAGACGTCCCTCGGTTAGTGATTAACGATTGCTTACAATTATGCAAATCTAAATCGATCCAAGGTAACAAACTAGCCCAGTGTGCCATAATTGTCACACCCTGGCACAATCTCCGGAAAAGCGGTTATATGAAGCCAGGTGAGGTTTCCTTTAAGTCTACTAAACGTGTGCAGCGAATGGAATGCCATGCTAGGGAGAATAAGATTTTAAATAGATTGGATAAGACGCGCATTGAGGTCATTGACAACGTGGAGCAATTGCTTCATGAGGCAAAGAAGAGCAAAGATGGAGAATTTCTTTCAAACTTCGTTAAAATGAACAGAGATCGTCTACGAGAGGACGAGCAAGAGCGAAGAAGGACGAATAAACTCAAGAAGAAATCCCCCCAAAATAAAGACTCGCAACCGGAAGAAAAAGCTACTGAAAGTCCAAGTTAATAATCTGCGATCTTAGAAAAGGCAAATTTATAATAGACACTGGTCGAATAAGCATTCATCAAGTGAATATATATAGTCACGTGATAATCTTTTCTTTTTTTCAAAAAAAAGTTCTACAATGATATATAGAAAAATTTTCCCAGGTGATGAGATGAGCTTGAAAGCATCTTTCCATCGAACAATAAAAGGCAATTGGCCATGTCCAAGAGAGCTGCCCCTATTGAGGAAATAGATAATAACGAAAGAGTGGTTTCTTCGAAAACTGAAAACCAGCATGTACCTGTTACTAGTGTGCCTTCTGAGGCCGATGTAGAGATGGGTGAGTTCGAGGATCCATATAGTGACGAGTTCGAAAGCGATGGAGAAATCATTGAGGTTGATGGTGAGGATGATGGAGAAGATGTTGAAGCCATCGAAAATGAGGAATACATCGAGGCGAAGCAAAAATTAGCTGAAGAGCAACTGAAACAGGACCAAACTGATACATCGGGCCAACAACAGCTATACTTGCCTCACTTATCCCAGCCTTTGGGCCCTGATGAGGTCTTGGAGGCGGACCCCACTGTGTACGAGATGTTGCATAATGTCAACTTACCCTGGCCTTGTATGACTTTGGATATCATTCCAGATAGGTTGGGCTCGGAGCGTAGAAGCTTCCCTCAATCCCTTCTGGTAGCCACTGCAACCCAAGCATCCAAGAAAAAGGATAACGAACTATTACTGCTAAAACTATCACAACTCAGCAAGACCTTATTGAATGAAGAAGAAGACGATGACGACGAAGATAATGAAGACGATGATTTGGACCCCATTGTTGAGAATGAAAGCATTCCCCTTAGAGATACAACAAATCGCCTCAAGGTCTCTCCTTTCTCTTCCGATTCGCAAGAAATTTTAACTGCTTCAATGAGTGAAAATGGTGAGGTATACATCTTCGATGTGGCTCCTCAAATCAGAGCCTTCGAAGTTCCTGGCTATCAAATACCCAAAGCTGCTAAAAGGCCATTGCATACGGTTAAGAATCATGGGAATGTTGAAGGTTACGCACTAGATTGGTCACCACTGGCTAAGACTGGTTCGTTATTGACTGGTGATTGCTCAGGCAGAATCTATCACACTCAAAGACATACGTCAAAATGGATAACAGATAAGCAACCTTTTTCTGCTGGAAATAACCAATCTATTGAGGATATTCAGTGGTCACGGACTGAATCAACCGTATTCGCTTCCTGTGGTTGTGATGGCTATATCAGAATCTGGGATACGAGATCCAAGAAACACAAGCCTGCGATTTCAGTCAAGGCTTCATCCACTGATGTTAACGTTATTAGTTGGAATGAGAAGATTGGCTATTTGCTGGCCAGTGGTGACGATAACGGTACCTGGGGTGTCTGGGATTTGAGACAGTTCTCTCCAAACACTGCAGAAAACACATCACCAGTAGCACAATATGATTTCCACAAGGGAGCTATCACTTCCATCAGCTTCAATCCACTAGATGAATCAATTATTGCAGTTGCAAGCGAAGATAATACTGTCACCCTATGGGACTTGTCTGTCGAGGCAGATGATGAAGAAATTAAACAACAAGCAGCAGAGACAAAGGAACTCCAGCAGATTCCTCCCCAACTACTTTTTGTTCACTGGCAAAAGGAAGTCAAAGATGTCAAATGGCATAAGCAAATTCCGGGATGTCTTGTGAGTACAGGTACGGATGGCTTGAACATATGGAAGACAATCAGCGTTTAGGGATCTTAAATATCACCCCTCATAGTGTAAAGTAGCATCTAGGATACGGGAATACTTAAGTTCTCGAATGCCTATACCTAGACAGTAAGTTAGCATTCGATTTTAACTTACTACTTGTATAACCATCCAAAATGGTCGCCGGAAACGGCAGTTTTTTTGAATTTCAAGGTCCTTGAAAAATGCAGGTCTGTTAACAAATACACATTAGCTGAATTAGCGCAGATGGTAGTGTGGCCTTTTCAACCTCCTCAGTCATTTCAAATTCCAGTCAAAAAGTCAAATGACGATGGTGAAGTGATTAATGAAGAGATACTGCAAGTGCTATCTGTACCACAGTCCAATTGTTTGATCATTCTGACTCGTACACGAGTCTTATTATACAATTACAAGCCATTGGCATTGATTGCATGTCACAATCGCACTGAGACGTCCGTGTCTGAACTGGGGGGAAACAAATTTTCCATATCAGACTCAGTGTCCCGCGAATTGTTCGAAGGGCTTATATCTGATGATGCTCTCAATGGTATTGGCTCCCACCGCGGTAAAATAGCGCTCTATGTCATTACAGAGAAGAACTTCATCATGGTCTACCAGCTGCTATTAACAGTTAGTTCCACAACGATTTTTAAAGAATATGGAATACCCGTTTCAGAGATTTATGAAATGGACTCGGAAAATGGTCGAGGAATAATGGAGGAAAATGATGACGACGAAATTCTCACAGTATTTGCTAAGAAGGATGCGCATAAAGTAATTCAAAATGGTTACGCTATCGACAAACAGCAAGGATTTCTTCAATTTCTCAATAAGTCCCCGGAAACAATGGATGAGTTACCAATTAAGAGAGTTGAACTTCGTCTCAAAATAATTTTAAAGTTTGACCACAAGATCATAGATATGATAGCCATACGGGAAACCAATTTTGAGGAAGATAACGTTGATAATCAGCACTTATTGATTCTTTTCCCTCATGGTTTGCAGGTGATAAATCTTCGGAACTTCAAATTGGAAAACAATTCTCTAGTCCAGGTTACTAATGGCCAAAAGATGTTTGAATATAGAGGCAAAGTGCACGTTCTTTCTCCAACTTCGGGAGAATTATTCATAAATACGATCAATTTTACAGATTTGACAGTAGACTCCAAGAAGGTGGACACTGGCATACAAGAGGAGATTCTAAACGTGTTTTCGGTAGATGAGGTTCTCGTTCTTGTGTATAAAAATCAGTTGGTGTATTATGACCCGATAAATGAAATTGTTATGAAAAGATGGACGCCTTCTTCAAAGATCGAAAGATGTGAACCCTTAGCTCATGACACATTGCTACTGTTCTCAGCTGCAGGTAATTTGGAGATCTTAACTAAGTGGGCAAACTACATTTTTTCTACTTCGAATGAGGACACAGACGAACAAAGCGCTTACTCCCATTTTTCAAATTTCACCTTCATAGACAACAGCCTATTTACAACCGCCAAGGGAAGCCAATTCTTTAAGTTGGATTTATGGCATGAAGTCAATCCAACTATATCTGACTTTCGGAATCCAGTTACATTTATTCTTCATGATAATAATAACGACATTATGCTGTATTCGCCCACACATGATGCTTCAAACGTCGTAAATTTTCAGGTTATTAAATTACCCACAAAAACAATCAACAATTTTATTGCACAAGTGAAAGTGAATGGCACTTTAACTATGTTGACAACTCTGATTGGGAATAAAAACATTCTTCTAGTACACGATTTAAAGGCTAATATCTGGCACAGTTTTAACGACGTTAATATTCTTGATATGTGTTGGTTAGGAAATGAATACCTTATTTGTCGTATTTTGGATGAAACGAGCACAAGCGAGTGTTTAAGATGTTATCATTTTGTTCCAGCACGTTTCAACAAAGTCGACATTGCCGACTATCTCATATGGAACTATTCTGTACCACCAGATACGAAGATTTTGGACATGCACGTAAACACACTCACGAGATATAAAATGCTGAAGATCAAATCGAAAAATCCCAAAGACGAAGTAATTGATAACGTTTTCAAGACTGCAGAAATTGTTCTAACTCTAGCAAACAATAAAATCCGAACCATAGATGTACTATCTCATATCAATGGTGACGGCAGTAATGCCATCATAAAATTTTATCCCCTTCCTGTTCAGATCCTACCAGAAAATTTGGTCGATCGTTTTGAATGGGTCATGAGCTTCAAGGAGGGTTACTTAGCTTTAGGTGACGCCCAGCTTTTCAAACTGGAGAAGTTAGGAGACGAAAGCTGGCAGTGCACGGTTCTCCTCAAGAAAGTTGAAAAGATTTTTGATTTGGTATTCGAAGATATATTCATAGTCCATGATAATAGTATCGAGGTCTATTCACTGGATGAATTGTGGCTGGACAAACCTTACTCTGCAATCCTTCCTATTAGCGACAATGATTATCCTATTGCGGTTTCTCCAGAAAGTGCCGTTATACATAGCCTGCATTGTGTTTTCTATCAAAACTTCTCGAAGCTCGTAACGCATCAGACCATTTACCTTGATCAGTTAATTGATCATTCGCTGTCTCAAAGGGTGCCAGTGAACGAAATCGACGCCAAATATCATTCTCTCAAACATTACAAGTTCACCCTGGAAAAGCTCTTGTCCAGCAAAGTTCTTAGTAACGCACCGCTGTCAGAACTGCTTGATTTAATTGACACGTATGATGAAGGTCCTGAATCCAGAGGAAAGTTAGAAATAATCAGTAATTGCCTAAGAAAGATTGAAATAGAGCACTGGGACTACTTGTTCACGAAGCTCAACTTAACTCCGAGAGACCTATTAGTTCAATGCGTAGAACAAAATGAAGCTCGAGTTCTTGGGATTCTGTTAATGGTATTTTTAAACTATGAGGGTGGGCAAAACGCTTCTCCAGTGAACAGCTCCAATCTCGATTTAAAACAACTCAAAACTAAGGGCAAAAAAAAGAATAAGAAGACAAGCAAACACAAGATGAAGTCCGATACACAGAATTTAGATAAGAATGGAACGTTTTCTGGGGTTCTCGACGATGAGGATTTGATCCTACAAGTATTAAAAATACTGGTGAATACAGCCGCATTTTCAACTGTGCCGGAGGAAGCTCAAGAATTTTGGGACATGAGCTTTCAATTAGTTAGATTTATAAAAGCACTTGACAATGATGGATCATCGAGCTTGGTTCAAAAGTCGATTCAACTTCTTGGTTAGATACATCCATAATTAATGATTTAGTGAATTGGGAATGTCACATGATCTGCATCCAATCATATCACCGTAAAAGTTTCGTCCGATGTGTTTCCATGAGACCACCGGTAATAGGAAAATTTTCAAGTCATCCTCTACTCGACCTTTAAGTGCGCAACTTCAAGCTGACCGTTTGTTGACTATTGACATTAACGCACGCTCATTACATCATTATGTCTGAGAACAAAGAAACACCACTACACACCGTTGGCTTTGACGCTAGATTCCCAAACCAAAACCAAACTATGCACTGCTGGCAATCCTATGTGGACTACCACAAGTGTATTAACGCCAAGGGAGAAGAATTTGCTCCGTGTAAGGTCTTCTTCAGGACTTATTCATCTTTGTGTCCGGTCGATTGGGTGGAAAAATGGGACGAACAGAGACAAAATGGTACTTTCGCCGGCGACATCAACCCATGAATTGAATTTGCGTCTCGAGGAAATTTCTCAGTTTTTTTCTAATCTGGATTCAGACTACATTCTCATATTCTTAGTTGGACTTTGGCCTCATTATTTATTGTTTGCCATGTTTCATCATCATGTATTCTTGGAGGAGCACTACCCATTTGGATTTAAAAACATTTTTATTTCTGTTCAATAATGAAACGATGAACAGTCTGCGAGGATGGATGCCACAAATGAATTAAGTAATTTAAAACATGCGCTAAATATTTTTTGCTAGAAGGGTGAAGTCTAGGCTGAAGTTACATTTTACTCTGCCCATACTTTTCTCTTATATACATGCTTATAATCCATAAAGACCTTCCGCTCGCAAATCGATGTAGTCTTTTCATCGCCAAAAGAGTGACATTAAGTAAGGGTACAACTGTTTTAAGATAAATTACCAGATAGAATCAAAGTGAACTCGAAAAAAATATATCAAGACAGACTAAATACGCCGAAGAAATGGTAATGTAAATGGCATAAGTCAAGATTTTATGGATAGTGGCCTGGATCTGGTCCGAAGTATCCTTTAGCTGTTTCGGTGACATTTTTCTTTGGTAAATATAATGCATCTACACCTTCATAAGGGACGTCATTACCCCACCAAAGAAGATCAACTTCTTTGTATTGCACAGCGAAAAAGATAATGATAGAGGAGAAAACCAGTCCACATGAAAATCCTGCGTCCAAGATATAATTATATTTCTCCCATATACGCAAATGGTACTTTTTCATGTAGACCTGTGAAAACCAATTAACAAAGCCACCTGGCAAAATGTACATCAAGTTGTAAGGAGGCCCAACATTGAGCATGCCACCAACAAACAGAACAGGATTGAACCATTTTGGATAATATTTAGATGCGAATCGCTTCCACAAACCAAAAAAAATTCCCAGTAAAGCTCCAATCAACCAGCACCATTTTAGGATAGGATACACATCGTTAAAGATCTTCTTTGGACCCATTGCACCCCACATTACTGAAGCATTGTAATAAGTGGTAGCATCAGGGCAGGTAAATTTTGATGCTTGGTAAGACATGCAGTAATCCTTGATATTAGAGATCGACCAATTTAGGACGCCCAAATTCACAAATACCTGAACGAATACCATAAAAAGTTGGCCTCTAAAAAGCGCTACGGGCGGGATTTTACAGTAATGTGCCATTTTCAAGTTTGATACATAGTTATCCGCCTGGCCATCAATATTATAGCCAAATGCCTTCACGATCATCAAAGCAAATGGGTTACCTGGCAGAGCGTACCCGATGATCATTTCAATCAACAAGTTCAGTCCGAGACTATAACCAGTAGTAGCTTGCAAAATAGTGAGAGGGATTAAAAAAACGAAGTTAAAACCCAAAGACATGAATAGCGCCCAAACTGGTGTATTCGTGTTGTATTTTTCCAGCACAATTATGGAAATAACGATGGTGACCAATAAAATCATGAAGTACCACCAGTCAGGTACTTCCTTGTAATTCTTCATCATTCTAGAGTGTGGATCATCGAATTCGTCCAAAACATGGTACTCACCATTCCACATATTAATCCAGGTTTCTTTTTTGGTCAAGCTGCATAGCGATTTGAACCAGTCCCTAAGGGCCTTGATCAGAATCTTGGATTCAGTTATGAAGGCGTAAGCGATCAATAATGGATAAGTTGCGATAAAAGAGCCATAGCTAACTAGGTTTCCCGCCGAGTAATAAGGTGCTGAGTATGCCTGGTATTTTTTCTCGTTTAGCTTATAGTCATCGTCCAAAATTTTCGTGACTTGATATTTGGTGGCCCTATTTGTGAATAATGAGTTTGAGAATATTGGCAAGTATTGGCAATCCATGTAATTCGTGTAATATACTGCTAATATAACCAATGCCGCGAAGAAACCTCCAACTAATTGGGTTGCATAGGAAAAAAATGGTGTAATGAGCGGATACATGAAATTGAGAACATTCCAATCGAAACTCGAAATCGGGTTAATTCCCAGACCAGAAACGCCACCAGTCACATTTGCCAGATCTAAGTTTTCTGGAGCGATCCATGTCATCCAGTTGAATGTATTCAAGATATTGATGATGTACGTGGGAAACCAGGTATAGATGAACATAAAGATCATAGAAATAAAGAAGAAGTTGTATCTGGAAATGCCCTTGGATTTATCTTTGTTTCTCGATAACAGCGCTTTATTAAGAGCAATTGTTGACATCGAAGTGGGCCACACTGCACGCGTTGGATAAACTACAAATCTTCTCAAGATTCCTGCGAAGCCAAAACCAATGAATTGCACGCATAGTGACAACCAAAATTGATAGCCAAAGGATACGTCGTCGTGGTAATAGACTTTCAGTGTCAAGATATTGTAGTGGGTATAAAACGTTCCCATGCAGATGGCAAACAAAAGTGTTGCAAACATTTGCTCCTTATCCGTCCATGGGGTCTCGATATTCAAGGCAATTCTCCTCCCTCGCAAGTTGAATCCCCAACAAGGCATATATTTGGCCCATAGAGTACCACACGGATATAAAAACATTTGAATGACGGATGTACCAAGCGAAATTGTGACTAGTCTATGCGCAAAAAATTCATTAAAGCCAGATCCGATAATGGCCCAGCAGAATGCCAAGAAGTACGATCTGAAGGTTTCAACTGGAATACTAGTATCATCCCTTGGATCAACTGCAGCTCTTACTTCAGGATAAGGCGAATGGTATTCCAATAGACCCGCTAGTGCTTTTAGCTCAAAAACATCCTTTTCATTATCCATATCAATTACACCTTTGGAAAATCTGACGAATTCCTCGTATTCCTTCGTTGGAATCAGCGGATCATTATCATGGTAATCGACGCCTTTTTTCATAATTTCAATGGCATCTTCAACGCTCAGCTGGCCAATCTTCGAACCCAAATATTCAATTTCTGGAGGTATATCTGTCAAGTCCTCATAATTATCATATCCTAACTTCTTCAAAAGATACGCTATTTGCTCGTCACTAAAGGAGGCGATCGAAAACTCATCCAGACTATTGACTTTTGTAATTTGGGCCACTTTCTTGTCTGGAATAACGGATATTTCAGGAGTTGAGCTGGACCGTCTGGTTTCAAAGTCTGAGGTCCTTCCAACCTCTTGAATAGTCTTCTCGCTTAACATTTTGAAACAGTGTCCTTTATTGTATCCTCGGCAATTTCGTGAGTAAATATCAACTTTTGATATGAATTAAAACAAGTGAAGTTCCTGATAATCCTGTTTCCTTATGCTAGGCTATGGCTTTTCTGCAACTAATTGTCTCCGAAAGGGCAAGATGTGCACTATAAGTACCAAAAAGGAGTAGTTATCTCTGGTACTATAGTATTAACGATCAGAAGATAATGTCTTCAAGAAATGTCTTACATGTACACGAGTGGCTCTTTGTATCTTTAAGGATAAGCGCATCGATAAAGATGTTGCTCCCAGAAATTAGAGCAGATTAGAATAAATTTGTCTCCGAGACACACGACAAGGGTTTCTCTGAGGCAGAGACGATAAGACCTTTTGGAGAGTGCCTTAAGGACCTCACAGCAGCAGGCATTCAGTTCGTCAGTGTCACAGAGAAATATTAAAGATACCCGAGCGGGCGAACGGCAAAGACACCACGTCCGCGCGCACTGGTCTTCGGAGTTGAGCTAAACTCACCTGTAGGAAAGTTCCTGCATTAGTTTTTTTTCGAGTGCCGTTCCTCGAGACGGAGACTGCCATCGGACTTGACGATTTGGGAAACAAGAATCTCACCTGCGAACTATCTAAGCTTTCTTTAAAACACAAGCACAAATCCAACTGACCATATATAGTTTTCGTTTCACTCTGAATTACTGCACCCAAAGCACCAGCGTCGCTCGGGACCTACTCAGTGAAGCGAGTCCTAAATTGAGCCATCCTTAGCACAAAAGTAAATTCTTCCACAGAGACGTTAAGTAAACGAACTGCTATACCTGCTGGGGTTGTCGTGTACACAAAGTAATTCTGTTATCGCACATGGTGCCATTAACGTATTTCATCGTTGCCAGATGTATACGATAGGCGCTTGAAAAATATGCGACATCTAGTCCAATACCAAATTTTGTTCGGCCAGTGTTGGAGAGAATGTGGATAAGTGATGGAGTTTTTGGGAAAAATGAAATTTGCATGCAAAGTGATTTAAGGCTAAGAAACCCCATTTATAACCGTATTATTGGTGTTCTCATTATTATGAGATACTGTTGTGTCAAGCTCAAACTATGCATTTCGAAAGACATGGTTTTATCCTCTGAGGAAATGAGTAGCCGGAAGAAGTGCACGCACGTTTACATGAATTAGACGAAAGTATTGGGCAAGTTATATCCTGATAGCTAGTCAAAAGGTGCCTCACTTTGCCCACCAAAAAGAATATTCTCTTCTCTGCGTTGTTTTTGAGAAACAAAATTGCTTTACTGGTTACCTTGAATGACCCAACGCTCATAAATATCCAACCTTGTTTTACTCATCGACGACTTTTGTAATCGTTGGCTTCTTTCGAGCTGTACAGTGCATCTGCCGGTTTTAGTAAAATATGTTAGTCTTGAGTCTAAATAGCTATCGATGGAATAAAATGTAGCCAGATTCTGTGATATCACCTTCTCGATAGAGACAAGAACGTATGTCTTGTCTTTTCGACTTCGTGTGTGCTATAGTGGGTTTGCGTCAGACCATTCCCTTGAGTTGACTTACAGCTTCTCTCCTTCATAGTCACCTTAAACTAAACTGATAAAACTGGATTGACTGGCAAATCTCTTCAACGGTCTCCGTTGTAAGATATATGCAGCAGAAGTGCTTGATTCTGTATTCTCTTCTGGATTAATCTTCTGATAATAAGGTTTTAATGCAGGCTTATGTGTATCAAGGCACGAATTTCATGCAGCCCGACCAAACTGAACAGGTCGAAGACTAAGAACAACTTCATGAAGATGTTGATTTGAAACTATATCCAGGGGATACAACAGTTCAACTTTAATGATTTGCAGCTAAAAAAAGTGATCCGACAAAAACTTGGATGATATACAACTGCCAGATCTCCTTTTTTTTCTTCAAATAATAAATTGGATAGACTTCGAAAAATTGAATAAGAAAAGTAGGGAATGAATAATCTTGCCTATTTTCTCCGCAAGATAATTACTGTAAATCTTGAATCAAAATAAAACAGTGTAGATTGAGTCTAATCATTTTTGGAAATCTTTTGATGGCCATTTCAATGTGGGCACGACTTTAACGAATACTTAACGTTCCTGGAGGCGAATAATATCAGACCTGGCGGCGATCTCTAGTATCCTAGAGAAATTTCAACCAATATTACAGCAGAAATATATTCAACATATATCTCAACAGTTCTGACCTCTAAAGCTCATTTCAACAATTAAAGTCAGGCCAGATGGTCAGTACGACTCTGATACGAAAATTATTCTACTAGGAAACTTTGAATCACAAAAAGAAATCCCAGGGTAAATAATGGGGCTCGCTATAAGCACCCATCTATAACTTAAAATATCAGCGAGTAATGCCCTGGGATTAAGTAGAAGAAAGAAGAATATATAGAACTGATTCCGCACTCATTGCATTATAATCAACACCGTAATTAAAAATGTTTAAAACATTGTTTATGTCTCAACGTTATTCACATCATAATAACCAAAGTTCATGGGCACATGGCGCAGTTGGTAGCGCGCTTGCTTTGCATGTAAGAGGTCATCGGTTCGACTCCGGTTGTGTCCAATTTTTTTGATCTATCTATTTGCTCTACTTGAAAAATCGATAGTGTAACAAATTATTGAAAATACTGCTTTGAGAAGGCGTTCCTATTCTTTATCAATATCTACATAGTCTTTTAAATTTAGGAAAGGAACATTTTACTTAATGTGTTGAAGTTGGATATCACAAATTGTCGCTTGTCAATTTGCATGGCATCTGTTTGGAATAGAGACAATTTCCAGCTTTCCTGCGAGTTATTGTCAATTTTGTCCTTGTATAGCTCATATTCTTCTCGTTCATTCTCTTCAGATAATTTCCCTAGAAACTTGTATTTATTCATTCTGTCTATAAGGACACCATTCCACCCTGCGTTTGAAGCACCACTCATATCGTTCAATCTTTCATCCCCGATATGCCAACACCTTTTCTTGAGTTCCTCGTAGGACATATTTTCGAGTAATTCGGGGTTTTTGGTCACAATGTCACTTAATGCGTGTTCAAATATTTTCGGGTCTGGTTTCGAGACCTCCAGATCATAAGACAGGTAAACATGAGTTCCGAAATAGGGTGCAAGACCAATGTTTTTTATAAGTGTGTGCATGATGGGATCAGTGTTACTCACAACGCCGAAGATTGTGCCAGGAAAAGCTGCTCTCATATTCTTTAGAAATTCAAGTAAATCCGGATAGACGGTATATGCACCAAACCCTTCAAATGTCTTCAAAATTTCAGTGATCATTTCTTTGGGTACCTTTATTGGTTCGAAAATGTTAGATATTAGTGTTTCCCACCATTCATTTGGTGTTAAATTTGTATACTTTCCATAATTGGGATGTGATGCCCTTAAATCTTTGAATACTATGTTTCTGATGTTAGTACAAAATAACAGAAAGATAAGAATACTCTTCTATCATACTTTTAGGGAATTTCACAGTCAAGTGTTGCGGGTCGGCCTCAATTCCATACTTCAGGCCAATTTTACAGTACTGCTCCATTACTGGTAAAGTAGTGGAATATAGAGTATTGTATGCATCAAAAGTAATAACTTTCGGAGGTTTGAGTTTGTTAGCAGGTAGGTCCCATTGATTTATCTTGATACTTTTTGGAAATTGCATTACTGGATCTGCGTATGGCTTCAAATATTTGCATCGCATATGCTCGAAAGAAAATAAAATGAAAAAAAATCCCTTTAAACATGACAGCACGAAGAGTCTTCCCCTTTTTGATTGACATTAGGCTTAGTTTCCGGTTTTTAAATAATCTGCCATGAGTTACTAGTTTTACACATCAAGTTCAAAGCTAGAACTTCCATATTAAGAGCACTGAATCTCCTCAATATGTCTCGGCGAGCGATGAGTTAGTAGGCTCTTTTCTAATGTGCTGCAATAAGATATCAGCAGATCGCTAGAAGGCCATACAATATAATTGACATCTTAGGAGGTGTGTTTAAATACTAGAGAAACATTCTTGATCTTAAACTACAGTAAAAACAACCACCATTGCTTGAAGATATTGAACCTTTGTGTTTGTGGGCTATTTTATGTTTATTTACGGCAATCAGTGGTTCAGATAAAAATAAGTTCGGTTTTGATCTGGAAAAAGAACTCCAGCTTGAAGATGTTTGCAAAACAAACATAAAAAGCGAATACTTCCACCGTATTTTGACTACTCTTAGCAACAATTTCATGGCCAAAAACCATATGAAAAGGATCAACGTTCTTGATTTTAGACGAAGTAGCTCTTCTAATAGCGTACAAAATAGATATAATATATATCTGTTAAATATTTTGCTTGATTTCAGACTTCAATTATTCTCTAAAGGTGATTATGCCCACGCTTACCGAATATCAATGCATGAGCGAAAATTAGCATTCTGACATGCTGTATTTACGGAGTTGTCCAAATTTGTCACCTATCTTCTTCACTACTACAATGTAAAGAGGATGATTGAATTTATTCACCACGACGGTAAATTGGTTCAACTCTTGCGATAGTTGGCAAGAACTAAGTCTTAATCCTGCCAAACATAAAATCTATATCAGCATTTTTTCTGAATGTCATGCTTCTTGACTAAAACAAAACTCCCCTGACCAATCGAGCCAGAAAGCGGTAAAATGTCATTTCTTTGAAGTAGAATAGTTTCTTCATCAACGTCCTTGATGCAACCGAAAAACACTCTGGCTGAACTAAGTCAGCCATCATGAGCGTTTTTCGAAAAAATATTATAGGAACACATATCCTAAACTGGGGAACTAAAATATGCATCATTTTTTGCGTAGCAAAAGGCATCTGATATTTCAATTGCCTCATAAGTTCCCTGCAAGCTGGTGACTGCTCTATATTCGTATGCATATATGTCTTCAATTTTGTGCGTTTCTACAATTTGGGGTCTCCTTTTACCTCTCTTGTCATCAACTTCCTCAGTACGTACGTATGTCAAAGAAAAAGGGGGAGTACCCTCGAATGAGAAGATGATTTCAGCCTGATCACCTTCATGAATGTCCTCAACAACGTAGTCACCCCTTGAAACCGTAACAGATGGTATAGGATGGATAACCAGGGAGAGATCCTCAAATTCTTTTTCCATGCCAGGTTTCGTGAAGTTTACGATACATTGTGATGATGAATCATGTATCGAACTGACCGAGATAGTGCCCGGTTCAGAGGCAAATCTGATAAATTGAGAGGAATGTTCTTTTGATTTTAAAGGAATTCCATTGAAATCATACTTGATAAAGAATGGTGCAACTCCGCTCAATTGGTATGCGACGTGATCACCAACACAGTACTCGATCGTTGGATCGATCAGTGATATCTTTGGCACATCAGTGATGGAGATCAAAACATGATTATTTTCAGAGACCACATCATGCGTGCATCCATTTGCGTCGATAATCTTCTCTATAGTAACCAAATGATTTCCCAATTTAAGACCGTCATATAGGCGCCTTGAGTCGAAACCATTCTTAGTGATTCCATCTATGGTAAAATAGTCAGTTTTGGAAGTACTTTCGTGGTACACACTAAAAGACACGGAAAAGGGACCCGAACCACGTTTGATTTCTAGGGAAATAGGTTCAACATCTTCTAATGATTCGCCAATATTTGCTGAACAAGTTCGATAAGTCTTTCCTCGTTGCAAAAACTGCACGCTGGGCAAAGGATTCACACTCTGTTCGATACTCACGACATCATGCACATATCCTATCCTCGATAAATCTTGTTCAGTGTAGTAGGAGTCGTAGACACCCCTGATATTCATAACATAACTTCCAGATTTGTCGTTAGGGAACTTGAGAGAAGCATATTTCGTAGCAACCTGTATTGATTTGCTCGTTATTTGACCGCTTGGAGATATCAACTCATAGCTTACAACAAATGGTGCAGAACCAATCAATGCGAGATCTATCGATTCTTCAAATCCTTGGCAAACTTTTGCTTTTTCAAAATGCAGATCACTTTTTCTAGTAATTTTATTGTGTTCAAGTACACTGAATTTCGGCTTCTCTAGGAAAGTTATTACGAAGTCATCAATGCCTTCAATTTTTCCAGAACAGCTTTGATCTCTAACAGAAAGTAGCTTATATTTTCCTTCTTTATCAACCTTTAAAACTGCTTTGTAGCTAGAATGAAAGGTAGCCTCGTAATTTCCTAATACTTTACCTTCAGGCGACAAATGCTGGTACGCTACAACGAAAGGAGCAACTCCGGATAGCCGTAAGGGTAACTCCGCAAACGTTCCTTCCTTAATCTGCATTTTATCCATATTTTCAAGCAGATTGAATTGCGCAGCAGGGACATCTCTTCTAACTTCAATCCTGGCATCCGAAGAACTTAGACCAACAAGGCAGCCGGAGGAGTCCTTAATTGAGATTAAAGATACAATATAGTCCCCTCCAACATCGAATACTGGGGTATCGAGGTCATATCGATAAGACTTGATGTCATCCAAAGTATATGTCGTTCGCTTGTTTGACGAAGTTTCTAAAATATCGTAGGTCAAAGAAAATGGGGGTTCACCATTGAACGACAGAGGAATCTTGCTTTGACCTCCAAGACACAACTTTTCTGCATAATTTGAGATAATGGATGCTGCTGGCTTAACTCTCATAGATGTTTTGAATGTGTAATTCTCAATCGGCGTTAGCGCAATGGCACTGGTGAATAAAGTATTAGAAAGTTCATCGAATACAATTTCATAGTGCCCTTCCGAGGTAGGACTATAAGTGAATTGGTTTCTCGTTCCTTGTGAAGTGAACCGTTTGGTGTCGTACAGTTTTCTTTCATCAGGTTCAATCTTAAATATTTTAACTCTGTAGTAGAAAGGAGGAACTCCCGTAAACGTTAAGTCAAAGTTCAAACCTGTTTGTCCAACACATTGATCTAAAATTGGGGTTGGCTTGATCTCTAAGCTTGGAGGGATTGGCTGAGTCACCAAAACGCTTGATTTATCCATAACGATACCAGAGCAAAATTTCGAACTCACAGAAAGTAAAGTATAGGTACCTGGTACCTCCACGGGAATTTCAGTGGAAAGTTGATTGAACTCATGTCTGAATTCGGTAGCTTCATCATTCTCGTCAATGAACTGAAATGTTGCAGTATATGGCGATGCCTTTTCCCAATCTCTAGTTTTTTCAAAATTTACCATCAAAGATCTTTTTGTAGCAGAGTCATGATTGAATTGCGTGTCTAGAGTGGCTTTGGGTAAATCATGAACGTTGAAGGTGTAATCCAGGCCATAGGTTTTCAGTAAACCTTGTGGCAGACCTGAGAAGTCTACTTCATTACCAAAGCCATCTATAACTTTTTCAATGGCATATGAATATTTACCATCCTCTTTTAAAACAGATTCCAAATTAATCGTTACTGGCTGATTTTGAGCCCACTGCAGATCGGAAATGTCTTGAGCTTGAAAGAACTTTGAATTAGACAATAACGGAGACTCAAAGTATTCCGGTTGGAGGCTAGAATCGGTGAAAGTAGATGAATCTGCATTCAAAGTTTTGATGTACTGCAGCTCAAGAGGAGGAACACCATGAACCTCAATGGAAACCTTGTCTAAGTCACCAATACATCTATCGGTGTTGCCTAAACCGGAAAGAACAGCCGTTGGACAGTGAGGAACTATTATCTGGGATTTATACAATCTCAAGCTTAACTTTTTGGAGTCGATAATCTTTTTGATCTGATACAAACCAGTCCTGTCAACAGGCAAAGTAAAATATCGAATTTTAGGCCCAAAAGCTTTTTGATGTGATATAAGGTCTTCTCTTCTATACAGCGGGTGACCTTTTTCAACTTCAAGTAAATCCTTACGCGTAAAATTCCAAAGCTCAACATCATTGGTTTGAAGATTTCGATATTCTAGCTGCATAAACTCAATTTCGGAACTGGAATTGATTCTTATAGGTATATGAAGAGTCTCAAATTCGACATTGTCCATCGGTAGACAAAATGAATCCTGGAAGGGATTTAAAACGGCAGTGTTTTCTGGAAGAATTTTAATCGTAAGAGCACCTTTAAAATGGGATGAAGGATCCATGATTTTGCGATGATTAACGGAACTTCCAGTTAAGCTGAGTTCTCTTGTATTAAACTTCGTCCAGGCCGAAACTAGGACTGATACAAAGGGGAAGCTTTGCTCATTGGACAGAAACACGGTAGTAACAGTCAGTAGAACTATTTGGAGAACGACGGTTACAGGCTTAAAAGCTAATTTTGGAATTTTCAGATTAGGGAGGAAATATAGGAAAAGTGAATCAATGATAAAGTACTTGGTGATAAAATTGAACCTGGAGCTTGTCAATAGTATTCCGGACACAGGTAGACCAGATTTCAGAAGTATGAGATCATATAGCTTATAGCACTGTATTATCACAAATATAGCAACCATGAGTAAACGCTGACTGGGTACATCTAGCACATCCGTCGATATTAATGGAATAGTACGTTGTTCAGTAAAGGGCCCTTCCGATACTTTTTCGTTGCGTTCTGTTGAAAATTGGAAAGTTCTAGTATCTCGGTTATTCGAAGATACATCTTCAGCATGGAATCTCCTTCTAAGATCCATCTTATGCCTGAAAACCAATCGTTATACAAGACTTTGTAAAGGTCATCGTGAAAGCGCTTTTCTGTTTATGTTTCAAGAAAAAAATTTGAATACAGAACACACTTCCCAAATATATCACGTGAAGTAAAAAGGTATACATATATCGAAACCTTTCGTTCTCGTTAAGAAGCTACTTGCAACCATTTTATTGCGTTCAAGAAGTAGGGTGCAGTTGCGTATGTATTTCTCAGAACATCTTGCATTTTGAATCATGTGGTCACATGGCGTGTTGTCGTTAAAATAGAAAGATGTAGCGAAGAAGCTTTTGAATTTTCTCTGCCATCACAGTAAGGACAAAATGAGTAGTATGACTACAATTTCGCAAGTGTTGGGGAAGTTTTGTAAGTTCATAGGACCTGGTATCATGGTCAGTGTGGCTTACATGGATCCTGGGAATTATTCAACCAGTGTATCGGGTGGAGCACAGTTCCGGTACGAATTACTGTTCTCTATCTTTATTTCTAATATATTTGCCGTGATATTGCAGTGTCTGTGCGTAAAACTAGGATCTGTCACCGGCCTGGATCTTGCAGAGAATTGTCGCCGGTATTTACCTCGGAAGTGGAACTTGATCATATATGTTTTCGCCGAAATCGCGATCATCGCAACTGATTTGGCAGAGGTGGTAGGGACTGCCATCGCTTTACAAATCTTGTTCCACATTCCTGTCTTGTGGGGTGTGATATTGACCATCTTAGATGTTTTGATCATCTTGATATTCTACAGACCAGAGCAGCATTCCATGAAGCAAGTCCGCTTTTTTGAAATGTTTGTCAGTTTCTTCGTTGCAGCCACTGTTGTGTGCTTCATCCTGGAACTCTTCAAAATCTCTATTCCCGACAAACTGGAGCTGTTCAGGGGCTTTTTACCCTCAAAGGTCATTTTCGAAGAAGATCAAGCAATGTACATCTCTTTGGGAATCTTAGGTGCTACAGTAATGCCTCACTCTTTGTATTTGGGCTCATCTCTAGTTAAATCGAGACTGCATGAGTTCGATTTAAAAAAATTTGGCAAGCTTGGCTCAAGACCATCGTTAAGTGCCATTAAATCTACGCTAAACTATTCCTACGCAGAGCTGATCATTTCACTGTTTTTCATTGCAACTTTCGTCAATTCTGCAATTCTCATAGTCGCAGGAGCAACATTATTCGGCCAACCAGACGCAGAAGATGCAGACTTGACATCAATCTATGAACTGCTATCACGTTACATCTCTCCCGCTGCTGGCTTAATATTTGCTCTGGCAATGCTGTTCTCTGGCCAGTCAGCTGGTATCATCTGTACTATGGCAGGTCAGATTGTCTCAGAAGGATTCCTACAGTGGTCGTTTCAACCTTGGGTTACTAGACTGCTTACTCGTTTACTAGCAATAATTCCATGTTTTTTGGTAACTTTGTTCATGGGTGAGCGTGGGATCGCCAATATTTTGAACCTAAGTCAGGTTGTGTTATCATTAATTTTGCCAATTGTATCTTTGCCTCTAATATACTTCACATCTAACAGCAAGATAATGACTGTTACCGAGACTTTTGAGCACAATGAGCCTATTGACGAGCCCACCGAGTCAACTGCGCTTAATGAGCAGAACAAACATAAGGTAAATTACGCTAACAGCAGGTGGTTGACAGTAGCATCTTACTTAGTGTGGGCCACCATCGGTTCATTAAACTGCTATTTGGTTATTTCGTTCCTCATGGGTGCAGATGTTCATTTCTGATAATATTATACAGATCTGCAAGACCCTCAATGTTACTACTGCCTCAAATAGATATACAAAGTATTTATATTAACTTACTTTCAAAAATACCCTCTATTTCTTGTATTTTTTCTTCCTCATTTGCATCGTCCGTGCTACAGGTATGCTACCCGTATAATTCGCTTGAAGGACAGGGAATGACCTAGCATATGCCTGAGGCACTGATTTTGGTTGTTTAGCAATTATCACTTCCCTTAATAGTCTTTGAACTTTAAAGAATAGCCTTCTTTCTTCAGATGATGGGTTCGAAACTCTTTTTAGCTTAAGTCTCTTTTGCTTGAGTATTTTTATTTTAAGTAATGTTTCCGTGATTAGCTTGCTTTGCAATCCCTCTGAAAAAGCTTTCAACTCATCTTGTTGAATGTTGTTCCCAGGTGACCAGTTGTAAAGATTTTCAAGTTTGATGGATATTGGTTCAGAAGGTGCCAACTCTTTGGGAGAAACCACTTCTTTTCCATTGAAATCGTCTTCTCCTTTGACGTCGTTTTGGTTATCCTTATCGGCATCTTTCCCTCCATTGGCTTCATCATCTGTCCCTCCATTGATTTCATCATCCACTCCACGGTCTATATTATTTTCTGTCTGATTAGATTCTGTCTTTTCTCCGGTCTTTTTTTCCTTTTCATCATTGCTCTTCATTCTCCAAAGCGTCATGTACCCAATCTTTTCCAACCATATGATACCCCTACGGCCCGCATCCAAAACTGTTCCGCTCTCATTAAAGCATGGTGCCCAAGATTTGTAATCACCATACTCTAGCCAGACTGTCGTTGGTAAAGCATACCAATTGGGATGTAGAAATTTTGTCATCATTTCAGTCGGAGGCAGCGTAGGATCTGGAATATTGCTCACATTGGCAGCAAGGAATCCCATAGGAGGCGCGATGTTGTCCTCACTTCTGGTAACAACCTTGTTTACTGTAAAGTTATTATTGGGTAGCTCAGTGTTCCTTTGATCAAGGGAGGACTTAGAAATAGCTGATGAAAAGAGGTCCATATCACCAGATGATATATAATAGTTTTCAACATAGGGTACCGAGTATCCCACTGAAATCTTAATGAAGTCGTATGATACAGTGTTGTAAAAAGCTGTCTTTTCCTCTGAGTATTGGTCCATATCATCTTCGAGTAGCATGATACCCAACCTATAGCACTCTCTCAACAGTAATTCAGTGGCAAATTTATAAAACTTATCAACCATTTGGTAATTTCTAGTCCCTTGTGGGTGAAAATGAACTAACAGAGTACAAACTAGTTTAAGATCATGGTACAATCCATAGAGCCCATCTTCTCTTTTGCTGTATTCATTCTGCTCGAAACGCGTAGATATTGTGGTAAGAGAAATCTCATCTTCGTCTTTGATGTTGCCCTCAGCATCACTTCTGGACTTCAAAAATTTGCCGTATGCAGTAAATATCTTTTTAGGGTCCTTCTCGAAGAATTCACTGGGAAATTTCTCGTCTATTACCTTACATTTTGAAGATGCTCTATGTATTTAAGTTAGTATTTCTGTGGAGTTTGACCGAAAAATTAATGTTACTAATAAGCACTTACGCTTTTAAAACAGTATAGAGATTGGAAAATATGGTTGTGTAGTCCATCTTCTCTTTTCGCGTTATCTTTTTCGTCGGTTCTTGTTCTTATTAATCGTTTGAGGTGTTTTGAGCTATGAAAACTTTATCAACTATTTGAATGTCGACATGAGTCGTATATAATGACTTTTAAGATGCATCGAATTATCATTCCGAGATTGACGAACCCACCTTGGATTCGGCCCATTCAATTGTGTTGTATCAAATAGTAATAATATATATATTCAATGTAGATGATGTTACGGCTAACGACGGATTCCAAGTCTCGGACTCGCGAAACTTTAGTAAAAAAGTATCTCTAGCAAACTGTTCAATTACTTGCCGTTAAATCGAGACGGTTGTACCATTTTCGGCGACTAATCGAGACTAGTTCTTTCCAGCATCAAGCGTTCTGTAATTCTTAGAAGTTATAAATTTGATGACTGCCCATTTTCCATGGTCTTTCTTCTGATGAACAGCAATTGGGTTAAGGTCCCATCCCACTTTCAGATCACTGTCAACCGAAGCACCAAATCTCGGTATCACGTAACAGTATCTTTCTGTGCTTGAGATGTCAATTGGTTTTACACCTTTGCCAGAGAGAGGCTTACTGTAAGTGATCAGAGACCCTTTCCGTGCAATATTCGCCAGAGGAGTGCTTTTGATGTCACAAAGAGTTTTCATTCTTGTCTTTGACGTCTCTTTGTTTTTATTCAATTGTAGTGCTTGAAAAACAAGATACTTTGGAGGCTCCTCCCCAGCTGTACTCAAAATAGAGTTTGGATGAATATACACATAACAGTCTTCAATGTCATTTGTTTTTTGTGAAAGTACAGGAACATATGGTATATTCATTATAGCCATTCGGTTAGAAAGCTTTGCGGTATCAGGGTGAAGATAGTCTGCTCTAATAGCAACTTGGTCGATAAACCCTGCACAGACCATTTGTTTAAGTAGCTTCACTTGGGCTTCACTTGGCACTCCGCACTTTAGATCACCTTCATTCACAGTAACAGCAATATTTTCGACAGAAGTATTGGATTTAACGATATACAAAAGTTGCTGTCTCAGTTTGCGTATTTCCTCAACCAACTTTGGCCTTAAAAAGTTTGACTCCATGAACGATGGTCTATTCTCAGGTTTAACATAATCTAGTGCACTAACAGCACTTAGTAATTTCATTACATCACTGTATCTGTCAAGCCTGCTGAATTTCGCCAAGCTCTTGAAATACTGTGAACGCAATTTTTTTTTTCTTTCATCATCATCAGAATTTGCTGGTTCGTCTTCGTTGTCCTCTTGAAAGCTCGCCAACCCCAGCTCATGTTCGGTGATGAATGGATCTCCCACGGAAAGTGCGCTTACAATGGTTATAATATAAGGCAAACAGCCATGTTCATTTCCCACTAACAGCATCTTTGAAAATCTTGGGCTTAGAGGGAAAAAGCTCATTGTTTTACCATCATCAGTGATGCGCTCGGCATCGTCGAGAGCACCGAGATATTGTAAAAGTTTAATTGCTTTGGATAATGATAAAACATCAGGAGGTGTCGGAAAGGGAAAGTTTATGATATTATAAATACCCATGCCCTTCATTTGTAAGACTACACTCTCGACTGGCATTCTCAAAATTTCAGGGCGAGAAAACTGTGCAAAATCATTTTCGTAAACAGCTGAAGAGTACAGACGATAACAGTGCCCTGGACCTGTACGACCTGCCCGACCACTTCTTTGGCCAGCAGAAGCCTTACTGATCCAATCTACTTCAAAGCTCTGAACACCGTTGTTCTCATTGTATTTTCTCTCCTTTGCTCTACCACAGTCCACAACATATCTAACATTGGGAATCGTCAGAGAGGTTTCCGCTACATTAGTAGCCACCACACACAGTCTCGAGCCTGCTGGCGGATTTTGAAAGACCTTCAGTTGCTCTTTGGTGGGTAAGAGAGAGTAGAGAGGCAAGACATAAAGAGGGTCATTCTTAGTTTGTCCATCTTCCAAAGTTTCTTCAAAACCCTCTTCATTGTCGTCTTCACTGGACTCGCTGATATCCGAAGTATCATCTATGTCCTGAACCTTAGCACTAAAATCAACCTCTTCAGCTTCTACGTCTGCATGCTTAGAGCTCACCTTCATCGTTGGAATGGAAGAATCCATTTCCTTCTGAGTCACTGAACCATTCGGAAAAGGAAACTCTCTTCTTAGTCTTTTCACCATATGATTGATTTCCTGTTGACCGGTCAAGAATACCAGAATTGCGCCTCGAGGTAATCTCTGATGAATCTTACATGTTTTCCTAAACGCTTCCTCCGCATAGTCAAAGGCAGTACGCTTGTTGAAATGAACCGAAACTGGGTATTGCCTAGCATCAACTTTTAAAACTGGTGGAGGAGAGGGAAATAAAGATTGATTGTTACTGAAGTCAGACACACGTAACGTAGCAGACATGATGATCAGTTTCAATCTCTTATTGAGAGCAGGATTCTCTAAATGTGCTTTGGCTCTCAGGCTTACACAACGACTTAGCATTCCGATCAAGATGTCGGTATTGATGTTCCTTTCGTGCGCCTCATCAATGATGATGGCAGAGTACTTACTCAGCTTGAAATCATTTGTCATTTCTCTCAACAACACACCATCAGTCATGAACTTCATTCTTGTGTCATCTTTTGTAGTGGAATCAAACCGAATTTGATAAGCAACTCTATCGCCGTAATTTCCTAATTCCTGTGATACACGCTTTGCCATGGAAACAGCTGCAACTCTTCTAGGCTGTGTTATACCAATCATTCCTGGATTTTCAGGAGATTGTGGATGACCATACCCAGATTCAAAAAGAAATTGGGGAACTTGAGTGGTTTTACCTGAACCAGTTTCACCGCAAACAATTAGAACATCATTATGATGGATTGCTTCCATGATTCTATGTTCCTCTCCGAAAACGGGCAGTTGCATTCTAACTTTTTGAATTTCCTCTGGCCTATTTACAGGGACATAAAATGCCTTTCTTTCAGATTTTTCATCTACAGGAGCATCGTTATCGCTCAAACCATCTTCTAAATCTTCCGGTCTCGTGATAGGCTTATATTCATAATCGAGAGTGGGTGTTTCCATCGGAAGATTGCTGCCGTCAAGCTTCTTGATTTCCTGAGTCGCCCACTCTTTGAATTCCTGTGCCTGACTCTTGTGATCATCATCTCGCATGCTATCTTCAGGTTCCTCGTTAGATATGTCCTCATAGTCTTCATTCACAGATGAGTTTTGGTCACTTGTAGCGGAATGGCTGTTCTCATTTAAAGAATCTTCTTCAGTTCCTTGCTTCTCGGATCCTTCTGATTCTTCGCCGGAGCTTGATTCAAAGTCAAGGTCTTCCTCCTTGGAGTGTTTGCGCTGTTCTTCCATTTCTATCCTTTGCTTCCAATTATACTTGCGTTTGGATGCTTTAGCAGACTTATTCACAACTTTAGCATTTGCGAAACCGAAACCAAATCCAGAGCCACCAAATTTACTGGGTCTATTGTCAATAAATGATGATTGCTTCGCTTCAGTACTGTCCTCTAAGTTGTCATGATCTTCTTCATTTTCTCCACCAGAGCTTCCTGATTCAGGCCAATCCTTAAGCTCTCTTTCCTCGTAGAGAATCTCCCTTACATGATCGTCACTTCTACCTTGCTTTTCCAACTGAAGTGCTTCTTCAAACTCTTCTTTCCTTGTTTGCCGCCCTTGCCCTAATTTCTTTGAGCTTGTTAAAATCGATGTATCTATCTTATAATCTTGTAGTTTTTCAATGAGAACCTTCTTCTCTTCTCTTTTCAGTTGATGTTCCACAAACTTCTCAAGCCTTTTTTTTTTGGCACGCGATACCTTGGAGTCGTTCGGCATGAAAAGCTCCTTCAATTTACGTTTTTTCAAATCCTTTTCTTCTTTACTCAATGGTTCGAGAATTTCGGCATTTGGATCTTTCTCTTTAATCTCTTTCGCTTCATGCTCATTGTTGTCCTCGGTTCCATCTTCAAGATGTCTTAAAAATTGCTTGTTTCTGACTTTTTTCAGTTCCTTCAGCTTGGCCATATGACCGGCACGGGCCTTTTCATTGAATCGCTTTCTATAGGTACCCATACCTTCGTATATTGGAGGTGAAAAGGCTGCTGAGACTGTGATTGGTTTCTTCTGTTCTGCGATGAGCAGGGCGATGAGCTTTGAAATTGAAAATTTTCGTATCATTAAAGACGAATCATAGAATCGATCTAGTCAATACTTGGAGTAACCGAAGTTGATGATAACATCGTAACCGTTGATTTAGATACTTTCACTGATAAAGTTTACCACAACATCTTTAATTGTTCGGCAGTCCATCTCATGGAAAAAAAGGTGATAACTGACGAAGATGGAGACTTATATGGAATCTTGAAGAAACCCAACATTCGCGAGGTTCAGTTCGGGATGGACAAACGTTTCCCCACCTGGTACGGAAGTGCTGTTTACTTCAGCAGCGATTACAAAACTTTAGGATTCAAAGACCCAGAGGAATTGAACTCGCGCTTACAGGTGAGAGATAAGGATTCCGATGGGTTTTGGTTGGACACGTTGTGTGTTTGTGAATACTGTTTCAAATACACCGATGACGAATTGGCGTTCAAAAGCCACATTCCAAATTGCCCTTACAAGAAAAAAGCTCCTGGCAGAATTAAGTACAAAAGCCCTCAATACACAATCAGAAGGGTCAAAGGCAGTAAACACCAGTTATTTTGCCAGTGCCTGTGCCTCTTCACTAAATTATTTCTGGATAACAAGTCGATGTACTTCAAAGTGGATCATTACGAATTTTATATCATATATGAGACTGGTTCTACGAAACCCATGGCATTTTTCTCAAAGGATCTTCTTTCCTACGCCAAAAATAATTTGGCATGCATACTAACATTCCCACCATATCAACGGCGACGGCTGGGCACTCTCCTAATAGATTTTTCTTACAAGCTGTCAATTCACGAAGGTATCTTATCAGGACCAGAACAACCACTTTCTCCATTCGGCTTATGTAGCTACCTGAAATACTGGAGCAGCGTCATCTGCTGGCAGTTGCTGGAAGGCGATCTAAGTGATAAGGGTAAATTAACGCTGAGTGACATTGCTGACGTAACAGGAATGAGAATAAATGATATAATCATTGCACTCGAGCACTTAAATTGTTTGAATAACGAGAAGGAGATTTCTCTGGCAGCCGTTCGAGCATGGGCAAGAGAAAATGCAACCTACGACTTGTTCATGTTACAAGATGAATATCTATTTTTAGATGATTAATCCACTGAACTATGGTATAAATGGCAACAACATAATTAATGCGATAATGGGTAGTCATTCAAACAACATTTGAATTTCTTCAATTCTTCTCTTTCGCCTTTCCTCTTCATCTGCATCAACAGCTTCACCTAAAGACCGTTTCCTATCTTGGATTCGTAGCATTTTTTCTTCAACGCTATGCTCCATTATAAATCTTGTCACTTTAACGTTGTTGATTTGCCCAATTCTATGAATTCGATCGATTGCTTGATCTTCTAAACTTGGTGACCACCACGGATCCATCATATATGCACGAGAAGCGCAAGTTAAATTTAAACCTACACCTCCAGCTTTCAACGAGAGAAGGAGGATCTTGAGTCTAGTGAGATCCTTTACACCGAAATCATTTAGCACTCTTGTGCGATCTTTAAGAGACAGTCGTCCGTCAAACTTGTAAATTTTGGCACTAGAAGAAGAAAAAGATGAGCTCAATTCTGCCTCCAAGATATCCAAGTAGGATGAAAACTGGGAAAATACCACTATCTGCTCGCCAGGACAAGCCTCTTGCAATCTCTTCAAATCTTTCAAAAGGGCACATATCTTGGAAGATCTTGAACTATTATCATAGAGTGTTATGGAAAGTTTACCGCCTGACTCCTTGACGCTTAGAAGTCTCTTCAGGTCAATTTCGTGCCGACAATTGGGGCATTTGGGTTTCTGGTTTTTCTCACCTTGAAATTTGATGTATTCCAATATGCAATTTTCGCAGAAAGCATGTGCGCATTCGGTGAAAAGTACTTGAGTAACAGGGTCAATGGGCTCTGAAGTACAAATGGAACACTCCAAGCCTCTTAAACTGTCATCCGAGGGAAATTTATCATTTATGTCGTTGAGTACTATTTTAAACTCATCATCAGTGAATCCACTTGGTTTATCGTTTTGCCCAATAAGATTGGAAACGTTGACGTTTTCTGTAAACCCTTTTCTTTCTGCTAGGTCTTCGTCATTTTCATCTTGAGATCCGAGTAGATTGACGTGACAGCACACCTGTCTCAATCTTAGTATATGAACCAAAATCGTGGAGTACTTTTTCAACAAATCACCACGGGCCAGCCCTTCCTTGACAGAATTTTCCGCACGATTCAAGAAGTATTTATAAAGCTTATCCTCATACTCATTGAATTTGACTTTCTCAATCGTAACTTCCTTAGGGGGGAGCTCGACTAAAGGCTTCCCATCAGCTCCACGCATTTGTTTTGTCCTTCTTAAGAGGACTGGTTCTAGGATGGAAGAAACCACATCAAATGCTTGCTTGTAATCTTTTTTTTCAAATGGCTCAGATACAAATGTTTTCCAATACCCGACCTGAGACCATGGTTCCAGCTTCATGAATTTAACTAAACTGTACAAATCATCCAATCTGTTAATAATAGGAGTCCCTGTCAATACCCACCTTCGAGAACTAGTCAGATCCATCATCGATTTGGAAGTGCGTGTGGACCTATTTCTGATCGTATGGCCCTCATCTATGACAATACGGAAAAATTCGACAGAGAAAAGGCCTGTATTGCTTTGGCTTAAACTTCTGCTCCACTCATTCTGAACAGTTCCATAGGTCGTCAACAAAACAGCTGGGGGAGTTTTGGTCCTTGTGAGAAGAGTCTTTAGGTTGCTTATATTACTTCCATAATAGATTTCACAGCGCATGCTAGGGTCTCTGCAAGCTTTATCAAACTCTTGTTGCCATTGAGATAACAATGACATTGGAACTATTATCAGGGTTGTTTTGGAAGCGTAGGGTTTGGAGCCGACAATGTTGCCATTGAGAAAAACTTGATCAGTAATTACAACATCGTCGTTTTCTTCGATCCGCCGCTTCTCATCGTATTTGACATCGAAAGGCACCATGGAAATCATCGCCAAAACTGATATCGTTTTGCCAAGTCCCATTTCATCTGCCAGAATACCGCCCTTGAGCATGGACTTGATAACAGGTTTGGTCTCAGAAAATTCACCCGTATGTAAGTTGGCGTAGAATAATTGTGCCTCAGATTTTTGGATCGTTTGTTGTACCTCAAGTCTTTGTGTTGTCCAAGACAAATCTCTTGGCCAGGAAAACTGTTTCCAAAGCGGATTCATCATGTTTCCATCGACGTCTTCTGCGCTACCAACTGATGGTGACAAGTCAAATTCACGTTCTCGTCTCAACATCCAAGTCAAGCCTTGCTTTTGATAGGGCCTCAAGTCCAGCTTGAACACCTCAGGAGGCGGAGTCGTTTCTGGTAAGATTTTTGAAGACTCCATGGACAGAGCAGACTTGTAAAAAGATTTCAACTGCTTGAGGTCTAGCACATCTTGCTGTATCTGAGTGTTCTGAATGGTGTGGTCCTTATTTGTGATGCTGTCTATGTCTTCACCAGTAGAATCATCCTCAAGATCTATGACCTCTTTTTCCGAAGAATTGGTAATGATGTCTACCCCATCAACATGTGGTCTCATGTGTACCTGATCAAATAATGCCAGTAGCGCAAGTCTCCGAGATCGCATTTCAAGCTCATCATCGGACTCGACAACTGCCTGGGAAAATGATCTTTTCTCCTGTGAGAATTTATTTTCTCCACGTACCTCAGTTTTATCAAAAATTAACGATGTCAAGAAACAGTCCAGTTGAACTATGAAAGTATCCCCAACGCTCAATCGTTTGTTATCACAAAAAACCATGGTTGCCTCAAATTCAAGCTCATCCGTATCAGCAAGAGGAAACAAAATTTGAGCTATGTTTTCAGGAACTCTTCCGACTTCTCTTCGAGAATCTGGATGGAAGAGTCTTACGTAGTTAGCCATTGATGCCTTCTTTTTCCCGTTAGATGTGTATAAACGAGATGCAGGATTATCAGATAAATTCTTAATTATTTCCAATTTGGTACCATATTGCAATGGCTTTGTTGTTGGCCTCGTAGCCAAGGCATTCACTTGAAGAGCACCGATAAATCTCCGCCATTCGATCGTGTGCTTTCTCTTCTTGTGTGAGCTACCCTCTAATGCTTTCTTTCTCTTAGTTGGAGTTGTTATACTCATATTCAGAGGTTTTGGAGATTCCGTAGAGCTATGTGCAGGACTGGGTTGCATTGCTTTCTGTACAGATGACGGATGGGATGATTTGTAATTAGTCGGTGAGCTTTCAAAATAAAGGTCTACGGCCGTAGATATCCTTTCGCCATGAAGGTCTACTGCTTCAGCACGCTTCAAAAGATTGCTGGCTTGTGAATAGGTCAAGTCAGGAATTACATTCTTTATCTTCTCTATTTCATCATCTTCTTTCGGTTGTGCTCCATTTGCGTCCGGTTGCTGGAATAAAAATGAGTCCTCATTTTCTAGAGATGCCTCTAGAATGCTGTCTTCTAGCTCTTCGTGGAAAAACCTCTTTCTTTCGCTGCCTTTACCTCCTTCTGCGGTCATTTAACTGAGCCTTATGAGGGAGTGCTATGGTCCCAAGTAAAACATCGCGACTTGTTTAACGCGTGTATTATCGCATTAAATGCTACAGTCACGCGACCTCGAAAATATTGACAGCTGAAATTCCGACAATCAAGAAGGAGATGAATGATGAGCATTTGAATACACAGTAAGAATTGAGCACGAAAGGGTGATGAATTAGCAGCAATGACACGAAATAAAAAGCTGGGAACATGGCTTTACAGAATCTCACTTTGTATTTTAATACTTTTTTTGTTGGGTTCTCTATCGTCGTCCCTATCGATGCTATGGCACAGGCTTCTAAATCACAAAACGATGCTTTAAATACTTTTATAGTAGTTGGTGCTTTTGTTGTATTTGGCGTTTTGTGTATCACTATTACTGTTGGAAGGATATTTGTACAGCGAAGCTGTATGCAAGATATACCGAAGAGATATATCCCTTTGGTTTCCGAGGACATGCCTCATAAGGGAAGTAGAAATCTCATATTAAAACAAATGAGTAGGTCCCAGAAGTTGAGCAATCTTTTCCAGAAGCCTAAAGATCATGTTATCCATGATGGTGTTGCTCCTCCGATTTATGCACATGATGTGGACGGGGAAGTAGACACCACAGAAGTTTTACCTGCTTATTTGAATTACGAAGAAAGCATTAAGATCATCACCAGCCGTTTGAAGTATCAAGGTGTTTTCACAAATATAATGACACTGGACCTGGAAAGAGATGACACGTTTGCTGAGATTGTACATTCTTTGTTTGGAAATAATAAAAAATGTGGGGAGGAGATCGAAGAATACATCGATCTTTACGAGACAATTCGTTTTTCTGGTAAAGAGATTAGTCAGGAACAATTTCTACGTTTTATGGATCTTTCACTATACTTCGTTGATATTATACTAACCACCAATAATGATAATAAGAAAGTTGCGTCGGGGTATAGAAGAAAATCCAACCACGCAACCCATTTGAGCGTCTCCTCATCTTTAGAAAATGGCCAAAATAGCAAGCTGACGATTTCACCCGTTAATACAGACGATTATTTCGACACAGATAGTGCGTCGCAATCGGATTCGGATACTACTGAAAGATCTAACATGCATGAAGAGGCGCCCACCGAAATGAATCGATTAAGAAAAGTAAACACGAGCGAAACGGTGGCTCGGAGAGTAGCATCGAATTGTGGACTGCAGGGACCTTTCAACTACGATTTAGATGAAAGTCAAGAACCACCAGAGAGTCAAAAGGACTTCAATAGGTGTCGCAACATTCTTTCTAAAATGGAAAGTTACAAATCCGTAGTACAACAGTCCCCATCGTAAAGACTGAAATCCTTAGTGCATATCCCTTATAAAGTGGTACATACTGCCTTACTCGTGCTTTGCCTTGGAGTAGCTGACTTTTTCAATGGAGTATTTTCTACTGATTACAATTGCTCTAGCTCTGTCAACCACTGCTGCAACAGAGTCCTTGTAGGAGCATGAGAAATATTACTGTCAGTCACTGTTTTGAGTCTCTCTGACATCGAGAGGTATTCATCAGAGTACTTTCTTAGGATACTCTTGATGAATGACATCGATATTTCATATTTCCAAGTCAAATCCAAACGGGGTAGCTCAGCAGATACATCAATCATGCTGCCCTCGTCGATATCTGGTGCCACAATTTCTTCTTCAAGCGAAACTTCAAGTTTTGTAATAACATCTCCAACAATCGATACAAGTCTTTCGAAAATAAATTCAAACGTTTCCACACTGATATCTTTTCTCAATGACAATTCAGTCAAGTTTCTAATAGTAGACTCAATGGATGTAGCATCGACCAAACCCCAGTTTTTGTCATTGACATCCAAGAATGAGAAATTCAGCACACTCTTTATAGAAACCATGTCGCCATTTTTGAATGTGTCAATAATTAGAAATCCATTTTGTGAATTGCAGTTCCAGTATCTGATAACTGCCTCAATAATCCATAATTCTTTTAAATCTTGAGCGAGTTCCATTTTAGAAAATAGCTCTTCTAGTTCGTTTCTTGAGTCGCTGATATATTTGTTAGCATGTGATATAGATCTATTACCACAGTAAACCAATGTCTGAGTGAGTAATGTGACAGCAAATCTATTGAAGTCGACGATTATTTCGCCATGGTCTGCTTGCAATTCCTTCAAAATGGACTCTATCTCGTTCACATTTCTATCTAGAGGCTGCTTGTGAAAGTAATCCAAAAGTCTCTGAACTTTTTCATGAAATGGAAAGCAATCTTGCCTAAAGTATAAATCATTATCTCTTAATAACTCTGGATCAACTTGGAAATCCTTAAAAAAAGATTGATAATACTGTAATAATTGATCTTTTGGAATAAATGAACTATCCAGGTACTTTTTGAATTCGTCAGTCAAACTATCCTCTACGTCGGGACGATTGGAAGTTAATCTCAATTCCTTCCTTATTAAATTTCTCATGAATGTTACTTTGGGATTATAAAATGACTCGCCGAACTTCATAGAGTCATCTTCCCATTCATTCCATTTCCAAGAAAAGTTGAAGTTACTAACTTGAATGGAAAACCAATCAAGATATCTGAGTTTTAATTCCAGATCCAAACTATCCAGGTTATTGTAAAAAAATCTAAAAGCTCTTCCAAACACCGGAGCAATTGCCTTTGGCGAATTTTGGCATATTTCAACCAATAAAGTGTAGAAGTAAGCAAATGATTGAGACACGGTTGGCAATTTGAAGATCAAACTCAAAATGTTTTCAATTGCTAAGTCCTCGATTTTGAACGTGGAGATAATCGGATTTTCCTCATGAAGAGCGACAAGCTGAGCAATTGATTGGCCAGGCTCGGTGAAAATTCCAGGCTTAAAGAACAAATCCAAGGTAATAACTTGCCTTGCAACCTCTTTTCTGTTGAATTCTACACTCTCAACAATGTCAATTATAATATCATCGAATAGCATCCCAGCGTATGTGGTTAGTGGAATTACAGTTTCAAACTCACCGATTGAATTTGGCAAGTAAACCCTGAAGGAGTGACGAGGCGTTTTCCACATCCCGTCAACAGATCCAAGACCTTTATCTAGACCACTAAATGATTCTAATTGGGTCACCGTGGGCAAGTTCAAAGGATCGTTGAAACCTTGACTTTCTGGTTGCTCTGGCAACAAGTGGTCATAATCAGGGAATAGTTCACTCAGCTGTTGCATATTATCAGCAAGTACTCTCTTAACATTAGGCAAAACTGCCTGTATCCACTGAACTGCCTCATAAGGAGGGTTTTTGTTGTATTCTTTGATCAAAGAGATGTTCGTTTGCTTAACTTGGTATTGAGTCTCAACATAAGAAATCAATTCGGCAACGTTTTCTCTGAGAGACTCATTAGTCCTTTCGAAAAAAAACAAATATGGAATGTCCAAAAGAGTATTGGTATAAATTGCTTCGGAAAGAGGGTTCCTCTTTTCTGGATGAAGATTGTTCAATTCCACAGAAAGTTCAAAGAGTTTCTTGTACAGTAAAATCAACTCATCTTGTAAAACCATGGGGGATAGCAATGACAGGAATCTCAACAAAAGCTTAATTTTGTTCCAAGCACCGGTTTCATTAGAAGTTACTTCAAAGCTATCATCAATACTATGGTCCGCCCATTCTTGCAATTTGGTGAAAAAAAAATTGAGGATGCTTTTACCAGTTGTCGGGCTACCAGAATTGACGGCCATAGTCAACAGTGCAATAGCCGGTTGCTTCTGCGGTTGTTCGACAACAACAGCATACAAAGTGCTCAGTAAAGCAGTTCTGAAGTACTTTTCATTCCCAAACTCATTTACAATCGCCTCACTCAAAAACTTGATATCTTCTTCGAAAGCTTTCACAGATTCACCAATTGTTCTAATATCAGGCATCATTTCCTTACAAAGTTGAACCACTGGAGGAATTCTTTGTCTTTTAGGCATGCGAGGCCTATAATCACGATAGCCATCGTCATCGTCGAAATCTAAAGATAGGATCATCGTTAGTATGAAAAGAAATAATTCAGAGACGCATCCGATGTCTAAAAAGATGTAATAGGATTGAAGGAGTTTAGGAATAATACAAAGGTTGTTTAAGTCATCTTCATTGCCACAAAGCCTGCATGTCGCGAAACGTCAATATTGGCCAAGTTGGTTTGACTTTTTTTATTCCTAAATCGCCCATTGATACATCACTAAAACAACTGATGCCGTTTGATAAGGCACACATACCATGTCTTCTCTTAACACCTGACATTTTGGTGAAAAAATGCTCCTTCGATGTTTTGATTAACCTGTGTAGCCATTGAAACAGGTACCAGATAGATTTTTTTTTCAATTGGAAATTAACAGACGTGCCAAGCGACTAAGACGTGAATCAATACATAAAAACATGCTCATGCCAATTGAGAAGATGCATAGGTCCTTTACTTTGTGTTACATACGTCTATTTAAATGCAGAATTTAGATTTTGGGGGTCAAGGCTCTCTTTAAGTAAGGAAATCTCATTATCCCTTTTGGTGATCTCCTTGTTTAGCGTCTGGATTTTGTAAACCAAATCTAATGGGTTCGGTTTGACTCCATGTTCCCGCAACAGAATTTGTTCTTCAGCGATGTATCTTTTCAGCCTTTCGTCGTTCAGCTCCTGTATTAGCTCTACTATTTTGGATGATTTCTTGCGCAGCTCAATTTCAAAATCTGATAGAGAAAGGTTTTTGTATGGATCAGCGTCTGGTTCACGAGCGAGCAATTGCTGTTCCAAATTCGCCTCTCTAGCTATGGACTCCGCCAATTCTTTTGAAATAAGCTCTAATTCGTCCATCAAAGAGTTTCGCTCGTTAAGTGCACTTAACTGTTCTCCCGATATGCATATTGTCTTAAACTTCTTACGATCTTGCAAATCAACAGCTGGCTCTAGGTCGTCCATTGAAGCAAAAAGAGGTTTATATGGTCTTCCAACAGAATTGTCAAAGACAAAATCATCATCAGAGTTGGTTATCGAACTACTGGGTGGTAATTCCACTATTGGACCAACGTTTGAACTACCGGGCCGGCTTTCTCTAACATCGAAATGACCGTCAGATATGTCATTGTGGTACAACTTGCTAGAGTCTGCAGCAAGGCTTTGATCCAAAGGTGGGGATTTCTCTGAAACACCTCCTTCTTGTATATCCGCCAACGCTTTAGGATTAGCGTGGGTCTCTGGTTGTAGAATATTTGTGGATGAGTTTGAGAAAAGTGAATGAAACGATTTCCTTTTGTCACTCTTTTGATTCCACAATGTTCCAGGTTCAATTTCATTATGTTTTAAGCTGGGTATGCTATCCACACTTGAATGCCTTTTGTTGATGCTGGCGATACTTGAGCTTCTGCTATGAGGACCCTCCTTCTCTGATTTTGACTGTCTCGAGGAGATCCTTTTCAAAAAGCTCCTCGCTTTACCGAAACCTTTAGCTTTGGAATTAACTTGTTCAACCTCGGCAGAAGGGAGAGTCGTGTCAGATTTTGCGTAAGAATGACTTGTGTCGGTTTTTTTGATGGTAATCTCGGATTGATTAGATGCACTGGTAACATTCTCGTTGTTGACATCGAGAAATTGAGATGCAGTTACATATCCGTTGGCATCTGTATCGTTTTCCAGTTTATAAAGACCACCCTTTGTAGTTCTTTTCTTAATAGGTGAGTCCAGGCTGTAAGAAGAGCGAAGCGTTGTGATAGATTGATGCTTGGCATTTTTAAGATCACCAGTGTGGTCGTCCTGCTGGGCACCAGCAACATTGCGTGCTATCTTCGGCGAGTCATCGAGCGTGAGAGAACCCAATCCAGACTCTAGCATACTAGATGGTCTGAGGTCAAGGTCGGGTTCTGCCGAAATCTCGCTCAAGTTTCTGCGGTGCAATTCTTCATTTGAAACGCGATTGTGCTGTTCTTGTTCGACTATATGCTCCCGCTCGCGCAGTTCTTGCTGCTGAGGATCTGAAAGTTTTAAAATGTTCAATTTACCCGTCTTGGCGATCTCGTGTTTTAGCGGGGATTCTCTGTGGGCAGTGTGCTCGTTTTCGGGAGCAGCTGTGGCCTGCTTGGCGGGTTCATCACCTAGTTGACTCTCGGGAGTTTCACTCGACACGTAATCGGAGGAACGGCTATTGGAGCTAGTTAAAGACGAAGAAGAAGGAGGAGTGGTTGTATGGCCTCTTGGAAAGGGGGAGGCTTGGGAGCCAGAGGGTCCCTGGGGTCCCTGTGGCTGTTGAACCCCTGGATGTGCTTGTCCAGGGTGTTGTCCTGGTGCTGGTGCTTGTCCTGGTGCTGGTGCTTGTCCTGGTGCTGGTGCTTGTCCTGGTGCTGGTGCTTGTCCTGGATGTTGCCCTGGTGCTTGTCCTGGTGCTTGTCCTGGATACGTTTGTCCTGGATACGTTTGAGGTCCCTGGGGTCCCGGAGGTCCCTGTGACGCGGGGCCTACCGGATATCTCTGGGGCCCTTGGGGTCCTTGTCTGGGTACCACTTCGCGGGAAGTGTTTTCGCGGCCATACGCGTTGTTAGCGTACATCTGGGGCCTAGGACCTTGCAGAGACATGGCGCGTGGGCCGTTACCATAGTAAGGCTGTTGTGGACCCGGTGCGAAGCCGGGACCGCCGGCCTGAGGCACACCCAAAGGCGGTACCCCAGGTCTGCGACTAGACGTCAATGACATGGCGCGTGGCCCGCCAGGTGCAGACTGTGGTGCAAACGGACCTTGGCCTGGTGGGGGCGCCCCGTCTGGTGGATACTGGCGAAAACGCTGAGGAGGTCCCGACATCATGGAATTGGCTCTAGCATAAGGTGGGATTGCGCCTGGCCCCGCTGGATGCGGACCAGGATGCTGGTACGGGTTGTACGAACTTTGCAACGACATGGTGCGAGGTCCACCGGGCGGGAACGCGCCCGACGGGCGTTGCTGCTTGCCCTGCTTGGCCGCCGCGGACATTGCCATTTTTTTTTGCGCGGAAATGTGCTTACGGTACTCGATATTGTTCATATTGTCGTGCTCGCGAGTGATGATCGTGGGGATGATGGGTGTAGTGTCGTCGAGCGCGCCACCAAAGCCGTACTTGTGGCCACCGTTGTTGCGAAGCGACGATATGTCATTGAAAGTGACCATCGAGGTGTCCGAATCTGCCATCACGGTGTCCTCGTCGTCGTCATCGTCTTTTTCCTTGGCGCGGCCGTGACGCAATTTGAACAGGTTCGACAGCCCACCGGATTGTAGCGACATCTTGGAGCTGGAGGACTGCGCTGGCACGGGAGCAGACGCAGACAAACGACGCGGCGTCGCGCCCACGCCAGCTCCGCCGTAGGGCGCCTCGTACGGCTGCTGGTACGCCACGGGAGGCTGGGGCCCGTTGTAATACGGCTGCTGCTGGTAGCCCACCTGGTGCTGGTACTGGGCTGCGGGCGGCGCCGCAGGCGCCGCCCTGGCGCGCGCATTCATGGGGGGTTCTTGGGCCACATCGATGGAACCGATGTCGCTGTTGAGCAGCTGGTTTCGCAGCTGCGCGCGCGACGTGCCGTTCTTGTTCATGGCAGAGAGTCCTGCGTCCATGGTGCGTGTAATGTCTTGGAGGGGCGTTTAGAGGGCTGCCGGGTGCGCGATTGCAGTAGCGAATGCAAAGTTGAGCCTCGAACTTGGTGAAGTACGAGAGTGGAGCGGGGATTCTGGCGGTTGGGGGGCCAAAAAAAGTCGGAGATTGTAGCCGCGCTGCGTTCGAATAGGTTTAACGTGTTTAACGGAGCGCAATGGGGGGTGGGTCTGTGCTGGCCGTGTTTCTGTTCTGCCTGCCTCAAGTGGGAACCATTCACCGGATTGTTCTTTTTTTTCCATGCCGTGGAGCGTGGCGACCAGCGCAGAAGTTCTATTTTCTGCCCGGCAACGGAATGGAGGCGGGCGGCGGGCCGGGCAGAAAACCAACGACATGGAAGCACGTAACACGACAATGGGCTGGGGCTCAGCTTCTGCAGTGTGTATTGGCTATACAGGGCTACGTAGATGCTACACTTTTCTGGAGCGGGTGGCGGCGGCGCCAGAGGCGCCGCTCGCGCCCGTGGAGCGCGCGGTCGTGACTGCAACTGCAGCTGCGGGCTCGGCGTCGGCCGCGGCCGCGGCCGCGGGCTTGGCGGCCAGCTCGTCGTTGGACTTGAGCTCGGCACTCCTGAGCTCGGCCACGAACCACGTCACGGTGATCCACAGCGCCGTCGAGATCGCCAGCAGCACCATGAAGTGCACGTTGCGGGTCAGGAAGATCAGCCACGCCAGACACAGCGTCAGAAACACGAACGACACGTGCGTGGCCACCAGCAGTTGTGGCGACGCGCCTGGAGAGAACACGCTCTCCCAGAGCTGTGCGAAGAAGGATGCCATTGGGACGAGAGGGCGGTCCGAGCGATGTTGCAAGGCAGAGAGAGAGAGCGAGAGAGAAAAACGAGGCGACGCGGGACTCGCGTCGCCGTGTACGGCTCGCGCCGCACGGCGGGTCACGTGCAGGTTGTTCATTACCGTATGTAGCGACAGATATCCGAAAAATACATAAGTCCGCGTTTCGTGCGCAGTGCGCGGCTCACAAGCCCGAGCCCAGCACGAACGAGCCCACCATGGTGGCGCCCAGCAGCACGCCGAACTTCCACGACACCGGGTTGGCCACGACGTTGGCGACCGCGGCGCTGCTGGCGCTGGCGGACGAGCTGGATGTCGCGGACGACGAACTGGCCGATTCCACGGACGACACGGACGACGACTTGGACGACGCGGCGGACGACAGAGACGATTTCACGGACGAAACCGCGGACGAAACAGACGACGCTTCGGAGCCGGACAAAGACGACACGGTGGACGCGGCGACGTTGGCGTTGGACACCAGGTTGGATTGCGTAGCGACAGAAGAGGAGGCCATGATAGTGTGTGTTGTGATGTTATGAAGGATGTGATGCGGGAAGAAAGAGAATGCGCGCGAGTTGCTCGAGTTGCTTGACTTGCTTGGTTTGCGCTCTTAAGCCTTTAAACGCCAACCTCGATCAACACTTATATACAGATCGGGGCAAGATCGGGGCAAATACAGCGCTGGTTTCTCGTAGATTGGATGCGGTTTGGCGGCGTCGCACATTCCACGCGTCGGCGAGATCCAGGCCCTCGCGCCCAGACGCGGCCGCGGCGTTTCGCGTCGCGGCCGGTGGCGTTCCGCGCTTGGCACAGCGCCAAGGGCGGCGGCGGAGGGCGCAGACCGTGCTAAATATAGGAGGGTTCGGGCGGCGATGACGTGCGAGGCGGGCGGACTGCCGGATCGGGCAATAGGGGGGCTTCCGGATCGGGCAGGGTGATGGGCGGGGCGGTGGCTGGGTGCAGGGCCGTGCCCGCGTCGCATTCGCGACGCGGTCACGTGGCGCCCGCGTGCGCGCTGCCCTTTCTCGTCGTCGTCATGTGCTTTACCTGTGCTATACCGTGCTATACCGTGCTATATCGTGCTACACCGCGCTGCCTGCCGCCTGCCGCCTACGCCAGCGCCCCCGCAAACACCAGCACCGCCACCGCCGCGCTCAGCTTCCACGGCCCGCGCCCGGCCGCCGCGTTCTGCGCCGTGTCCATCTGGCCCTTGCTGGCCGCCACTGTCGTGGCGGACGGCGCGACCGAGGTCGCGCCCGACGAAGCTGCACCGCCGGAGCCTGCAGCGCTGGAACCTGCAGCGCTCGGCGTGCCCGCGTCCGCCGTCGAGCTCGACAGCGTCGTCGTTGTGCGCGGGGAGTACTCGAATGAGCTCGAGTACGCAGTCGTCGTCAGCATCTGCGACGACGCCAGCGAAAGCACCGTGGCCGAGCTTTGCCCGCCTGCAAACGCATACGATACCGAGGCCGTGTCCCAGTCCGAGCTGTCGATCTGGATCGAGGATTCCATCGTGAGACCAAAGCGCAAGAGAGTGTTTTGTTTTTATTGGCACGCCGCCGTGTCGATCGCAACTGGGTCTCTGCGTGCTCCTTCCTCCAGTCTGCCTCCGTTATATACGCTGTGGCTGTTACACCATTTACCGTTTCATCGCCCACATACCGACCCTGTTACACACCGGCCAACGCTCCGGTATGCCGCGCGTTTGACGTCGCGGCAGCCGCTACGTCATGCGTGCGACGGATGTGCCGCCAAACGGTTTCAGCCTGAAAAATAAATAGAAGGATTCGCATACTCCGCATTCGTGGACCGGGCCACGGCCAGCGGAGCCCGCGCTCCGCTCAAAGCAGCTCAGGGCCCACAGTTCGCGCGTGTCGACACTGGACGCGTGCGGCGGGGCTCGAGCACACCAAACTGCCCTCCTGAAGAGCTGCGGGGCCGAGGCCCGCACCCGCAGCACAGATACGGGGGCCACAGGCCGCGCGATGATGCAATGGGTGCGGGCAAGGTCCGGATTGCGTCGAGACGTTGCGGCGCGGACGCGGACGCGGACCAGGCGGCCGCCACGCTGCGCTGGAGGAGGAGCAGAGCAGGAGGCAAGCGAGCTGCGATGCGAGCTATCACGGCGCACGGAGCACGGCGCACGGCGGCACGTGCGCCCCGCGCACGTCCTGGTCCGCCCCCCGCGAAGCTCCTGGCACGCCGCCCCCCACCCACGCACGCCGCGCCGCAGCGCATCGCCTGAAAAAGTTTTCCGGGAAAAATTTTTCACCGGCCCGCTCCGCGAAGCCCACCAGTATATAAGTTGTAAAGGTCGCGCGCGTCGCATCAAGCATCGTTTCATCCTCCGCTTACACGCAAAGTAGTTAAAAATGGGTGCCTACAAGTACTTGGAAGAGTTGCAAAGAAAGAAGCAATCCGATGTGTTGAGATTCTTGCAAAGAGTCAGAGTCTGGGAATACAGACAAAAGACCGTCATCCACAGAGCCAGCAGACCTTCTAGACCTGACAAGGCCAGAAGATTGGGTTACAAGGCCAAGCAAGGTTTCGTCATCTACCGTGTCAGAGTTAGACGTGGTAACAGAAAGAGACCTGTGCCAAAGGGTGCCACCTACGGTAAGCCAACCAACCAAGGTGTTAACCAATTGAAGTACCAAAGAGCCTTGAGAGCCACCGCCGAAGAAAGAGTCGGCCGTCGTGCTGCCAACTTGAGAGTCTTGAACTCCTACTGGGTCAACCAAGACTCCACCTACAAGTACTTCGAAGTCATCTTGGTCGATCCTTCCCACAAGGCCATCAGAAGAGATGCTCGTTACAACTGGATCTGTAACCCAGTTCACAAGCACCGTGAGGCCAGAGGTTTGACTGCCACTGGTAAGAAGTCCAGAGGTATCAACAAGGGTCACAAGTTCCACAACACCCAAGCCGGTAGAAGAAAGACCTGGAAGAGACAAAACACTTTGTCTTTGTGGAGATACAGAAAATAAACGGGCAGCTGATCCATCTTATTGCGTTTTTAGTCTATATACAACAGTCTTGGTACGTAATTTTTTTATTCAGTTTTCCATTTTTTTTTGACCTGCAGCTGCTGCTGCCCTGTTTTGAACTCTCCCTTCAATTTCAACCACTATCTCCCGTGGCTGCCGCTTTCCTCACTCATACATCCATGTTTTCCACCACCTTGCCCACCTCTTCAACGTTCATATCGGCGCCATCTTTGTGCATCAGTTTTGACTCTTGGTGCGCTCAACTTTATTCGTACATCGTAATTCCACTAATAATGACTCTTGCCTAATAAAGGGAGGAAAACGGAAGACCAAAAAAATTTTCCACTATCACCATAATATAAATTGAGTGCGATTAATTACTTAGGCTAACGGTGCTAGCCAACGAATCCTCTCTGACCGCGAAAAAGCACGTAAAACTTACATGTCCACCTACAACAAGACCGCTATTCTATCTGTCTACGACAAGACTGGATTGCTAGATTTGGCCAAGGGTTTAGCCGAGAACAAAGTCCGCATTCTCGCTTCCGGTGGTACCGCCCGCATGGTGCGCGAGGCTGGCTTCCCTGTCGAAGATGTCTCTTCCATCACTCATGCTCCAGAGATGTTGGGTGGTAGAGTCAAGACTTTGCACCCTGCAGTCCACGGTGGTATTTTGGCCAGAGACCTAGAGTCCGACGAAAAGGATTTGGAAAAACAGCACATCGAAAAGGTCGACTTTGTGGTTTGCAACCTCTACCCTTTCAAGGAAACTGTTGCCAAGGTCGGTGTCTCCATCCCTGAGGCTGTGGAGGAAATTGACATTGGTGGTGTTACTCTATTGAGAGCCGCTGCCAAAAATCACGCCAGAGTGGCCATCTTGTCTGACCCTAACGATTACGCTCAATTCTTGGGTGAATTGTCAAAGGGTGAAATTTCTCAAGAATTGAGAAACAGATTGGCTCTAAAAGCCTTCGAGCACACCGCTGACTACGATGCTGCTATTTCTGATTTCTTCAGAAAACAGTACTCTGAAAACAAGGCCCAATTAACTTTGCGTTACGGTGCTAATCCTCACCAAAAACCTGCTCAAGCTTTTGTCACCCAACAAGAAGAACTTCCTTTCAAGGTCTTGAGTGGTTCTCCTGGTTACATCAACTTGCTAGATGCTTTGAACTCCTGGCCATTGGTTAAAGAGCTATCTGCCTCTTTGAATTTGCCAGCTGCCGCCTCTTTCAAGCACGTTTCTCCAGCAGGTGCTGCCGTTGGTCTACCATTGTCCGACATTGAAAAGAAGATTTACTTCGTCGCTGACATTGAAAACTTGTCCCCACTAGCCTGTGCTTACGCTAGAGCTCGTGGTGCCGACAGAATGTCTTCTTTCGGTGACTGGATCGCTTTGTCCAACATCGTAGATGTCCCAACTGCAAAGATCATCTCTAGAGAAGTTTCTGATGGTGTTATTGCCCCAGGTTACGAGCCAGAGGCACTAGAAATCTTGTCCAAGAAGAAGGGTGGCAAGTATTGCATTTTGCAAATCGATCCAAACTACTCTCCAGAAGCTTTGGAGTCTAGACAAGTTTACGGTGTCACCCTGCAACAAAAGAGAAACGATGCTATCATCAACAAGTCTTCTTTCAAGGAAATTGTCTCTGCCAATAAGAATTTGAGTGAACAAGCTGTCGTTGACTTGACTGTTGCTACTATTGCCTTAAAATACACTCAGTCCAACTCCGTTTGTTACGCTAAGAACGGTATGGTCATTGGTCTAGGTGCTGGTCAACAATCTAGAATTCACTGTACTAGATTGGCCGGTGACAAGGCCGACAACTGGTGGTTTAGACAACACCCTAGAGTCTTGGCTTTCAAGTGGGCCAAGGGTGTTAAGAGACCTGAAAAGTCTAACGCTATTGACCTGTACGTGACTGGCCAGATCCCAACTGAAGAGCCAGAAAAATCTGAATACGAATCCAAGTTTGAGGAAATTCCTGTTCCTTTGACCAAAGAAGAGAGAAAGGAATGGATGGACAAGTTGACCAACGTTGCTCTATCTTCAGATGCTTTCTTCCCATTCCCAGACAACGTTTACAGAGCCGTTAGATCCGGTGTCAAGTATATCGCTGCTCCTTCTGGTTCCGTGATGGATAAGGCAGTCTTCAGTGCAGCTGATTCTTTCGACTTGGTCTACGTCGAGAACCCAATCCGTTTGTTCCACCATTGATTGGTGTAATATAGATCATTAATAATGACCGTACAGTGTCTACTATTTTGTATAGTATTTTTACGAATATAAAGCCTTTAGTTTTGATTTTTGGAAACAAAGTCCGAGTTCAACCAGAAGAGTTTTATTCTGGTGAATTCTACCAATAACTACTATTCAAGGAAAACGAAAAAAAAAAAATGTCTGCGGTATGGTTTTACCCAAGTGATAATAGGCCCATAGGACCTACACAGCGTTTAGGAATATACCGCGGTAGGACGACAACTAAGACGATCGAACTCAATCGATGCTTCTCCGAAAAGAAAAATCGAGAATTCTAGATCGTGCATCCTACTTAATCTAAGTACCCGTCGACGGGGCTCTTCTGTCTCATCCATGAAACATGGCAACAACCAACCACCAATAATACAAATAGAAACGACTCAGACCCTGCCGAAGCAGAGGAGAAGTATAATACTTGAAGATGCTTGGTTCCTTGAGACTCTGCCTCTCGAGCGCCGATCTATCAAGAAGAATATGGAGAAGCTAAGCAACAATAGCAAGGAACAAAGATTAGTCCCGAAAGAGTAGTCCCGTTCCTCTTCTCCTTATTTCTTCTGACTCAGGTCCACATTTTTAGAAGAAAATTTAACAACTGCAGCGATGAGATAGATTTCCTCTTTTTATATGTTAAGCAGAAAATTTTTTTCTTACCCGGCTATCGTCATAATCCCGAGAAGGGCTCATAAGAGGTGCCGCTTCTTTCTGGCTCAAGAGATTAATCATGTACATGAGTGTATTTCATCAGATAATCATACGTAGCATTATACAGCATTTAACTTGCTATAACCATTCACAGGAGACCTACAGCATATGCATGTCTTAAACCCCCGTAGACCTAATGATACCCTGCATTCTTCACACAACGCGAAGCATCTGCAAGGCCATAGCACAATGTTTCTTGGATTAGTTTTACAAACAACACACGCAAGATCAATTCCACTGCTATCTGATGATGCTGGTTGTGCTGAAGTTAACAATCTTTCTATCATAACTTCTCGCAGGATTGCAGGCTCGTTCAGCTTGGAATACTGCGACCTTGTGAGACGTTTGTTCTCCTGGAACTTGCATTTGAGTATTGTCCACACGGACAGAAACCAACTCAGGTCTGAGGGTGTTTCTTGGGCCGAGCTCGGTGCAGATGCGATAATCAAGTCTGAAAGGGCCTCCGTACAGGCCAATTCTGCGTTGATACTGCCATCTTTTTCGGTAAACTCATTGTCTCTGTCATCGTCATCTTCATCATGACGTTCAGCATATTCGTAATCCTGGTCGTCATAATTCTCCTCATCATCTTCGCTTGGCAAATAGTCTCCGGAAAAATCTTCCTCAGGAAGTAAGTAGCGCGAACCACAATTGCTGTCGTCAGCGCCCGCAGTTAGAAATTTGACGTAGTTCTTTTCAGTAACGTAATCATTGTAGTTTTTCCTTTGCTGCACAGTAGATGATTGTGGGACTTTTACGTTGCCCGCACCCTTAAAGAAGCATTTTATCCTAAAGGCAAAGGCTGCGGTCAGTTCCTTGTATGCAAGAACCCTTTTCTGCCACACAGAGCGCTCGATGACTTGATGCGAAGCATTATTTGAATCATCGGGCATAGTAGACCATTTCTGCATGTACCCACTAACAAAGAACGATTTGTGAATATCTGCAGGACTGTTCAATTCTGGAAACTCTCTGTGAATGCCGTGCTTACGAGATTGTTCTGGGTTGCAAACAAGTATTGCCAACTTTATCAGCGTCGTTGTGAATTCTTCTTCGCCCGTGCAGTTCAAGTTTGCATACCAATTGTTCATAAACGATTGGCATTGCAATTGTGATGTGTCTGAGGTGGTTCCCGAAGAGGAAAAAGGGTTGAGTCTCGCAATGCAAGCAAGCAGGTAGCACGCAAGCGATACGAGGATGCAGAAGAGCGAGAAGAGCTTCGGGAAGTGCCGATACCGGCTGGTGAGAGGCATGGCATCCAGTCCGAAGAAATACATGCTGCGGAACATGTAAAATAGGTACCCACAGTTTAGTACAGTAGAGAGCATCAACCGGCGATTGCGTCGATTGGTGAGCTCTACGAAGTGGATAATAAGTCTTCCAAATAGTGCCATGAGACAATCCGGAGCGTACTCGGCAAGCGCGGGCGAGTTACGCGAAAGCGAATAGAATTGGATCGAGAGCTCGAATATTGTGTAATCGAATTCCTCCATGGGTTTGGAGTTTGTAGTCGTTGTAATAAATGTCTCTATGCAATGCGACAAACATATTATCGTGTAGGTTTGTGCTAGGTAGCTATCGATATCGCTGGCCGCCGTTGCCTGCGCAGGCATTATGCCAAGCTGCCCAAGCGTAATGCACACGTTATACACAAGCAATGCGATCGCAACCGCATGGAATAGAAATTTGGACCAAAGCGGCAGATCCACGCGTTGCGCGTTCGCGCGCAGCGACGCCATGGCCACAATCCGGTTGAGCACTAACGCGGTCACAAAACACCCCACGGCGTAGTTGCTGAAGAAGTACCCAACCGACTCTACGAAAGTTGAGGTATTGAGTGCCATGGAATCTGCCCTTGTACCCATTTCGTACTCTTTGTACTGGCTTGCGATTGCGGAATAAAGTGAGCGCGCTATTTGATATGGATAGTTGATCGCTGACGAAAACACCACACTGCTATCGATCAATGTCGCATTGGACTGATTCAGATAAGCTAGCTCATCGAGCCCACTGCCGTTGACAGACCTCATGTCGTGCAGAGGCCACGTTAACAACGCAATGCACTTGTAGGGAGCGCTTTTGAACGATACATCGTTAAAGGTTGATACCAGGTCACTTTATACGCTCCATTCCCAACCTCTTTGACGGCGTGATTAACACCTCAAGTTGTGGAAAAGTATTGTTTCAGAACTGTTGGGGAACTCAATGTCGCTAAACCCAACGTAATTGCGGTCCTCTTTCATTTGAGAGCCCGCTAGAAGCCAAGTAGAAGTCACTTTCCGATTTCAACATGCGTTTATATGAACGGCAAAAAAAATGGTTGCTAAGAGATTCGAACTCTTGCATCTTACGATACCTGAGTGCTCCGCCCTGTGGACGTTAAGAGTAACTCTTGAATCAGGCGCCTTAGACCGCTCGGCCAAACAACCTATTTGTTGAAATAGTGGAAATCAGTACCATCACTTAACTTCTCTGTGGTGCACGTGAGATCCACATTTCAACGCTAAGTAAACTTATTGTTAGACAAACAGTGATTTTATTGTCCAGTAGGCATGTTGCTCCTACACTTTTGACATATTGTTTGCACCCTAATTGCCGTAGTCATCTGTGGTCGTCGAAAACGTGGCATAGTATGTCTCCTTTAAGGCATACACCAAAAGCGATTTGCCGCCCGCCGAGTGGAATGGCAGCATCTTGGCATCCTCTTAAAAAACGGTAAGTCGCGCTGAGGTGGCGCTTACTGTGTGATTGATATCAATAATTCAAATTCTCATAAATAGTGTCTGTTTTCAAGACTTTTGTATACGCTTTTTTTTTGTTTTGGTAGCGGAGTTGGTATCCCTCTTGCTCGATGTTTTAATTTTTCGAACACTCATCAATTAACCCGAATTAAATGAGTCAAATATGGCTGTGGAAAAAAAAATATAAAGTGGACATAAAGTCTAAGTTGCAGAAACTAACGTTCTTATCGTATTTACAGTTCCAACTCGTCCAACAATATGTCCAAGACGATCTTCAACAACATCGAGCTCCTGCCTCCAGACTCGCTTTTCAACATCAAGCAGAGACTTGCCAATGACTCCAGATCGGTGAAAGTCGACTTGGGTATCGGTGCCTACCGTGACGACACTGGTAAACCTTGGGTCCTACCTAGCGTGCGTGAAGCTGAAAAGCTCATCCAAGAAGATCCTAGCTACAACCATGAGTACCTCGGAATCGCAGGTCTGCCTACTCTCACCCAGGGTGCTGCTCGCGTTCTGCTGGGTGAAGACTCACCTGCACTCCGTGAGGGCAGAGTCGTGTCCGTGCAGTCGCTGTCCGGTACAGGTGCGTTACACATCGCTGCCAAGTTCATCAGTAAGTTTTGCGGTGACAAGCTCATTTATTTGTCAGACCCAACCTGGGCTAATCACAAAGCCATTTTCGAGACTCAGGGCCTAAAGACTGCCAACTACGCATACTGGAACGCTGCTTCTAAATCTTTGGACCTAGAGGGTTACCTTAGAGACATCAAGGCTGCGCCTAACGGCTCGGTCTTTGTTGTTCATGCTTGTGCCCACAACCCAACTGGTTTGGATCCTAGCAAGGATGAATGGTCCTCTATTTTAGACACTTTGGCGGCCAAAGAGCACATCGTGCTTTTTGACTCTGCCTACCAGGGTTTTGCTTCCGGTAGTCTCGACGAAGATGCTTACGCTCTTCGTTTGGGTCTCAAGAAGTTGGCCCCCGTTACCCCAGTCTTCGTCTGTCAATCCTTTGCCAAGAACGTCGGCATGTACGGTGAGCGTGTAGGCTGTTTCCACCTTGTCTTGCCCCAACAAGACGCGGCTGTTGATCAAAAAGCTGTTGCAAGTGCTATCTCATCACAACTTGCCAGAATTACTCGGAGCGAATTGTCCAATCCTCCTGCTTACGGTGCAAAGATCGTTTCAAAGATTTTGAACACACCTGAACTGACCGCGCAATGGTACAAGGACATGATTACCATGTCATCGAGAATCCACAAGATGAGAATCGCTTTAAGAGACCATTTGGTAAAGTTGGGCACACCCGGAAACTGGGACCACATCGTGGGACAAACTGGTATGTTCTCTTACACCGGACTCTCTCCTCAGATGGTCGAACGTCTAGAGAAGGAACACGCAGTGTACTTGGTCAACTCTGGTAGAGCCTCAATTGCTGGCTTAAACAGCGGCAACGTAGAATACGTTGCTAGAGCCATTAACGAAGTTGTGCGTCACTTCTCTGAATCAAAACTTTAGATGAAAGTATTTAGTCTATTCTCTCTATATCACTTTGAAGGAACACTAGTGTGCAACGTATGTTCTCTCATGAAAAGACTAGTAGTTAAACCTAAGATAGCCATCGTGGCCGCAAACGCCAAGGCACACAGACTACTAAACATGAAAGAGCCATGAACAAGCGCCGTAAATCTTTCATCAAACGATGTGTCAAACATGTTATCTTTAAGAATTTGAGAGCACCATTTGGTTAGCTTGCGCAGACCATAATCCGCTAGCAAAGTCTTATCGGTCAAAACAACGCTTTCCAATTTGTGTTGAAGACCCCATTGATACAACAAGCCTGCAAGGGCAACCCCTAGCGTTGAACCAGTTGCTCTGAACGCATACTGAATCGAGGTGACTTGAGCTTGATGTGAAAAGTCTACACTGGCGATGAGCGCTAAAAGGGTTACTGTCAACATTGTAGCATACCCAAATCCTGGTAAAAACATGAGGACGAATTCAAGTACACCTTGCTCACGACTTCTGAAAGCAGATAGAAATAGGGAAAAGGTGCCCAGAACAAAGAAGGAGTTCACAAAAGTGGAGTATTTCCAGTACTTGCCCGTGCGCTTCATGTAAATGCCTGATAACAATGAACCCATGGATATGCCCAAAAAGTTAGAAATGGAACGTAAACTTATTTGCCATGGATCAAAGTGGTACACAGCTTGCCAAAATACAGGAATATAGTACATGATAGAAAAGGTTGCCATTGTACAAAACCAATTTGTGAGTGAGGATGCAAGAACTGTGCGATTTTCGAATAGTAAGTTTAATGGTACAACTGGATTAGCAGCTGTCATTTCGGCTTGAATGAAAAGACCAACGAAGATGACCAGAGATGCAAGAAGTAGAACCCACTGCATTACGCTTAGAGATGAAACATCGTTCAAAAATGTGATGGCAATCATTAGCAACAACATCGAAGATATTAGCGTAAATCCACCGACAAAATCTATCATTTTTATCACCTTGGACCATTTCAATTTGTTACCTTGATCGCGCTCTAAGAAGATCAAGCCACGGCCAGGTGATTTAGCAGGCAAGTTCAAAATAGTAGCTACCAAAACGAAACTTAGAAGTGCAAGTGGTACTTGAATGAGGAAGGCCCATCTCCAGCCTATACCTTGTTGTAGTAAAGCACCTAGTATACTTCCAGAGGCACATCCAAAACTGAAAACAATGTTTCCAAGACCTTGGTAAACTCCCCTTTGACGTAATGGGATAATGTCACTGGTGGTGATGGTACTTAGAGTGCTAAGTCCCCCTCCGCCAATACCAGCGATGAATCGGCCAGCGGACAACACCCAAACGTTGTTAGTCCATGGAGAACCACATATGACACATCCAATGGCAAAAACCGCATTAGACCACAGCAATAGCATCTTTCTTCCGAAGATATCTGACAATTTACCGTACAACGGCTGGAACGCACTGCACGAAAGCAAGTAAGACGTGGCAATCCACGACATTTGGGAGGATGCATCAAGATCCGATGCTATAGTGGGTAATAATGTGGCTACGATGGTAGTGTCAAGCGCAGCAAGGAAGGAGCCAAGGTACAGGGCAAGGACAATAGTCCTAGTGCGTAAAGGCGTTAAAGTCTGCGTTTCAACGGCAGCCGTATTTGCCAAATCCCCTGAAACCGGTTCCGTAATTGGGGAAATAACCGGCAACAGTAATGGTTCAGATTCTTCGGACATTAGTGCTCTCTAACTGCTGTTCTGATTATGGCTGTAAAATGCCTTCATTTTGAGATTTGTCTTAATATAAATCCAATTCGGAGGTGACCGGAATATTTACGAAAAATATGTCTTCCTCTACTCTGTGGCTTATCAGAGATTACTGATATTCAAAAGACCGGGATAAAATCGCCTAAAGGGAAAGCACAGCGCACATTTTGATAAGAGCATACTATTCTTGATAATGATGGCCATTGACATCCGCGACAGGACAACAGAGTTTCAACACTCTGTGCTCACTTACACGAAAAGGAATAAAACCCAACCAAAACCTGAAGTGAACAACAACCCCGTACGCAAGTCAGAGTTCCAACAGAAGGCCTCTGTGATTGCACATGAAATTGCATCTACTGCAGAGCTGCTAGCTAAGCTAGCACAGCTCGCGAAGCGCAAACCTATGTTCAACGACAACCCGGTGGAAATAGCAGAGCTAACTTTTGTAATAAAGCGCAAGATTTATTCGATTGAGCAGAGCATGATGGAACTAAGCAAAGTTAGCGGAGCTTCGACACCTATACCCATGCAACATTCGAAGAACGTGATGAACCTGCTCAATACGAAGATGAAGAATATCAGTGGTGATTTCAAGAGCGTTCTGGAGCAGAGACAACGCTTGGAACTAGCCAACAGAGACAGATGGGAAAAACTCAGTGCGCAGACGGGTGACGAAGACGGGTCGCGTCCACAGCAAGTACAGCAGACCTACAACAACTCGAATCCGTTCATGTCATCGTTGGTGGAAGAGTCGAGCGGCGGTGAGCAACAGCTGGCGTTGCCCCAAGACTCGTCAATGTTGCTGATGGAGGAGCAAAATGCATCCAGTGCGTATCTACAAGAAAGAAATCGTGCTGTAGAAACTATAGAGTCGACCATTCAAGAGGTGGGCAACTTATTCCAACAGCTAGCTCACATGGTACAAGAACAAGGTGAAGTGATTCAAAGAATCGATGCGAATGTGGAAGACATCGACCTGAACATTTCAGGTGCACAAAGAGAATTACTCAAGTATTTTGACAGGGTAAGTAGCAACCGCTGGCTCGCGGTAAAAATATTCGCGGTTCTGTTTGTGTTTTTCCTCGTGTGGGTTCTGGTCAACTAGAGCTACTTTGTATGTACATTACATCTATATTAAAGATAAAGAAAAAGTGGAAATACAACGCGAAGAAAAATGCTGCTACAGAACCGCAGAGCAACCTGAGCGCACACTGCGACTAATATTGCGACGCGATAGAGCGTGCTTGCCCGATACGCTTGCATTGTAGGAAGTGGTGGCTTCCTGTTCACAATCCCATTTCTGCCTGTAGCTCTCTCAATGCCTTCTCGTCTTCGTCCTCTTCTTCTTCTTCTGCATGCGCAGGCTCTTCTTCCTCGTGCGCGGGCAGCTTCTCTGCAGGGACCGAGGGCAGCCGCTGCGGTTGCACCACGTCCTGTTTGACACTCTCTTGCGCCAGCATCTCGAGTTCTTCGTCCAATTCGTCCTCGTCCACGTCTGCGCCCGTGTAGAGCGGCCTCGAAATGGCATCTGATATTTCCTCGCCCAGTTCCACCTGCTCGCGGATCTCGTCCATAGTCTCGTCGACTTTGTCGATATCCATGCCCTTGTGAATGTTTTTCATGGCTGCCGCGCCCTGGCGCATGGCCTTCATGGTCTCCAAGTTGAGGTTGGCCGACTCGATCGAGTACAGTTGTTGCTCGAGCGAGTCCATTTGCGCCTCGATCTTGACCAGCTGTGACTCGTACGTCTTCTTGCGCTTGAGGGCGTTCTTGGCCGCAACTTTGTTGTTTTTGCCGAGCTGTTGGCGCGCTAGCTGCTCCTGTGCTGCCACTTGTGTCTGCAAATGCGCTTGTTTCTTGGTGAGAAGATTGATGTGCTCTCTCAAATTTAGAATAGCCTCCTTGGGGGCTTCTTTGCCCTTCTTGCCGGAGTTGCCTCCGAATAGATACGACCACATCGCACGAAACCTGACTGAATCCTGTGTGGGGCAGTGTGCTGCGCGTGCGTGAGCTGTGCTAAGTGATGGGCAACGTCGAAGGAGGAGGAGGGGGGGAGGAGTTGTGTAGGACGAATGCTTTCAGAAAGCGAAAGAAAGGAAACGCAGATAACAAGCGAGCACGTGAAATACACGTGGACAGAAATAAAACATAAATCACATGATACATCACACTCTACGATGATGACACGTGATGCATCGCGAAACACGAACGTCATGTGATATCCACGTGATTTTTTCCCTTCTGTTTCTCTCAGATTTTCCCTTCTTCATAATGGAAACTGATCGCACCCGTAACGGCCCGTTACCAGCTCACGCTCGAAAGTGTTGCAAACACACACACAACATGAATAGCGAGGCTAGTGGATCTCCACAGCAGCGTATCATCACCTCCGAACAGTGGGTTTTCGATCGCAGCGCCAAGGATGACGTACATGCGGACTGTAGGCCACGCAAGGCGTCGTCATCTACCAAGGAAGAGCGCGAATTGAGGCGGCGCCAGCGGGAGCTCGAGAATGAGCAGTTACAACAGGAATACAATACTGTACGGCAAGAAAATGCTAAGCTGAAGAACGTGATTGCGCGTTTGCGCCAGGATATCGACGTCTACATGCAACTACTGGCGGGTTCGGCGCCTGCCGGCGGAGTGGCGGCGGCGGCAGCTGCGCTGCCGCTGCCGCCACAGCGCTCACGCGCACAGCCAATCGACGATCTGCCTCCGATGGAGACCATGCTGGTCAACACTGCCAAACGGCGCAAGCACACAGCTGCCGCTCGTAATCAGGCGCCAGCCTCCGCATCGCACGCGCGCGCTTCCGGCGACGTGCCGGTGCTGAAGGACACACAGGCAGACGTGATGTTGGTGGGCCCACCGGGCGACGGCGAGGTAGAGCCCGACGACCTGGCACTGATGCGCCGTTTGAAAGACGTGCTTGCTCAGATGGAATGAGCGACTCGATTATTAGCTGAACGCACGAGTGTGGGGGGTGGTGGGGGGAATTACATGGCACGTGAAAAGCACGTGACCACATTTCTCTCTATTTCCCCTTCTTCGTCCGCTGCAACCGGCTTTCGGCCCCGATCCTGGCCGACTTGCAGGCTCCTCCCGTCCGCAGCCCATATAAAAGCAGCGCAGCGAAGCGTTACAAGGGCTGGTGATATCGCCGGGGCTAGCGAGTCGCACAAGAGTTAACAAAGAGCTTGACCCGAAGCGCATTAGGAAAGCACAGCAACAAGACATGTTTGCATTAGGATTGAACAGAAGCGTGGTGTGGAGCAAGCCCGTGCGGGCAGCGTCGCGCCGGTTGTTATCTACAGCCAAGACTACGGTGAGCGAGGAAGAACAAATTCTAGTCGCGCAGCGTAAGAACAGACCGGTTTCACCACATTTGACAATCTACCAACCACAACTAACATGGTATCTGTCGTCCATGCACCGTGTCAGCGGTGTGATGTTGGGTGGGGTGTTCTACGCTGTGACAATCGCGTTGGGCGTGTCGACCGTGTTCGGACTGGGGCTCACCTCGGACAAACTGGCCGACTGGTACCATAACAAGGTACCCAAATGGATGGACTACACCGTCAAAGGTGGTGCGGCATATTTATTCGCGTTCCATTTCGGCAATGGTATTAGACACTTGATCTGGGACACGGGCAAAGAATTGACCATCAAGGGTGTGTACAGGACTGGGTACGCGGTGCTCGCCTTGACGGCGGTCGCCGGAACCTACCTGCTGGCTTTGTGAGCTGTCCGGGCTTTTGAGTCAACGGCATCTTAAGCCGATGACTTGCGGGAGCAGACCAGACAGCTTGACCATCTATTTATAGTTATCAATGCTTTACATAGCTGAACTACGACACATCAATAATGACCACATGGGCCCTCTATTGGCGGTTCATGTCTTATTAACCTTTCTTCTATTGTTCGTACATGCCGAGTTTTGCTCGCTTTTTTTTTTCTTTTGAGGAAATTGAGGTATATGTTACGCACATTTCACCTTTTGTACTTATCGGTATATCGACGTAATAATCTTTCAGCCACTCATGCCCAGCTTATTGCCGTTCATCGGGAGATTATCGGTTTCGGACTATGTTATAGTTCTCCTTGTCTACTTCGAAAAGCTCTTGGCGTTGCTCCTCAACTGTGTGCCACAATCAGTGATAGACGCAACAACAGCAATGGTCAACCTATTTAGCAGAAACCGGCATTTGGCTGGACAAAATATCGCACAACAGCTACGTGACGCAAAGGACATCCACGAAATGGGCCAGATGTTTGGCATCGAAATAGAGGACCACATCGTGCGGACCGAGGACGACTATTTGCTGACAGTGCATCGCATCGCGCCTGCTCCAGGCAACTACAACGGACAAGTGGTATATCTCCACCACGGACTGCTGATGTGTTCGGACATTTGGATGTGCAACACCGTACGCGAGAGAAACCTACCGCTGGTGCTACATGAGCTCGGGTTTGACGTATGGATGGGCAACAACCGTGGAAACAAGTACTCGACTCAGCATCTCCACCGCAGACCTGCCTCTTATAAGTTCTGGGATTTCTCGATAGACGAGTTTGCGTTTTTCGACATACCTAACTCCATCGAGTTCGTGCTTGCACACACGCAGGTCCCCTCACTCATCTGCATTGGTTTCTCGCAGGGCTCCGCTCAGACATTTGCGTCTCTGAGCGTGCGCGAGGACCTCAACGACAAAATTAGTCTGTTTGCTGCCATCTCACCCGCACTCACACCAAAGGGCCTGCACAATCGTATCATCGACACTTTGGTTAAGTCCAGCCCTCGTCTTATGTACTTGTTTTTCGGTAACCGCATTTTGCTACCCTCTGCCACTCTGTGGCAGAAAACGCTCCACCCAACGCTCTTCAACTTCATCATTGACGTTGCCAATCGGTTGCTATTCAACTGGCGTTCTCTCAACATATCACCGCAACAAAAAATCGCGTCCTACGCTAAGCTTTACTCCACCACTTCTGTTAAATGTGTAGTGCATTGGTTCCAAATTCTTCAAGCGCAAAAATTCCAAATGTTTGAAGAACACGATATCGTCATCAATTCCTGGAACACGACTAGACCTTACCAAATCACTACTTTCCCTACTCGCACTAACATTCGCATCCCGGTTCTATTGTTATATGGAGGTTCAGATTCGCTGGTCGATATCGATGTCATGAAGGCAAACCTTCCAAGCTGTCAAGTTTTCGACATCATGGTACCTGGCCACGAGCACTTAGACCTAATATGGGGTAGAGATGTTGCACAACTTGTCATCCCTAATGTCATTCGTTTCATCCGTTTCTTCAAAGAGTTACAATGTCTCGAAGAAGACGAGACCACTTTAGAATCTTTTCAAGACGCCATCAGTAGTAAACCATATATAGATGATACTTAATGGCTAGCTAATTTCGTGTAATAATGCGAGCTATGCAGCTTTTTAAGAGAGAGGATACTCTTTGATGCATTTTTTTTCTTGAGATTACCAAAGATCGGTCTCTTCGCGCAATGAAAAATGTCATCAATAACTTTCACCTGAGTTAACTCTTTCTAGGAAAATGCACAGAAGAAACATGTCATTTAACCGTAAGTCTCATATGATTCCTAACTTGCCCGGTGGCAAAATTGAGACTAACAAATATTCTTCCAAACCAGAACGAAGAGGTGCCAGAAAACGCCCAGCTCCTCCGAGTGCGCTCTCAGCTCCGCATCCAAACGCTCAACGCAACGGCAACACTAGTGGTAATGCCAGTGAGCAACCGAACCGTCACGAACCCAAAAGGCCGAGAGTTACCAATTCGCGTTACGCGGGCTCCAGATACCAAGAGGGCCGTTACCAAGGCTCCACTAGAAGCGTTAACGGCCTGGAGCTACCAACCGGCCCCAAAAACATGGTAAAAAGACAATCCAGATACGACCCAGGCTCCTCAAAACCCAAAATTGCACCTGTAACTATAGTAGTACGAGAGAGGACTTCTTCAGTTTACGAACGTATTCAACAAGTTGGTGAAGGCACATATGGTAAAGTGTACAAGGCCAGAAACACACTTACAGGACAACTCGTAGCCCTAAAACGGCTCAGGTTGGAAGGTGAAAGAGAAGGCTTCCCAATCACTTCGATACGAGAGATAAAACTGCTACAAGGGTTCGATCATCGTAACATTAGCACACTTTCGGAGATCATGATCGAATCCCAGAAAACCGTGTACATGATATTCGACTATGCCGATAACGACTTATCCGGGTTGCTCATGAATGAGCAAATCAAGCTCAGTCCAGCAAACTGTAAACACTTGTTCAAAAGCTTGCTTGAGGGCATTCACTATTTACATGATAACGGCATACTTCATAGGGACATAAAGGGTTCCAATATTTTGATCGATAACAAGGGACATTTGAGGATCACTGATTTCGGTCTTGCAAGAAAAACAAAAGAGGATTCCGATTATACAAATAGAGTCATCACTCTTTGGTATCGGCCTCCTGAGCTGCTGATGGGCACTACAAAATATGGTACAGAAGTGGACATGTGGGGATGCGGCTGTCTTCTCGTTGAGATGTTCCAGAAAACTGCCCTTTTCCAGGGTACCAATGAGCTTGAACAGTTACAAGCTATTTTCTCAATTATGGGTACGCCCACCATAGAGCAATGGCCAAATCTCTTCGACATGCCGTGGTTTTTCATGATGGTTCCTCAGCAAGAAAAAAAATGCGACTCCTTGTTTGAGGAAAGATACAGTACAGTATTACCCACTCGGGCATCCTTTGAACTTGCACAAGGCTTACTTCTGTACGATCAAAATCAGAGGCTAACAGCTTCGGAAGCATTGAAACATTCATACTTTCATGAAGAGCCCAAGCCAGAACCCTTAGATTTGTCGGGTTTTGATGGCTGGCACGAATTTGAAGCGAAAAGGCAGCGGAGGAAGGAAAGAGAAGAGCAAAAGAGGAAAGAAAAGTCAGATCCTCCCCAAGTTTCATAGGTATATAGATAATGGGAAAAGCATCCTTTCTTCATCATCGTAATCTAGAAAGTTCACGTAGTCGTCTTCATTTCTTACCCCCAAGCATTTCTTCTTCAAAACACCTATTTCCACCAATAAACCAAGAAGAGTGGATTTTCCCCAGCTGGCCCACCAAATGATTGTTACATTGTTTCGACATGACATCTATCTGCTCGGCTGTCCTTTCTAGATTAGATCTAAGTAGCGTCAATTGCTGAGCGAGGTGTGCGTATTGTCTTTTTTTTGCTTCGTTCATATTCAGATGGGTTTTCAGGTAAACATAGATTACAAGATCACGATCGCGATCGCGTTTCTATTAAAAAGTCAAAAACTGTGAGAAAGGGAAGATACTAAAAATGTCACAAGAGCAGTTGCTAGAGGATGCTCCTAACCTGATAAGGGAAACGAGATCGAATTTTTCTATCAGCAACGATACAGAATTATTGGTAAGCATCGAAACTAACCTCAGTGAATTACAGAAGCTTGTGCACGAGAACATCAATGCAAGAGAACAAGAAGTAGAGCATCTTGAAAGAACTATGGGAAAATCTGAAGGGAAAGTATCACTTTTGCGTGAAAGGTTTCAGGAGATTTCCTCGAACTTACAGCAACATGAGGTACAAGACAGTTTGCTCAAATTAGCACAAGAGTTGGAAGAGTTGGAACAGAAACTGGTATCAATGAGAAGCGAAATGGACCGAGGTATGGAAAAATTGGTAAAGAGCGATAGTAATAGAGAACTCGAAGAAACGTTAGAGCAACAAGAACCAGATTCACGTGCCAATATCTTAAAGTTACAACTTTACCGCTCAATGGGCGTTATCCTCGATACAGATAACAATCAAGCCTTGGTACGGAAGGGTGACGATGTAGACGTTCTTCCGCTAAATGATGAACTTAGTGATTTTTTCAAGACCAAATATATATGGGATAGAATATAACCGTTTCTGTTATATTGGGAATTATATACAAGTAAGTGATAATAGGTCGGATGCAACTTAAAAAAATTTAGGATTCCTTCTTTGAGAGACCTTGGTCCATTTTGGTAATTTGTGGAGGCCTTTTCTATATCCGGAGGCTTGCTTATTGAAGAACGTGTACTTATCCTTATACGACATTTCACGCTCCTTTGGGAACACCGACGCTTTGCTCAGCAGGCGTAAATGCTTCACTTGAGGTTTTAATAGTTTTCTTGTCTGCAATGCACTCTCGAATTCGATACCTTTTTTCTCACACCTTTGGATATGAAGACCTAAATTTAAGTTCTTCAAGACTTTATCCACCTGTTGCAACCTATGTCTTTGTCTCTGCTTCTGAGGACGTGACATTCTCCATGGTATCTTCCACAGTAAACCACCCAATACTGTGCTTGAAGGCTTGAATGGACCAAACATGAATAAACAACTCTGCTTTTTGGGTTTATCACCTAGAGTAATGAATTTCTGATTGCCCGTTACCCAAAAATTTTCAGACATACGCATTGTAAACGAAATATAGAAAATTGAGATTTAATCTGTTTTAACAGGACACCTCTGTTGATATCAGCTGGTCTGAATAATATGTCCCAAGAAGATCCTGCTACCAAGCATTCCCGCAAGCTCCCAATATGGGTTTTGGGACCGAGGGAGGAAAAAGCAGCTCGTTCAAATTTGAAGACATTTGCGTATAGTCAGTGTGCCGAATATGTTCAAGCGATGGCTGAATGTTCGAAACTTCATGGACTCAAAGTCTTTCCTGCTTGTGATAAGCAAAGAGACAAAATGGGAGAATGCATTCTCTTCTATCAAACGGATCCAAAATATCTGGATGAGGAAAGAGATAAAATAGTGCAAGAGAAGCTAGGAAAACTGGAGAAGCAGCTAAAAGACCAGAAACGGCAGCAAGATGGTCACCGCTAAGATATTCTCATTTTTGAACGCAGATATCCTGTATATACATTTATATTTTTTAACGCAAAACATTTCACGATTTTTTAGTTGTAACAATTTAAAACAGATCAAGCAAATCCTGAGTATTACTCGACTGCGATTTTGTCTTTCCAGAGTCGTTCAACGTCATCTGGTCCATTGACCGTTGTATGGATGGCGATGCAGTATTCATGTCGAATAAACCATTAAGTTCATCCAGTATAGAACCATCGGTGTGTGCGTTGGACGAAATATCCCCATCTAAATCAAGCAACGTTTCTTCATTCATGTTTTTAGCAATCTCATCCCTCGCGATTGACTTGAGTTCATCAAGTTGTTTCCCTCTCAGGGCGTTGCTGTGAAGCCTATTTTGCTTACTCATGCTTGAAAGTGGTTTGAAGTAAACAGATCCCAATGTTGACAGCTCTCTCAGTAGAGTTTCCAGTAGTTCAGGAGAAAACGTATCTAAAGTAGTGGATATCTCAGGTAGTGAAGAGCTGCACAGTTCGCTAATCAAATCATCATTAGAATCATCGAGAGACAAACATCTCCAATACATAATCGCCATATCCCTAATGTCAATTTCTCTTGCATTATGTGTTGCCAACTCCAAAACATTTTGTAGAGTAGATCCTGGAATTGAGCGATGTAATCTCACCACGGCCATAAGTATGGACATTTGAGTTAACGAGTCTTCCTGCGCAAAAGAATCGATGAAAGAATTCAATTCGGTTTGCAAATGAGGGAATTTTCCAGGGTATTCGCCTAGCAACCAAACGAAGTTACATTTCGCGTAGTCTGATTGAAGGATTGAATCCGCCCCAGACCATGTGCTGACTATAGAACACACTTGAGTAACCATTTCATCGTGTTCAGATCCACAATGCCTTAACAAGTTGCACATCGCTACAAGACAATCATCTTTAAAGGTATCTCTTGTTTCACAAAGATCCACTAAAATATCCAAAACTTTGCTCACGAATTTGGAATCTGAATACTTAACTCCCAATTGGGATAATGCTAAAATTGCTCTAGAAACAAACTCTGGTTCAAATTCCATGGCATATTCTTTGAGCTCTGCAAGTAATAATGTACATTGCTTCAAATTCGAAGGGTCGACTAGCCTCACTAAAGTGTCAATCTTTTCAAGTTTCACGTAAAGTGGGTCGTTGAACTTCACATAGAAAATTCGTAACTCACGGGACAAAATATGGGGATACTTTTCTAATATGATTCTTATATTTCTAATGGCCACATATTGCATTTCTGGGGGAGTGGACATCAGTGAAACAAGAGCAGAAGAAAGTTTGCCAAAGATTGGGGCGTCTGAATTTGCTTGAATGAGGGGAAGATTTTTGATGACCACTTTAACAGACGCCAAAACCACGGCAGCGTTAACATGTTGCAAATGAGGAGTAACACGATCAATAATTTCTTGAGATTCTAATGCATCCTTAGCAGTATACTCCGCCAGAGCTCCTAAAATGGTTATACGTGCCCACTCGGTACACTCGTTCAAGGCAAGCAGGAATTGGGACACATGTCCCTGAATTAATTTCGGTAGGGGCACAACTGTGCTGTCTGTTTCATAAATGTCCGTGAGAGAAGCAATCGCGTTCGCCACTACCATTGGATTCGAGTCTTCAAGTGCGGATACGAGGTCCTCAAGGACGCCAAGTTCCTTACAGAGTTCCTGATTCAGGGCAAAGAGCTTTGCCACGCAAATAACGGCGGTTTTTCTAACATATGGGTTATCGTCCTGAAGAGTTTTGCGTAAGGGAATTTCAATGTACTCAAGAATCTTGTCAACACGAATCATGGACATCGTTCTAATGGCCATGCATCTGATCAATGGGTTTGGATCCGATGCATCGCTCACAAATGTGTTCACTGCCAAAATACACAACTCAGGATGCGTTTCAGCGTAATTCATAACGTACAGATAGACAAGTTTCTTCTGCTCAACATCGGTTGTTGCAATATTCTTTAGAACATCAGGAAATAAAGATGAGACATCCTTTCCCAAGGTCATCTGTTGAATGGTCTTCTTGATTGCATCTTTGCGTGTTTGTGGGTATGGAGAAACCAGGCCATTCCTAAGCTCGAAAAGTTCACCCTTCTTGGATATCTTCGGCGCCACCCTGGTCGCATTTTGAAGAAATTTCTTCAGCTTCTTATCCATGGAGGATTGATTCGAGATCGGTTTAAGAACACCTTTAGTTCGGTAGATAGTGAATTTACTTACCTTAATTGTTACGAATTCCCAGGTGCAAATCGTAAAGAATTACCATAAGCACACATCGTTCCGAAAGATGAAGTCAAACAACACTATGGCCGTTAGAGATCGAACCGATGTGACGCACTCAGAATAATTAGGAACATGCTAAGGTTGTTTCTACCACTGGCCCAGTTTTCCAGTTTTTGATTGAGTCACGACAGTTTTTGTAAGGTTTCAAGCATATCATTATGACTACACAGAGAAAATCAGCTCTCAGCAATCTGGCGGTAGTCTAAATATTATTTGGCCCTCAAGTACACCTTTATCCAATTTTAATGACAGCTACAGAGGGTGTAATAATCCTGGATGAACGACCCTCTCTCTAAAGAATCACGTGCTAGAATTACAAAATTCATGTGACCAAATGTCAATGGTATATACTAGCACGTGTCATGATCATCAAACCCCAAAGTACTCATGTACGAATATGTGTTCTTTAGGTTCCTAGATGATTACCCGACCTTCACACTATTCGCAACTTTTAATGATGAATGTTCAAAGCAAAAAGAAATCCGAGCCTTCCTTATCGTATGTGTGGGTGGAGATCAAAATAGTCTCTTGTGTTCGGGTGTGAGCAGTCACACGGTATATGTGCTGCGAATTTCGCCTACATCCTAACATCCTACAGCGAAAAAACTAGACCGGTGTTACACGTGATTACACACCACGTGCGTTTTTAGGTGTTTCTGTCGTTATGTACGCATTTGGCCTTGTTTTTCCCAATTGAATTTAGATTTTCTTACTGACGCAGAGTTCGACCCACGCGCCAGGAGCCGCTCGCCTCATCTCTTTGAAATTTTTTTCATTCTTCAATCTGACATTCTGGTAAAGACTTTTCATTTTTAGCTTAATTGAACAGTATCGTCAAAATGTCTGCATCTGCTGAAGTTCTAGTTCTAAGAGGTACCTTGGAAGGTCACAACGGTTGGGTTACTTCCCTAGCCACTTCCCCAGCTCAACCAAACTTGTTGTTGTCTGGTTCTCGTGACAAGTCTTTGATCACCTGGAAGCTAACTGGTGACGACCAACAATACGGTGTCCCAGTCAGATCTTTCAGAGGTCACTCTCACATCGTTCAAGACTGTACCGTCACCCCAGATGGTGAGTACGCCTTGTCCGCTTCATGGGATAAGACTGTCAGATTGTGGGAATTGGCCACTGGTAAGTGTATCCAAAGATTCGTCGGCCACAAGTCCGATGTTTTGTCTGTTACCATTGACAGACGTGCTTCTCAAATTGTCTCCGCCTCCCGTGACAAGACCGTCAAGGTCTGGAACACTCTAGGTGAATGTATGGTCACCTTGTTGGGCCACAACGACTGGGTTTCCCAAGTCAGAGTTGCTCCAAACGAAAACGCTGACGACGAGACTGTTACCGTCATCTCCGCCGGTATGGACAAGGTCGTTAAGGTATGTTATAATTTCGATTTTTTCGCATTGCGCAGGCAGTTAGCCCTTTCTCGTTTCTCACACCACAGATGATGTTATTCTAATATTTGCTACTTCGGACGGGACTTGCTCCTGAATGAGACATATACATTATCACCAAGATCTCTGATGTGATGTGCGAAGCATGAAGGAGTAACAGCCAGAGCCTGTATTCCCTCCTATGGCTTTACTAACTCGTTTTCTCTAGGTCTGGAACTTGCACTCTTTCCAAATCGAAGCCGACTTCATCGGTCACAACAACTACGTCAACACTGTCACTGCCTCCCCAGATGGAACTCTAGTTGCCTCTGCCGGTAAGGACGGTCAAATCATGTTGTGGAACTTGTCTGAAAAGACCGCTTTGTACACCTTGAACGCCCAAGACGAGGTCTTCGCTTTGGCTTTCTCTCCAAACAGATACTGGTTGACTGCTGCCACTGCCACTGGTATCAAGATCTTCAACTTGGAAGAAAGAAAGGTTGTTGACGAGCTAAGACCAGAATTCGCTGGTTACACCAAGGCTGCTGAGCCACACGCCGTCTCTTTGGCTTGGTCTGCCGACGGTCAAACTTTGTTCGCCGGTTACACCGACAACGTCATCAGAGTTTGGCAAGTCATGACTGCCAACTAAACGCACAAATCTTGATGCGATTAGTTTTTGTCAGTCTTGTTTTTAGAACCCATTTAATGTATTTTTAACCAATCAATACGTTCGGTCTTCTTCACGAAGGTGAAGCGTTTTTAAGTTTCAATTGCCTATAAATTTCCAATGAAGCACTATTCTTACGTAGACAAGTTTGTGTTGGGTCTTGACCCGTAACTTTCCTATTTCGTGTCGTCCACGGTGCAAGTCTATCCTATTTTAGGCATCTGAGCTTCTGAGCTTCTCAGCTTCTCAGTTATCATTCATGGTGTCTACTTTGTCATGTAGAGTACTTTCTGACGGCGAGGGCATCCTTTGATCGCTATCAACGCATTTCGTAATACTGTATATAGAACCGGTAGCTATTATTACCCCTCTCGGTTCTATCCAAGTCACTCATGTCATGACTTGGAAGTTCCAGGTCCGTTGAGTGATTTCTCCGTTCTTATTTCCGCTATGTGCTCATTCTGGATGAGGGGCTGTAATGAATGACGGAAATGAACTTCTACAGTTGGGGAAACTTCGAAATTCTAGCACTGGGAGCTCCATCAAAGGGGAGGCCAGGTAATCGAAAGATAAGAGGATCTTAGTAAGGACGGTTTAGGGGTATTGACTAAGGGGTCAAGAAGAGGGGGGGCAACAGAAGTATTTAAGTAGTGAACAGTAGCGGAAAGCTTAGTCATAGGATCTTTCTTCATCATCACTTTATAATAAGTATTCAAAATTATTGCTAAAATGCCAGGATTTTTCGAAGCTTTCGAGGTTTACAACAGAAAGAAGCATTCTTCAAACCCCTCTATGTTCGGTTCGAACCACTCCAACATCGGGGGAAACAACACTGGGTACATGTTCGCGCACGAGTACAGGGAGCCCAAGAAAGAGAAGTTGGCGACAGAGGCTATGATGGCCCCAAAGGATGAGGGATCCACATCAAGGAAGAGCTCTGTATCCTCCACTGAGGAAGCACTAGAGCAGATGCCTCGAATGGTGGACGTATCGAAGATGTCACAGGCCGAGTTTGAGAGCATATTCCGGACCTTACACAAGGAAGAGCAAAGAAAGGGTGAGCCCAACAACAGGGTAAACTTCTGAGTCGCGGTTTAGTGTAGGTTGCGGGTCTTAGAGCCCATCTCATGTACTAGGTTTATGTTTTGCATTAGGTTTCAATTTGAAAATAAATAAAAAATGATATGGTTCGATATAAATAAAACGCGCACTCAGATCTTCGTGACGCAATGGGACAGTTTGAAGCACTTCCTGGCTACTTCCAGGCTTACGCGACCGACAATTCTACGGGTGTCGACGCCGCAGGGAACAAGCACCTCGAATTTGTCGTGCATGGTTCTTGGAAGGATCTCTTTGCATCCATTCCAAATGATACCGACGATTTCGTATACAAATTCCTGGTTTTGGCTCGCCATGGACAAGGCCATCATAATGTAGGCGTTGAGCTTTACGGAGAACCCGAATGGGATCGCTACTGGTCTAAGCTAGATGGTGACGAACACCGTCATTGGCTCGATGCTCACCTGACACCCCTAGGTATCGAGCAAGCACGCGATACGGGGGCCTTGATCCTCTCACCGATGTGTAAAGAGCTAGGGTTACCTGATGTCTTTTATTGCTCCCCCATGAGGCGTTGCATCGAGACTTTCATTGGTTCATGGTCGCAAATCTTGGAAGGCGACGGTCCAGTTCCCGTGCACATAGTAGAAAACCTCAGAGAGACACTTGGAGAGCATACCTGTGACAAGCGGGTCAATCAAAAAGGTGTGCTCGAAAATTACCAGGGCGCTTCGATTAACACTCGAACTCTTCAACTGCTTTATGATCAGGGCTATCCTGATCAAGATCAATTGTGGAAGCAAGATCACAGGGAAACCGACACTGAGATGGATGAGCGCATACATTTAGGACTTTCTCGTGCTCTGTCGGGGTCAGAACGATTTGTCTCTATTACATGCCACTCTGGCGTCATCCAAAGTGCCCTTCGAGTTTTGGCCCATCCACCCGTAGGTCATTTGAACACCGGCGGAATCGTGTGCTGCGTTGTACGCTGTAAAGTGGCAGACAGAAAATAAGGGTCTTGGTGCTCTACCGCAATAAACGAACAATCATCTGACGTTTTAATCTTTGACCTTCGGCGGCTAACAAACTGTTATCTTCAACACATGCTCTAATAATACCTTATCTCTTTTCCTTCTCTGTCGGGCTTTACACTGCGACAACCGGAAGCCCGATTCCATTTCCTCATGCGTTTCGTGACTCAGCTGAAAAAAAAAAAAAAAATTAACTGAAAAATTTTCAGATGAATCATAGTGATGAGCTTTACACTTATTTAAATTAAGTACGAATAAACGTTAACTCGTCTTTCTCAAAGCAGAGGTAATCGAGCAAAATGATAAGACAGGCGACAGCTAAAGCAGCGCTCAGACGCGCAATGATGGCCTCAATGGCTAGAAAGCAGTTTGCTTGTGGAACTCTTCGTCTATATTCCGCTGCAGCAGCCAAGACTACTGAGGCTGGAAGACCAAAGCCTGCACCTAGCTTCAATGTGGAGGACTCCGCTATTGATGCCCCCAAGCTGAAGAAAAACGCAAACACCTCTCCCCAAATGGATGACTCGTTCATCGGTTTAACTGGTGGTCAGATTTTTCATGAAATGATGAAGAGACACAACGTTGACACAGTTTTCGGTTACCCAGGAGGTGCCATTCTTCCTGTATATGATGCCATCCATAACAGTGATTACTTCAACTTTGTGCTTCCAAAGCATGAACAAGGTGCGGGTCACATGGCAGAAGGCTACGCCCGTGCAAGTGGTAAGCCAGGTGTCGTTTTAGTCACCTCTGGGCCAGGTGCTACCAACGTAGTGACTCCCATGGCCGATGCACTAGCTGATGGTGTTCCTATGGTTGTATTTACTGGACAAGTTGCTACCTCCGCTATTGGTACCGATGCTTTCCAGGAGGCAGATGTCTTGGGTATCTCCAGGTCATGTACCAAATGGAATGTCATGGTTAAGTCCATTGAAGAATTACCACGCCGCATAAATGAGGCATTCGAGATTGCCGTCAGTGGCAGACCAGGTCCAGTCTTGGTTGATCTACCCAAGGATGTGACTGCAGCTGTCCTACGGTCGCCTATTCCTATAAATTCCACTCTCCCTTCTGATGCATTGGCCACAATTACTCAGCGTGCTGCTAACCAGTTCACAATGGAAAACATTGAAAGGGCTGCTGATTTAATTAACGTCGCCAAAAAGCCTTTGCTATATGTGGGTGCCGGTATCTTGAGTAGTGAGAAGGGTCCAAAATACTTGAAAGAATTGAGTGAACGTTGCAAAATTCCAGTTACCACTACACTACAAGCTTTGGGTGCGTTTGATCAAGAAGATCCAAAGTCCTTGGACATGTTGGGTATGCATGGTTGTGCTACCGCTAATTTGGCTGTTCAAAATGCCGACTTGATCATTGCATTAGGTGCTAGATTTGATGATCGTGTCACCGGTAACATCTCTAAGTTCGCTCCCGAGGCTCGTAAAGCTGCTTTGGAAAACAGAGGAGGTGTTGTTCACTTTGAGATATCTCCCAAGAACATCAACAAGGTTGTACAAGCTCAAGTTGCTGTCGAAGGAGATGTCACCAGCAACCTAGAAAAGTTGATACCTTTGGTTACATCTATCAAGGAAAGACCAGAATGGTTTGGACAAATTCAATCCTGGAAAGAAAAATACCCATACGATTACCAAAGAGAAACTCCTGATTCCAAGATTAAGCCTCAAACAGTCATCACCAAACTATCTAAACTTGCCAATTCTTCTGGAAAGGATGTCATTGTAACCACAGGTGTTGGCCAACATCAAATGTGGGCTGCTCAACATTGGACCTGGAAGAACCCCCGTACTTTCATCACTTCTGGTGGATTGGGAACCATGGGTTACGGGCTACCATCTGCCATCGGGGCTCAAGTTGCCAAACCTGATGCAGTTGTTATTGACATTGACGGTGATGCTTCATTCAACATGACTTTGGGTGAGCTTTCTAGTGCAGTTCAGGCTCGTGCTCCAATCAAAATCTTGTTGTTGAATAACGAAGAACAGGGTATGGTTACTCAGTGGCAATCTTTGTTCTACGAGCATCGTTACTCCCACACTCATCAACTTAACCCAGATTTTGTCAAACTAGCTGAAGCAATGGGTTTCAGAGGTATGAGATTGACGAAGCAAAAAGACGTGGACACTACTCTAAAGGACTTCATGGACTACAGTGGTCCTGTTTTGCTAGAAGTTGAAGTGGAGAAAAAGGTACCTGTTCTTCCTATGGTGCCAGCCGGTAAAGGATTGGACGAATTTATCAACTTCGACCCCGAAGTTGAAAAGGAACAGAATGCACTACGTCATCAACGTACCGGTGGCAAGCACTAATTTTAGCATTATCGAAATATAGCCAACGCATTACTTATCACTTCTAAAAAATTAATGTGGTCTTCCCCTTGGGTGATATGATGACTCGAGAGATTGAAAGGTGAAAAGTCTTGCCCTCCCTCTATGTATGTTATTTACCTATACTTTGTAAAATAATTACGATCCTGAGCTCGTGTACTTGAAATGTTTATAATCATCCAGCCACTCAAACTGACGGCGTTACATCTCAAGAAATGTAGTTGAACTCGATGTATGTCTAAGTGTAGTTAAGACAGACTTCGATTACTCGAAACATAATTAGAAAAAAAGGCTGAATGTTCTGTATCAGAGAGATTATCCGGAGGTTACGCTTTGTTATTTCCTCTCAGTTTGTTTTAAATATCATGCTAGATCAATTCATGATTGATCATCAAATCACGTGATCGCCGTTCGAGCTGATTTGGTAGAATAGGGGCATACTACATTGAGCCTTCTATTAAAGTCCCTCAAGATTTCACCTAATTGACGAGGTGGCTTTTTAATTTGGTACAGACAGCCAACTGGTAGAAAAATGGCTATAATCAAGAGAGGTGCGCGTAATAAAACAGCGCAACAGCCTGCCAAAAGAAGTGGTCAAATTAAAAAGGCTACTTTCGATGCCGGAAAGAAGAAGGAAGTGGGTGTTTCGGATTTGACATTACTTTCGACAATATCTGATGAAGCTATCAACGAAAACTTGAAGAAGAGATTCCATAATGGTACGATATACACCTATATTGGGCATGTTTTAATCAGTGTAAACCCTTTCAGAGATTTGGGAATATACACGGATGAAGTCTTAAACAGTTATAAAGGCAAAAATAGATTAGAAGTTCCACCTCATGTCTTCGCAATTGCAGAATCCATGTATTACAATATTAAAGCCTATAACGAAAATCAATGTGTCATTATCTCGGGTGAATCAGGTGCAGGAAAAACTGAGGCAGCCAAGCGAATCATGCAGTATATCGCGGCTGCTTCAGTGACGCATTCTGATTCGATAGGTAAAATCAAGGACATGGTCTTGGCTACTAATCCTTTGCTGGAATCCTTTGGTTGCGCAAAAACGTTAAGAAACAATAATTCTTCACGTCATGGTAAATATTTAGAGATCAGATTCAACGCTCAATACGAACCTTGCGCTGGTAACATTACAAACTATCTATTAGAAAAGCAAAGAGTTGTTAGTCAAATTAAAGGTGAGAGAAACTTTCATATCTTTTACCAGTTTACCAAGGCTGCTTCTGATAATTATAGACAAACATTTGGTGTTCAGAAACCAGAACAGTACATTTATACGTCCATGTCGGGGTGCACATCTGTTGATACAATTGACGATTTGAAAGATTATCAAGCAACACTGAAGGCTATGGAAGTCATCGGTATAACACAACAAGAACAGGATGAGATATTCAGAATGCTGGCCTCAATTCTTTGGATTGGTAATATTTCTTTCGTTGAAAACGAAGAGGGAAATGCGCAAGTGAGAGATACTTCTGTGACAGACTTTGTTGCGTATTTATTACAAATTGATGCGCAGCTTTTGGTGAAATCTCTTGTGGAAAGAGTGATGGAAACAAGTCATGGTATGAGGCGGGGATCTGTTTATCATGTTCCTTTGAATGCTGTTCAAGCAACTGCCGTGAGAGATGCACTTGCTAAAGCAGTTTACAGTAATCTGTTCGACTGGATTGTGGACAGAGTCAATGTTTCGTTACAGGCATTTCCAGGTGCTGATAAATCTATTGGGATTCTTGATATTTATGGATTCGAGATTTTTGAGCATAACTCCTTTGAACAGATCTGTATTAATTATGTGAATGAGAAGTTACAACAGATCTTCATTCAGTTAACTTTGAAGTCCGAACAAGAAGAATACGCTAGAGAGCAAATACAGTGGACACCAATTAAGTATTTTGACAACAAGGTCGTCTGTGATTTAATTGAAGCTAAACGACCACCTGGGATCTTTGCTGCACTAAATGACTCTGTCGCAACTGCACATGCAGATTCCAGCGCTGCTGATCAGGCCTTTTCACAAAGACTTAATCTTTTCAGTACAAACCCTCACTTCGAGTTAAGGTCAATGAAGTTCATAATCAAACATTATGCTGGTGATGTCACTTATGATATTAATGGCATGACTGATAAGAATAAGGATCAACTTCAGAAGGATTTGGTAGAGCTAGTAAGTACTACCACTAACGCCTTTCTATCAACAATTTTCCCCGATACGATAGACAAAGACTCTAAGAGAAGACCACCCTCTGCAGGCGATAAAATTATCAAGAGTGCCAATGAATTAGTTGAAACACTATCTAAGGCACAACCATCTTACATCAGAACTATTAAGCCTAATCAGACCAAATCACCAAACGATTACGATGATCACCAAGTGCTGCATCAAATTAAGTATCTGGGTTTGCAGGAAAATGTTCGCATTAGAAGAGCAGGATTTGCTTACAGGCAAACATTCGACAAATTTGTGGAACGCTTTTACCTATTATCTCCACAATGCTCGTATGCTGGTGATTATACGTGGCAAGGGGATACCTTGGATGCCGTAAAAATGATTTTAAAAGATGCTTCGATTCCAGCCACCGAGTATCAACTTGGTGTGACCAAGGTGTTTATCAAAACCCCGGAAACTTTGTTCGCGCTAGAGCACATGAGAGATAGATATTGGTATAATATGGCTGCTAGAATTCAACGTGCTTGGAGAAGATTTTTACAAAGAAGAATTGATGCCATCAGTAGGATTCAAAGAGCAATTAGAGAGAAGAAAGGGGGCAACAAGTTTGAGAAACTTCGTGATTACGGCACAACATTATTAGCCAATAGGAAGGAAAGACGAAGCATGTCGTTGTTGGGTTATAGGGCGTTCATGGGTGATTATTTGGCATGTAACGATTCTAAATCAAAGGGTGCCTTCATCAAAAGACAGGCCGGAATTAAAGAGAGAGTTATATTCTCTATAAGCGGAGAAGCCCTACATTCAAAATTTGGACGGTCGGCGCAAAGATTGAAGAAAGTTTTCATTTTAACGAGTGGTGCCCTATATATCATTGGACAGACTTCTGTTCAAAACCAAATCTCCTACACTGTTGACAATAGAGTTGATGTGAATAATATTAGGTTCGTAAGTCTCACCAATTTGCAAGATGACTGGATCGGTATTTTCATGAACAATTCAGCCCAACCTGATCCACTAATTAATACCTATTTTAAGACGGAATTAATTACGCACCTAAAAAAATTGAATAGTAGAATTGAAGTCAAGATTGGTTCTACAATTGAGTATCAAAAAAAGCCCGGAAAAGTTCATGTTGTCAAATCACAGATTAATGAAGCGGCGCCAAAATATGGTGATATTTATAAATCAAGCACAATATCTGTTCGGCGCGGTAATCCAGCCTCATCCAAATCACATCGTAAGCCTAAAAAGAAGAGTTCCCTTGGGGCAGCAGATGTGTCATATTCAACACATACCGTCCAACCATCGCCTCATGTTCAGCATCAAGTACAAACTGCGTCCGTAGCTAGCCCTCAAAAGCCTCCAGTTTCTCAACGCCGTCAAAAGAAACCCGCCCCTCCACCTCCCGTTAAAAAGCAAGCCCAGCCAATTCCTTTGTCAAATTCGGCTCAAAACATCGCAGCAAGTGCAGCGCAAGCTGTTTATCATCCCTCACCGGCAGACGGACAATCAAGTAGAAGACCTGTACCTAATAGACCACAAATTTCACAGGTTACGCAAGTTCGACCAACAGCTACACATCAACCTGTACAGGTGAGTGCGACTAATGAACAAGACAAAAAAAATATTCCACCTCCTCCACCACCACCACCTCCCCCTGCGTCACAACCCTCTGAGCCCAAGTTCACAGCTGCTTACGATTTTGTAGGTACCGGCTCAGCTTCAGAATTACCACTAAAAAAGGGTGCTATAGTTTATATTTCAAGACAAGAACCAAGTGGTTGGTCTTTGGCAAAGACTTTAGATGGGTCTGCAGAAGGTTGGGTACCAACTGCTTACATGGCAGAATACAAAGAAAGCTCCATCTCTCCTGCTCCGCAACAATCATTCCAGACGCCTGTATCTTCTAGCGCAACAACAATGGCATCTTCAGCTCCAGCAGCTGACTTTTCAGATGGCCTGGCATCTGCATTAGCTGCCAGAGCAAATAAAATGAGACTAGAAAGTGATGAAGAGGAGGAAGTTGTTTCAGAAGAAGACGACTGGTAAAACTTGCCCTGCATGATTTGGATTGTAGTTATATTAAATAAAGTCAATTAGTGCTGAAAAGCCTTTCTGAAAAATTTTGAATGGTGGTCGAGAGTTTTTCGCCTACATCTCATCACCTCATGTGGTCATATGTTGATTTACTTATCGCATGTCTCTAACTAAAGTTGTCAAGTCCTTTTTTTGCCACAAACCCAACCAATATCCCGGTAAGAGCCATTAACAAATAGTCTTTGGAGTTCCACACCCTAGAACCTTTCCGATCAAAGCTAGGTTTTTTCTCCGTAGCAAATTGCGCAATTTTGATTTTCTTATTCGAGTATGGAGGATATCTCACTGAATTCAAAGCCTCTATCCAAAAAGGCTGCCTCAATAAGGTTCTTTCATGCGTAAAAGAAGTATAGCTCCATTTCCCGTGATAACTTCCATATCCAGATGTCCGAACTCCCCCGAACGGAGCTTCCGATAAGGACACATGGATCATGGTGTCACCCACCACGCATGCTCCTGACCTTATCCTCCTCAATATGTGATTGATTTCTTTGTCGCTCTTTGCAAAAATGTACATCGCTAACGGGTAGTCATGTAATTCAACAACGTTATCTATCACCTCATCAAGATCCTCGTAGATTAAAAAAGGTAAAACAGGCGCAAAATTTTCCTCCTTCATGAGAGAATCATTCCAGGAAACGTCGAAGATTAGCGTGGGAGGAATACACCGCCCAACTTTCTTGAAACTAGCCGATTGCGAATTGAATGTAATACCCTTAGTTTCCTCTAATTTCTGAAGGGTTTTCTGGTAAGATCCATCATGGATACAGTACGAGAACTCCGAATTTTCATCAAATTGAGGCCATAGTTCATTTAAGATCTCCTTTCCAAAACTCACTACGTCCTTGTAATGCGATTTGTGAACCAAAATGTAATCTGCAGCGACACACACTTGCCCTGAATTGCAAAATGCGCTAAAAAAGATCCTTTTAAGCGCAGAACGTAAATCTTTCTTCGGAAAAGACTCCGTGATGAATACTGGAGACTTTCCACCGAGTTCCAAAATACAAGGAGTCAGCTTTTTAGCAGCCTCTTGGGCGACAATGGAGCCGACGAGGGTAGAGCCTGTATAAAATATCTTGTCGAAAGATCCCTCTTGTAAAAGTCGAGTAGTTTCTGGAACTCCACCCTGAATAACTTGAATCAAACCAGGACTCAAGCAACTCACAACAATCTTTTCAACTAAAGCTGCTGTGTGTGGTACTAATTCGCTTGGTTTCCAAACCACGCTATTACCAGAAGCAATGGCTGATGCAACTGGATCTAAGCCGAGTAATACGGGAAAATTAAACGGCGAAATAATCAAAACCGATCCCAATGGTATTCTTTGAATTTCTACCGTGCTGAATTTGAATATATCACCCGTCTCGTGAATCTTCTCATTTTTAATCCAAGTAGGCAATTTTTCAATGAGATCTAGAATGTTGTTATACAAAGGAATAAGCTCGAAAGCAATCGACTCCTGTCTACTGCGGTGAAAATCCTTTTCTAATGCTTTGGTTATCTCATCTTCATGATCTTTCAAACCCCAGTACAGACTTCTCAATTGACTTAGTCGAAATTCCAAATCTTCTTTTTGAGGGTTTGGACTATTAGCAAGCTCAAACTGCCTTTTGTAGAAGAACTCTCTGCTTTCTTTGATTTTTGCATCAATATTCTCACTTTTGGTATACTGCAGAGCAAGATTTTGCATTATTGAAATCTTTACTAGCAGTGAATTGAATATACTATCTTTTAAGATTTCAAATTCCCCGCTTGTTCTTGAAACTATTTTTTTCTATCCGAGAATCCGGTCGTGAATATTAAGACACCACATACATTAAAGTTTATCCACACGATGAATAATGTTGCCGCAGACGAAACAGTACTGAAATCACTTCAAGTAGCTGCACAAACTTATTCAAATTATATCTCTGCATACATTGATGTGCTCAATAAGTACATTGGGCATCAGCGTCGAGTCTCTACGCTACGGTTTGAGCGAGCAACATTAATTAAGTTCGTAAAAAAGCTAAGGTTCTTCAACGAGTATTTGTACACGCTCGACTACGTGGAAATTGAGTCGGGGGACAAGAACCTAGTGCGAATTGTTACGTCCCTTGCATCATTTTTCATCCGATGTCTCGAAATGCTTGATCTTCTGAATTATTACTTGACGCAATCCTTGAAGAATGAAACTATATCCAAAACATTGAACAAGGACTTGACTGTGAGTGAAGATTGTATTGCTTATATTGAGGACACTTATCGCCATTTCGTGAAATTCACTCAATGGATGGTTGAATCTCTGAATTTAAAAAGCGCTGACTTATCCGTTGAGATTGTACAGTTTGCTCGAAAGTGTGCCAAAGAAGATGGATTAAATACCGAAGATACAGAAGAAATTCTTCTACAAGAGATAAACTTGGTGTCGGATGTTGACGAGTACCAGGAACTACTTGACGAATGGTGTCGTTTGCTAACTGAAAAATATATGACATTGAATGCAGCATTTGAAAACGAAGCCACTTATTGGAGTGAAGTGTTCGATCATCGTAAATAGTTTATAGGTCATTATTTTAATCTATTTGTTTCATTATTTTGTTCTTAACAGCTAAACAGAACGAAATGGTGATATGCGGGGATCATGAGTTGCTCTCGCCATGATTAGTTTCACCTGCTCTTGACCTTTCATCAATACCAGGCTCTGTAGTTTGGGTGGCACTAGTATTATTTGAATCCTTCAAGCGTTCTCTTGATAGCAAATCCCTTCTAGGTTTCCCGTGCTCCTTCAGAGTCAAATTGTAATCCTCAGTTTTATCCATTTTCTTTGTCAAGTATATATACAGCTGGTTCAATGTCATTCTGGTAGAATGACCATAAAATGAATTATTCCCTAATCTTACATTTTCGACAACGCGAATAGCTTGTTTCCTCGAAATTCCTGGTGGCATGCCATATCTTTCAGGGTTTTCCTTAATATCATTGATTTTATTGATAATCTGCATTCTCTTTGCGAAAAAAGTCCGTTCCGATGGTTTAGACCTCCAATGTGTTCCATAGCGACGTTCTAAATACATTACCGATGGCTGACCTCTCAACCCTTCAAAATATTCCCTAGCAACATCTGTGACTGTATGTATAGCTCTATTGAGCCTGTAATTAGTGGGGATGTGCGAGTTTGAATACTCAAGATCCTGATCGGGCTCATGGCCCTGGAAAGATGACTGTTGGCTAGTAGTGCAATCCTGTCTCCACGCTGCATCTTCTTCTCTCTTAACTTCGAGTGTTGAGGGGCATTCATCCCTTTCAAGAACTCTTCGATCATGAATATAGTCGTTGAACTGACGGCGGCGGTGATTAGCAAAATTCTCAGCTAGCAACTGGGAGCTTGAAATTGCCTGCGCTTCCTCGGAAGTGACATTTTCAGAGGAATGGTCAAGAAACTGGACCCGATCTCCGGTCATTATCCCTACTATTTCCTTGAAAACCTCCTTGATTGAAGACATTTCCTTCGTACACTTTTCCACCTCTCGAAATCCGTTATCTAACCTTCGACTAGTGCTTAAGTAGAAGTCTTCCTGCTCTTTTTCAAGTTGTATAACTCTTGTCTTTATCAGTTCATTTTGCTCCTGTATCCTTGTAATTTGATCCAAAACTAGTGCCTGAAAACTAGCCTGATCAAGTTCATTTATTGGCTCTCTACATTCAACATCTTCACCATCATTTCTTTGAATTCCGAAAGTATCTCTGCGATATTCGTGAATATCATTTGGCATATTGACGTATCTTGCTTGTTGTTCGGTCCAAAGGTCCAAAGTTGGCGGTGATGATAGTCTTGAATTTCAAAAGAGCACGCTTACTCAAAACACATACTAAATCAATCGGTCATTGCTAAATGACAAGTATTATGTGGATTATTTAAACAACTCTTTATATAAACAAGATTTGATTATATTTGGAGTTTTTATCATACGTACAGCCTTTAAATGGCTCTAGTTTGTTCTCTTCGCAACAAAAAACTTAATCTCCGGCCAAGAGTTATTTCAAAATATAGCAAATACTATTCAAAGGCGACAAGAGGTCTCTTTGGATTGATTAGAAAATGAAATCATATTCTTAATAGGACTGGTATTCAGGCTTTAAATGACTCCGTCAAATGTGCTTCTCTGTAGATGAAGAATGGCAACACCTATACGGTACATTGGGGTATGGCAGTTTATTTTCCTCATATTTTACTCATCAGGATAGTTCCTTCTCTAGCAAAGTTAATTGTTCTCGAAGCTTATCATCATCTTGATCAGAAGCTTTTTTGTTGACATTTATAGGCAGAAGCCTCGTTCCGACATTATCGTCTAGGAACTTAATTTCGTTCCTTAGAGAAACAGTGGCCTCCTCCAGTCCCTGATAGAAGTTTCGGGCATGCATCTCAAACTGGTGTTTCATTTCCTCGCCTCTTTTCAGCTCAGCCAAGGCTGCTACTGCTTGTGATGCGTGCAACAAAGATGACGTCAGCTGCCTATCAATTGAATTTAGTGATTCTATCCTCTCCTGAACATATTTTGGTTGAGGCATCCTTCTTTATACATGAAAGTTGTATCGAATACTACCGACACTAATTGATAGAATTTTCCGTTGAAAATGAATATCCCGTATCACTTTGGACCACAACATCGTTAATATAATGTCCATTGAATTAGGCCTGTCCCGAATCACCAAGCTTTTACTCCACCTTGGAAACCCACAAGCCAAGCTGAATGTACTACATGTCGCAGGTACTAATGGGAAAGGATCTGTTTGTTCCTATCTTCAGTCCATTTTGCAGCAGCAACAGAAATATAAGATCGGAAAGTTTACCTCCCCTCATCTTTGCCATATCACAGATTCTATTACTGTAAATAGTGTTCCAATTTCTATCCCTGACTTTGACAGTATTAGGGCTAAGTTGGTTAAAATGAATATTTCTCATAATTTAGGATGTACAGAGTTTGAGCTCTTGACATGTACAGCGTTACAGTATTTCGAACAAGAAAATTGTGATTGGTGTGTATTAGAAGTTGGATTAGGAGGGAGATTAGATGCCACCAATTGTATCCCTGGGGCGCGGAAAATCTGCGGTATCACTAAGATTGGAATTGACCATGAAGGATTTCTTGGAAATACGTTGACTAAGATTGCAGGTGAAAAGGCTGGTATTCTTACGCCAGGAACAAAATTTATCGCATTGGATGGCACAAATAGTGAAGAAGTAATAGATGTTGTCAGGCATTGCGCAAAGAAAGTGGGAGCTCAACTTATGTTGACTACAGCAGACATATCTTCCGAAGTAATAGAGACCCAGTCTTGGAATAGAATTGGAAAAGAGAACATACCACTAAACGGTGAGTACCAAATTTGTAATGCAGGTGTTGCGTTGTCCATGCTTGATTACTTACAGATACACAAAAAGATCTCATTAACGAGGGAAAGTGTCATAGCCGGTCTCAATGAAGTACGCTGGCCAGGACGTTTACAGAATGTTCGCTATGAAACTTCAAATGGTGATTCATTAGACATGTTAATTGATGGAGCCCATAATGGTGAAGCAGCAATAGAGCTGGCTACCTATCTTGATAAAAATTTAAGAAGAGGGGATAAGGCTCTGACTTTCATTATTGCAGTTACTCAGGGCAAAACGCTCGAACCATTGCTATCACCACTGATTCACGACAAAGACAGGGTATTAGTCACGAAATTTGGTTCCGTTGACGGCATGCCTTGGATTAAAGCCATGGAACCTTCTGAGTTGGCCGATCACATCAAAAAGTATACCAAAAACGTAGACATACATTCCAACCTTGATGAGGCAATCGATAACCTAACTTCCTGTCACCGGGAGGACACTCAGACAGTTCTCTGTGGTTCTTTATACCTTTGTGGAGAGTTACTCAAGAAAACTGTCACACACGACACTTGAGCAGATACGATGCATTTCGTGAAGTTTCATTTTTCAAGTTTTTGCCTCTTCCCTGAACTTCGGCTACGTAACATATCCTTTATACTCCTTTTTTTGCTCTTACTGGATTTATTCGAGGAACCCGATTCTTGTTTTAGTTCATTTTCCCTTTTCTCACCTCTGGGCTCATAATTTACATGCTCACCCTCAAAAACTTCTTTTACTTTCGGCAGAGACTGCTCGTCCTCATGTTTTAGTGACGATTTCTGGGGCATTGATTTTTTCTCGGTGAACGGTGTTCTTTCCTTCTTAGTGGGAGCTCGTACTGTTTCAATTTTCCCTTTGAAGAATTGATGAACCTCGTTATTCACTGGTTCTATTAAATACTCTCCGTTATTCGTAACTTTTCCGACATCAGTGTTGACTCTCCACCATTCCAAAGTATTTTCATCGCACTCAGTTTTTAATGCATCGGCAAGTTCCTTTTGGGTCCAATCCGTTTTTGAGGGATTTAACCATTCATCCCACTGCTTGGTATTTGGTTCAAGTACGACTGGCATCCTGAAGTGTAGCCACTGCATGTTGGGAGGGGCAGGACCAGTGATAATAGTATATGAGAAGAATTCTTTGGATTTGACGCAATCATACATACCTGCCAAAAACATAATGCGCCGATCTTTTCTTGTTAGATAGTATGGAATCTTCGTTTTTCCCTTATTTTGCCACTCGTAGTAACCTGTGATAGGAACAACACATCTATTGTGGTTGCATGGTGCTGTCCACATCTTGCTACTCGACAAGTTTTCCTTTCGAGCATTGAAGGTCTTGTACTGTTGTGCACTGCTCATGTCACGAGCCCAATGTGGAACAAGTCCCCACTTCATATACTTCAGCTCATGTTCCGCTGTATATACTGGGGCCTCTTGTGTTGGAGCAACATTATATGATGCCGGATGATCAAAAAAGGACGACTTAGATGTCGTTATCTCAAGATTGTAAGTCGAAACACGGTCATAGAGTTGGTTTCCCGTACATCCCAAAGAATATCGGCCACACATTTCTAGTCGTTAGCTGCTTTTAGATATAGTCTGAGTAATTGAGAGAGCAGTGCAAAACCGAACTTTAGGGGCAAGGAAAGAGGCAGGTCGTATACCTTTACAAATTAAATTTTGGCGAACAATGTAGACCAAGCAACCTGCATAGCCAAACAGGATCAGGATATTTGTAGATACTTGTTGTGGTCCGCAAGCGTACTTGAAGTGCTCCTCGCAACCTCCTAGACAGCTTCCAGAGAGTTACTAAGGGTTTTAAGCAGTATTATGATTGTAAGGTGATAACTATTCTAACACTCCCAATGCTTCGACGAATTCATATGTTTTAGAGTTTTTGAAGGATATTAGATCATTAAAGCCGGGCCTTTTATGTAGAATTTGGTATGTATTCAATTCAAATATGACCTCATCGAATTATCACATTTTTCATCTTGCCTAAGCAAAAAATCAACTACTTCGTTGAACCACCATAGAAAGCACGATATCAAAAACTACTGCAAGAATGTTATACAGGAGTCTTTCTGGAAGGTTAGCTCTGAGGAGAACTCTTTTTCGTACAAACTCTAGTTTACGGAGTGTCACGACATCTGCTTTTGCCTCACAACGTCCCAGTCCACAATGGCAAAAATGGGCATACGCCATTAGTGGATTCGGGGCTCTTTCATTTGGAATTTGGTGGTTTTACTGGCCCAAGCATACGTTTCCAAGTTCCGTTGCCAGGATCTTAAGAAAGGGTCTTTGGGAGGAAAGCGATAAGAAGAATCACGATTTTCAATCTGCTCTGAAATACTACCTTGAAGCTTTAGATGAATGTAGCAAATTAGGAATGGATAAAATATCTGATGAATACACAGGAATAGAATTAAAGGTGGCAGAGATGTATGAGAAACTGGGAATGGATAAAGAGGCACACGATATGTACTTGGAAATGATGTATCGTTATTTCGATGCCTTGAGAACGCCAGGACGTGTGGCCGACGACCGGCGGCCACATCTGATTCAAAAAGACTTAAGAGTACTGATAAAATCGCTGGAGATGAATAGGGACATTCAAATTGCTAAAAGAAACTTGCTTGCACACTTGCTTTTAGCTCAAGAGGAGGTTCTTAGCCGATCTCCAGAGCTCAAAGAATTCTTTGATAAACGAAAAGAGCGCACCTTAAAGCTTTTCCAAGGAAGACCTGGTTCTAACACTATAGAGTTCGACACTTTTGTGAATGAAGATAATATAAAATTGAATGAAGGGTCGTACATGATTCTAGATATGGCAAAGAATAGCAGCGCTTGGGAACCTTTTAAAGAAGAGTTTTTCACTGCCAGGGATCTTTATACCGCCTACTGCCTATCAACTAAAGACATCACAGCAGCTCTCAATTGTAAGCTAACTACAGTTGAATGGATGGTAATGGCCGACATGCCTCCTGGTCAATTGCTATTGTCTCAGGCAAACCTTGGTTCACTTCTTTATCTGCAAGCTGAAACATTTGAATCCCAAATTTATCATTTAACACAAAAATATGAATCTAAAGACGATGCGAAATTTGATGAGGAAGATGTTCGACTACTTAGACAACTTCACCGTAATCGTGACATGTGTTTTCAAATGGCCACAAAATGCTATGAAAGTGTAATAAAGTTTTCCAAGAAAAATCAGAAGCTAAGATTTAACGCCAAAGATTTAATGGACCCCTCCGCAGCCCATGCCATAGCACTTTCCATTTATGGAATGGGGGTAATCAATCTGCATAAAGGTGTTTTGGCTAAGGCAGAGCGTCTATTGAAAGATTCGATCACTCTTGCACAAGAAACTGATTTCCAAGAACTCCTTAAAGAAGCAAACCAAGAACTGAAAAAAGTTTCTCAGGCACAACAAAAAGAAGTTGTTAAGCATGCGAACAGTGGCAGTTAAATAGCCGCATGTTAATGAAATAAATGTTACATGTAATTTAGTATCATTTCTAACGTTATATAAAGAGAAACTGAATTGGTTCGCTATGGAAGAACCAGAATAGAATAACAAGAAAACGAAATGATTGTGCGATCAGTCGCTCGGTCAACTAGGACCTTTCCAGTCCTTCTGAACTGTTTCAGGTGTTTGCATATTACACCTTCTGCTATCAAGCACCATGATATACGAAAAGTGTTTGATGACCAAAATTACTGGCGTGAAATCAATGCAGCAAATTACGGTGTTGATACATCAATGGGAAAGGGCTTATTGAGTAAGTTTCCTCCTTCAACATCACTGGAGACTGGCCTGTTTCAAAACCCTTTCCTTATCTCTCCTCAGGGCCTTCGCAAGTTTAGTTTCGAATCACTATCTCAAGCCCAGGCCCTGGTGGAAGAAATGAGAACGAATCGTTCCAGCGATGATCTGAAATTATACATCTCAAAACTTGATCGATTAAGTGATATTTTGTGCAGAGTCATTGACCTTTGCGAATTTATCAGAGCCTCGCATCCCAATTCACAATACGTTAAAGCTGCTCAACAATGCCATGAGGAGATGTTCGAATTCATGAACATTTTGAATACAGACACAACATTATGCGAAATTCTTAAGCAAGTTATAAGAGATAAACTCATCCTTGGTGCGTTGACCTCAGAAGAAGTTAAAGTTGGTAAGATACTATTAGATGATTTCGAGAAGTCCGGAATTGATATGGCTCCGGAAGTTCGTGAACAGTTTATTTCACTTTCACAACAAATAAGTCTAGTCGGTCAAGAGTTTATTAACAACACCGAATTTGTTCGAACAAATTATATCAAGATAAAATGCAAAACTCTAGAATACAGTGGAATAAATCCGCTGATACTAAAACAATTGTCTCGAGATATCAAAGGTCAGCATTATAAAGTTCCTACCTACGGATTCCTTGCCTACTCTGTTTTAAGGAGTTGCCCTGATGAAGATGTCCGGAGGAAAATTTGGACAGCAATGCATGATTGTTCTGATAAGCAAATATCAAGATTAACCCAGTTAGTCAGGTTGAGAGCATCACTAGCTAAAATTATGGGTAAATCGAGTTTTTCACAATATCAACTTGAAGGTAAAATGGCAAAATCTCCCAAATATGTGAATGATTTTCTACAATCATTAGTCAATGTGACACGGCCGAAGGCTGCAGAAGAGCTGAGGATCATTGCAGACTTAAAATCTAAACACTTGAAAATTCCTCATCCTAAAACTGAAGAGGACATTCTAAAATTAGTGCGGCCCTGGGATCGTGAATTTTATTCCACGATATATGCCCTGCAACAACAAAGAAAAACTCTCAATAATGAGCAGCTTTCCTCCTACTTCTCGTTAGGTGCTGTCATGCGTGGATTATCGGATTTATTCCAGAGCATCTACGGGATCAGACTTGAGCCTGTTGTGCCCATGACAGGTGAAACATGGTCGCCTGAGGTTCGCCGTGTAAATGTAGTAGATGAAATGGGAGGTCTTATTGGGGTTGTTTATTGCGATTTATTTGAAAGAGAAGGAAAAACGTCGAATCCTGCTCATTTTACAGTATGTTGCTCTCGCCAAATTTATCCTGATGAGAAGAATTTATCAACTATTCAGGTAGGGCACTCGAAACAGTCAGGCGAATTATTTCAACTTCCTGTGATTTCTTTGGTTTGCAACTTTTCTATAACACACGTCTTGGCTGATCAAGCTCTATGCCTCCTCCACTTGAATGATGTTGAGACGCTATTTCACGAGATGGGGCACGCTATGCATTCAATGCTCGGTCGTACCTCTCTACAAAACATAAGTGGTACTCGATGTGCCACAGATTTTGTCGAATTACCTAGTATATTGATGGAGCACTTTGCCAAAGATTTTCGAGTTCTATCTAAAATTAGCTCACATTATGAGTCAAATGAAAAGGTTCCCCATGAGCTATTAAAGCTTTATCAAACGGAATCGAATTATTTGCAGCACACGGAAACCTTTTCTCAAGCCAAGATGGCTATCTTAGATCAGGTAATGCATTCAGAAGAGATACTCAAAAATATGCATAGCACTGACGTTGTTGAAATGTACCATACATTAGAGAGAAAAATGAATGTTCTTGCAGATGATCAAAGCACTTGGTGTGGAAAGTTCGGTCATTTGTTCGGATATGGCGCGACGTATTATAGCTATCTTTTTGACCGTGCAATTGCAAGCAAAATATGGCTTCATCTATTTGCTGAGGATCCATACTGTCGTGCAAGTGGCCAGAAATTCAAAGAAAGTGTACTTAAATGGGGTGGATCTAGAGACCCTTGGGAATGCATAGCAGATGCTTTAGATAATAAGGAACTGTCTAAAGGTGACGAGAAAGCAATGGAGTTCATCGGCGATACCACTGACATTTGAGAAGTATGTTATATAAATTCTTGTAAATATTTAATCAACATATTATTTCAATGCGTTACATTTTTTCTAGTTAGAATCATGCTCCTGTCTTCATTGTCGTGAAAGGTGTGAACAAGTCAATGCAAAGATTGTGATCAAATAGAATAACGCCAATACTCGATTAGGGTGCGTCGTTGATGATATAATATATCTTAAGGCTTTGAATTCAGCCATCTAGGGCGGGTCTCGAAACAAGTATGGCCTCATCCAATAATTTTCATAAGCGGCAAATTTCTTTAACTGATTAATAATTTCAGATCCTAGCCTGCCTCTGTCGAATTCGAACCACTTGCGCCGGAAAGCTAAATATCATGTTCAATTCTCTGAAAGCATTTGTAGAGTTTGTTAAACGATCTTGGTGGCTCATTCATCAAAATTACGGACGTATTTACGTCGACGGACTTAATATCGGATGTCGTAAATTTCGAAACTTTGAACGTATCTGCTTTAGAGAATTTATACACAGTCGCTGTTATAAGCAAAAAATCCTGCTTCGATACTTTGTACTCATTTTAAGTGTTTTCTCTAATGACCGCCAGTGCTGCTAAGAACACAAAGACTTCGGAAAAAGAAAGCCCGTGGGGTCATTTTCGTTCAAAGAAACTCCAAATCGATTCGCTAGTGTGGGTTATGAGGAAATTGCCTTTTTTCAGGTATTTTTGGGCCACCAATAAAATCGCCTATGACAAAACTAATCGGATATGGTCGCGTCAATAGTCACAATCAAGCCATCTAATGAGATATTGAAAGAGCTTTTCGAAGTGTGTCAGTATTGCTCACGATAGCTGGCCGCGCCTCGCCAACGTAGAAATTTTATAGCATAAGGCAGTCAAGCCCAATTACTCTCCAATCAAGAAAACACTGCCTGGGGATTTGAGAATGAAGTTGGGCGAGATCGTATATGTCACTAAAGATTATAAAAAATGGTGGTGTGGCTCCGGATACGGCCAAAAGCACATTTCATCTTGTTTAATGATAACATCGCAGATGTAAATAATCTTAAATCGGGTTATACAACTGCAAACTTCGATTACATGGGTGCAGAAATAGCAATTCACTATGTAATCTATCTGTCGTTTGTATATGCCTTAGCTGGGGGGATACGGCGCGATCTCATGCCGCCAACCCGGATCGGCATGATCAATTTTCAGTATACGTTATCCTGGAATACAAGTCAGGGCTAGTTCATAATTAAAAGCACTTTGAATTTTTTATGCGTATCGCCATATATAGACCTGCTTTGAAGATTCGACAAGGCAAAAAGTATCCTCCACGAAATTAGTTTAAAGAGCATTTAAGATTATAAGAAATTCCTGGAAACCAAGTACACGCCTGCAATTGCTTTGATAAAGCTACATACAGTCAGAAATATAAAACGATGATATCGTATCACCATTGAATTTCTGTTACTGCAACCTTTTCAAGCTCGTCAAATAGAAACCTAAATAAATGTTCTCTGCTTGATGAACTGTTAATTAGATTTTAATGAGAAAAGATAGTGTTTCTGATTTGAATCTCTAGAAATTTAGTAGGTTTTTCAATTTAGTAGTAGCTAGCTGAAGTTTACGAGGACATTTACGTCGATTTGTCTAGACAACTGCTGTTTCTTTCCTTTGTAATTCTTAAAATGTGCTGCAAATAGAGACTAAGCTGCAAACTGAAAACTCTACGTACATGATGATCGTCATTGGAAGCCTTTTCTTCATGTTCATACAGTAAAACTATTCTTGAGAAATTGGGAAACTATCTTTTAACTAAATGATGATTCAGAATATGTTCCAGCTTCATGCGTCTTGGCAAACTTTTCAAAATTCATTTATTTTCAGATTTATGAGATGAGCAACTACTGGCAGAGGTGGCCTTAAGATTACTTCTTTCCACTTACTCTCGGGTACCGTCTTTAGGAAAGGGTGATTTTTCTGTCTCCTCGAAATCTTGAATCAAGTGTCTGTTTTAATAGGCTATATTGAGATTTATAAATTTGGCAGTGATATTTATACCTACCGGTGAAGGATTCTATATAACAACCCCAGTCACTTACTTTTATTCTGTCATAAAGTAATATCTGATATGACCAAGACATATTACTTTGAACTGGATTATATGTGAGGTATTGATAATGAGCTATGTGGATGGTCACACATAAAACATTGCTTTGTGCCAAGTAAGGTCGATTTTACTGAATCATCCTATCCTGCTATAGTATCTATATTCTTAAAAGGCTTTTTACATGAATTCTACACCAGATAATCTTCTTAAGTGGAGCATAGCCGTTTCTCGCTCTAACACAGTTACCTCTCGGACGGGGGTAATTAGAAAAGGCCTGTGTTAATATACCCGCAAAAACTATTAGGATGGAAATACCGACAATAAGCCTCGGATTCCGACTGGGAATATAATTGGAGATCCATTAAATAATACAGCTAGTATGCCGTTCATCTTTAGTTCACGATTATGATTTACATAATAATCAAGGGATGATAGCTATACCAATTTTTATATGTGTGGGTGTTCTTGTCGCTTGCAGTTCGCCGATTGTCCATTAAAATATAGACACAAGTGTGTCAGAAATATGCCTTAGGAAATTTTGGTTGCTCTGAATTAATTTATTGAATGCAATCATTTAAATATGGAATGATTAATACGCATTAATTCTTTTTTTTAATTGAGCTCTCGTTGAGCTTAAAGCATGGGAGCATTCAGTTACCTCTTTTCCCATATTTATTCTCAACCTGAACTTGGATTTTAGTGGCGCTTGTGTATATATATGTTTGTGTGTGTGTATGAATGAGATTGATGGCAAACTATATTATATTTTGTGGGTTTCTTACTATTTCTGACATTAATTGTTTTGGTGTTTCAGTATTAAGTCTGTTCAGTGGATGGATGTGGTATCTAATTACTGCATTCTTGATTATAATTAAAAGAGTGCAGAACCAATTCTGTCTCTTCTTCTTTCTTTCACTTAATCCCCTGCTATACTTGGAAGCTGCTAGTATTTATCTTTATATCTATAGAAGGGGGTCCTATATCGAGCCTCATTTCTCTGAGGTTCCTTCTATTGTTTCAAATTTCGCAGTAATATTTTTTATCCGTGACAATACACACATTGTTTCGAAGGTTATGTATTCAATTACAAAGCTTCCTAAATATAAAGCGGCAACTTGGCCGAGTGGTTAAGGCGTAAGATTAGAAATCTTTTGGGCTTTGCCCGCGCAGGTTCGAATCCTGCAGTTGTCGGTTTATTTTTGATTTTTTGGGAGCTGGTTATCCAGAAAGTTCATATGTGTATCAAGAATGCGGCGAGCCTTGGAAAGTATATCATGTCTCGATCACATATTGTGATACTTGATGAAATGGCACTTGACGAAAAAACCGTCAGCTTGACGCGCTTGCTTCTCTATCGTAAATGATCATTCAATACGGTTATTAACTTCTTCGGTGGCAAATTCCTCCATAGGCATATCATTACCATCATCTCCTACCCTAAGTAATAACCAATACTACATCAAACCTTTCTTATCTCAACAACCAAGATGGTATGTGCAATGTTCTTATATATTTCAAGAAACTGCTGGATTTTGATACTAACTGACGACTGACAGGGTCAAGGTGCGTCTACGTATGGGAAGGACAAAAAGAAGAAGGATAAGCAGAAGCCAAAGTATGAACCACCAGTTCAATCTAAGATAGGAAGGAAGAAAAGGAGAGGACCAGCAACAGCTGAAAAACTGCCTAATGTGTACCCAAGCACACGTTGTCGGTTGAAGTTGCTACGCATGGAAAGGATCAAAGATCATCTACTGCTGGAAGAAGAATTTGTGACCAATTCAGAGATATTGAAGCCTTTCGAGAAGAAGCAAGAAGAAGAGAAAAAACAATTGGAAGAAATTCGTGGCTCGCCACTCTCGGTGGGTACTCTTGAAGAAATTATAGACGATGATCACGCAATCGTAACGAGCCCCACGACGCCAGATTTTTACGTCTCTATTTTATCTTTTGTGGACAAAGAGCTTTTGGAGCCCGGCTGCTCAGTTCTTTTGCATCATAAGACAATGTCGATTGTTGGTGTTTTAGCTGATGATGCGGACCCCATGGTATCGGTAATGAAGATTGACAAATCACCTACTGAGTCATATAGCGATATTGGTGGTTTGGAGTCTCAAATTCAAGAAATTAAAGAAGCAGTTGAACTGCCATTAACACATCCCGAGCTTTACGAAGAAATGGGTATCAAGCCCCCTAAGGGTGTAATTCTATATGGTGCACCAGGGACAGGGAAAACATTGTTGGCCAAGGCCGTAGCAAACCAGACATCAGCCACGTTTTTAAGAATTGTTGGTTCGGAGCTAATTCAGAAATACTTGGGAGATGGGCCAAGATTATGTAGACAGATTTTCAAAGTTGCTGCGGAAAATGCCCCCAGTATTGTTTTCATCGACGAAATTGATGCTATCGGAACGAAAAGATATGATTCCAACAGTGGTGGCGAAAGGGAGATTCAGAGAACTATGCTTGAGCTTTTGAATCAGCTGGACGGTTTCGATGACCGTGGAGACGTTAAGGTTGTCATGGCTACCAATAAAATTGAGAGTTTAGATCCAGCATTAATTAGACCAGGGAGAATTGACCGCAAGATTTTATTTGAGAACCCAGATATTTCAACAAAGCGTAAGATTCTATCCATCCATACAGCTAAAATGAATTTAAGCGAGGACGTGGATCTAGACAACCTTGTGACGTCTAAGGATGACTTATCCGGTGCTGATATCAAAGCCATGTGTACAGAAGCAGGTTTGCTCGCTTTAAGAGAAAGAAGGATGCAAGTTACTGCCGAAGATTTTAAGCAAGCAAAAGAACGTGTATTGAAGAATAAAGTTGAGGAAAATTTGGAAGGTTTGTATTTGTAGTTAACATTCGAAGGATTATATAATGTTGTACTTTTATACGAATTTTCTTGCTTGTAATTGAAGGAAGAATGGGGCATTTGAATACCAAGTGCCAAGTTTAGACAAATCTCATAAGCTCTTCCAATAGGTATATTTTGACACTAACAGAGTGTTGTACCAATTTTACGATATAAGAATCAAATACGACGGATAGGTATTGTTTTTGAAGCAAATTCATTATGTCAAGTCCAAATAAGGGAGAAGATGAAATGCAAATTGCTGAAACAAGCGGAAATTCTGTGAGGGTTTCGATGTATAAACTATCATATTCAGTCGGTGTGGCAGAGAATAAAAATGCTAAGTTCCGCAATACCATGGAAGACGTGCATACTTACGTCGAAAACTTTGCTTCACGTTTGGACTGGGGCTATTTTGGTGTTTTCGATGGACACGCTGGAAATCAGGCTTCTAAATGGTGCGGTGCAAACCTTCACACAGATATTGAAAGACACCTCTTGGAAGATGAGAGTAAAGATGTTAGAGAGGTATTGAACGCTTCATTTGTGCGCGCGGACGAGCACATAAATACACATCTTCAGGGCAATAGCGGATGCACGGCTGCCGTGGGCATATTGCGATGGGAACTCCCGGATAATCTACCGAGCGAGCTTATTGATCTGGAGCAACACAAGAGAATGCTCTATACAGCTAACGTGGGAGACACAAGGATTGTACTTTTCAGAAACGGTCATAGCGTAAGGCTTACATACGATCACAAAGCATCTGACATTTTGGAGATGCAGAGGGTTGAGAGTGCAGGAGGCTTAATTATGAAGAGTCGCGTTAATGGGATGCTTGCGGTTACGCGATCGTTGGGCGATAAGTTTTTTGATAGCTTGGTAGTCGGCAATCCTTTCACTACGAGCGTTGAAATCACCACGACTGACCAATTTCTTATAATAGCATGTGACGGGCTATGGGATGTCATAGACGATCAGGAAGCATGCGAAATGATCAGGGATATGACCGATGCAAACGAAGCAGCCAAGAAGTTAGTGAGGTATGCATTGGAGAATGGCACCACCGATAATGTTACTGCAATGGTAATAATGTTTGATAACAGTTTATAATTAGCTTAGTGTATATTAATCCAATAAGCGTAGCATCGTCAGTTTACAACTCTACTAATTCTCTATATGTTGAAATCATTCATGTCTAACCCACCTTGGTCATCATTAGTGTTCCAGTCTATGCCTAAATCATTGAAGTCGTTAAGTGTTAGGTAGCTTTCAGGGTTCGTATTTCCTGAAGGGTTATTAGGGGTATTTGTGCCAATGGCAGTTGGCTTCGAATTATTTATTGCAGATGCATCTCCAGTCACGGCGTTGGGTTGTACGTTAGGTTGGTCCTCATTGAAATCAGCAAGGCCCAAATCGTTTTGATCTAAATTCCCGAACATGGACAGGTCCAAGTCATTGAGATCATTAAATTCTGCAGAAAAATTAGGGTTTCTTGAGTTGCTGGTAGCAGTTTGAATACCACCCGATTCATTGAGCAGGCTGCCGGGCGTAGGGACCGTTAAATCAATCGGGCTGTTGTTTATGTCAATTTGTTGAGATTCTTTCGAGAATCGTTTGTCCTCTTCATTGGGTAATTGTGGCTGCTGCTGTTGTTGTTGTTGTAGTTGTTGTTGTTGCTGCTGCTGCTGCTGCTGCTGCTGCTGCTGCTGCTGCTGCTGTTTCTGTTGCTCTTCCTTCTCTTTCTGCCGCTTACGCTCAGCAGCTTCTGTTGCCACAGCCTCAAGATATTTGGTGCTAGCAGTTAATGTGAGATCTAGGTCATCTAGAATCGTGTGGAAAAGATGTACTTTTTCACCAAGTGACCTATGCTGACTCTTGGTAAAGCCCGTCGCAACATCAGAACCGAGTTGGATTGTTTTCATCTGCTGCTGTACCAACATCTCAGCTCCCGCTCTCATAATATCTTCGAAGCATTGCGTAAGCCTATTTTGTTGGCGGCCCTCTTTGAACATTACTATCTGACCCTGCACTAGCGTGGTTTTGAAGCGTTGGATTATTCAAATCTTCGGAGACGAGTTTAGAAATTCAGAGGCGACGTTGGCCTCCCCACACTTCAAATCATACTTCACGGGTAAAACTCGGCCAATCAGAAATCCCAAAAAATAAATCCTGATAGGGTAACCCATTTCTCACTGCGACTAAAAAAATTTTCAAAAAACGAAGAACCCCTTTAAGCAGTGACAGACTGACCATATAGAGATATTGTGACATTTGAAATGTTCCGTTTGAGTGGTTTGAAAAGCCTGGCAAGAACTGCTAACCTAGTGAGCAAGCGTACTTATGCTGAGGCAGCTGGTGATTTTCTTAAATTGCAATTCGCTCTACCACATGAAACCCTATACGCCGGTTCTAAAGTCACTCAAGTGAACCTACCTGCTCAATCGGGAGAGATTGGTATTCTTGCTAATCACGTTCCTACTGTCGAACAACTTGCCCCTGGTGTGGTTGAGGTTTTTGAGGGCGGATCTTCCAAGAAATACTTCGTTTCGGGTGGATTTGCTACAGTTCAACCAGACTCTACACTTTCTATCACATCAGTGGAGGCATTTCCCTTGGAATCCTTTTCAAAGGATAGTGTCAGATCTTTACTAGCTGAGGCATCTAAAAACACTTCCTCTTCGGATGAAGAAACTGCTGCTGAGGCCGCCATCCAAGTCGAGGTTTTAGAGGCATTGCAAGCAGCTTTGAAATAAGTCTAACGGGGGACGTCTTTAGGCAATTGTACAAACAAAAACTTCTTCATATTCTAGTTTTGAAAGAACGAATAAATACATGATCTTAACGTATATAAAATTTCTCGTTGTCTCCTTCCCTTCATTGATCAGGGAACTCATGAGCATGGCAAAGATTGATGTTCGTATATAGTAATTACTGCTTGTTCTGCTCAAGCAGATTTCTCAAGTGATATTCATGCGTAAAATGATGTCACGTGCACTAACGGCGGAACCCTGTTTTCTGTCGCGTCGCGTAAACTAGTTGAAAACACGAAAAGGTAGCGCGAAAAAAATCACTTCGCTCTAAACATACTTACTCCTGTTAGGTCTTTTCTTGTGCAAGCAACAAAGTTATTAGCTCTCCTCAAAGTCTCAATTGTATTATAAGTTCAAAGCTAGCTAATACCTTCTCATCATTTGCTCTTTGCTAATTAGTGTGACAAGATATGACTGGAAACACATCGGGAAGAACTCCAACATTTATACAGTTGACCACCAGGGATGGCCCTCTCGCCCAGATTTGGCTGGCTTCCAATATGTCGCATGCTCTTTCAAAGACAGTATCACAACAAACAGATATTGTGAAATCTGTTAAAGAAATCACAAAAGTTGCTGGGTGCTCTTCGGAGGGCGAACATGTCGAACCTATAACGTTACGCGTATCAGGCGAACTACTGCACGGTGTCGTCCGTGTTTACTCAAAAAAGGCATCGCTCCTTTTGAATGACATAAAGGACACATTGACTAAGATCACATCGTTATTCAGAACAAATCAAACTTCACTAACTCTACATGCTGAAAGAACTGTGATCACTAATCTAAACCAGCTTATGCTTCAAGATACAGTGACTGAAAGAGATGTTCTTGCTGTTCCTGAGTTAGATTTCCTTGGAGATCATGACCTCCAGTCGGCCTTCATGGGAGGAGAAACATCCATGCAAAGGCATGTGCAAGGCGCTGCTCCCTGGGATACGTCGATTGAAGTTGGCAGACGGTTTGCACTTGACGACGATCTAGATTATGACAGATCGTTCGAACTTGATTTGGACTTTGACATTAGAGATAATGCTTCCAGATCTTGGGGTGAGGGTACTCAGGTCTCGATGAATAAGTCGTCTTTATTACAGAATGTGAAAGCTATAGATGATGATGAAGATTTTCCGGACGGCGATGAAGTTGCGTGGGATTTGGGTATAAATGAGGAGGGCACGCAGCCTGGGAGCGAACATGATTCAGACAGGTCATTAGAGCTTGGAAGACGCGCTACACAAGAAGAGTATCTACATGAACAGACTGAATTCGATTTCGATCTTGACTTGGATAAAGTACCCAACGAAGAGCAATCATCGACACAGGAGGTGCAAGATGATGCGGAACAAAATTTAACCGTTAGGAAATCGCCCAAGAAAACCTCGGCACTTCTAAATGTTAAAACGCTAATATCTGACTCTGATATTGAGCTCAAGGACGGTACCTTGAAAAATGAATCTCCTCCGCCTGTTGAAGAAGTCCCTACTCCTGCCCAACGTGAAATTTTGGCGGGCAGCAAAAGATTATGGGTACAAATCTCAGAGAACCTAGATTATTTACCAACATCCGTAGTCGACAATCTTCTACCGTACCACCGAATCAAAAAGCAAAAAACGAATGATGGAGCATCATCTCAAGCAGAAACAGAAGATCTGCATTTAGACATCTCGCTTGGACTTGACAACGACCTTCTTTCCGATGAAGGTAGTGGCGATCTCGATGCTATTACTGACCGTAGTAGGGGACTAGCTAATGATGAAGCCAGCGATGAAATCGTGAACGGAACGAGTGCATCAGCGGATCTACACGAGTTTTCTAACGTCAGCAGTGAGGTATTGTCTAATTCCCAGCCCCAGCAAATACAACTCTTGACAGGTGAAACTGTTCCTAAGGAAACTGTAGATATGGCTGAATTACTAAGAACGCAATTTCTCACAAAAGACACTACAACATTCGAGGAAGTAACGATTGCTAAAAGCCAAAACGAACGTTCAACGGATGTCGCCACAAGAAGACAAGCCAGCGTGGCATTTTTTGACATTCTCTCTTTAGCTACTATGGGATGCCTTGACCTAGAGCAACAAAAAGAGTTCGGTGAAATTCAAATAAAAGGGAAGGCCTCCCTCTACGAGAAATTTCTGACGGCGTGAGTGCTCTGATCTCGAGATTTATCAGATTACAATGATTATATAATATTTTAGGGACTGGATATAATGTACATTTCAACGACAAAAAGAAAAACATTCGAAAAATTTTCCGATGAGCATCTCATTGAAAAAATCCACTCTTACAAAAAAAAGACTCTGTTTTACGATAGTTAGTGTGACTTGAAAAGCCATCTAAGTTGAAGCTCTTTCATCATTCGTCAAGATGTCCAAACTAAAGAAGGGTACTAAATCTTCGAAAAGATACAGGTATTCCTCATTCAAGGATAAAATAGACAATCTTAGAATCGAACCAGCCAGAAATCTTGAAAAAAAGGTCCATGATCATGTTGAAAGCTCACATTTTCTGTCTTCGTTTGAACATTGGGTAGACATCAATATGAGCGCCGATTTCGGGACGTTTGCTAATGAAGTTCAGCCATTGGTTCAGACACTTCCCCAAATTTTGTACCACCAGGAGAAAATATTTCATCTTTTAATTGATCATATAAACAATCACGATGAAAAATCACTGCATCCGCTATTGGATCTACTCGCACAGTTTTGTCATGATTTGGGACCTGATTACATGAAATACTATGAAGACTCTATTCTAGCTTTGACCAACTTACTGGATGATGCTATAAACTTTGAGTCTTCGGACGTATTTGAATGGGGGTTCACTTCATTAGCATATATTTTCAAGTATTTGTCACGAATACTCACTCAAGATTTGAAGCCTACCTTTAATCTTCTATTCCCACTATTGTCGCATCCTAAAGAGTATTTATCAAGGTTTTCTGCAGAAGCGTTATCCTTTCTAATAAGAAAGGCAAAAATAAAAGGCCTATCAATTTTTGTTACTGACTCTCTGCAAAAGCTTGAACATTCGCCAGAAGCGCATTACTATGATGGCTTGCGAGTGTTGTTTGTGGAATCGTTGACAACTACAAGTGAATCCCTTTATTCCAGATCCAATTCAATTTTGAGGATCTTTCTCATAGAGTCTTTAAAAGAATCCCAAAAAGATATTTGCATATCTCTGGTAGCAGATGTCTTGCTAGATATCTTAAGACATGCATCAAAAGATAACGCGCGTTCGGTATATGAGCTATTCATTTCGACGCTGGACGATTATCTTAAAGAAACCCCCGATTTGGATAAGGTATCGAAGATCATACTTACTTTAATCTTTGCTGAAAGCGGAACTAAAGTCCCCGATTGGTCCTCACTCGTATCTTTGATGCGAAAAGTTGTTCAGCATGATGATAAATCAACGTTGAAACCAGATACAACATCTTTACTATTCTCGATTTTTATCCGTAATGCTCCATTACCATCATTGACTCAGTTTCATAGGACTATCTTTGATTTCTTCATTACTCAGTTTTCGTCAGACTTCCTAGAGTTTTGTGAGATCTCTTTAAATTTGGCCAAAGATCGTGTTCTTTCCTTAAGTGTGGTCAAATACTTACAAAAATATATCAACCTATATTGGAAAGATAATGCAAAAAAGATTGCCTTTTTCCTATTCGAATTAGATCAAAAACCTGACTTGGAAGGTAAGTTGGAACTTTCGATACCGAGCGACTTCCATGATTACTTGATTAATGCCACTGAGCTTCTGTCTTCATCACCATCGGAAAGTGATTTGTATGAAATATATTGGAGATTACCCATATTGAAGCGATCAAATGAAGCGGACTTGGGATTTATCAGCCATTTAATCAAAACCATGTTATCCAATTCGCAATCGATTTCAGAAGTAAGTGACTTCCAGAAGGACGTTCTAGGCTATCTTTTACAAGTTATGCAACTCAAGGAGGACCATGACGACGAAAAGATTTTAACTCTTTTGATGGACAAATTTCAGATCTATCAAAACAGTGTCCTATTTATTAGGAGCTTAAATCGCATCATGACTATTTATGCGAAGCAGAATCCTACGAAATTTTCTTGTTCTGAAGAATTCCTGTTGTCAATAACAGATAATTTCGCTCTTCCTGATGGAAATATCCGTTATGAGTCCTTGAAGCTCCTTATTACCACCTTAAATGGGCTTGGAGAAGCATATTCTCCCATAATTGATCAATGTAAAGTTATTGAGGAAATACCTCACAACTTACAATTTGCCCGTGATTTAACAATGAGGATAAGGCAGATGGGTTCTGAGTTTTCCAAAACACAACCGGATACGTTACTTTGTAACGCTTTTTTCAAGTTTCTGTTTGGTATGTTAACGGTGCGATTTTCTCCTTTGTGGGAAGGTGTTTATGAAATTTTACCAAGTGTTTACGAAAAGGATCCGACCTTGATATGGCAGCTTCTTCTCAAATTTCTTGGTGCTCTTGACAATAACTTTGTACTTCATTATTATGAAGAGATTGAGCTTGAAGACGTTCCCCATGTGTTTTGGGAAGTCAATACAGCCCGATTCAACGACTGCTTGAAACATGGCAAGGGTATTTTTTATTCATTCAACCATATAAAAGCGTGCATCCTGGAAAAATCAAAAGAACGGAGAGGTGATTTATCTTTCCCGGGCTTGATCAGAAATCAGACTCTTAAAACGATGCTTTTACTTCCAGGTTTAGCTGAACGTAATTCTCGGGACATAGTTCCCTACTTACTCGCTCAAGACGACTCTGAAAATAATTCCGAGGATAGTAACTCCAATGGATCTTATTGGACAGATACTGATAAAAATCTGCTACTGAAGCTTATCGGAAAATTCAAGAATATTAAGGCGATTTACAGGTCTAGTGATGTTTATGATCGGTTAATGGTTCTGCTCGAGAGTAGGACGACAGATGTTCAAAAGCTTGCTCTGGATGCTATTCTGGCATACAAAGAAACTATTGCTATCAAGTATAAAGATAACTTGAAAAACTTGCTGGACGACACTCTATTCAAGGACGAAATAATCAAGCTACTTTCAAAAGGAAGCGAAAGATACGTTGAGGATGGAGATCAAGAAGAATTAATGCCCTTTGTCTTGAGAATATTGTTCGGACGTGCTCAAACACCGTCTACAAGTGGTCTTAAAAAGAGTAGGAAAACTGCAGTTGTTACAATTTTACCCAATTTGGAAGAGAAATATGTCATTCAGTTTTTAAACTTGGGCAGCGGTAGATTTGCTTACTCCCATCACTTTGAAGGAAGCTGTAATTTCACCGACGAAAAATTCGATTCTTCTGAGCTGACGATCACTGCTATGAGAAAAATGACAGGGTTTGTAAATTTAGTTCAGTCGATGTTGTCAATTTTGGGTACAAAATTTCCTAAAGCAACTGAAACTACGGTGAACCCAATCCTGTACGCTATAGCAGCCTCGGATCAAGCGTTGACGATCAATCACGAACAAGAATTCATTACTAAGGTGGCTAGTAATTTGAGGCAATCCGCGGTGAAATGCCTTTACAGTTTGTTTAGTTCAGCAGGCGATTTGAACTGGTTGAATCATACTACGGATGTCTTTCGGATCGTGGTAAAACCTCGTCTTGAACACTTTGAGAGAGAGAATTTGCAACAGCCATCTTCTTTGATGAAGATAATGACCTATTGGGGGAGTGAGAAGCATTTGTATGAATTCCTGTACTGCGATAACTTTGCGCCAGTATCTGCACTAATGAGCACTTTGGCAAATGATTTGGCAAAAGAATCCGTTGTTGAAGTTATCCTCAAATTTTCAAATGATGTAATTAAATCACCTGTTAATGGAGATTCTTACGTCCATTTAGTTTCCATTATTGCATCTGCTTGTCTTCAAGCCCTTCCAAAGTTATTCAAACGATTGGCAAGTCATTCCGCCACATCTGTGGCGATTGATTTACTGCTTAACATGACTACGGCCGGTTATGTTGAAAATAGTGAAACTATAGGCCTCCTTATCGAGTCCTTAACTCAGGCGTTAGACAAGGAATTCAGCAGTCTACATTCGAGAGAAAGAACTAAAATTCTAAAATCGCTTGCATCACTGATTAATGAATACAATTGTTCTTGGGAGGAAATAGAAGAGTTATACAAGGTATGTTCACGGTTATATCGCGTTTATGCAGAACGTGATAGTCGGGAAAGCTTGAATGATATTTTCATTAGTATGGGCTCTAGATTTGACAATATCAAACAAGTTGCGACTCTTCTGGTCAACCTCAACTCTTATTCTTCGGGAAGGCTTGAATCCTATGATTTTGAAAGGGTTTTACCGGCCTTTAAAGAAATACATGAGATATACTTCAAGGCTTTTACAGAAATCGAGTGGCTTCCGATTCTTCATTGCTGTTTATTTTACATTAATGATATCGAAGAATTGGCACTTCGAACTAACGCCACGCATACTCTAAATCGTTTCGTTGATTATATTAACTTGAAGCCCACTCACCATGAAGCCATAAATGCCATAAATCTACTCGAAACCGACGTTCTTCCCTACGTAAAAAGTGGTATTCGCAGGCAGAACGAGGAAATACAGTCTGAATACATTTCAGTGGTTGCTTATATTGTCAGCAACTCTAACCACTATAAGGGCTTAGATGACATGAAAGTCCTCCTTTTTAGCGGTGATGAGGAAGCTAATTTTTTCGTCAACATTTCGCACATCCAAATTCATCGTCGCCAAAGAGCCATCAGGAGATTGGGGGAGCATGCCAGTCAGCTTTCCGATAATAGCATTTCACATTATCTCATTCCAATGATTGAGCATTACGTTTTCTGCTCTGATGAGAAATATCGGAATATCTGCAATGAGACAATTGCAGCTATTGGTCAACTCTCTAATTTCACTAGCTGGAATCAATACAAAGCGCTGTCAAGGCGGTATGTGAGTTTGTTGAATACAAAGAAAGAATTTCTAAAGGAGCTTGTTTGGCTAATCGTCGAAATATCTAAAGCATTGAAAAATTCAATGATTTCAAAAAGAGAAAATGATGATTCAAAGCCGTGCATTCGAAAATTCCCCAAGAAACTCGAGGAGCCCAGCGCTTATATCAAAGATGAGCTTTACGTGAAGTTATCAAAATTCTTGGCCACCAGGAATGAGGAAACAATTGTCGCAAGAATACCACTTTCAGAAGCACTGGTTAATTTGATACTTGGCTTATGTCATGAAGACCGTATATCACATCTTCCTGGTATTTTAACGAGTATTTGTCAAGTGCTACGTAGCAAGTCTGAGGAACTCAGGGAAGCGGTAAGAAAGAACCTTGGAAATATATCTATTTTGTTGGGGGCAGAATATTTGACTTTTATAATTACTGAGCTCAAGTCCGCACTCAAAAGAGGCTCGCAAATTCATGTGTTAAGTTATACTATTCACTACGTGATAATGTCAGTTTCGGATGTTTTAAAGCATGGCGATCTCGATCCATCTGCCCAAATGATTGTTGATGTTGTAATGGAAGATATTTTCGGTGCTGCAGGGCAAGAAAAAGATGCCGAAAATTACAAGTCAAAAATGAAGGAAGTGAAGTTCAACAAAAGTTATGATACGGGGGAGATTTTAGCTTCAAATATTTCCTTACCGGTTTTTGGCACAGCTCTACGTCCTATCAAAGCTCTTCTGATGCAGCATCTTGCTCTTAGAACACAGAATAAATTAGATGAATTATTAAGACGCTATGCTCTTGGGCTCACTCACAATGATGAAGCCTCTTCTACTGATATCTTAACTCTGTGCTATGAAGTTTACAAGCAGTCTGAAGCCCTGTCTAATAGAGACATGAAGAAAAGCAATTTGATTAAGGAACAGAAGAATGAATTTTTCTTGATTAACTTGAATGCGCAAGATGGAAAAGTTGAGACTGAAAATTCTCTGTTTGCCTCGACATTACAGAAGTTTGCTTTGGATCTACTTAAAGCAATTCTTACTCGGAAATCGAATCTTTTATCTCCCGCATACCTAAATGGGTTTATTCCAATTTTGCAGGATACCTTGAATTCTGAAAATGAAGGCGTTTTGATAAGCACACTACGTGTTCTCATTATTTTCATCAAACTGGATTTTCCATCCGAGTCCGAAGGACTTTTCAAAAATTGTGCTCGCAAAGTACTAAACCTTATTCGGGACTCCCCCACGACTTCAACAGAGCTGTGTCAGGTCTGTTTGAAATATCTGTCCTCCCTCATTCGACACAGGGACATTCAGTTAAAGGATACAGCTTTAAGTTATGTCCTAGGTCGAATCCAACCGGATTTGAACGAGCCGAATAAGCAAGGCTTGGCTTTCAGTTTTCTGAAAGCGCTATTGGCTAAGCATATTATTTTACCTGAATTGTATGATATTATCGATTCCGTCGCTAGTATAATGGTTACCAATCATTCCAAGGAGATTAGAGATGTTTCCAGAAGTGTTTATTATCAATTCTTGATGGAGTATGATCAAAGTAGAGGCCGTTTGGAGAAACAATTTAAGTTTTTAGTTTCAAATCTGGAATACCCGTCACAAGAAGGTCGGCAATCTGTCATGGAACTTATAAATTTGATCATCAACAAATGTGGGCCAGAATTGTTGCTTCGTCTATCCTCTTCATTTTTCCTCGCGTTAGCTAACGTTACAGTTAATGATGACTCCCCGAAATGTCGGGAGATGGCTGTAGCACTGCTAACTCAACTATTTCAAAAGTTAGGGCCCTCGAATATTGGCGATATTGAAAAGTATATCATTGCCTGGCTAAAGCAGGAAGAAGAATTGACGTTTGTAAGCCTCGGTCTACGAATCTACAAAATCTATTTGATGACACTCGGTTGGAAGAATGAGGATATATTGAGTGAGTTAGCTATGACTCGGACGAAGGCGATAATTTCTAACACTGATGCTGGATCTGATTCAGAATGGGATCTTGTTTACACGGCATTGACAATCTTTACAACATATGCTGATAAATACGAACTTGCTTTTGCGGACAACTTTTCAAATACATGGACTAGCATTGTAAAGTGTCTACTTTATCCACATCCTTGGGTTCGATTGGCAGCTGGGAGGCTCGTTAATCGCTTGATCTCTAATCTAAACAAATTGGAGAGCTCATTATCTGACACGGAAATTCAGACAATAGCATTTCGAATCTTTCGTCAACTTGGCGCTCCCTATCTTCCGGAATCACTTTCCTCGGTCTCGGTCAAGACGCTTGCCATGATATTTATGAAATGGAAGGAGAACAATACAAAATTTGTGGTTACAGATGAACTGGAAGCTACAAGTTATCAAACTGCTATCGATTTTGCCATAGCAAGAACAGGTTTCATAATAAGAAATGAAGAGAACTTAGAAGAATCTTTCATGTCGAAAAAGACTTGCATTCAGTTATTTGCATTGTTGGTGCAAATACTAGACCTTGAACAACTGAGGGAAAAGGCAGAAAGAATAATCCTTCCCTTGTTTGTGTATTTGGAAAATGATAAACGTGGTGACGATAAGGTTAGTGAGCTACAAGATTTGTCACAAGAATGCCTTCAACTTTTAGAATCCAAGCTTGCAGTTTCAGACTTCACAAGAGCCTACTCTCAAGTTAAGCAGCAAGTTGATCGCAGGAGACAAGAACGTAGGGCAAAAAGAGCAGTACTAGCGGTAACTGCGCCAGAGGCGGCTGCTAACAGAAAGCTCAAGAAGCACGCAAGATCTAGACAAAAGAGAAAACATGAGAAGGACGAAAACGGATACTATCGCCAGAAAAATAAAAAGAGAAGAGCATAATAATTTTACTCGTAAATATTAATGTACATGATGTAGTGCAACAATACTAGTGAGTTCTCACTCACTACACAGAAAATGGCATATTCGAAAGTGACTTTCATACCTTTTAAGGATATCTAAACACACATTAGCAGCCTTTTTTAACTCATGCCTCACTTGTAGGTATATCAGCCGTCGCATCCACGTCAGGTTGAGTTCCATCCGTATCGTCATCTTCCTCCAATTCCTCTTCATCTTCTTCGTCCTCGGCCTTTTTGATCGTTTTAGGATCGTCATTTTTACTTTGAGTATACGCCTGCATTTCCCTTTGATACCTCTCTCTGTCTTCATTATACAATTCGTAATAGGGCTTTCTAGCGGTTTCATCCAGATTTTTCCAGGCATCGGTTAAAGCTTTGGATACATCGTTGGCCCCAGATTGTCGCTTCATTTTTTCCTTATTCATCTCGCAAAACAGGAGGTATGCATTCGTGGGTCTCTTTGGTAAATTAGGATCTCTCTCTTTTCCTTTCTTCTTCTTATTTCTAGACTTAGGAACATCTTCTAGGATTTGAGACTTGAATGCCTCAAGTGAGGGAAGTGGGTCTTCATAGCATAACTCTGGGTCCTTCTCAACCCTCTTTTCTAGTCGCTCCAAAAGTGTTCCATATTCCATGCGTAGCCTTTTTACAGCAAGCCTAGTTCTTTGAACGGCAAGAGCCAAGACCTGGTTGCTTTCATGCAGTTCGTCGACTTTTCTTTTCATCTCGTTTTCAGACATTATCCTCTTCTGCTGATGTGTTGAACAGCCTTCCAAATATGATAAAAAAGTTGCATGGCTAAATTTCTCAGTCATTAAGAAAGAAGAGAACAAATGCCTACTCAGGAGCAGCTACCGTTACTGCCGACAGCAAAAGGGGCAGCAAATTCCTCAAAGCTAGCGACTAAACAAGGTAAACAGAGCAAATATCCGAATGACATCAGCGATTCCAAGCCATCAAGGGTTGGTGCCCAAAGGACATCACGTACTGCACAGAAACTCAAACTTTTGCCCGAAGAGCCATTTGATCGAAAGGAGAGTGATCTAGAGTCAGCTGATAGAGAGGTATACTCTCAGGTAGATAGGATAACCGACAAACCGGCTAGAAGGGATGCTGAGAAACTTGGCAAGAGTCATAGACATTTGCTTCCTCGAGTTACAGCGTACTGTACTTCAAGTTCATATAATATGAAAGATCTAATTAGGTGGATCAAGGATTGTAAGAGAATACATCATACTCACCCAAAACTTTTCGACGAATGCTTGTACACACCTTTCATCTATACTGATTGGAGAGGTGATAAGAGGTTTGAACACGAAGATGTAATACGATTAGACGATGAGGGTGGTGAAATCAACGTGAGTGATAAACAACCGGACTTGTTCATTTTCGAGTACGGTGTAATTGTCATGTGGGGTTTCACAGAGCGAGAGGAGAAGGCATTTTTAAATGATGTCGAAAAGTTTGAAAAGGAGAAACTGGCAGAGGAAGATGTGCAAGTTGAAGAGTTCAATTACTATGTGACACAAAGTTACCAGCCCAGGATTTACAATGACTTCTTCACCTTAAGAGATGGGTCAAACTACATGATAAAACTATCTATTTCACACGCTATTGCACAAAGTGTAAAGATATCGCTATTTGAAGAGTTGGTCGACAACACCATTGAGGATACACAAGACATACCTCAGGAAATCGCATCTAGCGGTAAAGTTTCGATGAGTAAGGAAGACATAATGAAAAGTATTGGAGAGCTATTCATTTTAAGGATTAATATCAATTTACATGGATCCGTTTTGGATTCACCCGAAATTATGTGGTCAGAACCTCAACTGGAACCAATCTACCAGGCAACGAGAGGATATTTGGAGATCAATCAAAGGGTTGCCCTCTTGAATCAGAGATTAGAAGTTATCTCAGATTTACTTCAAATGTTAAAGGAACAGTTAGGTCATTCGCATGAAGAATACCTAGAGTTTATCATTATCGTTCTCGTGGGTGTCGAAGTGCTAGTTTCGGTTATAAATATAGTCGTCGATCTGGTAACTGACAACAATTAATCAATTTTTTGACCAAAATTTCATACCCTTCAATTACTATTTCAGAGAAGTACATAATATACAACTAGAGGTAACCAGAATACGCCCGATATTCAAAGTTTATAATACACCACATTTGATTGAAAATTAACTTACAATTCCTGAGAAGCCTTTGTTGGCTTTCCGGACTTCTTTGGTAGTAAGTTTTGGTGAATGTTAGGCAAAACACCACCTTGAGCAATAGTAACATTGCCAAGCAGCTTGTTCAATTCATCATCATTTCTGATGGCTAATTGCAAATGACGAGGAATGATTCTCGTCTTCTTGTTATCTCTAGCGGCGTTACCAGCCAATTCTAGAATTTCAGCTGCTAGATATTCTAAAACTGCAGTCAAATAGACTGGAGCACCAGAACCAATTCTTTGAGCGTAGTTACCTTTTCTCAATAATCTGTGGACTCTACCAACTGGGAAAGTCAACCCAGCTTTGGCAGATCTAGATTGAGAAGCTTTAGCGGCTGAGCCAGCCTTACCACCTTTACCTCCGGACATTCTTGAAGATTAAACTATGAAAAGGAAAAGGACAGGATACACGCAACAGAACCATATATGCCTAAGCTCTCGCTTCACCTTTGCTTATATATCTCTAATTGTTACACATCAACCATGAGCCCGTACACCCGGGACCAGTTTATTCTGCTTCTTGAACTTCTGGGTCCGCGGAGAATTATTTGGAATGCCTTCGTGCTCATTTTTTCGCGTAAAAAGCTGATTAAATGAACCCTGGTGCGAACAATTTGGTACATTAGCTGGCCCATGATCTTCCCATCGGTAGAATAAAGGTCATTTTCAGATCGATTATCGCTCATCGGAGTGGGGTATAATTATGTATATAAAGAAAGACATCTAGTTGCACTTGATAAAATATGAAAGGACTATAGAATTCCTCGACAAATAACAAAAATGGCCCCAAAAGCTGAAAAGAAACCCGCATCCAAAGCACCAGCTGAGAAAAAACCAGCTGCCAAGAAGACCGCTTCCATTGACAGTAATAAGAAGAGAACGAAGGTTAGAAAGGAAACCTACTCTTCCTACATTTACAAGGTTTTGAAACAGACTCACCCTGATACCGGTATTTCTCAAAAGTCGATGTCTATTTTGAATTCCTTTGTTAATGATATCTTTGAAAGAATTGCTTCTGAAGCTTCAAAGTTAGCTGCTTACAACAAAAAGTCTACTATCTCTGCTAGAGAAATCCAGACCGCTGTCAGATTGATTCTGCCAGGCGAATTGGCTAAGCATGCGGTCTCTGAAGGTACTAGAGCTGTGACCAAGTATTCTTCTTCTACGCAAGCGTGATCGATTTGCTAACGAACTTTCTGAGAAAGTTTAACAGCCAGGTGGGTTTATGTATTATTATTTGGGCTTTTTCTGTATATTAGATATAATAATCTTCTCTTCTCTACCCGTCAAAAAAATCTCTCCCTTTGTTTAAGCACCTAATTTTTTCAAGACAACGTCCATCTTGTCTTGTGCTGTCTGGTTCTTGTCAGTCCTTGTGCCAACTCGAATATCTGTGTGGACTCTGACATATCCAAGAGCATGAGCATGCTCGTGAATTTCACCAATCAGGCTCATAACTTCATCCCAAGGCCCTTCGATAGTTGTACCTGCGCTATGAAGGGTGCTTTTTAAGTGACTTTGACGAATTTTTCTTTCGATCTCAGCTACAAAATCGGAAATACTAGGGGAAGCAGTACCAATCTGTATAATGTTAGTCCAAGTGCCGGTAGTGAAATCTTCATTAGCACGATTAACTTACAGGAACTGAACACACATCAGCCAAACAGTGAATTTTCGCCATTTTCGACCCTTTTTGATAACCTGAAAATATAAGCGAGGGTTGATACTAACATAAAAATTCGGAAACAATCCAAAACCACATATGTATCATCATATACGTGCTCTTGGAAATGTTACATTGGGAAGTCTTCAAGGATCATATTTACAACGTCAAATATAAGCTATTTTCATGTACTCTCAAATTTAGGCTGTCCATATATCTGTTCAAGCCATAGGATACCTTATACAGTATAAACTTGAAGTATGGCAGACCAATTTGCAAAAGTTTTATGTCTTGGCTGATATGATAACTTTTGAGTTAAAAAATTGGAAGTGAACGAAATAGTGAATAATATATTTATTATGCCTTATGATCCATGAGGAGCCCTTTGATCGATTGTCTTCTTAGTTTAATAAGGTGTTTCACTTTTAGCAAGTTCGTTTCAAACAAGGGAGACGGAATATTCAAGGATAATATAAACTATCAATTTTTATTTTTCATTTCAAAAAATAAAAAGTATTCAAATCAAAAAAGAAAACATATTTTTAAAGTTCGGACTACAAACACAAACTTAATTTATAAAAAACTTATAAAATACACAATATTTGAACTTAGTAGACTATGAAATTTAAAAAAAACAAAATATATTGCAAAGTTTAAATTATTTTTTCAAAATATAAATTGAAAAAAATTACTTCTATTTTATTTAGTTATGTTAATCACGTGTAACACGCTGAACGTTCAAACGTTCAAGTAGATTCGTACTTTTTTTTTATATTGAACTCGTCTAGAAAAGCATAAGATATTTTAAAATTTATTTAAAGTGCAAATTCATCTCTTTCATCTTGTCTCAAGTTTGCAAAAAAGACCTTTGGAGGGATACAGGATGCTAACGCACGTCTAGCATGAATGGCCATATACTTTAGTCCTAATATGTAGCTTGCATTTACCCATCCAAAACCCTCGGTTGCTACACCTTTGAAGTCAGAACCTTGATTACCATATTCGGCATCGACTCTATGTGGATCTGACGCACGAGTCACGTCATATTTCTCAACCACAATACCGTTGTAATCAACAAAGGCTTTAGTCATCAGATACAACCACCTATAAGCTAATCTCTTTGTTTCACCAATATAGCCATAGTGAGTCAGCCCAACCCAAGCTAAAATTTGATGAGGAGCCCATCCGAAAGGGTAGTCCCACTGTCTGTTTGGTCTTTCGATAGATATAGCTCCTCTTGATTCTTCCGTACAAGAAACTAAGCCGCCGAGCATTTCCAGCTTAGGTAATGCCTTCTTTACCATCAGCTCGGCCTGCTCTGGCGACGCCAAGCTTGCCCATAAAGCCCAAAATGTTGTTGCAGATTCATATGTCATACGTTCCTCTTTCTTTATATGATAATCGTAAAAGAAACCTGTTTTTTCATCCCACAGATACTTATTCATTCTCTGCTTCCTCAACTCGGCGAGATATCTCCAATATGCCGAGTCGGTCTTTTTATTATTTTTATCAACGTATTCGTCGTCAAAAAATTTCTCAATCACATAGGCTATGTCAGTTTCATACTTGTAAAGGAGGGAATTCAAGTCCACAGTGGCAAGATATGCACACACCCCGTCAAAACGGTAGGTAGTATCGTGTCCAGATTCGCGTACGCCTCTGTCGTGCAAAAAGTACTCATCAAGCTTGGGTTCATGAACGTCGCCAGCATTATAAAGTTCTCTGAAATGTTCGATGGAAACATTATACTTAATAGCATAGTCTTTCAAAACACTATCAAAGTGGCCGGGCTCGGTTTCTGGAGGAATTCCGAGCCCATTAGGATGGTAACATGATAGACCCGTCTTATCATCGTATCTCGGATGACTTGTCCATACCGTTTCATACTCCTTGATCGCAGCAATGAAAGATCTTTTCAGGAAATCAACGGCGTCTGGATTACTTTTCCCACCGATTCTTTCAAAAACCTGCAAAGCCATGTCTGTTAAAAAGGGTGGCTGAGACCTACAGAGATAATAGCTCCGATTAGCATTCAGGATTTTTCCATAATGTTCTATTTCGAAAATGAAGTGTTCGACCATGCCCCTTGCAACATCTGTCTTTCCACATTCTAAAAGACCTAGAGCCATCATGTAAGAGTCCCAACCGTAAAGTTCGTTAAATCTACCACCAGGGACTGCATAAGGATAACCAATCATAACCTCCTCACCAGTCGCTGGATCCATATGCTTTTCCATCGCAAGGGCCAATAATCCCGGCCTGTCATTTATAGATTTGACGTATTCTGGTGTGATGTCTTTAGGAAGATACTCCACGTCAAGATTAGTCGATGGATTTACTTGGGATGCCTGAACATAAAACTCATACTGATCAGGACAGTTGTAAGGAACATATATTCTTGGAATTTTTGCAGCAGGTGTGTCAATTTTAGAATCTGCGGCAATCTTCGCGACATTGTATAAGTCGATTCTTCTTGTCAAAGCTTTCCAGAATTGGGTAGAGATTAATCTAGAAAGTCGGTTCACAGGGTTTTCATTAAGGCGTGCTTCATCAAGAATGACTTGTTTTCTACCGAAGCTCTTGGCTAGTGTTAATTCCTGAAGTAGATTAGAGAGCATGTAAGTACCTCTTATGCTGACAGTTTTATATCCATTAGAGTTAGCAGTACCCACCTTAATGACTTTGGGCCCAGTGTCCTCTATTGTTATTTGATAGTTTCCGTCCGTATCTTCGCTATGCAAAAGCTGCTTTAGTGTTGCATCGACATCCTCTATGAAAAACATCCGACGGCCACGACTGCTGAGATATGTATCATCCTCAGAACCTCTTCTTCTAATAGGAACATAGTTTGAATCATCAAGCTTGTAATCGGAAACGTTACCAATGATACTCATGGTTCTTGTTCTTCCGACGCCTGTATGCCTGCGCTGTTTCATCGGATCGGTTGCCGGTCCATAATATATGTCTGCCGTCGAAAAGGGGTCCGAAAACTGATCAAGCGAGCTCGTGCGCCGATGATGCCTAGGAGAGCCATTAGTATCAACAGACATTTTGCATATGTATTTTACGCTAAGGTATATGTTTCCGACAACATGCTGGTAAAACAAACCCCCCACATATGGGGTGGGCCCTTTGATTGAAAACGTTTGAAGTGATGAAAATAATAGCTGAGGATAAAAATTTTTCTTGACGATCATTTTGCCACACTGTTAAAGACCACAAACAATTACCTATGTCGGAAGAGAATACCACCAAGTCTACAGGGCAACAAATCCCTAAACCTCCAACGTCAGCTGTCTTTTCTATGTTTGGTGGAAAAAAAGCCGACAAAAAAGATGAGAGTAGCGACAACAAACAGGACGACAAAGTCGAGGCCAAAAAAGAGGCAGAAGAAGCGCCAGAATCTCCAGATGTTCACTTTGAACCAATTGTAACCTTGGAAAAGGTGGATGTAAAGACTATGGAAGAAGATGAAGATGTATTGTTCAAAGTTAGAGCAAAGCTGTTCAGATTTGACGCTGAAGCAAAGGAATGGAAGGAAAGGGGCACTGGTGATGTGAAGTTTTTGCAAAATAAAGAGACCACAAAGGTCAGACTACTTATGAGAAGAGACAAAACGTTGAAGGTTTGTGCAAATCATTTTATCTCCCCGGATTATGTTTTAAAACCAAATGTTGGCTCGGACAGATCGTGGGTTTACTCATGTACAGCCGACGTTGCTGAAGGTGAACCGGAAGCTTTCACCTTTGCCATTAGATTCGGCAGTAAAGAAAACGCCGACAAGTTTAAAGCAGAATTTGAGAAGGCCCAAGAAATAAACAAGAAATGAGTCAAGAGTATATTATAGATGAAAATTGCACGTGATGTAAATGAACTAATTACGTTATATTTTATTATCGAAAATAGTTTCAGGAAGTATTTTCGAATATCTCTTGTATGCTTTGTGTAAGTTGACACTTATGTTAGGTTGCCGTAGAAGATATTTCGTTTATTTTGATTTCTTCAGATATGCCTCTTCACCTCTTTCACTATCCTCAAGATCTGGGTCCACAGAAAGGAAGGTTCCTTTAAAAGCAAATTTAAGAAGGATCCATGCCATTTTTATGGTTCCAAAGTCAGGCCACAAACAGTCAAGAAATTCTATATTGACTCCTTTTCGGCTCACCTGCCATATTAAAAAGTCACTTAGTCTCGTAACTCCGCTCGTTCTTACCAGTAAGTCAACAGGAGGTAAATGGCCTGTATAAAGATTGTCATCAATGATTGTTTCATTCACTTCTGTGCTTTTGTAGTCGCCGTTTTTAACTTCCTGTACTACTTGGTGTATCGCATGTACCAGCTCATCTCTTCCTGTATATGGGAAGCAAATATTGAGAACTGCCCTTTTGTTGTTGCGTGTAATACTTTCTGCCGCTTCTATCTCCTTGATCACATCATCTGGTAACAAAGATCTGTCACCTATAACATTGATTTTTATTCCATGTTTCTCTGCCATTTCACCATTTTGAACAACCTGTCTAATACCGTTACGAGCCAGATTCATTAGAGAGTCAACTTCAATAGGACTTCTTTTGAAATTTTCGATCGAAAATGCAAATACTGTAGCCGTGCTTACTCCTGATTCATAACATAGTTCTAGGACCCTGCTCATGCTGTGAAATCCGGCATTATGACCCTCCTTCACCTCAACATGTTCTTTCTTTGCCCAACGTCTGTTACCGTCCATAATGAAAGCGACATGCTGAGGTACACAGTCAGAGACTCGAATGACATGCGCAAACAAATTCTTACAAGCTGTTAATGCCTGTTGCAGACCTGGAAAAGAACTGCTATCTGTCATCAGCCCTCGATAAATGCCCGTCGACCTTTGTAATGAGATTTGTACGAGTTCGTGCGAAAAATTTTCGAAATCTTGAGGCGTATCCTTAAACCAGAAATTGGCAAGAAGAGTTGAAAATGCTCACAAGATCAAGACTCCTCCCAAAGCGATGGAGTTTCACTCTTAAACGCAAGAAGTCTTCATTTGCAGCTGCATTGGAAACTGCTGCTAGACTTGTGACTCCCAAGATGTTATTGAACAACCCTGTTTCATTAGTCTCCAAGGAAATGAATACGTTAGCAAAAAATATTGTGACCCTTATGGGTTCTGGACACCCTACTTTGAATAGAGTTACTGGCTACTATTTCGAAGCAGAAGGTAAGAAGGTACGCCCTTTACTGGTTCTTTTACTTTCCAGGGCCCTATCAGAAATTCCGATTGAAAATAGGGATCGTGTGAAAGTGGACTTTGCTGACGTTCCTGAGGATCCAGTTTACTCAAAGCCGCCTCAATCACTTCTTTTCCAAAGACCAGCCAAGAGCATATCGCCATTACATATATTACATGGTATCAAACCTCTGAATCCGTTGACCAGAGGGCCAGAACCGCTACCTGAAGAATTTGATAAAGACAGAGGTATCTTACCAAAACAGAGAAGATTAGCCGAGATAGTAGAGATGATTCATACAGCTTCACTTTTACACGATGATGTCATTGACCATTCTGATACAAGGAGGGGGCGGCCCAGCGGCAACATAGCGTTTACAAACAAAATGGCCGTACTTGCAGGCGATTTTCTTTTAGGCAGAGCTACTGTTTCAATTTCAAGACTTAGAAATCCTGAGGTTGTTGAATTAGTCTCAAATAGCATTGCCAATCTTGTCGAAGGTGAATTCATGCAGTTAAAGAATACAGCCATCGATAGAGATACAGCGACGATAAACAATGGAGCACAGAGGGTCCCTGCCCTTTCATCCAAATTTGATAATCCTGTTCACGATTACCGAGTACCTACAACTCACAATGGCTCTCAAATTACACACGAAACCATGATTGAAACAGCATTTGAGTACTATCTCCATAAGACATACTTGAAGACTGCAGCACTGATTTCAAAGTCATGCAGAGCTGCTGCAATATTGTCTGGTGCCAGAGATTCTGTTGTTGAAGATTGCTACGAGTTTGGAAAGAACTTAGGAATATGTTTTCAGCTTGTTGATGATATGCTCGATTTCACTGTCACTTCGAAAGATTTAGGTAAACCTGCTGGTGCCGATCTTGAGCTGGGGATAGCCACTGCACCAGTTTTATACGCATGGAAGGAAGATCCATCTTTGGGGCCTCTTATCCAACGTAACTTTTCGCAACCAGGAGATGTCCAACGTACTGCTGAAGCCGTCATGAATTACAACGGCGTTGGTAAAACGAGAGACCTAGCACATGAATATAGGGACAGAGCTCTTCAAAATTTGCGACAATCCCTTCCGGAATCGGACGCACGTTCTGCTTTAGAATTTCTGACCAACAGCATTCTGACGAGAAAGAAATGATATAGATGTTAACAGTAATTCGTTCTTTGAAAACCTGTAAATATCCCACATAGATTTATGAAATACGTACTACAAAGGAAATCTTGATTACATACGGCATCCACTGAGATTTAATAAGAGTGCGGGCTTTTCTAGGAGTGGCAAAGCTATATATCATTTCAGTATGTGCTTATTGATGTTACGTCCACCACACAAGCCTAGCTTGAAAAAGGTAAGCGCGGCCAGTTCATTTTACTGCTTAGAGAGCTATCACTCGCTTTTTCGGGTTATCCTCCGATTGCATATTTACCCTATAGGTGAAGTGGATTAACTCGAGAGTACAACGCGTGACTTTATCGTGTCTAGAAATTTCTGTCACCAAAAATGGTAAGCTGTCCTGACATCTTATCAGAAACATATAAATTCGACATTTCAATGAGTATTAAGTAGGCTCCTCTTCGAATGATATCACCAAAACAAGTTTCTATTCTTTTACATAATGCTTGACGGGACTTCCGCTTTGAACGCAAAACTGAATGAGTTTGAAAAGTTGGAAATCACCGAGCAAGAGAGTAACGATTGTGCCAAAGCAAACCCTAAATTTAGGACAGTATCAATTGACTCAGTAGGGGATGATTATTCTCGGTCACCAAAGCAAAACATTAGACCCTTAAAAGACGAGGATGAGCTTTCATCGACCTTGAATATTGATCAAAAGATATCACCTTTGATCATCGCTCTGACACTTCTAGCATCGATATCAGGGTTCATGTTTGGATATGATACGGGATACATATCTGCAGCTCTTGTGTCTTTCGGTACTGACATAGGGAATCATTATCTTACGTATGGTCAAAAGGAAATCATAACCGCTGCAACGTCCCTTGGCGCACTGCTAACAGGGTTATTTGCAGGGATTTGTGCAGATATAGTCGGAAGAAAGCCAATGATGATGTTTTCAAATTTGATGTTCATTATTGGGGCAATTCTGCAAGCAACCACTCATAAATTTTGGCAAATGTCGGCTGGCCGTCTATTGATGGGATTTGGAGTAGGCATTGGGAGTTTGGTATCGCCTTTGTTCATATCAGAAATTTCACCATCTAAATATCGGGGACGTCTAACCGTTGTTAATTCCCTATGTATAACTGGAGGTCAGCTCATCGCCTATGCTATAGGCGCAGGGACTTCTAAAATAAAAGGTGGTTGGAGAATACTCGTAGCACTGTCTATTGTTCCCAGTACGTGCCAATTAATATTGTTCTTTTTTTTCCATGATACACCAAGATATTATATCATGAAAAATCAGAACGAAAAGGCTTGCAATGTGCTGCGAAGAATATATAAAAATGCGAGTAGCGAGGAGATTGCCGAGAGAGTGAGAAAAATTGATGTATTAACAGACTCAACCAAAGATGTGTCGATTCTAGTCACCAGTAAAAAAGCAATCGTAAAACTTATGACAACACCAGCAACTCTGAGAGCATTAATAATAGCTTGCGGCTTACAAGCAGCTCAGCAATTTTGTGGGTTTAATGCTCTCATGTACTTTAGTTCCACAATTTTTAAAACGGTTGGATTTTCAGATGCGACCGCTGTGTCAATCGTTGTGGCGGCCACAAACTTTGTGTTTACTGCCGTAGCTTTTATCGCAGTTGACAAAATCGGAAGGAGAAATATGTTACTGATTGGATTACCAATTATGACCGGAGCGCTAGTTGCCTGTTCAGTAGCATTCCATTTTCTGGGCGTTAAATTTGATGGCGAAGATTCAATTGTCGAATCGAAGGGCAGTAATGCTTGTGGTATCGTTATTATTATTAGTATGGTTATCTATATTGCCGCTTACGCACTTGGGCCTGGTGCAGTGGCGTGGCAACAGTCTGAGCTCTTTCCTCAAGATGTGAGAGGAGTTGGCACCTCATTAGCAACCGCTACCAACTTCTCTGGGACTCTCGTGATCTCTGCGACATTTTTGACCATGCTGAAGAATATTACGCCCACAGGAACGTTTGCACTTTTTGCAGGAATAACCTTATGCTCTGTACTATTTGTTTATTTCTGCTACCCAGACTTGAGAGGACTAGAGCTTGAAGACGTTCAGCAAGTTCTCTCTGAAGGTTTCAAAATTAAGCGGGCGAGTAATTTGGGACACAACAGAAGTGGTGACCTTGAAGTTGCACGGGATATCATGAAGAATAAACCCTCCACTGAAGTCATTACCGATTCCTGATTTGTCGATTGCTCTGGTGTTCTTTTCATTTCCTCGCAAAAGATACGATGTAAACTGCCATATATTCTCTTATTCTTCTTAAATTTGACTAATATTATGGATTAGTCTTCAGGATGTGCATATGCACTCCAAATAGTGGATAGCAGAGTGAAAATTTAGTTCCAATCATGCAGTAGTTGCAGGTCGATAAATTGGGATCTTTTATGGTTGACCAAAGTCAAAGTATATCGACTTTACGAAATACCGTTTTATCATTCGTGTATAAGTCACTCAAGTCGATGAATTTCATAGTCGAAATAAGCATCTCTCAGAAAGTGCCATGAATCAATCCATGCAATGTGCTTGCGTTTTTGAAACATTTCTAGTTAACAAATATTTGAATGCCCATTATAAGCCCTGTGTTGTTGAAAAGGAGTCGCCGCAAAAGAAAGGTACCATGCAACATGTATCAGGATTGTTGTATTTCCCTCATTTCATTTGGCAATGTCGACCCAAAAAAACAGAACTGTATATCGAATCTCGTCTTGTACAAGCTTTCATGCGCTGCTCTTAGTGTAGGAAGTGAAGCGAGTTTGAAGTGAAGTTGTTTAAAGTTATTGTTGAAACAGAACGAGTAGGAAAAAGCGATTGGAAATATGAAAGTCGAATAGCTGATTCCTGTATCCTAAGTTTCCGCTAGTATATGCCGAAGATAAAAATTTTAATTGGCATTGTATAGTTGAAATAACCGAAAGCGCTCAGGAATGTACTAATTCGAGTTTAAGTTGTATCAATCAAGATTTTTTTTTCATTATGCAGGAGGAAGGAAGCAAGCAAAAAGGATTGTCTGCACCGGTATCCAGTAAATGAGCCAATAAATGTATAGTTTCACTAGCGTATCATCTCCTCTCAGAGGTTTGGTCTTTTTTGTTGACTTCTTAATTAGGCGATCGGCAAGATACCATAAATGAAGGGGGATAAATGATGAAACCCTATTAATTATTTGAATGTGAGCAAAAAATACGATCACAACGAGAAAAATACGAGTTATCAGAATGAGCGGCTTAAGGTTTGAGCACGGGTACTGATGAGAGAAGTAGACGGAAGAGTACCACATGATTACGATATTTGGTATTGCAAAAATGAAGTTGGGAACATTGTTTATCGTCCAGTACTTCAAAAACCCCACATTCCAATATGAGCTCTGGATATAGGAATAGAATGATTTGTATGTGAAGGGGAGCATTCTAATTTTGTCTTTACACCATCCTCCGCGTTGAGGACAAAAAGCTTTGTAGGGAACATAATAATGTTGGAAAATAACGAAAAGTAGTAATGCGATCCCACTTAGAAGTGGGAAAAAGGTAGCTTGAGCAATTTTCCGTCTTCTTAGAAGGGATAATAGGTCCATGATATAAAATATGCCGAGTAAAATACAGTTTGATCTATTGGCAAAGGCCACCATGAAACAAATGGTCGAAACCAAAGAATATAGTGGCCACCTCTGCCATTTACAAATCACGTTCCCATAGACGTCGTGGAAAATACTGTATTCACGGGCTAATATCCCGGCAAAACTTAACACACTGGATAAAGGCTCGGAATAAATACCAGTAAAAAACCCTGCTGCTCCTGTTAAAATGAAGAGAACAGCGGACTTGCGAGCCAATTCGTACCTTTGGTGAGTTTTCAAAATATTCTTCTCGAATGTCTTTAAAGTCAGTATGTAGAGGAGTATCACTGAGATGAAATGCAGTAAATTTTCCAGGAATACCGCTGTCTTAAGGATATGGTAGAACTCAAAATTTCCGCGACAACAAAGTCTAACAAATTTAGGCCACACTGAAGAAAATGCATATTCATGTTCAAACTCATACTCTCCGTTTACCATGTTTTTTATGAAGTATACAGCATCCCATGAGAGAAGTTTATCCCATAGTCGTTTTTTGACCCACGATTGACCGTCTAACGAACTACTCAATTGATGGATGAGAAGAGCCGTGGAAGTATCAAATTGGGTAGTTGGTGCTAACCATACGAGAACATACTGAAAAATCTTGAAGAAAAAAAAAGTTCCAGCGATTTCACCGCACATCATACTCAGTTTGTTGATTGTATATCTTGGTAACGAACAATCCTAATTAACTCATCTCATCATTAATGTATATGTAACTGTGTACGGGATTGTCTAAAGGGGAAAGATCATATGTATTTTATTTAGCATCAGTTTACTATCCATTAGTCAGAGAACAGTGGACGAGAAGGTGTTGGATGTATTTGCCTACTAAGTCTTTGACAGTAAGGACTGAAACATACCCGAACTTAAGGCTGTTACCACGGGCAACGCAAACTTCAGACAGCTTTGATGATGACTGTTTTGGATTTGGTTGCGGCTCTCAGTGGATTTGGGCACGATGGATTCTATTCGTGTTTTTCCTTGTAGCTATAGCAGCATTGGCCTTTACTGCTGTCAGAGTTAACGGTAGGAGATTTCGCCGTGGGCAGCAACCTATCAGGGGAACTGCTTGGTTCACACCTCCTAGTTATAGGCAATCTGAAAGGCAGTACCATGGAACGCATGGTAGGGATTTTCAAGAGTATGTGCCACCATATACTGAAACGGCAAACGAAAATGATATGGGTTATTATGATAATCAAGGAGTTTTTCACGTTAATAGTAAAGCTGAGCCTTTACCTCCACCTCCGGAAATTGACACAAATTATCCAAGTTCCTCTTCACAAATTCCAGAGCCCCCATCGCCAGCGGTGGTACGGAATAGCTCACAGGTTCCAAGTGAACATGTCAATTTTGTTAGAGATTTTAATAGATACTACAATGGTACTCCAGCCGCCAATTTTGGAACAAACAGAAATAATAATGAAGATCGTAATGAGAGCATTTCTGAGTCCATTGAAATGGATTTGACTCCCCAACGGCCAGGCAGAACGCATGCCGGTTCCTGAAGAAAAGGCCCGATCTTTAGCATCAGAGCAGGAATCAATTACACGTCTCCCTATTTTTCAGAGTCTGCAGAAAGGATTACTACTGCGTCAGAAGCTGTTCAAAGCATTTGATGAAAAGTCTCAAGAGCTCTTGATTGTTCTCGTTGAGGTTTCCTTCTATAAGTTAATGCAATCAACAAATTGGACGTGTGCGTACTGTACGGGTCAAAAAAGATCAATTGATATCACTCATAGTCAATAATTGGGCTACTTTATCTCGTTGGCTCCAGCCATGTCACGAGCTTTAAGGTAGCTTCCATAACTGCTATGGCATCGAATTGTTAAAAGTCTCACTGTCAATAGTTTGGCAGACCATCCGCTCTCCCTTCGTAGCTTCCAACGTTATTTCAAGTATGCTTGACCCGCCAATTTGTTAATTTGGTTTCCCAATTGGAAAGTCGGGTTGTTCTCTAATTTCTATGTAGTTCCTACGCAAACTAATTCTCCAATCACCATGTGTTCCATGTGTCCAACAGTTGAACAATATCACGTGATTGTGGTGGTTCAAGAAAATTTTTAAATTTGGGGGTATGAGTTGACGTGTAATTCTTCAACATCAATTTCCTCTTGGAACATACCTTTTGAACTAAAGATGGTTTACACTGCCAGAAAGATCGGAGCCAAGAACAGCTTGGACTACAAAGTCTACATTGAGAAGGACGGAAAGCCAGTTTCAGCCTTCCATGACATTCCTTTGTATGCTGACAAGGCTAATCAAATTTTCAACATGGTCGTTGAAATTCCTCGTTGGACTAACGCCAAGTTGGAAATTACCGAGGAACAAACTTTGAACCCAATTATCCAAGATACCAAGAAGGGTAAGTTAAGATTTGTTAGAAACTGTTTCCCTCACCATGGTTACATCCACAATTACGGAGCTTTCCCTCAAACTTGGGAGGACCCCAACTCAATTCATCCAGAAACTAAAGCTGCTGGTGACAATGATCCTTTAGACGTTTTGGAAATTGGTGAGACCATTGGATACACTGGTCAAGTCAAGCAAGTTAAGGTCTTGGGTGTTATGGCTCTATTGGATGAGGGTGAAACCGACTGGAAGGTCATTGCCATCGATATCAATGATCCTCTTGCTCCAAAGCTAAACGATATTGAGGATGTTGAAACTTATTTCCCAGGTCTACTAAGGGCTACCAATGAGTGGTTCAGAATTTACAAAATTCCTGATGGAAAGCCAGAAAACCAATTTGCTTTCTCTGGAGAAGCCAAGAACAAGAAATACGCCTTGGACGTCATCAGAGAATGTTACGAAGCTTGGGAGAACTTGATTCAAGGAAAAGCTACTGACTCCAAAAAGATTGATCTCACTAACACTACTTTGGCTGAAACTCCATCTTACAACCCTAACGCTGCTGTTGCAGTTCCAGCTGCTGATAATGAACCAGATGCTCCAATTGACAAGTCCATTGACAAATGGTTCTTTATTTCAGGATCTGCGTAAATAAAGAAGCAATTTTATAGTTTTTATATGGCTTTTGCTGACGTATTACTTACCGCGTTCGCAATGAATTGCTTTATCTTATCTCCATCTTTCTCGCCGCTGCTTTCTACACCACCACTAACATCTACGCCTAAAACACCGTGCAGTTGCAAAGCACTGCCAACGTTTACTGGATTTAAACCGCCTGCGAGAATGAACTGAGCCCCTGATTTCTTACTCCATTGAGAAATAGAGTTCCAATCTAAAACTTCACCAGTGCCCCCGGCTTCTGAGTCGAACAAAGCCAAACATCTAGAGTGTTGATCTTCGCAAACACATATAACATCTTCACAATCGTTTGGAAATATGAACCTTTTTATGATAGGTATGTTCTGCAAACCATGTTGATACTCAGTCCAGTTCTCGCTGCCATGTAGTTGGACAACATCCAGTCCATATTCTTGTCTTATTTGCTCGATTTCTTCGACACTTTGGTTGCGAAAAACCCCCACTAAATAAGGACCTGAAACTTTACTTCCACTTCTTCTTGCCCGTGCTGCTCTTACCCTGGTAGAAATATCTTTGGCGATATCGGGTCGAACAGTTCTCTTACGATTCGGTACGCAAATCACTCCTAATAGTGATGCGCCTTCATCAATCGCAATTTGAGCTGCCTCTGCGGTTTGAAGACCACATATCTTAACAATAGGTGTTTCCAAATCCTTCAAGAACATTGCTCAAATATTATCAACTGACTCTTACTCAGCAATCAAACATGAGTTTCAACGCGAAAAAAAAACGATGGGCGCAATTAAATCCACGACGTCAAATGGGATTCGAAGGAGTCTTCAAGAAAAGCACATTATGTACATATTAAACATGGCTTTACAAACTGCAGCTGCGATGTCTTACTTCGTCATTTATTCAACGTCTTCTCGTCGCATTTGCGACTAGAAGAGTACACAAAACAGAATGTCCCATCCATGTCTGGTTCATGATTAGTTCGTCACTTGGTGTTGTCGATCTAAATAAACTCGGTTAAGTCAAAGTGATCATGCTGGATGATGATGATGAAAGTTGTCTTCCGTCTTTGAAAAGTGCTATTATTGATAGACAAAGACATGAAATTAATCTTCAGTCGTCGCATGAGCTTATCAAACAGCTTCACGATCACTTCATTTTAGTTGACGGATATCAAGGTGGCCCTCGAAATTTCTACAGCCATTTCAAAAAGCAATATTCTGAACTCTGTAGCATGAGCATTGCAATGTTCAATCCTTCCGGGTATCAAATTGACGATGACTATGAAACAGAAACGGTCATCAATGAAGAAGGAAATGCATTGGGCTATTCATTCTTTGAGAATACTGATAACTTCGCTTTGATAGACTTCTCAGATAAGTTGAGTGAAAACAATCCAGAGCAAGCCAAGGAATTCTGGCCGGTGAATGAAAATAGTGAAGTCGATCTGCAAAAAAATGGGCTTGGAGAATTTTCAACTGAAGAACCTATTGCGGAGGCTGATCAAAACACTATATCAAACCTAAACGGACATTTCGTTCCCTACGGGAATAAATGTATCAAGAGAGTTGTACGTACGCTCTTTTCTTTGTGCGGGTTTCCGGCTGGATTTTTAGTTACCGATGATTTGGAATTTGATCTGAAAGTTCTCGCATATGGCCTTTGGGATGCCGAGAAGGATAAATTCCAGATAATACGTGAACGGTATCGGGAGATCGCCTTTCTCAGAAACCTAATCAGGGATGCGAGGCGCGATTGGAACCTCTGTACACTTGAAAACAAAAGATTGCAAGAGCATCTTCAAAGAGACATGTCTCAAATATCCAGTTTGAAAGCAGAAATCGAAAAGCTTCAAGAAAAAGTGCTTGAACAAAGTGCAAATTCGAAGATTGTTGAATCAAGACAAAAAAGAATGCGGGAAATTGTCGCTGACAATTTGCAGCTTCATCAGAAAGTTGCCATTTTGGAGTCATCCGCGGACTTTCGAGCCAACCCAGGAAGAAGGGCAAGGTTCTACAACTATAAGCTGACTAAGCAAGAGGAAAGGAATGAAATTTTAGTTAAAGATTTGAGAGCTGCTGAAAAAGAGCTCGATAACCGCGCTGCTCTTCTTATTAAGTACGAGACTGCGAAGGCCAAAGTGAAAGAAATGCAAGCGCGTACCCTAGAAAGAGAGAAGCTGATTCTGTATCTAGAACAGAAATTAAATCAAAAAGAGGAAACATCATTGTCTCTCGAGTCACTCAGGATGGACGTTGCTGAGCTAACCAAAAAGAATAGAACTCTCGTTTTAGAGAATGAAAGGCTTAGATTGCAAGAAAATGGCATAAGGGCAGCTCAGTACCAGGACAAAAAAACAAATGAATTATTTAAACTGTGTGTTGACAAGATCCAGAATAAGTATTTGGAATCTGTTGAAATCCAGAGGTCTTATAAAAAGGAATGTGATCGCTTGGCCTCCTTGGATCAAGATTATCGACAACGTATAGTTGAGGAGCATAATGAAAACCAAAGAAAACTATTTGAACATGAGTCTAATAAAAAACAATTGGAATCTCAGCTGAAGTCTATGATTGATCGCGTTAAGTTCTACAAAGACAAGAGTGATCAGCTGCAAAACAATTTGAATCAGGAGATTTTGAAAAAAAGTAAACATGAACGATTTAAGGAGGCATTTTTAAGCTCTTCACTATTTGTTAGAAGTAAAAGTGCGGGGGTAAATGCTGTGGAAAGGTCGTATACACCTCGCGCTTTTGCAAGTAGAGAAATCAGCACGGCCTGCTCGCTTCCTGCTCCAAGGAAGAATCACGTCCTCCCAGAATCTATAAAAATATAAGCCTATCACGAACTCATCTAAAAGAATCTGTCAATTTAGAAAACCTACTATACAACTAAAACTTAAGAGTTAATTCCTATATTTATCATTCCCAGAACAAAACATGGAATTCTTCAATCCTAAAAACCCATAATTAACCTGTTCAAGATCTTTCACCTCTTAATCTTCTGGCCAATTTGATATCCTTCTTTTGGATGGTAACACGCTTGGCATGAATGGCAGCCAAATTTGTATCTTCGAACAAGGACACTAAGTAGGCCTCGACAGATTCTTGTAGAGCACCAATGGCGGAGGATTGGAATCTCAAATCAGTCTTGAAATCTTGAGCAATTTCTCTAACCAATCTCTGGAATGGTAGCTTTCTGATCAATAGCTCAGTAGACTTCTGGAATCTTCTGATTTCTCTCAAGGCGACAGTACCTGGCTTATATCTGTGAGGTTTCTTGACACCACCGGTAGATGGAGCGGATTTTCTGGCTGCCTTAGAAGCTAGCTGCTTTCTTGGGGCCTTACCACCAGTGGACTTTCTTGCTGTTTGCTTAGTTCTTGCCATTTCAACGAACTTTTGATATGTGGTTAAGTGAGCAGTTAAAAATGTATTGTTAGACTTACCGTACCATGCCACTTATATAGGAAAATTTTTTTGCGGCCAACGTCACGGCCCATAGTTAATCGTTGGGTAACCGGTGGCGTTGTTCCACTCGCAATTGTGACTTAGTTGGAGCATGCGAAAAAGTTGGTCTGATAAAGCGGGTAAGGCGCAGTCCGGACCATTTTCTTCGGTCTGATTTCGGCTTCTTGCGCGAATATTCCGGTCTGAAAACTAATTACTGATCTCTATTTCCTTATGGGGTACGATAGACTGGTTTTTTCTCTAATAAAGTGCGAATATTTTGGTCTATCTAAACAAACACGCTTAAGTGAATGTAGTTTGCTCTCCTGAGGTCGGTCGGAATGCAGTGGGTGTTTGAGATGGCTTTTTGGGTGGCGAACAGTATATAAAGGAGACAAATTTGAAAGATGTTTTTGGGGAATATTATAATAGTATAACTCAAACAAACTATAATAAACTATGTCTGGTAGAGGAAAAGGTGGTAAAGGTCTAGGAAAAGGTGGTGCTAAGCGTCACAGAAAGATTCTAAGAGATAACATTCAAGGTATCACTAAGCCAGCTATCAGAAGATTGGCCAGAAGAGGTGGTGTCAAGCGTATCTCCGGTTTAATCTACGAAGAAGTCAGAGCTGTGCTCAAGTCTTTCTTGGAATCTGTTATCAGAGATGCTGTTACTTACACTGAACATGCTAAGAGAAAGACTGTTACTTCTTTGGATGTTGTTTATGCCTTGAAGAGGCAAGGTAGAACCTTGTACGGTTTCGGTGGTTGATTATAATTATTATTCTATACGATATAATCTGTACATTAATGAAGGAAAAATTGACTGGTTTCGAACTGTGTTTATCTGTTGCATCTTGCAAAAATGAATTTGCTCCCTGATAACTCTTAGCGATCAGGCGGGGCAATAACAGTGGCAAGAAATATGTAATCTTCATGATGCAATAGCATCTAATATTTACTTAAAGGTGTTGTGACGCCATTCAGGGCGTGGCTTGCAAGATTTAACACGTATGAATCTAGAACTAAGCTATTTCAGCTACGCAAATGATTCAGACATTAATTGATATTACATGATACATTGTTTATTACTTTAGGTAATGCGAGACTTTTATGAAAAAATATAAAAATCATTACTTACTAGTAGATGTAAATTCAAACAAAACAATTCATTTTTTCATTTTTTCTTTTTTTCACATTGGTAAGTGAGATAAGCAGTAAAGATTGGCACTGGCACTTCATCTCAAAGCTGCTTAAGCAATAAACCATATAACCACATTACGATGTAGAGCTGTTAACACAACACAGCAGTCATATACAAATGTCATTATATACCGCTTTCCATGGGTCCAAAAGCCAAATTTGCGGGCGGAAACTTTCGAGTGGTTTTGACTTTTTCTTGTTTAATCGGCCGGAACAAACTGGACCCATCAGGGACGGTCCATCTCGCAAAGAAATCTCTCGCGAGAATGCTTCAGGAAATATTGTCACTTACGCAATCGATGATCTTTAAAAATGTTCTAGAGGCTCCTCATAAAGCAATTCTAGGAGTAGCATTTTATTCTTGTTGTAATTTACTATGCAGAATGCCTTATTCGCAAACGGGAATAAGAGATTTCAACTTCTCTAAATACGATCACGTGATTACATCACATGCCATGAAATTTTGGGGGTGAGGTCAAAAAGAAACAAAGCTCATACTTTTATTGACGTCTTGTAGAAGAGGGAAAGAAGAGCAGCATTGTCCAAGTTGCCACCACCAAGTACGCGCCACCCCAAAACACAAACATTTGCTAACACAACCAAAGAAGAGTCTAAACATCGAAGACACCTATAATATCTGTATATTCTATTTCGACGGTGACGAAACCTACGATGGAACAGACAAGAACACAAACCAATACCCCACCGGCTGAGGCCGTAGGCTTGCATCAAGAGGCGAGAAAAAGCTCCATCGCATCTTCGGAACCCAAGACAAGCAGTGAGACATCGACCTCGGCATCGGTAGTTACTAGTGGACATGAGAATGCAAAGTCTCTTCCCGAACAAGAGGATGTCGCTATGGCCGATTACGTTGGCGACGTCAGATCCACTGCGGAGCATGGTACAATTACGCCCTCTCAGGTCCATTCACATTCAGAGACTCAGATAAACTCCGAGAGTCAACCTCTGTCGCAAACGCACGACAGCTCTGGGTGCCAGACGGTGGCAACTTCGCCCGATAGTTGCAACAGCTCCATGTTTCATTCAAATGTCGAGCATGACTCGAGTGCCATCTTCAAACCATTCGATAGTAAGACTGGTCAGTTCGTTGGCCAAACAACTGATCGGCAGGCAACGAAGGCGGAAGCTGCAGAGCCACCGCTTTCCACACAGTCCGAGGACTTTAGAACTCTCGCATCACTTAAAGCGGCTGCGGCGAGAAACAATAAGTTTCGCTCGCATTCCGTACCATCCATTCTACATTCATCACTAAGACGGATTGGACTCTCTACAACTTGTGGATTTCTGACGTCTCAGCAGCAGCAGCCCGTTGTTCACGTTAATCGGGGTGTGAACAAAAAGAAGAAGCAGAATAAACACTCATCGTCATTACGCCATGCGCTTTTGATGAACCAACGGTTGCAACCGTTGGATGGTCAGATGTCATTAAGTGAACGAGTCAAGTATATCAGAGCACATACTGGACCAGTCCCATTGCCACCCATTAATGTGCAATGTCTGAAGGAGATCGATTTACAAGAAATAGTGAAAAACCCCCAACTAAGACATGACATAATATTTGATCCTTTACTACAATTCAGGCCAAACTTAGATGGAGAGCGTGGTTTGAAGAAAAAACAGATTTCGGACAAGTATTGGAACGATGTCGAAAACGAGATTTATGTGTACACTAAGAAACCTGATGCGTTTAGGTATGAAGAGACAAGGCTCGTTCCTCTATTTAATAGCCTAAAGGAAGTACTGGTAACTATTGTCCCTCAAAAAGAAGTTCACACTGTCCAGAATGTTTTAGATACCGAGTTACTTGTGCAAGAGCTTCTGAAAGGATCCTTGATGATGTCTAATTTCTCCGACTGGTTGGCGCAGTTATTCAAGCATCACTGCGCTCCAATGAGAGATCCTTGGGTTGACAAGATGAGCCAAAAATTTAAGGAATCAGAAGAGGAAAAGTCAATTACTAAATTAGTTGAAGGACTCAGGTTAGTGTTTCAGATTTTGGAGGCAATGAAGCTTGATATCGCAAATCATCAGATCCGAATCTTGAGGCCCGCACTATTGAGCAATGCGGTAGAATTTGAAAAGCAATATTTTCAATCACTAATGGCATCAAACAGAGTAGACTTGAAATCATCATTTAAGTGGTTCAATGAGAAATACAGTGAAAACTATAAGAATGAGCTTTCGAAGTCCAGTCGTCTGAGCGCTCCAGATGTTTATCGCTTGTGCATCAGGAGTATCATCGGTCTTCTCTCTTGCCGAAAGATGGTAAGGGAATATCCTACCTCTTTATCGTTTGACCATGCCAGATTGATACTCTTACGCGCTGACATTCGTCAAATTGTATGTCTGCTCGTTTGCCGTCTGCTTTTTAAGCAGCTAGTCGCAAATGACAGCACCATGGATAAGCGTACGAAGGAATATGTTATAACCTCGTACGCTAACAAAAAACTCAAGGAAGAAATTGTGAGTATTATTACCGATGAGCACGGAAACTGTAGATGGACTAAAAACACAATGTCGATAGCGGTGCACTTATGCAAAACTATCAGAGATTTGAAGCAAGAATTCCAATTACAAAGAAATCTGGGGGATGTATCCCTAGGCAGTTCGAGCACTTCGAATGATGGCACATCTGTTGCTTCTGCGCCACTGGATACACTACAAATTGACTTCGCGAAGTCATGGTTATCAAAGCAAACCCAGCCTCTGAGCGAAGTTTATGGAGTCCTGGAAAATAGGGTATTCAAATCTTTGGAGGAATCGATATTTGAAAGATCAAGTTGCACGCAAGATGGTAGTGTTAAACAGGACTTTATTCACATTTGCAGCGCCATGTCTTCAGCAGGAACATCTGCTACTACCGGATCATCGGTCGCTCACAGCGGTGCAATAATAAAACCTACGATTAACGTATCTCCGCGCAAGGACAATATTCTCAAAGAGCAAAAAGCCGCAACTCCACAAGCTAAAAAACTTGCCTCGCTAGATGTTGAGGAATTCGAGAGTTTGTTTTGCCACTTATATACCTTGGTTAATTTTCATTGGTCAGTTTTCGGGTGTCTCTACATGGAATGTTTAGGAGACAAAATGGAGGAAATTCTTTAGGAAATTCTTGTGTTGGCGGGATCTATTCTCTGAACATGCGGCTTGTGGACATAGATTTTCACTATGTAGTATACAGTTCCCTAGCAGAATCATTTAGCATATAAAGCTGATTTATTCGTCATAAACGATTGCTTCTCGTCATTAACTGGGAAAAGAAACAGCCACACTATTAATTAAAACGCGTCAAAGTGGCACAGGCTCGAAGATCAAAAATACATCAGGATCGAGCTTACAAACTTTCCATTAAAGCTTGACTGTTGCTGAGAACAGGGTTTCAGGCTTCGTTTCGTGGATTACTCTTACATGAATAGTAATTCATTAGGTTACGTGTAACTGCATAAACAAACAGAAAGCACATCACCAGAATGAGTTATTCACCAAAAAAACTCTCACCACTTGATGATATCAGACAAAAGACTAGCAGCTGCAAAGGAGATGAAATTAAGAGGAGTTCAGATGAATATCTGAATATGTTTCTTGGAAAAGAAGGAAATGAAAGTGTTCTGTCATTAGACTCTCTACAAACAACCGAGAGATTGCTCGACAGATTGGATCTGAGTACGGAAGATGAAGCACTTTTACAACAAGCACTCAGGGAAGAGGAGACAAGAAGAACGCAGCTACAAGATCTCAAGCAGAAACGCGTTTTATGTATGCCTGCATCTGGTTTTCCATCTCTAAGACACGCTGGCGGGTCTGGAAATCACTCTAATTTAATTGATCATAATTCGACGATGCACATCATCAATGGACTCTCGAATAAAGAAAAGGTGCGCCCCTCAAATAGAAATGCAATTGAATTACATTTCTCAAAATACAGATATTCTTACTTGGTGGAAGAGGAAAGTGATGCAGAGGAAAATGACGGACTTAATCCAGATCAATCAGTTATCAATCAAGCAGTAAGTATTGATAAGTTTCGTCTCAAGAATTATCAATATACCTCTAAAATGGATACCTTAACTGAAACATACGAGCGACAGAATTATTCTTTTCCTGCTCCTAATCGACCAACATTAAAGACTAGCCAGCAAAGCCCATTCCATACCCCCAAAGGAAGCATATCTTCTATTGAGAGTAAGTACTTGATTAAACCTAGTACTCAGTCCTCTGGTGATAGTGATTTGTCTAAAGCGAGCGATGTCCGTGTTCCTCATTATAACAGTACTTATAATTTCTCTACTCCGAGGAAATCTAACTCTAACTCAAGCATTCAGCAAGATATCAGTTCTCCATCAAAGAGTGTTAGCACTACCAAGACGCATAAAAAGAAATCCTCATTTTCGTTGAAGAATTTGTTCAGATCTCCCAAGGTAGAATCAATAAAATCGCCAAAGAAAGATTACTCCACATCGTTGGAGTCCACTCCAGTATCCAAGAATTTCAGGTTTCCGTCAAATCAGCAAGATTTTTACTCTCAAAGCTCGTCACCCTCTCCTTATACTGCGTCAGATTCACATACACCAAACCAACAGGAAAAACATAACCAAGGACATAAACCTGATAATAACTATTCGCTCAATATCTCAGACGATCGTGCAAGTGAGATCACTGAGAGTTGTTTTAAGTCTTCGATGGGATCAATTAGTCAGAGAAAGCTATCACTGAATAGGGAAAAGAGCATGGAAAGTACCTCACACACTGATTCACCAAAACTGCAAAGTGGTACAGCATATTCCAATTATTTGAATCATGAACAGGATTTAGTCCCAGAAAGAAGAATTAGGACCGCAATTGAGTTGAGGAATCGTGGCCATCTGAAAGAATCCACGGAGCAACTAAGAGCTCTTTGTAATGGAGGTTACCGAATAGGGTATCTACTTTATGGACTGGCCCTGAGACACGGGTCAGGAACGAAGCAGGACTATAAATCGTCTTTCAAGTACCTCAAAATGGCTGCAGACATACAATCAGAGGAGCTACAGATTTTTGATAGAGCAATAAATCCATTTGAACTGAATGATGTTCCATACGATCCTCCTGAACCTTTAGCCCCAGCCTTGTATGAATGTGGAATTTGCTATTTGAAGGGATACGGGGTCGAATTTATAGATGAAGTCAAAGGTTTGAAATACTTGGAAATTGCTGCTTCATTGGGTCACATTGATTCTATGTGTTTAAGTGGTACGATCTGGTCCAAAAAGTCAAGAAACCGCAAAAAAGACAGTGCCAGAGCAGCAGCATGGTTCAGGTTAGCAGACAAAAGAGGAGCTACTTTGATTGGTGCAGAATGGATATATAAAGACAAGTATATGAAACCTCGAAAGAAGTAATATGTAATAATTAATTTTAAATCAAGTACAAAAACTCCGTATAAGCTATTTTTGACATTTGCTCATGCTAATGAATAAAAAATGGCTCTCTATCTCGAAACTACTTGATATGCATCTGCATTAGCATTCATTTCCGGTCAATATTAAGTAACTAAAGGGACGCGTAAAAAGTTACCAAGGGTTACCCGGTGAAATAAAGTTTGTCGGTGTTTAGGATAAGAAACTACCTTATCCTTTGCCCATGTGCTAATAAAGAATTCAAATAAACCGTGAACTTAAGCAACTTCTAGCTGAAGCCATAGACTGGCTGTTTACGAAAAGTTTCAGAAATGAAAGTATGAACTCCCAGAAAAAAATTAATAATTTCGATAAATCTTTCATCGAATGAGCATGGAAGCCTTTACTAACTGAAATAATCCAGTTTATTGATGAATTGGATATTGAACTGGTCAACCAGACGTTGAATTTTGAAACCACTGATTGCAAAGTCAGTGGAGGATGCGATATATTTACAACTAAACCGGTTGCCTCTGACAAAAAACTCTACAAGACTATTGACCGTCATTTAGACTCTTTATTGCAGGAGAATGAAAGTTATAATAATGCAGTCCAACAGCAAATAGCTCTCGATAACTCTGGCAGTTTATCTTCTTCTCCTCAGGAAGGGAAATTGGAGGGTGTTAACCTGTACAGTACTCGAGGAGAATCTGGCTCTCCTACTTCTTTTTGGGAACAAAAGAGGAGGATGTCAGTGAGCGAAAGTCCCGCTGGGAACGGGGGAAATGGCATTCTGCTCAAAAGCCAGAAGCTTAATGATCAAAACTTGAAGGACTTAGTAAATTCAGAAACTGGATATCTGAGTTCTTCATCCGTCGAGTCGGGGTCGAGGTCGAGTGGGAATCTACGCCGGACCAGCAGTGTATCCAGTATGACGATGAATGGTAACGTGGGACCTTCTTTTGTGAGAAGGAGATCTTCAGTGCACAAAGAGAATGTGAACATCGGCCCTTTTGGTCCTATAAATGAAACAGCTAGCCGGCGTACTTTTGCCTATCTTATCGCTATTTTAAATGCCTCTTATCCCGATCATGACTTCTCTTCCCTGGAACCAACGGACTTCATCAAATGCTCCATGAAGTCTTTAATATCTAAGTTTGAGAATTCCCTCATATCTTTCGGAAAACAACCTCAAGAATGGGTTTGGGAAAGCATAAACTCTCACATGGATATTTCAGACTGCGTGATATATCAATACAAACCGGCAAGATCCTTTCTTGACGATGAGCCAGGCCATCTGTGGAGTCTTATGTGGTTTTTATTCAATAAGAAAAGGAAAAGAGTTGCATTTCTCTATTTGAACGTGTCAAGGCTCAAGAATCTGTCATCTGGCTCAAATTCCGATAGTGCCCTTGTAGACGATGAAGAGGAGGGAAAACCTAGCAATGTTCGAAAAGGTAGGAGGAAATTAACCATCGACCATGAAACAAACGCTTTTGAGGGCGAATATGACTTGACATGTAATTCTGCGGATGAAAATGCTATTGAAGATGATGAAGAACCTGTTGAGAATGTGAATTGACTCAGCAAAGAACCATTGATCATGTAGCATCTTTCTTGACGCAACCATACTGTGCTGATACCCTGGCAAGGAGCTGACGTAAACCTTTTGCCTAATTATGAAACTTCGATAAATTTCCCTTATCTTATTTCTTCTATTACATATAACTGTAAAGCCGTTGTGCTGTTTGTATCACTAATGACCTGCTACTGTATTACTGAGCTACACTTTGAATGCCCTTCCTCTTAATCATATAATCAATTTCATCGGGCTTTGAATACGATGAAAAAACTACTTTCAAGGTTCTTTTCGCTTGCCAAAAATTTGCGGTATCATTTATTTTATTCAGGTCCGGATTTCCTGTACGTATCATGGGGGATGCTTTGTAAGTCTTGCTCAAAAGAATTCTCGTAGTAAGGTGATTAGCCCATGTTAAACCTAAATTAGGTACTTTGGAATCAACTTTCCTTTTGTTTCTGAAAATCGGAAATGTGGGAAGTTTAAAGGGATCCTTGCCGACCAAGTTTCCAGAAGTATTTAACCGTGAAGATTTTGAAGTGTTTTCGGTATTCTTCGGCTTGCTATCATCAGAACTTTGGCTTCTAGCGGTAAGTAAAAAGGTAGCTTGTGCAACGAGGTTGGAATCCTCGTCATCTGATAGTATATCCTCTATTTTAGAGTTACGTTGAGTGCGAAAGCTTTTCATGGATGTACCCACCAGTCTTTGGCGATAAAATATGCTTGAATCTCTCCATCCGATTGTCCATCCAACTTGATAATCATGATCCATGATTCCTAAAGAATATTGTTCACTGAGCACCGACCTTTCTGGAAGTGGTTTGTCACCTACTTGGTTAGCGACAACGATGGCAATTGAATGCCCAGTCGCTAATTTTAGGAGGTTTTGGGCCATTTTATCAATGTAGTTTCGATTATCTTGGGAGTCTCTGAATGTTTTTCTTTGCAGTTCTACTCTAACATGATGAGATATTGAATCTATGATTACCAATTTAACGTCCCTGTTTCTTTCCAGCAGAATAGGTAATTGAACATTCAAAATATGTTCCTGGTTAGCTAAATCACAGCAGCTCACGGTGAATATGTTTTTTTGAGAAACATTATCAAATTTTGCAAATTCCTCCTTCGTCCGCAGAAGTTCGTCAATCCTTTGCGTGGTGAGATCGCCTTCAGTAGTTACAAATACACATTTACCATTTAAACCTCCTTGTTCTTCAGGAAGTTGAACACTCAAGGAGAGCTGCATAAGGAGTTGTGACTTCCCAGTAGAGCTGTTGCCAAATATCTCGGTAATTCCATGCGTACGTATACCTCCACCTAAGATCTTGTCTATTTGCCGATCCGCAGTAGTAAAGGCCAGTGGCTGTTGTTCACTTGCTATATCATACCATGTTGTTGGAGTATCTTGCCCAAGTACGTGTTTTTTGAACTCTTCTTTCAATATTCGTTGAAATTTCACTATTTCGTTGACAGATCGTGGAACAAGTTTGGTTAATTCTGAAGGTTTTAAGGTGAGAAAATCAACAACGGATACGTTATTCTCTTTGACACAATCTAGCAGAGAACTGTACTCGGACAATAAAATCAGCGAACTGGATGGAAGTTGATCATAGAGATCCATGCAACCGTTTTTGTATGTTTCTGAAGTCCAAATGCTCGCGAGGGCGCATAAAAATAACTAGTTTTTTGCATTAAAACATTTAACTTACCGATGTCAATACGTACAAAATTCGAAACGAATATAACCTATAAAGATCTACTTAAAGCCTTTTGGGTAAGTTCCCAATTGTTACAGTTTTGATAACAGTGTAATCCTCAATACCGTAGAGGGAACCTTCTCTACCAAAACCCGACTCTTTGACACCTCCGAATGGTATAGCACAATCTGTGAACAAACCAGTATTACAAGAAACCATACCAGTTTCTAAAGCTTCTGAAACAGTAAAAATAGTGTCCACGTTCTTGGAGAAAACATAGGCTGCAAGCCCAACGTTAGAGTCATTCGCGCACTTCACAACTTCCTCTGTAGTGTCAAATGGGATGATTGCGCATAAAGGACCGAAAGTTTCTTCAGATGCAACTCTTGCAGATTGTGGAACGTTAGAGAGAACAGTTGGTGCATAAAAGTTTGGACCTAATTCTGGCAAACGGCCACCAGCAACAACAACCTTAGAGCCCTTCTCAATAGCATCTTGGACATGAGATTCAACCTTCTCAATGGCTTTGGAATTGATCAAGCATCCATGTGTGACACCCTCTTTCAAACCATGGCCAATAACGAATTTGTTAACCTTCTCAGCTATTAGTGAGGCAAATTTGTCTAATATTGGTCTTTGGACGTACAAACGATTAGCACAGACACATGTCTGACCAAGACCTCTAAACTTTGATGCGATAGCCTGCTCGACTGCGGTGTCTAAGTCAGCGTCTTCAAAAACGATCAAAGGAGCGTTACCACCTAGTTCGAATGACAGTTTTTTCATAGTTGATGCCGATTGCTTCATTAGAATTTTACCAACGTTTGTAGATCCTGTAAATGAGATCTTTTTAACTTTGGGAGACTCACAGAGCTTTACTCCAAACTCAGGGGTCCTAGTGTGAGAAAGCACCACATTAAAAGTGCCTTTTGGGAAACCAGCTTTTTCAACTAAATAAGCCATAGCAAGGGCAGATAGAGGGGTCTGAGAGTCTGGTTTGATAACCACAGTACAGCCAGCAGCCAGAGCAGCACCAGCCTTTCTGGTAATCATTGCACTTGGGAAGTTCCAGGGGCATATAATACCGCAGACACCTACCGGCTGTCTCACGGTGAATGCTCTGTTAGAAGGATTGGATGGTTGGATGGTTGCGCCATAAATACGAGGAGCCTCTTCAGCATACCACTCGAAATAGGAGGCACCATACTTAACCTCTCCAATGGCCTCAGGTAACGCCTTACCATTCTCCCAACTGACGATTTTTCCAAGATCTTCTGCGTTATCCATCATCAAGTTATAAAGCTTTCTTAGCAAAGTGGCTCTTTCACGAGGAATTGTATTCTTGAAAGTCTTGAAGGATTCGTACGCTGCATCAATAGCCTCGTCAACAATTGTGACTGGCTGATCTGGTAAAGTGGCAATAACCTCACCGTTCGCGGGGTCAGTAACTTCAAATGTTTCAGCGGCTTCTGTAACCCACTTACCGGCGACGAATGCTCCGTCTCTGATCAATTCTTTGTTGGCCAAATTAGGTTTAACTGAAGTACTCATATTATAAAGTTATGCTACAGAAAGTGAGGTCGATTAGCAACTTAGCGCCTGAACACACAACCCACCTTATATACTATTCGCATGGCTGCAATCCCCTCCCGCGCGGGAAATCATATCATGCCGGACGATGATAACGTCGGCTCTCATCGCCCTTCAGAAGTGTTGATCTCATGTTTGACGATTCGTACGAGCGGTATTGGGAGGCGGTACCGAGGGTCTGACATAACGAGAAGATGCTGACGACGTAGTGGTAGAAAGCGAAGGACTCTCTGCATTTTGAGCAGAATGAGGCGGATATGCCTGATGTGGCTGGGTATAAGGCACGGAAGGCGAAGTCACTGCAGGCTCAGGGGCGGCTACCGGTGAAACACGTTGGGTAGGGTGAAACTTGCCTTCATTGTCAAAGTAGCCAGCATCGTTGTCATTTACAGCTTCCGTGTACTCAGGTACAGGGTTTTCATTGACGGGTTGATTGTACTGTTGTTGCGAGGCACCATAAGCGGGCGGCGGAGCCAGCCATGAGGTCCCCACGATGGGTTTACGACCCAGTCTCCGTCTTCTTACGTTAACTAGGAAAACGTAGAGCACGAATGCGACTATCACCACGATAAACAATAGCCACCGCCCCCAAACCCAGCCACTGTTGCTAGAAAAAGAGTCGTTGTAACTATTCATTGGATCAGAAGACGCGACAGGAACTACTTTTGGAACCGTGTGAGGAAGTGTGTGTGGAAGTGTGTGTGGAAATCTGTGTGGAACTGCTTTTGGAGCCGTAGGCGGAACTACTTTTGGAGCAGAAGGTGGAGCTGCTTTTGGAGCAGAAGGTGGAGCTGCTTTTGGAACCGAATGTGGTACTGAGTGTGGAACGTGTGTCCCTGATGATCTCGAAGATTTTTTTTGATGTAGGCCGATTAGCATGCACTGTCACAACGCAATGACAGTGGTTTAATTTAGAGCTAGTAGACCTTGGTCTTTTAAATGATGAGTTCCTCAATGATTAGTGCTTGTCGACATCGTTGCCAGTAAGGCTGAGCTTAAACCCTGATAAATTCCAAAACCCACACATCACAACGCTTTTCAAGCCTCTCTGTAATATTGCTACTGCTACTCGGGACGTTTTCTCATAGAAGCCAAGCCTTGCTCGGAGATAGATTAAACCGAGCCGTCCGTGATTTGGCATCAATAAGGCATATCGGATGCTGCCGCTCTTGAGCTCTTGTTACCGTTATCATAGAATTACATTAGGCTCGTAACGGCTTTGCAACTCGTCCACTATGAGTTAGAAAACTTGTCGTATGTGCTTAAAGAAATCTACACTTAAAGAAGCTAGAATAAATTTGCATAAGGTGCTTCTAGCATTGGTTAGCAGCTCCCCACGGAGTAACTTCCAACTATTCGTAATTTCTGACCAACAGGGTCTCTCGTTGTTCAAGAAAGGCACAGGTAAGCCTCTGAGAGATAGGCACATGTTAGATAAGTTAATGTAGAAAGATGTCTAGGAAATCGGCGCTGTGTGCCTCACACCATTCGAGCGGTGCTTCCATGTAAACAATTCAGCGGCGCAGCCTAACTGTCTACAAAAAAAAGCGCGTGAGTACCCTGGCTGTGCAGGTACAGTGGCAGGAACAAGGCGCAAAGGACATAAGCTGGGCGCAAGTGGAAAGGCTTAGACTTGCCATCAAGATTTGCCCAGAGAGTATCTCTTCCAGGCTTGGCATGAAGGGTAATTTGGATGCTCAGTTGAGCTTCCAACCGAAAGAAGTCGTGACACCCGTACACCTCCACGACTGACTCCGAAAAGTCATATGAAGCGCTTGCTTATTCACCTCACTAAAAACTCTTGATCCATCATGATATCTTCCTCATCAGTTGTAAGTGCAGTGGGCCGTGACTTCATCAGTAAATGGGCAAATTTTTCCACCTGCGCTTCATTGATCGACACACCTCTCTTTAAGGAGAAAAGTTGGCGGCACATAGGACACAATCCCTTGGCAGTTGGCGTATCTAACCACTGCTGAATGCAATGGACATGAAAGTTGTGATTGCAATCCCCAATCACCAGCGGACAGTCGTCACCCGGGAACTTACAGTTGGGGCATGTCCCATTGTAGCTTACACGACAAATACCGCATACGTCTTCTTCACTAGGCCCCTGTGTACCATCTTGACAATCCCCCGGAATATCCCATGACCACGCAAAGACGCAGTGGATTTTTTTAGCTTCTATCTTCATGGGAAGCGATGTTAAGCGATCTTCAGGTTCAGCTCCATGAATTGCGGAGACCACAACACAAAAAAAATGTGGTGCATTCTATACGTTACAAAATATGCCATGCCAAGCACAGCACCTAACATAACTGAAAAACCAATCCAATCGAAGAATTCATGAACATGAAGATTGCCTAAAAACTGTACATATATCTAGTTATTGGATGGTTTCTCATTCTGAGTTACCTTCAGAGATTTTTCACCCCATTCCTGTAGACTGTCCAAGAGGGCATTGTTTGAATGTAGCTTATTAAAATCATCGTAACCGCCTCTGGAGATACCATTAATGATAACGTTGGGCACGGTGCCACGACCCGTTTGCCCTGATATATACTCTTGCAAAGCGGATCCATGTTCGTGTTTGTCAAGTTCCACAACGGCGTAGTTGGGTGTGAAGACGTATTCTTCCTCTAGAAGCTCCTTTAGCTTACGACTGTAGGGACAACGGGTCTTGGAGAATACTATCATGGGCGAGTTACCGAGAATGCTGTTGTACTCTTTGGCGGGGTCAAAGACCTCTGGTTCGTCCGTTTTCGTAGTGGAGGCAGGAGTGCCCTTGGAGTCACCTGTAATCCCAATTTCCTGCTTGATGTTGTCAATTTCTTGCTGAACCTTTGGGTCTGATTTCTCAGCAATTGATGTTTCAGCCTTTGGTTGAGCGTTGGAATTGATCGATTCGATAAGTCCTGCATTGTTATTGGCATTGTTAACAATGAAAAACACCAAGAAGAGCAAAACTCCCGTAATTGATAGCACCCTAATATTTCTCTTGGTCAACATTTTTTTTCCAAATGGGCTCCTTAATGTGCAGGTATTGGTCGTTCACGAAATACTAAACCCCCCAGATGCAAGAAACTTCGGTATTTGGTGACACTTCGAAGTTGATGTCAATTCCAAAGCGCGCGCGTATATGGAACATCCATAGTCGCGAAAAACTCTAAGAAGTAAATATATATATATAATGCACGTACGTAATGATTATAAATATAAAGATGGGCCGAATCACTACCGAGAGCGATGCGGTGAAGGTTGGATGATTACGAATATAGCTGGATTAAAAGGTTATGGTGGCGGGTCTAAGATGATTTGATAGCATTCGCATGACTCTTATCCAGAAACAAAAGTCTTTCTGTGATATATTGACACATACTTTCCCAGTTTGTCTCATTTTCTTGCAATGCGTTATCAACGTATTTGAAGTGAGTTCTAGTGTCGCACAGATATTCCTTAAATACCTTAAAGTTTTCCAACTCCAAATCATAGCCATTTAGCCTCTTTAGGTTGGTGTAGGATCGGATATGCTGACCAGCCACGATTAAGTCTTGATCTTTCCACAGAGTAACGGGATCGAATTTTGGTAGGTTAGAATGCACAAACATAATATCCACTTCCTTAAGAGTCTCTGATTCAAAATAAGTTTCGTAAAATTTTTCAGGAGAGTAAGAGGGGTCCAATTTAATCGACTGAGGAGATTTTCCCTCGTAGACTGCGTTAATTTCCTCTGAGGCGTGTTGGTAGCGTTGGTAATCCTGAACAAAATCGTGTTGTAACATGGCAACACCACGGAAACCCTCACTTCTGTGATAACCATCCACTGCGGTTATAGACTTGACCTGATAAAAATCGAGTTCGTAAAAGTTGGCGGCTGCAATAAAAGTTTCCTTGTCACCTTCACCGGCAGCCTTTTGAGAAAAGATAGGGTAGTACCAAGAGGGGCCGTAAACATTGTAATACAGAGAAAGAAGCACAGTGGGGAGGTGTTTGGATTTGCTAATCATAATCTGTCCTGACTCGGTGGACACATCAGGAATAGTATTTTCCAGGTCGTGCAAAGGCACGTCCGATGTGTCTTCCATGTTACTAGTGTAAGCTTGAGGAGGAGTAATATCATCCATACAATTACGAACACGATTTTTGTAGTTGACAGGGATATCAGCTATCTCATAATAAGCTGGGTTGGTGGTACGACGCCAGAAATCAGGCCACAGAACGAGTCCAGTGCTCTTGTAAGGTTCTTTGTCGAAAATGTTATCGAGGTCCTTGATGGGGAAATTGTCAGCGTCAAGCAGCAGTAAATTCTCGAAACTGGAGGCGATTATGGCGATGGACTTAAACTGGTATCCCTTAAACTCGAAGTTGTCCACCGAATCTGGAGGCAGCACATCAGTGATGTAGATACATTTGGCGTTATACTTGGGTAACAACGTATTGCAGAACTCCTGGTCGCCCGTGTCGTTAGGAGGAATGAACACCTCAACCGGCAAGGTGGTGCCGAGGTTCCGTAACGTCTTGATGATTAGAAACGATAGCAGGGAGAACTTGCCGCCCCCGACCGTAACGATACCGTCGCCGCTGTAGCTCTCCGCCGGCAGTGTGAGCGAGCCGATACTTTCAACAAACTGGTAATGCATCTTTTTGAGCATAGCGCGCTCAGAGTATGAAAGCGACAAACACTTCCCCAGTTCCGAGCTGGTGAGCTTGCCCCAGTTGTCGTAATCGTCAGGCCGCGTGCCAATATTACCGTCTAGCTTGCAGTTGGCACCATACTCGCGCAAGCATTTATTTTTGGGCCCGAACTCCTGTACGTTATCAAAGACTTGCTTGTAGAACGTTTGCAGTTTTTCGCGACGTACCTCGTCTTTGGCGGACATCGCCTTGGACAATTCGCTGTTCTCTGGGATCGAATCTGTGTCACCAACATACGTATCCACGTAAGACGCCAGATACGACTTGTACTCCTTAGACATACCCTCATCAACGTATCTGCTGGTGAGCACGAAGATAATGCAGCATACAGTGACAAGCAGAGCGAGCTTAAAGACCTTGGCGAAACGCTTCGTAAGCACAGACATGACGACCCAATTGGCAAGAGAGTATGGATATGTGCGACGGAAGATGAAGTCCCAGTGTGCAGTAAAAGTGTAGCAAGACCAATGGAGCAAAACCAGTGGAGCAAACAAACTTCCCTGTGATACGAAAAAAAACTCTTTTTCGCCCAAGACAGGTGAGAAAAAAATTCGTCCGCTCGCCCTTTACGTGTTTCTGTTTTTGTCGGTCGGTGATGAAGCGCGAAAGTCGGCCCTAGCCAGATTCCCTTTTTTTTTTTTTTTTTCTTCCTCCTTTCTGTCTCTCTTTGTCTCTCTTTCCGTTCTTTCTCCGTATTACGCTATCTCCTTCTTCTCTTCTCTGCATTCCATTTCTGTGAATAGTTCTACGCGGTTTCCAAGATTTCTCCTACGGCAGCGTCTGGGAAATGCATGGGTGTACAAGTGCCAGTTCCGCACGCGGCTTTCTGGGCCAACTACACAAGCCTCTGCCACAAAATCTGCATCCACTTTTCAGGCTATTTATAGATTACAAGCCGTACGGAATGACGAACGCACCCCCGCAACCACTTTAGCAGTGCAGTCACGGAACCCGAATTCCGCAAGTAATTGTGCGTTTGGACGGCTGGCTTCGAGCATAGCGATGTACTCATCAAACAATGCATGGCACGCGTCGCGCGAGCTGCGCAGCTGAGCCTTGATAGCACGACGCGCAAGCTGGTCCTTGATGCGGCGTGTGTTGTCGAGCGTCTTGAGAGTAGCGAGCCGGCCCACGTAGTCGTGCACGAGCTGCCAGCCGGTGGGGCGTACAGGCGGCGCGGCCTCAATAAGCGCTGCAATTGCAGTGCCGTCATCGCAACCACGCTCATATAGATGGCGAACAACGCTCCAAGCCCAAGCGTCAGTAGGAGTCACGTGACCTGATGGCTCGTCACTGTCGCCGTCGCGGTCGCTGTCTGCAACTGCGTCGCGCGCCGCCAGGTACGCGTCAACATCCTGATCACGCTCGCCCAGCGCGACCATCTCCCACATCATCTCACGTACGCACGCGTCCAGTATTTGTGCGTTGCCCACGTCGATGTAGCGCAGAACATCTGTACACGTGACGCGCATCCCTCCGACAACGTCAAAGTCACGATTATCACTTAAAACGGAAGCGGCTGGCGCAGCGTCTGTTGTGCCTGGAGCCGTTGCAGCTGTCGATGCAGTCACCTCGCACATCTGTAACTGGCGCCAGGACTCGTGCAGCTTGCGCAGCTGATCACCGCGTTTGTCGTTGACCACACGAGCCAACTGCAAACGCTCTGAAATTTTGAGCCAGCGCATACTGGACCGGTTAAGACGGTCATTCAGCTCCAGCATGCCAAAAATCTTGCTATAGCTGCGGCGCTCAAATGCCACCCGGATAAATTGAGGAAGATTATCGGCCGACTCGTACAGACGGTCGCCCTCAAGCAGCTGGCGCACATACGGATGCTGCTTATCCGGGAACACGGTGGCCACGCGCGAAGCAAGCAGATGGTCGAGTACATCATGTTGTACGTTCTTAATTTTCAACTCCGCGTAATGGTCGTATGCGATGGCAGGCGCTCCCAGATAGCAATACAACACTATCAACCAAACGCGAGTGTCATAATTGTGCGGATCTTTAGTTTGGTAGCCCTCCAGGAGCGAAACAGCTGTGAGCGCATTGGCCTGCGTGAGTTTGTCGTCCTGCACGAGTGACTCCACAATCTTGAGTACAAAGTGTGAGCACGCCGAGTAGTCCGTCTTAGGCTTTGAATCGAGCGTACTCTGATACTTTGCCAGCAGAATCTCGTATTCCTTCACACTGGGCGCAGGTAGTGGATCACGTAATCCGTCACTCCACTTGCCATTTTCACCCAGCTTGCACCGGTTGCAGTCGTGGATAAGTCCGGCTGGCAGCGAGTCGAACACAGTCCGCACCTGTACAGCAGTGAGCACTCCTCCGTAATGTAAAATATCTGCAACACAACAAGGCTTGTTGTGGAAGCGCTCCAAGTAGTGTGCTAGGGAATCATCCGAAATACGTCCGCTGTAGACCGAATCGATCTCCAGATGTGCTAGACGGTGATTGCGCGAGTCGCGCGACTGGAGTAGCAATTTAAGTTCGGACTCGGTCCGTCCCGTAGCTTGACCGCTGCGAATTAATTCCTTGAGGACCTCAAAGTCATCGAAATACTCTAAAAACTTGCAACAGCTGTTGAACATATTCGCGCTGTCATCCACAGTCCTTAGATGCTTGATCAGAAAGTTTTTGAGATACAAATCTACCGAAGAACTAGTACTTCCTTGCAGCAAGGCAGGCAGCAACTCATCGACAATTTCCTGCGACTTGTCTGGCCACAGCTCGCACAAATGACAGAACACGATAGTTTCTTGATCCGATTCAAATGGCTTGAGTGCAACAACTGACTTATAAGCCGTCTCTGCGTGCACCCGGCGCTCCAGTTTACTCAAAGGCTCCGACTGTGACTTCAATAGTGCCACTACTGACACTGCGTGCCAGAATTTCAACATACGTGGCTCAGACGAAAACCGAGGAAGCCGAAATGCAGCCTGGCTCATATGCTTGAAATTCAAGTCCTGGAGAGCCTTTGAAAACCAGTTGTACCCAAGTTCAAATGTAGGGTATTTCTGCATAGCCGTTGCATACACATCGAGCGCTTTTTCAAACATGCCCAATTCTATCAAAAAATCGTGTAGTAACTCTAGAGATCTTGTATCACTAGGTGGTGACATGGCTTCCAACAATGGTTGCAATCCTTTGTTAAAACTGTACTTCTTTTTGTTCTGCCGGAATTTGACATATTGCTCTAAAATCTTAGCATATGTCATAGTAGGAAACTGATTGACCATTTTTGAAGTCAATTGCAGGGCTCGTTTGAAGCTGCCAGCATTTATCAGTTCTATAATATCGTCTCCCCTTGCACTCATTCCCTTTAACCTTGCAACGCTACTCTGTCAGCTGCTTGTCTGTCACTGCAGCTAATTTCAATTAAAGCCTGAAAAAAGCTAATTCTCAATGTAGAACGTGATATTTGTTTCTTTTTTTGTACGAAGGTCTCTTGAAAAGAAAATTTTTTAGAGATGAGCTCTGAGATGAGGTCCTGACACTAACACTAAGCGATATTAAAAAGCAGATGTCTTCTATTCACAAAGCTTTGGCTGGCCGCACCCAGAATAAGAAGGATTCCGGAAATGAAAAGCAGTTTATGAACAAACAGCGTACGTTGCTGATTTCCTCGAGAGGTGTTACTTTCAGACATCGTCATTTAATCCAAGATTTACATAGCCTTTTGCCTCAATCCAGAAAAGAGCCAAAGTTGGATACCAAAAAAGACCTGGGTCAGCTGAACGAGATAGCAGAGCTTTACAACTGTAATAACATTCTATTTTTCGAAGCAAGAAAGCACCAGGATTTGTATATGTGGCTATCTAAACCACCTAATGGGCCAACCATCAAGTTCTATCTACAGAACCTGCATACAATGGACGAACTCAACTTCACAGGAAACTGCCTAAAGGGCTCCAGGCCAGTTCTATCATTTGACAATCGCTTTGACTCCCTTCCTCATCTGAAGCTCATGAAAGAGCTATTTATCCACAACTTCGGCGTACCACCTCAGAGCAGGAAATCAAAGCCTTTCATCGATCATGTTATGTCTTTCAGCATAGTGGATGAGAAGATTTGGGTTAGAACCTATGAAATCTCCCACTCTGCGAGGAACAAGGACGAGTATGAAGAAGGTGAAGTACAGGAGGAAGAAGTGTCTCTAGTTGAGATCGGTCCAAGGTTTGTCATGACCCCAATTTTGATTTTAGAGGGCTCATTTGGAGGCCCCAAAATCTACGAAAACAAACAGTATGTCTCTCCAAATGTCGTTAGAGCTCAATTAAAACAACAGGCTGCTGAAGAAGCCAGAGCGAGATCTGAAGCTGCAGTTCAAAGAAAGTTGAAAAAGAGGGACAATGTTCTTGCAGCAGATCCTCTTTCCAATGAGGCTTTATTCAAGAACTGAGCTGCAGAAAGAACGTAAAATAATGCATACTCTGTGTACACTATCATTTATCAATTTTTAAACAATTTGCGCAACCGTTACATCATATTCGTATATTTTTCCTTACACGTTAAGCTTATATGAATATATATATATATATGCCAGACATGTTCCTGGCATTTAGTGTTTCTCAGCAGCGGTGTGCTTCTTGAGGTAATCCGCGATGAATTTCTCTTCCTCTTCCGAGCTCGCCTTGATTTCAGGTTGCTTTGGAGCAGATGATGAAAAAGGGTTAGGGAGAGCTAAAAAAACCACAGCAGAGATTGTAGCCAACGAAAGTTGGTAAGGTTGAACGGTTCTACCCAAAATGTGATAAGCAGCTCCCATCTTTAATTATTCTTCCTACGAATTCAGCGAATTATTGTCGATGTAGTGTATCTTCGAGAGATAAAAATTTTATGGTGTAGAACCACCCATTCACCACACCATAATTCGAGACGACCAATCATGATACAGTATTGTTATTGAAGATATAACGTAGTGAAAATAGCATGCTCATGACTTCTGCTCTAGATGGTCTCAAATGATAGCGAGAGACTAATGCCTTGTCGAATACCTTGCAACTAGTCTTGGTATCTAGTATCCACGTGATATAGTTAAAGATGAGGGTTTCCTAGGAATGCAACCAAAAAGATTGTATGCCCCCTACTTAACTTAATTCCTTCCACCCCCGTAGCTGAAAATCAAGGCCATGACAAGAAAAAGCCTAATTGCCCAATATATCGTGGCACTATTCTCTGTTGCTAGTGCAACGTCATTGTTTGAGCCGTTAGCAGATTTAAGTCCATTAAAAAGCTTTAGTAATCCCAGAAGCCTAGTTCAGGAATTCAAGACTAAAGGTAACACACAAGAGTTTTCAATTTTACAGTCGCCTTCGAATGCTGATTATGAATTGAGAATTAAGTCTGTGGATCCTTCAAAATTAGGGATTGACACTGTAAAACAGTATTCAGGGTACTTGGATTACAAAAACTCCAAACATTTCTTTTATTGGTTCTTTGAGTCAAGAAACGATCCCAAAAACGACCCAATAATCTTGTGGTTAAATGGTGGTCCTGGATGCTCTTCATTTACCGGCCTCTTTTTCGAATTGGGGCCATCTTCGATCAGCCCGGAATTGAAACCAATATACAATCCACACTCATGGAACAACAATGCCTCTGTCATCTTTCTAGAGCAGCCAATCGGGGTCGGATTTTCTTATGGGGATGACAAAGTTACGACAACACAAGCAGCTGGTGAGGATGTATACAATTTTTTAGAGCTATTCTTCCTGAACTTTCCCAGCCTAAGATCGAACAACTTCCACATCGCCGGAGAGTCTTATGCAGGGCATTACATTCCTCAAATTGCTCATGAAATCGCAATCGTACACGAGGCAGATGCGACGTTTAATTTGACGTCGGTCCTTATCGGAAACGGTATTACAGATCCACTAGTTCAATATGATTACTATCGTCCGATGGCATGTGGAGAGGGAGGCCACAGACCTGTGATTTCGCCGGAAGAATGTGAGAAAATGGATAAACAGGCACCTCGTTGCAGGTTTTTGTCCGAAGGATGCTACTCAACAGGACTGACATTTTCGTGCATTGTTGCTGGCGCATACTGTGAAAACATGGCCATGAATGCGTACTCAAAGACCGGACTTAATGTTTATGATATTCGTGGGAAATGTGAAACTGATGAGGATTTATGTTATGCTGCAATGGGCGACATTGAGAAGTATTTGAACCAACCTGAGGTCCAGACAGCTCTGGGCTCCGATGTAAGTCACTATGAGGGTTGTAACAATGATGTATTTGCATCATTTTTACTGACAGGTGACGGAGGTCGTCCCTTTCAACAATATGTCTCCGAAATTCTAAATAAAGATATTCCTGTTTTGATTTACGCAGGTGATAAGGACTACATTTGTAACTGGTTAGGAAACCTTGCGTGGACCAACGAGCTCGAGTGGAAAAATAACGAAGAGTACCGCTTCCTTCCACTTGCTCATTGGAAGAATGAGGAGACAGGTGAAGTTGCCGGTGAAGTTAAGAATTATGGAAGCCTCACGTTTTTGAGAGTTTATGATGCAGGTCACATGGTACCATACAATCAACCAGAAAACAGCTTAGAGATGGTAAATAGATGGATACGAGGCGATTATTCCCTGGGATACTGAAGAAATTTCTACATAGTCTATTTATGGTTCATCTTGTAAGCACCAAGTAGGTTTTGTATCCGCGTCACAATTTCGACACATTCCTGAGGCGATACAGCTTCAAAGTAATACCTTTTAATTCCACCAGGTCTATTCACGAAGATTTTAAAATACTCTGGTACCCTTTTGGATCTTTTAGCTATAGAGACTTGGCTTATATGGAAACACTTTGTCTTTATACTCTCGTTGTGCCAATGATAGCCATTTTCCGGAGGAATGATATAAATATAATCACCATCAATGGCCAACGTTCGTTCGTGTTTGTTGATGAACGACATTTGCTGCCTTCTCCAAACTTTATACTTATAATATGCGCCCGCAAATAAGTCCTTGTAATTGCCATCCAAATTCAGGTTAGACTGTTCTGATGATGGAAAGTGACCTCCAAAGGTACTATTCTGCAATGAAGACTTGGAAGAGTTTTTAAGTTTGAAAAAGCTACCACCCCCTACGCTCGCGTTGCCTGAGGAAATTTGTTTTGAAAGACCGAGCTTATATTTAGAGTGCTTTTTCTGATTATGCGGTATTTGACTCTTTTGTTCACCAAGTGCTTCATCACCATCTGGTAGTTGTCCATTGCCATCCTTCAAATATTTGCCCTTCACATCCAGTGTTATAGGAGTAACTCCGGCGCTTTGAATTGTTGGTAGAGATGGTTTGCTTACATGCTTTTTGAGTTTTTTCAAATTCAAAGCTCTTACATCCTTTTTCGTGATTAATTCCAGCGAATAATTGCCATCCAATTCACCGACTGTCTCATTCAAATCAAGATAAAATAGTTGACCGCATAGTTTAAGCGCGTAATCATTGGGATCCATCCCTTTCATTTTACAATATTGAACCAATATGTCATTGATCTTAGCATTGACAGATGCTTTGATAGGTGTGAAGTTAAATTGTGGATTAACGTTGGGATACAGAAAGACCTTTATCTCCACAAGCTTCTCATGCTTTTGATTAACAGTCGAATTCGAGGGTATGATGGGTTTATAGTAGCTTAACTGGTTGATGCCAGCGTCAGTCGAGCTACCTACGGTGGTATGGTCGAATTTTACACCGTCATCATTTTGGGGAGAATATCCATGAGCCTCATAAGGTAATGGCGTCATCTTCTCGTTAAGCTTAAATTGGTTGTCATCACTCACCTTGCATAAGACAACTTCGTTATCAAATATGGTGCCTATCTCCTTTTTTCTTTCAAGGGTACCAAAATTGTCTTCAAATGGTTCTCCATCTTCATCTACTATCTTCAAAACGAACTTATTCGGATTCGAGATGTCTTTCAATGTAAGGCCGTCTTCATCGAAAGAGGCAGGTTTCTTATCTGTTGAATAACAATATAAGATGTAGCCGATTACTTCGAAAACGGTGGCACTTTTCCGCACCTTTAGGGCGAAGGGATTTCTTTGATAAGTTTTTGATGCTTGAATATAGATACTCAATGCCATAGATTCAAACTTAACCACACTTTTGGCGGATACAAAAGAAAAATACTCTAGTGGATTAGATGTTTCGTTCTTGTTCTTGCAGAAGAGACCTGATAGCTGAGAAGTGCTTGAACTTGGATGCTTGGGTACGTCGATCTTTTTAATAATAAGAGGTTCAGGAGTAAGCCTTCTAGGCTTGATAATAGATTTAGAATCACTCGTACTTCTTTTATGTCTTTGAGTGGATTTTGCCAACGGCAATTTCAGTTGTTCATTATTCATACTGGAAAAAGAATTTCGAGGCTTAACAAAAGTAGAGGTTGTAATACTATGAGATCTGCTGCTTGCCTTCTTGCTCATCGAAGAACTTGTGATTGACTCTTTGACTGAAGATGCGGTGCTGGACATCACTTTAGAAGTTTGGATCTTATAATCGGGTTTATCGAAGCTACTTTTCGAAATCGAATCACCTGCTTTTAACATATGAAAAGCACGCGTGCTCGGTATCGAGTGCGCAGCGATAGACCCATCATGAAACAGTTCATCATTTATCATCGAGTCATCAATTAGTGAACTGCTACCATCATGTGGCTTGTTATTCCCATCAAAATCATGGTCGCTAAAATCAGAATCTAGAAGAGATTTTCCGTAGGAAGAAATATCATCACCGTTTGCTTCATCATATCCTTCATCGCTAGAACCTAAACTCGTGGAATCCTCTATTATGGCACTGGAAGTAGGATGAACATCTTTATCGAGTTGTTCATCGAGGTCAGAGTCAGTAATTTGTTCAGCGTCCAAATCGAGGTCTTTCAAATCCTCTTCATTTATATATGATTCGATGTCAGATTCTCCACGCTGTTTTTCACCAGTCGAATAAGAGTAGCTTTCATTTTTTGACACTAAGCTGGCACCATCGCCATGCTGCTCGCTGGTGTTTAATTTGCTGTCGTTAATCAGCAAAATATTCTGGGGATTGAGCGGGAAGTTGCTCTTCTTTATTGACTTAGAATTTTTTGTAGATACACTTCCGGAGTGTTGTGATATATCTTGTTTAAAAAAGTTCTCATTATCTTTTGCGTCATCATCGTCGTCGTCATCGTCGTCATCGTCATCTTCCTCGATATTTTCATCAAAATTGAAAGCTGTGTCGTAAAAACTGAATTTCGTTTTATGCTGCGAGGGGGGTTTTGGCCGATTTCGATCATGTTCTGTGGTTCTTCCACTATCAGAATGGTTTCGAAATATTTTAGAAAACGGTAACGACGATCTTCTTTTGGTTTTTGATTTCTGTACCTCAAATTCACCAGACCCTGCAGAGCTATTGCTCTTCAAGGTGGATGACGTAGTTCTATTTAGTACAGTCCTGTGAGGTGGATGCGCTGTATTTGAATCCAATCTTAGTGTGTTCAAGGAATCATCAGGCAATTTCATATCAATTTGAGTCACAGTGCGTCCAACGTCTTCATTAGTTTTTCTTGAATTTGAAGAGATGGACCTGGATCTTGCCATTGATCCCTTTTCGTACCGGTCCTTTCTTAGCGTCGGGTACCTATCTAAGTAGTTTTTGGAAATGGGAGGTGATTCCAGTTCTGTTAGAAGGTTTTTACCATCACCGTCAGTGTAGAGCTCCCTTATTTGTTCATCCACGCTGTTACTTCCGCTCGAGTACGGCTTTATTAACCTCTTTGTCTGATCTATATCTGTACTTTGCTGTAAAAACGTCGATCGCAACCTATTAATGGATAGTAGTGGATCCATTGTGGATCTTTCTCCTGTTGAAATGGATCTATTGGCAAGGTAATGTGAACTTTTTTTTCTTCTCCAGAATGGCCACTACGGGACAGTAACACAAAGTGTAAACTTAGCCTCACGTATAATCACTTAGACTGCCTTAGATATAAAGAATGTCAAGCAAATACATGACCTCAATTTACATTACAATTCAGAATGATCAAGATTGAAGATACATATCAGCATATGTGTGGGTGTGTTGAACTTGAGTACTTTCTTTTTTTCATCTTCCGAAAATAAGCTCATCTCCTCCATCTATACAAGTCGTATCATCAATTCCCAGTCGAGGATGGTACTCTCATCAAATTGGTTGAGTCTTCAAAACTCCCATAAAAAGGATGGAAAGGAAATATTCAAGAAGAAAAAGAAGAAGAAGTCGCATCCCGTCATAAAGGCATCTACACCACAAAGAAAAAATATAATGAACATGGTGGATTCCATGACTAAAGAGATAAACATCCTACGGACAGCTAAAGAACAATCAAACAAGTCAAAAGTTGTAGAAGGTAAGTTTCCGGGCGATTCTCATAGCCATACAAAGATCGGTGACAAAAAGTCACAATCGAGAAGTCAAGAAATTGGTAAATATGTTGCCATAGATTGCGAATTTGTAGGCGTTGGTCCAGAGGGTAAAGATTCTGCTTTGGCTAGGGTTTCGGCTGTCAACTTCTTTGGCCATACCATCCTTGATCTATTTGTTAGGCCTCAAGAAAGGGTAGTAGATTGGCGAACGTGGGTCAGCGGGATTACTCCAGCACATATGAAGCAGGCGGTTGATTTTGCTGAGGCTCAAAAGCAAGTGTCGTCATTACTCGAAAGTCGAATCTTGGTTGGCCATTCAGTGACACATGATCTTGACTCGCTATTTCTATCGCATCCAAAGTCCATGATACGGGATACCTCGAGGCATATTCCTTTTAGGAAAAAATACGCAAACGGTAAAACACCAAGCCTGAAGAAGTTAGCCAAAGAGATTCTAGATTTAGATATTCAAGGGTCTCAGCACTCTTCTATCGAGGATGCGCGAGCCACTATGCTCATATATAAATCAGATCGCAGAGAATTTGAGAGGCTTCATCAAGCAAAATTCGGTGCCAAAAAGATGGTATAATAATGATAGAAGTAAATCTTATTCTTATTACATTACTATATATTACAGCAACAATTCTTAGGAAATGTATATTATTTAGGAAGATTATTGGTGTTCAGATCGAATGTGTCATTCTGGCCATTATCATTACAGTCAACTTTTTCCTCTCATATATCGCATACGGATTTGATCGAACTCCAGACATTACATCACTCGAAGCTGACGGAAACTCAATTGATTTTATTCCCCTCAAACCACGTTCATCTATCAATTTGTCAGTTTTTGCCATGTAGTATTCTTCCTGAAAGTAGCCTTTATGCAATACCACGGTTTGTGCAATAGAAAAGACTAACTGTGGGAATTCGGATTGCACATCTAGTGCTGAGATTCTTCTCAATTCTGTCCTAATTACTTGATAAACCCTGAACAGTTTCACAGGTCTGACCTTAGCAAGGTGGCCAATCAACAGCAAATATCGTATTTTACTCAACTCGTCAGAAACACCGGAGGCAAAATAGACAGAAGCTTGGTATAGGGCAATAATCGAATTATCAGAGTCAGAATCCATCCAGTTCAATAAGCCTTCCGTGACAAAGTTCTGCTCATCTAAATAAACCAATTTATCGGTCATTTGGACTTCTTCCAAGAGCAGCTTCAACTTTGCGGGCCTCATTATCAAATAGAGAAACAGCAAGAAACTCCAGTGATCCTCGTTTGGGAATTGTCCACGATCGCGAAATGATATGGTGAAAAACAACTTTAAGCAATCTACCGCTGTAGCCTTGATATAAGGAACTAACAACCCTTTGCTAATAAGATTTATTATAATGTGGGCGAAATTATTCTCTGTCCACTTTAAACTTGACATGGCTTCTAGCTGTGATAAAGGAGATTCTGCAAATTCCCGACTTTCAAATAAGCATGTGCGTAGTGGCTGTGTAGACGGTCTTTCGCCTAAGTGAATGCGCTTCAAGGCATTGGCCATGAAGAGTAACCCACCATGATAAAATATCGTGTTCGGAGATTGAGCAAACGTTGCAGAGAGCCAAAACAAATGCCTTAACAGTTTAGAATTAGGATCAAGACCCTCTACAACTTTGCTGTATGTGAAAGCGTGCGAAATAATGAAGAATAATAATTCATCATTAGTATAGGGTTCACCAATTATCTTGATAGTTTGTTGGAGCAAGCTCTTACAAAGAGATTCAGAGATACCTCTTTGTCCAATAATGCCGATAATCATTACAGCACGAGCTGATAAGAAAGAATCCACATTGAAAACGGTGTCTACAATATACTTGTTGAACTTCGCTTTCCACTGAATTCGTTCACTTTCGGACGCATTTTCCATTAATATTATAATATTGCCAATGAAACTCTCTAGAGTGGTAAACTTGGTCAAAAAAGATGACGCATTAAAGTTTTGAAGAATACGGCCCTTATCTTGGCTAAATCCAAACATGAACTTCAATTTATGGCGAGAAAATGTTGTGCTTACTTCATCGATCTTAGCTCTGTTCGATGCAGATATGGATTCATTAGTCGATAATGATTGGCATACGTTCATTAAGAGCTTGTGAAGTTCCAATCTCAACTCTGAAGGGCCAACATCAATCAGTAAAGATACAATGTAAAGAACTTCAGGAAGATACATCTCTGCCAGAAGTAAAGAGTCGAAAAATAGTGAAACTGCAATTGTGAATAATATAATAAGTTCAGACCAACTGTTCGTAGAAGCTTCTAGCTTAAGCGATGGAAGAAACGACTTTGTTATCCTCATAATTCTATTAATAACCTTGCTGCAAACTTCGACTGTTGCCACTCTAGTGAGCAGAGATATTACATTTTTCCAATCAACGCCTTCCGATTCCCGATCCAACGAGTGATTGACAATCTCATCAACAATAACATCGACTAAGTCGGCCTCTAAAATTAGAGCTGACCATATACATTGATTGTAAATCATAGTCAACCTTTCATCTGCAATGCTTAGTTTGATGAGGGTGCGAATGATGTAAGAAACATTTTCTGGGCCCTGCTCATCGTTCGCAAGATAAACATATTTGTACAAGTTTGGAACCCAAGGTGTGAGAGTTGAAATAACGTGTGGGATGTATGGATCATCTAGAACACCCGACAAACCTGTTAATATCGATTTCCAAACAATGAACGACAATTCAGGCGCTGTTCTTGCCAATCCTTTCAGTAATGAATAACAAAAAGCTGAGGTATCGTGGGGAACATGGACTTCAGGCGAGACGCGAAGCTTACAGCCAAAATCAAGATTGAATGACTCTTGTGTGGCAGCAAGTAAATTGTAAGAAATGTTCTTGACATCATCGTCGTCGCTACAAAAGCCTGCGAATATTACGAGCAAAATATCGCCAAATATTTCTTTCACTTCGTGTTCGTCACTGAGGGCATTTTGAATACGCTCAGTATCATTAAAATTGTCATTATCATACTCCTCCTCAATTCTTGCTTGGGCGTAGTAAAAAATTTTGATGATTTCCAAGTACTTGGAACTGCAAAAGATCATTTTAGTATTGTCAATGAAATTTATAGTGAATTCTGATGGAACGCCTGTTTCAGATGATACAACAGTAGAGTCCAAATTCGCAATCTCATAAACATTATTGAACTTTATTTCGATAACATCATCAACGCCCTGAACCTTGAATCTTATGGGAGTATCGCTGATCATCTGTATGTACTTATTACCAATCTTCAAAGTGACAGGTGTGAATCTTCCTTTCTTTGGATCATACAATGAAACGTCGTGCAGTGTAACTCTTACATCTGAGTAAACTTCGTTGGAGTAATTCGAGAGCTTCAGATTTTTTACTACGTCTGGGCTAGCATCGCTGTTGAAAAAATGGTGTGGTGTCTTAAATGGCGACAAATAAGGATTGTATCCTTTGAAAAGGGGTAGCCACCACTCGCAATATTTTTCTGACATATTGAAATAGTACATTCCAACGCAATTTTGAGCGGCTTCGCTGGGGATCAAATTCATGAAAAATGTGAACAGCTTCTTTACTTGAAATCCTGGAGCATTGAATCCTGTACAATCGACGACAAAATAGTGCTTTGTGGCCCATATCTTTGAGTATACTTGGACTGTTCTGTATGTTAATGCTTCGGGATCACATTCTTGTTTCTCCAACATTTTGTAAGTGAAAACAATTACTGGAAACCCCTCCGGTGAGACCGCTTCGCGGATATAAGGAATATCGTCGTTAAAGTCCAACGTTCTGAGAGAATAGCGGCTCATAAAATCATAAAGCTCGGGATATTCATCCATCTTCTCCCTAATATAGGGCGGAATCTCGTTTCGAAATTCCATACGGGGTTGACCAAGAATATGCAAAAGCTGATCTGTAACTTTTGCGACATTCTTCATTATTAGGTACTCACTTGTCGTCTCTACGCCAACGATCAGAAGACCTCTCATCTCCAAGCCGTGTTGATAAATGAATTTGTGCATGAAATTGAACTCATTGATGGTCACCTTCTTCTCCATACAGAGCTTTATCTTTACTGGTCGATCTATTTGAGCTAAAGCAAGCAAATAATCGGAGATCTTTTTGTTGCACTCGCTCAAAAATGATTGCTTATCTTGCAATAAAGGCCATTTGATGGAGCCTATTGAACCATTTGCAATGTTCTGAACCATTTTTGCGAGAATCACAAAAGTCCGCTTTTGTCTCGAATTAAGCGGGTCCACAATATTTTCAGCATCTGGACTCACGATAGCGGGGCAAAAATATCTCAAAAATATAAAGGAACCCACTGCTGTCTTTCCATAATCGGGAAATTTTTCCTCCACACAAGTATAAATTGTTTGGCAAAGGATATAGAATTCAGGCGCAAGATCACCAACTGCACCAACAATAGAATCAATCAATAGGTTTAAGTATTTGGTAAAGAGTTGTAAATTTTTAGCGGCATCTGGGTGGTCTGCAGGGAGCTTTTCTACCTCAAAGCAATCATTATTTTCGATTATTTCATCAAGAACTGGTTTTAAAATCTTGACCAAATTATTTGTCCCCTTTAGCCTTGATATCATGGATAAAGCTCTTGTTGCGCAACTATTTCTTCTTAAAACATCCGAGTATCTAGAAGCTTTCTGTATTTCGTCTTTTATAAGTTCAACAACTATGATGTGAGAGCAGTTTTTGACATCAAAAACTGTTAGGAGACTGCCTGCAAGTGCATCAATGTCATTCGCTGGGCAAACATGTGCTGTCAAGGGCACTAACTGAGGATGTTTCAGAATTTCGTTCACGTACTTCTCTATGATGTCATTCTTCATCTCTAGTGATTTCGTCTTATGAATATCATAGTTTGAAATGATGTTAACGAAAACCTTCAAGAAGGCTACTTTGATGTTACGATTTTTCGAATATCCAATAGGCAAAGCATAACGTAGACCAACGTCCACATTGGCGTTGAGAACATTGGTAAGGGAAGTTATGATGTTTTCATTTAAAACTCCAACCTTATGACGTAATGTTGGTGGAAAGTTCTCAAGTGAAGAACTCTTTTCCAAACCTTTCAAAAGAATACTGAAGTAATTTCCAAATATCACAGCTTTAGACCTTTTGAGTTCACTTTCGGAAATCGATTGAGGAACTTCTAACATCAAGTCTTTTGTAATGTATGCTAATGCTTTAGATGACTCGATAGATGTGTCAATGTAAAGGTAATCGATATCACGCCTCTTCAGATTCATTTCACGATGAGACCGGCCTAAATTCTCAAAATCGTACTCTTTGAAAATAGTTGCCTTGAACCACGAAATCACCAAACGCAACCATCTATTTTTTATTAACAAGTATCCCGACACACAAATACTCTTTTCCGCATGTTCGAAAGATCTGACCATTTTCGACATGTGTATCACTGCCTTGTAGTATTTTGTAGATTTATGTGATATGTTTTCCACTATTTTAAAAAGCTGTTCAATTAAATCAAGTAATTCCAGCGATACTAGTATCAATTCTTCTTTTGCATCATCTCTTTCAAGGAGTGTCCTCAAAATGAGAATTATTTGCTCTAAAAGGAGAAATGCGGTATCGTTCTTTGGATCCGTCAAATCCAATTGCTCCAGTTCGTCTGTCCTCTTCTTTAGGTTTTTGAACAACAGCTTAAAGCCAAGTGGATGTAATTCAATACTCAGAATATCTTTGGAATTTTCACGAGTAAGTAAATTCGCATTATTTAACCAGCAACATTGCTTCATGATGAAGTAATCGATGTAATCCATTACGCGGCCTCGTAGTTCATTGAAATAAGAAAATTCCTGAAGTACGTCTGATCTGGTTGTTAAGAATACGCCGCAGCATGAAGCAATGATCCCCGCAAAATTTCTAAAATGACTGGCTTCTGAAGAAGAGAGGGTGGTCTTGCGGCTCAAAGTTATCCACCGATTGTAAACTAAATCTAGAGTGTCGAAGAGAATTCTATCGGGATGTTCCATGTATTTTAAGATGTCTGTCCTTAAGCGACGCTGGAAAGCCACAGCACCCGTAGAAACGTAGTTATCACGGCACATAGCCTTGAGGAACTCTTTGTTGGAACTTCCCGGCTCGTCTAGCTTGCCAATTATTTTATCGTGGTTCTCGAGCTCTCTGAGATAGTTTTTGAAGCATAGGCGAAGTAGCTTATGAATTCGAGGTTCATGGGAATATAAGGATGAAAATAAAGCTCTTCCAGTTGCACCCTGTAACAATACATGAGTGGACTTCTCAATTTCCCGAATCGAGTCCAAGGAACCACTTTCCTCAAACAGTGTTAGAAGCTCTGACCTAACCTCGAGGTACCTTGCCACAACCTCCAGTAGCTCTTCTCTTTTCTTGTCATCAAGAGTGAGGTTGAACAATGTCATGGATACAAGCGTTACTAAATATGCGGCTCCCCGATAAATTCCTTGTTGTATATCTTTGGTTAAATCACCCGACTCTAACGCAATAGAGTACGATGCCATTATATTGCTGAAAGACCTTGTTGCCTCTTGCACAATTGGATGATCATCGATCAACCCAACAAACAGAGGCTTGATTATATGTTTATAGTTGCCGCTAAATTTGACTCGTCCATTTGCGTCGTACGAAACAAAAAAGTAGTTGATCATTCTTTTGTAGACGGAAATAATGTTAATTAATACCGCCCTCGCATCCTCAAGGTCGGTTTTCTCAATATTATTGGGCAAGCAACTTGATATAGTACTCAAAGTACTCGTTTCAGCCAGCGGGTGTGGCTGGAACGGTGGGAGGGATTCGTCTGATGGTTGCCTCGACCGTCCCAAACGCAATGGTGATCGAACGCTCCTGTGTAAATTTTCAAGTTGATACCGAACACTCGGTTGGTGCTTTTCCGTTTCCGAAGGTGAAGAAGGTTTTGAAGTGGTTTTAGACGAAATTACAACAGAAGAGGAAGATGGCCGTCGGGCACGTGGAGCAACGATATCGGTGCGATTAGTAGAAGTACTCGCTCTTTCTCCGTGAGAACTAGCATTCGAGGACACGGAAGACGACGAAGGTGACTGTGGTATACTACTCTTGGCGGGACTATTCCTTGCCACAAGCGAATTAATGGCAATCGGTGACAAGGAAGGGGAGAGGGGTCTTCCAACTTTAGACACATCAGAGTCATCACATATTTTACCACTTAATATATCGTCCACAATTTCTGAAACATTAGCAGAAAAGTAGGGAGAGGCCTTCAAGATGACATCAGACATATTATGAAGGGTTGGCTTTAAAAAATCTGTTGTTTGTAAAACGACACAGAGAACATTCACAGGTACGTTGGGGATTCCGAAAAAAAGCTTGAAACCTTCAGAGAGAATTCGAAGGTACTTGTAATCGTTATGCTTCACTTGAGTGAACTGAGATAATCTTGTAACAAAGCGCTGTGGCTCCATGATCAGAGCAGGAGGGAATATTGCGACCTGAAGTCTTAAGTGTGATGTGGGATTTCTGTAAAGGCATCTTGCAATCACAGGGTTCTTTTTGGCTTTTGATTCCTCGCAAAGTTGAAGGGAGTCGCTAACGACAAACAATAAGCGCTTTGCGAAAAGGACTACTGGTGAATTATTTTCGGTTAAATTAATCGATGAAGCAAGTCTGAGGATAATCACAGATGTTCTGAGTGTGTTGAGTAAGGAAACATCTGATACAATTTGAGACCCGTTGATGTTCCTCAAAAGTGTGCTCAAAAATTTGGTTTTCTTGTTTCCTGAAGAAAATGATGACAACTTTTTAAGGCTTTGTAGTGTTCTATGGTGTGCTGGCGCCCTAATTTTGGAAGAAGATATTGACTGTGATCTCATGAGCTTATCATCATCAGAGGACTTTTCGCCGGAACCCTCCTCTAGTTGTTCGTCCGTTATATATTTGAAGCTCATATCATTGACCTCTTCGAAGGTTTCCGGCTGCAAGAGGAGAATAACTGATAAAAATCTCAAGACTGAGAGGTGAGCGAGATCCTCGGCCTCAAAAGATATACCTGTAATGGTCGATGAACTGAAAAACTTTGAACCTAAGAAAAAATAGCCTTCCTCTTTTCCAACTGAGGAGGTGAGGGGCTCCTTCGCTTCGACAGTCTCAATATTAGAACCTGTGGTGATCGCAGATGACGACGTGGAAACCGTGGTACTACTACTTGATGAAACATTCTTGTGTTCACTTATCGCTGAATTGGAAGTTGTTGTCATCGTGAGAAGGGCTGACGCGTTAAAAGAAGAGTAAATATCGTCAAAAAGCGATGAAGCTTGTTTACAGATCCCAACAACATCCTCATTTTTGGGAGATGACTTCGCCTGACTCATTAGAGTGACATATTCGGCAGGCCGTGAGAGTACCCAAACCATCAATGCTTGCGACGAGAACATGAGCATCAGCTCTTGATATGCATTCTTTTTTAAGTTTTCGAGCACTTTTGAAACCACTTGCAGGTACCGGCTCAAGCTCCTGGTAGTTATGAAAAAGCACGAAAACAAGTCTAAATGATGCACTACGTCACCTTCCGGACTGGTATGTGTTACGACAAGTGGCGCAATTACCGAGGCATTCAAAAACTCGAAGTACTCGTTTGGATTAGATGCTGAAACGAAGCGTAATATGTAATCGAAATTGAGGTCAATAATCTCCACAAGCTTAGGATATCGATCACACAGAGCCCGTTGTCCTTCGCTTACACCAATCGGATTAGAAGATGCATGGCTTCCGTAAAGTGACACGGATATGTTTCTTAATGCCTCTCTTATATTGGAGTTAAACTTTAATCTGTTAGCGATTTTTATCAGCTTCACTGCAAGCGAAGCATCTATGGGCTTTGGTCGCACCGTGTGGAAGCATAGTTTCTGTGTGGAAAACCCCAGGGTGTTCTTAGCTATGGTTTCTTGCTCGTCCACATCTTCCTGCAGCCTCACGCCCCTGCGCTTCTCTTCGTTTTTCCAGCACGTCTCCGCAATATCACTGAACAGCCTCAGAATAACAGCCATAGAGTTTAGTGCATTCTCTGAAAGTAGCTCCACTTTTTGTTGCTTAGTTATTATCTCAATTAGCCTCAAAGTATCTTCAACTATAGAGTCAATGCCACATGAAGTCGACGTGTTGAAGAGAAGGAGGCGACAGTTCTCAAAAAAGGGATCGCTCTCAACCTCATAATAGCTGGAATTACTCGACTGCACAGGCAGTAAATTGTATACTAGCTCGTAAGTGAACCTCGTTAGGCTAGGACTCATTGTTAAAGGGAGACCTTAGGCGGGAAGAACGTTGTGGGCCTATGACGAATTGTATCTGTCCTCAAAATGTATAATAGACGTAGTATGTTTGATACGGATCGCTAGCCCCCCCTACCCTCAAGAAGAAAAAAATACTGAGCATGCACAATCTGTATGTACGTTTCTTTTTGATTTTTAAAGGGCATTTCATTTTTTCGGTCATGTGACCAATTAGCCCTTCATAAAAGTACGCTAAAATTATTTAAGCCTGGTTTATCGTGGATCAGTAACTTCTTAGTGAATTTGGATGTATCTCGCACCAGTTGAGAGTCTCTCTGATAAGTGTCTGGTGCATTCATAGTCTTTTCAAAAAGAAAGTAGGCGATTTTCTTTGCTTCGTAGTACTGTGTTCTGGTATATCCGAGATATGCCATTATTTCGCAAAATAAGCTCTCACTCATGTAGCGTGAGTGCACAATGCAAGGAAGAGGAAGAACGATGAAAACATAAGTCGTAGTAACATCCCGTCTCAGAAAAGCGAGAAGTCTTTTTAGCATTGCGCCTCTTTCTAATGGGCTCGGTACAAAGTTGAGTACTAGTGAGCAAGATATGACATCAAATCTCTCCGAATCATCGTTCGGTATGGGCCTCTGCATGAAATCCTGGCTTTGTATGTTGGCTGCATCATTTGAGTTTAGGTCTATACGCACCACTTGGTCGAACACCCCGCTTGTAGAGATATAATTGCGAGCGCTCAGAGAACCTATTTCAAGAGCGCGAAAATCAGAAGGTAGCGTAGGAAGCTCTCGCAGCCATTTAACAAGTAGCTTTGAAGAGTCCCCACCACGGCCACCGTCTTGACCAATGGTACTTGCCATTTGGTAATTCTTCAGTCCGCCATGCTCGTGAATCTCGCACATGATGTAACCTAGGATTCTGGTCAACGTAGATTTGTCAGTTATATTTTGTACGCTAAGCATCTTGGCCTCGAGATCATTTGAAGGACGGATCTCCTTCCATCCCTCCTCGTAGAACTTCTGCAAATTTCCGGAATTGACAGCCTCTAAAATAGTGGCCGAACATGTTGCCTCATCGTTATCTGAAATTGCCAGGTCTAACTTTCTGCATATTACTCTTCTCTTGTTGATCAGAAGATGAAAACGCCGGATTATCTTGCGCGCCCGAGAAGGCTTTATTCTAGGTATCTTTTTCCCCACATGCTTGCCTCTAATGGTTGTTTTCCTCTTTGATAGCATTCTTGAACTGCTAGCACAAACCTGGCGACAGCGCTTATCGAACTTAAAATCCAATTAAAAATTTTTTCGATGCGATGAGCTTCTCCATCTTAACTACCACGACGGAAGAAGAGAATAAAGCATAAGGCGAAATGAGTAATAAGCTACTCAAGCAGAGGCTAAGACAAATTAGGAACAAAAAGCCTACACCTTCGTTGAAAAATCGATCCAATAAGCGGATTTCGAAACATACCCAGAATACAAAAGGAAAAGCTTCCAATTTGATAGTCTCTGCAAATGAACTAAAGTGGAAGCCAGTTGAAATTCCAGACACTTTAGATGATTTTGAAGGCTTTTATGGCTTAGAAGAAATAGATGGTGTTGACGTAAAGATGGAAAATGGCAAAGTCCAGTTTGTTGCAAAAGATGGAAGTAAAATTAGGAGCGAAGATGATGACATCGCGTCAGAAAAGATGGAAGTCGAGGAAGATAACGATGATAGTGGTGACGAAGGGGAGGATGAGCTTATTGAGTTTCAAAATTTAGACGATATTGCAGATGGAGCACTCAGTGCAGTCTCAGATTCTGATGAGGACGAGGAAAACAAAAGTGAAAACATAGACAACAAACGCGAGTCAGTGATTGGAACGTCGAGCGTTGAAGCCCAAGATGCAGATGAAAATGAACTTCAACCTAATGTGTTCTCAAATGAAGTAGATTTGGAAAACTTCGAGTTCTCTTCCTTAACAGCATGGACTGACAAAATGAACTTAAGTATTAGTACCTTGAAGGGCTTGAGCCAACTTGGATTCACTAGACCCACGAAGATCCAGGCATTGGCTACACCAATTGCTCTTGAAGGTAGTGATGTCATGGGAAAAGCTTCTACAGGTTCCGGTAAAACACTAGCATATGGAATACCCATATTAGAGAAGCTGATTACAAGCAATTCAAGCACCGCACCAGTCGGCCTTATATTCACCCCCACTAGAGAACTAGCTCATCAGGTCACACAGCATATACAAAAATTATCACAATTTGCTTTAAATGGAAAACCTCATGCGATTCTATCATTAACAGGTGGCTTGTCGATACAAAAACAAGAACGACTCTTAAGGTACGAAGGCTGTGCAAGAATAGTCATTGCGACTCCAGGACGCTTTTTAGAGCTCTTAGAGCGTGACTCTAACCTTATTGAGCGGTTTTCGCGTATAGAGTGTTTGGTTTTAGATGAAGCTGACAGATTATTACAAGATGGACATTTTGACGAATTTGAAAAGATTCTAAAGCATTTGGGAAATGCGCGTAAGGAAGCGTTGAAAAATGAACAGGGTTCGCAAAATAAGGGCTGGCAAACAATGATATTTTCAGCGACTTTTTCACTAGACTTGTTTAATAAGCTAGCAACAACCTCGTGGAAAAAACTCGGTAATGGGAAAGAAGAAAATGAGATGGAAATGGCATTGAAACATCTCATGACTAAAATTCACTTTCGTTCAAAACCTGTAATTGTTGACGCCAACCCCAATGATAAAGTTACCTCGAAGATAAAAGAATCACTAATCGAATGCCTACCAACTGAACGTGACTTGTACACTTATTATTTTATTACAGTATATCCAGGAACTACCTTGATCTTTTGCAACGCAATCGATTCTGTCAAGAAGCTGAATGCATATTTGAATAATCTAGATATTTCTTCGTTTCAAATACACTCCTCCATGACTCAAAAGAACCGTTTAAGAAATTTGGAGAAATTTCAGCAAGAAGCAGTAAAAAATACAACTGTCGGTAAACCCACTGTTTTGATTGCAAGTGACGTCGCAGCAAGAGGTTTAGATATTCCTGGCATTCAGCACGTTGTCCATTATCATTTACCCAGAAGCGCTGATGTCTACATCCATAGATCTGGCAGAACAGCCCGTGGAGAGAACGAGGGTGTTTCAGTTATGATTTGCTCTCCACAAGAAGCAATGGGCCCTTTGAGAAAATTAAGAAAAGTTTTGAGTTCTAAGGATGATTCTGAAAAGAAGCGCAAATGGCAGAAGGATGTTCCTGCCTTTCCTATGGAACCCGATATTATTTCACAACTGCGTGACCGTAGCAGACTTGCCAGTGAACTGGCTGATGATGAATTAGCAACCCGGTCGTTGAGTAAAGATGACAATTGGCTGAAGAAGGCCGCTGATGACCTAGGAATAGAACTCGACTCTGATGAAGAGAATAGAGACACTTTTCTCGCTAAGAATAAAACAAAAAAGATCAATAAAACGTTAGGAAGAGATCAAAGCAAAGCGAAACGATTTGAATTGCAGGAACTCTTGAAGAGACCTATAAGAAAAGATTTAAGAAAAAGATATTTGACCGGCGGTCTTGTAAATTTAGCAGATAACCTGGTGAAAAATAAAGGGCATGCAGCTATTATTGGTCATGATAAGATTGATGCTCTTGAGTTACTTAAAACAAAGAAAAGACGTTGAGAAGTAATTACGTAATTAGACATAGATTTGGAAATTAAGTCACGATTGCAGTTTTGGTACTGAAATCTTTCAAACTATACAAAATGCGCTATAAAATATACAGTGTTGACACACGCCAAAAAGGCGGAAAGAACATGCCATTGATTAGTTAGAGTTATGCCATCAGATGAAGTCGTAATCAGAGCCCTCATCATCGTCATAATATTCATCTTCAGAATCATCTGCTAACTGCTCGAAGTTTACCTTGTAACGCAACATGGCACCAATACCACCAAAACCAGTTACAAATTGTGCACCTTCAGAGGATTTGTCTGTAACGAACTCCAGATTGGCACCATAGTTTTTGTAGTTTTCGGCTAGCCACTCAATCAATAGTTGCTCTTCAACAAGATCCATCTCTTGGCCAGTTTCCTTGTCTAAAGCGATTGTTGTATCCTCATTTCCGGGAGTTGAAAACTTCACTACTTCTTTCTCTTCGGAGTCTTTGTACACATATCTAACAATTTCCAGATTTTCGAAAACAATCAGAGTTTCAACTGCACCCAGATCTAGGGCTTTTAGGGTGTCGTCGATACCGTAACAAAACTTCCCTGTATCTTGTGAAATTTCATCGAAGTAATCAGTAATCAACTTCTTCTCTTGTATGAATTTAACGTTGGCTAGGGTTTCAGCAGACAACTCAATAGCCTGGTTGAAACCATTTTCACCACCGTACGATATATCGACGATCTTCACGATTTTAGCGGCCAATCTTGGATCGAACAACTCGGACTTAGCCAAGTCACTCTTGAAGTCAGCAGAACCGGCCAAAATCAAACCCTTAACATTGACTTTATCATTAGTAATGAAGTTTTGTACTGCAACTTCAGCCACTTTTCTGACATAATTGTGTCTCTTTTCTTCCCTTAAACGAGCAAAACGCACAGCGGACTGACCACCTCTACCATGCTTCTTAGGTAAGTCGACTGTAAACTTGTGCAAAACTGTCCTTGTGTTACCAGAAAGCAGACCAAACAAAGTACCTTGACCATCCATAACAATAAAACCGAATTTATCGTCAGCTTCCAACAACTCTGATAGAACTTCCGTGTGAAATTTGTTGTCACAAAGATACAAAGATGTGTTAATAGGCTTGTAAGGTTCAATATCAATGGTTACCTTCTTTTCTTTACCATCTTCAGTGATGATATCACCACAATAGAGTACCAAACCGTTAGGTGGTACCTTAGTATACAACTTTAGCTTCTGTTGCGTAGAAGTGATGGCACCTAGAACAGATAAACGATTAACTCTGGATTTAATATTTGAGGCCGTACCATATTCATCTGTCAGCATCTTTTGGATTAGCGAAATTTGACCTTTTGGAGGAATGACTAATGAAATCATAGAAGTACCATTACCTCTTGCTTTCTCCAAGGATTTGATCAGCTTCTTCACCTTCCAAATTTGAATGTTCTTTTCAGCGTCAGTCTCCATTTTTTGAGTTGGTGCTATCGACGTTTCTCAGTTACTGCTCAATCTCTAGCAAACCTAATAGCATTTCATCCATCTCGAATGTTAAAATTTTTCAACAAAAAAAGAAAAACCTATATATCACCGAAGACGAAGTGAGAGTTGCACTATAAGCTTTCACATCACGTGGCATGAAGTGGTCTTCAAATTGATCTAAGTTATCTACTAGAGAGTCTCCATCTATATAACATTGGTAAAGAACCTAATCATAAGTCGATATCACTGTCACTCAAAAAATCATAGTCGTCAATTTCTGAATCATAGTTTGATGATTGCTTAAAGTCATCATTCGTCACAGTGGTACTGATGATGTCTTCATCTTCTAGTGATTCAGACGACTTGCTTTCCCTTGCTGTGTCAGCTTCAGAGTACACGGTTTTTTGAAAACTTGCCATCATTGGAGGCTTTAGTATGAGGTTAGAACTTCCTTCGGATGCGCCAGTGAATATGAGTTGATCGTTCTGGTCAACAAGATCAATTTGACATCTGTTGAAAGGTGAGAAATTGTCAATCACACCACGATAGTTGAAGTTCAAAATCTTGTAGTTACCTGCTTGGAACTCATGTGGTCCCATGTGCAAGTTACATTTGATAGGAATCGAGTTTCCTTTCTCAAAATATTGGAAGACCAACTTCAGCCCGCTGGAAATGGACTTGGTGCTTCGATTGCATAGTTTAAAGGAGATAACCTGATCCTTTTTACTCATGTCCACTTCAATCAAGTCATCTTCCTCCCCCTCGAGAGCCTCGATTGGTGAAGCAATGGTGGCAGTTGAAGAGTTGACGGACGAGGCCAATTGGACCGCATCGGTCAATTTGGATTCGTCGCCTCCCACTTGTTCCAACAAAGAACTGTACTTTTCGTAAAACTCGACGACACGCGAGAGTTCTGGTTCATTCTTGATGTTGGAGAAAAACTTGAACACCTTTTCATCATATTCTGGGATATCGATAACAACGTCTCTAGGAGTTTTGTGGACGGCAAAGCGGGCCTCCTTGGGCGATGTTGATGTACGATACTCAGACCAGAATTTATTGATGTCGTTATCAGGAATATTGATCTTTATCATGTTGTGGAACTTTTGATGGGTTCCAGTTTCTACGCCCTTTTCAACGCAAGCAGAACACAAATCGTAATTGTGACAATACAGGCACTTGTATCTGGGACCTTTGATGAAACCAGCTTCAGATGAAGTTTCGGTTTGTTTGCATTTGTAACTGAAAGAGTCCGGGTTGCAGCCGTCGCAAATCACATCATAGTGAATTGTGCGGTGACGAGACTTTGACTTTTCTTCAGGTTTAACCTCTTCATTTTTTTTGTTGAGCGATACTTCCAACTTCTGGATTGATTTGATCAAATTATCCAATTGCTGAGCAGAAATGGATACCACATCGGCTTCAGGTTCGGTATCAACTGGGGACAGCTGCTTTGAGTTCTCCTTGCGAGTGGTCTTAGTGGGAGCCCCTGCGGGTCTTGAGAAGATTGTGATCTTAGCAAAATGAAGCGAGGCAAATTCCTCCTTGAGAAGTGCAATATCCTCCTCAGTACTAATCGTCGTCAACTCCTTTGAGCCGAAATGGCGTTTCTGGAAAACACAGGTCTCAAAGGCGTCTTCTAATCCATATCCCTCACGAGCGAGGTCTTGCAAGAACGATTTGGACAACTGTTCAGGGTTCACTCTGTAAAATCTCTCTTTAGAGTTGTAAATTAGGTATAAAGGATAAAGACAATAGCTTTTTATTCCATCCATAGTGTTAAAGTTTGTATGTATTGTTCCCGGTCAGAACGTTACAGCAGAGAGGTTCTGAAAGGATAAATCGATCTCTCCTTACTCCTTCCTTCTTCCCCCCCTACGAGTTCTTATCATTTTGCAACCCGCCATCGCTACCCCCGATGGCTGTGGCAATCATGTTGTACGTAGTAAGTGCTGTCACGTGTGTGATTCGCATCGGTTTAACTCTGAACGAGTCATCAAGTAGTCTAGTGGAAACATTAGGAGATCAACGTGTAATCCTACAACACGTATTTAGAATATAAACATTTGAAAGAATTATAATGGTAGCATAAGGAATAAGACAAACAACATCATTTTTTGGCTTCGGGTTCTATATCGGGAGGGTGAAATGTGAAGGTGCAAGCACCCTTGTCATCGAATTCTGCGAAGTCGTCACTGATCTTGACGCCTGCAGTTTTTCCCAATAGAATTTGCTGCTTTGAAAGACCAATTGAATCACACCCGATCCAGATTGTTGGCTCGGGATCGGTTACACATGGATCTGTGTAGGCTGTCGACGCATAATCCTTCTCATACTTGACCGTGGTATTCAACACGTGAGGAAGACGATTACGTACAACAACGAAGTTGTATCTTTCCGAAGGGTTGAAGAAGCCTTTCAGTCTGCCAACAATACCATTAGGGCTATTCTCGTTCGGAGGAAAAGCGGCAGGATTTTTCGTTATGGCGTTGGCGTCAGAAAATACATTCCCAGCGTCAGCATTAATTACCACCGCTCCATTGGCGTCTACGGATTTAGAACCTCTTGGACGAGTGTCCAGGTCTTTAACATCATCATAGCTGAATTTATGAAACTCCTCATTTTCTGGTACGAAATTGGACTCGTTATTGTTCGTGTTTGTGAGTGAAGATTTGTTAATACTAGAGGATGGTCGCCTTTTCTTATCATCGGACGCATCTTCGTCTACTTCATCATCATCAGATATAATTCCGGCCCTCTTCAAATCATTTGAGGTAGCTGGCTGGATGACTCCGCCCGTTTCATTCTTTTCTAAATCGTCTTTGAACTGTTCACCGGTTGCTTTGATCTCGCTCAGACCTTGATCCTTGTTAGGATAAGCAAAACCACTTTCCCCTCTAGCGTACCGAATTGCACTCAACGGGACAGCATCGAATAGGGCAAGGAATCTTCTTTTGAAATAAATGTGGCAAAGAGCGGTAAAGGCCAAGAAAACTGCCTCCAACACAACTGGTCCCCAGGTCTTTGCCATTACGAACAAACCAATCAAGCAAATTTCAGCGAGGTACAACCCTACGAAAGCTTGGAAAAGGGCCATTGGATAATTCCTTCCTCGCAGATCAAAGGAAAATCCTAGAACATAGTTTGTGTTGTAAAGATAAGCCACGTACAGCAAAATCAATGAGCCCGTTGAAAACACCAAAATAATTGGCGCGATAATGGAGTAGCAGAAGTAAATGCAGACCAAAAGCTGGATCACAGGGTATATAACGCCCCAAGAAGGTTTTGATAGAGTATTATAACGAGTCCATTTCTGTCTTGGGGTAGAGTCCAAAATTTTCCCCAAGACCTTGCTGAGAATAAGATTCACAAATTGTGCCAATGAGCCAGCAGGTATTGTGAGTCCTTGTAGCAAAAAGTACGCAATATAGAAGTTTGATGCCTTTGGCAGATTTTTTGCTAGAAGCAACATGGCAGAGCTGGGGTCATTTATTATAGCCACAACTGTCGAAGATGCAGAGGATGCTGCTGTTACCACCAAGAAAACTTGAATAACTTGAAAAGCATAGTACCAAGATTGGCAATACAACTCCATTTCCTGTCTTGACATACAACCGCCGATTTGGCCCATTTTTTTGATGAATGGAGGGACCAAAGACATCAAAACGGCCAGTGCAACAGTAGGAAGTATACCGGTAATAATACCCATCAGAGGATCAGGCATATTATTTATAAATCTCAGGAAATGAACTTTGTCGGTCAAAAAGTTGATATTGGAAATACAACCAACAACAGCAACAGGAATTGCCCAAAATATGATCGTGAGAGTCAAAACAGTGTTAGATATAGCTCTCTTTGACTTTCTGACTTTCTTAGAAAGACCCATATTAGCCCAAACCAAATCCTCCGGAGCAGCACCAATTAAACATTTGTCGTAAGAACCCTTGTCGAGGATATATTTGGCCGATTGATAGGCCCTTTGTGCATCTAATTGAGATTTAAATTCAATGAAACAGGCTCCAATTCTGTCGGACGTATCCCACTTTTCCTGTTTTTTCTTTATCTTTTCGTTGAGCTCTCCGATCTGCTTGTCGCAGTATTCCAAAGTGTCAACTTTTGGACTGCCGATCAAAGGAAGGAAGTTCTTCCCAAGGCGATGTTTAGGCCTTTTATTTTGAGGAATATAAGTCTGCAAGTCATCCTCTGGTTTATTTCCAATCAACTCTTCCAGGTTGCCTTTTTTCTCTGCCTTCTTCCTGAGTTTCAACGATTTTTTAATAACTTTGTTTATAGTCCCCTCCAGCTTTTTAGCAGATTTTGCTCTTTCTTCGACCAACTTCTGCAGCTTAGTGGTGTCATGAGCGAAAACGACGTTATCGGCATTCTGAAATCTCTTCTGAATTTCTGCTTCATTGCTAAGATCACTAGAAAGCTCAGTTAGAATTACAGTCCTCGATGATAACAGTCCGTCGTAAAGAGGACTTGTCTGAATTGCGTGTCTAAGGGAGACGTAATAGTAGAGTTCGCGGAAAATCACATATATTATTAGCCCGAAGAAAATCCAGGACAAGAAAACATGTGCGTAAAAGCGATTCTTGTTTGATACATTGGAAAACCCCAATAATTCAAATCCTTCGAGGTTGTAGCCATTGGTTGCATTGACGGGAAGAAGAATTGGGAATAACAAGAAGCACCCCACAAGCGAAAGGCCACCAAAAAGGGACAAAAACCGTAGAAATAAGTATCCGTCGAGACCAGTGTGTTGTATCAGGAAAGAATGTGGTTTCGAAAACAAGTAAGGAAGCCACGCAAAGTATCCTGAGGGTACCTCTTCAGTCCGCTCCTCTTCTCGCACAGTGTATATGTCTTTCAGGGACCTTGGTTGGTAAACTCTCTGTTCCTTAGGACGTAAATTAAGAAATATTCCTGTAAATATAATGCTGATTATACCATATAAGATCAGCGAACTCACGAAGGCAGATGTCGATGAGCTTGTTGATTGAGCGTCAGCCATCTTGAGAAGTCTTTTGTTCCAACTTTCACTTAAATTAAAGGACAGTGGATTTTCCGATGAGTGTGTTTTAAAAAGAACTCATGGGGCTTTATATATTTTGCACTTAATGCGTCGAGTCCAAAAGCTCATAGCCATCTCCGTATTGCTATGAACATTTGATTATCTTTTATGCAAGGAACAGCGGGGCTGCGCAGAAAATGACGGAGGAATGCAAGCGCACCTTCCTCACTATGACGCGGCTGTGCAGGCAGAGAAAAAAAAGAAGGCAGATTCTCGAATGCTGTACTGGTAGACCTTAAGCTATGGGATCTTGAAAAGTATAAAAAATGACAGAGAGTGTACCTACTGGTTAAACAGTTGAGTATGTACAGTATCCTTTTCAGATTGTTATGACCCGTGCTTGCTTCGTTCAGCTACTGAAATTAGCGTAAATTTTCCGTTAAATGTTACATCATGCATGAAAAGTTGCAGCAACGTTGGAAAAATTACAGACAAGTTTAACCATACTTCTAGACCGCTTTTAAGAACTCAGAGAACAGGCGCCGATGACATCTCACCTAGATAAATAAGTGATTCATAAGTTGTACGCTCTGGTAAAGGTCTTGTTTATATAGTGGAAATTTCTCCAGACAACATACTGCTCAAACGGTTCTCGGGAAGGGAGTTCAAATTGGATTACTTACAGTTTGGATCGTAAAAATGTGCCGACGCTGGACCCTTACAGTTAGCAAATTCATGAAGTTTTCCATCTCGGATTTGTTGCTTCGGATATTATGAGAGTAGTTTTGATTCGGGTGATGGGCCAAAATGCCGGACTACGTTTCTCACATTGTCACTCGGCTGTTAACTTTGGGTGTCCTCGATTAATTGAAATTCTCGAAGTCATGGGGGGGAGTGGGGTGGCAGTTTTCTCGGCATGTAATCTCATTTTCGTAAAAGAACATCGCTGACTTTTTCTTTCCAGAAGGCAAGTTGATTCTTTGATTTGCAAAATATTTGTTCTCAATTCAAAAAATATTTTTTCCTTCATAGAAAGATTCATGGACCCCCTGTATAGTTGTAAAGCTTAGCTGCGTTTTCTTGGATTATGAGGTTTTTACTGTAGCAGGATCATGCTTTCGTTGTTCAAACACACTCTCCCTGTTACTGAGAGATTTTCTTGGCGTGTATTGCTTCTCGCTATATTGCTTCTCGCTATATATATGAATGCGAGTTATTGTTGTTTGAGTTACTGTTGTTTGTAATGTATGACTCAGGACGAACTTTGATATGGTTTTGAAATGATTCTATATTTTCGATTACCTAGTGGGAAACCTAAACTATCAATATTACAGCAAAACTTAAAAAATGATACCCCGAATCTGTAATTCTCTGAAAACGACCAGCTAAAATAGGCTACTCATCATGTACATTCAACTTAGCCACCTGTTGCTACCCTACACAAATCAAAAGATTGTTTTAATCTTGTAAATCTCGTTACTATTCGTTATACAAAAATACTATATCCTGCATCTAGAAAAAGCAAAAATTAATTAGCTTATTTGGCAACGTGTTGAACCAAGTCGACAACTCTGGTAGAGTAACCGTATTCGTTGTCGTACCAGGAGACCAACTTAACGAACTTTGGAGACAACATGATACCGGCGGTGGCATCGAAGATGGAAGAGTGAGAGTCACCCAAGAAGTCGGAGGAGACAACAGCGTCTTCAGTGTAACCCAAAACACCCTTCATGGCACCCTCAGAAGCCTTCTTGACGGCAGCCTTGATTTCGTCGTAGGTGGTTTCCTTGGCCAACTTGGCGGTCAAGTCAACAACGGAGACATCGACGGTTGGGACTCTGAAAGCCATACCGGTCAACTTACCTTGCAAAACTGGCAAGACCTTACCGACAGCCTTGGCGGCACCAGTGGAGGATGGGATGATGTTACCGGAAGCGGTTCTACCACCTCTCCAGTCCTTGTGGGATGGACCGTCAACAGTCTTTTGAGTGGCAGTCAAAGAGTGGACAGTGGTCATCAAACCTTCTTCGATACCGAAGTTGTCGTTGATAACCTTGGCCAATGGAGCCAAACAGTTGGTGGTACAAGAAGCGTTGGAAACAATGGTTTCACCAGCGTACTTGTCTTCGTTGACACCGACAACGAACATTGGGGCGGTGGAAGATGGAGCAGTGATGACAACCTTCTTGGCACCAGCGTCAATGTGCTTTTGAGCAGAGTCCAATTCCTTGAAGACACCAGTGGAGTCGATGGCGATGTCGATGGCCAACTTACCCCATGGCAATTGAGCTGGGTCTCTCTCTTGGAAGACTTGGATCTTTTGACCGTCAACGATCAAAGCGTTACCTTCGTAGGTAACTTCACCGGCGTACTTACCGTGAGTGGAGTCGTACTTGAACATGTAAGCAGCGTAGTCGACGGAGATGAATGGGTCGTTGATGGCAACGACTTCAACGTCCTTTCTGGCCATGGCGATTCTCATCACCAATCTACCGATTCTACCGAAACCGTTAATAGAAACCTTAACCATTGTGTTTATCTGTTTGTGTATAAGAGAGAGCTCTTTGGTCTTCTAAGAAATACAGGGCTATACTACCTTCGAAGCCCACTTCGGGTCCTTATATACTTTTTCTCAATCCCCTAACAGCCCACTCGCACCTCACGTCTCGCACTATTTCGCACCATGAGAGCAACCAACTGACTCCAGGCTATCACTGCTTCCTATTTTCAACAGGTGACGCCAGGAAGCCCGCACCTGGCTTCCTTCAGCTTCCTTCTCACGTTGAACATGATAACTCGGAACTTTCTAAATAGGCAAGTGGAAGCTGGGTGCTCGAAGCTGATGTAGCTATTAACAGCACCACAGAAAACCACGCGGAATTAACCCCGTGCGTTGCACTTCACCCCTCACCAGCTTCCAAAAGAGGGACGCCAAGCAGTTAAGTTCACGGTTCGGTAGAAATGGTGTGCCCCTCCGCCCCTTAGGCAACGGCGGGCGTGTAGTGGCGTTACCTTACGAGCGCGGCATCTGCTGGTGGTGATAGAAGAAAGTTAATGGTGGGAATTCGATTTCTGAAACTATAAATTGGGACCGGAGATGCTAGTCGAAAGTCATCTTGAGTTAATGGTGATTTTTATTTTAAATCTTCAAGCTTCTTAGAAGTATCACATATTAATACAACATATTTTAGCAATGTCTGCCCCAGTTATCCCAAAGACCCAAAAGGGTGTTATTTTCTACACGAACGGTGGTCCATTGGAATACAAGGACATCCCAGTCCCAACTCCAAAGCCAAATGAATTGTTGATTCACGTCAAATACTCTGGTGTGTGTCACACTGACTTGCACGCCTGGAAGGGTGACTGGCCATTGCCAGTTAAGTTGCCTTTGGTCGGTGGTCACGAAGGTGCTGGTGTTGTCGTCGGTATGGGTTCCAACGTCAGAAACTGGAAGATCGGTGACTACGCTGGTATCAAGTGGTTGAACGGTTCTTGTATGTGCTGTGAGGAGTGTGAGTTGTCTAACGAATCCAACTGTCCAGAAGCCGACTTGTCTGGTTACACTCACGATGGTTCTTTCCAACAATACGCTACTGCCGATGCTGTCCAAGCTGCTAGAATCCCAGCCGGTACTGATTTGGCTGAAGTCGCTCCAATTTTGTGCGCTGGTGTCACTGTCTACAAGGCCCTAAAGTCTGCTGACTTGAGAGCTGGTGAATGGGTTGCCATTTCCGGTGCCTGTGGTGGTCTAGGTTCTCTATGTATCCAATACGCTAAGGCTATGGGTCTACGTGTCTTGGGTATTGACGGTGGTGCTGAAAAGGAAAAGTTGTTCAAGCAATTGGGTGGTGAGTACTTCATCGACTTCACCAAGACCAAGGACATCGTTGCTGAGGTCATTAAGGCCACCAACGGTGGTGCTCACGGTGTTATCAACGTTTCCGTCTCTGAGGCCGCTATTGAAGCTTCTACCGAGTACTGCAGAGCCAACGGTACCGTTGTTCTAGTCGGTCTACCAGGTGGTGCCAAGTGTAAGTCTGATGTCTTCAACCACGTTGTTAAGTCTATCCACATTGTCGGTTCTTACGTTGGTAACAGAGCTGACACCAGAGAAGCTCTAGACTTCTTCGCCAGAGGTTTGGTCAAGTCTCCTATCAAGATTGTTGGCTTGTCTGACCTACCAGAAGTTTTCGAGAAGATGGAAAAGGGTCAAATCGTCGGTAGATACGTCGTTGACACTGACAAATAAGCTTGTCACTTCTAGTTAAAAAGCTTCTTCTATAAATAAAGTTGTTACGAGTTTATGATACAGATGTGTAAGTAAATGGGAATATACTCTATGCAAATACGAATATCGCTTACTGAGAAATTTAAAGTATTGAAAAAGTTTCGGCTGTTGGACGATATTATGACATGTAGCTAATGACGTACAAAATGACTACTTAAAAATTTTCTGTCATTGAAGAACTTCTAAAGGAAATATCATTAGCACAGAAGTTGAAGATATCGGCCAGGTCGAGATGTTCAGTCGACTTACTTGCGCTGTGCGGAGATCTTTATTCAAGACATCCATATCTAAAAGAACTATCCTTTCTTTTGCGCCTCTATACAAGGATTATTCCCTCCAACAAACAAGAGTTGTCCCAAAGTTGAGTACATTCTACTCGGCTAACCCTCATCATGAAGATCGCATGGATCGTCTCGATGTTCTTTTAAGGAAATATATTAAACTACCTACTGTTCAGGTCTCACTAGCTGAAAAGCCAGCGTGGCTATCCTTCAGTGAATATGCTCTGATAGGTGGTGGAACACGTTTGAAACCAATCCAATATCAGCAACTCATCACTGCGTTGAACCGCCTTAATTCCATTGACCCTGAGCTTATAAATGATGAGATCACAAACGAACTTTCCCAATACTACAAAAAGACCAAATTGCAATCTTCGCGGACTTCTGTTAAAACCTTAGATGAGTTCGGGAGAAGCACCGCTGTCGGAAGAAGAAAGACCTCTTCTGCCAAAGTCTATCTTGTCCGGGGCTCAGGGGATATTTTGGTCAACGGCCGTCAGCTGAACGACTACTTCGTGAAAATGAAAGATAGAGAATCAATCATGTATCCTCTTCAAGTGTTGGATAGTGTTGGTAAATATAACATTTTTGCTACAGCATCTGGTGGTGGAATCACTGGACAAGCTGAAGCTATCATGCATGCTGTTGCAAAAGCCCTCGTTGTTTTCAATCCTCTTTTGAAAAGCAGATTGCATAAAGCAGGCGTTATGACAAGAGATTACAGACACGTAGAGAGAAAGAAGCCTGGCAAAAAGAAGGCCAGAAAAATGCCAACTTGGGTCAAAAGATAGTCTGCAAAGATCTTTTCTCTGGAATATCCTTCTTGTACATAGTCTATTAGAATGTTATATAAGAGCATTATCTCTTCGTACTGCGCGCAGGCATCTCCGTACTTTCATGAAGTAGCTCTTTTTGAAGCAAATTTTGCAGATCTGGTGACTTTCGCAGCAAAAGCATTAGGTCATCTATAGTAATAGTTTCTCTACCTCCGTGCCTTGCAAAGGCCTCGAGATCATTCCCCATCTCTACCAACTGCGTAAAACATAACTCTACCAATGCATTTGTGAACTTTGGAGAATAGTTGACGCTGGGCGGTATCTCCTCCTTGAGCTGCTGCTCGACACAATACCACAGTTTGGCTTTCAGCTGTGGTAGAAGCCTCCTCTTCTGCTCTTCGTTTATTTCACTCATCGAATGTCGAGTTTCGAGCGGATAAGCTTTTCCCCCAAAAATCATTTTTCTGGGCTTACTCCCCAAAAGCGTTTGACAAACCTTCAACAAACCTTGATCAAACTTGGTTCAATTGCCACACAGAAGAAAATAGGTAACTACAAGTATCATAAGGACAAGCTGAATAGTGGTGGGATACTTTAGAATTTCTAACTACTATCATTGAATCACTGGGCGCTATATTTTTTTGTCTTCTCTCAGTTGCCTATCTCCTTTTGTTGCAATGAATAAATATAACGTCACTTACGGTCTAATTGTTCCGCAGGATCAAGCTTCAGAAGAATCGCACATCCTACCGATTACAAAAATCATCAAACCACTTAAGCATTCACGTTACTTTCTTACATGTGGCCGAGATGGTACTGTTATTAAGCACACGAAGAATAATAAAAAGTACGACCGTTACCGTATGCAAATACACAGCGATTGGGTTACAGACCTCGTTGAGGTTGCTGATGAGAAATATATTGCAGTAAGTCAAGATTTTTCAATATGCCTTTTGACATTGCACGAAAAAGATGAGAGTTGGGAGAGCAAAATTATCGGCTACCATGACGATTATGTTAAGTGTGTTAGACGTCTTCCAAGTTCCGAAACACATGAGATTCGATTTGTTACTTGTGGCCTTGATAAGAGGCTTAAGATATGGGTGCTTAAGGATACTAACACGTCAATCCTTTTACACACTTTCAATAATGATCAAAGCAACGATACTGGCTCCTTATATGCATTGGATACTGTGCATGATGCCTCACTACCTTTTGATATTGTAGCTGGTGACAACAATGGAAATATTCTCTTTCTTTGTGGCAAGACAGGCGCAAAAGTTGCAATCATAAACAGCGCTCACGAAGCAAACATAAAAGTGCTAAAGGTTATGGATGACAATAGAAATTTGATAACTACTAGTGCCGATGGCATGATTAAACTTTGGAAACTATCTGATGTGTTAAAGAAAGGCTCTGATTCTCTTATTCATGCTTGGAAATGGTCCTGTCCCGTATGGTGCATAGAGGGTGATAATTCTCAGTCTTTTTATGTGGGAGACAGTCGGGGACTCATTACCAAGGTGGTAATGGATCGAGGAGATTGGTCGACACCTTCACTTTCAACATTTTGCAGAACTGAAAAAGATGGTGAGGGAGGCATACTGGCAATGCATGAATGCGATGATGGCGACTTTTGGTTTTCTCGCTCAGGAAATTCAAATCTAGTCATCAAAAAAGCAGACTCCAGAATAGTGGAAATAGTTCAAGGGGGTTTTGCTTTATTAAAATGTTGTCTATTGACTAATAGACGACATGTAATCACTCAAAACACTAGAGGCGAAGTACAAAGGTGGGACATTGTTTCATGTACACTGTTAGATACCTTCAATTCATCCATGGGTACCTTTAATGATTTGGTTAAGCTATACAATACCAAAGAAATTCTGCCCCATTGGTGTTCTGTTTCAATTAAGACCGGGAAGCTTTTTGTTAAGCTCTCTCAAAAATTTTTGAGCACAGAAGTTTATGGAAGTGCTCTACAACAATACAATCTAATTAACAAGATTGAGTTGAGTGATGACGAGCGGTATAACTTGGGTCGAATTGTAATTAACTCTATTCTAGACGAGTTTATCGCATACGAGCTAGAGAAGGATAAACAATTCAGGAAGGAGCTTGTAACAAGAAAATCTTCTGCTCCTGGTACCCCACAATTAGTCTCTCAAAGTCACATACCAACAGATCCTCCACAGATGGATGCTGCCCGTCCATCGATAAAAGAGAAGCGAAGATTATCCTTGTTCACCAAATTTACTTCGAACTCTGCGAGCAACAGTCAACAATTGACGCCCACATCTCTTCCTAACACTCCAATGCTTGAGCGATCCAATCCGCTGATAGGCGAAGAGCATACACTTTCAACTCCACCTGCGACAGCTCCACTGCTCCCCGATAGTACACAACGGGAAAGCTTCGACCCGCTACCACCTAGTGCAATGCAACCGGAAGGAAGATCTGCGAGTTCAGGTTCCCTTTTAACAAGAAAGTTAAGAATGTTTTCCTCTAATAATAACAATACCAACGAGTCATGTTTAAGCGATGAAAATGAGGCAGAACCTGAGAACAATATTCCATCGGAAGATGGGCCTTTGGAGTCTTCCAACGAAGGCAATCTTGAGGAAATCAAATTCAAGTTTTCATCTAAAAATTTTAATGGAAACGGGTTTTCAACTGTTAATGCTAATAATAAAGGGAAACCAACTGGGAATGAAATAAGCACAAACCCATTAGAGAAGAAACGCGAGTTCATGTCTGACTTCATGGAGGAATTGCGGGAGGGGTATACAAAACAAAATGTTTCAAATTCTTCTTCATTGCGGTTACTTTCAAAAAAGCTTCCCGAATCGAAAATTACCAGAGATTACGAATCTCCCATAATCGAACTGACGACCGGTGTGTTATTAGTCGTCAATTGCTGGAAGGAAGGGGCGTGTGGCGATACTGTATGTTACTCAACGTATCTTCCAGCACCGCAATATGAGAACAAGAGTCCAGAAGAAGATTCCCACAAAACCCAAATTTTTGAAAGTCTTGAGGCAAACCTGCCCTACTGGATAGCCGAAGCTCTTTTCAAAGATGAAAAAATAGTTAAAGAATATCCGAAATTGAGTTTCATAATTAAACCATGGGAGGATCCCTCTGCCTCAACTTCAGAGTCATCATCAGAGCAAATCCAACAATCACATCACCATCACCATTTGTCTTTCTACAAAAGTAAGACACTCGAACCGCATACTCAAATGTTGCCCCACATTGCGGAGGCAAACACGAAGCTAAATGCACCTAGCATGATAAAAGTAAAGAAAATCATGCGCTACGTGGTAGATCGATTCGAGACGCGGACTCCAGAGATGAAAACCAAGGCAGATATAAGTGAATGGCTTGAAATTTTATGCAAGGGTCAGGTGCTGGATACAGACATGACATTGAGCACTGTGAGAACCTTATTCTGGAAGTCCCAAGGTGATATCATTCTAGAATATCGCCGCAAAGCATTGAATGATGAGAAGAAATAGAATTAGAGGATGCTAGATTCAACGAAGTTACGTATATAGAGAGCCACTTCAATGATGAGAACGATTTTGGATGATTGTTATTTTACATATTTTAGTATACCATAACGTATAAGGTTACCTGGAACTGCGTCGGTTTTACGACGATGAACTTTGAAATCAATGTTGAAAATTTTTTCTGAAAACTACCTGTGGTCTCATCTCGAGAAGAGCGAGTGTTGTGTGTACCATAGGCTGAGATTATTAAATCCTATTAACGATGGATCAAGAAAACGAGAGAAATGTTTCAAGATTATGGAGGGCCTTTAGAACTGTGAAGGAAATGGTGAGAGACCGCGGCTACTTTATCACTCAGGAAGAAGTAGACCTATCATTGGAAGACTTTAAAGCCAAATATTGCGACTCCATGGGGCGCCCTCAGCGTAAAATGATGTCCTTTCAATCGAATCCAGTGGAGGAGGCCCTGGAAAATTTTCCTAACATGGGCTCTCTGTGGGTTGAGTTTTGCGATGAGCCTTCAGTCGGTATTAAAACAATGAAGAACTTCGTTATCCACATTAGCGAAAAGAACTTTCAAACTGGTATCTTTGTATATCAAAATGGTGTAACCCCTAGTGCTATGAAACTGCTACCTTCTGTGGCCCCTGCTACAATCGAAACCTTTCACGAGGCCGCATTAGTAGTCAACATCACCCATCATGAATTGGTACCAAAACATATTAAACTTAGCGATGACGAAAAGAAAGAACTTTTAAAAAGGTACAGACTGAAGGAGTCACAGTTACCAAGAATCCAAAGAATGGATCCAGTTGCATTATACTTAGGTCTAAAAAGAGGCGACGTAGTAAAGATTATCAGACAGAGTGAAACCTCTGGTCGTTACGCCAGTTACAGAATCTGCTTGTAATATAGGAACTTAAAGGAAGGAAAAACCATATGTCTAGCTTTTCTATATACGATAACCCCGGAAAATTAGGCATTATCATTTTTTCAGTAATGTATCAAGATGACTAGAGGTTAGCGCACATTATAGCGTCTCTTGTGCCTCTCCACCAAGTAACATTTTTTAACTCAAAGTCTCCATTAAGAGGGCTAACTTCGACGCCATTTTTGCCCAAGTATGTTGCACCGATCGTGACAATTAAACTGTCAACAACATCAGGTCTATTAAGCAAGTCGTTGATTACAATTGCACCACCTTCCACCATTATTGAGTTTAGATTAAAATCACTCTTGAGTTTATGTACCAATTCTTGCCAATTAAATTGACCACTTTTATCATCTACCTGCATGGACATGTAAGTGACACCTGATTCTCTTTCATTAGCTGGCGGCACCTGCTTTACGATTATAATTGGTGCCTTGCCCTTTTCTTGAATGAATAGATTCTCCATCTGAGAGCCCTTGAATTTCCATTTACGATGTGGATCTATGATGATTGGCCTCGGTGAGGTTTGCAAAGTCGGCTCTCCATCCGATGGCGACCACTTGCAATTCAAACCAGGATCATCTGCAAGTGCTGTACCAGCCCCAACCACTATGCCATCGTGATGAAACCGGAGATAGTGGGTCATCGCCTTTGTCTCTTTGTGAGATATCGTGGTCCTTAGACCCCTACCTTTAGAAATGCGGGAATCCACAGATTGTGCATAAGTCAAAGTAACGAATGGCTTAGAAGAACTCAGTTCATTTTGAGGAAGGAAAGGTTCCAAAAAGGGGATCAGATCACTTCTCAATGCCAGTATTGACATCCCTGCATCCAGCTGTGAGTTGGATGATAATTTTCATGTCATCGGGAATAGATTCTTTCAATGATGAATCATATAAAACGAACCAAGAAAAAGCATAAGTCGTATTGTTAAGAAACAACCACTATTAGAGTAATCTTTTCGATGCTAATTGCAGCTAGTGGATTGTGACAAGTTTTCTGTTCAAGAAACACTTGAAAATTCATATGATTGAGTATTCATTGTCCTCGTTTGGACTGTTACCAACATCTTTTCTCAATGAAATCTGTAATTTGTCTAGGGCACGAGGTTTTGTTGAGAATTTGGCTGTTCTGCCTGAAGAGTTCTGTTTTTCAGGAATTTTTCCATAATCGGCATTACCATCATCTTGATAAAACACAGTTTTTGTCTTTTGATTTTTCTTTTCGTCCTTGACGCCAGCAATCTTCTGCCTCTTTATTCGATCTTGTGGCTTGAACTGTAAACCACTTTTCATAGGTTGTGTGGACGAGCTATGCGTGCCTTGGCTATTGAGTATCCGATCTTCTCTTTCCTCGAATTCTGCTTGTTTAGCCTCAAGTTTTTCACGCAATCTCAGCTCTCTTGCTCTTTGTCTTTCCAACCACGCTTCATGTTCTGCTTGAGGATCTATCTCATCGTTATCGTCAAGCGCCATAAGTAGAATCACCTGAGATTTGTCCGAGCTATAATTAGCTCCAATTTGACGGTGTTGCTCTCCGTCTTTTATAACTCTGTGCTCATGTTCAATCCGCTGTAACGTTCTCTCTTTCTTGTTGCTGCGCTCTGAGGTAGGTTGCACTCGACTCGTATCTAATTTCGTTATACTAGAGCCTCCTCTTGATTTCTTGAGAAAAATTGGTTTATGAAGAACGACTTCATCTTCACTTGTTGCATCGTCAGAGGAATCGGTTGAATCAGTCGTATCATCATTTGAGTCTTCGTTCTCATTGCTTGTTTCGATTTCATGCTCATCCTCGCTCTGCTGCTGATTTCTAATCAAGTCAGAGGAACGAGGACCTTCTAACGTTCTGCTGGATGTACGAAGATCACCGTGCAACTGACGAGATGGACTCGATTTTTCTATACTCTCTGTGCCATGCGGCTGTATTTGGTGATTGATTGGAGATTCATCTGAGCTGCTGTCATCACTGGACGAAATATCACTTTGATTTTCATGATCTACATCAAGTTTCTTCCTAAAGTGACGAATAGCCATGAGTTCGATTGAGTCAAGTAAAGCAGCTAACTATACTCCGATTCTCACGTTAAAACGTCGACAATCATCGGGTCGTTCAAATACACGTACTAAATGACTAGTACTTGAGTTCATGCGAAACGGATTATGTATAATACAACTCAAATATATGTCACACTATGTTTTGAGAAAAGCTATACACAACCATATTTTAAAATTTTATTAAGTTTACCAGTGATGAAGCATCTTCAGTGGCTAATCAATTCGAAAAAGGAAAAAAGGACATAGATCAATAATTGTTCAAAACCTTGAAAAATAGTTGCTTGAAAGCGGACCATAAATCAGCATCTGGGATATCAATTTTCCCATTCCCATGCTGCTCAGAACGGTCTGAATTTGGGTTGAAGTCATCAACACTCTCGAGATCAGATTGGTCTGCCTCATCATGCGCGTGCTTATTGTTGCCTTGATGTTCTTTCATCTCGTGGTTCTTGTACTCTTCAGAACTCGCTCTGTCATCCTTCATTCTCTCGGACTTTTCTTCGTGTTCTGGTTTGTGAGCAAAGCCATGTTTCTCGCCCTTCTCGTTCTGATCCTGCGATTTCTCGTTTCTGCCTTTCTTTCCATGTTTCTTACTTCCAAACTTCTTGACCTTAAACTTACCATGTTTTTCCTCTTTCTCGTCCTGTTCTTCAAATTGTTTCTTGTCACCTTCAAGAGCTTGAGATTTCACTTCATCTTGGTTGTCTTGGCCATCTTTGTTAGATTTCTTGCATCCAGACTTCATACCGTGGGGTTTGGCATGCTGCTTCCCAACGTTACCCTCTTTGACATTAGCATTGTCCTCGTGTAGTTGTTTTTTGTCTTCACGTTCAGCAGACTCAGAGTCTTGTTTACCTCCCTTCTTGCCAAACTTCTTGTGCCTTTGCTTACGACCTCCCTTGGCTCTTTGAGATTCATCTTTGCTCTTCGACTCGACCTCATTGTCATCGTCGTTCTTGTGGTGTGGTTTACGGTGTTGCTTGAAAAATTTAAAGCCTTTGCGCTCTTCGTCATCCTCATCATCCTGATGTTTCTCTTTATGTGGTGGCTTTGGAGGCTTATCGAAAATACCGTGGTATTCTTCACCGCTGATAGAGCCAATGTAAGATCTGTCGCCAAAACCGCCAACGAGATAAACGTCACTCACATCTAGTTCGTACCAGTGGCCATCATGTACCTTGCTGTCATCGTCACCAGGTAGCCACCAAACAGCATCAGGGTGCCTCGACAAGAAACACTCCTTCAATTTCTCGGAGTTTTCAAGTGGCTTCAATTCCCCGAAGTAGTTGGCACGTGGTGAGGACATTGGAGACTTGTGTTTGAAATGGCCTTCAACTGTTGCGGACAATTTACTGTTGTTCTGCAAGTTTCTGTAACTGGAGCTCATTTCAAGCAAAAGTAAAATCAGGTTACCATTGTTCGAAAATTCTACGTCAGGACAGTCGTCGGAGCCCACAAAATATTCCACGAACGAGACTGGCACACCAGTGTTTCTGTCCAGCGTGTTCAAATGCAAATTGCGTTCCTTCATCAACAAGCTTCTTGCAACAGCTGCTCCATGCTTCACGTTGTCTTCCTGCGAGAACTGATGTTGCTCTTGGGAAACAGCAGTCTCCTCATCTTTGTTCATCTCTTTGAAATGCATATCGCCGCGTGCAGCAGCAAGCGCAGCAAGCATCAACACCGAAAGCTTCATTGTTCTGTGTAGTTGTTACAGCTTTACACTATACACAATATTCTCCTTGGTATAATTTGCTTCTCATGTATATATAATCATTTCCCGGCTGCATGCGGGAAAAAAAAAACATATGTGCGTCACTAGGTGGCGCAGTTGGGTGCATAATTTCAAATGCCGAAAAAGTTCGATACGCCGTTCTCGGAACGGATCTTGCATCTCTGCAGAGTCCTGAACTACGGAAGAGCATCGACCAAAGCTCCAGAACAGTGCACGAAGAACACAAATTGAGAAGCAGACGTAATTACTAGTCTACTGAGCTTGCATTTTCGATTACAGCATTGTTGTCGTTATCGCTGCACCGTCTGGGTGCACGTGTGAGCACGAAAACCAGAACCAATTCGGAACGGCTACAAAACAATCTGCAGGCACGATTGTACAGTCAAATTACATATGGTCTCATTTGCCGGGTGCCGCGTATGGGGTACTATTCCAAGAAAGAACAGGCATCAATGGTCTTCGAAGCACTAAGTGCTTCTGACAACATCAATTAGTGCATTAATATTTGAATTGCGAGGACTATAAACGTCATCCTTACGGTGACGTGAGTGGAAAGGTTGTTGTGAATGAGAGTAAGCTAGATAAATCTTTACACTGGAAAAGCTTATTATGGCACAACATACAACATCCAAGCATTTTTTTAGTATATGCTGCAGTGACAGTTAAGATTAGATCCAGGATCTTTCTGATTAACAGAATCATGGCAACCTTTCCAGAGAAATGCAATGCCGTATATGGTGATTTATACCATCTCGCAACACCAAAAAGCCAATCGTACAGGTGTCTTCTGCAAACAAATCGTTGGAGATAGAAACGGAATATCGATGATCAAATCAACTTTGATCTTTAGAGATGATGGTATGTAAGTGAAGTGGAACCGAAAACGATGTGCGCCTACTAACAAACAGCATAGGACTCCCATTGTGCTCGTCTGTTGACGACGACACAGATCCTTCTTTGACCGAGCAAAAGAAGAAAATAAAAGTGCTTTTATCAAGATTCACACCCAACTCTGCCAATGAAGCAACCTTGGAGAGCGGCAACTTCGAAATCCACTACATTCGCGTCAACATGGTTGCATACTTTGTCATTGCCGAGAAGGGATATCCTCGAAACCTCGCATTTTCGTATTTGAAGGACGTTGCGCAGGAATTTGAACACTCCTATGGTAACGAGTATACCAAGCCAACCGTACGTCCATATGCATTTGTCACGTTTGACAATTTTTTGCAAAAGACGAAGAAGTTATACAGTGACAAAAGAGTTCAGGACAACATGGATCAATTGAACCAGGACTTAATGGGCGTGAAGCAAATTATGACCAAGAACATTGAGGATTTACTATACAGAGGCGACTCGCTGGATAAAATGAGTGATCTGAGTGCATCGCTAAGACAAGACTCTAAGAAATACAGAAGAACTGCCCAAAAAATAAACTTCGACCTCCTCATTAGTCAGTATGCCCCAATAGTTTTGTTGGCGTTGTTCTTTGTATTCTTGATATGGTGGGTATTCCTGAGATGAGCCATTGCTATGAAAGTGGTGTGTAAATTTGTTTAGTGTGTATCGTTGTCCGAGACCCATGGATTTTGGACGCGCAAGCCTCTCAATGTAGCGCTCAAAAAAAAGTTCATTGGAGTGAAGAGCAGAGAACCCTTTAGTTTTTGCACTTGGCATTGTGCTTAATACTCCTGATCTATACAATGTCTACTGATCACCTCCCCATTGATTTTAACTCACTGATCAATCGATTCAAGTTCTCAAGAGTTTTGGATTCGAATCCCCAGACGAAAGTGATATCTTTGCTTGGGAAAATTGATTCAAAGGATGCTATTGTGACTCTGGAGAAGACGCACTTCACCTATGACACGAACGTCCTTAAGAAAGAGGACGGAAGAAACACTCCGATTCTGCACAACTGTGAAGATGAGTTTTCTTGTCTAAGTTCTATTCAAAATCTTAAACAGATTGCATCGAATGACATATACTTTTGGGGCATGCTGACGATGAAGCAAGATCTCGAACGCAACCCTACTGCGAAGGTAAATTTGATTTGGCCAGCTACAGCTGTTCATATTAGAAAATATGACCAGCAACTCTTCCATGTAATTCGGGAGACTCCAGAAATCTACTCGAAAGTTGTGGAGCCCTATATAAATGAGATGTGCAATAATGGGCGCTTGAAGTGGGTTCACAACATTTTATATGATGGAGCTGAATCAGAAAGGGTGGTTTACAAGGATTTTGTAGAAGAAAACTCGCAGGATGGTTTTCTTGTCTTGCCAGATATGAAGTGGGATGGTGTCAACTTAGATGCATTATATCTGGTGGCTATTGTGTTTAGAAAAGACATTCGTTCAGTGAGGGACTTGAGACCTGAGCATCGCCCATGGTTAATTGAGATGCTAAATAAGATCAGGTCTGTTATCCCAGCCTGTTACAACTACGCTATTCGACCTGATGAGTTACGAACTTTCATCCACTACCAACCATCATATTATCACTTTCATATTCACATTGTGAATGTCAGGCATCCCGGACTAGGTGATGGTATTTCGGCAGGTAAAGCAATTCTTTTGGAAGATGTTATTGAACAGCTCAGATTTTTAGGGGAGAAAGGGTTCATGAATAGGACAATTTCTTATGTGATCGGAGAAAACCATGATCTCTGGAAAAAAGGCTTAGAAGGCGAGGTACAAAAACAGCTGGAAAAAGATGGCATTCCTAAACTCCCTAATATCATCAATGATTTCAGTGTCCATGATTTAACAAGTTCTCGATAAAAATATTTGCTGCTGAAAAAAATTCAGCTTTTAGTTGTTTATGATTTGTAGCGTTTTTACAGGTTTGTAACTTGAGTTTACCATATACCAAATGAATAAAGGTTAGTTTATGCTAAGATGGCTCCAAAGAGACTTATATTTAATCTAGATAGCTCCGGGAGTGAGGATGAAAGTGACAACAGCAAACGGCTACGACCTCAGCGAACGAAGTACAAATACAAACCCAAGCCAAAACAACTAGAAAGTGCTGCTAATAAGTCAGACTCAGAGGACTACATGGTCATGGACTTGAAAGATGATAGATATGGAAATGGCGAACGAGAGACTATTGTGACTGAGGCAGTTGCACTTCCTGCAGAAGCAAAAGTCGTAAAGTCCATGCCAAAAGGATTTGCTATGATGCAGAAGATGGGGTTTACAATGGGTGACGGTCTAGGGTTGAATAGCAACAACGCATTAAAGGTGCCTATAACGGTGAGTCGTAGAGCTGGCCGTCAAGGGATAAAGGAAAGTAGTCATCCTGATATCTTAGTTGAGTCTCACATAGACACCAACCATTTTAGAGCATGGATACAACAATCCAATAAACACAAGGAGAAGAAGAAAGTTTTCAACAGAATGCAAAAACTGGCTTTCGAGATGAGCGGAGACGTGGATACGTTCACGAGCGAGCGAGACCCAAGAGACTTCAACTGTCTTTGGCGACGTTATATCATAGATTTGCAGACAAAGTGTCAGTCAAGAACTAAAGAGCATCGCGGAGAATTTTCTGGCCAAGGAAACATAAACGTACGTGACAGTATTCCAGACGTGCATACAGGTGTCAAAAGAGCGACGATAATTGAAAATGACGACGAAGCCGAATTACCTATTAAGTCTGAAACAAAGAATGAGGATGTACAAAAATCAGGGCTATCAACTTATCATGACGATGAGGAGCTTTCGATATTCGAAGAATTAGAAATTGATCAAAAAATCCTTGGTATTCACACTTTTATGAGAGCTGAATTTTTTTATTGTTTCTACTGTGGTGTGAAATACAAGAATGAAGATGACATGTTCCAGCATTGCCCGGGGCAATCAAAAGAAGATCATGTGTAATTATTCAAGAAGGTATTGATCCTTGAGTGTAGATAGAGCAGTAAATTGTAGGACTCAATTTAACATATGCAAGGTGTAGGCATATACATGTAATCATATACGACAAGAGGATAGTAAGACAAATGACAATTAGTCGCGAGTATATAGTCTAGCCGTCATAAAGGAACGTTTCAGTCATATTTCTAGTGACTTCAATGAGCATTAGTACGATACAGGCAACAGCGAAGCCAACTGATCACACAAGTATTGAAGATGAGCTTTCTAAAGTTCAAATTTTCAACGACATTTGTGACTTCGAGGAAAAGCTGGCGGAACTAGTCACATCAGTCGATAAGTTCAATCCAGATCTCAAAATTGCACGTTCCCTGATAGAAGTGGATGCAAGACTCTCCAAAACCCTAGAAAGTTTCCCGAAGTATGATGAAATCGATGAAAGACTGAAACGTCTGGATAGAGAGAGAGAACAGATCGAGGAACGAACAATCAAAATATTACAAACGCTTACCGAATGCCATGAACGGCTAAATACCCTCCCAATGGCAGAACAAGTCGAATTTGAGCGCAAAACAATGCTAAAGCAAAGAGATAAAGTATATTCTAACGTGTTACTTGATTACGCTATGAAACTAGCGAAGTTTACCCACATACCACCAACATTTGACAAGGGAACTGTGGGCCCGAATAATTTCATTTGGCCAGCTGAAGATGCACTGAGAAGAGGTATGCTAGCAATGGCATCTTTACGAGCAAAAGAGCTTACGAGGTTACCAGGACAAGCAGAGGAAGACAAACAACAAGAAAACAAAGATGAGGATGATAAAGTGGAACTCAAAGAAGAGGCTCAAATAGATACAAAGGAAGAAAACATAACACCCAAAGGGGATTCTTTGGTGTTTGATGGTAATGCTGGTGGTGATTCCGAAAAGGTGGATGAGAATGATAGCGGAATGGAACTGGATTTGGATCTATTCAATCCAGATGAATTCTGAGTAACATATATGATATATATGATATGAAAAAAATAGCATTTGAAGGTTTATAATTGTTCCTCATTGATTCTTCTTGATTGGTTTGGGTGAATATTCGCTAAAGCTTGCTCTTCTTGATGATACACCTGATGCAAGCTCATTTCTGAAATTCTCATATGCCTTTTGTAAATTCTCCTCCTCTATCTCCAATCCCTTGTCAGCTCTCCATTCCTCATAGGCTTTACGGAAGTTTCCAAAATCACGCATTGCCTCGTCTAGTGTAGCCTTGTCAAAATCTGCCTCTGGAATACCAAGATGCATTCCCTTCGCTGCTTCTTCTTGCTCATAATCTTGCTTGGCTTTCAATATATCACTTAACGAGCCAGCTGATTCAATTGCTTCTTTCTCTGCGCGAGCTGCAATATTGACAGGGTGGTGTGCTTTCAAAAATCCAACCAATTGTTTCGAGAATGGGCCCTTGAATGCGAAAAAAGTTGCTGCAATTCCCAGGTGAATACAGAAATAAACTGTACCCCAACAATAAATGGACTTAGGAAGTTCAAGAATGACAAAAGGTTGAACCAAGTATCCGAAAGAGATCTTTGTGACATAAAAGCAGATAATATCGTAGATTACCTTAGAGGGTAGAGAAGAACCATCGGCGGCAAGGAACAGCGGTCTCAAGTTACGCCTAAATATTTTTCCACATGTCTGGTAGAGTGCACCAGTCGCGAATACCAGATAGTATCCAGGTCTAGTTCCATGCCAGAAAGCAGACGTCAAAAAGGTGAACAAAGTGCTGCGGAAACCAGGCTTGCTACCTGGCTTGGCGACTCTCAAATAGACATAGTACTTCAGCCATTTGTTGGTATTCATATTCCAAGCCTCAAGACCTTCGTGTGTGTTGGATGCCATTTCAAATCTCCAAATGTCAATATTCCGCACACGATCCCATTTGATTTGACCTGTCTTAGCGTCATATCCATTGTACCCCAGACCACACAGAATACAAGAAGCTTCTGAAATGGTCCATGCAGCATAATACTTGAGACGGAACGTAAAGCTCAATGCGAAAAGGTAATGTATTCTGTAAAGAAAGCTCTTTTGCATAAACTTAGTTGAGAAAACATTATCAAGGGAAACATACTTAGGAGCAGCAAAGGATAAACTAATCCAAAAGAGTCCTTGAAACACACGCCACAGCACAAACATACCACACTTGGGAATTTGGCGACGATGATTGGGATCTTTAGAAGTCCATCTGTGTTTGGGTTTGTGGGCGTCAGGAAGATCACGGAATACTTCACAATTCAACCACGACTCGAAGTCAGCATAATCGAAACTAGGTCCGGTAAAAAGAGATGGGTAGAAAAATGCATAAGCCAAGAAATGCAGCAAACTGGGGTGCTTCTTGACTGCTTTAGCTTTCTGGTACGGTGTAAGATTCGAGTAATCTGTGAGAGAGCCATCATAGTAAGACCAAGCGAAAGAAGTAAGCTTCATGACGAGCACCATTTGAGCACCGGTGATGTCCAACTCAGAAGGTTCTCGACTGTTTAAAAATTGGGCGTCGATATGATTCAAAGCGAGATGTCCCATCACAACCACAAAATTCAAATAAGGCATGAATCTTGAGCGGTAAAACCGTGTAATGCAGTACGTAAACATTGTGCTGATGAACAACGTAAAAAATCCGTTGAGGATGTTAAGCACTCCAAACAAATAAAATGCGGAAACAGCCACAATGTACCAACATTTCAGGTTCACCCTTTTGTCAGGTAACCGCTTCATGAGAGCGTTTAAAGGGAAAGAGGTAAACAAACATATTGCCAGCTTGACGACAACATCGTCCATTCCACTACTTGACGACCATTCCTGTATTCTTCCAGCAATAGGATTGACCATCACTGTTGAAAATATTCCTTTTTGTCAGCGTTGCTATAAAAAACACACGGTCAAGCTCTCAGTAATTCCTATGCAAGAAGATCAAGTTCTGCTCGAATATCTTAATTTGATCCCTAATTCTTGCCTCAATTAAGACAAGACCTATGCGACAATAAACTTTTCCCGATTTTTGTAATATATAAACGAGATTGTTGAATACCTGTTGAAACAAAAATGTTGATGTGGCTTGCGATTCCTGATTTGTCCGGATCCACAAATTCCCCTGAAACCGGACACCCTGCTCAAAAAAAACAATATCCGATCACCAGGTAAAGTTCCGGACAAAATGGTATCTAATATGATTCAATGTCACGTGGTTTAAACTTTGCATGGATATTGCCTGCAGGTTTACTTTTAGTTTTTTTTTTTTTATTTTTGTAGATCAGACCCTACCAAATTTGTTTGCTTACTTGAAACCCAAATATGAGATGGGACGGCCCATATAGGTCAGGAAGGAGCTGCAATGTTCAGCAACAGTTATTGGGTTGTTCTTTTTTACTAAAAATGGAAGATACAGAGGTTACTGAGGGCTCCTCAGAGGAAACGGACTAAGACAACACAATAGTGGGCTAAAGATGATATTACTACTGTACCAATTGTGCTCATCATGTATCTGTATTTTAGTTAGGCGTATGGGAGAGTGTGCTGCCAAAAAAACCTCCAATAGTGACAGACCTGCGCCTCACTCAAGAGCAGATGCCAAAAGCGAAGCCTTTTTCTCCAGGAGATGATTATTAAGCAATGCTTGACTCGAAATCTATCGATCGATACAGAGTTGGGCGAATTGGCCCTCACGGCGTGGTTAATACTCTTGAAAATGCAGACTGCAGATTGTCGTTCCTAAACTAAAACCGTTGTAAATGATACTTGTTCACGACATGAATGGCGTACATATACAGTTCTTCAAAATGTTGCTCTCAAGTTGACTACACGACCACCATTTTTTCAGTTATCATTATGCTGCTTCAGAAATCAATGACAGGTTCGAGACTCTTCTCAAACACCAGTAGGGCATTGCAAAAATCGCCTACTGGCGTTGTGTTCATGAACATGGGAGGGCCCGCAAGAGTCGAAGAAACTCGAGACTTTTTGTACCAATTGTTCGCTGATAATGACCTCATCCCTATCAGCCGTAAATACCAGCCTTTCATCGCCAAGTATATCTCCAGATTTCGCACACCAAAAATTGAACAACAATACCGGGAGATTGGCGGTGGTTCACCCATTCGGAAATGGTCTGAATATCAAGCTCAACGTGTATGCGAGATCCTTGACGAGAGCTGCCCCGAAACGGCCCCACACAAACCTTATGTCGCATTCCGTTACGCGAGGCCCTTAACTGGTGAAACTTATCAAAGGATGCTAAAGGACGGAATACGCAGAGCAGTTGCCTTTTCACAATATCCACAATTTTCTTACTCGACTACCGGTTCCTCGATTAATGAATTGTGGCGTCAAATTAAAAGTTTGGATCCTGAAAGAACTGTGAACTGGTCTGTGATTGACCGCTGGCCAACCAATGAAGGTCTAGTCAAAGCCTTTGCTGAAAACATTACTGCCAAGTTAGAAGAGTTTCCTGAGGACATAAGAAAGAATGTAGTTCTTCTTTTCTCAGCACATTCCCTACCAATGGATGTCGTCAATACTGGTGATGCTTATCCTGCTGAAGTCGGAGCAACAGTTTACCGTATCATGGAAGAGTTGAAGTTTTGTAATCCTTATAGGCTGGTATGGCAATCCCAAGTGGGACCTAAGCCTTGGTTAGGAGCTCAAACTGCTGATGCTGCAGAATGGTTATCGCCTACTGAGCCAGGCTTGATATTTATACCTGTTGCCTTCACTTCAGATCATATTGAAACTTTGCATGAAATCGACTTGGGAGTTATTGGCGAGTCTCCATACAAAGATAAGTTGAAGCGCTGTGAATCACTTAATGGGAACGAAACGTTTATAAAAGGGATGGCCGATATAGTGAAGAATCACTTAAAATCCGGAGAGTTGTATTCTAAGCAATTGCCACTTGACTTCACATTAGGAAAATCCAATGATCCTATTGAACACCCATCCAAAGTCTTTGGAGATCACACTAAAAAATGATATAAATCTATATGATGCAAATGTAAATAGGCGTATACATCATACGATTAAAAGAAGATTGAAAAGTGTCTTCAATTTGTCAATCTCTGGCAGATACCATTTTGAATCCTTCATTAAGAACCACGGAGACTTTTTCACTTTTGAATGGCAAGCTGTTTAATACAAAAGCAACATCATCCCATTGCTTTTGAGTGTCGGATTTTTGTAATCGAACGAACAGCTTCTCACTCAGCTGCTTTTGATGGCGCTCTTTGTCAATGAATGATAGTAAAAATTTGATGATTTTTTTAAATGAAGTGCGTTCCAAATCTTCATCGTTTGACAAGCCACTGAATATATCGATGAAACCATTGTAAATAGCGTTGTCTTTGGTTGCGAGTTCTGTGAAAAACAACTTACACATATCACTGATACTTTGATCCGAGTTTTCCAAGCACTTTGCCATTTGCCCAAGTTGTCCTTTGACCTTGACTTGACCTGCAAGAATTAAGAAAGTCACAGTCATGAGACAAGTTCTTTGAACCATTAAATTATCGTCATGTAGACGTCGATAGAGAAATTCAGTATTTTCATCTACCAAACTATTGAAGCAGACGGCCATATCTCCCAACCCTAGGACAGCATTAGAGCGGACTATAGGGTCTTGTGATTTTTCCATGACAGTTATGAGTAGCGACAGATTTTTCTCACAATACTTTGAAGAAACACACATAAACTTTTCTAGACAAAGTGCGGCTGTTCTTTGAAGCATTGGATCACTAAACTTGGTACTATTTGCTACAATCTCTTCAACCAAAGGTCCAAACTTGGCAAGAAGTGAATTATCACCAAATAGTAATTCATTTTCCTTAATGAAAGCTACAGCATCGGTAAAATCATCTTCGTTAGTGCCTCCAATCATTTCAAGCTCTTGTTGCTGACCTGACTCAGTCGTTTCACTGTTACCGCTAGTGCCTTTTTTCGTTTCTGCTTCGATTTTTCTTCTTTTAAACTCGGCTTCATATCTTTCTAGATGTACAGTAGTTTTGATAGCTACTTGTCCAACAATAAAAAGTAGTTGAGTCAAAGACACTACACGCGAAAAAGAACTAGTCATACTATCTTCTCCTTCTTTATTACCAAAGGTCATCATGGTTTTTTCTCGAATTAGTTCAGTGCATAGTTGATCCGGTGTGGGCGAAATATTAAATAATGCATTTATCGCTTCTTCACAAGCAGGGAAATAATCTGGGTTTTCAATGTACTCAATAATTTTGGCAGCTAGTTTGGTAGAAGCTTCTTCACTTCTTGAAATGGGAGTCGATTGCGTGAGATCGGTTTGAGAATTAACGCGCTGTAGTGCAATGCAAGAAAATTTGGAGAGGACTAAATCTTTTCTTCCGGGTTCACCCAATCCAACTCTAAGTAGTGAATCCAAGCCCTTTAATGCGATTTCACAGTTGGCTAGTGAAAGCATACCCAGAACTATGATAGACCCGTGGATGCTTTCAGTATCGAATGCTGGCTCTTGCTCACTGGCGCTATTGTAAATAGCCCACAAAACATTTATAGCATCTTGGTCAATGAGATTTGCTCCATAAAGTAAACCTAACAACTTTTCTAAAGAGGCTAAATCTGCCACAGAGGCACCTTTAGTTAGCCCAATAAGGTTTTTTGCAATGTAAGCGGCACGCTCTCTGAAATTCGATCCCTCAGGTGCAGTCAAGAATAACTGATCGTAACTAGAAACTAGGTGAGAGACAATGCTAGTTCCTTCATCATTCGTTCCTTTCATCCATACCAGATGCAACATTTTTTTGATACCGAGAGTGCTACACTCTATGTCATAAGCATCTGCCAGCACAAAAAAGTCCATCACTTCAAGCACTTCATTTTTATTTCTAGAGAACAGAAGCTGGCACGATTGGTGTATCCCCTCGTGTAGTGTTTGTATAAATTCGATCGCATCTTTGTAGTATTGAATTGTTAGTTTCATCTTAAAGACTGCACCGGAGTTGGTACTATTAGTGTTCTCTGACTCCTGTTCAATTCGCGACATTTGCCCTTCGCCACACTCATTATCCGAAGAATTATGATCTTCTTCTATCATGCTTTTCTCAATTAAATTATCCAGCGAGTCCCTAGCTTCACCTTCAGAAGAATCAAGAGTTTGCTGCAATTGTTGCGTGGCACTTTCTAGACGAGCGTTCCACTGCGATAAATTTAACTGTGTACCATGCAGGGCACTAAACTGATGGGTGAGAAGTAATTTGGAAAGGAGTTTCACTGCATTCCTTCTGACCAATGAGGATCTATCCTCAAGAGATCGCACAGCCAGTTTGAGTAAATTGGACCTATTCTTGTTGAATTTGATTTCAAGATCGCAAATTTTGAGGCAGCTTTGGATAGCTTTTGTCCTTACGTAAGGATTAGAATCTGCGAATCTTTCTTCTAGAAGTTCGAGTAGAACTTCAACTTGTTGTTTGTAATGCATGAGTTCTTCTCTCTTTGATGAGATTTCGATTACTATGTTACCACAGGCTTCCACCACAGCACATCTTAGAGTGAAAGAGCTATTGTTCAAAAGCTTAACAAGAAGGGTCATTTGTCTAAGGACGATGCGCGGAAGCAATTCTGAGAGTTTTATCAGAAAATTAGATATGGCCTTTGGTCCAGTGGCATCCTTTGCATTGAACTCTTTATTACTAATATCGCGTAGTACATCTTCAGTTAACTGTGGAAAATCAAAATCATCATTCACCACTTTTAGTAATTCTGCATTAAAGTTTGTTAAATGCATAAAATATGTTAGAGTCGTTAAGATTGCATTTTGCGTGCTTGAGCTCTGGCCGTGATTTTTGACCGACATAGCTATTATCCTCATAATAAATAGCTTGATCGAGGGAACTTTGAGCACCTGCTCTGTTTCTATGAGTATGAATATAGGTCTCGTAAAGAGGCCGACGAATAGATCCCGTTCTGGTGTGGTTTGGAACACACGAGCCAGATTGATCTCAAATATTCGCAATATACCTTCTAAAAGTTGCTCAATCTGATTACAACTTCTTTTGAACAGTTCCAAAGTTGTGTCCGCAACTTGACGACGGCCAGTCGATGTTGATTGTGAGGCTGCAGTGGCAACGTTATCCTGAAGGAAAGTCAATAAGACATGCACTAGGTAACCATATTCCTCTAGATGTGCCTTCCACAGTGGTATTAGATTTATTATGTCGTCATTGTAAGCACTGTTGGCGAGTTGAGAACATATTTCATTCGAAAGATTACTCACGGAAGAGCTAACCAGATAAGTGAGCTGTACCTGCAGTTTGACAGACAATTGCGGAAATCCCTGCGCAAGATCGATCAAAGTCTCTAACGTCTCCTCGTCTGCATCGATTTCCTCAGGGGATACCGCAAGACGATCTGTAACAATGTTAAGTTCCCTTATAGCATTCTCCACCAGTGGATAAGACTTTTTATCACTTGTTTGAAACCTCGTGAGGTTCTCAGAAAGACTGAACCCTGCCATCCTCTACAGATGCGGAGAAGAACTTGCGGTTTTCAACTATTGATATGCTTGATGCTTTTAAAAAAAAATAAACAAAAAAAGATGTAATTTCGCGAAGACTAAAATCGAAAGAATTTCAATATCTTCTAAAGGTGAGAACAATTTAATGACCAAAACATTGAATTCAGACGAATGAACGTTTACTTAAGATAACGAAAAGTAGTTTGCACAATATCACATAGGCCACTTCAAACACCAAATGACATTGAATTGAATCGAGCAGGAAAAAATGATTTCGCCCAGGATCGAACTGGGGACGTTCTGCGTGTTAAGCAGATGCCATAACCGACTAGACCACGAAACCACTTGTTGGAGGTGAGGAGATGTTTTAGATTATATAAACGTGGCTGCCATTTTGAGCGGTATTTCCTCATACTCAATTTAAGTCAAGTGGTTTTGAAGGTATGCAGTTTCGAACCTTTGTTGGAGAGGACAGGACCAGTCTTGTTTCCTTCAGTCGAGCTTTTGAGTCTTGTATCGTGTGCTGGAGGACATTGTTTTCTTTTTCTTTCATTTGACAGTGGTTTATGGTCTCATTGAGCTTCCGCCGCATGATGACATCTACTCTCACGAGATCATGATTCCAACGTTTTAGCTGCTTATTAGTTTCCTTCAAATTGAGAATTTTTTCGTCTGTTTGCATTTTCACATTGGCAAATAGACGCAGTTTTTCAATTGCAACGGTAGCCTTTGTTCGCAAAGTTTCCTTTTCATGTTTATAAGTGGTTGCCGTATTTTTGGCCTCTTCCAATTTCGAGCTTAATCTTTGTATGGTTGCATTCATTTTTTCCGACTCCAAAAAGTGACTTTCGCATTTTGTTTTCCATTGTTCGGTTTTAATTTGTTCATTAGATAATAAACCTTTGTATCTGTGCTCACTTTCAACCAATGATTTTTGAGCATGGTCCCTTTCCTGAATTAGCATCTTCTTCAATTGTTCCAACTCTTTCTCTTGTTGTTTGACATTGTCAAAGTACGTTTGTCTCTGTTTCCAGGCATCATTGTAATCCTGTTGTAAACGAGTGTATCGAGTCTTTAACTGATCCATATCCAAATTTAGCTCTTCCAGACTATGTGTAAGTTGCTTTATTTTCTGTTTATGCTGTTCTAAAATTGTCAACGTCGCAGCCTTTTCTGATTTGGAATTCTCTGCCAATTGTAAGCTTGCCTTCAATTGTTCCTGTAAAGCCCGTTGGTTTTCCTGTAAATCGACTAATTCTGCATTAATTTGATCTTGGTGTTGAGGTGTGACATTGAGATCCTGTAACAAATTTTCCAGTCTTTTGATTTCCTTATCTTTATTCTCGACCTCTTTTTGTGAATAAGATAAATCGTCAATGAGTTTTTCCTTTTGACGTTGGCCCATGTATTTATAACAAAGTTCCTGGGTTTTGAATGCAGAGGTGATTCCAAAGCTCAATCGTTGTAATGTCATAACTAGGTCTGTGGCATCTAGATCCTCTTGGGAAAGTCCACAGAGATTAAAACACCTCACTATGGTATCTAGCAAAACTGTATTGTTTATGGGGATATTTTCTTCCCAATCTTTGATACTAGTATTTTCGTCAATCTGTGAAACAATTGTCTTGGCCAAAATTGGCTTTTTGTGAATATTCACTGGTCTTATGTTTAAATTTGGATCAATGACCGAATCTTCATCAAACAATTTGATTTGATTACCGCCAAAATTGACCTTTTTATTAATTATGGTAGTAGGAGTAACAGTTTTGGATATTATTTCTTCTAGTAGGGCATTGGAGTTTTTGTCATGGTAAAAGGAGTGCGCAGTTTTTTGAATGCCACAAGAGTCATTGTTGTTATCATAGAATTGAGATAGGAGGAAACTTGGAAGCACATCGTCAAATGCTGAATCGGTAATGATGTCCAAGGAATCATTCGGCATCTAAATTGGATTCGGAACCCAAAGATAATTGTTTTGTGAGATACCTGAGTTCTGTCGGTTCCTATGAACAAGCGACACAAAATAAGAAAACGACACACAATTAATTATCGTAAGCAAAGGGAGTATATAATTAAGTATACAGCATACAAGCATAAAATACAAAATCTATCTGAGTGACTTGGTGTTAGCGACTGGTCTATTTTACAAGTTAAGTTTTTCTAGCTTTATTGTGAATTCCCGCATTATTGATGACAGTTAATGCTCGAAATTAAAAGGGAAAAAAATGATGACAAAAAGGGTTCAAATTGAATAAGGAGCACTCCGGATTCAAGAATACTGTTGGGATCATTATACAACATTTTGACTGCACTCTCGAAACAGACGAGTGAAAAGAAAATTGGAGGGGGCGGGGGTGGGGGGTTTAAAATCGACAATTTAAAGATTGAATTCAATGCGAAGGAAAAGGTTTATAATTCATAGTATCCAACTGCCCTTCCCCTGCGATAACACTGGGGGAGAGGCGGAGGTAAAATTTGCCGGCCAAGGGGAAGGCTGAGGAGAACGTGTGGAATGTTTAGCAGGATCGTAGAAACAGTAGGATTGCAGTAATGTATTGTAGTCCATTGGCTTGTTGTGGGAGAGCTTGAGCGTCTTGGCCTGTTGATCGTCTGAATAGGATTCATCAAAAGAAAGGTCGCGCTTCATATCTTTGGTAGGAGCCGAAGATACGAAATGGCGAGGTTCTGGCGATTGCAACTCAGTAATGGAGGCACGGAGGTCGTTGGTGGAAAAGGCCTTCATGACGCGGGGTGCGTGTATGGTGGGAGAGAACGAGGAGGTGGAAGAAGAGACACTCGAGGATAGGGATTCGCTTTGGTTTTGGGCCGGGGACGCGGAATCTCCCTCGGAGGTCCACTCCGAACTGGGCCTGGAGGAGGCGGGTTTAGGAGAGGGGGACTTGTGAGTGTAATTGGGCGCAGCGGCGTAACCAAAGAAGAAATGCATGGGGACCGTGGGGCTCACGGGGACGACCGTCTGCTCGGGCAAATTCGTGGCAGGGGCCAGCGTGGAAGCCGCGTTGGCGTTGGTGGCGGTGGGCTTGCCGAGGGACGACAACGCGGACTCGCTGCGGAACAGATGTTTCAAGGGCGACGTGTTGAAGTAGTCGGTATCCTTGGAGAAGTGCCTGCCGGCAGGCTGTACTGGGGGATGGTCGAGGGACTTGGGCGCCGGAGCGGGCACTGGGGCGGGGGCTGGCGTGGGGGACGTGCTGGTGGGGGACGTGCTGGTGGTGGCCGACATGGTGATGGCGTCGGCAGACAAGTGGCGGCGCAGGGGGAGCCTGCCCGCGGCGGCGGCGTCAGCGGAGCGACGGCGCCTGCGGCGGGGAACGGGCTTGGTAACGGCGTTGAGGCGCAACTGGTAGTTTTCGTAGTTGTTGTTATCGTAGTAGGTTTCGCCGTTCACGTCGTAACGACAGCACAATTCCATGGTGAGCGGGCACACGGTCTCGGGCCCGCTGCCGCAGTAGAGCAGGTGTTTCATCTGCATGAAGAACTTGAGGCCGTTGAGATTGACGGTGAAGCGGAACTCGTCGATTCCGGCGGTCACGGTCCGGTGGTACTGCGCGGTGACGTAGTGGATGTCGCGCCAGTTGTTGAAAGTGTACTTGACCTCGATGAATTTTTCGAAATTGAGGTTGGCCACGTAGATGAGGCCCTGCAGCTTGCTGGAGTCGAGGCAGGGCGACACCGAGCTGAGCTTGATGTTGTTGCCCTGGAGATACGCGAGGACGAGCGCCTCGAGATCGAGCGCGCGGCGCGCGACCAGCGGCGCGATGTTGGTGGAGACGAGATCCCAGCGCGCGACGGAGAAGCGCGCGCCGAGCGCGCGCGGGCGCGCGAAGAGGGCGCCGAAGTCGGCGTCGGAGGGATCGTGGCGGTGGATGTGGACGTTGCCGTTGTCGATGTCGGCGGCGTCGCCGTCGCTGTCGTCGTCGTCGTCGTCGTCGTCGTCGTCGGCGCAGCGGTCCGTGTCGCTGTCGCTGTCGCCGAGCAGCGCGCCCGCGGCCCGCAGCGGCCCGGCCGCGCCCGCGCGCAGCGCGGCGTGGCTCAAGGGCAGCTTCATGCGCGAGAGCGCGGTGCCGAACCAGAACTCGTCGTCGTCGTCGCTGACGCACGAGTCGAGCGCGATCAGCGGCGTCAGACGCGGCGAGTTGTCGCACGAGATCGAGATGGGCTCGCGGGACGCGTCGAAGCGCTTGATCTTGGTGAGCTGCTGCGCAAAACGCACGTTCTTGGCGGCGCCCGAGTGCGACGTGGACGACCCGCTGGACGACAGCTTGAGCGACGACTTGAGCCGGCGCAGCGGCGCCGCGCCGCGCGCCGCGTCCGCGTCCGCGTCCGCCGTCTCGGTCTCGGTGCCGTCCGACTGGTTGGAAATCAGATCGTATATGTTGAGCTGGCCGACGCAGTGCGACAGCCCGTCGGCGCCCGCGCCGCCGGCCAGCTTGAGAGTCTCAGCCGAGTCCGACCCGCTGTCTACCTGTGTCATGAAACTCTCTGGCGTGCGTGCGTGCTAGCTTGCTACTTGCTGCTTTGCTGGGCCCACCACCACCACGATCGCTGCCCCATTTCTCCCTGCATATATAAATCTTTCGCTGCTGCGGAGCCATGCGTTACCACCGCCACGCCCACGTCTGCGCAGTCTGCGATAAGCACGCCGCAACAACCGGATGCGCAACCCGCTACGAAAAAAATAAAGGACAAAATGCCACCGCGTTGCCGTGGTGAGCGAGCCGCTGCTCAGACAAACGCCCCGGCAGCCCAACAGAACCATTCAAGTGGTGCGACTTTGCGCGTCTGGGCCTGCGCGCGCCGGAGCGCGCCCAGTTGTCTCGTCGCATTTGCGGCGCGACTCTTGCGCTTGCTGCCACGGCCCGCGTCGCTACGCCGCGTTCAAAGCAGCGCGCATGCCACGGGCGGAGTCTGGAGATTCCGCCGTTTCGCGGTGTGTGGGCGCGGCGGCGGCGGCTGCGTTGTTGGGCCGCAGGCACTGCGGGCGGGTGGGGCGTGCGTCGCGGAGTGCTAGACGCGGCCGGAGCTGGGCTCGGAGATGCGCCTGGCGAGATGCGCGCTGCGGCGCGGCAGGCACGTCGCGCGCGCTGCTGACGCACCTGTGTGGGTGCGGGTGCACGGGTGGGACCGCGCGGCGTGGGGAGGAGGAGGAGGAGCGGAGGGAATGGGGGAGGGAGGGGATTGGAGAGGAGAGCGAGGCAGACGAGAGCGAGGCAGACGAGAGCGAGGCAGACGAGAGCGAGGCAGAGCCCTGGGCGTAGGAGCGTTGGGGCAACGACGTGCAGGGAGACCGGCGGCCTAAGCGCGAGGCCGCCGTGTCGCGCGAGCGCTCGAGCGCTCGCGCGCAGGCTCGGCGCCGTGCCGGGAGCAAGCACGGGCGCGGGGCGCGGGGGCGCCGCAGGGCGGAGGCACGGATGGGCGACGGAAGGGGTGGGGTGACTGCCCGACGGGTGACTACGAGGCGGTGACTACGGGGACGGGCGGCAGCGGAGGCGGGTGGCGGGTGGTATGGAGGGCGGGTAACGGGCTCCGCGGCCGGTGTGGAGCGCCGGGCGGGGCGGTGGGGACGGAGCGATGAGGAGATGGGGGTCCAGGGGAGGGCCGGGTAAGGGCGCGGCCTGTGGGGAGGAGGCCGGGTAAGGGCACGCGGGCGGCAAGAGAGTCCGTAGGCGACAGGGACAGGGAGGGAAGGACGGGGGTGACGAGGGGAGCGCGGGAGGGAGCGCGGGAGGGAGCGCGATGAGGAGAGGCCGGGTAAGAGTGTTGGGAAGTGACAACGAGCTTGGCAGGAATGGCGGCGAGGGGAAGCCGGTAGGGGAAGCCGGGTAACTAGCGACGCCGGGGCAAGAGAAAAGTCCGGGTAAGAGACCGGTCACCGGCGACGTCCGGGTGAGAGGCACGCCCGGGTAACTGGCCGTCCGGGTAAGAGGACGCCCGGGTAAGAGGACGCCCGGGTAAGAGGACGCCCGGGTAACCGGGCGTCCGGGTAAGAGACACGCCCGTCTCCTTCCCATGTCCGCTTCTCCAGAAATCACCGCCTCATCCACCGCCCCATCCACCGCCCCGTCCACCGCCCCATCCACCCAACCCATGTCCTTCGACAGACCCCAAACCTATGCGGCCCCGGTCCTCGCCGGCGAAGACGTGGGCGAGAACGACAACTCCGAGATCGTCCGCTCCTTCCACAACTTCGTCCTCGAGTTCCGTCTCGACGCGCACTTCGTGTATCGAGAACAACTCCGCAGCAACCTGCTCGTCCGCAACTACCTGCTCACCGTCGACACCGCCCACCTCATCGGCTACAACGAGGACCTCTACAAGCGCCTGTGCGACGAGCCCACAGACGTGCTGCCCCTCTTCGAGCACGCCATCACCCAAGTCGCCCGGCGCATCGCGCTCTTGGCGCGCGACGCCTCCGCCGACCCCGGCGCTTCTGCGGACGCCACCGCTGCTGCCGCTGCCGCCGCCGCCGACGAAGTCCCCACTTGCCAACTGGTCCTCGTCTCAGACGCCTCCGAGACCGCGCTGCGTTCGCTGGGCTCCGAAAACGTTTCGCGCATCGTGCGCGTGAGCGGCATCGTGGTGTCCGCGTCCGTGCTGTCCTCGCGCGCCACTTTCCTAACACTCATGTGCCGCAACTGTCGCCACGTCACCACCTTGCGTCTCAATAGCTTTGGATCCCTCGCGGGCGGTAACGTGTCGCTGCCGCGTGCATGCATGGCCGACCATTCTCAAGAAGCAGGCGCCAACCCTTGCGGCCAAGACCCGTACATGATCGTCCACGAGTCCTCCCGCTTCGTCGACCAACAGTTCCTCAAGTTGCAAGAAATACCAGAACTCGTCCCCGTGGGCGAGATGCCCCGTAACATCCTCATGTCCTGCGACCGCTACCTCACCAACCGCGTCGTCCCCGGCACCCGTGCCACCATCGTCGGTATATATTCCATTTACCAAGCCAAGAGTCGTTCCGCGGGCACTTCCGGTAGCGGCGGCCGCGCGGTCGCTATCAGAAACCCCTACATCAAAGTCTTGGGCATCCAAACCGCTATCGACGGCAACCACATGGGCAACCTGGGCATGTTTTCAGAAGAAGAAGAGGAGAAATTCCTGACTTTGAGCAGACGTCCCGATCTCTACGACGTATTCGCTCGTTCCATCGCTCCAAGTATCTACGGCAATGACGACATCAAACGCTCCATCGTTTGTCTCTTAATGGGTGGGTCCAAGAAATTGTTGCCCGACGGAATGCGTCTAAGGGGTGATATCAACGTCTTGTTGTTAGGTGACCCCGGTACTGCCAAATCCCAACTGTTGAAATTCGTCGAAAAAGTAAGCCCCATCGCCGTGTACACCTCCGGTAAAGGTTCCTCTGCAGCCGGTTTGACTGCGTCCGTTCAGCGGGACCCCGCTACACGCGAGTTTTACTTGGAAGGCGGCGCCATGGTCTTGGCAGACGGTGGTGTGGTCTGTATCGACGAATTCGACAAGATGCGTGACGAGGACCGTGTGGCCATCCACGAAGCCATGGAACAACAAACCATTTCCATTGCAAAGGCCGGTATCACCACCGTTCTGAATTCCCGTACTAGTGTGCTTGCAGCCGCAAATCCAATCTATGGTCGTTACGATGATCTCAAATCCCCCGGTGAAAACATCGATTTCCAATCGACTATTTTGTCCCGTTTCGATATGATCTACATCGTCAAGGATCACCACAACGAGGAAAGAGATATATCCATCGCCAACCACGTTATGAACATTCACACCGGGAGATCAACTGCTTACGACGAGGAGCAAGAATCCTCCGGTGCTGAAATCCCCATCGATCTCATGAAACGTTATATCACCTACTGTCGCATGAAATGTGCTCCTCGTCTTTCCCCTCAAGCTGCTGAAAAATTATCGTCCCACTTCGTTGCCATTAGGAAAAGGTTGCTCATCAATGAATTGCAAAGCGAGCAAAGATCCTCCATCCCCATTACCGTTCGTCAATTGGAAGCCATCATCCGTATTTCAGAATCTCTGGCAAAACTCGAATTGAGCCCAGTTGCCCATGAGCGCCACGTAGATGAAGCTATTCGATTATTTCAGGCGTCCACTATGGATGCAGCATCTCAGGACCCAATCGGAGGTATGGGCCAAAATCCAGACTTGGTACAAGATGTGAGGCGTATTGAAGAAGAGCTCAAGAGGCGGTTGCCTGTGGGCTGGTCCACAAGCTACCAGACGTTGAGAAGGGAGTTCTGCGAGCAGAAAAACTATGCTCCTGCCGCCCTTGACAGGGCTCTGTATATTTTGGAACGCCACAGTATCATTCAACTGCGACACCAAGGTCAAAACATCTATAGAAGTGGTGTATAATAGTGTATAGTGTAATTCTTGTAATTATAATAAAAAATGTCCTAATACGTAACGGGCACCATATATGTCATAACGTACGAACGTCATGGACTTGAAAAAGTTCAGCTCTTTATAAAGAAAAAAAAGATTCATATTGAAGGAATAGAATCATCTATAGAAAACCCAGTGTTATCCGCTTTATGCCGTATGTCATCCGACCTAGTATATTCGTCTCACCGAATTTCCAAGAACTCACTTACTAACCAACATAATACAGAGAACTCATTGATAGACCTCGCTCTGAACTAACACCGGATGAACTGCAACAGTTGGAGGAGTTTGAATTCAAGCATGGTCCCATGTCCCTTATTAATGACGCCATGGTCGCAAACACACCTGTAATTATCTCCCTAAGGAACAATCACAAAATTATTGCCAGAGTCAAGGCCTTTGATAGGCATTGCAACATGGTGTTAGAAAATGTAAAAGAGCTATGGACAGAAAAGCAGGGCAAAAAAACCATTAATAGAGAAAGATTTATCAGCAAGCTTTTTTTGAGAGGTGACTCGGTGATAATAATTCTCAAAGCACCCGTGTAAAGGTCGCTATATATTTTAATAGGGAAAATTTTGTAATATACTTTGGGAAGACGGGGTACATCCTATTAATTAGTAAGACTATTTAAAGTTTCTAAGTGGGTCAGACTTACCACTTCTTTTACCACCTTTATGTATTCTGCCACGCTTCTTTTGTTGCTTCGCGTTGTGGAATGGGATGAACCCAATTTTCTTTTTGTCTTGCCTAGCGGCCTCGGGTAACAGATAATCTGGAACCCTCTTTAGATGCTGTTGAACTCTAGCAGGATGAAGCTCTTTGTCATGCCTTAAACTTTGCAAATCTTGTGGGTTTTCTTCAAAATGCCTCTTAAGTTTGTCACTGGTCAATAGCTCTTGTTTGAGCTCTTTAACACGTGCTTCCCTTACCGCCACCTGTGTGACGGCACGGAATCCATCTTCCATTCTGTACCGAAATCCTTCAATTTGTTTCACGTCAAACGAGTAGGGTTGAATTTCAAAACCCAACTTGCTTTGTTGCTTGATAATTCTGCTCAAAATCTTCTCATCTTTCTTAGCAGTTCGGCACATTGATGGCTTGTGCTTGCCAAATTCTTTGAGAGGAACAACAAATGAGATTGCAGTTCCAGATTTTCCAGCACGCGCTGTTCTACCTATTCTGTGGACATAAGATTTAGCGGTAGTAGGTAAATCGAAGTTTAACACACACGCAACGTTTTTGAAGTCAACACCACGCGAAACACCGTACTCTTTATCCTTTTTAATTTGGGTTCTTTTCTTCTTTTCCTTTTTCCCCTTTATTTCGGCCTCTGAGTTCGTCGCTTCTGCTTCTGCTGGCACATTGCCCTGGTCATCATCCTCCTCTTCTTCATCTTCTTCCTTAATGTATTCCGTATCGTCTGTGGCAATAAGCAATTGATATACGTTCTTATTGAATTCTTCGACAATGTGCTGCCTTGAATTAGCTGGCAATTCACTATTCAAAATGCAAGACTTAATGCCAAATTGTTCCAAGACTAGCTTTAGTCTGTATCCTCTATCTATATCGTTCACAAATATTAAAGTCTTTCCCTTGATCAAGCCTAACTTGAATATGACATAGCACAGAAGAAATTTGTCAAACTCACTAACCTTAACATAGTATTGTACTAACTTTGTTTGATCTTTGTTGATCTCGTCTTCATTTAGTTTTAAAATTGCAGGTGACCGACAGAATTGTTGCTTTAAATCTTGAATATCATCATTCAAAGTAGCACTCATTAAAAAGGTTTGTAAATTTTTCTTAAGAGGCAAATAACGTGCGATCTTCATCAAATCCTCCTGATAACCAAACGTGAGAACTAAATCTACTTCGTCTATCACCAAAAATTTCAATTCCTCTAGTGACAGAGAGTTCACTTTGGTGTCTAAAACATTTAGTAATTTTGCCGGTGTGGAGATGATTATTTCCGGTCCTTCGAGTAGCAGCGAGTTTAAAACGGAGTCTGAAAGATTTGAAGATAAATTCAAGCAATGTACATCCTTAGAGCAGAATAATATCAGCTTTTCTAATACTGTGAACACTTGTTGCGCAAGCTCCCGGGTGGGGACAAGAATAATGCCCAACGTGCTCGTTTGCCCAAATTTGCTGTCACTGGACAACGCTTTCTTATATTCTAAAATTGTTTGAACAACTGGTATCAAATAAGCTAATGTTTTACCGGAACCGGTTGACGCTTTTGCAATTATATCTCTTTTCTCTTGTAAAGCTAGCGGGATCGCACTCGATTGAATTAAAGTCGGATTGATAAAACCATTATTCTTGATGGACTGTAATAATCTAGAATCTAATTGAAAGGACTCGAATGTAACGGCATCATCGATGTATGCCGCCGAAGCGATCTGATCTGAGCTCATTGTCAATTCTTCAGATGTTCTATAGGCCGAAAGTGATGAGATGAGCATTGGAAAATTTTATTTCCTGCTTATTTTCTTTTTAACGTATATAATGATACATAGAAACAATGGAAATTCTTAACATAGTGGTGCGACCAAATCAGTACCAATATTCAATATACTCTCTATCCTACCCTTCAATGGATTTGAATTACACTCATCGACTGTCATTTTAGTCATGTTGACGTGTGCCGAGTTTTTTCCAATGGTGATTACCCCTTGAACATCTTCATTCACACTATCTTTGTTCAGAAGTAAAGTAAAACAATCTCCAAACTGTTCTTTAAATAAACGTGCAACTTGTTTGATTTTCCATAACTCGTTATGTTCCTCATCATGGCCATGCTCACATTTATGGCTACTCCTTTTAATACTTGCCGGGGACGAGTCTACACTTAGCAGAATGGCCATCACACTATCAGCCACGCTGTCACTCATAATGCTCTGAGACCACTCAAGCGTCGCCACGTTGTCAATAATATTCAGTTTGACATCACCCATGATTCTAAGCTCTAATTCTTGACTCGATTTTTTGTTATCTTCTGAGTTCTCTTGTGGATTTATATCTTTCGAGTGCGTGATCCCTTCGTCATCTATAAGCACTTCAATGTCCCCAAACATTTGGCACAGATGCCAATATATAAGTTCATTTTTGCAATCAACACGAATTGTTTGACGCTCTTTTAGTACTGTAGTAGATAAATCCATATGGTGGTCTCTTAAATCAGAGAGAGATACAAGATTCAAATCGAAGTTCTTTTCATCTGAAACCAATATCCCCGAAACTATAGTTTCCTCCTCGTCAGCCTTCTTCCCACCGTCTTCCAATTGAATAACATCTTTCTCCTCAGACTTTTCCCCACTAAAAACGTTTATCTTGGAGGTCAGAACATTGGTTACCTCATCTACGATATTTCCAACGGCTTTTGCAATTTTAATCCCCTTGAACTCTAAGTCGACTGCCACACAATTCCTTGGATTGAAAACATGAACTTCAGTTTCGGTACCTTTCAAGGACGCAAAATTAGATAGTAATGCAGATTTCAAACGCCCCATTGGATTGGACTCACCATGAACTAAAATAATATTCGTGGCCCCAATCTTTTCGATGAACTCCAAGTTTTCCCTGAAATCGACATGTGCAGCGAATGAAATTTCTTCAACCTGACAGCGCCGGGGTATGGTCATATCAGGATTATTGATTGAGGGTATTGTATCAGGTTCCAACATTATAAACTTGGCCATAGTTCCCTCTACCGAATAACCCGTTATCAAAACCAAATTTTTGTCGTCAGGACACCATTTTTCAAGCAAATCTCTTGAAAGACCATTTTGAAGCATACCAGGAGATGCTAGCATCACGCTAGGGCCAAAGTCTTGAAACTCATCCAAATTTTTCAGGTACGAAATGTTTTTGAAAATAAATGGGTTAGATTGGGAATCCCTAAATTTCTTCCGAATATCATCATTCATCATATTCACATATGTCTGGAAGACACTCATACATTTCCTAGCCAAGTTTGAAGCATAGAATATTGGAACCTGGCCGTTTGCCAACTCATTGGCATGTTGTGACCAGTATTCGTCTAAGATTAACATGATCTCTTGTGCTCGACCTAATGCAAACACAGGCAATAATACACGCCCACCTCGCATTACGGTCGAATGAATTAGTTGTGTTAGCTTTCTTTCCCTATTGACGCGAGGTTCGTGAGTGGCTGTTCCAAAAGTGGACTCGACTATTAGAACATCTGAGGGCAAAGGAGGAACTTCAGCTGAATTTAGGTGTCGATCAACTTCTCTCGAATAATCACCTGTGAAAAGCACCCTTAATCCTGCAATCTCAATTTGAAACATCGCAGCTCCTAGCACGTGTCCAGCATGGAAGGCCGTGAATTTTATACCATTAACGTCCATTGTGGAATGATAATCAATCGTTTCTATTCGGTCAAACGACTCTGCTAAATCTTCGTCGCTGTATAGATTTTCATCTTTATCAAGCGGTGAAGTTGATCCGATATTAGTCACTTTAACAAAATCGCTGAGCAACCATCTATAAATGGCTTTGGTAGGGTGTGTCATGAATACTCTACCATGAAAATTTGTACGCTGCATAACATAAGGAAGAGATGCGGCATGATCCAAGTGGAAATGTGAAATAAGTAAAATATCCACCGTTGAAAGGTCAAACTCGTCATAGAAAGGGAGGGAAGCTAAACCCTGATGTGCAGGGTGTACACCTGCGTCTAGCATTACTGTTTTGCCCTTGTATTGCAAAATGTGACATGAACGACCAACTTCATTACTTCCACCAAGTCCAAAGAAGCGAAACGAGGTTTTGGCGACTTGCTCTTGCTCCATGAGTTCGATTGTGAAATGTTCGATACAATCTGCTTATGCACTTTTAATCACAAAAATTATCTCTCAAAGTTCGTTCCTTCACGAGAGATGCTTTGGAGTCTGGGGCGTTTAACTGTAAAAGTTGGAGGATGCTATGGAATTTTGAAGGCGAAGAGTTAGGGAATCGGTGCGCAGCGATTGATTCAAGTTAGTAATAATGTAACTTGAATTCTAACGTAAAATAATCTCTAGTTCAATGCTTGAGGAATGACTGGCCACTTACAGAGTGAACGATATCTATGATCTCTACCTGATGATTACAATGAATGCTGTGTTATATTTCTCGATTTCTATTCAAAAAATTTTGGTCTGCTGATACCGAGGGAATACCGAGGACATTTTGCATACCGTCGATATAATATTACCATTGCAAGCGCAAATCATATGAGGACCTTTCACAAAGGCCACAAGAACCAATTATAACCGTCTACCTACTATTTTATATAGAGCTTACCATAGATTAGAGATACCATCACGATTGTTAGCTTCTGTCTAGGCTAAGAATCCGTAATCATCGTTTACCGTCCAAAATTCCTCTACTGGCATTCCAAAGACGGTGTCCACTTGAGCACCACTCTGAATTTGCTGAGAATTGGACACATCATTAGTTCTTTGGGCTTGTTGTGAGGGGTAGTTTGACAGATCTTGTGATTGCGAGTTACTACGGCTCTGATTATCTGCTCTCCAATTACCCTCAGCAGGGAGTATATTCAAGTGGTTTTCTGAAGTTTCATTCCTACCTCCCATCAGATTATTTTTGTTTGTGCCGTTACCCATCATGTCATTTGCAGAGGAAGACACTTCCTGTTCAGGGTGTCTGGTGTTAATTAGCTCTGCAACCGAATCATTCGTCCACGAGGAAATATTGTTAATCATTGTGTGTGCGCCATTATTAAATAGAATTTCACCTGCATCCAGAGAATTTGGAGAAACGTTTGATATTGGACGTTGTAAGAATGAAGGAGAATTCAACGGACTGACTGCCATGTTACCCATAACGCCGAAGTTCTGATTCTGCACCGCCCGTGCGTTTTCGTGGTCCCATGCAGACGAAGAATTTTCGGTTGATGGTGGAATTTGCTTCAGCTCATTTACTACACCTGTTGCCCCACTGATCGTTGACGCAGATGGAATTTGTCGATCCAGAGTATTGTTTTCTTGGACAGATCCATATGGAGGTAAGCTATAGCCAGTAACTTCCGAAGTAATCTTTTTGTTCAAAGAAGCTAAGTAAGCTTGAAGAGTTTGCTGTGCATGATGCTGTTGTAAAAATGCTTGTTGTTGAAACCCTTCCCAATCAGATTCGCTTATGTGCGGTGGCTTTTTTACCATATATTTATCCTTTTCCTTTTGTCGCAAAGAGGTTGCTGGCTTTTTCCGTTCAGGGGTTCCTTTAGGTAATACTTCATGTTCTGGCTCTTCGTCTTTCACCAATAAATAGGATAATTTCTTGGGGACGGCAACCTTTTCCAAATCGCCCTGCTTCTTCTGCAATTCCCTTTGTTCAGCAGGATCGATTTGTGAATTTTCAACAAAACCTACATGCTCGTTCGCTTGAAATTTACCAAAAGTTCTCCTAATCGCCGGAGGCATACCTTCCTTTTCCGGTTGATTCAATAGGTTGTTCATATCTCGACCTAAATTCTCATCATTAGTTTCACATGGTGTTATATCCGCTTCACTGCTGGACGAGGTAGCAATATACACCAACTCAGCAGAATCTGGGCCACACCGCTCAATCAGATTTCCTATGGTAGCGTTCATCAACTGATCAAATGTGTCACGAAATATTATGGCAAACTTTGATCTTTCTGCCATAACATATAAACAAACGGAGCAAGCTCTCAAGTCATCTAAAGTCGAAAATAAGCTCGGGCTTATGAGAGGTCTCGTATGTTTTGAATCATCACCTAATTTTCGCCTCCTTTCATCGTCAAGGTTCCTTGCCAGCCACATGCAGTAGATTAACGTAACTCCCGCAACAAATACCGTGTGAACAGCAGGAGTAGAATGTCCATACACAGTTTTCTGGTGAAAGATTTTGTAAAGCTGGCAAATCTGCCCAGCTGCCGCTTGGCATTCTCTGAAAAGCCTATCTTCCGGCTCTAGGAGCTCCAAATAAGGCTGAATCAAAAGCCTTACAGACCTGTAATAATACAACTTCAACGTTTCGTTTTCGAAATTTCGAACATGTGATGTAGAGCAGTTTGATCGCCACACCTCTAAATCGTGAAAGAACTTCTTTACGAGCGGCAGTTGCTGGGCCAGCTCAGAAGTTGTTCTTACTGTCTCACCTCTGACAGGAAATTGGGGGATACTCTGCAAGGTTTCAACAAATTCGGATTCTATGCGTCTCAGTTTGAGCGACTGATTAATAAAATGGACGCCTCTTTTATGTCTTTTTTGATGACTGATTGAGTTAGTATTAAAACTATCTTCATTGAAAAACGGCAGGTCAATTTCAGATTCAGGAATAGTGTAAGGCTTTCCAACCGCCACACATATCATTCTTTCAAGGAGGTAAACGCACCAAAAGAGCCTTAGCTTTTTGTTTGCAAATGTATCCTGGGGATTCCACTTGTTAAGGAACAGCTTATCCTTGCATATAGCCATAACATCCCCAATAATCTCATAAAGATCGATGGAATCCCTATCGGTTCTGATGATGTAAAGGACTAGTAGTGTAAGTACCTCGACCTGTTGAATATAGGTCAAGACTGACCCGCATTTGGTGATATGGCGTATGGCCGTCGAAAAATAACGGTTTGGAGGCAAGCCACGATATTTTCCTGTCGACTTGTGCAGACAAGCACTTATGCTGAAAATAAGCCACATTCTACCACAAGCAAAGTGAAATTCTTGAGTAGAATACGAGTGGACATTGTTACTGATATAGTCTTTGTGGAAAGAGTAAATTTCTTGTTCGTCAAGTAGGGGGTATTTGAACTGAAGTCGCGTAAAGTAAATATCGAGGAATGCTCTGGATAATTGTTCTTCGAACTCAAACGCCGGATCGTACCGCAGAAATTCTTTTAGATTGTATTTTGCGAAAATACATTTCGAGAAGTCTATACTTTCGAGTGTATCCGTCGATAACGCCGCAAGGGACGTTGGCGGTTGAATGTTTGGAGGTGTTATAAGTGCCTTATTTACCAAATTCTCACCAGTTAGAGGGAAAATTTTTGGTTTCTGAGGCGGGGGGAGAATAGGAGATGATGAAGAGGATACTGGTGGAGCCATGCTAGGATCCGTGTACATCACTCTTTGTAGCAGTGGAAGTGTATCCAGATTACCATCGCCAGTGTCTAGCAGATGCGCAATTCTTTTATAATTGGAGAGTTTGTTCTTGAAAGATGCCCCATTTGGAGGTAAGTCTAACATTTTTTCGAGGTATTTCAGTTTCTTTTCGAGGAAACGTGCATACTCATCCTTCCCGTCCTTATTGTTTCTCGTTTGCGAAGTATTTGGTGCTGGAGTTTGTTGGGCAGAAATGCTAGATTGGGGAGTTTTTGTTACATATTTTGCAGGCTGTATACACTTAACAGCAGCTTTTAGACATGCTGTGCAGCTCGGAAGTTTATGATCGCATCGCCGCTTCCTTCTCTGACAAAGAAGACATGAACGCGATCTTCCTTTCTTATCTTTCAACAACAGCTCCACATCTTGCCCTGCTTCCTCTAGCTCGGACTGAAATCTTTCGATATTCTCCTGGCTGACTCTTTTGGGAGGGCGTCCCATAATCCACTCTACTTTATTTCTATATTGATGGTACCTTCTTAGTGACTGTTTTTGAATTTTTCGGGATCTCACGTTGGCGCACTTGCGAAGAGAGGTCATCATCTGACAAAAAGGTACATTTTTAAACGCATATAGTTGCGATGATACAAAATAAAACTACACTACCCTTGCCAATTTGTTTAAAACATTCCTGAATGAAAGCATTCAGTATGATTACACAGGCAAGGGACTATGAAATTGTGATGCCCGTGAGGTTTTCAAGTCACGAGACTTGCAATTTATGGCCTCTTGTAGAAAATCACTATGCATTTCCTTGACATTAATCTAGGTTTCAATGCGTTCACTAAGCAATTGCTTGGGGACAAGAACGTGTTGGGAATTATGCTTCAGAGGCAGCTTCATTTCTAACTGAGAAAGGAGTGCACAAGTCAAACTTCATGTAAAAACAAAAAAAAATGACGTTCTCTGGAGACATAAAAATGCACCACTTGTTAGCTGATGGTATCTTAATGTGTATTTTTGGACCTTCCGTTAAAAGAACGTAAAGGCTAGCTTGGTGCGACCTTTTGGAAGCAAGAGCGATTCCAACGACTGAAGAGTTTCTCTTCAGCCAAAAACCTGAATGAACGTTAAAATACTACTTGTCGCCTGCCTGAGATAACAATTCAAGTTTGGAATAATTAAAAATCCCAATAAGTCAAGGTTGTGTAAGTCGGAATAAAATTTCTTCCTCCTCTTTGATTCTTTTAAGTTCTTCGGCTCTTTTTAGCTCCTTGTGCAATGAATGTTTTTCTTTGCTTTTCCGCTCCTTGCTCCTTTTGCTCTGTTTTTCCCATGCCAAGACGGCAATTTCTCTTTCGATTGGATTACCGCCATTCTTCCATTGTGCAATCTTAAAGGCCATCTTTTCTCTTGCTATGTGTCTATTTTGGGTTCTGGATCTTGTCTCTTGACATTCTACTACAATCCCACTTGGAATATGCTTGAGCTGGACCTTACTGTTACACTTATTGATCTTTTGACCGCCAGGACCTCGTCCTCCGTGTAGAAATTTCTCTTCGAACTCAGATTCCATCTCATCGGTAAGTTTAGGTCTTGGTGGCAGTTTGCTTTTCTTGATAGAAACACAGGAATTTAGATGGAAATATCTTTTCAAGAAAGATAATCTCAGCATTAGTGGGCAGTTTCAATAGTTATGGCAAACGTGGTGTCCGTATTTAGTTTTGCATTTGACTATCATTACTCCACGAATTAAAATTATGTTCTAGTTATAGTAATGGTGTCTGGGTTATTCAATGTTAAGTAAATGATCCTGATATTCAATTGAATACTCGTGAGAATTGAATTTGAACAATCAACTTATAGCAAATTCTAGCCGCCTTCTTCATTTGCTTTCACATAAGTGGGTCGATTTTCTGATAAAGTTGGTAGTTTGACTATAATAGTTTCTACTGAGTTTGAAGAGGCTTCGATTGTCAATACCCAAAGAAAAGCATTATTCGCCATCGCCACCGGAAGTTAACTTAGTGGAAAACGGAACGATTGCTTAAGTCGAAGACTTGATGAAGCTTTTACTCCGGTACGGAAAATTTACCAGACAATTATATCGCAGTGCCACACTTCTCACAAAAGTGGGCCCCACTAATTCAGCGCAATTCACTAAAGGTTTGGAAAATAGCATTAACAAGGATGATTTGCCCGGGAATCTAATCAACAAGCTACCAGAGGAGCTTATATCTGAAGGGAATGGACTTAAGTCGACAACAGCTGAGAATCAACTGGACACATTAAAGTATTACAATGACTTAATACAGAGTGGTTTTAGCCCAAAACAGAGTACGAAAGTCATAGAACTACTTTTGCAGACCCTCAATGAAGAATTTTTTGAAACTTACAACAAGAAGTTTCTACGAAAAATGGAACTTGAAAATCAGTCCCATTTGTTCAATGCAGCTGAGACAGAACTACGGTATGCTATACAAATCTCCCGTGAAACAGCGCTAAATGAACAAAACTTAAAGCTGACAAAGCTAAACAGAGATCTTCAACTTCTTCATGATGATCTCAATGAGTTACTAATTAATTTGTTGAAGAAGGACTCAAGAGTCGATTTTAATGATCATAAAATCGAAAACACATTACTTCATCGTAACATCAATTTAACTTTAAAGGACTGCAACAACAAGATTGGAACGAGAATTATCGGTAACATGAAATCAGAAATAGAAAATCTGAGGTGGCAAACTACTAGAAGTGGTCTTTTTGCTGTCCTTGTTTTGGTTTTCTTTATTATGAGCGGAGTTAGTATATCCAAGCGTATCGCAACAGATAACGATAAGCCAGTAGAAGTAATTCTTCACACAATCGAACCAGAGGAGAGCTCTGAAAACGAAAGTGGCGAACAACAGTTATCAGATGGTGAGGATCGATAATGTATGGTTTCATGAATTACACAGGGTGATACATATGCCAGATGAAAAAAACGAGTTTACATCTTGTGTCTTCTTTCTTTCTTACTCAATTGTTTGAATTTTTCTTGAGGGATACCTTTGACCCAAAAGTCCAATGCGTCGCTAACTTCGTCAACGTTTGCACGTTTCAATTCACTTTCAAATGGCCTTTTCAACAGCTTTTTAATCCCAATGATGCTGTCTTTATACAGATGTTGTGTTCGTTCTCGCAAATCCTCGACCACCTTTTTGTTAAATTCGTTGGTGTCCTTCATATTGTAATTTTTTATGATAACTTTGCCAATCATGTTCTCGAAGGTGACGGGTTTGCCAAACGTCAGAATTTCATTTGCAACATTGTAGCCCAGCTTCAAAGGCAATGTGACGGACAATGCGCCCTCGCTTACCAGTCCCAGAGTGGTAAATGGAAACAAGAGATAGACGGAATCATTCATTGAGTATACAATATCACATAGCATGACAATTGTTGCTGAAAGGCCCACCGCAGGCCCATTAAGACAGCATATCAAGAGCTTGCGATGATTTGAAAATATCTGTGTCACGAATAGATTACGACTAACAAATTCAGATAACCATTTCCCTGTTTCGCCAGAGGCGCTCTCGGACTTTTGGGCTTTTCCGATATTCGACACGTTCGCCCCCGAGGAAAAAAATCGTCCACTACTTTGCAGAACCGTAAAGTAAATTGCATCGTTACGATCTGCCTCTTGTAGTAAAGTGGCCAGGTAGACGTAATCTTCCCCAGTCATGGAATTCAATGTATTTGGGTCATTTAAACTAATAATGAAGTACTCACCACTGATTTGATGACTTATCTTCGACGAGCTCCGTGTCATTCTTTTTTAGGTTATGGTTTACTGCAGTACAATTGTGCCATTTTCAGAGGAGCCTCACCATTTGTTTTATACTTGATTGAGGTAACTTCTCCAACTCAAGCAGTTGCTGACCTCCACATTTACACGTACCGTATATACTGATTTGAGTTCTCCCGTCGAAAAATTTATCTCGAGCTCATCGCTCTTTTCCATGGCCTTTCAGTTATTCTCGAAGCGAGCATCAACATTAGTGGAAGAGTACTTCAATGTCTGACGTAGAATCATTCATTCAAAGTGATTTGTTTGAAGAGCCTGAAGATTTTTACAAGCCACCACCGAAACCTCATTTTGCGTGTTATGAAAGAGAAGAGATTTCTCCGGAGTCTATGTCTCTGAAAAAAAATGTGAAGCTGCGGTTGGTTGGCTCGTCGCCACTATGGGGGCATTTACTTTGGAATGCGGGTATATACACCTCCAAACACCTTGATAAACATCCTGAGCTTGTCAAGGATAAATTCGTCTTGGAGCTGGGCGCTGCGGGAGCCCTTCCTTCCTTAATTTCCGGCTTAATTGGAGCACGCAAATGTGTAGCCACTGATTATCCCGATCCTGACCTGTTAGCGAACATTCAATATAATGTGAATGAGCAGCTTTACGCTGGAAAGGAGCTGCCGCAAGAGGGCAAGGATCTAGAAGCAGAGTTAGAGAAGCGAAATGTAGTGGTTGAGGGTTACATATGGGGCAATGAATTTGATCCGATTCTTGCACATCTCCCTAAGAAGTCAGATAAGTTTGACCTCATCATCTTGAGTGATTTAGTCTTCAATCATACAGAACACGAGAAGCTCCTTAAGACAACAAAGGAACTATTAGCTGAGAACGGTAAAGCATTGGTTGTCTTCTCTCCTCATAGACCATGGCTTCTGAACGCAGACTTGGCTTTTTTGAGACCGCCAAAGAGTTTGGTTTAACCCCTGAAAGAATTGAGATGGTAAATTGGAAACCTATGTTTGAGGAAGATGAAGAAACTGTCGAAATAAGGTCTCGTGTGTACGCTTATTATTTGACGCACTCAAGTTAAGCATTTGAAGCTTTCATGTTGTAATAAATCTTTCCTTTTATACATTATTACACTTGTATCTATTTTTTACATAGCTTTGACCTAGATTGCAAGTGCGTCGACCCTTTGAAAATTATGCAGTTAAGTGTTGGAGGTCTCATCAGGTTTTGAGATAACCTACTCGAAATCACTTTTCAACCCAGAGAAATTGCAGCTTATTGACACGACGTCTGCAGTGTCATACGCGAAACATGTTGTGCCCGCCGCACACTCTGTGTATACCCAGTCGCCGTAATTGCAGATGGCAATTTTACCATCTGCAGTACAAGAGATTTCTCCATCAAAGCAGGTTGTTTTACCGTTCAAGTCTCCAGCAGCAAACTGCTCATTTAGGGCTATAGCCCTACTATGGGCCCAAGAAGTGGCTGTAGGCGATGGGACACTTGAGGAGCTAGACAGTGTGCTAGTTGGTACTAGCGTTGTAGTCGATCTCTCTTCGGAAAATGTGGTTGTGGCTTCAATAGGCACTGATGAAGACGAAGTGATGATGGCAGAAGATGAACTAGATCCAGTACTTCCGGAGGATAAAAGCTTAGTCGACAGAGTGGTAGTTGGTGTGGTAACAGCTGTTGTAGTAGGTAAGGAAGATGGAAAGTCGCTGCTTGTAGAAGAATCTGAAGTAGTCGACAAAATATGGGAGCTTGAAATAATTTCAGAAGAGGATGGCGAATATGTAGAAGCTCCGGTGGGTGAAGTGCTATGCACCGTGGTGGAAGATAATGCAGTCGAAGAGATCGAAAGACTAGAAGAAATAGAAGTCTCGGTGGAGGTGACCGGAAGCGAGGAAGCGGACGATGCCGTGGATAGAGTTGATGAAGACAAGGTCAGGGAAGTGCTTGTACTTGTCGAGCTAGGAATGGCAGAGGTCACAATTGAGGTGCTGCTAGAAATAATGGAAGAAGTAGTTTGGGATGAGCTAATGGAAGAAGAGGAGGTAGATGAGGCGGTTAAAGAGGTTGCAGAAGTTAAACTTGCGATACTGGAAGAAGAGCTAGTGGAAGTAGTCGAAACTGTAGAACTGACCTCGCTGGAAGCATATTGCTCCAAGATACTCTTCATTTGGGCAACGTAGGTTTCACCGTCTATCTGGTTCGTGAACCCCTGCGACGCATCCCATAGCATAATTCCACCGAAATTGGATGAGGTTGAAATGTTTTTCACAGTCGATTCGATGAGACTCAAATCAGAAATGTAGCCATAACTAGCAGCCGTAGAGGCACCTGGCAATCCAAGGTAAAGCTTTATGTCGGTGTTTGGTGAGATTGTTTCGGCAAAATCCAACCAAGTATCCCAGTTGAATTGTCTGTCAACATCACAGTAGTTGTTGTAAAACTGAATGAATGCAAAATCAACCTTGGAATTTTGTAATAAGTCACCAACGGAAGCATCCGGGTAGTAGCATTGAGGAGCAGCAGAAATGTAGTAATCCTTGGAACCGCTTTCGAAGTACTCTCTTAGTTTTGTAACAAGTGCAGCGTAGCCAGTAGGTTGAGAATTCTCTATATCAAAGTCGAACCCGTCGACAATGGCATCGTCAAATGGACGCTCATCTGCAGAACCACCGCCAAAGGTGTTCCATAAGGTTTCGGCAAAAGTTTCAGCTTCAGAGTCATTAGCGAAACCGTAAGAGCCTGAGGCACCACCTAAAGATAGTAGAACTTTTTTGCCTAAGCCTTGGCAGGTTTTGATATCCTCACCGATCTGCGAGCAGTGAAGAAGGCCATCAGAGAAAGTGTCAGAACATGCAGAGCTAAAATCAAGACTCAAAGGGTCTGGGAAAACGTACAGGAACGATAATAGAACTATGTCAACATCATCGGATTGACAGTAGGTAGCGAGAGACTCTTGAGATCCAGCAGATGCCTGGCCCCAGTATACAGCAACATTGGTCTTGGAGTCAATATCGAATCCTAGAACTGAAACAGCGATCAGAAGAAAAAACAAAGCGAATGAAAACATTAAATGTTATAATGCGGATAAAAGAGTGTAATGGAGTTGGTTTGCGATCTAAAAGTAGCAGAAGATCCCCAAAAATCTGCCCACCCCTTGTGAGTGTGGTTTATATACCAAACTCCCTGGCTTCCATTTGCAGTTTTCAAAGTTTCGAGTTCCGACCAGGCCTACATTGTTTATTTACACTCTGAAAGTTGTTTTGTAAACAATCAATAACCCTTAGTAACGCTTAATGCATTTCTGCTCTAGCCACACCATTTACGGGCCCGCAGCCATATGTAATGAAGCTGGCCAATCAAAATGTAAAAAGAAAAACATCAAGTCCTTTTTGCACGTCTGGATGGGGATTTACAAAACACATTTAGTTATAGGATACTTCTTTGGGGTTTGTTTGTAATGCAACTCTCTACAGAGCTGAGTTTGACCAGCCATTTTTCTTACCGTCACTTTTTGCTGGTTGTGACAGATTTGTGTGGTGTTTGGGTGGTGTCATCATTCAAACCTTCATGAGTATAGATTTACCGATCCTGTGCATTCAAAGACAGCTTGGCTTAAAGCACCAAATAGAAGTTAATCATGTTGCATGGGTTCCTGAAAATCTTGATGCATTGGTCGAATTTAGAACTTTGTTGAGCGTTGCAAGGCTCTTTCGCAGAGAACTTGACATGAGTCTATCTTATTCGACATGAGTCTATCTTATTCGACATGAGGAATGGATTAGCAAACTCGGAAATGATGTATGCTATGGAAATCCGTATAGGTATGCAATAAAATTAGTAATTCTTCAATTTGTGGTCTTATCTGGTTTGTACGATATTCAATTTTGTTATTTTTTAATGTGTATTTACTTTGACAAAAATTTAATTTAGTCAGCAAGATGCAAAAGGTCCCACTGAAACCCAAAGCCCAAAAGTGGTAGAATTATTAACTTTAGAACACCTCAAATTTGAACATGAAGACTTCTCAAGGGTAATTTAGTAAGCGCGGGTGAATTGCTTCTTGAATATTAAAACTCAATAAAAATAAACCAAGAGGAATATAAATTCCAAATGCTCTTCCTACGGCAGTTTATTCACCTCAAAATGAAGATTCTTGATCCTTGAAATTAACAGCGAGTTAAAACTATGAAATATATGCCTTGATGGATTCTGCTTATACCTAGCACTAGATCTTCCCTATACTAAAATCACTATCGACGAAATAGTGAAAAGGGGTAACACAGATGAACTTTTTCAGTAGCTGCGATAAAGTTCGAGTTTGATATTCTCAGAAGCCAATTGTCAGAGGCGGCGGCAGATCCCTTGAATTTGAAGCAATCAGTCTCAGTTAATCACTTTTAATTAACCATTGCTACACCAATGGGCCTTTTGAGTTCTGACGACAAGGAAAAGATCAAAAGAGCACTGCCCAAAGCAGCTAACAAAATCATTGATGTTACCGTCGCTCGGTTGTACATTGCATATCCAAATCCTCAGGAATGGCAGTACACAGGCCTTTCAGGAGCCATTGCGATTGTTGATGATATTGTTGGGCACACCTTTTTTCTGAAGCTGGTAGATATTAGCGGCCATAGGGGTGTTCTATGGGACCAAGAGTTATACGCAAACTTTGAGTATAATCAGGACCGCACGTTCTTTCATACTTTTGAATTAGAAGATTGCTACGCTGGTCTCCTTTTCGAAAATATAGAAGAGGCAGCTCATTTCCTGAAAAGGGTTCAAAAACGTGAGAAATATGGTTCGAAGAAGACACTGTCAAATAAGAATGCTATAGCATTGACCAAAAAGGTGCAAGAAGAACAGGCATCCCATACAATTCATGGGCCAAGAGGCGAGTCTTTGATAAGCGACCAAAGGCAGAGATATAAGTATGATGATGCTGAAGAAATACCTTCCGGCAGGAAAAAAGCACCTCCACCACCTCCACCAGTTGATACAAGCTCAACATTCGATTCTTTCACAGCCAGTGCAAAAGAAGATGAGTATAGTGGGAGTGATTTTACGTCTGACTACACCTCAGCTTCGAATACACCAGCTCCACAAGAACATCATACGAAGCATGCACTACCGCCCCTTCCAGCGCAATTTTCGCATCAGCCTTCTAACCCTCCAATACCTTCGGTCCCAGCACCACCAGCGCCACCAACACTACCAGCTCAAGGAGCTCCATTCCTTACATCACAACCGTCAGCACCCCAAACATCACAAAATCACTCCGCTGCATCACCGTACTCATCATCCGCTGCCGTCCAAAATCCGTCAGCCCCACAGACACCAAACAATCCTTTCCCGATGCCAATTCCTCAAACGCAAAACAACTCTTTCCCAATGCCCATCCCACAAGCGCAAAACAACTCTTTCCCAATGCCAATCCCACAGCCCACCCACTCTCAACCAATTCCTCCACCTTTCTCACAACAAACAAGGCCAACTCCGTCCCTTCCAGGTAATAATCAGAGACCGGTTCCTGGGGTGCCACCGAGAAATAACGGACCTCCGGTTCCTCCTTCGAGGCGTGGACCTGCTCCTCCACCGCCTCCTCGCAGAAGCACAACACACCAAGCAGGACTCCAACCACAGCCAGCGGTTCCAAGCCGGATTCCCTCAAGTGGGGGAAATAGGCCGGTCCCCCCACCACCTCCCAGGCGAGGCCCAGTACCTCCTCCTCCTCCAAGATCTTCGAGAGGTGCACAGAGTAATAGTTATCCATCAACTGCTCCACAACCATATGCGCCTCAGCAGCAATTCCAACAGCACTCTAATACAGTGCCAGTAAACCAGTCGGGAATCCCTCCCCCACCTGCATTTCCTACACAACCACAAGCATCTGCTCCCGCACCTCCACCTCCACCTCCACCTATGTTTGCCCAGCAAAATTCTGCCCCAGCTCCACCTCCGCCTCCTATGCCACCTCAAGCGACGTCTGCTGCACCACCACCGCCCCCTCCTGCATTTTTATCCCAAGCTCAATCGAATGCATCAGGAGCTGGACAAGGGGGAGCTCAAAGTGACTTTGTGGAGTCAACCGGCGATTCGGGTCGGGACGCCTTGCTAGCATCCATTAGAGGAGCAGGAGGCATTGGAGCTTTACGGAAAACTGACAAATCCCAGCTGGAAAAACCATCTGTTCTGCTTCAAGAAGCCCGTGGCGAGCCACCAGCGACAACCTCCAACAGCGCTTCAACGGGGGGAGCTCCAGGCGGTGCTCCTTCTTCCCTTGCGGACGCTCTTGCTGCTGCATTAAATCAAAGAAAAAGCAAGGTTGGCCATACAGAGGATGATTACGACAATGGCGATGATTGGTAATCTTTTGACTCTGCTGAAAAGTTCGGAATGAGTTAGCCTATGTTAACAACTACTTTAAAAAATGTAGATAACTTAATATACAACGTCATCAATTAACTGCTTTAATAACTAGAGTATCTCAACCTAAACTTTCACGAACCGAATATGAGTCGAAATACTTCCCCTCCCAAACGTCAACCCACTTGCCTCGTTTTGGATCTGTGCCATTGAGTGTTCTTATTATTTGAAGAATCGATTTCAGGGAACTATTCAAAGCTTGCGTAATATCGCATAATTCTTCATCCTCCTTATCGAAATCGGCACCTAGCATGAAGATAGTCGAGATCAGCTCATCAACTTTTTCAGCAACAAGCTTATGCATTCGGTTTAATTTAGATAACTGGGAGGCATACTTTTCTGTGTTTTTGTATTCATGTGATGTGATGGACTTGGAAAATGAGGACAGTAACAGCTTTATCATTTTAAGGTTGGTTTGCCACTGCTTGACGAATTCAATCATATCATCTGACGCCGCCCGTTCATCTCCTGATTCACCTTCTGAAACTTCGTCTAGACCAAAGGGATCATCTGATTCGAGTTGAGGATCCAACAACCAATCCTCTACTTCTAAAAGCGTGTCGTTAAGAAGTTTGATGCTAGTCCGAATTTTCGAGTCCAGAAGACCAAAACTGCCTTGTTTGGCTAACCCAGAAAGTGAATCGCACGAAGCCCACATTTTGCCCACAGAAATTAACCTTACACCATCAGCATCAGGGCTTTCAGCTAAGTTGCTTACTGCTTCAAGCTCCTCCCCTTGTGTCAGCTTTTCGATCTCATCACACATGCCAGAAATACCGTTGAATAAACCCAACACGTATGAGTCGAGTTCATCTATCAAATAATCCGGGTACTTTCCTTTGTAAAACAAGGGCAAAAGACTGACGAGGAAGAATACAGAATTGCTAAACTGCTGCAATTCGTTACAAGCCGCATCCACATTGTCATTGAATTTAGATGGATTGAACACTATACCAACTTTCGTTGAGTGTGCTTTAATGATCTGAGATAGCTTTTGTAGTTCAGAGAGTGGATCCGAATCTACCAGATTCACGTTTGGCTGCAGAAGGTGCAATTGTTCGCGGGTAGAAAATGGATTGAGAAAATCAGTTCTCACAGTAGAAATCAAGGACTTGACATGTTCCCTAGTGAACCCATCGGCCATTGCTGCGACTTTTGCTTACTGGCCAAAGAACTTTCTCTCGATGAGATGACTTCAACATAAAAATTTATCTTATTCCAGTCTGCACGTGAGCAACCATTCTCAGTTAGGCTTCAAGTTATTCATATATTGTCTGACAATTAATGATATAAGACTTTGCTATATAAAGCTAAACGTACATTTGTATTTAAACAGAGTTAGCTTATTGAGAAGATGGAGATGGGTTCATCTTTCTCTTACCGTTAGTCAAAGTAACGTTGACGAATCTTCTGGTGTACAACATTCTCTTGTAAGCACGACCCTTTGGTTGCTTTGGCTTTTCTTGCTTTTCAACCTTTGGAGTTTGAGACTTAACCTTACCAGCACGAGCTAGAGAACCGTGAACTTTAGCCTGTTAACTCAGTTAGTAAATGTGATTTTGCAGATGCCTTAGAGACAGAGAGCAGTCGAATGCTAAAATGAACGATGAATGAAAAAACATTATCTTGTCCCTCCTTTCTCTCTTGCGATATCAGTGTTATCTCTGCGATGATAATCTCGGTATAAGATTGATCGTTTAGCAGGATACTGGTGGACAGTGTATCGAAGCTCTTCAAAATTCATTAATGTGCGTCCATTAGTATCAGCTGTTATAACCTATGCTCAAATTCGAGTTCCTTTCCATCTTGATACATTCTTATGTTTTCCTGCTCTTCCTGATATCATAAAACTTCCTCCATTCCTCGTAATTCCTACATTCATCTATAACATAACTCAAGTCTCCCACGGCATTTATCAACACTTCAACGTACCATTTTGTTTTAGTTTGGTATTCTTACTGTAGTAGTAGAACGTTTCCAAAGTTGCAATAGTCCTAAGTCCTTTCCAGTGGATAGTGAATATCGAGAACCAGCAATCTGTTGCTGTCAAAAAACGTTCAAAAAATTTCAAACAAAACATCTGTACATATTAGTAACAAAAAGGTACGGATGTAAAGTCAAATAAAAATGAATGCCCTAACATCAGGGCTTGTTAAATGGTGTATGAAAAAATTTTGGTACGTGACCCATGAAACTCTATTAAATTAATAGGAAGAGTCATCAATAGGTGATTACAGTCCCCTGCATATAAGAGCACTTAGAAGAAACACCCACTGAAAAGCTTGTATTTAGAGGCACAAAGAAATATGTCACTTGAAAGAGAAGAACCTCACTACTTTGGAGCTGGCCCGGCGCAATTGCCAACTAACGTGCTTCAACAAGCCGCTAAGGATTTGATCAATTACGCAAATGTTGGTCTAGGGATCGGTGAAATCTCCCACCGTTCCAAAGAAGCTGCCCAAGTGATCGAAAACACCAAGGCTAATCTGCGGAAGCTGATGAAGGTTCCAGAAACTCACGAGGTGTTCTTTATGCAAGGTGGTGGAACCACCGGGTTTTCATCGCTTGCCACCAACTTGTCCGCCGCGTTTGTCGGTAAGCATGGTATTACAGCCCCTGCTGGGTATCTTGTAACAGGTTCATGGTCATCTAAGTCATTTGAAGAAGCTCAGAGGTTAGGGATCGATGCGGAGGTGCTGGTCAACGCCAAAGACTACAACAACGGAAAGTTTGGCGTTATTCCACCTGAAACTGCGTGGGCTGACAAACTAAAGGCGAAGAAATACTCTTACGTTTATTTGTGTGAAAATGAGACTGTTCATGGTGTTGAATGGCCATCTTTGCCTAAGGCTTTGACAGACTCCGATATCGAAATTGTTGCCGATTTGTCGAGTGACATTATGTCTCGTGAGATAGATGTATCAAAATACGGTGTCATAATGGCTGGCGCCCAAAAAAACATCGGTTTGGCAGGCCTAACCATCTATATCATCAAAAAGTCCATCTTGGATGATATCTCCGCTGCGTCTGACGATCAACTCCGCGAAGCTGGCATCCCAATCACTCCAATTGCGTTCCATTATCCAACCGTAGTTAAGAATAACTCTGCGTACAACACCATCCCAATATTTACTTTGCATATCATTGACCTGGTGCTGCAGAATTTACTAAAGAAAGGTGGCGTCGAGGCTCAGCAGAAAGAGAACGAAGAAAAAGCCAATCTTCTATACGGTGCACTTGATAAACACTCAGACTTCTACAATGTGCCGGTCTCGAAGTCCTGCAGATCCAAGATGAATGTCGTATTCACCTTGAAGAAGGATGGCTTGGATGACAAATTCTTGAAGGAGGCAGGCGCTCGTAAATTAACGGGTCTTAAGGGACATCGTTCCGTCGGAGGATTTAGAGCATCTTTGTACAATGCTGTAAGTCTTGGGAGTGTCAGATTATTGGTGAAATTCGTAGAAGATTTCGCTGAAGAAAATGCTTGAGGAGCAATGATGTTTCAAACAACTCGGGACGCTATGCTTATTTGCCCTATCTAAAGTGTATATTTTGTCGTAATTACTTAGGCTCAAAAGCTACATGTTGTTTTCGCAAACAACGTATATAATATTTCATTATATGCAATTCGATTAGTTCAATACCTTTCTTGCATAGGTCACTTGGCTGGTGAATTCTGAAGATTTTGAGCCGCAGTTATTGACTGGTCAAAAAAAAAGCATATTATGTAAGTAAGTAAAACACGAATAATGAGAGCCGATAGATTTAACAACGTGGAACCATGATGCCGTGAGATTGTCGATTATCAATAATGACAACCTCTTTAGGAAAATATTGAATGAGAAACGAATGAGAAACAAAAGAGAAATTTTTTGACGCTTATGGCATCTATACTTTAAAAGGTATTATTTTCATATAGCTTGGCTTGTTCGTTCATACTGTCACAAGGAATAATAATCTAGATAGCACTTGTGCCCAATTTCTCTAAGGAGATCATGCTGAGTTGTGATTATCCTATCTTTGGTCTTTTTCTTGCAATTTATGTAGGATTCCCATCACATTCATTCATTAGCTGTACAACAAGGATTGGGTTTTTGGTTTATCTTCATTATCTCCTAATACTAAAGTCCTCCAAAAGACTTCTCTTGCATAATATGGAGTATTTTTGTATGCCATTAGACCACCTAGTACAGTAAGTAGCTTTATACCCTCTTGGCTCGGGCCATGTAGTAAATCACTTGACCATGCTCACGTGCTTTCTCCCCGCTATCATCTTCAATGCTTCCTCTATTCAGACTGCAGTGGAAAACGCATGATTCATCATGAGATATAGCCAAAACAATCTCCTCAAATACATCATAGAGTTTAGCACATACTTTCCAATCTTTGCATCTAATTATCACCTCATGCTGGAAACTATCCTCATTTTCCTGTAAGTTCAAAGCGGTAGGATCAACTGGCTGCTGTTCAACAGTGACATTGAAATCCGTATCCTCTTCAATCGACATACTATCATGGACAAGACCATTGGCATCATGGGAGCCACTTGCCTCTGCATTTGGTAAGCAGGATTGTGTTTCGAGTGTTTCATTCTGAGATTGTATAATAGCTTCCAACGGACCATTCCAACATATCTCAAGGTACCAATCAAGTTCATTGACTACAATTTTAAGTTCATGTTTGTTCGTGTTATCGTGAGGGTATTCAGTATCTCCATCTGTTCCTAATTTCCTGCCACTTAATTTAATATAATTAAGATTTGTATAACGTTCCACACGGCGTATAAAATTGTGAAATCCATGCCCCCATTCACCTTGAGGCGTAGGTAATCTATACATCATCAATTGCGTATAATTAATCAATGGTTCCTGTATGCGTGCATCTTGAACTCGAAATAGTAGTTTTGCTGGGACTTTGAATGAATGTGCAATTGTTTTACTAGATATGGAATTACAGGAGTTTGTTGTCATACTTCCGACATGTCCATCATAGGCCGTGTGGATGAGCTCCTCAAACGTTACTCCAAGCGCGCAAATGGGATTAGGCTTGGAACTGTTGAGAGATTTTCCCTCTTCTGTTAATGCGGGATTCATATTCCATTCTGGCATACTCTGTAGCTTTATTGTCATAGCGCTATCACCGCCCTGGCCGATAACTCGATCATACTTCTTCAAGACATTGAGGAGAAGATCACAATTGCATTCCATAGTTATGGTATTTAAATCACGCGCACTGATTACATTATACAGTGAAAAAACATCTCTAGGTATGGTACACCACAGCTGACCTGTATCTCCCCCAAGAAGAGCACTATTATTCGACATCATTGTGGGCGTTGATATAATCACTAGCCTTTCACTCGTAAATCTGAGAATGGCATTCTTTCTCAGTGACGCTACAGTAGCAATAGTAGATCGTAATAGTTTGTAATCTTCTGGTGATTCAGATCCATTTACAATTAGCTTTAGCTTCATAAATTGTCCGCTGTTCAGTTGATGATGTGATTTTTCCCTATTTACCTCTTCTCAAGAAAAAAAACCTGCCATCATCGAAATATCAAGATATGCAACATGAAAGGACTTCGATCATGTTTTCACTTATCTACGAGATGCTTTATACGACATAATCATCATTCTCCAAAGCAATTGGAGTTGTTGCAGAAGAGGATTGAAGAGATCCCTCTCGAGAATTATCGAAACTTTTCAATTGTGGCACATGTCGATCACGGAAAGTCGACATTAAGTGATAGATTATTGGAAATAACAGGCGTGATAAAACCCGGAGATGCCAATAAACAGGTATTAGACAAGCTTGAGGTAGAAAGAGAGAGAGGTATTACCATTAAAGCTCAGACATGTACGATGTTCTATCATGATAAGCGCAGTGCGAAGGACTATTTATTGCATCTTGTCGATACACCCGGCCATGTTGATTTCAGAGCAGAAGTTTCGAGGTCTTATGCATCATGTGGAGGGGCTCTTTTACTTGTGGATGCATCACAGGGAGTCCAAGCCCAGACAGTTGCGAACTTTTACTTGGCGTATAGTATGAATTTGAAACTTATACCTGTTATAAATAAGATAGATTTGGACAGTGCCAATATTCCTCAAGCAGAGGGTCAAATTGAAAACACTTTTGAGCTACCAGTGGATGAAATTGTTCGCGTAAGTGCGAAGACAGGAATCAACATAAAAGAAAATCTTCTTCCGGCTATTATAGATAGGATACCACCACCAAATGGAAAAAAAGAGAAGTCATTCAGAGCTTTGCTTGTAGATTCATGGTATGATTCTTATCTAGGTGTTGTGCTTTTGGTCTATATAGTTGATGGCCAAATCAAGAAAGGGGACAAGATACTAAGCGCACAAACCAATAAAAAGTATGAAATCAAAGAACTTGGAATAATGTATCCTGATCGAACTCCGCTGGGTACTCTAAGAACAGGACAAGTGGGATACATTGTTCCAGGTATGAAAGACTCGAAGGACGCCAAAATAGGCGACACCCTGATGCATGTAGGACGCGAGAAAGAAACCGAGATTCTCCCTGGATTCGAGGAACCGAAACCGATGGTATTTGTTGGTGCATTCCCAGCTGATGGTGCGGAATTCAAAAATCTTGATGACGATATTAGCAGACTTGTATTGAATGACAGGTCAGTAAGTTTACAACGTGAAACATCCAATGCACTAGGACAGGGCTGGCGTCTCGGATTTTTAGGGTCACTGCATGCCTCTGTATTCAAGGAAAGACTTGAAAGGGAGTACGGCTCCAAATTAATTATCACGCAACCGACGGTACCTTATTTGATAGAATTTACTAATGGAGATGAGAAAGTAATTACGAATCCTGATGACTTTCCTGATTTATCACTTCGCAAATCTAAAATTCAATCTCTGCAAGAACCATTTGTAGAAGCCATCATTACTTTACCACAAGAATATCTCGGGAACGTCATAAAACTTTGCGAATACAATCGAGGAATACAAATTGAAATTACACATTTGAATATGACCGAGCAAATTATGCTTAAATATCATATGCCTCTCGCTCAGTTGGTTGACGATTTTTTTGGAAAGCTCAAGTCAGTTTCGAGAGGATATGCGTCTCTTGATTACGAGGACATAGGGTATAAACCATCAGACATTGTGAAATTGGAATTATTACTCAATGGTAAAGGAGTCGATGCACTGGCCCAGGTCATGCATAGATCGCAAGTCGATCGCGTTGGCCGTGAATGGGTGAAAAAGTTCAAAGAGTATGTCAAATCTCAATTGTACGAAGTGGTCATTCAAGCAAGGGCTAATAATAAAATTTTGGCCCGAGAAACCATAAAAGCTAGGAGAAAAGATGTCCTAGCAAAACTGCATGCTTCTGATGTTTCAAGGAGGAAAAAGTTACTGGTTCGCCAAAAGGAGGGGAAAAAGCACATGAAGAGTGTCGGTAATGTGCAAATTGAGCAAGAAGCGTATCAAGCATTTTTACGTCGTTCTTAAGATTAATATATACTGTAAATAATACTGAGATTAATCAGGTAGGCTATGTCTTCAAGATCTGTTCAAGAGTGCAAACTCCCTCGAAAGAAGGATCTTCAATGTTTTTTATGATTGCTCTTCCGACTTGCTGGGTTGATACTGTGGGCCTTATCAACTCATTTACGAATGGTATTTTACCTCTGAGAAGGAGTTGATTTCCACAGTTCAAGGTTTCGACGAAACTCTTTACATGTGATCTTACATCTCGATGTTCTGCTGAGTCAAAATTCTCATCATACATGAAGCCTGGGCGCATAATTATAGGTCTAATACTTTCTTCCAATCGCATTAATCCCATCTCCGCCTCTCTTTTTGACTGAATGTATCCTTTGGGAATAAGGGGAAATCCTCTATCAGCTGATATGTACGTAAACGTTCGACGAGCTTCTTCATTGGAGTTTTCTGGTTTAGCAAAATCTTTGGCTAAGTTAAGGGCACTTTGCTTGTTCATCATATCGTAGGTAAATTTTGGGTCATTTTTGAGGGGATTTGCCCCCCATTTTAGAAGGTCTGGTGCAGTAAATAGGGATTTGCCACGAATTCGTTTCTTGTAGCCCGAGTCTTCAAACAAAATCCCAATTGAATGTACCACGTTCGAAGCACCTTTCAAATGCTGGCCATAACTTTGAGCATTGAAGATATCACACTGTTGCCACTTGACCTCCGAAATCCATTCTTTCTCCCAAGAAGCAGACAAAGGAGGTGGGCGACCTGAGCGTGAAAGTGATGTAACTTGATAGCCATGTTCGACTGCTACCTGGCAAATGCGCCTTCCCAAAAAACCATTGCCCCCGAAAACCAGCAGGCTCTTCATGAATGTTCTACAAATTTGAAGAGAAGAAGTAACTGTACTTAAGTTGTCTTTTATAAGCGGCTTCTAGGAGCAAGAACTGTTGAAAATAGCAAGGCCATCGAAAAAAAATCGATCCTACATTTTTCAAGAAAAATACTACGAGTTTAAAGAAAGATTTGTGAGACACTCTAATTACAAATTTTACCATAAATAGGAATAATCCAAAGGTAAATTCGTACTCAAAAGAAGTCTAACGGTTTTTATAGCCCATTGATCTAACAATTGTCTGATCATCCAGCTCAAGAATGTGTAATGGCAGAATACACAATCGAGCGAGGCACAAGGCAGTGTAAATTTCTGACAAGAACAAGGTGACAGTGATTATAGGCACACCTTTTAGGTGTTTCACTCATTATTTTTCATTTTGTTTGTCATTGAATGTACAAATATATGAAGTAAACTCTCATTACTCATTGTTGAACCCCCTCCAGGTTAACATCTTCTTGTTTGTAGTTGTCCCACACCACCCGGTAAATAAAGCTTGGAGCAAAACCACCAATATTGGTAATATAAATATCGATATTCTCGGGTGGGACGTAATCGGCAACTGGGTTTACTGTATCCAGTCTGTTGTAACTTCCAACTCTGTCATTTTCCATAGTTGGTAAAACACGATGAGATCCACCCACTTCGACAAATCTCTCGATGTCAAAGGGATAAAGGGGCGAGAGTTTGTATAGACCAGCTACTGCAAAGACTGGTGTCTTGAATTCACGCGCGCTCTCACACACAGAAGAAACGCCTGCGGTGGATGAAATTGTGCCACCATTTGTAAAGACCGTCTTAGCTCCCAGAATAACTTTACCTACACGCCCCATCAACGCAAAAACAGCAGTGTCCGGGATAATTGTAGTCTCAATTCCATGTTCCGAGAGCTTTTTGGCGAACTCATGGGCCACGGATGTGTTATTTGGGAAGCCTTCTGTGACCAGGACAGTGAAGTTTCTATTATTGCGCTCTCTAGCCTTAATCAAGAATTTGAGTACAGTCTTAGAGTCTGGAGTAGGTGTGAGCAGAATTTCTCTGTCATGAATCAAGTCGATAGCTATTTGCTGGATGCCGTCGTCTATATTGGCTATCTCATCTATCAGGTCTTTAATACCTTGAATAATCACTTGGCGTATGTCTGTCTTGGGTTGGTCCAAAGACTTTTGTAATGGAACTGCAGGCTTTTGTAGCAAGTTGAACATCGATGAAATCATTGGCTCTGTTGTTGTCTGCGCCATGGTTGATGCAAGTTCTTCTTCCACTTCATCCCGGATTATGGCTAGCACTCTTCTAATTATGTTGCCACAAATAAACTCGGTAGGTTGTGCTCGCTCGAGACGGTTCCCTAGCTCTCGAAGTTGGTCGATCAAATCATTGACGTGTGACCAACGTGCTGCTGATACAAATCGCTTAAGGATTTGTAATGTTTCCATGGCAATATTGTAAGAGCCACTGATCTGCCTTCTTTTCAATCTGTCTATGAAAGATGCTACTGTTACATTGATATCAGAGGACATGACGCCGGAAGGTCAATGGAGGCGTGAGATAAATGTGACGAGGTTATTCATCGAGACTAGCGTCAAAAAACGATGGAGGTAAAATTTTTCAAAAAAAGTGACCAACCGCCTTCTTAAAAACGGATCACGTGATTATATATGACTACATGCTAATGGAACATGGTGTTCAGGGCTCAAATATCGCCATTATACTCTGCAAGCTTTCGGGTATTCTCCAAGAGAAGAGCTTTAAGCTTGACATTGGTAGGATCAAGACTTAGTCCCCTTTCACATTCGACTTTTGCGAGCTCGTATTGTTTTAACTTGATGAGTGCGTCTGTTTTGCGAATGAAAACGTCTGAGGTATTCACACCCGTGTTCTGCAGTAGTTCAATATCCTGTAATGCGTCCATGAACTTCCCTTGTATGAGGCAGAGGTCTATGCGATTTTTTACCATGAACTGCAACTCCTGTAATTGTATGGCAAAAGCTTCCCATGGAGTTCTCTTCCTCTGGGCCATCTCGATGGCAAGACTTATAGACTTCAAAGCCTCTGGAAAATGCTGTTGCTTCGTTTGCTTGAGACCATTTTCGAAGAGTTTCTTAATCATAGCGGTAGAATCGTCGCGAGGCTTTGGGGTGAAGTTTGGGTTAGACTCTGCGATCAGATCTTGGGTAAGCTTGTTGATCTGGGCGATATTCATGGCCATATCGTCCGAAGCCTCAGGTAGTTGAATTTGTTTGGTATTGACATCGTAGACTAGGGACATGGTTGCAATGACGAACACTGATCGGTTGGCACACGGTGGCCAAGTGCACGTTTAGATTTGAACAAAATATCGTGAACCTTTAGTCGCACAATACGAACGATAAACAATTTCCGTTCAAAAGTTGGGCAGTAAAATGAAGATGGTACACATACACACACATATATTTTGTCTATATATAGAGTTGGATTAGGGGAAAACTTTGCCGAGGACCCATCTTACAAGTCGGCATCATCTTCGTCAGGCAATGGCAAGGCAGTAGCTTGTTCCATTTCCTGTTGGTACTGTTGCATCAATGCTTCGTCAACTTGGACTTCTGGAGGAGCCAAGGCTGGGGAGGCAACAAACTCCAATTGAGGGTTACCAGCCAATTTTCTAGCTAGCCACAAGAAAGGCTTTTCGAAGTTGTAGTTGGACTTGGCAGAAATATCGTAATATTGCAAGTTCTTCTTTCTGTGGAAAGTAATAGTCTTAGCCTTCACTTTTCTTTCTTTAACATCGACCTTGTTACCACATAGAACGATTGGGATGTTTTCACAAACACGAACCAAGTCTCTGTGCCAGTTAGGAACGTTCTTGTAAGTGATACGAGATGTAACGTCGAACATGATGATACCACATTGAGCGTTGATGTAGTAACCGTCTCTCAAACCACCAAACTTTTCTTGACCGGCGGTGTCCCACACATCAAACTTGATCTCACCAAAGTTTGTGTAGAATGCTAGAGGGTGGACTTCGACACCGATGGTGGCGATGTACTTCTTTTCGAACTCACCAGTTAAATGTCTCTTCACGAAAGTGGTCTTACCGGTACCACCATCACCGACCAAAACCAATTTAAAAGTTGGAACTTCAGCTGACATTTTGTTGTTACTTTGTTACTACTGGATCAGAGAGGGTGGCAAAAAGGAGAAAAATTTTCAACAAAAGGGCAAGTTCCTGCTCATCGACGATGGCGTATACCAACCGTTAAAAGTGATAATCATCATCAGCTTGCTTTTAGGGTATCCGTCGTCACATGTGACGTTCCAAAAGGTTAGCGATGTCGTGCCAGTCGTTCACGAGTTCTTGCAAGTGTTGAATGGTGTCAGAGGGGTCTGTTTGGATGGTTGATACGGATTGGCTTAGATCGACAGGTTGTGGTACCTGACAATCGCAACCGTGCACGTATTTTGTGTAGAGGAACGCGTTGGAGGCTTGCAGAAAGTCATTAAGGCCCGTCAGGGCACATGCCATCCGATCACGACTTTTAAAAAGAGCTTGCAACATTGTACTTGTGTGATCGGCCGCTTCTAAGATACCTGATGCATCTTCGTCGCCGTTTTCGCGGGCCACTTCGCCGATCGGTGCGACTTTCCATGTCATATCTTCCGAATGGCGGTGCAGCTTTCCTCGCAGTTGTTCTATAAGGACTTCATTTCTACGGGAGGATGCCAGATCCTGACGGCGCGATTTCGAGATGCGATCTGGTGCAGTGCGCGAATTAACCGAAGGACTTGAGTATTCGCGTGGTGGCCTGCGTGACGGTGGAGAAGGGGTGCTGGAAGGCGGACTTTTAGAACTGGGGTGGGATTCAGCGGCATCTAGGGCTCGCAGCAGCTTGTGGAAAGTGTTTATCAGGAGTTTATCATTGTTGATCGACGCGAGTTGCGTTTGAAGCGCGTCGTCGTCGACACTGCGGAAGAGAATCTTCTGCTGACCCTGCAACAGGTTACGACGGCGCAGCTCAGAATTGATATACCCAGCGGCATCGTGGACCCGAGAGAACTTGTTTTGACTGACAACCATGCTCTTGTGTTTCGAAAGATCAGGTTGTTAATGACGGGAGTGTGTATTTCTTCGTATGTAGTATACAAAAGTTGATTTTGAAGCTCGTTACTCATGAATATATAGACGGTAAGGTAAAAGCAGAGAGCAAACAATATATGGGGCTAGTGCTGTCTGTCTGGAGGCGCTTAGTGATGGTGGTCGTCCTCAATTTCCTCTAAGACTAACCAGTCTTGCTCATCAGTCTCGTTAGAGGCTTCTTCGCCCTTTTCCTTGGCAACCTCGACGTCTTGTTCGGCGTATGCCTTCAATGCATCGGCCCCTTGAGCTTCAACTTGAGGGATCTTTGGAGCTTGTGGAGCGACCCATGGCTTAACAGCGCCCTCGGCGTCCTTCGCTGAGATTGGCTGCAACTTGACGCTCTTGATTTCTTTCAAGTACAAATCCTGGATGACATTAGCACTAACGCGAGTGGTGGCGAAAGAGCGTGCAGCAGTTGGCACAGAGCGTCTGATGGCTTGTAGGAACATGGTTTTGGCGTGAAGTATTGAATGTAGCTTGACAAAACGGTGTGGTGTTGAGAATAATTTTTTACAGGGGCCCGGGCGAGCCGTTTGTGGGCATGCACTTTTTTCTTGGAGCTGATTGGTTCGTCCAGTAGGACAAAAAATCCAAAATATCGTAAGGAATTATAGTTGAACATGTATCACGTGAAATTTTTGCTGGTTTATGAGAAAGTCCATCTTTAGAACGTATCTCTCGTCAACTGTGCATGACTTCGTGATGGCTTTCCCGTTTGATCATTACCTTCATTATTCAAGTCTGCTTTCTGCAAAAAAAATCATACGATTGACTATCACGCGAGATGACATGTACCACATCTCTCCGTCAAACAAAGATTCTGTGAAAGCTCACGTTACTGTTGGAAAAGGACCGTATGAAAAATTTCCTCTGCTGCCTCTCATTCAACTCAAGAATTATGGCGATTTTATACTGGCTTAATTTATGTTCTACGTTGTGTTGAGATGTAGTATGAAGACATTTTGGCAGTTTCAAAGGTGAACACTGCATTTAGAACTGGTCTCGAGATAACTAGGCTCTGTCCAAGTTTAGATGCATATTCCAGAAGGCATCAGATTTTCAAATCAACCAACCACGCTTTATGTGAGGTTGAATATGATTCTGGTGCCAAAGATCTAAGATCAGCAAAAATTTGCCCAAGAAGAATATATCCTTAAAATGTGCAGTACATAGATATTGAGAAACTTGAATGCGATGGCAAGAAAAAATGAGTTGAAAAAAAGGCTATAAGCTCGGAAGTATCGAGTACAATGTTGTGTTTGTATCACATTCTTAAGAAAAGTGCAGATTTTTATGTTGAAAATGACGCTGACGCTCACTGAAAAACTTAACGTACTGAAAATCAATCCGTCACAAATTAAATAAGAATAAGCGCACAATACCATAATTAACAGCAGTGAGATCCTTCTTTAGGTCGTTTATCACATTTAAAATTTCCAAATGTTTTATTGGATTCCCATAGTAGTTAAACATCCTAAATGAAACGCCATTAAAAAAATAACAACACCGTTGTAAAGCTTGTTGTAAATGTATGTAAGATTATATCACCTTCTAAAAAAGGTTGTGCCCATCAATTGATCTTAACAAAATGATGTTTCACCATGAAAAGGCAAAGCTCGAGAAAGATCGCAAAAGATTAATACATGCTGACCAGCGTTTGGATAAAGTAGCAACAGAGAACCTCATAGACTTAGCAAATCATAAACAAGACTGTGAATCCAGATGTATTAGCTATACGAACCCTTTCGTCACCCCTCTGGATACATTTTGATCAGGTTCCATTTGAACGTATTACGACGAGGAGAGAAAATGCGTATCTAGTCTATAAAGAAACAATGCCAAGTGACACCGTTATCTCAATTTCAGAGGACTTATTGGAGTACATGTTCAAGGACGTAAACTAGTTTATGGAATTAATTCATGCATATGCGCTTTTCCATTTTTCAGTCTACTTTTTGTCTTGCATACAAAAGTTTATCACTGCATTGCTGATAAGATTGCCATGGTTGTTGTAATTCACGGGAAACTGTAATGCTTTTGTATGAGCCTTTATTGTATACGGCGCTTTCAAAAGTGGAGATGTAATCAATTATTCTCCAAGGCTACGTGATATAGAAAAGACAAATCAATATAATACTGCTTTAAAAGCTTCTATGAATCCATTACGGCTCTTGAAAACTATAATGAAAGTAACATGAAAGTCTGAAACTTTTGAGTACGGCCATTCTTTAGGTCAAATCCTGATAGAAGTTATTCAGTTTATTCTATAGTGACACTCCGTATAAGCTTCAGATGGGAATTAATGAGAATCGCTGAAATAAGCAACATGGGAAAAGAATCATATATAACAAAGGATTCACAATCGAATCACACTTTTGACGCTCAGAGTTTCATGATTTTCAGTACCTTTTCTATTTTCTTCGTGCCATCATTATAATTGATCTAGTCGTCTGTGGAAAGCGAACAGGCTCTCGGTATATTCTTCTGGATTTTCCATCGATGTAAAATGACCACCGTTAGAAACGTTTGCCCAATGGATGACATTGAAATGGTTTTCAGCCCATTCTTTGGGGGGTAGCAGCATGTCCGCGTGAAACAGACAAAAGCCAGTAGGCACATCAGTCCGACCAATAGGGTGTAGGAAATGACTGTTTTCATAATAAATCCGGGCAGCAGTCGAAATATTATTATTGAACCAATAAATTGAGATATTTGTTAAAATTTCTTCTAGGGACAGCTTTGAGTTTGGATCCCTCCACGAATGAAACTTCTCAAGAATCCACGCTGCCAAGCCAACAGGCGAATCAGAAAGCCCAATTGCTAAGGTTTGCGGTTTCGTTTCCTGTATATTCATATATCCCGCTTCGTTATGAAGCCAACTATTCGCCTCTTCAACGTATAGACGATTTTCAGACGATAATTCTTTTGCATCAGTAGCTTCAATCAATTCTCGAATGACATTAACATCAGTCAGATGTATTCCAAGCAAATGCTGAGGGTACTTGAATGATAGGTATCTCGTTACACCGGATCCTATATCTCCTCCCGCTGCAATGAACTTTTGGTAACCTAGCCGGTTTTTCATCAGCTCCAACCACATATCTGCGATTGTCTCCTTGTTTATTGAAGTTTCGCAGGAGTAGCCAGAAAATCCAAAACCAGGGAGCGAAGGTATGACAACATCAAAGGAATCTTTCGAATCTCGTCCAAACCGTGCTGGATCCGTTAACATTGGTATAATATTCGTGTATCTGAGAAAACTGTCTGGCCAACCATGTGTCAAAATGATTGGTGTGCTATTTGGACCTTTGCCTCTCTCATGAATGAAATGAACATCAATTCCAGATATCGATGTTTTGAAGTGGTGGAGACTGTTCAGCTCCTTTTCTGTCTTCCTCCAATCATATGTATTCTTCCAGTAGTCAATTACTTCTAGCAGATATTTTCCATTTATACCACGGTCCCAGTCGTTGCGTTCTAAAATTTCTGGTAGTCGAATCTTCTTTAAGCGGTCCTCTAAGTCTTCCAAGTCACTCGCAGGTACAGCAATGGTAAAAGGCCTGACAGACATTGGCATGCTCGCTCTGCCTGAGTTTATATTGGTGTGCCAGCGTTCAATGTTGATTGGTGTATGAGCCCAAGAATATATATGCTAGTATTCATCGATGGCCAAGGGGTTGCTGTCTGTCAATATGCGGAAAAGCAGATGCTGTTTGTCAGTATGCGGAAAATCAGATACTCTCTGTTAACATGCGGATTAGTAATGCATCTAACCCAGCATCCACGTCAAAAAAAGGAACACAGACATGAAACTGAAATTGTCGCTGCGGTAGAACTTTCCACTTTGCTAGCGATCTTGTTAGGTTTTTCGTCTGGAATTTATTTCCACGATCTTTAGAGGCCCAAGCTCGTACTTTTTATTCTCCGCTCATGAAGATATTTGTAGATGCACTGGGACGGCAGCTCGCAGTTGCAAGCCTCGCAGACTTTGTACATACAGCTACGCAATCGACTCAATTGAATAGAAAACTCGAAAGAGTCGATTGCTAGCTAGACGCGATGCAGGATATGCAAGCAATTCGTCCAAAGGAACTACACGCACGCTAAAAGTGTTCATATGTCGCAGCACACAGAAGCGATTGAGATGATTCACGCACCTACCGTGCACCCTGTTCAAGAGATGGTCATTGACGCGCGAACAAAAATGCTACTATACTGCTCCGTCAACTTGCGTGCAATCGTTGCAGTCTACAATCCAGTCGATAATCCAAATCGCCTTTCAAAAAATCAAATACGAAAGAGCGTGATGCTCGATCCACGACTGTCTGCAGCCAAGATGTTTTTTCAGCACAAAAACTAGCTTCCAATTTAGCCGCTCCTACCCGCTACGCCGCTATTCCACTTGGATAGCGTCCCACCGGAATGATTGCAAATGGAAAGGCGGCAATTTCTATCAGAGTATGTCGTAAAACCGTCGTAAAAAATCAAAAGGGGAGGTAACGACACGAAACGACACGAAACGACATGTCGCTGTACGAGAATAGCATATCGGAGTACAGCGGCGGCGGCAGCCGCCGCTGTGTCTACTAACCTGGCTTTGTTGTTGAACGGACCGATTGTTGAAAAATTGCGTCGTATAAGCGTCGGGGTGACACAAGCTGCGGCGAACCCATTTCCAGCACGATAACACCCTCCATCGTAAAGCACTAATCGTCTGTGGCTGCGTGTATCTTTCTCCAATGGGTTCCGCGGAACCCGTGGTGCGCTTCCGCTCTGTACAGGAAACCGTACGGGCACCCCTTCCATTTGATTGCCGCGCACACGAATGCGCACGCCTCATTGGACACGGCCGCGCCAAGGGGCGCGCTTCCGCGATGACGCCCCTGCAAATGCGTAGCTGTAAAGTCAATGTCCGATACACGCCGCAGCTTCCGAATTCCAGTAAGCCCTGACGGCACCTCAGAAATGCTCATTTCGCTTACCGTGTCGTTTTTTTCGCTCGGGGAAAAGCAATTTACCAAATCGGGAAAACAAATCGGTCTGGTACGACGCACATTTTTTCGGTCTCTGCACGCCCTACGAGGTGCAACATGTTATACGCGCGGACGAGCACAGACGAGCCCGCAGACCCTTCCCCTCGTCCCCGTTTTTTCGCGAAGTGTCAAAGCAAAGGACTGGACCTGGCGATGCTCGCACGTGACGAGCTCTTGGCCCGGTCGGTTGAGGGATTTTTCTATTAGTCAACCGCCGCAGGCCATTCCTAATGTTCAGTCACATATATAACATCCTCGGTGTGGGCGGTAAGGGTCTAATTGGAGCAAGTTGTAATCCCTCCATCTACACTTGGTGATTCCACTACGGACTAATAAGGCTCATTCACCATATCACTAGTAAAAATAATGCACTCTAACACTCAAACGCTATGCAGCGAACACCACGCTCCCAGCGGCGGTATCTTCGATCCGCTGTTCGACTCGCTGGTTGGAGATGCTGATATAGACAACATAATCGGATCCATGCTCGTGTGGTTTCTCGTAAGCCTGATCGGTGTACTTCTGCTCGGGTGGGTGATATTCGTGGTAGCGTTAAGTCTGCGCTCTTCTAGCGATGACGACGACGACGACGAAGAGAAGCAGCTTGGGGCTGTAAAATGCGACGCCACAAGGTCTGGAGAGAAACTCGCGGGCTCAGATTACGACACCGACCCAGAGGACGACGACATCGACACAAACGACGCCAGTATGGGCGTACGAGAGAAAGTTTGAGGGGCGGGGAGCTCAATATGGGACCCCGCGGCCCGCTCTGGGGCCGGCTTGCTCTGCCGGAAATACCAGGCTTTTACGGAGATGTCGACGGATTGCAACTGCGCGGCTAAATAATGGTTTACTAAGGAATAAGTAATAATTAATCGATTTATGAACAAACGAAGCGGCGTTTCTTTGGCCGGCCGTCGCCCGCGCCCTGTTCTGTGCAGCCGCACAGTCCAAGATGCGGGTGCTCTGCAGACGGATGCGTCCGCCGTTGCCTTGCAAAAATGAAAAAAAAGTGCTTAGGGGAGAACTAGAAAACGGCGAAAATGACACCTTGGCAGGTCACGTGCGCTCGATGCGACGGGTGGTCTCGCGCACGATCGCCTCTGCTGGCGCGCGATTCACGTATACAAGCGCGGGTGCGGTGGGCCACATCGCTAGCGACTTCGGTGGTGGCAGCAGTGGCGCGGGCTGCGCGGTTGACCCCGCATCCGAGTAGTCCGGTGCGTACACCGTGTGGCGCGATGCAGTCGCCGGCCCGCTGGGCGCCGCAGCAGACCCAGGCCCGGACGATACGGCGGGTGAGGAAGTGCGGTCACGTGCACGTGCGAACCCGCGGTTATGGTCGTTGGGGCGGCGGTTGGCACGTTGCGGCAGGCGGTCGAAACGCACCGACTGGCCCGTGTCAAGTCTGCAATCGGATCTGAATACCTTGGCGTACCCGGGAGCGCGACGATATAGTTGTTCCAGCACGCCAATGGGCTCTGGAACGGGATGCGACGTGCGGTGTGCATGTCGTTTTTGACGGTTGGTATCGCAGTGCAGAGCTACGGAGTGAGCAACTGCGTCCTGCACAGCAGCACGCAGCTTGGAGTTGCGACGGGCACGGCGACGTGCTTGCAGGTCTTGTTTCTTCTTTCCGAAAATGGCTTTATGTGTCTGGCGGGCTTTGTTGCAGAAGTAGTCCATCCGCAGGCGTACGTGGTTCTTCCCCACCAGATGGCTCTTTCGCACGCTGGGCGTGTCGTGGGTAAGATACGAGTGGCAGTAATCACAGTAGCGGGCCATGTCTGGCGTGGGACGGTGGGTCTTGCGAGTTGGCGTGCTTCTTTGGGGCAGGCGACGAGCTGGTCTCTCACTCTATGAAATGCCAATTTTCGAATAGCGTATATCGCCTTCCACGAAAGGCCCAGACATCCCCATGCCGGAAAAATTTTTTTCTAGCACTTTAAAAGCTCTTTTTTTCCCACAACCCTATTTGAAGTGCACTTGGATTTAATAGTACTGCCCCACATTAGCGGTTCAGCACATTCATAATGTTTATGTTACCCCGTTTTACTGCGAGAGTCTTTAGGCCCGCTACTAGAAGTTTCTCCAAGAGTGTCATCCGCTCTTACGCTGCGGCCTTTGATCGTTCGAAACCACATTTGAACATCGGTACAATCGGCCATGTCGACCACGGTAAGACTACATTGACAGCAGCTATCACCAAGACCCTAGCCGCCAAAGGTGGTGCCGATTTTCTCGACTATTCCTCAATCGACAAAGCTCCTGAAGAAAGGGAACGTGGTATCACTATCTCTACTGCCCATGTTGAATATGAAACCGAAAAGAGACATTATTCCCATGTCGACTGTCCAGGTCACGCTGATTACATCAAGAACATGATTACTGGTGCTGCTCAAATGGATGGTGCTATCATTGTCGTTGCTGCCACCGATGGTCAAATGCCACAAACAAGAGAACATTTGCTGCTAGCCAGACAGGTTGGTGTGCAACACATCGTGGTGTTTGTTAACAAAGTCGACACTATCGACGACCCTGAAATGTTGGAATTGGTTGAAATGGAAATGAGAGAATTATTGAGTCAATATGGTTTCGATGGTGACAACACCCCTGTCGTCATGGGTTCTGCACTTTGCGCTCTTGAAGGTCGTGAACCAGAGATTGGTGAAAAGGCTGTCATGAAGCTATTGGATGAGGTCGATGCCTACATTCCCACACCAAAGAGAGACCTAGAAAAACCATTCTTGATGCCAGTTGAAGATATTTTCTCTATCTCCGGTAGAGGTACCGTCGTCACTGGTAGAGTTGAGAGAGGTAATTTGAAGAAGGGTGAAGAAGTCGAAATCGTTGGTCACAACACTCAACCTCTAAAGACTACTGTCACTGGTATCGAAATGTTCAGAAAGGAATTGGACCAAGCCATGGCTGGTGACAACGCCGGTATTTTGTTGCGTGGTGTCAGAAGAGATCAATTGAAGAGAGGTATGGTTTTGGCCAAGCCAGGTTCAGTGAAGGCTCACACCAAGTTTTTGGCCTCCTTGTACATTTTGTCCAAGGAAGAAGGTGGTAGACACTCTGGTTTCGGTGAAAACTACAGACCTCAAATCTACGTGCGTACCGCTGATGTTACTGTCGTTTTGAAGTTCCCAGAATCCGTCGAAGATCACTCCATGCAAGTCATGCCAGGTGACAATGTCGAAATGGAATGTGAATTGGTTCACCCAACTCCATTGGAAGCTGGTCAACGTTTCAATATTAGAGAAGGTGGTAAGACCGTTGGTACCGGTTTGGTGACTCGTATTATCGAGTAAACTTGTAAATAACAAAGAATTTCCTTTATATCTCCTGTTTATAGGTAAGAGTTCTATTCAAATATCTATGTCTAGTTAATTTATTCGAACGTTTTATTAATATTGGTTGCTGCTTGATATTTCACTAAAAGCAATGCAGGTGATGTATTCCCATTACCTTATCGTGTTTCTTGATACCATCTTTTTACAGTAAGCTCAAACGTTCTGGCGTATCTGATAACGAATGAGTGAGGGCGACGGCAAAGAGTGTAAACTTGATAGTTAACGTAAAAGTATTTATCTTCGATCGCACAGACGGGTTCTACTTTGACTGTATCCAAGATACCTGTACTGTTCGACGAAGATCTCGAATCGGTATTTTATCTCTCGAACGAGATCGCCGCTGAGCGGAGGATATAAGCAATCACAATTTTATAGACTGTCTGTAAAAACAGTCCTTTTATCGATCTGTATAGAGTATGGCTGTTTTTTCGAGCTAATCTAAATTAAAGCAATATATAAGTGTTACTGTATGCCACACCAGTGACACCAGTGTGATATTATCATCTATGACTTTTGCAACATTTTGCCCGCTCCACGCGGAAGGCGGGGGGGCGCCTTTTGGTAGATAAGAAAAATCGAAATCTATGATACGATTCTTCCCTCTTGACAACTTTTACAGGCAAACATGATTATACTGCCAAGGTTCATCAAATGTCTATTAGTAATCAAATGGGCATGGGCTATGGAACATTATTTTGTTCAAGACTCAGACCATAATATCGATATTAAGCCACTGCCAAGATCACCCACGCTCACACCAAATGCGTCCGAAATTCTGAAGGTAGGACGTCGAGGTGCGATAAGCTCCGACCTTGAGTTTTGCAATAATCTCGCAATTGACAGTGTCTTCAAGAAGTTCGAAAATGCGAATGCGGCTGATGCCGCTGTAACAGTAGCCCTCTGCTTGGGGATGATCAACTTCTTCTCAAGTGGTATCGGAGGTGGTGGATTTGCTATATATGCAAGTGGCAATAAGGGCCCTGATACAGGATCTCATCTGTTTCTAGATTTTCGTGAGCGTGCGCCGTATTTGTCCCATAAGAATATGTTTGAGAATTCCCCAAATTCCTCCCAGGTTGGAGGTCTGGCGGTCGGCGTACCAGGAGAACTACAGGGCTTGTATGAGTTATTCTCACTTCGGGGGAGTGGTGAAGCAAGTTGGGCTGACTTACTTGAGCCGGTAGCAGAGGTGGGCTTAAAGGGATGGCCGGTTAATGTGATCCTAGCGGCAACTTTGAAAATGTATGAACCATTCTTCCTCGAACATGCTGATGATTGGTCCTTCGTTTTAACTGATGACAAATCTCGTGTCTTGAAAGAAGGCGAAACGATAAGAAGACTTGGATTATCCAAAGTTCTCATCGAACTTGCTCAGAACGGCACTGCAGCTCCATTTTATGATCCAGACCATTGGATTGCCCAATCTATGGTGGCAAAAATTCGCAATAGTGGTGGCATCATGACAGCTGAAGACCTGGAATCATATTTTGTCAACGTATCGGATCCGTTGACGACAAAAATACGATCTGGATGGGAACACATGCCAAATAATGATTTAGAAGTTCTCACCAGTAGTGGTTCGAGTTCAGGAGCTGCGCTGATATCAGCTCTTGATATTATGGATCATTTTTCCAACTATGAGGGTGGTGATTACTTACCAGAAGAAGCTTACAAACTTGTTGAAGCCATGAAATGGATGTCCAGCGCAAAGAGTCGTCTGGGCGATTATTCTGACGTTGGGTACTTACCAGAACGTATATCCCATGTGCTAGACTATAACTGGACAAAAAATGCAGTGGATTTGATAAAGTCACACTTACAAGACCTTAAAACTTTGCAAAACTGGACCGATTACCATCCTGCTTACGAGCTCACCGAACCTCACGGCACCACACATTTTAGTGTCGTTGATAGATTCGATAATGCCGTTTCTCTGACATCTACTATAAACCTACTTTTCGGATCATTGGTTCACGATCCACATACAGGGGTTGTCTTCAACAATCAAATGGATGATTTCTCACAACCAGGAAGATCCAATGCATTCGATCTTGCTCCTTCTGTATATAATTTTGCACAACCAGGTAAGAGGCCTTTATCTTCTGCAGCACCGGTTGTTATTCTTAATGAGCTAGGGCAGCCTGAGTTAGTCATTGGAGCTTCCGGAGGATCAAGAATAACTTCTGGAATTCTTCAAGCTATTGTCAGAATTTACTGGTACAACATGCCTCTGTTAGAGGCTATTGCGTATCCTAGGATTCATCATCAGCTTCTCCCAGATGTAGTCGAAGTTGAAAGTTTTAGCATGCTGGGGAAAGCTACTGTTTCTGCGTTGAGAGACATGGGACATACACTTAAAGAACAACCGCCAAAGAATGTTCTAAATGCCATACAAAGATATAGAGGAGAATGGCATGCGGTAAGTGATTATTGGAGAAAAAGAGGAATTTCTGGTGTATTTTAGCTGAATTACTTAGTTTTTATCTTATTACATAAACGTCGTTCATTACAGGTAACATAATACGAATGTTTCATGAGATTTCCGATCATGCGTTGAACCTTCAAAATATTTCACCGGCCATACAAACAGAGTGTTTTTAAGAAACGTTATTCGGTGGAAGAGCTGAATATGGAGCCCTTGAAGCCTCTTCCCAATCCACCGAAATCGGCAAAGAGTATGGGATCGCCTAATAAAACAAAGTCTAAGTCCAGCGTTCCTGATGAGGATGATGACTTTGAGTTCTTCCACGAGTTTGAACGTGATAAAGTGAAGGACCTGATTCACAACATCACTCTGGAAATAAAGAAAACGGGTATTGATATCGAATATCTTTTCCTTCCTTTTCGTCCCGAGCAGACAAATGAAAAGTTATTAAAGTTTTTGAATTCAATATTTCCTCTAGGGAATGGATCAACTGTTTCACGAGACAAGCAAGTAAAGATTATAAGCAAAACAGATCCTTGGACTATCTTTCAAGCACTAAAGTATATTTGGAGTAGGCTGCCAAATGGTGAGGTAATTGGATGGGAAGCATATAAAGCATTCAAGACTAAAGAGGAAAAAGATGGATATTCAAATAGATCATTTCTCGATTTGATGCCCAAATGTCTTTCGTCTCCAGACCATGCCTCTATTGTTTATGACTTTTTTGATTTGATTGTAACCATGGCATCTAATTCGAAACATAATAAAATGAGTGCTCGTAAGATATCCAAGATGTTCGGGATTTGGGCGTTCGGGAAGGAGCACTCTACAAAAAGCGCCGATTATGATTTTGATCAACTTAGTAATCAAGACAATAATTCATTCACTGAAGGATTGGATCAGTGGCTACCTGCATCTGATGCCATGTTCCACCTTCTACTCTCGTTCATCAGAAGCTTTGTTCCAAACGATTTAAAAAGTGCAAATATTCCACTAGTACTAAAGAGCATTTTATTCAATAATGAATATCCACCCAAAGAGTCAACGGCATATTCCTCAGAGACAATACTTACAGTGCCTCTTGTTAGCTTGAAAACCACTACATTTTCGAAGAAACCTTGGCAACTAGTTGAAAGATGCAATGAGCTATTCGATTTTTCTGATTATGATGCTTTCAAAGCTCGCGAAGATTATGCACTGCTAAAGTCATTGTTCAAGAAAAAGAATAATATTGAGGGAATAAGTCATAAGATGTCTCATGAATCCAAAAGACTGATGAAGGCAATGTCAACCAAGCATTCAACATTCCAGGCGGGTTGGGCAAAAAGGAAGTGCCTGCCGTCGGAGCATAAAAATACCAAGAAGTCGGAGTACCTCGAAATGAAAAGGGTTGAGATTGACGATTATTTTATTTGGGCATGGCTGTCAACCTTATCGTACGAGCAAACGTCTCAAAAAAGGAAAATATTCGGAAGGTCTTTGATATTGGAATTTGAGTTCGACGGGTTCAAAAAGTGGGTTATTTTGGAGGAATGCGATCTAAACCTTGATATGAAAAAGCATCGCAAGATGGATACTGTAGACTTCATTGACAAAACATCCGCAATTCCGGAGAGATCGAGCCTCAGAAATATTACACCGATGTATGAAAAATTCCAAAGAGCAAGTTTGGATACCGGGCGGGAGTCTGTACCGAAAATCGGGCAAGAATCTAACCAATCTCCAGCGCTAGAGAAAGAGCCTTATGCATATCACACTGTAATTGATCCTCACAATTTTCATCGTGACAAAAATAAAGCAAACGTGAGTCTCCATTCGATAGAGCAGAAAATTTCGAAGTGGAACCCTTTGAATTCTATCAGAAAGAGAAGCAGTGGCAGCAATTCATCTGGTAGTGCGGGTACGTCATCGCTTCGTATTAATTCTTTTAGCCACGATGAAGTCACGCCTAAGACCTTTTCGTCTGATTCAACAGCAAGCAAAATACCCAATGTGTCTAATAGACAACAACATGAAAGCCGCGTTTTGAGTGACTATAGCCTTTTGAAACCAGAAAAGTTTAAGTTACCTGCAATCGAAAAGGATGATTTTAAAATTGACTTGCCACAGCTGGATCAAGAAGTATCTGCGACTGATTCTTGTCCATTGGATTCTCTTGACAATCCTTCTAAAAATCATTCTCCGATAAGGAACTCTCAAATTGGGCTTGACTATTCTTCAAGAAGCTTATCTCCTGTAAGGGATCCCAGATTGTCATATCATTCACCCGAAAGATCTTCTCATGAAGATTTTCAGACTTCATTCAGAAGTCGTTCGCCTGTGAGGGGACAAGGTAAAAGTTTCGAGGAAACTTCGCGAAATCAATCTCCAGTCAAAAGCGCAAAAAGCGGCATAGAAGACTTGAATGAAATGGTTGACGAGCTCACACAGCAAGTTATAAATGTCGATAAGAAGCTAGCAGATTCGACCACAAGTCTTGTAACAAACGAAGAGACATTTGAATCCTTGACCATGTTTGATAGATACAAAGACAAGCCTAAGAATGATCAGCTAGATGATGGTAGTCACACTGATCTTTTTGCAAACAGCTCAGCATCAAGCGTTATCCAGCCACTTAAACTAGAGAACAAGACTGGTATATCTGATTCGTTTTCCAAGCCCCTGCCCCAGATGCCATCTCAAGCTTCAGCTTCAAAAGAATCCCTCCCATCAGACACGTCTCAAAAAGTCCCCACACGTGAGCAGAGCCCTCGCATGCCACGCGAAAACAGCATTTCACCACAATTATCAAGACCTTCACCACCTGTTGAAGTGATGTCTCAAACCTCTCTTCAAGTTTCAGCTGAACAACATCAACGCACAATACTGCCACCTTCCATGGCAGGTAATAATGACGTTCCTTATATGAACTCTCGACAATATACTGAGGCTCCATCGCATATTCCTGGTGGGAGAGTGCCGCATCTCGAGCTACAGCACGATCGATCACCAAATGTAGATATGGTGGCTTTTGTAAGGAATGATCCTCAAAAATCTCAGCCTTTTACCTCACCTAGGAATAGGCCTCTATCTCCGCAACGTTATGAAAACAGCCCCAGAATCGTAGGTGAAAGGAAGCGGGAGAGTTTGGAAGCACCAGAAGTGGCTCATCTTACCCATTCTTCCTACAAAGGGGGCAAATATCGTACCAGCGGACCACCACATCCTATCAAGGCTAATCATGCAAGCTATCCAGCATCTCCCCCATCTCGCAATGGACAGGGCGGTAGCGATGGAAAGAACGGCACTTTGAATAATGGCTCGCATGAAAATTCCTCGGTCGATTATGTCCATCAAAATCAGTTTAGCAGTGACATTCGTCCTCCTCAAGATTATAACCGCAATAAAGGAGTAAGTGGATCACACTTACCCACGAACGCAGCAGTACCCCATAAACCACAAACTATTGGTCATTCGACTGCGATGAAAGCCGCCGAGCCGTCAGATTACTCATCACGTTCCCCAAATCCTTCGTTTGATCCTCAACCACATGCTCCAAGTATCTATCATGCGCAGCCACGAGATACGGCGCGCGCTTATGGCACGCCACAGCGCGGAGGGTATAGCCAAGGACGTCCTACCCAGTGTCCACCATACAGTAGAGTGCAACAAAACCCTCAGCAGTCAGCACATCAGCCATCACAACCAATTTACCCATACCCCCCGCAAGGTCAATACCCTCCGCAAGGGCAATACCCTCCGCAAGGACAATACCCTCCACAAGGGCAATACCCTCCACAAGGGCAATACCCTCCACAAGGGCAATACCCTCCGCAAGGGCAATACCCTCCGCAAGGGCAATACCCTCCGCAAGGGCAATACCCTCCACAAGGGCAATACCCTCCACAAGGGCAATACCCTCCGCAAGGGCAATATCCCCCACCATCAATGCATAATCAAAACTTCAAGCCACCTGGTACACCAATGGTACCCAACTCAGGATACAAAAGGCCTGGCCAAATGCATGCTGCTGGCCCACAAATTACTGCACCTGGCATGCCACACACAAACAAGCTACATGGAGGAAATGCAAGTAAGAACAAGGACAGAAAAATGCTGTACAATACAATCAAGAATGGCGATTTTGGTATCTAATGTTTAAAAGAAACAATATAAATTGCTCCATTATATTTAGTTCAATCATGTTTTTATCGTTCCGCAAGCGTTTCAAAATACTCGGCACTTTGTAAGGCCTAGCAAGCATTTGTTTTGCCATCTAAGTTCTTCCTGGTAGTTTTGATACTTTATACGGGATCGGAGATCAACGTTTTCTGCAAGTATTTCCAATCAGATGAAGGCATCGAAATAGTGCATACTATACTTGGAAGGTGTGACGTTAATGTTTAAGAAACCAATCAAAACGAATGTGCAATCTCTAACAAATAGAAATACTTTTGTTTCCTGTCAACTTGATGGAAAAGGCAGCCACAGCATCTTCATCGCAAAAGAAAACATTATTTACCGATATGGTCTTAATCAGCTCGACGGGGCGCCTCATCAGATATCAAGCAAAGATAGCATTATGGGTTTAAAATTGTTTGGTGATATGTGCCTTGGATCCCAACACTTGTTTGTAATTACAGAAAACAGTCAATTGGAGATCTATCGAGTCATCGATTCTATGACAATCTCGACGAAGGTCATTCAAAACCTCAACGTCAGATGCTTACAGAAAATTGAAATCTTTCTCGATCAAGAAGAAACAGAAATTTATGTGGTGGGTAACCGTTCACTCGTCTACTTGATCAAGATGGAAGACGCTTTGTCATCTTCGTTTTCCTGCCATGCCAGTCTAATTTACGCATCAGAATATGAATTAATTGGGAGCGGTACTCTGACGGCTACAAATGATGCAAAAAATGAGCTTTTCTACGTTTTGGAGATTAGCATGGCCATTAATAGATTATATTTCTCAAAATTTCGTATGAATCAGAAACAATCAAAAGGATCGGCGGGCCTTCAGCTCTACAAAAAAGACTCCTATCAAATGACGCACTTGGATTTTCCAGCTGTTATAATTTTTGTTTGTGAGAATCAGAGAGTCATTGCGATATCTGAAAATCAAACGGTTTGTTTTCAATCTAATGTTTTGGCACTAAAGAACCACGGTATCCATGAGATTTTGGGAAGAAAGCTTGGCTGCAAACTCTTACCGGAGGCAAGTTACATATACAACAGAGATCGAATTTTCTTAAGCCTTTATACAAATGCAGGTGACATTTTGGAGGCCGTTGTGGATCTTGAGAAGCAACAGAAAGTGCTAAAATGGACATTAAAAAAATACGAGACCATTGAGTGGCCTATAGGTACAATTGAGTACTTTAAAAGATTGATGAACCATGTTTTCGTTGTTGTTTCAAAAATGGAGGGAGTGTCAATCATCAATATGAAAAATGGGAAGGTGCTTCAATCTCTCCCTTATGAAAACAAGCTTTATTTTGATTCGCACAATATTCGATGCATAGAGGGAAACATGCTTGAGCTAGCTACATGTGGAGGCTTTTCTAAGACACTTGGATTTGTTGAAACCTGGAAATTAAAGCTTCCATCGTCCTCAATAAAGGTTCTTAAATATTTTGATCCCCGTTGCACGGTACTTCAGAATTTTTGGACTGTACGCGGGACGGTTTTTTGGTATAATGGTGAGCTTTATAACGAGTCCCGTATGATTACCAATCAAAGTGTTGTTCACGTCACGCAGTGGGGCTCTGTGCTAGCTCTTGATAGAATTCTTTGTGGTTGTGAAATCCCATCTTTCAATGACTCTTGTATAGTTTTGAACACAAAAGGAGAGATCTCGCTAGTAAAAGAGAACAGTAATGTAGTACTGAGTGCTATTCCCGAGGTGGATTGCAATCAGAAGCATGCGATTGCAGCACAACTATACTCTAAAGATGATGAACGATCATTATTTGTAGCAGTTGCGGCGGGGAACAAAATTCATTGCTTTAACGGTGAAGGAGATTTTATCTCTATAAATTCCAAACTTCGTGCCATCCGAGATATTTGCATCATTTGCCGGGAGCAAAATGGTGACTACTTGCTAGCTGTTAGTAGTGACGAGGGAAGGGTAATAATATTACGATACTGTTCGGTGAAAAAAGGAATCACGTTCGTTTTCGGCCTTTTAATTGATGCTTATACAGCAACCAGCTTATGTAACATCCCGGGAGGTGTGAACAGAAAGTTGGTTTGGGTGTATAATGACGCCAAGACGTACATTTTGAATGTCGAAAAGCAAATCTACTATGAGTGGCCATTGGGCTTTGGACTCAAGAAATTGCGCCATTATCAAGCAGATCAATATATGGCAATCACGCCGGATGATCAAATAATAACATTTCAGTTGCTGGGAACGAATGCGTCTACATACGAGAAACAGTTGTATGTGTCTCAAAAGCATTTGTACCTGCAGCTGGTGCTCATAGGAAATCCTCAATTCGCTTTAATGGCTGCGGAAGCTACGAATGCAGGCAGAACACAAAACTTGGTTCTCTTTGACTTGCAAGAGATGAGACCATTGTCTACTTTCAAGTTCGATGTTGCCGGGATGATTGGGGAGATAGTAGCTGTGGAATCGTCAGATTATCAAACGTGCTTAGTGTCTTTTTTAAAGAAAGACAGCTCGGGCAGCATCTTGTATCTACTCTCAATAACGCCAGGCGCGATTGTGTGCAGTGCGTCACTCATTGTGGATGGCATAATAAGCGGGATCGTAGTGCGCGATGACACCATAGTTGTCGTGGCGGAATCTCTGATTGTGTGTCGAATGGTGCACTCGGTGGACGCAGGCTGGGACCTGGTCCGTGAACCTATCTGGTACGAAACACAAGAGGACCTGTCGTGGGCGTGTGCTTGTTTTTTCGATTCGCGCGGTTTCCTGAATGTCATGTCACCCCAGAGCGGATTGTGCACCTACAACCTGGATAAAAACGCTAAGCGAAGTGGACCCATTCAAATTTCGCGTAGGAAAGACGTGGCCGGCTCTCCACAACCTGCTTTGGAGATACTAACGCAAATAGCCGTCGTTTCGGCAGGTCCTTCGCGGAACGGCGTGGGCTCTGCCAATCTGGCAAGATACGATGTGGCGTTGCCTACGGTCTACGCTGCATGTGCGCTAGGACCGTACGCGTGCATTTGGGAGGTGGAACCGACAACAAACACTACTGACAGAGCAGAAACCGAACTACCCACTTCTATGTCGCATTGGCACTCACACATCGCAGAATGTGCGGCAATATTGCCGCCAGACCAAGTCGTCACTCGCTTGCGGCCTGTATGTGCCGAACCAGTGACATTCTTGGCGACCACGATTGCAGGTCCGTGCGTGGTCTCACGGCTTGGTCGAGGATCCTCCCAGGCATGCGAAACTGGCCAAACCGCCCAGCTTTGGAGCCTGTAGGCACACGCTGCGCTGACTAAACCTGTCCTGTTTAGGAACAGGAAAACGCGAAATCCTCGAGACACGCCATCGAAGCCAGGAACAGCCGCTGCGAAAAAAATACAGTAAATACAACATGCACGGGTGTTTGGTGTGTGGTTCTGTATCATGTGATTTAATTTTGATCACCTTGTACGTGTCTACGTCGAGCACTGTTCCCGCACAAGCGCAGTCCTCACGTTCGCTCCACGTCGCCGAGAGTGCTCAACCGACATGTCGCAAGAGAACCAAGACACAGAGCGCGAGGCAGCTAGCGCCACTGCCAGCACCGCCCCAGTCCTGCCCTGGGACCTCACTCAGCAATCCATCCCCGTCAAGAGCTTCACGGGCTACGAGGTGCAGCTCTCGGGCTGGGTCAGACACGACAAGTTGAAAGTTCACCACGATCAAGACTCCGCCGTGCCGGATGACAGTCCTCCCGCTCAAGTCGCGTCCTCGGTCCGGCTGCCCCCCGTCCACGCAGACACGGACGCAGAGCCCGACGCGGACGCGGACGGTGGCGTGGATGTCGACGACGATGACGTCGCGGACGACGACGACGCCGACGACCACCTAGATCACGTGCCTTCGTCCTCCACGTGACTGCTTTTTTCCCCGATCAGTTTACCTCGCCGCCTGTCTCGCCGCCTGTCTCGCCGTCTCCACCCCAGGACGCCGTGACGCGAGACCATCACGCGCGTGGGTGCACTCTGCCCCAACCGGTGCCTCTTGTGCTACCTGGAATGCTGCTCCGACGCTGTTCAGCGCCCTTTTGCACCTCCAGCGGCTCTTCTCCGGCCTTCTCCGCTCGCCTATCCGTCTTCATGGCCTCCCTTAACCCCTGTACGTAATTTGTAATTCATAAGTTCGTAATTAAAGATTCGAAGCCATCACCAGCCGGGCGGCTCAACGGTTTCGGCATGGACACCCACGCATCAGGGGTTGCACTCAATTCGCGTCGCGCTTGTATCGTTATTCTCTTGCATTACGAGAATCTTGCATAGAAATCTGGGCACGTTTTTCCCCTTTCGGCACTACACCCGCATGGCTGCAGGACTTTCTGTGTGAAGACAAAGAAGGGGGTGATTTGGCAGCTCGCATGGCGTGCAACATGAGACATGCAAAAGCGCCTACGAGTGCCTCTGTGTCGCCTCTCGCCGGGCAACGTCAGGTTGCAGTGTTCGGGCTGCAGCTGGAAGCGCCATTTGGCAGAGTGCATGTGGCTCCTACGGGTGTTTCTGGGGATCAAATTTAGATTGGGCATCTCTGACGCCTGACGCGATCGTAGCTCCCGACCGTACTAGTGCTGGGTTTGAGTTTAATTATGGAAACGCTGACGTTCGTTTCATAGTATACGGGCGCGTCGAGAGGCCGTACAACACAGAATTGATATGAATTTAGCCAGCACTGGATAAATATATATATGGGGGCATATTTCGCGTTTGTGGTGGCCAGATATCAGGTACAGTGTTCGCTGCTTCTTATTGCTTCACACTTGACCAAAAAGGCACCAGATTTCACCCGAGCCCACAGGATCGCTAGAAATCACTACCAAAAAGATCGTGGATATTTACTAGTTCTTCATCTAGACCACTATCTTCTTCTCCCACGCCATTAGGTACTTTACAGTTCCTAACGTGCACACACCAAACCACTTTCGCTATAATATGATTTTTTCAACACTGTTGCTTGCGCTATGGGCCGGGCTCCAGGCCGTCGTTGCGCAGCCTCTGCCAGCCAAGGGTGCTGCCAGCGCGCAGTTTTTGCATGAGGCCAACAAAAAAAGATACTACGACTACTCGAGCGCTGTTCTCAGAGGTGTGAACATTGGAGGATGGCTCGTGCTGGAGCCTTTCATCACGCCCTCGCTGTTTGAGTCATTCCGCACGACCGACTCCAGCGATGCCGGCATTCCTGTCGATGAGTACCACTTCTGTCAAGCGCTTGGCTACGAGGAGGCTGAGTCTAGATTGGTCCAGCACTGGTCTTCCTGGTATACTGAAGTCGACTTCAAGAACATGGCTGCGTCCGGTCTAAACTTCGTGCGTATCCCTATCGGTTACTGGGCGTTTCAGACTCTCGACTCCGACCCTTACGTCACGGGCCACCAGGAGGGCTACCTAGACCAGGCCATTGAGTGGGCTGGCAAGTACGGCCTAAAAGTGTGGGTTGACGTGCACGGTATGCCAGGCTCCCAGAACGGGTTCGACAACTCTGGTTTGAGAGACTCTTACGCGTTCTTGGAAGACTCCAACCTAGCCGTCGCCAAACAAGTTATCCAGTACGTCCTCGAAAAGTATTCCCGTGATGAATACTTGGACACTGTTATTGGTATCGAATTGGTCAACGAACCTCTTGGTCCAGTTCTGGACATGCAAAAGCTTACCGAGTTTTACGAGTTTGGATACAACTATGTCAGAAATGAACTAGGTAGAAACCAAGTCGTTATTTTGCACGACGCATTCCAAGCCTACCACTACTGGGACTCTGAACTAACCGTAGATGAGGGTGACTGGGGTGTGGTTATCGACCACCACCACTACCAGGCATTCTCTAGCGGTGAATTGGCTCGTACCATTGACGAAAAGATTTCTGTTGCCTGTGAGTGGGGTAGCGGTGTCTTGAGCGAGGCTCACTGGACTGTTGCTGGTGAATGGTCGGCTGCTTTAACCGATTGTCCCAAATGGCTGAATGGTGTTGGATTTGGTGCCCGTTACGACGGTACCTGGTCAACCTCCACTGACTCTTCCTACTACATCGGCTCTTGTGAAAACAACGACGATTTCGATTCGTGGTCTGACGAGAGAAAGCAAAACACAAGAAAGTACATTGAAGCCCAACTAGATGCTTTCGAATTGAGAGGGGGTTGGGTATTCTGGTGCTACAAGACCGAGAGCACTGTTGAATGGGACTTCCAAAGACTAGCCTACGATGGCATGTTCCCACAACCACTTTCTGATAGACAGTATCCAAATCAATGTGGATTTTGATCCCCCACTATGGTAGTACAAAACTCAACATCTTCAACTAATTGAATATAATAGGAGGCACTTTCATTTCGAGAATTAAACACCTTTTTTTAGTTCTAAGGGTGTTTTAACGACAACCCTAAATATTTAAATAAACAAATTCGGCATTTAATATGGTACTGGTGCTCTGCACTGAGATTAAAGTAAATCTGTGCCTGCACTTATTACGGTTGGAAAGTGAGAAGAAATTTTGAAATATTAATTTCAGTCGTGTGTTTCACTTTTGAGGCACTCAAAGTAGGAACCCCATGGGTTTAATGATGTATTGAAATTCATACACCAAATTATAATTGTCTGAGTTTTTCATACTTTTAAAATTCATGCCACCTCGTAAATCTTTTCACAATTGTTTTATGTTGTTAGTAATTTCTCAAGTAAGCTTTTTAATTGTGAATAATCTTTTTGTGAATCAAAGAGATCCCAAAAAACTATTATCAGTGTTTCTGAGCATGAAATGTACAACTCTACTTACTTTGTAGATATCTCTTGGTAAACTTTCAAAGTACCTATGTACGAAAGAAATCACGTTGCCATCCAGTTAATCTGTCGGTCTATTATGATAAACCAATGAATAACACAAACTTACGAGCAAGATAGGTCAGGTAAACCACTAACTTTACTTCGAGCCTGATTAAGTCGGAAATGTCATCCATTCCGTCTATCGATCTGACACTCGAAGACTCAGAAACAGAACTGAGCCCCAGCAAGCGTTCTGTTAACGATATCAAAGGTGTTGATCATTTGCAATCTTCGCGACCACTCAACCTAAAAGGAAGTGATGACATACCTTCACGTATACAAGGCAACCATAATGCGAATTCAACTACAGTACGACTTCCTGGACTTTCAAGAATGCCAAGCCTTTCACGTTACTCATCTGGCAATATGGATTTGGAGAATAAGGGCTATAGACTAGATCCTTCACTGGACACGCCACCTTTGACACAAAACAGCAAACGGCCAAGCATATCTCTGAACTCTCCTTTGAAAACTCCAGTGTATATAAGGCCTGGAGACTCTCACACGTATAAAAGGTTAAAGATAGATACCCAAGAGGATGCTTTGAATGCACAGTTCGAACATCATACAAGCGACCAAACCGAGCCCCAGGAGCACAAAAGGAAAGAACCAAATCATGAATCTTTCAGTACAGATGATTTTGTGACCCCTCAGAGTCCCAAGTTTCCCGACGATATCCTCGAAAACCATAAAACAACACCTATCACTTCTCATGAAGAAGACCGAGACGGTGAATTCACGGATGACCAAGATAATGCTTTACATGAAACGGTCGAATACTATGACTTAGATGATCAGAAGGATGAGAATATCAAGTCGAGTTCAAATATACAAAATCAACTTGTAATAGGATCCTCTCCCAGAAATAGTGAATTGGATTCCTTTCATTCGGCAAGACAATCTCCAAGGCCTCAAAACTTCGAAAATGAAATCTTGAAACACGATGGACCAATTAATAAGGAAAGTTCACCCATTATAATCCTGAGCGATGACGAAGATAATAAATCCACTTCTTATGGAGACCAAAGTTCAGCAGATAAACCTAACAATTCAAATATTTTAAACAAAGCTCCAGACGCCGAAACAGCAAGAGCTGCTTTCGAAAGACTCGCCAGGGAAATGATGGAAAAGGAAAGAGAATTGACCAATCTCCAGAATACCTACAGAGATACCAAGACTATTCTGCAACGTAAACTTACGAAAAGAGAAGCACTAATCAAGGAATCTGAGAGCAAGCTAGATTTGCTATTAAAGAGTTTAGATAATTCACAATCATCCAATAAGAGACTATTGATCGATCGAACCGCAGAAGATACCAAGTCGCTTAAGGAAAAGAAAACAAAAACGCTTTTGAAATTACGTGAAGTCGAACGTAAAGAGTCTCTTCTAAAAGAAAAATTTGTGGACTTCGTTAATTTCAGGAACTCAAAGATGCAGCAATCTCAAGTTGAATTGCAAAATGCAATCAAAGACCAGGCCAACACAAACAATATACAATCGCGCGGTGAGCTGATACAAGAAAGAAGTCGGACAGAATCAATGTATAGAGAAGGTTCAATAGACGAGGAACGGTATGCACTCACAATGAGTGAAATAAATGCAAAGCTCAATAGGCTCAACACATCGAATACCGTCCAAAATGGATCAGCCACCTCGTTATTTTTCAAGTCTATTGAGGTGGCTAGAGACTTGATTCAGAAAAATACAGTACGCTCACTTCAAAATAAAAATCTGATGAATTACCTACTGAGAATTGTAGAGAAATTCAAAAAGGACTTTGACCAGGGCGTACTGTATAAGGCCTCTAAAAAAAGAAGGGTTGAAAATGCTATCGTTGAACTTCAAAAACATGGTGTTAAGATGCCGGCTGTCTCCAAGTACCTTGAAACTTTGGGGTTCATTGTTGATCCTGATTTCTATGATAGAATGAAACAGGCGAGAAGTGGACACAATTATTCAGATGATGACTTCATACCACCTGAAGAAATGGGTGAAAATGCTATGGGCGATGATTCTATATTGGGTGCAATAAAGTCGCAACACGGTCAAGTTACCTATAATAGTTTACAGCTCTCAAACATTTATACCGCTCAGGATAACGAAAGTTTACACAAGCTTCTAGAAGATTTGAAAAAAACCGAAACTGAAGTTAAGGGAGAAGAGCTAACACCACCAGAGCTTACCGTAAATCTAATGACGCATCAAAGACAAGGTCTCCATTGGCTATTGGAGGCTGAAAATTCCAGCAAAAAGGGAGGATTGTTAGCGGATGATATGGGTTTGGGTAAAACTGTACAGGCCATTGCACTGATGCTTAGAAACAGATCGGAGTTGGAAAAATGTAAAACTAATCTAATAGTTGCGCCGGTTGCTGTACTGAGAGTTTGGCAAGCAGAGATCAAAACGAAGGTTAAAAAGAGTGCTGATTTTAAAGTTATTATATATGGCGGTACCAGTGGGTCCAAAGTGAATAGCTGGCGAGAACTCTTGAAATATGAAGTGGTCTTGGTCTCTTACCAAACTCTAGCTAGTGAGCTAAAAAAGCACTGGCCTTTGAGATTAAGGCAAGATGATGAGGACTTCAAATTACCAGAAGACGCGGATATAAAAGCAATCAATAATCTCAAGGAGAAAGGGTCTGAATATTGGTCACCATTTTTTTGCAACGAGTCACAGTTTTACCGCATCATATTAGATGAGGCTCAGAACATCAAAAATAAAAATACCAAGGCGGCAAAGGGTTGCTGTGCCTTAGAGAGTGTCTACAGGTGGGCTTTGTCTGGTACACCAATGCAAAACAGTATCATGGAATTATATTCCTTGGTGCGGTTTCTGAGAATCTCACCGTATAATAGAGAACACAAATTTCGCGTTGACATTGGTAATCCACTGGGAAAAAGTGCGACGAATTACGATGATTATGATAAAAAGCAGGCAATGAAAAAGGTGCAGGTGTTATTGCGGGCAATTATGCTTCGTAGGACAAAAGATTCAGAAATTGATGGCAAGCCAATTTTGGAGCTACCTGACAAAAATATTCATAATGAAGAGAATGTCTTGGTTGGAGAAGAATCCAAATTTTATAAAGAGCTTGAGAGTGCGAATCAGAAAAAAGCGGAGAAACTTTTATCTCGCAGTGCGAAGGGCAGTTATTCTAGCATTTTAACCTTACTGCTTCGTCTACGTCAGGCTTGTTGCCATCCTGAATTGGTTGTTATCGGGGAAAACAAGAGTGAGAATTCCAAGGTTGTAAATGGTAAGAATTTCGAAAGAGATTGGCTAAGGCTCTTTGAAGTAGCCCGGAGCATCTCGAATATGGGTAAAGATACAATTTCAGATGGGTTAGAAAATATGATGTGTCCATATTGCATGGAACAGATGGAACTGGAAAGCACAATGATTCTAACACCATGTGGTCATATGCTGTGTGAAGGTTGTCTTGAATCCTTCTTAGATGATGCTCGTTTCGAGCCAGGAGCAAGGAAAGCTGCTGGGGGTGGTCATATCGTTGCTTGTCTTGTATGTAAAAGGGATGTGAACGATAACGATGTTATAACTTACAAACTTTATGATCAGGTTGTAAACCAACATTTCACTGAAAGAGACTTGCACGATGAGTATAAGCACGAGATGGCAGCTCAAAAGGATCGCCTGAAAAACGGTTACCATACCGATCTTCAAAGCTTATATCCCTCACAAAAGATATCAAAATGTTTGGAAATAATAAGAAACATCTACGAAAAGACTGATGATGAGAAGGTAATCATCTTCTCACAATTCACTACATTTTTCGATCTATTGCAACATTTCATCAAGAAAGAATTACGTATACCGTTCTTAAGATACGATGGATCAATGGATTCGAAGGCCAGAGCAGTCACAGTGGAAGATTTTTATCGTGATAAGGCAAAGAGAGTGCTTTTAATTTCAATGAAAGCTGGTAACGCAGGTTTGACGTTAACCTGTGCCAATCATGTGGTACTTGTCGATCCCTTTTGGAATCCATTTGTTGAGGACCAAGCTATGGATAGATGCTACAGGATTAGTCAAACAAGAGAGGTTCAAGTTTATAGGCTGCTTGTAAAAAATTCCGTGGAAGACAGAATCCTTGAGTTGCAGAAAAAGAAGAGAGAATTGGTTGATAGTGCGATGGATCCTACTAAAATTAGGGAAGTCAACCGCCTTGGTCGTCACGAGCTAGGATTCTTGTTTGGTTTGAATTCTTTGGGCATTGCATCTGATTCGTGAGCACATTCGAGGCTCCCTCTGGTGATGGAATGTTTTAAACGATTTTTCATATTGAGAGCGACATTTTGAAAACGTGAGGAGGTACATCATCGGCAAAGAAAATCAGCTGAGGCAGATGAGGAATAAAGATTTAGGGTATATTTCCTATTGTAACGCTACGTATATTTTATTTTTTTTCAGTACTTGAACCATTAGTACTGAACCAATCAATATTTCATCAGCTTATCCTCTTTGATAGCCATTAATTAGCTTACTATGGTATCTATTAACAAAAGATTAACATTCCAAGTCGCTACTAACCCAGCTGACGAACGCACCTTGACACTGTCATCCACCACCAATAAGGGCCACTTTATCTCTCTAAGACCTTTTGTCAGACCAACGGAGAGCGAAAAAGATTTCCCTTATGAATGGGCTTTCGCCGGCACTTCATCGCATGCCAAAAGCAGTGCCACCGACGGTGACTCCATTACAATCGACTTCAACTTTCAATTTGACACAAATGTTTACTTGAATAAGGAAAACACTCACAGAGGTGAAGTACACACTTTATGGACTACGTGGGAAAGCGGTTGTGTTGAAGAAAGGGGCAAAGTTTTCCCATTTGGTGCTGAAAATGAAGGAGTGGACTTCTTCGAACTTTGGCAACCAATCGATGCTACTAGAGACGAATTTGTAATCCTTGGCAATGAAAGTGAGCAAGACCCGAACGCTAGATCTATTGCTTTAACTTTGAACAACGGTGAATTTGAAGGTTTGATTGTTGTGGTTGGCAAATGGGCTCAAGGTATTCTATTCAAGAAAAACGATCACACTACGAAGGGCGTGAACATTTTGAGAGCCGTGGAGAAGCAAAAGGGTCAATGGCAAACTTTGCTCAAGTATGGTGCAGACTTTGACAAATTCCCTGTTAAATTCGAAGCGGAGGAAGGTGCTTCAGTTGTTGCTGGAAACGCCACATGGGAAGTTATCGAATCTAACGTCTAATGTTGCAAAGAAAAATATATATAGTAGCAGCCAATGATCAGTTATGAATTTCGGAATATATACAATTAAAGACTAAAAGTTTTATATTTTTGGGCTGCAAACAGACGAAAACGGAACACCGTCAGAGGAACGACATTTTAGGAAGAACACAAACTGAGTGCAATGCCTGCCGTATTTTCGATTCGTAAATCAATCAAGTGGGAAGATGAGGCCGAGCCATCGGAACCTACATCAACGTGGGTGCTCACTGCGGGAAATGACGATTTCGTGGATACCAGGATTCTCAAGGCAACAGGCGAACCAGATTGGCTAATAAATGGGAAAGAAAAGACAATTGCAACTGAACCCGGATTTGAGGTAAGTATTGAGTTTGTTCATCAATTAGACTCATTGGGTGACGACTCTGGTTCAGATGTTGGCCATTTCAAGGGACTCCCAAGCGGAGAGAGGTTGGAATGCGGTCGCATGCAGCAACCCGACTCCGGTGTGGAAAAGGGGTACGAAGAAGTTTGGAGCACATTGGATGCTATCAGCTCGACTCCAACCGACTTGAAACCAACCGTAGGTGAGGATCCTAGTTTTAGTTCGACTGTTTGGGAGCTGCCTAATGGGAAGGGACGTTTCATCACCATTGGCAAGTTCTCACAGGGAGTAGCTACTTACAATGACGTTTTCCAATGCGTTCGACTATATGAGAAGAGTGTTGTTTACAAGTACGGAGCTGAGGCCATGGAATTGTTTGGGGAGTTTATTGATGGCAATATAAGAGAAGGCTTTGACTGGAAAAGAACATTTAGCGACTAGTATAAAGACTAAGTGTGCATCGTTTGTATATATCAATAAATATGTTTCTCTAAGCACCTGACAGCTACTAGAGAAGTGGGAACTTGGAAAATGTTACTACTCCATCAAGTTTCCGATATAGTGTAACGGCTATCACATCACGCTTTCACCGTGGAGACCGGGGTTCGACTCCCCGTATCGGAGTTTATTTTTGATTTTTTGCTCCGACCGAAAGATGAGCTGTAAGTACAAAGAATACCCGCTGAAAGCATCCGATGGTTTATTTAAGAGTTGAGAAGATGGTAGTTAACGTTGGAATGGCGTGCAGTGCAGAATGTTGGAAGCATCGGGGACGCCAAGATACGAGATGGTTTTAACTGGCGGGAAGTTCAAGAGCAGTTGTATCACGGTGAACGAGGTTTCAAATTTTTTTTCCCATTATGAAAATTTTCACCAGGGGATATTGAAGGGCGTTATCGCTCAAAGATTTAAGTTGGCGATCAAATTTACGTTTTGAGTCTCTGGTGGTCACAAAGGAGTTAACGAAACAAGATAAAATGGGTGCTTGGTTGTTTGTACTAGCGGTTGTTTTGAACTGTGTTAACCTATTTGCTCAGGTGCACTTTACTATTTTATACGCTGATTTGGAAGCGGACTACATCAACCCTATCGAGTTGTGCTCGAAGGTCAACAAACTGATCACGCCGGAAGCTTGTTTGCACGGGTTCATCTCGTTGCTGTTCCTCTTGAACGGGTACTGGTTTGTGTTTTTGATCAACGCACCTCTGTTTGCGTTCAACGCCAACAAGATCTACAAAAGGTTGCAACTATTGGATGCCACGGAGATTTTCAGGACTTTGGGCAAGCACAAGCGGGAGAGTTTTTTGAAATTAGGTTTCTACCTGTTGATGTTCTTTTTCTACTTGTACAGAATGATTATGACATTAATCGCCGAAAGCGAGTGATGTGCACACCGGCGCGCTGCATTGGATCGATCCTCACCCACATTTAGTATATGTCGTATATTTTTATAAGTACACAGGTCAGTATTTGTTTGGCAACTGTAAAATTATAACATTTCCTCGAGTTTACGGTTGAGCGCTTGGAGCCGGGCCAGCACGCCGTTGTAAGGATCCATGAGGTGTAGGAAGTCGTCCAATTCGGGTCCCAGCGGCGAGAGGGCAGGCGTTGTGGGTGGGAGCGCGATGTCGCGGCTCAACTGGTGGAGTTTTTCGTTGAGGGCGAGTTTGCGACGCAAATCGTCGAGATCGTGCGAGTCGTCGGCGCGCATCTCAAGCTGGTGGGTTTCTTGGCGCACCAGGAGGAGGGCCTCGGTGAGGTCGTGCTTGGCGCGAAGGACCTGCTTGAGGCGGAAGCAAAGCTCATTGTTGGAGATGTTGATGTCGAGGATGTCGCGGAGGTCGGCCAGCACTTTTTCCAGAAACGTGGAGAAGACCTTGATGTCGAGTTTGTACATGAGCTTTTCAGGGCCCGAGGAGGCGGTTTCGAAGTTGGCGTAGGATTGGGGGATGAGTTGGTCTTCGAAGAGAGCGTGGAAGAGCGCGACCAGCACGTCGATGGAGGTGATGGAGGTGACGGACGACGACAGGCGCGCGACGGGGACGTCTGAGAAGTCGTAGGCGGGGAGCGGCAGGGGGGAGCGGCGGGGGGAGCCGACACCAGGCTGGCCGGGGGGGTCGAAGGGCGCGGGGGACGCGTCGAAGTGCACCGGAGAGGCCTCGAAGGGCGCGGGAGACGCATCGAAGGGCGCGGGTCCGAGACCCGGTGTTTCTGGGGCTTGCTGCGACTCCTGCAGCTTGGATGCGGCGGGGAGCGAGGGCGCATCGAGACCTGGGGTTTCCGGCAGCCAATGGGGCTCGGATCCGGCGGCCGCGGCGGGCGAGAGGTTGTCGAGGTTCGGCGGTCCTGGCGACGCGGCCGGCGGGCGCGAGTGGGACGCGCGCAGGCGCTTGAGCGGCGAGATCTCCACGCCGCGGTCGACGGTGCGGCGTGCGCTGCCGCGTTGCCTGATCAGCAGCTTGACGGCTCTGTCCGTGAGCACTGCATCGCGGGCCATGCCGGGGTGAACAAGAGAGAGAGACGCGTGGGGCCGCGAGAAGAAGGCGGGGCGGGGCGGGTAACCGAGGAGCGCGCGCACGTTCATGTCACGTGCGCCCACACCCCGACACCCACCGATTCACAGTCACGTGACCCTATGCAACCCACGCACCACCACAACCCGGACACCACCCCAGCGCACGTGACAGGTCCGCCCACCCTGACACCCACACACCTCACCCCCACACACCACCCCCCACACCGCCTCCCGTGCTACCCGCCGCTCCCTCACTCCGGCCCCGGCCCCAAGCGCCTCCGCGGCTCCCGCCCCGGCGCCCGCGCCCCGCCCGCCCGCGGAAACGGCACGCCGCGCCGCACACCGCGCCGCACACCGCGCTTAACGTCATTTTCGTCGCTTCGGCGCAGAGCCACGCAGCGAACCCGCGTCGCAAAATGCGTCGCCGAACTGCGTCGCAACTAGCCGTGCCGTGACCGCGCCGTGACCGCGTCGTAACCGCGTCGTAGCCGCGTCGTTGCGTCGTAACTAACTGCGTCGCAACTGCGTCGCAACTGCGTCGCGACGCCCAAAACCGGCGGCCCGCTGCCAGCGGCAACCTGCAGCAACATCGGATCGGCAGGGCGACGGCTATTTTTAGCAGCGGCGGCACCTTTTTTTGTTGTTTTTCCTTGTTACCCTTTTTCACTCCCGACGAAATGACTCGTCGTCGGCGGTCGCCGGAATCTTCTGCGATGGGCTCCTTTTTTTTTCGTAGCCTCTATCTCCCTTGCCTTGGCCGTCAGGTTTAGGTTTTTTTCGTGCCACTGGTGGCATTCCTTATTCGCTATTATCGTAGCCGGTAGTTACTGGATCAGAAATTAAGCTTGGGATTTCTAGATTTTTTTTTTGCTATTTATGTGGAAAATTTTTCCAGTATATATGTGTTCAAGGTGGCAGGCGTTGAGCTTTACATCATCGGGTACAATCGTAGACACCTCAAGCGTGTTCTCTAGAATTCTCTGCATCTTTCAGGCTAACGCACGAGTGAAGGGTGGAGAAAGCGAAAAGCGAGAGCGAGAGCGACAGCAGCGAAAGCCACAGCAGCCAGCGCGACAGTAGCCAGCGCCAGCGGTCTCTCAGCCCCACAGCAGCAGCAGCCGGCCCAGGTCCAGGTCGCAGCGACCCAGCACGATCCCGGTGGCGCCCGCTCAGCCACAGCACGTCCCGTCCGCGTGCGAACCGGCCCTCCAGCACGCAGCCGCGCTCCCGCAGGCAGGCCAAGCGCGCCGCGCTCGAGAGCCGTCCCCCAGCCGCCCTGCGACGCCAGCGCGTGCGCCGACCGCCAGCATGAGCCCCGAAGCCGCAGCCATCCCGCAGCCGCCCTCGTCCACGATCCTGACGTCGGACCAGCCCCCACGCACCCTCTGGATGGGCGACCTCGACCCGAGCTTCGACGAGGCCACCATCCAGCAGATCTGGGCGCAGCTCGGCCAGCGCGTCAACGTCAAGCTCATCCGCGCCAAGAAAAACCTCCTGATCCCCTGCAGCACCAGCAGCACGTTCAACAGCTCCGAGCCGCAGTTCGCGGCCGGCGCCAGCGCCGCGGGCGCTGGCGCGCCCGCGACCCCCGCGGCGGGCTCCAAGATCAACATCAATGGCGTCTCGTTCATCGACCCGAGCACCACGCAGCTGCACCACGCTGGGTACTGCTTCGTGGAGTTCGAAAGCCTGGCGGACGCGCAGTGGGCGCTCGCGCTCAACGCGACCCCGCTGCCCAACGTGGCCAGCGCGTCCACGCGCCAGTTCACGAACCCGTCCGGGCTGCGCAACTTCCGTCTCAATTGGGCGTCCGGAGCCACTTTGCAAAGCGCCATCCCGTCCACGCCAGAGTTCTCGCTGTTTGTGGGCGACTTGTCGCCCACGGCCACCGAGGCGCACCTGTTGTCGCTCTTCCAGAAAAACTTCAAGAGCGTCAAGACCGTGCGTGTGCTCACGGACCCCATCACGGGCGCCTCGCGCTGTTTTGGGTTTGTGCGCTTCGGCGACGAGCAAGAGCGCCGCAGAGCGCTCGCCGAGATGAACGGCGTGTGGTGCCAAGGCCGCAACCTGCGCGTCGCCTACGCGACGCCCAGGAATAACGTGGTTTGGCAACTCACGCAACAACAGCAGCAACGTCCGAACGCCCCGACGCATATCCCAGACGTGTTGGCAGGCGCACCCCAGTTTGCACCCCACGCCGCGCAACAGGCGCCCTTGCTCATGAAAACGGCCAACTCTCTGGTCGACAACAACCTTATTTCGATCCCCAGTTCCAATCTAGTTAACGAGCACTCGACGGGCTCCGGCCCATCCCAATTGACCCCCGTCGTGGCCCGATCCAACTTCGCAAACCCCCACAACACCACCGTGTTCATCGGCGGTCTCACATCAAACACCACGGAGCGCCATCTGCATTCGTTGTTCTCGCCCTTCGGCACCATCATCAACGTGAAAATTCCGCCAGGAAAGGGTTGTGGGTTCGTCAAGTACGCCAACCGCATCGACGCCGAGGCTGCCATCCAGGGAATGCAAGGTTTCATCGTCGGTGGCAACCCTATCCGCCTCTCTTGGGGCAGAACTTCTGCCGACACCACTAGGAACGTGTCCTTCTTGGACAATTCTCCCGCGCCCACCGGCAACACGGATGCTCCTCAGACGTTTTGGAACTCCTATCCATCCAATACGGCTCCAGTGTTTGTTCCTCAGCATTTACAGAGGGAGGATCCTCCGGCGCAACCCAACAGTGTGCCCCCAGTGCATCCCTCCTTGTTGTAGCGATAAGCTTTCTGTATTTTTTCCTCGTTTGGCATATGTTAACCAGTTCTTTTTCACATTTCCCATTTTATGTGTTTTTACTATAATTTCAATCGTTATTATCATTGTTATGTCCCAAGAACCTAGTAATTCAAGCCGTTCTTATATGTATCATTTGCGTTATTTTGACTTTTTAATGCTGATTTCTAGTTTTTAATCGTTATCTCAACTCATTCTTTTGTCGGTTGAACAATGCCAAATCAACCGTTGGAAAAATGCGCACGTGACCTCTTGTTTTCTCTCGCTTTCTTTCCCTCACTGTGGCTTCGATCTCATCTAATTCTTAATTGATGCAATTCTTTAATACGCCTACTCTTGCACGCAACTACTAGCTTCCTATGGACTCTATATCGCTACAATTGGCGCATCAGCTAACCGGCAAAAATGTCCTGTTGGTTGGAGCGGGTGCTGTTGCAATTACTAGGCTTCCAAAGCTCCTGCCGACAGGTTGTCGACTCACCGTCATCGCACCAGAGATCGAGCCAGAAGTATGGGAACATTTCGACAAAACAAGCTCTGAGGAGCTTCAAGACTACATTGACGAAGACTGGACTGCAGATAAACACAAGATTTACCGTATCATCAACCGAGGGTTTGAAAATACGGATTTAGTGCTTTATGGAGATGGCTCAAGCTCACAATCTGACAAAGATGCATTTCTGAGTAGTACTGATCCCAATTATTCATTTACGCCAAGTGTAAACAAGGGATGGCACATGGTGCTGACATGCATCCCAGACCCCAAGCTAAGCGAACGCATCTTCTATGGGGCCAAGCTGGTGCTAGGCCAGCAAGTTATGTGCAATGTAGCAGACAACCCACCTCTTTGCGATTATTATTTTGGAAGCAATGTTACTTTGGGTGGCTTTTCCCGCAATGATTCGCAGTCCCGCCGCAGCAGGGAAAAGCCCATCCAGATTTTGATTTCCTCCAATGGGAACTCTCCGAGGTTTACCGCTTTGTTAAAGCAAGAAATCCAGCGCAAATTCAAATCCTTGCCAATCGGATTAAGCGTCGCCAGATTAGGCGACTTGAGGGCCGCCATTCGCAAGAGTTCGGAGGAAAAGTGCCCCACAGACTTCACAAAAGCACAACTCCTCAAATTTAGAATGGATTGGATACGTAAGTGTACAGACGCATTTGGCATCGATTATTGCTACCGAATCAATGTCGAGAAGACTACCCGTCTCTTTGAACAAATGCTGCAAGAGAAAAGATTAGATCTTCCTCCGCGAGAAGTTCTCTTGGAAGATTACTTAGACAAGCCTTAGCAAGCAATTCTGTAAATGTAACGCATGATAAATTGAGTAATTCAACCGCTTCTAAATAGCGGATGAAGTGCGGAAATGTAGTAGCGCATGATATAACGAAATGATTCGAGTACTTCTCAAGGGCAGATAAAATCCAAGAGCCGCGTCGACTTGTTTCAACTGTTAAAACTCGCCTCTACGAAATGGTTTGAGCCAAAGAACATATCAAAATTTATCACCAAAAGAAAGCAAAATATACTCATTCTATTTAAAAACTGGAAAAACGATAGTAAACTCACATGAGCTACGAAGTATACGAGTCGTCATAAATATGGTGCTTACACCAATTTCTTGCCTTCCAAAGATTCACCTCTTCTAGCGGCAAATCTGGCAGCAGCGTCAACACCTTCCTTAACGACAGCAACTCTCATAGTGGCCAAAACGTTGTGGGCTGCATTGGAGTGCAAGTAAACACCACCGTTGAAAGCCTTGGTGGCATCCTTGCCTAGTGCAGCTTGCAACAAGGCCTCTCCACCAGGGTGCTCAGTAATGTAACCGGAAACGTCGTGGACAATACCAGAAACCACAACCAAACCTGGGTTCTCTTTGCTTTGCTTCTTGAATTCTTCCTTGTCCCACACAGGTAGTTGGGTCAAAGGAGTACCCCAGTTCAAGTGAGAACGCTTGCGGTCCAACTTCTTCTGTTGTTGTTGCACCAAACCTTGTTGAATGGCGTTTTGAGAGAACTTTTTCAAGTTGAATGCTAAACCAATCAAAGAACTTCCGTAAATGAAAACCTTGGTAGGATCGTATTGGTACCACTTGATAGCGTTTCTGTAATCCGTTGGGAACTCGTGGTGGAAGTTGTGGTAACCTTCACCGAAGGTGACCAATGCAGTGATCCAGTTGTCACGAGGAGTTCTTCTGTCATCGAAAGGTTGGTCACCCAAGTAGTGAGCTAGCGAGTTGATGCAGAAAGTGGCCTGTTGAATGGCAAAGACTCTGATGATACCACCGTAAATCAAACCACCCTTGAAATCGTTGAAGAAGTAAGAGCAGAGACAGGCTGGTAGGATGAATGCACTGAGCAACATGATCAAGATGTAGTGTCTGTGCTGGAATCTGACGATCCAGTCGTCGGTCAAATCGGCAATATCGGCTCTAGCACGGTACTTTGGGTTTGGTTGTAGCAACATCCAGCCCATGTGAGAGAACCATAGACCACGACGGGCATCGTATGGATCTCTGACAGTGTCTGTGTAACGATGGTGGATTCTGTGCGAGTGACCCCACCACTTGATGGAACCTTCAACGGAAGCGGCACCAAAGAAGGCAAAGAACAACCTTAGAGGCCAGCGGCCAGAGTAGGCTCTGTGAGACCACAATCTGTGGTAACCAGCAGTAATGGAAACACCACCTAGAACGTAGTAAAAGATCGAGAATAGCAAAACGTTTTTATGCAGAGGCACCTTGCCGGAAAAGGCAAAGTAAAGACCCACCAATGGGATTCCCACGGTCAAAATCATGTTCAACCAGTTGATGTGCAAGTGCCAGTTACTTAGCGTCCATGGCATCTCAGAGATGTGCTTGGCGTTCTTGTACTTTTCCTTCTCTTCTTGGTCCTTGCGAAGCAAGTAGTCCATGTTCGAGTCCTCTTCGAAGTCCACATCCACCATGTTCTTGGAGCCCATCAGCGAACCCAAACCGTTGACAACACGCACACTCTTCTTGTTGGCACCCGCAGCCAGGATATTGGCCTGCACCAGATCCACCTGTTCAACCTTTGAAGTTTCTGACATGTGTATTTGTGACTATCTGACAATAGATTTTTGATTTTTGTGTGCCAAAAACTATAGTCTGGATAAACTTGTAGTCTTATTTAAAATTTAATTGGATCAAGTGAATTGTGGTCTGCACCCTTTTATATCACTTGCTCTTTTCTCGTATAAGCCTAGTTGAGAATAGCCCGATTGCTTCGTTCCAACCAAATTCTAGATATATCCTCACTATTGTTCCACCTCACCAGCTTTGCCTATTGTTGTACCACCTGCTTTCTTTTTTCTGTTGGATTTTCCAGTAAGCCCGAGAGATCCTTCGGCTCAAAGCTTTGCAGGTGCAGCTGAGCCTGAAATTGTTGGACGGTGTGTATGGGTGCGAGGGGCATGCTCGGGCACGTGATGCCCATCGACCGCCCGCACTGCGGCATTTTCTGGGCGTCGCACGTTGCGCCGCGCCGGTACGAGATGTTGTCGCTCCGAACGAGCGGCTCGGCGTGGGGCTGCTGCTGCGGCGACAGCGGCAGTCCCAGTTAAGGGGGAAAGGGAAAGGGGAAGGGGCCCAGATGAGAAGGGACTACGTTGTGAATGATGTGTGGCGTCGACACGTGACATTACGATGCGATACTCGTATAACGGCATACATCCGACGCGATCATGTGACCAAATTCGAATGTCGCTTGACACGAGAAGTGTGTATGGGTGGGTGCGTGTGTAGTGAGCGTCGATCACATGCTTGGTAATTTGTGTTTTCGCACGTGAGTTTCGCGTGACCCCGCATCGTAAAATGGCTGACCCCGTCCCCTTTATTCTGTCACCGTTCCCCCAGGGTAAAGGGAAAAAAAAAAATTTGCGTATCATAAACGGCCCGTAAAACGCTCCCTGCAATCGACCTCGTCTTTTATTTATCACGCCCTATGAAGGATCCCTCACAGTCTAATAACAGCTCTGGCAACGCCGGCAGCTCCAGACACGCGTCAATTGTTGAAATGCTATCGACGCCGCCCGCAATCCCGCAGCAGCCCTCCGGCAACTGGGAGCTGGATTCGATCTCGCTCTCCAGAAACCCTAGCACTACGTCGCTCGACTCGCAAATGAGCTCAACTACGTCGTGCCTTACCAAAGTGCATTCTCAGAAGTGGCAATTTATCCAGCTCTCGCAGTTGATAGAGCAAAACAAGCTTGTTACCGTACAAGCGTCAGTGTCAGTTGAAGAAGCGTTCAACACGCTTGTGCGCTACAATCTGACGTCGCTGCCGGTGGAGCAACACCCGGGCGATATGAACTGCTACACGTTCGACTACAATGACCTCAATTCGTATCTGCTGCTGGTGCTGAACAAGATCCAGGTCAACAACCCACAAGTCGCGCGCGATTGTCAGATGGGGAAACCCGTGCCGGTTGGCGAGATCGTCAAACTTACACCTAAAAACCAGTTCTACAAGCTTCCTGAGACTGAAAACCTCAGCACCGTGATGGGAATCCTCGGCTCAGGCGTCCACCGTGTTGCCATCACGGACGCGGAGGTAACGCAAATAAAGGGGGTGCTGTCCCAAAGACGTCTGATCAAATACCTGTGGGACAATGCGCGCCAATTCAGCAGCCTGGACTCATTACTGAATAGCAGTCTGAAACAGCTGGGTATCGGTGTCCTGAACACCCACACGGCCCCCACCAGCAGGCAATCGCGGGTGATCTCCATCCAGGATGATGAGCCCCTGATCATGGCACTCTATAAGATGCACATCGAACGTATCTCCTCCATAGCAGTGGTCGATCACCAGGGTAATCTCCTTGGGAACATCAGCGTAACAGACGTCAGGCACGTGACCAGAACCTCTCAGTATCCCCTACTTCATAATACATGTCGTCACTTTATTTCCGTGATTCTGAACACCCGTGGCCTCGAAATGGGCAAGGATTCTTTCCCCATTTTCCATGTATACCCTACCAGTTCTCTTGCTCGCACACTTGCCAAGTTGGTGGCCACAAAGGCTCACAGACTCTGGATAGTACAGCCTGAAACTACTACCACTTCAGCCTCTTCCTCAGCTGCCCCATCTTCACCCCAATCTGTAGCAATGAACACTCCTAGCAGTAGCAGTGATCTGGATGTTCCAGGAAGATCAAGTTCTCCACTAAGTGTCAAGAGTAATGAAGATCACTCTGTGACTGCAAGCACGCCTTTGTTTGAAAAGGAGTACCGTACTGGTAAGTTGATTGGTGTGGTCTCTTTAACAGATATTTTGGGTTTACTAGCAAGAAAACAAACTGAGCACAAGCAAGTGGATCCTCAATCTGCCAGAAGGCAAAGAGGTAGTGTTGTTGCTTGAATGGGCTTGCGTGGAAATCGCAGTATTTTTATTTTCTTACAAAGATTTCGCACCTTGGAATACTCTTAAATAGCCACAACAAACTATTATGCATTGTCATTACTACTTTCGCAAGTGAATTATCGGTTAAGAGGGATTTCTGTGCACTCGATATCTTAAAGACAAGAGGCGAAATATGATTCTGAACTGAAAACTTTTCTCATGTTAGTTTGTGAATAGATCAAATAATATTGCCTTCCTAAGCGTTCCCGATGTATTCTGAAGCTGACTTCATCAAGCTCCAGTAAATGATGCTGCATAACCGACTTCAGGAAACTCTTTAATCGACGATGAGTATTACATAATCTAAATCATTCCATACGTGTAACATGACAACATATCTTTTCAAAAACTCGAAACTACGTTGTTCAAAGCGATTCTAAACACAATAGAGACCGCCAACTAGAAGCCTTGCTACCCAAAGTGTCTTACGATGCTTGGTTTCAATTTCAGCCGAAATTTAAATGCTGGGATTAGATCATCTCTCCGCCATGTATCTACTAGACGACAGCCGCCACGGAAACTTCTTCAAATGCAAGCCAAGAGAAACGGAGACATTGATCCAAGGGCTTCATCGCAACTAATCGTAACATCTCTCCGCGATATTATATCAATGTTTCAGCCCAGTAATAGTACACAGGATGATGATGAACTTGATGCGATGATACATCGTGAAGGCATAATAAGTCGACTAGAGACGGGTGAATTGAGGCAGTTGCTCCTACACAAGTTTTCTGCAACTTCAAATATTCAAAACGACATTACAGAATTAAGCTCGAGCTCTTTAGAGGACCTTATAATTCCAGGCCGCAAAATAAAAGATGCGTTTCTATCCTTGACAGATCACGAAAGGGAACTAATTGAAACATCGCTCGGCTTAATCCCAATCGAACAAGACTGGGATACCATTCCATTCGTGCAAAAGCAACTGGCTTTCTATATGGGCTATGGTTCGTATGGGCCTCGACTTGGAATTTCTTTTGAAGGGAGAATGCCCGAGGATTTTTCATGGAAAGTGCCTTCTAGTCCTAAATCACCAAGCAGTACTATCCGGAAATTACCATCAAGCCAAAAGACAAATATTTTAACTTGCATACCACTGAGAGAGAAACAATTTCAACAATCTTTCAAGACGCTAGATGGTGGATCGCGGTTCATAATATGGGCTGCAATTCTAGTGACATTGATTGCCGGCTGGACGGACTATCAGCATAGGCATAGTGACAACGACACAAAAGTGACCACAGCAAAATTAATTGAAGTACCAATAAGTAATGATATCGATGAATTGCAGACAGATGAAGGGCTCGTGGCTGACGAAGATACTGTCGACTCTCAATCAACTGATGTACACTCGGAAAATAAACAAGGCAACAAGAAATGGTATCAAATATGGAAATAAGAATCTTTGTCCTTCATTATAAAACTGTAAATAGAATACTTGAATCATTTTCATAGAAAATTGAACAAAATTTGAAAGATTTATGCAGAATATCATATACTGTACACACACCAATTCACTCATCATCTTCATCTTCATCATCCATGTCTTCTAAATCATCCTCCCAAGATTTTTCCACCGTTTCCTTCACTCTTTTTATGTATTGGGATTTGTGGTCCTTAAACAATGTTGCAGCTTCAACATTTGCAGGAGATGCTGGGTTTGGATCATTAAATAAACTCTGAATTGAAGTCAAAATCGACGCCACATCATATGTAGGAGTCCACCTGTTTTGCAAAATATCCAGACAGATTTCACCGTTTGCATATACGTTTGGATGGAACATTTCACTCAGAAACTTCACGTGTGGTGGTTTATTAGGATACTCTTCGTCAAATTCTAGCAGGAGACGGAATGTGCCGTCTTCATATGGGGTATCTGCAGGTCCAATTATCATGGCATTCCATACCATCACATTGTCGGGTAAGGGAGACGCCGACACTCCAGGTGGTGCATCTTCTTTCATACGCTACTCATGGGAAATGTTAGCTTACTTTTTTTTGGAAATTTGACCTAAACAATTCACATACCTTGAAATCTCTCATCAGTCTTCTTCTGGCCGGAGTAGACATTTTTTCTACAATGTTTTTAATTATTCCTGTGCAATGTTGGTGGCGTTAAGGTGCGTATTTCTCGAATTAGACAATCGGAAAGGAAACTCTACAACTGCGTACAACATGATGATAATACGCATTCCGAGACTCTTTAAAATTAAGTTAGATCACAATATATAACGACAAACTTGAACCAAGAAATGAAAATCGTAGCATGCTCGTTTTCGAATTCAGCATACCCATTACTATATTTTGCTCTTACGAAGTCATATATTATTATTTACACCTAACCTAAACCTTATCTAACTGAAGCTTATGAGTATGATACATCAAATTACCCAGTTTTAAAACAGTATCCGTGCCATAACCCTGGATAGAATGCACAGTTAAATCACCATTCCAATACTCAGCGTAAACTTTGCACATTGCGAGCCCAATCCCCAATTTGTATCGAGAGGAACGTTCAAGCAAGCCCAATAAAGGCTTATCAAACTTGGAGATTCCTCGTGGCAAATTGGTGTCGCTGATAGGTTCTAATGAAGTAAACTTGTAAGGCTGATTGGGAGGACCGCACGTCGCATTTTCATACATGTAATCATATAATGAAACGGTCTGAAGCCCTGGAAGTTTATGAAAATTGTCCAAAGACTGTCTGGCAAGCTCTTTCGACTTTCCGAAAGACCATATGGTCTTGTCGTCGTGTGGAATCCCTCCTGCACGGTCAGAAATTCGGAACAAAAATGACTGCTCATTAGAAACAATGGTTACAGTAATTGGTGATGGTTCTGACAATCCTTTCCTTATATATTCTTTCATTGTTGCCTCATAGCTGTTTCTTAGAGTCTCGCCTAATAAATACTTCAAATGTGGAGGAAGGAAGTAAAATTTGAGGTCTTTATTACCATCAACGGTGAACTTGGGTAGTGGAATTCCATCGAAGTACATATCTTTAATGAAATTCTCGCACATTTTCTTGGCACCCATCAAATAATCACAAGCACTACACTCTTGAAAGATGTCACCAAGAACCAGAGTATTCTTCTTTTTTCCGCTGAGGAAATTTGAAGTTATACTCAAGTGCTCTTCAACTATAAGTCTTCTCGATATACGTGCGCGAAGTAAACTTGATATGACTTCATCCATTCGGTCCTGTGGATATAGCTCCAAAATCCTGCATTCCAAGGCGCCCATGATCAAATGAGGTAGATTCAAAGAGTTAAAATCTGATAATATATGGCGAAGGAAGTCTGCAAACTTTTGATTATCTTCTAAAGTTCTAATGGCTGGATAACGTCTGAATCGATCAAAAATATTGTAATATGATTCATATACCTGGCCAAAATGGAAATTATTCACCACATTGAAAGGTAAAGTCTGTAGTAAATGTATCTTGTGTGCTATACGAATGGCTAATTCTTCTTTCACGAATCTGCCACTATTTATGATTTTGTGCCTTGTAAGGGTTGTTGAGTCATCGTAATATTGTGCTAATTGCGTAAGAGACACTGGGTTCGGCTGCTTGGTCAGATAATATCCCTCCAAAATGTTCTTATTTTGATAATAGTGTTGCTGGTTAACATATTTAGACTTCTCCGGATATGCGCATAATGTGGTAGAAATGTATGGAGCAAGTTCACTAATGGATTTAGTAGGAGAATACTTGCTAAATTCAGGGATTTGAGATATGTCAGTGTAGTGAATTTGAGACTTCCACCTGACACCAAAACGAGGCTTGAGCATGACAAATTTAGCCCTGTCTCTGGTATGGGGAGATAAACTTTTTATAGGTTTAAATGTTGAGGATGCATTGATCCGTCACTTTCACGAAAAATTAAACCTTTCTCCAAGAAAAAGAGGATTACAAGCATTTTTATCGTCAATCCTAGAGTCGAATATAATGACTGAGGACGAAAAGCAAATGTCTTTGGAACCTGTTTCGGACTCTACGGAATCAGGAAGTATAGAGCCGAGTCTAACTGAAGATTCCGCCAAAAGGAAATCAGAAGAGTTGGAATCTACAGTGAAAGCACGGCCCCGAAAAGTTATTAAAACAGAAGAGAAGCGTATACCGAACATCGCCCTGGAACTAGCTAAAAACAGAACTACGGTCAAAAGCCATTCTCCTTCACCGCTAAACTCTTCCTCGATTCCTCTCGCTTCATTGCTTTCAAATGAGCCTCAAAGTGCACCCGCAGAGGGATCTTCTAGACTCCCAGCTATCAACCCAGAGGTTCAAAGAACAACATTATACAATAATTCAAGGTTGAAAGTAGCGTCGCTGTTGTCCGACAACAATGATGTTCCGCAGAATAAAACGGCGACAAAAGTTATTTTGCCAACTCAGAACTCCGATTTAAGCACAGCTGAATCGGATACCCCAGGTATCCTGGTTGCCCGAATCAACTCACCGGTAGCTGCGCTGCCAAAGCCTAATATTTTGGGCTTGAATAGAAGCCAAAGCACATTAAATCCTATGAATGGGCCAGATACTGCAGATGTGGCTAAAAAGACGCTTTCGGCCTCAAGTGTAACTAGCAAACCTACTGTCAAGAAGCAAAATGCAAGGAAAGCAAATGATTCCAAAAACTCTAAGAAAGAAGTGAATAGTACAGAAGTGAAGAAGGAAACAAAAAAAGTCGGCAAGTCCACAGAAACAAAAAAAGCTACCAAAGGAAAGGACACTACAAAGAAAGAAGTCAAATCATCGGAACAGAAACCTGAAGCAAAGCATGAAGCCAAGAGCACAATACAAGATGCGAAAGATAGTAAGTCTGGCGAAGTGAAAAAAGATCCGAAAGACAGCGAAGTTAAAAAGGATGGTAAGGTAAATGAGTCTAAGAAAGAAACGAAATCTAATGAAAGCAAGCCTAAAGCTGCCAAACGGGGTAATTCGGCCTCTAAGAAGAAGGACCCTACTCCACAACCGCCAAAAAAACCGAGTGAGAACAAATCTCCTCATCTCACTCCAAGAAAGCTGATACCCGCGCCCCTCTTGAAATCTCCTTCTATTCTAGATGTTTTAGAAAAGCCAAAGGGTACTGATATATCCGAGGACCCCATAATAATCATGGACGTACCATTGTTTCCTACGGAGTCCAGCGAATATCTGGACGAAAATGGTCAAGTCGTGATAAATTTTTACAAGATGGTCCAAGATAAATTTGGTAACTCGAACAAAACCAAAAGACAACTGATTTCTGGCCTGAACGCCCAAGAAGAAGATGAAGATGATGCTGCTGAAGTTGAAGATGATGATGGGGAAGATGACGATGAAGCAGATGATGATGAAGATGACGAGAAGCAAGGTGCCTCGGCTGCCTCAACTGCATCTCCCAAAAAAAAATCACACCCCATGAAAGGTAAGAGTTTAATAGGGAAATATGATACAGAAGATCCTTTTATCGATGACTCGGAACTTTTATGGGAAGAACAGAGGGTAGCAACCAAAGATGGTTTTTTTGTTTATTATGGTCCCTTGATTGAGAAGGGCCAGTATGCAAGTTTCGAAAGGGTGAATGGCACGATGAAAAGGGGCGGTATCAAGTACTCAAGATAATTTATTAGATATGCATACATAGAAAACATCAGCATCGAATTTGGCATACTTAATTTTTGAGCAACTCGCCTAAATTATCATTAGCAATTTTAACAAAAGTGAACTCAGGAATCTCGTCTTTAGGATGCCTTTCTAGCATTTTAGAGGTCTCCTTATTTATTTCAGTCAAGAGGTGTTTATCCCAATTTGGTTGTAATTTAGTGAAGAAATGCAAATACGTGAGAAGCAGTCTCAGGTTATTTGGATTGAGTTCACTTTTGGTTGTTTCAATGGACATCATTGCCAAGCTATGTAGCACAGCCATACGATCGTCGTTAACCAAAATATATGGTCTAGGAGGTAAGACTGGGCGTTTTGAAGAGCCATCTTTCTCAGACAAACTTAGCTTTGAAAGATTGTCTGCGACTTCAGCTGCTGAAGATCGCGTATTGACCATCAGGTCCTTCAGGATTCCTAAAATGCAGCATTTCATTTCTTCAAATGGACAACTCAATAACGTATCTTGAATGAATTCGAAAACGATTTCTTCTGGCATTAAGCATAGTATTCTTGTCAGAAGAGTAAAGTGTACCATTCTTTCTTCACCGCGCACCCTCTTGGATGCCGATAGTAACACCAGCTGTAGAAAGGCTATCTGCAAATAACTGGGAATTGCTTTGACTTTCTCCTTATTAGTGGAACATGACGAGGTGGTAACGGAAACCCAAATCCAGAAATTGGATGCTTCAGTCACACAGCAGTAGTCCTCTGTATCATCGGCGAACATAGCGGGAGTAACAAACCTCAAGTACATATAGATGGCAGAGCCCAAATCCATGTCCGGATATATGATTTTCCCTGTTTCCGTGAAATGTTGCGTCGCTAAAATGAGCACCCCTGCTGGATCTAAGGACAGGTTCTTCTCATTTACCATCTTTTGTAAATTATAAGTATAAGCAAGTTGATAAACAACTTGACTTATAGCCCGTTTTGCTTGTTCATTCACAATTTCATCTTCCTTAGGTAACGACTGATAAATTCGTTTGGACTCATCGACACACTGAGTAATAAACTCGTTCTTGATGTCAATATCAAAGGAGAGGGATAATTGATAACAACGTGATACCAAATCTGTCATGTATTTATAGTACTCATTAAAATTGAATGGCACCGTTGTCTTTTTGAGTGCTGCATAATACGACATTACCCATAATAGACGCCTTTGTTTCAACCACTGTGCCAAAGAAAATGTTAGTAAACTTCGAAGAAGCTTTCTTTGAAGACAGTTTTCATCTTCAATTATAGTAGTCCTCTCTTCCTCTGAAACGTCTGTAACTTTATCCAAGGTAGTCTGAGGAGGTATGTACCCTCTGCAGAAAAGATATATCCTTTTCAGTACGAAAAAGCCGTCTTCTAAATCCCCTGCGTTGTTTCGGCAAAAAGTGAACATCGCACCTACAGCAGTGGCCAGAAAACTGGAAGGATAAAGGGTGAAGATTCGCTTAATAGTAGTGTTAATAAGCTCAAAAAGGAGATGCAGTCTGACTTCTAAAATAGACTCCTCCGGCTCCCTTTGGATTGCAGGAGCCACATACGATGCAGTTGCGGAGCTAGTCTCATCTGAATCTTCAGACGAACTGCTGCTCTCCTCCCCTTTTGTTGATTTGTCCGGGGAGTTTTTTTCCTCGATGGACGTTTCATCAGCTGTGGACTCCTTTTCCGTATCGTCCCCTTGTTGCTCTTCGTGTGAGCTCTCGTTCTCATTTTCAATATCATTGCCCATTTTAAGCTCAGAAAGTAACTCGCAGCCTGTGAGAAAGCATTCTTTTGCGTTGCCAAAAAGCGCAATTTCATTGAAACACCTTACGACTGTTGCCATTATTTCATTATCTAGTAATCTAGTGTGGAAATCAATGTTACCTAAATCAATGAATTTCAAAAGAGGCTTTGGAAGGTCCCAGCCAATTTCCTGCACCACATGCTTATTGTTTTGAAGCTCATGGAGAAGCGTTTTTAGGAACTTGACTTTATCCTTCAACGAACCAGCACGATTGACTTCAGAAGCGTATAGATCGATAATGGTAATCAATGAGAGCACGTCATCATTTTGTTCTTCAAACGCACGAGTCAAGTTGCCACACAAGGTATCAATCGACTCCATATTTGTTCTGATGTAGGTGCGAATTGATGAAGAGAAAGGGAAACAAGCGTAAATCTACAATATCTACAACGTAGCTAGTGATTCCTCCCAACCTCTGACCAAGTGGCAGGGATAACGCAAATGAGCCAACTGATAGAGAGCGAGAGTGACGAGGGCACAACATCTAGCGAAGTTGATAACGGATCATCGTCCAAGAACTCTTTTGTTGTTCACAATGAGTTGGAATTTTTCGCGAAGAAATTGAATCAATTCGGATTGGAGAGTGACGAAGAAGTTGAATCGGAAAGAACTACTAATGAGACCGGTTTAAAACTTGAAGAGCACAGATCAAAGCTGCTTGGTAAGCAAATCACCTCCTCAACGACATCTAAGAGTTCAGTAAAGTCTAGTTCTTCTAATGATCAAGTTTCCAGGGAGATTGCTGACGAAACGTCACAACGGTTGGATAAGGTACAGATCAAATTTCAATCCATAGGGTCAATACGTCAAATTATACCTCAGGTGGCAAGAATCTCTTCATATCAGCCGTTCTCCGTGGTAATAACTTTTCTTAAGAAAAAATTGAAGGTTGATACGGTTCATTGCTATATAAACAATTCATTTGCTCCTGCCCCACAACAAACAGTCGGAGATCTTTGGAATCAGTTCAAAGTACAAAATGAATTGGTTGTGAATTACTGTAGTACTGTAGCATTTGGTTAAGTCATTGACTTTTTTAAAGTTGCCTCAATAATCTGAGCAGTTTTCAATTATTGATGAAATTGCCTAATCATGAATTAGTGGGCTTATGGAATTTTTAACTACACAACCATCACAGAGCAGTCTCGAAGATGGAGAATCACGGAAGTGCCCACAACTGCCAATAAATTTGTGAGTATACGCAACAGAAAGATTTGGAGGAATGAAAAAGTTGAGGCATGCTATTAGCTGGAATAGGCGATCAATGATCGACTTTTACTTTTGTTCTTAATACATTGACAGTTCTTACATACGTTGATAGCTAAAGCAAACATTTAAACTGAAAGAGTTACTTTCTCAAGGTTGTCCAGTTATCTGATATAAAATCGAAGCGCCTTGCATGACACTAGCATCAGGTAAACATGAGACTTGATCTATATTAATTTCCCAGAATGGTATATTAAGCATTAGTGCTCTCGTCGAAAGACGCTCACGTCAGGAAGGAAGTCACCGTAGCACGTTTAAAAAAATGGGTTGGTATTATTTAGTGCTCTAGTGGGACCGGCAGTGTTCAATGGACCTAAGGGGTTGAGAGTGAAGCCAGATCCCATACGGCGTCTTGACCTCTTATTCCTGTCCTCTCTTTTTTCCATTTGAACTAAAGTTAAGATCAACCCCATACAAGCAGTAACTTGAGTATACCACGGTACACTGTACAACCCATATGACGCAGCATCTGTCTCGATATCAATCTCACCAACACACAAGTCTGCTAACTTAGCAAACGACCGAAGTGTATGGGATTTCCCGGTGGTTGAAAACTTGGCGCACAAGTACCTTTTTGAATCGCTGATCTTGGTTTTATTTTGCTTCTTTCGTTTTATCGTTTCCTCGTCATCTAATAAACTTGGCATCTCGTCCGGAATGGTGGTCAAACTGAAACTTTCGAAACCTTCTTGACGCCACTGAACATTCCAAGGCCCGATTTTGGTATCAAGATCGCTTCCCCAACGATGCTCTATCATGACTAGTTTCTGGATGCCATCGACTGACCAGATGCTCAATTCGTAGCATGTTCGCAGCCCTCGAGACCACGATTTCTTCACTTCACAAAAGGGCATTTTGTAAAGAACCAGCTCACCGCTTTTATGTACCATCTCACAGCGCTCATTCAATGGCGCTTCGCTCGACTTTTGAAGCATGTACTTGTAAATTCTACAGTATGGTGCGTCGCTGTCAAACGCACGCTGGAATAAATTGCTTCTTTCCAATGTCAAAAGAGGGACGCCCAAGGCTCCATCATCTAAAGTCACAGGAGCACCAGATTTACGTGTATTCTTACGCCTCTCATACGAATGCTCTGTGGGAAAACAGTGGAACTCACGATTGGAGCATGCAATTACCATGTGTCTTGTCCTACTAAAATGAAAAGCGGGAGGCATACTTGAATCATATTGCGGCTGTACTATAGGCTTACTTGAAGAATTACCCATTATTGTAGATTGGTTACTCTTATGATGAACTTCCGACGTCAATCATGCTCGCTATCATGCAATGTGATCGCATTTATAGCTCGGTGATGTCGCATATTCACGTGGATTACCAAAGGAGGAGGCTAAGAAAAACTTAACTGCGCCTTATGGCTTAAACTATGCGCGTAAACAAGAAAATGACCGCCAAGTATCGTATTGCTGATGCTTGTGATTTATAGCCGGCAGTTTCGAAATGAAGCAGAGGATTTGACTCCATTCAATTCCTGATGCCAGCTTTAAGTGTTCACGTACTTAGTCTTCCGAAATGAAAGAGAACTTCTTCGGGCCGACGCTGACTAAATTCGCAAGGCACATTTAAACGTACAAGACTATGTCCGCTGATACGCGGCGCGGCTGTGAGTTGCATATGCATGGAGCCTATAATGGCTGGGCAAAAAATCTTGAGGCGGGACGACATTACCGGCTGCTGAGATCGGAGTTTGCATTTCGTGCGGTACTGAAAGAAATGCATTGGGCAACATTACAGAGACTCTGCTTTAGTAAGAGCGTACTATTGCAGCGCGGCCCTCTATCTGATTGTGAGTTGCATTGACCTTATCTTTACATTCTAAATCAAAATACTGCCGTAATCATAAACAAGAGAGCGAGATTGAAAGCAAGAACTGGTGGATTCAGGATGCCAGGTCCGGTGTCGTGAGTCTTGGATTGATCTGAAGAGATGTAAGGTTGTGATTCTGGGTCGATTCTGATTTCATCCGTACCTGTAATTACAGAGAAAGATCCAGGCTTCATCGCGAAAAACTTAAAAATGCGTCCTCTAAATCTGTCAAGGACCATCGGAGTCGAACGATTACTTCATCACGTTACCAGCGCCTGCTTTTTTTATAATTGGGTTATTAATTTCAATCGACTGGGAGATTCTAAGTGATTACTGTTTTCGAGTTCCAGCCAACGAGGTGAATTGAAAACTGTAATTAAAAAACTATAGATTAAGATCATCAATCAAAGAGATTGAAGCTTATGAGGTCCACAGAAATTGATAAGAATATAGATAGCTATCTCAAGAGAAAGACAATGTCATCAATTTCCCATATTATAAGCATAGAGCCACGGGCTAGTTGCTTGATCTCTGTACCCCCTAGTGATGTCTCTCAATAGGGCTTCACGTCGTGTTACTGCTCGCCCGTCGTTGAGTTCATTCCTGCGTTCCAATTGGATGTTGCACACGATTAATCCCATACACGCAATAATTTGAGAATACCATGGTACATTGACGAGACCGTACGAATGTGGGTCTACTTCCATATCTATCTCCCCGACACACAAGTGTGCAAGTGTAGCAAACACTGTTGGTGAATATGTCTTTCCTGTTGATACCAGTTTCGCACACATGTACTTCTCTGAGGCAGGAGCCTTCGTTTTCTTCTTGCACTTTCGTATCCTCGTTTCATCATCATCAAGAAAACTTGGCATCCCTTCGGGTATGGTTATTAGATTTACTGTCTCAAACCCTTTATCGTGCCATTGGACGTTCCATGATCCAAGTTTGGTATCTAGATCATATCCCCAACGGTGCTGCGCCATCTCTATGATCTGTATGCCGTCTATAGTTGATACCTTCATCTTGTAAGTCGCTCGCCGCCCTTCGGACCACGTTCTCTTAGTCACCTCGCAAAATGGCACCTTGTACACGATTTGGGCGTCGTCTCGTAGTAAAATCTCGGAGTTTTTGTGTGAAGGAGGTTCTGTCGAGCTTTGAAGCACGCATTTGTATATACTGCAATATGGCATATCGTAACCGTCTCCTTGCGGCAGCGAACCGCGTCTTTCAAGGCCAAGGAGCGGTACACCCAGTGCGCCTGGGGATAAAGTAAGGCGAGAGCCTGACAGTAGCGCACTTTTACACACCTCTAATGAACGCTCCGTGGGAAAGCACTGGAGTTCATTACCATTAGCCGATAACACCATGTGTCTTTCTCTGCTGAAGCGAAAGGCAGGAGGAACATCTGGTTTATACTGCGGCTTGACCGTAGATTTGCTTGAGGAATTACCCATAATATTTAGTAGCTTCTAAATTCTTGCTAAAGTCCCTGCATGTCATGTGCGCATCAGATTCCACTTATATTTCTATTCATTGCGGATCATGCCGCTTGTTCCAATTCGTACCCCATTTTGAGAGCAAAATCATTGCGCCTTGCTTAGATGATCGCAGAAGCAGAAATTCTCGGGAAAGTCATTCATCGTTCAAGATTGTATTTAATCCTTGCCGGGAAAACGCAATAATTACCGTCTCTCTCGAATGGGCACTGAGCTATCATCGATATTAGCTACCCTTGAACGTGGTCTGAAAAATGACTCCGATCGAGATAATAGTGGGAAGCCTTTGAAAATACGTGAACTTTCTCCGTTAAATGGTTAGCGAGCGAGGCGTGCTGAATGTCGCCTGCGCAGTAGTAGGGTCCCGATCAGGAAAAGAAATCCTTTATAAAACAGAAAATAGGAACCGCCAGGTGCTCAATAACGGCATTCATTCAGTACTAGGCACTGTGCTATGCCTTCAATCGAAAGTGTATTTAAAGGGAGAGGATCTGACATTCTGCATTTTTTTAAGTGATTCAAGCTACGCTTGGTTCAAGATTCTTGATGAACGCTTTTGACAAATCCTAATAGGTCTTAAGTGTAGATAATAACGGATTTTCCGCTTCAACCTTCTGAGAATTTGATGCAGACAATTAAAATTTGTAATCCTATTAATTTCTGGTCAGCTGAAGCCGGTCCAACAAAACCGCATCTCTGATAGTCGATTGTACACCTATTATGTATTTTTGCAACGGTATCTTGCATAGATAGAATACCAGTTGGTGTAATTTAAGGGTCTGCATATACAAATCATGTCAAACGACTAGTTCGATCGCGTGAAGATGTACATTTTTTGATTGTAAACAGAACCGATATGACTAATGAGGGCAGAGATCCATCAAAATGGCAGAGAAAACATTGGACAACTCGACTATTAATAAGCTCATTCCAGAGATATTCGATCAGATGCGAGTGAATCTCAATGTCAAGAAATCTGTGGGCCCTGCTACGTTTGGGTCAGCGTCAAACGTTACAACACAGTCATTATTAGAAGAAAGTAAAGCTCTCGACAAAATAATTCCAGTCATTGAAAATTTGGATAAGTCTTTAAAGATGGCCGGACCACAGCATCTCAAACGAATTCAAGAAACGTGCATATCAACTAATAAAATACTTGATACCTGGATCAAAATTCAATCTCAGGCTGGATATGCGTATGATCTTATGAGCAGCGAGCCATATTTAAATTGCATTGGTGCATTGCAAAGAGATGATAATAAGACTGCCGAGAACGTTTTACAAAGTAAAAGAGATGAGATTGCAACCCTGAAGGCAGCGCTGGAAGAAAAAAAACGGTCTAAATTGGTCGAAACTGCAGATCGTGAACAGCCGAAAGATAAACAGGTTTCAGGATCGAGAACAGCCGTTGCTTCGAAAGGAAGAGCAACTTCCGGGATCAGGAAGCCCACAGGAATTCCTCGTAGTACTTCAAGAGTGGCCAGGCCGACTGTTACAAAACCCAGGGCCAACCCTAGGAGACCTTTCAGATAGCATAAGATAATGGATGTAGCTAAAGCTCTCATCAGGTATGAGTAAAATTAAAATGTGACGTCATAATTAAATATACTTAACGCGAGGACTAGAATACACAGTATGCAGGAATCAACATCAAACAGCACTTATCTGGCGTCTAAGACTCTTGCTTTGTTGGGTTTGGGTCTTCAAGAAGAACCAATAGGTCAGAGGCATCGACATTTTCTCCATCCTTAACCATGACCTCCTTAACTTGACCATCTGAGGGCGAAGAGATGACCATCTCCATCTTCATTGCACTCAAAACAGCAACTGGTTGACCCTTCTTTACTAGAGATCCCTTGTGCACTTTAACTTCAATGACCACACCTGCCATTGGAGCACCGACCTGGAATGGATCATGAGCGTCAGCCTTTGGTTTGGAGACGGTTTCTAGCTTTTGTGATCTGTCGACAACAGCAACCTTTCTCAGTTCACCGTTCAACTCGAAGTAAACTTCTCTTCTACCAGTTTCTTTGTTCAAGTCACCGATGGCTTGAGGCTTGATAATCAAAGTCTTACCTTGTTCAATAGTGACAACAATTTCTTCACCGACCACTGGAGGAGACAAAAAGTTCTTTGTTGGCAGAACTGAGAGGTCACCATATAGCTCTCTGATCTTGCGGAAGTCTTCGTAGACCTTTGGGTACATGTTGTAAGATGCAACGTCACATTCACCAATATCTCCAAATCTGTCTTGCAAGTCATCCTTGATTCTCTCTAAGTCGAAAGGTGCCAATTCCAAGCCTGGACGGCAAGTCAACTTTCTTCTCTTGTTTCTCAAAACATCTGATCTGAGAGGTTCTGGGAAGCCACCATATGGTTGACCGATTAATCCTTCAAAGAAGTCCATGACGGAATCTGGGAAATCCAACGAAGAGGCCAGACGTCTAACGTCATCTGGGGTCAACTTGTTGGTGACCATGAATTGAGCCAAATCACCCACAACCTTGGAGGTAGGGGTAACCTTGACCAAATCACCCAAAAGATAGTTGGCTTCTCTGTAAGCTTTCTTTGTTTCGGTCCATTGTTCACCAAGACCAAGCTGTTGAGCTTGGAACAATAAGTTGGTCAATTGACCACCTGGGATTTCGTGTACGTAAACCTCTGGATCTGGACCCTTTAGATCGGCTTCGAAACAAGAGTACAATAATCTCATTTGGGCCCAGTAAGCGTCCAATTCCCGGACCAGGTTGACATTGATGTCGGTGTTAATTTCACCATCCAATGAGGCCAACAAGGCATTGATAGAAGGTTGCGATGTCAAACCGGACATGGAGTTGGTAGCCACATCGACAACATCAGCGCCTGCGAAGGCACAAGCAGCCATGGATGCCACAGCAGTACCAGCAGAATCGTGAGTGTGAACGTGGATAGGTAGGTCAGGGTATTTAGCTCTGATTGAGCCAATAAGTAGCTTAGCGGCAGATGGTTTCATGGTACCAGCCATATCCTTGATACCCAAGATGTGAGTTCCCATCTGGACGATCTTATCGGTGATTTCAAGATAATAGTCCAAGTTGTACTTCTTGCCTGGTTGCAACATGTCACCCGAGTAACAGATAGTTGCTTCGACGACACCGCCAGCTTTCTTGACAGCACTGACACCGACGTTCAATTGTTCAAGGTCGTTCAAAGCATCAAACACTCTGAAAATGTCGACACCGTTTTCTTTAGCTTGTAGAACAAAGTGGTCGATGGCATTGTCTGGCAAAGAAGAATACGCGACACCATTAGCACCACGTAGTAACATTTGGAAAGGAATGTTTGGAACAAGCTTTCTCAATGTTCTCAAACGTTCCCATGGGTCCTCGTGCAAGAATCTCATGGCGACGTCGAATGTAGCACCACCCCAACATTCAAGAGCGAAAGCTCCAGAAAGAGCGTGGGCAGTAGTTGGTGCGATGGCAGCCAAATCGTAAGTACGGACTCTAGTGGCCAAAAGAGATTGATGAGCATCTCTCCAAGTAGTGTCCATAAGAAGGGTACCGTTGAACTTACGGACTTGTTTGGCAAAGGCAGCAGGACCCTTTTCTAGCAAAACCTGTCTCCAACCAGCTAGGGGAGGTGTGCTAACGTCGATGTCATTACCTTCAGAGTCGTGCAAAACGGGAATAGTTGGCTGTGTGTGCAACTTTGGCAATCCCATTTGACCCTTGATGGATGATCCATTGACGGCCAGGTCGGCTAAGTAGTGTAGAAGCTTTTGGGCTCTGTTTTGAGAAGAGACCATCTCGAATAGCTTAGGAGTGTCATCAATGAAAGTGGTCCAATAGTCACCGTTAATGAAAACTGGGTTGGTCAACAAAGTCAACAAAAATGGAATGTTTGTCTTGACTCCTCTAATTCTGAACTCAATCAAGGCACGCAACATCTTGCGACGGACGATCTCATAAGTGGAACCAGAACATGAACATTTGACCAACATGGAGTCGTAATGTGGAGAGATCACGGCACCTGCGTAGGCATTACCACCATCCAATCTCACACCGTTACCACCAGCGGAACGGTACACTTCAATACGACCCGTATCAGGTTGGAAGTTTTTAGCAGGATCTTCAGTGGTAATACGACATTGAATTGCAAACCCTCTAGTAGTGATCTTGTCCTGCAAAAGACCTAATTGCTCGAGAGAAGCACCAGCAGCAATCTGGATTTGAGCAGCCACAATATCAATACCGGTGATTTCTTCGGTAATTGTGTGCTCGACTTGAATTCTAGGGTTGATTTCGATGAAGTAGTGTCTGTTCTGGTTGTCGACTAAAAATTCGGCAGTACCTGCGTTTCTGTATCCAGCGACCTTGGCCAACTTTACGGCATCAGTCAAAATGGCGTCACGGACATCCTTGGGCAAAGTCTTGGCAGGTGCAACTTCCACGACCTTTTGGTGTCTTCTTTGCACGGAACAGTCTCTTTCGAACAAATGAACGACATTGCCGTAACTGTCGGCAAGCAATTGTACCTCGATGTGCTTGGGCTTGTCCAAGAATCTCTCGATGAAACAAGTACCATTACCGAAGGCGGTCTTGGCTTCGGAAGTGGCACGTTGGAAGGCATCAGCGATGTCGTCACCTTCACGCACCACTCTCATACCTCTACCACCACCACCGTAGGCGGCCTTGATGATGACTGGATAGCCATACTCTTGTACGAAGGCACGCGCTTCGTCAACGGAGTCGATGGGGCCTGGTGTACCCGGTACGACTGGCACGTCGGCCTTGGCAGCTAGGTTTCTGGCCGAAACCTTGTCACCAACGGACTCGATCACATCTGCTGGAGGACCGATCCAGGTGATCCCGGCAGCGGCCACCTTCTCAGCAAACTCAGAGTTTTCTGACAAAAACCCATACCCCGGGTGTATGAAGTCCACACCGTGCTGCTTTGCTATTTCGATGATCTCGTCAATGGCCAAGTACGCACCCACAGGTGTGTACTTACCCTCCTGACCGATCATGTACGCCTCATCGGCCTTCAATCTGTGCATGGACAGTCTGTCCTCGTGCGAATAGATCGCCACGGTCTTCATAGACAGCTCATGTGCCGACCGGAAGATTCTGATGGGGATTTCGCCTCTGTTGGCGACCAGCAGCTTGTTCTTTTCGCCCAGTAAGTTCGAGCTGTCTCTGAGTCCAGCTAATTGGTTCGACATTGCTCTTCCCAGACTATTTGGATCTGCTTTTTCTTTCAATTCTTTTTCAAAAATCAACGTGCTTCGACTACATTACTTGTCCCCTGCTTATATATCATCGTTCTGTCGTCAGCCATGCCATAGTTTGCGTCAGCGCCGCCAGCCAATCAGCTTCGAGAACGCTCCTGGCGTGGTCATCCCGGGATGACTCTTTAGATACCAGAGAAAAATTTTCGGTTTTGCGGAGGGTAACCTCCCACGCCGGCCCCCACGCGGGATCCTCGAGCCGGAATTGGCCTTTTCCCACCATTGACAACGATCACTGCAGCAACAGGCCGTTCGTCCAGGGTTGGTAAGTTTTTCTTGACGCAAATGCGACGCAAATGCGACGCAAATGCGACGCAAAAAATAACTGAAGCGCCGTGCGTCCTACGTCGGAACTTAATGTCCTCGCCCGGCTGCTCCCAGCGTTGTTCTCAATGGCGTCCCGGCGGCCTCTCGGCGGGCTTTCGGGAAGAGGCCGGGCTAGATACGGCAGTGGCGTTGCCTAGTAAAGGACGGAGGCAAATTAAGGATAAGCTCAGCGGCTCCCGGCGGCTCCAGGTAGCCGCTCGAGAGCCCGGGAGGTGGGGTTGCACGACAAGCGCCGGAAGGTGGTGGCGACCGATTGGCGCCGGGACGAAGTAGCAGAAGCATTGCTGAATCACAGGGAGATGTTAATTGCTGGTACACAGGGAGCATAGGTACAGAGAGTACATAGTACATACGATCTATTTGGTGTCGACGAGAACAGGTAAGTGGGAAAACCAGGTTGAAAATCTTTTTGTGTCACGTGACCAGAACCCTTCTTGGTCACGTGCTGGGTCTTGGGAGCGATGACCATCAGTATAGCGGCTGGCCCTTGCCAAGGCGCAGCCAGTGCCAAGGTGCTGCAGCGCGCTTGTAGAGTGGCTGGCCGCTGCTGAGCCGCAGCCAGTGCCAGGGTTCGGCGTCGCGCTTGTGGGCCTGCGCTTCGTGGTCGTGTTCCATGGCTGCGAGTAGCGTGGTATTTACGAGCAGCAGGCCGGAGTTCGTGTCATTCGAGGCACGTACCACAGCAACGTCATCGTCCTCTGTGAGGTCGATAAACGCTAAAATGGCCTCGTCGGGCACGCTCGTTCCGGAGGGTAACGGGTTTGTCGAGCGCACGGGCAGGCACAGGGCCGTGGAAAAGAAAACGGTTGCCGTTACAAGTGATGAAAGTCTCATTGATAGTTCGTGTAGTTCAAAGTAGCAGAGAAGGGAGTGTTTGTAGGCTGGAATAGAACTTGTGTCCTCGAGGCGTGTGCTGCGTGCTTATGAATGTTTTTGCAGTGTGATGTTTGTTTTGTGCCTGTGCCAGCTCCGCAGTTGCTGCTGTGTGGAACTGCGCCATTTGTCGCTTAAACAGGAAACCGGCCAAAGTTATTGGCCCAGGCGGCAGTGAAAATGACTAGGAATATCAAGCAGATCCAATTGGGAAGAGTAAATACGGAACAGTGCTGGAACGATTCGCAAACATCCCATTAGTGTCACGAAGTGAACTGTTTCGGGCCACCGCACCGCGAAAGCGTCCCGTCGCTGCTAAAAATGCATACAACTGCCAATATTGTACCCCTACTCACTTAATTCTTCCATCTCTCTACCATCTCGTTCATCCACTGGCCTCCCTGGCTCTGGAAGAGTTTTGGTAGCTCTTCCAGACCCTCTAAGACACCGTCCTCGTTTATAGTTGCATTTTCCATAAGGCCATTCAGAAGCTTGAGCAAGAAAAGGGCATTAGGGTATACAATGCATTGGGCGTAGGGCGCCTCGCACCAGTATTCGAGATATTTCAAATAAGCCCTGAACTTGGGGTCCTTCCACAGCTGCTGTTGACTCAGTAGAAAAGTTACGTATGGGATGTTTGCAAGGGACTGCACAAATTCTAATTCAACCTCAAACCTTGTGGGAGGAATGTCGACTTGCTCTGGATCTTCCAAATCACTTTTTGTTGTACCGTTTTCCATTGTATGATGCTGGGTCTCGGATAGTTTTTTAGGATATTTATTGGGATTAAAGCTCGTAACTGTGTTAAGCTGTCAAAAGTATGTGCTGTTTAATGAGTTGTGCGTCTGTGACTTGTATGTTGCATCGAGAAGTAAATCGAGCTAGGTGATCGTGTCGCTGGTAAAAGTCTCCTGGGCGTAATTGGTCTCCTTCTTCCACTTTTTAGATCAATCTTCAACCGGTTCACGCTTAATGTAAATCTTGAAGAAAACGCCTGAATTGGATTTGGCACAATGCTTACAGATCTGGTGTGATATTTATGCTAGTTACTGCGAAAATTGTGAACAGCACTTTAATTTTGACGGTTACAACGCTTTCTTCGTTCGATGTGAGAACGTTTTACTGATGCGAATGCCATTATTCTTGCTAATGAGAGCACTTGGAAATTAGCCTGAGAAGAAGCTTAACCCAGACTCTGCGACTATCTGTAATCTCAGCAATTTTTAATGATTGTGCGAGAATTTTAGTAATTTCGTGGATCGTGGCAACGTGCGCTGATCTGTCAGGACATGCAGTGACAGCTACGTCATAGAAAAGCGAATGCCTGCGACCATGAGCTTATCAAGAAGATAGGAGAGAACATAATGCGACAGCTTACTCGGGAATTCAAACAGATCACATTCACCACGAGCAAATATGTCGAAACGTAGGTGTGAATCGTATACATGAGTCAGCTGAAATAGACGGTTGACCTATATGAGATGTAATATCTGAGCTGTAACGATGCTGTAAGCGACTTTTCTATTTATCCGACAATAATATCCCTCCCCCATTTGCATGCGGCAGCAATTTCTAAACTGAATTTCGTGTACCATGGATTACTGCTATCCTAAAATTTTTATTGTATATGATGTTTACGCCAGGACGACGCATAATGTTGAAGTTCGAAAATATACTACACACCTCATCGCCACATAATGTTGCGAAATGCATTGCAGTAGGCACATAATAGCTAGCTATTTTGTTGCAGTCGGTCAAAAAAACGTAAATATTCATTACAGTTATTTCGCATAAGTTAATACCATGCTGAAAACTGTTTCAAACGAAATGATATAATCAATATTCACGTTTTACAACTTTGTCCACAAAGCTGCATAGCACTGGCTTTTGCATGCCTCCTCTGATGTTGCTTTGATGGGAATTCAATGGAATCACGATATAGTCAATTGGTGAGCGAATTTTGTTACGTCTTCAGTTATATAGAATAGCATATTCGTCATATTACGTCCTTGCCATATGCTTTACAAGCGCCAATAAAGACAAAACTAAGAATCTGAGCGCCAGGTTAAATATTCCTAAAGCAATTATACATGAGTTAGGAATTGAAAGTCTAATAAAGAGAAGACATGGACAATGTCGCACTATATGAATAAGAGCGTAGGTCAAATCGTTTACTGAGCTTTCAGTGTGTTTCCGATAAATTTACCCCCTATCTGCAAGGTGCGCATGTCTACTTCACCATCCACGTGGTGAAAATTGTCAACAACGACAATCAGAGGGTGTGCTTTGTCATCACCAATGATGAAATACTCGCCATCAAAATTTAAGTCATCCAAGGCTTAAAAGAACCCTGAAGTGAGCTATGTGAAGCAGCACGTGTCATATTAAAAAAAAGGCAATTGCGTTGAGAATATTGTATTCCCATCTGAAGTTTATTTTACATTTGAACTAATTAAACTCTCGATGGTGGTGCTTTTGAATCTTACTGTTTTAATTTTACTGCTCTTCCACTGTTTCTATTTTTATTTCTCTTCCCCTGTTTTAGAAATAAACGTTGGAGATCGCCTATTGCGATAAGCGGTGTGGCGCAAATCGGCCCGAAGGCAAGATCATCGGCAGAATTTTTTGCCGAGATTTAAGGAACACCAGAGCCTATTCAGCCACACGTATCTTTGAAGATTGAGCCAGTAAAACTGAGTATTTGAATAATGGATAGAGGTGGCATACCGGCAATTGTTTTTTTAATTCTATATTTTGCGTTGTGTTCTTGGGTGTCAAGTTTGTTGTTGTCTAAGCAAGTTTCCTGGAGATCTCGCTATACATCTATCTTTATTCACACCACGCTTCGTTTAGCTGCTCAGATCTGTGGTATAGGTTATGCCGTTGCGGGTGTTGAGCACAGCAATTGGCTCGTCGCCTACTTTGTCTTTGGCGCGGAGGGCTATTTTACTTTAGTATGGTGTGCATTTCGGTTCCTGATTTCATTTCAAAATGAGGTGACCGGTAATTCGTGGATTGAACCGAAGCGTGAGGGAATGAGTTGGAGTGAGTATTATAGAAAGATGCCTCATTATCCAGTTCTTTATTTCCACTATTCACTTGCCGGAGCTAACGCTCTCATTATTGTGGGCTCACTGAAAGGAATGAACACTGACCTATCGGATCCATCTAGGGCAAGCGAAATACATACTGGAGTAATTCTACGTGATGTCGGAACAGCGCTCTTCATGGCATGGGTACTCGTTCTTGGCTATTTTTGCTTCCGATCCTACAAATATGCACAAACCCGAAACCAGACTCGCTTCCTCTTTATCATAGGGGCTACAGTGATTCCACTCTTAGTTAGAGGTGTCTATGGGATTTTGGCATGTGAAATAACTCAGTGGAATTATGCGTTACCCGAGAGTTACGATAGTCAAGGACTCAAACCTGGTGCACTTGCGGCAGAGTACTTGTTAGGTACTACTATGGAGTGGTCAACTTGCCTTCTATTGTTATGCACGAGCTTCATTTCCCTTGACAACGGCCGAAGCCAGGGGTCAAGTCTACTTAACGAAAAAGTAAATTCAAAGGACAAAACTCAGCAAGATGTCCATTCAGTTGCTTAGCCTTCTGCAGGGGGTCATCGGTTCTAGAAGTTTGCGGTTTCACTTGTTTTAACTAATATTCTTCGTTCTTTCGATTTTTAATTCAATATTTCCAAGTAATATCTAATTTACACTATGTCTCTGCCGTTACAATCAGTGGATTTTAAACTTGAACTGATTAATTTGATGCTTTGAGTTCCAAAACAGCCAATATGTTGATAACTAAAATATCTTGTCTATGTTTGCCTATACATCGATATTTGAATTATTATTCTTGTAGATGACGAAATCAGTAAAATAACTTTCGAACGGGTCTAGTATCTCGCAACGCATTATCCTGCAGATTTTTAGTTGACCCTGTAATCTAAATATCAACCGCTTTCAAATTCCTCCGAGCCAATTAGCATTTGCTTTCCACTCCAAACATTAAGCTGTTGATATACTTCCCAACCTGGGCGTGAATCAACATGATCTTAATCGTAATCGAGCTCACTCAGGAAATTGTGAAGCAGAGCATTAGTGGGTATGAGAGTTCTTCAGTCAGCAGGGAACCCGTGATTGACTTTGACATAACTTTCAAATTTCTGTAGGCGTCATTGGAAATTATCTTAGCAAAATCTTCGAATGCAATTAGCTTTGTATCCCTTCCACTAACACAGCTTGGAAAAGCAATTCAGAGCTTCTTACAAAAAATGAGGGTATAGTATGTGAAGTATGATGAAATACCCGTCAATTGATGGGCTCGTCCCAGATAGCTATCTTTTCGGATAGCGGACTTGTTGGACTTACCTCTAAACCAAATTGCGCTTGAGTAAAGATACCAAGCAATACCCGAAGAGATGCATGAATGCTTTCTTACACATAGGGAAAACGAAAGTGACATTTTTTCCTAATTTACTGAATTTTTGATGCAGATCATCTGGGAAATTATATCATGTCACAGGAACAGTATTGTGCATCGAATGGATGAGATCTAAGCGAGAATATAACACGACTCACGCTTCCTTAAAAAGTTGATCGTGAAGTTGTCTTCTGACTGTTAGAATCAAAATTAGATGCTGATAATGCGTTATGAACAATTAGTATCCTCTCCTTACTTTTAGATTGAGGAGATAATCATATATCAGAGGTTTTGATGTGAATATTTCTTAATATAGTGAAGCATCTTTTTTTCACATCACGTGTCAGTTCTATAAAAGGTTCTTGAAAGTGTTATACATGCTGTCTAATCCTAATCAAAACTTCAAAAACTCTTATCTATCGATATATTGCGTCTGTGAATCATATTTCATATTTGTTGTTTGAAATGAAGGCGAAAGTAATCGATTATAAAGAGGGAGGTACAAATTCGTTACTTCATTCTTTAGTTCAACTTTTTGAATATATACTTTAATTTCAAATCATTGATAGAATGGGCTTTCCCCCGTGATAACACATCAAGCAATGCATTTTGCGCCTTGTCAATCCGGACCATTTCCCATGATGAAACTTAAAATCAATGATTTGTTGGCACTACTTGAATTTGATGAAAATTCCAACGGGTCGGATGTGAAAATTATGAAATATTCAACATTCCACTCGCAAATCACTTTAATATACTAATTTAACTGAAAGAATTAACGAATTACCAATCCTTGTTCTTATTCACTTTAATTTCTCAAGCATTAACGATCTTTAGGCATTGCTTGTGAATCGTTGGTAATGATGATAATAATGACACGGTTTTCATCTAGTAATGTTCGCCACGCAGTTTGATAACTACAATCTCAACCTCTATTCAATGAATCGATATCAAGTTTTTCTATTTTCATTATGTCCAGCAACCTTTGTGATCGGAAATCTCATATCGTATTGGACAGAGGAGCTACAAGTTGACAAAGATAACTGGGTGAATACCTGGTTCATCAAGCAAGGTTGGTTTTGGACCAGCTTAATTGGTTGGTGGTGTGTCGTAAGATATGGTGGTTTCGGACGATATGGGACTTGGAAAAAAACCCTCGCAAGGTATGCCGTTCTCACAATCTGGTGGTATCTATTCACGCAATCAGTGTGGTCGGGAATTGCACCAATAATGGATTTGGTTTTTATGCTCAGCGGCGGCCGTTGTAACTTCGACATATTTGATCCAAGTGAACCCGGAAGTTGGAAACTCAATGAGAAATACCACGATACTGCTACCAGGCGTCAAAAATCATTGACGAAACTCTATCGTGTCTTGAAGCAGGTCGCCAATGACCCTTCATCTAGCCTTACGAACATCGTATCGCAACTAGAAGGATGGCTCGTAGAAGGGACCACTCAATTATTAGACACCGACATCACACCAGCACAGGTCAATGAATATATTGACGACTTTCTGCACACCTGGCAAAAAATTAACTCGTCGTATATATGCAGGTCACTTGGCGGGTATTGGACAGGAGGCCACGATCCCAGCGGTCATATTTTTCTCATAACTTTAATGTGCATGTTTCTGTTGGGCGAACTACAGGTTGTAGGGAGAAGAGCTTGGCGGAAGCTTTCCAGCAGTAGACCCTATCTGAAAATCCTACGCATCCATTTAATAAAGATATTCACTACAGGTGGCATCTTGAACTTTCTGAGAAATCCATTCTTCACCAGAGAATTACTGATGGAATGTTTTATCTTTCCGCCGTTTACTTGCGTCAAGGAATTGGCGATTATATCAGCTGTGACTCTAAAATTCATCATTTGGGACAATCCTGTCATTATCCTGACTTCACTGGTCGTAATGTGGTGGTCAAGCTTTTTGTTGACCACACTTGCGTTTCATACAATAAGTGAACAGATAAGTGGTTTGATTTGTGCTTACATTGTCGCAGGTCTTGTATACTGGAAGTTAAAGTAAATATCATGTAAATATTACAGGCATCTCCAAGAAGTGATGGGCATTTTTTGCAAGCGCAGAGCACTCTTTTTTATGAATCCAAAATAGAGGATAATGCCAATTATAATACAGATGATGTTAGTGATGTAATATCCATCTCGCAATACAATTACCTTGCCGCCTTTCGAAATGCACTCCGCTTTTCCCATTGGTAATTCCTCTGTTAAACCATTAATGTCACATTCAACATTGGTCAAAGTATCAATCATGTACATGATTAGGAGACGTGGCCATGTACCTCCCAGATTACTCAGCGTGTTTAGTAAAGTCATATAAGTACCACCAATGACAGGATCAGCAATTCTTGTATGGAACGCTGAAATACCAACAAATTGGACAGTTGACATAAAAGAGCCCAGTAAATGCTGGAAAATTACGAGAAAGAAATACCCTCGAGTTATCTTTCCATCCGATGGAAATTGAGAAACTAGGTAATTGCCCATGATTGCCGCGGTTAAGCGACCCAGGAAACCCCACAACCAAGGGGTCAGAACCCCAGTTTCTCCCACCAAAAACTTGACCAACTTGTTGCTTGTCTCTGTGCTGCTAACCTCATGGCGGATGTAGGTGCTCCATTTTGCGACGTAGTAACCAAATATTATCTCAAACGGAAAGTCTATGAGGACAGTGATCGCAAGATCTTCTCTTTTGAACCCTCTCTCCAATAATTTCAAATTTGTGGCCCCTTCATTGCATTGAAATGCAAACTTTGAAACAAAATGTATTGTCATGAGACTTTGAACGCTTGGTAACTTCAAGATCTTCCAGAAAGCTGTGTAGACATCAGTCAAGCGAGTATTATCCGTTGAACCAACTATATCCGAGTTGTACTCAACTTGCAAAAGATCTTTCTCATCACTCTTTTTTGTATTTGTTGGGAGAATCATGCCTGTGGAGGGACGTTCTTTGGTGAAAAACATCACATAAAGAGTGACAGCAACATAAAGAATGCCCGCAAGCTGTAAATAATTGCTGAAGCTTATTATGCCATATTCTTTTGGCGAACTTCTGATGTATTTATTGATGAAGTCACCAGAGTTGAATGTCAAGAAAATGGTAAAAGACAAAAAGTAGCCTGTGTTAAGTCCAATTGTTTGAGCAGTTGAAGCATATGATAAAGATTGCTTGGAGAGAATTTCGAGAGCCCAACCATCCACTGCAATATCCTGAGTTGCACAAAGGAAGACCAAGAGAAGAAAGCAAAGTGTGAGGCTAGAAATATTTAGATGCTTTCCCGTGACATCAATTGGAACATCAGAATTCTTGTAGGCATTATCAACACCTGCAAAAACCCAATTGTGTGATATTAAAAAACCCAAGAGCCATAACATAAGGCCACTGATGAGTTGCACTGGAATGATCCAAGAGCGACGCCTCCCTATTTTAGAACTGTAGAATGAGTCCACAATAGGGGACCAGAGAATTTTCAGTGAATATGGATAGGTTGCCATGCTAAATAGCCCAAGTTCGGTAAACGTAGTGTCCTTTGCCATTGATTTAAGTAGAAATGGTACAGTTCCGAAGGCAAGACCGACAGGAATACCTTGCAGGAAATATAAAACCACCAACAAACAGAACGGGCGCACGTCATGCTTAGCCAGTTGACGATGATTATCTCCCATTCTCAAGTCGTCAATATGGAAAAATGTTGGCGAAAGATGATTCTTTACTTTGAATTCATTGTTCGCGTGAAAAAAATCATGTTTTCCAATCAAAAAAAGCGAACTTAAAATTTCGATGTTCGATTGATCACCCATCAATGAACTTCATCCTAAGTGATAAGAATCTCATGTTACAAGTTACTATCTACATAAAATCATAATCAAGCGATTTCATAACGCCCTCTCCAAGGCTTTATGAAATAAACACATTCTCACTCATATTTGTTCAGCTTGTGGGATGAATCCTTGTTTTATATATTTCGATTCTCTCCATAGTGAAAAGTGAATGTACCCTCTCTCCTTGGTTAAATGACTTTTACTAGGATTTGCTGTGCTGAATGGAAACCTTCTATATATTCTCAAACACTCTCTCCAAAGTGATAAGAGAAGGTTACCATTCGATGTGGTGAACTCAAAGGAAAAGGAAGGAAGTTATTTGGATCTCTACGTCTAGCTCTTCAACGAAAAGGGACCGAGCTTATGCCCAAACACGTAGCTAAAATAAAATAAAAAAATGAATTGGTTTGCTCGCGTCCACTATTCAATAGACAGCACTTTCTTGACCGCACGAATAATGGTGTCTGGATCTGGGAAGGCGAAATCTTCCAATTCCTTAGCATATGGAGTTGGAACATCAGCACCTGTAACTCTTTGAACTGGTGCATCTAAGTAATCAAAAGCTTCTGATTCCATAACCTGGGCGACAATTTCAGAGCCGACACCGAAACAAGGGAAAGTTGACTCAACAGTAATCAAATGGTTAGTCTTTTTCACGGTTTTAACAATCGCTTCAACATCCAATGGCCTGATACTACGTAAGTTAACAACTTCAGCTGACACACCATGTTGTTTATCCAAGATCTCAGCAGCTTGCAAAGCAAATTGAACGTTTCTGGTGTAAGTCACAATCGAAATATCAGTACCTTCTCTTTCGATTTTGGAAGTGTAGGGCAAAGTAAAATCTGGAGACAAACATTCTTCCGAAACCTCAAACGATTCACCGTAAAGCAATTCATTTTCAAGGAAAACGACAGGGTTAGGATCTCTGATGGCCGCCTTCAATAGACCTCTCGCATCCTCAGCAGAGTATGGAACTAAGACCTTCAAACCGGGGATAGAACCGTACCAAGCTGAGTAATCTTGGGAGTGTTGTGCTCCAACACCGACAGCGGCACCGTTGGGACCTCTAAAGACAATTTGACATTTTTGAGTACCACCAGACATGTAGTATGTCTTGGCAGCAGAGTTAACAACGTGGTCGATAGCTTGCATAGAAAAGTTGAAAGACATGAACTCAACAATGGGTTTCAAACCCTTAAGAGCGGCACCAACAGACAGACCGGTGAACCCCATCTCGGTGATAGGTGTGTCCACGACTCTACGTTCGCCAAAACGGTCTAAAAGGCCTTTAGTGACCTTATAAGCACCGTTATACTGCGCAACTTCTTCACCAATGATGAAAACATCATCGTCACGATCCATTTCCTCCGCCATGGCGCTGTTCAACGCTTCTCTGACCGTCATGGTCTTGGTTGACGCCATTCTTGCAGAAAAAGGACGAGCCAAGTTCATACGCTTGGCAGCGGTTAAGACAGCAGTCGAAAATCTAGAAGACATCGGTTACTTTGTGTAGAGAGATCAGTCTTTCCTCTTTTCCTTTGGGCTGGTTTTTGCATCCAGTAAGAAAATCGTGACCGACCTATCACGTCCCTTTATATACAACGAGCGTCGATAGCCAAAGTGCGACTTGGGAGAAAACGAAGGCCGACGGGAGATGTAATCACTTACCACGGGGAAAAGATATATGGGCCGACCATTTCATAGTTATAACACTTTCTCATTATGATATATATTCTATACAAATATCTTTACTGTAATCCACGTATTTATCCACACCATTTGATATACAAAAGCTTATAACTTACTCTTGCTCGCAAAAACCTCAGCGATGATACGACGTTGAATCTTACCAGTAGCCGTCTTTGGCAACTTCTCGACGAAAAACACCTTTGATGGAAGCTTGAATTTGGAAACCTTATCAGACATGTATCCGATAAGCTCTTTGTAGTCCATTTTTTGGTTTGGCTTTAGAACTATCGCAGCATTTACTTCTTGGCCATACTTTTCATCAGGAACCCCAAAAGAGACAGCTTCATCGACCTTAGGGTTAGCAAGCATGATACCATCAAGTTCGATCGGAGAGATCTTTTCACCACCCTTGTTAATCAATTCCTTTAGTCTACCAGTGAGGACCAAAAATCCCTCCGGGTCGAAGTAACCTTGGTCACCGGTGCGGAAGTAGTTCTCCCTCGCTGTGAAGTTCTCCTTGTTCGCCTTTGGATTGTTGGCATAACCTGGCGTAACATTTTCACCACGAATGGAAACTTCACCAATGGAGCCTTGAGGAAGAATGTTGTCCTTGTCATCGAGAATAACAACTTCAACGCCTTGTGGTTGGCCAACGGTACCGGGCTTTCTTTTTCCAGGTGGTAGGTTGTTCGACGTCATTTGATGCGATGCCTCTGTCATTGCATAAGCCTCCAAGACAGGAGCACCGAATTCTTTTTCCAACTTGGCAAAAGTAGCAGGTGCCAGCGCAGACGAACATGATCTAATGAACCTGATGTGGGGCATTGGATTAGGTTTTGGCATATTTAGCATAATCATGCTGATAGTTGGTACACAACTGAACCAGTTACAATGCCATTTCACAAAATCAGCCCAAAAGTTCTTGGCACTGAACTTTGGAGGCACGACGACGGAACCTTGCGCCCTAAAAGTAGATAACAGAACACCGATTAAACCATGCACGTGGAACAAGGGCATCACAATGTAAGAGCGGTCCTTAGAGGCCAGCTTATAGGTGTTCACAATGTTCAGGGTGCTTCTCACGATGTTCAAGTGTAATAGCGGAACGGTTTTTGGCGTCGAAGTAGTACCGCTAGTGTGCAAAATTAGGGCAACGTCAGACGAGCGGGCAAAGCCAGGGAAAGAGTCCGAATGATTAATGAACGCGGCATTGTTCAACGAAGAATAGATTTTTTGGCGGTAACCATCCTCAGGAGTATAGATATCGTACTCAACTCTGAACCTGTCAGAATTGAAGTAAAGCTCGACCACAAAGCAACTGAATTTAGCAGCTGATTTAATAATTTCTGCCTTTTTTGTAGCCGCAACAGTACCACGAGGGACACAGATAACCTTAGCCTTTAAATCATTCAAGTAAAAGTTGAATTCCTTCTCCTTGTAGTTAGGATTCAAAGGAGCGCCGACCTTACCGTCAGTCGTAACACCTAAAAATGCAGTAATAAATTCGAGACCATTGGGCATTGAAATTGCGACGGCCGATTGTCTAGTGATGTCGTATAATGGCGAATCCGACGCACGGAACATAGTTTGGAAATGCCCTGTCATGTGCGACAAGTCGCGATATGTCACTTGGACACCCGACTCTGGCACAATGACGGCAATATTGTCACTGACCTTGAAAGTCTGGTTAAATGATGCAGTAGTTGTCATGTTGGTTTGACCCACGAACCGCATCTCTAATGGGTTCTCCGAAGGGACGGTATTTATACAAAATGGCCCTTCAACACGTACCGAATCTCGTCCCGAATTCGGGCCGAATTTATAAATGCACGTGATTATTAGCTGTGGTTACTGTGGATATGTACAACCACTACGTGGCGAGATGCTGATTTCCTAAGGAATCAGGTTGCATGTAGTTGTGTGATATACAAAAGCTTTCGTCCGAGGTAGTGTACTGCCCCAAAGGAATTGTAAATGGAACCAAAATACAAGTATTATGTGAAATGGTAGCTTTTTCATCTTTCAATGATCTTCCCGAGCCTTCAAAATTAGTATAAATCAGATCACTTGCGCTCTTCGCAGTTAAGGCGTGCTTTTCATCTGAGCATAGCAAGACCCCCACCTCATAGTTCTGCGGTCTGCGTGTAGTAGTTCCCCACGCGTGGCCACTCAAATTGGCAGTCGTAAACAGACACCAGTCCAATTGCTCAAACGGTTTCTGTCCGTGGGATGTAGTTGTTCCTTTCATATAAAACTTTGTATGGGATGGAGTGGCTGCCCTAGGGTTATTTGCTTCAGAACTCTGTTTGTGAAGTACGCCCCATTGCTTTAGTATACGATAATGCAGTCTTGTAAAATCAGTTTTCATCCAGTGAAAGTGGAACCAGCCACCAGTCATATAGCCCATGGGGCAACTCCTTATTTCTCTATCAGTGGGATACACAATGTAAGGCTTAATTTTGTGTTTTCGATACAAGTACTTCAATTCCTCAGTCTCTGGCACATCGTCAATACGTTGTCGTCCAAGATTAGTACTATATGGATTGATACCTGAATACAGTGGAATCATAAGATGAGAGAAAAGATTCGCAGGTTTCTTCGATTTTGTTTTCAAGGGCGCGCCGATTGTTGAAACTTGTGATAGGTAATGATGAGTTGCATTAAAAGTGTGGTCAGATCGGTCGGCATGGTGATATTTGGACAGCTTTTGATGTGCTAATCGAATTCCGGAGGTAATATGCTCACCCCTCCTCTTTGTACGCGATGGCTTTGGTGCCGAGAAAACAAACTGAACTCCTGCGTTATCAATTCGTGAAAAATCGACGGCCTCCATTGCCACACAAAGCGGTTTAAGATCACAGGGATAAGTGTCGAGATAGAGTAGCAAATCATCTCTAAAAATGGACACACCAGACACACTATTCTTGGGAGGGAGAATCGGACTGCACCAGATGACCTGCTGCGGCAAGTTTGTCTCAGTAGACGTGAAGTTGTTAGAAGGAATAAATAATCGACAACTGAAATCTGAATACTGATTGATTATCATCTTAGAATGGTGACAAGTGTAAGGAGGCATGTTAATAAAATATGTTTTCATTTTCGACAATAATTTTGAAATGCTGGCAGTTCTGATCGTTGGAGGTAAAACGGTACCCTCCTGTGCAATAATTGTAACCTCAACGTCGTCGCAGAACATCGGGAGAATGTAGTCCAATTCGTATTGATAGCTAAAAAGCCAAACTTTCTTCAAGCCCGGCTCTGAGAATATGCTCTGAAGGGTGATAAAATGTCGGGAGGCTCGACCAGCATCATATATATCGGACTTTATCAGCTTAAATGGATATTGTGTTACTGCTGTCTCTAATGGAACTTCCTCGTTCGCCAGGTCTGTATCCGACGTAGTAACTTCCGTTTCTTCAGTATCAGACGTTAAATCTATTATTTCCACGGGAGCAGCATTGATTTCAGTACTTGACATCTTAGCTTGTGTCTGTAATAATGGCACAGGCTCAACAGCGGGTGTACCTACTTTATCGACATTATCAGCATCGTGTTCGTTATGCACCATCTCATTTTCAATCCCGCCATCATCAAACGCAGTTGACGCAGAGTTGTGGGCATTTCTCCTATATTCAAATGCCGACCAACGGTTGCGAACTCTCTTTCGAACATCCGAGACACTCTTAGAATGGCCCATGAGTTGGTAGTGAGGCGTCAATTCCAGCCTTAATTAATTGTTATAATATCACCATCTTGTAGTTTGGTACGAATATAGTCTGAAGGATGTAATTCGATCTGTTTACGAAACAATTATCCTCTAACAGAGAACAACTTGGAGCGTACTCAACGTAACGTATTTCTATTTCTATCTACCGAATATCAAAAACTTCGATTCTCCAGTGCAAAAAGCAGAACATACTGCAATTGAATGAGAGGTGATTTGACGCAAAATCAATTCAGAATTAAAAATAAGATGGAAATTACGCTGGGATACGATCATTTCAAATAAGCTAAGGCCAAAAATCTGCCGAGCTACAAGTGAACGTCTACATATTAAGCTAGACAACCAAAGCTACAACTAACCTTAAATGACGCAGACCTAAGCGAAAGCTTTGCTCTTGAAAACGATCGCGATGAGTTGCTGCTGCGATACGGTAGATGCTAGAAAAAGTATTCTACTAGTATTTTGAGGGGATCACTCCGTTTAGCACCCTCGCCTTATACGATCCATTCATTCGTTTACCTCCAGCATGGCAACTTAGCCTCCCTTGATCGTAAGAGCATTTACTGAAGGATCATTGTTCGCGTAGATGAAGAACAAGCAGATCCAAGCCAGTTGAATCAACTGTCATATTGCCCGTTATACTGGCGGTGTTATATGACTCAAAAGCCACAGGAATTTTTTTCTATAACACCGGGTCCCATGATTCAGAAGGAATTTTTCACTTCTTCAGTTTCACATGTGTATATATACGAGCGGGATTATATTACAGGACAGCACGTATAGATACGATTTCAAGATTCTGCTAGAAGTACATTAAAACCTGCCGATACACTGCGAGGTCTTAGCGCATACTGTCCAGAACTGTTATTAAAACTTGCAGATTGAATTATCAAAAGTTTTATAGACTAACAAGAAGGCGAGGGAACCAATAATCACAGGCATTTCCATTCATCTCAGAATAGAGTAAATATCATATTTCTATTCCAAGTTTAACCCTCAGTTGAAATTTTTAAAAGAGGATTATCAAATCTCGACCAGTTAACCACTAGAACTTTAAAAGTCCATTCCAGAAATGAGAATCTCGCATAAATTACAGAGGCATAGAGAATCTGAAGATAGCACTAAGCCAACCTTTTCATTCGAGTTCTTCGTTCCCAAGACTAGCCAAGGTGTACAGAACCTATATGACCGGATGGACCGCATGTATCAAACGCACCCCCAGTTTATTGACATAACATGGAATGCTGGGGGCCGCTTGTCACAGTTGTCAACCGATTTAGTTTCTACTTCTCAATCTGTGCTAGGTCTCGAGACTTGTATGCACTTGACATGCACTAATATGCCCGTTGAGCTTATCGATGAGGCTCTCGAAAAGGCTTACGTCTCTGGTTGCCAAAATATTCTAGCCTTGAGAGGCGATGCGCCTATCAACGCGGGCGAGTGGAAGCCATGTGACGGTGGGTTCAGTTATGCTAAAGACCTTGTACGTTACATCCGTAAGAAGTATGGTGATCACTTCGACATTGGTGTCGCTGCTTATCCAGAGGGCCATCCCGAAGAAAGCGGTGACGATATGCTGATTGAATATTTGAAAGAAAAAATTGACTGTGGCGCCGACTTTATTGTCACACAGATGTTCTACGATGCTGACATCTTCATCGATTGGTGTCGTCGCGTGCGTGAAGCTGGTATTAATGTGCCAATCATTCCTGGTATCATGCCCATTACATCCTTCGCATCATTCATGAGAAGAGCTGATTGGTGTCAAATCCATATACCAGAGGAATTTCTTGCAAAGCTTGAGCCAGTCAAAGATGATGACCAACTTGTCCGTGATATCGGTACGGAACTAATTTCTGGAATGTGTCAGAAGCTGTTGGACAGCGGATATGTGACACACTTGCACTTGTACACCATGAACTTGGAGAAAGCCTCTATCATGATTTTGGACAGACTTGGATTGTTACCGGATGAAAGCGATAATGTCCAAGACAATGTAATGCCTTTACCTTGGAGAAAGTCATTACATCCCAAGCGCCGCAATGAAACCGTTCGTCCAATTTTCTGGCAACGCAGACCATACTCATACGTGGCCAGGACATCGCAATGGTCCGCGGACGAATTTCCCAACGGTAGATTTGGTGATTCCTCATCTCCAGCATTTGGTGATTTAGATTTATGCGGCTCCACTTTAATCAGACAATCCGGGAAGCGTTCACTGGAGCTTTGGTCTACACCAACAAGTTTGAAAGACATTTCAAATTTGGTTATCGATTATTTGCACGGTAAATTAAAATGTCTTCCCTGGTCTGATGTTCCTCTCAATCATGAAGTGGATCCTATATTACCTGACCTTATTGAGCTGAACGAGAATTTGATCATTACTGTAAATTCACAACCTAGAATTAATGGTGCGAAGTCAAGTGATCGAGTCATTGGCTGGGGTCCTAGCAATGGTTACATCTATCAAAAGCAATACCTCGAATTCTTGTTACCTAAGAGCAAACTCGATCAGTTTTTGTCTATCGTAGGTGACGGTACTACATTGACTTACTTCGCTGTTGACTCTGCTAATAAAGTCTTCTCTAATCATCCTGACGATGCCGCGGCCAACGCTGTGACATGGGGTATCTTTCCCGGAAGAGAAATTCTACAGCCTACTATCGTTGAGAAGGTCTCCTTCCTTGCTTGGAAAGAGGAATTTTACCATATCCTAGATGAGTGGAAACTCAATTTCGCTGAGAATGGCAAGCCAGAAAGCGTGAAACTTCTACAAACGCTTATTGATGATTATCTTCTAGTTAACATAGTTGACAACGATTACGTTTCACCAGACAACACGATACATGATTTGTTGAGAAAATTGTACTGATCGTTTTAGTTTTGTCAATTCCTCCAATCAAACATTCCGCTTAACCGGAATAAACTTACAGCTGACGCGCAGGGAATAATGTTTTATTCATTCTGCGCACTGCATCATCCAGTTTTCTCAACGAAAACTCGGATTATTACTTCTGCATTTCAACATGGGACTTTTTATTTCTTTGCATTCAACATTATGGGAAATGATTTTTTTTATTATTACTGTTTCTTTTATCTTTTAACTAAATGGGTTTCAACACTGCGAAGAAGACAGCTTCGCATAGCAAGTTTTCAACAATCTTGTATATAAGTAAATAAAATATAAGAGCATTCAACTGGCAATCCTCTCTCAGAGAGGTACATATCCGTGACAATAATGTCCGCAATTATCTTTGATTTCGCGGATACTGACAATTTTGCGTATGCGATTAATCGCGAAATATCGGAATAAAATGTTTGCTTGATTTACAATTTGTTTTATGCATGGAACAAATCTAAAAAAAAAGTTCAAAAGTTGCTCAGGTGCCCTTGAAAGATTTAATGCGAGCATGCAATTCTGGACAACAAAGGTCGCCACCAATTGAAAGAAGGCGGTAGCAGCAAGGCTAACAATTCAAAGCTAGATATTTAGGAGTCTCTGTTATCTGTATCAATCACACAACAACTTTGACATCCAGCAAGTCACTTTTTAGCGGTCGGATTAGACTTAACCCTTTTGCGTAACCAGATACGCTAATCAGGTACGCAAATGGAAAGTAGGAAATCGCATAGGGCAGGCCAGTCACAATACAAGAATGGTATTTCTAGGCCATCTGATTTTGGAGATAACGAGCTGACAGAGGAAAGAGACGAGGAAGCTTTAGAAAATAAAGATACTACGGATCTACGTCGGTCGTCTTCGATTTCAACCATATTAGAGGAAATGGGTAATGAAGACGTAGGAAACTCTCATGAAAACCAGGGAAAAGTTCCAACTGCAGCAACGGCCAAGCCTGCAGGCGACTTTACAATGCTGGAAGATACAGGATATAAGAACACTGTGCACTCCTCCAGATCTTGGAATATATTGCCCAGGATAGGTGAGACGGTTCATAACCGTAAGCATTCCTTGAATTTTGCAACTTTGAAGCTGAATGGAGTTAATAAGGAAATTGTATATGATCCTCGCTATAATGCATTATTTCCGAAGGTAGAGATCTTCTACTCTGCTAACGCACATACAACTACAACGGACGCATATGTTCATGCTAAGACACGCTTGGAGTCTTACGTACAATTTTTGGAGATATATCATAACTCAAGACGTTATGCATCTGCATGCTATCCATTTAAGGTTAATATTGCACCAACCGGTGCATCTAGCGGTTACCCATCTTATATGTCCGGAATAAATTACGAAGAGATAGGAGAAATGATTCAATTCTGGTTTACGCAAGCGCTTAAATTCATACTTGATAAGAACTCTATGTTATTTTCCAGAGAAATAGCCTCATTTCTTAACAAACGTTCGGCTGCTTTATTGGAGCGCGCAGCTGAACCTGCCTTGACTGATGATGAGAAAGATATCATGACAGACACCTTAAAAAGTGCAGACATTTTACTAATCAGATGTGCTCTTGAGGAGGAGTTTAGTTGGCAGTTGGCCTTAGATGAGCCGAACTGGAACATTGTTGACTTTTTTGTAGATCTTACCCCTTTCAGTGACCGTACGGACGGCAAACCTCAGCAAAATACAGATGGAGATAAAGCGTCAAACGTTACTGCTACCTCTACACAATCGTCGCTTTCTGTTAACAGTTCTTCAGCTGAAAACTCATCAACTTCGTCAGTATCAGAAGAAACTGATGAAAAAGACTCCCTGGAAAATGTTGAGAAAGTTAACCCTGGCTCTACCAACTTTCACATTGGCTCAGAGCTTCCAAATCTAGGAACCTCATGTGTTCAGGACTGTATGGGCCGGGATTTGACAAAATTGTCTGACAGGAAGCCCGGAATGGCCGCCTTGGCCAGGAAGCTCACTGAAATTTCAATAGAGGATGCTCGATCCGAAAGAACTACAAAACGAGAAAAAAAAGTGAAATTTCCTAGAGGTGCTGCTTCTACATTGGGACTTTCAAACATTTTTAAGCGTAAAGCTTCTCATGCCGATTCATTGAAAAATGAATCAAATGGTAACTCATTCGGAGATTCCGCCGAAAGAGTTAACTTCAACATTCAAAACAGGTATTTGGAGGACTATTATGCAAATATTCTTGGGAATTATAGGAAGCTCATTTTGCCTGCTCAGTATGTTTTTCCAAAAAAGAATTTAATAAAACTGGCCCAAAAGAAGGAGAAGCTCAACGAAGCACAAGCTAGAAATTACGAAAAGGAATTCCTGAAAATTAAGCTGCCGCTTGAATCAAATTTTTTCCCCGTGATTATGTGCCCTGATGTTTGGATACCGTTGCCTTTTGCTAAATGGAAAGGTTTCTTAAAGGAAGTTTACAGATGTATCTCACCGGGTGGATTTCTGCAAACATCAACAAGCAATTTTATTACTACGAATATTTGCGAGGTTTCGGGGAAAGATAATGTGAAGTTCTCTACTACTCGTGAATTGGATGACTTAACGGAGTCAATTTCTTTGGAAGGCGTAAAAAGAGGACTCCGTGTCTATCCCATGCGATACTTGGTCCAGCTGTTGAAAGAGGTTGGATTCGTAGATGTTAATTACACTGTTGTTAGTCTAAAGCGAGGCGATTTTACAACAAATATGGGGATGATTTTCGAGTTTCTGGCTTTATATTATTATGATTTTCAATTGAGAGCTGGTTTTCTTGATGCCGATAAAGCCCCTCAAGGTACAGATCCAGCCTCATTTCCTTTACGTTACGTAAAGGAACATTTGGGATCTGTCGATAATGATGCAGGGGTTCTGCGTTTGGTACTTACTACCGCTCGAAAACCTATGGAGTAAAATGGCAGAGTGATTTTCTAATAAGACTTTATGTAACGATAATGGGTTTTGTACTTAATTTCATTAAAAATAAAAATTTAAATGTGATCATTTTAGGTGTTTATGCACTCACTTTTTTTTTTCTTTGAATCTAGTAGGTGTTCTTCCATACTCCGCATCCAACAACTTTCCCATTTCTCTATCCTCCTTATAAACATCCTCGATGAACTGATCTCGTTCCCCTCGAGAATAATATTTTGCCTTAACATGTGTCGAGAAAGTATATTCTGATTGTTTCAATGAATTAACGGTGTCTTCATTTATCAGCACATAAGAAATACCAGAATCTGGGCATTCGTAGTTCACATTAAGCAATAAACGTTCCATGATGCCTCTCAAACCTCTCGCGCCTGTACCCTCATCCAGGGCAAAGTGTGCCACTCGCATCAAAGCTTTTTCAGTAATGCATAACCTGACGCCGAACTGTTTGAAAATGTATTCGTATTGATTCAAGAGTGCATTTTTAGGTTCTTTCAAAATCTCGAAAAGATCCTTTCTTTCTAGAGGCTCTAAGGCTGTGATGATAGGTACTCTTCCAATTAATTCAGGTATCAATCCAAAGCTTACTAGATCGGTTGGAGTGGCCAAATTCAATGCTGATGTCATTTTACCATTCTCTAATTTCACTTGTTCAATCGTGTTACTAAATCTAAGTTTTCTAATCTCTTCATTTTTATCTTCAGGAGTTTGAGGATCTGAGATACCTCTAATATTCTCGACTCTTTTCACAATATGTTTATCAAGCCCAACAAAAGCACCCATCAGCATAAAAAGGATATTTGAGGTATCGACAGCAAATGTTTCTTCCTTTTTGGCGCTAATTTGATTGTTTTGATTATCCTTCTTTTTATTGACAGGTCTTTTGAGGTTGACCTCGACTCTATGTCCTTCTAAAATCTTCAGCAAAGACTGTTGGACCCCTTCGCCTGATACGTCCTTAGTCCCAATACTGGCAGCAGGCTTCGCAAGTTTATCTATCTCATCCAACACAATAATGCCCCTCTCTGCCTTTGCAACATCGTAATTCGCGTTGACGAGTAATCGCTCGATACACACTTCTACGTCTTCACCAATGTAACCAGCCTGGGTTAATTGGGTGCAGTCAGTAATCGCAATGGGCACATCAAGCACGCGAGCCAAAGTTGAAGCTAGTAAAGTCTTTCCTGAGCCTGATGGTCCTACTACTAAAACGTTACTCTTGGCGAGTTCTAAATCTTCATCTCTTGAATTAAGAGTTTCGTTTAACTGCTCTTTTAGATTGCGATATCCAACATCGGTCTCTGAACTTTTGTAAATAGGCTCACTCTCATCGTCTTCTAATCTTTGCTTTTCCAATAATTCACTTTGTACCTTAGCCTCTAACCTCTTCTGTCTATCATTGACCCTTAGATAGTGATTGTACACTGCTACACTTAGAACCTTTTTGCCGTTTGTTTGACCAATAATATACTCATCTAGAAACTGTTTCAATTCCTTAGGGGAAGGGAGGATTTGTGCTCGTGAGCTCTGATATGATTTTGCGCTAAGCCTGGCTATCTTACAGCTCGCAAAACCTCTCACCACTACTCTTATCATTCTTGGTGCTACTAAATGAAGAAGTTTTTTGCACACTGAGTCAAAGCGTAAAAAGAGTACCATCTAACATTGTGAGTCAGCCGTCAAGAAAAGGTGATGGATAAGGAAACAGCACCTCATAAGATACCTGACTTTTATTGCTGCTATCTTCTACGCTCCATTCCTAAACCTCAGTCATTCTACATTGGATCGACGCCTAATCCTGTCCGGAGGTTGAGACAGCATAATGGCGTTTTAACTAACGGATCTGCATACAGGACAAAGAGGGAAGGTGCACGGCCCTGGGAAATGGCTATGTGCGTTCATGGATTTACAAGTAAAATTGCTGCTTTACAATTTGAACATGCTTGGCAGCACAGCTATCATACACACTACATACGTGATGAAGATCGAATAGTAAAGAAAAAGGCGGCGGGTCGCACATTCCACCACAAACTGGGAAATGTAAGACTTCTTCTCAACAACCCTTACTTCAGATATATGGATCTTACCGTTCATATGTTTAGTTTGGATGCTCTTAAGATATGGGAAGAAGATAAATTTGTTCTTGGAGGTGACATAAATATCAGTATCTCTGAGAATTCCATACAAGGAACGCAATCGAGTGACTCGGACATCATAGAAGAATATTCATCGAATAATATGCGGTTAGTCGAAGAGCTCTACAAATCTATTTTGAAAGAACATAAGCTGCTAATGGAGTACATGCTAAATCGACTGTTCGAAGGAGAAACTAAATGTCAAATCTGTAGACAAACATTTAACTATGTGGAAGAAACTATGAGACCACTGGTAGCGTTTTGTTTGAATATTGATTGTAATTTTTCGTCTCATCTTGCCTGTCTGCATCGGGTCTTTCTAGATGATGACCGGATAACTAAAGGAGTCCATATTCTGACCCCGATGTTAGGCGGATGCCCTTTCTGTGAACGGCATATGCCTTGGCCAAAAATTGCCAAATTTTCAACGCATGCGCGGAGCGAGTTTGAACTGGGAGATTCGCAGCGCAAGAAGATATGAAGCGTCAAAAGAGAATGGTCCATGGCTTCCCTATTTCAAGAAGGGGATTAGGGATTTTAAAATAACGATGGTATGGATCCACTTGAACATTAACTTCTTTCCTCATGTCACCTTGTTGGATGAGAATTGTACCACTCGGCTTCTGGAAATTTGGAGTAGCGATAATAATATCTTCAATGAGGTTCGATCCGAGAGACCTGTCGGCTGGATAATGGGAAATCGAAGACTCCAAAATACCATCTTTCAGAGTAAATAATACGTCCAGGTAATTTCCCTCCTGATAGGAATAAGTCTCTCCGTCATCAACGTAGAGGTTTCCTGAAGCCTCTTGTGTCGCGTTAGGAGCTATCAGCAAAGTGAACGGATCCCTTGCCATCAGTCTAGCTGATCTCCGATACCTATCCTTTCTTACAATAATATGTCCACCTTCGATAAAGAGTGGCAAAGTTTCCTCCGAAACATCGACATCTCTGTATCCACTTTTCTCCATTGAAAAAGATTGCAGGGTGAAATAATCATAAAAAATCCCTGGTGGAAAGAAAACTTGTGTTGACATACATCCTTCTTCTGTTACGGGTTTAACAAGTAATCCTGACCTTCCGAGATAAAACTCGTCATCGATCCTATAAGTTTCTTCGAGTGTGGGTTTCTCATAGAAAATAGGATTCATAACAGGCACTCCGCTAACGCTCGCATCATGAAATGCAGTATAGAAAGTCGGAAGAAGAGCGTATCTGAGTCTGATGACATCCCTAACAATCGATTTGACGCTTTCTTTCAAAAGATAGGGTTCTCTCCTCAAAGTGTCGATATGTGCATGGGCTCTGAAAAAAGGATACCACATTCCAGTTTGATACCACCGAACCAATAGTTCATCAGAGGGATTGCCTGAAAACCCTGCAATGTCAGCTCCGATAAAGGGAAATCCAGCAATATTGTTCGTTAAGCACATTGGAATGGAAATTTTTAAATAATCCCAATTGGCTACGTTGTCACCAGTCCATGTGGCAGCACTTCTTTGTGAGCCCGCAAAGAAAGCTCTGGTGAGAACAAATGGTCGTTTATTTTCCTTCGCATACCCCTGTTTTAGTGAGTTGTACGTAGTTTCATGCAGGGTGAGTCCATAAAGATTATGAACAGATCTTTCTTCATAGCCACCGTCGTGTAATAAATCTTTTGGAGCAGTGGTTTCTGGACCACTGAAAATGGAAGGTTCATTCATATCATTCCAAATGAAAAGATTGTTAGCATTTTTAACAAATTTACTAACAAATTTGCCCCATACGCCTTGCGCTTTTCTGCTAAAAGAATCGATCCAAATTGATTCGCCAGGCCAGCAATGACCATGATAGATTTCATTAATGGAGTTTTTGACAGCTGTTCCTGATCTCTCAATCGTCTCACTTATATCGTAACCCACTTTTATATGAGGATCAATTAAGGTGACCATGTTCCTTCCCACTTTCCATAGCTTCTTGAGCATTTTTTGTGGATTTGGGAAGGCCTCGGGCTTCCAGGTGAAATACTTCTTGTCTTCGGTATACTCGAGATCCAACCAAATAAAATCGTATGGTATTTCAGCTTTATCCATCTCGTAATCAACGGTCAATACATCACGCTCATCATTATAGTTCCATCTACATTGATGATACCCGACAGCACTGAGTAATGGTAAAGATGGCGTGCCCGTTAAATTTGTGTATGCTTTTGTAATCTCCAAAGGAGTTTCAGCAAAGAAAATTATCACATCAATGATACCAGCTTCTGAAATCCAATGAGTTTTGGTGTTACTCTCATCATATTTGATGTCAATCCACGTATCTGCCGCATTTGCCCAAAAAACACCGGCAGACACTCCTGGTCTGGTACCAATCATTAGAGGAATGGCTCCATACATTGGCATTTTGGAATCGGTGTTATACTCAAAGACGTCAACATTGAAAAGTCTGTACGGATCACTATCGGTGGTGTCTTTGAGTCTCAGACTATCCGCATGTTCCGGAATTCCGTACACATTTTCCATCCCATTAAATGTTAGATCTAAAGCAACGGATTCAGGCCCAAATGGAATTGTGTCCTCACGTGAATATTGAAAATCGTCATGGAAATCATTGAAGATGATTTCCTCAGGAAGTTTATTTTCGGCGTTGTTTTCAGGCTTTCTCAGGTGCTCTAAATTGAGTAACATACGATCATTGATGGTCATGACTAAATCCTCCATATAGAACACCTCAATTTTGAAGGTTTTCAAGTGAAGCTTCATCTTTATTGATTTGTCCTCGCTTTTTAAAATTAGCTGCTTGTCTCTGCTAAGTGACTTTGGCTTAGTTACCTTAACATTAGGAGTAGGAAACAAGTTAGCGGATTCATGAAGCGCCCAAGAGAGGGTTTCATTATATCTTCTGGTATTCAATGGTTCTTTGACATTTACGGGATCTCTTAACTCGTCTATTGTGAAATGAGCTTTAGAGCCCTCCAGCAAGTCTAATGTAAATGGCAACTCAATTACTTGTTCTGAACCATTTTCTTGGGGAATTCGTTTCACAACTGTTCCCCGCAGTGTGTGGAGCGGATCATTGAAGATAAGATGTGATGGATCAATGGAATATGGCGATCTTTTCGACTCTTGGATGTTGCTAGCGTACTGCCTATTTCTATGGCAAAAGCCGGACTGGGCGCATGTCTTCAACAAATAGTCTGAAAATGCCCAAGAACATTGTAAATTGAAGGCCAACACCAACAGTACCAACGTGGACCTGATGAAGAGCATCGTTCTTTGTCAGGTATTTTACAAGTAATTTGAAAACATGAACATATTGCGGAGGCTTGTGTAAGGTTTCAGGTCATTATTGACGTGTACATGATATTTTAATCCTTGGGAAGTATGCCAACGGAGCACCCAAACTAAACAATCGAAAAAGGTTCTATCTTGAGTATTACGATCAATGTAAGAAATTATATCATAATTGCCATTTGAACTCCGAATTTTTTTTCTCAGATTAGGGGCCTCTTCACGGAACAAAAAAACAAACCTTTGTTCCGCGCATCTAATCACTGAACGAGATGGAGTAGAAGATAGTGTTGCCCTGCGAGAACTTCGTGCTTTTTCTATTTTAGCATCTAATTATTATATAATATCTTTAAATCAACATTATGCGCAGAAAAGGGCATGACACATGACTTTCAAAGCGAAACCTGGATGAAAATATAAAGTGAAACTTCTGAAATGTAGCAGGTGAAATGTGTCTTGGTTGTTAACGATATAAATGAAAAATGGTGACTCTAAACTTAAAAAATCAGTGACCTCAACGCAGCATGGCTATGAATCGAGCAGCTTCTAGTAGTAGGATATGCTACTCAAATGATAACGAAAATGAAATTCCAAAGCTTCCAAAGATAATAACAGGAGGAAGCAGTGAGTCGAGTAACATAAGATTGCCAGCGATCAGAGACCTTCTGCGAGAAGTTGAAATACCAAATGATACCTCTTCTCCCCTTTCCACCGAGGATGTGCGACTATCTTTCACCAAGAATCAGCGATATGTGAATTCCCTAAAAGGGCATTTTGAAGGACTCTTGCGTTTAAGTGGTAACCATCTACAGCCAGTGCGCAATGAGCGTGCGTTATCCTCGGCGAGTGCTACGCCGAGTTCTGTGCCGCCACAATTCTGTTTTTTGAAGAAGTTCAAATGCAATCGCAGATTACAGAAAAATGAAATTAAGCGTTCGTTTGATTTGAAATATATTAAAAAGCCAAACTGTCATCTTTTAAATGCAGCGAAGATTGTAGAAACATCGTCTAAAAGTCAGGAGAAGGTTCTCACTGGCAATAAAAGAGCGGATAATATTATTCGTTTAAATGGTGACTATCAACTGGAAGTGGCTCGGATTCTCGAATTTAATAGTACTACTTTTGATCTACTTGAGAAGTGGCCACTGTCACAACACAGTGACGATGTGAAGGATAGAAATAATATGAGCCTTTTGATTGACCTAATACCCTCTACAAGCATCGCCGTAACTTTAGCAGAAGCGCAGAAAGTCTGTGAGGGAATCAAAAAAATACAGCGCATTAAGAAAAATAGGATGCGAGCCCTTGAGCGAGCCAATAAATCAGCTAGGGAGTTGCTACATAATACTCGCAAAGTCCAAAAGCCTTCGAAAGTCCACTCTCCTGCAGTTGATTTTTCCTACTCGCCTTCAAATGGACCAGTTGAAACTCAAAATACTTCCAACAAATCTCTTAACGATCGGTGCAGCGTGATAAATCATTATGGACACTATAATGAAATTCACTACTTGTCAGCTGACAGTGCTTTTGGGAAATCAAGAGAGTGCGAGCACTGCCTGTGCTCAAAAACACCAGAGTGGCGAAAGGGGCCACGTGCAGATAGAAGCCTTTGTAATGCATGTGGATTGTTTTACAAAAAGCTGACTAGAAAGTTTGGGGTCGATTCCGCTAATATAATTCTGCAATATAGAAAGTCTACGGGAAATTTGGATCGAAGAGTGCCAAAAACCTATGATGTTCCCGCTAATTATCGAGGAGATGATAGCGCATTCAAATGAGACACGCAAATTTTACTTTGAAAAGGAGTATCCCACTTGTACTCGGAAATATTGTTTGACTGATGAAGTGATTGCGTTTCAGTCAAAATATAGCACCGTCACTCACGAAGAGCCTGCCCTCGTGTTTTCTACACCATGCGACGATATTCTTTGCACTTTTCAAAACGGTATTTCTGTCCGTAACACCATTGTTGCAGATGAGATATAATTCGAAGGTGGGTGTCAGCCATGCCAAACATAGAATATCAGCGACTTCCTCTTGAGGAAGATTATCCGAGAGAGGTGCGTCATTTTTCCACTTTACAAAAGTTAACGTAGATCTGTTGAATGGCCTGCCGCATTCTCCAACTGCGTTATTGCGAATATGCGTATAATAATGCATTAATTTTTTCAAATAAAGATTGTGACCATTATCATACTTCCTGTCATGAACCTCAACGGGCTCCGTTTGGCTATTTGTTGTGGAGAGCTCGGGATTCGTGTGTAGAATCTCTTCCTCATCCAAATTTTGATCGACGAGATCACTCAACTCGCTGTAAGCTGGATCTTCGAGCACCGGGAGCTGTGGCATTACGTATTGAACATGCTTCTTGGATTTATAAATGAAATGGTGAACTAGTGGCGCTGGGATATCAGACATGGAAAAACCTGTTTCGCAAGCCGCGTTAATCTGATTAAGGAGGTCTTGGGCCTTCAACTGATCAACAATTTTCTGGCCGATTCCCTTGAGTGCGAAAAAGCTTTCCTTTTGCGCACTAATCAACACCAACGCCGATCTAGGAGGGTAAGGAACTTTTAGAGATTGAGGAGAATCCGCACCATCATTCAGAGAGGATTGGGAACTTGAAGGACCGTTTTCCAAGGTTGTCTCTAACTGGGTTCCCTCCTGTTGCCGGTTTTGGTCGGTTAGTAAGCTGTCATATGATATATTGATCGAAGGAGATCTAGGTAGTAATTTGATGTAGCAGTGTAGAAACCCGTTTGAATTGAACTTGGGGAAACATATGGGGACCCAAAGTTCTTGATCGTCCTGTAGACTTTGAAACTGGTTGAAAACTAGCGAGAACAACAAGTGCAGGTCTGTGGTGTGGAGGGTATGGCCCTTTGGCCTGAGAACCGAGCAAAGCTGATTCCCAGGAGCAACTATTAACCCGTAAAGCAAGGTGCCCCTGGAGACAGCCACTTCAGGGTCTTGCAGTTGCGTCAGCATCAAGGTGTGCAAGGCACGGCGAGTCGATTTGCGCAACATGAGACATCGTAGCGCCCCTAACAGTAGGTCTGGATGGAATCCGTTGGATATGGAGTCACAGATATGGTTCAAGTTGTAGAAATCGGTGTGTGTTAAAAAGTTCCTTAGGTCAAAGTTTTCACGCTTGGAGAACAAACGTGTGAGTTGCTTGCGGCTGAGGGTGGACACCAGATACGAGTACAGAAAATCCAGTTGTTGCAAAAGGTCACTGGTGGTCTCTTCGCGGGATGTCATGGCCATAAGTAAAATGGGCGTTTTATCGAGGAACACAAACTTCTGCTTGGTCTTGCCAGGTGAACCCGTGGTGATCGAGTGGATTTTGGAGTTTTGCAGTTGGAAATAACTTAGCACCGTGTGCACGATGCCCATGAGGCCCATGACGAGCTCGTCGCGCCCGTGCATAGAGAAAATGGGCTTCCCAGCAGACGACAAAATAAAGAAATGCTTGTCCTGTGGTAGCACGCTGGGCAGTTTCGAGCCACCCGTGTGCTCACACTCAAAAATCGAGGGGATTTCGTTGCTGACTGCGTGCTCACGCGGCAACAAGCTCATGGAGTGCATCGATTGCATGAGTTCCTCTTGCAACTCGGCGTTGGTGCGCACAGACTGGATATCGGAGGCGAGATCCTCGTTCAACCCCGTGTGCATCGACCGCACATCGTCGAGGAACGGGGCTACGGGCTGGGAAAACGAGGTGGTGAGATTCACAGAGGTTGTGGGCGTGGTTACGCCGCGCACAAACGGGTTGAGCTTGGTGGGCGTGGCTTCACGCAGCCTGTCAGCGTGGTCGATGTAATCCTCGCGCAGCTCCGGGACCATTGTTAACGGCGGTGGAGCGGGTTGAACGGATGTGCGAGAGAAGTAGTGGGCCGCGTCCAAGTTCGTGTTTGCTGGCGGGTCCGTGAAACGGTTCCCGCGTGTAAAACGATGACACGAGAGAGCAGATATCACGGCAGCAGCGGCCGTCACATCGCGCTACGCTGCGCAGTCGAGTTTGTTCAAAGTACGTCTAGTTATGCCTTACACTACATAGAGAATATAATCTTCAACTGTCTCGGGGCGCCTACAAGCGCTTCTTTTTGTCGAATTTGGAGTAATACTTGGAGCACAGGACCACGTCCAGCGCCAGGAACGCGCCCGCGCCCGCCACGGTCGCAATGATGGCGCCGTCCGACTTCCCCTTGAGGTAGCGCGCGTGGTACTTGGCGTAGCCGCGCAACAGCGAGGCGGCCAATCCCGCGCCCAGCGCCACGTTCGCCACCACCACAGGGTTCTGAAGCTCCACGAGAGCGCGGCTGCCCGCGCGCGTCGTGGAAGACGCTACCGTGGACCCGGCCGCCGAGACGCGCGCGGCGGCTGCGCCCAAAAGGGAAGCCACCGCACGGTGGATCCGGTGCAAAGCGTCGGCGCAGCCGCTGCCGCCGCTATTGCTGAGCTCCTCGGCCTCCTCGGCCAGTTCTTGTGCCTCCTCCCGGAGCTTTTGTGACGCCTTCTTGGTTCCTTCGGACAGTTCCACATGCGCGGACTCTGCGGCGCTCTTGGCGTCCTTCTTGACCTGTTTCACGTTGCTGCTGCTGAGTTAGTGGGCCACCGCACGAACGGCTGACGCTGCCACGCGCTGCCTGCTTCTGTGCTAAAATACATACTCTGACATGCTACTGTACTCTTATAATACTCTGCTAAAAATGCTGCTTATGCTATAACTGTCACGGACCCCCGATACCGCACGACGCCGATTTGCCGCCCTTATATACATGTTTTCCGTGGTTCCCGCCCCAAATTTTGCCCCATTTTAAGGGTGGTTCCACTACTTTGCTACTATCTGATCTGTATCGAACCAGACGGGGCCGAGTTCCCTTCGCGCGAGCGCGGCGCGGGACGCGACGGGCCGCGCAGACGGCCGCGAGAACGACGCCAGAAAGAACGTTAGATCCACCATTGTGCCGTGTCGCAGTTGCTATTGTACGTCTACGTAGTGTTACGCTTGCAGTTTGCGGCTGCGCCGGCTGTATCGTGCGGCCCGTCGCTTTGCTGCCTATTTGCTCTTGCTCCGACACCGGCGTCGCGGAGTAATCGGACGACACAGACGACGCGGGGGGCGGGGCCCGGAGGCAGAAATGTAGGGACGTGTGACTGTTTTCTATATGTGTGGGTGTTGTGACTGGAATTTTTGGTAGGTCTACACCCAGTCATCCGGGTTTTCTGGGGATTTTTTCTGGTGGGCGGGCGGCATCGTATGGGTGGATGGGTGTGGGAGGGGCGGACCCCACGCAACTCGCGTGGGTGACGCAGTGGCAGCCGCAGGTGACCGGTCGCGTCGTACGAGGGCGCGCTGCGCGCGCCCGCTGCCGCCGCGTTGAACAAAATTTTTCAGTGCGCACCGGTCGCCCTGTGGTCCTCTCTCTCTCTCTTCCTCCAATCTACAACTGTCGATTGAAAGTTACCATCCATCAACTTTCCGTGATCCATTCCGACAAGAGAACCATTCAGTAATGTCAGCTCCAGCTCCAGCAGAAGGTCAACAACAAAGAAGAGGCGGTTTCGGCGGCCGTAACAGAGGTCGTGGTGGCAGAAGAGGCGGCAGAAGAGACCAAGAAGAAAAGGGTTGGGTCCCAGTCACCAAGTTGGGTAGACTTGTCAAGGCCGGTAAGATCACCACCGTTGAAGAGATCTTCTTGCACTCTTTGCCAGTCAAGGAATTCCAAATCATTGACACTTTGTTGCCAAACTTGAAGGACGAAGTCATGAACATCAAGCCTGTCCAAAAGCAAACCAGAGCCGGTCAAAGAACCAGATTCAAGGCTGTCGTTGTCGTTGGTGACTCCAACGGTCACGTCGGTTTGGGTATCAAGACCGCCAAGGAAGTTGCTGGTGCCATCAGAGCCGGTATCGTCATTGCCAAGTTGTCCGTCATCCCAATCAGAAGAGGTTACTGGGGTAACAACTTGGGTCAACCTCACTCTTTGGCCACGAAGACCTCTGGTAAGTGTGGTTCCGTCACCATGAGATTGATCCCAGCCCCAAGAGGTTCCGGTATCGTCGCCTCCCCAGCTGTCAAGAAGTTGTTGGAGTTGGCCGGTGTTGAAGATGTCTACACCTCTTCCAACGGTTCCACCAGAACTTTGGAAAACACCTTGAAGGCTGCCTTCGTTGCCATCGGTAACACTTACGGTTTCTTGACTCCAAACTTGTGGGCCGAGCAACCTTTGCCAATCTCCCCATTGGACATCTACTCCGATGAGGCCTCCGCCGAAAAGAAGAGATTCTAAATGCATCACGTGCGCCAGCTTTAGTGTGTCTTTTGTAGTTTACGTATTTTCTTCAACTCGTTAATTTGGGTATTTTCATTTTTCATCACGTCCCATGATGCATGTGGATGAACGTCGCTTACTAGTTCTTTTGGTATGCGTTGCCTAACGTTGCGAACAGCTGAGTCACTTCTCAGCTTGTTTCTTCTTTGCGTCACCCATAAACCCTTTTAAGGCCGACGTAAAAAAAAACAAGCCGGCATCGCCCCGCGATGCCCTATAATTTCTCTACAAGATTCCAAGTTTCAAGAGACCACTTCCGCAGCCTTGTAATTGAAGGCTAGCAGTTTTGATGGCTCTTGCTTTGAATTTTTTTTTTTAATTTTTTTTTAATATTGTACACTAGATATATTTCTAAAACATGCGCATTTGAACTCTTACCCTTCAGTTCATCATGGCATCACCATCCTGAGTAGGAGCAGACTCAAGCACCTGTGACTCAGGAACAGCAAACGGCCTTTCATTTGAAATGCTGTTACCCGTACCCATATTAGGGTTTACCCATGTATTGCTGTTGCCCTGTGGCTTTTCGGGTAATTGCCTACCCTCAGGGTGTCTGAATAAACAGTAGACATTTTTACACTCGGTACCAAACTTACAATCCTCGTCAATGGGATGACCGAATAAACAATCAATTCTTGTACAGTTCGCCCCATCACGGCACATTATGTGAGAACGTGCGTGTCTGAACTTGCACCGCTTATTGGTACAGTGTTGGCCAAATTTACACTGAACGAGAGATTTTTCCACGGTAGGTCTGGCGGGTTTGCGGACTGAAAGCGGAGTGACGTCCTTAATCTTTGACAGTGAGCTGTGTGCCTTGTCACACTGGGGGTTGGTACAGTTCAAATTTTCGGGACACCATACAAAAGTGATCACTTTGGCGTCCTCGTTAGCAGGGGTTGGGTGGCCAAAAGGACATTGTGGATTCGAACACAGGCAACCAAACTTACATAAAACAATGCCAGTATTTATGGGTTTGGCCTTAGATGCTGCGATAGCCGCTCTCTTCTCCCTGAATTCTTCTCTAGTCTTCTCGATTTCTTTCATTAACTCAACGTCCTCATTAGGGTGCAAATAATTACAGGTTCCTGGAGGGTTGGGACAGTTGGGATACTCTCGACAAGCTTGGGTAGGGTGTGCATGTGGGCATTGTCTCCCAAGTGGACAACGTGGGAAAAGTTTACAACGGCCTTGTTTCTTTTGTACCACGTTAACATTTGAAGCCGAAGGGTCCATACCCAACGCCATTGCAAGCGCATTGTTGTTGTATTTACCATTGGATCTACCACCACGTTCACCATTCTCACGGTTGCCACGACCACCTGATTTATTAATACCACCACGTTGATGGCCCCCTCTTTTACCGACCCCTCCAGTTCTTGGCGCAGAAGTAACATCAACAATCCCTTCGAAAGCAGACCTGGGAGCTTCGGGTGCACTTGCTACCATGTTCATTGGAGTTGGCGTTGTTTGTACGGGTGCAGGCGTCATGGTTTCCACTGCTGCTCCTGGAAAAGCAGACTGAGCCCCTCCAAGTTTGGAAACAACACTTTCGAGGTTCTCTCCATTTTGTAGATAGTTAAGAGCCGTGAAAGCATCTTGAACCACATTTTGGAAAGCGCTAGGTGCTACCGAATCGAAAAGGGAGGTCAATTCCTGTACAACAGATTCGATTGTACCTCCATTAGACATTAACAAAACAATGTACTCTGCCACATAATTCACGTCCTCGTTGAAATTTTGAAGAGCCCTTAGTTTTTCAGCAATTATAAGCTTCAAGTTCTTAGATATGTCTTCCTGAATTCCTGACATGACTAGTCTCTGCTGAAGCGTTGGTGAGTAAAACTTCACGTAGATCGATTAGTGATGATTAAAAAGTTTTTGCCACCAAGAAGAAAAAAGAAAAGACCTGAAAAACTTCTGCTTCCATAGAGCCGGGTAATCAATCCTTTAAAATCACGTGCCTAAAGATAAAGGCTCATATCTCAGATTGACAGTGGTGTTCAACGATCTACCTTTCTGAAACGAATTGAATAATTGCCTCATTATGCTTTTTGGTTTTCAGTGAATATGCATTCAACACTATGATCTCTTACAATGAGAGGATCTGAAGATAAACAGTTCAACAATAAATCAGTGATATTTCGTTTAGTTAATAAACCATAGAGCGATAAACTTATCGTTACATGAGTTGATGACATAATGTACATTGAGCTATTTCTCTTATATATATAAGAAAAACAATTATTCGAGACCTATTTTTTAGCCTTCTTACTCTTTTTGTTCTTCTTCTTGTTTTTGCTTTCATTCATTTCCTGTATCATATCCACCTTAGCCTTAACACGCTCTAGCGATAGTTTAACATCTCCTTTTGGAAAATTATTGAGATCATAATAAGCAGGAGCAAGTTCAATCAACCACTCTGGCCTTATCGATGTCACCGTTCTGATATAGTTCTGTGAAGTTAGAACAAATTCATTGTAAATAACCCATTCGGCGTCATGACCCAATACAGTGCTTGGATGAATTAGAACATCCTGGTTATCCTTGACAGTGATATAACCCTTTCCTCCAGATCTCTTTTTCGCAACTTGCATGAAAAATCCTGCAGCCAATGCTTTTCTGATGTTATCAAAATAGTCTGGATCTTCAAAGTCGGTCGAGATTACATCTAAATTGTATCTTACCATTAATCTCTCAAGCTGAGAACGAATATTGTCGGCAGCAGAGAGAGATCTGTAGTTCAAGTAATTTTCACGACACCACTTGTTAATTCCGAAGTCGTATGCTTCATCGGATTTAAATGCGTGATATGCATTCAGTAATGTGATATGATCACCGTCAGGGTGAGCGAAGGCACTTTTTGCATCATCAGCACGCTTTTTGTCCTTTGACGGACGAATAAATACGTTTGGTACTGAAATCATCGCGACTATAGTCAACATTTCTTGAGAACAATGGAATTCCGGTGACCCAATTAGCATAACTGCGAGCATAGGGTCCAATGGGAATTGTGATGCTAATCTACCAAGAGCAGTCAAATTCCCATCATCATCTAGACAGGCCAAGTAATTTAGTTCTTCCAAAGCTCTCATCATAGTCTCGGGGGCCGGAGGATCCATGAAATCAAAGTGAACCAAATCATCTATTCCCAACTTCTTTAATTCTAAGACAGTAGAAGACAAGTTGGAACGCAAAATTTCAGGATAACTCTGTTCTATCAATTCTTTTTTAAAAGCCTCCTCTGTGTAAAGTCTGAAACACTTACCAGGTCTCGTACGACCTGCACGACCAGCTCTCTGCTGGGCAGAAGCCTTGGAAATAGGTGATACAAGCAAAGATTCCACTCTTATTCTTGGATTATAAACTTTTTGCTTTGAGAAGCCAGGATCCACCACGTAAACGATACCGTCGATGGTCAACGATGTCTCGGCGATATTTGTGGATACGATAACTTTTCTTCCAGGTTTTCCATTGAAAGGCTCTGGTGCAGGATCAAAAATACGTTGTTGTTGGTGTGGAGGTAGAGAACCATATAAAGGATAAACTTTTAATGGCCCACAGCCTTGTTCTCTTATTAACTGATCACCTTCTAATGAAATTTTTCTAACGGCGTCTTCAATTTCATCCTCACCAGTTAAAAACAATAGAATGTCTCCGGCACCTTCCGTTGCGTGAATTTGCAAGACAGTGCGGATCGCTGAGTCCAAATAATCTCTTTGGAATTCCGGGGTGTAGTAAATTTCAACTGGATGTGTTCTACCGGGAACAGCCAGTAATGGCGCATCGTTGAAGTAGCGCTGGAACTTTTCTGCATCCAACGTGGCAGACATAATGATTATCTTCAGATCAGGTCTGCGAACAACTACCTGTTTTAGTAAACCCATCAAAATATCAGTAGCTAATGTTCTTTCGTGCGCTTCATCAAGAACGATACACGAATAGCGTCTGAGATCATGATCCTCCATGGCTTCACGAAGAAGCATACCGTCAGTCATATATTTCAAGATGGTTTTGTTAGATGTCTTATTCTCAAATCTAATGGAGTAACCAACCTCTTCGCCGAGCTTCACGTCCATTTCTTCAGCAACTCTCTGGGCCACCGACATAGCAGCAACACGACGGGGTTGAGTACAGGCGACCTGAGTGTTCTGAAGATGTGGCATTTCATCGAATAAAACAAACTGAGGAATTTGAGTGGTCTTACCGGAACCAGTTTCACCAACAAACACCATGATTTGGTTTTCCTGGTAGATCTTCAAAAATTCGTCCCTTTGCGCGTGCACGGGCAATTCTTTCCTGATCTTCAAAATATCAAAGTACTTAGGGGTGAAGTCTCTACCAGTAAAAGGATTAATCTTGGCATTTTCCAACTCATTAGCCTGTGCGGCAGTAGTTTTATGGCGGGTGAGATTGCTGAACTCGCCAGCGTCGTGATGAGTTAAGGGCGTGTTCTCATTCCCAACAGGGTGAGTTTTAGCCAATTCTTCCGCAACTTCAGCAGCGTGTTCAGGAACTGAACTTTCTACGGCTGATACATGATCGTGCTCAGAAGAGAATCTTCTCTTGTTAACCATATCGCCTGATTAAACTGACTTCTCGGCTATCGTCAAGAAGGTTCATCTCATCGCATCTAACTAAAATGAAAATTTTCGAGATGCAGAAAAAAGCAATAATGCCTTTGGTTGTCCGGGTATCCATATCACGTGGTTAATGTATTTCGTGTTTCTCCCTGTATACGGTTGGGTAGGTAAGTCCCCAAGCATTGACTTCTCGTTTGTACATGCGAGGGTAATTGCGTTGTTGCATTTAAATCAGATCAAAGTTCATTACTAGACTCTTTTAATGGCATCTCGTAGATCTCTTTATCATGCTGTATGCTTAGCATCTTCTGCGAAAGAGGTCATCAAGGGTAGCCTTTCGACTGGTTGTGAGTCGTTCAATCTATGGGTCGAAACATCTACTTTAACCCGTCCTATCCTGTCTCAGTACCAGTGGTTTTACGACCCTGAATGGGAGAAGGCGAAGAAACTGTCGGATGACTTGAGAGCCAAAGCAAAACCAAAAAGCCCCAAGGGTAAGCAAAGTCACAAGAAGAGTGTCAGACACTATTCCACATCTGTCAAACGCAAGCAAGACCTTCTACATGACGTATGTTGAACAGTATGCAATTGAGTATACAACAATTAATACACATTTTACTAATAAGTTTCCAGCAACAAAATACGGAAAAACAGGAAATGGAGAGTTCAGAAGTCCCCTCTTCTCGAATTTCTAGGCTTTTTCATTACGGCTCTTTGGCTGCCGGAGTTGGACTATCTGCTGCTACAGAAGGTCTTGGACAAGTTGTCCGTGGTCAAAACCCGACGTTTAAGTCCTTAATCCTTTCGGATGCCAACATAGAGAGAATTACCAAGAAGTTTTCCAAGATGAGAGGAGCCGCCTTGAAAATCGGACAAATGATGTCTTTTCAAGACGAAAATGTTCTACCAAAAGAGTTATACGTTATACTGTCGCGTGTCCAGAATTGCGCAAACTACATGCCACAAAGGCAACTCGATAGGGTAATGGCTAGGGAATTGGGAAATGAATGGGAGACCAAGTTTGCATATTTTAACAAAATTCCATTAGCAGCGGCATCCATAGGACAGGTTCATGAAGCGCAGTTGCATTCTGGTGAAGAAGTTGTCGTCAAAGTTCAATATCCAGGTGTGAAGGATTCAATAGATTCAGACCTGAATAATTTACTAATGTTTCTAACTGCCTCTCGACTTCTGCCCCGCGGTCTATTCCTAGACAAAACGGTTGCCAATGCGAGAACAGAGTTAAAGTGGGAGTGTGATTATGTTAGAGAAGCTAATGCTTTAAAAAAATACGAATCTCTGGTGAAAAATGATCCAGTTTTTACTGTTCCCCACGTCTTTTCAGATCTCTCCACCGATAATATAATCACTATGACAAAAATGCAAGGTATTGAGATCACGAAATTGCCTAAAAATACACCACAATCTACTCGTGATTTCATCTGCGAAAATATAATGAGATTATGCCTCCAGGAAATAGCTGAGTTCAGATATATGCAAACTGATCCCAATTGGGCAAATTTTTTATTTAATGCATCTTCAAAACAAATCGAGCTACTTGACTTTGGAGCCTCGAGATCGTACCCCGAAGACTTTATTCTCAAATACCGCAAAATGCTAACACTGGGCACAAAACACGATCGCGAAGGAATCGCTCTCATTTCTAAAGATCTAGGATATCTAACAGGTCTTGAATCTAAGGCAATGATAGATGCACACGTTGATTCAGTAATGGCTCTTGCTGAACCCTTTACCGGTTCTGAAGAGAGCATTTTCGATTTTTCCGAACAAACAGTAACTGATAGGATAAGGGGAAACATTGGCTTAATGTTGAAAGAGAGACTTTGTCCACCACCGGAGGAAACATATTCCTTACATAGAAAATTCAGCGGAGTCTTTCTACTTTGTGCAAGAATGAAATCAAAGGTACATTTGGCAAAATTATTTAAAGAACATTTTGCATTGGACCTCAATAATTAACTCACTGTAAATATTATATAACATTGTGCGTTTATGACTAGAGGTCGAAAACTGCCGGTTTTGGCGTATCAGTAGTTCTTGTTACATAAAAGAAATCTATCTTTTTTATTTTTAATTGTTTCAATCAACATTAAATCTTTAAACTTACTTTTAAAAAAAAGCTAGCGTAGAAGTAATGTGAAATGGCTTCTACAACTACCTTGCACAATGGAGCGTGAAATCAGGACCACATCAATGGCCAAAGTAGTGCTTTCAATCGTTATTACAAAACACAATTAATCAAAAAAAAAAATGAAACGGACAGGAATTGAACCTGCAACCCTTCGATTGCAATTTCCTTGGAATTCCAGGATCTAACTGGAGTCGAAAGCTCTACCATTGAGCCACCGCTTCATCTTCGAAATCATGGACTTAGAAGAAAGTATATAACATGGGAAAAGAGGCAACCTGTCTATAAACCGATGGTAATACTAGTAAATTCTGAAACTGTAGTAGGAACCTCACAGATATCGATGTTTGATATAAGCCCCAATCGACGGATATAAGCATTAACAAGTTCCAAACATAATATGGTATTAAATAGAAGACAGAGGAAGGACAGAACCGATTCAGTATTCATTTCGTTAATCGAAAACTCCATAATTAGATACGACAGTATAAGATAACCATGTTGAGATATCAAATGGAATCATATCAAAGATAGTGGAGTTGACATCAATCCTAGATTAGTATTTATGAGTATTGCCAAATTCTAATTTCAATATGGAGATTGAGTTGAGAAGGTAGCTAAGTGACTACTGATTTCATTATTTTTGAAGAACTCCATAAACAGGCACGACAGCATCCCCCTACTGCTTTTTAGTCGGGGGATTCTCAACTAACAAGTTGTGGCACTTATACAAGTCGCAAATCAATGACAGTATAGTTTTACCTTCACGCTTTTAGTGTTACTGAGAACTGGTAGTTTTCTGAGAATCCTTAACACTTTAGCTGTAGAACGCAGAAGCGTGTTACCTGTGACTCATGATGTGCGATACATATAGATAACGTTTCGCATTTTTCTTAAGTTCATTTGGTTGCTCCATGTCTATCGTTTATTTGATTTGCTCTTTTCCCTCTATCATTGACTCATTTTTTTTTCCAGATGAGTAACTTGAAAAATTTCTGATAATGTGTCATAGTAAGTTACAATTATCTAAACTATTATAAAGCAACAAGAAAGCGGTTCAGCGGCATGACAAACATATTGGAAGAACACAAGGAAAATTTTGAGCATAGCAGGCTAATGATTCAAAACGTCAGCGGTATCTCCCCAAAAAATCAGCATCTATTGAATGGGATTGTCCGGGAACTCGCACTCTCATTCAGCAAACCTGCTTTGGAATTCATCGATCTTCTAATAGAGTCCTTCATGTATCCCAAAGGAAATGACAACCCTTCATCAAGGATGTTAGGTTGCTATGAAAATTCTGATCCCGTTCAAAAAGAAATCAAGGGCTCAGATTCAGATTATACTTTTGAACCTCATGATCTTGGTTATGGAAGGCTATTAGAGATGATTCACTTGAGACAGTTAATACTGAAGATAAAAAACGGTGAAAAGTCTTTTCCCTCCGTGGATTCTTCTGAATACATTCCCTCCCTTCTTGCAGTTTTGGAGGAGATTCATACCTTTATGATCCATCTGCTGAAAGAATTAAGCAATTATATCGAGGTCATAGGATCAGCTGTGATTTTTAAAGAAATTTTAACCGAGCATTTACCTAACTTTCGTCACGCTTTTCATGCATTCAAATCCTTCAATGAGATATTGCAACATCTCATGGAAACAGTAAAAAGAACGGGCGTATCTGACGACGAAGTATTCCAAATTAACCAGAAAACTATTGAACTCATCAAAAAGTTTACCGTTGACAATGTTTTGTGGTTCGAAGAACTCATGACAGGCTCCAAGGCCTTAAAAGAATATCTTCTTTTTGAGGACTGTGAGCTTAAACCTATCGAAAACGTCAACGCCCTCAACGAGGGCCTGCCTAAGAGTATATCAGCAGCTATTAACTCTCCACAATTTGAAGATTTTCTGCAAATCAGAAAGGCCAAATTAAGAGTATGCCATCGAAGGGTTTTTTAGGTAAAATCGATATTAGTTTTTAGTTAGGAGAAAATAAAAGTTAAGTTACTGCGTATGATGAAGATCTTCATGATCAGCCGACGTATATGCTGTGCACAAGTTCAGCAATCCAATCTTTTTATTGGATGCTTTATCGGCCAATCTCTGTGGCTTTTCAACCAATCTGCAGGCATAAATTATCAAATAATAAAGATCTAGGCATGCAATCTACATCTATTGGAAAGTTCTGAATGACAAGAGTATACTCTACGTGCATTACAAAACTAGTGGCTCAAGGTGAAGCTCATATGTCATTAACTTCCTTCACGAATCTCATTGTTCCCTTAATTGTGATGTGCATTCAACACTTCGCCTCCCATGTGAATTAGGCAATTAAATTTTTAACAACGTTCGAGCTGAAATTGTCTTCTCGCAACCATTTTCGTTATTTCTTTTTTTTTTTTGGCGTCGATATTAAAACATCGATGTCAAACACTTCGGTGTGCTTTGTCTTGTCTTGAATTAGTAGGATCTTCACATCTATAGACTCTGGTTTATGTCAGAAGCACAAGGGAAATCAACTGGTGTGGTATCTGGCGCTGGAAGCGCAACTACCTCTACCGTTATCTCCGAAACTAAAACTGCAATTGATACTCATGGAAATACTTTCAAGGTTCCTGATTACACTATTAAGGATATCTTATCTGCTATTCCCAAGACATGTTATAACAGAAGTCTTTGGTGGTCTCTCCACTATGTGGTCAGAGATGTGGCTGCCATCGCGGTAATCGGGTACGTCGGCACCAATTACATTCCACAGTGGTTTCCGAACAGCGCTCTTTTGAGAGGCGCAGCGTATATGATTCAGTCCTACTTAATTGGTCTTTTTGGCTTTGGATTGTGGATTCTTGCTCACGAATGTGGCCACTCTGCCTTTTCTGACTACAACATTGTTAACGACATCGTGGGATGGCTGCTACATTCGTGGTGGATGGTTCCGTACTTTTCATGGAAGTTTTCTCATAGTAAGCATCATAAAGCCACCGGTCATATGACCAGAGACATGGTGTTTGTTCCTTACACAAAGGAAGAATACTTGGAAATGAAAAAAAAATCCGTTCTAGCCGAAGTTTTGGAGGAAGCTCCAGCGGTGACTCTTTTCAATTTGATTGCACAACAGATCGGTGGTCTTCAACTCTACCTAGCTACAAATGCCACTGGTCAACCTTATCCAGGTGTCTCGAAATTTTTCAAATCTCATTACTGGCCAAAATCTCCCGTTTTTGATGCCAAAGACTATTGGTATATTATCTTAAGTGATATCGGAATCCTATGCACTCTTGGTGTCAATTATTTATGTTATCGTGCATACGGTTCTCACTTCGTTCTAATTAACTGGTTTTTACCATGGCTGTGGGTCAACCACTGGCTGGTGTTCGTGACATTCCTGCAGCACACAGACCCTACTATGCCTCACTATGATGCCGGTGAGTGGACATTTGCCAAAGGTGCTGCTGCAACAATTGACAGAAATTTTGGTTTTGTCGGTCAACATATTTTTCATGATATTATCGAAACACATGTTTTGCACCATTATTGCAGTAGAATTCCATTTTACAATGCCCGTGAGGCCACCACAGCCATTAAGAAGGTTATGGGTGAACACTATAGATACGATGGTGAGAACATGTGGAAATCTCTATGGAAGGTTGCTAGATCATGCCAATATGTTGATGGAAGCAATGGTGTTAAAATGTTCAGAAACACTAACAACATTGGTGTAAAATCTGAGTAGGTGCTTTGAGAATGCTGCCCTAACTTATATTCTTGTTGACTCAATATTCTTTCAGTCCTGTATAAAATGTGTAGTCCTGACTGTGGGCTTTATATTTCTCTCTTTAACTGCCCGTGATATATTTATTAAGATAACTTCTTTATAGACAAAATTGGCATTTGAGGGCCAGGCAAGCTATAAGAGAACCGAACAACGCTACGAAATTGTTTGATATAGCCATTGTTTTAGAGTATTGGCAATGTGACATTTTACGGTTTTCGTGTGGTCGCCATATGCATTCCAGAAAAGGAAATATGTAAATAAAAAAAATAGCTCTAGCACAGAAGCAGTTAAAGTTTGAGCAAAGCGCATTCACATCGCAGGTTAATTTAGTTCGAAAAGGGGAACTTAATTCCTTTGATTTACATTATCGATAGAAACTTTAAGTGCATTGATCACTGCAAACACACAATCATAGATTGCTTTGCATAGTGTGCCCTTTTGAATCAGCATCCTATACTATCAGTGAGTAGAGCGATCGAATTCAAAGAGCTTGCACGAACATGTCTGACAAACGGAAAGCCAATATTAATTTAGCCAACAATGCTAGCAAATCAGTATTGTCACTTACATCGCCAGCTAAACTCAATGTGGTATCGTCTGACTGGTCGAAAATGACCGCTAAAAGATCTGCCAATAAAGTTACCAAGAGGCATTTATCAAGCAGTTCGACACTATCAAATGTCACAAACGTCGTTTCAAGTTCAAAAGGATCAAATAATCGACCAACAATGCATCATGTCCCACAGCTACTGAGAAGGTCATCGTCATTCTTTAAAGATGATTTGGAAATCTCAGAAAAAAGACCATCAAAATCTCAAGACTCAGACGACATTTTATTGAACACTGATAGATTCATCCCGCTACGAAGTGAGCATTCTTTTACTCTATCAAAGATTGATCCTTCTTCCTTTGAAGTGGAGGTTCCTCCACCCAATGCATCGCCTTCAACACATCTGCGAGCGCAGACAAAACGAGTTTTCAAACAAAACGTAGCTGAGGCTTGTGGGCTCGACATGAACCAACGGATTTTACAGTATATGCCTAAGCCACCGTTGTCTTCGGTAAGGAAACAATCTTATTCTATTGGCAACAGAACACATTATTCATATTCAAACGGGTATGCGAATGACAACAGGAAAGATATCGCCAAACTTCGTAAGATCAACTCCAATCCAGAAAGAATTCTTGACGCACCTGGTTTTCAAGATGATTTCTACTTAAATTTGGTGAGCTGGTCAAAAAAAAATATTCTCGCAATTGCACTAGACTCGGCCCTATATTTATGGAATGGAGAAATAGGTGATGTTTCACTTTTAGTTGAATTCGACCGCCCTGGTGCAATAGCAAGCGTTACCTGGTCTGATGACGACTGTCATATCTCAATAGGGAAAAATGACGGAAACACGGAAATATGGGATGTCGAAACTATGTCTCACGTCCGGACGATGCGGTCGGGATTGGGCGTTCGTGTAGGTTCGCAGTCATGGCTAGACACTCTTATCGCAAGCGGTGCTAAAAGCGGCGAGATACATATTAACGATGTGCGTATTAAAAACCACATAGTGTCTACCTGGGATGAGCACAGAGGAGAAGTTTGTGGTTTGAGCTATCGTCAGGACGGTCTTCAGCTTGCATCAGGAAGTAATGACAACACAGTAGTCATTTGGGACACCAGGACCTCTTTACCTCAGCATATAAAGAGACAACACACCGCCGCAGTAAAAGCCTTATCATGGAATCCCGACGTCAGCAATTTATTAGCTACCGGTGGCGGTCAAACGGACAAGCACATTAATTTTTGGAACACCACTACTGGGGCGAGAATCGGAAGCATAAATACAGGTTCTCAAGTTAGCTCGTTGCATTGGGGTCAAAGCTACAGTTCTAATTTGGAACAGCGAGAAATTGTCGCGACCGGGGGAAATCCAGAAAACGCAATCTCAGTGTATAACTACGAAACCAAATTCAAGGTGGCCGAGATTGTTCATGCTCACGAGGCTAGGATTTGCTCAAGCCAACTTTCACCAGATGGAACAACACTAGCAACCGTAGGCGGAGACGAGAATCTCAAGTTCTTCAAAGTATTTGAGCCTAGAAAGAAGCATCAATTTGGCGTTTGCGGTGACGAGGGCATTCTTGGACTACTTAGCGTCGGCAAAAATTGCGATGACAAGTCAAAAAGGTCACCAGCAAGAAGAAAGACATCAGACTATCTTATTAGATAAATCTAAAAGCATAAATAGGCGTTAAAAAATCGCATCTAACCTCATCACATTCCCTTGTGAGTAGAACAGCTTTTCTAAGTTTATCTGATGATCTCATCAAATGAGCTTAGAAAGATAAAAGGGCGGGAAGAGACAAACGAGGAACACACGAAACCTGAAGGTGCAATGGTCACAGCACTCCTAAGTCCGACGAACTCCCATCACCTTTAAAACGGAAAAAAAGTCGATGCTAGACAGAAGATCACGCGCCGTTACAAAGACGGAAGAATGAGCAAGCTCATCATATTACAGCGCCCGAGGGCACAACCTTCTCCATAACACCACATAACATCCACCAAGCGGACTAGTTCTCCCTGGATGACGGGATTCCGACGATCCCTCTCCTCCCATTTAATTTCCAAAAATATAATTGTAACGTAATAAATATCCTCATTGAGGACATTTCAGTTGTTACACTGAAAAGAACAGATACTACACTTGATCTAAGCCAAAAGGCAAAGAGATTTGGTTTTTTAAAAAATTTGATGGGAGAGTTTTTCGTCTGCATGCCCACTTTTATACTTTTTTGATATTAGAAAAAAGAAATTATCTGAGAGGGTAATTCAACGTTACCCGTACTAATAATCACTTCAACGTCATATGATCACAAGATAGCCTTTCTGCTGCATCGCGGGTTGTTGTCTTTTCAAGAAAAGTGCTAGTGTAAATAACTACCGATGAAGAAGAATGGTAAAGCCGCCGATTTTTAGCTTTCACCCATCCAACTTCATGTTATATGTCGATCTGTGATCTTGTGTAGCCATCCGAAGATCAGTATGTCATCACTCACGAATTTTTGTGGTCCCCTTTTTCAGGCTTCCTAAAGTGATGGACCTCAATGTGTACCAAAGATAAAACAGAAGATAAGAGTATTACTGGAGGTGAAGAGTTCAAGCATGTCAACTGCGAATTCAGAAACAATATCAATCGAGCAAAAATTGGCTGTTCAGTCTATAAGACGTTTCCTAGAGTCCAAGACATCGTATGATGTACTTCCAGTGTCATACCGACTTATTGTCATGGATACGTCACTACTGGTGAAGAAGTCTCTTAACATCTTATTACAGAATAACATCGTTTCTGCGCCATTGTGGGACTCCCATACATCACGATTCGCTGGGCTACTGACCTCCTCTGATTTCATAAATGTCATTCAGTATTACTTTTCGAACCCCGATAAGTTTGAATTGGTCGACAAATTACAATTGGATGGTTTAAAAGATATCGAACGTGCTATAGGTGTGAGGCCACTCGACCAGGGATCCATTCACCCCTTCAAGCCATTATATGAGGCTTGCTGTAAGATGATAGAGTCCAGAAGTAGGAGGATTCCTCTGATCGATCAGGATGAGGAAACGCACAGAGAAATTGTTGTGAGTGTTTTGACTCAGTACAGAATTCTCAAATTCGTCGCACTAAATTGCAGAGAAACCAGATATTTAAAACGCCCTATCGGAGAACTTAATATAATCACTCAGGGAAATTTGTTGAGTTGTCGGATGCATACACCAGTCATTGATGTTATCCAACTTTTAACGCAAGGAGGAGTATCCAGTGTGCCTATCATTGATGAGCATGGAAGACTTGTCAACGTTTATGAAGCTGTTGATGTCCTCGGTCTAATTAAGGGAGGAATATATAACGACTTGTCACTTAGCGTGGGCGAGGCTTTGATGAGAAGATCGGACGATTTTGAAGGCGTTTATACCTGCACTAAGAACGATAAGCTCGTTACAATTATGGATACTATAAGAAAATCCAGGGTTCACCGATTTTTTGTTGTCGATGAAGAAGGGTTACTCATAGGTGTTTTGACTCTAAGTGATATTCTCAAGTACATCTTGTTTGAAGAAAACTGAGCACAAAATAATACAAAGCTAATGAATGATTTAAGCGCACTACAGTCTCTGTGGTGAGCAACGGTAAGAAATAACGTTCTGATCAATGAACTACTTATAATGAATAGTAAAATAGCACTCAAGGCCACTTCGACAAGTAAAGTTCACGCTCTTTGAATTTTCTTTGCGATGTAAGATGATCCGAGAGGCCACTGGGACGAGATTTACGTAAAATTTTAATTCAACTATCTGACACTTTTTTATAAGCATATTATGATCACATATCTGGGCCCCGTTTTTTCCCTAAACTGATCAGATACTCTCGAACATGAATCGTTGTCATCACGTCGAACAATCGGCCCCAGAAATCTTAAAATGCCATTCCTTTCATCTCATACTTGATTTGACTGTTTTTAAAAACAAACAACGAGATGTATATATGTTACCTTTATCAAGAAGATTAATACTGATAAGAATTGTCATGACTTCAAAAAGCATGAACCAAAATGCATCAACGGAATTTCCCGTCAGCTGGTCATTGTTGATTAGTTTTTCCAAGCACTGATATTTAAATTACAAGCCACGGACATTCTTGATCTTGACTGCAAGATTAGTGTTTTGATCCCATCTTCATTGTGGGCAAAAATCGATCCTTTCCTTTATCCCGTTTTTTTTTTATTTTTTCTTGCAACCCGAAGATGAGCATTAATAATACAATAAGCAACATAATTTCAACATTAATTTGCTTTTGAGAGAGCTCATATCTTTGTAAACCTCAGGATCGAGGTATTAAGCACCACCACTTGGGGTCCTATTTTGTGTTGCTGATTAAAATCGAGCAAGGCATTGAATTCTGTTAGACGCCATTTTCAAGATTTATATATTCTAGCCCAGTGTCGAATACATACCCAAGATGCCCTCCTCTCATGTCCGTTTCCAGGACAAAGCTTTAATTCCTCAAATTTCACTTCGAGCCACCATCGCAGGACTGATAATTGGCTCATTGGTTCTGATATCAAACTTTCAATTTGGTTTGCAAACTGGATGGGTTTCTATGATGTCCCTACCCTCCGCGCTCTTAGCTTGTGCAATATTCAAACAAGTTTGGCCATTAATATTCCCAAATACAGCAGTTTTTACCGACGTTGAAAACGTATACGTGCAATCGGTTGCTGTAGCCGTAGGGACTGGTCCACTCGCCTACGGTTTTGTAGGCGTGATTCCTGCTATCGAGAATTTTCTAACAGCAGAGGAATCAGGAAATACAAGGACTCAAGGTGAAGAATTCTCCTTAACTCAGCTTTTGCTGTGGTCCTTAGCGTTAGCATTTTTTGGGATATTTTTTGCCGTTCCGATAAGGAAGCAAGTTATCGTCAGAGAGAAACTACCTTTTCCAAGCGGAAGTGCCACTGCAACTTTGATTGCTATTTTAAATGGTTCCGAAATTCTTCAGGAAGTTTCTCCTAAGGAACTTGAAGAAATGAGGGCGAGGCGGCTGAGAGAGTACAGTGAGGTACTGTCAAGTGACAATAACGCTTTAGCAAGGACAGCAGAGTACAATAGTACGGTTGAAAGTGAAGGCTCTCCACACAGTTCTTCTCCAGACAATACTAGAGAGTCGGATCGAGCCAAATCATCCGCTTCTCGGGAAAACTCTTCACCAATATACCTTCCTCCAGAGAATGCTCCTACGTACGAGAAGAATATCAAGTTTTTGACCCGCACATTCCTCGTTTCTTCTTTCTATACTCTCTTTTCCTACTTTGTTCCTGCTCTCAAGGCGATTCCTGTTTTTGGATCATACCTTTCTGAGACATACTTATGGAATTTTCAGCCATCTCCTGCATACATTGGACAAGGAATCATTATGGGGCTATCAACTGTTTCATACATGCTGTTTGGTTGTATTTTAGGCTGGGGAATTCTCGCCCCAATGGCACGGAGATTTAGGTGGGTTGATCCTGATGCAGATGTCAATGACTGGGAGCGTGGTGTCCAGGGCTGGATTCTTTGGACATCTTTAGCCGTGATGGTAGTTGATTCTGTTGTTGGTTTTGTCGTTTTCACTACAAAATCCATTGTCGGGTTTTGCCTGCGGGATGACAAAAGAGATCTTCTTGAATCATTACTAGATGACTCTATGGAATCAATGTTATTAGAAGAGGAGAGAGTCTTGAATGGTAGCACTTCTATGGAAAGGCGAGGCAGCACCGTGAAATTGGTAAGTACGGAGCAAGATCACGAGGTAGACTCTCGTCACTTGGTGAAGTACACAACTGTAATCAGTGGTTTGATAGTCTCATCACTTATCTGTGTTGTGTGCATGATATATTTGTTCGGGATTCATGTTATACCTCTATATTCGATGATTATCGCCTTAATACTCGCATTATTCCTTTCTGTACTAGCGGTAAGAGCACTTGGCGAAACGGATCTTAATCCCGTCAGTGGAATTGGGAAACTTTCTCAATTAATATTCGCTTTGCTTATCCCTAACGACGCGAAGGGAGGTGTGCTTCTGAACTTAGTAGCAGGAGGGATTGCGGAAGCAGGTGCCCAACAGGCAGGTGATTTGATGCAAGATCTGAAAACTGGTCATCTTTTAGGTGCATCACCCAAAGCACAATTCGTTGCACAATTGATCGGAGCTTCCTGGTCCGTGGTGTTTTCGAGCGTGATGTATATTTTTTACAACAAGATCTATGACATTCCTAGCAGTCAGTTTCGCATACCAACAGCAGTTATTTGGATTGACTGTGCGCGTTTAGTGACTGGCAGAGGACTACCGGACATGGCCATGGAGTGTTCGATTATATTGGGAAGTGTATTTGCCATCTTATCGCTTGTAAAGAATCTTTACCGCGACCGTGGTTACAAGTGGTTACTCTGGATTCCTTCAGGTGTTGCTGTTGGAGTCGGAATTTACAACTCTCCTAGCTTTACGATAGCTAGGTTTATTGGAGGTTGCATTGCATACATTTGGTTACGTACCCATCACGGCGACGGGTCTGCAAAAACAAATATGATTGTTTTCAGTTCCGGCCTTGTTCTGGGAGAAGGGATCTGTAGTATCTTCAACATGATATTTACTAGTGTAGGCGTACCTCATCTATAGAAAACCTATGGACTGGATTTTTGATTCAGCTGCTGTTTCCTCATGTTCCGGTATTGCTGATCTTTGTGAAATTCAACTCTGCTCAAGAAATCTTGTTTCGCTAAGTATCCATCCTTGTTGTGTAGTGTTAGCTCATCCGTGATCCCCTCTTTATCAACGTACCTAGCCCAATCCATTTTTGATTTCTCTAATGTCGTCAGTTTTGGTTTTATCGCCCCTGCGATTATTTGTTCTAGTAGCGGTTGCCTTTTAAGCGGGCGTCTTAACTTTATTCCATTTTCATTAGTCGGCACTTTAGTCACCTTTGCAGAGCTTTCTGAGTTCTTGAATTTGAGGCTCTTCAGATATTCCTGCGCTTCTGCACTGGATTTCGAAACCCATTTCTTTTCGTGTATTATTTCTCCTGCAAATTTATAAGTCCTATCAATGAGAACGAGCTCTTCCTTGAGAGTTTCTTGTTTAGTTTCTTTAATGTCACTCATGACAGAGCTTCCCTTCTGTAATCTCTTTGATGATTCATCCTGTAGTTCCTGCCACAGGTTTTGTGTAGATTGAGATATACCTTCATTTTCTAGAGATTCATACATTTGGTTTCGAGCCATCTCTTCTTCCACTTTTCTCGCATGTCTTGTTCTTATTAGTCCACCTTGCTCACTTTCTATCTTTGAATAGTCAACGTTATGATTTACAGATTCCTGACCCTCCAAGTCTCCATCATCCGAATCATCAATACGACTTTCTAAGCGTTCCTTTGTTGGATCAAAATCTTCATCCTCCTCTTCATTGTAACCCTCACCTTCAAAAGTCTCTAATTCCTCATGTTCTCTTAACTCGCTAGCATCATTCATCTCTGCTTCAACCGACATTACAAATTGTGAACTTAGTCGCTGGAAAAACGAACAAAAATACTGCTATTTCAAAACAGTAAGTAACGGGGCTACAAGCCTATTTAAAAAATGAAAAGGAAAGCCGGCGTTTTTAGCTGATGGCCGGTACCGCAAATGATGGTAACCACGGATGAGCAATCTCGTGAGTGGGAATTTTCTCATTGCACGCTACAAGAGAAAACTAGCATCATCAAGATTTATATTGTTTGAGATTAACAAAAAATCTCTGCAATTAAACCACCCATTACATGATGTTAATTCTAAGCGCCATGTATTCAAAAGTGACATGATGGTTAACGGGAAAGAGGGAACTTCATGAAAGAGCACTTTCTTATACAAAATAAAGCTGAACTTCCATACATGCTAATTATTAGTCTTACTCCTAAGCAACAATTCATCTTAGTTTGGATAAGAAATTTATCAAGTAGATACTAGAAATACATTAGAACTCTTTTTATTGTATCATGGGAGTTTTCTTATGACTTCGGAGGTGTAATTTCGCAACTGTATTTTTCAGGCAAAAAGATTATGATTATCGTTGTCAGGGAACAATACTGTTGAAGGATAAAACAGAAGGATGAGTGTCCCAGAAAATGCTTTAGACTCACCAAACTTACTAAAGCGAAAGAAAGAGGACTGCCAGGAGGAATTTCTAGAGGCTGAAATCAAGAGAGTTGCCTTAGATGACACCGAAGAAGCAGCCAACTCAAACGAGGAAACTAAGGACTATATTCATTTACGAATGCTTTGCTTGGTGAAGCAAGCATCAATGGTAGTGGGACCTGGAGGTGAAAAGATATCGAAGATGAAAAGCGAGACGAATACTAGAATAAACGTTTCCGACAACATTAGAGGAGTACCCGAAAGGGTGATATTTATCAGAGGCCGCTGTGAAGATGTCGCGAAAGTATTTGGAATGGTTGTGAGGGCCATCAATGACGAAAAGGATGAAAAGTCTAATGAGAACTCAGCATCTATAGCAATCAATTTACTAATTCCTCATCATATGATGGGTTGCGTTATCGGAAGACAAGGTTCAAGATTGAGGGAGATCGAAGAATTGAGTGCGGCTAAATTGATAGCAGGCCCACAAACTCTACCGATGTCAAATGATCGCATCCTATGCATTACCGGAGTTGCAGATGCCATACATATTGCAACCTATTACGTTGGACAAACAATACTTAACCACAAAAGCACTTTTGCTTCTAAAAAGTGCATATTTTATCAACCTAATCTCCTTCACTCTGTTTTAGTGAATAGCTATGGTGTGAGCTTCCAACATCAGCAACAACACCAATACCATCCGGGTGAAAAAAACAAGAAGAGACTACAGCGAGTTGCACCCCCGTCTGACTTTGGTTACGGGTTTACCTCAGTATCCCCACATGCTGCTTTCACGTCGCCCCTACCCGTCAACAATGTTAGAATAGCAGATGGTATAGCAACTGCGACTATGCCCGCTACCATAACTTCGCAGTTGAGTTTAATTCAGCAGGAGATATATATCGACGATAACTTTGTCGGTAACGTCATAGGAAAGGGCGGAAGGCATATAAATTCGATAAAAGAAACTACCGGCTGCTCTATTCAAATCGACGACCCTATTGAGGGACGTACAGAAAGAAAGATCGTCATAAGAGGTACACCAATAGGAAGCCAAACCGCTATTTTACTTATCAATAATAAGATTGAGATAGATAGGCGTAACAAGGAAGTTAGCGGAAAAAGGGTTTAGCATCAAGAGAACACAAGCTGAATATCTGTTACGTACGTACGTAATTGTAACTTTATAGGACTAAAGTGGTTCAAATTCCAACAACAATAAGCTTCTTCTATTTCGTATAGTGTCACATGCAACGTATGCGGAGTATCTTGGTACGACACCAATGCCGATATTGAAAGCATCGCTGTGCTGATTCAGTGGGAAGAAAAGCTTGAGCGGAACAAGCAGATGTCCAATGAGAGTGAATGTGCCAAATACATTGGAGCAGTTCAACATGTGCCAGTCTCGGCTTTAGCCAAAGATCGAGATCCGCAAGTGGTACAAGCGAATGAAATACCCGACCAGATTTTATCGAAGGTGAACAAATATCGCGATATGACTGTCAAGCATATAATTGCTTGGAAAGTTGATGACGCTTATTCTAATTTTATTTTGGAGAGGTATTTAAATGGATTTTGGATCCGATGGAGACTTCGAGAGAATGCTGAATTAACAGCCTTTGAATTTCTTGAGTCAATCCCAGATCGGAATTCGAATGTTAGAGAGAGTAAGCTACGCGATTGGGTCAAACTAGATATCCCTGACTTCCTTAACATATGGCGTCGAGATAAGGAGCTTTTACCCAGCTCAGCTACAGAGCTGTGGGCTTTAGATATGACCCCGCCCGGTTATATACCAGTCAAGGAAGAGAGGTCGACAACAACTTCTAAGCTGCACTACAATCCTAAAACTTACTTCCAAAGAAAATATTTCGAGGCATTGTTCTCAATGCGTATTCCTTTAGCTTACTTTGTGAAATCAAATTTGTCAAGATTGAGGAATCTCTGTAAGAACTCTCCAACGGATGGCACAGTTACTTACCAAATGGTAGTGTCTGAGATGCTCTTAAGCTTCGAAGATTTTGATAAACGACATGGTACATCAGCGGGAGGACTTGTTCAATTTGAGTTTGAATCAAGAGCTACCTCCGAACTTCGCCGACACATTTTGACTCAATCGTTTCATCTCTCTTCACTTGAAAATGAAACATTTAAAAAGGTTCTAGCATTAATTTTGAAGTCCAGAGAAATTAAGCTTCAAGTTTTAATTCTACTTGAGCTCATATCTATGAACAAAATGGACGGGAAACTCAGGAATTTTGAAGATAAGTACAAAAGTAAGCTGAAAAAACGTGCAAGAAATGTTGCTAAGATTGGGGTCATATCTAGACGACGAAAAGCTAAAGGTAAAAATGAAGGCTCACAGCATCTCGACTTTTGCGAGCGACTTGATATTTACGTCGATAAACTATGTATTATCGATGTTATCCTACGAATGGAAACATCTGATATGAACATGGGAAAGGAAGAAGACTCTCTTACACGGACCGCCATTGAAAAACTGATGGAGTACAAGAAAAATATGCTCAACAATGGGAAAGAACCATCTTCCTTTGGGTTTGTTAGTTATGTGTTGATTCCTTATTACACAAGAAGAGTACCAAACGCAGTAGAATTCATTAGCCGCAAAATCAAAGGTCCAAAACTTGAAAGCTCTCTTCCAGTGTTTAAACGGGCAGCTTCCTCGGCATCAATGGTCATCAACGATGCAGTATTAAATCAAGGTAACATTGAGTGCGACATCTCTCAAACACGCAAAAATTCAATAGTTTCAACGGAAAGCCCGATAAACTCTCCTTCCCCATCAACCTCACTCCCCAAACTTCAAAGAGTCACTTCAAATATCATACAACCGCCATTGATTAAGACTAGAACAGACTCTCATCTGAGTGAGTTCCTGGAATTAGAGTCGAATTCTTTAAGAAAGCCTGCTGTGGCATCTCGTGCTAACTCAGAAATACCTCTTACTAAACTTCAAAAGCGTCAACTATCGGTATCCGACTTGATCTCCGAGGAAGCCAAGAAGTATGATATTCCAAAGGACCACACGTTTAACATTGCAGGCAAAAGTTTGAATGTAAATCGTTCATTAGTGTCTGCATCATTCCAACGAATAGGTAAGAGGAAGTTAAGTCACGCAGGCGCGTCAAGTAAGCTGTTAATAGAAAGGACCGAAGCAAGTGTCCAGGTTGAAGCAACTCCTCATGGTAAGCAAGGAGAGAAAACACGCCTGCAGTTAATACGAGAACCTGCAATCATAGAATCTCCTTTAAAAATCACTGAGGTTGCTGCTTCTCCTTGCAGAAATCCGAAACAACTCCCTGATGCCGAGCTTACCTACGAAACGCCAATTAAAGACGGGGTAATATCAAGCACTATCAAAGATCTCCAAATCCCGGCTAGCGATCAAAAAAATGCACACACTGATACAGGTATCATATATTCTCCACAGCATATGCCGCCGAAAAAAGTTCGGAGAAGATTATTTGGCCCTCAAGGGTGATGTAACCGATTCGATATTGGTATATTTTACAGACAAAACTAGAAACTATTCACCAAAAAAGATAGCCGCAATCAATTCTTTAGCATCATCTCTTTGTAATATATAGTTGGCAATGGTATGCCCACATCTTTTGACCAGTCTATCTTTCTCTTCGTCTGACACATCATCTTCATACTTTTGGCCCGATGGTAAATCCTTTTTCAAGACACATAATGCATCAACTATAACCTTGCACAGAAGTTCATTCTCGGCTTTTGAAAATCGTCCACTGCTGGTGCTTGAATCTTCCGCTGATGAGTTGTGACCAAATATTAAATTAGACCAGCTTGCTAGATTTCCAAGGAAGAACCTGACAGATTCAGGACCCAATACAGATACACCACGCATACAGCCATAATAAGTACCAAATGAGCGATTTGTGTCAAGGAATGTCTTCAATAGTGTTCTCATTACACGGGGCTTCAAAGATTTATACACTTGAGGAAATTTTTGTAGGACATGGTCAAGCAAGGACGCAGCAAAGTCTCGTAATGCATTCGTCTTGTCTAAAAATTCAATGTCTGGAAGCGAAACCGAAGGAACTGGGGGAGAACCTTGCTGTTCTTTGGCTTGATTTGCTGGCGGATTACCCCCGAGTTTTTTAGCTAGCAGCAACGTCAGTATGGAAGGCATCAAAGAGTGAATGTAAGGATCTAGAAAAACAGACTCGTTACTGAGTAAACTGTAAATCATTTCAAGCATTGTAGTCAGGAGTTCGAGGTCTGCTAAGTTGTGAGTAATTTGCTCAGCTATGAACTGAATGAAGTAAGGAACTAATTGATGCAAACCGGTGTCCGAGCTCAGAGACGTCAAGGCAGCAGTACGTAAGTGCTGGCTTTTTTCGTTTTGATCTCTTGAGGTTAGAGCACTCACTACTTTGTCGAAATAGATCTGTAATTCTTTCGATAAGACGTGCTTTACAAGCGGCTTGACTTCATTTGCTTGCCCCGGCTTCACAGTCGATACATGATGTGTCTCTTTTTCTTCCGATACCGTAGTTTGTAGGCTTGTATCGTTTACTGTTGTCACAATGGCACCCCTAACTATTGGAGGCTGGGACATTCTAACATCATTCAAGCTTGGATTCTGGGGAATAGTTGGTTGCACACCCTCAACTGCCAGCCAATGCGTTGTAAAAGTGGGTATTCTGGGTACCTGTGGTAAGGGTTCATTTATGAGTTTATCGAAATCAACCTCTTCGTCATCTAAGTAATACACTGTCTGACCGCCTTGTGTTGTCACTTTAGAGAAGCTCGCATCCTTAGAACGTGATGATCCATCCTGATACCCATAGAGAGGTTCAACGTTCAGGACTCTGAGTGCCCTTGATATATCTTCCGTGGTCAAGACATCTCTTTTGGCATGCCTTTTGAATTTGACGGCCTGTTCGACAATTTCCAAGATACGGTATTCAACATCCATTGCCAAGGACCTCAATACATCCTCGCTGATGTTTGAAATACCCAGAGAGTCTGCAACATCCCTGACAGTATCTTGAGGAGACCAGATGGTGTATGATTGTTGCTGATTTGCCATAAAATACTGCTCCCTAGTTCTATTCTACCGACAACGACATTTTTTTTTTCTTCATGACTTCAAAATTTACACTTCATAAACAAATAACCAATGGATGACCTTTCACATTTGCAAAAGAGTGTCCTTGAGAAGTATACACATCTAGCTAAGTCTCTACACTCGTTGGATAACACAATAAAGCAACTGAACGCAAATAAGCATGAGGAGTCACCAGAACAAGTTTTGCAGCAGCTACGCGAAATTGAAGTTAAAATCGCGCTAGCGGGCACCTTATTCAAAGGTAGTGTATATTCTTTGGTGTTACAAAAAAATGGGTTACAAAAATAGGAAGTTCGTGTATAGTAGCTAGGATTTATGGATTCTATTAATGAATGAGAAATCATCAAATTCTGTAGATGACTACCTTACCGTCAAGACCACAAGACGAAACTTGGGAGACATTGCCATTGGACACTGCAAATGGAGCTAGCTCTACAATGGCATTTTCGTGAGTACTTTTCTGAACGTCTGTTGTTACCTTACCCTTCAGGTCAAGCTCTTTAAACTTTTTCAATGCTGAAATACCAAACGAGGAATTCTCACCATCCTCTTCGTCGCCAGTCTCAGAAGTAACTGAGGGATGACTTGCGCCCACCTTATCAAGATTCTTGGAGAATTTCCAGCCATCGGCACCCTCAGTAAATAGAACGGGATGACACGAATAACCACCACATAGTATCTCGTTGTCATTAATCCACACCAGAGACAAGAAGGGCAGACCTTCTGGCGACTCAACGCTAGAGAAATATTGCGCCGAATCAACAACATTTAAGGTTCCATCGTGAGCCACATATGCCAGTCTTTCGTTGTTGTTGCGCCATTCAAGCCCATGGATCCATGCTCCATGATACCACTCGCGAACTAGAGTTCCGAAGGGGAACTTTTCACCCCAAGGTGATCCTGAAACTTGAGACTTTGAATCAAGGCCCTTCACAAAACCCGAAAACACACGGACATATCCATCTGTTCCACCACATGCCAACAAGACACCATTATCGTGCCAAGATATGCAGTTGATAGTGGACTTAATTGGCTTTTTGATGTGTTTTGAAACCCACCAGTCATTCTCCTGCTCATAATAGCACACTGCAATTATTCTCGCCGAAGAGCCAACAGCAAACTTGAATCCATTGGCGGCCCACTTAACGCAGGTCGCCGCCCTGTTGATACGAAGCAAAACTAATGTTGGCTTATAAGAACCATCACTCAAAGGCTCCCACACAATAGCATTCCGATCTTGAGAACAAGTCACAATACGACCATGAACAGAGATGTCAACAGCTGTAACAGTTTTGTCGTGATCAGCTAATGTGGCCACGAGCTGAGGTTTGCCTCCAGCAACAATTCTGTATATCAAACAATCAGAATTATAGGTAATCGCCAAAAGCGACCGATCCTGAGAAAAGCAATGGGAGTAAATTGGTGCCTTGACCAGTTTATAGTTAGCAATGACCGAATCTGACATCAGGAGACTCTCAACTAATGTATCAATTTGATTTCAAGTTCATTGAAATATGAATATCGGAAAGAGGCCCCTATTAATCAACTTACGATCATTTTATACGTACAGGGCTGGTTATAGTTTTGACAACGAATTAATTTGACGTAATGTAGTTCTTCGACCCCGCTGTCAAGTTCAGTCAGTTCATTTTATCCATACAATCCATAGGATGCATTCAATTCAACGTGTCTTCACTTTTTAATGAGAATTCTAGTGAATGTGTTTCCTTCGGCGTATAAACACAATGAATTTGGTGGAACGCGGACACGTCAATGTGCTGTCACTACATCTTCACAGATTTCTTGAAATGAATAAGATTTAATTACTTCATGAGTAATGATAAACTCTTCATTTTTATTTGTTAGTTTATGAAAGGTGGCCAAGGTCTACTCTACAAACAAACGTTCTCAGCGGTTAAAATGAATAAAAGAAAGGTAAATAAAGCGAGTACGGATTTTACACATAACGCTTGTCGATTCATGTTGAAGACCTGTTAGGTTTTATATGAAGGATTTCACAGCAGGAGTGATGAGGATCTTTTGCACGAATGTGCTATTTCGTTAAAGAAGACATTGAAAATTTTCTATCACAGACGATTTGAAATGTAGCTCATCGCATCGCTTCCTCGAGACAATTAACTCACAAAAGGCGTTAGTATGAGACTTCTTATAGCTTGTGATGAAAGTGGGGGACTTAAAGAGATTATATGCAATAAGGGAACAGATACATCAGATCAGCGGGCTTTGCAGCCCTTCCACAATGAACTGCATCTGGCAGAAGGTTTCAACAACAGAATACAGAAGATGCTGCTAATAGGTTCATCACATTCATTGCTTGCGAGAGCCAATGGCTCATTGCAACTAGTACGCTTCGATCAGGAGAGAAGAAACGTGGATGAAGATGACGTGACAAAACAGCCTCAATTTGATGTTACTAATTTCAAGATCGTTTCCAGTGTCGAGGGACTTTTTGACGAACAGCAGATCATTGACTTGCATAAAAGGTCTCAAAAGAGATCAAAACCTAGGGATGGTTTCGTTTCATTATGTACAATTCCGACAAAGGCCACGCATGTTTTCAGCGCTACCAAATCAGGATGTATCCACATCATTGAAGTGAACGTAGAGGAAGATTCGCTAAAAACGGTTCAATCGCATAAGGTAAAGGCTCCATTAGAATTTACTCAAATCTACGACTTAGATGAGCAGATGAAAAATCTCGTTTTTGCTTATGGTGGTGAGGAAAACCTTGTCAAGCTTGCAGATTTATCTGCCGATTTTTCTACTTTGAAGCAACTATGGGAAGCCAAAAATGTTAAGAATGATCGACTAGACCTCAAGGTACCAATTTGGCCCATGGAACTGAAATTCTTGAAACCTGCTGATGGTTCCTTTGAAAACAAAATCAATTATCAGTTCATCACAATTTCACGCTTTTCACACTATAGAAAATACCAAACAATTCATGGCCGGAAGCCCATTTCCTCAAAAGCTTTGCTCAAAAAAGGTGAATCACTTGCCTTGCTAAAATTTACTAACGCAGAATTGACCCCGCTAGGCAATCTCGAGAAAAATGAATTTGAGCCGTTGAACTTCGTAACCACAGATTTAAGAAAAAACGTCATGGTCTTTGACTCCGAAGGTAATCTTCAAGGTAAGATTGGAAACGGTGACATAACTGGCTGCGTGACTTTTCTTGATACTTACAAACATCGCTACCTGCTTACCGGTGGTCTTGACAGATATGCGAGAGTGTACCAGCTCGAGAATAAAAAACTATTGTGCAAGTGTTTCACTGGTGGGAAAATTAGTTGCCTATTAATACTAGATGATAAAGAAGTTGAGATTCCTCAAACTGAAGAAATCAGCAAGAAGAAGAAAGCTAGGAAGTTGACACAAGAGGAACATCTAGCAGACGACGAAGAACTTTGGAGTAAGTTAGATAGAAAAGTCAAAAGGTCGAAGAAAGAATAGAAAATGTGATATATAAACAAGTTAATTTTATCAAATCTCAATAGCCGCCCATTTAGTGTCACCTCATAACGTAGCTTTAGCCAACTTCCTATCGTGTCCGGATTTTCTGTTATGATTAGCTTTTGAGCTTTTATTTCTTTCATTTCTCGCATTTTGCCTCTTTTTTTGATTGGAATTTTTAGAAGAAGAAACTTTTGAATCAACTTTATCTTTTTGATCACCCTTCCGTTCTTTGGCTTCGTTGCTGTCATGGATGTTTTGGACGAAAGATCTTTTACCTGTGCGTATGTTTCCTTTGAAAAGATATTTCTCTTCCAAAAATTGAGCACGTCGAGGACTACGTTCTATCATTCTGGCCCATCCCTCGATTTGCTCATCTGACCATGAATACGCAGCCTTCATTTTCTTTCTTATTGCTGTTCCTCTACTTGATTGTTCGAAGAGTTTCTTGTCGGTCTTAAACAGCTCCCAGAATTCACTTTCCAACCTGTCGTAAAGCGCCACTTCTCGATTATACTCTTCATTATCATTACCGTCCAATGATGATGAAGCCGCACGGAAAACTTCGGGATTATCATAAGTATCATCCCTCTCATCTTCGTTCTTTACATACAGTAATTCTAGCGCCCTTGTTAATGTTTTGTTCCTCAATTCATCAGGAACGTGGTGTGGCTCACTCAAATCTTCCTTTGTAATGATATCACTTTCAGTCAACTCATGCTTGAACGCATTTCCCAGATGCGAGACGCCAGATATTGATTTAGGTTTCTGACTCGGCTGAACATGATCGACAACTTCGGAGTTTTCGAAAACCACGTTGATTGTTCGCTCAACATCACCGTTATGTTTCTCTAGTAAACCTCTGATCTCAGCAATTGATAAATTAGGGAAGACTTCTCGTACCATCTCTATATCTGAGGTACTCGATATGTAATCGACATTGGTATTCAGAGTAGGGTAGAAAATATCGAGTCCCATACTGCACAAGGTTCTTTTTAGACTTGGCTTATATTTGTTGAATGCAGCATTTGTAATTAGTGAGCCAAAAAGCGGATACAATTGAATGGTGCTTAAATTCGATAAGTTCAGTTCCGTTACTATTTGAACAATTCTACTGTCAGACGTGGACAAATACGATAATATTGCCAGTTTCTTAGACCACTCATACAAGAATCCAGATTGGGTCTTAAACCATATCTCCAATGTTTCTACCCAAGTGGTACTTAAGAACTGATCGGTAAACTTGTTTGAACGTTTGGATTTTTTGGCGAGCAACGCCTCCAAGGATTTCAAATCCACTCTTGAAAATTTTGATGATTCAACTAACGTTTTTATATGCTGGTGCACTTGATATATTCTGTTAATTTGAGCCTTCTGTGTATTTACCGTGGGCCCTAACGAGCCATCGATCAGCGATCGCACAGAATCAGGGTATTCTTCAACATATATTCTTACCAGGTCCCACAGAATATTATTAGATATTTGAAAGTACATCAGACCGCATTTTTTTATAGTAATGAAGACCCAACGCCTCAGTAATTTCAACTTAGAAAGTACATCTTGATTCATCCCCAAACTGAGCAGCTTTCCTTCTTCATCGGAAAGCTCACGAAGATAGCTTCGAATGAACAGACAAAAATGCTCGTGAGTCTGGTCGTCTATTTGCTCCACTCGTCCTTGGGACATTAAGTACTCAAAGTAAGCGATGTAAGTTTCAAGTAAATGTAGCCAAATGACCGGGTCCTTTTCAACCATCGCAGCTCGCAATTTGAATGGCGGGAATTTTACTATCGGTAAAGAGAGCTGCTGTCCACCATTTACTTCAATTATCTTATGATATCGATTTGTGTTCATGTTGATTGAAATAGTTGCAATTCTAATTGAATGAATTTGGCGCACATAGAGTTTTTTGGATCATGAATTTTTGTGTGTTGAAAAAAACCATGATCTTCAAACTTCAGTTTGATAAAACCAACTGATGTTATCGAACGTTTTAAGTCAGTTGGCAGCATGCAATGAAGCTACGTACTAATTTATATCATGACGCTCACGACTAATGTATCATTTAACAGCGTAATTCGCAACACTTAATCACCATCACATGATTCTAGAGCTCGGAAATTGTCGGTCAAGTATTTTTTTGTCCGTATCTCAATTGCTTCCGCGTCAACATATTTCCTTGATAGCTAATTCAGAGGCGTGATGTCGAAGTTTTTCGACATACCTGGTTCTCATAAGCCGTCGATAGAATCTGCTAATGAATCAACCTCGTTGCATACACGTAAGCAGAGTCTCACATATTTTAACTATGGCTCCACAATTGAACAGCGCAAAGTTTCGTCAAAATTTGATCCAGAGAATCCGAACAAAGACAAGCTTGGTACCTTCGATGGAGTATTTGTACCAACGACACTGAATGTATTGTCTATCCTGATGTTTTTACGTTTTGGTTTCATTATAGGGCAAATGGGTGTACTGGGAACATTGTTGCTTTTACTATTGAGCTACACAATTGATCTTTTAACAACTCTCAGCATTTCAGCTATTTCAACGAATGGCACAGTAAGGGGTGGCGGCGCATACTACATGATCTCAAGAAGTTTGGGTCCTGAATTTGGTGGTTCAATAGGCTTAATCTTCTTCCTAGGTCAAATTTTGAATAGTGGTATGAATGTGGTCGGGATCATCGAGCCTTTACTGTATAACTTCGGCAACTCTGTCGACCTTGAAACGCCCGCTTTATTTCCATTATTGAGAAGGGGATACTGGTGGGAATTCCTTTATGCCTCTCTTATTTTACTTTTCTGTCTTACTGTTGCATTGGTAGGTTCCGCCACGGTTTCAAAAGCAGGAAAGATACTTTTTTGGTTGCTACTTTTTTCCACTCTATCAATTCCTTTGTCTACAGTCTTTGTTAAACCATTTAGCGATGGTGAGATACTGTATACCGGAGTTTCACTCACAACGTTGCGAGAAAATCTATTTCCCCATTTTACAAAAGGTGCTGCTGGATCGCTACTGAAGGGTAGGGAAACATTCAATGACATGTTTGGCATCTTTTTCCCAGCAACAGCAGGGATTTTTGCTGGTGCAGGCATGAGCAGTGAATTACGAAAGCCCTCAAAATCAATACCGAAGGGAACGTTATGGGGCCTGGTGTTAACGTTTGGTTGTTATTTGGTCGTAATTTTAGCTATAGGGAGCTCAGTACCTCGTAAATCACTTCACGCTGATGTTCAAATTATTCAGACCATTAACGCCTCTCAAGTAGTGATTCTGATCGGAGAGCTCTCTACGTCTCTGTTTTCTGTGATTGTCGGTATTGTGGGGGCAGCATACGTTCTAGAGGCTATTTCAAAAGACACCATATTACCAGGTCTTTCCATTTTCCAGAGAAGTCCTCTTTATTCGGTGCTTTTTTCATGGTTTTTAACTCAATTGTGTCTATTTTCCGATGTCAATCAAATTGCAACATTCATTACCATGACATTTCTAATGACATTTGTTGTGATGAATCTTGCATGTTTTTTACTCGAAGTTTCCTCTGCTCCAAATTTTCGACCTTCTTTCAGGTACTTCGATTGGTATACTGCTCTGGCTGGCGGAATTTTGTCAATCATAGCAATGTTTATTGTGGACGGAACATCTGCTTTTCTAGTGATACTTGCCATAGCGATGATATTTATGACCATTCATTTCTTTTGCCCACCCAAACCTTGGGGTGATGTCTCCCAGAGCTTGATTTACCACCAGGTGCGAAAGTATCTTTTGCGTTTACGTCAAGATAATGTTAAATACTGGAGGCCTCAGGTTCTGCTTCTTGTCGACAACCCTCGTACGAGTTGGAATCTAATAAAGTTCTGCAACCATCTGAAAAAAGGTGGGCTTTATGTACTTGGTCATGTCACAGTTAGCAAGAATTTCCAACGCGAATATCAAGAGTTGCGGAAGCAAACCAAGGCGTGGGTTAAGATCAGAGACATGGCCAGAATAAAAGCCTTCGTCCAAATAGGGACGGGGCCCACACTTGCTTGGGGTGTACGAAATGTCTTCCTGGGCTCGGGCCTGGGCGGTATGAAGCCCAATATTACAGTTATTGGTTTTTTCGATCTTGCTAACTACTATGATATGAAGAAAAAGAACTCCTTTCGATCTCTTAGAGGCGAACCGACGACGGACCCTCCATATCTCAATGCGCATCGTCAAAATGACGGAAGCATAGCAATTGATATGGCCCATGAAGCCAATTCTCTTCCTACTGACAATTGCAAATACGAGCAAAAGGTGAAAGTACAGCAGTGGGTTCAAATCATTGAGGACCTGTCTTTAATGCAAAGCAACATCGCAGTTGCTCGGGGTTTTCAGGACTTAAATCTACCGAATAGGCACAAGAAAGTGGATCAAACCAGATTTATAGATTTATACCCAATCCAAATGTCGGCAAAGCTTATTGTTGATGAATGTTCACCGGAGGGGGTACTCACAACTAATTTTGATACTTACACGCTAATTCTTCAATTAGGAGCAATTTTGGTAACTGTGCCGGACTGGAAATGCACTCACACCTTGAGAGTTGTCGTTTTCGTGGAAAATGAATCGCAGAAATTCGACGAACACAAACGTCTGATCAACTTACTTAATGTCTTAAGGATCGAGGCTCAAGTGATTGTCTTGACTTTAGATCAGTTCAGAGTTTACAACACAATTGTAAAAGGCGATAACATTAAGCTGGATTACGTGAAACGAGCTCTAGAGGGTAATTCGTGGTGGGAAGAGCTTGTGGAAGCAAGGGCTACTCATAAGTCTGGACGTCGTTTCACAACATCACAACCATTGAACGTGGACCCGCTGAAGCGTCATCGAGAAAACTTATCAAAATACAACGTCTCAAAGTTGCAACGATTGGGCGTTTCTCTTACGATGACATCTAGCGTACCAAACAGTGGTTACAATTTTGCCTATGAGTCCGAGGATTCTGATGATGAAGACGATACCGATTCGGTTTTGTTGGATTCATCAACCGTGGTGACAAATACTGAAAATAGTGAATTGATGAGCAAAGATCATCAATCAAAGACTGCTCACAAGGCTGGTCCTCGTGGAAGGGCCGCAAAACTCTCTGATGAACGTTCGGTGCGTTCCCTCATGCCAGTTTTCTCCAGTGATGCATTGCCCCGGACTAAAGTGATAGAAGAGGCAACGGGGGATGAGCCATCATTGGTTCCGGTTGCGGATCTTCGTACACCATCACGCATCCGCGGTGAATCTGAATTTCAAAGAAATGCAAAATTGCCGAACTTATCGCCTTGTCAATCTAGTGAGAGCTTAATGGCAGATTTACGCAATTTAACTTTCAATGATATACCCAGCAAAGCTCAACATTTGATTTTAAATGATGTTATGAGCCAAATGTCAAAAGATACTGACTTGATTTTTTCGACACTTCCCATTCCGCCACTCGACACCCATAGCAATGAGGAAGCTAGTTTGGAGTACGTTGAAAATCTAGAGGTATGGCTTGCAGGTCTCCCGCCAACGATGCTCATCAACTCAAAGTCCATGACGGTGACCACCGCTTTGTAATTTATGTCGGTCTCGAATAATGGAAACTCTTCGCTGATCATTAACTATCTAACTTTTCTAAATGCAAAAACTGTATAAAAGTAGGAAGCTGCTTCTTTCTCATCACCCTCTACCCCGTACTTACCATCTGATCTTTGTAGACCCTCTTTCATCCTGGGGGAAAATCTTTCAATCCATTTAGGTATTTCCTGTACGAAGAACTTGTTGAATGGCATTTGTAGTTCCAATTCAAGGCCATATTCGTCTGCTAAACTTCTTAATGTTTCAAATGGGATAACGTACTCTGGAACGTTATCTATTGCATCCTCAAGCCAATAGGTGTACATTTGACCATATGAATTTGGAAATTCGTAGTCATTTTGTTGGTAATCGTTATTTTCAAAAGTAACCTTATAGATAGAATTTCCCCAAGATGGTTTCTCTACATCCTTGGAAAACTTGTTGAGCTTATAGCGGATAAATTCTGAATCAGGAATTGTTCCAAAAAAGTAGCCACCCACTTTTAAAGATTTTGCTACATTGAGAATCGTCCTTCTTGCTTTCTCTTCGGATTCGAAAGCGTAGTGGAGGGAAAACTGTGCAGAGACAACGTCACATGGGAACCTACACTCAGGAAAAGGCTCTACCGCAACTCCGAGTGATTCACCAAAACAATCACCAGTAATGAGAATTACCTGAAAAGCGAGATTACCCATTGATGAGAATCGTTTTTGCGCTTCAACAATTGATGCATTGGATATATCAATTCCAATAAATTGTGATACCCCAGCTTGCCCGTACTTCCGCAAGTCACCACCTTTTCCACAGCCAAGCTCAAGTACAACATTTCCAGGATTTGTGTATTTATCAATCAGCATGTACTTGATGGCATTATTGAAATTTCGTAGCTTAATAATGGGAGACAAATGCCGCTTCCTCCTTTTTGCTATAAAGGTTCGCTCATTATAATGTTCCCTGACAATTTGATCGACGTTAACAACTTTGCTAGCGGTCATTTCAATCTCATGCCGCTTTATTTGTTCTTCACGTAATTTCTGTAGCTGATATTTCTTCCTTCTTTCATCAGCGTCATAGCGCTGGTGTCTTCGTTTAGCCAATTTGAATTGCGGCTTTTTTTGATCTTCTTCGTGAGCATCACCTTGAGCGTCTTCAGGTGTAGCTTCATTTTCCGCATTGGCAGGTAAAGAAACAGTCTCCTCCTCAACTATCTTCGAGGTTGTTTTCTTGACTTCTGGCTCAGGCCCAACACCATATTGCCGGTCATACTGTTCTTGAGACATCCAAACGGGCTTCTCAGGTCTCAAGCTCATGGTTTCTCTTTTGTTCAAACAGGAGTTAAGATTAAAGGTCGGTTGAGATGAAATTTTTTATCAAGTCCCATTTCAGTCAACGATTAAAAAACTAAGTGTCAAGATCATAAGTGAGATATGAGTTCTGTAAGTGCTGAAGAAAGAAACAAGAATCTGCTACTGGAAAGGAAGAATAGGTGGAAGCAGAAGAAGGCAGAACTTGATGCTAAGAAAAAGCAGCATGTTACTAACAACAATTCTAGTCCATCTTCGGAAGAAACATTAAAGGCCAGACAAGCCAAACTAGCAAAATGGAAGAAATTGAAGAACTCGAAGGTTAAGGACAAACACTTGACTTTACAAGAATCAACTAAATATTCCGCGGACAAGAGGAGGCGTGTCTTTGAAGAGAGTGATGAGGAAGACGCCATTCCTCCGCCAAAATTATACAGGCCTGATAATTCGACTGTGGAATCGCCAGTTGTTAGTGAAAAAAAAGATGAAGGCGAAGACCCTCTCGATAAATATATGGCGTCATTACAGAAAGATGATATACAAAGTGGCAGTCGTGTAAGCAAAGTTTTCGATAATGATGATGACGACGTGGATGATTACTTTCATGAACAAGATGTTAACGAAGATCACAATGAAGACAATGATTATATTCGCGTCAGAAAATTAAACTCCAAAAAAAATGTCAAGAAAGTGACGTATTCAGTAGAACATCTGGAGCCTTTTCAGAAGTCCTTTTATGTGGAACCAGAGGAGATCAAAAAGATGACTGATGATGAAGTCAATGAGCTTAGATTAAGCTTAGATAATATCAAAGTAAGAGGGGAGGGTTGTCCACGCCCGATTCTCAAGTGGTCGCATTTGGGTTTGACAACAGATATCATGAATTTGGTCTCTAAGGAATTCAAGTTTATCGCACCAACGCCCATTCAGGCTCAGGCAATGCCAGCAATTATGTCAGGAAGAGATGTTATTGGTATTTCAAAAACGGGCTCAGGAAAAACAGTATCATTTCTATTACCTATGTTGAGGCAGATAAAAGCGCAAAGGGCCCTTTCCAAAGATGAAACTGGGCCGGTAGGTTTGATATTAGCGCCAACAAGGGAGCTGGCAGTTCAAATTCACGAAGAAGTCGTTAAATTTACTGACTCTATGATACACTCAATATGCTGCACTGGCGGTTCAGAGCTCAAACAACAAATAAATGATCTAAAAAAGGGTGTTGAACTAGCAGTTGCAACTCCAGGTAGATTTATAGATCTTCTCACTTTAAACTCTGGAAAATTAATGAATACAAAAAGGATAACATTTGTTGTAATGGATGAAGCTGACAGGCTCTTTGACTTAGGGTTTGAACCACAAATTACTGAAATCATGAAAACAATTAGACCCGACAAGCAGTGTGTGTTGTTCAGTGCCACTTTCCCTACTAAACTAAAAAGTTTTGCGATGCGAATTTTACGTAATCCAATCAGCATTACAATCAATTCAAAAAGCTTGATTAATGAAAATATCGAACAGCAAGTAAAAATTTTGGGGACTGATGACGAGAAGTTCCAGAAAATGGTATCTATTTTGGCTAAACGAGTCAAAACTACCAAGGATAATCGCTTAGGCGATGTAGATGTTGACGAAAAAACAATTGTTTTTGTTTCTAGTCAGCAAATATGTGATTTAATATACCATAAATTATCAGATCAAGGTTTTGTGACTCATGCTATCCATGCAGGGAAGCCTTACAATGAGAGAGCATCGAGCTTAGAAAAATTTAAGAGTTCACCTAATAGCATTTTGATTTGCACAGAAGTACTTTCTCGCGGGCTTAACGTACCCGAGGTTTCACTAGTCATTATTTATAACGCGGTCAAAACCTTTGCACAGTACGTGCATACAACTGGCCGGACTGCCCGGGGAACTAATCATGGTACAGCTTTGACACTTCTTCTTCAGGATGAGTTTGCAGCAGCTTATATTATTAACAAATCATTACGGGATCCGGAAAAGCTCAACATGAACCCCATGGATTTACAAGCTCTCCAGAACATGAGTTTGAACTTTGAAAGCGGTATGAAAACTGGAAAATACAGGTTAGCTAAAGGATTTGGGGGCAAAGGCCTGGACCACATGGAAAAGCTGAATGATCAGAAACACAGTGAAGAGTTGAAAAATTATGGTTTGAAGGATCAGCAGTCTGTTTCTTCAATAGATGAGTCCAATGTTGACACTGACGCCGGACAGGGTCAAGTTCCTAAGTTACAATATGTTGTTCTCCAGAACAAAAATCCTGACGGAAATGTGACATACAGCGCGGAAGTCAACGTCAACGATCTTCCTCAATTAGTTAGATGGGAAGCAACGAAGAACAATACTTTAGTATCTATAAGACACGAAACGGGCTGCAGCATAACAAACCGAGGGAGGTTTTATGCTGATGGGGCTGGTCCTAAATCAAAAGATGATGAGCCTAAGTTATATCTTCTGATAGAAGCTCAAGAAGAAAAGGATGTTAGACTGGCTATAGATTTGCTCGAGGGAAAGGTTAGAGAGGGTGTTAAGAAGGCTACTGTTCAAGAAGCCAAAAGCGGTAAGTTTTCATTGTAAGGTTGGCGTTGCGTTCTTATTTTACATATGCATATATCTCAATTTAAAAATATTCGGTAAATGATTCATCTTGCCCTGGTCAGTCAAATACCAGCGGCTCGTTTCTCTCTTGTTGCCGCTGTTCTGCAGATTCCTTCAGATGTGCGTTACGGCTTTTCGCACGCTCTTTTGCAAGTTTTTTGCCTAGTTCTCCTTGAGTGGACTGCTTTTGAGACTGCTCGAACCGTTCAGCTGCTGCTTTTCCGGCCGCACTCTTAGCCGGCATCTCTGTATGAGCTTGTTCGGAAGACAGTACATGTCCTGCGCTAGATGTTGTTCTCTTTTTAGTGTCTTTCGCTTGAGCTTTACTTACAGAAATAGGAGCTCTCCTGGTGACTCTTTCTTTTTTCAAAGGTTGAGTGGTCTTAGTAGTTCCGCTGCTGACTGCGTGGTCTTCTTTACTAGCACACAATCCCATGTTGACATCAGACAACTTCTGTGGGCCTTTATAGTTCTCATCTAAACTTAAATATTATATTCGTCGATAGTTATCATCGAATTGGATGATGACAAGTTGTTCGCTCTCAAGGTCGTTTTCACTTACCTTATCGCATACCGATTTGTATCCAAAATATTGATTGATATCCGTTACTAATGTACATAGTTCATATGGAATAAAGTTAAATACCGAATATGTTATAATCGGGAAAAACACCAGTTTTGAAGGAATATGTGTTAAAACAAACATGGCAGTCGCAAGGTCTAATTTTGTCTCAAGTTGTGAAATTGAGGGACGTAGACGTTGCTTACATCCAGGGTATTGAATTTGGTTAAAGCCTCTTGTAAAACAGGGTATTTTACAGCTGTGCCAGTAGTTAACCTCGAGAGTTGTCTAGAATCGCGGCAAAATGGGGAGTAGCGCTTAACGATCTTCAAGTACAACTCTAATCTATCTTGGTCCTGGGGTTGTTGGTGAGTTTGCTGAGGAATATCGTCAAAAGCGCCTGAAGCGTTTGCAGCTTGCATAGCGGCATTGTAACCATCGCTGTAAAAATCGTCCTTTTTGTAGAGTTGGGTCCAGGTAACGGTGGCATCACGAAGAGCAGCCCAATCAGCATTTGCAATAAATGCTTGGCCAATCTCATCGGATTTGGTCACCAAGTCACACCAACGCTTGAAAATGTCTTCATTAGAAGCGTCCACTGAACCCATAGACTTCAAAAGAATACGATAAGCAACAATGGTCTTAGGAATATGATAAAGATCGTATGCCTTGTCAATGGATTCAATAATTTCACGATCGCGCCAAACAGTGCACTTGGCAAGTATAATGTTGAAAAAAGGTTCATCGATAGGCTTAATGTTGTTGTAGATGCCAATTAATTCTTGTAATTGCTTAAGACCTGACGTTTTGTCGTGCGAAAAATGCTCGAAGAAAATGTCGAAAAAGGTATCGTTGAGGGATGAAGAGATACCGTGGTTGACGTCACGGCCATAGTGAACCGACGACTTGTACCAGATATCATAGACTTTCTCAAAATTACGGGTGTGTGCCCAGATATTTCTCAAGAAGGACTTGACGTAGGAGACTTGCAAATCAATCTTGTATGGCATTTCATTGTTGAGCGCTTTATCGAAAAAAGCTTGAGCAACTTCCAAATCTTTACACTCGCCGATAAAAGAAAGATGAGTCTCGATCAAATATCCATACTTCATTTCACTGGACTCTTCGCACAATTTTTGAAAAAGGCTCAAGGCCATTTCGTTCTCGCCTGCACTCAGAGAAGCTCTGATCATACCAACTGATAGGTTAGGATGGAAATAGTTTATCATGGCTGAAGATTTGTTGTACAGCTCCTGGATTTCAGCGTAAGTAACACCATTATCGTACAGAATTGGAAGAACAACACCTACAACTCTAGGGTTGAGGAAAATGTTTGAGGTGTACTCACTAGCACCGTTGATGGCGGAGCGCCAAATATTGACTGCTTCCTCGAATAGAAGCAGTTCTTTGAAAGCGGTGATCAGATGCATGGCACCGTACTCGTTCAGCTCCACTTTACCCGAAAGGACGTCTTGAGAAATCTCACGCAAAGATTCGCACAAATAATTGGTCATCTCCTTGTGGAAAGACTGGGAATCATAATCTGGCTTCTTGTTCATTCGTGTAAGCTGATTTCTGTTGGCACGCAGACCGTTATGTAGCAAATGTACCAGTTTGGACACACGGTCACTGTTGAGTTCTGGAGTGCCAAGAAGATCACGATAAAGGCCCATAGCGCGCCCGATCGAGTCCCAAAACAGTGGATTGGTATTTCCGCCCGCCATCGGCTGACGAGTGTTCCTGTTATTGTTGTTGTTGTTGTTACGCTTTCTGGGTGTCTGCGACATGTACAGCGTCTGAGCGACGCAGTCTTCGAACGCACACACCTTGTGAAACCAAGGTGAGTCTGGAGCAGCACCAAGTTGCTTATTGATCTTGATATTTTTGCGCAGCGTCCTTACTTTATCCACAGCTGCAGCCACTGGCGGCGCAGCCGCATACGCCTCTTGCGATGGCGTCCGCTCCATCGCCACGGTTGAGTTGAACCGTATAGGATGGTTGAACGGATGCCGGGCACTTGCCTGCACAAATTGGTTCGAAACCCTGCCCTTGAGTACCTGTGATTGTTGAACAAATCTTAACATGCTGTTACAACTATACTTAAGTCCTTTTTGCAGCTACCGGGATGCTGAGTTTTATACTTGCTCGTACAGATGACCAAATGATTTCGAGGGTTCTCAGTGGCGTGAGAAAGACGCAGAAAAAAAAAAGTTGGAGCTGTTGATATTCCGTTAAATGTGATATGTATATATCGCTATCGACGTCTAGTCAGCTGACTTTCGTGTATTGTGATTTGTATTGGTGTAATTGTGTACGGTCTGTTTTGTTGACATTTGGTTTCATTTTGGTTCACGACTTCCTTCTTCGATCTCTTTAAACCATCGTTAAACACTTAGCACTCATGTCTGATAAGACCCAAAAGGATATATTCACGCTTTTCGACAGACAGGCCAAGGGCACGATCTCGAAACAACAATTAGGTGACTATCTAAGAGCCATTGGTTACAATCCAACGAACGCGTTAGTGGAGCAGGTAGGAGAAGGTGCCGGTGACGAACTTTCGCTTCAAGAAGTCGGTTCTCTAGTTTCAAAACATCAGGAGGCATTAGAGAAGACCACTCAGGGCAAAGTCGAGGATTTCATCAAGGCGTTTCAGGTGTTCGATAAGGAGAACACTGGTAAAGTGTCAGTCGGTGACATTAGATACATGCTAACGGGGTTGGGTGAGCGTCTGTCAGACGCAGAAGTGGACGAATTGCTCAAGGGCGTAGAAGTTGACGCTGACGGTGGTATTGACTACAGAAAGTTCATCGAGGATGTGTTGAGACAGTAGGCAACGCTGTCGATCGTCTGCTGCGTTTAATATGTATATCTATCTAAGTTGTCTATGGTGTATAAGATTGCAACACCGGCATGAAGTTGCCAATGATCATCAGCGGCAGCCCGAAAACGTCTCTTTTTAACGTCCACATGCAACAGCAGTTGATCTCACGACCTTTGATCGGAGTCAATAGCCGACATGTCTTCATCCTCTCGCAACCCTTGAAGTCCCGATAAGCCACGCGACTAAAGGTTTTGAAATAATCTCGTACACTTTCGTCATCCATAAGTTCCACGATGAAGGTCATCTTGAAAAGCAGGTCCTCGCGGGCCCATCCTGTGAGGAGTGTAAACTCATCATTGATGTATGAAACCTGGCCATTCCTGCGCCATACGCATGTAGGTGTTCCAATCTGAGATATAAATTGATCGTATTCTAATAATGTTCTTTGGTAGCATTGCTCCATAAATATCATGTCTTCTTCTGTCAGTGTCACAGCAATTGCAATAAAGGTGGGACGAAACTCTGCAAGTGATCGACACATTTCGACCAAATCTTTTTTGTTGAAACGTTCTCGCAAATATCCAAGTAAGGAATGAAACCCTGGAGTGTGGGAGAATGGTGTTGAAACCAACGTGTATATTTCGAGAGGTGTTTGATATCTCAAGGTGTGTGCAACCTCTGGAAAGTTTTGGATCGCACGAGATTCCGGGGAAGCTGTGTCCAGTGCTAGTGATACGACTCCAGAAGTGTGCCTAAAGGTCTTGAAAACCTTCGGAAGTGTGTTTCCCTCTGTCAGATAGTACTGACACAGACCTTTGTCGAAGATTGCCGAGCTTAGCATACTGTCTGGATCAATATTCTCATTAGATGGATCTTGTGGTATTAGAGGGTAATGGTTAGTAAACAAATTGACTTTGTATTCAATTGCTTCCGCTCCTTGAGGTCCTAGCAATGTCTTGTATGTTGGTCTTTGATTCCCAAGCGAGTTATTTGCCTGCGTCGGAGTAACACTGGGCGTGTTACTCGGTGTGGCATACTGAGATCCGTCTTCTGTGCTATTTCGAGAATAGAGAATGTCTATTGGCACCTTGTTCAAGTAGGTATCTTGGTGGATGATGTTCGATAGAATTGAATACTCCAAGTCTGCAGCGCTCGACAAGAACTTAGGCTTGTGTTGGATGCGTCCACTCCCATTAAAGTCCTGCTCTTCCCCCGAATGGGCGTCGCTTCGTTTTACTGGCACTGGCAGGTGCTCCTCGGGCACATCTGCCAAATACTTCCTTCTTTTCCGGGGTGCATCAACACAGGTTGCTTCTAAGCCTTTGCGTACACATCTTGAACAGGGCCGTTTGTCTTCACAGGTAACGTGTGATCGTGAACAGTTCACACATGCTATACTAGTTTTCTGCCTTCTCGATCCCATGCGCCTAGTTGTTGTTGATGCTCATCGCTTGAATCAACTTTTTTTGACTTTCCTTACATATACTAAAAATCAGGTACAAGACTAGCGAACTTAAAGAAATACGGTCAATTTGAAGTTGGCCAAGGAACTTGAAGATCAAACTACTTTTGTTCTTGCGGAATGCATCGGTAGATAGGAAACTCTTGAATTGATTAAACCGCCCACTACTATGGCTCTTTTCTTACCGTACTGGGCGATGATAAGGTTAGTCATGGTAGTTACTAGTTGAAAAAAATTTTCAAGTTAGCATCAAAAGTTTCAATATCATCTTATTGACTAAGCGCAGTATTGATGTCTGATTTAGTGACGAAATTCAAGTCCATGGCTTTGGACACAAAGTTGAGCAAAGAGCAAGAGGCTCAGGCCGCTCAATGGGACTCCGTTGTGAAGTCCGGCCAGGTGCAACCACACTTGGATGAGCTAAACTTACAATTAAGGGATCACTCTTTCTTGTTGGGTACCTTAGTGCCAACTCAAACCGATGTTGTTGTTTTTGAACCCACCTTTCCTGTCATTAAGGACCTTTTGTCATCATCTAAGGATGTCAAGGGTAATTACGCCAAGTTTAGACATATTTTGAGATGGGTTGCGTATTTGCAGGAGTTGCTACAATTGCCAGAAAGTGATAAACTGGCAATCAATTTCGATCTAGACTTGCCTCGCGAGATCATTGAGAAGAAGAAGAAGGAAGATGTGAAGAAACCAGAAGAAAAGAAGGAAGAAACAAAAAAGGCTGATGCCGGCAAGGCGAAGCAACCAAGAGGTAAGCCAGATGAAGAAACTCTAAAGAAGCTAAGAGAAGAAGCTAAGGCCAAGAAGGCCGCCAAGAAGGCTGCTGCCAACCAGCAACAACAAGAACAGCAGGCACCACAAAAGCCAAAGCCATCTGCTATTGACTTCCGTGTCGGTTTCATCCAAAAGGCTATCAAGCACCCAGACGCTGACGCCTTATACGTTTCCACAATCGACGTTGGTGATGCAGAGGGTCCAAGAACTGTTTGCTCTGGTTTGGTCAAATACTACCCTCTAGAAGCCATGCAAGAACGTTACGTTGTTGTTGTTTGCAACTTGAAGCCTGTCAACATGAGAGGTATTAAATCTACCGCAATGGTTCTTTGTGGTTCTAATGAAACTGAAGTCGAGTTCGTTGAGCCTCCTGCTGGTTCTAAACCTGGTGACAAAGTCTTTTTCGAAGGATTCGGTGATGAAGAGCCTCTCAAGCAATTGAACCCTAAGAAGAAGATTTGGGAACAATTGCAACCACACTTCTCCACAAACGAAAACTTGGAAGTTATATTTAAGGATGACGAGGACGAACAACAAAAGGTAAGAAAACTTACAAATGCCAAGGGTGAATCCTTCAAGGTGGCATCTATTGCCAACGCTAACGTCCGCTAAGAAGTTCTTTCAGCATGGTCATCTATATATCTCTATCGTACATATAGGCTGCGTTATTTCTACAGTTTAAGCTTAAGCTTTTAATGTCTTTGAAAAATGGTGCTTCTATTAAACTTTATAGTCATTACTCATGTAAGGCATATATCTCTATAAAAATCTTCATTAGATTGTAATTGCATCTCCCAGAATTTTAGTTGCATTTCGGTGTAAGTTGTGTCCTGACATTGACAAATTTGATCCAACATGAGATTATTCCACTGTTGCAGAATTAACTGAATAGCATTAATCTTCAATGTTGAAATTAGCTCATATTGGAATAAGTCTTCTAGTTCAGAGTTAGTTAGCAAGTCATGGCAGTGAAATAAAAGTGCAATATCTGCTGAATTGCTTAGTGATAGCGCCAGTAGCGGGTATGCAAGGTATGTTATGGTTTTTTGCTCCTTGATCCAGTCAAGTGTCGCCTGTATTACCTCCTGTGTACATTTATTCAGCGCCATCAGCAACAGGTATAAAGCCTGTCCTTCTTGAGGACATACTGGAAGAAACTTAAGCCACTTATCGAAATCTACGGAAGTATGCATCAGTTCCGAGAGAAACTGAGGTGCTATTAAATTAATGGACACATGTACTTTGGATGCCAGCCAACTAACGTACGCGGGTTGCTTGAGGCAAAAATTGTCGTCATTCTCCACAAGCATTCTGGGCCAAAAAGAACCCAAAAACTCCTCGGTGATATTCGTGGAGGAATCTAAAAACGCATGCTCATCTAATTGTCCTTGTGAGGAGCGTAATAGTGAGGTTGGTGTGTCTGGGAGGCTAGACGATTCGATGATTTCTGTCACGGAATTGCGAGGTGTCACTGCCGCTGAAGGTGGCGCGATTTTGAAAATACTGAAGGGCCCGCTTCTAACACAACAACCATGGTCGCTGCCCATGTGTGATTCACACCGTGTGTCAATCTCACAGAGATGCCTGCTAAGCTGCCTGTCTACAAATTTCTGATCAAAATTTTGGCTCTTCTCTCCATGAATGCAATTAAGCGCATTATTGTATATCTTCAGTCTACGGATGCTTATTGTGAAATTTCCAGAGTCATCGTCACTGTCACAAGACGCCATTTCGTCGTCCGAATTGGGTGGAGACAGCTGACGAAATTGCGTCATTTCTCGGAACCTCTTTTTCGATATTCTATGTTTTCCACTTCTACAACGACTGCGACTGTTTTTGCTTCCTTGTATTTCCTTCATGCAGATGAGTTCTCTTTTTTCATTGGTCGAGAACATGTTGTCGTCGAGCCACATAAGCCGTATATCGTAGCTACATTGATCTCCGTGTTTTAGGCATAACGAGCAGTATGGCTTTCTTTCGTCACACCGCCTCTTCTTGAAGCGACATGCCCAGCACCCTGTAAAGTTTCTTGCCTTTGTCTTTGTACACATTGTTACGTTTTATCTATAAATTTGAAAATATTTCTTGCTATCGGCCACTAACTTCTTATATATGAACACTACTTTTAATTAATCGATTAACGTTTAACCTCAGTAATGCATTTATCAAACGGATTCCAATACTCACTTATGGGCATACGAAAAGTATGCACCAAGTGGGAAATAAGTCGTATGCGACGGCTGACTTAAGGCCAAAACCAACGGCATCTCTTGAAAAATTTCATGGTCCGAAAACTGGCGCCGCGTCAGACGCCAAGAAAATAACACAGGAAAATTGTAGATGCCCTTTGGGGAGTCAAGCGTCGATGAATTTGAATTGAATTTGTCTTTGCTTGTGGATTAGAGGATCCAATAGAAAAAACAATAGCGACCATTGGCACAAATTGTCAGGAATTAAGATCAAACGCATTTGAAGAACGCTGCATTTCGTCGAAGTTCGATGCGATAGGTATAAATCGCACGTGTGACTACATTCCTAGCTTAGTCTCGAACACCCCAAATTTCTTCGTAATCTTTCTTTCCTTTAGTTTCAGGTACCATGTAGTAAATGTACGACGCGAAGCATGCAGCTATGACGGCAAACACTAAAAACACATATCCTGCTAACCAGTTACGTAGGATTGGAAAACCATATCCTACCATGAAGGTTGCAATCCAGTTACACGTCGTGCCGTAGCTTTGAGCAACGCCAACAACGTCAGGTGGTGAAAGCTCCGGGATCACCAAGAAAGGAATCGGGCCAACGCCCAGTGCAAACACGCCGATGTAAATGAAAGTGAAGGTGACAAGCACCGAAGCACGCATGGTGACTATTCCCAGAGATATGAACGCTGCAGCTACCGACATTGAGGAAGAAGAAAGTATCAACAACGGTTTGCGACCCCAATGGTCCACCAAGAATGATGCCCCAAATGTCGCAACTACGTTCAGAACGGATATTGCAACGTTTATGAGAATAGCGTACCCAGGAACCAAATCACTGATGACCTTCACACCGTAGAATATAATTGAGTTAATCCCGCAAAACTGCTGGCCCATGAGGATGGCCGTGATAGCACGGCGCGAGAGCGCGTATCTTGGATCTCTGATGTACTTTGTAAGTGTAACTTCCTCGTCCAAGGACGATGTGGAAGTAGCCCTGGATTCGGATTGAAACACATCGTTAGCCCGGCGCTCTGTTAAGCTCTGATCCCTTCCACTGATTGTCTGTACACCTGTCCTTGTCCTTGCCTGACAATTATCGTCTCCCGACTGACCTCTTGAGTCAAGCCATTCCCTGACCTCTTGCCTTGAGCGCTGAACGTCTCCGCCGCGCAAATTGCAAATTACGCTTTCAGCAGCAGCAAGCTCACCACGACTGGCGAGCCATAGCGGTGATTCATTCACCTTGAATAAAAGTGCGAAATTGGCCAAGGCAAGCAAAGCGCCCGTGAATAAAAGCCATCTCCAGCGATACGAGTCGGCTAAACGCAGAGCGAGTAGCTGCGTGATGAGAATGCCAACATTGATACAAACCTGGTTCATCGACCCCAAAGAGCCACGAAGCTCACGGGGCGATACCTCGTTAATTATCAAGGGCGTGATGACAATTGCACTCCCGCAACACACGCCAGCAACGAACCTTCCCAGAAGCATTTGCGCATATGTGTTCGACGCAAACAGTATCAGAGAGCCCAAGATGCCCAGAATTGAATTCACAAAGCTGATTGGCTTTCGGCCGTAGATGTCTGCGATTTTTCCCGCATACAAGGATCCAATGAGCCCCCCAATGGAGAATATCGACGTTACCAATCCTATTTGCTCTTCTGTGAGTGGGATACACTGCACAAGCCCATGCTTTCCTAGCCAAGTTTTTTCGTATGGAAATTCTGGCCATGGATTGACTTCTTTAGAACACGATAGTACGAGTTGTGGAGCATTAAGTTCTGCCATATGATATCCATATTGCACTGACCCGAAACACGCTACCATGGTGGCTAAGGCCAATGAGCCAGTCAGTTTAGGTCGCTTTTTCCCAATCAGTGGTATAGCTTCGGTAGACATAGCTAAAATCTGTGATTAATGAAAACTTGATCTGCTCTTGAACGTGCCAAGACTTGGTTTATTGATTCTCCGTTGCTATGCTGAATGTTTCTGAAGACATTGTAACCATAGGTTTCTAGCCCTAAGGGATATGAGGGCTAGACAGTTATCTATGACTTTGTAACCCATACATATTATCCTGATTTTACACCCATGCATATTTCTTAATTTTTTTTAGTATAGCCAATCACCCATACATATCGTATTTTTTTTGGAAATGGACGCAGCTCTGATCAAGCATCGATTTTTCAATATACTAGAAAACTAAATCCGTATTCTGTTCTAGTTTGACATACCTAAGAAACCACTAAGTTTAAAATGCCATCTAGATTCACCAAGACTAGAAAGCACAGAGGTCACGTCTCAGGTATGTAATTCCATGGAAGAGGGAATGAAAGAACCAAGGCTGTGATTTTCTTGTGTCGTGTGGGTCTTTTCCCGGTCTGTGATGGTATCTCGAGTCCTTTCGTGATTAATTTGCTGGCAACACGGCGTATCTAGTGTACGCTCATCCACACGTATTCCGTGTGTTGATGTGAAACTCTTCCTCCGTCAGCAAATAATTCGGATGAGGCAACTCTTGGCACCATTTCAATAATCAGGCTGGGGAGAGAATTACTATGGAGGCGAGTGAGGTGGGCTTTCGACGTCAAGCATCACGTAGTAACTTCCTGCAACACGATAAAAAGAAATCACGATTTTGTTCGTCAGACTAAGCAAAATTAAAGCATACTAACATGTTTAACAGCCGGTAAGGGTCGTATCGGTAAGCACAGAAAGCACCCCGGTGGTAGAGGTATGGCTGGTGGTCAACACCACCACAGAACCAACTTGGATAAGTACCACCCAGGTTACTTCGGTAAGGTTGGTATGAGATACTTCCACAAGCAATCTGCTCACTTCTGGAAGCCAGTCTTGAACTTGGACAAGTTGTGGACTTTGGTCCCAGAAGAAAAGAGAGACGAATACCTAAAGTCTGCCTCTAAGACTTCTGCTCCAGTCATTGACACCTTGGCTGCCGGTTACGGTAAGGTCTTGGGTAAGGGTAGAATTCCAGATGTCCCAGTCATCGTCAAGGCCAGATTTGTCTCCAAGTTGGCCGAAGAGAAGATCAGAGCTGCCGGTGGTGTTGTTGAATTGATTGCTTAAGCGAACTTTCGTCACTAATACAATTGTGTCTTTTAAATCGTTTATGTAAAATAAATCATCAAGCTTTTTTCAAAAGCGTCAAATTGCATTGTAAGTTAATTACTGTATGTGAAAATCTTGCACAAGTCCGCATGGCTCAGTTTTCTTAGTAGCTCTTTAATTCCTAGGAGAATTTACTCATGTGATTGCGACCGTAAAGGTTCGGCTAGGCGCAAGTATCTGTCTTGTTCTTCTAATCCTCGAATCTTCAGTTCGTTAATATTGTACATCTCTGAGAGCCGATTCATTTCTGTTCGCTCTCAAAGGTAAACAGAAATACGCGAAGAAAAAAACGAGAAAAAAAAAACAGAGGATAATTTATGATCTCTAAATGAACACTCTTAAGGCATCTGCCGCACGTTTTTCATCTGGCACAGTGAGAATGGCCACATCAGTTTGGAAACCACAGGATCATGTCCCAAAAGAAGTGAAGGAACTGCTGAACGGTCCACAGACCAACTACGTCCTAGCATTCCTAAATCTCGTACAATTATTAAAGATCCAAAGAAGAACAGGATGGTTGGATCACGACATAAAACCATGTGAGAGTATCTCTGACCACATGTACAGAATGGGTGTTACTGCTATGTTGATAAAAGATCCCAAAGTTAACCGCGATAAATGCGTTCGTATTGCATTAGTTCATGACATCGCCGAGTCATTGGTTGGTGACATTACACCTTTCGACCCTGTAACAAAGGAAGAAAAGCATCAGAGAGAATGGGCAACCATACAATATTTATGTGATGAGTTCATCAAACCTTACAATGCCACTGCAGCCGCGGAAATAATGGAAGACTGGTTGGCCTATGAGAATATCAGCTCGCCAGAAGCCCGCTATGTAAAAGACATTGATAAGTTTGAGATGCTTGTACAGTGTTATGAATATGAAAGGAAATATAATGGCAAAAAAGACCTAGAACAGTTCTGGAGCGCTATCGAGAGTATTAAAACCGAAGAAGTTAAAGGCTGGGCAAAGGATCTCTTGCAAAAACGACAAGATTTCTACAAATCTTTGAAAAAATGATCTGTAAAATAGGACCAACCCATTTAATGTGTATCATTAACAAATCTATAGAATTTCATCAAATCTTACAGGTAAGGCCTCGCTTTTAATCATAAAAAGTGCAAATTGTCATGCCCAAAAACTAAAGAGCCTATCATGTGTCTAGCTACAACAGCTAGCAGCCCGACGACAAATTGCAGGGTCAAGATCGTCCGGCAAAGCTTGTCTTCTCTCATAGGCCCAAACCACACGAGGACAAGGTTAATGAGCGTCATATTCGAGCAATTCTTTATAGCACCAGTCTTTTCATCGAGGTCTAAATCAATAAGTTTGATCTTGTATAATACTTTCAGAATTGGTATCATAATGCCTTTTGGTGGATCCTCTACCAAATTGGCACGTGAGGGATACATCAGGCCGTCAGGTTCATTGAACCGTGGCATCCGGTGCCTAGGGCATGGTACCAGCTTAAATAGCTGCGGGCATGAGTAAGCGAAATTGAATATCTGAGGAAGGAAGAATAGTAAAGTTGTCTTGGAAAAGTGGCCCAAGATACCCACCACCGAGAACACCATACCTGCAAAATAGCAGTAAGTATCTCCAACAAACACTTTGGCTGGCCAACGGTTCCACTTCCAAAGACCTAAAGAGACACCCAAAAATGGTATGATTAAAATTGCCGAGAACAAGTGGGATTCCTTGGAAGCCTCAGTCCCTATTAATAAATAAATAAAGTCATTGATAAGGAAGATGGCACTGAGAATAATGCTTTGGCCAACTTCCAGACCATTGACACCAGCCAAGATATTGATTGAGTTGGGGCAGAAAATAGCCATCGCTGCCATGTAAATATAATACAATGCACCCAAATCGACTGTAGTTTTGCTCGTGCCACATAATTTACGAATAAACTCTGGAATCAAAACATACGTTACACCAAAATCAACGTAGTATACCACTAGCAGAGGTATGGCAGCAACGGCGGGTAGGAAAAACTTGTGCCGCCATCTCAAATCGAAAAGATCATCAGCAATTCCAAGAAGAACCGTGCTCTCAAGACATAGTACTGCACTCAAATATTCGGAAAGCTTTCCATGGGGAAAAAGGTGATCATTGGCTGTTTCCATAACTGACACGTCACGCTGTCCTCCACCAGATGTCAGCACCACAAGATATTTGTAAAATAAAAAGGGAATGTAGAAGAACATAATGAAGAGATATACCGTGGCAGAAATTGCACCAATAGTCTCTGGGATTACAGGCTTGCCCGGTTTGCTTAAGTCTTTACCAAAGCAACCTATCTTCACAAACGCGGAGCTGACACGTGGAATCATCCAATCTGTCACGGTGAACCCAATTAACGAAAATCCCAAAGCGGCTATAATAGGGGAATAGTGTCTTGAAGCATGGATTAATGTAAAAGCCGCTAGTAAAACTAGTAGCTTCAACATTCTGCCGTCTATATTACTTTTCTATTAAATGCGAGCTGGTGTTGAAAGGCCAAAACGATATATGAATTGGAAAAAAAAAGTGCTATATCAGCAGAAGAACCTGGACAGAGGACTAACAAGAAAAGAAACACTTCCAGCAATGAGACCGTTTGTCACAGGTCATGAAGACTTAGTACACGATATTGTTTACGATTTTTATGGAAGACACGTCGCTACATGCTCTTCTGATCAACACATCAAAGTATTCAAGCTTGATAAAGAAACGAATGAATGGGAACTGAGCGATTCTTGGAAAGCACACGATAGTTCTATTGTGAGCTTAGATTGGGCGAGTCCTGAATACGGTAGAATCATTGCGTCGGTTTCCTACGACAAAACCATCAAGCTTTGGGAGGAGGAGCCGGATGCACCCGAGTGTTCAGGACGTCGTTGGACCAAACTATGTACGTTAAATGATGCCACTGGTCCCCTTTACAGTGTCAGGTTTGCACCTGGACATCTGGGTTTGCGATTGGGGGCTATAGGCAACGATGGTATCTTAAGGGTTTACGATGCCGTTGATCCCTCTGACTTGAGGTCCTGGACGCTTACATCTGAGGTCAAGGTGCTCCCCACACCACCTGCATCACATTTGCAATCAGACTTTTGTTTGACATGGTGTCCCTCGAGGTTTTCACCGGAGAAGTTGGTGGTTTGCGCTCTTGACCAAGCCTTAGTCTACCAAAAAGATAAAGCAGGTAAATTTTACGTTGCCGCTAAACTCGAAGGGCATACTGGATTGATAAGATCAGTTAGCTGGGCTCCCTCTATTGGCAGGTGGTATCAGCTGATTGCCACAGGCTGCAAGGACGGAAAAGTGAGAATCTTCAAGCTAACAGAAAGAATGCAAAATGATAGCGATTCCATGAGCATTGATCAAGAAGGTCTACAAGAGGACTCGAATGAATCCAACTCAGAAACTGGAGCTCCGGAGCTAAAGGTAGAGATATTAAGTGAAAGCTCTGATCACAAAGGTGAGATTTGGTCCGTTTCCTGGAACTTGACGGGAACAATTTTGAGCTCAGCAGGGGACGACGGCAAAGTTCGTCTGTGGAAGGCCTCCTACTCTAACGAGTTCAAGTGCATGTCAGTCATTAGTGCTCAAAAGAAGACTTAGCAATGTAGATGTTTAGCTGTGTTAAAATAGACGTTGAAGAAGGTGCCGGGTATTGCGTTGGACAATGAAAGAGATTCCTTCGAATCCCGTCAGTCTGACTTAGAGGTAATACGCATGGCAAGTGAGAGGGGCTGTACTCATTGAGTAATGATACTACGAATTTGTACAAGCCTAACACTGTGCGCTTGAGAAAGTGGAATGGTAGAAATATGAACACCAACATATCCGATTTTTTGTAAGGACCGGAGTATTGAGTTAGCCATAAGCGGAATGATGGAAGCATTATTTTTTCCAAGAAGTCGCATCACAGAGAGTTATTCACTGGTGATTGTACTCTAAGTCATATGGTGACACGATCATACCGCTGAAGCACGCTACGTTTTTTTTCGCCAATTATCAGCGATTATCGATTGAGGACATTTTCGGAGTCCAGATTTCGCCAGGCATGAGCTTATTACTAATCTGCTTGGCCGATACAGCCAGCTTAGCTGTTCAAAGGCTACTTGGCATAATACATGCGGAGGCCAATTTTCTTGCACCTCTTTCAGCCGTTAAAATCATACCCTACGCACTATGTAACGCGGCGTTAAGAGCTCGTCCCGAAGCCACTGTCTGAATATGTCATCATCTTTGCCGCTTGTCAATAACCGTGCTTCACACGCCCTGCACCACCGTCCTTGAAAAGCAGTAAGTGATGCCCGTACGAGGTAATGCTTAGGCGCAATTTTCAAGTCTACAGGCAAGGGATATGTAATAGTGAAAGAGAGGCTTATCGACCCTGTAAGAGTGATCTATTTGTCACTGAAGGTTCGTCAAGTTGGCAGGAACTAGACCATCGTAGACTTCTGACTAAAAGATCAAGGGTCGCACGTTTCTTTTTTTCGGAATCAGCTATATATAAAAAAGTTAAGCGCAATGAGTACCCTAATCAAAGTTTAGTAGACAACTACGGTTATAGTTAGAACAGAACATGTCTAAGTTTTACGAATTGGCTCCAAAGGACAAGAAGGGTGAACCATTCTCATTCAAGCAACTTGAAGGTAAGGTTGTCTTGATTGTCAACGTGGCTTCCAAGTGTGGTTTCACACCACAATACAAGGAACTTGAGGAACTTTACCAAAAGTACCAGAGCAAGGGTTTCGAAATCATTGGGTTCCCATGCAATCAATTTGGTCACCAGGAGCCAGGCAGCGATGAGGAAATCGGACAGTTTTGCCAATTGAACTACGGAGTTACCTTCCCAGTCTTGAAGAAGATTGACGTCAACGGCTCCAACCAAGACCTTGTATACGAGTTTTTGAAGAGCCAAAAGGCTGGAATGCTCGGATTCAGAGGGATTAAGTGGAACTTTGAGAAATTCTTGGTCAACAAGAAGGGTGAAGTTTACGAGAGATACTCTTCTTTGACGAAGCCTTCTTCGTTGGAAAAGACTATCGAGGAGCTTTTGGCTGCCTGATTGATCGTAATAAAGAAAGGTTATGTTTTGCTAAGTATTATGAGGTTGCGAGACTGGCTCTATATGTAAATAATTAATATAATGTCTTCAATGAACTAAGCTTTGCCGTTTCATTGCTTTACTCGACTTTGATTTTTTTGGAGACATCCACCTCTTCCGCTACAGCTTTATCGTCCTCTTCTCTTTCTCTTTTGAGAGCCTCTTCCTCTTGTTTGCGCATAGCTGTGCCAGCCTGATCTTCTTCAGCAATTCTCTGCTTTACTTGATCATCAAGTACAATGCCGACATTGAATTCCTTTTCAAGGCATTGTAAGAGAGTTATGGCTCTTCGATTGAGCTCAATTGGAGTCCGACTTTGGAAAAAAAAGTCCATTTCAAAAAGCGGTGAGTCTCTAATTTCATCTCTGATCAGTTCATAGACATTTTCTCTATCTATCCCATATTTGAACAGCATTATCAGCAGAAATCGATCTTCTTCCTCAGAAAATACGCGCTTGTTATTGTTAGAGGGGGGATATTTCAAGTTTAAATCAAATAGAGGGTTCGTGCACATGGCTATTTTCCGTCTCAACGCCTCCTGTTGCAGTTTAACTCGTCTCACTCTTTCCTCCTCTGTTTCAATACTTTTCAAGTACTTTTCGTAATCATCAACTTTCTGAATGTTTGCCCAAAATGCTTTCGCATACTCACGAACTTCATCTTCAGTCTTTTGGGGGGCCATTTCCAGGGCTATTGCCTTAATTGAGTTCCTGCCGTATTTTCCTGAAGCGCTTATGAATTTTCTGAAATCAACTTTGTTCCAGTTGGTGAATCCTTCCGCTTCTAATTCAATTTTCAATTTCTGTTCCTCTTCTGTCAATGGTTGTGCGTTAGCAACTGCTAAAGTGAGCATCTCTAATCTAGCTTTTTTCTCTTCTTCATCTTCAATTTCACCATATGTCGTTTTAACATCTTCCATGGTAGGCACATAATTAGACTTCTTAGTTGCCCACATTCTTTCTTTCTCATAAAGAACCTTAAGCTGAGGAGATAGCAACTGATGACTATTGAAAGGTTGAGGTTTTGGCATTTTTGGCTGCGCAGGGGTGGATGAGCGACCTGTATTTAAAACATCTTTGTAATAGCCATCGATGGAATAATTTTCCTTACGTTCACGTTTAGTTGGATTGATCCATATCGGACTAATGATTTCCTTTCCAGATTTTTTTTTGAAATCTTGACCGTTCCACTCATAAGCCGAATCTTGATTGAATTTTTGTAGGTCATCTAACCCCAATGCTGCGTATTTTTGGTTTAAGGACTGCGTCTTCCCCTCAGACATTGCCAGTAATGAATCTAAATCAATGTCATCATCTTTATCACGAGCATCTTCTGGCTGTGGTGTCCCTTTGCTGCTCGAAGCTGTACTGGACGTGTTGAAGACATCCACCGCGCCGTGTTGAATCATTGAAAGTAAACCCTCTTTAGAGTCACCCTTTTTGGATTCTTTAGTATTGAGTGGCGATCTTCCTTGCTGAATAACTAACTGATCCAATCTCAATTTTTGAGTAGCTCTTTCCAGAATCTTCTCCTCGACTGAGTTGTCCGTCACTAGGCGGAAAACTTTTACTTGCTTCTTCTGCCCAATTCTGTGTGCTCTATCCATTGCTTGTAGATCAGCTTGTGGATTCCAATCTGAATCATATAATACCACCACATCTGCTGTTGTCAAGTTGATACCTAGACCACCGGCACGTGTTGTCAAGAGAAAGATGAATTTCTTGGAATCTGGTGCATTAAATTCGTCAATTGCCTCAATTCTATCCTCATGTGCAGTTGAACCATCGATTCTACAATAGTCATAATTTCTGAAATAACAGTAATCTTCCATAATGTCAAGAACTCTTGACATCTGACTGAAGATAAGAACACGAGAGCCTTCTTCTTTCACTTTCTTAAGGAGTCTGTCTAGAACTTTCAGTTTAGCAGAGTTGTAGATGAGATGCTCGTCAGTCGTATATGGTGGACCAGGTTCGGCCCCATCAAATAGATATGGATGGTTACAACACTTTCTCAACTGCATCATAATATTGAGCAATCTCGTCTTAGACTCCTTGTTACCATTTACACCATTCACCGCATCTAAGTCTTTCTCTAAAATCTGTTTGTACCATTTTCTCTGCATGTTTGACATACCAACGTATAAATTCAATTCCTTCTTTGGAAGCAGAGACTTTTCAACGTCATTTTTTATCCTGCGTAATAAGAAAGGTTGTAAAACGGTATGCAATTGCTTTACCACATTCTCTTTGTCTTCTTCACTAGTTTCTGATGAAAACCAATCATCAAATGCTTGGGAATCAGAAAATACATCTGGAAGCAAAAAGTTTAGAAGAGCCCAAAGTTCATGTAGATTATTTTGTAAAGGAGTACCGGTTATCAGTAATCTATTACGCGATGAAAACTCTCTTAAGACCTGTGAAAGCATAGACTCTTCATTCTTTATTCTATGGGCCTCATCGATGATAATGTACTCCCAATCAATCTTCTTGAAAGCGGATTTTTCCCTGATAATTATCTCATAGGAGGCAATCGCGATATCAAAATCACAGGAAAGTAACTTTTCTGACACTAGCTTCGCTCTCTCCTCTTTATCGCCTTGTAGAATGAATGCATTGACTTCTGGAGTCCATCTGTTGATCTCTCTCAGCCAATTGTTTAAAGTTGATTTGGGCGCAATTACTAGGAAGGGGCCTCGTTTTTTTTCTACGTAGCGCAAATAGCCCAAAAATGAAATTGTTTGGAGTGTTTTCCCCAGCCCCATTTCATCTGCTAATATGCCTGCCAAGTTGTTTCTGTGAAGTGACACTAGCCAATTCAAACCTTGGACTTGGTATGGTCTTAGTGCACCGTTGATATACGCAGGGGACTCTCTGAACTGGAATTCGATTTCCTCTTCTCCTTCATCTTCTTCGTTCTTCAAAAGCTCAGCATCTTCTTCCGTTTCGGTTTTCCTTCTACGTTTATCCTGGTGAGCTTTAGAGTTGGCGCCTTTCTTAGATGACGGGTCATCCAGGATTTCCAGTACCTGCTTGAATCTTTCGTCTTTAGCAGCCCTCCGTTCTATAAAGTGTCTGAATAAACCGCTTAAGTTCAGTAAATGCTGAAACCGTTTGATAGTGCTCTCAATATCGAATTTTTGCCTCTGTTGATCTGATAACAAATAACGCGACTTGTCGAGTTCCGGATTCTGTGGGGGAATGCCCTCGTGGAAAGGTTTTAGCTTTTCCAAATACTCACTATCCATTAGGTAAGATTTAACGTCAAATTGACTGTACGAAGCACTGACCAAGAGACAATTATTAGGAGAGTTTGATATTTTTCGTGTTTGAGAGCAGCTGAAAACTAATCGCAGCACTGGGAACGAAACTTTTCCATGCACGTAACACATGATTATCAGACTCGATGTATATTTAGTATTGAAATCGTAAGCCTCTCACGAATCTTCAGGCAGTTCAGGTTTCTAGATACGCTGGAATTTAGGTTTTGCTTACTTTCCTTTTTAGCGCTTTCTTTGATGCTAATTTCATCTTAATCAGCATCATCATGTTAATTCTTTGATAGGGAGCTGATTCCTGCATTACATGGTTAAAATAGTCAAAAATAGACTCGCCATTGCTATTATTTACATGATTACCCTCTTCTGGACGCTACGATTAAATACATACTTCAGCATTGGCATGTCCCATGAAGTGGGATACATGGTATATAATCACACAAAACGACTTTTTTGAAGTAATTCTCATATCATCAATCATCATTGATGAGCATCGAGGAAAGTAAAGCAATTAAGTCGTGCAAGGCTCAACAGCCGCCGTGTTGCTTGCGAATATTTGATGATCGCTATATTATCCTAGGGACGTATGATCTAGACAAACCTACTGGAATACGCACTGGTTCCGTAGAGGTTTATGACAATGAGTTACAATTACTTAAAACATACAAGACTTATGGTGCCATTCTGGACTTAAAATTGAGTCCCTTCGATCCAACATTGATGGCAACTGCACATTCTACAGGTAACATTACCCTTTGGCGTATAAGACCATCGCCAGACGATGCAGCTATTACTTTGGACGAGATCAGTAATTTGCAGGTGTTTGAATCTGACAATCTTATAACGTCTCTCCACTTTTCACCGCTACGCCCTGAAATCGTAGTTGTTACGACGACATCTGGTGAGGTCAAAGCCGTAGAACTAGCATATGAAACAGAAGTTTTTTCCTCTGAGCACATCTCAGCACATTACGCTAATGTGGAACGCCAGTCTTGCGAAGTCCAAGGTCAAGTTGTTTCTTACTGCAAATCTAAAGGCACAGATTTTCTTCAAGAGCATTCACTGGAGAGCTGGACTGCAGAATTTGGAACACTGTCACCTTTTGAAAATGTTCTGTTTTCAGGGGGGGATGATTCTACAATAATTGCACATGATCTTCGAACTGGTAACTCAGTTTGGTCGAACTCAAGAATCCACGAAGCAGGCTTGGTCGCAATAAAATGTAGCACGCCAACTTTCAGATCTCACATGCCTACAAGCATCATAACAGGCTCCTACGATGACAAGATAAGATCACTTGAACTAAGAATGATGGGCACATCGATCTACCCTGGCATTAACGTTCCTGTACTAAACTCAGCTGACTGCAACCTCGGAGGTGGCGTTTGGCGCTTCGTGGAATCACCCAAAAATAGTTCCTCTCCTTCTCACAACGACCTCCTAGTGTGTTGTATGTATAACGGTTCGAAGATTCTCAGCGTTTCTGGCGATCAATTCAAAACCACACATTTCATCAAGAACGGTCACGATTCTATGTGTTACGGTGGAGATTGGGGCAGGAATTTTATTGGAACGTGCTCCTTTTATGATAAAACTGTTCAATTATGGACAGAAAATCCTTAAAACTAGAAAGAGCTGGTAGAGGCCATTGATAAGTCTTGGTGAAGATTGGCTGTTAGGAGATTTCTTTGTTGTAATTGATTATCATTATAAATCATATATTACGTAGAGACATTTCACTGAAAATTTTACTTTGCTCATCTCATCGCTTTTTGTCATTCATCTAGAGACTACAAGAAGCATCTCACAAGTGAAGTTATGCCTCCGAAAGAACCTCCAAAGAAGTGGAAGCAACCAAAGGGTCCCAAACCAATACAACGTAAAAACAAAAATGTCATAGGTTTAGGGAAAGCGATTGCGCACGCTCGTAAGAGAGAGAATGAAGTACAATTTTTGCCTGATGGTGAAATGCGTTTCACTGTTGACAAGCATGAAGCAAATTGGGTTAAACTGAGATCTGTCACTCAAGAGTCTGCTCTTGACGAATTCTTGAGTACAGCAGAGCTTGCCGATAAGGACTTCGCTGCTGATAGACACTCCAGCGTCAAAATCATCAGAATGGACTCTGGTAACGAGGATGCAAGATCCCAAGGATTTCTAATGAGTAACTCTCAAAGAAAGAAACTAAATGACAAACAGAGGCACTACGCAAAAAATTTGATTGTACCAAGAAGACCGCAATGGAATGAGAGTATGACTAGATTTCAGCTAGAGAGATTAGAGAAGGAAGCTTTTCTAGAATGGAGAAGAAAGCTTGCGTCACTTCAAGAAAACAATGAAGATCTCTTATTGACCCCTTTTGAGAGAAACATCGAAGTCTGGCGGCAGCTGTGGAGAGTTGTTGAAAGATCAGACTTGGTAGTACAAATTGTCGATGCTCGTGATCCGCTGCTCTTTAGATCCGTGGATTTGGAAGCCTACGTTAAGGAAATTGATGACAGAAAGCAAAATTTGCTTTTGGTTAACAAGGCTGATCTTTTGACGTTAAAGCAACGTATAATGTGGGCCAAGTATTTTATTTCACGGAACATCTCGTTTACTTTCTTCTCGGCTGCAAGGGCCAACGAGATTCTTGAAATCCAAAAAGAACAGGGTGATGACTATGTCCACAAGGAAGAAGAAGAAGAGATAATAACCGAGATTGATGGTGAAAAAGTTGATGATGAAGTTCTGGCAAAGATAAAGATTTTGAAGATCGACCAGTTGGAAGAGCTTTTCCTATCGAAAGCACCAAATGAACCTTTGATCACACCTCTCCCAGGACGTGAATCTCTCATTCAAATTGGTCTTGTTGGTTATCCAAATGTTGGTAAGTCGTCAACTATCAACGCCTTGGTTGGTTCCAAGAAAGTTTCAGTTTCTTCTACGCCAGGTAAGACTAAACACTTCCAAACAATCAAGCTTTCTGATCGTGTGATGCTGTGTGATTGTCCTGGTTTAGTATTTCCTAATTTTGCTTATAACAAGGGTGAATTAGTCTGTAACGGTGTTTTACCAATTGACCAACTAAGAGATTACATTGGTCCATCAAGCATAGTTGCAGAAAGAATTCCAAAATTTTATCTAGAGGCCGTCTATGGTATTCATATCAAAACCAAATCTGTTGAGGAAGGTGGTGATGGTAAAACACCAACTGCTCAAGAACTTCTTGTGGCTTATGCAAGAGCTCGTGGGTACATGACGCAAGGTTTTGGTGCTGCTGACGAGTCTCGGGCGAGTCGTTATATTCTTAAGGACTATGTGAATGGTAAACTTCTGTACATTAATCCTCCTCCTCACTTGGAAGATGATTCTTTGTACACCAAAGAGGAGTGTGCTGAGTTCAATAAGGACTTATACACGTTTGAAAATCTACCGAAAACAAGGCAAGAGCAATTGGCTGAAGCAGCAAAAAACAAGGGCATTGATACATTAGATTTAGCTCGTGATTTGAGTAAATTAACATTTTCTGCACACATTGGGCAGGCAAATGACAATGAAGAGGCAACGTCTGTAACTCATGGTGGTAAGCAAGCGGCACTTTATAATGCGGCGGAGGATTTGGACAGGGAATTTTTTCAAATGAACAGTGTTCAAGGCAAGTCAACAACGCCGTTCCATAAGCTCCAGCACAACAACGGTGGCGGAAAGAAGCACAATAAAAAAAATAAGAAAAAGAAAGCGTTGGCTTCCCGGGACTTGTAGGCTATTTAGCATTGTGAAACAGCATTTTCTGTATATTAATATCAATCTTTCTCTTTAAAGCCCTAACTTAAATCTAGTTTCGCAGTATTACCCGGCCAGAAACTTGCTTTTGTAAGAAATCCTGACCTCTCAACTTTCTTCCTTTACAACACCAAAGGCTCTTAACACACTTTCAACATGTTCAATCAGAGTATTTAGCCCTGTAGCCATTATTTAGGAGTTATTTCTAGATGAAGGCTTCTTTCGCAAGAAAGGGGGTCAGGTCTCATCCCAAGCATGAAGAAGTAAGCTCAAGATGCCTAGAGCTGGATATTTTCCAAATGCCCTTTTCGCTAACAACGACTGCTTTTCCACAGTTCGTAGTTTGATAGTAGGTGGGCGTAAATTTCAATATGAAGTTAAAGGTTTGGCTTTATATATCTGTATTCGTATCTTAGGTTCCTTTGGCATACTTGTCAACGTTGACAATGAATTGGTACATAAACGCGACGCCGGAAATCACCGATTTTCCGGTGGTCTTCTCGTCTACCGTGTGTTCCCGAGAATCCTCCACCAAGAGGGCACCAGAGTATCTGTAAATGTTCTTAGTCAAAGCCCAGTAAGATTTGGTGTCAGTATTACCAGTGCCTAAGGCAGGTGTGACGTAAACATTTGAGCCATTCGAGAAAAGCTTCTGCTGATAAGTGTTAACTGTAGTTCCGGCCATGATATCCCAGACTTCATTAGAGCTAGACGATAACGGAGCAGGTTCCAATGGATCAATCAATCTAACGACAAAGTGGCCGTTGGGTGTTTCTGGCTTGATGACAGTAGCGTTTTGAGCCTCCGATGCTCTTCCATTGACGATCTCTATGCCAAGTTCAAATTTGTCTGCTTTTTCTTTTACATGTCTCAAAATATGATTAAGAGTCTCATTGACAGACGAATGAATCGCAATACGATTGTTTACCAATACTGTTACCGATTCAGGCAAAGCATTAGCCTTAATTCCACCGCTAATCATATCGATGGCTTGCGACGTCTTGAAGAGATATTTGAATTCAGGTATTTTATCCAGCTCTTCAGCAGCTTTTTTTAGGTTGCCGCTACTTATCAAATCTCTCAACCGATGACTATCGTTTGGAGTATTTTCCAAAAAACACTGCAATGCATTTAATGCTGGGTTATCTTCTCCAACAAAGATTTCGTAGCGATCACCTTCCAATTCCACAATTAGCTCGCTGAGAATGCCAATTGAGGTGTGGTCCGGTGGCACAGACGAATGGCCGCCTGGAGTAAATAAAGTAATTTCTGCGTCCAAGTAGCCTTTCTCAGTGCTGACTGGAACACCCAAAAATTCACCGCCAGGGAGTTCGGCAACGCTTCCGCCCTCATCTAGAATGGCGTAGATACTGTCTGGGCCGTAACGATCATATATGTGTTGTGAGATTTTAGCTGCACAAGCTCCAGCAGCCTCTTCATCGCAACCTAAGGAAATAAGAACGGTCCTTTTTGGTTGAAAGCCATCTTTGATAAGTTTTTCCACCGTTTCAAGGTGAGTAATTACCAAGGACTTGATGTCGGCGCTTCCTCGGCCATATATAACATCTGTCTCCTCATCGTAAAACCCTTCGTATGGTGGATGAGACCAAGAATCCAACGTCTGAGGATCAACAGGGACTACATCCTGATGAGCCATCAAAATCAATGGCTTCAAAGACTTTTCAGAGCCCTCCCACGTATAGAGTAGGCCAATTTGATCAATCTTCTCTACCTTCACGTTTTCGTACACAACAGGAAATTGTTCTTGCAAGTAGTCATGCAACTCTAGAAAATGTTTCCATGGCTTAATATCCACTGAAGGTGCTGGTGTGTTGTCGAAAACTTCGGTTGGTATCCTGATAGCTCCCGTAAGCTTGTCTACTAGCGATTTTTTGTAGTCCTTGTCATATAATATTTCATCCAACGACTTGTTAAATGCTGGTTCAATAGGTTGATACTTCCCGCAATTGGAACACGTTTGCTGCCTATGGTGAGTTGCTCTGATTGCAAGTGTACTGATCCCGATGACAGTTGATACGGCAAGAAGAAGCGTTAAGATTAGTTTTTTACTTCTTCTGAATGATAAAGGGGTCTTCGTACCTTCAATTGGTTCGTAATCTGACATGAGATATACTATCAGTGGTGTTAGTGACTAATCAAGGGTACATTTTTGCCATTTTTGTTTGCTTGTAATAAATAATACTCTCAGTCAGTATGCAACCATTTCTATTACCCTCCTTGTCTTCGCCGCTTGTGTTGTCATGTGACTTTGAAACCTAACTTTTTCTATTGAATTCAAACTTTGAATCGTCTATTAACAATGACTGTGTAGCACATAAAGCGTTCGGCACACAAATAGCTTTTCCAACTTCTCTGTGTTAAGGTCTTTTCTCCTACCATTTTTATTGGAGAGTAATTGTAGTGTTGAGGTTTTTCAGGAAATATATTGAATATGACAGAATACATGGAAAGAATCGGTTATCTGAAGGATCGACTTGAATCATCATACGTGGAAGAAACTTCAAATGTTGACAACCTTTTGAGGAACTTACTCAATGCTAAGTTATCTTCAAATTTGGACCGTATTCGAGACTGTGCAGTGACGGAACAACTTCAATCTAAAGAAAGTGCTACCGGTCCACTGATAAAATTTCAAGAAGATTTCAAAGATCTGGAGTTTAGAGCCAGGTCAGTTCAGTTTGAAACAGAGAAGGATCTTCTTTCACAATATACCAGGTTAGTAGAATCCTTAAAAACGCGGCGCTATAGTGTTGACTTCGATTCTGCTGCAGTGCCCGACGCTGCAGACGAGGATCTCGACGCAGTTGATCTTGATCAGAAGGATAACGAGGAAGAAACACTGGGAGAATTAAGGCAAAGGCTGCTGGGAAAGACAAAAGATGGCGATTCTCTTAATAGTGAAGTTCATTCGTCGGTTGAGAAGCAAATGCAGGTACAAGATAATTTACAAGAACAACTGGTTCATGATATGTCTCAACTTGTTTCTAGTTTAAGGGAGGGTGCAGAAGCTTTCCAGAATGCGCTGCAAGAAGATTCCACTGTTTTGAAAGCAACCGAAATTGGTTTGCAAGTGACATCCAAAAGTCTATCCAGCCTCGGTACAAAACTTAAAAAATATCATAATTCCAAATTTGGGTTCTTCTTCTATATAGGTTGCACACTGGCCATGCTGTTGGGGTTACTTATAACATATTTGATTATCAAGATTTTCCCCAAAATGTGAAATATGCGTCCTCACTCATTAAGTTCTTCTGCTTTTTCTCAGGAAAATACATAAGAGGAATGCCGATAGCACGCTGAGTATACAGCAGATAATACTTGGATAGAATGAACTAACCAATGCTGATTTGAATATGTTCAAAATGGTCCCTTTTTCATTAGCTGAAAGCGACGCAGTGCGGACGCTTGTATTATCTTTTAACAGTTGAACGTACAGTTCATTATTGTTACCATCAAAGTGAGCTCTCAAGTCGCTCTTCAGACTGTTCACAAAAATCCCCAAAGCGATTGAAACACTAAGAACGTTCCCTAACGATCTGAAAAGGAATGTCACACTAGTGGACGCGGCTTGCCCTTTTTTCCCAACCTTTGCTACGTTATACAACATCACCGCGACACCTTGGAAGCCCAATGACATTCCCATAATAATGAAACCTAGCACGAATTTGAATTTTTGTGCCCATGGCACCTCATTTTCATTGCCAATGGAGGGTGGTATGCTCGTTATGCATTTGAACATGATTGAAAACCCAATTACGCTGATTATGGTGTTAATGACAATCATCATTCCGGAGTTGTAAAGCGTGTTTTCGCGACTAGGACTGCCAAACTTCCGTAAAATCCATCCACATAGAAAGGACCCTGCCGAAGTGGACAAGACAGTGAAAATAATATACCCTCCGGAGCCTGTGATGCTAACCCCCCAAACAAGCTGTAGATAGAGCGGTATAATAAATAATCCGACATAACTTAGCATCGAAGCAAGACCGTAGATGAACCCGATCAAGCCTAATGTACCCTTCAGAACGTACATGGGTAGAATGCTTTGTCTAGCCCCATATTTCTCCACCAGTACAAATCCTATAACAGACATGATCGTGAGTAAAAGACAAACTTTTTTAGTTGGAGAGAACTCTTCGCTACTGGAGACATCGTTAGTCGAACACAAGAAAATGAACGCCGAAATTCCACACATAAGGAAAAAGCTGCCACCAAAATCAATGTCCTGCCAAGATCCATCCTTCTGATCCTCAATATCATGAATATACTTCCAAGTAAGCCACATGCTTATAATGCAGAAAGGTATTTGAACGACAAATAAGCCATGTATGCCAAACCAGTTCAATAATAATCCACCTAATGGACCCCCAATACTTTGTGCCGTCCCCCAGATGACGGAGCCCCAACCCATATATACGGACCTTTGTGAAAGAGGAGCAAGGTCTGAAAGTATGATATTACACATCGCACCCAAGCCAGACCCACCAATACCACAAATTGCTCGAGCAAAAGCTAGTTCTGGAATGGATCGTGCCAGCCCGCAAAGCACGAGACCCAACATGAACATAAACTCTGCAAAAAGTAGACACTTTCGCCTGCCTAATATATCGCTCGTCTTGCCGTACAAAGGTTGTACGGATGAAGTAGTTAACATGTAAGCAGTTGCCACCCATGTTACCATCGACGCCTGCTGGAAGGTGGAGGCGATCTCATTCATTGTGGTAGAAACGATGGTGCCATCTAAAGCACATAGTGCTGTGTTCATCCACATTGCTGTAAGCGCCAGCGGAAAAGTTTGCGGATCCCTCAGATCGAGCTCCAGGTCCTCATCGTCGAAAGAAGAACAGTCTGCATTTTTGCTAGGATCGGGAGTTTCGTCCCAGTCATTTAGTTCGATGAAAGACTCCAATGAATCATCTATTTTTGACATTCTGAAACTCCGACTTGTAGCTCAAGATCTCTCAACTGTCTTTAGTAGTAGCGTATAAATCTTTCATGACATCTTTGTAAAGCAACCAATTCAAGATGTGTGGCTGTCCCCGAATGTGATTTCATCTTCGAGGACGATAAGAAAAGACCGCAACGGAAGTGCCTTGCTAGGCGGCGGAAAAAAGGAACCTAGTATATTGCCAGTTTTCGAGAAGCGTAATTCGCAACAAGGTACACATACTGGGGAGGCCATTTGGATTGTAGCCATCTCGTGTTACTCCACTGCGCTTGTAGAAAAAAGCTGGCATTGTGGTAAAACTATCAGCACAGTAGCTACCATTGAATTACTAGCATTGAATTTCTATCTTTCTACTCTAAAACGATGATATCCAAAAATGTGAAGGAATTGCCTTTCAAACATAGCATGCCTCTGCCAGCGCTATGAACAAATAGTTTTAATTCAGGATCAGCATTCGTATTTTTGTCCATGAAATTTCACGAGATAAGTAGTTTACTTGAATGGTACCAGGAAGATGAATATTAAATTTGAAATCCAATCATACCGAATCTAATGTTCAACTTCAAGGGAACATTATTCTCATTGCAAGGGCTGAAAGTATCTCTTCTTTTCAAATTCAGAAGCTACCGAGATTTTAAGAAACTGCTTTGTTACACTACAGTGTTAAAAATACCCTATCCATCGATCCTCTGCAGCTTTTACTCGAGCTATGTCAAACATTTCATCACCGATTCTCTTCTATAGGAACAAATCACTTTGTCCTATGCCATTCCGGCAGCAAAAAGAGAATCAGTGATGATGAGAAGTTGTCGGGCCGATTTGCTGCATGCGCTCTAGTTCCACGGAAGGGATAGATTTGCTGCATGCGCTCTTGTTCCACGGAAGGGATAGATTTCCTGCAACAGAGAATGTATCGAAAGGACGTTAGGAAGGCTGAGTCTTTCTATTAATAATGCGCTGTTTATAAAATCCGTTTATGGTTGCTATATATCACAGCATGAAACTTGAGAACCCCAGGCATTTCCAGAGCATACACGATAAATATGACGGAACCAGCGCCAGGTTACAGTAAACTCTTTGTACTAAAGGAGTATTGGTACGGACTTAGACCAAACAAGCCAGAGTTTGTTCCTAAGGATTATCCGGACTTAACAGGCAAAACTGCCCTTGTGACGGGTTTCAACGCAGGTATCGGTTATGAAGTGGCGAAATTACTGTATTCGAAAAACTGCAATGTTATCGGGATAGTGAGGACAGAAACAAAAGGATTGGATGCTCGTAAACGTATACTCGAAGATGTTGCCGATAGTACGGGGGATGTTCAAGTCGTTGGTGGCTGTGAGCTCTCTGATTTGACCACGATCAAGGCAGTTGCTACTAACGTCAAGAAGATCGTTGGGGAGAATCCGATAAGTATAATAATTCATAACGCAGGGATTATGCCTCCTACAAATACTGGGACCTCAAAACAAGGCTTTGACTTGATTTTTGCCACAAACGTGCTGGGGCCACAATTATTACAACACTTCCTCGATCCTCTGTTCTTGAAAAAGGACGACGACCTGAAGAGAATTGTTTGGGTTTCTTCTTCAGCACACTTCAATGGTTTTGAGGAGTATGGTATCAACTGGGAGAATCCGACTTTCGAAGGCGTTGAAGCTGCAAAAAGGCCCCCTGCAACAACATTGTATGGTCAATCGAAAGCCGCGAACATTTTGCAGGCAAAGGCATGGGCCACTAGACACAAAGAAATTGTGGATCAGATCAATTGTGTTTCTGTTTCCTGCTTCCCGGGTGTTCTAAAAAGTGAGTTGACCAGGGATTACTCCTCGTGGATGCATTTGATCAAAAACGTACTATTTTGGGATTGTGAGTACGGAGCATATTCTGAACTTTATGCAGCACTTTCTCCAAATCTAACTCTCAAAAATGAGGGTGCGTATATTGTACCCTTCGGTGAAATTCACGAGCCTAGAGACGACATAAAAGTAGGATTGACCAACGGCACTGACCTTAAGCTGTGGGATCTCGTAGAAAGTATCATCGGGAAGTATTTTTAGTTTGTATGTATAAGAGACATTTAGGTTGAAACTTAAATCCTGAAGAGTCAGAAGGGGGCCTTGACATTCAAAGCGCCGAGCTTATGACTCGGACATTCTCCTTTTAAGTGACTGAGAGACGGTCCATCGAGGTGAATAAAGAAATCGAGAATGGGGTTGTTTCAGAAAAGCATATTCACATAACCTTGTGAGGCTCCCGATTTGGTTTCTTTTGTTTCCCTCTGATTACTAGATCTTTACAAAATCTACTATAAGTCAGTTTCAATTTCAATTTCAATAGCAGCGGGTTTTCCCACATTCCTTTTGGAGTTTTTTGATTCTATACACAGAAACTGATGAAATGATAGCTTAATACTCTATTTCCTACAATTATGCATTTAATATGAAACTATTCGATGTCAAGCATTAAATCTGCCTTGTTTCCGACGTCACTGACAAATTCTCTGCTTTCACCAGCCAGCAACTCACGCCTTATTTCAGGACCAATGTCCCTATGGCCTCTTTGGCGAACAGTTTCCAGTAGAAAATCTCTTTGATCCTGCGTTATATCATTCTTGTAACGTTGAGCAAAACATAGAAAAGCTTTGTGCCATACCACAGGTAGGGTTCTCGTAGCATCTTCACCATTGCTTCCATCATCTACAACCCTAAATCTCATAAAATAGAAAACGCACTCATCGACAGTTTGGTAAGGGAGGGCATACTTCTTGTCAAGCAAGATTCTTATAAATACCGTTGTTGCAGGTGAAAATGGAAGCCTTAGTAGATAACTTAGAGCAGCAGCAGAGTGTAAAGCCGGAACAGAAATTTTCGCCAAAACACTGCCTGCGATAGTCGCTTCACGAACATTGCAACCTGTTTCTACCAGAGGAAACAAAAAGCCCTTGAAAAAAGCACTGGGTTTGTATAGAGATTTTTTGATAGAACGATAAATGTGGTAATTCAAAGAATGGTCTTCACTAGTTTCGATATTTTCACGGAAACGCTCGAGGAGAACTGCATTAATGAATTTTTGAGCCTCTTTAGCGGGCAAGTTTGAAACAAACAGTTTCGTTGCTTCGTAAACAACATGAGGAGACCACTCTGGAGGGTTGGTGACATATAAAACATCTTGCCAGTTGTTCAGCGATGGAATCACCTTGAAAAGCTTGGGCAGTTTTCCATGAGTCCAAGTCTTCAAAATTGAACCTACCGTAGTGTATGCTTTTATTACTTTTGGAGGCAATGCCACACCTTCTTGAGGAGCAGCTCTTTCGTTCGAAACAGAGCTCTCGGTGAGCTCCATTTCTTTTTCGCGAATAGAGGCCATAATTTTATCTGCCAAATTGTAGCTCTGGAAAGCAGAATTGTAATCGTCAGCCTTCTTGAAATAGCTCTCAAACATGGCAGCATCTTCCTCGTCTATCTCTATGACCTCCTCTTCCTCCTCATATTCTGCACCTTCGGGCTCAAAATCAGAAATGTTCTCGTCTGCTTCATCTTCGTCATCTTCATCCTCATTGTCGTAATTAGCTACGCGAAATCTCGCTACTGAATTTCTCTCCTTCAAAGCATCATTTTCTGCTTCTTCTTCTAATTCTTCTTGTTGCTCTCTAGCTAACTGTAGAATCTTTCTGGAAGATTGCGCGTCTACGTAATCTTCTTCTTCATCGCTCTCATCTCTCTGTTGTTGCTTAGCGGCTTTTCTCAAATTACCTTCAGATGCATGAATATCCTTCAGCAAAGGATCATGTCTCTGCTTTTTAGATCTTGAAGTGGCAACCCTACCCATTATCTGTTGTTAAAGTTGTACTCTATCTTCACTTGAAGGTCTCATCTCATCGCGAATTTCATAAAATTTTTCCGAGCTAACAAAAAGAAATCTTATATCATTACATACGCTTGAGATACCTTAAACTGACGCTGGCTCTTCTTTTTATTAAAATAGGCATGCTTTGTAGCTAGCTTTCATGACATTTATATCACTCCTGTACAACCTTTTGCAGCTCATCTAGGTGATGGCGTAATCTAGAGATAAAGACAATTGTGCCAGCGCTTGAAATGACCACCGAAACACCACAAGTTGCAGTGCCCAAACTTAAAGAGCAAAGCGTCAAGCCGGTAGCATAAGCCGTCAAAAGAATACCTAAATCCCCAAATATTGCGGAAATTTCGTTCATGGCTTGGTCAATATTACCATCTTCTACGGTAACCTTAACCCTGCTGCATATTATTTCTGCCAGAAGTCGTCCGGTTATCTCCTCACTCAATTGCTTATCAGTAAGAAGATCAACAGTGTCGACCAACTCCATTATTTGAAAGCTATTATCGTCATCTCTTGATTTAAAGAAGTTAATCGCGTCATCTAAAGTCACTTTGAGAAGATTCAGTTCATTGATAACTTTTTTCAGCTTTGTGGTTGACATTTTCAGCTTACACTGGTTTTTTACGAATTCATTGGATAGTTCCGATATCTTGAGCTGAAAAAAGATCCTCAATTGTGCATTTAAGTCTTTTAATTCACTCCCAATTTCCTCTTTAGCGAATATGGATACTAGATTTTTGCTCGATTCATCAATGCCAAGACACGCTGATAAAAGCTCGCGAGTAATTTTAGCATTTGGATTGCTAATGTGTTGTTCTAGTAACATTTTTTCACCAATACTAACAATCTCATTTAAACTGCTGTGCAATCTCTTCGTGCAGGATATTCCTTCCAGATCGGAGTGCTTGTCATATGTAAGTTCCCTCGGGGCAACTACGGGAAGTAAATTCGATTCTTTGTTCTGGGGTCCCCTTGTGGCATATGAACTACAGAGTTGTAGAATGAAGATCAATATTAATAACTTCTTCATTGTTTTGTTTGTTCTTGCTGACATGATGTATTTCTATTACAAATTTGAACGTCACAAAAGACAAGAAGTTTTTTAAAACATAAAAGATCATAACGTCAATTACAACCAGAAAAACAACAATTTAAATGCAAAACCAACGAATTCGAACTTGAGCATCATTTGTGGGGTACAAATAACGAACTCTTTACATTTGGAACAGATACATTATCTGATCACGTGACACAATTTTCTGTCGCTACATTTTTTTTCCATGCGATGATCTTTGAATCAATTTGAACATCACGCACGTCAATTGTTGTTCGAAGAGGAATAAAATAAATCCGACCATTTACTGGTAAGATGAGTAAGCGTGCAGCAAGCCCTACCGATTCACCAGCCAAAAGGCAGAAAAAACATCTAGTATCCACTATTCACAAGCACTATGGTTTAATTAACAGTCAAGATGATTATAAACACATGTATTTGTCACTGCAGCCGTTAGATATTTTCTGCTGGGGGACAGGCTCGATGTGCGAGTTGGGTCTCGGTCCGCTTTCCAAGAACAAGGAGGTTAAAAGACCTCGTTTGAATCCGTACTTGCCTCGCACTGAAGCAAAAATTGTATCTTTCGCTGTTGGTGGGATGCATGTTCTTGCTTTGGATCAAAATAACAGGATCTGGTCGTGGGGTACCAACGATTCTGGCGCTCTGGGCAGAGATACATCTGGTGCAAGAGAACAACTAAAAGATATGGATGCAGACGATAGCAGCGACGACGACGACGGTGACTTGAACGAGTTAGAAAGTACGCCAACCAAATTGCCTGATGATGCATTGCCTATCAACGAGCATAAAATTGTCCAAATAGCTGCAACTGATAATCTAAGTTGTGCTTTATTGGACAATGGCGATGTCTACGCCTGGGGAACTTTCCGTTGTAACGAAGGTATTTTGGGTTTTTACAAAGATTCAATTAAAATTCAACATACTCCTTGGAAGGTTCCTGCTTTCTCCCCAGTTAAGATTGTGCAAATGGCCCCTGGAAAAGACCATATTTTGTTTTTAGATGAGCACGGCGTTGTATACGCATGGGGTAACGGTCAACAGTACCAATTGGGTAGAAAAATCATGGAGCGTTCCAGATTAAGAACACTGGATCCACGGGCATTCGGCTTGGACAACGTCAAGTATATTTCTTCCGGTGAAAATCACTCTTTCGCGTTAACGAAAGACGGAAAACTGTACAGTTGGGGTTTAAATCAATTCGGCCAATGTGGTGTTTCTGCTGAAGTTGAAGATGGCGCCCTTGTTACTACACCTACCGAAGTTCTGTTACCCGAGGGAACTAAGGTCAGAATGGTATCTGCTGGTGAACATCACTCTTTAGTTCTGACAGAGGCAGGTGAAGTTTTTAGTTTTGGAAGACTGGACATGTTCGAAGTAGGTATTCCTAAAGACAAACTACCTGAGGATACCTACAAGGATGCCCATGGCAAGGCACGTGCTATCCCTATTCCAACGTTATTATCCGATGTTCCTCGCTTCAAAAACATTGCTGCTGGCTCTCATCACTCATTGGCTATTTCTGAGGATGGTATCGTCTACTCTTGGGGTTTTGGTGAAACCTACGCATTAGGCCTAGGCCCAGCGGGAGAAGACGTCGAAATACCAACAAGAATCAAGAACACTGCAACGCAAGATCACAGTATCATGTTCGTCGGATGCGGAGGTCAATTTTCTGTATCAGGTGGTGTCAAACTAAGTGATGAAGAAGCAGAGAAAAGAGCCGATAAAATGGATGATTAAAACTATGATTTTCAGAAAAGTTGATTTTTCCTGCTTTCGCACTCTAACGTGTTCACATATAAAAGTACATTAGTAGTTTATTCCCATCTCGGGCCTAATCAATTATCAAAGATAACATAACATCTCAACGGAGAGCTACATTGAGTTTGCTGTGTGATTTCGTCCGATTGGCCTGCATGAATACTGTGACAGCTTGAAAAAAAGACCTGGCTCAACCCACAGTCTCAACTCAGTTTGTATAAATTAGATAGGAGCCCGTACCCATGACATTAATAGATAATTTGACAGAGTTTAATTTGAGTTTCGTGATTAAGAAGGACTCGATCTATAATTTGATTAATATAGAGACGTAAAAAAATTCGAATAATTATCAATTTTGGCGGCAGTATTTATTTGCTGTCCATTCTGACTTTGAGGCCATGTTCGAGAAGATACTGTTTGACATCGTTTACAGTATACTCACCTCTGTGGAATATACCGGCGCCAAGACAGGCGTCAGCTCCAGTTTTTATGAAGGCCTCTTCAAAATCCTTAGGGGCACCTGCACCACTAGATGCAATTACTGGTATGCTAACAGCATCTTTGGCATGCTGAATTAACTCTAAATCATAGCCAGAGTTAGATCCATCCTTATCAATACAGTTCAAAAGAATTTCACCTGCACCAAGTGCTTCACATGCTTTTGTGAGTTCCCAGACGCCCATATCTCTGGACTCTCTACCACCACTAACAGTGCACTGATACCAACACCAACTTTGCCCCTTTTCATTAGGGAAGTTGGTTTTCAAAGTTTTGTGCTTAGTGGAGTCAGGTCCATCAACGTAAACTCTTTTCGGGTCCACTGAAATCACAACAGCTTGAGCACCGTACGCTTTAGAGATCGTTTCAATTGGAGAAGTACCATCACCCTTTCCTCCAAGCTCATAGAATTTTTCGGCGGCGTAAACAGCGTCTGAACCTATCGATACCTTGTCAGCTCCTGATCTAAAATACATCCCCGCAACTTGAAGGGCAGGAATTTTTGTTCCATCAACGTCAATAACATCTTTAATACCACCTCCAACAGTAAGAGGAACAAAAACAGTCTTCGCAGCCTGTCTCAAAACTTCTAACATCGGAGCATCTTTCACTGGGCAGTTCCTAAAACTCGTAATATTCAAAAATGTAACCTCATCAGCGCCTTGCTCGTAGTATTTTCTCGCGAGTTCTACTGGTTTACCGAGATTTCTGACATTTCCACCAACAGCCTTCTCACGAACATCATATTGGTCACCCTTTGTTACAACCAGATCACCTTGATCATTGGTACGCACATCCAGGCAGGCAATGATTCTTCTTGATAGACCATAGTTCGAGTAATCGTTACCCAATAGCTCTTTCTCTCTTTGGGTGTGCTCAATAGGTGGATGTTGCTGTTTCAAGAAGTTATCAATGATTTTTATACCAGCAAGTCCAGACTTTTCGGGATGGAACTGTGTTGCAAATATGTTGTCCTTACAGATAGCTGCAATGAATTCTTCACTACCATATTTTGCTGTAGCAACATTCCAGCCTTCGTTTTCCAACTGTGTTTTAGTATCAGGACTAATAATAGCGGCGTAGGAGTGGACGAAATAATATCTTCTGTATGGATCTAAACCGTAAAGGCTATCTTTGGGGACGCAATTGTTCCAGCCGATTTCAGGGACGGGCTTTTCAGAGCTATCAAATTTGGTGAGCTTTAGATCAATTAGTGATAGACCTTTGCTTTCAGGAGATTCCTCTGAACCGTTGAAAAGAGTTTGCAAGCCCACGCAGATACCCATTAGAGGTCTCTTCGACGCAATATATTCACGCAGAGGCTTTTCGAAACCTCTAGACTGCAAGTTATCCACAAAGTGACCAAAATTTCCAACACCGGGAAGAATTAACTTCGAAGCATTGGCCAATTCCGGATCTTGGGCATCTTTGATCAAATGAACTTTGTAGCCAAGATACTCAATGGCATTCGTTAAGGATTGCAAATTACCACTCTCGACATCAATAACGTGAACCAAGGACATGCCAGCAAATTGATATGGGGGAGGTGAGGCGGATTGGGCTCTAGGAATTGTTCGAGCGAGCATTTATTGATGTCGACTTTGTTCGACAAATGAGTCAATGGTGGAACGATACATCACTAAATACGTGAATGTACGCTTTGGCGATGTTTCATTCAATGCAACTATAACATGCTTTTTAGAATAGCGTGCTATTGAATTGTTTAACTTTTACGTACGTGATATATTAGAACGGAAATCATATGCAAAGCCTAGGTGACCAACGTGATGATTGATACATGTGACCAGAGCAGTTGCGGACTTAAATAACTGGATGAACTAAATTTAGGCGGAAGCCTTTCTGACCTCTCTTCTTTGTCTAACAGCAGCAGCAAGCTTGCGCAATACTTGGTCAGTAGTTTCCCAGCCTATACAACCGTCAGTGATAGAAACACCGTATTTCAAACCGGCTGGACCTTCTGGAGGAATGGCTTGCTTACCTTCGTTAATGTTAGACTCAATCATAACACCAATGATTCTGTCTTCACCGTTAGCAAGTTGTTCGCACACGACATCGTTGACCTTTGGCTGGTTTCTGTAGTCCTTATTGGAGTTACCGTGGGAGAAATCAACCATGAGGCCGATGTTGGCAGGCAACTTGGCCTTGGCCTCGGCAACGGACTTAGCGTCGTAGTTTGTACCCTTCTTACCACCTCTCAAGATGACGAAACAGTGTTCGTTACCCTTGGTGGTAGTAATGGCGGCGACACCGTGCTTGGTGACACCCATGAAGTGGTGAGAGTGAGAAGCGGCCTGCACGGCGTCGATGGCGACATCTAGAGTACCGTCAGTACCGTTCTTGAAACCGATAGGGAAGGACAAACCTGAAGCCAATTCTCTATGTAGTTGGGACTCGGTGGTTCTGGCACCGATGGCACCAAAGGACAAAAGATCGGCGAGGTATTGTGGAGAGATGGTGTCAAGCATCTCAGAACCGATAGGAACACCAGCGCTGGTTAGGTTGACGAAGAGTTGTCTCGAGGACTGTAGACCCTTGTTGATGTTGAAAGTGTTGTTGACGTCTGGGTCGTTAATTAGACCTTTCCAGCCAACGGTAGTTCTTGGCTTTTCGAGGTAAGCTCTCATGATGATGCAAAGATCGCCTTGTAGCTCATCTGCTAGCTGCTTGAGGCGATTGGCGTATTCCTGAGCAGCGTTAAGGTCGTGGATCGAACAAGGGCCGACAACGACAAGCACACGGTCGTCTTGACCGGTGATAATGTTGCTGGCCTCTTTTCTACCGCGCTGGACGGTTGCAAGACACTCTTGGGTGGCAGGAATTTGGGCCTGTAGTAATGCTGGTGACACTAATGGGTCGTAGCCCAAAATTCTGACGTCTTCGGCTTGTTCCGAGGTGGACTCTGGTCTGAACATAGGTTGATCGCTCATGGGAAAATGTAAACGCTAGTACGATACGTGTGTGTGAGACGCTTGTAACAAAATGCGGTGGAGACCGATGAATAAGTATGAGTTGCGATGTGCGTGGTACCACTGCTATTTATTACGGGAACACCGAAGAGGCACAGGTTGAAATTTTTTGAAGAGTCATCGCGCTTGCGGATAAAAAAAATTTTCAGCGCCGTCTATGCACGATGAGCACCTTCACGTGGGAACATGGCGCGATCTAAGCAGCTCGTCCGTGGGTAGCGACCTGCATGGACCCTTGAGTGTGGGGCATCTAGAGCCACCACGTGTGGAACTGCATGAGGTGTGCTTTACGAGTATCAGTCCAACTACATGTTACGCGAGGCAGTAGTCTAGAGGATGCCACTACATCTTGTGTTCTTGAGTTTTTGAGCTACACATGCTATATTCGGAGTCAATTTGCCTGTGCGCGTGGTTTATTGCCTCTGTTGCCACTTGCCATTTTTCTGGAACATAGGGTGATCAACGCCCGGGCCTTGTCTTGCTGATAGGTGCCACGCAATGAAGAAAAGGCTATTTCAGGCTCGAGCAGAAAAAAAAACGACATATGCACGTGACAAAACGGCTGAAAATGACGTAATCAAAACCAGACAGTCCAACGGCCCGCACCAAAGGAGGAAAATCCGAATCAGCGACGCGTGCGCCCATACACCATTAGACTTCCCCTTTCCTTCGTTTCCTTTTCCCCAGTGTCGTTTTACGACCAATTTCTGTCCCCTGGCCCCACTCGGGAAATTATTGCCTTCCATCATCGCACCACGGATTAACCGTTGGATGCAATCGCAAGGAGGCTCCACCTTCTCACCGCGAAATACCCCAGCGGGCAACAGATCGGCCGCGTATAAGAACCCACGCGCGCGCGGCGGCGCTAGCGACGCCGCCCCATCACTCACAATGGAAAAGAAAAATTCTCCAAATCAGGCTACAGGCCGATACAGTGAACTGTATGCACCAGGATCATCCTCATCTACATCGCCGAAACTCAAACAGGACGCAAGTGTATATCATGTAGAGGACGCGCGGGCAATGGGACCCGAAAACAGAAATACGGAAGTTTGGGAATCATCTCATGGCATGGAAGAGAATCCAGCCTTTGAACAAGGCCACGCCTATGAATATTTAGCTGAAAGCACAGTTACAACATCGCCCAATAGTGAGGACGCGGCCGCGCGCTTTCTGGGGCTCTCTGAAGGCGCGCAATTTGCGGACGCTGTTGAAAAGCACATGTCTTTGGTAGAAGGCGTGCGGCAATATCCACACGCGGCACTTTGGTCTGTGGTTCTTTCCTCTGCGCTAGTGATGGAGGGCTACGACACCGCGCTACTTGCGTCTCTGTATGCGCTTCCGGCATTTGCACGGCGTTTTGGCGTCTATAATGATGCAGCAGGTATCTACGAGGTGCCTGCGCGTTGGCAGACTATACTTGGCATGTGCACTAACATAGGAGAAGTGGTTGGTTTGCAGCTGGCAGGCATTGCTGCAGACCGCTTTGGATACCGGCGGACGTTAATTGCTGCCATGTTTGGAGTATTTTGCTTCGTATTCGTGTTAGTTTTTGCGAATTCGTGTACAATGTTGGCTGTTGGCGAGATACTATGCGGAGTGCCGTGGGGCTGCTTTCAAACGCTCACGCTTTCGTATGCAACCGAGGTGTGTCCTCTGGTTCTAAGGTACTACCTCACCACTTACGTCAACGTGTGCTGGGTATTGGGCCAAATTCTGGCTGCAGCAGTATTGCGTGAGTCTCAAAACCATCTTGCCCACTCGGAGTGGGCATTCCGACTTCCATTTGCGTTGCAATGGGCATGGCCCTTGCCCCTAGCGGTAGGCATCTACCTCGCACCCGAGTCGCCGTGGTGGCTTGTGAAGAAGGGTCGCTTCGTGGCCGCGCGTGTCAGTTTAGCTCGCCTTGTCACGGGCCTGGATTTGCGCTCGAAGAACGATGCCATCGACGCCATGCTTAAGCGCATGAAGCTTACCACTGAAAAGGAAGAAACGCTTTGCCGCGACGCTCGCTACGTCGACTGCTTCCGTGGAGTGGATGCGCGCCGCACACGCATTGCATGCTTAACATGGATCACGCAGAACGCGTGTGGCAGTGCAATGATGGGCTATTCTACGTATTTTTACGTGAAAGCCGGGCTGAGCGAGGCACGAGCGTTTGATCTCACCGTCGCCCAGTACTGTTTTGGCTTGCTCGGAACAATCGCCTCATGGTTTATTGCAAGAAGATACGGCCGCTTCACGATATTCAGCACCGGACTCGCACTGCAGTCGTTACTTCTACTGTCCATAGGTATGTTTGGATTGTTTTTTTCGTCGCAATGGGCGAGCAGCATTGTGGGTGCATTACTCCTGTTATTTGTATTTGTTTATGACGTGGGCGTAGGCCCTGTCACGTACTGCATTGTACCTGAGATCCCATCCACTCGACTCCGCACCAAGACCGTCGTGCTCGCACGAAATTGCTACAACACAATGGGCATTCTCAACGCAATATGGACCCCTTATATGTTGAACTCGACTCAGTGGAACTGGGGTGCCAAGACGGGGCTTTTTTGGGGCGCAATAGCTGCAATTATGCTTCTATGGGCGGTGTCAGACTTACCTGAGACCAAGGACCGCACTTTTGGCGAGATAGATGAGCTTTTCGCCCAAAAAGTGCCGGCACGTGGCTTCGTCACGACATCTGTGGATCCTTATGATGGGGCTCGACTTATGGGCGAACTCAACAAAGATCAAATAAGCAGGCTCGTGAGCACCGAGTCCGGTCCTTCTCTTGAGTAGGCATAGGCTCCTCATCCGGTGCCATAGGCGGGATATCCGGCGGGATATCCTGCGGCAACTCCGGTTGCCACTGGCTGCATGCTCAACCTTCCTTTAATTCTAGGAACAACTTGGCGTGTGGTTATCGACGTTTAGGTAAGTTATATAGGCTGTGATGCCTGATGGAATGCATGCGCATGCTTGTTCTCGTTCCTGCGAAGTAACACAGTTTCACTAAGCAACCGAGGTGATGGCGTTTGACAACTCTAAGATTCAATTACTTCTCACTAAGGAGAAGCTGATGATAGGGGAGGGGGAGAGTAACCATTATATAGTTGATGTCAGTTTGATGGAAAGTGAGAAAGGGAATACTGGCACTGCTCCATTTTTGGTACCAACAGCGAATAAACAGCGTGTTTCTTCTGAAGATCACATGCAGGCAACTGAACTTTTCAATTCATACAACGTGATTGCCATTATCGAGCGTAGTGAACTTGCTCCCCTTTGAGTGATCAAGAGGCGGCGAAAAATGGCTCATTTTTTTTTTCAACAGATTGGGGGCCGTATAGAACCAGCAGAGGCTAACATGGCTTTGTGAAGGAGTCCCGATTTCGTGACATACCGGCAGAATGCATTTTTGGCGTCTTGGGATGTCAGGGGTCCTTGAGGGCTGTAGATATTTCAGTCAGATGGATCAATTAAATTTGGATTGTCGATCTCCACCTAACTTCCTACGGCCGGCATCGGAAGAGGTTATCAAGTCAAAATTGCTAAGGGACGATAAGCAGGATGAATCCGGCCTTTTTGATTGAACTCCCTGAAAACCAAGAGCTTGGGAAATTGAGGGTGCAATAGAATAAGCTTGGCAATTTGAAATGATTTTCAAAAATACAAACACGTTGCTCCGCAAAATATTGCCTGTATTAACGATGCCCTGGAACATTCTTTCGTGTGGACAAATTGAATCGAGGCCGATAATTATTAGATTTATGACGAGCGGAAAAATTAAAACTCACGTATCATTTTTTAGATGAGATGCTGACAATTGTTATTTTTTTCCCTTCGAAAATAATTTTTGAAGGTGACTCATTCCCACCAATGGAATTTTCGAAAGACATTGACACCATCGAACGTGCGCAAGATGCCCGAGTCAAATAGAGCACCGAAACATCTACCGCCGATGGCGGGAAATACCCTTCAATCTCCGCTTTTCACATTGGTGACAGACAGACCTTGAAATACTCACGCTGGGCAGTCTTGGAGGCGATGAGACAACTTTGAGTCTTAGAAGTTGTGGAATTGAAATTATGATTAAAGATGTATATAGTAAAGCTAAGCTAAAGCCATAGATTAAGGTATTTTATTTTCTTTCTTGAAATTATGCATCTGGGAATTCTGTGTATTCGGGTGGGAAAAGCGTGCTGCCCTCGCTGGGACACTCATACAGGCTTGAATTTGAGATAGGTTTTGGCGATTCTGGCTCGTAGCGAGGCAAATATAAGGTTGAAACCATATCTTGATCTACCAGTAGCACGGGAACTCCCAGTCCAAGCTTGACTTTTTCGTTGTTATTGGGATCCGCAGGGTTTTCCAACTCAATGCCCACTACAATCTTGAGTTCGTGAGATATCCTGAGCGCGTGTTTTGGTTTCGATTTGTAGGCCAAGTGCGAGCTGTTTTCGCAATGGTAGTGGTGAAAGCACTTGTTGGCAGCGGAACGCTTGAGCGTCGAGGGCACGACAAAATCGTCAAACGACAGGTTGTGGGCGAGGTCGCCGGCAGACAAATCGGTGACAGTGCGTAGATGAGCGAAGGTGCTTTGTATGTAGTAACCCGCCAAGGGCTCGTCGGTCTTGGCGTCCACGCAGGGGATTGCCATTTTCTGAACGATGGAGAAGGTGACAAACAATATTTTGAGGCCCTGCAGGCGTTTTTTCACAAGCTGTAAATTGAATTGGAAAGGGTGGTCGAACTCAACCATGCGGGAGCTCAAGAACACGTCATAATCCAGCAGTCCGTCTCTCCAGGAGTTGTGACTGACCACGCTGTCGAAATGCGCGGCGGTGTCGGGCGTGAGCGTTTTCTTGATGTCGACACGCGACGTTAGAACGACAGTTTCGAATTTGTGCTTGGGTTGCGGGAGCGTGAGAAACGCCTCGACGCGGTACGCAGTCGAGCCGCAATGCGTCGACACCGTGGACGGGAAACTGGCCGCGTCGCCGACAAAAGTGAACGGGTAATGGTAGGTGCCGGGCGCCAGCAACGTGGAGCGACGATCCGCCGGGTGCGCGGCGCCCGCGTGGCCGTTGCTGTTGAAATAAACCACGTCTTGGAGCACGGGCGTGTAGTACGAGAATTGGTTGGAATCGCGCGATCGCAGCAGCTTGGTGACGCGCACGTTGGCGGCCGCGTCGATGGAGTACACAAACTGTGACGAGTAGCAGCTGAGCCGCACTTGCATGTTCTGGAGCACGACGCTGGCGCTTCCCTTGACGGTGACGACGAGCTTCCCCGTGACGCAGCTGTTGGCGGGCGCGGCGCTGCCGCGCCCGCCGAGCTCGCCGTCGAGCGGAGACTCGTCGTCGACATGAAGCCCAGCGAAGTAGAAGCAGGGCCGGTCCAGCTCGAGCGAAACACGCAGCTGGTCGGACTCGAACACCGTTTTGCATGGATTGCTCGTGGAATCGAACACGTTGTAGACAAACTCGGGAACGTGCGGCGTGGAGTGCTGGATCACGGTGCCGCCCTTCTTGAAGCCCGACAGCTGCCAGACGGGCAGCTTGGAGCCATTGGCGCTGGCGCTAGCGCCGTAGGCGCCAGCTCCAGCCTGCAGCTTGGCGGCCACCGCCCCAGGCGCGCACGAGAAACGTCCAAACGACAGTTTGTTGAGAACCATAGCAGATGGTGATAATGCTGACAGATAACCCAAGCGGGCCTGGTAATCACCACGACTCATTATTATATACCGTGTGGCTGCTGCTGTGCTTGCGATCGTGATGACTACAACGATCCACTGCGATTTAGTCACCGCCTAAGAATAATCTACAATCTTCCATCTTGCAGCGGAAAACTCAGCTTTGCTTAACAATCAACTTGTGGCCAGCGGAAAAAACCCAACTGGCGCGTACCGCCAGCCTGTAACACCGACCCCAACCCCAGCATGTCCGAGCAAAAACGAGCCACGAGGGATCACCAAACAAACGAACGCACCATAGAGCGGCGGCTGTGATGACACATCGCCAGGGCGCGAGCCGCGCTTAGCCGCTGGAAGAGGAGTGAACACAAAGACGCTGGACACAAAAGCGCAGCGGCCAAAATTCCACGGATTAGTCAGGGCCCCCCGACGCGCGCCCGCACGGCCGCGTCTGGGGCGCCACAGACGCCAGTTTTGCGCTTACAAGCGCGCTGCGCGCGCTGCGCGCGCGGCCCCGTTCGCCCGGCTGCTGTCGGGAGGGGTGTGGGTGCCCCGTTGTCGTTCCGGGCCGGGCCCTCTCCCCTTGGAGACGCGGCTGAGCGCCGGGCCAGCGCCAACGCACGGGGCCACGCCGACACCCACGCACCGCGGCCGCGTGGCGGTGCGCGGCGAGCTTCGGAACCGCATTCCGTCCCCGAGCAGCCGCGGCTGAAACCACGCGCGGCGCGCTGGCCGGAGTCGCTGCGCCGGTACCGGCCAGCGCGCCGAACATGTGAAAGCTCGGACTGCGCGACGATTACGCACGCGCAGACCGCGCCGCAGCGCATGCGCATGCGCCTGCTCCTTCCACCGTCCGCGGCCGACGCCACAAACACGCACAGCACACCACGCACAGAGCACACTGCAGCGCGCGCTGCGCGCTGCGCGCGCGTCTGTGCAGGTCCCATTTGCTGCCCACTGCGCAGAAACACAGGTGGCACATTCGGCGGTTTCTGAAGTTGCTCGTTTTGCGCTGATTCACACGAGTCACAACCCTGCGCATTACGCTCGGTCGCCAAGGGGGCGGCCCCGCTGGGCGCTGTCCGCTGTCCGCCCACTCCCGCACACGCACGCGTAGCGGCAAGCGGGCAAGCGGGCTATGCAATAAAGGAGCACGGGCTCACAACGGCGGCAGGCGCACGCGGGTCCAGAAGGATCTCGGGTTACGGGTATTGGGCGCGAGTTGCGAAGGTGGCCGCGCCTTCGCGCGCTCTGGATCTCGCGCTCGTCCTCGCTATCGCCGCCCGCTGCGTCCCGGTCTGCGCCGCCAGCCTGACGGTAGCGCATTCCGTAAGCGAGCCCACGACGTGCTTGTGCGCGCAGCGCACAAGCACCGCGCAGGTGCCACCCCTAGACCGCACGCAGCCGCGACACGGCCGCCTCGGAGCACGGGCTGTACGGGCACGCGTTACTACGGGGCGGTCGCTCGCAGAAGCGGCATTATGCTAGCCAACATTTTCCAGGTACGTGGTGGAAATTTAGGAAAGCAGCACCGGTGACACATCTTTTGAGACGGGACATGCACCGACACAGATATATATATATGTATGCGAGTGCGCGTGGGTGCGTGCGGCGTACACAGCGAAGCGGCCCACGATCTTGTCCAAACATCTCGTGCTGCGAGCTTCTCACGTCCAGAACGCTCTCTAACGTGCCAGCGCAGCCTCCCAGCCTCGACTTTCGCACGCATTCTCACGGTTGGCTTCTGTCCCCAACTCCGCCTTTCTCAAACCCGCGCCCTGTTCCACGATGGAAGCGCATCCCGGCCCCCGGCCCACCGCCCACAGCGTCACGCTGCCCTCCATCAAAAGCCTTCTCAACTCCATCGACGCCGAGCCCGTGGCGCCGGGTAACCCCGAGCCCGCGTTCTCTGCGGGCCTCGCGCTGACGCCGGGCCCGGCCCCCACGCCGCTGGCCCAGCACCCGCCCGTCCGCCAGCCCGGCGCCGCCCAGCAAGCGCAGCTCCCCGCCGCCCAGCAAGCGCAGCTCCCCGCCGCCCAGCAAGCGCAGCTCCCCGCCGCCCAGCAAGCGCAGCTCCCCGCCGCCCACGCAGCGGCTCCGCCGCTGCGCGCCCAGCCGGCGCTGCCGGCCCACGCGCCCGCCCAGTGGGGCTACCCTCGATACCACCCGTACGTTACCGCGGTCCACTACGATCCGCAGTTTCGCGTCCCCGCTACTGCCGGCAGTAGCGCCGCGACGGAATACGACAAGCACGCAGCCCGCCCCTCCAAGAAGGACGGCGGGTCGTCCCGTAGAACCAACTTACCAAAGGAAACCGTCGATATACTGAATAACTGGCTGCTCTCGCACCTGAATAACCCCTACCCGACGCCGCAAGAAAAACGCGAGTTGCTCATCAAAACTGGCCTCAGTAAGGTCCAATTGAGCAACTGGTTCATCAACGTGCGTCGCAGAAAGATCTTCAGCGACTACTACCAGCTGTCGCGCTCGGTGCGCCCCGCCGAGGCGGAGGACGGCTCGGACCCCGAGCTCGAAAAAAGGTTTGCGGCAATCCCGCTCACGAGGAGGAAAAAACTGATAGACCGCCTCGAGGAGCTCAAAAAGCTTTCGCAAGATTAGACCCGCACGCGCGGGACGGTGTGTATTAACGTGTGTATTCTGGATGTTAAAATGATGACTTTGTACTTTTGAGTGCCGAGCGAGCGAGCGAGCGTGTGTGCGTGCTGGCGGCTCTGGTCGCTTCCCGCTCCACTCCGCTCTCGTATAGCGCCAGGGTCTACCGACGTGGTCCCTGGCCCACTCGTGTCGCCCTGCGTCGAACAAACTTTTTCTGTGCTTAAACTACTCGTTTACCTATCTACGGCCCGGCGCTCAGTCCTGGCCCGGAATGTACGTATCTAGCTCTTCTTCTTCGTCCTCGAACGCGTCGTCCTGTCCCGGAATGTACGTGTCTCTTACCCTTCTTGCGCCGAAATTGTGCGAGTTGTTGACCCCAATCCGGTCCACCAGCGGCACAGAAAACCCTCCACGAGAAGCGTCAAACTCGAATCTCAATTCGTCGCTCACCTGGCCACCGCTCTTGCCCCTGCCGAATTGACGCCCGTCTTCGAACCCGGGGTCCAAATCAAGCGTGATGTTGCGATCATCCAGCTTGGTGTCCGATAGGTATTTCACTGCGTTCAACGCTTCCTCCGGCGTGCTGTAAATCACAAAACAAAACCCGCAAGGCGTGAATTTGAACCGGTCCAACCCCATGATGATTCTCTTTATAGTCCCACACTTGCTGAACAGCTCGTAAATTTGCTCCTCGGAAGTGTAGAAAGAGAGGTTGCCCACGTAGATGGTGGCGGATTTCATAGACTTGCGCAGATCTTCCAGCCCATGCGGGTTTCTACGCGCCTTTCTGATCAGGTAGTTTGAGGGCACGTCCAGTCTCGTGGTCGAGTGGTCATACTTTATCTCGTCAAACTCTGCCAATGACATTTGTGGCTCTGTTGTTTGGTCGCGCGCCTGTGATGTCGATTTGTGTTGTAATTTTTTTTTAACATGCTGCGACTAAATTGATGTCCGGAAAACAGGCTGAAGCGAGTAGGAACGCAAACTACAACAAAACTAGCTAGCAAAGCATTGGTGCTCACTACTAGAGCACCCGTATTTATGAGCAATTAAACCAACACAACTGTGTCTGGTGTTTTTCGATGCGTTTAAACGCTATACCCTCAAGAAATGTCTACATCTTCGACCATTGGAAGTAATGTCGTGCAAATTAAAGAATGACCGAGTTCTCACTACAAATACGTTAACAAATCACTATATTTCATTCACTTCCGATATAGTGTAACGGCTATCACATCACGCTTTCACCGTGGAGACCGGGGTTCGACTCCCCGTATCGGAGTTATCTTTTTTCCAATTAATTAGACTATACACCAGTACAGGTCATCTACTCTAGATTTCCCCATTTTTCTATCTTTGCAACTACCCAAAGCTTTGACATGGGATGCAAAATCCGACTCTACTCCTTTTTACCTTCTGTGGCTAAATATTTTGCAACGCGATATCGCTTCTGAAAAGAAACCGGCATATTTGCATATTTGCATGAGAGACGAAATTCTTAATTGCCAGAAGTAAAGACTCTAACCCAAATTCTCAATACATCTGTGCAACTGGCATATAATTTTCTCCTAGCACATGCATAGTTGGAACCCTAGATCCTGCATATCAATGGCTGCGCTTTCCTTTTTTTGTGGGTAAATTCGAAGGCAAGAGGTCATAAGTCGTAGTTTTCAGCTTGGAACTTTGTGATGATACATGTTGTCACCTTGTAAAAAGCCCGTAGGTTAGAATTTCCCTTTTTATTTTTCCATTTCAAGGAAATCATGGATTCTCGATTCACATAGCGCCAATTTTTGCGTGGCTTACACCCATCGATCTTATTACGAAAATTCCATAGTCTGGATTATTAGCTTTGCATCTATCAAGTGGATTATTTCCCACAATTCTTGGTTATCGAAAAGGAAAGGAGAAATTCCAAACAAAACTGACAATGAAAAATGCAAGTCCTAGAATAATTATGTCGTAAACCCATATCCGTAACTCAAGAATAGATTTGAGCCATCACGAATTTTTCCACCGCACATTCAACACTGCTGCAAAAAACTCATTAGTTCCAATTTTTCATTTTCTCTATTAGAATATACCTTTCCCGGGGAAATCTCTACGGTCTTGATTGGTAATGACAAATAATCAGTGAACTTATTGAGTGGCAATTTGAAAACCAGCCATGCCGCTTTGTGTCTTGCTACCGTGCCCGCCCCCTAACTTGGGATGTCACTTTCAACTGGAGAACATCTCACGCAAGATGGCACATGTTTACTGCCACAACCGGTTTGCAGCTTCTCTTTAGCAATAAAAATACCTCGTAACAGCGGGATAGACTGTAGATGCACTTTGCAACATCGAATGCTTCTCATAAGTAGAGCTTGACGTCAGAAGAGCTCTCTCTCTCCATTTCGTTCCCAAATGACATACACCCGAGTAGTACCCTGATCGAGATCCAATGTAGAGCATACGCATCTTCTTAGAATAACCATATTCAATTGAAATATACAAATAACGTACATATATGAGGAAAATATAGAAGCATTCATCTAAAAACATAGCATGAATATCGAAAGTGATAAAATTGCATGATAATAATGCATGGAAAAAAAACAACAATTCAAAAAGGAAACACATTGAGGTGATTGCGTTTCAAGCGAGGGTATACAAATGAAAACAGTCTTATTTGGCAGGCTTGTCTTTCAAACCATGAGGTTTCAACAGTTCAAAACTGCACATCAATCCTGTAGTGACGCTCATGACAGCTCCCCAATTCTGGAACTCTCCACAATAGTTGGGGGCTGAAAAAACAGTAACGAACTTTTTTCGTGCGAAAAACTCGTAACCATCTTCAACAACCATGTGGCCTCTGACAACCAAGTCGAACTTGAAGCGGGTACAAAAATCGTAAACGTTTCTTTTACCAAAGGTTACAGAAACACCACGATCGTTCACGGACCAATCTGGAACTTGAGGGTCCGGGTCACTCCACAACAAGTCTGTGAGCAGACCCTCTTCCGGAATATCAGTGGGTCTTGCAATTTGGTCGACTTGCATCATACTTGCCAAATCCGGAGATATTCCGCCATGCACGCAAAAAATTTTATCTTGTACGATGGCAGCAAGAGGCAAAGTGTTGAAAACATCCACAAACATTTTCCAACATTTGATGGATAGCCTTCTTTTACACTCGTCGTAAAAACCGTACATCTTGGTGACATTGGCGGATTCATGGTTACCACGCAACATAAAGAACCTGTCAGGGTATTTGACCTTGTAACATAGTAATAACAGCATAGTCTCTAATGACTGTTTACCTCTGTCAACGTAGTCACCTAAAAACAGGTAGCTAGTGTCTTGCGGAACTCCAGATAATTTAAGTATACGCAGCAGATCAGTAAACTGACCATGTACATCTCCCACAATCTTGATGGGGGCCTGTAAGCGTAACAAAGAAGGTTGATCTAAAAAGAGTTCGCGTGCGCGTGCACAGATTAGTTGAACCTCCCAAGATCTGAATGGGAAATCCTTGGGCTGGTAGTAGCGAGTCTGACCGACTTGAAGTAATTTGTCAATCATGTCGTCCACATCCAGCCGTTCAGACTGCGGGTCGTGAGCATTACGCTTCAAAATAATGCGGTTAGACGCAGAGCGAGGGTTGGGAATCTCAGTGCCGGACTTGATGCCGCGCCGAGCCAGCGCTTTGGCCTTGGCTTGCGCACGAACTGTTTTCTTACATGAGCTCGTGGCTGCCAAGGATGCGTGCTGCTCTTCCTTGATGGGAGGCAGCTTGTCGAGCCCCAAGTTGTCCTCCGGTGAGCTCCCATACATGTACGAGGAGTCTGTGACGCCGGAGGGTGGGGTCATGAGGCGCTTCAGAGACATCGAGCTGCTGGTGCTCGTTGCGCTAGAATTACTGCCCCCTGACCCACCTAGTGCCTTCGCAAATGACATATCTATTTCCAGGTCATACGCCTGGTTTGTGTTATTCCTCTTGGAATTGTTTCTGGGCTCTCCAGGAGCCTCTTTACTGATCTTTATATTCTGAGTAGGTAGAGACCTACTATCATCAGGGTCATTAGGTTCATTAGCGTTCAGTTCTTCACTGCCTGAAGTGGCAGAATGCGTTGTAGATGGGTTCTTCGTACTCGGTATGGCATAGCTATTCTTTGACGGGCTGTTTCCCATGCTTCTTGTGCTGAAAGGGCAGTAAGAGTGGCGGTGTCGTAATCCAGATTCAATGCCCTCCTGAAGAATTTTTATTTGTGTGCGAGATGCGACGCTACTTTTGTACGAGGCACGTGTACACAGGTAGGGTAACATGCGGCAGATAACTAGTTCACGTAGATTAAACGGAAATAATAATGAGTGCTACGAGCCGACATACGTATATAATGAGTAAAGCATGTGATATCCACGTGATCTTAACGATTAAGACGGGAGGGGCAACATTCATATTTACTATCTGGCCTGGCTCCCAGACAACAATAGGAGTATCTTTGGCCACATCTCATACTCATATTCAAGCCTAATTACAAGTGTAAGCTGTGATTGCTGCGTTAGTTGTCATGGTAAAGTCACAGGAATCAATTAAGGAGGAAACTGTTGAGAATCTTACGGTAGTTGAGGAAGAAGAAGACGATGAAGTCACCCGATGCGTGTGCGGAGAGACCGACCCTCCTGACGACTCAGGCTTGTATATTCAATGTGAGCAATGTAGTGTATGGCAACATGGATACTGTGTTGGTATCACGGAAGGCGAAGACAGTGCACCGGACAAATATTGGTGTGAGCAATGCAAACCCGAGTTGCACAGCTTGTATACTACGGATTTAGGAGAGCATCGTTCGATATACAAGCCCGTACAGCAACGTAAGAGACAAAACCGGCGCTCACGGCGTGAAGAAGAGTCACAGACCGACGCAACCGAAGGCGAAGATTCTACTGTGGCAGCTGATACCACTAGCGCAGTCGAGGACGAAAGACCACGCAAGAGACACCAAAGAAGGAAGGCTGGGCAAGCGGCCAAAATTGAGCCAGATGAGGAAAAGAGATCTTTGGATAGGAAACGGGCGACTTCGTCTGCTCGTGAAGAAAAGCAATACCAGCTAATGCTCGAAAAGGCCCTAAAGGAGAGCAGAAGAACGTCACAACCAGACGAGGAGCCTACCAATCCCGGGAGTGCCGAAGAAGCGATTCGCGAGGAAGCGCCTGCCAGGCGCTCAAAATCAGGCTCGGCATCTGGTACGCCGGCAACGTCATCGGAAGATGATTCAAGGCGGAGAGCGAGACGCGGTACTCAGCGCAAGCCCAGGAACCGGGGCTCTTCTTACATGTCTTCTAACGAGAGTTCTTCGGGCTCGACATCAGATATCGGAATCACAAAGCCTGTCAAGCCCAGGATACCCACACAGAAGACCACGCTCAACGAAATGAGACGCCGTGTAAGCGCAATTTTGGAATTTATTTCCAGAACGCAACTTGAACTCTCTCAAGATCAAATGGAGAAGAATCAGTTGGTGGAATTTGTTGAAAACGAAGCATTTATACAAAGAGTGGAGACAATTTTTAACAACTATGATAATAGCCTCAAGATCATGGACGACTTAACAAGAACACTCTTGTTATGGGAAAAAAAATATGCCTGCGAACAAACTTCGTGACTGCATAATCATAAATACACACAGACACACGCACACAAACACATATATATAGCAAAGCTGACCTAGGTTGAAATGTACATTAATAATTCTACTATAATAATAAGTCATTCAATTCTGTATTTTGACGGCCTGAATCTTGACAAGATTTAATATAATCGGATGTACTTACAACTGTCGTACCACCCAAAACAACCCTTATTCTTCGGCCATCTTTCCTAAATACCTCGTTAAATTGATGCACAACACGCGCTTCCTCGAAAGTGACACCGCCAACAAAGAATATTATTACATCTTGTGGTGCGTTTCTGATGTTTGCATTTCCCAGTGATGGATATTTTTCTTCTGAAACTTTGTTCCTTGATATTTCGCTTAACAGTATCGAAAGCGCAGGCTCGTGTTGCATGTAGACGTTGTCCGCTTTGTGGGCACCTTTGTGATTGAATTTTTTGGTTAATTCGCTTATTAAATCTTCCTTTTCATTACCAGCTGCTTTTCTATTAGCACCATTATTGAAGAGGCTGTTAAACTGATGATAAAAGTTGAAGTCTTCGGGCGACACGGCTTGTTTCAAAGCATTTGCTATCTCGCTAATCCTCGTGCTATTATTGCTCCTTAAGGAATTTATGCATGCAAGTTTCATTTTGTAAAACGAATCGATTTGAGGGTCTGCCATTATCTTCAAGAGATCTTGATGGTCTTGAGAATCATCTGCATGAACGGAAATGTTCTGTTCGACCTCACTAATATCCCATATGCGCTTCATCTGCAGTTGTCTATCCAACTCACCAACAATAGCCATATGCTTAGATACGTTCCCTGAGAGCTTTTTGAACTCTGGAAACTTCTCAATGAATCTCTTGATATCTTCGATTGTGTTTATTTGACTGTTCGAGTTAGTTTTGTTTTTATAATTAGAAACGTACTGCTTTACTTTATCGCCCAATTCTCCGAAGTTTAGATACATAGTATCATGAAAAAATGCATCTTGTTTGGATGATAGAACAACTTGTTTTAAAGTTGGATCCAAATCTGGCACCTTGGATAAATCAACGACGTTTCTCTTGATTCCGATGTACTCGTTGATCATTGATTGATAAGTCCAAGGTTGTAGTAGTGGAGTCAAAGGGTCATTTTTCCGGTCTAGAATAAACAGTTGAGGAGGGGAGTCCACTGGAGGGAAGTCGAAGAGTATTTTCTCATTCTTGTCAATCTCATAAAGAATTTCTTTCCCCAACTTCGCTGATAACCGACTTGCAGCCTCATATCGAATCACAGGCTTAACTTTCAATGATAGTAGTAAGGACACTAAGCCATGAGTGACATCCTCGAGTCCATGCGGGTCCCAAACAAGATGATTGGAGAACAGTCGCGACGCTGCCATGTCCAATGAGAAAAGATCTTCATTCAAAATTTGATAGTCCTGGAAAATCTCTTCGACTTTATTCACGACTTCTAGGTCATCACACTCTGCAAGCCTTTCTAGTTGCGATTTTGTGACCGTATTATTGAAGAAAATCTGATACTCCCCATATTTCGGGTTCTGGAGCTCTTGCACAAGCAATCCAATAGTTTCATCAGTTGGCTTCACGTATACCAAACATTTAAGATGCCTCATCACATCCCTTTGCTGATTTTCGATCGTATCAACAAGATATATCTCATGCTCTAAAAGTTCTGATTGTGTGGTACACATTGATATAGTACCTATGGTGTTCTTATCAAGTAGCATGGCTTTCACCCGCGATTGATCGACAACATTCAACGAGTTTTTGGGACTCGAATTTACAATGCGATCAATGTAAAAATTAGCGACTTCAAACAAATTCATGAGCTGTTGATGAAATCAATTGGTATAAGTCATTTAGTATCATTATCGTCAGCTTAGTTCTCAAGGGAAGAAATCCACGAGCACTTATTACGGATCGTACTTTTAGTTACTATATTAAGTAAAATTTCTTAATGTAGTAGTTTCGAGAGAGATTTCCTAATATAGTAAGTTCCATCTCATCAGAATCTGGTACTTTTTCCAGCATGCGTCTGGTAGTAAGCAACTTTACTATAAAGACGAAGTGTAAAAGCTGCTGTAAACATGTCGTTGACAGCTAGTAGAGGGAGGAGTCTACGATCTGACTTAGAGATGTCTTCAGCAAATAACTTGAAGCCATCCAATGTAGGTCAGAAGAAGATTAAGCAATTCTCCACAAGGTCCAGAAGCAAAAGTGCAGCAAGCTTCAAAGGGCTGAATAAGCTTCGTCGGGTCCTAACTCATGATGGTACCTACGAGGTTGAAGACTATACCCAGCAAAGGCCGGATGTCATGAAGAAGTCGAAGAGTTCAGATTCATTGTCTAGAAAACGCGCAATTAGCGGATTAAGCATGACAGCGCTGGGAAAGGCCAAATCGAATACTGGATTGAGCAATTTAAATAGTGGGAACACGCCGGGAACGCTGTACGGTGGCCTTAAACCCCAAAGAAGAGATAGCAAGAAAGCTGTCCTACAGCAAAGAGATGGAGATGAAATGTTCGATGATCAATCTACTACAGATGAAGAGGTGGAGTATTTCACTGACGAAGAAGAAGAACTGCATCAACATGAACAACATCCGCGCCCATTGCAAGAGGAAAGCGAAGATGATGAGATTACTCTCGACGATCATAAAAACGACTTACAACGTCCGGAGCCCTCCCAAGAGAATGATGATTTTTCAAGGAATAGCAGTAATAGAACACTAATGAATCAACTCAGTTATAAAGTTCCTTCAAACCTCAGAAATGAAAATGAGGATCGTATAGATCAAACCAATGATGAGGACGACATCATCAGCGCTAATAGTAATTTCGACATGGTTGCCCACAGTCTCATTCGTCATGGCCCATCAGCTCGAGACCAAGATAACATTTATAACATTGGCAATCAAGAAGCAAACACGGCAAACAAAAATGGAAACACGAATAATAGCGACCAATACGTACCATCGATGATACTCTCACAGTCAACAGGGGTTGAAAAACATTTTGATAATTTGGTCAACGGAGGTGTGATTCCTGAAGGTCTGCCACTCAGCAATATGAACGGTAATGGTAAGCCGCATTCAAATAATTTTAATTATATTAACAATGATTTTGCTGACTCCATCAAAAGTGCAGATGATTCCATATCCGCGAAGGTCAATCAACCAAAGAACGATTTCTCTACTTCTATCTCGAGCCTCTCGAGTCATTTGCATAAGCCACCGACGGGGAATAACTCCAGTCGTCTCAATCCATTGCCTCATCATCGTAATTCTCAAAGCTCACTGGCCAGTAATAGTACGCATTCACTAAATGGCGAATTGAATCATCAAAAATCTGGCCGGCTAGACTCTTTAGCTAACTTCAACAATTTCTCAAAATTCTTACAATCGGATAGCTCAGGAGTCGAGTCTAGGACTCAACAAAAGATGTGGTTACAGAGAGAAAACTCAATCATGGATCTTTCGGCACAAAATTCAAACTCAGATTCGGCTTTTTTGGCATCTAATATTGAAGTCAAGAAAGAGTTTGAAAGAATATCTCGAGAGTACACTAATGTTCGAAGATTTAGCAATCCTGTTAATGAGTCTTTGAACAGAATTGCTACTAAAAATAGAATTGACATAAAGAAACAACGGAATGGTCCACAAGCTGGTGACGATATTTCTAAGATATTCAAAAATGGTAACTCTAAAGAAAAGAAGACTTTCCAAGAATTGTATCGCCAAAGCTCGAGTCGTGACATCGACATTCAAAAAACTTTAACGAAGATATGGAATGACGAAAGTGCCAAATTTAATAAAAGTTCTAGTGTGTTCAATGCTAACGATCATGACAGTAATGGTAGCTTCTCTTCCGTACGGCCCCATGCGCGCCACTCGATAAGAAGTCATAACGGTTCCAGTAGTAGCTCAAAGCATCAAAGAACCATAAGCTCTTTGCAACCTACTACGAGGGCTGTCCATCGGAGAATGGAAAATGCTATAAACCAGCAACGTTTATAGCATATATAATACCTAGTAAACGAAAAACTATTATTTCACGAATGACCGATGAAATAAAGGAAACAGGCTGGTCCATTCATGTTTCTAAACGTACAATTTGGCGATTCATTTATTATGAGTTACCCCTTATCTATAATTACAGGACTACCTAGTTACTCATGAATTTTTCCTATTAGAGATCGCTCTCTACTAATCTAATTGCACACCTTTCCTCGAAAATTTCTTTAAGTTTTCATTCAATCATCTTCACTCTTCTATTAGTAATTTATCAGTGAATGATTGAAGGTCTTTCTTCTGGCACCTTGAATCCACAAGCTCTACCTTCTTCATAAATTTGCGATAGTACATGGTCAAATGTATTCTTGGCTTTCAACTCTAAATACTTTTTGTAAAGTAAGAGAGCTGTGTATGCGTCTTCAATAGAATCGTGATTCCCTTTTTGCACGTCAGTTTCTAACAAAGCATAGGCCAGGTATCTTAATGCTAGGTATCTTCTACCTTGTAAGTAATAAAGTGCAGTGTCACGAATTTGTTCCATGGGAACGTAAATATTGATGTTTCTGAAATCGTTGTATAAGCCATGACCCACAAACACGCAACCTAGTTGCAATAGTAACCAAATTTTACGGTAAACCACCTGCCTCATAACCAGGTTTTTTACGCTCTTCTTTGGATCTAAGTCACCGGGTTCTATACCACTATATCTTGTCACATAGTTCTCAATGTGCTTTGTATTCACCACATAATCATCAATAAATGGAACCCCAAAATTTTCTCCATCTTCCCCTCTCAGCACAGATATTCTTGCTAATGCGGTTTTTTTAGGTTTGATTAATGTTCGTTGTCCTTTACATGTAATCTCCACCTTTTCATCCATTAGTATTACAAACTCGGCATCTATTGCCACTAAAGTACCTGGTGTGGGTGCTTCTGTACTCGTAAGTAGTTTGTACTCGTGTTTAACATTCTCTCTAATACCGTTTGCAAAATGATCACGATACAAAATATTGTCACTAATTTTGAAAGTTGATACAGGAACAAAGGGCTTCCGCAACTCTTCGGCGTCAGAATATATCAAAATTTCTGGGGTCTTCCACCAATAAGAAATGTTCAAAGCCTCTTCTTCATCAACTTCTAGGACTAAAAAATCATTGAACATGTACCATCGATATGAGTTTGATGTTTCGTCAAAAATTTTTGCGTAAGTGACAAGATGCGATTCTGAAAGATCATCCGTCACTCTGGCCACATAGGCATTGAGATCGTACTTGAAAATGGCATTTGTTGTCTTTAGATCTGTTGGCTGCAGCTTTAGAATCGGCCTATCCTTCGAAATTGTGGCATAAAAGTCTTTCACCAACCAATTACGCACAGTCTTGGCAACCGTCCATTCATCGTTAGTTAAGTTGAGGCTTAACGAGAGGAGAGGGGGGAGATTCCGGACAGTCCTTTCGCATTCGACAATTTCATATTTATGACATTTTTCGCACATCACCCTTCTTTGCTTGACCCGATTCATCGAAGATTCGAGATATGGTAAAATAGTGTGGTTAATAAGCTTTTTATTGGTATATTTCCCATTGTTCGTTGCAGGACTGGTGATTGACAGAGTCGAAACCATAGTAGATTGCCTTCTGTAACTACCGCATGACGAAAGAGACCTAATATCTGCATCTAAATGAATCCCTAAGAGTTCTTCCAAGGCTATGCTTTGAGTGGTATTGATTTTCCTCTGTACTTCTTCCGATATAATTTTGGAGAGTAAAAATTCATTGAATTTTTGAGGAAGTGTTGATCCGGCCACTACTTCATATGAGTTTCCGACGATTCCTGCGTCTTCGTCTCTGATTGCAAGAGTCTCGACAGCTTCCACTGCATCATCACAAATAGAATCAGTTACTAAACCTATCGATTTCGCTGCAAAATTGGAAGCGACAGCCTCCTGGAAATTTATAGAGCGGCACACTATCCCTTTAGCCTTCACCATCATATCATACAAGTATCCTAATTCTGTTAATAAGGAGTCCTCCGCAAAGTCTTCATCTTTTAGGCAGCTCACCACGAAATTATACACTTCTGGCACAAACCTGTACATCTGCAAAATTGCGTTGGTATATGCGAGATCTGTGTCGGATTCTAGTCCAGAGTGTTCGGTGTTGTTGAAGGCTTTGAAATCAAAATCTTCAACTCCATACTTACCATAAACCATTTGCATTTTGGTGTAGGCCGGAGGAACCTCAAATCCATTCGATGGTCGATATCTCCTAAGCTCTTCTTTGTCACTGCCATCCTCATCTGTAGTGAGTAATTTCTTCTTTCTTTCTCTTATTGAGCGATATGGCCGAGTAACGTTCCTCCGACCATATTTCAACTTATTATAAGGAAGCAATGGAAAAGATGATGATGCTCGGTTTGATATGGCACAAGTAGCCGACGTAAAAGATGCGTCAATTTTTCTTGGGATGGTTCCACTACTTCTAAAAACAACCTGGGACCAAGCTGATAACAATTTCTCGTTATAGTAAGGCATGCCAACAGAGCTCAAAGGATATGAATCATCATCAATGGAGATTTTCTTGGCCAGCATATCATTGTCTACAAAATCTGGATAATCGAGGGGTACGGAGGAGCTTGAAAAGCCGGTCATGCCATTTGAACGGCTCCACATATTGATGTTATTATCGTGCTCAATAAAAGCAATGTAATCACCGCTGGGTGAAAGTTCGAACTGAGAAATTGATTGGCACGGATGACAATATTGAGACCTCAGTGTCGGATTCGCCAAATCGATGAAATCAAATGTTCCCGAACTGGATGCTACGGCCATGACGGTCGGTAGGACAGGATGAAGATGTACAAAATCTGCTCCGCCGCTATTGGGATTGCCGAAGTTACCATCGTGTGAAAATGCTACGGGAGTCAACTGGCTCATCATTCTTAAATCAAACACATTAACAAAAGGATCGGAGCATAAGGTATTGAAACGCCTTGATTTACCAGCAGATACTAACGTGCAATCACGGAGATCCATCGCTGATATTGTTGCAGAGTGACCAGCAACTGTTCTTATTAACTTGTTTGTGCTAGAGTCGAATAGATCAATTGAGCCCGTTTGCTTACCGATAGCTACAATTTTGTTGTCCGATCTCATAAGCTTGGCCTTTGACGCGTAATCAGTATTAGACGATAGGCATCCTTTCTGCAGATCTATGTCAATTATTCCGCTGCCTAAATTAGCACCCGCACAATAAACATGATTTTGTAGATTGGACGAGAAGCACATCGCTCTCATGTCACAAAGTTGAGCTATATCCGCGCTTGTTAGATTCAATTGAGTCACACCATGTCTATTAGCAAAATTCAGAGAATCTGCACTGAGTGATAGCAATCCACTTCGATGACTGAGCATATCTACCACTGGCATTGCCCCGATGTGAGCGGTGTGCCTGGTGTATAACGAGTATGTCGGATCATAGGAAGAGACTCGGCCGTATGTATCACCAGCCCATAAAAGATTTGCATGATCATCAAAAATCAGTTTATTGATGCTTTTCTCTCTATTGTCATACATCAAATATGACTTTCTCAAGTGGTCCGTGAAATCCACCGGAGATTGGAAAGACAGTTGCCAATTATTCATCACGCAAGCTGGTACCAATGCAAAACCTCCTAAAAGAAATGGAGCTCACTAAGTAAAGATTTCGATATTTCGGAAGCAGCTTTTTTGGGTTAACAATTTGTCCTGAGCTTATGCTAGTCGCCATTCTTTTATTTCGTTTTCAGTATTTTGCTGGTTGATAGTCAAATCGTGGAGAGCGACCCATGAAAATTTTAATGGATTTATATCTTCAATATAAAACATCGTTACCCAGTATTCTCTCATGAAATGGTGCAATTAGACTATCTTTCTCACTATGGACCATCGATTTGCGTTAAATTCTTTGAAAGGTTTGTTTTAGCGGGATATGGACCTTTTATACATGTTTACGACTATAAAACTGGCGAACTACTGAACATCGCAAGAATATTTAATAGAAATAAGGTTCACGGCATTTCAGTCAAAGGCGACCATATTTTGGCATATGGTGCACGATCTTTGAGCGTAATAACGATACAAAACGTATTGGAACAAAGAACGCTCATCAATTTCGAGAAAAACTGCCATGAGTGGATAATAGACGCAGAATTTAGCGCCAGCGGAGAGTCAATATTTCTTTTAACAAGCTATAATAAAGTCATATGTTGCAGTCTAGATGGAACTGTTGATGGTATTAAGGCAGTGTTTGGGGAGCGTTCTATACTCTATTCTGGCTCCATCAAGGTTTTTGATGATGAACGTGTTTATGTCAATGCCGGAACTGTGATGGGCGGTGTAATCATCTGGGATCTATTTAGCGAAGAAAAGATTTATAACTTCACGGGACACGAAGGCTCTATCTTCTATGTTACTTTAAGTGATGATGGAAAGTACATAGCCACCTGCTCCGATGACCGCTCGATTAAATTATGGAATATGGACACAGGCGAATTAATGTCTACAGCATGGGGACATACGGCTAGAATCTGGAATCTGCAGTTTTTTGATAATGATAAAAAGCTTGTAAGTGTATCTGAAGATTGTACTTGTAGGGTATGGGACATTATGGACAATGGAGTTGTGAAGCAGAGAGATGCCTATGAGGTGCATCTTACCAAAAACGTCTGGGGTGTTGATGTTCAAAGCTCAGAAATGATAGCAGTGACCTCAGGAAATGATGGTACACTTAAGCTAACGGATTTGAAGCCTTTGGACAGAAACGGTGACGAAGTTCATGTTTTCTTGAGAAACGATTTCGAATTAGATGGACTTAAGCTGGAAGTTGGCGAGATTTTTAAGGGTTTCTTCTGGTTAAAATTTGGATTGATAGCTGTTACCTCTCATGGCCAGGTTTTGCGATATAATCAAATCACTAGTCGGTGGAACGCCGTCTTACAGGATGAGAAACTTTCGAGCTACACCATGACTAGTGGAGTTCAAGATATTGACACAGTAGTTTTTTGTAATAATAACTGCGATCTTATCTTGATGAAGTTTCAGAGAGGAAATGGTCATTTACTTTCAAAAGTATCCTTACATGTGGAAGAAATATCTAAATGTACAAATTGTCTTGTTGCCTTCGAAGAGAATAGGTTACTAGTGACACTAGAATCGCCAAAACCATCCGACAACTTCCTCTGTTTACAGTTCGACGTTGATAGTCTTGAAATGTGCAACAAATATCAATGGAAGAAGCCTTCTGGTTTTTTCTCAAGTTCTCTGTGTGTATGGAACGATTATCTGATTGTTGGGTCTAAACTGGGATCTATGTTTGTTTTCACATTTTCAAACCCCCAATACGATGCATTAATGCTGCGCCGACTTTGCCCTGGAGACACTATTACCTCCGTCAAATTTGTGGAAACTTTGCCCAATGGGGAGTCATTGTTTTCTATTACTAACAGAGATGGTTATTATCTGTTTCTCTCAATCAATGTTCCTGAGCGCAGATACAAAATTGTTCACTCGAATAAAATTTCAAAGGGCTTCTTAGAGGGTGCTTTTTATAATGAAGATGGAGATTATATCGTCTACGGATTCAAATCAGATCACTTTTATATGTTTAACGAAACGAAACAATTTGAAATAATGAGTGAACTTTGTGGAGGTGCTCATCGTCAATGGAAGCTATTCAAAAACTTCATCCCCGGTGAGTATGTCTTGGTATATGTGAAGGCGGGAAATATACATCTTAGAAGAGTACACCAGCGAAATATTCCTCAGACGCTTGTGGATGGAACTCATGGCAGGGAAATTCGTGATCTCTCGATTCGGGGGTCACATCCTTATCGAAACGGCTATCTATTTTGTTCGGCATCCGAAGACACCACAATCAAATTGGCTGTTTTTGAAAGAGAGAGCGGAATTATTAAAAACTTTTGGACTCAACGGAAGCATACCTCAGGTTTACAACGTTGCAAGTTTATTAGTGACAAATACATGATATCTTCAGCGGCCAGAGAAGAATTGTATTTGTGGGAATTGAACACTCAGTTCTCCACTGGTCCCTATATGAATCTGTTGAAAGAGCTACCTCCTTCCTCAAAGAATCCGGATCTGCGGATAATGGATTTTGACTATAAGATGTTGGATAATGGTAATTTTCTATTGGCAACTGTTTATTCGGACTCGGCGATCAAAGTGTGGATTTACAACAGCAAGACAAATGAGTTCAATCTTCTCATACAGGGCAGATACGAAACCTGCTGCTTACTTAATGTCGCACTAATACATTTACATGAGAGAGACATTCTATTAGTTGGTCCAACAGACGGGCACCTGGTTTACTGGGATATCAGCAAATATAGTCTCTTCCACTTCTCAGAAGTTGCCAATGACCAGGAGGGAGCTGAAGAGAGCCACCTGTTGCCGAAATACGATGGAAGAATTTTAGTTCACAAAGCTGGTATCAAGGACCTTGCTGTTCGGGTTACCTCTGGAGCATGCTTTAAAGCGTATACTGTTGGTGACGATAACGCTGTTGCTATTAGCACATTTTCATTAAACACAGCTGGATTTGTTAGTGGCGCAGTTAGTTGTCTCGAAGACCGTGGTGGTGCTTCGACTATCACCTCCTTGGATCTAATAGAACAGAGTGATAAGTTGATTACTACATCAGTAGACCAGAATGTGAGAGTATACGATATTTCTTCTGATGGATTAATTTTGGAATTAAAAACTTATACAACCATTGCCGACACGGGCTGCTCTGCTGTTCTTAACGAATCTGATAAAGCCTTTCTTCTCATAGGTGGTGTTGGTCTTTCAGTCGCGAAACTAACAAAACTTCGTTAGTGGTTGTTCACTTCCCGCTAGTAAAAAAGTACGATAATTTAAATTCACTATTTACAAGAGTAATAAAAAAAAGTGCAAGATATATTAATCATAATAACAATAATAACAATCAAGTTTTGAAAGAGAAACCTCAGTTAACCTTGACGCTGCTTATGCTTCTTGTTGGATTTGCAATACACATAGACTCTCCCTTTGCGTCTGACCATCTGTATATCTTGGTTAGTAATGCTTATTCGAGAAACTCGGACAAAGATGAGTACATACATAGCAGTCATTGCAAAATTTCTTGACTGCCGTCCTGACTTTGAAGCCTCTGCATATTATAGGATTCATAAGACCAAATGTCGGCTTTGATAGAAATGTGGACGCAGAAAACGCTATTCTGTGGACACTTGGACGGATAAGCTGGTTGAGCATGTTGTTTGTTGGTTTTAGACGCTGTATCAGTGTATTCTTCGCAGCATTCAAAGAAAAAGCTTGTTTTATTCGATTCAGAGTTGAAATTTTTACCGTTTCAGGTCACGAGATCATATCAAAATGTAATTTAAGATGCGTCGCGTTTGTATAAACAAATGAAAAAGAGATGTGAGATACCTACTCAAGAAGCAGAGTGGAATGAGCGAGAATGACTATGGAACAGATGATCCCAAAGGTTTCCGAATAGCTGGCCAAACGAAACCATTCATTGTCCCGGGACGAAGCATTCTGAAGCATAATTCTATAGAAATATCCGATGACAGGGAAAATCTAACGACGTCGAACATCCCCTCATCTGTGGAGCAATTGGGTGGCAATAATATAGCGGAAGGAAATAATACAACCTCAAAAATTAATACCGTTAATCTACAGTCGAAATTAGGTCGAAGGGTATCTTTTGCCCCAGATGTCACATTGCATCGATTTGATTTTGTACCGCAAGAATCCGTTAATTTTAAGGAACCTAGACGAAAAACTTCTAATTTCGCCTCTGTTTCTCTTGACGGTGGCAGCTCTCAAAGTAATGATGATGCGGCTTCGGTTTTACACGGCGGCGAAAAGGAATCAGAAATAAGTGCTCCTAAGCCCAATTCTGAAAATGAAGCCATGGTTCGCGCACAGTCTAGTAGGGCAGATCTTGGCACTTTTTCCGAAACTGTGAGTAGCGCTGAGCATGAGTTGATCTCTGACCAAGAAGTATCCATGGAAATAACTCAACTTTTTAGTAAACATAGCGCGAAGCCCGAGAACAAGGAAAATAAATTTACTATTCAAGGTAACGAGCCTGGTGCCAGTATTGTAGGAAATAATGATGATTCGAATTCAATAGCTTCTTCTGCACAGCAGAACCATCCAGAGAGTGATTCGGATGAAAGCATGGACATCACTGCTCTTCAGAGAGTTGTACTTAATGAGAACAATATGAACATCACAGAATCTCAGGTTGACTTCTCCAGTGCTATCAAGGATAGAGCCTCTCTCAATCATATTGAGGCGTTAGACGAGGATGGCAGTGATGTCAGCTTGACACATTCAGGACATTTGCACGGATTAAGGCAAGTCGCGGAAGAAACGATGGAAATTACAAAATTGCATTCACCCCGCAAAGCTGTAGAAAGCTTTCCGAAATCTGCAATATCTTCCCAGTCACCAGATGATCAAGAGCGAAATGATAAACTAGAATTTAGACCATCACAAATGATAACTTCTACGCAACAATCCCTCCCGCAAAAGTCGTATGCCGCTCCGAAACCTAACCAAAATTCGTCAAAACATCCTTTCAAGAGTAATTCTGAAGCTAATAATGCATCCGTTCTCGAAGTCCAATCAAAAAGAAGAAAGCTCAACAACGGAAATATCGTCGAAGAACCACTACGCGAGAGATCACCAAATAAGAAGGAAGGTAAAGCCACTGATGAGGACCTCGATTTTACAGTGATGGAGAGACTTTCTCCTATTGGTTTACACGACTCTTCAATAAGTCGTTCAAAGCCTTTGATTTCAGATCATGTACAGATTACTCGTGAGCTTGGACCTGTAACCTCCGATCCAGAGCAACTAAATGTTCAAAATAACAGGGATGCTATTGAGCCCATATCTTTACAAAAGTTTTTAACGGAAACAGGTGTTAACTTTACTCTTGAGAACGATATTTCTGAAAATCTGAAAACTGTAAAGTTTGACTATCTTGGTGACAGAGATCAATGCTCAGCATCGAAGGTTTATGATTCTCTTTATGCAGACATGCCTATGCTCGAAATATATGCCTTCTGTTGCAAGGAACTTATAAGACGTATAAGAGAATCCAAGAAACTCTTCAAGGAGCTTGAAAGGCAGGTCTCTGAAAGTATCCCCCCTCTATTATTCACTGAATACTTTAAATCAGGTTCATCCGTTCGCAAATTGATGAATGAGCAGATTCATTTGGTAAAAAGTTATTCGAGACTTGAAGCTAAAAAAGTGTGGTATGAGTGGAGATCCCAGCACCTGAGGGGTATAAAGAGCGTGTTGAAGGAGAACGCAATGATTTTAAAGGAGGAAGAAGACAGCATCACTAAACATATCAAAGAAGCAACCAAAGTGAAAAATCACGTTTCAGAGATTAAGCAGGCGTTACTTAGGGAGGTAAGTGTTGCCAAGGAAGCACCGTCATGTAAATCAAACGTATCCAATCTACAAACACGCTTACGACTTGAAAAAATGAAGGAAGAACTTAAGAAGAATAATATAAACGCTGAAAATGTTGATGTGTTAAAAACGGAATACGAAAAGCTGAAGGAAACCATTTCGGAACTATCAAGGAAGATAGCTGATGTTAAAAGTGATATTTCTGCTCAAAGCACAAATATCAAGAAGCATAAGTTATACACTGAGCATGATTATCAGAAGCTTCAAAGAACTTTTGCGACTCTTGAAAAACTGTGTGGAATCCAACTCTTAAAATTCACCGGAACTAAACTCACGATTGACATACTGGTGGCCAAAGTTCAATTTGAATTTGACCTTACTCGGCTAAGCGATGTTAAGGAAGTATGTGCGACAATATCTGATCTTCATGATGACTTTGGGAAAATCTTATGCAAGAGGCTGATAAGAGAACATTTAGAGAAAGCGTCGGATGTCTTTTCTTTTGTGAAGGGATTTCATGAAGGCTTTTATGCTTCACTGCCTCTTATTAAGGAGTTTAAAAATCTGAGTACTATATTTCCAACAAGGCTTGCAAACGATTTTGAGGTTAATGAACTCTTCGAAATTAGACTCCTTGATACTTCTTCAAAGTTCAAGATTCTTTGTTATCTCTCGCTGAATGATTTCATTAACGCTGTACAGCAGAATCATGACAACGAGACTAAATTAAGGGCAAACATTGTTTATGGTCAAGACATAACTGAAGCTCTTTTGAAAAGTCATATAAAGCGCAGAATAGGGGGATTTCTACCCTGGTTGAATTCTCTTACCATTGATATGTAAATTAGCTTGTATCCAACTCCGAAATTTACTTCTGTAATCTTCAATTCTTATCACGTGACCAGTTGCTTTGAGTTTTTCGATATCAAATTTTTTCTGTGTGTGCGCAACTGTTTACCTTCACTGAGACGTTGAACATCGAGGTATTAACTTGCACTTTCCAAGAGTCTCCTGCGTATCATCTTTGGTGAGTTTCTGATACGTTCACTTTCCACTCAAACAAGGTGAAAGAAGGAATTCTGCCAATTGTAAAAAGTGTGATATAATCGGATAAATCTGAACGAGAAGGTCTACACGATTTCATGTTTAACTCTAACAACGGTGGTTCATCATTGTTCAATGGTGGTTTGAGTACGTCAACGCCCACATCAACCCCAACTCAATCGAATAACGTATTCCAGCCAAGAGCTAAATCAGTGGGGGGGCTATTTGGTGGGGCGAATATGTCGCATCTCAATGCTGTGTCCACACCAAGTCCTTCTGGAGGTCTCTCTGACCCCAAAATTGGAACCAATCAATCACAAAATTCTAATAATGCTCTATTTGGAAATAGTAACCAAACTTCAAATAATGGTAACAGTTTATTTGGGAATAATGCTGGATCGTCAGTAAATAACAGCTTGGGGAGCAACACGGGCTTACCCTTAACAGGACTCTCTACATCAAATGTGAATGGTGGCAGTGGAATGTTTTCCAAACCAACTTTAGGTGCAAGTTCAACTGGAACTGGGAGCTTATTTTCCAACGGAAATGGTTCAAGTCAACCAACAAGCTCAAGTGGAGTTTTATTTGGAAACTCCAATAGTAACACAATTGGCTCGAATACAGAGAAGAGTTCGATTGGAGGTGGTTTTGGAACGACTAGTTCGAAAGGTTTATTTGGAAATTCTACCTCAGCTACTGATCCCAATGCTGCAAACTCTGGTGGACTTTTCAACAGCAAGCCATCTCTATCGACCTCCAACAGTCTTTTTGGAAACAAAACCACTTCTGGAGGTCTTTTTGGCAATAATAATAGTAATAATAACACTAGCTCAAGCACTGGTTTATTTGGCAATTCCTCAATCAGTAGTGGATCAGGCATCAATTTTTCAAATCCTTTATCCAACTCCAAACCAAGCAATTTCCTTGCTGGTTCGCAAACAGGACCAAATCAACAGAATATAGCATCCCTATCAGTTAACCCCTATGGGTTACAGATTGGCCCACTTCCCAGTAGTGTTACGAATATGCCCGACTCAATTACTGCTTCTTTTAAAAAGTCTTCAAAGTTGCATGATGATCTCACGAGCACAGAAAAAAGGCGTACCTTCTCTACTTCCTCCAGTGGAAGTATGGCTCCTACGAATATCCAGGGACAAGGTACCCTTATAAGCAAACTAAGCTCGAGATTAAGTACCGTAAAGGGTTCCGAATCTATACAAGGCTTGTTTTCACCTGCTCGCAAAACTTTTACTGGTCGAGAAGGCTTAAATTCAAAGACTTCTAAGGAAACTTTCCTTGAAAACAAAAGCAAGCAAGTTAGGGGTGATGATTTAAATCCTCTTATGAAGAGGACTGATGTGTCAGAAATTCGTAAACTGAAAATTGATACAGGAAGAAGTGCCGCAAAGAAAATGAAGCTGCTCTCCGGTGGTGTTGCAACAACCAAAATAAGGCTTTTAGGCGAACATCAGCAAGAAGGTGATTCAAAATCCGATTTGGACGCTGAGTCGAATATGGATGGGAACAGTGCCCCTGACATTGAAATTGAAGCAATTGCAGACGAAAGTAAGGAAAGGAAAGTGGATAAAAAATCTAAAGAATATTGGTGTTCTCCTTCTGCAGAGCAGCTCCTTAAACTACCTTTCAAACAGCTTAATGCCATCCCAAACTTTGTGATAGGTCGTAAAGGTTATGGTACCATCTCTTTTGATTACGATGTTGATCTGAGTGAATTTGTTGAGGATTTTGAAGGTTCTCTTTTCGATAATCTCGTCATCTTCAATGGAAATCAAACCGTTGAAGTTTATCCTGATGAATCTTCTAAGCCTCCTGTGGGATACGGATTAAATGTACCTGCCACTATAACTTTGGAACAGGTGTATCCAATCGACAGAAAAACCAAGAAGCCCATCAAGGATAATTCAAAGTTGATTGAAGTTCAGCTGTTCGTCAAAAAGCTCAAAAAGCTTAAGGGTATGGAATTCGTTTCTTATAATCCATTTGGAGGCATCTGGACTTTCAGGGTCAAGCATTTTAGTATTTGGGGGTTGATCGATGATGAAGATGTCGAAGTCGATGAGCAAGAGGCCGAAGAGGCCCTGCACCAAGAAATTAGGGAAAGAAAGATCGCCATTCCAAGAATGAAGCGTGAAAGAATTGAAACAAATAGTGATCTAAACAACGATGTAGGTGAGGTAACCACCATTCGCCCTAACGGCTTCTCCTCCTTCACCGGAGTAAATGATCGAGAATTAGTACCAATCCAAGATTTAAGTGATTATCCTGAATCATCTACCGATTATGGAATGCACGATTTGGTCGAAGAAAAGAATTACGAACCTTCCAATGTGGACGTTGAAGACTTTCAGGCGTTGGAAGCACATCCTGTATTGGAGGTTTCTAACAGTTGGATTGAGCAGCTCAAGATGGCAGGACTTCCGTACAACTCTATTTTTTCTTCTAAAACATCAGAAGTCAGCGATCGTCTTGAGTTGAAAAGAATCGGTGGTTCGAGTTCTCTATTCAGTGACTTAGACAACACCTTGAACCAACACAAAAAGATTATTAAAGAACTGAGGTTGGAAGGACGTTGCAATTTTGCTAAATTCAACACCGACACTACTATACTTCTAAGATCTGGAAAATCAATATCCGGGGCTCTGATAACCAGTCTTGAATCTACTTTAAAAAACCAGAGAATTCCTGTTAGCCAAACTTTCTCACAAAACTTGATGTCGTTCGACGTTCAGACAAGGCCCAAAAATGGTTATCCAGTTGTCAAGGAATTCCCTTTAACGTTCAGCGAAATCGCGCAAACCATCAGTCGAACTGATCCTGAGTGTAAAATTTGGGACTTAACGTCTATTCTCTTTGATAGCATTAGCCTGCCATATGAAACTGAAAGTCATGACGTTTCACTGGTTTTAATAAAAAAAGAACGTTACAAAAACCTTTGTAAATGGCTTAAAGATGAAGTAAGCGCCAAGATTTTGGCGAAAATTGACCTAGCTACTTCTTCTAATGAAAAAATATACCTCATGTTACTCATGAATGATATTATTGGGGCGACGAAGTTGGCGATCGATTCAGAAAATTCTCATTTGGCTGCTTTGATTGCTATGCTTGGATCCAATGACCCTCATGTACGTCGCCTTTCCTCAGAACAACTTGAAAAATGGAAGTCTATCAACAGCAAAGTCGATCGTTTCGTGGTCAAGGTTTACCAGTTACTAAGCGGCCGCCTTTTCGGCGCTAGTGTGTCAGTTGATTTTTCAAAGGAGTTGTCATGGTTGGAATGTCTTGCGATATCTCTTTTTTTTGGAGAAATTGATGAGCATTCCCTGGAAGAACTGGTTTCTGATTTCTTAGAGAATCACGGGAATTCTATGACAATCCCATTAGAACACTCGATAATTGTAGATATTTTGAGATGTTTTGGTGGCAAGAACACCAGCAGCGCAATATTCAAGCACACTGGCTTTGCAAAAGATAATTTAGATTTTCGCTTTCAGTGGTTTTTCACGCAAATTCTGAAATCCAAAGGACAGAATATTCTCCCGGGTAAAGTTCAGGATTACCTCACTCTTCAGTATGTCGAACAGCTAAAAATTGAACAATTATTTAACGAGGCACTTCTCACGTTACTATTTGTCCAAGATGATGAAGTTGCTAAACAACAGATTGATAGTTTGGTTACGAGCTTGATTGAATTTTTTGCTACATCGACCAATAAAGGAGTAGTTTCCAAACTGAGGGTACCAAGCAAACTATTATGCGAAGCATTAGCAATGCACGCCAAGTACAGAAATGATTTTACCACCGAAGTTCGGCATTTGTTGGACGGGAAGTTATTTGATGCTGCTGAGGAAGTGATGCTTTCGAAAGTTGCTCCAGGCTTAATTTTGAAAAGCGTAAATGGTAACCTTCGCGATACTAGCTTGAGAGAGCTGAAGAGTCTCTTGGAGCGCTTTCCTTCACATCAGATGCATAATTGGGCGGCGGGCTTGGAAGTCTTTGGGAATTACTTGAGTTATGTGGAGGGAACAAACGATGAGGAAGTTCAGGAAAAGTTATTGAGTGGGCTTCCTGCTCTCTACGCTACTCATAGGCATATTAAGGATATTACTATATGTTGCTGTATTATGTCTCATAATCTGTGCCACGGTATCCTGAAATCTCACAAAAATGACATTGCTGTCCAAATTCCCAAGGATAAGCTCCTCGCCCTACCCTTAGGTCAACCTGAAAGGGTTTACCTCGCGACAGTTCTATCGGCAATTTGATCCAGGAAAAGCGGGTTAGGCTTTCTCATCCTTGAAGCATTGAAACACTAGACAGTCTAAAGTAATTAAGTTTTTATTTTATCGAAAAGTTACCGTTATATCGAAGAAAACTCATTTGATATCTTCGTATCCATCTCATATATACTAAGTATCACCAACCGCATCCCTAAGCTTTTCGACCACATTAAGGATCGCCTCTGAAGTAGGGCTCTCTGGATATAGATCAAGAAAGCTTTGGCCGTCATCACATGCCTTTCCTATCCGTGGATCGAGGGGCACCGAGCCCAAAAACGTTATTCCTAATTCCTTGCAAAGCGCTTCTCCTCCACCAGTTGTTGCTTTGAAAATCTCAGATTGTCCTTTGCAATTCGGACATACAAATCCACTCATGTTTTCAACCAAACCAATAATGTCAATGCCTGCTTTTCTACAAAAGTCAATTTCTTTTCTTACGTCCAAAAGAGCAACTTCCTGGGGCGTTGTAACGATCAAAGCACCATCAATGCCGGAATCTTTCATGAATTTATTGATGGATATATGTTCATCGGATGTGCCCGGTGGAGTGTCTACTATGAGATAATCTAGACAGTCCCAGTCTACATCCTTAAGAAACTTCTTGATTAATGCATTCTTTTTGGAACCTCTCCATATTATTGCTGAGTCATCCTCCGGTAGCATGTATTGAATTGACATAGTCGCCAAATTGTCTGTTACGTAAACGGGAGTCCAGCCGGTATTCGACTCATGAATATTCTCGTTGACGCAGCCAAGCATTCTTGGTAATGAGGGACCACAAATATCCAAATCCATTGCACCAACTTGTAAGTCTTCATCAGAAGACAGAGCCCAGCAGAGCATGGAGGTGAAAGTTGATTTTCCTACGCCACCCTTACCAGACAGAACGAGGACCTTGTGATGAATCTGAGACAGATTTTCTGTGATCAAAGGTATATCTGGATCTGGGCCCTTTGGCAGACTTTCACATACTTCCTTGTTGGCACATCCCACGCATGCATCGCCTTTGCCAGCATTATCCGATTCAGGACCAGGGCAATGTTCGGGCTCGGGTTGTTTCAACTCATAGTCTGGCGGCAAAATTTTTGTATCATTAGCAACATCTGTAGACATGGATCAGTGAAAGACTCCTCTCCAAGTTGTCTTACTATGATAGAATGTATTTGATGTGATCGAAGGATGAGTATATTTGTAATCTCGCTAAGCTACGTTGAAAAAGTTGTGATATGAAGCCCTTTTTACGAACATCACATTAATCTATTCCGATGAATTCTTACTAAGGATTGACATCTCTGCTAATTCAACGATGGACTTCGTCAGTTGCTTGCCTGTTTTATCATCAGATGAAGAAGTAGAACTTGTGCTCTGTAAAGCAACGTTTGACAACAGAGAATGCGTTAATCTTGAGAAACTTCAAAGTTTGAGGATCACAGAGTTGATGGTCAGTGAAGGTAGTGACATACATATCATCCAAGATTTTACCGCTGACACCATTCATTGTTTTGGAAATGCTGATTGTAACGCAGCTTGGTACGCTCTGATTAATATACTATCGGGACACTCCTTCCATAGCGAAAACTCAATGGACCTCGAGGGATCCATCTGGAAGTGTGATTTACGAGATGAGCCCTGGAAGTTGGTCTGGGAGCTTGATTTGCATGGTATTATCAAGAAAAATGCTGAAGTGATTTTAAATTCTTCGCATGGAAGAGAAGTTGATCTTTTCAAAATGAGTCTTAAGTTGTTTAACGATTATTGTGCTGCCAACGACGCCATCCATGGCTTAGAGCAACGAGAAAAAGCTATAGAGAGAGAACTTGATCACGAAAGGCAAAAATTGCAAGGTTTTAATGAGATTATTAGTCAGAGAGATATGAAAACGCGGGCGATGGTGTTAAAGTTACTAAATGAGAAGAAAGAAAAAATACGGGAGCTTCAACGAAGGTTGGAGGAAAACAAGGGTTCCGATGAGGTCTCTGACGATCGCTTAATAAATGCTTTCGTAAACAAGCCTGTTTCCAGAATGAATTCACCTCATAAAAGGCGTAGTACGACGCCTATTTTGCAGTCTGCACCAAAGAGACCCACCATTACAGCAGTTAAGAAGGAAGAAGACGATTTTGACGACTTCGCAAATCAAGATTTTGCTTTCATGGGCATCAATAGGCCACTGTCCAGCTCCCCTGCAAAACTAGAACCCACAGGAACGCCTGAGTTGCCAACAAGCAAGATAGGCGTGACAACAGGTGACACGCCATCCGAGGAATCAAATTTCGAAGAACCACCACCAAACAATGCATTGAGTGAACAGGAAGTTCCTTCACTAACACTACCAAAAGCTGAATGCAGTGCGGCTCCAGGAAGGCAATCCTCAGAAGATCTTACCAGCACGGAAGGCGAAGATGAAACAGAAACGGAGACAGAGGCTGGAATCGACCACGAAATTGATAGCGCTTGAAGGTCGTGTGCTGTCTGGTTATGCGTGCGCCCGGAGAAACGTGGACAAAAAGAACTTTTTTCACACATCCTTTGTTTCCGTGCTCGAGCACTACTAAGAAAACGTGAAATACTCGCGATATCTTATATGCAACGATGCCCATCTTCACATTCAGTATCTCTTTAATCTGATAGTTACAGAGTAGAAACACGCATAAAACCAGCATAACTTAGGGCTATTGTAGAATCAATTCCCGTGTCGTGTGGACCAGAATTAGCCTTACTTTAGAATTGAATTGACATTGGGCTTGTCATTTAAACTAACACGGCCTGGATCGATAAGATCTTAGGCCCCTGGGTGCATATCGTTGTGGCCCAAAGACGTCGACTAGGAGATTAAACTGCGGACTCATACCATCAGAGAAGTCTCGAACATACTCACGAGCACTAATTTTAGAGGCTGCCAATCACAGGTCGTAACCCAGGCAACGATCAAACACGTCCCTCTTTAAAAAAGTGTGCAACTCGATTTACAATTCCTGTTTAGGGCATTATCGCTCGTACAAAAAGAGGGTTCACAAATTTTTCGAGCACAGTTTTCGTTCTCCTTGTTACTATAGATTTCTTTATAACCTCAATTCTTAAAGATTCGGAACCCTTAAGCGACGGTGTGTTACTTCAAAGTCAGGCTTTAGTTTACTACCAAGAAAGCATCTCCGAAACGGTGCATTTTTTCAGTTCATTTTTCTAGTTCCCTTTCAGTTCTCAAACGATTTTGTTTTCCTAACTTCGAGCAGCCCAGACATCAACGCGAAGAGTTGACGTGAATAAGGCATTTAGTTTGGTTTACATCACAATTGGGTTACCCTATCGCTAAGCTCGAGTGTTCAAATCAATTTTGCATAGTCACAACTTAATTTCGTTCTTTACTTCCCATTTGCGCTTTTTATCGTTCATTTCGTTTGGTACTTTAGGTGTTCATCGTGTCGTGTCTTTTTAATCGCAATATTCAGTGATCATATCATGTCAGCATTTAATCAGCAGTATACATCTCCAATTAAGCCCTTTGACGTTTCCTCCGTGCAGACGCCAAGCACCGATGATGGGCTATATCGTTCAATATCACCCAGTTCCCATTTAGCTTGTCACTCTGAGCAATCCATTTGGCCTAATCCATCTACCTATCATGACGTGGGCTACATAGAGCAACAGCAAATGAATTTCCCACAGCAGACACCTCCAGAACAACCGTCTTTTGGAGTGGTACCGGTGGAGATTGAAAATGTCTCGAGCCATGTCTCCACAGATTCATCAAGCTATTCTAGCGCTCCGAAAAACTCCAAGTATGCGTTTGCTGCTGCCGCTGCTGCCGCAAATGCGCCACTTACTAGCCAGCCTTTACAATTGAACAATCCTCGAGATTTCACTTCGGCCCCCAGTCGGACGGTGTATTTAGGTAACGTGCCCCCTATGCTTCAAATTAGACAGTTACTGGATCATGTGCGTAGTGGTATCGTCGAGGACGTCAAAATCTTACCTGAGAAAATGTGTGCTTTCATATCATTCTTGGATGAGAGTTCAGCATTGCTTTTTCACTCTGATGCAATTTTGAAAAGATTGAATATCGAAGGTCGAGATGTCAAAATTGGGTGGGGGAAGCCCACGCCGATTGATCCCATTGTTGAGGCAGCTGTGGCCAATGATGGCGCTACTAGAAATGTCTATATTGGGCGTCTGAATACCGATCCTCTCCTTGCACCTCAGTTAGGGACCGATCCTCAAGAAGAACTCATAACCGAAGATAAACTAAGGAACGACTTAAGCTGTTTTGGTGAGATTGAGTGTATCAAGATCGTTCGTGAGAAAGGAATTGCTTTTGTACATTTTTCATCAATCTTCAATGCAATCAAGGTTGTGTCAAACCTTGCATCTATAAATCCCTACTATTACAACAAAAGAATTTTTTACGGGAAGGACAGATGTGCTTTCATCACCAAAACGCAACAACATAACGCGGCTCAGTTTCTAGGTTTGCAACCAGGAATGGAGCACCTTGTGCAATATACTGACCGTGACTTCATTTCTAGCACTTTGCTCCAGCAATCTGCTGCTGCTGCAGCTATTGCAACTGCTGCAGGAGGCGCCAACAATTTGGGAAATAGGACGATTTATCTTGGCAATCTTCCCAAGGATGTCAGGATCGAAGAAATTTGTAACGCTGTTCGTGGAGGATTATTACAAAACATTAAGCTTCTCGCTGACCGGCACGTTTGCTTCGTAACCTTCATCGATCCAACCGCTGCAGCACAGTTCTATGCCATGACATCGCTTCACGGCCTGACCATTCATAACAAACGGTGCAAGATTGGCTGGGGAAAGCATTCTGGCCCGCTTTCGAATGCTCTTGCGCTCGCTGTCAGTCATGGGGCTTCCAGAAATATTTACGTAGGAAACATTGACTTCGTGAAAGACGGTCAGAGGGAGTCTCCTGTCTATACCGAGACAAACCTTAGATCTCTATTCCAGGAATATGGTGAAGTCGAACAGATCAATTTTCTTTACGAAAAGAATTGCTGCTTTGTAAATTTCACCAATATCAGCAACGCCATCCTTGCTATTGACAAAATCAAATGCAATCCACACTTTCAAGACCTCAAAATTAACTTTGGGAAGGATAGATGTGGGAATGTTCCTCGTCATTTCCGTTAGGAGTTTTTTTTTCTTAGTTTTTTCTCATAAGGACGATTTTATTTCAATTCGAACACATTATTAACGCTATCATTATGTATTTCTCATTTCTGTTTTCTGATGATTACTCATGAATATTTTTAAGTTAATTAATATAATACTCGCACTCACACTGAATTTACGGCAATAAATCGTTGATGACTTGTAATGCCGGAACTGACCATCTTTGACTCTGCCGTGTCCATTGTGTTAATTAAAACATTCTAGTAGTATAACCTGTTTGTGCTATTCGCTGTATCTTTACTTCAAATTCCATAGGGAAAACATTTGATGGTAAACTCTTAACGCTATGAGGCTGTTAAATATTATAGCTGTGTTTACAAATCTTCATGGTATATCTATTTTTTATAGTTTCAAAACCAAAACAATTATTGACATAACGGCTTATTCGAAAAATAGATAATATGAAATCCGCCAAGAACTCGAAACTACGGATCGCATTCGCAATTGTAAGATTATAACAGTTTGGTAAGTTAGTGCTCGATAGGAAAGGCATCTCTCACCTCACTTAATCAATAACTCACGTGACCAGTTTGATGTCAGCGCAAGTCCCTTTGTCATTTTAACATAAAACCTTCTCCCTGAAAGTAATCATTGATATAGCAAGTGCACTCAGTCATTGCAACGACATGAGTAAAATAGTGTTCAAGCACCCAGCTAGCGATGAAACGTCCTTAAGCGTCGCTGGAAATTTTTCACAATGGAATATAATACCAATGGTGCACAATACCACTCAGAATCAGTGGGAATATCAAATAACTGATGCAGATCTGCAAAATTGTTCGGAAAGTGGGGGTCAAATTAGAATATACTTCAAGTTCATTGATGGAAATAGCGATTGGTTTACAGATGAAAACTTTGCTAAGGAAATTGACGAGCATGGCAATGAAAACAATGTCATGTACTTAGATTGCTCATCTACCGAGAAGATAACGAAAAATAATGTGGATCTCGAGGACCGTGAGATACCAAACGAAAGTGAACAAGAAGGCCCACCAAGTCCTGACCCTACCCCACTTCCTGCTGGTAAGGATAAGAATGACGAAGAACCACCTGTGGTGATAAGCAAATCAGACGTCGAGGGCTACGAGGAGGCCGTTAACCAGGATCAGCTAAACAAAAATGCGGATTCAGACCGACCAAACTCCGCCGACACTAATATTAGTAAGGTGGCAAACTCGACAGGTTATAAGGGGCTTCTTCAGAGCATCATAAGTTTTTTCCGGAATCTCTTCTATGGATGGTTTGGTATGGGAGGGGAAGATGCAGGATCAAGAACAGCGCGTGATTCTTGACATAACGATTCCTGAATAATCTTTTTATATCGCACGTAATCACGTATCTGTAATTGCTATGCGTTGTTATGCTAATCCATATGCTTTAAGCTTAACAAGATATGAAATTTTCGATTAACAATCAAAAAGTCACAGTAAGAGCCCTTACATAAATGAAGCTAAGATAGAAACACTCCTATGGGAGAATTAATTACGGAAAATTGAAGAAAATAAAAGTTGAAACTGCGCTATAAGGGCAAATAAGGAAAGTCTTTCCCACTTTGGCAAAGTCCTAAGAATCTTCTCAATACATGGGTCCTTTCAATCTTAACCAGTGCCAAGGGTCAGCGTCAGCATTTGCATCTCGCTTGTACATTGGTCCTTTCAATCTCAACCAATGCCAGGGTTCAGCTTGTGGACTGGCGTCTCTTTTGTACATAGGGCCTTTCAATCTCAGCCAATGCCATGGACTGGCTGATCTCTTTTCAACTTCGTCTGAATTCGAAGTACCTGCGGCATCAATTAGGGTTGCATTCAATATCAAAACAGCAGAATGGGTACCGTTGCTCACCGGAAGAAGGGCGATGTCATCATAGTCAGAGATCTCGAAAACTCCCAATATGCTTTCCTGCGGTATGTCTACAGTAGAGGCTGCATCGGTCAAGGGAGCTGCTGACACGGACATCAAAGTCGAAGCAAGTCCCAAGATCAAAATGAGTAAACGCTGCATATCCATCATGAGATTAATATGAAAAAAGGCGTATAATGAAGGCTTTTTATTGTGTTTTAATAAAGTATCTTTCTTAATTAAACAAATTCGATACACACGTATACATTTATATGTCACATTTCGATAGAAATCAAGTCCTCAAGAAGGGTTATTACCAGAGGATAATAAACCCCACAATTTTAATACATTCAGTGATCTGCAACCATAGTCAACCACACTAAGTGTTAAATAACTTTGATTCAACTTTAAATCGATTCTCTTCTTTCTCTTGTGTGCTCATTTTGAGCTGAATTAGGAAGGTCCGAGTTTTCCAACTGTCAGCCCTTTACCCAAAAAAGTTAACAAAGAGCATTTTTTGAGAAAAGTCAGAATGTAGCTCCAAAAACTACGACCAAAAATGAGAGATGAACTAATTTTGCAGATCTTAATATACATTGGCTTATGATTAAACTATAATGAGGAGTGCTTGTGACCATTATTTTTTTAGAAAGGCAAGTTCAAATTCTATTAAAATGATGTTACGTAATATATTGGAAAGTATTGAATGTATTCATGTTCATTTCAATATCTAGAGTTCCTTTTTCGGAAACACCTGACCTCTCATCAAATGTTAAATGTTTTCATCAGATTGCCAATTTTTTAAAAGGAACCTGTGGTGAATAAATCATTCTGTCTATAGTTAGCAACCAATTGTGGTATAAAATAAAATAATGTAATGATTAGTGTGTAATTAACATACTTCGTCAAAACAAAAGGTATCCGGTCTTCCTTATCAATGTTACAGGTATTAGGGAGGATCGATTGTATTTGAATACAAACCGACAGGAATTATTATGATCGCGTGGTTTTTTTTTCATCGAACATAGTAACCAGGGAAGAACACAAGCCCTTCTTCTGCTTACCACGTTCCTACGTAAAAATAATGGTGAAGATTTGCAATCGCATTCTTTGATACTTGAATGTTCACGCGTGGCTCCAAGCATTGTCCTTTAAGCAGACATCGAAAATGCTATGTGCACTACAGATTGGAGAAGGGCTTCCACTTGCAAAGCAGTAGTTCCATACACCTAGCAACTTGCGGATAATGCCTAAGTGCAATTGAAAGAATCATTTCATGAGAGCGAGGATGTCTTAGAAATTTTGCCGTTTCTGTACCTTATTTAGCGACAGGTGCATGAAAAAGCGCATTGATAAGAGCATTCGTTTTTATGCTTCTGCCCTTAACCACTGTGACATCCATTCTTGAGTATAGAATCAAAAATTTCCAGGCGTCAGCTCAGTATTTCCACTCAGTGCACAGGTGAAATATTCGACCGCGTAGTTGAGATGTCCCTTTGATCACGCCACGTTGCTCATGAATCTTAAAAACATTTCTTCTGTTGTTCTGTTTTCCTCTTTTTACACTCCTATCTGAGCCCGTAAACTATAGGAAATATGCCACGACCGATATCAGCAGAATTCCTGACGCATGTTTGTTAAAATTGGTATCTGCAGACATTTATCGGTCAATGCTGTCACCACGCGTATATTTTCTTCACAAAAATTGTCTCGAGCAGACCATCTACAAAACTCAGCCAGGGCGGACACCAGACGAAATGTTCGATCGGTTTGCGAGCCTAGGCTGTTTTATACTGAGCTTGTGCTTACGAATTCCATTATGGCTATATTCTGAATATATTTTCCCATTCCTATACGTGTTGCCCTTCTTTCAAAAGTACAAGACTGAGAACTACGTTTACTCAAATAAACTTGCCGAGGAGGTGGTCAATGCTGCAGATATTATTAGCATTTGCGCAGCTCATGGATATTTAGTTCATGAACACGTTGTCAAAACTCAAGATGATTATCTTCTCACAATACATAGAATTGTGCGCAGACAAAGCGGTGGACAGAATACTGAACCTAAAAAGGGTGTTGTCTACTTTCACCACGGGCTTTTGACCAATAGTGAATTGTTTTTACTTGGAGAAACAACCGAAAAGTGTCTTCCTTTCTTGTTGGTTGACCTTGGATACGATGTGTGGTTGGGTAACAACAGAGGTAACAAATATAGCCGTAAGCACATTAATCTATCTTCCAGAGATGCCAAATTTTGGGACTTCTCTCTTGACGAATATGCGATATTTGATATCCCAGATACGCTACAATACATTCTTGATGTCACAAAAGCATCGAAGCTATCTTACATTGGATTTAGTCAAGGCTCTTCGCAGGCATTTGCAGCTTTTTCCGTCAATCCGCAATTGAGGGATAAAATTCGCCTCTTTGTCGGTTTATCTCCAGCCATGATACCTAGGTCATTGAGTCATCCTGTTGCCAAATTTTTGGTTACCTCCTCTTCAGAGTTATTGTACTTTATCTTTGGTACCCGGGCAATCTTGCCTTCGGTTGTCTTCTGGCAAAGATTCTTGGGGCCCATTAATTACATGAAGGTGGTTGACTGGTCATTGGTCTATCTATTTAATTGGAAGAGTGAGCATATTAGCCTCACACAGAAACAAATTGGCTACACTCATATGTTCTCACCCTCAAGTGTGAAAAGTGTAGTTCATTGGTTTCAAATCATAAACAGCAAAAGATTTCAAATGTTTCAAGAAGAAATATCTAAACTATACTCATCAGTACCATCTCTCAACGGCAAGCTACATCGTTGCGCTCCTTTCCCTGTACAAGTCATTGAGAATTTGCCAATGATGTTGCTCTATGGTGATCAAGATATTCTAATTGACATGCAGAAAACAAAAGAAAATCTTGTAGGCAATTTGAAAGACGTTACTTTAGTTGAGCTTCCAGGCTATGAGCACATGGATACGCTGTGGTCAGAAGATGTCGTGGACTCAGTGTTCAAGCCCATTTTGCACAAACTTGAGGAAGTTCACACACCAGCTCACACACCAGCTCACACACCAGCTGACACACCATCTCACGTTGAGGAATTGAATGGTAAGAATTCTAGAACAGAATACCAAGGTGATTCTTACGAGTTTGCCTGAGATATTCCTGCTCCTTTTCTAAATACATATAGCATTATGCATTGTTGATAAATTAATGCCCTTGAGGTAATCTCTTACATTAGAATAGTTGTGCGGGTAACATGAAAAGTTTTTCCAGTATATAATGACGGAAGAAACGCAATTCGCAGCTTATACTTTTCAGAAAGTAACGCAAATTCACAGCCATTTGCAACACACAAAGCATCTCCTCGAGGTCGAACCCCTCCGGGGCGTTCTTGGCCCATGACAAGTGTGATATGTGTTGCCTTTATAAGTTAATACTTGGACTGGAGACTAAAGTTATTGATCTTGGGTGCAACGTTCCATGTGTTGTCTGTCCTTGTGACAGGCCTAAGGGTTTACCTTCGTGTGCCCGTATGGGGATCGCTGCAATGATCAATAATACAGATAAAAATGCGATAAATTCGTGAAGTAAAAAAACTACAGATTATTAGTTATCTCTCTTGAATGACGAAAAGCGGAAGCTGGAGTTGAAGCCAAGCAGTTCATTTATGCCTCTCGTCCAGTCGTTTTCGGTTTTGGCTATACAATAGACGCCTGAATTCTTGATACTCTTCTCTCTCTTTTTAAGAGCGTCTGCATTTCTCGTACTTGGGATTTGCGAGCCATTCACATAAATAGTGCCTATCTCGTTGACCACATGTATTTCATCGCCAACATTCACGTCGTCCTGTGGCACACCGTCTATTGATAACTTAACAACCTTGTTATCCGGACCATTGTTCATTTTAGACCCGATCTTGATCTTAATATGTGAAGAGTGCGGAAGAATCAACGGTCTAAAGGACAAAGATCTTGGGCAGATAGGCGTAAGAAGGATAGCAGGAACCAAAGGCGACACAATGCTTCCGCCTGCGGAGAGTGAATAAGCGGTTGAGCCTGTTGGTGTAGCAAGTGTTACACCGTCTGCTGTTGTTCTGGTTAGAAAGGCTCCATCAATAAATATATCAAGGTTTGTCAAATGAGGCGAATTGCCTCTATGTAAGAAAATGTCGTTCATCGCATGGTGAGCTATAGTTTTCGTTGTTGTCTGACCTTTCCGAACAATATGACATTCAAGTCTGGTTCGATGCAAGCATTTCGCCCTTGAGCTAATCACTTCCTGGAAAATTCTTTGGTGCTCCTTAAAGTCAAACGGTAGTAAGAAACCAAGAGTTCCCAAAGAAAACGCCAGAACAGGTGGGACCTGCATGTTAGTAAACATCGAGACCGCACGCAAGATGGTCCCGTCACCCCCCAGTGTGACCAATAAATCAACCTTATCTACTATCTCCTCTATCTCTCCGGTGTAGAGGACATGTGGCTGCGCTGGATTTGAAAGTGGCATCGATCTGAAATCTTGCGATATTTCCTCCGCAACATCAGTTTGAACAATAACATTGATTTCAGGATAAGAGTCGTGCAAATGCGTAATGAATTGTACCATCGCATCTCTGGTATTCTCTGCCCATGGTTTTTTGGTAACAAACACATTCTGCAAAGGTTTGTGCCATATTAAGGACTGTAACTTCGAATTCGTGGACGTGATGAAGTCCGGGGATGAAATCGATCTTAACTTCGTTACCGGTTTCAAGGCAACGAATTTCGAGCTATCTCGTAGCTTAACAGTCGGATGCTCGATCGAATAAAATGCCCTAGTAATCCTCTGGGGTCTCAATAACCTGATCATTACCACTGTCACTGGATTGCTGAGGAGCAAAGGTGCTGTGTTTTCGATGACTATTTTTTTCAAGGCCTGGAAAAGCGGAGTTCGAACGTGATAGGTTTGATCATGTGGGTAGTATCTATATATATGAATAAATACTTATCCATATACAATTATATATAAAACTATGTATGATACCATCCGGAATGGTTCTACAAATGTATTAAAGCTAGTAACATTGTTGTATGCGTCAAAAGTTAGACCCTTCCGTGGGTTGAGGCAACTTTTTGTTGGTGGGCAGGGCCATCTCCTTGCGAAGATCCAGCAGTAGTGTTTCCATTGTGTAAGAGCGTTTCCATTCACGCAAAGTATGAAACTGGTTTTTCTTTACTTCCCCTGTTATTTGGTCTACACAAGGGAGATTAATTTTGGATACAAATTTGATTTGGGGAGGCTGATCAGGATATTCTTCACCACACTCAATGGCCACAGAGTATATTCTATTTTCATGATTGCTGTGTGGCGGGCCCAGGATTGTTCCATTCCAGTTGGTCATGGTTATATCATCACTATCAGCAAGACCGTAACTGCATGATTCGGGTCCCATACCCTTTTCACCCTTCTCGAGCTCTTCGAGCAATCTGAAACTTCTTGGACTATAACAACAAACGTTAGTAACTTTAAATTGAGATCAGTTGAAACGGATAGGCCACTTACACTCTTGACATCAAATTTATTCTGCGTTTAAGTTAAATGACGAGAATTACAAGGTTACGCATCTTTTCTGACCTTCAAAAAAGAAAAATACATAGGTGAACAACATAGGGAAGACTTGGAAAAACACCATTAACACCACACAATGAGCGAAAGTACGCGGTCTTCCCCCTTTATACAGCGACCGGCCTCTCCAGATGCGTCCAAGCGGCAAGCATTGTCGTTACAGTACAAAGTAAATACACTGCAAAATGAGTTTGAAATTGAAAAGTTATCATTTCAGCGCGAATACGCACTTCTCGATAAGAAATACCGATCGACATTGGATGGTCTAGATAAAGCTCTTAACGATACAAAATACCTATATGATACCAATGAGGAATTAGAAAAAGAGCTTGAAAAGGTAAAAGAGGAACTTTCTCAAATCAAGCGCGAATCTGAGACACGCAATCTGGAATTGAAACAGCAAATATTGTCGAAGGACAAAGAACTTGATGATTTGCAAGCTACTTCCCAGTCTAAGCTCTCACTCTACGAAAATAGATATCACAACTCTCAGGTCGAAGTTGAGGGTAGCAAGACTCTCCTAAAACGATATGAGTCTGAAATCGAAAAGCAAAATTCAGAGATCAAGAGGTTACAAAAATCGGTTGCTCAGAAAGATGACGAAGTTGCTAGTCTGAAAGCTTCACGTGTTGTGATGGCTCATCACAATTACTCAACTGAGGAGTTGAAGGAACTTACGACGTTGAATAAATTACTACAGGATCAAATGTCTTTCTCGAAAGATTTGGAAAGGACGAATCTGGCCCAAGGAAATGAACTAAAAAAGTTACGGGCAACTCAAGAATCCCAGCAATTTCTGAAGGCCGAAAATGATAAGTTACGGAGAAAACTTGAGCAAATGGAGCCACTGCAGACCCAAATACAAGATATACAATTAGAAAACATTAATTTACAATCAAACTTGGCATCTTGGGGACTCTACACCAATGATCAGGATGGGAAAACAAAACTTGGTCCTGAGGAAATTGTGAGAGAATGGAGAGTTCTCAAGCAAGAGAATCTAAACCTGGTTAATGAAAACTCAAAATTGCAGTTGGATCTGAGTAACCTAAAGATTCTCAACGATGAGCTTGCTCTTGAGCGCAATCAGATACTGGATCTGAATAAGAACTATGAGTCGAGTATACTTAATCTTAAAAAATTGAATTACGAAATTGAGCAGCAAAAGCTGCTTTCTTTTGAAGAATGTAAATTATTGAGACAACAACTAGAGGAACTAAGTTCAATAGATGAGAATCATAAAACGGAGCCTGTCACGTCATTCGAAGGTATCATAGATGGCTATAAAAATAGAACGGAGGATTTGACTAATGAACTCAAAAAGTTAAACGAAGCAATCCTGAGAGACTCAGACGCGGGTTACCCTTCTAAAAGGCGAAAGAAGAGTGATGATGTCGCGTTAAATTACTCGCAACGGCTGAATGAGTTACAGCTTCAAAATCTTGAATTGAACAGGAAATATCAGGCTGCGACAGAAACAATAACACTGTTACAGAAGAAGATTGATAAAATACAGGAAATAGGTGAAAAAAGAATTCGAATTTTACAATTACGGGATAGTCCTTTCCTTAAAGACCAATTTGTGAAGAAGAAGAGATTGATTTCATTGCAAAGAGAGAATGAAGATCTTCTTGCACGTCTTAATGACACCCACGTAGAAATGATACCCCGCTCAGTATATGAGCGATTGAAACTAGATTTAGCTGAACTAGAAGACGAAGTGTTCAACTCTAATAAAAAGAATGTCCGGCTAAGAGAGATATTCAACAAGAAATCACTAGAATTTATTGATGCCGTCAATTCTCTTCTCGGCTTCAAACTTGAATTCCAGACTGATGGCCAAATCAAATTAATCTCCTGTTTCAAACCTGAGAAGTATTTACTGGCAGATTTGGCACATAATAAACTAAAATCTAATTTGGACACCGAGATTGAAGGATGGAATGAGATACTTGGAGACCTTGTTGGGGAAAAGGGGCAAATACCTTGTTTTCTTGCAACTATTACGCTCAAACTCTGGGAGAAATATCAAAGACTACCTTGTTAAATACTCTATAGGTTTGCATTGTTTTTCTCGTTCTCTATAATATTGCATAAAAGTACTTATTTTTTTATGTTCGAACCGAGCTTTTGATCGAGTAACCAACGCAACAAGCGAGGGGAGCAAAGGGCGATAAGGACTCATACATGAGTGAAAATAGAGGGACTTTGTCCACACCCTCACAATATTTTTATCCTAAAGTAGTTTTATTGTCCCTTATTCTGACTGGCTCAATCATATCGGGTTATTCTTTCTTCAATCGATTTCTAAAGCAATATGCCAAAGTCAGTGAAATACCCTCAAACGCTTTTAGAAAAAAATGGCTATATGGGAAAGTTACCGCAGTTGGTGATGGAGACAATTTCCACTTTTTCCACACCCCAGGTGGCATACGCGGAGGCTGGGGTTGGCTTAGATTTGCCCCAGGTTTAGACAAGAGTGATCCTCCGCCAAGGAAACAATCTTCTCAATTCAAAGACATAATGAATTGGAGAGAAAACGAACAAAAACGATATTCAAATTTGCATTCAAAATACAAAAATAGAAGAAACCTACCGACTCTTCCAATTCGTCTTTGTGGGGTCGATGCGCCAGAAAGAGCTCATTTTGGCAATCCTGCACAACCTTATAGCGAGGAGGCTTTAAATTGGCTGAGATATACGTTACTTGGACGTCATCTTTGGGTTAAACCACTGTCTATTGATCAATACGGAAGATGCGTTGCAAAGGTCGAATATTGGGGATGGACAGGTTGGCGAAACGTGAGTGTGGAAATGATCAGACGCGGCTTAGGTGTTGTCTACGAATCTAAGAATAGTGCTGAGTTTGATGGTGAAGAAGATATTTACCGATTTCATGAAACAGTAGCAAGAACCAACCGCAAGGGGTTATGGGGACTAAAGCACTTAGAAACACCTGGCGAATATAAAAAGAGGGTCGGAAACATCTCATAGGCCATGCATTAACGAGGTTTTTTGAAGTATGTTGTTACGTAAACGACTTTTAAGTCGATTTATCAGAAGCTTAGCATTTAATATTTATACCGCATCTTTTTTCATGCTCCCTTTGCTCAAACATAATCTGTACTGCGATGAATAGCGCCATATTAGCGCATATAACAAATCTTATACCTGCCCAAGTACAAAACATATCCTTGATAAATTGTGTCATGCCTTCGGAATCCAAGCAAAATCCATATAGGTTGGCAATCATCATCATCCAGATGTTCGCCACAGCGCCCATGCCGCAAAGATATCTATACCAGGGCTTTTTCTGGTACCTAGTAAAGTAGTTAGTTGCAAAGATTTCTGGCAAAAGAAAGAGAACAATCAGCCAACCCCAAAGTAACAACCTTAGCTCTATGTCATGCCAGATAGCAACGAATGAAAACACAGCGAGAGAGGTTAAAATTCTGTTCCGCGACCCTCCTAGAGGTATATAAATATAACGAACAACCCATTTGTTATAGCTTCTATGCCACGCCCTCCAAAAGGCAAGTGCGCTGTAGTTATTATTCACACACCGAATCATATTTTCTGGAGCATCAATACCATCTAACATAGCCCATAGTCTAAATAGGCGCCATGGGATTAACAATTTTAGCCAAACAATGTTCAAATTCAAAAGGCCAATCATAGAGATCTGGAACGGAGTATCGTCATGCCATGCTTTAGTCTTTGACACTGCGACTACGTACATGTAATGTAAAACAACTTCCATTGTCAGCACGCTGAAAACAAATCTGATGGCGTACATGATTATTCTTTTCACCGAGATAGAAGGTAGAGTATGTTGAGATTGATAAAAATAGTCATTGAATGTAATAATTGGACCTGCGATAAACAATGGAGTGTAAGCAACGTATGCAATGTAGTTACACAAGCTGTAATCTTGAATATGATGAGGTGCTATAAGTCTTGCACGCTCGTCTGTGAGTAGCGAGGGACTCCCATTTTCACAAATCGTCTCTAAACGTGTTGCCGAAGAGGCTGCTCTTTTCAGTTCTGGCTTATCCATAACTATGGGTGGCGGACTCACACGTCTTTTACCTGTAACGTCTTCCCATCTTTCCAAAAAATCCATATCAAAGCTCAGCATTCTGAGAAGAGTAAAATTGAAAAACACATCCCAGCGTTCTATAATTCCTTTGTATGATGTATCTAATGGAGCAAAAAAAGGTATCACTTTACCGAATGGGTAAGTTCTGAACGTGTTGTTGAAGAATAAGGTTCCAATTCCATATGACCAAGCTAGCAAAGTGGCGAACCGGCGATGTTTCTTGAACACCTTAACGATGGCGAAATTTACGAGCAAATGAAAAAGTACTCGAAGCGCATTGACACCATGTGCTGCGAATAAGAAGATCAAACCGAAAATTAAGTCAAACCTAACCTTGCTAATCCCAGTCACAATTATCGTTGTCTTTTTCACAGCGGTGTGCAATACGACGAGCCCCGCCAGTAGAGGCAGATTATCCCTAAAAAACCTATACTGGCTGTCACTGTTATCCACCTTCCGGCCCATTATCCAGCCAGGACTCAATAGCCTTTCAAACTGATAGTAGTTGGTGCTTGTTTCATTGCTGGCCGCCATAGCCGTTTTTATCATAAGCGGAACGACGATCAAAAATGCTACATAGTAAAACTTAAATTCCCACGTATTCCAAAGAGGTTTCGAGGCTCCTAAACTAACCTTTTGCCGCCTTTTAATATCTGTCGTAGGATCTAGTCTTGTATCCAGACTTCCCAGAGACCAAAACGATAGAACGTCGTTCCATTCCATCATTGTCGTGTGTTTTGCGGATCTGATCAGTATAGATTCAGCCAACATACGCCGATAAATACCTTTGAAATCACGTTCTGGAATCTGATCATTAGAGAGGTATATAACCAGCTCTTTCTCAAGAGAGGCGCAAGTGGTTTAGTGGTAAAATCCATCGTTGCCATCGATGGGCCCCCGGTTCGATTCCGGGCTTGCGCATAACTTTTTCATCAAGTAATGATTGATGAATTCTTCATGAGACGGTCAGGTACCATCAAAATACAATCTCTGAAGGTGACTTTAAATAAAATTGTTTTATTTTCTCTCTTTTTTTTTTTAATAGACACAAATTGCGTCCCTATTGTCATGGCCTGACTTTTATTTTATTTTCGTCTCGTCATCTAAAGCAACCGCCAAATTAATAAAAATTTTAGTCTTTTAGATGAGCGTCAAGATCCATCTTGTAAAAGGTATCATTTCGTCAGTCCTAGTAATTGCTTGAAGCTGACGTAGGCTTTTCACAAGGTAGCATGGCACCCTTTCGCAGTGTTCATGATCATCTGCACATTCTTAAAAGTGCAATTATCTGAGCACTTTTATGTATAACTTCATCGCTTTAAAGATTTACTGACACTATATTCTGCGAATTAGTGTTACCGCCAGCGCCTTTCGCTATGTCAGTACCTGCAGACTTCAAAAAGAACGTTTAAGCGCTTGAAACATCTTGGTAGACGGGAAATAATATGTCGGGCGGCCAATTACTACTGGTTGCATCAAAAGGCAAATACACATTACGTGGATTATTGGCACAGGCTACGTTTACTGCGAAGATGTACCACGATATCTGCGTTCAACATGATATGAAATTTTCAGGCAACAATGCACCATATTTTTCATGAAAGGACTTTAAAAGATATCAGGTGCAGATAAAGGTGCGCCATGTTTTGGTCCTCGAAGTCAGGCATTTCGTCAAATTACTCTTATTCCTCTTCACCAACGTTTGTGGTAGATTCTTGGAGTGTTCACACCGGTCGACCTAAGAGTAGTTCTACCAATGCCCTAGCCAAAATATCAGTATTCATCTTCGACAAAAAGCAGTTCGAGAATTACCTGTTAACATATGGTGTAATAAAGTCGAAATCCTCTTCAAAAGACAAACTTATCATACAAGAGGCATACAATGTACTTAAGACTCAAGTTGGCAACCTCGCTAAGTTAAAACACCCCAACATTTTGACTCTGATAGAGCCCTTAGAGGAGCACAGTAAGAATTTTATGTTCGTTGCCGAATATATTTCTGGAAGTTTGGATACCATATTTGGGAGTGATACTAATGAAGAGCTTGAGTTTTTACAAAACGGTGTTAATTCTGGCAATGTAATTATCCAACGAGGAATTCTCCAGATTTCTCAAGCACTTGAATTCATTCACAATAGAGCAAGTTCTGTTCTGCTAAATTTACAGCCACAATCCGTACTCGTCAATGATAATTCAGATTGGAAGGTTTTTGGACTTGGACACTTGGTCAAGCTTCCACAAGGAACAAACACAGCAGATTATTTCATTCCACAATTTAGCCGTGAAGTACCTGCATTTATGCACATTCCTTTAGACTACAGTGCTCCGGAGCTTATCCTAGATAAGATGTTATCACCCAAGAATGATTACTTTTCATTGGGATTACTGATATACTTTCTTTACTATAAAAAGAGCTTACTGAATTGTGAAAATAGTATCAGCAGTTTCGGTGATCAATATGCAAAATTCGAACGTCAAGTGTTACAGTATACTTCGAACCAGTTTTTTTCTAAGATTCCCGAAAAGCTACGGTTCTGTATGCCCAAGTTGATGAATCGAGATGTATTCAACCGATTTGACAATATAAGCGATTTCATTGAATCAGAGTTCTTCCAAGATCCTTTAATCAAGACACTGATATTTTTGGATGACCTCCCAACCAAAAATGCCCAAGAAAAAAGTATTTTCTTGGATGGGCTTGATAAAATTCTTCCGCAATTCCCAACCCCTCTGTTGCAGCGCAAATTCCTACCTGTACTATTGGAGTTAATGGATCAATCATGTTCTGCGGACACAAGAGATCCTGAGTGTCTTAAGAGAAACCTTCAAGTTGTCATTCAGATAGGTTCAACTTTGTCCCAGCTAACCTTTCATGAGAAAGTTTATCCACATTTAGTTTCTGATGTCAACTTTCCAATACTCCTCTCCGTTGCCACTTCTACTTTCATCGATAATTTGAGGATACTGAAGGATAAGTGCAAGTCAGAGAACTTCATCAATGTTATATTGAAACCCTTATGCTCGCATGTACTCTCTAGTAATAGCGCAGAAATTGCAGTGGAACTTCAAGAGACTCTGTTACTAAAATTGGAGATCATGCTAGAGTGTTTCGATTTTCCTACAGTCAAGAACTTTCTTTTTCCCTTGATATCACAGCTGTTCGTAAAGACAACTAGCCTGACTGTGAAAAACTCCTGTGTTGGCAGTTTTGAAAAGATGATACAGGAAAAGGCCATCGACAAATACATATGTGTGGAAAGCATCTTACCTCTCTTTAAATCCATGAAGACCAGAGACCCAAGAATTTTACTTAAGTCTTTACAGCTATTCAGGTTATTTCCTGCTTTTGTTGACAACGAAAACGTGATCGTCGAACAGTTGCTACCGCTACTATGGAACTTCTCCATTGCCCCATCCCTTAAACCTAGCCAGTATAGTGATTACATCGATGTAATCAACAAAATCAGCGCCGACATTCAACGTTCACATATGGAAAAATTAAAGGAAAGCACTGGCCTACAAAGTCAAAGCGAAAGTGCCAACTTCAATAAGGTCATCGAAAAGCCAATTCAACGAAGAGAAGACCCAGATACTCAGGCCGCCAAAAGCATTAGTGTTCCGGCAATGCAACCGAGAACTCTAGCTGCGAATTCGAGATCAACCAGTAGTGGCGCGTCTACAGATAAAATCATTCGGCAAACTAATTTACAAAAACCAAAAACGATGCCACCAACCACTGAAGTTCCTAAACGTGCCGTTCGTAGTCCCCCTACGAAACCCTTGATCCTTACTAAGGGCGTTGCTCAAAACTCGCCGAAGGCTACAAGAGCTAGACCAGCTAGAATCATTAATAACCAGCCTAAAAATGATGCCGATGATTTTGAGGATTTTGATGACTTTGTATCTTCAACGAGCTCTCCCATAAGCGCGCACCACTCGCGTTTTCCTGCGAACGCCGAAGCTAAAGCTGCAGTCAACGTCCAAGCTCAGTCTCCGAAAGTTTCGAATACCACACCATCAACTGCCTTTCCACCAGGATTTTCGATGGCCTTACAACCACAGCGCAAGTCGTCCCCCCTGAACAGTGGTGATGTATCGGTAAGTGATGGTCCTTCTCTTCTATGATAAAATTATTATTCAGTCGTCATCTACGTAAAGCCGATTTTTCCGACCAATGAAAAATTTAGGATATGTGCTTCCTCTTGTTAATCCTTGAAGAAGACTTAACAATACAACTGACACTTATTGACATCGAGAGAATTTGTTATTCTATCAAACAGCTGTACAGCAATCATTCAAGCATTATTATTTATTCAAACTTCCCGTTTGACAGTCTTTTCCATATTCAATATTATTTATTCCGCTGATCTACGTTTGAGGCCATCTATTCCTGTAAAAACTATCAACAACATCACAACTATGAGAGCGACCACTAGAGTTAATGTTACCAATAAGCTTTTCATCACAACATTTCTTGTGGCATTTTCGTCCGTTGCTTTGGGTTCGGTCCTTCCATGTCCTGCGCACACTTTGGACTCTGACACACCTTTAGTTACTGAACATGATGAAAGAGCCAAAAAGATTGCAGCAGAGAAATCTTCTAAAAGATGAAGGAACAGGGCATGCAGTTTAGCCTGGAGATTGTCGAATGATCTAAACTTTTTCGAACGTGATGTGCTTTTCCGCACGGTATGAGCTACATTTATTCACTGCTCAAAAATGGAACGTTAATGCTTGCATGGACAGACATTTCGCCTTTGACGTATACTTATCTAAATGTCCCACTGCGAGCTGTACATACAAGGGTCATGTATTTAATTTGTAAACTAGTTTGGTAAAAAGATATAAGAAAAAAAACTGGAGATCTGGATAGTACTTGGTGCAATTGAAGATAAACTTCAACAACCTCCCTTGACGGATATACGCACCGTTGCATGCTCATCGATTTGTTAATTGCTTCGCGTAGCATTTTCCTCGTCTAGCGCTCATCATCATAAACATGTGGTTACCCTACATATACATACTAGTTCTTCATAAGAACCATGAAAAAAATGTTCGGAGTATCACCTTTTAATACCAGACGGAGGATTGATTTTAGTAATGTCAGAAGAACAATCAATGAGTATTGAACCTCAGGAAGACATAAGTCCAAATCCTAGCATCCCAGAAAACAAGGACGAGACTCAAAATTCCGATAGTGTTCATGCCAGCGATCAAGAAGAGGATTTATATTCTCACGAGGTTGAGAACAAGCCTGATGAAAGGACTGAGGGCTTAGAAGAGGAAGAACCCGCTCTTTTATCCGACAATTCTGACGATGATAAGTCGATACCTGCTGGGGAAGATGACGAGGAGGAGAAAAAAAGTGAGGGTGAAGAGGTTAAGGACGAGTCCAAAGAGCCAAATACTGCAGAAGAACATTACACCGAACAATCAACATCAAAGGCGGATGTCCTTGAAGCAGAGCCACAACAAGATGTGGAATCCAAGTATGATGAATCGCATGAGGAGGATGCGGATAAGGAAACGAGTGAAGAGGAATCTCTCGAAAAAAGAAACAGTGAGGAGCATCAATCTGAAAGTTCTAACACAGCTGACAATGATCAATTGACAACTGAACCTCAAGGTTCGGATGTCGATATAACAAATGAGAAAGAGCAGGAAACAGAAGAAACTGCTCCTACTTTCCAAATCCCTCCCGAAGGCCTGGGTGACGAGAACGTGAACTACGACTTGCTACAGAGACAAGCAAAGTACATCATGGACAGTGGCATATTGAATGTATCAGAATTTCGTAATCTGAACGAAAAGGACAAGATATCAGCAATCTTGTCATTTTTGAACTCCAACCCGGAAACTTCCTTGCCTATTTCCTCCCAACGCACACCAACAACTTCGGAACCAGAGCAGCCTGGTCGCATTCCAAGACCAGACATGTCACAACCGATGAATGCAGCCGAACGCAAAAGGTACTCTGAATATTTGAGAGGAGAAAATCGCATAACTGAGATTCAAAATATTCCACCAAAATCAAGACTTTTCATTGGTAATTTACCACTTAAGAACGTAGCCAAAGAGGATCTTTTCAGGATTTTTTCACCATATGGACACATTTACCAAATTAATATAAAAAACGCTTTTGGCTTCATTCAATATGATAACCCAAAGTCCGTCAGAGACGCAATCGAGGGTGAATCTCAAGAAATGAACTTTGGAAAAAAGCTTATTCTAGAAATCTCTTCCTCAAACAGCAGACCTCAATATGATCATGGTGACCATGGCACAAATAGTAGTTCTACGTTCATATCTTCTACCAAACGCCCCTTTGACGAAGAAGAAGAAGAGGACATGTACAGTGATAACAATTATAAGAGAGGCAAGAGACGTGTTCCGGAATGTGTTATCTACGTTAAACGAACCGCAGACCGCTCGTACGCCAATGACGTCTTTAACAAGTTTAGACAAGGGACGGGCTTAGAGACAGACATGATTTTCTTGAAACCCCGAATGGAGTTGCGTAAGATGATTAACGATGCCGCCTACGACGGTGTTTGGGGTGTGGTCCTGGTAAACAAAACCAGGAATGTTGACATTCAAACGTTTTACAAAGGCACCCAAGGCGAAACCAAATTTGACGAGTACGTTAGCGTATCTGGTGAAGACGCGGTTGCCATATTCAACAATTTGAAGAATAGTAGACGCAACAGAAGCGGCTCAGCTCCTCATCAGGCACCTCCACAGCAGCAGTACTACGGATCCTACAATATGGGCCCCCCTCCACCACAGCAAGCACCTCCTCATATTCCTCAGCACTATGTCGCTCCTCCACCGCAAACTTACGGTGCGCCCCCAATTGCCCAAGGTTACAATGCATATCCCGCTCAGCCTGCAATGCCAGCGCACGTTGTTCCTCCCATGATGTCCAATCCTCCGCCTGCGCAGATGGACCAACAACAACTTCTCTCGGCAATTCAGAACTTGCCACCAAATGTTGTTTCCAGTCTACTTTCAATGGCTCAACAACAGCCACAACAACAGCAACAGCTTCTGGGAATTATACAGTCCATGCAACCACAGCAGCAGATGCCCGCTCCCGGTGTACCTCCACCACCCAATGCATACCCAGGCTACCCGCCTCCATCTGCTATGAATGGTGCGACCATGCAACCGCCACAGTCACAACCACAAGCTCAATTTTCCTCACACCACGACCAGCGTTCTCCACAGCAGCAAAGCCCACCAGTTCAACAAAACCAGTCTTCAGGTAATAACAATGTCCAAAGTCTTCTGGACAGTTTGGCCCAGCTACAACAGAAATAGTGTTTCTTGACTTACAAATCTTGGTGCTCAGCCATAACCCGCAATTCTTTACGCAATTCTTTCCGCAATTCTTTCCGCAATTCTTCCCGCTATTCTTTCCGCAAATCTACTTCTTATAGCTTTATACTTAAACAAATCTCAGAAACAGTAAAAACGTAAACTCGTAGTCTTTTCTTTTCTCGGCATTTCAATTTTCAATTTTCATGTCTTCCCTGATTTCTTATGCTCGGGAAATGCACCCTCATGCATAATATGAAAAATAGGTATTTGACATTCAGCCACTTTTTCATCACTTATACTCACAAGTACAAACACTTGAGAACATGAGACAACAATACCTTTCGTTGGCGTTGCTCTCGGCTATTATCTTGAATGTCTGCTTCTTCATGTATCAGAATTGGGCCCGTTGGGAGCCTCTGGTCAATTTTCAAAATGCCGACAAGCCTCATTCTAAAAATGCCAAGACCGTAAACATAATGAATGTCGAAAACTTTACGGAGTATGTCAGACCTCTAGATTTGGCGAACAGCACGTCACTATTCAACTCGATTCACTCAGCCCTGAAACAGAAGGACTCCGATATTCATCCCGCTGGAGTCTCTTACTTCCCTGCGGTGATACCTGAGGGGACATTGATGTATCACGCTGGTAACTGCAAGATCCCCGATAGCTTTGAATGGCTGGCAATGGACTTCGAGTTCAGCTTCAGCTTCGGCTCCAGGAGATCCTCTCGTGGAAGAGCGAGTCTCCGTTCACGTGGTCGTCATGGGTTTCCTGGAGGCGGTCGCCCTCACAACGGTGCAGAATCTGAGAAAAGCGAGAACGAAGCAAATGCCGAAGACAATGAAAACGCAGAAAACAAAAATACGAATGCAGAAGACACAGCTGCGGGCAAAGGAGGTTTTCCACAGGACTCTAGAATGTGTCTCTTCACATTCAGAGCCAATCGAGATCTAAACAAATTCTTGTATCTCGACGGTGCCTCCGCAGCTAAGACGGATACTGGTGAAATGGACACCCAGCAGCTGCTTTCGGACATTGCAGCCTTGAAGCTAAATCTCACAAACCATGGAAGTGGGATGGCAGAGAGACTATACGCGGAGAACATTTGCAAATGGGGAAAACCTTATGGGTTGCACGGTATAATCAGAGTTGAAATTGGTTTTGAGATTGTGTTATGCGATTTCTTGAATGGAGACGTTGAGTTGGTCTCTAACGTAACTTCTGCGAGTGCTGAAACAGCTCTAAATCTTCCTCCTGCGGTAAAAATCACAAAGGAGAATGGTTGGCCATTGGGTGACGATGGTCAGCTGATTGAGGACCAGTTAACGGACGAACAGAGAGCTATTCTCGATCAGGAAGACAAATTTGAGAGTTTCTTATCTCAGGTCGATGCGACAATCGAGTTTGATCATGTTCATGCGGGTGCAGTTCATGATACCGGCGACAAGCGTATTCAACTAGACTACAGGTACCTGGTTTCCGGATTTAACAGAACATGGCTAGATCCTAACGTGTTCAAGAGAAGATTATTGACCGAAAACGCAACTTTGGATCTTGAATACGAAATTGTCGAAGAATTAGAAAATACATTATCACTGGGTTACGATGCTTCCGAAAGCAATAATTGGCAACTTGTAACAGAAGAGATTGTTGACAAGTTTTCCCCACTGATTTTGTCTATAGAAAAAAGTCTCAAAAGGGATGCGGATGAAATTGAGGTGGCACGGAATGCGACCAGAAGGACTTTGGGTTTCATCAGGAGATTTGTTCACCAGACCGAGGATTTCTTGTCGGAGCATTCTAAAGATCTAGCCGTTTACCAATATACACAACCACTTAAGCCGTTGGTTACGGACGCAGACTATCTGATATGGTCTGCCTTAGTCAATACTGTTCGTGAAACGATTGACACATTGTACTACGTGAACACCAGGCTGCAACCTATCATAACAGAAGATTTGCTAAACAATAGAAAAATTGATGACGCAAAGGCTCGAATTGATGATTCTCAGGCTGCTATTGACTCATTAAAGCAGTCTTTGGGATGGATAGCATTTTCCTACCGTTGTGATAAAATCTGTGGTGATGAAGAGATTTGCTACACGCCATCTTGGGGGCCCGGACCTTTTGGTTGGATTACGCCTGATTCGACCACTGATCACCTTGGAATGACCTACGATGAGATACTCCAAAGGCAAGTTATCCAGCAGACCTTACAATGCATTAGCATTGAAAATCTGCTAAATCATTGAACTGTTTAACTGTAGGACTATCTTTATCTTGAGTGCATTTATACATATGACCCTTTCTAGTCTGCAAGCCAGAGGACTTCGCTTATAAGATAATGTTTTTGTAGTTACTAGCAACCTTCCCTTTCGATATTAACAATACATTATTAATCGTTATTCATGATACCGTTTATTTGAACTTCATAGTTGCAGACCCCTTTTCTTAATACACCTTGTCATAGTACAATAAGTCAAGAGTATTAGGATGAGTTTAACATTCGAGGTCAAATCCGTGGAAATCAATGGATCATCATACCGCATCTTTTTGCAAAATGAAAACGGGCCTTGTGCACTACTTGCCCTATGTAACGTTCTTTTGCTGTCACCGCAACACAGTAGACAGGCGAGAGAGCTGATTGAATTTGCAAAAGCGCGAAGTGAGGTCACTCTGAACCAGGTGGTAACAATACTAGCAAACATTGGAATGAGAATACCCCAGGGTGCTTATTCGGATCTTAACCAACTGCTTCAAATATTGCCGCAATTACACACTGGGCTGAACATCAATCCTATTTTCAATGGCTCCTTTGAAGATGGGGATGAAATGTCCTTGTTCAGACTGTTCAATGTCAGTATTGTACATGGATGGCTTGCGGCATATGACCAGGATCCTGTGCAATACCAACATGTATCAAAATACTCGTACGAAGAAGCCCAGCGGGTTCTTGTAGAGGCGTATGACATGCAACAGGGAAATTTGCAGACTTCTAATGCACAAGAAATCCTCGAAGATGCAAACTACATCAAGTCATTCTTAGCTCGATCAGCTACGCAATTGACGGAATATGGGCTCAAGCACCTGAAAGATGTGCTACTGGAAAATTCGTACGCGGTTCTATTTAGAAATGATCACTTTTCTACCTTAATCAAAAATAATGGTGAGCTCTATTTGCTTGTAACGGATTCTGGTTTCAAAAATAACAAGGACATAATTTGGCAATCACTCAAGTCTGTCAATGGATCGCAAGATACATTCTATACGGGCAACTTTATCCCTGCTACTCTTCAAAAATCGACCACACAGCTAACGTCTAACACAGCTGCAAGCACGCACCATACTAATCCCTTCTTGGACCCTCGTGACTCGACGTCTGGCGCTCAACAGGATAGAGATTCGCGTTATATGACTGATGAAGAGTTAGCAAGACATTTACAGGAGGAGGAAGACGCACGTGTGGCAAGAAGCATGCAAAGAGGCTATGGAAGATCCCGCTCAAACAATGATGAGGAAGGGGCTAACGGCAGAAGCAAGAAAAAGAGTAAAGATAAATCAGGCAGCAGCAGGAAAAGAGATAAACTGAAGAAAAGTTGTATTATTATGTAGACTTCACAATTGGTACTGGTTTCGAACTGACTAATGCATTTAAACACTAGGCTTGTATCCTCGCATGTATGCTGTAACTCAGGAGCTTTTCCGTACTGCCTATAGTTTTGAAGTGACATGTACGTTAAAAATGATATGTTTCACTCGATAAGGGATATATCTCAAGGGGGCACAAGCATCTTCAAGTTTTAAAAAGATGTCCCAACAACAATCAAGGCATTTTAGCGATGTCTGAGCCTGATTTAAACGTATCTAGAAGTGTTTTATTCAATATTAAAAGTGCTGAAGGTTCCGGCCTGCAGTTCCTTATTGGGCGGTCAAGCGAGAAAGATCCCGACCGTTATGCTCAACCTGACAACTTTTTGTTTAACGAAAAGAGTTTGAGTAAAGGGCATGCGATCCTCTGCATCAAAAGATTAACTTGCGTAGGGAATGAAATCTCTACTCCGTTTATTGACCAGTTCAGGATAAGTGTCGAGGACTTAGGTAGCACCCACGGGATTGTAGACTTGCATTCCCAAGACGCAGATGCCAAAGTTATAGACTTGAAGAATGGGGAACGTTTCGGTTTGGTGAAACTCAGCCGACCTGTGGGCCCCGGCCAATCGCGTGGTGCAAAGTTAAAATTTCGCGTTCTGATTAAGAGAGGCTTCTCAGATCAAGAGGAGGTCTGTGAATTGTCATTGATAAATGTGACTAACGAAGAAAGTCCATGCTTCAGCAGATCGAGCACCTTAGAGAAAGGCAGGCTTGAAGCTCCCTCGTCTCCCTCTCCACTATCCACCTCTTCTTCGGAAATGAACTACAGTGAGGACTTGGTCTTAGAAATAGAGGAGAATGATAAACTAGAGGCTGACATCGATTATGAGCAAGCTTCTGAAGAAAGTGAAATGGGCGTGGCTGTCTCACACCTAGTGACACATAATGATTCACATTTCTCCGCCATTATTACTGAGAATGAAACGGCCGCGGATGGAACTTTGTCTCCTTGCGACGACGAATATGATGATTTTTCCGATGACACCTATGAGCTACTGACAGAGTTTAATCATAAAATGGAGAACACGCCAGAATGTTATGATTGCTGTGAATCACGCATATCCTTTAAAAACGACGCAGAAGGTAGCATGTGCGGTTCAGATGTAAGGCAACCTCTTATGCAGTTCGGGAGAAAGCGCTCTCTGGAAGAGAGTATAATCTCGGAGGTTGACGAGCCTCAAACTAAAAAGACTGATATTGGCTTGTCAAACGACAATATATCATCTATCAAAAAGAGGCAGGTTTTAATTGGTGGTTTACTTGGGTTTGTGGCAGGCTCTTTGGGTACTTTAGGTGTATTGGTTGGAATTGCAAATATGGAATAATTTATGTTTTTATTATCTTGTACGCTATTTAGTTTTCTCTTGTAGCAGAACAATTGAACAAGAATTGGCACATGGATATTCGTACAAATATATAATTCTACGGGCAAGGTCAATAAGAATGGAGCTTATCGAGCTCAGAACCAGTGCAGTACGCTAAGCATTGCAAAACAACATTGGTATCTTCAATTCCTTATATGTTGTTCAAGCAGAATATATCTGTGATTTTGAAACTATTCTGAAACGGCATTGTTTCAGACCGCGACACATCTACTATAAAGGAAGACTTAGCGCGGCAGAGCTTCAAGGTAATGCTTGTCCGCCCGAAATATAGTCAAGGGCTATTTATGCAATATTTGTGGGCTAAATGGAAGAAATCATAATTAAAGAGAACTTACCATCTGCAGAGGATGCCTCCTGTTCATCTTTGATATCGACTACTTTACCACGTAAACGACTCAAGGCCCCGAAACCATCTATAACAGAAGCAAACCAAAAAAGACACAAGAAATTCAAAAGCACCCGCAAATTGAGAACAGGGAAAAGCTACAGGAATGTCCGAAGTCACACATCGACAAGATCTGTGAAGAGAGACATTGAAAATAAGAAAATGAAAGATAAGGCATTCTTCAAAGGAATTCTGTGTGGTTCCTTTTTTGGTGCTTCAATTAGCTCCATTATGATTAATATTATACTCAAAGCCCTAAAGAAATAAATGACGTATCCTATTTGTGTGTTTTAGAAGCACCTTCGGTATTAATAGAAGTCACTTTTTGCCGCTTAATACCTCCTTCGTATCGTGATTCCCCTGCTAAAGAATGATGTTTTTTTTGTTCTGGTTTTCCCCGGAACCTCTCTTAACCCTCATATTACCGCCAAATAACCTTTCCTTCTCCTGTTCAGTCAGTTCGTACTCGAGTAGCCCTGCGTCGCCCAGTTCTTTAATAAAACTTAGAAGTTTGCCATTTTCGGATGCCATACTTCTTTGAAGTATTTTCAAGTTGAGGTTTTGATTGGGATTGAATCTAGTGATTTGATTTTGAATGCTTTGGATAAATTGTTTTTCTCTTTTGCCCTCGAGGAACACGCCTCTATTGCTCATTTCATCATCGGCGACTCCTAAATTAGCCCTGTGCTTATCTTTTTGATTTGATATTTTTAAGAGCCACATTTTGCGACGCTCCTCCCGCCAATTTTTGATGTCTTCTTCTGTCTGTAGCGTGATGGATGTGCCAGGAATCGGAACCACAGACTCTTTTACGGTATCTTTCGTGTTTGACATGGAGTCTAATTCCTTTGCCTCCGAGACATTATCCTCTTTGTTCTCGTAATCCTTGTCGCGTTGATCAGTTCTATCATAGGAGGAGGCCCTAGTTTTCAATCCAGCAACGTCATATTCCATACGATTATTTGTGGCCGACGATTGGAGGCTCTTCGAAGTAGTACCGTCAATTGAAGGTCCATTCCCGTTCCAGAGGGTACCGTACGGCTGTGGTTGCGATTGCTGCTGATGCTGCTGATACTGGTATCCATACATATGGTATGGCGAATAGTATGCCGGAATATAACCCTGATTTACTGGCATATACTGATGCTGTGCATAGTAATATGTTTGAGATTGAGCTTGTAATTGTGATTGCGGTTGCTGATAGCCTGTCGGCCGATGCCCAACGCAGTGCTCATTTCCATTCAACAGCTGTCCTGAGGACGTAGGTTGCGGTACATTTAGCGGTTGCAGCGGTGGAGGCGTGTTATATGAGTAGCTATCATCGTTCATACTCTCTCAATAATTAGAAAAGAGCCCCTACAAGTCCTCAGAGTTTTTTTATTCAAGTAATGGTCTGCGGATTATTATCTTGATTTCTGTCGAATTTTATAATTGTCGTTTTTAACGACCTTTTCTCCGGCTTCGAAAGCTGACCCTCTCTGAATAGCAACCCCATCTTTTCCTAAAATGTTGAATGCGATGATCACTCATCCTGTCTTGTATCTACATTGAACCAGGTCAACAGAGCAATTGGAACAGAAAAAATAGTTAAGCATGTCCCAACCAGCACAGCGAGCAGCTACACAGTCATTTATCCGCAATTATATTAATAAGGAGACTCTTAAATATGTTTTCACTACGCACTTTTGGGGGCCTGTATCCAACTTTGGGATTCCACTTGCCGCAGTGTATGATCTCAAAAAAGATCCTGAACTGATTTCTGGCCCCATGACTGGAGCTTTGATTCTGTATTCTGCAGTTTTTATGAGATACGCCATGGCTGTCACGCCAAAGAACTATTTACTTTTCGGTTGCCACATCGTGAATGAAACAGCTCAATTAGGTCAGGCTGTGCGTTTCCTAAATTACCACTACCTTGGCAAGGAGGAAGCAGTGAATGACGAGAAAAAGCCGGAAAGAGCTCAGTAGGTCCTACCACAAAATTGCTTACATCCAAAGGATCTACGTCTATACTTTCTACATATATGTATACTAATCGAATATCCCCTTTGGCTTATCGACTTGCGTTGGACCAAACTGTTCCTCATCGCTATTACCTTGGCTTTCCACACGGGGTTTCTTGCTACTTAATTCCTGCAAATACCGGATTTTTTCGCGCTTCAAGACATCTCTACGATTGAGGTGCGAATCCGACGGCATATGTGCAGGATCAGCACTTTTAGAACCCCATCCAATAGTTGTACGTGTCCTCTCGGCGGTAGCCAATAATTGTGAATCATTTGACTGGCTGGCAGGACGTGAAGTTTCCTCAGCAGATTCTTCGACTGGTTTCTTGCCTCTAATGGGGTTTTTCCAACGTACATTTACGTCAGCGTCAGCATCCGCGTCTTTGACAAATAGCGCCGTTGGCTTAAGAGGGCTCATGGGAGCGTCTCGTAATTGGCTTTTCAATGGACTTCTTTTCTTTAATGGGGACTTTCGAGGGCTGAGAAGTTTCTTGGTGGCAGTTTCTCGCAGCGGGCTTCCCTTTGATGGACCAAAGGTTTTCGATGGGGCTATGACATTTCCTTGTTCAGCGTCTGACACCTGAACAAGTTCTATGCATACATTTGATTTCCTCATTTCCATGAGAATAGGATCACCTGGATGACAAAACCATAGATGTATGTTCATGTCAGTCTTCCAGACTGACGATAAATTGATGAAACTTCGAAAATCTTTCATTTTGAATGTGACCACCTTTGTTGAGGGGTGATTAGTGTTTTCGTCTTCAGCTGTGGTGAACAAACAGTAGTGTTCCAAATCCATCGTACTCACCGTGTTGCTGGCACGCATTGCATTTCTGAGAACATCATTGTTTTTGCTGTATATTCCTCTTGTAAACGCCGTTATACATAGCCTGTTAACGTTGATTTCTAATTTCACTTCTTCTGTAGCACTTGAATTGCAGCTGTCGATGAAATTTTTCAGAAGCATATTAGTACAACAGAGATAGTTAATTTCATCCTCTAACGTAAGCTCAGAATTTGGCCTCAAATTAGTAACAATATCATTGTTGAAATATGAATTCGACACTTCCTTAGCAGTACTCTCAAAAATATCCAGTAATCTAGGATCGAGCTGTTCTTCTTGGTTTTCACTAGATGTTCCGTATACATTCAGAAACTTCCTTTTATAACGTAAATTTATGACAATGGGGTCGAACTTTATTGGAATAAAGCTGGGCGCATACTCCTTTATTAGCATACTCTCTGTGTGTATAACGATCTGAAGTCTATTTGCCAAAGTTTCTGGGCACACCTCTGTGTTATTTATGAGCAGAACGATGTCTTTCATCACGTCATTCTCTGGCTTCCTAAACAATATGGATAGATGCCTACCATTGGTTTTAAATGAATATAGTTTATGTGTATCTTGATTGAAATCCTGCACTAGCTGTAGTCCATCTTCACCGAACACAATATTCTCGGGTTCAAATGTGTATTCTTCAAAAAAGCCCTTAGCAAAGGACACTTGGCACATAGATGTATCTGTGGAGTTCATAGACCAAACTATCAGCTCCCTCGGTGTTATGGTGAACCTGATATCATCATGAAGAGTTGCCAGCATCTGAATTGTGCGGCGCCATACGAGCTGATTCTCAGACGTCGTGATTATCGCTTTGAAAGACATGTTTTAGTGCAAGCCATTATTTTACCGCTGTTTAGCGATGCAATCAAGAACTATTTCACTTATCATAATATGCGTATGTAGTGATAAATGTAAAAATCAAATTATTCTAGTCTTCATTCCAATGATTGTCTCGAATAAGGCCAATCAGACATTATACACCCTCTTCTACCATCTTCTCCTTCTTGGAACTAGCTTGCTTCTTCTTGGACTTCTTCTTTTTCTTTTTTATTACTATGACTTCCTCATCAGGATCTCCGTCGTGTAGAGATTCTTGTGCGAACTTGGCTCGCAATTTCTCCAATTCAGCTTTTCCTTCGACGCTAACATCACTAGCATCTTGTGACAATGGTTGTGGCCTTGAAAAATCGAAGGTTTCCAGTTTGGTTTGTAACTTGAGGTTGATTTTACTGTTTGAAGCTTTACCAGAACTTAAACTTCTAGAATCACTGAGTTCGTCATCATCTTTGCCGTCATCGTTCATGACAACCTCATCAGAAAGGACCTGAACTTTCTTATGCTTCTTCTTTTTCTTGGACTTTTGCTTCTTTTTTTCTACCCCATCATCTACAGAAAGCCTTATCACACTAGGTTTTTGCGAGCCAACAACAGATTCGTTGTCGTCAAAATCGATTAGAAGACTGTCCTTTTTCTTCAAATCATCTTCCTTCTCATCCAAATAGAACGGGTTGTCCATGCGTTCACGTCTTCTTTTCTCTTCAAGTTCATATTTCCCTCCTGGCGATGAAGTATACGTATTAGAGGTTCCTGAGGGAGTTTTGTTCTCAAATTGAGAAAAAGTCTCAGATTCATTATCAGATTCAGCGTCTGATTCTCCCAAAGAGTCGAATCCCTCCTGAAATTCATCTTGATCAATGAGTTCTTGTAACATATCTTCGGTTAAGAATGGAGTTTCTAAATCCAATGATAGATTACGTTGAAGCTTTCTTTGCGTGCCATGTGATATAGGCTTTAATTCCCATCCATCAAATAAACTAGGTAAAACTTCTGTCATCAGTATCGGTAGTTCATTATCATCCATATCAAGCGATTCCGAGCACAGCTTCAGCAATTCAAGATACTCAACGCTACGCTCCTGAACTTCAAAGGATTTTGAAAAGCTCAAGGATTCGAGGTAGACTATCAATTCGTTCGTCATGTCCTTCACAGACTTCACAGGAATGTTTTCATGACGATTGCACCAATTGCTAAAAACCTTTATCAACGACTGAATTAAGACTTGTTCGATATCTGCAGAGTATTTTCTTTCCTTTATTATCAGCCTTAGAAGATCATCTCCATTTTCAATCAACGAAGAATACTCTCCAATACACCAGAAACACTCTTTCAGTACTGCAGGCAAATGCTGAACAATATCTTTGTTGGAAATCAAACCTATAATTGTTCTCACAGCCCTATCTCTCTTACTAGGAACCTTAACCATTATATTTCGTAAGTCCTCCCCCAGCTGGTACCCCAAAGACTCATCATTTAAATCCTGAGAAATGACGCATAAGTCGGAAAGGACGGCAATATACCATCCAAAGTCGGAAATGTTGACATAATCGTCCATCGAACAGATTCTCGAAATTGTTTGAACCATCTTAACTTTGTAAGACAATGGAATGTCAATCGTCACCTCTTTTCTGGGGTTAAAACTGTCAACCGGTTCACCAAGCCGCGAGACAAACACGGTATCATTTGCAGTGAACTGCCCAATGAGGATTTCTACAATTTTCTTAATATTTCCTTCATCAACAGCTCCCTCTAATAATTCCAAAGCGCGGCTTCTGATTGAGACGTCAGGATCTTTGAGAAGACGAATAACAAGTGAATCGAATTCCGATATAAAATCTGTGTTGATTTTTCCTATTTTATAGAACAAGACAACACTGATGTATCTCAAGTTCGGATCGTTCGAATTGCAAAACTTGGTCAATTCTTGTAGACAGCTCAAAGCCGTATCATAGTCATCAGAGTCAAGCATGTGGCCCTTCACAATACAGTTTATCGACTCGTAAATTACTGAAATGGCAGACGTCATACTCATAAGTTCTAAAACTTTTGGTAGAATCTTAGTTCTCAGTTTTGGTTCAACTTGTGAAAGATTGGTGAATAGCTTCAATAATCGAATAATGATCCAATTATTGTCGATATTTATCAGCATCTCATAAAACAATGGAGATAAGGGAATGAAGGGTTCTGGCTTTTTTTTTGATAGTTCACAAACAACGCTTACCGTTGCAGAAACAACGGAGAGATCATCGTCTTCAAGTTTCGCAACAAAGCTATCAAAATTATCTCTCAAGGCCTCAGGATACTGCAGAAAGAGTTTGAATAAAGCTGTCACTGATTTTTTTCTTATGTATGCATGCGAACTTCCCAACATAGCAAACAGGTCATCACATATATCACTGGCAAGCGAAGGCGTGATCATATTAGATAACCCACTCAAAGCAATTCCCATTTTCAACGTATCATTATTGCCATCATATTTCAAATCCTTTTTTAACAGATTCGTAGCAAGCATTAAAATATCAGGGTCTTTGTGAAACGATTGAGAGGCAGCCAAATATCCAACTCTTTTATGCTGAAGCTTACTACTACTCATAACTTCTAGAATATGAAAATTGGCCCACGACATATCAAAACCATACATCTCCAGATACGTGAGCTTTAATACAGAATTGGTCTTTAAATTGAGATCAGGTGAATTGGCTTCCTCCCTACACTCGGCTAGTGCTTGTATAAGGAATTGGTGAAGTTGTTCTGGTGATTCGCTATTTGCTCTTATCCCCTTGATCAGATCCTTCAGGGATTTCTCAAAGAAAAGACCGAACGGTCTCAATCTTTTCATGACATCCTCTGCACTAGGTGCATAAAGGGAAGTCATTGAGATGCTATTTCTTCTATCGATTTGATTGAGCAGACAAGAATTAAGTAACCTATTTCTGCTTAAAAAAATATAAATCATCAAACACGTCGCCACTCAAATAAAACACATTAGTATTATGAGTAGCATGGAAAGCGGTACCGAGGACAGTTGCTCCATCAGCGTTAGATCTAGAACAGCCAGTATAAACTCACAAGCTTATGCTATTCCCGAAACCAACGTAGATGCTTCACATTTGGATGACAGCAGCAGCGAAGATCCTGAAGATGACGGTACCAGTGAGGATGCCTTTTTGGATCAGCTTGTCCCTGAAACAAGTAATGCATTTTTGATAGGACAACCCGATACTCCTATGTTTGATTCGTCAAAGTATATTTTCCAATCATTGGTCCAGTCGCTGAATTCCGTTGACTTTTCAGAGGCGATAGCATTACAAACCAGAACATCCGGCTTAATCAATTCGAAAAGTAGAGAGATTAAGAAGCTGGTTACAGATGTTCAAGAACGCCTGAAATATTTAGAAACGAGGTTTGAGAGAGGTGCAAAAACATCGAGCAGAATAAAACATAATTTAAAGCAGTTCACCCATCAAGTGGAGCAGATTAACGCGGCATTCGAAACTGATTATCCAATAGAGTTCAATCAAGCCAAAGAAAAAGTTTATGAGAGAAACTTCGATGATTAGATGCGACTTCTTGAAGTTTTGATTACAGAAAAAACTAACCTACTCTCCATACTTCCAAGCCCACTATGTGAAATTTGTTTCCTTCACGACTCAAAACCTCATTTCCGAACGTCAAACTGGGATCGGAAACCCCATTTACAAGGCCATCGTCACACCAAAGTCCGTAATGACCATCTCCAGCACCCATTGAAAGAAATTCGCTGGTGCAGTATATGACGAACTCGTTTAGGCCTGTGTAGGGGTATCCCTTGAATCTCCATTTATGTCTTGTTTTTTCGTGAGTACTGCTCTGATCGCCTAAAATAACATTGGGTACCTTCTCCATTTTCCACAAGAAACATTCACCGTTCCCGTAGTAGCGTCTACTATCTGTTGGATGAAACGGCTCATTAGCATATGCTCCAAAAATGCTTCCTTTACGATCTTTTATCACTAGGACATAGCCAACACGTCTAGTCAACTTACTGCTTGGCATGACGTTTGCGTATAAAGAATGTAGAGACGCTCCAAATTGCTCCAAACTGTAAAGTAGATGCCAGTCTGTATATAGTTGAACTCTGGTTGGCATCAGATTACGTATTTCATCACACATCTCGGGCGTCAGCAGTCTATTCTTTGTTGTCGGCATATAACCATGAAGCGATATAGGAGGTAATGGTTCATCATCATAATAACTAAATGTGCCAGCATGCAGCGGAGGCGAGGTTGTAGGAGACCGTGCTGGTGAACTCGCTGCTGAAGAGTCGGTTGATGGACCCATCCATGATTTCCTTATCTTGCTAATACTATCTTTGAAAGAGCCCATTTTAGCTACCAGGGGTTGGTATGTCTTGGCGATTGATTAAAAGAGAGTGGCCTCCATTCATCTTGAACACTCGAGCTTCCCTTATTTGAATAAACGTTTACGTCCAAGATGATGAGAAATTGTAAGAATGCCATACGTGAATCTATTAATGCTATGTGTCACTTTCTATAAACAACTAGTTGCCAGGAGAAAACTATGCTATTTTCGTTGATCTGTTTGAATCCTTAAAATGGTTAGAATTTTTACTTTCAGAAATAGCTTCTTCCTTCATAGTCTTTGCACAATCAATCATAGTCCTGGCTTGCCGTGCTATTTCTTCCAGCTTACCAAGTACCACATCGTTACCTTTGGCAAAACCATAAATTGAATATTTTATACCGACCTTTTCGCAAAATTTTATAACATAAGGTTGTGCCTTTCTCAAGTTATGTCTTGGTAAACGTGGAAAAAGGTGGTGAACGACTTGAAATTGTAAACCACCATGCAAAAAATCCAACCATCGTGGACAGTCAACATCCATAGATGTGCGTAATTGTCTCATTGGAAATCCTTCACTAACTCCCAAGTCTGATGTTGACATTGCAAAATGCGATAGTGTGATTTGAACATGTACAAGCATTGTTGTGATGTGAGAGACTATGATATATTGGAATCTCTCCCATCCAGAATGCAGACGGCACCCTACCAATAAATAAAAGAACCAATAGTTGAAAAAGATTAGTCCACATAGTTCAAAGTATCGAAACCATGCAGCTTTTCCTCGACGTGGGCCCAGACCTAGAAGGACATGCATCCAACTTAACCTATAGAGGTTGAACCTTCCGAATGCTAAGATAGGGTAGTACAAATAGCTTTGCAATGGTACCATTTTTTGAGCGAACTTATCAAACCATAAAAATTTCTCGTAGTATGTTGAGTAAATGTTACCGAATAACCTCGTACTGACTGCGAAAAATGGCAAATGCTGAATATCAGGATCATGAATTGGGTCGTTTGTTATCAAATGATGAACATTATGATTTCTTTTCCACCACCCGAGGGAGAGACCACCGATCCATGATGCTATTACCATGCCGATGATATTGTCTATTTGGTAGTTATGGGTTATCGCGATATGACCTGCATCATGTGCGATGAAAACCAACTGCTGCCAAGCTGCTCCCATCGCGATCGCACTCCAAAACTTCAAATCACGATGGTATAAAAGATAGTAAGATAAACCGAATAGAGAAGCAATTCTTAAAAACTCTTTCAAATATCTAAAGTAATCGCATTGGTACAGCCCTGCTTGTATGATGTCTTTATGCATCAAGTTGTATTCTTCAGAAAGCCACTCCTGCGTTTTTGGATCTAAACTTGGAAGCATCTCGAGATCTCTACGAACCAGGTCATTATCGTAGTTCTTGACTAAAATAGCTGGATCAGTAACGATTTCCTTCTCGAAGGCCTCGTGGAGATTCAACGAAGGAACGACACCTTGGGGTATTCTCGGATAAATCTTTACATCAGGTTCACCACACATATGCTTCGACTTTTCAATGTTTTCAAATTGATCCGAGGTATCCTCTACTCGCCATTGATAAATGAGATTGCTAGCCTCATTTCCTGTCCTTTCCTCTATAGCTACAAAATTTCCTCCCTGAATCGGGGGAAGAAAATTCTCCCACTTGTGATCAATTTTACCTATTTTCCACCTCAAAAACTGGTTCACCGATTCGTCCGAATGATACGCATTCATTTCATCAGTAGCATCTCTTCCAATCATGTGATGAATGGCTTTGTCACCGCCGGGATGGTATTTAATCCATTTATCTAGTCTCAAAACATAGTCCTTAAAGATGACAATAGCCTGACCCTTAGAAATCCTGTCTTCAACCTCAGACCGTGAGATGATTCTGTTCATTTTTGAGAGTGTCTTTTACTTGTTAATTCGCGATCTTTCAGTTGCTAAACGCATTGATATTGAAAGATTTCAACCCATACACAAAAAACTATCACCGACAGATTTCTATACCATACATTATAGTTGACCATCCGACACATAGTTAGTTATACGACTTACTATAGACTCTATACGACAAATTTGAAAGTTTAAATATGCTAATGAAGCTATCAATCAAAAGTAATCTTCTTTGGCTTTTTGGTGGTATCTACGTCTTTGTAGAAAGCACCATAGGCACTGTGTTCCTTCTTCTTTGTGTGCGTTCCAAATTTCTTCAGCTCCTCTGGCACTGGCTGATTGGCGCCATTCAAAACATTCACCAAAGCGCCCGCGAGATGTTTTTCTTGGTCTGTGAATAAGGTGTGCGCAGTACCGGTTTGACCTGCTCTTCCAGTTCTACCAATTCTGTGCACATAGTCTTCTACCGTTAAGGGAAATGTCAAATTTATTACAGTCTTGACGTTTGGAATATCTAGGCCACGTGCTGCAACATCAGTTGCAAGGAGTAGATTAGATTTCCCTGCCTTGAATTCATTCAAAGCCTGGGATCTCTGTTGTTGCGATAGATCACCATGAATTGCAGCCACATCGTATCCATTATATTTCAAATTTCTTTCAACACGAGCAGCTTCCTTTTTATAAAGGGCAAAAATCAATACTTTGTCGTTCTTGTTGGGCCCTGACTGGTATTTTTTCAATAATTCCAATAATCTCTTGTCTTTTCTGAATGAATCAATGACTTCAACGATTTGCGTGATTCTCTTGTTTGCGGACAATTCATCACGGTTACCGATGGAAACCTTTACAGCGTTGTTCATGAAGGAATTGGCCAATTCACGGACTTCCTTTGGCCAAGTAGCAGTAAACATTAACGTTTGCCTTCCCTGGGACTTGGTGGCACCGATAATTTTCTTGATGTCTTCTTCAAAACCCTTTTCCAACATCCTGTCGGCTTCATCCAGCACCAAGTATTTGACGTCTGATAAGCGGACCGAGCCTTCCTGAATCAAATCGAGCAATCTTCCGGGAGTAGCAACAACAACTTGCGACCTTTTCAACTGCGTTCTTTGAGCATCCTTCGGAACACCACCGTAAACACAACAACAGTGCAACCCAACCTTGTTAGTTAAAAGAATCAAATTGTCATAGGTTTGTGATGCTAATTCTCGAGTGGGCGAAATGACAAGGACTTGAACACCCTTGGTTTTTTTCCCTTCCTCAGAGGTCAAAATATTATTGATAGCAGGAACACCGAATGCAAAGGTCTTACCTGAGCCTGTCTCAGCAACACCAACAACATCTCTTCCTGATAACAAATATGGCCAAGAAATCGCTTGGATTGGAGTTGGTTTGGGGAATTTAGAAATTTCCTCCTGTATTTCGGATTCCAAGGATATTTGGTTGAAGGAGAGTAATGGACGCAAATCAAGCTTTTCAGAATCCTCCACCGTTACTTCATTCTCCTTAAAAAAATCATCAATCTTCTGCTGAGGTACGCTTTTTAGTTCTTTACTTTCAGAATAAGATCCTGTAGAACTCGAAGAAAAGTTAGCAGCTTTAGGGGTGGCCTCCTCATCATTACTTTTCTTTTCATGCTTGTCTTTTTTTTCCTTCTTATCCTTTTTCGATTCTTTCTCCTTCTTGTGCTTCTTTTCCTTCTTATCTTTCTTGTCCTTCTTATGTTTCTTCTTCTTTTCTACCAGTTCCACATCGCTGGCTTTTCTTTTCTTTAATTCAATCAGATCTTTAGACATTCTTGTTGTTTGATGGTTGGTAGTAGCTCATCTCATCGCATTTTGAAAAATTTTCTTGAACAGCGGCTCACCAAGCTTTCTTTTTCTTGATTGTAAAATTAACGAAATTGTTTTCCTTAAATAATATACACAGATAGTCCTTGACTTTTTAGATATAAGATGTTCGATTAATTAAATCACAGGCTGGTATCCACTTGCTCCCTTTCAGGGGAATCTTCTTCCTTATACTCCTCTTCTTCCATGGCATGGAATTCGTAGCGACCTCTGAATCTCCAGTAAATTAAGGTAAAAATGATATAGCCCACAATGACGACAGCAGCGTAGTTCATGTTGTTTCTGTCAACAGGCATAACAAATGGGAAACAGAAGAAAACCAAGGCAAAGACGGTCCAACCTAAGAGAACAATATTACAAAGCAAACCGAATTTTCCCCACCAGAATGGTCCGTGTGGGATTTGGCGCTTCTTTATTAGCAAACAAATCACGGGTACAGTATAAGATAGAAGTAAGAAGGAAATACAGCCGGTGATCAAAGAGTTGAATGCAGTGGAGGAAGCAAGGTACAGAACTCCCAAAAGAACAATCAAACCACATGACATCAAATGAGCATTCAATGGCACACCTAACTCAGGATTAACCTTTGCCCAAACATTTGAAAATGGCAAACCTTTGTCACGAGCAAAAGACCAGCACAATCTTGCTTGCCAAGTATGACAGGCAATAACGCAACCAAACGAGGTAAATAGAATCAAGCATCCAAGAATTTCGGCACCTGCCTTGTTTCCTAGCGCTTGATAGTAAATATCCAAAATTGGAGCACCGGTATTGGAGTTAATGATATCATCGAGGTTATGCAACGAAAAGAACATGGCAATACAGTAGCAAAATGAAGTTACAAATCCAATAGCCACGGTACCCATGATGGAAATAGGGATGATGCGCTCGGGTTTTTCAACTTCAAAGGCCATATGGGTCGCACAATCCAAACAAGAAAATGACCATGCAGGATTGATGAGACCGACAATAAATGCCATTCCACTGTTAGTCCACCCGGTTTCATTGTAGAAAGTGGCGAAAACAAACTTGGCATCGTTATAGTTTCCGTGTGAACACGCTAAGACAGTGATGGTAATAGTGATGAAAGAAAACAGAGAGATGTATAAAGAGCTTGACGAAATCAACGGCAGAGATTTACCATAGCAATTAAACAGCATCAAAAACAGATGCAATAGTTCAAAGCAAACAAACACGTGCCATCTTTGAACCGTGAAATCTGGATGAGTTAAAGCATACATGCCGACAAGTTCTGTAGCTACCGATAGAGTGGTGGATGCACTAGTGAATACAGAACCGGCCCAAGCAAGAGATCCACACAAATAAGCGGCAAAACGTTTATATTTTGGAGGGGCCAGCTTCAAAGACCACCAGAATTGGCCACCTGCATGTGGGTAAGCTGAAGATAATTCACCCAAAGACACACCAATACAAACGGAGATGCATGCAATGATCAGAATACCATATACAATCATCATTGGACCACCTGACAAAATACCTGTTACCATCGAAGCAGAAATACCAAACCACGAATTAGTTAAACCGAAACCAACACCGAGAATCGACCATAAAGAGAAAGATTTGCGAAGATGGGTGTTCTGTTCACCTTCTAAAAGTTGAGGTTTTGTTTCAGTGACCGATACTTCCTCATCTTTCCGTAATTCATGGACGCTCGATTGCGAAACATTTTCCTCATAGGAACTCGTAGTCGCTGCCATCTCACAATCTCAAGTTTCTCGAGTAATTTGATGGTTTGAAAACGTTGAGCTTACGTGGGTCGATAAGTTTTATACCTCGAGCCAGAACCTTCGAGAGTAAAAAAATTGCAGGGGATTCCATGTGAAAATTATAAATCAAACGATAAGAGTTGTTCACGTGACTGTAGCTTTAATGAAGTTCGGTACGAGAATTGTGGCTACATCAAGAGTCTTGCACTAGATAGAGCCTACAAGTGTTCTGACTTGGTATCAATGATATGCTAGTACGTTTCTAACGAAACACTTGAGCAGACAGTAAAACCAATTTCAAACTTTTCGTTGAAAGGGTCTTTCGGTTTCAGAAAATGCCTACTATGGAATCTTCAGCGAATCAGAAAGCGCTCAAGAGGGTTTTGGAATTCTGAGATCACGCTTCTTTAGCTATTATCTTCAGTTTACAAAGTTTTGGCGATAATTTTAAACTAATATACACAAACCCATTAAAGAAGCTAAAGACAGACATGATATTCTTCCTACAGGAGCTACATAACATAAATAGCCCATAAGAGAAATATCAAACCAGTGCAATTGCAGCTAGACCCAAAACCAAAAAAAGTATCTAAAATTGTAAACTTAAGACACTTAGTTCATGGACTTAACCAACTTGTTGATGAATTCTTCACGGTTACCGAAAGAACCACCTTGGATGAAGTGCTTGAACTTTCTTGGGACACCCCAGCCACCAGATGGGTTGGACAACTTGAATGGCCACAAGAAGTTGTTGGCTTGCTTGAAGTGAGGACCAACGGTGACAATTTCGTGGATCAAGTCGTCAACGGACAAGATACCGTACTTACCAAGGTTGGCTTCGACAATGGCGTTGTCAGTCAAACCAATTCTTTGCTTGTTGATCTTACCGTAACCTCTCTTGTAGATTAGTTGTCTAACAGTAGAGTAAGATGGGTAACCGTAAGCAACGTAAGGTTCAACCAACTTCAACAATTCAGAAGTAGCCTTGGTGACCTTGACAAAGACACCGTGGTTGATTTGGTTCAATCTCAACAATTGTAAGATCTTTCTTGGCTTTGGAGCAATCTTGTTGATACCCTTGATTCTAACAACGAAGACAAGCTTTGGTTGAGCTTCGACGTAGTAAGAACCGGTGGCCTTGGCTTCACGCTTAGCGTCAATGACAGCTCTTTGGGCAGCTTCGTACTCTTGTTGGTAAGTAGCGTTTCTTTCCAAGATAACAGCTCTCTTCTCCTTGTTAGCCTGTAATACGAAAGTTAGTAAGATTGTTCCAGATGTTTGGATTAACAACTGTCAGTTCACATAGTAAAATTACACCTTAATTGTCGCGTCAAACGTCAGGCGAAAGATGGTGATATTTCGACAACATCGCCGTAGCTAGTCGAGAAAATGGGTAAGAATTTCATCATAGTATTTGAAGAGGCATAGGCGGGATACTTCTGTGAACTCACAGATGCGTATTGTAGCATCTTAACATACAGCCTTGCGAGCAACTCTCTCAGCAGCGACTTGCTCAGCAGTCTTTTGCTGGGCTTTGGACTTCTTCAATTGAGATTCTGGGGCCAAGATTTTTCTATAAACATGTTAGAACTCTGTGAACAATGAATTTGAGTAGAGTACAAAGTTACATCGAATTGAAATACACCACATTTCATTCGATGCGAGGGAGAAGCAGAAACAGGTAGAAGGATGCAAAACTTACAACAGTGGTTCAAGAATTTCACATCCAGCTAGTCTGTTTTTGTCCAATAAGGAAATCCCCTACGATAAGCAGAGCCACTAGACTGGGGCCAGTACTAGTGTCAAAGCTTTGACGAGCAAGCAATCTATCGAAACCTGATTACAGATTCGATGTAACTTGTATATTCAACTCCTATAAGTTAGTTGTCGGTAACATACTCAGCAGCCATTGTTGATGATTGTCTTTTGGTGTTACAGTAAAGATGTCTGGTAGAAGCAGTGAAAAATCGCGGACGAATTTATAGTACTTTGTTGAGAGGATGCGTGCCCTAACGCCAGTCTGCCTAACGGAAAGAGTCCGTTCACATTTTTCCAAGGTTCGCCATTCTCTCTGAAAAAAAAACTTCCTCCTAACACTACACTCAAATGCATGGGTGTGAGACTTTTACTTTCGAGAATGTACGGATGTAAAGTCAAACTTGAAAGCTGCGCATACTTTGCACATATTCTTCACGTATTCTTCCCAATCGCGTCCGTATTCGCTTGCACAAGATTCTGCGTTGGCCACTAGTGGTTCCCCTCATCGCTCTTCAAGTGTGCAAATCCCAGGCTACTCATTGAAATTTATGTAGTATTACTATTAAGTCAAGATCCGCGCTCAAGAAAAAGAGTATAATCAGCCCCGAAAGATGGTTAACGTAGTAGACAGCATCGCCGTAGCTAGTCACTGTAAAATGCGTAAAGCACTTGTCATCACCTTATACACTTGTAGATTGAGCACAGAAAACAAATGCTAGCATCCGAGCTCATATGAACTCATATTGGATCAGATGCTTCGCTTGATTTCCTCAGGTTCAGGAAGATGTTGAAACAGGATTGCATACTGCCGAATCTTTTTAGAGCACATTTTTTTTTCCCGCTGCGCTGGGTAAGCATAAACTTTTCTGGCTAGGGCTTGACGTCAAGCAAGTCGCAGGGACGCGATTTCGAAAGGTATGGGTGATAGGCTTGCTTACCACATGGGACAGTATAAATCTGCCCATTATTAACTCCAAGGTTACGTTGCTGTAGGAAATGCGGTTGTTAAATCGTCCTACGTGTAATCTGGGTGTTTGGTAAGAAACGCTGGTGAGGTGATCATGGCCGTTGCCCCGAGTAGCGTAGAAGTGTTGCCTTTACATCATAGAGGCACTGGTGACAATGTGATTGAAAGTGCGCATCACAAAACAAAATAGAATTTGTTAACGGTTGTTTTATACAGGTAATATCAGGCGTAAATATTGCATAAATAGAATCTATGCGAAAGGATGCTTTAATCTTGCATGCCATGCAAGTTTTGCAACTCTTGCAAATGCTGTACTTTATCTTTGATGGCAGCAACTTCCTGAGTTAGGTCGTCCAAGGCGTCTCGGACGGTCTTTAACTCGGCATGCAATTGCTGGGCTTCGTAGCAAGATATGGAGGGCGCGGAGGCGGGTTTGCCGAGGGCCGCCGCAGTAGCGCCCGGCAATGGAGTCGTTGCCACATTCGGACGTTGGTCATGCAGTTCAAGGCTTTTCCCGTTACTGAAGTAGAAAGTCTCGGTGCAGGTGGTCAGCAGCACGTCAAGTGCGCGGTCTGCGGGCTCGCGGTAGCCGGAGCGACGGTCCACCTTGTGGACAAGGGCCTTGGAAAACAAAAGGTTGAAGCGGTCACGGCACTGCCTGCTGTTGCACGCCAGGCCGTGCTTCCGGCGCAGCTGGCAACACACGGCGTTCCAAAACTTGGTTCTTGGGTAGGAACGCAGCGGATCACGCAACAATTCCTTGAGTTGCAGCACGCAGTCGACGAGGCCTCGGTCGTGGTGTGCATTCCAAACGAGCTTCGGTGATTTGGCGTCAGCCGTTGCGGGCAAATTGCTCATGGGCTGCAAGTGCGGCGAAGATGGCGTGGAGCAAAGGGTTCGAGGCGATAGTCGAGAGGAGTGTGCCGGGGAGACGGTGGATCGGGCTGAGTTGCAGGGAGGACGAGGCAGCGGCGGGGCTGGAAGGAGTTAGGAGCCTAGAATGCAGCGGATCAGAGAGCAGCTCTAGTTGATTACAGATGCGATGAGGAGTTGCGCTTCAGCAGTAACGCATGCCACCAGTTGCGGGACGACGAGAGTGCAAGTGCAAGTGCAAGTGCTAATTGGCGATAGCAAGCGAATGCAAGGTCAAGATCGAGATCGAGATCGACGTGGAGCGTGGCAGGCCGTGTTTACTACGGCTGTTCCATTCTCACGTCTGCTACAGGGCTGCCTATATATGACGTGCCCTGCTGCTGTCCCGAGGAGAGCACTCGCACGCACAAGAGTCCCCGGTTCAGGCATAGGAAAGAAGGAAAAAAAAAGTCAACAGGTGTATCGGCACGCGACAGACTCACGCGTGGACGACGGACGCCCTAGACACGCCAAAGCATACGCCGCTGGACGCATAACGCGCACTGGACCTGCACAGTAATTAATTTTTTTTTTTTTTCAATTTTTCCCTCTCTCACGCGTTTTGGCCTCTGCAGCACTTGCCTAGCTGCGATCGCCCAAACATGAGCAAGACTCTTAGTAATCGCATGGTTCCTGGAGGCGCAATGATCGTCGGCCCGGACCTGCCCACATTGCATAAAGTATGCTAGAATGCCTGTAAATACGGTGCCACAGCCGCAGAAACGCGCCAATAAGCGCACATACGCACGCGTGCGTGCAACTGACCCACCGCCGTGTGCTTATGTGCTTATGTGCTCGCGTCGGCTCATCGGCACAGCATTTATGTGCGATTGCTGCAAAACGCCGCGAAATCTGTACGACATCACCGCGCACAAGCCGGCGCACAAGCCGGTGCCAAGCGAGCGCGAAGCGCGAAGCGCGCAGCGTAACGCAGCGGCTTGGCGCAGGCCAGGCCGAGATGGCCACGTAGCTGGACACGCGCGGCTCGCAGAAACGAAGACGCACTCGAGAGCAGCCGTCCTTCATCAATTCTCGCCACGTTGTAGCTTAAAAGCGATCGTGTGTAGGGCTCGGCGGCCGTGTGTCGCCGCCCACCGTGTACCACGTGCAAATTTTGGTTTTTTACTGTTCGTTTTTGTAAGAATGTACGGTTTCACATTTCGTCCAGCATGGGATTTACGTCGCCTGCCATCGCGGTTGCTTTCGCTTTGAAATCGGGTGGGGTTGACTGGCCTCGGCTGTTTCGCGCCCGCCCTGTGCCCCTCGCGGGTAAGCCCGGAATACAAACGGCGCGTCTGGAAACCGCGCTGTTAGCACGCGGTGGGGCCAGCTCGGTGTTTTAGAGCTGTTGCCCCGACAATTTGGACAAAATTTGGCGCGGTGTACAAGCACGCGCGCCTGCAACGGGCGCTTGGCCAACGCACCCCAGGCCGTGGAGCGGAGCGATCACCAATGCTGCACAATCATGCGGTGATTCCCGAGTTTTGGCCAGGATCGGCACGGCGCAAACGCGATTGCCGCGGTCAATCACCGCAATGCAGGTCGAGGGGCACACGGTTGGGCAATTTACGCAGTTCCGGTTGGCCCGGGCCGCGCAGAGGATTCAGTGCGTGTTTCAGTGCGTGTCTGGCGGGGGGCGCGCAGTCGGGGCGGCAGAGAGCGGGCGCGAGCAAATTGGAAGTCAAAAGTTATTTTCAGGACCCTGCGCGGGCGGGGCGGGGCGGAGGTAGGCGGAGGTAGGCGGAGCAGAGGGGGGGGGGGATGAGAGAGGGCACGTGACGCGGAGGACCGCCCGGCACGTGCGCAGGGTGCACGGGCGCGCTCGAGCCCGCCGCGCAAAAAGAAACACCGCGCGAGCGCTCCCACAGAATATAACGGCCCGCGTTCCATGCCTCGTCGGTTTCGCTGCATGCGGCACCACCACCCCAGCGCCCATGAGCACCGCCCGCGTAGCCAAAACCGCCCAATTGGGCTCCCAGCGCGACTACAACCACGCAACCGACCCTGAGTACAAGCGGCTGCGCGACGCCGCAGAGCAGGCGTACTCCAAGCGCCAGCAGTTCTCGCAGCAGTCGCAGCAGGCCTACAAGAGCGGCGACGGCGCCGCTGCGCGCGAGCTGAGCGAGAAGGCCAAGCAGCAGCTCGAAGTCGCCGAGAAGTTCAACCTCCAGGCCGCGGAATACGTGTTCACCCAGAACAACGCCGACAGCGACAGCAATGAGATCGACTTGCACGGGCTGTACACCAAGGAAGCGCAGTGGATCCTGCAGCGGCGCATCGCCGCTGCTGTCGCCAACCGCGAATCCGTACTCAAGGTCATTGTCGGCAAGGGCCTCCACTCCGCCAACGGCGTGGCCAAAATCAAGCCTGCCGTGGAAGAGTTGTGTTCTGAGGCGCACCTGGCCAACTACATCGACCCCAAGAACGCGGGGGTCCTCGTGGTCGAGTTGCAAGGCGCTTCCGTGCCTGCCTCCTGGGCCACCACCGAGTACAGCTCCTACGCCCACGGCGGTGTTGCCAAACCCCCATCGGCCCACCAAGCTCAAAACCAGCCCCAGCACCCAAATTACCAGCAGCAACCCCACTACCAACAGCAGCAACAGCCCCAGTACCAACAGCAACAGCCCCAATACCAGCAACCGGCCACCTCCAACGGGAACCAGGATATCGTCTCGGCAGTTCTCAACTTTCTCTGCATGTGTGTGCGAAAAAACTTTTAGAAAAGCTATCCAAGACTTGTTGCCGAACTTTCTGCTTTGAACATCGGAAAAACTCGTGCCACTTTGTCCTGTGCCACTGCAGTCTGTGTGTATACCCGTGTAACCTATCTCTGTATTACGTAAGGTAACACGTACGGACGTTCTTCAACGCCGCGCCGTGTGCCAACCAGACCGCAACGTGCCACAACTTGTGCGGGTAATGTAACATTAGAGTTATCCACAGAGTTATCCAGCCCAGCTTGTATTACAGCGCTATGTATCAGAGTGCTACCTATTTATTGCCACTTCGTATGCCAAAAACCTTGTCGTAATTATCGTTCATGCCTTCGTTGTAGAGTGCGTTTCCTCCGAGCTCATCGAAAGCGTCTGTGAAAAACCATCGCATTTTACTCAGAAGCGAACTTTTTTCCCACCACTCTAGGTGAACGCCGCGGGTTGCTACCGACGACAGCTCTCCTGCTGAGTCCGCCATGAGTCTTACCACGCTGATTACGAGATAACTGCTCAACAAGAACACGATACACAAACCCAAGGCTTTAAGAATGACATGCAGGGGCACTATTTTGGTTTGCGTGCTTTCCATTGCTCCGCGGAATGGCGCATCTGACTCTGATGGCATCTGAGCCTTCATTTGGCTGATCATCCCCGTTTGTTCCTCTATCTTCCGACGTAACTCTGCTATTATGAAGTCGTGCTTAGTGGTATCGGGACTGTTGCCCACGGCCTTCGTTTCGGCGTGATCTTTGTAGAATTGAAACTCCCTTTCCAAAAACTCGTACTTATCCTTGTAGTCGCTGACTTTCTTGGTCAAATCCAAAAGTTCCCGGTCTTTTTCTCGTATTATTTCGTCTCTAAACAGCACCTCTTCCTTCAAGCTTTCAACATCAACTTGCAGATTTCTTACACGTCTAATACTGGCGGGACTGCCCAGCAGGGAATCGCGGGGGTTTCCTGGATTCGCGGCTGGTTCCTTGGCATCTGGAGGAACAGCCTCTCCTGTGATATCTCTCCGATTCTCTTTATTTGATTGATCTGGAAGTGGTTTTTGCCGCTCTAAGATTGTCTCACCGCTGATCAGTGATTCGTCTACGTGGCCAGCCGATTGCCACGAAAGCGTTCCTCTTAATTTCTCAAGTGTTCCGTCATCTGTGCAAGAATCCACAGCGGCCTTGAAGGACATCCCGATGAGACCGTCAAATAGCACCTTAAAGTCGTCTTTATACACCTTGAAAAATTCTTGGTCATTAGCGAATTTCCTTGTTATTTCGTGGCCTGTTTTTGAAATGAGCGATACCTGTTTGTGAGTAGGTTTCCCTCGATTCAACACTTCTTGCATCTTAGATAAAAGCAACGGGAAATCTTTTGCATAGATGAAACCTTGACCCTTCGTATCTATAAGAGGCCAGGTATGATCTAAAAGCAACGTCGACACGTTGTCCGAATCCATGTTTTTCGTTATGATGAGCGGTTGTTTTGGTTATGCGAGGTCCTAAATCTAAGCGCGTTTAGAAAAAAAATAAAAAATTCATCATAAACGTTAAGTGGATAAACATAGAAGCTGCAATGTGAATTGCAGAAGATGATCGTAGGGGCCAGCTGTTGCTGACGACATAGATCGTTATGACGTGTAAAATAATTACATAGGGGAAAACTATCTAGGTGATATTTCTGACGAAATGCCTTGAAAGTTTGAGCGACTTCATGCTAAAAGGATCACGGTCTGTCGTCGCATGGATCGGTTTTGAAGATTTTGTCGGGGTTCATAATTCGTTTAGGATCAAGAGCTAGTTTCAGCTTTCTCATTACAGCAATGGTGTTCGGTCCTAACTCCAATTCAAGGAATTTTCTCTTCGACGTGCCTATGCCATGCTCTCCGCTGCAAGTACCGTCGTACCGTAACGCACGTAAAGTCATTGAATCTATGACCTGCATAGCATTATCCTCATTGCCTTCATTGTACATAACCAAACAGTGGAAATTTCCGTCACCTACATGACCAACAATCGTACCATACAGTCCGGAACTTGTGAGTTCCGCCAATGTTTCATCGATGACGGTGGATAAATTGGACACAGGAACCGCGATATCGGTTGACCATACTTTGACGTTTTGACCGAAAAGATGGCGGCCATAGTCAATGGAGCTCCAAAAAATGGCCTTTCTAGCGGACCACAACTCCTCTTGCTCAAGTGCGGACTTGGCATACTCGAATGCTATACAATTTTGAGTTTGAGATAAATTTTCGATATCCTTTATAGTTTCATCAAGGATAGCGTGGTTATGAGAACCTATTTTGAGAAGTAGAGTAGCGTTTTCATTCCATTTGCGTGTCGTTTGTCCACTGAAATTAATTGCCTTCATCATGTTGGCGTCTAATAATTCTATGGCATTTACGCCGAGGATTCCTTGTCTCGTTAGAGTCTGTACAAACTGGGTTGCATCTTGAAGAGTCTTGAAGCTTGCAATTGAAATGGTTTCGAATTTTGGCTTTACGTGAAGTTTGAGAGTGGCCTCTGTAACCACTCCAAGCGTACCTTCGGAGCCAATGAATAGCCCGGTTAAATTATAACCGTTAGAAGATTTTTTCGGCCTGTTTTTAGTCTTGATGATGGTCCCATCTGCCATGACAGCGGTGACGTTTACCACGTTTTCCTTCATTGTGCCGTACCTGAATGCATTAGTCCCAGAGCAACTGGTACCTATCTGGCCACCGATTTCACAGTTTGGAGCACCGTCCGGGCCGAACAGGAGTCCCAATGGTTCCAATACCAAATCATTCAAATCCTTTGCAACCACTCCCGGTTGTACCACACAGTCGAGATCATTTGCATCCACTCTGATGATGTTGTTCATATACTTGTTAAAATCCAACACCAAAGTCACGGTTGGCTCGGTGCAAGACCCCATTGGTAGACCTTGATGTCTGGTAGCGGTTATTTGTCCCTCGATTGAAGAGCCACCGCTATAAGGAATGACGGGTACACTGTATTTGTGACACAATTGCATAATCTGTGATACATGCTCGGTATCATGGGGATAAACAATCAAGTAAGGCCGCTGTTCCGGATCGGGCTTGTGTAAGGTGTAATTATTTACCGAATGGCCTTCAAGCTCGGATGGAGTGGAACACATGTCTTCTTTGTTAACAACTTTTTGCAGCTCGCGTGTGAAATCATTTAAATGAAATCGCGTATCAAGATAAGTGGGTGCAGGCACATCATTTAAGTTTGTCTTTGAGCTGAAGGGGAACAGGGCCTCTCTCGCAGTGCTCACGGTGTAATAGGTTCCTCCTGTGATACCTATCAAGGCTCCTGCAGCAACAAGCGATGTGGACCATAGTATACGTTTTGTGACGCTTTGTCGACCTACAGAATAAGCGCGACGGTAACCAAGCTCTAGGAATTTTTTGCGCAGCATTCACAACTAATTGAAAGCTGTGGTGTTAAAAATACTATCAATGAGATATTTGAAAGTATATACTTAGATCTTGTAGTATTTGGCAACATGTCGGAAATACTGCAGGTTCTTTTTTTCAAGAATTAAAAAAACCACTTACATAAGCACTATAATTTTCGCAATCATCAAGCACGAGCATCATCGGGTGGCGAAAACAAAAGACAAGTCAACTCTCCCCCATTGCGCTAAGGAAGAGCACAGGTCAACTTAGCCAGGTGTAACACGGGATATTGATCAATTAGGTGAATTTCTGTTGTTGAAGTAATCGAGTCACTTAAAAAAAAAAACCCAACCTATTTTTTCCCAAGGCTTTCCCTGTGAATAGTGAAATTTCGTGCAAGAGACCAGCAGAATAAGTGCACAAGTATGCAACTGAATAACGACACGCATCGGTTGGAGCCTAGTTTGAATGAAGATGAGATTGAGAACATTATCAACCCGAGTGAACACGTCATAGGTGGCTCGCATCCGATACTGGAGACGCACAACGAAAACGCTCCCGTGATAGAGGACATCGTGAACCCATCGTTAGACCCTACAATGATGATGCCGCCGCCAACACAGGACGGACACGAAATGGCGCCGTTTTCGCCTTTGCTCATGAACGCAAATCTGGCACCACAGGATGGCCACAGCCACATTGTGCGTCGTGGCACTCCTGTTGGCATATATCAATCGCAAGGAAGCCCGAACGCCGGCGCGGGTTCGCTGCACGACTCGTTACTTTCAGATTCGATACTGATGCCTTATCGGAACCGTCTATTGGGTGAAAGCAAACAGAAAGCGGTCTCGCAACCGAAGCGCAAGTTGACATCTGCCAAGACTCGGCCTGCGTTTGTGAACAAGCTGTGGTCTATGGTGAACGACAATACGAACAAAGAGCTAATCCACTGGTGCGACGACGGCAAGTCGTTTGTGGTTACGAACCGCGAACAATTTGTACACAAGATTCTGCCCAAGTACTTTAAGCACTCCAATTTCGCATCGTTCGTGCGGCAACTCAACATGTATGGCTGGCACAAAGTGCAGGACGTGCGCTCTGGGTCGATCCAAAGCAACTCGGACGAGAGGTGGCAATTCCAAAACGAGAATTTTGTACGTGGGCGCGAGGACCTGTTGGAGAACATCGTAAGGCAGAAACCCAACTCGACTGCGAACAAGGAGATCCTGGTGGGTCACAACGGGGAGGAAATGGACATCGGGATCCTGCTGAACGAGCTGGAGACGGTCAAGTTCAACCAGATGGCGATCGCGGAGGACTTGAAACGCATCTCCAAGGACAACGAGATGCTGTGGAAGGAGAACATGCTGGCGCGCGAGCGTCACCAGGCGCAACAGCAGGCTCTGAACAAGATTCTACATCTACTGGCGTCGCTGATGGGGTCCAACACGACGAAGCTGTTGGGCAGCGACCTGGTCAACGAGCTGGCACAGACGGGGATGGCGCCCGAGGAGGCCGTGCCACAACACGCGTGGGACCCAGCCAGCATGAATGCGGGGGCAAGGCCGCGTCTGCTGCTGAAAAACCGGTCTGGGCCGTCGTCGACCGCGGGGTCGCGGCGCGGCACCACGGCTAGCACCGAGAGCAACTCGCCGATCCAGGAGATTGATCGGGGGTCGATCCACCACTCGAACAGCGTGGCGTCCGGGCTGTACGGGGCCAACTCTGTCGCGAGCCGCATCTCGGAGCTGCCGTTCGAGTCGGAGTCGCCGGTGGACAACTCGTTTTTGAACGACCTGCAGTCGAACATCAAGCGACAGGGCGAGTCGATACAGGAGCTGCAGGACTGGATCTCGAAGATGTCGCCGTCGGAGAGCGAGGGTCACGGGACCGCAGACCCGCACCCGCACCCGCACCCGAACTCCGGCCCGAACTCCGGCCCGGGCCCGGTTTCCGCGCCCGGCGGCTCTGCCGCCGACGCGGCCGCGTCTCAGCCGCGCTTCGATCTGCAGGACTACTTGTCCACGCCGGGTAACGGCGTGCTGACGCCGTTGCTGCAGGAGGAGTCGCCCGAGCACCAGGGGGCCGCGGAGCACGTCGAGGCGCCGCAAGAACTGCGCTTGCCCAACGAGAAGCGCCGTCGCAGCGACCGCCACGTTCTGATAGAGGAGATTCCGGACCGCTCCAAAAAGCAGCATACATAGGACGCAGACTACCTAGAACAACCATACGTAGGAAAATACATAGACTGGTCACTATCGCGCCCGCCACCGCGTTTCCACAAGTCCGGGTGCCTGTTGCAAATGCCGTGGCCGGAGTTAACGCACGGCTGCGGGGGACTGGCACCGCCCCTCGAGGCCGCGGCCGGGGTGACACATTCGGCGCCGCCACGGCCCCGGGCCTTTCGTCACCGGGGCCCCGGCGGGGCGCCGGGCGCGACGTGGCGGTTCCGCGCCTCCGGACGAATGCGCAACTCACGTGCGCAGGCAAAGGCGCGAGCGTGGGACAAAACACCAGCATGAGGCGGGGAAACTAGGGGACTGGCGTCGATACGCATGGTGGCGGTTTGCGGCATGCAGCGATTCTTGCTGGGCGCGCGCGCTACATAAGAACGTTTGCGTTGCAGGGCGGCGCGGGCAGCGGTGGCCAGTTGGAGCGCGACACATCGCACATCACATCGCTAAACATGGGTATTCCAGTGCACATCTACGAGGACCCGAACGCGGGGGACGCAGCGACGGGGGCGGCGAGGGGCGCACGCGACGCTTTTGCGACGCGCCGCCGCCGCCGCCACCGCTTTGACGACGCCCGCTTTGACGACGTTTTTACGACACACTCCACCACCGCCGCCGCCGCCGCCGCGGCCCCCTGGGGGCTGTGGCCGCGCCGCGAGTTCGGCGACGCCCAGTGGGCGTCCATGCGCGAGACCAAGCGCTGCGACGGCGCGCTGTGGGCGCTTTGGCGCGACGACGGCTCGCGCGTGTGCATCGTGGACGCGAACGGTGCGGTCCACGAGCACGCGGCACGGCTGCCGGCGCGCATCACCGCGCTGGACGCGCTCGACACACACACGGTCGCGTTCGGGCTGGCGTCGGGCCAGCACGGCGTGCTGGACCTGGCGTCGGGCCGCGCGCACTACGCTGAGGCCGCCAGCAGCGACGGGCACGACGAGAACGCGGCCATCACGCACGTGTGGGCGCGGCGCGGCGCGCACGTGACCCTCGCGCGCGACGCCACCGTTCGGGTATCGAGGCCCGCGGCCGCGGGCGCAGCCGCCGCCACCTCGCTGGCCACGACGCGCTGCCTGACGCGCGGCGACGCGGTCACGTGCGCGGACCTCAGCGCAGACGCCGTCTGGCTCGCGCTCAGCGACGGCCACCGCGTCTGGCTGCAGCACCCGCACGACCCGCGCCAGCACAACGTCCCTGGACTCGGCCTGCAGCTCGACGAGCGCGTCGTGTCGCTGCGCTTCGCGCCGCGCGCCCAGCTGCTGGTGGTGGCCACCACGGCGCGGATCGTCGCGTACGAGTGTGGCGCCGCGTCCGTCGCGCTCGTGTGTGGCGCGCGCGCGGGCACGCTGTACGACTTCGATCTCCAGGGCGCGCTCGTTGTCGAGCAGCAGCACCTGTACGGCACGCATGTGGCGCAATTCCAGCGGGTAAACGGCGGCCCACAATGGGCCCAGATAGGGTACGCTGACGTGCGGGCGCAATTCGGCATCCGCAAGGTGCACAAGTTGCGCGCGTCATGCGTCGGCGTTTGGGTGGTTGCAGAGGCCGGGGTGTGCAGCGAGTTTGCGACCACGCGCGACGCCGGTTCCGGCGCGCGCGAGCATTGAACGGGCGGGGGGCTCGCTGTTCCGCGTCCGGCGCGCGAGCGGGCCCGGGCCGGTCTGCTCCGGTGTTGCGCTGGGCCCGCCAGGAGAGGGCCCGCTCCCAGCGGCAACTGGAAGCTCGGCTGGGGGCTCAGGCCAGCCCGGGCCCAGTGGCCCCCGCCCTGGCACGGGTCCAGCGGCTCGCAGGCGCAGCCCGACGCGGCCGTACATCGTGCGCGCGAGCTTTTCCGCAGTCGCGATTCCCCGGGCCGAATGCCGGCGCGCAGACGCGGCCGCAGCCGCGTCGCCGCAGACAGCGCCGCAGCGCGCTGGACCCTACGCCGACCACGGCGTGCCGTGCGGAGTGCGCCGGGCGTGCGTTGCCTGAATGAAAAATGGGTGCAAACCTAAGTTCAACCCTGTGATGAAAGAAATCCGAACATAGGCCAGCAATGGTGGCTCACTGTGGGTCCGGAAAAAAAAAAAATTTACCAGGTTTGAAGCATCGTTCGTGGGGTTTAAGCTAGGTTGGCTACACTTGAGAGCGGCGGGAAGTAGCAGTAGACACTAGAATGGAAAACTCACCGCTTGACGCGCTGTCGAGCGAGATGTGGCTGCACTCGCCGTCGCTGGACTCGGTTATCGTCAAAACGTCGCCGGTGTCCACGGCGGGAACGGGCACAACCACGACCACCGCGACAGATACCACGGGAAGCAGCTTTGACGCGTATTGCCAGGGCGCAGTCGCGCACGGTGGGCAGTTGCACGAGGGCGGCGGCGACGCTGGGCGTGCGGGCTCGGGCTCGGGCTCGGGCTCGGGCGTCGTCGCTGCCGCTGCTGCTGCTGCGCAGCAGCATCGCGCGCAGCTCGCCGGCGACACCGCCAGCCTCAACAATATGCTCATCGAAAATGCGCTCGAGTCGATCCGGCGCCAGCGCAGCCAGAACAAACTCATCCATCTCGACCCGATCCCGGACTTCCAGGACCGCAACCAGATCAAGCCCTGGCTCCAGAAAATCTTCTACCCACAGGGCATCGAGATCGTGATCGAGCGCTCCGACAACATCAAGGTCGTGTTCAAGTGCAAGGCGTCCAAGCGTGGCAAGCAAGCGCGCAAACAGGGCATGCAACTCAAAGAGGAGCCCGACAGCCCGTCCCTGGGCAAGCGCAGCAGCCAGCAAAAGAAAAAGCGCTCCGTCTCGCCTTACAACACCTGTCCGTTCCGCGTACGCGCCACATACTCGCTCAAGCGTAAGAAATGGAACATAGTCGTGGTCAACAACGGCCACTCGCATCCGCTCAAATTCAACGCCGACAGTGAAGACTACAAAAAATTCAAAAACAAGCTTCGCGAGGATAACGACTGGGAAGCCGTCCGCAAGTTCGACGAGCTCGAGTACAGAACCCGCTTCAATCTCCCGACAGAGCCCGAGCCAATTCCCTGTGATTGTGGTCTCACCCAGGAGATTGAAAGTTTTAACATCGTGCTCCCAAGTTCCAATACACTTGCAAATTCTACCGACAAGACTGTTACCAAACCCAGGCATCGGTTGGAATCTTCACGTAAAAATAAAAGCATCACCAACAAAGTGCTGAGCCGAAGCTCCACTCCACAAGAGTTACAATCAGTTTCGCACTCGAGCCCAACGCAATCCATGCATCAAACTATCGTCCAACGTTACTCACCTGCGTCTCCAACTACTCACGTACAAACGGTCCAATCCGTGCCGCAACACGAAATCCCCTCTACTTTCCAGCCGTGGGTCACTTCTACCATGCCCCCTCACGCTGACGAAGTAGACTTTACAGATTTATTTCTCAAGCCTATGACCCATTTCAAACGGGAATCCTCCAATTTAGCACCTCATCCAGATGAAACTCATGTGGCCCCCGATCAGTGGGGATCCACTCAAGATTTTATGGATAATCTGAATTTTGTCCCACCACCAATGTGCGAAATTAACCAGGCTGACGACTGTGCAAATGTGCAAGGGCAATGCCAACGCTTGGAGCACAACCACTTGCACGAAGTGGGGATTCCACAAGCCCAGCAGTTGCATCCTCATTCCCCAATGGTACCTACACGGCTTCATCAACAGGACTCTACTGCATCTCCAATAGGTACCATGCTTACCTCGGAATTAAACAATATGCGTATCATAGATGGGCAGCTGCATGTGATCAACTCGAGCTCCAATGCGAGCTCAAATCCCAATGCTACCCCACATCCATTCGATGCGTCATATTCTCCACATTGGGAACCGCAAAACGATTTCTTCCAATGACGACCAAGATTTAATGATGACCTCTCTTTCTATGTAATATTTTGGGATGATATTCTCTACTTAGAATTGAGCTTATGTACATATCGTATGTTCACTTCAACTTGCATATAACACCACTTCAACTAAACGCAGTTCTTTTGTTCTTTTGGTCACTTGTGAAAATGTGCGAACAACCAAGACACACATAGAATAACACCATCGAAGTGTCTTTACGCCGTTGCTGCGATTGGAAAAACACATTCTCATGAGAATGGCACCTAGGACATTCTCTGTCTGACCGCGGAAGTGTGGGGTCAGATCCGATATCCTGTACTACCCCGGCAGTCTCACCAATATTCGTTATCAACTCGTGTCTATACACAAGAGGTGTCCCAGCCTCTTCGGCATACGTGCATGTACGACATTCGAACAGTAGCCGCTGATTATCCTTGTCTTCTCTTGGATAAAGCATATTGTTACAATCCCTACAGAACCTAAAAGTTGTCATGTTGCTTGAAACCGCTAGATATCACTCCTTTGCCCACTTTTTAACCGTTGCAACCCACTAAAGCTAACATGTTAACCATTTTTTTTACCAAAAATTCATGTTTGAAATAACTTGAAAGTTGAAAAGAGAGAAAAACACGTGAACTCAACCTCGCGGACATTTTGCACGAGTTTCCATTCTGAAAGTGAAAAAATTTTTAGCAGTAAATAATTGGCTTAACAAGGAAAACGTCTTATAGAATAAAGGTATTTAAGTTGGTCAAGATGTTAGTGCGTCAGGCTAGAAGATCAGTCGTAGGACTTTCAAGATTATCAGTGACCAGAGCTGCTATTCGCTTGAACAGCACCCAGGCTGCCGCTAGCCCAGTGGACCCCAAGATTGCAAAGATTGTGCAAGATATCTCACAACTCACGCTGTTAGAGACTTCTTCATTGATCTCAGAGTTGAAGAGTCAATTGAATATTCCCGATATCGCTTTGCCTGTAGCAGGTGCCGTCCCAGCCGGTGGTGCAGCTCCAGCCTCTGCCGAGGAGACCAATCAAGAAGAAGCCAAGGAGGAAAAAACTATCTTCGCCATCAAGTTGGAATCATTTGACACCAAGTCTAAGCCAAAAGTCATCAAGGAGGTTAAAAACTTACTAGGATTGTCTCTAGTGGAAGCTAAGAAGTTTGTTGAGGCTGCTCCAAAGATCTTGAAAGACAATGTTGCCAAGGAGGACGCTGAAAAGATCAAGACCGCCCTAGAAGGTCTCGGTGCCAAGATAAGTTTGGAGTAAGGATCCTATACGCAAATTGATGTGTAGGCAGCCTGCACTGGCATGCAAAAGCCTTCTTTTGTCCTGTACATATATGAACAAAATGTCTGTCTATACACTAGCCAGCAGAAGTATATAAGAGTAAGTTACATTCGATTAACGGCTTATCGAGATAAATGGCGCCTAGAAATCCAAAAAGTATTGTCCATAAGGGTCTTCGCCTTGAACACCGTAGTCTAATTGTTCTTCTGGATACTGATCGAAAAGAGAGGCATCCCCCACACCTGCAGTGATAGGGGGTTCGTAAGGGGTTTCAATATCCTTTGCCAAGAGCTTATCCCATATTACTTCCGCGAACCAAGGGTGAGATTTAATGTCTTGCGGCCCGCTTTGTAGGTTCCCTAATCTTCGTGTGAGATCGGCAGTAATTAATTTCCCTAACAAGTCAACCACTTCAGGATGGAAAAATGGAGGGTATGCCACTTTACCGTGAAGGATCTTTTCATACGTCTTCATCGGTGTCGTATCATAAAATGGCGTGTAACCTGCCAACATTTCAAAAATAAGAATTCCCAGGGACCACCAGTCCACAGATTTATTGTAAGGTTTTGTTGCAATGACTTCTGGGGCTATATAATCAGGAGTACCACATAACGTCCATGTCACAGTGTCCACTTCCTTTGCGAACCCAAAGTCTGTTATCTTTATGTGTCCGTTACGATCCAATAAGATATTTTCGGGCTTCAAGTCACGATATATAATGTTGTGAGAATGAAGATATTCCAATGCCAATGTGACCTCTGCAGCATAAAACTTGGCAACAGGATTTGGAAACCTCTGCGATTTACGAAGCAAGGAGAATAACTCTCCACCTTCGATGTAATCCATCACCATGAACAAATTTCTTGCATCCTGAAATGTACCCCACATGCGAATCAAGAATGGATGTTCAACCAATTTTAACATGCGACGTTCGTCATTGGTATGTTCAATTTGTTTCATCCTAATAACCTGTTGTTTCTTGAGAACTTTGATTGCATAATACCGGCCATTGTGCACAGATCTTACCAAATGTACTCGTCCAAAGGAACCGGTACCAAGGGTCCGCATAATTTGAAAATCGTTCAATGTATACTTGCCCTTAGACACTGTTGAACGCTGGGGTAACAATGACCTCAGCTCATCATTCATCCCTATTTGGCCATGCGACACTCCATGCAAGTTTCCGCTGTTTACGTCACCATGGACCTGTGGTTGGGTGCCCTGTGGAAAAGCTTGCGTTTGATATTCCATTGTGGTTGTTAGAGCTGGATGTAACACTTAATGTGTTTATATCACAACAAAGTTCTCAAATATAGTTCAAGATTAACCTTGGCCCCTTAGAGCATATAACTTGGTTGTGATTATTTCCCACCCCTCAAAAATTTTGACGATTCTCTTGAAAGTTGTCAACAATTACGATGATTTCCAGACAAATTGAATGCATCACTTTACAAATTTAGTGGATCTTTATCCAATTAGTTCTAAACTAGAGTATGTAATATGCCAAATGCAAGTAGGAGCCAGGGTAGGAGACACTGGAGTGAAATGCTATGTTATAGCCATATGTCTCCGCCAGCGGGTCTTTGATTTTCAGGAGGATACTGCGTGGCTTGGGCAGGCTTCCTCGTTTGGGATTGCTGAGGGGCGTATGAATTTGTGGCTTGCGCTTCCAATTGACGTTCTTGTTGACCTTGCTGTTGCAGTTGTTGTTGCTGAAGAAGAGGTTCTACAATCGGTGAAGGTTGCGGCTGTTGTTGCGCAACTTCATGCGATTGCGCGACATTTTGCTTCAAATTGTCCATGTCCTTGTCGATTGCGCTTAGAAGTTCCTGTGGAATGGATGCCGCAACATCATTGTTCTGTGCGGTCTGTTGTTTAATCTCCTCTGGGGAGGGATGATGCTTGTCTTCGCTCCTACAGTAATGAAAGTGAGTAGAAAACTTCTTCATAGCAAGCTGCTTGACACGGTTAAATGAGTCGCTCTTGCTCTCATCTTCTTTGCTTTCCTCAAGTTGTGGCAACTCACCAGATGCACGCTGTTTCTCGATCATTGCTTTTGTGTACCTCAGCATGGTCCAATCGAAGAGATGATCATTGTGGTACTCAAGCTTGATGCTTAAGTCCTTGAAGAGACGTGCCAAGTACAAATAGTCTGGTCTCTCGTCAAAACGCAAATTACGACAATAGCGCATGTATTCAACAAACTCCATGGGCAAGCCAGCACAGAGCTGCTCCACGCTGATGCACAGCTTCTTTTCCATAATACGATCATATTTTTGTCTTTTGGTAGTGGCCTTCAAGCCTTGCCATGGGAGAGAGCCCTTGCAGAAATAAATGAGAACGTAACCCAAACTTTCAAGGTCATCCCTTCTACTTTGCTCAATACCCAGGTGTGTATTAACAGAGGCGTATCTAGCTGTTCCGGTCAAATTTTTGTTCTCCCTGTAAGGGATATGGTGATGTGTCGAGAAGTCTCTGTACTTCTTAGAAAGCCCAAAGTCAATAACATGCACGGTTGATCCACGGCGCCCGACACCCATCAAAAAGTTGTCAGGCTTAATGTCTCTGTGGATAAATGACCTTCCGTGGATATACTGAATCCTGCATATCATCTGCAAGGCCAGCATGATCACAGTTTTAAACGAAAACTTTCTGTGGCAGTAATTGAACAGATCCTCTAGAGATGGTCCAAGTAAGTCGATCACCATCGCATTGTATTCACCTTCTCTGCCAAACCACCTGATAAATGGAATACCGATACCACCGCTCAGGTACTTGTACACTCTTGATTCGTAATCGAGTTGCGGGTGACGCGATCTGATCGACTCTAGCTTGATTGCGACCTCTTCACCGCTGATAAGGTTTGTACCATGGTAAATATCTCCAAATGATCCACTCCCAATCTTTCTGCCAATTCGGAACTTCCTGCCTACCCTCAAATCCATCTCTTTCTTACAATATCCACCTAAGAGTTGCTGCTCTTTTGAAGACTAGACGATTTGTCTCCTTAAAAATTTTTCTTGTGGCAATGAAAGACCGAAAAAGAAATTGCTTGAAGATCGTCACGTGAATCACAATGGGAGAGTTTACTCTACCATTATGGCTAACCTATGAGCTGCTACTCTCCCGAGAGTGAGCCTGAAAATCTGTAGAGACGCTCTACTCTGCTTTACTTACTCTTTTCGTTATATCCTCACATGCCTTGGTGCAGGAGGGCTGTTCTTGTTTATACTACTTGGCAAACAGCCGCATACGATGCGATAGTCATCTGAAGCATTAATATTGTTGAACTTCTCTTCTCGAGGCAAAGGACGTACAGTGGTGCGGTTGCTTCAGTAGTACTGTGATTTGTGCTGCAACATTGCATTGTGCTCTTCTTCTGATGTTTGTCGATATCTAGATCTGGAAATATTTAGCTCTGCATTCACATAGCTTCTCTACAACAAGTGTTTTAAGACCAAGGGCATCAGGAAAAAAATAAGAGCTTGAGATGATGGCCTGATGATATATAATCTCAGTAGCAGTTTAATCTTTCCGTTGTTCGATTGTGGTTTGGTCGCAAAGTGAAAATTTGATCAATTTGATATATAACGAAAAGCTCTGTATCAAAACTCATGTTGCCTTTTACATTTACTAGAACAAGACATTTAAAAGGATTTCCACATATGAGCAACAGCGGAGCACTACAATACAGTCAAGAGGTAATTAACAGGGTTTCGTTCTTGAGAAAAGACACCCAATTTATTGAAGAAGCGCTATCTCACCAGGAGGCCCGGTTTATTCCCTTTGACAGTTATTATCCATTTATTGACGAAAATGGACGCATATTGAGAATGTACAGAGGTGAATTGGAAGAGACAATTAGAGAGAGTATTGCCTCCGAAAACCTAGTATTCTTGGGACTGCTGCTTGGGGCCAACTCGTCGTTCAGTTACCGTTCCAAATATAAAGGTACTCCTATGTTTGCGCTAGATGTGACATCGAAGCCGTCTGCCCTTACATGTATATCAAAACAGGCTGCATATAAGAAAGCTGAGTCGTTTCGGGATTTCAATCGTTTGTCAGTTGAAGAGTCGAGCATAGTGTCGCACGCACGAATGTACCTGCAATGGCTGCACACACACCGATTCTGCTCCATTTGTGGTTCACGCAACAATGTCGTTTTTGCGGGCTCACAGTTGCAATGCTCCAACACCGAGTGTGTATCCAACAAATCCGTTTCTAACGTTTGCTTTCCACGTACGGACGCAGTTGCAATCAGTGCAGTCACTAATCGTGACTTTTCCAAAGTTCTGGTTTGCAAATCTGGTGCCCCCAGAAACAAGGAAAGGAAGCTATTTAGCTGCGTGAGCGGGTTTGTAGAACCCAGCGAGACAATCGAAGTCGCCGTTGCCCGCGAGGTCTGGGAGGAAACGGGCTTGCATGTAAAACACGTCGAGGTCCTCATGAGTCAACCATGGCCCTTCCCCAACAACTTAATGATTGGCTGTGTGGCAATTGCCGATGAAAATGAGCCCACAGACCTAACCCACGATTGTGAGCTGGACGAAGTGCGTTGGGTACCTTCTTCTACGCTAAAGAGACTGCTTAACACCCCAGAAAGTATTTCTGGCTTTATTCAAGACGAGCAAACAGGTTTAAACTTGCCCAACAAGAAAACTATTGCCCACATGCTCATGGAAACAGTGGTGAATAGATACGACAATCATTCCTCCGAGTAGTTTTTTTTCGTATTTTCTTGAGTCTTGCAAGGAACTTCTCATCGAAGAGTCGCTGTTAAATTGGTCTTATATCACACTCGTGTAACATACAAATTCAGTATTTATTCTTTATTCTTTCACTCGAATTTTGATGTCATGCAGTTACCCATGCACTAACATAAGAGGTAATTATTGGCCGAAAGACATTCAGTTTACACATGTATTTTTCTAACAACCCACGACAGAGTTGAAAAGCCTGAGACTTATATTTTAACGTTGACATTTTAACACTCAACTCAAGTTTCGAGGTCGTCGTCGTCGTTCAGTCACTTATCTTATGTCACATGATTTCATCTAACATGTGCTTCCCTCGTGGTTATAAAGGGCGGAAAATCTATTACAAACTCGAACGTCTCGGATAAAAACCATTTAGTCCAAATTTGTTTGAGGTGTCTATTCGTTTTTCCATTTCAGTATGGTGCAAGTAGATATCTTAGGCCACAGAGCCTACCGAGGACTATACCCTGAAAATACGCTGCTCGCATTTGATAAAGCATACGAAGCAGGGGTTGATGTGATAGAGACAGATCTTCAAATGAGTGCGGATGGTATTGTTGTGGTAAACCATGATGCTACTACTGGCAGGATATGGAATCGGGACTATACCATTGGTGAAACAAAATGGGAAGAATTGCAGACACTTCGCTGCAATGATCCCAAATTTGCTGATCAAAGAATGCCCAGTTTTGTTGAAGCATTGAAGTGGGCCGTCGAACATCCACGAGCAAAACTGATGCTGGATATCAAGTTCACAAATGACAAAATCATTTTGATCAAAAGTTTTGCCGATATGCTTAAAGTGAAGAATGATTTAGCATACTGGAAGAAGCACATCATCTGGGGCCTCTGGACAGTCGATTGGTACGCATTTGGCGTGCAAACCGGTATTCTCAACGACTTCCCTTTAGTGTGCATCACACTTTCTCTACATGTCGCTAAAAGTTTCGTCGAGTACTCCAAGAAATTGGATAACCCACATTATAAACTATCAGGTGTCAGCTTACACTTCGTGTCTACTTGGAGTGACCAATTCCAACAGAAGTGGCTCCCATATTTGAAGGAAAATAATGTGAGAATATATGTTTGGACTATCAACCACGAAATCGATTTTAAGTATTGTAATGCATTGCCTATTAGCGGGTTTGTAACTGACTACCCTTTACAGGCCCGCAGTGCGATAAGTAAGTACAAACGAAGTGACACTGTGTTCCAAAAACCTAAGATCGGCTCCAAAGAAGGATTGAGATTTTACGCATTTTTAACGCTTTACTCCTGGATCGCGCAACTACTTTTTTCTCCGTGGTCTCAGTATAAGGTGATTGGGCAATGGTCTTTCTCCTATCTCATGCTAAAATTACTCAAGCTAATACACTTTTTATAGATGCTTGATCTGCACTATTTGATCATGCTATCACAGATGTCTTTGATACCAATACTTCTCTACTCTTATGCCATCTATACATATTCTATGTTATCTAAAAATGAAGGAATTTGCGTATATCAGGCCTAGCGCCAAAATAGGTTAAGAATGATTACACTTTTTTGCCCAACGAAACATGTAATTTTCTTATAAAGCAATCGATATTTTCAGCGGTATCCTTACAGCTAACCCTTTCAAACTGATTGTCAACCTGTGTGAGCATCTCGCTCGTTGCTTTAGTTAGCTGTACATATTGGTAAGTGATGGACGATCGTTCTTAATGATGTGTCACACTGGCAAATTGTCGAGATGTGGTTCTTAGCGATAAACATGTAGTTTAGTTATCAATCGTCAGATAGGTATCAAAACACGAAAGGCTGCCCCACAAACTACTAAAACCTTAAAGGAAGAGAAAAGTTAAAAGCATATCCGAAGCTACATTGACTACACAAACTTTTCCTCAACATTTTTTCACGCCAGAACACTAGATTATGACTGATATCCATTCTGAAATTAAAGGACTTAAAAGTAATATTCAGAAGAATTTAGAGTTTTCAGGCACTACGTCCAATCCTAATTGGAAAGATCTTATTGCAATTGTTAAAAAAGATCAATCAGAAAGTGATTTAGGAGCGCGAGGTGAATATTTTAACACCAGCGGCACCATCATAGATAATCCTCTTGGGCAACCTTTGGAGTATAGAGTTTGTAACAGCTGCGGAAAGCCCATTAGCTTATCGGTGATTGTTGAGCACCTTAAGTCTCATTGCAAAGGGTCACAGGCCACTCCTTCTAAATTCATAAAGCAGGAGGACGAAGGGCTCAGTGACGAAATGTCCAAGAAGAAAACGATGGACTCTAAGAGACCAACTCCATTCGAGGTGGATACTCCACCTGAAGATAGCCCTTCAATCAAAAAGCAGCGGAAAGGAGCGGGTCCATCATCTGCCAAAGCTAAGAGGAAAATTAAACAGAGAAACCCTACAGAGAAGCACCTCATTGATTTTGATAAGCAGTGTGGTGTTGAATTACCTGAGGGTGGCTGTTGTGGCCGATCACTAACCTGTAAATCTCATTCAATGGGTGCCAAGCGGGCAGTGGTCGGTAGGTCCCAACCTTTCGATGTTCTTCTAGCTCAATATCAGAAGAAAAATCAGCTAAAAACTGGGGGAGGAACAAAAACCCGCTCAAAACAAGCCCAATCAACACAGTCTCAGCACCAATCTCAACAAGGACAAAGCCAGCAAACAACAGATGGTTCAGCGTCATTGCTGACTCCCGAAGAGGAAACAACCCAGGTCCTTAACGGCGTTTCAAGGTCATTTCCTCTCCCATTGGAATCGACAGTACTTTCGTCGACCAGATCAAGAACCAAGTTTTTTAGGATGCGAGAAATGTTTGCTTCTTCGTTTTCGGTTAGACCAGGATACAGTGCACCTGGGTATGGTGCCATCCATTCGCGTGTCGGATGTATAGATCTAGACAGGACCACAGATTATACTTTCCGCATACGAACACCCCAACCTCTCAACCAGATGAACCAAAATAATTTAACTCCACAGCAAATGCAGAAGTTGCAACAACAACGCATGTTGCAAGCACAAATGTTAGCTCAGCAACAGCAACAACAGAAACAACAAACGCAGCAGCAGGTACAGCAGCAGTCGCAGAATCAACAAAATCAGCCCAATGGTTTTAATCAACCTAGACACTACACTACTCTTTCGCAAAGTGGAGGAGAAAATGGACTAACGCCACAAGACATTCAACGGCAGCAACAGCGCTTGCGGCAGCAACAAGTTCAGCAACAACGCTTTGAAGCAGCGGCTTTTCATCTAGCTACAGCCACCAAATTAATGCAAGGGGGATCCAAAACTCAGCCCGGACCTTCCATGAATGTTCCTAATGCAGTAGTTGGTTCGCCTGTTAATATTAGTAACAGCAGAAGTAATAGTAATACTCTCAACACTCCAGTTGAAAGGAGAGTAGACGTAGGATCAGTAAATGGATCTTCTCGAGTTGATGATAATGGAATTAGTTAGATAGGAAGTCTAAGTATGAAAGTATGGTAATTTACGCGCTTCGCTTTAAACACTCCGAAGTAGAGAACTAGTCTTTCTCGATTCACTGTATCACACGGCGTGAGCTTCTATCAGTAATATACAAATACCACTGATAGAACAGCTAAAGAAACCATGGACCAAATCTTGGAGCCATGTAGGTAATATAGAAAGAGCGACATCAGTACCGTCGCTAAAATTTTTACAGGTGCCCAATGAGAAGCTTGTCTTCTAGCGTTGACATATTGCGGAGAAGTTTTCCCAATGTTAAACTCTAAATCCCGTGTCATTGCGTCTCTCGAGAACTTTTCTCTTACTCTCCTAGGACCATTCGTTTTAAAGATTGTTTCCGAGCTTTCTAGGTACTTCACTGACTCATCAATAGCACCAGCCCACTCTTTAGCGTCAGATCTACGTAACCAACCAGTGCTTTCATTTTCATTTTCATTTGGTTTCAAAGTCACCACTGTTTCAAGAGGTCCGCCATTATTAACTGCCAGAACTGGTTTTCCCAATTTCATTGCTTCTAGTGGCACAATACCAAAGTGTTCGTAAGATGGAGTGTAAAGCAAAAGACGGGTTCGTTGCAGCAGTAATTCTTTGAAAGACGATGAAATAGATGTTACAAAAATGATTTTGGCATTAGAAATGACATCTATGTCAATTTTTTCAAACTCTTTTATCAACTTTGCATAATGCAATGTGATATGTGATAGCCCAAGATTAGTTGATAATTCCTCCAAGTTCCTGAGGCACTGTTTATTTTCAGTAACCCTTTCATCGTAACCGCCAACTACGATCAGCTTTGCGTTTCGGCGATCACTTTCCTTGGAAGAAGCAAAAGAGGTGATTGCAAGTTCAATATTCTTTTTTTTCTCGAAACGATTAATACTCAAGTAAAATTGAACATCAGACGGTAATATCTTTTGATAAAGTGTTATATCAGCCTCATCTATGGACTGCGTATGCAGATCTACGCATGGATAAACGACGTCCGGGATAACTGAAAGAAGACTGAAGGTCTTCTTAAAAACAGATTTAGTGAAGTTAGAATTCACGACAGTTCCATCGGCAGCCCCCATCGTCACTTGTTCAATAAAGTCAAATGGGATTCTGTACATTCTCTTGATAATACTTGTTCTCTTCGCCAGTAATTGATCTGGAAAATGACAATAAAACAACACTCTTCCAGTTTTAGTAAAACATTTGATGAAAGGAACACATGTCGACAATTGATCCACGATGAAAATGTCATGTTCATTGATTTGTCCCGTCGCTATCAGGCTCAAGGTCAAGTACAACTGTCTCAGAGTAGCAAACATAATGAAAAATTTCCCCATAAAATTGGTTGGAAGCATATCGCCATACACCTTGACTTTCAATGTGCCCGTTTTAACTTCTTCGAAACAGTGGGACCTATTACAATGACTAGTATAAATAATTACTTCGTGCCCCTGCTCTTGTAAACCCATAGCAGCATCCACCACAAGTCTTTCGGCACCACCAATCCCTAGGTCGGGGTGAATGAAGGCAACGCGTAATTTCTCTTTGGATAGTCCGTGACTGCTCATATTTAACTTTCCTTCGCGCAGTGTATTCAAAGTTTGATAGCGCGAAAACTCCATGTCTTCAGATAAATTTATTATGAATTACGAATTAAAATGGCCAGTAACAGACAGTGCACCGCATGCTCAAATTAAGCGCAAGAAGACTGAAATCAAATCATAAAAATGCAAGTATATTCAAAAACAGGTTAGAACAATTAAAGGAGGCCAATACTTTAGATCAAGATGATCCTTTGATAAAGATTCTTCAAGGAAGAGCAGAAGATGAAGAGCTGAATAGGATATATGATCAATTGCCACAAAAGTCGTTTGAAAGAAAGTTCAACACCGAAATCCAGTACTCCCAACTAGGTGAACATATCAATAAACATGCTAAAGAAACAGCCTTGTCTAAGCCTTGGCGGGGAGAAGAGTCTATCTCTGATGCATCTCTTAGGATGCTCACAGACAGTATGAAGGCTCGCAATTCCAGACAAAACGCCTCAAACCTAGGTTTCACTTTATCTAGTAAACAAGGAAAAGCCTTGGAGAATGTATCTAGATCAAAGTACAGCACGAAAGACCGTCTAGAGGCAGTCCAAGACAGCATTATTAATTACCGACTGGATAAAAATAGCTCAGTTGAACAGAAAGAGGCATCACAGTTTAGGGCATTATACGCAGAGAAATTTACTCCTATTGGATCTTTCGAAAAACTGCGGTCTGTTGCTGATATGCGGATAGAAGAAAGCATGAAGCGAGGCGATTTTGATTCCTTACAACGATTGCGAGGAAGCGCTGCGAAGGTTGCGCCGCCAAGGCCACAAATCGATCGGACGGAACATCATTTAAACGATATCTTGATTCGTCAAAAGATCGTACCACCTTGGATAGAAAAACAAAGCTCTGTTAATAGGGACGTCTGCGAGTTCAGAAAGACATTAGAAGACCAATTTGCAAGGGAGCTTATTTACGTGTTGGACCATTCAAAAGCTTTCGAATCAAAATCCTTAAATGACTTCACCAATGAAGACAGTTGGCTTTCGAGTAAGTTCGAAGACATCGAGCATCTTAAACATTTCGCTTTCATCAATTGGAAGAAAAAGCAAGAAATTATAATTGAGACTAAAATCAAGACTTTGAACAGTGCTCTGCGATCCTATAACCTTCAAGCACCACTTCCTACTCAAAAGTTATATTTAGTGGTTCAAAGGGAATTTCAGAAGATATACGATGCTACTGATATTGATCAAGTTTTTTCAGCCGAAAAACAAAAGCGATTATTTAGAGCAGCCAGCGAACAAACATCTTCGCAAAGATCACATTATAGGATATTTGACTTTTCTAAGTTGTTAAAGTTTTGGTAACAAAATATTAAAAACATCGTGTATATAATAATATTGAATAGTTAAAATAGTTGGGAATAAATACTAGAATCATGCCGCGATCTCAATTTTTGCGCTTTCTTCTGAAATATTTGATTTTTGTTTGCTGGCCTTCTTGTAAAACCGTGTATTTCCAGGGGCGAATCCACCATTACCAAATAGAGCCCATTCAGGTGTTTTCGAAATGTAATCCAAGTGATCGAACTTTTCGCCGGATTTTAGTAATTTAAAAAACCTTTCAAAATCGATATGGGTGTACCACTCATTTTTGATCTTGAATTTTGTGTTTGCAATCAATATACAATTAGAATGAGCATGCTCCGCGGCTATGTCATAACCAAGACCACGCCTTTGCAGTTCTTTTGCAAATTCCTTAACAAATGATGTGCATTCTTCGTAGAAGGGTATATTTTGCATTGTAAGTGGATTGCCGTTGGCGTCTGAAGATCCACAGAAAGTAGCGCCTTTAACTTCAATAAAGCAAGGAAGTCCCTTCTCTACAAGATCCGCATACGCACTTACTTCTCCCATATTGAACCCTTTGACCAATGTCATCCTGAACACCGTCCTTTGATGGGATTGTGTGGTTTTCAGGATATTCAAGCATTGAAGCATTCTCTCCCAAAAATCTCTGTATAGAGGTCTGTCAACCTTTTTCAACTCTGTTTTAGTTGGCGCATCAATGGAGACATACAATTGCGTGACTTTGCCCAAGTCTTCCAATGCCTGAGGATGTTGAGCATTGCAGACTAGAAAACTTGAAATTTCTTTTTCATGAAGGAGTTCCACAAACTTATTAATGTGTGGATACATTATGGGTTCACCTACCAGTGATAATGCACAATGGCGGACTTTAAAAGCATTTGCAAATCTTTCGGCAATGACACCAGGAACACCTCTCATTTGTTTAATCTTTGAATAGTGGCCTTGGAGCGCATTTTCTAGAATGTATTCTGGCTCATCGATTTCCCATCTCCAGTTTTTTGAAACAGGGTTGGTGCCGTGACGCCAGCAGAAGACACATTTCGAGGAGCATGCCAGTGATGGCGTGAGCTCCATGCATTGACTGGAAACGATATTAAATAAAGAATGTTTGTAACATGATCCTCTGCCTCTCAAATCATTTTTAGTCCAGCGACATATTTTTACACCTGAGTGTGATCCGACAACAGTGTAACCTTGTTTAGTCAAGTTTTTGTATGTGGGACTATTTTGAGCAACCATTTTTTTTACCTCATTCATCGCCAGCTCTGAGGATTTTCCTATATCCTCCAAATCCATAACCGATTCCTTAGTGAGATCCTCTACAGCCGTGTCATCGTCGTCATTATCAACGTTCTCATCAAATTCATACAAAATTGGTTCGTCATCCTTCAATGTATTGCCTAGGAGATTCGCCCAATCTTCTACTTTGGGAATACCACCAAATTTCATGCAAATTTCGCCGATAGGAAATATTCTTCTTCCGCCAAGGCGTGCCAGCAGAAGATCAGCAAGTCTGGCTTGATAGCAGAATTTCTCTGGCCATGATTCCGAGTCACCAATCCCAAGGATAGTATAACCTACCAGCTTTCTCATGGGATATTTGTCAATTCTAAAGTCAGAAGAATTTTCTTCCAGTGTCTGTAAAAAGTAGTCAAGTGGTGAGTCAGTATCATAGGAAGGTAAAACGAGAATGTAAAGCGCATTGTCACATGGAACATTTACGAAATAATCATCAATATCACTAATTTCATCCAAATTCATAAGAAGGGGTATTTTTGATAAGCCGTCCACCTTCGACAGCTCACAAACCAAAGACTCAGCAGATCTTTTTGCAGCACCTTGAAGAGAGCTGAAGAATACATATATCTGAGATCCCAATAACTTTTCATTCGATATTGTTAGTCCTTTCTTGAATATCGGGCTTGATGCTTTTGTAGAAGGGCTGGCAGAAAACACTTTAGGTATTTTCTTCGTACCATTAGTCTTTTTCGAATTTCTCACAGGTTTGAAAGCTTGTGTAAAGTCAACTGCAATTGGGGCAGTTTCTTTTGCGATATTATTTTTGATGGTACTGTCGTTCGCTTTTGCCTTTGAAGAACAGGATCCTCCACAACAACCGCCTTTCTTTCCTTTTCCACCTGACGAACAGCATGATTTACCTCCTTTACCACCACAGCATGATTTTTTTTTCGGTGCGCTTGGCTCATTAGCAGTCTCAGCTGCTGCGCTAAGTTTTTCGGTTGACGATTCATGTTTAGCTAAAGCGCACAAGACTAATATGGAACAAGCGATTGTCCAACGCCCTCCTGATAGCAGGTAAACGAACAAAACTGTAGCAAGTAGTGCAAAGTCCATAACGGAAAAGCTAGGCTTCTCCTCGTTCATTTTTGCGTGCTACTTGTCGTCACTGTGAAACGTCGATGCGATTTTGTAGAGTTGAAATACTTCTCATGAGCGATGAGCATGTTTGAGGCAAAAAGAAATTGAAAATACGTAGTTAGTGATGATATTGAATGACCAATCAGAAATCATTTCATTACACATTTCAAGTTTGAACAAGAATACTCTCGTCATTGGATATTCTAGTGTAAGAATTGGATGATATGAATGACGAAGCGATGGCCACCTCGTCAATGCATATTTTTTCCGAGCCATTAGGAAATAAGGATTTGTATAGATCTCTGGTTTCAGGTGTGATTAAGATGTCGCTGTGATATTGATCATTAAATAGCTTGAATGCCTCGAAAACCCAATTATAACGCCTTGGAAGCTGCGAGCAGGTCGAATTTTTACTTCTCCATATTATCCAAAGCATAAGAATATGGTTGTAAGAAGTAAAAGTGACGTCGAGATTCCCTCCAAAAAGATTTGGAACATCCTCTTCGAAAAAAGTCGAATCTGCCTTCAGGATTTTTTTTACGGTCACCAGACGCGACTTGTGAGTTGATGTCCATTCCTTTTCAATACGTTTAAGACTGTTGATGTTGTGTTTGAGTATGTGGCGCTGACTTTTTCGATAGACGTCCGCACAGAACTTCCGGTATGGTTTAATAGGATAAGAATTGCTAGATGTTTCCGGACCAACACTAATAGTATCAAGCTTATATTCCAAAGCAAGTCTCAATTTCTGTAGACCCTGGAGTTGCGCCCTCAAGCTTGTGCGACTTTCATTTGAGTTCTTCTCAACAAAAGCAAAAAGATCAAGTAATTGACTCAAAGATATGTCGTTTTCTTTGCTTATCAAATATAATACGCCATCTTCAAAGTCAGTAACATCTTTTGAGCTTTTATGTGTTTCTTTTCCATCTTCGAATGCAAATCGCGTATAATCTGTTAATGTTGGTAGCACGATATCTTCATTTTGCAAGATATTTGCAATTGTATCTGTAGGAAGTTTTATTCTCAGTGCCACAGTATCAAAAACATTATTTTCCATAACAAACCCATATCCAGTTAGTAACTCTTCATTTCCTTTGCCGCCGTAGTTGTTTAAGACTTCTTGACCTTTGGAAAGCGGCATCAGACACCGTACACAAAATGAGTCATCTAGCCGCAACCATTCTACTTTTGCATTATAGTTGTGGTTAAGTAGGTCAATAACAGGCAAAAGCATTATTTTGCTGGTATCAGTACTGGGATTAAGAACATATTCAGGAAAAGCTCTTGATAGAAAAATCAAATGCGCCCACAAAAAGGCTCTGAAACTGAACCACGGAAATTGATCATTACCAAACACTTGGGAAGTAATTTTTTCATAGACTTCTTCATCAGAAAGCTCCATAAAATGATCGCAAATAGATATCTCATCACTAATAAGCTCGTTACATATATCCAATGCCAGCGCAACATGTTTCCATTCTTTGAAAATGAGATATAGCTTATCTCTAAGGGAGGAACCGAGATTTGTGCTCTTTAATAATTGCAGTTCACTTGGGTTCCAAACTATTGGCGTATCAATGGAATCAGGAAGACAATCTAGGTAGGGCGCAAACTTTTCCTTGATATCTTCGCCATCTACTATAATTGCTTCTTCGCCAAACTTCATTTTTGCAAGTAAGAACTTTAGCCAGGTATTTAAGGAGGTTTTTGCACCGAAATGTTTTCTAGCAAGTTCTCCTGTGATTATAATGCTGGATGGAATGCTGAACTGGGCAGAAAGAATATCTTTCTCAGCAACGCAACTAAGCCCCATAAGCTCATCGCTGTAATATCTTAAACCCTCAGGAATTTGAACATCGTGCTTCTTAGCCCAGTTGAGCAGGTTTTCGAGACGATTGGCAGCCATTTGTCAGCCCTGCTTGTTAGTGCACGAATAAAGCCCATGTCCATGTACATTTTCCATGTTCGATCCTCACGCGACACGTGATTGCTTGGTGTGACAATTTCACCTCAGATACCGAACTTCACCATTCAGTGTTCAAGATATGGAAAGAAAAATTCTTTGAGAACGGTAGTAAAGGCTTTCAATCCTGAACTGCTACTTCAAGCTCTACTAGTCATTTTGAGTAAGCTTAAATTGTTACACATATTGAGCAAGGTACTTTGCCGTAATCGGAAGCAAATTATACGTGCCCCTCTTCTGATTTCTTCAGATTTCTTGCCCGAAAATTAGTCGGGCTGCTTATCTTTGTTTTCTTATGGAAGAATTCCGGCACGCGCTATATTCATGAAATTCCAATTTGCTAATTCTAGCATGGACATGGGTGACTCGAGGATTCCAGACAGAATACAAATATTGGAAATAAATTCAGGATATTAGTACTAATTGCAGTACTTGTTGTATCCTGCTTTCCTTTGGGGTACTACTTTGGGGCTCTACAAGTCTATAGCGGCTATTAGCTATTTAAGAGCTATTGAGAAATTGTGGCCCCTTTATGTGCGGAGGAGTATTAATTCAATGATTTCAAATGTAAGTTATGGATGATGTCAAATTTGAGAACGGCAGAAATGAAGACGCCAATGCCAAATCATTCGTAGATAATTCTATATTTTCTTTCCCCCATCGACAAATGATCACTTTTTACCCGTATTGAGTGATGGTAAACAAACACGATACTATCTCTCGACACATTTCCTGCAGATTAAAGCCAATGACATAAATCAATACGACATGGTAGACGAGGTTGGTTCTGAAAAGCAGCCTAGGAGAAACTCTCTCCATCAGCGCAATATGCTTTTGAGTATGAGGCTGAATAGTGTTCCAGGAAGAGAAAGCTTCGGTGCCACTTCTAAGAATGTAGGAGGTGCACAATCCGGTACAATTAGGAAACCTTGGAGGGTGACACTATCCAGAGGAAATAATAGCGCACGTTTAAATACAAAGATTCCGTCTCCAGTGAAGCAGAAAAATGCTCAAGTTGTCGGTGGGAAGCCTGTAGTTGACATGGCAGAATACAGACAAGGCTCAAAGATCCCTTCTCCTACCAGGATGAAAGGAAACAAGTATCATTCACCGGTTAAAGCAGAGTCAATTAAAACATCAAATATTCAAAAGTCGATAGCCCCATATCAGTCTTTGTCACTCGATGACTTTGACATAGGTAAGAAACTTGGGAAGGGGAAATTCGGTAAAGTTTATTGCGTGCGCCACAGACGAACGGGATTTATTTGCGCACTCAAGGCTATGAATAAGAAGGAAATCGTACAGTATAATGTGCAAAAGCAGTTCAGAAGAGAGGTTGAAATTCAGTCATCTCTCAAGCATCCAAATCTTACCAGACTTTATGGGTACTTTCACGATGATAAGCGCGTATATCTTCTCATGGAGTACCTTGTTAATGGCGAGCTTTACAAGCATTTACGCGCTAACGGTCCGTTCAATGATATATTGTCATCACACTACGTGTATCAAACTGCTGACGCTTTGGATTACATGCATGAGCGGCATATACTACACAGAGATATCAAACCCGAAAATATACTCCTGGGATTTCAAAATACAATCAAGCTGACGGACTTTGGTTGGAGTGTCACAAATACTGAGGGAGTAAAACGTAAGACATTATGTGGCACCTTAGATTACCTTTCTCCAGAGCTCATTAAATCGAAAGAATATGATGAGAAGATTGACGTCTGGGCATTAGGAGTGTTGGCTTATGAATTGCTTGTGGGAACACCGCCTTTTGAAGAAAACTCGAAAGAACTCACAAAGAAGAGAATAACTAGAAGGGACTTGGTGTTTCCTGCTCATGTTTCGATAGATGCCCGAGACCTGATAAGCAGACTGCTTGAATATGAACCGACATCTAGAATATCCCTGAAAGATGTGAAGTCTCATCCTTGGATAGTCAAAAATTGTCCCTATTGGTAAGGAATGGAATAATACGTAAAATGACCATTTACTTTTATATACATGACTATTTTGGCTTTAGCATTAAGATAGAGGAATTTGATTTTTAACGACCTTTGGGATTCCTTTTGCCCATGATTTCGTGCTCTTATCTGTGATCATGAAAACTCTTCCGCTTTGCTTCATCCGGCCGGTTCTGCCTACTCTGTGAACAAGATCTATAGATGTTTTGGGAACATCATACAATATAACATTGCGAACACCTTGAAAATTAAGTCCTCTTGCCATCAAATCTGTGGTCACTAAAATTTTCAAAGCGACCAATCTTCTAGAAGGCTGAAGTTCTTCTTTCGAGGCTAAAACTATGTTCGAACCTGGAATCGAGAGCGGGGTTCGTTTGATTTCGGTCTTCAATAATCTATCATCATTCTGATTCATGCCCTCCAGGAGCCTTGGTGGGCTTATAAAAGGTTTGACTTTTTCTGCTCTTTCTTCAACGGTATCTTCGCCAGTTAAACCAATACAATCATGATTATACTTATTGGCCAGTTGCTCTCTAACTTTTTCAACATCTTTCTTTTCGTTCACAAAAACGATGCACCTTTTCTCAAATCCAGCTTCAGTGCCATCCTTCATGATCGCAAACAAGGTCTGAGCTAGTGCTTTCATCTTGGAACCTTTATAAGGATTTAAAGTTGCATCGATTAATTTAAAATCCAGAGAATATGGAAGTCTGTGCAGTTTGGGAGTAGTAATAGCCTGACAAGTGGGAAAAAATCTTTCCATAGTTTTATTGAATTCATTAGGAATTGTCGCGGAGCAAAAAAGAAGGTGGTTGGTATTTGGCATGGATTGTATAGCTTTGTGTGTATCTTCTAACCAAGATTGGTCCATTAAAGTGTCAGCTTCATCTAGTATAACAAATTGTACCCTAGACAACATTCTCTCCGGTCTATTGATCATTCTGACGTTAAACAGATTTAAAAGCTTACCTGGTGTTGTTATTAATATATCTATTCTTGATTTTATCCTTTCAAGAAACTCACTATAGGTAGCACCTGAATCCCATTTGAAAGTATGAAAACCTAAAAGCTCTTCACTCTGTTGCACGGTTCTGTATACTTGATCTACCAGTTCATGAGTGGGTACCAAGATCACTGCTCGTATTACTGCCTTGTCTTTGATAACTTGCCATTCTTCAGGTGATTCTAATTCGGATCGTTTTAAAAACTCGAATAAAGGCGTGAGGTACGCCATTGTCTTGCCAGATCCTGTCTCCGCTGCGATGACGTTGGTCTGTAGTTTTTTATCCATCAAGTTTTTTGATAGTTTCTTAATGGCTGCCACTTGTATTGGAGAAGGTTTGATGGATTTTGGGTCTAGTATAGAATCATTTCTTATAGCTCGTGTTTCACTGCGATTCGTTTGAATAAAGTTCTTGTTGTTGAGAATTGACTCCCGCGATATGATTGATGTTATGGCCGTTCTTACCTGAGGTAGAATTTTGAGTTGTTCAAAGTCTGTAATCTTCTTTAGCAGACCAGCTGTTTTCTCTACAGTTGCATTTTCGCTTTCTTTGAGCCCTCCAAAGTTACCATAATGAAACGGAGTAGGGTTGAGCGGCGATCTTTTGCTCGCCTTCTTCTTCACAACTGACGCTGCCAAGTGGTGCTTCTTATTCTTAACGGGCTTGGACCCCTGTGAAGCGTATTGTTTGGCGTAACATCTAAGTCCATTAACAGTACATGTGTTTGGCGACCGACGAAAGAGCATAATGGTACTGCTATTGTAAACGTCCTACTGTCGGTAGCTTCAATAATGCTGGTGCATCGAGAGATGAAACGTATTTGATGATTTACATTGGAAAATTTTTCTGTTTTTCAAGATATTTCAACATACAACGATCGTTCACATTTGATCTAAAACGGACCAGATACGAAATGTCGAAAGCGGATTTGACGTCTCTGCTCTCTCAATTGAGCGTACAGTCTCAAAATAATAAACATCATGAGGTGTCGTCCACCTGCATGAAGCTTTTATCTTCGAACTGTGCGAATGCATCTGATGTTTTGAGGCAATGTATTATCGCCTTAATCAAGCAAGATAAATATCAGCAATGTCTGAAAGTTTTAACGAAATACGAAACGTTAGGTGATTCTGAGTCTTTAACACTTGAGAAACTATACGTTTACTACAAATTGAGCAAAACAAAGTCATTTGAAAAATTGTACTCAACTGTTGCATCAAGACTGGAAGAGATTAAAACGAGAGGAGATGTTCCCTCAGTTCATATTAGAGGCCTGTTACACGTACGTGCTCAGTTTTGCTACAAGATAGGTAAGCATCAAGAAGCATTTCGTATATATCAATATTTGGCCTCGCACAATTCAGATGGCATGGATAATGAAGTCGAGCTGGCATGTAACGAACGTGCACCATCAACACATTTACCCGATAATTCGGCTTCGTTTGTAACTCAGCTGACGTCGGATTCTTTTGATCTGTTTTTTAATGAATCAATGATCTTTCTTGGCAATGGTCAGATGGATGTGGCACTTAATCTATTGAAAAAGGCCAGAACGTTGGCTGCAAGTGAAGGAACTGAAGACGATTTACACTCAATTGATTTACAAATAGCATATGTTTACCAACTATCCGGCAATAATGCAGAGAGTAAGTTGGTCCTCAACAGATTGATGGCAAACCTCAAACCCCAATCCACCATGTTGTTACTTGCACAGAATAATTTGAAATCTTTCACTGATCTTTCAAAATATACCACAAACTTTTCACTTTTACTCAGGGAGTTGAATGTTGAAAGAATAAATTCCAGTTCTCAAAACTTCACGGAATATCAATGGCAAATATTGAATACTAACTTACTAGTCCTGCAATTGTTTAATAATAGCAGCATTCAAAGAAAGAGCAGTATTTTATCGCGCACGCTAGCGACCTATCAAGAGATCGTTGATAATGTAACTTTAGAGCCATATGAGTCTCAAGCTACAAAGCTGTTTCACCATGTCATGAAATCTATTTCTTGCGGAATATCGGGAAGCGTTATTGGAGTCCTTTTATTAGCAGTCCAACTACAAATCTTGGAAAAGAAATGGGAAAGAGCAATTCAACTATGCGAATCTTTCCTGAATAAAGATCGGCAGGCAATAGAATACGAGCAACGCGTTATTTGTTACATCTTATTCCAGCTTTATGAGATAGCCGGTCGTGATAACTCTAGACATATATTGTTGGGACGTCTGTTCGAAGTATTTACCAGTGAAAGAGCAAAAGAAGATCCTCCGTTCTGGAGACAGGTTGGTTTCAAGCTTTTGGCGCAAGAATCGGTGGAAGACGCAAATGCCATATTTTCTGAGCTAAAAAAACTTGATCCCACCGATACCCTATTGGGTGATTCCCCAAGATTAGGTACTCATGAATTGGATGGAGAACTCGAATCCTTGATTGATATGGTTGATGTACAGCAATTAATTGATCTGGGCTCAACTCCTTTTGAAAGAAAGACCAAGAAAACCTCTGAAAAGTCATTAAAACGGGTACATAAGAGGAAAAGAGTTCATAAAAACAGAAAACTACCCATTGGTTACGATTCAGAGAAATTACCCAATCCAGAGAGGTGGTTACCGCTGAGGGATAGGTCAGACTACAGACCTAACAAGAAACAGCTAGCAAAGCAAACCCAAGGTGGTGCAAGTAATCGTAAAATGGATCAATCGCTAGATATTTCTAAGAAAAAGCAACCTAAGAAAGGCAGAAAAAGACGTTAATAGATAGTACTTATTTAACACGTAAATATTATCATTATATTGAATGCTGATTTGAACTATATCTCAGCTTGGTACCACTTGTTAGTTAAACTAGTCTAGTATACAAATAATGAGTGTGGCATTCATGCATATGTTTCAAGTGAACAAGGTATCCTCATCTCTCAAATATTCACCAATATCAGCCTGTCTGAAAGCCACTATTCCCATTGGCTGGAGGTCTCTCGCCTCTGACGTGCTTTTAGCACTTACCCCGAAACCTAGTGGAACATCATGCATTGAAAATACCACCACACCAGCATGCTCCGGAATATCTTCAGACATCTTACCCACATGTGCTTTCAAAACGTGGTTCCCGTAAAGGAAAGGCATCTCGCCATTTGGCTTAATCCATATCTTGTACTTGGCATGTTCCGCCAATACAGTGAGAGCAGTAATGTGGATCCTAAACTTACCAGTTTTAGTGAATTTTCCCAAACAAATACCAATTGACATCAAGTTAGGTCTCGCAACACTTGTCGCCAGTTTGGCAATGTGTTCTGGAACATAATAGACACGATCTTTCTGCAGCCGGAAGACAAAAGGTTGCTCTTTATTATCAACTAAGAATTTGATATTCCTGCCGATATAGCCAGCCAGCTTTTCAAAAACTACTCTAGTCTCTTCCTCGGTGAGTTGTCTCATAAATGAAGTGATGCTTGGATGGTTTTATTGAGTATTGAAAGTAACCTCCGCTATCTCATCTCATCTCATCGCGACTGAAAATTTTTCAAAGGAAAAAGAAATAACATGGCACGTGACTTATACTTGTTTACCAATCTTATAGTATTCAATCTAGTATTGACTGCAGCACTTCTTAATCTATTCTAATATGATTCACATGGAACTTTATGGTTATATAAAAGTTTAATCCTTACGGTATCTACTCTGTTTTCGTTCGCCAGTTTTTTATTTCGAAAATTTTCTGGACATCGCACCTCTGAACAGTCGCCAGTCATTCAATAATAAGTCAATCAATGTCTTCAAAAGACGGTGAAGACCCCAAATATGTCGATGATCAGCCAAATGATGAGGCTTATAAAAGAGGTAATCAATACAAATGGTCTAAGGCTCGGAAGGCAGACTATGACCAACCGTCAACTTCTGAGGACACCAATAAAAGAGCGTATGTACGTACTCCACCGATCAGATCTCTGTGAAAACTGACTAACAAATTATAATTAGGAGAGTTGATAGGGAACCGGCTTTAGATGAGAAGGGCAATGTGATTCCTAAAGAACCTAGACTGCCTAAAAGAAAAGTTGCAGTAATGATTGGATACTGTGGAACGGGTTACCACGGTATGCAGTACAATCCACCAAATCCTACAATTGAAGCTGAACTCTTTAATGCCTTTGTCAAAGCAGGTGCCGTTTCAAAGGCGAATTCTAATGACCTTAAAAAATCGGGATTCATGAGGGCTGCCCGAACTGATAAAGGTGTTCACGCGGGAGGTAATGTAATTTCTCTAAAGTTGATCATCGAAGATCCTAATATCTTGCAGAAAATAAATGATTGTCTCCCTGAGGGCATTCGTATTTGGGATATTGAGCGAGTCAACAAGGCTTTCGACTGCAGAAAAATGTGTGGTTCCCGGTGGTATGAATACCTGCTTCCCACTTATTCCTTGGTCGGCCCTAAACCTGGCAGTGCATTATATGAAGATATTGAATCTAGTAAAATGGAGAAGCCGGGAATAATTTCGGAAGATGAAGAAAGCATTACGCTTTGGAAAGAGTTTTTCAAGGAAATTGATCAAGCATTTACCCCAGAAGAGCTTACTTCTATCAAAGAATATGTCCCCCCTCCAAGAAGTGATTTCGACGAATCTGATCCAATATATCAGTTAGTAAGAAGATACAAACAATTGGAAAACAAACATCGTCGCGCATATCGAATTTCGGAGCACAAACTATCTGCTTTTCGTACCGCAATGAAGCAGTATTTAGGGCCCCATAACTTTCACAATTTCACACTCGGTAAAGAGTTCAAAGACCCAAGTGCAATTCGATTCATGAAGGATATCAAGGTATCAGAGCCATTCGTAATCGGAGAGTGTATGACGGAATGGGTGTCTATCAAGATCCATGGACAATCATTCATGTTACATCAGATACGGAAAATGATCTCAATGGCTACATTAGTAACGCGTTGTTGCTGTCCACCCGAGCGTATATCTGAATCGTATGGTCCACAAAAAATAAACATTCCTAAGGCACCCGCCTTAGGTCTACTTTTAGAATGTCCAGTCTATGAAGGTTATAACAAAAGACTAGAGGAATTTGGATATCAGCCAATTGATTTTAGTAAGTATCAAGATAAAATGGATTCCTTCAAAATGAAGCACATATATGATAAAATTTACCAGGAGGAGGTTAACGAGAACGTCTTCAACGCATTTTTCAGCTACATTGATAGCTTTAGCAAAGTCACTGGTGCTCAAGGCGACGAAAATGCTGCAAGTGGTGAGAAAGTGCAAAGAAGTGTTTTTGATTTCTTGACAGCCAGAGGAATCATCGGACAAAAAGAGGTAGCTACAAACGATGATTCACCAATAGGTCAAAATACAGATACCGCTGTAGACCGTAAGCAAGAAGCTCCAAAGAAGCCGGCCGAAGGTGAAGGTGTACCCTCACTTTGAAGTGGGCTCAATGAAAACTGTTGTATAACATGTATCACGTGCTTGACTCTTAAATCCAGAAAAATTTTTTAGATACAATGTACTATTTAGTAGAGGTATTCTGAAAAGATCATCAGAATAGAAGAACCTGAGTGGTAATGTTGAAGCTCCAAGCAAGGGAATTCAGCTGTAGTGTATCAAGAGCTGCTTCTCCTGCTCGTGGTAAGGCACAAGGTTTCGCAAAGAAAGTTAGTGGAGGTAAGGCAACGGCGAAAAAGATTACCTCAGGAACACTATATAAACCTTGGCAGCAGACTGTCGCTACTGCTAATTTGAACAAAAGTGCAATTCCGGTTGAAACGCCTACGTTCAAACCCACTGAGGTCAATTCGCTGATCAATAAGATTTCCAGTTTCTCAGCCAAACAGTACAAATTACTATACCGGTTGGGATCATTCAAACAAAACCAACTCAATGAGCTCTTTCCACGCCCAATTATTTTGGTTAGAGAAGATACTACTAATAAACTGTTCAGCTTATTGAAGAGTAGTCCAAACAGGAAATACCTGATCACAGGGGAGTCGGGAGTGGGTAAGTCTGTGCTTTTATCACAAGTGCATGCATTAGGAGTTGAATCTAAGGGAGTCCTGATCAACATTTCCTACCCTGAGTTATTTCTTAATGGAAGGAACGATTTTTTTTATGACGATCGTTGGTATGTTCAGCCAATGTACCTGAAAAAGCTTATAACAAAGATTTTGAAATCCAATGATCACAATGTTTTAGCATCTATAAAGGTGAGCAATAGCTACAAGTTTTCGAATGCTAACCCCAAAGATGCTGCTACTAGAAAATTCACGCAAATTATTGAAGGTAAAAGCACCTTGCTTGATTTGTTATCCGTTAAAACCTCGCCTCGCAATAGAGGCGACCTTTTTGAAGCGATTATCTCGGAACTCGCTTCTCAATCGAATGTGCCAGTTTTTTTTACTGTTGACAACTTCTCTAGGATTCTATCGGAACCATTTTCTGCTTACAAAGATTCTCAGAACAAAAATGTTCACGTTCTGGAACTTCAAGTGGGGAAGATCATAATGGACATTGTCAGTGGCAAAATCCAGTTTCCTCACGCACAAAGCTGTGTTGTCATGGCTATTTCCGGGGTTGACAGAACAAACAAAACTCTGCCAATTGGCCTATCAAAACTCCCCCATGATCCTTATTGTTCACAAAGGCATTATGACACTAAGCTATCCCAGCTTCTATTAGAGGGTAAAGTGCAAGAATTCAACGTAAATAAGTTGTCCAAATACGAAGTCGAACAATTGATTGACTTTTATATCAAGTCTGAAGTTGTTTTGGATCGAGATGCACAAGGCAAGTCTTTTGAACAATTAGTAGAAGAAAAGTACTTTCTCAGTGGGAATGGTAACCCAAGGGAATTACTGAAAAGTTTGATCTTACAGTTCTCTTAAAGATCTACTTTTAAGAACACTAGACTCTCTAATCATACATGTAAATATTTACTTTCGAAGGAAGTCATTATTAAGCACTTTTTGCGTACCTAACTATTCATAGTTTCGCTCTTTTTAAATCCATCTGCTCATCGTCGTTCTCTTCAGACCAATCATCCTCGTCATCAACGTACGCTGGTTGTTCCGGGGCTGGAACAGAAGACGGGTGGTTCATTTCAGAGAAATCTCTTTTTACCTGTTGATGTCTTTCATTCCAGTTGGATTTGATTTGACCACTAACCTCCTCAAGATCTTCCATTTTAACTGAGTCGCTAATACTCTCAAGAACTTTTTGAACAACTGAGACGTGGTTCCCATTTAGCTTATCATCTCTAAATCGTAGCATTTTCCATACTCCTGTTTCCTGATCTTTTGCACATTCTACTATACGACCATTTAGGGGTTGTTCTAGGTTTTTAAGCTCCTGCCATTGTTTGTCACCTACTTCTAACTCAGCGAACCTTTTGTATGTCCTTTCTAAAATTTCCAGTTCCTTCTTGGAGAACGGTTGTTCAAAATTATGTAGACGAGTATTCACGTCAGCTCCTCCTAGCCATGTATAAAGATGAAAGGATGGTTTAGCATCATAATTGTAATAAAACCTAGCAGGATCTGTTTTTGGCAAAGACTCATCTTCAGCCTTCGGAATCTCAACAATCATCTTAAAATCAACTGTATTTTCCTGTTCTGGCTTCCACTTTAGAAGATATGAATCTTTACCACCAATATGATATGAGGTATTAACAGGTGTAAATATCATGCCATCAGACACGTGAGGTAAGTGTTCCAGAGATTGAGCCACTTTCACTAAATCATAGCTAAAGTTCATATGCTTCATTGAAATCTTGAACGGAAAAGTTGCGCAATGTTGTGGGTAGAAGGAACGTAAGTCATAATATGGCTTAAAAAATTCTTTGCCCAAGTGGGCAAGTCTTGAGCTTGTGGGAGATTGTACAAGACAACGACCGTTGATCGCCAGGCAGTCAAACATCAAGTAACGCAATTCCTTTATTTTAGAGACAGGATTTGTTTGCACCACAAGCTCACCATCAATTAATGTGCCGTCCTGGAGAGTTTCTAGTAATTCTTTTTTCGATTGACGAGGTAATCGCGGAAAGCGAAAGCCCGAAACTAGGTAATAGTTATTTTCTCTGTCAATTATGAAGCACCCTTGCTCCTTTGTCATGGGATTTATAACGATTAACATTAATGCACGTAATCCATCTGTTTTTTCGCAAACATAATAGTCTTGAGCCAGCAATTTGTCTTCTATATCAATATGTTGAAATGAAACGGGTTGGGATCCCGGAAAGGATTTAGCCGGCTTGGGTGAGTTTAATAGTTTGCAAACAAGCATTCGGATATCTTGAGTGACATTAGCAGATTGTTTGATTCCAGGAATCTCCGGAGCTGCCCTGCTATCCATTTCTGGTCTTTCAAGTTTTTAGCTTATTGAACATAATTTTTTGATATTGAATTTTCAAAATTATTTGAACCTATCGATCAATCATCGAATTGGCAGAGAATAAAGATGTGCGAGGGGCTTGATCAGCCTGCTAGTAGGCGAAATAAGAAGAAGATTAATTACAATGAGAAGAAGGCTGACGCTGAGTTCGCCAAGAAAATCAAGCAAATGGAAAGAAATAAAAGCAAGAATGCTGGCACTAGGAATAAGACCTTCAAATCCAAGTACCAGACATACCTTAATGATAAGAATATCTGTTGGAACTTTATACCGTCTCTGCCGCCTTCCTTCCGTAAGCATAGTCGATTCTCGAATATCCTCGATCTAGAAGACTCCACCATCGATATTTCAACGAATATCCTCTATCAAGAATCGACGGCATTATTAAAGAAAAATGATCACATTTATATGATATCCGAACCCCCCGGAGAGCCTTACTATATTGGTAGGATAGTCTCTTTCATTTGCAAACCTGAATGGCGGCAGGCCATTGATTCAGTGAAGAATATCGTTAATGTTTTCCCTGCAAAGTACTTTCAAGTGAAAATGAACTGGTATTATAGACCTAGAGATATCCAAGAAAATGCATCTAACTCTGATCCCAGATTGGTTTACGCGTCTCTTCATACTGACTTGTGTCCTATTTACTCATATCGCGGGAAGTGCACCGTGCTCCATAAGGCCACCTTCCCGTCCGAAGAATCATCCTATGAACATCTTATGAAACCGAATGTTTTTTATTTTGACCAGCTATTTGATAGATATACATTAAGTTATTATGATGTCTGGGATACCCATAAGTTGCTGAACCTTGGTACTCAATCATCATATTTGGCGGCCCTCCAAAAAATGTTTCCTTACGTATACACGGAAGAAAAGTATCCGCTGGAGAAAATCTTGAAAAAATACGTACTCAATCAGAAGTATGACAATGATGACGAGTTTTGGGATCAACGCTGTGGTCAATGTAATGAATGGTGTGAAAAACCGCAATGTATAAGATGCGATGAGTGCGGAGTACCTGTTCATCTGTACTGCCTAGAGCCGCCACTAGAGCGAAAACCTACTAAAGGAGTTATTTGGATATGTTTTGAATGCCTAAAAAAACAAGAATTCACTCCTGATATCCCTCAAATGAATAACACAAATGGGACGGTTGTCGAGAAGAAACAATCAGAAGACACTTTTCTTGATCGAGAGGCTGAGAAAACTCCGCTCAATGAGCGAAAGCTATCAGACTGTTGGTTTCATTATCTAGGGTCGAAAGTCATCAACTCTTTTGAGGATGTTCTAATAGATGAATTAAACCTTCCATTTCCGATAAAGTGCTCGAGAGTCGGCCCAAAATATCAGTGGGCTGGCTGTAATGACGAATTTTCGTCTCCTAAATTATACTCAACCACCGGTTGTGAACGAGGTCTTGAAACAAGTTCGGAACCTCTCTGGTTTTTTGACTCATCAAAAATATCTTCGGAGAAATTGGACCAATATGTACAAAAATGCCAGGATACATTTCCAAAAACACTACAAATTGTTCCTCAGACGTGCAATTTCCTCGATATGATCCTTAAGACTCTCGTGAAAAATTCCTATAATGCTGTGGCAGCATTCGAATCGTGTGGAGTGGAGCTCACTAGGGAATCGCTCAGGGAACCCACCTTCACTCCTGAAGAAATCACTAAATTCGAAAAAGCTGTTTCAGAATACGGAAGTGAGCTTCATCCTGTTTCCAAGTACGTTGGTACACAGCCAATGTCAATGATTGTCCGGTTTTATTATTACTGGAAAAAAACTGAAAGAGGGAGGAGCATATGGGGAAATTTTAAAGGTAGGAAGAAAAACAGACATGTCAGCAAGCTACAATCTGAAGATCACAGTGCCAATGTGGTAAAAAAGTCTCGAGAACGTAAGCCGTCTAAGATCTATAAAATGAGCAATCTGGAGGGTGATAAAGAGTGGAAATACATGGATGATTCATCTTTTGACTCTGACAAGATTTCAACGGTCAAAACGTGTTTTCATTGCATGTTTTGTGAAATTGATTACTCCCCAATGTGGTATAGAGTCACAGGAGGATGTGATGATGAAAATATTAAAACTAGAATGATGACTGGTGTGAATGAGAAAACTAGTACATCAGACAAGGTGCCGTTCCATCCAAAAAAACGGAATGGGGATTTGCAAGACGAAGAGAAACTTGAAGCTTTGTGTATTCGTTGCGCCCGCTTATGGAGACGCTATGCCATTCGGTGGGACTCTCCGATGAACGTGATAAGAGCATTAAATGGAAAAAATATATCAAACATAAATTCCACTGTGGAAGAGTTTTTGGACAAAGCAGAGGATAACAATCTGGTTACTTCAGCAAAACTAGCTCGAGAGAAGTTCCTTGAATGGGAATTGGTTCAGGATGCGGAGCTGATAATAAAGCAAAGGTATTCAATATTTAATGATCCGAGTCGCTTAATCAAGATGAGACGCAACTGTATGTCACTTCACACACAACTCAATAAACTGGTCAAGAAATTGGTCGAGAAAGATGCGTTCAAAGAATATAAACTGAGACAAAATTTGAATCAATTTATCAAGGTACGACTTGAGGCATTAGCCAAGAAGGAGAATAAACCTAAACGGAAAAATAAGAAAGTACAATTGCCATCCTCAAAGTTAATCCCGGATCCTGATCTCTCTGTAAATCAGGCAAAAGATCACAAACGCAAATGGATAGAAATTGATGTTGATGTGTCGGAAAAAGCCACGCTCAAAAAGAGAGAGACTTTATCGATAATCAACGATGATAAAGAACGAAAAATACTGGGGACAATTACTTCAAATGGAGATCATTTGATAGATGTGATATCTGAAGATAAAGTTGATTTGGGTCGTATATCAATTGATGCCGAATTTCGAAGTATCAGAATTTCAGATAAGCTATATCTGACCATTTTCAACCATTTATTAGAAAAAACCGCTGCTGAGAGCTCAAAAAACAAGAATCAAAATTCCAAAGATAAATTGGAGCCTCAGAAAAAGAGGTCTAAAATTCAGAATGGAAATTCTATCAATCCTTCAAATTATCAAGTTATAAATGAGTCAAATATTCCAATCTCGAATAAAATTCATAATACTGCGGGAAGTTTAGCTCTCTATTACTCTAATAATCCGCTTTTCTATGATTGGGCGCATGGAAAACTACCTAAACCCAGGATTGACCTTTTGCAGAATGCTTTGCAAAATTCGCAACAATTGAAGACAAATTTGGGAAGAAAGTCTAAGTCGCCTACATATGCTATTGATCAATTAGAGATTCAAGGGGATTCATCCCCGAGAGAGATATGCTGTGTTTGCCTTGAAAAATTCAGCGAAAAAGATGAAGAAGAGCTAACGTGTGCTAATTGTGGATTAAACGTGCATTATTACTGCTATGGCTGTAGCACTCAAAATATTCAGAACAAACATGAATCTGGGACTAAAGACTATCAATGGCTTTGTGATGCTTGTTCAAACGATTTGAATCCTTTAAACTCGACAAACTATCAATGCAGTTTGTGCATCGCCAAGGAGATCGATCATGATGCGGCCAAGAAGAAAATCAATCGTGCCATTCCAGATGCTTTGAAAATCAGTTCATGTGGTACATGGTGTCACGTTATATGTGCTCTTTTCAATCACCAATTAACATTCGGATCCGCTAGCACCATGCAACCGGTAAACAACGTAGGTGCGATTTTTCTGATGAATAATGGAAGGGAATGTGAGATCTGTTCTATGCCAGGTGGAGGATTAGTCAAGTGCGAAATATGCCCGCGAAGCTTCCATGTTACATGTGCCCAAGACTCTGCTGGCTACAGATTGGGATTCAAGAAGATTTTTACTGATGGTAACAAGCTGAACGAGCGCGTTCTTAGTGAGTATGGAGAGCATTTCATGGTTCGTCCAGCCATAATATGCTCACAACACTTAGAATCGACAAATGAACTTTTGCCATTGACTTATCAAACTTCATCTGGCTTGCCGATAATTGAATTTTACTGTAGACACTACAAATCTGTGGAAGGTTATTTAGGAAGCGCTGTCAAAGCACGTGTCCAAGAGTATGATAACATAGCTGGAAATCATATCAACTACGAGAGGTATGAGTCTAAGATTAATCCAGGAAGTGATGTGTGTAAAACGGATCCGATGAAGGCAATTCAGATACCAACCCCCTCCTCTTCGTTACACAGGAAGACATGTTCTGTTTGCTCAAGGAATTGTTCAATTTATTGGTATGGTTCCACCTGCCATGCGTGCCACATATCATGTAGTACACCCACCGCTAATCACGCTACAAATGATAAAGATCTGATTGTTGCAAAAGAGAACAATATGAGCTCGAGTATCCAATGTGCACTTTTAGATGGCATTCAGGAACGAAATTTGACTATGAGCGTCAACGATTTTGACCTAGAGAGCACAGGAAATTCATCAGCTAAGGGGAGGAGAAAAGGAACAAAAACTAAGCACACAAAAGGAGGTAAGGACGTTGGTTTTACATTAATGAGTCAAAATGGACCAAGCTCGGTCCAAGACACCCCCGGCATCCCTATCGTGATACAAAATTTATCTACAAACCGCTGAACTGTTCAGATTAAAGGGACACCGCCTTTTGGAGCCCAATATATAATGAAATTTTTTCTATTTTGTAGTAGCATTTTCTTTCCTTATAATACACGACTAGTAAGGCATTCCGAATTGGGCTTATCGATTTCTCTATAGTAATTTCTCTTGCAATAGAATTTTGAATGACTTACGCAATTACTAAACTTCACCAGCTAAAACCTTTTCCAATCTCTCGATTTCGGCGAGCGTGGTTGCCTTTGCAAGTTGATCCCGCAGGTTTTGCTTCGCCTTTTCGTCCATTTTGCTTACAACATTACTCATGACCTCTGCATCTTTATCTCTTGATGAACCCTTACTTGAACCTGTAGAAGCTGCATTACTATCAAATTTTCTTGAGGTAATATGTTCCAACTCCTCGCCCTTGACCTTCTGGAAATCGAGTACTTTCAGTTGCGGAAGTAGCGACAATACGTGAGATCTATAGTCTTCAAAATAGCAAATTGCGTTACCTCTTAAATTCAAATTCTCAAGCGACTGGGGAGAATTCCGTAATCCGTTCAGCTGCTCAAGTCTGTCTATCCCATTATTAGCCAGCGACAAGTTAAGTATATTTGTCGGTAGTAATCTACCATCAATCGAAACAATACGGTTGCGTGAAAGAAGTAGTGTGTGAATATCGGCACGTTTTTGAAGTGGTGGTAGTTGAGTTAAATCATTGTTAGTCATGTCAACTACATTTGTGGGAATTGGTATCTGAGAAAGCACAGTTGGCATAGAGTCTCCATCACTCTCTAAGTTTAAATCTCGTAAAATTAGAACCTTGTCAGTATCCAATCTACCATTGAAATAGCTTGCATAATATGTAGGTGCATCTATAACTGTGCTGGGAGTTATCTTCATTATGGTGTCAGTTGGCTTTCTCAACTTAAGAAAAAAAATGGAAACTATTAGAAGTTTATCAAATATTTATAATATAGGTGATAAATTACTCTGAAGACCTAAACATGATCACCTATACGAATTACTACAACTTTACTAAGCACAATGTTTGCTAAAGAAAATGTTGACTACACACTTTATCTTGTTACAGACTCAACAATGTTGCCAGAAGGAACTACCTTAGAATCTCAGGTTGAAGCTGGATTGAAAAACGGTGTTACCTTGGTTCAGTTAAGGGAGAAGGAGACCCCTACAAAGACCTTCATACAGGAAGCATTGAAGGTTCAAAAGCTTTGTAAACACTACGGTGTTCCGCTGATTATTAACGATCGAGTTGATGTTGCGCTAGCCATAAACGCGGATGGTGTTCACGTTGGTCAAGATGACATGCCCATTCCAATGGTTAGAAAATTGCTTGGTCCTGAGAAAATAATAGGTTGGAGTGTAGGCTATACTCATGAGGTTGAACAACTTACCAAATGGGGCCCAGAGGGTGTTGATTATATTGGTATAGGGATGGTCTTTCCCACTAACACAAAAAAAAATCCCAAAAAGGCTCCAATGGGCCCAGTAGGAGTATCTAATATTCTCGGCGCATTGCAAGAATATGAAGCAAAATGGTGCAAAACTGTTGCTATCGGTGGTTTACATCCTGATTGTATACCCAGAGTTCTTTATCAATGCGGTTCACCGGACGGTAGGAGAATGCTAGACGGTATATCTGTTGTGAGTGACATTATGGCTGCACCAGACGCAGGTAGTGCTACTAAGAAACTACGTGACATCTTAGCTAAAAAAAGATACGATTTTATACCCGGTTTAATATCTAATTCGACCACTTTCCACCCCGATCAAATGGCTGAGTACCTTGATAGGACAAAAACAAACCGTCCCCTGATACAACATATTACAAACAAAGTTCATCAAAATTTTGGAGCCAATGTCACATTAGCTTTAGGATCATCTCCCATTATGTCTGAGATAAATTCAGAATTCAAAGAGTTGTCCCTGATTCCTCACGCAACTCTTCTACTGAATACCGGTTCTGTGGCTCCTTTGGAGGTCCTTATTGACGCCGTTAAGGCTTATAATGAATCTCAACGTCCCATTGTTTTCGACCCAGTTGGATACAGTGCAACGGAAACTAGGTTGAATTTGAACAACCATGTGTTAACAGCCGGACAGTTTGCTTGTATTAAAGGAAACTCTGGAGAAATTTTATCTTTAGCGGGACTCAGCCAGGGTAAAATGAAAGGAGTTGACTCTGGATATAATGGCTCTGACTTGTCACTTCTAATCAAAGCTACCAAGATAGTTGCCTACAGATACAGGACAGTTAGTGTTTGTACCGGAAAGACAGACATAGTTGCTGACGGTACTTTTGCTGGTGCCTATGAGCCAAGTGGCGGAATGTTAGGAGATTGGTCTAGCATTCCCTGTTTTACGATAGTTTGTGGTGATATTCCTATTATGGAATGTATCACGGCAAGCGGGTGCTCTCTTGGCAGTACTATCGCCTGTTTAATTGGAGGAGTTTCAGGAAATGCCAATGTTCTGGGTGCTGTTTTAACCGCGGTAACACTGTATAAGTCAGCAGGGCAAAAAGCCTCCTCACGTTGCAGAGGCAGTGGTAGTTTCCATGTGGAATTGATTGACGCCCTTTATCAGTTTTTCACATCCAATCAGCCGTTAGAGTGGGCCGCGTCTATTCATCAAGTCTAAGCTAGAATATACAGGAGATCGCACTATTTACAGATTATAGCCCTTTTTTTACCCTTTTGAAGCAAAAAATACTAGTTCTTATACGATAGTTTACTTTTCTCGCTTGGAAGAATATCAGGATTTCTATCCATAGCTTCGTATTTCTCGATCACTGCCTTTTTCATAACAGCTTCCTGTGATGGAGAAAGCTTGTAAACAACTTCATCGGGAGGAACGAATTTAAACTTTCCTAGGGCAAACTCCCTATCTGAAAGTTTGCTCAATACATATAGCTGCGAGCGCACATATCTTACCATTGCTTCTAAATGAACCACATCAATGTTTTTCCTACCACCAAAAAGGTTCCGCCAAATGGCTCCAGCTAGAGTAGCATCATCAGTGTAAAAACCCTCATCATACGCAAAAACTGCACCTCTTAGTTGAGAATTAAAGTCTTTCAAGTATTGGTCAGCAATTCTACCAGAATTCACGTTCATTTCCTCGAAAAGTCTAAGCTCGATATCTGAAAACGTCCGGTCAACTAACTTCTGCTGGTAATTCTTTCCATATTTGAATGGCATTGCGCGCATGCGCACAAAAAGAATCCATTCATGCAGAACCGTTATTTGAAACCACTGTGAAAAAGTACGTGGTAATTTAAGATCTTCGTAGAAGAACTTAGCAGTTTCGGAAAGAGGTTCGTTCTCAAACTGTAAACCCTGTTCTTTACACAATGCATAATAGTAAGAGCCTGCAATAGGACCCGCTCTCACCTTGTCCATGTCCAAATTGAAAATACGGATGACCATCTCACCTAGAGCTTCTTTCCATTTTGGAAGTTGATAAGCTTGGGATTCATATTTAGAATCTGACAATAGGGGCCTTTTCTTCTTAGGGTTCACAGGGGCGTTATTTGAGTAGTCTATTGGTTGGGAAGTTAGTTGAGACTTACGAGCAAGCTCTTCCGGCGATTCGAGCTCATTCTTCACGTTGTCTTTGTTGATCCCTGTTGTATATCCGGCCCGAAAGATGATGGTCCTTCTACTGAATGATAATGTAGAGTTTAACAAGCTCGCGTGTGAGTGTGTAAACGACCTTAGCATTTCTAGTATCTCTTGCCCCACTCTTTTCAGTATAAGGGAATTGGAGTTTGAGCACAGACTTTTTTGAATTGATTTTGATGAAAATTTTCATTGATATCGTTCACAGGTAGTAAGTAATAATATAATGGTGTCCTAGAACTTCAAAGTTTCTCGATTTGTACAAAATGCTGAAGTTGTGAAAATTCAACTACCTTTCTGCTTCGAGTGTAAATGCGATGTGTAAACTATGGTACTGAAACCTTGCATAAGTTTTGTGTGCGTTAGCGAAAGTTCAATTTAGCTCGGAAATCACTAGATGATAATGATGGATCAAAATTTCAAATAAGCCATGAGATGATTCATATGTGGCGAACTTAAGTAGTGCAAGCCTATTTTTACGTCATGCTGCTTTTATCAAGGAAAACTCGAACACAAATACTATAGTTCAGATAAAGAAGTTCAAAATTACAACCGACACTCCGTCAGTAGGCTTCGATAATTAATACACAAGACACTGTATTTACCCGTTTCAAAATAGTGAAGCTTTGCTCATCCATAAAAATTAGAGAAAGGTATTACCTGTATGATTCTAGTTCCAACTTATTTCATGACACCACTGCGCTGGTGGACTTCCTAGAAGTGGATCGGAGAATATCTCCCATTTTTTCGTCTAATCTCTTTCGTGCTTTTCCTTTTGGTTTACCTTTTGCGCCTCCGTATAACGAAGTGCCCCATAGTTCTAGAGCAGTAGCATTTTTCCAAAAAGTACAAAGCTTGTAAGCTTCGTGATTTCTCACATTAATTAATTCTGTCAATATTGTTTCTTGGTTAATTAAGCGATTCTTCACACTCACTGAATTGATTTGACGTTCGGCACGCAGCTGGACCCTTGCGCTTTCTTGTTTTGCCAATCCTCCTTGAAGTTTTCTAGCCATAAGTTCATCTCTGCGTGCTTCCAACTTATCTATTTCATTCAAAGCATGTCTCGTTTTCGAAGAATCATCAAGCTTCATTATTTTTTCTGCTATTGCTTCCAACTCCTCTTCATCTTTCGTATCTATATATCTCATTCGGGCTTTCGCATCCCATTCATCTTCGGAAATTTGGCTCTCGTCAAGTTCTTTCAGCAATCTTGTGATACGACAAGTAACTGTCGTAGAGGCTAGTTGCTGTTCTTTTAATCTTAGACTGAGCTTCAATTCTTTCTCTACGCTCTTCAATTGTCTCGATAAGTCATGTTCACGTCTGCCCCAGACGTCAAACCATCCACAAAGCTTCTCAAAGTCTTCAACAGCTTCAACGGAGAGCCACTGTTGATCTGACAATAATAATGACTCTGGTCCTTCTTCGATTATTTTCCTTTGGATGGGAGATAGTGCAATCCAATTATTTACTGAACCGTTTTCGTCGACCAAAACTGTTTCGCCATTACCATCCTTGTGCTTATACGACCCATCATGGACTCGATAAATATTAAACACTTCCTCAGTGGCTGCTTTTGAGGATTTCTTTGCTCGTATATTTACCCACCTTTCAATTTCTTCTTTTGATATCTGTAGGAAATATTGGGCGTCGATAATTGAGGGCCCCTGGATCCATAAACAGCCAGGTTTGGGATTATGTTCATTTTCTTGGGGCCTTTTTACACCACTCAGCTCTAACCAATAATATCGGTTGCCATAGCGATCTGATCCTAAGGACCTCAATCGCTGTAAATCGTTTTCAAACAAGACACTATCCAAGTAGTTTCTATCCTCCTGAAGATTTTCGACGATCTCTTTTTGCCTGCAAATCTTTTCTTTAAGTTCTTCGATTTTATCAGGATTGCTGTTTTCTTCAACTATATTTCTTAGATCATTTTCCAACGCCTGCAACGCTGCAGTTGAAGACTTCAAGTCTCGTCCAATTTTGAAGCGTTCACTGCGAATTTGACCACATATCTCCATTGAGTCATCTAGGGATCCTTTGATATCTGAAGAAAAATTGGAAAGTAGATCAACAAGTATCCACATAGCATAAACTTTTTGTTCCATGTCGAGATTCCTGCAAAAATTTCTCCACAGAATCTTGTTCAGCTGAGTCCCTGCCCCATCGATAGGTACCACCAATTCAACAAAACTTTGAATGAAGTTTGAGTAGATCGGCAAGTGCATACAGTCTTGATAAATACCAAGCACAATTATTAGCCAATACCCGTTTTGAAACTGTCTATTCATCAACCTCTCGGACCAATTTACATTACGATATTGAAGGCATTTATCAAGTAGTTCATCAATTTGGGATTCACTGCGAGGTTCAGAACTCGGCGTGTTTTCACTAGACAGTGTGTCATTGATCCCTTCATCATTTGTTTTCAAATTAAGATCATTATGATTTCCCTTGGGTTCACCATCTCTGTACCAATTTTCTGCAACTATACAATTCCAGTCTCCAGTTTCATCAATAAACATCCTTAAAATTGCTGCAAAACATTCCACTAACAATGCCGCGCCCTTGAGGGGCGCCTCATCCAATAATTCGTCTGCTGCTCTATCCTGTTTGACAATTTGGTACTTCGTGCGCTCCGTACTCAAACGATCTATAATCTGAAAAACATCTGAATCAACCTGCATTTTCTCTCTCATAAATTCATTTTCAGAATTTACAGTACATGTAACATTGTCAAGTCCCTCATCTACATCCTCGCTGAGTGAAATATCCTTTTCGACAGATACTTTAACAGCTAATCCACTCAACTCATCTGGGCTCGTACATTTAAAGCTCGTAATAAGGTCATCCAGTGTGAAATTACTGATGTTCAGAGTCTCATTGAAAGTATTGATAAATTGATAGACTTGCAGTAGTCTTCCCATTTCAGGAAACACTTCCGCAGTATTTTCTAAGTTAACATGATTAAGAAGCTTACTGTAGTAATAAACGCTTTTGAGCTTGGGTCGTGAACCTGCAAAAGGTAATTTCAGATCGTCAACAATACTAGTAATTTGTTGAGACTGAGCTTGAGATTGAACTTCATTGGACTGCAAACCATCGTCATTTTTCGTTTTTTTTGGTTCAGGAACTTCAGCTTGATCAATTTCCACCTTTCTTTTATCGCTATTTTCTTCTGCCGTCGATGTAAACGGGATTCGTGTGGTAGTATCTGCATAGTCGTCCTTATATTTTAACATGTCAGCGGGCCATTCCAATGAAAGTCCATACATTGGTAAGTACTCCTCTTTCACGCACCATGGCGCTCCCATCTTAGTAGAAGCACGACGAAGAGTTATTTTGCAAAAGCATTTTATTAGGTGTTTGGTGAAAGTAGTTCGGTCGCGGTAAATCTGATTTTGGTCCGCTATCACTGATCGCAACCCGGATGCCTCAACAATCATATACTTTGAATATGCCGGAGACTTCTCCTCACCAGTAATGGGATCAATTATGGCGTTAAACTGAGCCTTCTCCTTTATAACGTAAGGCTTTTGGTGCTGTGCATGTTGAGCTTCGACATCTTCTGCTCCAGGTGTGGGTGACGAGTTTTTGCTTACACTTTTTCTCAAGAATACAGTTTCGCCAGGAAAATAATCGTTTTTGAACCTGGCATACACCTGCTCAACCAAAAGATCGATTCGTCTGACCTCGTTAAAGTGGAGAAACCTCGCAACTGGCTCTCTCAACTTCAGAGGAAATTTCTCTTCTACATGCTTAAATTGCATTTCTTCACTATTGAGGGCTTCAAAGAAGGTTAAGCATGATGCACCGGTAATTTCACAGGTGAAATAGTGCCGCGTGTAGAAATCAAGTCGCTCTAAATAGTCTTCATAGGTAGTAAACCATTCTCCCGTTTCATTGATATGCCAAACTTTGATGTTCAGATTTTCAGGAAGTGACTTCGGAGCTGGCAGGACGATGGGCTTTCTTTTATACAGCACCATGTCTCCCTGCACTATTTGTTCAGTTTTCCAACTGTTATTCGAAAGAAGATATTTTTTCATTACCTAAATTATCGCGAAAATCATCAATTAAGGAACTCCGGCAACTAAATAAAGCATTTTGCCAGATAAGAAGAACAGAGCATGAAAAATCACAGTTATTAGAGTTAAATCATATAATAGCATATATATAGTTCAAGAAGCTCTTACGGATCGGAAATACGCAACTGTTCTGGATAGCCTTATTAGCATCCCTTGGAAAATGACCTGTTCTCATGAAAAATTACAGGTATTAAAGGAACGAAAAACATAATGAGCAATCAATTGGGGCCCACTAGTAAGTACGTCTTCTGCTACCAATTCTGGTTAAAATGACTATTCAGCCTGTAACTATACACTATATCACGTGCACGTTGATTTCTTTTTCTGAAGTAGAAAATTTTCATGCGAAGCTCATCTCATCACTACCATTGACGTTCTTCATTCAATAATAGAGGGAAAAAGGTGTATTAGATGGAACAATCTAATAAGGAGCACCGAAAGAAGAAGGAGAAGTCCACTGCTAAAAAGAAGCTGCATACCCAGGGTCACAATGCCAAGGCCTTCGCAGTTGCAGCGCCCGGTAAGATGGCCAGGACAATGCAGCGTTCCAGTGACGTGAACGAACGTAAATTGCATGTGCCAATGGTTGATCGTACCCCAGAAGATGATCCTCCACCAGTTATTGTGGCGGTTGTAGGTCCTCCAGGTACAGGAAAGACCACTTTGATAAAGTCTTTAGTTAGAAGAATGACAAAAACGACTTTGACAGAAGTCAACGGACCAATTACCGTGGTGTCTGGTAAACGAAGGAGGCTTACATTCATCGAATGTCCTGCTGATGATTTGAACTCTATGGTTGACGTATCAAAGGTCGCGGATTTAGTGCTACTAATGATTGATGGAAATTTTGGATTTGAAATGGAAACGATGGAATTTCTAAATCTAGCTCAACACCACGGTATGCCTCGTGTCCTAGGTGTTGCAACACACCTGGACCTGTTCAAATCACAGTCAACTCTAAGGGCTTCGAAGAAGAGATTAAAACATAGGTTCTGGACTGAAGTATATCAAGGTGCGAAGCTATTTTACCTATCCGGTGTAATAAATGGCCGCTATCCTGATCGTGAGATACTTAACTTATCTCGATTTATCTCAGTTATGAAATTCAGGCCCTTAAAGTGGAGAAATGAGCATCCTTATCTTCTAGCTGACCGTATTCTTGATGTGACGCATCCTGAACTAATTGAAACGCAAGGCAAGCAAATCGACAGAAAAGTTGCAATATATGGATACCTCCATGGCACTTCTCTTTCCTCAGTGAGGGGTACTAAAGTCCACCTCGCAGGTGTAGGTGATTACTCCATTTCGCACATCGAGAAACTACCTGATCCCTGCCCAACACCCTACTTTCAACAAAAGATAGACGATTATGAAAGGGAAAAGGCAAAAGAAGAAGGATCCACTTCTGCAGTACCCAGAAGGCGTAAGAGGCTGGATGACAAGCAGAAACTTATCTACGCCCCTATGTCCGACGTCGGTGGTATGCTCATGGACAAAGACGCTGTGTATATTGACACAGGTAACTCGAAAACCGGAGCATCAGGCTCTACTACGCAAGACAAAGGCGAGAGCGAAGAATTAGTTTCGTCTTTGCAGGCTGCCCAAAAGAGCATTGGCGAAAACTATGATGGTGTTGGTTTGCAGATCTTTAGTAGCGGCCAAGAGCTTCATGTTGACGACTCCGACCATGATAGCGATGAAAATGTAAGCGATCCTGACGTTGGGAAAATAGGAAGATCTTCGCTCAGGAATCCCAGGATATATGGCAAGTCTATCCAAGAGGAAGACGAAGAAATAGATAATCTACAGTCTGATGATGAAGAACCAGATGGGAGATCCGAGGGTCGTTCGTCTCATATGGTTGAAATTGATTTCGGTAAGGATAATGGAGATGAACCAATTCTCGAAACTGAATCAGAATTCGAACTTTCGGATCATGATGAAGAATCCTGGAACAGAAATACTGCGGCAAAGTTGAATGGAAGGTCACGTAGGCCAAAGAAGTGGGATATTGGAAAGTTGATATACATGGACAATATCGATCCTTCAGATTGCATTAAAAGATGGAAGGGGGAAGACTCTCACGATGAAAATGAGTTGAGCGATGAGGATGCGGAAGGAGAGGACTTTTTCAAAAAAAAGGATGAGGCTGATTTCAAATTAGATAAATTTGATTCTGACCTCGAGAAGTTCAAACCTCATTTCGAGACAATCAAGCAACTGATAACAAAATGGAGTACGGTAGATACGATCAAAGATCGATTCGTAGGTACCCCAATAGCTCGTTCTGGAGATTCAGAGGCTCCTGAAGGAGATGACTCTGATGAATTATACGGCGATTTCGAAGATCTAGAGGCAAACGACAATCGTGATGAAGTTCACAATTCCTCAGAAGATGATTCTGAAAATGATTCTGAAAATGATTCTGGTAATGATACTGACGGTTCCTTCACAAATTTTGACGAAGAAGAGAAGAAGGATCTGACGACGGAACAAGAGCGTGGATTGAATGCAGCTAAAAAAGAATCGCTACGTCTTCAATTTGAAATGGAAGAAGGGGAGAACTTCAAAGAAGATGATCCAGAAAATGAATATGACACTTGGTATGAGCTTCAGAAGGCAAAAATTGCCAAGCAATTGGAAATAAATAACGCTGAATTGGAATCTATGACTTCTGAGCAAAGGCAAAAAATAGAGGGATATCGGGCCGGATCTTACGTGAGAATTGTATTTGATAGATTACCAATGGAATTTGTTGAAAACTTCAATCCTAAGTTCCCTGTTATCATGGGTGGTCTATTACCGACAGAGCTAAAATTCGGCATTATCAATGCAAGAATAAGAAGACATCGTTGGCACAAAAAGATTCTGAAAACCAATGATCCTCTAGTACTGTCCTTGGGTTGGAGAAGATTCCAAACGTTGCCAATCTACACGACTTCTGATTCGAGAACACGTAATAGGATGTTGAAGTATACGCCAGAGCATGCCTACTGTACAGCGAGTTTTTATGGGCCACTCTGCTCACCTAATACTACCTTTTGTGGTATACAAATTGTTGCTAATAGTGATACAACTGGAAGTTTTCGAATTGCTGCCACTGGTATTGTACAAGAAATTGATGCTACTGTTGAGATTGTGAAGAAGTTAAAACTGGTTGGTTATCCATACAAAATTTTCAGAAACACCGCCTTTATCAAGGATATGTTCTCCAGTGCCATGGAAGTCGCGAGATTCGAGGGTGCCCAAATTAAAACAGTGTCCGGTATCCGTGGTGAAATTAAGAGAGCATTGTCCAAACCAGAAGGCCATTTCAGGGCTACCTTTGAAGATAAGATTCTTTTGAGTGACGTTGTCATTTTGAGAAGTTGGTACCCTGTGCATATTAAAAAATTCTATAATCCAGTAACATCACTGTTGTTGGAAAACAAAACCGAATGGAAAGGTTTGAGGTTAACAGGGCAGATTAGGGCCGCAATGGGAATTGAAACACCTTCTAATCCAGACAGCGCATACAAAAAAATTGAGCGTTCAGAAAGGCACTTCAACGGCCTGAAAGTACCAACATCCATTCAAAAAGATCTTCCATTCAAATCTCAACTTCATCAAATGAAACCTCAAAAGAAGGCCACATACATGGCCAAGAGAGCAGTTGTCCTAGGAGGTGATGAAAAGAAAGCACGCACTTTCATGCAAAAGGTATTTACTATTTCTCATGCGAAGGATGAAAAGCGTAAGGCAAAGAAGCAGGACGAGAGGAAGCAAAGATTGAAGAAGTTGGCTAAATTGGAAGAGACAAAACTCGAAAAGGAGAAGCAGCGTAAAAAAGATTTCTTTTCGAAAAATGGTAGCAAGAGACAATTTCAAAGTAATGATGGAGATTCTAGCTCTAAAAGAAGAAAATAATCTCAGTATATACGCGCACCTTTATATCGTATAGTAACCATTCGTGGCCCCTATTATAAAGTTAAAAGACTTACACTTGTTGAGCTATCCCGAGCTACAGTATTTACTAGGCGAGGCTCTACTTAAATATACTGAGATAGCCACTGGAAGGCTTCTAAGTAACCGTTCTTCATAACAACGGAACACATAAAGACTTCAACTGGTCTCTGGCCTTCAATTCTTGCACCACCCGTGGTGTTCAACAATCCTAAGGCAGATCTAAGTTCGGTCTCAGAAACTGCGTTAGGAGAGTCGATCTTGTTACCCAAGATGACGAATGGGACATCCTTTAACTCTGCAATGTTGAAAAGAGCGTCAAGTTCCACACGGGCTTCGTTAAATCTCTCAGGGTCAGCTGCATCGACCAAAAAAACAATGCCATTGACCTCCGGGAAGTAATCCTTCCACAAACGACGGGCTTGAATGTGACCACCCAAATCAAAAGTGGTAAATTTGATATTACCGATAGCGAGCTCTTCGGAAGTTGGGTGCCAGGTAGGTTGCAAAGTTGCCAATCTATCGTTCTTCAGCATATGCAAAAGAGTGGTCTTACCGGCGTTATCTAAACCCAAAAACAACAACTTACCGTGTTTATTCCATAGACCCAAAGAAGATAAGATATCTCTAACTGTTCACCATTGTTAGTTAGTAAAAAGCCCTCATAAAATGGTCATTATCAGTATCACATCAAGTAGCTAAACATACACCATCCAAATAAGTCCCACATATTACTAGGTAAATAATCAAACTATCTATAGTTTTCTTTAATGTGAACGTGTTTCTAAAGAACTGCTATTATCTTAATCCATATTCCGAAAATTTTTTGAATTTCCGAGGGCAAGAGAAATACACGATCGTGCCCTCGAAAAACTATATATATATTTACACAGTTTGCGATTAAACGAAACTTTAGCCGCTATTTCGCCATGGCACATAGCTCTTCGTGAACTTTAACTGCCATTGTTAGATTGCTATTTGTGATTTTGAGGCCTTCGTAGTTCAAGCACTCAAGCAGTGCCACCTCCAATTTAGTTAGTAGCTTTTTAGAAATACCACAGACCTTACTAAAGTAAGCATGAGAATGAACGCAATCCTCCAGAAGTTTTGTTGCCAAACGTATGCTAGCAATGATAAGCCTGTGGACTTGCTCCAGCCGTAATGGAAATTTTAGTTGCAACTCGTGATCTCTTCGCGTCAGAATTAAGCACTCTAGCAGGTATGTTGCGGTAAGGTAAACTATCGGTGCGAAACAGAATTTGGTCTGGATACGTTCCAAATAATGCTCATATATGAGCGTGGGAGGTGCCTTCATTATAAACGTAACATATGCAGGGAGACCAACTTTCTCGTCCTCGGGGACAGACTCGGCCATTTTGAGAAGAATTGAAATTGTGTTGGAGAACAATGTCAATGCGGCTTCTGAGTTCAAATCCGGAACTTCAGTATCATCTTCTGGTGTGAGAAGAGAAGTAGATCGTCGTTCTTCAAAAGTCGAAGGCCTTTCTCGAAGCAAATCTCTGTTCTTGCCCAACGAGGGTGAGTTGAGCAACGTATGCATATCTTTAGAAAAAGACCCCATTGACGTACAAACCGAAACATTTCCGGAATTATTTTCGCTCTCGCCTGCATTGTCTCTGTCCAGATCCATTGAAGAGAGATTCTCAGACAGAGAAAAAGTTGCTGGTTGATGTTTTGAAAGAATATCCTTGATCTTGTGGTCCTCATTTTCGTCGTAGGTTTGCAATTTCACCACCCGCCGATCATGCATTTCGGGCTCATCGTCAAGAAAGTCACTTTGATCACTGTCACTCAGCTGGAAATTTGAAACTGAGCCAGATGTGGTGGTTGGCGCAGTCGCTGCGTTGCTGACAATGTTATTGTTCTCATCGTCATACGGTCCCGAATTGAGAAGTTTTGATCTGAATGTCTTGATCTTATCCATGTTTTGATCCAAATAGCGATTGAGATTGTGAGCATGCTGTATAAGTTCTTCTACGTGCGGTTTTCTGCTTGCACAAGTAGAATTTGGTGCAGATTTTGATTCGCACGCGTCAGACGATGCTTCCGCGTCGCGATGATCATGGGTATTCATTTTTGAAATAGTCAACTGAGCCTCATTTGGTTGCCCTTCGAACCTTACGCGTTTCTCGAAACTACTGGCACTAGGATATGTCTCCAGCTCAGAGAAATTACTAGCTTGGGCGAATCTCGCCTTTAATGGAAGCTCGAATGTGTCGTCGTCCATATCATCGATATATCCGACATCCGCGGAGCTCAAACAAGGAAAGTCTGAGTGGTTCTTAGATGACTGTAGAAGAAGATCGTTGCTGCTATACTCATTTCCTTCGGTCATTTGCTTGTATGTGACGCACTTATTTTGCCCTTCGGATGAGTGAATCCCGAGACCTCCCTATAAGCAGTTTTCGGCTTGAAGTGGTGTAAACCGATTTTCAAATATATGATGCTACGAGAGATTATCGCGTCAATTTATGAAGTAGATTCTCAGCTTGCTTTCAATCTCTGATTTTTATCTCACTTATCATGCACATGTTTTTTTCGCGGGGGAAACTCATCGGTGACAAGTATAATATCACATTAAACGGTAAAATGCATGCTAGATCAATGATACGAAGTTAAAGTAGACAAATATGTGATTATATATTTTGAGCGTACTTTATGCTTAGTACAATCTGAATGGAGGACCCATAGAAGACTTAATGACCAAAGAGCCAACGTTTTGCCAGTTTTTCTTCAACAAGGAAACCAAGAAGTTGACAGCCATCAAGATTTGGTTGACCAAAGTGTCTTCATCCATCTCAATGTTACCAACAGCGACAGCCAGACACAAGACCTTCTTCAATTGGAACTTGATGGTAGATCTGACATCAGTAACCTTTTGGTACAAGTCATCGTTGTGAGAGACTGGGGTTGGGAACTTACCAGCCTTGGACAATTGAGGACCCAAAAGTCTTGGAACTTGCTTGATCAAGACTTCGGAAGCAACAAAAGCACTGTACTTCTTAGCCAACTTCTTAATTAGCTTCTTGTTCTTGTTCAACTTCTTCAAGTCTTCAACAGACATGGCGTCAACACCACAAGACTTGGCTCTGTCGACATCGAAAGCATCACCAAAGATACAGATGGACAAGTTTGGTCTTGGACATTGAGGCAACTTCAAAGTACCAGAGAAACGCTTGTCTCTTTGAGGATCGTAGTTCTTCAAACCGACTTGCAACTCGACGGTTTCCAAGAAGTTTCTCTTCTTGGTCTCATTGGAGTACTTCAACAACTCCTTGACGTGCTCTCTGACTTGGGAAGAAGAGATCTTAGACATGGTTATCCTATTTAGTCTTCCAAAAGTATTTGGTGGTCCGTGAAAGGCTTGCGACTATTGTTTCTTCTAAAGGAATTCGATTGAAAGAAATAACGCTGATGCTATGTTTATTTTCAAGTTGAAAAAAAGTTGAGTGGGTATGAAAATTGTGACTGTCTTCTGTATAGCATCCGTACATCTTTCATAAAAACAAATCTTTAGAAATATATTGTATAATATTTATCTCATTTGATATGAGGTGTCAGGGTGTTATATTTCTACTACGCTATATGGCTTGTTTCTTAGCTACCAAGTGATCACAATTGGCTCTTGACCCATAAATAGTACGAAGCATGTTTGAAAGAGAGTTCCGGCTCTTATACTGAGATTTATGTACTTTTTATTGGTTTTCCCTTTGATAATTATCACATGACTAGATTGACATAAAAAGCACATGACCAATAATGAATGATAATTATCGTCACGTCACATGACATATAGTAATCAATATTATTTTGTAATAGTAAATGGCAAGGTAAGTTCCTATGTAACTGCTGTTTCGACCTATTATTAATCATTTTCATACGCCAATCTTAGATGTATCTATCATGCTCTAGGCCGATTGTTCTCCGGAGGTGTCAACCTATTTGGTCATGTCTGAAGGTTCATGTAAGGTTCAACTCATCAGCCAGGAACAGATGGATAGATCGTCAAAAAAATGATTTTTACACTAAGGAAGCTAAAGTACGTGATCTTAGGTCCAGAGCTGCATTCAAGCTTATGGAAATTGATGACAAATACCATCTCTTCAGTAAAAACTCCTCGCAAAGAGTGCTTGATTTGGGCTTCGCTCCAGGAGCATGGTCGCAAGTGGCATTCGATAGAACTAGGCCTAATGGCATGGTGTTAGGAGTTGATATTCTACCGTGCGCCCCACCTAGGGGTGTGAGCTCTATTCAAGCCAATATTTTATCTAAGCGAACCCATGAGCTGGTAAGGCTCTTCTTTTCAAAGCACTTCCAATTGTATAAGCATGATGATTTACATCAAGACCACGGCTATTTTCGAAGCGTGCTCGAGGATAAACTCCAAACGTTGAAACAAACCGATGAGTATCGGGAGATCTTTTCTGATGATTTCAATGTTAAAACAAATATGTTGGAGGAACACCCCATCGATGTTGTTATCAGCGATATGTATGAATGCTGGCCCCAAACTTCGGGATTTTGGAATAATCTTACTAATTTTGCTTATGATAGGATGGCCAATACAACAGGTATTGCTGATAAGGATCACTTTATGTCCATAGATCTTTGTGATGCCGCTCTTGTGATCGCTATTGACTTACTAAAAGTTGGAGGTTGTTTCACTTGTAAACTTTATACAGGAAAAGAAGATCGTTTATTGGAATCACGCTTAGGGAAGGTATTCAATAAGGTTCATAGGTTTAAACCTTCGGCATCAAGAAATGAATCGAGAGAGCTATACTTCGTCGCACTGGGTAAAAAAAAAACATTGACAAGCTTCAGGTTTTCTCTTGAGCTTAAAGACATTGATGAAACAATTGTTATTCGTGAATAAATTTTAATTGAAAATCGGGAGGGGAAATACTGTATATATCTGTTAAAGTTGCTAAATATACAATTTAGAGCGATGCTTCATATCGATGGAATCATGCCTGTGATTCATCCTGCTCTTGTACGCTGCCAGGGTCTTCTTCGGCTTCTCCATTTGCATCATCGAACTCCTGTGCGTCAGCTTCATCATCTAGGTTTGGGCTGGCGGTGCTCTGTGGTTCCTCGCTATGGGAATCTAATTCAATCAAAGATTCCCCAATAGGAGGGAACCCATCAACCTCTCCAATTAAGCTAATTCTCGCAGCGATCGAACTTTTGCCACTTTGAATTAAATTCTCCTTCCATTTCTGAACCACCGAGTTGACTTCATCCTTGGTCTCTCCATAAACGAAGCCCAGCATGGCTGCTTCAGAGAACCTGTCACTTGCAAGTAGCAAAGATTTCGCAGAGGTTATATCACCAATTAGCCAATAAGAATTGAAAGCTAAATTGTAACTGCCGGCCTTCTCTGCGTCTTGTGCCAAGTCTTTTAAGCCTTCTTTGTCGCTAAATGACGAGTAAAGCAAAAATAGCGATTCAAGGTCAGAGGCTTTCTTGTAAGATTCGATTGCGAGTTTGAAATTGAATTTCTCTAGCGCAGCATCAGCCAGTCTTCTCCACTTATGTTCGTTTTCATCATCTAGGACAATCTCATTTGCTAGAGATAGCTTTCCTAGCCCCAAGGCAATATCAAACTTTTGATCAGCATCAGGACTTACGTCCAAAGCGTCTTCTAAATAGCCTTGACCTTCCAGGAATCTAGATATCTTCAAAAGATTTTCCTTACCCTCGATATTCGGCAAAATTGCAGTTTTTGCTTCATCTAACTCTCCTCTCAAAACCAAAGTCTGGAATTCTAAAACTTCGATGGAGATTTGGTAGCTCGTAACGTGAATATCCCGATCGGCCAAGTAGACTCTGTTGTCGCGAGGCAAGTACCCAAGCATATACATCTCTTTGTCAAAATGAGCAAGGTTATAGGACTTCCCACCGACGAAGTAGTTCAATCTATTCGAAGTTGTGGTGAAAATAAAGACGTCACCAACCCATTTACCGGAATTGATTTCTTCATTTATTTCATAAAGAACATCGAATGCATCATCAACACCATCCTCTCCAACTTCAGTCTCACTGGCAACAAAGTTTTCATAAACATCCTTGTTGAACGCCAGCGCGTATGCGCCGCTTTCTTCAGCGTTATTTTCGTCCTTGGTGTTGATGATCAAAACCAATTCACCATTATCAGACCAAATTACGTCGTGAGCATCCACATCTATTCTTCTCACCAGGGCACCTGTTTCCCAGTCAAAGAAATTGATAAATCCGTCAGCTTTCACACCAAGTAAAGCACCTGGATACAATTTTTCGATACCGAACTCCAGGGGGATGGACCATGAAGTTAGTTCCTTGAAATTCTTGTAACATTTTACTGTTCCTGACTCGTCGATCAAGGCATAGCTGTTAGAATCGGGTCCCCACACAAAGTCATAGCATTTCCCAAACGCTTTGTTTCTCCATGCTAAGGCTGTGTAAATGATAAACTCACCATCCCCAACAACAGCGACGAACCTTCCATTTGGAGAATGATTCAGAGATTGTGGGAATACATCAATGCTACCAAGCTCTTTGGTTTGTAAAGAGATAGTTTCTCCGTCCTCCGAGCCCTCGTTTCCTCTAATTACAGCAGTAAACACATCAGTGGCTGATGCATTCTTACCACCGCACCAAACGAGTTTACCAACTGGATCCAAAGACAGCTTTGGTTCATCGTTACCTAGTGATAACACTGTAAATCCATTGTCGAAACCAGATGCAACGTAATTACGCTTGCCCGTTGGGTGTGTTGCAATACACCAACTTCTTTCTAAGCCAAGGTTTAAAGTCTTCTCCAATTTGTAAGTATTAGCGTTCCATATTTTCATAGTGCCGTCTTCGGAACCTGAAATGATGATGGGTAGTGTTGGATGGAACACAGCATAAGAGACATTGGCCATATGGCCTTCTAGGGTAGCAACACATGATTTTGTTTGGTAATCCCAAATTTTAACGGTACGATCATCAGAACTAGTAATGAGGTATGGTTTATCTTGAAGAGGGTAGTAGTCGACAAAGTTAACACCCCTAGTCTCATGAGCGTTCATGGTGAAATTAGCAGTAGGTTGACCTAAAGACCAGATTTTAACAGTGTGATCCAAACAAGCAGATGCGAAAGTGCTGGGATCTTTTGGATTGAAAGCAACGCACATGACAAAGTGCTCATGGCCTTCAAAAGTTTGTTCCAAAGTCCAATTTTTCTCCCAGTTCCACAACTTGATGTTCAAATCATCCGAGCCGGAGAGGACGTAGGGTCTAGTGGGATGGACTGCCAGGGACCGAATATAATCAGGGTGGGCCTCGAAATCCGCAACCTTCTCACCAGTGTTGTAATTGAATACTCTGATCTTGAAGTCATCTGAACCGACAACAATCCAATTCTTTCTGGCTATGAACTTACCAGCCCTCACAGGAGTATCTGTCACAGTGATTACTCTCACCTCTGCTTGGGTCTCATAGTTCCAAATTTCAACACGACCGGAATAAAGTGTGGTCAAAACCCATGGCTCGGTTGGGTGGAAGTCAATTCCTTTGACTCTGTCCGACCTTGTGCTAAAAGCCTTCTGTTTAATAATTGTTAGTTCTCTTTCTACTAGTACAGGCGCTTGAAGCATTTCAACTTGCAATCATAGAACTGGAAGGCGAAAACAGTCACATTTGCCTCGTCCTCCACATTTCACGTTTGATTAAGAACCATTTCAATTGAACATCTTGTGAAAAAATTCAATGCTCCCTTGTCAAATCACATACTTTTATATCTAGCTTCATAGCTCGATTATTGTCGCTATTTATTACTTTGGCTTATTCTAAATCAAGCTACGTACGTCCTTATTCGTGTTGACCAAATTTTTAAAATGTAATATTTATCACATAATACGTACACCGAGGGTGGGTTGGGATTAAACCGAGGATACTTCAATACATTGCCAGCGACAGTTTGGCAATTTGTGTCAATGAATATCAACGATTCCCAGTGGTCAAGAAATTGTAGAATCATTCATCTCAGAATTTTAGATAAAATGCGCCCTAAACTCTTGGATTACAGATTCAGAGGTAACAAAAACTGTCACTTACGGCTCAAAGACGATAAAAGTGGGGAAGATATATTTATAGAGCGGCCATTGAGCATATCACGGACCAACTTGTCTAAAAAGAATATCCTGTATAAACTTGTTCAGATTTTGATATTCTTAAATTTGCTCTGCACTTTTAAAAGAGCTTTTGGAATATTTGCTGCACCATTGAATGGCGAAGCTAACAAAGCTAAGATGGGCTCCGCTTTCGAACCGCAAGATAAAATATGTTCTATGAGCAATATCGAAAACGAAAGAAGCTATCAGCATATGCTCAAAACATTGTTGGGCTTAGATCTCGATCATTGGGGCTTTAAAAGCAAGTTCTATACTGGTTTTAAAGTTCATCGAGTGTACAGTTTTAGCAACAGATTCGATCAAGTTAAACGGATCTTAAAAATGTATTACTGTAAAGAAGGAAAAGTTCAATGGGGTGCTTCTGTTCCGCAAACTAATGAAGTAAATTGGGATAGACCCATTTGTGTTTATGGTGGTGCTAAACCAATGGTTGAAAAACCAGCAGGTCCCAAGGTATTTAGATTTCTGAAGAAAAAACAAAATGGGTCTTCCTACAATGGAACTTCGATTAAATATCAAGCCCTTAGAGATCTTGATAATTTCAACTGTTTCAAGTTGGCTAGACGTGAGTCGTATGCACAGAGCTCTTTTTCGATTTATTTCCCCAATAGCTGGATAGGAGGCATATATCTTTGTGACGTATCTGCCGAAAACAAGAGGGGCATCATTAAATCTCTGGACGACGATCTATCTTCTGATGGGATTTTTGATAACAGCATTTGTAATAGAGAAAATTCCATACCATTGCAACCATTAATTTCTGATAGCTACCACAAACACTGGACAGAGTTGACTGAGAAATCATGGCTACCGGCTACCTTGAGGAAAAAGTTTGGGTGGAAAATTGATAAAGTAGTACCTTTCCTGTATACTCCTAACGTGGGGAAAAGACTTTTCAACTTCACCGGTGATGGCCACAAGAATTTTAATGTAAGTAGCGCAATTGAGACGAAAATGCCATGGCCCTACCAATTTTCACAATTCATCCAGCCCAAAAATGGCAAGCATCCTTGGTATAGCGAAATCGAGGTTCAAGAAAAGTATACCTTTCCGAAGTCTGATGTGAAGAAATCACAGTCGTTAATCGAAAAGGCTTTGCGGAAAGTAAGTGGATTGTCAAATTCTGGTTGGGGGAGATCGAATATTCCATGGAATCTAGACAGGGAATTAGCACACAACAGGAAAGTATTAAAAATATTTGGTTGGGATATAAATAAGGTGATTTCTTCCATTCGAATGAATAGAAAACTTTTGTTCAGAGGAATGGACTTCGAAGATGAGATCATATCAGCATCAGACTCACCCATAGTTAGTGAGAGGTTACGTGAGTTGGAGAGCATGTCACAAAGCAATGAGAGTTCTTTAGAGTAATCAAGTCATTAGAAAACTTTTAAGCATATAATTCGATAAAAACCATTTATTTTGATAAACTTTGTATTCCTACTTGGTGAAAAATTACACAGACATATTTAATCATAAAAAAGATGTCTTTTTCTAATCTCCCCGATTCACGTCTTACATATATCCTCTTTGATTGTCGTAATTGCGTAAAATCTCTTGACCTAGAATTAACTATAATGAGAACCGTTGTTGTGAGTGAGAATATTGGTTGATGATGTTATATTTGCGTTTGCATTCATAGAATCCATACTCTCATCTCTTCCAAGTTGAGCATCATTATTCTCATTTACATCATGTGGGGCAGTAACAGAGGACAAAGGAGCGAGTGGAGCTTGATAATTCTCAAAGGAAGTCATTAATCCATTTCTTGATTCGGACTCTTGACGACTATGGACACCAGGATAAGTCCTCTTCACTGGAGAAATGGATATAGTAGAGGCTTGAGGTGTGAGAGATGTTAATGGTGCATCATCAGGAAAGTCTGAAGGCTCTGCAGAGTCTTTTTTCGCCTTTACAGAAGAGGATTTGTTACGCTTCAGAGAGAGCTTACGCTTTATCCTAGAGGCAAGTGACATTGATTTTGGCTCCTCGTTTAGCTCATCAGAGATTGACATTGAAGGAACAAGTTTTTCGTCGGAGTACTCTAGGCCTGAAGCACTTCTATCCTTTTGTATTCTTTGTTGATTGTAAAGTTCTTCTTCCCAATTATCTTCGTGATTCTGAGCAGCGTCACCAAGTGCCAACAATTCTGCAGCAACGGATTTGTTGATGCCATCATGCATCGCAGGACCCTTCTGGAATGATGTTCTGTCATCCTTTGCGGGCTTAAATCTCAAATCAGGATTCTTGGAGAAGGCGACCAGACAGACGAATAAGAGAATCAAAATTAACAGGATCAACGAAAATGCGGCATTCATAATAAAAAAAATCCAGCCCATAACCGATGCCACAGAGTCTGGCTGCCCAAATAGATCAGAAAAGAACATGAATAGGAAGGAGTTAACTAAAGTCACAGTTGTAATGAAAATATTGATGATATTCGTAGGACGGTCCAAGTAAGGCTGAAATCTAATGAGGGCTATGAAATAGGCGAGATCGATAATGAAGATAGCCAATGCCTGAGTCTTACCAGAGGCTTGAGCGAATGAGATGAAAATGGATTTCAATAGAATATAAGATAAAATCACACAGTTCCACCAATAATTGGCGGCATTGAACATAGTGTAAAAGAAACCGTATTTGTTTAGAACGGTTTCGTCACCATAAAGTAAGGCAGCTGGATTGTTACATTGCTGCACAGATAGCCTAGCAAAAGAGATTGTTCTGTAAGCAGCCCAACTCATCAAACCCAAACATTGGACTAGGAATAGGCATGCTACGACAATAACGGCCGGAGAATCACGTTCCATAAATTCCCAAAAACTCAACACTGTCAGTTGTGTGAATCCGATATAAATGTAGCGAAGCAAAGATCCCTTGAGAATCATTCTCCAGTTACCTCGAAATTCAGTGAATCTTGTATTGTGCATCCAGCCCGCCTTGATACACAATTCAATCGTATACTTGGAAGCCATAATAAACCCTGCTAAGACGTAACCACATAAAACGAAGAACGTGAAACCTGTGCACACCACCGAAGTATTTTCAATATGCGAGCTATACGCCAACCTCTTGATACCTCTCAATATAAGAACGTTAGAGTTACCATAGAGAACTTGCTCTGCTCTTTTGTATAGGTCTGTTGACTTGACAAAATCAAAGCTTCTCTGGACCAAAATCGAAATAGTCGTGGATGTCAAGAACAAGCTTGGAGTTCCACCCGTGGACTGTACAAACCATCTGAAAATTCGTTGCATAAAGGAAACACGTATCAAACCCATTGACCATATTAGATTTTCTGACCAAGCAGCAGCAATTGGAGGAACACGGTGCACATGTTGCATTGAAACCACGGCAACAGATTGGAAATATAAGAAAAGAGACATTGTGTTCGCAGAAATATGAGAGGCAGCATTAGAATTGCCAAATGTTGATAAAACAGCTGAGCAAAGTAAGCCAATACCAGCAACAACTGCAGTTGCCCATTTGACACCTACTTGAGAGACTGTCTTACCATTAGTGAAAAACGCTTCCAGGCAGGCCACGTCCTGGCTGACATTATTAAGGATGTTCAACCTTACGTAGGCATCGATATCTGGAACTTGATATGCAATTCCCGGAATCATATCAGTGTATTCTTTGGAGATATACTCGATCGAATCCACTTCGACATCTCCCGGTTGCAGTGGACAGAACTGTTTCCAGCCCAGGGAACATAAGTCCAGTTGCTTGGTTATGATCTTAAACCCGTAGGCCCAAACTTCAATATTGGCCACGATATCCGAATCTATCTCACTTGTCATATCTATAGTGTAATGTAGTGAACGGTCATCAGGATCGAAAACTACATCAAAAGATGTTGCGGATAGTTGTGAATTCTCCATGCATGTCACCAAGGAAGTTGCAGACAGTGATCTTTTTGCCCAAACTGCCTGCAAGCAGCTGCAGACAAAAGCAAAGTAAAGCGTTAATTTCATATATCAAAAAGCCGTCTACTACTGGAAAGCTTCAAATCAAATTGCTATTTCGATGACTGCGGATCAAAACAAAAAGGAACGGGACTAAAACGACTGGCCAAATTTGGATAAAGGCTTCCTTCTTAGATTAATGTAATCAACGCTAATAACGTGCTTCTAAACGAAATACTTGTGGAGCCTGTGGTAACTTTCAACTAGTTTAGACTAAACAGCTATAAAAAGAACATAAGGCTGGAAATCTTCCTGGATGAGTTCTTTTTCCTCGCGCCTGGTTATCATCTTGTACGTTTGACACTGTATGTCGGTTCAGTAGGGAAAACAAGAGCGCATCATGGAAATTCTAATTACGGAACTCAAGCAGAAATGGACAAGCTCGTACACAATAGGTTTCCTTCATTGTCCAAAAGATCAAGAAGATATCTTACTGCTCAGTGTTTGAGAGATATTTGTGGCAAAGATGCTTCCAAAAACCTGTGCCTTCGCGCGTGTATAATAAAGGGATGACTTTCTTATGTGAAGTGTGCACCCAAAAATAGTTAAGTCGATGTTTACGCATATCAAGCATATCTGCTTCCAGACAATAATTACCAGTATATTCGGTTGACTTCTATAATGTTTTGTTTGTGGATTGTGTAAGTACGTTTGATTAAGGACCCGTATCAATAATTTATTCACTGTCATCGAGCGGTGTCCGTGAATTATACGGAACACATTCATTTGCAATATAGTGGTGACAAATAAGATCTCTTTCTGATAGCGCCTGCCAATATTTCAAAGAGATGCTCTGGCAGGTCCTAGTAATACGTCATGTGCAGTGACCTTTGCCGACCAACAATGGGTAATTACATCGTAAAAATCCTCAACATAATGCACATTTAAATTCATCTTTGAATTTACCACATTCAGTTCAGGCAAATCTTCATTTTCTAAGCTAGATTGGAACTCTTGTGGATCCATCACCGCTTCGATGACGTCAGATCTGTTAGAACCAGGTATCAAGACTGTCTTCATTCCATACATCTGAGCCCCTAAAAGTTTTTCCTTCACGCCTCCGATTGGCAATACTTTGCCTCTTAAAGTAATTTCCCCTGTCAAGCAGAGATCTGCAGGAACAGGTTTGGTTAATGCCATAGATAACAAGCACAGCGCTATAGCAACACCAGCACTTGGTCCGTCCTTAGATACCGAGCCCATCGGCACGTGAAGATGCAGATCAGAGGATAAAAATTTACTTGCTATCTTTGAAGATAAATCTCTGATGAGGCCTCTTTGTATTATTGATTTGACTAGTGTTGTTGCAATTTGAATTGATTCATTTAAAATTGACCCTAAGTTTCCCGTTGTACTCACCCTTGGTCCTAGCTCGTCCCTTGTTCGGCCCTTTGAAACGACTTCAAATATCAATACACTGCCCGTACCATCTGAGTTATAAGCTAGGCCATTAACCACCCCATACCTCTCCGCAAATTTGATTTTTTGCATCAAATCTTTGGATAGCGGATGCATCGGTAAGCCTAGGTATTTGATTAATTGATCACTTTCAATGATTTCTTCTTGATTTTCTTTTTCATTCTCAACGAATTCGACCACTTTACCCCTAGCGATCGTTGCAAGTTTTCGCTCCAAATTTCTCACACCAGGTTCCCTTATATATTGGAAAACGAGGTTTTTCCAAGCTTCTTCTGTCAGTTTTATATTAACATTTACTTTAGTCAGGCCGTTAGCTTTTATTTGCTTTGGAAGTAGGTACTTGGAACCAATTTCGATCTTTTCTTCGGGGTTGTAACCTGGTATTTCAATGATTTCCATCCGATCAAGTAAAGGTTCGGATATTTCATCCAAACGGTTAGCAGTGCAGAAAAACAAAACATCCGACAAGTCTAGTGGAAATCCCACGTAGTGATCTACGAAACTGTTATTCTGCTCGGGATCTAACACTTCCAAAAGGGCGGCACCGGGATCCCCGTTTATTCTTGCGCCATGTCCGCCAGCCTGGCCATTCAGTACCTTATCGATTTCATCAAGTAAAATCAAAGGATTCATACAGGAACTTTTCCGTAAAGCGTTGACAATCAGGCCACACATCGAGCCAACGTACGTCCTCCTATGACCCCTAATATCAGCTTCATTATGTATGCCCCCTAGTGAGATTCGTTGAAATTTCCTTCCAAGAACTTCTGCGACTGACTTGGCTATTGAAGTTTTCCCAACTCCTGGGGGACCAACCAGTAGAAGAATAGGCGCCTTTGATGAAGTTGGTGATTTTGATTTCAGTCTTTCGTTTAATTTCAAAACTGATAGATATTCCAGTAAACGTTTTTTAACATTTACCAACCCATAATGATCCTTATTCAAAAAAATTTCAGACCCCTTCAAATCTATAGGGGATTTCTTGATGATTTTTTTCCCGAATGGAATATCCATTATAATATCAAAATAGTTCCTTAGAACTTGATACTCTGAATTCTGTGGAGTTATTTTCGAGAGTTTTTTAAAGTCTTTAAGAAGCATTTTGATCGCATCAGGATCGACCCCCTTATGTTTTAGATCATCTAGAAAGTCTCTTATCATATCATTTTCATCTGACGTTTTCTCATCAAGAATACCGCTTGTTTGCCTTCCTGTGGATAGTTGCTTCTTTATATCTTTATTTGATTGTGTTCTTTGGATACTACCCAGAAAAAATTTCAAGGATTCAAGTTGTTTAGCTATTAGTAAAGACCTATCAAAATCACTCGAATTTTGGAAATGATAAAGCACAAACTTTGTTGCATTTAAGGTCTCCAAGATCGTTGACTCAAAGGATTTTAAAAGCTTCAAAAATATATCGAATCTTTCTTTTGCGCTGCTTATAGATAAGAACTCTGCTCGTTGTGAAAAAGTGGTGGGTAATAATGACATAGTAATATCCATTAATGTCAAAAACTCTTGTACTTGTTCGGGACCGCTCTTGGTTTGTGCGGCATCTAGAAACAAGTTCTTGAGCAAACTCCAGGATTTCGAAAACTGTGAACGATTCAGTTGAAAATAAAGTGTGTTTGCTAACGGGGACAAGAGTAGGAGGTGTCCGTAAGCATCATTATTATTGTTTGCTTTTCTATACTGACTTTTGAAATCTTCAATAACCTTATCAACTGTATGAAATTCGTTGTAAGCTTGATGCACAGCTTTCTGCAACTGTTCGTGTTCTTTTTCTATCAACCCCAACTCGTCTGAGATAGTTATCGGGCTAGCCCATAGCTTATTGGTATAGTTTAAGAGAGTATTCTGAACTTCGGCTCTCATCAGTCCCTTAAATGAAATTACTATTGTTTTACTTTGGATAGTAACTCCGCATATTTTAGAGATGCAACCATAGGAACAGCTTACACCACTTGAAGAGACCAGGCATACATATAGTGGGGAGTTATCTTGTGGTGAATAGTTTTCTTGAAAATACTTAAGAGATTCATAGACAGTATCATTTATAACATTTTGACCGTTTTCAAAGGTTCTGATATGCTTTAGAATCTGCTGTGCTTGCAATTTTGGGTGCTTCTTGAATTCGGATAAGATGGATGCTGCCTCTGATCTCGGAATTGTAATGCGATATAGCACACCTGGTAATGGCACTACCGCTGGTGTCACTCTCAAATTCAAACAAGGAAAATTCAAGTCATGTTGTGATCTAACCTTTTTCTTGGAGAACAATCCCATGATTGAGTTCGAAGGGTTTTGTGAGAGGAGTGAACCCCTTATCAAATTCTCTTCCCGTTCAAGTTAATCTGGCATTGATAAAAAAATATAATTCTTAACGGTCATTCGAACAGTATTACGAAGGACATATTGCAACACACAACTTGACGGATTGTCATGATTCCGCAACTGGACTCATATTGGGCTCTTTGACGCTTTTATCCTAAAAGCGCTAAAAACTTGAATTGATAAATTTTAATGATTTAGAATCAATTTCGTCATTGTCATACTAAAAAAAATCGAGAAATCCCTACACTATACCTATATATAAAAATCTCTTAAAACGCCAATTATCATTATCATAATATTAAATCGAATATCATAAATCCTACAAACCGATTTGAGTAAGGTGGCATCAGCTTGAACAACTACATTGCTTCATGAACTTATCCTCTTCTTCGCCATGAGTGATCCAATCTTCAACAACCTCTGGTCTCAGGTTTTCATCCCATTTTGCAGGTTCATATGGATTCGCACTCATTTTATAAAGCTTTTCAAGTAAACTCGTATCAAGCTCCGCTCCTGGGTCATTAAGCTTGTCCCGTTGCTTATCGGTTAGATCCTGAATCACCTGCTCGAAAATGTAGCTCCTTGGCGTGAAGAGAGGATTGACTTTCTTAGCAATCTCATACCTAAGTTTATACTCGGAAGGGATAAGCCTAGTATAAACATGGACCCACGACCTCAAGTTATCCATACACTCAACTAGACGCACTGTCTCTCCAGAATCTGCATCATCCTTACCTTCGAAATAGTGACGAGATAACTTTTCGATTTGGGATTCCGTGAAAAACACTTTGACAAATTCTGGGTCTATTCCGTTAATAGCACCGCTATTGTTAGATATAAAGTCACCATCATACATTTGCAATTTGACGAAAAAGTTGTTGTAATCAATTTGTGTGTAATATAAAATCTGAAGCATTGGTTCAATAATGGTATGGTTAAACTCTGAAGCTTTCAACGCCAAGTTTTCCAGGTTTTCGCTAGTCACACTGTTCAAACCCAGGTCAATACCGATTCTTTTTGCCATAATGTCCGCATATCTGGTAGTGAATCTAAATTTAAACTCGTTAGCTGCAAGTGCAATGACGGTATTTGCTCTAGTTACAATGTCGTCTTCCATTTTCTCAGTAATGGCGCCAAGACCCTTTGAGGTTATGCCATCTATGTATTTAGGACCTGCTCCAATTAACGCGGTCATTGCTTGTGCAAACTTTGATAAATTCCACCAAATAGCACCGGCTTGATTCGCATAAGAATAGCGATTCTCGACATCATCATGGTTTGGAGTATATTGAGGTTGAAATTTGTCAATAAAACTGAATGGGCCGAAATCCATTGCTAGTCCCATAATCGAGGTATTGTCCGTATTCAGTACACCATTCAAAAAACCATAACTTTGCCAATATGCCACTGATTCTGCATTCAGGTTGATGACGTGCCTAAAAAACAGTTCATACTTCGTTGTGCCAACAAGCTTTGATAAAACTTTTCCCTCTGGCACTTTCTCATCACTGTCAGGAAAAAAATCATTCATGAAGCAATTCAAATCAAGCTCTACTGGAAATGCCTCCCCACCATGGAAAACTTCGTCAATGCAGAAATCAGATAGCTTGACGAGTCCTTCGTGATCTTGTCTCCATCTACATAGGTCAAAGTTGCCTATACGTACCCATGTGGGGGCAAATCGGCAAACGACTGCGCATGACTCGTAAAGTGCCCTTTTCGCTTTTGTTTTAGGTAAACTTGTAATATGCAAGGCTCGAGTAGAGGGAATACCGATGTGATGCAGGGCTTCTGATATAATAAACTCTCGTATGCTAGACCTCAATACCGCCTTCCCATCTGCGAAACGTGAGAAAGGTGTTAATCCGGATCCCTTCAGTTGTAGTGTCTGTTTGATCCCGTGTTTGTCTGTTATGTCCGCGATATTCACCACACGACCATCTCCCAGCTGACCTGCAAAGTGGCCAAATTGAAAACCAGCGTACGCCATACTGTAAGGAAAACTGTTTTTGTCCTGATCATAATAAACTTTCTCACCACTCACAAGCTTCACCAACTCTGGCTCCATCTCTAATTGTAGATCATTCAGTGCTTTGGATGAGGCAATAAGAGGCTTATAGTGAGGTCGTTTCTCTGGCAAAGAATATGCAAAATGACATCCTTGAGAAACAATACGAGGGGTATGAAAGACTTTCTGAAGCTCATCAGCATCCCCACGCTCTTTCACTTCAATGGCTTTGGCAACAGAGGGAATTAGTTGATCTGCCAAAAGTATTTGGGTAAACCGTGAGGTTCCAGTGTCTTTCAGAACACTCATTATTTTCCTGGCTTCGCCCATGATCACTATTATAGTTTTCTGTTCATGTCCATACTTGCTATAACTAAATTGCAACTCCGCATTAGTTTTTGAATTTGTTCATGGATCACGGGACCGTATATTTGTCTTTTTTTTCGTCACGTCTACGTCATTTCGTCTGATGGAATATTACTTAATGATCTTTAGAAGATTATCAGTCGAACGATATCAAAGTGCAAATAGAGTTGAAAATTGGCGGTAGTGAAATGGCCGGCGGAGACCAAACGATATCCGTGAATGGATCACTATCTACCGATAAGCTCGCTTCTCAGACTAATTCTATTGGTCTGGGGGTTGGTTTAGCACTTCCACCTGAACCTCATGATGGTAGTAAGCCTGTAAATGGACCAACTATAGCCGATGTTTTGGGAACCGACACATCACCTCAAAGTGCCACCAATAAAAACCACACAACGGTATCTTCAAATATGACGTCTACTGGACTTTTGAATGAAAGTGGACACGCAACTATAGGCCACAATTCCCCTGCACCAGGTAGCTTGTCTTCAAGATATGATGTGATGCAACATGTGTCAGGAAGTACCGAACCCCCTCTACTGCCGTCTACAAACTCTACAATGACGAATGTACAACTTTTTCAACGTATGGACGAGGTTTCCGCTAGAATGATAGCTATGGAGGAAATGTTTAACAAAGTTTGCTGCAAGATGGATGAACAAGAATCCACAATTCAGAAGCTGAAGATACAAAATGAAGATTACTCTCTCAAAATTCTCCAGGAAATAAGGTTTCTGAATGCTAATTTACCCATATTGGAGAACCCTGAAGATAACGAAAAAGATGCATTTGTCACCGACCTTCTAAACTCCATTACCAATGTGAGCACGAGTTACCTTAAAAAAATCAACTCAAAAAACTCACAAAGGTTCAAACGACAAAGATTAATGATGAGTCCTGGAGATTTATCAATCTTAGATAAAAGAAAGTTTAGTAACGAGCTAACAGGCCACAACTTCAATAGCCCTAGCGGCAACCAAACGGAGAGCCCCATTTCATCCCATCAGCTTAGAGCGAGCAATCTAGGCGACATCACTGATTCACAATTACCTAATTACTTAACGAAGCAGTCTTTTCATCTCAATCCAAATGCCATCAAGCTAAGGGCAGCGAGAAACACAGCAAATACTTCAAAACACGCTACCATCCAATCATATAATGACCTGACATCATTGAACAATATTGGGTCGATGAGCTTGCCTAATCTAACGTTGGAGAATCTTACTAGAAGGAATTTTACTGAAAATTCGGTCAATGCACCAGCTGGAGGACAATCACATGCCGCACCACCTCCAGCCTCCAAGGGACGCCATGGGGTATATATACAGGTAGGTTCTGATGCGGAGCACGCAAACGATGGAGACATGGAATCTTCCGACGATGAAGAGGGATACCAAGAAGATGACGAAGATAAACAAAGTAGCTCAGAGACGGATGACAGACATAGGGACGAAGACCGATTTAATATAGACGACGAAGAGGAAGACGAAGCCGAAGAAGAAGAAGATACTGATAAAGAGCTTTTTGGCATTCGTAGTGGTAAGAGAATACATCAAAGCGAAAAAAGGCAGAGAGATAAATTGAAAAGAAAACGGAAAGAAAGCCTGAATGGGCCGATTATCAAATCTGCTCCTAGTTCGCAAACGAACGCTGCGCATACTCAACCTGTCGAAGAGAGACTTCATTTGAGAAACGGCAATAGGGCAAGCCTATATGTTGCCGATAAGGAGCGCGACTTAAATTATACACTATTGAAAGCTCCTGCAAATGTAAAAACAATATGGCAAGAATATGTTGAGGGTATTGATGGTAATCCTCCGGTAAAATTCTTGGAGGAAACATACGGAAATAAATGGAGGTTAAGTCGTAACGTCAAGACTTTTGCGCGACGTAAGCGGTTATATAAATTCATTTTGAGGGGCATAAACAAGGGACGAAGTGCTGATGACATGGTTGAGATTTTAGAAAAGAGAAGAATCTACAAAAACGAGCATGGTGAAGTCAAGAAGAGAACAATCGGATGGCTGCAACAAAGCCTGAGCGGCATATAAAGTTCAAGCATATTAACATGCATTGGGCTCCGCAGGGAGGAAAACGTAAAACCCTGTCACCGTTTCTTGTACCTTCGAAGTTCCTATATTGGTGAGTCTGTTCAGTGCATGTATTTAATATTTTAATAGATAGAGGAAGTCGTCCTGTAGAGTATTTAATCAAACCGATTTCGATTGACAGTGCCAACTATGGTTTATTACACACACGAGCTCACTACCAAGAACCGGTGACAACCCCCCTCCCCCCCTAACTTTGCAAAAAGCACCGAAGTGAAGCACTAATGTGCAACGAAAAATAGGAAAACTATCTATGTGCCTTCAATGAGGATCTCGGCATCCCTTCCTGGTTAAAGTTTTCAGGTTGCTGTGTGTGACTTTTGGGACATTGACACAGATGCGTCGCTTAAATCTGTGCATGCTACACGGCACATACCTTGGAAACGAGGGAAAAAACTGATTTTCATGGAAGCTTCGAATGCCCGTGACGAATGCCGGGCGGGAAAAGATACTTTGCCATCATCGAAGGTTGTATACCGTAGGAATACGTCATTAGTACCACCCTGCTATTCACCAACAAATAAGAAAAGTTTGAAGTCACAAGACTGACGTTAAAAATAATCTAAAGGACTGAACGTCTTCTGTGGAGATTGCAAGATATCAGAGATTTACGAGGTGCTCCATTGTGCCTAATACTGAAAGTTTCAGTCGATGTATTTTTCATGCGAGGCGGAATGTAGGCTTGGGCGAAATGAGTCTTTCGGAGTCACGTAATAGTTACGCCGACGTAAAAAAACACCCCTATCTACTTTCCCCAACTTTAAGTCACGATCAACCATTGGTGAAGCTTTAATTGGGTGCCACGTTAATTAATCGCTACTTGTTCATTATTAAGAATTGTTTTTTTCATCTGCAAAAGGTCCCTTTACGTTGTGCTCAGTACGATCAGCGCATTCCCCATTGGGCACGTGTAGACACTGCAGGCGCATTTCGTTTGAGAAATCCCGCGTAAGTAATTCTACGATCAAGATTCATTTTTCCTAAAACCATTCTTGATTGCCGAGTTCGGTTTTCTCTCGGTGAATAAGCACAGTTCTGGAAGACTGATTTTTTTTCGGCGCATATTTTTTTTATCCCTTAGGGGAGTAGAATACTTGGCGTTTTTAGACTTTAAACGAAAAGTGGGTGGACGTGGGTTCGGGAAATTTCCATTTTTGTTTGAAAGGGGTCGTTTGATGCCAATGAAATGGGAGACACGGTGTTAATTGGCCGCATATATGGCGTCTCGATCTTGCATAAGAATTCTTGCTATGCATTGAATAATGCACAGTTTGGAGGCAACCCACACACCAGAACATAAGGATTATGGCTCAGTTTCAAGGTTATAAATAGGGGACTGGAAATATTGTTGAGTCTGATCTGATCTCGTTCGTGTCTCCTCGACTTTGGAATTCAGACAAGGATGGGTTTATTCGATAAAGTTAAGGAATTTGCTAATAACAACGGTGGCAACGGCGGCAACAGCGATGGTAACAGTGACATGCTTTCTCGTGCCGAGAACATGTTGGGATCTGACCGCGTGAGCCAAATCAAGAACAAGGTTGGGTCTGACAATTTCTCCAAGTTTGAGAGCTCGGTGAGAAATCAATTCTCCAAGACCTCTTTGGATGACAACAATGACAACAACTCGTCATCATACGGCAACAATGGCGGTAACAACAGCTCGTACGGTAACAACGACGACTCTTATGGAAGCAACAACAACGATTCCTATGGAAGCAGCAAGAACGATTCCTATGGAAGCAGCAAGAACGATTCCTACGGAAGCAACAACAACGACTCTTATGGAAGCAACAACAACGATTCCTATGGAAGCAACAAGAACAACTCGTCTTCCTACGGTAATGACAACAACAACTCGTCCTCCTACGGCAACGACAACAACAACTCGTCTTCCTATGGTAACGACAACAACAACTCTTCTTCGTACGGCAACGACGACTCATACGGTAGCAAGAAATCCGGAAAGAAGTCTTACGGCGACGACAGCTACGGCAACAACTCTTCTTCCTACGGTGACGACAACAACAACTCATCGTCCTACGGCAACGACAACAACAACTCGTCTTCCTATGGCAACGACGACTCATACGGCAGCAAGAAGTCCGGAAAGAAGTCTTCTTACGGTGACGACAGCTACGGCAACAACTCTTCTACATACGGTGACGACAACAACAACTCGTCCTCCTATGGCAACGATGATTCCTACGGCAGCAAGAAGTCCGGAAAGAAGTCCTCCTACGGAAATGACGACTCTTACGGCAACAGCTCCTCGTCTTACGGTAACGACAACAATAACTCGTCTTCCTACGGCAATGACAACAACAACTCGTCGTCCTACGGCAACGACGACTCTTATGGTAGCAAGAAGTCCGGAAAGAAGTCTTCTTACGGAAATGATGACTCTTACGGAAACAACTCTTCTTCCTACGGTGACGACAACAACAACTCGTCGTCCTACGGCAACGACGACTCTTACGGCAGCAAGAAGTCCGGAAAGAAGTCCTCCTACGGAAATGACGATTCTTACGGCAACAGCTCCTCGTCTTACGGTAACGACAACAACAACTCGTCTTCCTACGGAAATGACAACAACAACTCTTCTTCCTACGGCAATGACAACAACAACTCGTCCTCCTACGGCAATGACGACTCCTACGGTAGCAAGAAATCCGGAAAGAAGTCTTACGGTGACGACAGCTACGGGAACAGCTCATCATCCTACGGTAACGACAACAACAACTCGTCCTCCTACGGCAACGACGACAGCTATGGCAACAAGAACTCGTCTTCGTACGGCAACAAGAACTCGTCCTCCTACGGTAACGACGACAGCTACGGAAACAACAACTCGTCCTACGGCAACAACAACTCGTCCTCCTACGGTAACGACGACAGCTATGGAAACAACAACTCGTCCTACGGCAACAACAACTCGTCCTCCTACGGTAACGACGACAGCTATGGAAACAACAACTCGTCCTACGGCAACAACAACTCCTCCTACGGCAACAGCCGCGACAACAACTGGTAAACTGCGAGCTGACGTCGCCAGTCTCGTGTATACGACTAACTACATAGATATTGCAGGCGGAGCGCCAAGCGCCCGCCGCAACACATAGATGCTTATGATCCGTACAACGAACATCTGCAGACCCGATGGTCGCGAACCACGGGCCTGCAGAGCACATGACATCACGAATCACTAAATACGAAACGTCTCAAACCCAAAAAAACCCGGCACTCCGCGGCCCACCACGGCGCGATCCGTACTTGCGTAAGCGGACCGTCTATGTGGCGCGGCAAGCACGGAACCCTCAACGTACCTACGTCATAGCATGACATAAGTGTGACGTGTACGTAATATCGACGGCACAAGCCGCGATGTGGAGTCTCCGAGATCGTCCACCATGCGCGGATCTGTACCCGCGTACAACAAGTCCTATGATTATAACGCGCTACTACTTATAACATAGTATGAGGATGAAGGGGAGGGAGAGGAGGAGGGGGTTGATTCTATACGTCCGCCGCAAACCGTCGGACGGAACCCGGGCGCAAAGCGCCCGGGCCGTCCGCGCGCCCAAATGCCGAGTGTGTGAGTGGGAAACGCAAGTGGCGGGCCTAGGGGGCCGGGCCTGGCCCCGAGGCCGCGGAGCCGCCGGACTGCTCGCGCTGATTGTGGTCCGTGTGGCCAGTTTCGTCAGGGGCTTTGCCGCCATCATCGCCGGCGCTAGCGTTTGCGCTCTGCGAGGGCGTGGGCGCCGCCGCGGCCGTAGTTTCGGTGGGCGACGACTCGGACATGTACTTCGACGATAGTTCTCTCAACTTCCCCGACGACGACTTGTCTCCCATAAGCTTTTCCTTCGCCTGCAAAAATAGACTAGACATAGCTACCTACTTAAAACCCTTGTCTCCGTAGCTTACGCGCAGCCCTTTGACCTCACAGCGCCGCATCCGCTGCGCATATATATACATGCTGTGCTTCGTTCCTTTGCTCTTATGCAGCAACTGGTGTGACGTATTGGTGCACATTCGCATACCGCCCGGTTTCTGGTTCACGGTGTCCGGTTCCCTGCTGCGGGCCACAGGGCGACACGACACCGCGCCGCCGCGACGCTACAAGCCGGCGCGACGTTCAACTTTTGTGCACCACTGGGGCGACACCGCTTGGCGCCGCGGAGCACACGACGCATACGCGCGCTCTTGCTGGCGGGCCATTTGCGATGGGCGAAGGCGACGGCGCGCGACGTTATGACGCCAGCGCGTGCGCGCGACCGGGCGTGGGTTAGGTAATCGTGGTCTCCGCTGCTGACGCTGCCTTTGTGATCGCCAGCGTCGCCACCACACCGCCCTTGCGGGTTACCCGGGTGAACCGAACCACCGCGGCCTGGCTAACACGCCCGTCGGCCAGCCCGGCGCGCAAAAACCCGCCCGTGCGTCGGCGCGTGCGCGCGCGTCTGAGCGCGCGCGCCCGTCTGCGCACACTGCCACGCCGGTACCGGCGCGCCGCGCTCGGACGCGCGTTGCCTGGAAGCGGACTCCGGGGGTGCACGGGTGCTGGCGCCAACGTTGCGCGCCGCGGCCCCCGCAGTGCTTACGTGGGTGGCGGCTCCTCCCCTTGCGCACGGCGGCGCCCAAATATCGGAGTTCGCGCCAAAGCGGAAGCGTCCAGATCGCTGGTCGTGGCGCACGGCGCCGCAGCTCGGACCCGCGGCGTCCCCTGGAACCCCAACTGCTGCCCCGCGCATCACGTATCGCAAATTCCACGTCCCGGCGCCGGTGCCCGGCGCTGGTGCCGGGATGCTAACAAGGGTGACAAGACGGCCCACTCAACGTCTTGAAACCCAACCTGCAAGGGGTTGAAGCCAAGACTTGACCCACAACTGCCCACCGGGCTCGCGCAATCGCCACGTCAAGAGCAATCATCGCACGGCGCAATACGTAGCCTTCATATCGACCAGCCACCCCTATATAACGTGTAGTGTGTGCGCTCTCAGCAGCGTCTTTCTTGATCAGCCTTAGCAACAACCATCTTTACCCACACTACATCTATCACAATGTCCAACATTCTACACAAGGTTTCAGAAAAACTCACGGGCCACGACTACGAGGAAGATCGCGACGAGTACGGTAACCCCTTGTCCGGCGAAGAGGAGTCTCGCGAGCGCAGAGACGACGACGCCATGCGCACTCGCAGCGGCCAATCCGGTCGCGAGTTCTACACGGGCGGCCAGGAGAGTGCCGGCCAGACGCTCCCCTCACAGCACATGAGCTCGGGCCAGCGTGACGTACATTCGCACGGCCAGCAAAGCAAAGAGGGCGGCTACTCCCAGCAGCGCTCAGACATGCAGCAAGGCGGCGGCAACTTTGACATGTTCCAGAAGGGCCAAGGTCTCCAGTCGGGGTCTGGGCGCATGCGCGGCCAGACCACCCAGAAAGACGCGTGGGACGAAGAGGAGGACGACGCCGACACAGAACGCAACCAGGACCCTGCTGACGAGTTCCAGAAGCGCTACTGGTAGAGGGGGCCGGGTCGTGACGGTTTAACGACGGGCCTTGTCCCTCTCGATTTTTTATTTTTTTTTTTGCCAGCAGTGCGGGAGGGGGCGACGCTTTTGCGACGCGGGCCGTTTCTTGTCGTTCTTTTTTCTTCTCTCTATCTATATGTCTAGTTTATGAGGTATGAGTAATGGTTATATGTATTGATCAACACGATGGTTCTCGCCTGTTGCATTGAATCGCGCCGGATCACGCAAAGACGCGCGGAGTCGCGCTGAACCGCGCCAGATCACGCCTGTAGTCGTTGCTACGTCGACACGTAGCCCCACGTAGCCTCTTCTTCGTCCCGCTCCCCGCACCCCTGTAGGAGCGTGCGGCAGCTCGAGCGCTGCCGCACGCTCCGCCTGCCGCGCTCTTGCATCGCGCGTTCCTGCATGCGCGCTCTTGCATCTCAAGTGATGGAAAAAATTTGTTAGCCGGAGCTCGCCCCGATGCTCGCCGACAAGACTTGTATAACCAGTAGCAGACCCCCAAGTCCCAGGGCGTCGCAGTCAGTGCCATTGTAACCCCAGTATCCGCGTGACTCGCCCACTCGTGTCTCCATTGCACCTTTCTCCGCGTGAACCGAGCCAAGTGACCCGCCGCTACAGCGAACACCGCACGCACCACATCCCACCATGGCCCAAGATCCGGCCGCTTGCTCGTCGCCCCCAATGGCGCAGTCCAGTGTCCACAGCGCTGCGCCCGTCCACGAGCCCAGCCAGCCTGTGTTGGCGTCGCAAAACGTCAACGACAGCGCGGCGTCCTCCGGCGCGCTGCGGCCACCCATGTTGCAGTCGTCTCCGCAGGACTCGCGACCCGGTACCAGCCCAATGGCCCGCAGGCGCGATGCCTACGCCAGGCCCGGTGCCCCCACCACCAGCCGCTTTCTTCGAACGCTCGATTCCTCTGCCTCGTCGTTCACCACGCACCACTACAACCCGTACCTGTACACGCAGCACAAGACCAGGCCCAACGCGCCCTTCGACGTGCTGCACATCAAAAACAAGCGCCTGGTGGCCGGCCCAGACGCCTCCGAACAGGTCTTCTACACGCAGAGCGGCCTCAAGTACACGCTTTGCGAGGGCCACATCCCGGTCTTTCGCATCCGCAAGGACGAGCTGCCCGATCCCGTGTCGTTCTACGAGCAAGTCGAGGAACTGGGCGCGCACTTTGGCGCCGTGAAACTCGTGGTGATCCAGCGGCCGGTGCTTGCGGGCACCCCGGGCCCGGAACAGCCGGCTGCGCCCTCCAGTGACTCCCCCGCTGGCCACGGCGTCCACAGCAACAGCAGCCCCGCCAGCGACCGCGTCGCGTCGCACTTGGCGTCGCTCAGCGCCTTCTCCCTCAACACAGAGCATTTCTGGTTCAAGTCCAGACGGCAACATCTCAGCTCGTTCGAAAACGAGGCCAAGAAAAGACTCGATTTCCATCGTGCCCTGCACCGTTTCCATAAGCACCGCAAGGACGAAAACGGCGCGCAAGCGCTCGGCAAAATTCCCAGCATCGACAAACGTTCCCTAGATTTGTACCGCTTGAGACAATGCGTACAACTGCGGGGCGGCTTCCAGACAGTATGCCGGAAGAAACTCTGGGCCCAAATTGGCCGAGAGCTTGGTTACACAGGCAGAATTATGAGCTCTTTATCCACCTCATTGCGTTCTGCGTATCTGAAGGTGTTTTGCGAATTCGACAAGTTCGAGGAGGAGCAATTGGCCAAGAAACAAGTCTTGCTCGCGCCAGCTACTCCAGCTGACCCGGAAACTTCCCTCCTATTACCATCACAGGCCGATAATTCGAAAAAACGTTCGCTGGTGCATCTTGGAGAGGAAGAAATGCAGGCAACTCCAGCTCCCAAGAAACCCCGGTGCTCAACTCCTCGTAACTACAAGGTAGGCGGTTCCTGTGTGGAGTTTGGTAGACTGCGCGACGTTCTCAGGTTCAAGGGCTTTTTCACCAACTTTGAGCACTTAACAGAATCGCGAAAGAATATTACAAAACCAACCGATTCCACCCTGCCTGGATACCAATTCAATTTCTGGCAAAATGCTACAGAAATATACGAGAAATCTTCTCACGAACTGAAAAACTCCCCCATTTATAACCTTCGACAATATCACGAAAAGAGCCAAAAACACTTGGAGAGCATTCCAACCAAGTACCAAGATAAATATGCTAGCGTGTTTCGTAGCAATGACAAGACTGAGTTAACCACCTTCGAAAGACTCTTTTTCGAAATCATCGGGGATGAAGACTTTTCTTGTGACGTCGACACTGGTATGAATTTACCCTCTGCCATCCACGGGTCAGGATTTCCCACACTTTCAAAAAATAACGAAGACCTCGCCAGCGCACTGGATCCCTGGAATCTCAATAATGTTGCTCTTTCTCCTAAATCCTTGCTACGTTATCTCGATACTGATCATGGCGATCATACGAGAACAAGACTCGATGTTGGAATGCTTTTCTCAGTCAAAGGTTGGACAACCGAGGATAACTTTCTGCCATGTATCGATTACAATCACCTCGGATCGTCAAAACTATGGTACATTGTTCCACCTGAGGATATGGGTAGGTTTGAACAACTACTAGAGTCTTTGGAAGAAAGTGATATTCATTTAGAGGATGGCAATTCTCATAAAGACGAAGACTTCAAAACCTCTGAGTTCTACCATTGCTATCTTGATACTAACCCTTCGAAGCCCGTTAAGACATGCCCTCCAAGAGTTAATACGCATACGATTTTACCAAGCGATATCATCGGTGGTCTAGGGAAGGCTGGGGCCAAATCTAAGTGCTTACCGAACGATATACAATTTGACCCCGAATTTCTAAAAACACAAGGCATTAAGCTTTTCAAAGCTTCCCAAGATCCCTGGTCTTTTATTATAAAATTCCCAAAGGCTTATTCCACTACTGTTGCAAGCGGGTTTTATGTTTCTGAAAATGTGCACTTTGCGCCCCATACTTGGCTGAACTATGCACTAGAGAGCGAAAAATGGCTATCAACGCATGGGATCTTACCAGGAATACATGCACTACAATTATTCGTGAATGTTATTTTATTTTCTAGGCATCAAGAGTTGATTAAAAAAATCAAGAGCTTGACATCAAATCTCGTGAGCGAAGAAATCCAAGGGAGAAAGTTTCTTCAGAACAAATTTGGGAATGAATATTCGATTGAGATAAACAGTTTTGACTTCATCTCAGACACGTCTTTGATTCCAACTGGGTTTTCCAAAGTTCTTCTGACTAATAAAACTGATTGCGTAACCCTTTCACTAAGTGAATTTTTGGAATACCTTGTTTGGAAAGATGACAAAGCGCATATTTTTGATACATGTTTGTATGAAAACGGCATTCATGTTTCCTTGCATGTTTGTTATACAGATCAGCAATTAGAAACGATCTTCTTCGATAAGCCCAAAACTGACTCTGTCTCCTTAAACCAAGACCAATGTCTTAAAATGGAGGAGGTGGGCGCAAGTGGTTCCATATCGTTAGAGGAGCTCATTAATGAGAAATATAAGGGGAAGCGTGTCCCATTTGATGAACTGCTGACAGTATTCTCAAGACAAGGATTCTCAGACGATAAGGAGCAACAGAATTCTGAACTACGGGACTGCTTAACAAATATCAGTAATATTAGGTCGGAATGCAAGCAGTTCATAAAGAAGCTGTCTGTCTCAAAAGAGGAACTTGAGAATGGGCAAGGGCAATTTGTGAAAGGTTTCAAGATTAAAGAGTTGGCACCGATACCATATCAATGCGTCTCCCAGGAATTACACGACTTGATTCAAAAGCTTCATTGTTCGTCTGTAGAATTTCCCGAAATGCAGGAGCTTTTTGTTTTATGGGGAAAATTTAAAGAATTTGAGGTAGAAGCTCAAATGGCCATTTCTACTTCTAACATTCTCAAGTTGAGAGAGCTCTACAAAGAAGGGTGGACTCTAGGAATTTTTTCTAAGTACGAGGAACCCTTAAGAAGAGCACTTCACGAATCACAATGGTTAGAAGTTTATCATGAAGTGATCGAAGAGCACAAGAAAATGTCAGAAGAAGAAAGGGAACACTATACTCTAGATGATTTGCCATCCTTTCTAAAGTTTGGAATCAAGTATGTCTCAGGTTCACAACATTTAGATAAACTTCAGAAGGTGAGAAACCTTATACTAGAATGCCAAGATATGGTGTCAAGAATTAAGAAGCTGTTCAAAAAACGCACAAACAAGATACCAATAGAACAGCTTGAAAACATTATTACAACAATAGAGACAAAACATTTACCAATTAATCTCGAATTTCAGAAAAAGTTAAAGACTATCCTTGAATACGTGGAAAAGCGCAAGCGAGAGATAGCTCCATACTCGAAGAAGTTAGAGGTTAATGATGCATACATTGAACTTTTGGAAAAACAATTTGAATTTAAGGGAGTTGAGATTTTAAATCTATTTGATAAATTCGACGGGTCGCCGAATGATCTACGAATGACTATGACTGAGATTCCGGACACGTCTTTATTTCCAAAACATGTTAAAAAGTGCAAAAGTTGGCTTCAAGACATGAATAGGCTTCTACCAAGACGAAACCAGCTGGTCAAACTTTTGGAATCTACAAAGACATGCTTGGATGTGCGCGCGGATAAATTTAATCACAATGAAGTGCACGATGCGGAAGCACGGTACTGCTTTTGTCGCAAAGAAGACTCAGGAAGCGCAATGGTGGAGTGCGAGATATGCAGAGAGTGGTATCATATTAACTGTATCAATAAGGGAAAGTGGTCATTACCAAGCAAAGAAAGTAACGTATTTGTATGCCCCGTATGCCACCCACAGGACGCTTTCAACCCCCCCATGGTCGAATATAAGGACCTTGTTGAACTTGCGATTGCATCCTCTACGTTGAAGATCATACCAGACCGTTCAATTCTTCAAAATCTCTTTGGAATATTGAGAGCTGCGATCACATTCTGTGACGTAGTTCAGCAAGAACTGTTCGATGGGAACCAAGGTTGCATCCGTCCAGATGCCTCGATGAATTTGGTCAAGTTTTATATACGGAAGCTGACAGGTTCTGGGTGCTGCATAACTGATACACAAGAGGCTCTGTCAGCATTCTGCCGAAAGTCTGATCTCGAGAAGATCCAAAGATTGAAAGATGCTAAAACCATATTGATCACTGGTTTTGAAAATCTTGTTTCTAACAAAGTAGCAAAGTCAGCAGCCAACGTAGATTCCGTGACCGTGAAGGAGGAGTCACAGCCCGTGACCCCAGTCTCGAGCGGGGCTACATCCGACGCTCCGGACAAGTCGCTCCTCAGCGTGGATTCCTTGGCTGGAGATGCTAAGGAACACGATTATCACACGTAGACATAGCATAGCAGCTCATAGCATCCATTTGTATTATTAACAAATTATTAACATCTTGATAACATTCGTATAAGGACAAGCGATCACGTGATCTCCATTCTTCCCATTACTCCGCGAACTCGATTGTGGGAAGCCCCACTTAAAAGCGGGATGTGCATAAAAATCAGGCGCGATTCGAAGAACGAAGTTCTTGATTTCTCACGCCTTACCAAGAAAGCATGTTACGATTGGGATTCAGTCCAATTGGTAGAATAAATGGGAACTGGGCGGCGTGCTCCCGTCTGACTAACCCTTTTTACGCAAAAAGAAGCTGGCTTCACGTAGGCACTACAATTAAGGCCAAAGAAACTGAACTTACAAGTCGTGGCAAGACTAAGAGCGAACAAAAGCTCGAGGACACACCTGAATTTCAGAAGCTGGCTGAAGATTTCTCGTCGCATGATCACATTCATCTCCGCGAGTCGGAGACAGAAGAGAACGATTCCTTCCAGCTGGGGTCGATGCTTCACCGCACACCCCATCATACTCACACCCAGGGGCCAAGTCAAAACCCACTTTTGGTGCTCAGCAAGGCCGAGTTTAAAAGAAATCCAGGGGTCAGAATTACTTGGATAGGTTTAATGATCAATGTAGGTCTTGCTCTCGGGAAATTCGCCGGCGGTATAGTATTCCATTCACAGGCTTTAGTTGCTGACGCTGTTCATGCTGTATCTGACCTTATTTCAGATTTTCTGACGCTTTTTTCGGTCGGGTTAGCTTCACGAACCCCTACTTCGAATTACCCTTATGGTTACGGGAAAATTGAGACCTTAGGATCCTTGGCTGTATCCTCGATTTTAGCCACTGCGGGTCTCTCTATTGGTTGGACTTCTCTATGTGCAATAGCAGGGCCTGTTATTCCACATACTTTGCTAGAAGTATTTTCATCTCATTCTCATTCCCATTCGCACAGTATTGCTCAGGATGTGACTAACATCAACGCTGCCTGGATTGCTGGAGGATCCATTATTATTAAAGAGTGGATCTTTAGAGCTACGAAGAAGGTTGCAGATGAGACTAACTCGAACGTGCTTTTGGCCAACGCCTGGCATCATCGTGTGGACTCTTTGACGTCATTAGTCGCTCTAGTAACAATCTCGTCTGGTTATTTGCTTAACATCCAATCTTTAGACGCAGTTGGTGGTTTGATCGTTTCAGCATTGGTGGTAAAGACTGGTTTTGATGGCATTGTCACTGCAGTCAATGAATTGGTAGATAAGTCGGTCTCCAAGAAAGATCCGCGCTATATCCAAATTGAAAGTAACCTGAAAGAGGTACTCGAGAAAATGGTATCTAATAACAATGCCAAGAGGCCGTACGGACTACGCAATCTGATAGTACTGACATCGGGACCAAACATACATGCGAAGGCTCTCTTAGAAGTCCCACTTCAGAGATGGGACAATGTTCTCACTGTTCAAGAATTTGAGATTGTTACAGATCACATACGTGGGGCCTTGTACAAGAATATCTCAAATTTGCGTAAAATTGATATTGAATTTGTTGAGGAACGTCCAGAGCTCACCGAGGAGCAAAAGGAAGAAATCGAAAGACAAAAAGAATTGGGTGCTGCACCACTTCCCGAATCAAGTGTTAAGCCAACAGAACACTCTCACGGTCACAGTCACTCCCACTTCGGATTAGGAGATCATACCCACAAGCATTGAACTTGTTGTGATAGGTAGTAATATGTCGAGGAAAAATAAACTATTCTCATTCTTGAATCGTATTGTCAAACCTGCATATATATATATATATATTAACATATATAAATACCGCTTAATGATGGCCTACTGCCCAGTCATTCAACCCATGCTTGTTTCTGGCAATTTCAAAAGCGTAAAATTGCAAACGAACAACAAAACATGTAGTGTCTTGGCCGTACTCCTGCGAGGCGTCTGTCCTCAGCAATGTTCCAAAGTTGAAATCGTCAATTTTCTTTTCAAACAGCTTGATATAGTTTCTCCATCTTTCCTTGGCTTCCTTTGTCTTCAATTCCTCTTCGGTAAATTTACGCACCCTTTCAACATCCTTGTATTCGGGGAAATGTTCCATGAACTTTTCATAAATTTCATCATCATGCTTGGTCAAGCGTAGTTTAGATCCAGGAACTTTAGTTATCAAATTCCAATACGTTTCAGCTTGCTCCACAGCAACAACAGCAAATTGCTTTTCAATATCTTCTAGGTTATCCGCAGTCTCAGCGTTAAATGTAGACATAATTCGTGTTTAATTATCGTGCACTGTTCTCCTTCTATTTCTTCAATGGAATGAGATGAGCATTTAAATGGCAAATTTTTTTATTTCGACGTTCGTTCAAGATTACATGATTTGGACTGGTACCTCCTAGAAGTTAGTAGAAGTAACCAGTAAATTAGGGAAATGCTAAAGAGTTTAACGACAATTTCGGGATCACTCAAGGTCAAAATGCCATTAGTCAAAGGTGCATGCCTAATAATTGGTGATGAGGTGCTGAATGGTAAGATTACTGATACCAACTCGAGGTTTTTTGCTAAGTATTGTTATGAATTAGGGATCCACCTGAGGGAAATAGTGACCGTCGGAGATGAACATGAGCAAATAGTAGATACTATTAGGCGCCTGAAAGCTGATAATGACTTTATAGTTACTTCTGGTGGAATTGGCCCTACTCATGATGATATCACTTACGAATCTGTGGCCAGCAGTTTCGGATTAGAATGTAAGCTTGATGAAGAATGCCAAAGACGTATGCGCAAAATTTCTGATCCTGAAGCACGTCATCAGGGAGATGCTCTTAAGGCATTCTATCGCATGGCTACGCTTCCAAATGGCCCCAATGTTGAAAATTATTATGTTCATGATGATTTATGGGTACCAATCGTTTCGATCGAGAAAAAAGTCTACGTTCTTCCGGGGGTTCCTCAGCTATTTGAAAGATTATTGACAGGTTTCACGAATACCTTAAAGGGTCTGTATGGTCTTGAAAAAGATACTGCTCATGAATATCAACGGTACTTCGTCAAAACACCGATGTCTGAAAGTGAGATTTCAATGTTTTTGGCAAAAATTCAAAAGCGTGGTACTGAAGTCTCTAAAGAGATAAAGATTGGATCCTATCCACATTTTGGAATGGGATTTAATACAGTTAGCATTCTGGGTTTGAAAAAAGATGATGCATTTTTAAAGCAAATTGTGAAGGAGACCATTCAAACATTGAAAGGTACAGAAATTTCCGCAACTGAAGAACAGCAAATATCGGATTCCAGATGATCGTTAACGAATCCTCATGTTAAAAACTCCTCTTTAAAGACAACTGCTATAATTGTGTCTTAATAAACGTATTTTATAAAACAGCCTGACAGAATTGGTTTCATGTTTAGACAAGACGAACCACTAAAGTGGAATCGAGCTTCTCGGACATAGCTACTTATTACAGTGTATATATATATTCGTATTTATACTTAATATACAGTCAGCAAATGCAGATTAACTACCTCAGTCTTCTTCATCATCAGTATCAACTGGTTTGGGTGTGCCCTTGGGCGAAGATAACCATTCAATGTAACGCAGACGACGACGTTCAGCTTGTGCCTTCTTTTCGTTTCTTGTCAATCTCTTAACTCTCTTCTTAACCTTGATGTTAGCGGGTGAGTCATCATCATCTACCGATGTTTTTGCTTCTATCTTCAAACCAACAGCATTTGCGTTACCACCATCCTCGAATCTACTCTGGTCAATTTGCTTGATACCCTTTTGAACCATGGTACCATTCTCAACGATCCATTGTTCTGGACACAGAGCGCCTACGAATTCATTGTTGTGCGAAATCATCACAACACCACCACTCCAATCACGGATGGCCACAGCTAGAGCACCTAGAGAGTCTCTGTCCAAATAGTTTGTAGGTTCATCTAAGACTAACAAATGAGGGTTATTCCACATAGCACCAGCAATGACAACTTTAACAAGCTGACCACCAGAAAGTGAGCCCATAGGTGTATGGTTCGCAATTTCGGCGTCTAAACCAACATCTTCAAAATGCTTAGTGATGACACTAGGGGTCAATTCACGGTAACCCAAACCTTCCCTGGACGCCTCATGATCGTCAAACTTCTGTGTTAGTTTTTCGAAACCATGTTCTAATAGCACATCCTTAGGAACCCATGAATTGTACTTTGGTTTCCAATACTTCCATTTGACTTCATATTGGAAGGATCTCTTGTACTTTTGACGACCAACAATTGCTTCTATGGCACGTTTGCCTCTGCCGTCACCAACATCAATCTCTTTGGACATCATTTCTTTCTCTTCTTCAGAAATCTTTCTAGATTCTTTCAAGAGAACCTCACGATCATCACCGAATTGATAACGCCATTGTAGATATTGATTAGCAGTTTTCTCTTTGTGTTCGTTAACGTGTTGCAATGCATGCTGTGCGATATAACCGATACGGAGATTAGGATGCTTTTCTACTTTACCTTCTTGTGGCACTAACTCACCAGTCAATAGCTTGATTAAAGTCGATTTACCCGCCCCATTTGGACCTAAGACAGCGACACGCGAACTCAAAGACAAAGAACAGGAAACATTTTCAAGAGATGGCTTGCTAGCACCTGGATACGTGAAGCTCACACCCGTTACTTTAGCTACAGCTCTTGTGTTTGACTTCACACCCGTCAAGATTCCTGGAGGTGGGAAACGCATTTGCGCATTAGAGTCTGTCAGGGTATAGTATGCTTTAGCTTCGGGTTTTTGCTCAACAAAAGCGGCCAAATTACCTTTATAATAGGCAAGCTTCTTATTTTCATAATGGATAATGTCGGTACAGACGGCATCTAAAAATCCAGAGTCATGCGAAACAATCAACGATGTAATCTCTGTGTGTTCCAGCAAGTACTCCTCTAACCATTTTACGTTGCTAACATCCAAATGGTTAGTAGGCTCATCCAGTAGAAGAACGTCGGCTTTTTGCAACATAGCTCTCGCAAGTTCCAACTTCATTTTCCAACCACCGGAGAGAGATCCGACAGTCTGTGATCTTCTAAATTCGTCGAAGCCAACAGATTCTAGAGCTGCAGCGATGTCTTCACGAGAAACGCCCTGTAATTCTGGGTCAAGTGCGATAAAGGAAACTAAATCAAGATCACCTTCTTCACCTTGCAATTTATGTTCCACGAAACAAGTTCTCAAAGTGTCCTTGTCAGGAAAACCCTCTAATTGACCATTGGCAATGGATCTCATAAGCGTTGATTTACCAGCACCATTTCTACCACAAAGACCGTAACGGTGACCCTTCAATAAACGAAGAGTCGTCTTGTTAAGTAGCATTCTCGAACCGTAAGCAAGGGAAAAGTCGGCATTCACAATTTCAACACCCTCCTCGCCATCATAAGACGAGGTTTCTTGATGGAAAATCTGCCTCAACTCGTGAATAAACTTATCATCAATTGCTTCAGAGTTATCCTGGCCTAGCACCATAACCAAGTAGTCCTTGAGTCTCTTCCAGTCGTTAACATTTGCGTCCACTGTTAAAACCTTGGCCAAATAATTAATGATCGTGGATTCTCCAGAGCGGATCAAATATGAGTAGGATTGATCGGGCATTTCTTTCAATTGCTTTTGCAAAAATTCCAAGCCCTCCTCGAAGGTTATTTTGCCTGGGAATTTTCCATCATCTTCTGAATCATCCTTCAAAACTTTCAAAGCTTTTTCGGCAAGCTCACGAACTTCTGGCAAAGACGCAGTGTCTAAAACTTTCTGTACACCGGGCATTAATTGTGGAATGAAAGATTGAATTTCGGTACGGTTGTTCACCAATCTCGTGAGATTCTCAATGACAATGACTGTTTGTCTTAGTTGTTCTTGAGATGAAGACGAAAGATTCAACGATCTGTTAAGGATAGGAACCAAAAGACTTAACGCCGGTTCTGTGACTTCAGCAACAAAAGTTACACTGGAAAGAGATTTAACAGAATCTGGGACCTTGGAGGGATCTTGTAAGGTATCAACAATTAGTTTGAAACGAGGAGATAAATCCAAGTTATCTAAAATAGAAACAAAGTCAAAAAGAGTCTTATAACCTTGTTTCGCCAGTTCAGGCTTGAAATCAGTGGCCACGTCTGTCAAAACTGGTACTGCATCTTTGAATTTCAACTCCAGTAAATCGTTTGGCGACTCCTCTCTGATACGGTCAACTACCTTTAACGCAACAATTTTGGATTGCCATTTAGCTCCCGAACGAAGATATTCGAGAATTTCCGGTAGTATTACGCTCGTCTGAGCTTCGATGGGGAACAAGCCGAAAAGCGAGTCAACCGCATGCTGAGATGCTCTTTTGACAGAGTTATCCTTGTCAGCAGTACAGTCCAAAGCTAAAGATAGTAGAGGCACAAGATATGCCTCCTGAGGAGACTTTCCTGCGAAGTTGGAGCTCAGTTGGGAGATCAAAACCATCGCAGATTCTCTGACAAGATTTGGACACTTTGGCTTCGTCAACTTAGTAATGATGCCTGAAATATCCCATTCGCCGATGTTTTTAGCAGAACATCCTTCCTGGTTGAATTGATCGACTGCGAGCTGAATTTGTTGCTTGCATTCGGAAATCGAGCTGCATTCTGGAAGTTTTGCGAGAATAGAGGACACAGGCGAAACCTCTAGGTTAGCCAAACCATTTGTCAAGGACGTCAGAGAAGTAGTAGACGTCGAAGGAGTAGGCGTACCACTTCCGGTTGGGGTGGACCTGCCAGAGTATTGCGGTGATTGGTAGCCTTGAGTGTTCGACATATAGGCCTGTTGGCCATAATTTTGATTTTTCTGGTTGTAAGTTCCATAAGCATTGTAAGCCTGATTTCCGTAGTTTCCATAGCTTTGGCTGTCTGTAGGGTAGCTCCTTTGAGCCTGATATGCACTTCCTTGGTTCCAATTCCGCTGCGGATGGTTTCCACCGGAGTTAGCCTTCTTCGTGTAATATCCTCCAAATGGGGAGGACACCTGATTTGGATTATGCTCCTCGGTAATATATTCGTCGAGCGACTTGAACTTCTTTGGAGGCATTAAAGATCTTTTGTTCTACACTTCAAGGTGTTAATAAGATGAGATGAGATGGCCTGCTGCTTTTACGAAAATTTTTCACTGATGCGAGGTCACATGACCCTCAAGACCGACACGTGGTTCTTCCAAGCAGAAGACAAGATCTTAAACCTCCAGATTGCACCTCAAGTATCTTAGGATATCAGATGGGTGTCTAATTAATGCCTTGATATTGTGATACGGTTTTGGGAAGATGGAAGCATCCTATCATTGAGCTGACTTTCACAAAAGGTTGCACGTCGTTCTATATTGCCCAAAGGGGCACGAGTGGATTTCAGTTGCTACTGGATCCGCCAACCCTACGTTGTGGTCACTAATTCAGTAGTCTTGGGAAGCGAAACGCGTTTTGCTGTGTTTGGTAGGTTTCCGCATGTGACTTGCAAGGCGTCTCATCGCGACGCGAAAACTGCGTGAAAAAAAAACGCGTCGCGTAAATGCGTACGAGCTGCGAGGGAAAGAAGAACAAAAGAGAAGCACTCAACTAAACATTTTAGTTCTTTAAAGGTTTGCATTTTTGCACATCGGGGCTTCACAGTCATTCAGCACCGGGATTGAACAATGACGCTGGCTCAAACAATAACTAAAATGTCTCTGAAGGTGCTTTACACGGTGGATAATGAGACCAATACGTATTTAACTAGAAGTAAAGCCCCTTTAGAGGTACGTGTGGGTCAAGTGCCTAGTCCCAGTAACGAGAGCACACAGCTGAGCATAGGAATGATAGAACTTCATCACGTCCTACACGAAATGTGTAATTCCTCGCCAGAGTTATTTGCACCTAATGTTGACCATTGCATGGATTATAACGTCTATTGCCGAGATGTATGCGAAGCAGAAGAACCATTTGTGAGCTACGGACTGCTGTCAAAGCTGCGACAGGCTTCGCATTTGTCAGAGCCCACGGAGGAGGCGCAAGACGAGGAGTGCGCGGTGGTAGTGGGCAGAGTCTGTTCTAATTTCTCTGCTCTATTTCGGTCTAAGAGCTCGGCCGGGACGGCAGATGAGTTTAGTTCTACGACCAAGTCATCCCCTCAAACTTTGGAGATTAAGTTGCGGCTATCTAGTGTCGCGACAGCGTCTTCCTCGAGGAGGGCCAGCATAAGCAACTCCTCCAAAAAGCCAGTCTCCGCTGAAGGAAAGCAAAATGGAATGCCTCCAAAAAAGCCATTCAAAACGCAATTGCAAAAATCTCAAATGACATCAAAGAGACAAACAAATCCAAGACCAGCTCCAAAGGCCGTCAGGACACAGTCTTTGCCAATCTGGAACCAGAATAGAAATCCACAGTTTGTACTACCAGCCAACTCAATCGCTCATAGAATATATCTTGCAGATCGAATGACCAAAGAATCAGAAACGGGAAAGGAAACAACAGCTGATAAGAAACCTGTAATATTTCAAATTAATAGTCTACAAAATGATAATACAGTGCAAAAAACAAAGGTTGACGATTCTATTTCTAAAAGATTTGATTTCATAAACAAGAAGAAGATGAAACCTGTCAAGCCAAGCAATAGGAAAATGATCTCGAAATCAAAAGCATCTTCAGCAAAAAAGGGAAGGACGGATAGCATCACAACCATAGAAACACCTTTGTCGACTTCCACCATTCAAACAAGTACTTTTGCTCTTCCAAAGGCGGCCGGAATTACACCCAGTGAGTTTAAGATTCTTCCCGAGGAATCAGTAATGGAAGAAATTCTTGGCACGCAACGCATTAGAGGGGGTGACTTTTTTGAGTTTCATCAGGAGAAACCGGAGGATATGGACAATAAGGAGAACATTCCACCCCGCCCAATGTCCCTAAGCTCACGATTTGAAGACTTGCTAGAGATAGATTTACCTGATCTAAAGACCCCAAATGATATTGAAAAGTTTTCTACCAATGCAAAAGAAGATGACACGATGGACTGGTTTAATAGTCTCTTTGGCTCTCCTTTAACCACTCAAAAAGAAGATCCTCAAACATGTAATACACTGCCTATAGAAGAGGAGGATCATGACACGAATAGAACCATCACCAGTGATATTGACAGGACATCGCCGATCGACACGCTTTCTATGCCTTTGCTGGAATTGGATCACCAAAAACAAAAGTCAGGGAACCGCGCTACGCTTTCTTGCAAGGACCAGCTGAGAAGATTGCCGCTATTGTCTAAAACTTCAAAGCGTGAAGAAGATGAGGATGAAGATGCTACTTCTAGTGTAAAACAATATTCCACTTCACCAAGACCAAATAATCAACAATTTGGAACTAAGCGCCCTCCACCAGTACCTTCGTCGCCCATAGAGGATGAAGAGTACCTCGATGAAATTACGAAACAAAGATTGAAGAAGCGGAAGACAATGCCTTCTTCTCCAACGTCAATGTTTCCCTACAGGGAAGATGTTGACGGCGATGAAGGTACTAATCACGGTAATACATCTATCAACGAAGAATTCTCCTTCAGGAATGAGTGTGGCCTGGAGAACGTCGACTCCACCCCAGCTACACAGTACAGGTCGAGTGATCTCGACCATGTTAAACTGGGCGATGATAATTCCGTCGGTAATAAATAGGTTGGAATCGGTTTACTCTAATTATTATTTGGCATATTCATATATTAATAAATAAGCATTAGTCATTCAAAAGCTAAGAAATGCATATAAGTAAAACCTGTCGGTCTACGTTTTCAAAGTTATCTAATCGCCAGTTTTCTTTTGTATGGGACAACTACAAGAACAAAAACGTATTCAGTCGGTTTCTTAGTTTTTCAAATGGAAGATCATTCGTAGCCTTATAATGGCAGTGACTGAATATCATCAATTTAAATACTCCTCATATTAGCAAGGTGACATTTACGCCATCTCGACATTATCAAAGGATTAGCGTTCGGTCCATCTGCAAGGCTTTTAGCTCCAAGATTACAAAAAAGAATAGTATGGGTACTGTTTGATCTTACAATACATCATAGAAGTTATGCGTGGCCAGATGCTCTGGAAGTTTATTGATGATAACTTTTCATAAGCCCCGGATCAAATTCATAGAAAGTACTTTCCACTCATGGTCAATAGGATAAATTTGGCTGCATCAATATTCAGCGTACCTTATTAGTTCGCTAAAAGATGTTTCACCAAACAAATTTGCTCGGTTATTAAGCTCATTTGAAATATAATTATTTCATTTTAAGGTATACGTTATTGTTTAACCACGTGAATGAATGTTGAAAAAAGTAAATCAGACGCCAAGCTGAGTTCGTCGAAAAACCATTCTGAGTAAACACCAGCAGCAGAGCATACTTAGGAATCATGAGTTTCCTGGAAGTGTATTGCAGCAAAATACGAGAACTTGACCCAGTTGTTTTGTTGGGGACATTTTCAGTAGCTGCTCTGACTTCGTTATACTTAGTTGTTTACGTGTTCTCACATTCTCCAAGAAGTCCTTTCGCCGAAGAGCTGGAGTATTCAACCAATGGGATAGATGGTGAAATTGAACGCGGTCGTCTTTGTGATGTTGTTACTGAGGAACGGAACGTGGAAGATATTGAACTTTCTGTCGTGGTTCCCAGTTATAATGAGACTGGTAGAATTCTCGTTATGCTCAGAGAGGCCATTGCCTATTTGCAACAGAACATGCCAGACAACTGGGAAATAATTATTGTGGACGATGGTTCTAAAGATGGTACCTCGGAATACTGTCTAAACCTGGCCAAAGAGGAGTTCAAATTAAATCCAGGTCAGTTGAGAGTTGTGAAATTAACCAAAAACAGAGGTAAAGGTGGCGCTGTAAGACATGGTCTACTTCACATTAGAGGTAAATATGGTCTGTTCGCTGACGCTGATGGAGCCAGTAAGTTTTCGGATGTCTCCAAGTTGATAGATGCCATAAAGACTGAAGAGAAGGAGAACAACGCTGCTGTGGCAATCGGCTCGAGAGCGCACATGGTTAACACCGATGCAGTCGTGAAAAGGTCCTTCATAAGAAATTTCTTAATGTATGCATTGCACACGCTAGTTTTCGTGTTTGGAATAAGATCTATTCAGGATACCCAATGTGGTTTTAAGCTGTTCAATAGAAATGCGATACGGGAGATTTTTCCATATCTGCACACAGAGGGATGGATATTTGACGTGGAGGTTTTAATCTTGGCGTTACGGAAAAAAATGCCTATAAAAGAAGTTGCCATCTCATGGCATGAAGTCGGCGGGTCCAAGATGGATCTCGCCAGAGATAGTATAAATATGGCCAAAGATTTGGTAATAATCAGGTTGGCCTACATCATTGGTATTTATAGCGATAGAGTTGCATGCTAGAATTCGCCACAATAATTTTTCCTGTAATTCCTGTTTGCTGGATTCTGTATTTTTTATATATATAGACAATCCTTAAAAACCTATTTTCATCACTGTTACACCTTCTTTTGACCTTCAAAAATTTCGTAAGAAAGAGAAGTTAATTTTCTTCTGATGATCGTGCCATTGTTCAAGAATGTTCTCAGGACGGAAGCGTACTCCTTGCTATCATGAGCAATATTCTCAAAGGCTGTGAGCAGAGCTGCAGTGTTTACTTCCAACTCAATCTCATGCGTGTCCTCAGTGTGTCTTTGTTTCACACCTTGATTATGATTGGCCACTTTCGTAATATCTATTCTAGTGCACGAATCGTTGTGAATATAACTCACACGTTGTTTTGTCCTGGTATTTACTGGAGTGTGATCTTTGTATTTTTCAGGCGGGTCATTATTTGCGACGGGTAATTCGAGGTTAATGGATATTTTCACGTCGTAACTGTCTTTGGGAGAAAATAGTAGCAGCTGTGATACGTGTCTTTTTTCTATGAACTGCCCCACACGTCCCGTCTTGACGTCTTTACTCATCCGCAGGAAACGAGGTCTTTGAGTCGATAATCCTACCCTGTACAAGGCGTCAGTCGTATGAGATTCGATAATGTTGAATTTGCCGTGATTTTCGTTTAGCTCCGACACACCCTTGATGTATTTTTTCAGTTCTGTGAATACTCGCTCGTCCACGTCTGGAGTTAGGTGGGCATCCATCTCTGTATATACGGTTTGGGAAGACACGGGGGGGCTCACTCTGTTGGAATCGCTGCCCTCAACAATAATACCAAACTTCATTTCCATTTCAATGAATTGTCGTTGGTCTGGCGGGATAGAAATTATAGTCGCGTACACCCAGTCCTGCACGGATTTTGTCAAGTCATCATCAGGTATTATGTTGGTGAAAGAAACGTCGATTTTGAAATCTTTGGTGTCGATGCTTTGGAGTGCTTTTATGGTGGGTTTCCACTTCTGTGCCCATATGGGTGCCACACGATACCTGCTGGGTTTCGCTGTCGCTGCAATTTCATGGAGAACATTTAGATCCTTCTTGATGTTGTTCCGCTTAGATTGGGTCGACATCTTTTCTTGGAAGATATCACGCACGTCGGACTCGTGTTTTACCGCGTCATCGAGTCGCGGATTCTGCAATTTCTTGGCCGCGTTCTGACTTTCTTGCTTGTCGTAGTCGAATTTGAAGTCGCCATTTTCGAACACCACGTCACCAGCTCCGGGCACTTCGTCATCCGTATCTGTTTCCTCGTTTAGGTCGCTGAAATCATCTTGAGGCTCCTGCTTGAGTTGCGAGCCGGCAGTGAGGCCATCGACGCTTAACCGTTTCTTGATTTCGTCGGCTGGAATGGGGTTCAGATTGGGAGTGCCGCGTTGTTCAGCCTTGTCATCGTGGTTCACTAGGTCCTCCAATGAGAGTGCGCGCTTTGGCATGGCCCTAGAGTCGCTCATCTATGCGCAATGTGCTGACGAATATCGCTGGTCAAGGTCGATATACAGTTACAGTCCCTTGCAATATTGGAAAAAAAAGTTGACCAGAAAGTCCATGTTTCTTCGTACGGAACGAGCTCCCTGCTTCTATCACGTGGCAATCCGTTTGTCTGTCAACTTCACCACATCCCACGGCTCGAGCTCGAGCTCTAGATATCAACCTGTATATTAACGATATATGTACACACGCGGAATCACGTTCCTATCCGTGCGTGCCCGCCCCAGTGCGGACCGCCTGCGCCCGCGTTGCGCCGCGTGCGTCTATGAGTGCGGATGCGAGTGGGGTTCGACCACTGCGGGAGCCGGGCTGAAACTCTGCGACGTGTAAGGGTTAAACTTTGGGTGTGCGTGCAGCACGCCAGCAGCAGCGGCAGCGCCGCTGTCGCTGTTGGGAGTCGCAGTCAGCATTGGGTCGACGGCAGACTCACGCAGATGCTCCAGCATGAGCAAGTCCATCTGCTGGCACGTGGACAGTTCCTGGGACGAGAGCAGCCCGCGTGGGCAGAAAAACAAGTCGTCCTCGAACGACTTGCAAATATGGTTCTTGAGCCGTAACGACATCTCGGACTCGAGGCTGCCGGACTGCATGGGCTGGTACGCTGCACCTAGGGATTGGCCCGCCATCTGGACGGGCTGCGACGACAGAGTGTCCAGCAGAAAATGCTGTGGAGACCCGGGTTGGTTGAGGCTGGCGACTGAAAGTGGAGGTGTCAAATATGGCATGAGCTAAAACGAAAACGATGTTCCATGTGGATTGGAAAGATGGAAGAGACTCTCCACGAGGGTTCGAGTTGATGTTGTTCCCGCCATACCCCTTGATAACGAGCTCGTGGCGATGTTGGGGGGAGGAAGAAGAAACAAGCGCGCTCAGAACAGCGCGTGGTGGCCCCAGACGGGGCAGGAGCGCGTGACGGGGTGTATGGGCGGGGAACGCAAGTCCCACGTGAATGCCACGTGCCCTCTCTCATTCGGTACGTCACAGTCACGTGATGTGTTTCTTTTTCCTTTGGCCTACACCCACACACCCGTCTCGCGGACGCCTGCCTGCACGCCTGCCCCCCTCGCTGCTGCCTGCCCCGCGCCCCGGCCGCACCCCTCTGCCCCGCCCCTTCCCCCACCCCCCCACTCCAGATCGGGCGATCCGCTCGGCCTCTCCGCGGGTCGCCCTCCGTGCCCTCCCCGCAAATTCCGCACTTGCTGGCAACCGAAGCCAGGCACATACCGCTTTGTACCATCGAAAATGCAATTCATTATATACGGACTAGCCTGGGTCACTATTTACAGAGTCAGATTCGCCGCGCGGGTTCTTGCCCGCGCTCGTACGAGTCGCGGCGCTCTCGCGCTGGCGGCTGCACTGGTGGCTGCACAGGCGATCCGACGGCACGATGCATGCGATGCTCGCGCCGTTGCAGCGGTTGCGAATCTGGCCATGGCTCCGGGTGATGTTCCACCCACATCTCACCACTGTTTATGCACATATTTGAGGCCTGAAACGGTGCGCCTGCAGCCCACGCTGCAGGGTGCGTGCCTACGCCGTGAGCGCTCCGGCCAGGGGTGCCTGGCGGCGGCAGCGCGTTGGAAAGACTTCCTAATCTGTACCATGGAGCAGGCCTCGCGCTGATCTCCGGCAGCGCGGGAGGGTGTACTCCGGGCAGCGCTACCGTGGAGGCCGAATCTGGTGACGTTTTTTCTCTGTCGGTCAGTATCGGGCGAGATGCGCCCGGGCAAGACGCCGCTGGCAAGGGCCCCGGCGGGTACATCTGCCGACGCCACGCGTCCGGAGCGTGGTGCGGCGGAAGTAATGCCAAGGATGTAAGGGTTGGTAACGGTAGCGATGGTGCGGGCTGGGGCATAAACGCCGGGCGAAGACGCCCTAACTCCGGAGAGTACACCGGCGGCACAGCTGGCGGGGCCGCCGGGCCCATCGGGGCCATCGAAGCCGGCGATTCTGTGGGTGGGCCTGTGGCTGGCCCTGTGGCTGGCCCCGTAGGTGGCATCGTGGGTTGCACCGTGGGAAATGTGTGCACTACCGGTGTTGCGCGGCGGACTCGAAGTCGGCGTCCGCGGGGCATCGCTGCCGCCCCGGTCGCGGCCCCTGCCCCGGTGTGCACCGCGTCGCGATGCTGACGCAGGTTGTCCGCCCGGCTGAAAAACTTATGGCATACGTCGCACTCATAGGGTCGATCTCCGGTGTGCTTGCGGATGTGGCGGGCCAGGTGCTCAGCTCGTGTGAATGACATGCTGCAATCGCCATAACCCTCGCAACGGAACACACGCCTCTGATCTGAGGGCCGTGCTCTGGCGGGCCCCGCCGTGTTCCTCCTAGGACTACTCATACAACTCGCAATTGAACTCCACTCCCAGAACGTCCCCGGTCCAATTCAATGCGGCTGCCGCGATGCAAACTAGCGTCGCTTACACTTGGTGTCCGCGCTCGCTTTCAACTTCATATATACATTTGCGATGCCTGCAACTGTACCGGGTCCGCCTCTTGCCACATAGGGTAACTCTGTTCGTCACCACGGAAGGGATCTTCCGCTGCATATCTGCAGGTTCCGCCCAAACAAGATTGAAATCGCGCGCTGCGGCCGTTTCTGCGCTCGTTTTCCCGGCTGCCACACTATAAGTGTGCCTGCAAAATGCCACCGTTCGAAGAAAAGGGAACCGCCGAGAGAAGGCACAGCCCGAGACCGCGTCCTTTTCGGCTGGCCGCGTTGTCACAATCGTGGGTCGCAGCTCGCAGCTCGCGTCTCTGTGCTAGCGTGGGCAGCGGCGTCTGTGCTTCCGCGTCATTGCATATCTAGACAATCGCGTGAGGCCGCGTGGCTCCCGCGGAACGCGCTACATGCCGCGCACGGCTGCGTTCTACGTTCGTTTCCCGCATTGCCCTCTGCAACACCCGTTTTGAGATACGCACGGCTCTTCAATGCCCTTGGTCATGTGGGTTGAACGACACATTGCCAGACACGCAGATTTGATTACTAAGTCCAGTTTCTTATCATTATAGACGCAGGTGCCGTTTTACGACTCCTCTAACTACGCATTCTACCTATACATCGATACCAAGCCACAGAAGCTCATTTTTCAGAAACGGCTACAGCGACCGATTGGAAATCGTCGTGTGAGATGGAAACCTTCACATTCTTAACACCAGCAGCGGATGCGGCCTCAGCGGCAGCGCCGTGCAACACAACACGAGGAGCGGAGCCCGCGCCGTCGCGAACGATCTCGATCTCCTTCAAAGCGGCTCCGCCGCCTTGGGATTTCACGCCCAACGACTTGAACACAGCCTCTTTGGCTGACCAAGTTCCGGCGTAAGAGCTCTGTGCGCTTGGTTGGCTGGAACAGTAGGCGATTTCGTCTGCAGTGAAGTTGCGCTCGATGAAAGTGTCATTTTCAACGTTGATGGCCTCGATCAACTCCACGTCCACACCAACACCAACGTTACCAGCTGCAGTCTGCTGGGCCAATTGGCTGACCACTTCAGCGGTCTTGGCGTTGGCATCGGAAACAAACGACGAAGGCTGAGATAGCGCCTTCTTGTCGAAAACAAGAGCACCGGTCTTGCCATCAGCAGCAACACGTGCCAAAGGATCCAAGTACACTGGTTGTTCAAGTTCGTCGGCGTATGGCGCGTGCTCCTTAGCAACGAACAAGGTGTTGTGAATCATACCGTTGTGGAAGTACTTGTAGGCAGCCTTTTCTCTGGCGGTCACCTTCTCCACGTAAGCACGGTAGGTGGATTGATCCACGGCAGCGTACAAGTAGTCTGGGTGAATTGCAATAGCTTGGGCACCCTTTTGACCGAAACCAAAGGAAGTAACAGAGACAGCCTTGATACCATCGGTCTTGATACTCTTCGATGGGAACAAAATGTAGTCGAATTGCTCCAAGATCTTGTCGACATTGTCGGCATTACGGTTACCGGGGACGATACCAGAGTTCAAGATTTGCAAAGCACCGTTCATCATCCAGGCACCGGCAGCACCCTTAGGATGACCAGTGAGGTATTTCTGGAACACACCGATAACTGGGTTACCTGGGGATCTTCCTAGATGCTTCATCATCTTATCCATGGTAGCGGATTCGTTCTTATCGTTGGCCTTGGTGGATGTACCGTGGAACGACGCAACATCCAAGTCATCGATGGTCAAGCCATAAGCGGCAAGAGCACCTCTCAATGGAGAAATACGTGGGTCGTTCTTGTAGAATTCGTTACCCCATTGAGCTTGAGCAGACTTGAATTGTCTGGAAGCCTCACGTTGAATTTCTTCAGTACGCTCAGCGTAAAAGGCGGATTGGTCCTCCTCGGCAACTTCCTGGGCTTCGTATTGTAGCAATTCCAATTCGGATTCAACCCATTGCTTAATTTGCTTTTCGCGGTTCTTCAATTGGCGCTTTCTGTACTTGATGTCCAACAATGGAGATGGGAATTTTAAGTTACCATGGTGCTCTCTGGCGGTGGTCAAGATACCCTTACCTGGAGCTGGAACAGATCTACCAATCTTGTCAGTAGCAGTGGCGGTGAAGGCCAAGATACCGTAGATAGGAACACCCATCTTCAAGGCCAAGTCAGCAGTCATGATCACCTCAATACCAGCACCTTGCGCTTCCATGAAACCGTTACGGGTTGTAGTAGTTGGTCTAGACATTTCAGCTGGGGTACGACCGTGCTCAAATTCTTCCAAGGAATTGGAGGTAGCATTCATGTTACCGAACTCGTAAGAACCTTCTTCTTGGAAGTCATCATAACCACCAACAATACAGATCTTCGCCTTACCAGACAAAATGGTTTCAACACCAGTGTCTAGAGATTCAACTGCAGTAGCACAAGCACCAACAGGGGTCTTGATTGGACCGGAGGAAGAGATCAACAACATGTTAACCCAGGCAGACATTGTGTTAATGAAAGATTCTTGAAGAATATCGTTTTGAACTGGTTGATCCTTGTAGCGGTCTTTGAACATACCACGTAGAGCAGAAACACCACCCATACCGGAACCAGAACAGTTACCAACTTCAGAAACGTGCACGTATTTGTACATTTCGTAAGGATCGGTAATACCAGAGGCAATAAAAGCCTCAACAACGGAAACCAAAACGTATAAGGTAATTGGATCCACTTGGGAAATGGTGTCGTCAGAGATACCGTAGGTCTTGGCGTTCCAGCCGGTAGGGATTTGACCTGCAACCAAACGGTCGAATCTCAAAGCCTTTGGAATGTACAAAGTAGCGCCCTTCAATAGTCTAATTGTGTATTCACCAGATTCAGGAATCTCGAAGATGTCAACCTTTTCACCGTGCTCCAACTTGAACTGTTCAGCAGTTTCTTTAGAAGCTTCAAATGGTTCCAAATCTTCTTCGATTACAACTTCTTGAATCATGTGCTTTTGCTTTGGATCATAGCCGTTGAATAGCTCAGGTTCGATCAATCTGATACCACAGTGCTCCAAGATATGAGACTCATACTTCTTCTTGATGTCTTTGTCATCAACTGGTTCATTGGTCTTGGCATCCACCCAACCGGTGTATGGACGACCCTTCAAATTACCGTTGTGATATTTGATCAAGCCCATAATCCAGGCCATTTCAACACAACCTTCCAAGGAGAATTCACCTTGAGCTTCCATTTCCCATCTGGTTCTGGCAGAACCCCAAGGACCAACCTCGGAGAAACCAGTAACAACGATAACTCTTTCCAAGTCCAACATACCCTTGAGTTCTTCAGGAGCAATTTTCTTGAGTTGCTCATAAGGCTTCAACGTTGGGAAATCCAATTGAATGTTAGCTCTTGGTTGAACTTCGGCCATAGAGTAAGCGGCATCGGCGTTCTCACCATTAACAACCTTGTGTTCCAAAGCAGTCTCGATAGAGACTGCCTTTCTAACTTCAGATGTGTTCATCAAGTCTAGACGCAATTTAGCAGTGAACTCCTTCAAGTCTGGCAAGAATTGGAAACCACCGTTCAAATCGGCCATCACAGGTGAAGTTTGACACAGTTGAACGACTTCTGGAATCAACAAACCTAGTAAGTTGAAAGCCATTTCCTTTTGGGAGAAGGTACGAACGCCCAGTTTTTCGATACCTTCTGCAATGATGTTATTGGCGGACATCAAACCAGTACCTCTAGTCCAACCGATAATAGCACCACAAACGGTCAATTGGTTGGACCAAGATTCGGAATGCCATCTGTTTAACAAGGTTTCCAAAGAAAGCTTGGACTCAGAGTACATACCGTCGCCACCGAAAGTACCATGGTTAGGAGACAATGGTAGGATAACTTGAGCAGGTCTGGTCTCGATACCTCTAGCAGATTTTTGCTTCTTCACGTTACCCAACATTCTCAAGATGTTGGTCAACATGATTCTGTGAGCGAATTCAGACTTAGAGTCGATGTTCTCTAGCTCGATACCATTTTCTGGAATAGCAGCAAATGGAATCACAGCGTCCAGATCCCAGCCTAGGCCACCATTCTTTTCATCATCGTAGATGAACTCAACCAAAGCTTCGACATCTTGTTTGGAACCTTGGTTGAAAGGCACAACAACCAAAGTGGAGCCCTTCGAACCATATTTGGCGTAAATGGACTGATAGTAGTCAGTAACCTTCTTGGAGAAACGAGAAGTGGTAACAACAACCCTGGCACCACCTTGGATCAAGCCTTGTAGAACTTCGGCACCAATGGAGCCTTGGCCAGCACCGGTGATCAAAACACATTTGTTCTTGAAAGTAACACCGTTGATGGCAGCTTTTTCCAAACCGTCCAAAAACAAAGAAGACAGTTGGCGATCGTAAACCCAGTCGCCGCATGGTAGTTTCTTTTTCAAGTGCAAGAATGGCACGGTTTCGGATGGAATAGTAGAGGAAACGGTGCTGGAAATCTCTGACTTGTTTGGTAATGATGCAACTTCCTTAGTGGCATCTTTGTCTAGAGCATCGTCAACGACACCCGCAACCTTAGTAGAAGCAGAAGCGTCAATTTCGTGAGATGTTTCCAAGAATTCCAAGAGTTCACCATAGAGCTTCTCGAATTGAATTTTGGTAGAGTCGGAGATATTGTGTGCGGCAGCTTGAGCATTGATGGCCTTGTAAACACGGGTCAAGTCTTCTTGAATGGTTGGTTGTTCGATCTTTGTCAATGGGCCACCTAGAGCCATCTCTTCCACGTATTGAGATAGCTTTCTAACAGCAGGTCTAGGAACTTCTGCATAGTTGATGTTACCATTCTTGTCAACAACAGTTTGAGGACCTGTTGGTTTAGTGATGTCCTTGTAAACTGGGTCCAAGTTCAAGACTTGTTTACAGTTTTCAATTAGTTGCTCACCCAAAGACTTGGCCAACTTGTAATTCTCACCCTTTTCTTCCTCGGTGTGGGAAATGTGGTATTCCATGAACTTAATCAAAGATTCGTTAGATCTGTTCATGATGTTAATGGCCTCTGTGACCAATTCTCTATCAACGTTCTTAAGAACACCGTGAATAATTTCGAAATACAAGGACAGCAGAGATTGTCTGGCCCAGTTCCAAGAGGAGTCGAACACTCTAGCCTTCTTTCTAGAAAACGAAGTAGAAATACCTTGAACAAAATACTCACCCAATTCAGCCGTCAAATAATCTAATTGAGCTTGTAATTCTTCAGCTGCTGACTTTTCCTTCAAGAATTTCTTCTCACCGCTGCTCAAGTCCATCTTCAAGTAGCGAGCCAAGACTTCCAACTGTTGACGAGCCAAGATCTTTTGATCCTTTGTTAGCTCATCGAAAGCTTCAGCATCAATGGTAGCACCACCGGCACCACCAGCCGCACCACCAGTAGATCCAGCAGAAGCACTGGATAAGTCGATACCACTGATAGAAGCGTATTTCTGAGCCATAGTGTCCAAAAATTGTTTGGCATCAGCCTCGGAACCTAAACGAGCAGCTGGTTCATTGGTCAAAGCGATCAGTAGAACGGAGTCTTGCCTACCAGCAGGTAAACCCCAACGGGTCTGCAAATACTTTCTGGCGACTGTGATTGTGAAACCACCAGGCATCTTCGAGGACATCAATCTTGAAATTAATGAGGAAGATTGCTTACCAAGAGAGCCAGAGAATGTGTCTTGGAAAGTCTCGGCCAACTCTTCCAAAGGTGTTTCTTCTGGTTTCTCTGGGGTGTTACCGAATTCCTTACCTAGATCACCCAAAATTTCATTTTGCACAGTGGATTTACCGCCGACCAAATCCTTAATGGTCTTGGACATTGGCACTTGATCCAAAGTCTTCTTCAATTTGTTAGCAACAAGAACGTGCAATAGCAAAGCAGCCTTGACAGGTTCGTCAGCAATTTCGGCAACTGGACCAGCTGGTGCAGCGACTGGTGCAGCAGCGGCGGCGGCTGGTGCAGCCACAGCAGCGGCTGGTGCGGCAGTCTCTGCGGCTGGGGCAGCCTCCTCCTCTTTTGGAGCCAAATCAGCAGGATCAGGAGTATAGTAGATTTCCTTCGCATCCTTAGAATAGCACAAGACTTGTCTTTGTAAGGACAAGGCCGCATCGTAAGACTCGTACTTGTTCTTGATAGTTCTCTGGGCCATACCGGCCAAAGTGGGGGATGGACCGATTTCCACAACTCTTTCTGTGTTAAAGTCCTTCAAGAACACATCTTGAGTCTCAATCCATCTAACTGGAGAGGCAAATTGGTAAGCTAATAGCTCAGTTAGCAGCACATGGGCTAGCTCTTGTTCAACCTCAGGCTTCATGACCATTTTGATCGTGAAATTGACGGTTTCTAGTTTAATTGACGCGTCAATGGCTTTCGGTGATACGGTATAATAAGCGGCCCTTTAAATATTGCCCGACAAAAGTTTTTGTTGGTTTTGTTGGAACGACCAAACGTCAACGACGAGAGTAATATGTCACGTGTCTGGTATCATTTATGTCCGTTAAATGAAAACAAGGCACGTGATTATCCCAACAAACTTAAAAAGAGCTAAAATAAGGTAACCTCAAATCGCTGTTGCACAATCCGAGGGTTCACTTGTTTTAATCGTGCCTCGTGACAGCGCTTAATATACACGATTTCTGTAAACGCTCTCCTTTATGCTCCAAGTGTTAACGTTGACTTATCATATTACCTCTCCTATCATGAGGAGGTAGCTGCGATTTTGTTGCCTCATGTTTTCACCGCACGCTATTTTTAACTATCTTCAGACTTTCTCTCAAGTGTTAATCACTTCTGTTTCGTAGTTCATTAAAGTCGAAGGCCCATGTTCTTTGGCCATCACCAAGTTTAAAAAAGTTTTTTTTGGATGAAGATTTCGGGTATTGTCTCTTTTCATATTCTCTTGTTAACGAAACTATCGGGTAAGTAAAAGGACTAGCATTAGCCGCTGAACTATTTTGGTACTTCACTTTATAATAATGTAATAATACCTGTAGGATTGATAACACCCGTACATCTTCTGTGTTAAAAAAGACTTTGATGTGTGTCGTTCCATACGCCCAAAAAACGTTAATGATTCTAAAGTTTACCGTGAATCCGCAAATGTTCTTGTATAACTTAATCTAAAGATCAGTCTAGTGTGAATTTTAATTAGCCCTATAAAAGATATTACTTTCGGTTGGATAAATGTTCTCAATCATCGTCTCCAGTATTGAGTAATGATTAGATTTTCTATAGTTCCTCAAGTTATTAATCTGTAAGACGTGCGTCATGATTCAGACCTTGCTCTTGAAAGTAGCAGAGAGATCCTTGGGCCATGTGGCCATATGTCCCGAGGAATGAATTTGATGACAAACATTGTATTTGAAGTCATGTTGACTCAAGTTTCGCATCTCATTCTTTTCGAATATATTTGTACGTTCATGAAGTCGGCGAATACCCCGCGATTTAATATGAACTTTACGCACATGAGTATTCTAATCGCATTAATACATCAAAGCGCATTTACAACTGCAATATAGCGTATCTATTGCTACATGATAACACCCCGTTTGACCCGGGACCCTCCATAGTAGCATAGGCATGTAGGGGCCTCTTGGCTGCAAATACTTCGTCAAGGGTTCATTTTTCTTCTCGGAATTATCTTTCCGAAATCAGACATGACTTTATTCGGCCAAGATGATGTCGCTTTTTGCTGCACAAATTACGCAGCCAAGATAATATCTAATCAAATATACACGATGAGTTACGAGCAAGAATGAATGGCTAGCATCCACAGTAGATGGGAGTGCTCCGCTTGACCAAATATGTACCTTCTACGCTTCCTTTTCGTTGGTGAGATACTACTCATCAGTCTTATTATAAGCACGTTCTTCGAGGGAAAGTCCGAAGATTCAACGGTTTTTTTTATCTTGCTGTATCTTATCAATTAGTGCGTGCTGTACGAATGCCACCTTTTTTCATTCAGATTCGCAAAAACTCGACCGAAAGTGGGTATTTTCAAAGATAATTTCCGTCATCTTGACTTCTCATTAGTTCAAAAAGGACGATATATTAGAGACACAAACCATCATCTGTTATGAGAGCATCCAGGTGCCTTGCTCTATAGACACAAGAAAAAGTTCTTTTCCTAAATATCAAATTGTTTTGTGGAGCCCATTTTCCTGTTATCTCCCACAGAAGGTTGCTGCAAAATGATAAGAGCAGTCACAAAAGTTCTGGACCTTTGTGCTGCTATGATGTGATTGAGATAGGATTTACATTCTTTTTAATCGAAGACGTGGGGCGGAGATGGGATAGCATTCAAAGGGCTCTTATAAGTACAGCTTGTAAACCTGATCTGAAATGAAATCTACGATATAAAGTACCAAATATGACGGAAACGAAATCTAACAATGTCTTTCAGGAAAAGACCATGTGTGACGACAAAAAACCGCAGGTCGACGCAAGAGCGTCCGACGCAGAGTCAGGTTCTGTCATAGATACCACGGATGTTCAAGAAAATGGTTATGTCATAGATTCCAACGGTACACTGAAGTTGAAAAATGGTTTGAAGCCGGGACTGAAAAACAGAATGATTAATCTAATGGCTATTTGCGGTATATTAGGACCTGGAGCGTTTGTGGGTATGGGAAGTATGCTGAGAACAGGAGGGGGTGCTGGCATGCTTGTCGGATTTGCAATTGTTGCACTTCTCGTCATCAGTATGATGTTTAGTGTCGGTGAACTAAATGCCACTTTAGATTTTAATTTTTGCAAGCATGCATCCAGATACGTTTCACCAGGATTTGGGGGAAGTATGGCACTAGCATATGCTGTTCTATGGATAACAAATCTAATAGCTGAGTACACTTCCCTTAGCAGCATATGCACGACTTACACTGATAAGGTTCCTTTCTATGGTTGGTATTTGATATTTTGGGGGTTTTTCACTTGCTTTCAGTTTTTGGGGGTCACCGCTTATGGTGAAGCTGAGTACGTTCTCGGTTTTATGAAGTTGTTCTTCATTGCAGGTTTTTACATATTCGCTATAATTTACGCATCCGGAGGAGTTCCAAATCATAAACCCGGTAATCCATTTGGTGAGACACCTCTTGTGGACGGTTTCAAAGGTATTGCGAATTCCTTTGTATACGCCGCAATTCTTCTAAGTGGCATTGAAAGTGTTTCGGTTTTCGCCAGTGAAGCCAGAAACCCCAGTAAAGCTATCCCAGTAGCCGTGAGAAACACGATGTTTAGAATATTCTTTGTTTACTTCGGTCTCTCGGTATTCTATGCGATCACTGTTTCTCCAAATGATCCTGCTTTAGGAGGTGCAAGCAAAACTTTACGTGCCCCAATGACGATAGCTCTAACGAACGCAGGTTGGGTGAACGCAAAGTATTTTGTCACAACTATCATCGTTTTGACCTGCATATCCTCCATCAACTCTGCAATCTTTCTTTCATCGAGATCCTTGCTGACATGGGCCGAAATGGGTATGGGCCCTAAAATCTTTACTAAAACTGATAAAAAGGGTGTTCCTTGGGTTGCCGTCCACACTTGTCATTTGTTCTCTTTCTTATGTCTTCTCAGTATGTCTAGTGGATCATCCGTGGCCTATAGTTATATTGTAAATGTGACCAGTGTGGCTGCTTTCATTGTCTGGACAGGAATTTCGTTTACTCATCTGCGCTTTCGAAAAGGATGGGTGCTGCAAAATAAACCATTAGATGGACTAGGATTTATAGCTCCATGGTATCCTTGGTCGAATTATTTTGCAATTGGGTTAGGTATCGTCTTGGTGTTGGTTCAGGGCTGGTCAAGTTTCGATCCATGGGATGCTTCGACCTTTGTAGATGCTTACATTTTATTGCCGGTATTTTTTGTGGTATGGGCGGGATACGATTTTCTATATCTCAAAACAAGAGTGATCAAGTATAGTGACATGGATTTTGAAACGGGTAAACGTCTCGATGTAGATGATGCTTTGAATAAATTTCAAATAACAAGCTTAACATCTGCACTCTCCCATTAGAAACCAGTGGTTTCAATCAAATTTTGAGTTGTATTTCAAGCCTAAAAAGCATTCCATAGTTGTCTTACTAAGCAGCGATCATTGTGGTGAACAATGTAACAAATAAGGTTTGGAGTTTCATCGCACGCAAATTAAAACTATGCCCTGTACTCTCAAATTTCGAGTTCTATAGTTTTAATCATGACGTGTGTAACGATTTAATCTCGTTTCTAACGCCTTCGTTATGTATTATCTTAAATCGCGAAAATTTTTCACCATTTTTAAGAGAGTTTTTCAGCGGCGAGATCTTTCTTCCTAACCTCATCTCGTTAAAATGCCAATGGCCTACAGATGTAGGCAGGGAAAGTAGCATAAGACTTTAGCTACTGTCCTCTTACAATCGATCTAATATAACTACCAGGAACTTTTAAAGCCTTTCGTTGAATTGATGAGTTAGCATTTTGCTTCTTAGAGTGCGGCACCTGTAGTTGCGACTACAACCGTTGCATTCGACCCCACGATTCAAGTGAAAACTGGTTCGACTGGAAGATCAACTCACCCTTTTTCCACCCTGAACTGTAGGTTTTTCTTTCGAAAAATTGCAAATTGCATCTCGGGACTATAATATCTGGGTTACATATTCTTATTGACTCGCGCTTGTGACGGGCACGGGGAAATAATAATCGCGGGCGGATGCCGGGATGGCACTTCTCGTCGTGTCGTATTAGCACTCTTGGTTGAATAGTATACTACATAAGAATCTTGGTTTTAGATACGATAGTCTAACTTTTATGGGCCCATCATTGCGTAAAACGTCCCCCTTTGTCAAAGGTGTTGGTCACTCAATGTCTGGTCTCCACAACCGAAGGGACAACAACGACAACAACAACGATGGCAAACACGATGGCTAAAATAATTATGCATCTTATCTTGTTTCTTCTCGCTCTCCTGGCGCTTTTCACGGCCTTGTTCGTGTGTCCCACACCTTGTTCGACGTCCTGTTGGGCATCTTCCACATTCTTATCGATGACTTCGATGTTTTCTTGTTGCTCAATAACGAGTTGCTCCATGTCGTTGAACAGCTGCGTCAACTCAGCCATTGTCTTCTCTAACTTCAACAATTCCTGGTGTCTGGCTTGAACCTCTGCTAATGCCGTCTTGGCCTCGCCACGTCTATTGGCATTCAAAAGAGCCTGTGAGAAGATTTGCTGTCCGCCTACGTCGCTAATTGCTGCCTCAACCTCATCGTCAGTAGCCTCGGGTTGGATAATTTTGTACTGCCTCTTGGCCTGGTCCTTGTTCTCTTCCTTGTAGTTGGCCTCGATGATTCTGTAGTCCTGGATGAGCTTTAAAAACCGTTGCCTTGAGTTCTCAGCCTGCGCCTGCTTGCTCGAGTCCGTAGCACCTTGTTGCTGCGCGGTCTTTATCTTGGACTTCAACTGGTATTGAAGGTCTGAGGCACGGGAGACTAGCCCATCGAGCTGTTGTCTCAGCGCAAGTTCCTGGTCTTCGTTTACCTCCGTCAATAGCCTCTTTTGGTGAGCATCAATCTGGTTGATGATTTGTGTGTAGTCGTCCAATTCTCTGTTAATCTCATTGATACCGTGCATAAACGTCACGAAATCTTCGCCCGCACCCGACGTCGCCACCCCATCTTGCATTTGGTAGTTTTCCGCGTACGGATTGTCGTTTTCATACGGATTGTTGTAGCTCATCCTTCTTCTGACTCGTGCCTTTTCAACAAGTACTCGTGACTACCGGTTGTTGTAGTGAACTTGTTACAAGATTTGCTGGCGATATTATTTTGTGGCTGCGTCCAAACATAGAATTTTCGGACCGGGAATTAACCAAAACGCGCTTTATACGACGACGTCAACCACGTATTCTAAATTAGTAGTTATATGTCATATGAAGATGGCTTCGTGGCGGAGCTCTCCAAACGAACCGTTTGTTTAGTGTCAATTAAATTTCTTGAGAGTTTGTAAACAGTCTAACAGTCAACACAAGTAGATATACGAGCTGCCGAAGTCGTTGCCAAGCTATCGCGCTGTTTTTGTCCGCACGACGTCAGAGCATCAATGAGCCTTCAAAAGTGCCTTGAAATGTACATGGTGCCATGTCAAGGTATGACAAACACGTAATGTTCACTGCATTTCACTCTATTGATATGTAGGGTATGTAGCTATAACAAGTCCTGACGAAACTCGGAATGAACAGGGGACATGGATACGAGGGAAAACTGTGCCTCTTAGTCCGTCAGAAGCACCGAAGCCTGCACGATACTTCCTCAAGGGCATTAGTGGCGAAGCCTATATCTAAGCTTTATTGATCGACAATTGGCAAAGTGCCCGCCTCGCCCTCCAGATACGACAGTAGTTGGCCTACCTTCTGGGCCTTAGCACGAGTCTTTGGAAGTTCGCCTTGTGCATGAGCTAATTTGACAAGAGACTCCCTGTAATCCATGGACATCTCATTATTCAGTTCTGAAACAACATCGGTTTCTTCCTCTGATTCGATGCCCTGCTGTTGGGACAAGGCCTCGATCGCACTGTCGGCGCTCGACAATGCTGATTCTAATTCTTGTTCGTACATCACTCGTAGTTTCTTGGGTGCCTCACGTCGAAGTTGTGCCACTTTAACTGCGTGGTCTTCCCACTCTTGGTACTTTTGTCTCACTTGCTCATTCAACTCGAGGTCAAATGGCTCAACGAATTCCTGTTGTGATTGCGCAATAAGGTCGGAAATCGAGGTTCCTGAGTTGGCATTCACCACATTCAAGGAGCCAGATGTCATTTCCATAGTTTCTACCAAGAAATGCTGCAACTGGAGCAGAACTTCCTGTTTCACTGTGTCCTGTTCTTGAGGCAGATGCAAAGCGACTTTCTCATCAAGGATTCCCTGGAATTGCGCGTATATACTTCGCAATTGCTCAACGCTTATATCGAGCTTCGACGGCTGCGTATTCATTTTCACCTTCGTGATCTGTTTTCTTGCGTGTTTGACTGATCAAATGATGGTAAACAAAGAGCCTGCAAACTTTTCGCGCACCACGAAATTACAGAAAAAGCATTTATGAGCAGCTCATCATGGTCTGAAACTTCATAGTAATCATGAACTCAACATTTTGGGAAGGTATAGACTCTTCTAGGTTATTATCCCATCTCATTAACAAGTTAGCTAGGGGAACCTGTGTAACACGTGATTATATTCGTTCTTGATGATTTCTTCTAATGGGTCTTCCAATGGCTGTAAAAAGAGTTAAAAAATTGTAATGTACCACCTCATAGGGGAGGCGACAATTTATAATAAGCTCGTTAGCTTCAGAAAGACTATGTCAGAAGTGCTACCTATTGATGAGTATGCACCTTTATTTGCACCCTTCTTTGGGTTTGCGGGATGTGCCTTTGCAATGATCCTTTCTTGTCTCGGTGCTGCTATAGGTACAGCCAAGTCCGGTATTGGTATCGCCGGTATCGGTACGTTTAAGCCTGAGCTGATCATGAAGTCTCTAATTCCAGTTGTCATGAGTGGTATCTTGGCAGTTTATGGTCTAGTTGTTGCCGTTTTGATTGCTGGTGGCCTTTCTCCTTCAGAACCCTACACTTTGTTTAACGGATTCATGCACTTGAGTTGTGGTCTCTGTGTTGGTTTTGCATGTTTAAGTAGTGGTTATGCCATCGGTATCGTTGGTGACGTTGGTGTGAGGAAGTTTATGCATCAACCAAGACTTTTCGTGGGTATTGTTCTGGTGCTAATTTTCGCTGAAGTCCTTGGCCTATACGGTATGATCATTGCATTGATTTTGAACACTAGAAGCTCTGGTTAACCGGGGCGTACTTAGAGTTACAGATACGCGTAGCGTCTCGCCCATTTTAAATAACATTAGAGTGAGAGTTGAAATATAGAAAACGTAATGCAGCACTTTTCGTCGCATCGAAACCTTATTTAACATTTTTGGCTTACTACTGAAGCCGGATGGTAGAGCAAGCGTCCTACGTAGAATGTACATTATGCGAGATGAATTTGTCCTAGCCAGCAAATTGTGCCCAGTTTAAAATACAAAAAATTCAAATACTTATAGGAGATTTAAGAAAGTGTTCTCGCCCTAAGCAGTAGTGTCCATTGCATCTGCAGGGGCTGCACTGTTGATCTCAACCTTTCCTTGATCGTCAATGTACTGAGATTCGTTTTGTTGCAAAAACTTAACAGATCTTGAGCTGTCAAGGAAAAGTAAGTACGCCCTCTTCACGTCAGTCACTTCAACAGTGTTATTATTGCGCTTTAACGCGATTTGTTGCGCAACAGAAATCAAATTACTAGAATAGCGAAGACTTGTTTCCATACCAATCTTCGTAAATAAGTCCAACGCATCGGGGGCTATTTCGACTTCCTCTTCTTGAGCCCTAATGGAGAGGATTGTTTTGATTTCCTGCTCATTATAGTTTTGTGTTGTTATTATAATGGATCTGTCAAGTAAGTCCAAGGGCAGTCCGTGAGGAGATTTATAATTGGTTCCTCTGGTCTTGGAAATACCTCTGTTAGTAGCCATCACAACGATAGGGGCAAATTCGTCTTCGAGGGCTCTATTAATAAATGAGAAACATTCGATATCTAGCATGTGCACCTCATCAATGAACAAGACACCAGGAACGATGTCAGCCTTACCTTCTTCCTTCCATTCGGCGACCTTTGTGTTTATTTGGTCTCTCACCTCCGATCTAATTTCGCCAGTATCACCAGTAAATAAGGCCAAAAAGCCTTGAGTTCTAGAATTGATTACATCGATCTCATGCAGCGAAACTGTGTGTACAACAGATTTTCGCTTTTGTAGTTCACCTTCGGGACATTGAACAAATCTTGTATCGGCTCCCATGGCATCATAGTCTCTTGAACGCGCAAAAGATCTTCCTAATTTAGTAATCTTACCACTTGCTTTATCTATTGAAATTACATCACCCGCCAAGACTTTCTCTTTAGTCAGGCCATCAATCATCTTGCTACCCAGCTCGTAAATGGTCTCCATGTCAGTGGTTTTAATGGTCAGCTTTCCCTGCTTGTGACCACCAGTAATAGACTTATCAATTTGGATTTCGACAACTTCACCTTCAATTAATTCAGTTTCCTCCTTAATTTTAACGCCAATTGATTTTCTAAAAGCCTGAGTTAGTGCCTCGGTTTTGCTGAGTTCTAAAGAGAAAATTTCAGAGCCGGCTATGGCAGTGAATGGCACATCTTTTCCTAAAGATTGTGAGAGGCCCATTGCTAGAGCAGTCTTACCAGTAGATGGGGGACCAGCGATTAAAACTGCACGGCCTGCAATCAATCCACTTTGTACCATTTTCAAAATCACACCTGCTGCGCGACGAGCCTGCAATTGCCCCACCATACCTTGCGAGGTTGGCTTGGGCTGTAGGCTCTCGTCCAGACCAAGTCCAGATATATGGGAGTGTGCTGCAATCAAAGAAAGCGATTTTGCATACTCCTTAGAGCTGCCATCCGACGTTTGAATTGACATATCGTTATTCGAAGATTTCTACTGGTATTTTGATGATGGCAAAACTTTGTCAAAAAAATGATTTTGAAAACAACGAGGTCGCATCCTACGATTACGTTACAATTCAATTGAGCAGACCAATGAAACCACGAAAGTAAAAAGGTGATACTGCTCTTCATATTGCATTCGCATCATTGTTGGATAAATGAGCGTGCACATAGACTTATGGCTTGTTTATTGCCGACCGTTTTGGTTACAAGTTCTCAACCAACGCGTACATAATGATATTCTGAGAAATGCTGTCCCTGTAGCTCAGAAATTTTAAAGGATATCATTGCATTACTTGAAGGAAATAGTTATCTGGGTCAGACATAATAGTGCCCTTACTTGATGTCTGATTTTCTTCGAGCTATCTGCTGCTGTACTAATGTCCGGTCGTCGTACGTATATGTGAACGATCAGAAGTTTACCATTCAAAAATTATTAGGAGAAGGCGGATTCTCATTCGTATACCTCGTCCTTTCCAGTCAAGGTAAAGAATTTGCCCTTAAGAAAATTCGCTGTCCTTTCGGAAATATTGACTCTTTATCACAGGCTATGCGAGAAATTAATAGCTACAAGAGGTTTCAAAGCCCATTTATAACTCGTTTGGTGGATTCGCAGGTTGTGCAAGAAAAGGATGGGTCAAAGACTGTGTTCATTTTACTACCTTTTTTTTGTAAAGGTTCGCTCCAAGATGTGATCAATAGGCATTTACTCGATGGTACCTCCATGAGCGAAGACGAAGTGGTGCGAATTGCAACAGGCATAGCACGTGGTCTCCATTCCATTCATGATGCGACAACCCATGAGGATTCCGAACAGTACAGCATGGTCTCGACTGCATACACAGATGATGTATCGCTTATGAATGAGCTTGAGCTTGATACATTTGACGATTCAACGCAAACATATGCACATCGTGATCTAAAACCAGCTAATGTTATGATATCAGCAGAGGGTATTCCTGTAATATGTGATCTTGGATCATGCTCGCCTGCCAAGATAGAAATCACATCTCGACAAAACTTGATTCATTTCGAGGAATGGCGCAGTGAGCATTGTACCCTAGCATTCATTGCGCCAGAGCTCTTAAATGTCAAGCTTCACTCAGTTATAACTGAAAAGTGTGATATTTGGTCGCTTGGTTGCACTCTATACACGCTTTGTTTTGGAATTTCACCGTTTGAACGAGAGGAGCAAGTGAGTGGTGCCTCTGTGAGGTATGCTATTGCAACTGGTAAGTACTCCATTCCTAGTAAGCCCAAGTTTAACGGAGAATTCATAAGGCTGATCCAACAGTGCCTAAGTGTCAACCCAGATGATCGTCCATCGTCTAGCTCAATGATATCTGGCCTGGTACAATTACAGTCTGATATTTCTTCGTCATAAATGACCTGCACGGAACAATTGATCCAAGTGCGAGGCTAGGCCTTTTTTATCACAAACGAAGTAGGGCTCGAAGCATAGAGTTTGTATTCATCAGTCACCCATAACTGATGCTCAATCGAACCAAAAGTTTTCAAGATTGTAAGGAAACAGAAGTTCCAGGGTACAATGATTGCCCTAACTTACTATTTCGGGTAAATAGTAGTAAGCGTTCGGTTTCGTCCAATCAAGTGGACACGTATGGGAATACTAAACCAGCTGCAGCACCACCTCCTTCTATTAAGAGGTCAATTGCAACAAAAGCAACTGAACTCCCATCGAAGTCGATTGTGAAAACTAAAGAAGAGGTCATGACAGAGATCCAAGCACTCCTAAACAGAGAAACAAAACTATCCCCCGGTGAGTTCGAGTTTTATAAGAGAAAGTTCATGACGAATATTTCCAAGAGTTTAGAAAATGAACACACGCGCCTTACCTTGGCAGAAATACTTTCCCACATTTCTGAGAAGGACCAGGCAAAGAAACTCATTACTGGCTGGATGGTTTCGGATACTTCAATAAGTAGCTGGTGCCCTGCATTTCGCAAAATTGTTGAAAACGTCATTATATGAAAAATCTGAACCAAATAGTGACTTTTGATGACCGATTTCAAATAAATCAGAAAGTAGGAAAGGTGTATATTAAAACTATTTAATAATGTGCAAAAGATGGCCCGTCTTGAGAATTGATGCTTCACATCCTTCTTCTCTTACCCACAGTAGCTTGGAAACCGGTCTTGATAGAGGACACCGATCTTGTGGAGCCACAACTCTTACAAACAAGGAAGAATAATCTGTTGGATTGTTCCTTCTTCAATTCAGTGTTGATACTCTTACATGTCTTACAAGTAACGTATTCCAGGATGTATCTTCTCAAAACATTCTCCATCTGCTTGGGCAAAAATTTACCCTTGATAACCAATCTCTTTTGACCGTCCACCGAACCGGACGTACCCAATTCAGCGAATAAATATTGGATTAGGTGCTCTGGAGATCTTTGTAATTTTTCGGAAATTTCTTGAATATTACAGAAAATCGTTTTCTTACCATCACGTTGACAAACAGGAGGTGGGATTCTGAATTTAGGTCCGCTTCTATCGCCAGCCAACTCTGGATTGTTAGCCCTTAGGATTTTAAAAAATCTCGATAATAGCTCATTATATGGTAATCCAACATTCTGCTGGATGGCTGAATCGGTTGTTGGAACAGGAGTCCCCTCTTTACTACTTTCCTGAACGGACACACCAGCTTTCTCCAACTCTTTCTCAAAATCATCTAGAGATGGTTCCTTGGTCTTCTTTTTTTTCTTTTTCAACTTGAGTTCACCTAACGCTTCGGATACTTCGTCAACCACCTTTTCATTATCATCTCCTTCCTTTGCTTCCTTTGATTTCTTCTTCTTTTTCTTTAATCCAGCAAACAAATCATCCTCATTTCCCGACTCCACCGGGCTAACAGTATCCTCGGATGCAAGCTTCTTGGTCTTTTTCTTCTTCTTCTTTAGCGTTGGATCAAATCCCAACTCATTAGCTAGATCAGACATTGCAATATGAGTATGCGGTATTGCTGCTTTTGTTATAAAACACCTCCATCAACATTCAAAAATTTTTCATTTTTAGTCAATTTGACGCTAATTTCACACGATTATAGTCACTTTTCTAAGGTAGGGTAACTATGTAACAACCGAATATTCAATTCATTGGCTGATATAAAAGCGAATATAACCCCTCTTATCAGTCATATCTCTACCTTCTCGCTAAATTAGATTAATGGCGTATATACTCTAGAGAAGTTTACTGATTTTTTGCTGAATGTTACCGTATGCCCTTCATCAAGACAAATCTAATTCTTGAGTCTTCTGTCTCAAAGCTTCCGTAGCATCTTTAGTTACTTGTTCAATCTCTGTGCCTTCTTTTATCTGAACACTTTGAGTTGTTGTTTCGTCATTCGCCTCGTCGTATTGTTCAGGTTCGACGTCGTACTTCTTTAGATAAAATGTTTCAACTTCATCTCGGCCATTCTGTTCGGCTTCGAAAATAGCATCATGCTCAAATGAGTTTCTTATAAAGGGATCTGCATTGTATTCGTCACAGAGAAGCTTAACGCATTCTAGATTTCCATTGAGAGAAGCCCAATGAAGTGCAGTATTTCCTGTTTCATTTTGGGCATCAACCCACTTCTTTTGCTGATCAGCTGGCACTAATGACATTAAATATATGATCACGTCAGGGTGATCATTTGCGGCCGCCATGTGAAGAGGTGTTGACTTAGACAATGAATCTCTGCAGGTTGTAACTAGTGTGGGCGAAACCAGCGTGGTGAAAATTTCTCTCAAAGACTCTAAATCACCGGCTCTTGCATCTAAAATTATAGCATCTTGGTCTTCTTGGTCTAGTGGTTCCGTATGTAGAGGCATTTGAAATTTCGAAATGTGCTTGAGCGATGAGTTTAGCAGATTCCATCTGTGCATTTACTAAAATTTTTCGAAAAGTTGTGATACTACGTAGCCAATGACCACCGTTACTTCTAGAATACAAAATAGCTGCTTTGCATATCACGTATTGGCTACGAATTGGGCCATACTTCACGCTCCGTTAAGTGTTTAATCAGATTTGAATATTTAACTGTGGACTTCTTAGCGCCTCTGTTACTGCTGTGGTTCATCAAATTGACTTGGGTTATCAAAAAGTGGTCGCAGCGCTCATCGGTTACACAATAGGAAAATGAGTGGGAAGTTAAAAAGTCTGGACGAAGTGCTTAAAAGAGAACCTCAGTTCGACAATAATACTTTACTGGATCGTTTTTTCAAACGCTTTCATAAACAAATTGCATCCCAGATCAGTGATGATTCTAATCAGAGCATATATGCAGAATTAGGATGTGTTGATAACGCAGAGTTTGCTTCATTGTGCATGAATCATCTAGAAGAACTGAACAAGATAGTGTTGCAGACTGGAAGCATCAAGAAAGATGGACAATATTTGCTGCCAATTTCACTTCATGATATGAAGGACTTCGATTTACTCGTTAATTTAATTGTAGTCCATGGAATTTATGCAAATTTACCAAAGGGATTCGGTATTCCATTGGAACAAAGGAAAATGGGTAGGTTCAGAGACCAAGACAAAAGATTCATTATAGCCAAAGAGCACATTCCTAATTCGAATACTCTTCAATATATTTGCTTTGCGTTGTACAACATATTTATCTCGAACCCCATAAAGGAAAATGTTATTAGTGAGTTACTTTTGAAAGGAACTGGATATACCGACCTACTCACAGGGCTAATTGCTTTGTTGTTTCAACAATCATCGCAGCACGAAATCTTTTCGAAAATGATAGACAATCTTGAGTCTTTTCAATCAACTTATGAGCTATTGTCTCTCTATTCATTATTAGTCCATTCCACAGAAATGTCGGATATGAGGACTTATGTTCTGGAGAAACTCTCAACGTTACCGATCAGAAGAAACGATGGAGTTATTAGTGTAATTGAGTTTATCGTGGGTATACGTGAAGAGGAAGAAATAAACGTTGAAAAGCTTCGCAGAGTTAATCAACTGCTTGTCGCGAGACCTAAAACATTAAAAAGTACAGAGTACTTTTCAAAGCTTTTTGACCAAATATATGATGGCATGGTAAATCTCAATAGGCCAATTATGATAACTTGTTTGAATAGTTTGGTCACTGAATTCTTCTTCAAGAACAGGCGAATTGTAAAAGACTTCCTCTTCAAGAAGATTTATCGAATCCTCTATAATGAACAATTGGTCGATATCTCTTCTAAGGAGCTGAATGACACCATCAATGTGGTTATATCACTTTCCAAAAATACCTCTCTCGAGGTTGTACAAGAGTTCACCTCAGGAGGTGCGCAGAATTTCTATTTGAATTTATGGATCTACGCAATGTACTTGAAGAAAAATCAACGTTTCCAACCAGGTATATCACCGAAAGATCAAAATACAGGCTCGTATTATAGGGTAATCATTGGATTAATCAAGACCTTCATAGTTTTGACGTCAAATTATCACGCTTTGGATGACATCGTTCTTCAAATAGTTAATTTTGATCATGAAAGCTGGGGTTACGGGATTGATCTTGAAACTCAGCTTCCGTATGTCAAGCTTCTTGATGATAACAAAGTTCTAGAGGATTTAAAAGTCACTCCGTTAAATGATGAGATAAAATTGCAAAGGATTCAAGAAGTTTTTCTGGATATTGATCTTGCGGTCAACTGTTTTAATGAATTGCTGAAAATGCTCAATGAGCCTGATGTTATCAAAGACTTGTTTTTATCGGTTATGAATAGGTGGGTTCGAGCTACTGGTAACAGTATGAAGAAAGAAGATACATTGAATGAAAATGTTCAAAACAGTTTACTTGTTCTAGTCGATCTGAAGCTATTAGAAAAAATGAACGAACATTTCAAAGATGATATTATTCGAAAACCTCAGGATGTTCTATTGCTTGTTGATGAGCTGTTGGATTTTTGTGGGGAAGACGCAATTGACGATAAATACAATTCTATTGCAGGGGCAACGCAAGATTCGGATGATGAAGATGATGAAACAGAAGATCCAGCCGTAAATGAAGAAAGCTTTCTTGTTCAGCCTGAATCATCTAATACATTTATAACATTATTGAAATTGTTATCTGCGGTTTTGTCGTCAACAAAACCGGAAGAACTGATCGGTTCCAAGACCATTTTGGAATCGATAACGAACACATTATCTAGGTACGACAGGAATGAGAGCTGTCAAAGTTTGAAAACAAACATTGGCAAGATTTTGGCAAGGGACTTCGTCTTAAATACCCAAGAAGATGGTGATAAACTAAAAACCCAAAAATTTCTTCTTCAAAAGGCTATGGCAAACCTAAATGACTCATCTGTTCCAATCAGAGCGCATGGGCTTTATGAACTGCGGTCTCTCATCGAACAAAAGTCCCCACTTCTTGAAACTGAATTGGTTCTCAATCTACACATTAAACAATTACATGAACAGGATCCTTTCATCTACTTGAATGCCATCAAAGGCCTTGTATCATTATGTCAAGTTCAACCTGAGAAGAGCATGGAGTTTTTGTTGGACTTTTATCGAAATGAAAATAGAAAACATTGTCTTGATGATCTTTTGAGAGTGGGGGAAGTTTTAATGAACTATATTATGGACAGTGGTGAGCTGTTTAGTGGTAAGAGCGCAGATGCCCTCGTTGGCGTTTGTTTAGAGAAAGTACAACAAGTTGAAACAACGGATGACAGATTGAGAATGTCGGCAATGTCATTACTTTCTATGTGTCTGCGTATTAACGCAAAGGGAGTTCGGAAGCATATAACAGATCTTTTAGATTGCGCGTTCGGGATTTTACGGTTAGAGATGAATGACGAGGATTCATCTAGTAGTAATCAAAAAAATCCGAAACTAATGAGAAGAAGCGCAGTCCACCTAATTTATGACTTAATCCAAAGTACTGGTTTGTCTGCGCTTCCACAACAGTATAGCGGATCTAAGTTGGTGAGTTTAATTAATTACGCAAAGGAGAATGATCGAGATTACTTGACTTGTGAACAGATTGACGCACTATTAGCTCTAATAAGAAGCGATTTAAAGGAACAGCTTCAAATAAGCGATATTCCAAATGAGGTGGTGCAATCTTTGAAATTATGATTTTGTTGACGTCCACTAGTTTTTTCTAGAATTTAAATAACTACACTTCAGCGTCAATTTATTCGATATTTGTCACTATGAACGTATTGTGTTTTTTCTAGAATTTTCTTCGACAACGACGTCGCCCACAATTTTTCGAGTATTTAAGGGCAGAATAGAAAAAAGGATGACAAAGTATTTGAATTGCGATTCAACTATCAACAAGTTTGTTTTTCATTTTCAGGCAAGATGGCTAACCAAGAAACTTATGAATTCCAGGCTGAGATCACTCAGTTGATGAGTTTGATCATTAATACAGTCTACTCCAACAAAGAGATCTTTCTAAGAGAACTTATTTCTAACGCTTCAGATGCATTGGACAAGATAAGATACCAAGCTTTGTCAGACCCAAAGCAGTTAGAGACTGAGCCAGAGCTCTTCATTAGAATTACTCCAAGGCCAGAAGAAAAAGTTTTGGAAATTAGAGATTCCGGTATTGGTATGACAAAAGCTGAGTTGATCAATAACTTGGGTACTATTGCTAAGTCTGGTACCAAGGCTTTCATGGAAGCTCTATCAGCTGGTGCCGATGTTTCCATGATCGGTCAATTCGGTGTTGGTTTTTACTCTCTATTTTTAGTTGCTGACAGGGTGCAAGTCATTTCTAAGCACAACGACGACGAGCAATATATTTGGGAATCTAACGCTGGAGGTTCTTTCACTGTTACCTTAGATACTCAAAATGAAAGAATTGGTAGAGGTACCGTATTGAGATTGTTCTTGAAGGACGACCAACTTGAATACTTGGAGGAAAAGAGAATTAGGGAAGTTGTAAAGAGACACTCCGAGTTTGTCGCTTACCCAATTCAGCTCGTTGTCACCAAAGAGATTGAGAAGGATGTTCCGGTCCCTGAAGAAGAGAAAAAGGAAGAAGAAGCAGAAGACAAGAAGCCAAAGCTAGAAGAGGTTGATGAAGACGAAGAAGAAAAGAAACCAGAAACTAAGAAGGTGAAGGAGACGGTCAAAGAATTGGAAGAACTAAACAAGACAAAGCCATTGTGGACCAGAAACCCCTCTGAAGTTACCCAAGAAGAATACAATGCCTTCTACAAGTCTATTTCAAACGACTGGGAAGATCCTTTGGCGGTTAAGCACTTTTCGGTTGAAGGTCAATTAGAGTTCAGAGCTATTCTGTTCATTCCAAAGAGAGCTCCTTTTGACTTGTTCGAATCTAAGAAGAAGAAGAGTAACATCAAGTTGTACGTTCGTCGTGTGTTCATTACCGATGAAGCTGAAGAATTAATTCCAGAATGGCTAGGGTTTGTCAAGGGTGTTGTTGATTCTGAAGACTTGCCATTGAACTTGTCGAGAGAGATGCTGCAACAAAACAAGATCATGAAGGTCATCAGAAAAAATATCGTAAAGAAGTTGATTGAAACTTTTAACGAAATTGCTGAGGACTCCGAACAGTTTGAAAAGTTCTATTCTGCTTTTGCCAAGAACATCAAGTTGGGTATTCATGAAGACTCTCAAAACAGAGCTGCTCTAGCAAAGCTGTTGCGTTACAACTCTACCAAGTCTGTAGATGAAATGACTTCTTTGGCTGACTACGTCACCAGAATGCCAGAACACCAAAAGAACATATACTTCATCACTGGTGAATCCTTGAAGGCAGTCGAGAAGTCTCCATTCTTGGATGCCTTGAAGGCCAAGAACTTCGAAGTTCTGTTCCTCGTTGACCCAATCGATGAATATGCTTTCACACAATTGAAGGAATTTGAAGGGAAGCCGTTGGTTGACATTACCAAGGACTTCGAGTTGGAAGAAACCGAAGAGGAAAAAGCTGAAAGGGAGAAGGAAACCAAAGAATTTGAACCATTAACTAAGGCTCTAAAGGAAATTTTGGGGGACACTGTTGAAAAGGTGGTTGTTTCACACAAGTTGGTTGATGCCCCTGCCGCCATCAGAACTGGTCAATTTGGGTGGTCCGCCAATATGGAGAGAATCATGAAGGCTCAAGCGTTGAGAGACTCCTCTATGTCCTCCTACATGGCTTCCAAGAAGATTTTCGAGATTTCTCCAAAATCATCTATCATTAAGGAGCTAAAGAAGAGAGTTGACGAAAACGGTGCTCAAGACAGAACTGTCAAGGACTTGACCAATCTATTGTATGAAACTGCCTTGCTGACTTCTGGTTTTGCTCTAGATGAGCCAGCTTCTTTCGCATCGAGAATTAACAGATTGATCTCTTTGGGTTTGAACATCGATGAAGAAGAAGAAGAAGAGACCGCCGTTCCAGAAACTGCATCCACTGCACCAGCTGAGGAAGCACCAGCTGAGACCGAGATGGAAGAAGTCGACTGATTTCTAGATTTGCTTTAGCTTGCGAACCTTTCATTCGTTTATAACATAAACCATGTATTAAATCGAAATTCTGTGTATAAAACATCTAATTTAGTTTATCTTTTGTTGGGAAAGGAGAGTAGATCGTGAAACATTACGTTGTCCAATTTTGAATGTCTTACCTTTTCATCTAACTCGCAAGAACACAGGTCGTAACATGGAAGTTAGCAGCTCAAAGAACCCCTCCGAAATATCGAAGCGGTTCAGCGAAGCGGTGAAAGGTATGTCTTTTCTACGAGTCTGTCATTCTTGTTCCTCTATGTATTCTAACAAAGCTTGTCAAGAAATTGAAAGTCAACTATCAAAACCAACGCCTACAATAGATTTCAAAAAGCTCAAAAGTGAAATAATTGCATTGTCCAATGATCTTACCTCGATTTCAGGGAACTTGCCCTCATATGGCATCAAAATGTATACCGCTACGATCGATAACCTGCTGAAACGGGTAAACTCAGAGGAACTCCAATCTCAAGTCTCGCAGATGCCTGTCAAATCTTTCAAATTTAAACAGAAGCCCAGACTTCTGAATAAAATGAATGCGCTAGATCAGGTACGTATCGAGGATAATTTAAAAGATGACTCGCCGATCATAATGAACACGGAATTTACCCTTGAGCGAGGCAAGAGTTTCTTTCAGAACCTCAAGTACTGTACCATTTCTGATGGCTTGGTCCATGAAAATTCAGGTAAGGGTACTTCCTTGGCATCTGGAACATTACACGTCCGTAAAATTGACTCATGTCTCATTAATGTTAGTCGGCTGCCCTTTTCCCAAGGCAGCATATTTTTAGAGGACTGTAAAAACTCCATAATCATTATGAAGCTCAATTATCAAGCAGACTTTAGTGCCTCAAATAATATTCAAGTGCGATTGACCAAATTGGTGAACTGTTCATTATGCATCTTAAAAGAAGGCGAGGATAGGCAAGTTATTGTCATGGAGCAGTGTTCAAACTGTACATTTCACGAATGCACTAGAAAACATATTCATATTCAAGATTTCAGTGACTTGAATTTAGGTGCCGCACATGTTTCATCGAACTACCAATTCAACAGCTTCGAGCTATTTGACTTTGATACCAGTGCATTGAAAACCTTGATTAGCTAATTATCCGTTTGATATGATATCTTTGTTGACACTTGTCCCAATCGGGAATAAATGAAAATACCTTCGAAAGTACATCGAGAGAATCAAATTTCTTAATAGATTGCTAGATAACAAAAGTGCCATCCGACAAATCTTTCTCAGGTCCTTGACGAAAGACTGTCAGCATTTAAAGATATCCGAGATGACTTCACTGAGTGGATCCCCAATGAGATCTAAAAATTCATTTATAAATAGATACATGGCAAACTTGGAAAATTCGGATACAAAACTCCAGCCCACATCACCTTCGAGAATTAACTCAGTAAATAATTCCCCAATTACCAAGCTTAACATACAAATTTCAGATTTATCTGATGACAAGGAGAACATATCATACATGACGCCAAAAAGAACAAAAACAGAAGGTCCTGTATTAGGACAGAACTTGCAAAGAACTTCGTCTTTGTCACCATCCAAGACTTTATGCTCTTCATCTAGCTTAATGAACCTCCCGAAAAATTCATCACCATCGCAATTATTTGACGTTTCCACTTTGTCAAGGAAAGATGCTAAATATTACGAATTCCTCTGTAGAATAACCGAAGCTAAGAATTGGATGGAAGAAATAATCGGGGAGCAATTGCCATCTGAAATTGACCTGGTAGCTGGAAATGCTATGAGGGATGGTGTTATTTTGGCAAAATTAACGCAGAAAATGAATCCGGGGTTAGTCAAAAAAATTGTACCTCCTGGAAATTCTTTACAATATACGCATACCCAGAACATCAACTCCTTCTTTGCGTTGGTGGAAAATGTTGGAGTTCCCGATAATTTTAGATTTGAATTAACAGATCTTTACGACAAAAAGGACATAGCCAAAGTGTTTGAAACCATTCATGCGCTAGCTAACATAATAAATAAAAAGTGGCCCGGACGAATCTCGGAAATTCAAAATCTGTCAGGCTTGATCTCACCATCGCCAGAAAATATCAAAATTTGTCAAAGAAAGCTACCTGCAATACATGATTTCAGATCTTTTAAAAGCGAGTATTCTCCTAGTGCGTCCCCCTCAAAACCCAGCTCACAGGGACTGATTGATGACTTCACTTCAGAGACTGTTATCCTTGATAAACAAGCTACTACTATTGAAAAAAATGAAAAGGTTGGCCCTAATCTCGTTAGCCCACCAGAAATTCCACAAACTCCTACTAAAGAAGATGTTCCGAACTTATCTTTTCCACATGTCCTCAACACATCTCTCATAGATATTCGGCGTCTTCCAGACCGATCAAGTCCATCAAGAACGCCCATTGACTTGTCCTTGACACAAATTCCTCAGTTGGATTTCAATCACATATACAGTCCATCCAAGTCGTTCTCATATTACTCCCCAACCATTTCACGGCATTTATCATATAAGACTGACGAGTTCAACTTTTATTCCAGACGGAGGTTTGAACAAGACGATGATAGTGATCACTATGATACTTTCAGATACACAAAAATTTCTTATTCTCCAATGCGGAAGAGGCGTATGGCAGAGGTTGATTTTCTTGATGCCGTAACGGAAATCCAAGCAATTTGCAGAGGTGTGAACTGCAGATTTGATCTCCTACTGAAAGAAAGGAAATTAGCACTCATAGTTAATTTACTTCCCCTATTCCAAGCTAGGCTACGAGGAAATTTGATGAAAAAATCGATAAGTGCAAAGTTAAAGTCTCTAGAATCCGAGGCTCTATATCCGCAAATCTCCAAATTTCAATCTCTGGTAAAGGGGGTTCGTGTACGTCGGAGGTTATTCAATATCAAGATTGGTTTACTAAAGGTTGAGTTGTCGTTATTCAACGTACAGAATTTATGTCGTGGGATTGCCACAAATAGAAAGTACAAGCAGGTCTTAACAAACTATAATATCACTAATCCACTATTCCAGACTTTACAAGCATATGCTAAGGGTAAACTACTCAGAATGATTATCAATAGTAAGTGCAACACGATAGCATCGTACTCACAGGAAATCATAATGATTCAAGCCTTCGCTCGCGGATTCATCCTTAGGAAAAATCGGCAATCGAAACTTAATTTGATAAATAAAGAAGGCGCTAGTCTTGTGAACTTACAAAGTGTATTGAGGGCCAAAATATTTAGAAAGAAAAAGGCAGAGCTCGATTTAGAGCTAGAACATTTTGAACCTAACAGAAGAGCTTTTTTGGCGATTTTGAGGGGAACATATGGGCGTTTAGGAATAAATTCTTTAGTAACGGCCGTTCGGGACAGCAAAGATCCAGTAGTATCTTTTCAGGCATTAACAAAAGGTGTCCTAACGAGATATTCTCTAGAATTAATAGCAGATTATGTTGAGTCCAGCGAGATTGCTGAATTTCAGTGCCTATGTAAGGGTTTTCTGCAAAGACGAAATCTCGAGGTGATGCAGGCTTACTATGAGAGAAATGCTTCAGATGTTATCAAAATTCAAAGTCATTTCCGCAGCGCACAAATGAGATGGGCATATCTGGAGTTTATGTCATCGGGGAACCCTAGTTTATGGTCAGTGAGGAGGTTTGTACATTTGGTAAATGAACTCCACGTCTCTCACGAATCAGAAAGTAAATTGGAGGACCTGAAATCACTCATTGACCAATCGAATAAAGATTTTGACAAAAAACAATCCAAAGTCGATCTTTTCAAATCCAAGATAAATCTACTTCGAGAAAATCATTTTCAAATCTCACTGAATTTGAGTGATGCAGATGACACATTGGCATTGGAGAGTGATGCTACAGGAACGTTATCTGTTTTTGAAAAGTTGTTCTATTTACTGCAAACTGATACGTTCTATTGGAAAGCCTTATTTCGCGTAGAGCCGAGCTTCTCGTTGAAATATGTCACAAAATCCTTTTTGTCAACGAACGGTATGATGGGTCGGAGAGAAAATGTCTTTTTCATCAAACTTATTTCAGATCTCATAGCAGCCGATATCGAAGAAAGGCATGATATTAAAAGCTTCTTAGTTAATGATCAGGTATGTGTGTGGTCAGAATTGGTGCACTACTATCTGCTCCATCAGATACCCGAACTGATGGTTGAGCTATTCCAACCTGTTTTAGATTACATTACTAGGCCTGACATCGATTTCGAAGCAGTTCCGTCCAATATCTACCGAAACTTACATCCTGAGAGGCCCGAAGTGACTTCCAGCGAAGCAATTGAAGATATGGAAACAAAGTCAAAGTTCATCAATAATTTGACCTGCATGTGGGGTGCTGTGGAACTAGTCAGTGAAGCACTTTCTAGAAACTATTCGCGAATTCCAGAGGATATCAAATATCTGTGTACAAAGGCATACAAAGCCGTCGCCGATCGCAGTTCCGAGGAAAGTGATGCCTTGCTTGCTATCTCTAGAATCCTGATTGAGGAGTTTGTATGTTACTTCTTCGAAAACCCAACAAAATTTGGTGTGCAAAAACTGGGCCTTGCTTCCGCGGGTAAAGTGTCAATATTCATCGAATCATTGATTACCGTATTCTCGTTTGATGATTTCCAGGGCTACATGACTCCTCTCAATCAATATGTGGATCAAATAAGAGGTGATATCGCAATTTCTCTGAAAAGCATGTTAACGTCCCCTGAATTCGAAAATCATTGTGACAAATTAATTTACTTTGATATGAGTCAAGGAATAAGGCCTCTACTAAATATCCCAAAACAGTATCTATTGGATATTGTTAACAAGCTGCAGTGTTGTAGTGAGAGCTTTCCGCACGATGACGAAATACACGTACTCTTCAAACTTCTAAAGAAAGGCGATTGTCAATCAAAAATAATGAAGGATAAAAGGAATATTATAATATTGAAGTTAAATCCAAGTGCATACAAGCTGTCCTCTAGTGATGATAGAGTCTCATCGATTTATAACGAAGTTAAGAGGGGTTTAAGTTACATGATGCAGATCGAAGATATTGAAACAAACCTCTACGACCTTCTCACGAGCTCTGTAATACCAAGTGATGAGCCAGTTTTCCAGAATTTTTTGAAGAGCTCTGCGGCTATTAGAAGTGATCCTCTATTCAAGGGCTTAAAATCTTTAACTTATTTCGATCTGAAGGAACATGTCCTGGAAAGATCATATGAACTTAAACAAATGGGTGCGTTAAACATTGACGATCACTGTCAGGGCCTATTGAATGACATTGCCAATACTATAAAATCTCGAAAATTTGTGGTGAAATCGATAACAAATGAGGTTGACGTTGCAGAGGCAACACTTAAAAAACTTGATGCAAAAAACAGATCCCTGCAAAATCAATTGCAGCTGTTGGAAAAATCTGTTATGCAATCGGTAAAGACTGTTCAACGATCGAACAATTATCTTCCAATGAAGAAGAACGGATTTGGAACCAAGTTGAAAGATGCTTATAGAAAAGTGCATAACAAGTCAAGTGGTAGTTCAAACTGTTTGAGTTTGGATTGGAGCGCAAGGAGACTTTATGAGCTTGAAGTGCTGGTAGATATCACGGGCGAAAATTTGGGCAAAGTGGCAGTGAAGTTTTTTGGATCAAGTGGTCCTAAATTTCCTGAAGTTTACTTTAAAATCTCTACTTCAGATGGTGAAATGTTTGGTGTAGAGATGATTGATGAAAGGAAAAATGACAAAAAATTCAAGGGAAACAACATTGATAGCTTCACCTTTAGGAAATTGCTTGAAATCTTGGCGCACAACCAACATGCTCAGCTAACCTTCTTCTCTGCGCAAGCAAAATTCAACGCTTATCACTTATTTCAATTGATTATTGGAATGTTCTACAAGCGTTAGTTTTTTACAGTATAATTTTTACAATTGTCTTAATTTCGTATCAGACATCAAAACATAAAACTACCGACATAGAAAAATGAATTCCATTTTAAAATAATGTAGGTCTCAGTGGTTATTGTTGTGAATACATCCAATCGCATATTGAAAATATTTAATGTAGGTATCTCCAAATATAAACTGATTTTAGAGTATTACTTTTGCTGACCTTTCTGATATTCTAGAGACCGTTCGATATTTTGTTTCATAACCAAATATCGAAGATAATTGACTCTGCCATGAACTGTAGGAATGCTGTAGCTTATTTTTATCCATTGATCGTGATAGACCCTCCCCAGTAGTCGTTCCGCATGCTCTTCTAGAATTATTTCCGATTGGTCATCCTCACCTAACGAGCTCAGCCCATTCAGAACTTGACCCATTTTTGAGTTAATTATATATTCCCATTCTGGTGACATGTATTCCAATACTTCCAAGCTTTCAAGCTGCCTCACCCTTCTCCAGGTGATGAGAAGGTTGATAAGGTCTTTTAATACCACTGTAACGCAGCACCCCAGTAAATTACCTAAATAGATAACGTCATCAGAAGTAGAGGCATGCTGACTCAATAGTTCTTGAAATGCCGAAAATCTCATTAATACGAAGTGATTGAAATATTTGCCCGATAATGGCCAGTAGACGGTTGAGGCAACTTTTTCCCACATTGACGTCTCAAGTAAAGCTTGTGAATAATCAAATTTCAATGTCATAAGCAATCTACGTGTATGAATACTCTCATTGATATGATCATCACCTTTTGAGAAGAAAAGCGATTTGATTTTGGACATAATGCTCTCGCTATTATTATTCGATAAACTGAGCTCCTTCCTCGTTTCAATGTAGCTTTGCTCTGCTTCAAATATTCTCAGCTGGTCGATCGTCATTTGATCACAAACAAAGTAAGGTTTGACACGGTGTACCCATCTGAAATAAATAGGGTTGAGAAGAAGCTTAAAAAGAATCTCATGCAACAAACCTAGAGGATACTGAAATAGCATGAACCTTTTCACACTTGTGTTTAAATTTTCTTTGGGCCTCAAGAATGCTAGAGGGTATATCCATCTAACCCAACTAGTAAAGGTGTTATCGAATCGTAAGCTCAGTAAATAAATAGGAGTGGAAGAAAGAAGTAATACTTGCCGAAAACCAATGGAATCCCCGTGGAACGCATGATTTATACTCGAGCAGTTACTCAAGTCAAGTAACTTTAGAAGAGTGCTTTCAGGTGCTAATGTCGTTAAAACCTTTAATCCCCACGAAAGAAATAATCCGGCACAACTGAACAAGATAGAACCTCCCACAGTTCCAACCAGCGTAGCCTTCGTTATACCCTTCACAGCCCAATCAATAAATCTCGAACATGTAGAAGACAGCAGAAGCATAATTCCCCTGTTTGTTTTTAGTAATATAGGTGCGTTGCACTGAGGGCATACAGTATTAATGACAAATTTCCGTGAATGTCCGTTTGAATCGATCTTACGCTCTCGAGCACCGGCAGACATCGCATTTGTGACCCTCATTATAACTTCCTCTTCCTCTCCGGAAGGAAATGCCCTTCTTATGCTACTGGGATCAAAACCTGTCCATTCATTTCGTGGACGATCTTGTGCTCTGAAGTTCAACCAAGAAAACGGATGAAATGCAGTTGATGCTCGATGAAGTGACGAATACGAGTCTAAAATATTGACCGATTCAAAACCAATATTCAGTCCATTGGTGTTGAGTTCATTTAAAACTTCGTTTTTGTACTCCAAATTTGTGTTTGCAACCCATTCAAGGAGACATCTTCTATGTGCCTTGAGAGAACATCGACAAGGATGCACCCAATCATGTGCATCTTCAGCCGTTCCCAGAGGTGGAGATTCATCACCCGAACCAAGGCATATCCAACACGTTGCATCCTCAACCATTTTACTCTTTATTTTTCATGAAATCTATGTATCGCTTATGAAGTCTTGAAAAGCCTCAAGTTCCTTAAGACGTCGAAATGTTAAATACAGTCTAATCAAATCCTTTCCTAAAACAACAGCAACACACCCAAAAACATTCATTGCATATTCACATTCATCTGGGGTGGCCTCAGGACATATGCTTGTGAGGCAGTTTGCAATCCAACCTATTCTAGAGAGGATTTTGGATGAAATCTGCTTTCCTAGCCAAGGCCAGATAAGATTCTCAATAAAAATATCACACCATGTGGACTTTATAACTAAATCAGCTTGATCCGCCTCGTCCGCATACTCAAAGGAGTAATCATGTACCGCGGCATTCCATTTAGGCTCAAGGAAGTAAGGCTGCGACTTTGCTAACCAGCGGTTTACAATGGAATTCGAAAGGGTGTCAAACAGAAGGGGATAAAAAAGCACTAATAGTTCGGTGTACGATGAAACTTTTGCTAGAAGACCATTAGTAAGTTGATGTTTGACAAGTAGAAAGGGATAAAGAAATCGAAGATGTGCAAACAAGGACTTCGAGAAGCGAAGACTTGCCAGATAGATAGGAAATCCTAAAACCAGCAGTTTCGTGTGTTGATCGATGCTTCTGAAGCCTGTCATGCTATTGAAGTAGACATCAAGAGCTCTTGTAGTGGTAACTTTTAATGCTTTGCGTAGCACGCTTTCTGGCATAATACATCTGAGTTGCCATAAAGCACATTTGAGCCACCATTTGACAATATTAGTAGATGATGCAACACAGAGAAAAATAACTGCCGCATACCTATTCACTTGCTTTGTTAATCTTAGCAGAAAAAGAACAGGTGAACCGCTTGTGTACTGCAGAGGTCGAGCTAACACCTTCTTCTTGCACTGTGGACACTCCACACTCTCAATTGGAACTCCTCTCCACAACTCGTGCGAACGGTATTTGGGGGTAGATAGTCCCAAGATCGCTCTTATAGCAAGATCAGTGACACAAATAAAGCTTGCCCAGGTTTGCCCGACAACGGGCAAAGACTGAATAGTCTCTACGGTATTCATATCTTCATGCAAAATTCTATTACCGTCAACCAAGTAACAAATACGTCGCTTAAGTTCTCTCACTGTGTTAATTTTGTAGAAATCGTTGATGTCGTACCCGTCCAGTCTCTTCTTGTTGAGAGTAAAGAGCCATTTGATAAGACAACGTTTGTGAACCTGTAGATTACAACCGCAATCGTGTACTATATAGGAACCATTTGCGTTTGACTCTTCCAAGCATATCCAGCAGGTATACTGCTTTCTAAGGCCCATCAACATCGGTGTGCGGGGTTATTTCGTTTATAGTCAACGCGCTATTTGCTGAAAGTTGACATTGGATAATGTCATAAGGGTGGAAATCAACCAACCATAAATTGTCAACCAAAATGAAAAATAGCGAAAATATCTAAGAATAGTTTGAAGTAAAATTATTTGAACTAACTAACGACCAAATAGGCCAAAAATACCCTTCTTCTTGGGTATTTCTGTTTGTGATTGGGCGGGCTCTTCAGATAAATGCTCGACGGGCTGTGGAGTACCTTGAGGTTGATCAACGTATGTGATATAGTTAAAGGCAAGATCAAATAGGTTAGGCTTTGCTGAAACGGGCATAATGCGTGGCCTCATTGGGAAGAGATTCTTAATATCCACATCCTGAGGACCGACTGGCTTGCCCAAAAGCTCAAGTAACGTAGGGAAATATTTCTTGCTAGAATTGCATGAAGTAACCTTTTCGAATTCAGCAAGAGCGATAACACTGTTTGAACCGGCGATAATCATGTCCCCCAGTGTCTTTATTTTCTCTGGAGTTATGATATTCCCAGGTAACGAAGCCTCGATGCCACTTTCCTGAAGGCAGCTATCTAGCCTCTTGTGAGCATCAACATACAATGCCAATGATTCCAGATATTTATTCTTGGCCTGATACAGGGATGCCAAACATCCTGCCGTCAGATGTAGTTGATAATAAGCCACGGCTATCTTCAGAGTGCTCAGTAGCTCGTCGTCAGAATAAACACCGGGAAGCTCCATTATTTGCCCCAAATATGTTACTATATTGCTGACAATACGCTCAATTTCCTTATATTTCGTGAGCTTGCCAACTATTGAACCCTTTGCTGAAGTCCACTGTTTCCACAATTGCTGGAAGATCTGGTCATCACGCTCAACCGTAGTGAAGTAAGAACTGTATTGAATGTAGGTCAATAGGATTTGGTCATCCTCTCCATGATCCTCATCTTGTTCATCTTCTTGCGATTTCTCGATGAAACTTCTTTGAGCATTAAGCGCTTCTTGCCATTTTGCAAGCTGAGTGCTGTAGTCCGACAATTCTTTAGGTTGAATCTTAGAAGCCTCTGAAATGACTTCAGCGACTTTCGAGTCCTTGATTTTTGCAGTGAAAGAGCGCCATTGAACCTGTCTGGCAGCTGTAGCCTCGCTCTCCATTTCAACATCATTATTTTGAGAGTCAAATCCATTGTCGATCAAAACTTTAACCAGTGGATCAATAGTATTTGCTTGTACTTGCCCTTTGATAAAAACCTGTAGCTCTTTAGTCGTGAATAAAGCAGCATCTGCGTGCTGTCTGAGAAGATATTCAAACTTTGATGTAATGGCTTCGGAAACATCTTTGTCTAGCTTTTCGAGCTGCTGGAGATGCTGAAGTGCAGCAAATGCTAGGGCCAAATCTTTCGCTATTACTGAAGAATTCTTGCGCTTGACTTGCTTGCCAAAAACGAGATACTCGACTTGACAAAGCTTATCGTAAACTAGATACTCTAAACGCGTAGCCCAATTCGACTCATTTTGAGTGATTTCCAGTAGCCTTTGGGAAGTCGTATGCGCTTTCTTCAATCTGGTTGCCGTTACTTTTCTTTCACTGCTTTTGAGCGATCCTCTTTGTCTCGCCTTCAATTTCAAAGCTTCAACGAGAGCAAGGTCCCTTTCTGCGTGTAGCAGAACAATCGTCCCAAACAATTTACTTTTGGTGTCGTATTCTTCATGCCCAATCTTGGAATACTTCTCCTTTGAGGAGTACTTTTTGGTGTCCTTCGTCGTTAACCGACAATGATGCCTCAACTTTTGCAATTTCCGGTTCAGCTTTGCATGATATTTGTCAAAGTCTTCTGGAGTTTCCAGGAATTGATTAATACGAACCCCATAGGTAGCACCAAGCGGTGAATAGTGCGACATCGTTGATTTACCACTCTCACGGATCGGCGTAACAGTTTCGTATTTTTTCATGTCTGCGATTGGAAGCGAAAAATTTTCTCCATATTGAATCAGATCACATGAACGAGAAAGTGCAATATTTACGAACTTCGAGTTGTTAAAGATCTCGCGATATACGCGTTTGGGGTGTATCTCAGTTCATTAACTGCGCTATCATACTCAGAAGTGTGAATAATTGAGGTTTGAACGCGTATCCTTTGAAATGGGCTCCACGGTAGTTTTGATCTTTTCAGTTTTAGGTATCTATGCTGCATTTCTAACATGGTCTCTCGTGTATGAGCCATTAACCACGCGAGAGTGGCCCAACTCCCAAAATCGGTTCCAAAAGCCATGCATTGTGGCATTGGTGCAAGCGGTAGTTGCTGCGATCACAGGCCTAATATACATGCGTTGCAAGTGCACCAAATACAACGCGAAGAAGCTCCTACGAGATAACTACAGGCAGTTATTTTTAATATCGTTAATGCAGAGTACCTCGGCACCTTTGGCCACATACGCATTACAGTATGTCGACTTCTTAACCTATATGCTGGCGAAAAGTTGTAAACTAATACCTATTTTAGTGGTGAGTCTTTTAGTATACCGCACTCAAGTTCCTCTCGATAAAAGAGTAGTGGCCGTTGTAGTGACACTCGGTGTACTCATTTTCAACTTGGGTTCGAGGAAAAGTAGAACGCAGGGTACAGATATTCATATTGGTTATCTGAAAGGGTTTTCGATGTTAACATTGAGCCTTCTCCTCGATGGCTTTACAAACGCTACACAGGACAACCTCCTCAAACGTAACAGATCTGAAGGAAGGCATATCATCACTGGAGCACACCTAATGTTTGGTCTCAACTTATGCATAGTAATATGGAACATCTTGTTCCTTATCTTCATAGACCCTGATCAGGGCCGTAGCGCTCGATCTATGATAGCTATGGACCCGGAAATAATGCTTTACTTGTTTACCTACGCAATCTGTGGTGCGTTAGGTCAAATTTTCATCTTTTTCACTCTAGAGCAGTATGGCTCTCTCGTCTTGGTCATGGTTACTGTGACAAGAAAAATGTTTTCGATGATTTTAAGCATTGTAGTATATGGCCACCATGTAACGGTTATGCAATGGATTGGCATAATGATAGTATTCGGCGGCATATCTACGGAGGCCATGCTTAAAAGAAGATCTTCGATCAAGCCCAAAGCCGAATAATATTCCTTCTAAGGTGCCTAACCGACGGAATTTTTTTGTCCGTTGCAGCCAGCTTCAGAGTCACAGAGATGGAAGGCCCTATATAAAGCAAGTGTTGTTCAGCTTGATAGTATTACATTCTTAATTGTTATCACTTGATAGAGTCACAAATGCCAAAACAAGTTGTAGCTGCCTTACAAGTTGGAACCTCTCCTGAGGGTACCCAAGATACCCTGAAAAAGATCCTTTCGTATGAGGAAGAAATAAAGAAATCTGGAGCAAAACTAATTGTGATTCCTGAAGCAACCTTAGGTGGATATCCTAAGGGCTCTACCTTTGGTACTTACTTGGGTTATCGTTTGCAATCTGGTCGCGAAGAATTTGCGCGCTATCACGCCCAAGCAATCGAAGTGGGAGCTGGAGATCAATACCCTGAGATCAATCAGCTTTGTGGATTATCACAGCGTACAGGTGCGGCCATATGTTGCGGATGCATCGAACGCGACGGCACAACACTGTATTGCACCATGGTGTTCATCGATCCTTATGCTGGCTATGTAGGTAAGCACAGAAAGTTGATGCCTACCGCCACTGAAAGACTGATTTGGGGACAGGGCGATGGTTCAACATTGACAGTTGTCGATTCACCGGTCGGCAAAATCGGTGGTGCCATATGTTGGGAAAATATGCTTCCACTTTTGAGACAAGCAATGTATGCTAAAGGGGTTCAAGTGTGGTGTGCCCCAACTGTCGATCAAAGACCAATATGGAGAACTGTAGTTCAGAATATTGCATACGAGGGACGTCTTTTTGTAGTGAGCGCTGTGCAATTCATGCCTGACGCTACCACGATGGGATTTGGAGACATCGTTGACGAATCCACTGGCAAAAGACAACTTCCAGGCTGGCCAAGCAGTGACGACAACTGCATCAACGGTGGAAGTGTGATTATCAATCCTTATGGTGAAATTATAGCGGGTCCTTTGATCGGAAAAGAGGGCCTTTTGTCTGCAGAAATTGATACTGATATGATTGTCGAGGCACGCTACGACTTCGATCCAGTTGGTCATTATACTAGAGGTGACGTTTTCCAGTTGACCGTTAACGAGAAAGCCCAAGATATAAAGTTCACGAATTAAATGATTACAGAATATATATAGATGTATCTATTTATAAATGTATCAAAAATTAACATCTTGTGAGTCTCTCTCTCAATTCTGCATCATAGGCGTAAATATACAAGCCCTTGACGCCTCTTGTGAGCAGGACATTTATGCTGTTCATGATAATTTTGTGCTTTACCTTCTCTGGATTTTTGATATTTTTCTTCTTTGTGAAACCAGCACGGTCATCATACAGCTCTGGCTTCAATTCTATACGGTCAGTTTCCTTGTTGTAACCAACACTTCTTCCAAGGATTACCCCTGCATAATTGAGGTCGAAACCCTGAATAGTGTATACGCTTCCAACCTCATCAATTGTATCTTCTCGCTCACTCCAGGGAGTTTGCTCACGGGGTGTATAACGATCCCATCTTACCTTAAAACTGTCACCGCATGTCACAAAATAATCTTTTCCGTCAAGGCGATATGGGAAATCATAGGTGGCCAGCATCCTACATTGGCCATATTTCTCATTCAATGCTTTGAGCTCCGAGAACATCGCACCACAATCTTCCCATATTCTGAAGTCAAAATTGGAATGTTTTTGGGAGACAGATTTAGGAAAAGGCAGAATTTTGCCAACGGTGCTCAACTGTTCGATCCACTCCAGCATGTCGGGTTCAGCAACAACTCTAAACTGCTGCTTCAAAAATTGCCAGTTCTTATTTTCTTTGGGTAATTGGTTGTAGAAATATGACAGCGATGATCCATCAGCAGCATCCTCCTCCCAGTAGGAGCCCATTCTCAGTGCTTGCTTATCGTCATACACCACCACCAAAACTTTCCCCAATTCCATCAAGTCTTGCAAGTGATTCTCTCCATAAAATCTCTTGAAAGCATCTTTTGAAGTAGATAACAAGTGAGCTTCGTCAACGATAATGATATCAGCCTGAGACTTCTCCTTTTGCAGTGTGTTGATCAGCGAAGTGGGTCTTTCCAAGGACGACTTCGAAATATAGGGAAAAGACTTACTGATTCGGTGATAAAGTTTGAGCATCTCTGGATGGTTGACAACCAGATAATTTCTTGTGCTATTGATAACGTCATTTTCGTCCTTATCATGAAGCGCCAGCCGCTGAATATCATTGAACAGAGCATTTAAGACTACAGATTTTCCTGTTCCGGCATCTCCCTGAATCACATACATCGATGGAGTACCATTGTAGTTTTTCAGCTTTTCTCTTGCAAAAGCTAAGATGCTTTCTTTTAAGTTTAATTGTTCATCGGAAAGCTTAACGTGCGACAATTTGTTGATTGCATTGTCTCCAGTTTGAAGCGAAATTTCATTTTGCCTTTTCATCCGCTTATAGTTTCGTGTCATTATGCCAAGAGTTTGCTTATTTAAAGCATATCGTGAAGAGTATTTCAGCATAGTGCGCTCATTTTTATTTATATGATTCGAGCATCAGCATCGGCCTTAAGAAAAAGGAAAAATTTTCCGACCTTAAAAATTGATCTACTTCTTCACCCTTTGAATTGATTTAGAAGATATGAATTGGAAGAAGCTAACACTTCCCGATGGACAGCCGCCTGCTGCCCTTACCGTCGGGCTTATGATTTTTATGACTTTCATGTACCTGCTGAATTTAGCATTTGGCTTGAATGATCACATCATTCTGAAGCCAAATTCTTTATTCAAATTAGACCGTATGTTAAACAATCATCGTAAACTTGCAAAACAAGTGTGACATTACTAACGCAGCAGTAGTCAACCGTATATCACTTTATCCCTTGGCTCACCTTTCAGTGATACATCTATCGCTTAATGCATTTTCCTTATTTGGGCCCCTTACAATGTTTGAGAGAACTCATGGAACAGTTCACACAGCGATCATGTTGAACTTGCTAGCAGTCACAACTGCAATTCTATATTGCCTTATCGGGTCTTTGTTATTTCCAAACGTTGACGTTGCTGGTAGCAGTGGCTGGTGTTTTTCCCTCTTTGCCTATTATAGCGTCAAAGAATCGGTGCTCCGCCCTACCCAAAGAATCGTGTCCACGTATTCATTCCCAACTATCTATATACCCGTTGTGCTTCTCCTTTTGATTACAATTATCGTTCCTGGATCGAGCTTTTGGGGTCATTTTTTGGGAATGATAATGGGTTACGTTCTTGCATTCAAAGAAAGCATTTTCTGCAAATTAGCGCCTCCAAGCTCACTAGTGATCAAAATCGAGACAAAGCTCGATCGCTTGATCAATTTGATACCTTTGGGTGTGAAATATTACAGGGAGCAAGAAGCGGATAGAAGCTTGGAGTACGCTTCGATTTTTCACTCTGAGGATGTCCTTCCGATTCACAATAATGAGAATTTTCAGGGTCAAGGCAGAGCTCTAGGAGCATAAGTTTGGTGTGAACCTATCCAATCATATTATTATATACAAGTTGTCTGTGCTCGGCTCTTTATTTACAATTCTTGTTGCATGACGTACTTCCTCAATAGATTCTTTCTAATGTTGCTTTTTAATGAAGCTGGATCTTCTACCCCATTACCTTCTAGAAACTTGTTTGAGGCTTCTTCGTCTTCTAGAAGTTCCTGTACACGTGCTTGAACAGTAACTATCTTGGATCTCTGTTTCAACACTTCTTGCTCTAGCGCTAACACATTCAACTGTAGTAACTCCTTCACAGTCTCAGGAGTAAAGCTCTCAATTCCGTATCTAGCCTTTATCTCCGCAAGCGTCTCCGGACTCTCCCCTCTTGCAAGCGTATCTTGAATTTGGCGTATATCCTCCAACAAAACACTTTTATCATTCTCTAACATTTGACGTCTTTTCAAAAACTCGCCTGTCTTCTTCGCTTCTTCCTTGGCGACATTAACCTTGGCTTGCGACTCGAATAGCGCGAATTGTTGACCCTTGTTTTTTATGATCTCAGCGATACTAAAAAACTTTCGCTTCGAAAGTGGCCTTGTAGCTTCAATACGTACCAGATCTCCTTCACGCGATACTTCACCTTCATCGTGCACTAAATAGTCCTTTCTGTGGAAAAGCTCCTTATTGATCCTCTTATTGAAAACTTTTCTTTCCACACGAACCTTCACCGTCTTCTGCATCTTACCCTGGGAAACCACCAGTCCAAGGAAGTTCTGGCGTGCCATACTTTCTTCAATCAACTAAACTTCTACTCTCTGGCTAATCCAATTCATGGAAAATTTTTAAATAACGTGAAATCATATTGAAGGTTTAGTTCGGCACGTGATACATACCTCATTTTAATAATGTTATTAAATGTCACTCAAATTAGCTCTTACCATCAAAATTTCAGTCCCATCTCATAAGCCTTTGTTACGCCATTTACTGATTCTTCTCTGTGAGTTTTCCCCTCATCTTTGCACTAACGTGAGCTGTAAATATTCGCAAACAATTATTAGCAAGGGAAAACTTACTTGCATTTTCAAGAACTAGCAAAAAAGGCATGGATCATTATAGAAGTAGCAAGCGCAGCTCGATATCCTTTGGGAGCTATCAGAGGCCGTCAATGAATTTTGGCCAAAACAGTTCCTCTTATTATACACCACGCCAACTCTATTCTGCACAGCAGTCTCCTCAAAAGACCCAAGCGATGATACCTTGCCACTACGAAGCGCATTTCCCTCTATTTGCGCTCGATTGGAGTGAGGATGACTACGTAGCACTAGGATCTTATAAAGAGGACGCCTTCAACAAGATACAAATAGTACATTCAAATGATTTGATAACGTGGGATAAGGTCAGTGAGGGGAACGTTGTTTTCCCCATATCGAGAGTTCAATGGTGCCCCAACGGGATGTCCCAGAGACTTGCGACATGCTCGGATTCTCTGAGGTTGTGGAGTTTCTCAGACTGCACGTTACAAGAACAGTTGAATTTGTCGCTTTGCAGATACAACAAGGGAACAACTACCTCGATGGCTACGCTAGGGCAGCTTCCCCCAGTATCATCCTTTCATTGGAATAGCATTGACAACAATCTAATCATATCGTGCTCCATAGATACAACATGTACCGTATGGGACTTGCAATCTACCAATTACGTCAAAACACAATTGATCGCGCATGACAGCGAGGTCTTCGATGTCAAGTTTCTTACACAATCAACTCAACTGTTTGCAAGTTGTGGCGGGGATGGGAGTGTGCGCGTCTTTGATTTGCGCTGTCTGGCACACAGTACAATTATCTACGAACCAAGCGCAGCTTCGGGTGTGCTTCGCGAAAATAGCAATTCATCCTCCCATGCTTTACTGAGACTTGAGCCATCTCTTTACGACCCTAACGTGGTTGCCACTTTTACACAGGACTCTAACAGTATAATCATATTAGACATGCGATACCCAGGATCTCCCGTGCTCACTCTGGAAGGCCATATCAGCGCAGTAAATCAGATCCAATGGCATCCTTCAAGGCGTAACGTTTTGCTTTCGTGCAGTGACGACTGCCAGGTTCTTTACTGGGATTTAAACACTTGGCTCAGCTCCAGCGCTGTGGCCTCGACCGCCTCTAAATGGAACGCTAACAACATAGTTCACTCGCTAGACGTACCTCAACAGGCCTACACAGATGCTCCATATGAGGTAAATAATATAGTATGGAGACCACAGGACGACTGGTTTGGGTGTAACATGGGACGCCAATTCCAAAGTGTTAGAGCATGAGGATGCGGCGACAAGTCATGCCAATGCCAATAAAACAATTCGTTGAATGGCTTTTAAGAGATTATCCATCCTATATATACTACTAATGTAACATAATTAAAGTACTTTGGGGTCCTAATAATATAACTACATGAGTAATATGCTTCTTACTGTTGAGTATGTATATACGTATATGTTCACGTGACGGATTACCGGAGTCAAGATGAGATCTGAATTTTCGACTCCTTCTCTCACTGCAGTCAAGATGAGTTGACAGCGATGAGACTTATCAAAAGTGACGCGCTGAAAGCAGCAACCTCAACTGTATAAATAGTCGATGGTGCGCATCGGGTACCCTTTTATACTAGATGCTCAAATCAAAGGAAATGCTTAGATCGAGATTGCTGGCAAGCTCTGGATCAGTTACTAGATCATTTCACAGCTTAAACCGATTGAGAAACGTGGCCAAAGTAGCCAATGTTTCCTCTGCGGAATATGATAAAATATACACTCCAAGAGTGGGCTCTTATGCACAGCTGGACACATTCCAAAGACGTCATCTGGGCCCCAGTACCACAAATGTCAGTGATATGCTCAAAACCATGGGGTACAAGGATTTGGATCTTTTCATAAGTCAAGTGATCCCTCCCCAGGTGTTGAGTAAGCGTGCGTTGAAATTGGAGGCACCTGTGAAGGGTTACACAGAGCAGGAGATGCTGAAATGCCTCCATGAAGTGGCCAACAAAAATAAATGGAACGTTAAGAACTTTATTGGTAAGGGCTACTACGGAACCATTTTACCACCAGTCATCCAAAGAAATCTATTAGAATGCCCAGAGTGGTACACTTCTTACACGCCTTATCAGCCAGAAATATCTCAAGGGAGATTAGAGGCTTTGTTAAACTTCCAAACGGTTATTTCAGATTTAACAGGGTTGCCAGTGGCCAATGCCTCCTTACTAGATGAGGGAACAGCAGCAGGTGAATCGATGCTATTATCCTTCAATGCTGCTAAAAAAAAGAGAACTAAATTCATCATTGATAAAAGATTGCACCCGCAAACCAAATCGGTCCTCAGGACAAGAGCTGCGCCATTTGGTATTGAGCTAGTCGAAATTGATACATGTGACACCGAAGCCGCTAAGTCTTTGCTATCAGATAAGCAGGTCTTTGGTGGTTTGGTTCAGTATCCCGGCACAGATGGTTCCATAACGCCGGGAGAAACCATGAAACTGATTGCGGACACATTGCATGCCAACAAGGCGCTCTTTAGCGTTGCTTCTGATTTGATGGCACTTACCTTATTGAAACCTCCTTCTGAATTTGGAGCCGATATCGTCCTAGGTTCCTCTCAAAGATTTGGTGTCCCATTTGGTTACGGTGGACCACACGCTGCATTCTTCGCGGTTGTCGAAAAATTGAACAGAAAGATACCTGGCAGAATTGTTGGAGTCTCGAAGGATAGATTGGGGAAACCAGCTTTACGTCTCGCTCTACAGACCAGAGAGCAACATATTAAACGTGACAAGGCAACTTCCAACATTTGTACTGCCCAAGCTTTGTTGGCCAATATTGCTGGAAGCTACTGCGTTTACCATGGGCCACAGGGTCTAAAGAACATTGCCAACAGAATTTATGGATTTACCAGTGTTTTGGCAGAAAAAATCCAGAAGGAATCTGTTCATTCTTTAATCAACGAATCTTGGTTTGACACCTTGACTGTGAAGTTGGCTGACGGTGTGAATTCTAATGATATTCTACAAAAGGCCTTCAACGATTATTCCATCAACCTATTTGCTGAAAGCGACAACATTGTTAGCATTTCGCTCGATGAAACAGTCACTCAGGAAGATCTAATTAGTTTATGCAAACTGTTTGGAGTATCTTCCAAACTGCCAGAATCTCTTCCATGTTTCCCGGATGCCCTTCTGCGGAAAGACTCAATTCTTTCCAACGACGTCTTCAATAAACACCATTCCGAGACTGCGATGTTGAGATATCTCCATCGTTTACAAAGTCGTGATCTTTCGCTGGCCAATTCTATGATTCCTTTAGGATCGTGTACAATGAAGCTTAATGCTACCGTCGAAATGATGCCAATAACATGGCCTCAGTTTGCGAACATACACCCCTTCCAGCCAGCTGACCAAGTTGAAGGCTACCGTGAACTTATCGGCTCTTTGGAAAATGATTTGGCAAACATAACCGGTTTTGATGCTGTTTCGTTGCAACCAAATTCCGGCGCACAGGGTGAGTATAGTGGGTTGAGAGTAATCAGGTCTTATTTGGAATCTCAAGGCCAAGGTCACCGTAACATTTGTTTAATTCCAGTTTCAGCTCATGGGACCAATCCCGCTTCTGCTGCCATGTGTGGATTGAAAGTTATTCCAGTCGATTGTTTAAGTGACGGTTCGTTGGATTTGAAAGACCTAAAGGCCAAGGCTGAGAAATATCAAGACACCCTTGCTGCAATCATGATCACCTATCCTTCGACCTATGGTCTCTTTGGCCCCGGCGTCAAGGATGCAATCAACATAGTCCATGAGAACGGGGGACAAGTTTACTTGGATGGTGCCAATATGAATGCGCAAGTGGGTCTAACATCTCCTGGAGACCTAGGTGCAGATGTCTGTCACCTGAACCTACATAAGACTTTCTCCATTCCACACGGTGGTGGTGGACCCGGTGTTGGCCCAATTTGTGTCAGATCTCATTTGGCGCCTTATCTGCCAGGTCATGATGTTGCTAAGATGATCACTGACATTGGCAGTGCTGACAGTATAAGCTCTGTGTCGAGCGCTCCATATGGAAGTGCCTCGATCTTGCCAATCTCGTATGCTTATATCAAGATGATGGGTTCCGAGGGCTTGCCTTTTTCATCAGTTATCGCGATGCTGAATGCCAATTACATGATGAACAGACTGAAGTCACATTACGATATCTTGTTCGTTAATGACAGATCTAACATCAAACACTGTGGTCATGAGTTCATAATCGATCTGAGAGCTTTCAAGACTAAGGGCGTTGAAGCTATCGATGTTGCTAAGAGGCTTCAAGATTACGGCTTCCATGCACCAACGTTGGCCTTCCCCGTGCCTGGAACATTAATGGTGGAGCCTACAGAATCGGAAAACCTCGATGAGCTTGATCGCTTTGTTGAAGCCATGATCGCAATTAGACGCGAAATCGATTTATATATCACTGGCGACGCTAGAGGTCAAGTTCTTAAAAATGCACCACACTCTCTAGAGGACCTTATCACTAGTGAAGACTGGCAGACAAGAGGGTACACGAGAGAAGAGGCTGCATACCCTCTAGGTTATTTGAAGTACAACAAATTTTGGCCTCCTGTTTCGCGCCTAGACGATACCTACGGGGACCTAAATCTCATGTGCACCTGCCCATCTGTGAAGGAAATCGCTGAGGACACAAACGACCTCTAAACTATGTAGACCGTTATGTACCATAGAATTGTTGTTACCACGCAATCTTAAAAAATCCACAAGCACCTGCTGCATCTCGCAAATGAAATTGAAGACATTGTCTTTAAGCGATGCGGTACCTGTTTGCTGTTGCTACCTTCTACTCTGGTGCGTTTCGTGGGGATTCGGTTTTAACCGGCAAGTGTGGCGTTTCTTGGATTTTCTCGGTATTCTTGGTTTTCTTGGATTTCTTGGTAAATATCACCGATAGCATCTCGAAAAAAATGACTGTGGCTCGATGAGCTGTGGCATGAATGAAGACTATGGACTAAAACAATGGTTGCCCAAGTTGAACCCGCAAATATTGACTTTTTGGTATACATATATTTAAACTGAATGAGATACGCTGGTTCATTGGTTTTTTCCTTCGACAGTACGGTGTGATAGCTATTGTGATTTAAGCTGAATATGACTTCGCTCACTGAAGGATCCCTCGCAGGCACCTGGAAGCGTACGCGGTCAAATTTTGCGTCTGCTGGAAAAGAATTGATTGTGGACCCTTGGAAACGTCTAAAATGGGGCTTCATTCCTGTCAAGAGAATAGTCGACGAAAACTATGAAGATACTGCGGTTGCTGGTGAACAGCATGAGGAGATCTTAGAAAAAGAAGAATCTAAGGTCATACCAAGTAGTGAGTCACAGGGCTCAAAAATATCCGATTTAACTGACGAAAAAACTAACGAAGGAGCGCCAGCCAATCTTAAATTGGAGTACAGAGATGAAGCTGACCGCAAATGGTGGAGTTTCTTCAATGAACAAGAATATCGTGTTCCTAACTTGAAATCCAAAAACTCAAAATGGTGGCAATGGTTTGGTCCTGATGTTTCAACCAAAGAGAAAAAGCTCTTGCTCAAACTTGATATTCTTTTGGCATTCTATTCTTGTATTGCTTACTGGGTTAAATACCTAGATACCGTTAACCTGAATAATGCCTACGTTTCAGGAATGCAGGAGGAATTGAACTTCAAAGGCAACGATTTGGTTCAAACTCAAGTTATGTACACTGTGGGCAATATTATCTTTCAAATCCCATTTTTGTTTGTATTGAACAAAGTCCCTTTGAATTATCTACTACCAACATTAGATATTTGCTGGTCCATTCTCACTGTGGGTGCAGCAAAAGTAAACTCTGTTCCTCACTTGAAAGCTATCAGATTTTTCATCGGTGCTTTCGAAGCACCATCCTATTTGGCTTATCAATACTTATTTGGCTGTTTTTATAAGCATGACGAAATGGTTCGTCGCTCAGCGTTCTACTACCTCGGTCAATATGCCGGTATTCTCTCTTCAGGTGGTATTCAATCTGCAGTATATGCAACCATGAATGGAAAAAACGGACTTTCAGGTTGGAGATGGAATTTTATCATTGATGCAATTATCTCAGTTGTGGTAGGTATTATTGGATTCTATTCTTTACCAGGCGATCCTTACAACTGCTACTCGATTTTCTTAACTGATGATGAAATACGATTGGCACGTAAACGTTTGGATGAGAATAATACCGAAAAATCTGATTTTTCATCCAAGATATTTGACATTAAAGTCTGGAAGAGAATTGTTTTTGATTGGAAGATTTACGTTCTCACGCTATGGAATGTATTCTGTTGGAACAATAATAACGGTTCATCAGGTGCTTATCTATTGTGGTTGAAATCTTTGAAACGCTTCTCTGTTCCAGAATTGAATAGGCTAAGTATGGTCACCCCTGCTCTAGGTATGATCTACTTGACACTAACAGGATTATTTGCCGATAAATTGCATTCAAGATGGGGGGCAATTCTTGCGACACAGGTCTTCAATTTCATGGGAAATGTGATTCTCGCCGCATGGAACGTACCTGAAGGTGCGAAATGGTTTGCTTTCATGTTACAATATTTTGGCTGGGCCATGGCCCCAGTATTGTATTCGTGGCAGAATGATATATGTCGTCGTGACGCCCAAGCTAGATCTGTGACATTGGTAATAATGAATATGCTCGCACAAACATCAACAGCTTGGATATCGGTATTGGTGTGGAAAACTGTAGAAGCACCACGTTATCTCAAAGGTTTCACGTGGACTGCGGTCGCATCATTTTGTCTTTCTGCGTGGACATTCGTCGTGCTCTGGTTCTACAAACGCGATGAGAAACGTAACGCGAGAGCAAATGGTATTGTTCTGTACAATTCAAAGACGGGAGAAAACTACCCACCAAAAGACCATGAGGCTTAATTAATATGCGTCTTACTACTTGTTACGATATAATATAATATAGGATAATATAATCAATGCAGCAGATATGCTAATTAATTTGCTGAAGCAATTTCTAGAGCTTCTAATAATTATTCAAGATCAATTTTTCTTAATGACGCGCAAAAAGCCAAAATCTTCCTTGTTTTAGTCAAAAATTCTCCACACCACTGGTCGTGAGAGTATGATTAAAAAGTGCTACCAGTACCTTATGCTTTGCGATGATTTCTTGCAAACCACTTCCTTCTTGTTCTTTTACCTTTTGTAGAATTTCCTCTCTTGCTTACGTTGCTCTCCGTTTGTTTCAATAACCTCCCAGGCTGTGATAATGCAACTTGTGTTTCTCTTATTTGATTTAAAATTGCCTCTGTTTGCTGCCTCATTCCATCATCCTCTTGAAACTCATCATTTTGGAACCATGGTGATACTGAACCAGTCTGACTTGAACTACCTCGTTTACTTTTATTCCTCCTTCTCTGGTTCAGTTCTATCATGATATTCTTGAAATATTTGTAATATTTTGTTTGGTTCACATTTAAACCCGGTAGGGCTGCAAATTCATTCACCGATGATGGCAAAACGACGGCTGCTTTTCTTAAAGCACAGTCAGGTATAACAGTCAGAAAACTGTTAAACTTGAGTTCTCTTGCAATTTCACTAGCCCTATCTTTCAGCTTGTGGTAAGAATATGTAATTTCTGCTTGCTCCAAAGTCGAAAGCATATTGGTGTTGTCCTCAAGAATAATTGGCCTCGTCTCTGTTCTTTGACGAGTGTCACTTGACGTAGTGTTATATCCCTGGTAAACAAAATCACGTAAATGTGTCTTTGCACTTTTAAAAGGAACAGAATTATTGTTTGCCCCGTTAATGATTCGGCTTGCCTCAGCAGACGTCGGGCGATTTTCGAAGTTGGAAGGCGCTGGTGAACTTCTCGACGCCATACCATTACTAACAACAAATTGCATACGAATTTTTGCGTTGTTATTCAGAAGTTGTCTTGCTTTAGGGCCAACCTTGACGTAGTTGGAGGCAAAGCCGCGCCCGTTCATCACAGAATATTCCTGCAAGACCTGGGTGGTTACGAGATGAAAGAATATACGTTCAATATCAGATTTATTCATATTCTTACCTTGACCATGAAATTGAAGCCTATCATGCCCCAATTGTACGATTTTTGAATTTCTTGATCCTTTGTATATGTCCTGACAATGTATTAGCGTTACCTTTTCATCTTGAACAGATTTAACTAGATTAACAATTTGCAAGGCTTCCGTAGTCATGTCTCTTTCTTCTGTGATAGTGTTTCGACTCTCTTTACAGTTATCACAGTTATTCTGACAAAGCTCACTAGCAAATTTTTCATTGAAATATGACAAGACCAGCTGCCGCCTACAATCGGTCGTATTTTCACAATACTGCATCACCTGCTGTAGTTTTGTTAAATGCTTTTCTTTGTTCTCTCGATCTAAATTCGTATCCTTCTGTATCATTGTTTGTATTGTTCTGACGTCACGAAAAGAATAATACATGATGCAATAAGAAAAGTTTCCATCTCTACCTGCACGACCTGTTTCCTGATAATAGCCTTCCAAAGTTCGGGGAACAGTGAGGTGATAGACAAATCTAACATCAGGCTTGTCAATCCCCATACCAAAGGCGACTGTCGCACAAATAACCTTGATGTTGTCCGACTGCCAGGCTTGTTGGACCTGCATCCTTTCGTCAGATTCCATCCCCGCGTGATAGTATGCGCAGTTAATACCATTCCGTTGCAGCAAAGAGGCAGTTTGTTCACATGAATTTTTAGAGTGGCAATATATGATACCAGTTTGATTATGGAATCGGGATTTGATAGCATCGCTTATTTCGAATACAGCGTTTTTGCCCTTTTTGACAACTTGATAAAATAAATTAGTCCTGTTGAAACTCTGTTTTAACAAAACTGGATTTGATAGCTGAAGATTATGAACAATATCCATTCTCACCTGTTCACTTGCTGTTGCTGTTAGCGCCATGACAGGAATATCAGGGTACTCATTTTTAAAATACTTCAGCTCCTTGTAATCTGGTCTAAAATCATGACCCCAGTTAGAGACACAGTGAGCCTCATCAACTACAATTCTTGCCAATTTCTGATCTCTGTAAAGTTTGTTTATTGCTTTTTTACACTGCTCTGAAGCACTTATCATTTCGGGTGATATGTAAATCAAATCCAGTAAACCGTTGATAAACAAGTTGAAAACCTGCCGCCTTTGTTCCGCAGTACCTTTGGAACTAAACATACACGCCTTAATATTTTTTGCTAGCAAATGTTCAACTTGATCTTGCATTAAGGAAATGAGAGGTGAAATCACAACCGTGGTCCCACACGTCTTACCAGATCTAACAATGGCAGGCAATTGATAGCATAGTGATTTACCACCTCCTGTAGGCATGAGCACAAACACATCTTTTCCTTCCAATGTAGCATTTATAGCGTCCAACTGATTTGGTCGAAATCCTGGCAATCTGAAGACATTGCGAAGGCGATAATTGACTTCATTAGTCCATAAATAGGTTGGCAATGAAGCATTGGTAGAATTGATCTCGGTAGAATTGACCTCCTTACCCGACTTCCTTTTCGAGCCCCGAATTTCACTTAACGAAAAATCATCTTCATCATCAAATGCACTATCTTGCTCTTCGTCGAATAGAGAGTCCACATTTATCACTTCCTTCTTGACATGCAATACTGGAAAACTCGCTTGATCCAGTTTTTGTTCGGATATGATTTTCAGATCGTCATCTAGATCTTTCAAATCCGCTTTTTGGGTCTGATATTCTCTCTCAGCATCAAAATCTTCGAAATCATCAAGATCACTGTTTGTGAAGATATCATCAAGCTCTTCAAGCGCAGCTTGGCTTCTTTGAGGTACACTCAAATCTAATGACTCTACTATAGGATCTCTTAGCACATCGTTATTACTGATTGCGGTATGTTGTATGCTGTCAATAATAGAGTCGTATTCAAAATCATCATTGTACTTTTCTTTTTCAACTAAATCAAGCTCCGGCGTTCGATGTGTTGAATGTTGGCCATCAGCCTTGCGGTTGGAGTTTAAAGGTGAAGACCCAATTACTTCAATATGAGGAGTCGATATATTAACACAAGATGGAGGTTGGGGTGTACAATCGGCGCCATTTTCGGTATTTGAATGATCGCCATCTACACTATTGTACTCAGCATCCTCTATATCCCCTAAGAAGTTCTGCAACCCATCTTCGACGAAATCCCTATCGCTGCTGTGAACTTCGTCGCGCATTTCATCCTCTGTAGTGAGGAAATTGGAATCTTCTGGTTCAGCTTCCATTGTGGTATCGTTTTCTTCAATTTGAGAATCTCCACGCCCCATTTTGTAATTGAAACTGTCCTCTAGACTGGGAATTTTATAATTGATATTCTTCTGCCTTCGTAGTTTTCTCTGATTATTGGTTTCGCCGTCCAAATTGTGAGTTGACCGCTTCTCAATTACTTTCTGTGATATGACAACCGGCTCTTCGTCCTCTTCATCCTCATCTTCCTCATCAAGAACAGTTACTAAGTCAGGGGGAGCAGATTTCCAACTTGATGTAGGCTCATTGGCCAATTGGTGGTTGCTATCTTCTTTCTGCGTGGGCGCCGCGGCGCGAGATAGCAGTGGCGCCATGTAATCTTTATCAGCTGTATGAGTCGTTACCGACTGAGATTGGGTATATTTATCTACCAGGTGTTCCTGTGCTTGTAACTCTTGTTGTAGCCTCTTCAAAGTAGGGTTTACTTCTGAAGCCAACCTCTGACGTTTTGCATCTTCGGATAGAGATGTTGATTCAATGATGCTACACTTCTGCATCAGTAATTTTGACTGCTGTCGCAGTAGCTCTATGAGCTTAGCTTGTGTCTGTATTAAGTTTGGTTGCGGTTGGCTTTCGCTACGGGTCGGTTTTAATGGAATCTCAGATATCCGCTTACGCGAAACATTAACCAAGTTGTTAGAGCTTAGACTCCCCGACTCCACGTATGATGTTGCAGGCATCGAAACGGTTCTTTCAGATGACTGAGAATAAGCTGATGAACGAATTTGAGGATCGGGATTCGACATTGAGAGCCCTTGCCTTTGCGTCGAGTGAGGTTTAGATTTAGCATTTTGTGATTGGTCAACTTCTACGCTACACGCCAGCGTGCTTTCAGCGTTTTCATAAACCGGTCTACGTCCTTGCTCCAAATTTAAAGCGCTGCTTGACCGCGGGCTCATAACGCGTTCTTCGATCCTAGGCCGCTTATCGGCTACTTTCTCAGTAAGTACTCTTTTTAAAAACCCTGAGTTAGGCTCATAGGCTTTTTGTCTCTTTAGCCAAAGGATTTGAGCATTGAGGTTGTTGTTCATGGCCGCGCCTGCCTTGTTACCTCTACCCGTCTGCTTTGTCAATTAACCTGATGCAGATGATCCATTTGTTGACAAAACGCCTTCAGAGATAATATATCACGTGATATAGTTGATATTAAGATGCTGGAGGGAATTATCACAACTGTAAATAACAAGAAAACAGCCAGCTTTAGTCGAAGAAATTGCCAAATTTTAATGTTCCAATTTATCGAGACGTAACCGCACTCTTTCTCTTGTTGTTAATATTAAACTGGCGTACGCTCATCGAAAAAAAAAAACATGTTTTTAATTTTTACTGAAGTTTATCACGACTGGTTTTTATTGTCACCAAGGAATAAATTAGCAAAAAGCTCTGCGGAGGTCATAGTAGAAGCGTTCGTACGAACAATTGGCTGCAGGTGCAGCAAGTGAGAAAAATAACGTGTGCTAGAAGATAATCGTCGGAGGAGCACCGGTTTACGAGAAAAAGGCACCTGACAAATAGCACTGCTATCAAAGAGTAAAAAGACAAGTTTACAAGAAAAATGGTATCAGACTCTAACGTCGAGCAAGCGTGTGATTCTTGCCGTAAAAAGAAGCTTCGCTGCTCCAAAACATTACCGACATGCTCCAATTGTGAACGACATAATTGGGAGTGTCGTTATTCGCCAAAACAGGTACGTTCACCGTTGACAAGGGCGCACCTTACACAGGTAGAGAAGAGGCTATCGCAGTTCGAAAATCTATTTGAGGAGCTTTTCCCCGATCAATCTATTGATGAGGTATTGCGCAAGAGCCACGGCTCAAGTTTAAGTATTGCATTGGCTAATTCCAGAACGTTGAATGGAGGGCCCAGTACAGTGAACTCCTACAAAGTTGATAAACCACAGCACGGAAAAAACTACCGGAAGATTGAACCGCTGTACGATATGCAGCTTCCGAAAGAGGTTTTGCATGGATTTGAATGGTCTGAGAGAGAAGATCACGAAGTTCGAAAAAGCGATGGCATGGGCGCCTTAAACGTTGATGTCGATCACAGGGGCTATTTTGGAGCAGGCTCAAATTCTGTGCTTCTGAGATCATTATACGTCACAGAATCTATGTTTCAACTACAGAATTCGCCTCAAGTGGCCAAGGGTAGCCTCCCCTTAAGCGCCAGACACGTCACTTCGAGGTTCATAGAGGCATATTTTCATCATTTTCATCCTTTATTTCCTATCGTTGACGAGAGCCTCTTTCGGATGTATTATACCGATAAACTAAAGCCATCCTGCATGGATGTTTGGCAAATAATGTTGAACTCAGTGCTGGCGCTGGGGTCATGGTGTGTTAACGGAGAAAACTCCGACATTGATATTAACTATTACCAAAATGCAAAGTCATATTTATCAAGTACAGTATTCGAAAACGGATCAATACTGCTAATTACTTCTCTCGTCCTTTTGGCTAATTATGCTCAGAAGCGGAATAAACCTAACAGTTGCTGGAACTTTTTGGGGCTTGCTAATAGTATGGCAATATCTGTGGGGCTCCATCGTGATTTGAGGGTGTCCTCCGAAGACCGCATTTCAGATCTTGAAATAAGACGCCGAGCTTGGTGGATGCTTTATACTTATAGCTGTGCCATGTCTGCACAATTTGGCAGGCCAGGGCAAGTGCCGAGTCCCGACGATATTGACGTATCACTTCCAAGAAACCACGTCTCTAGTAACACAGATATTGAAGGTCCAACTATATACTCCTTCATTATCCAAGCTGCAAAATTAACCAATGTAACTTGGGAAGTATTTGACGGCCCACTATACTATATCAAGGCAGATTCTCTCTCTCCGATAGACTACTTACAGAAGTATGAAAAAATACGATGCTTTGTGGATGAACTTCCTCCTTATTTTCGGGATTCAGGACCCTGTACTCATGATCGCTCGGTCGACTCCATTGCTGACTCAGGGCAAACTCCTGACTGGCATAGACTGAACAAATTTCGTTTGAAGTGGATGCAACAACACATTATCATTGCACTTTTTAGACCGCTAGTCTTGAAACACTTAGAATCGGACAAACAACTCCCGATGAACGAAAGCGCTAAAAGATGTTTGCAAATTTGCCTGGATACCGCAGGTAGTACAATCTCTTCTATTTCACGGTTTTCGCAAGAATTAGAGATCACAACGCTTTCTGCGTGGCATGCAACTTTTTATCTCATTTCTGCGGTTTTAATTCCCATGGTAAGCATGATTACCGAACCGGATTCAAGCTCCAGACATGAATGGAAGGCTCAAATTGATCTTTCGAAACAGACTCTTGAGTTTCTAAAGGAGAAAAACGCTACTGCGGAGAAATTTCTCAATGTTATAGACAACACTTGTGGAGATACTCACCACGAGAGCGAAGCCTCAATTCCGAGACCTAGAACCATCTCCAAAATACGTCAAGCACCCAACTTAGAGAATGAAAACTCCCCAGTAAGGTCACCCAGCTTGCCTGTCTCTAGTACTAACGATGCCTTTAAATCATCGGCCAGTCTCTCGGATCTTATCAACCTGTTGTCTCCTAGAGCTGCCGGGAATCAGCAGTCGCAGACCAGAATTGATGGAAACACTTCAAGACCCTCTCAAATACCATCTAATATTGAGGAGCCTCCACCGGTTTCACTTCCAAGACATGACACTACAATATTTCCACTTTGGAACGGTGAGAGCGTCCAAACATTAATGAACACAACTACGAATAATATGTTCAACACTACTACAATGGACGACATCTACAACTACATCTTTAACGACGATGGTGCTTCTTCGCCCCACTCTGACAGGTGAAAAGCTAGCCGAGAACAAGCATGGGCCGTTGTATTTTTATTTCCATTTGGTGTATGTAAGTACATTCAGATACTTATTCTATTTCTAGTTATAGTTTGCTTCGTACAAAAATACTTAACATGTGCACCCCTCTCCTGTAGCTTGACATCATCTAATAACAAGTATCTGCGACTCCTCACAAAGAGTTAAGTAAGAATAGCTTTCTTCACTGCACAAAATGCCTCCCAATAATTGGAAGCAGTGGCTTAAGCTTACGAAGAAACAGCTGAAGCAGCTTCGTCGATCTTTGGATGACGAGTTACAAGGGCTCTTAGAGCGAAACCTCCCCCCTACGTCAAGATCGTTAGTGCGCATCCCAGTCCCAGTCAGACAGGTATATCCCGTGCGTAACAACTACAGAAACTTTTCCACAACTACAAGGACTTTGAGTCGTCTGGCAGATGCGAGTGGAAAGACGATAACCCCAAACGCAAAGACAGTCGGAGGGTCCTTTGTCCGAAGCTCTGTTCTATCTAATTTTGGTGGAATGCAGAGATGTCCACGGGGTGTGCCTCGCGGCCTTTTTTCCAACTGGAATATGACCACTGCTAAGTATGCTTATGGTAGGGCGTACTCGACATCCGCCATCAAAATTACGCATGACGCCGTTCAGAACATGGCTATTTCTCTGAGGTGTTTCTTTAATCTGTGGGGTGATTTCCTTCCATCAGGACAAGATGGTAGTTTTGAAAGTGTTCCTCTCTCTCCCAGCTACTCTGTCCAACAAGTGGGAAAAGGTGGAGCCTCTCTTCTTCGTGATCAAGAGCTCTACTCTATGATCCAGCAGCATAAGCAAGAAGTTCCTGATGAATTCCAAGTTGAACAAACTGGATGTATGGTTGAATTTAAACTTCCAGAATTGGACTTGTCTTTTCTACCCGTAATGGTTTTTGCTTGTGAGGAATCCATGAATAGCTGGACAAGGGAGATGGCAAGGTACAAAGACAAACTGATGCGATTGGAAGAAAATGTGCGAAAAATTTACGATCAATATGGCTCACTGCCACTCAGTTTTGACAGAAACAAAATTCGGATCCATTTTCCGAATTTGACGGTACAAGAGACTGAGAGATTGTTAAGAGACGCCAGTATTACACTAGGCATCGTCTTACTTGAATCTGATATACTTTCAGAGACAAATGATGAATTTATGAACTCTACTGAACATTGCCTCGGTAATGATTCCGCAACGGAGCACTCACCCTATTTCCCCATACTGTCATCAGCATCTGAATCAGAGTTTTCACTAATTTCTTCAGCTGGTTAGCTTGAGGTTGACATATTTGCTAATTGGGTAGGATAATAGGGTTTGTTGGTCGTCATATATTTTCTTATGGCATGTATTTTTGAGTTAGATGTAGCTTTTTCGTTAGCTTCTATGGAGTATTTTTTTTAAATGAGGCAAAAGCTCTGACATACGTTTGGCGTGATAGCCATCGCTATTTTAAGGTTCAAACTGTTGAGAGATCGACTAGGCTTAATTAATCTGGTAAGAGACCTCATTGAGAATGGCAGAAGATAAGAGTGAATCGGACGTAAACACCAAAATCGGAACGATTGTAAGTCCTGAGGAGGACGTGCACACGGACTTTACTGAGAATGTTGAGAAGATCATCCCGAGCACTCCTGAGGGGACCAAGGAAGAGAATACACAAAACTTGGCTATACCTGAGGAAATCGAACCTGAACAAGAAGCCGAACCAATTAAAGAGGCTGGTGTGGAAAACGAAAAAACTTCTTCGGCAGATGTCAATATAACTGAGAAGTGTTCCACCACTGAAGGTGAGAAGACAGCGGCGGCTGACGAAAATAAAACCGCACCGGAGGGAGTCAAGTCGACTAAGCAGCGAGCGCAAATCGCTGGATCAATAGAATTAAAAGATGAAGAAATTGGTTTGTCTACTGAGGTTCATAATGAAATATTGACTTCTAAGGAAAAGGAGAGTAGGCCTACGGAAAAATCAGAGGAACAGGCGGAAGTTGACCCTTCTGCGCATGAGCCTAGCATTGACGATCTATGTACTTCATTGCAATCAGAGGAAAGTAAGCTAGCGAAACAAATCGAGCATTTGAATAGTAAGACAAACTCACCTCCTCTGCCTCCAAGAGATCATATTCAATCCGAACTACCCTCTAGAGAAATCCCTGAGCTTCCTCCCAGAGATCATCCTGAGCTACCTCCAAGGCAAAAAACTCCTCCGATGTCGCGAGAAAGTGATTCGGATGGGGAAGCAGAAAGAAAGCAAGTACATGCTGTACCACCGCCGTTATCTGAAGAATTGCAAAGTGAGACTTTCAGAAAAAATCTTGCACTGTCGCATGCGGGTAGCTCTCCCCCGGTTCTTCCTCCGAGGTCACATCAGCGGTCAGAAAGTGCAGACTTTGATTTAATCATCAACAGGTTCCATGACAATGAGGAAGATTATCTTTCTAAGAATGAAACAACTAAGGAGGATATTCAAGAAGGAGCACGCATTTTAAAATCCAGTTACTCAGCTATATTGAAAGAAATAAGTGCTTCTGAAAAACAAGACACTAGTGAAGAAGAACAGAAAGAATTAGGTAAGATCGATTGGCCGTTTTGGACCAAGGTGGTGAATAATTATGCCGATGTGGCAAAGAATGACTCGATGAAAATGGAAAAAGAAGTAGCGGCAGGGGTCCCACCTCAAATTCGTGACATAATTTGGCAGTTGATGGCGAATTCAAAGTCGAAGGAAATTGATGACTTATACACAGCTCTATTCGACAAACATTCAGAGCATGAAAAGTCCATTAATCGTGATCTATTGAGAACGAAGTTCATCCCCGACGACAAGATAACCTCACTTTTCAACGTCATAAAAGCTTATTCGCTTTATGATCCGGAGGTGGGGTACATTCAAGGAATGGCTTTCATCACCACGCCTCTGCTACTCAATGTTGAAACAGAGTCTGAAGCTTTTGGCTTATTGATAAGTCTCATGAAGAACTATGGCCTTCGTGATCTGTTTTTGCCTGAAATGCCTGGCTTGCATTTGAAACTCTACCAGTTTGACAGACTTTTGGAAGAAAACTCGCCAAGACTATTCAATCATTTAGCTCGTCAGGGAATTCGCTCTTCTATGTACGCGTCACAGTGGTTCTTGACTTTCTTTGCGTACAAATTCCCATTGGGTTTTGTGTTAAGGATATTTGACATAGTTTTTGCAGAGGGTATTGAATCAATTTTAAAGTTCGGAGTGATTTTGATGCTAAAGAATGAAGATATATTGCTACAATTACAATTTGATCAACTCCTCGATTTCCTCAAGAATGGTTTGTTTGCATATTACCTGAAAGAAAATGTGAAAAAGAGACAAGAGAACATCTCGAACCAGGATGAATCGTCCTCGACTCTTTCATTTGTTCATAAAATTTCCTCGCATAACAACCAAAGAGAACATGAAAGTGAGGTCAGAGATGAAGACTATGCAATTGACACTTTTGTGAATGATGCTATTAATGAGGTCAAGATCACACCTATAACTCTCAAGAGATACGTTGCGGAATACCAAGAGATACATGAGATAGATCTGCAGAAAGAGGCTCAATTCGAGTCTTTAAGGATCAAAAATAAACAATTGCATAATGAAGTCCGCAAGCTAGAGCATGATTTCACGCTATTGAATCGTGAACATATAAATATAGCGAACGAACTCATCGCAAATCGCCTAAGGATTGAAACATTGCAAGATGAAAATAACGATTTGAGGGAGGAAGTAGTACAACTGAAAAACCAGCTTCGAGAAGAGATTAGAAAACAATCCCTACCAAATCCTGATTCTGAATTGCCCACTGATATTCGTACTGATCTGGAGAACACAATGGCAAGAAATTTAGAAGTGATGAATCAGAACCAGGAATTACAAGAAAAGATAACACATCTAGAAAAAGAAATAGAAATTCTCAAAGGCACAAAGAATCCCCTCGAGAGGGTTGCTTCGCCACTGAAGACATCTAATTGGGGTGGTCTGAAAAAGGTGTGGAAATGAGAAATATTATGTGCTTGTCGAATAGTCTTACATAAGAATATATGAACATCTTCCCCAGTTTCATTTACAGGTTTAGCATTATGTACGGATATTTGGTCGGAGGGAAAATTTTTGAACTGTGTAAGTGGTGGAGATCTGTATACTATTGGAAAAAGGTATTCAATTGTTGAGTGCTGTCGTTCTGTGGCAATGTCGTTCTCGAATATAACATTTCAGAGAGGATTTTCCTCTATTCCCAGGGCTTTACGGGAATGGAGACTAGTTGAAACCAGAAAAGCTTCCAAACTACCCGTTTACAACGTTGGTGATCGCAAACCTGCATTTGTGCCTAAGCAGAGGAAAGAGTTCCCAGACTATAAGTACGGGGAATCTAATATTTTTAAGCAAAGTAACAAGGGTCTTTATGGTGGATCTTTTGTTCAATACGGTAATAATGTGTCTGAGAGTAAGAAGAAGACAAGGAGGCGGTGGTTGCCAAATGTAATCAAAAAGGGTCTATGGAGTGAGACTTTGAACAGGAATGTCAGTATCAAAATGACTGCTAAAGTTTTGAGAACTATCACTAAGGAGGGTGGCATCGACAACTATCTGGTTAAAGACAAATCTGCAAGAATCAAGGAACTCGGCCCAACTGGTTGGAAACTGCGTTATAGAGTTTTACAACAACAAGAGAAAAAATCCAATCCCCCTCATCAGAACGCACCAATTGTTGAAGACGCTCAAGGTAATAAATACCGTGTTTACTTTGAAGAGAATGTCAATGGGCAGTCTTTGAGAATCACTGTAGGAAGAAGAAAGCTTTTGCACTTTCTATATCCGCTAATGAAGATGGAGTATAAGGCAGACGGGAAAGAACTTTCTCACAAAGAATTTCTAGAGCTTTATGAACAGCATTCGGCGCACAATATCATCACCGATCTCTTGAAGCTTGGCTTTGATGTATCTACCATTACCGTTTGAAATTTTACTACTGCCTCGCATTTAATCGCGTACGTAGAACTACATTTCTGTAAATAGACAATAAAAGCATTTCACATACAATACGAAGGGGTATTTTTGTGACTGTACAAAGTATACATCCGTACATTACTTGTGTACCCCCATACATCCAAAATAGTTGTAAAAAATGTCACAATATTTTTGGGCATCGTCGAATCAGTGACTTGCAGGACCCTCTCGGCTGGTACCAATGCCGCAGGGAGTTTCCCTGCTACTGGCAGTCCGCCGGTGGCAGACCGCCAGCAGGGAGACCACTGGAGGCCTCCGCTGACCGCCGCCCGGTGGTGGCTAGCGTGGGCGGATCCCTCCCTAGCACCTCCTGGGGCTAGCCTGGGGCTAGCATGGTATACACGGTGAAGGGCGATGGGTTAGAATATATCTCCGGGTAACATTTTCTTGAAGTTTCTCTACGACATTTTCTAGGTGAAGGTCCGTGCCACAGCACTCGAAAATTTTTTTTCAACTGGTAGGCTAGTCTAGAAAACAGTTTTGAATTTGGAGGTTAACACTTCAATAGCTTAGATAGAACAAGGATTACAATGGCTGTCAAGAGTGGTATGTGGAATAATGAAATAATAAGGTATATGAACAGAAGACAAGCATCAGTGCAAGTGGCATTTAATCGAGTTAATGGGGATATAATTAAGATTGTTCGAGAATATAACAAATGTCGAAACTTCAAATATTTACGTGGGTGAAATGAGTTAAAGAAAACTTTGAATATGCGATAGAAACCCAGCTGTGAACATTGAGGAATGCGCTGTTTCGCAAGGGGATATTATAGCAAATTAGAGTCAGGCTGAAATGCTTTGGCAACTCATCTCTAAAATCGAGGGGAATGCACTTCAGATACGGAATTAACACCTCTCCACTTGAGCTGTCTCGTTCTACAACATCATTGATCAATATACTAACATGCAAACAGGTATTGCTACTGGTTTGAACAAGGGTAAGAAGGTCACCTCAATGACCCCAGCCCCAAAGATCTCCTACAGAAAGGGTGCTTCTTCTAACAGAACCAAGTTCGTTAGATCTCTAGTCAGAGAAGTTGCCGGCTTGGCCCCATACGAAAGAAGATTGATCGATTTGATCAGAAACGCTGGTGAAAAGAGAGCCAGAAAGGTCGCCAAGAAGAGATTGGGTACCTTCGGTAGAGCCAAGGCTAAGGTTGAAGAAATGAACAACATCATTGCTGCTTCCCGTCGTCATTAAGTTCATTAGAACATTCCAATACGTTCTCTTAAATACTTTGTAACTTAATTTCAGCAATTTCAGCGTTTAAATGTTTAACAATAAGTAAAACGACACTTTAGAGATTTACTTGTCAAGTACGTTTGCCTCGCTATGCACCTGGGCATTTTAATCGTTCGCATGGTTGTTGTGCGTTGAGAAGGCAACTCTATTCATTACAAGGAACTCAATGAATGTAATCTTCTGCACTGACAATTCGAATTTCATTTTCTGAAGTGGAAAGTTTCCTTTCGAATCAAATCAAAAAAAAAGTTAGGCTATAAAAAAGATCTTGACAACGACAGCAAGCAACTACCAACACATAATTATAACGTGCAAACAATTACTCTTAAACGTACACCACTTTTCGGACCTTGGAAATATTTATCCAGGTTTTGGGAATCAGCTTTTACAATTTCGAATTCGTCTGGAGCCTTTGGATAATATTTTCAACACAATTATCCGCCTATTCAGAATTGCGCTATTTGCATGATGTGATACGTCACGCAAGAGAAGTAAAAATATCTGTCACCAAAATTTTAGTGTGGAGCTGTTTGTCGTTTGCAGAACAGTTCAAAGCAGACCTTGGCAGGACGTGGTCCAGAACCACCCAGGGCATATCATAATGTCGCGCGCGTACAGTGGGACCAAGATCCACGCCGGACTGATTGAAAAAGATTTACGACTCCGAAGTATGTGCCTTGATAAAAATTAGATCATTTAGAAACTTGATACCCGTTGAATGCAAAAATGTGCGATCCTATGAAGGCAACGCTTCGAATTTGTTGGCTTTACGTCTCTTGTCTGTACGGTCGATGAAGTGTTCGTAAAGCGATTTAGAGATCGATTGGTTACGTAAGCATATAGCGTTGAACGGCATTGGAGAAGTGTCTTGACCAATACGTAACTTACATATGCCGACGTGAGAATCAGCGGCCGTCAGTCAAGCATGTTTAAGGCCGGGTGTCGCTGGTGCGGCCCAAAACCCCAAGGTTTGATTAAGCGAAACTACATCAGGCCTCCTACTTACTTCAACAAGCCCGGGCTTGCGGGACAGCCAGCTCAAAACGTAACGACGCTTCCACTGTATGCTCCACCGGTCAAGCCGTCCAAAGAGGTAAGAAAGCCATTCTTGGAAATCGCAACCGGAATAGCAGTATTGGTTCTATCGTTCTTTGCGCTCGATAACTACAGAATACGACTAGGACTGGAGTCTAAGCTAGAGGACCAATTGCTCAAGATCAAGAGCGCGCAAGAGCTGTATAACAAGCAAATCAATGCGCAACGTAAAAAGAGAGAATTGCAGATTCTGAATGAGCGTAAGCAGATGCAGATGCGGCAGATGAAGATATCACTGCACGTAGCGTTGTTAAGAAAGCAGCTTCTAGATCACGATATCCAGCCAGTTTCGATTGAGGACGCGTTACAGGAGTACGAGAAAAGTGTCAGGATGGAGAACAGCATAAGCAATGTTAGCGGGACGAGCCTGTGGGTCATTGACGATAGCCCCACGAAGGCGTTTGTGCCCAATGCCAGAGAGTACGACTCTAAGAAGGAGAACAGTTAACGGAGCAGATGTGGCGGGGAGGCCCTGTCCGGCCGGCTGCAAGCGTTACCCGGTTACTGGGAAAAATTTTTTTTCTTTCGCAGTATATAAGCACACGTTTCGGGCAGCTACCGCCAGGTGTATACGTTTATAAAAATCACAATGTCTTTAGACGCCCAGAGTCACGGTACGTTCCTTTACTACCATGGACGATGCGCATGCCAGGATACTCCAAGACCTGGCATCTTCGTGCTCGCGGCAGTCTTATAGTGAACCTTTAACATGGTGTTAATGGGACCATTACGTTTTGACCAACCTTTAAATGTCGTGTCTAGCCGAATATTTGGCTAGGCTATGCGGTTCTAAATGTACATTTTTTTTTCTTTCAAAAGATACGTAGAGAGTAGAACTACTTGTCGAGTAACTTGGCATCGAGCTCCTCCCTCGCGCGCTGTTCCATCTTGAACTGGAGCAGGCGCGGGATGGGGCAACAAGGCGAGCGGGCCTCGGATCCGTTTTCCAGGTAAAATTTCGAACAACACTGGTACAGCTGGTCGATCAACTGCGTGCAACCGCTTTCATTGAACCCGTTCTTTCTGAGACAGTCTGCTTGTTGAGTTAGCGAATGTTATTGCGTCTGTTGGTGGCGAGCGCTGCGTGTTCTACCTAACCCGGCTTCTACGTACACAGCGTTTACATACCTTGAATAGCGCAGGCCTGTGGCTTGCATGGGTCGGACATGGCGTGTTGAGTGGGGTGCGTGGGCAGCAGAGAACAAGCTCTATTTTCAGCTTTCCTTGTTCGTCAAAGTTGCTATGACGGTTGGGGATCGCAAGAGAAATGCAGTAATAAAGTTTGCGCTTGAAATCGGCGGACTCCGGCTCGAGAGAAGTCTGCCGGGCGGGCTTTCGCGTCAGAGCGGATCTTTGCGTTCAGCGGTGAGCAAAAGCGTGACGCGGCGTTGCTAGCGGCGGCGGCTGCCAGACAGCTGAACGTACAGCAAGAGAATGCCACTGTAGCGGTAGTCGGTGAGTTGGTGTCGAACGAGCCTACTTAAATAATGACGAGAACAGCTGCGAAATTAGAAAAAAACAATTATGACTTAGTCATGTAGAACAACTATCAATTAGAGAAACTAGCAATTAGCTAAATCGTAGTTGGAGTAGCATGAGAAGTCACTTGGAATTTTAAAGCCATGGATGATGATCATCATGATTTTGATTTTCTTAAGCAATGAATGACATTACGGTATTTTCCGTAGAAGATATCTAAAATATTCATAATTTCTCTGAAGGTAACTTACTCCATTTGATATTGCATAATGGAATCCATCATATAAAGGAGCACAGAAATATTAGAATAAAATCTACTTTTTAGTACCTCCACTCTTTTTAAGAAGACAGCTGACTGGAAACCATTACTTTTATGGATAGCGGTGTATTATCATTTTGCGTATCCGACAGAAGCATTTTTGGCGCTTTGGAACAAACGCAAACATAGCTACGGACAGGAATGCAGATCACAGATTACATTGAAAGAATGATGATTACAATATATTTTTGGTTGAAACGGGTACTCTGAGATATTGTATACGCTCATCAGACGAAACAAAATAATTATAATCTAGGTATTGATAGTGTTTAAGTAAGCAAAAAAACTAGGCTATTCGTAGATTGAGACAACGATAAAAAGAAAAAGCCCTGACATAGTTTCTTTTTGAAGAAAATTTGGTATCTACCGTATTCCTAACATTGCAACTTCAACCAGCCCTCCGAGACTATTTGAAAAAATGAAAATTGGATTTTGAGCCACGCTGAAGGAGTCTGATCACAAATTATTTCAGCTTTGAGAACTTGCTAACAGGTGTATTATCACTCTTATGAACCAAGTATCTTTACCATATGAGGAGCCTGATATTAAGGTGATTCTCATTTTATCCTCGTTTCTGCTAATTCTAAATATTATTGGTAAAGCTCTAGACAATGTCATCTACTGTGGATTATTGGGCCAAATATTCATAGGCGTTGCGTGGGGCGTGCCCGGAGGAGGTTGGCTTTCGTTATCGACGCAGGAATCAGTGGTTAAATTCGGCTACCTTGGCTTGATTCTACTCGTCTACGAAGGCGGATTGTCAACCGATTTCTATGCAATGAAATCTCATTTTTTTCGGTCAGTATTTTTGGCCCTTACAGGTATTATTGCGCCTATCGGATTGTCGTTTGTGCTAATGAAACTTGCGCATGCAGATGCCCTGCAGTCCTTTGCCGCCGGCGCTTCGTTGTGTTCGACTAGTTTAGGTACCACTCTAACAGTTTTGAAAGTTAGTGGCCTCAAGCAAAGTAGACTAGGTGTGGTTTTGACTTGCGCAGCCATGCTAGACGACGTAGTGGGCCTTGTTATGGCACAAATTATTTCAAATTTGGGAAGTGGCCATTCATCGTTTAGTGCAATAATCGTGGTCCGGCCTATATTAGTTTCAATTGCGTTTGCGGTGGTCGTCCCTCTTGTGTGCAAATTCTTAGTTGAACCCTTCGCAGTCAAGAGACTATCGTATCTTTTGGCTAACTATCGCTTCCTTCCAAACAAGATGCAGATAACATTTTTAACGCATACACTTGTCCTTGTTGGATTCGTGGTGGGATCTAGTTATGCTGGAACTTCTAATCTGTATGCCGCTTATCTTGCCGGTGCTAGCATCGGTTGGTATGATAGTGAAGTCCGTAAATCTTTTGAGTCTACTAAATGTACGACCATGGTTTTTATTGAGAAAATTAATAATGAAAACGATTCTTCAGTTGGAAGAGAGCGCACTGAGAGGAGCTCGGCCTCACCACGGAATTCGGAATCCTATAACAACTCTCCAATCAATGGCTCTTCTCTGAAACTTCCAAAGCGGCCACCGTTTGCTGCTTTAAAACATGTAAAGGCTATTCTAGGGCACAAATATTATACTGAAGGAAACACGGTCAGTGTGCAAAATAATTTTGGGAAGTCAATCACCAGTCCGGAACCAAATGTTATGATTGAAAGTCCACATATCGAGCATGTGTCAGGCCTTGATATATGGGATAATTACTATGAAACACCTGTGTTAACGGTGTTGCGACCATTTTTCTTCGCGTCAATTGGTTTCTCAATTCCCATTAAGGATATGTTTAGGGGAAGTATCATATGGAGAGGTGTAATATATGCTATTTTGATGACGGTGGGTAAATTTATCTGTGGTGCTTGGCTTATAAGAAGTACTTGCTTCAAAAGTTTTAAGAATGAGCCTGAGTACGCTTGTACTTTTTGGAGTATACGAAGGGCTAGGTCTTTTATTTCTCCATCAATTATGGGTTGGGCAATGGTTGCTCGTGGGGAAATTGGGTTTCTCATTGCTGCTCTAGCGGATAGTAGAGATATATTTACCTCAGAGCAGTTTTTAATTGTTACGTGGGCTATAGTTATATGTACAATTGTGGGCCCTATAATGGTTGGCTGGTTGACTAGCAAAGTAAGAAAAATACGTCAATCAGAGGAACTGGACTCAGGGGAAAACGGTGACCCTATGGAAATTTGGGCATGAAGTACTTAGAGATCTCTGATCGGGAATGTACGTTAAAAACTTGCGAATTAGGAATTGACCTACTTCACATCGGTGGGAGAGAGCTTTCCTGGCTCAGATTTTGCCTAAAACTCCTGTCAGGCAATCAGATGGTCGAAATTGTTAAGTCTTCTCATGCTTTCTGCTGCGTTTTTACTCGAATGCTATCCCCAAAAGGAAGGTGCAAAGACTGTTTCGGGTGACAATACTTCGATCCTGCCAACTGCTTCTCTCTGCGAAAAATTTCACTGGGAAGTAAGCGCACAATGCAATGTTCTAAAAAACGGTCATGAAGAATACACATTTAGCCGGATTGGCATGATAGATACAAATGCGACATTGTTTAGGGCATGATGTCATGCAGCCTTCCAGAATATGTTAACGGGGAATCTACTTACAAGTTATATACATGATACGAAACGCATTTCACGTTGCAATGTTTGGTGTCGAATAAGAATCATGTCATGGTGAGGAGCAAAACGTCCACCGACCAAGGAGCAGCAGAGCGTTTTTCAAAACTGTGATTTCATTGAAGTACAGTCGTACAAGGATCATGAAACCGATTTGTGTTCACTGTAACTGGGAGCCCTGTTTAAACTTTTGGAGAACTAGAGTCAGTTCTTTTGGTGAGATCCTGGTACTAAAATTATGAAGGTAGTGAACAGGAGAACAAAGTGCGGCTTTCTCGTAGCGCAGCAGCCAAGAATGTTGCGCCCACGGTTTTCGAAGAGAACAAACATAACTGCCTCCATTCCAGAATTAAATCGCCAAATCAGGAAACAGAGATGGAAAATAACCTTCGAAGAGATAAATGAAGCACTAATGTCTGCAACAGAGCGCTGTAACAGTATACCCTACAAGCAGTTAGGTGCAGATTTGCTTGTCTTTACAAAAAATGGTATACAGATGATAACACGGTTCTGCACATTTAAGGATGAGCACAGCACCAAATGCGAAGTCGCTCGTCAAGCGATATACAGAAAAGCAAGAGAACGAAAGACGCTCCGTTACCAAGTTACGCTGACATTCAGGAGATCTCAAACGGTCGAATCTTTCCGTCAGCCTTTACATGAAAAAGCATCAACACCCACGCGGTATATTCCATTTCCTTCCCCAACATGCTGCTGAACAGTAAATAGCTTTTCATCCTAATTGCGTGCTTCCGTGAGCAAGCTGATCTATCTGATGAGGTTGCACTAAGTAACGAGCTATGGCCGCGAAGCGCTTGACACACTAGGTGAAGGTTACGGATTAGAAACGGCTATGACGACAGTGGTTCGACTGACTGCCTTTGACATTTGGTCCCAGCGTCGAGGACGTCGAATAGACGATGACGACAACGATGAAGACGACAAAGACGACGATGAAGAAGTTGGACAAAAATGCAGATTCTCCTTAACCTCCTACACATTCGATACAACACCCAGATTGGAGGATCAGGAGACTTCTGGACGCAATGAACGGTTTTGCGGTTTACTTATACCTGCCGACTGCAAACGAACATGAACTCTCCGATGAGGTTGACAGGATACCGATATGGTGCTGGGTTAAAAGAGTATTCTGTGAGGTAAGAGCGAAAAGGGGTGGGGATATAAAGCATTGCGGCCGGGACGTGGTAGTTTTCTCTGATTTACTTCTCAAAAAGAGATGGATTCCAACTTTTTTTGATGCCGGATCAAGTATGTTTTTCAGTTATTTTCAGATCGCTGATTTGGGGATTCAAGACGTGGAAGGGGCACAGTCTCGAGTAATGTAATACTGGCCGCTGCATCAAGCCGTAGCCGTGAGAAATAGAGCCTTCGTAAATAATGCTACAGAATATACGCTTGAGACGATTACTTTTGAGGAAGGATTTCCACTGTCGCCATACTCAGTTTTCTTTAGGTGCTATGACGATAGACGCGCCTGTAGTGTGCAGTGCTTCATTTCAAGTTATCTACGAGCCGCACCTAATAATCTTATGGAAAGAAATGCGTTCAGCTGGAGAATGCTGCTGTAGTGGGAGCCGACGCTGGATGAAGGACGCGGCTGATTCGAGCACGTGACCCACGCATCGCGTCCGGGTCACGTGCCATCACCGCTCTTCTCTCGTGGCCCCCTCGTGAGGATCGTGCCCTGCCGAATGCAGCGCCCAGTGGCCTCCCAATCGCACTCCCACCCCAGCTGCCTTGCACCTCGCGTCGCAGCGTGCCTCCAAGCTTTCTTCCCACCTGCCATTCTTGCACCCGCCTCACTGTCGACACCCGCCGGCGTCTAGGCCGATCCCAAACGAGTGCACTAACGAGTGCACTCAACAATAAGCAGGTGTCTAGGCTTGGCATGCACCCTATGTAGCCTGAACCGCACCGCACCTCTAAGCGAGAATGTACCTTGACAGTACCCCCCGTAGCGAAAGTACGGGGTGCCGCGTCCGGCAGGGTGTTGGCCGGGAAGGGGTGCATATGGCGGACGCGGCGCTAGCACGTTAGCCGCCCAACGCGTGGCGCAACACTTGCGGCGCGCTGGGAAGGACATTGCCATTGGTGCGGTGCGGACACTTGGCGACGTAACGTCGCGGCGACGCAACGACATGGGCCACGATCCGCGTCCGGTTCCCTCCAAGTGCATCCACGGCGGGGTGTCCACCGGGTGGACGCTGGGTTTCAGCCCTGCGATCGCGCCAGCGCACAAACCTACTTGAATGTCCACTAGGGTGGCTACACAGGCTGAAACACGTCATCTAAACAAGATGGGACATTTTGCCTCAAGCCATCTCACGCACAGCCGTTCCTGTAGGGTGTCTTTTGGCTTAAACTACAGAAAGAGGTCACAGTACAGGCCACTGTACCGATCTGACACGCAAACCTTGCATTCACGCCCCTGCTTGGTATGACTCTACGAGACACCTAGCCGGTTCTGCGTGCGCACTACGTAATCGCATAATTCTCACACTCACGTTCGCGCTCGCGACAAGACTCCGAAGTCCGTCACTAAAACCCAAACGTAAACAAAACCAGAAAGCCTCCATGCGCCCACCGCACTCCCTCAAGACAGAGCTGAGTGTGTCGGAGTCAGCGTCCGGCGCTATCGCGCGAGTCATCGCACACCGCCCGCCGTGTTTACGTCGCGTGGTCACACCGGCTTATCTGAGTTAGTCATCAGCACGGACACTTTGGCGCGGGCCACAAAAGCGCGGCGGAGGAAAAGCAAGGCCGCGCGCACGTGATCTGCCCCTCTTGCCCAAATTGCGGTCACCTCGACTCGGGCTCCGACCGTTTGCTCGTGGGGCGGTGGAAGGTTCTGGTCACAATCGGGCGGGCCAGACGGGTGCGCAGGGCCGGGGCGGGCCGTACGGGGTGACCGGATGACGAGCTGGCCCGTGTGGTGTCGGTCGTTTATTAGCGCGTGTTTGTTTGTTGGGTGTGGCGCTGAAAAATTTTTAGACACATGCGCGGTGGTGACTTCCGCGACTGTTTACTGTGCGGTGACAGAATGAGTAATTTTAAGTAACCTTCCAGGTGCAAAAAAACTGTGACTTAGCTGTGAGCAATTGTCAGCGCAAGTCGTGGGCTTGATATAAGTAGAGTGACATATTCGGGTGATGAAAAAAGCTTGAACACGTTAAACCATCAAGCGATACCCGCACACACAAGCAGCTACCACTGCCAATTGACTAGCAGCTACCTCTGCAACTTGTACAACCCACCGCTTTTCTCGACGATACACACTACACACACGCACTCTGCGATGAGCGACTCTATTGAATATCCTACCGAAGACGACGTGTTTTCGTTTTCGCTTGCCAACCAGCCCACAGCACAATGGAGTGCGCAATGGAACGGCCTGGGCTCTACTGTCACGCCTCCACTACTCTCGAACACGCCAGACTCGTACACCCACGAAGAACACGAGGACGAGTTTCTGATATCCTCGCCGCTCATGTACGCGGTTCAATCCAACGGGCGTCTGGACGACGACCTGTTCCGCCTCGACCAGGACGAGTTGGCATGCGGGGTCGCGAACGACGCGTCGTTCGCGGCCTGCTCCGCCACGCCTCGCGTGCTGGTGGAGAATTCCGAGTCCGAACTGTTTGCCAATGCCGCCCAAGAAAACTACAGACTCTGGCTGACGGGCGTATGACCGCCGTGGAGCAGCGCGGCGCGACGCGGCCATGCGCCGCGTCGCAATGCGTCGCGACAAAACTCATGCATGGGGCGGGCGAGAGCGCCCGCCCACGGGATAGGCATTTTTACATATCGACACGCTAGCTAAGATACGTTTTACATATTATAAATGGGAATACAACGGTTTACAATCATCAATTGATGCGCAAGCGCGTCGCTGCGCTGCGAAACGTGGTGTATCTGGGCGTGCGCGGTTGGGGCCGCGGATGTGTCACGGATCGCGGGGTCACGCTGCACGTGGCGCGATTGGCGCGCCATAGCACGTGCGGGAGCCTCGGGAGCCGCGAAGCCGAGCCGCGCCGATCCGCGCGGGATCGGCGCGCCACGTGCTGGCCGAGGGCACGGGGCGACCGAGGGCAGGGGGTCTGACGGCACGTGAATAGACGTCGGAAGTGACCGGGTCACGCGTCTAGTGCACCCACACACACGGGTGCGCACGTGACACGCGGCCGTGGGCCAAAGGCGGCGGCTGTTTTTCCCTCCGGGGAGCGGGGCCGCGCTTCCCTCCGCGACGCCCGCCGCGACGCAGTTGCGTCGTCGCATCGCGTCGCACCCGACGTATTTGCGTCGGCGCCCCAGCTCGCCCCCACCCCTTGCCAAAAAGACCCTATGCTCTCGGCCGCAGGAGCTGCGGACAAGGCGGCACGACTCCCGGCCTGCTACGGTCGGCGTTTCTCGCAGTCGCTCGCTGCCACTGCCATTGCCGTCAAGGACTACAGCACGCTTGCTTGCGTCCTCTCACGCTTGCTTGCGTCCTCTCACGCTTGCTTGCGTCCTCTCACGCTTGCTTGCGTCCTCTCACGCTTGCTTGCGTCCTCCGCCCGCTCTCCTCCGCTCTCTCGCCCGCTCCTTCGCTCCATCCGTGCATGCAAAGTCTCCCCTTGTCGATCGAGATGCCTCGGCGACAAAACGAGGACGGGCGGCAAGGGGGGATCAACCAAAGCAAAGACTGGCCAACATCCATATAAAGCTCATCAGAGTGCGCTAAGCGCTGTCGCAACCTCTCAACGTCCTCACAACCTCTCACCGTTGACAATTGGTGTAAACGAAACTAGTTCTTCTCCATTGTAGCCAGAAACATGTCTCAGTTGTACAAATCGGATCTCAAGGACGACTTCGTCGACACCACGCTAGAGGAAAAACGGCTCCACGAGAACAAAACCCACGAAAAGTACTGGCTCAAATGGGGCCCCTACCTCAGCGAAAGGGCGTGGGCCACCGTCAGAGAGGACTACTCGCTCAACGGCGACGCATGGTCCGACTTCCCCTTCGAACACGCAGCGTCGCGTGTGTTCCGATGGGGTGAAGACGGCATCTTTGGCGTCTCTGACAACCGACAGCTCATCTGCCTCAGCCTGGCAATGTGGAATGGCCACGACGACATTCTCAAAGAGCGCATGTTTGGCGTAACGGGCCCCCAGGGAAACCACGGCGAGGACGTCAAAGAGCTCTACTATTATCTCGATAGCACTCCCACACACTCGTACATGAAGGCCCTCTACAAGTACCCCTTCGCGCGCCCGTTCCCTTACAAGGAGCTTGTGGAAGAGAACGGAAAGCGTGGCTACCAAGATCGCGAGTTCGAGATCTACGAGATCGACAACCTCTTCACCAGCGAGGAACATGGCGACAAGCCCTACTTCGACGTGGTGTTCGAGATGGCAAAAGACGACGAAAACCCCAACGAACTGAACTTCCGTATCACCGCCTACAACCGAAGCGACAAGCGCGCCGGAGAACTCTATCTCATCCCCCAAGTTTTCTTCAGAAACACCTGGAGTTGGTGTCGGAAAACCGCCCACAGACCTTCTCTGCAACAGGGTGGAGCCAATTTCATCAGCCTAGACTCCGAGAAATATGGCAAAAGAACTGCAATCTTCGCGCCTTCTCCTGGTGGCTTCGACGATGACGATATGGACACCGATGACATTGAGCCTCAATTGCTGTTCACAGAAAACGAGTCCAATTTGGAAAAACTGTTCGACAGCGGGCCAAACCCTGCGCGTTTTGCCAAGGACGCGTTTCATGATTACATCATCGACGGCAAAGCTGATGCTGTAAACCCGGACAAGGAAGGCACCAAGAGTTGCGCCGTTTATCACTTCCCCAAAGTACCTCCGGGCGAGTACGTCACAGTCAGATACAAGTTCACAGACCAGGATCTTTCCCAATGTGAAGGGGACGAATTGGTCATCGATGAAGAAGAGTTTGACGCAGTCTTTGACCGTCGCGAAGAGGAGGCCGACAACTTCTACTGGAAGATTACACCTTTGCACATTAGCAACGAGTTGAGGCGTGTCCAAAGACAAGCATTCGCAGGCCTTATGTGGTCCAAACAATTTTACCATTTCATTCAAGACCAATGGTACAACGGAGACCCAAGCGTCAAACCACGTCCACCTCCAAACCGCGCAAATGGCAGAAACAAGGACTGGAAACATATGTACACCGACGACATTTTGTCTCTCCCAGACAAATGGGAGTACCCATTTTTTGCCTCTTGGGATACAGCATTCCACTGCATCCCCTTGGCCATGATCGATCCCGAGTTTGCTAAAAGGCAACTGGATTTGCTGACACGCGAGTGGTACATGCACCCCAATGGCCAGATTCCCGCTTACGAATGGAATTTTAGCGATGTCAACCCGCCAGTTCATGCGTGGGCCGTCTATCGTGTATTCAAGATCGAAAGAAACATGTACAAGCGTGAGGACCGTGTGTTTTTGGAGCGTGTCTTCCAGAAATTGCTTTTGAACTTCACATGGTGGGTTAACCGTAAGGACTCGCACGGCCAAAATATCTTCGAAGGTGGTTTTCTGGGACTAGATAATATTGGTCTCTTTAACAGGTCCGAACCGTTACCAACAGGTGGCACTTTGGAACAAGCAGACTCTACTGGCTGGATGGCATTTTTCAGTCTACAGATGTTGAACATAGCGCTAGAACTTGCCAAGCAAAATCCAGTTTATGAAGATATCGCATCCAAGTTTTTTGAGCATTTTATCCTTATAAGTGATGCAATGTCATTCCATTATGTGAAGGATACCACACAGGACGAATTTCAAGAAGAAATCAAAGAATCTTTATGGAATGAAGAGGATGAATTCTATTATGACGCGATATCTTGGGGAGGCCCCTTTAAGCAACAATTACCTATCAGATCTCTTGTTGGATTGATTCCTTTGTATGCCTGTATGACGTTGGAGCCCCAAATATTAGATAAATTCCCCAGCTTCAAAAAGCGAGTAGACTGGTTCATTAATAATAAAGGTGACATTTTTGGTCGTAACATAGCCTCCATGAAAACGAGAGGTATAGGCGAAAGGCTACTACTTTCCCTTGTTACAAAGGAAAGACTAGTTGCAATTTTGCGCAGAATGCTTGACGAAACTGAGTTTCTGTCAGACTACGGAATTAGATCCTTATCCAAGTACCACGAGGAACATCCATTTGCAATGGATGTTGATGGCGTCAAATATACTGTAAAATATTTACCTGGTGAATCTGATTCAGGCATGTTTGGAGGGAACTCAAATTGGAGGGGCCCCATTTGGTTTCCAACCAATTTCCTTTTGATCGAATCTCTCCAAAGGTTTTTCCTCTATTACGGACCAGACTTTAAGGTGGAATGTCCTGTGGGGTCAGGAACCTTCTTGAACCTTGCTGAAATAGCCGAGGAACTAGAACATAGGTTAACACACTTGTTTATGCCCGATGAAAATGGTTTACGTGCGTGCTACTATGGAGAGCATCAAGAGATGCTCTCTAAAGACGAATATTTCAAAGATTTAGTTCCATTTTTTGAGTACTTCGATGGTGACACAGGTAGAGGTCTCGGGGCTTCACACCAATGTGGCTGGACCGCAGTGATTGCAAAATGGATTCATGATGCTGGTATATCATGTATTCGGTTGCCTCGTACATCTAGAAGCTCTGTGTCACGGGCCAGTATTGTGTCTGAATCTTCAACGCCTACTGAACGTCCCTCGATGCCTGTGAAGATGACAAGACGGAAGTCTGCCAAATCGCTTGTAAATCTTACCGCTACACTTCTTGATTTGACTGAGGAGGAAAAGATGATGCACAGAATTGGGAGCGTGCCACAGGGCTTGTCGCCAAAGACAAGTAACACTGAATCAAAGGAAAGCTCGGCTCCTTCGGAAGAGAAAGTAGACAAGAAACAAGAAGAGTCGTCTATAACAGGTGTTGAACACAATCCAAGCACCCATGAGTCGGAAGCAAAGGTCATCAGTAAGTTGAAGCAAAGGATTAACAAATTCCGACTAAATCCCGAACCCGAGAGCCGGACTGATAAGGAAGAGCTGATGACAGACAAATAGGTACCCTAGCTGAACGTTGGTTTTTAATTTTACTACTCTTAGGCAAAATAAATATATCGCGATACAAATTACTTTTATACGCCACCGTTTTCATTCATAGACGCTCTGTATATTGGTTCTATAGAAGAAAATGAATAATCTCTAAACTTCCAATGCGAGTATTAGATCGTCGGCTCTCTGGTCGTTTCCTTTATTAACTTCACTTGAATTTAGCAAACAAAACAAGCAAAATTAGGAGAATCAAGACTGCAATTATCGCATAACTGATAAACTTGTTGGCAACGAGTCTCCTGCTCATGGTCTTCAAAGTTCTTATACTCTTATCCACATACGAATCTGCTTGAAATAGCGTCTGTCTTGCATTTTCTAAGGTTTCCCTCTGTGACCTCAGGTCCATCATAATTTGAGATCCAATTCCTTCGGTTTCCACTGCCATTCTCGTTGCATCTCTGAGCTTGTCTCCCGTCCGGGATAAGGTGGCATGACTAGATAAAAGTTGCTGTCTTTGCTCATCGGTTTCACCAGATTGAGGTATACCAGCTCCCTCGAACAGCATGTCACGGTTTCTGGAGTCTACCAGTTGTTGCAGGGGCAATTTCACATCTGATTGCACCCGCTTCTTATAGTCACGCAATTTGGCCTTGAACGAGGCTTTCGCACTTCCATCTAGCGAAGTGTTGTTGAGCTCAATATCCATTTGGTCGATCAGGTCTAGGAGCTCATCCTGTTGTTGCTCAATTTCTTTCAGTGTGCTGTTCCTTTGAGATACGGGCTGGGAGGGCGCGACTGAAAGAAGCGTGCGGGCCTGCTCTAGAGTTGTTTTAAAGTCAGACTCATAAGACGATAGTAAACTGCTCATATTATCTTGCGGCCAGTAGTTGTCTTCAATCTGGTATTCTTGGTTTCGATGAGGGGTACACTGAATGTCGAAAACCTTGAATCCTCAGATTTATAGCACGTGACAACGTTGTTCGTAATCGAAATTCAAAATTACTGCTCCAGTATTATAGTTCCTCGTTCATCAACCCTGACCTCTCATGCCCTTCTATATTCATGCTTGCAGCTCTTTTGAGAGATTCTAGTAAATTACCTCTTTGATCGGTGTTATCTCCACTATAATTCCGGCTAGCCTATACAAAAAAAAAAATATGAGTACCAATTTAAAAATGCTTACAATACAGCAGCCATGCTCAGACTGACAGGATTCTCACGACAGCTAGTTCGCCACTCGTGGACGGCATATCGCACAACTACATTTCCAACTTACCGTTTGTTTTCGCAGACCGCACTCAGATTTCATGGCCATATAAAGAAGCCAAAGCCCGGAGAAGAGCTCCATGTAACCTTCATTCTGAAGGACGGGACACAAAAGACTTTTGAAGTCAGTGAAGGAGACACATTACTAGACATTGCCCAGGCTCATAACCTCGACATGGAGGGAGCATGTGGAGGTTCGTGCGCATGTTCGACGTGCCATGTGATCGTGGACCCCGAGTACTATGATGCCCTGGAAGAGCCAGATGACGATGAAAACGACATGCTAGACCTTGCTTATGGACTAACTGAAACCAGTAGACTGGGCTGTCAAATTAAAATGAGTAAGGCGATAGATGGTATAAGAGTGGCATTACCGGCCATGACACGTAACGTCAGCTCCTCAGATTTTGAATGAGCATCTTATGTGCTTGCCAGAAGAATGTGGTGCCTATTTTGCTCCTGTAAATATGAATATCAAGCACTATATTCGTTTTATTATTATTATTTAAGATCCTATTATTGTTAATAAAGTCACGCATGACGAAGGGTTCGGTTGGCTTTTTGTTTACTATTTTGAAGTTCTTGTATGAATTGCATGTTTACACTATTACACTAAGCAATTCCTTTCTTGTGCACAATTTTAGCGCACAAGTTGGCAGTCTAAGGTCCGAAAGCTTTGATAAGATCTTCAGGTGCCCTAGATATTTGCAGCCTGTTACTTACCTCAAGTTACCTCAAGTGTCAAATACCCGAGTCAGCGCTTCTAGTTCAAACAAATTTGAAACACCGATGAGCCAAACTAAAATTCCGAGCATTTCCGGGCGAAAACGTGCATCATTGCCATTGGAGAGTACGGCAAAAGAGTCCTATAAGAAACTCCATGCTTTGGAGGATGTCACTAATAAAAATATAGCGAAGGTAACACAATCAAGGATGCCGAAAGTCGCTGATCCGAATGCGAGGCTGATGCACCGGTACTATTATGGAGACGTGAGAGTAATTGAAGAAGTTAAAAAACGTGAACGCAAAATTGTACGTGACATTCAACATTTCAGAAGATCAATTGCTGAGATCGACTCAGAAACAAAGCTCATCAAGGAAAGGAATCTGCCAGACGTCAAGTATAACATATCCAAAAAAGCAGCTATATGCGATGAGCTGCGAAAGGAGCTGTTACAGGTAACAGCAGATTTGGACGAGAAAAATGGTGAGTGCGAATTAGTTGCTGTAAATGGCGATTTGACGATGAAAAACCTACAATTGCAGCACAAAGTTGAGCTTCAAAACGCACAAAATGAGCTTGACAAAGAATTGAGTGATGCCAGAGCATCATGGGAAATTAAATTACGAGAAATGGAAAATTTCAAGCCTGATGTACAAACAGTTAATGAGATTGAAGAGCTTAAGGAAAAGAAGCAAGACAGAGAAAAAGCAATCGAAAAGCTTGAACTACAGAACAAGCAGAAATGCAAAGAATACGAAGTACAGCTTGATGAGCTTTTAAAAGATTTCATAAAAGAGAAGGAAGAGCCTCTCAAAGAAATTCAGGAAAAGCATGATAGCTTACAGGCAACATACTCGCATCTCAAATCGGTGGCCCAGAAGATGAGCCATGAGACCACAATGTGTAAGGACGAATGTGAATCTACTTCAAAACAAATTGAAGAAATAAAGAAGAAACTTAAAGAGGTGGAGAAAGAAAACACAAAATTGAGGGAAATCCTGTTGAAAGTTCAACATGAATATTACGGCAAAAAAAACATCACCGACAAGGTACAAGAAAAAGCACACGCTGCTGAAATGCATTATAATACGCAATTTGATATGATGGAGCATGAACAAATGAGAAGACGAAAACTTGAGAATTCTATCGATGAACTTCGCGGTAAAGTGCGGTGTTTTGCATATGTGGGTGAAAATCTGGGAAATAATTATGCGGTGGACTATTCAAGCAAAATAATCACGACAGATACGGAATCAGCGTATTGTTTCACTAGAGTGATACCACGCTCATTAGTTACTGAGCAGGATCTCTTCAAGCAAGAATGTCAGGCCTACATTGAAATGTGCATGAACAAATCCTTTAACTTTAACATCGTATCACTTCTTAATGACAACCCCAATAAGCTTAGGGACTCTTTTGTGGATTTTATGGCAAATCAAACTTACAGTCATATGGAATTGCAGTATGTGTCGCTGTGTGAACGGCTTGCGTCTGCTGACATGCTATTGACTCCAGCTGAAGAATCAGATAAAGAGATCAAAGTGAAAATTGAAGAAAATTCGATAGAACTCAATTCAAAATCCGTGATTGTCAGATCTCCGGCAGAAATTCAAGATTTTCTAAGATTAACGGAGGAGCAGACTCGGCCGGCTGGTATAGGGATGCTCAAACTAAAAGTTTGGATAGAGGAGAATAAAGCAATCGATGTTTATTTTGTCGAGATCAATGATAGAAAAACTACTGAATATTTGCTATCGATTATATCTCCTGGTGAGGTCGTTCAAACTCCGGTTACTATCATCTTGCAAAATCTTCTGACAAAAACGAAATCACTATTTCTTTTCAACTTGCTCGAAGGGACAGACCAACATTTGCCCTTTTTACTAGATTTAGCTAACAGGATTGGCCAGCTTGATAGTCCTCGCAAAAATGCTGTTCGTCAGCGTTAATTCAACAAAATGTTATGCATTATTTTTGTCATCTGTAAATTATATATGTCAGAGACTTTATGTAATGATACAGCACTTCCATCAGCCGATGACCCAAATTATTCCTTAGTTAAAATGTCCTTGATCAGCCAATTCAATTCGTCCCTTGTACCGACATTTTTATCGTCTACCGGTGTAAAATTGGGCTTATCTTCCAAAAACTCCGGAAGATCGTCGATACTACTCTTCATATTCACTAAATCATCGTAGTTCAAGAGTTCACAGGTATTTAACTTGAAGTATGCACCTGTATGAGCCACAAGATTTGGATATATAGTAAAAGTTTCCGCCATGTCTTCGTTAGTGAGAGAAATAACTTTGGACAGAGACTCTGTCTCATCAGGAACATTTTCATCCCCTCTATTCGAAACTTCTTGATAAAAGCCTTCGTTATTCAAGTCATAGTAGTCAGAGTACTTTTTTTCGCGGTACCGTACAGTGTCAATTGCAGATTCAAGCACATTTTTCAAGTAGTTCTCTAGCGCTAGTGAAAGAATTTCAACGCAGCGGCCATCAACAGCACCTACAAGCCCGTGCTCGCGGGCAATGCTTATCATTCTGAGATAAAGACTATCAGAGTCTGGTAACGAATAGCTTTCCGTTGCAAGGGGAGCAGAGAAACCGTTTACAATTTCTTGGGACCATTCTAGCGGAGTTTTTAGATTGCTTGCCTTAACTCTCTTTAAAGTTTCTGGATTTGTAACAATGGGAATTTTGGGTATAAGATTGAGACGAGCTTGCAGTACCGAACAAAGTACAAAACCTCGTTTCCCGGCTTCTTTGGTAATCATTTTTAGTCGGTTCCTATCCTGAATTGGTAGCGACATTACAATCTTTTTATAAGTCTCAATTTGTGAATTGTGCTTATTGAGTCTTCTTTTATTTGAATGCGAAGTTCCATTGTTGAAACCCCATGCCCCGTCTGCCGATTCGCCTAAGGCAGAATCTCGAAGGGAATTAGCAAGAATAGCTAGCAACATCTGATTATGCAATCGTATAAACAAACCCCGACTTACGGGCGCCTGATTCCCTTGTTGCTGTGATTCTGGAGGCGGTGTAAAAATCAAATCTAGTTCATTGACTAGTTCCTTTCTAGAAAGCTTTCCAAGAATGAAAAGACTGATGATTTGCGCGTATTTGCTCCAGTTTTCTTTTCCCAAAAGCCCACTGAATTCCTCAACCATCTTTTCCATATTGAGACGCTTCATTTGAGCAGGGGGGGTCATCGGGACGCCTGGTGTCGCTGATCCCGCTCCTGCAGCTCCAGCGCTGCCACCGAGATGACCTCCACCTATATTCTTCGCCACATTATCGGCTACCAAGGCCGTGGGCTGCTGCTGAATCATGGACATTTTACTAGCTTCTCGAGAAAATTACCGTAATACCCAGTAAAAGTTATTTAATACTCAGGAAGGGCGATGACTCAGTAAGTTTTAAAAAAAGCTCGAAAACACTCAAATTCTCCACCGTTCGAGAACAGAAAGATATGTATTTTGTGGGAATTTATTTGAAACTTCAATTGGCTTCAATAAAACAGCCCAAAACCGTTGGTCTTGTCTTTCCTGTAGCGCTTTAAATGCTCACTTTCTAATTGACGGGAGCTCTTCCATTCGTGTTTTTCATGTTGAGACAGATAAAGTTAACGTGAAAGATGATACCAATAAGTATTATGTGAAATATTACATCTACAGTTTTATGAAAGGTTCAAGAACAGCATGTGTTCGGACTACAAACCTCTTAAGGGATCCTTAAAAAAATGTCTATCTACCGTCGCATTGTAATCCTCGAATGGAGATTGTGGAAGACGTGGGGATGCCAATGGTCGTTGAAACAGAGACTCCAGCTCTGCTATCCTTGACTCATATTGTATTTTTTCTCGCTCACGTTCTCTTTGGAGCTCCTGATACTTTATCTCCATATCAAATATAGTCTCATTAAGCCGACGAACCTCAGTAGCCTTCCCAATCGACGTATCAACAACTTGTGCTTCGAGCTCCTTGATTCGACTTCGCAGGGGGTCCAAGTCTGTAGCTGCTGTTTTAAGCTCCTTGTATTTGGAATAAAGTTTGTAATAATTATCGTATATCCTTTTCGACTGTCGCAGTTCACTTATGAGCTCCTGACGCACGGACAGATACTTTTCGCGATAGGACGACTCCTGATGAATATGCTGCTGCCGCTGATCCTCGAGTTTGCGCTGTAAACCCTTCAAGTTTTGACCGTTAAGATCGAGCTGATCAAGTAGTTTGATGTATTCATCTGTGTAATCTTTTGCAGGAGCTAAGGGCAACCCACCGTTCGAAGTACCGGCTCTTTTCATAGGAGAAGGAAATTTTCCTGGAAGTGCGGAATTAAATGTAGGAAGATTCTCGATTTTGTCCTTACCAAATAGTTGTGAAACGAGTGGATCATCATATGCTGGTATCTTGGGCTTCAAACTAGGATCTTGATACTTTTCGCTAGGTACACGCTGCTTTCTGCCAGAGAAAGTGTCTGTCGGATCTTCCTTCTCATAAAGACTCCTTTTCGGTAGTGCATTTACTGGCTCTTCCGGATAAGATGTTCTGACTGGTCGTAAAAGGTCATGCTCTTCTTCATCTGGCAGAAGTTCGTATTTCTCAAAGAGATCCCTTTCAAAAGAAAAAGAATTGGACCTACGGTGCGGCTCATATATCCGACCATCCCACTGCCTATATTGTCTAGTCTTGTTTTTGATGGTATAATTTGTGTCATCTTGAGCGAACTCTTTGTACTTTCTAGATGGTGAAATCTTTCTTCCAAATAGGGCATCCATTGTCCATTTGTATATCCCACCTGTACTATCATCCGTATCTTGCTTACTCCAAAGCATAGCAAACGATCTCACTAACTCAATTTTCCTACTTTGTTCGTCTAGTTTAACTGATGGCTTCCCTATCTTCCAAATTTCTTTGTTGTTATGATGAAATCCACAAGAAATTATGTCGCGCTGAATGTTCAAGAAATTATGGTTATGGGCAAAACCAAAAATTGATCCCTAGATCTTGTAGGAATGTCTGTGGTAGCAAGGAAAAAAGAGTGGCTACTTTGTTACACAGACAAACGATTAGTTTTGTTCAAAGATGACGAAATATTCCTCGAATGGGAAGCTCAGCCATGTAAAACGTACCGCTGTCACATCGCCGATGATGAAATGAAAGTGGTGGGAAGCCGGAGAAATACAATAACGTGTGATTATATTAATCTGAAGGAAGGCAAAATTGATAGGCGAGAACGTTTGCTGGAAGTAAATTTCGAGATCACAAACTTCGAAGTCATCTTCTGTCTGGGCTGGCTTCTTTGCTGCGATAATGTTTCTGGGGCGCTGCATATGTTCGATAGCATGAGAGGGCAATACAAAGGCCTTCTGCGGCTCAATTCGACTCAAGATGATATCTACGTATGTGGAAACAACCGCTTCCAGGTTTTCTGCAACAACTTTAATTACGATACACTCACAGGACAAGTTTGCTTGAACACCTACGAGATTGTTAAGAATGAAATTTCGCTGGCTTCATCTGCAGCACTGGACAGTGGATTTACAGAGTTTTGCGTGGTTCACGATAAACGTTTCACGCATTTTGCAGTGGTGTCAACTTGTCAGTACGAAAAGCTTTTACACTTACAATTGTTTCTCCCCAACGCTTCAGTTCCCTTTTACGAGCATGCTTTTCTAGACGGCGACGTGAGGTTTCTAGGATTCCTGGAGCCCTTTTCTGTTCTTCTAGCCTCGACCGTACGTGAAAAACTCCGCTTGGAGCTTTTTAATATACTTGATGGCCACGTAACAAATTCAATACGAGTTTGTCCGAGTAATGTAATGTCATTTGATCGCCTCAGTTCTAACGGCGATGTCATATCTGCTAATTTCAGCCCAATGACGATATCTTCTGGACCCGAGGTGCACATCTTACATGCAGGGAACACCAACCAAGAAACAGTCCATTTTACAATGGCTCACTCTTCGTGCATTCTTTACACATGGCAGCCCAAGAATCATGGTAAACTACGTCCGCTACGGTTGCCCGGTTCCCCTATTGCCCTGACTGAGGGAGCAGATAGCGTCGTTTTCGTTCCTGAAAGAGCTCCTTCCCTTTGCTGTGCCAGGCTTCCACGAATGGATCAGCCACATGACTTGGCGTCCCAGGGCTCTAACGACACTACCATCCACGAAACCGGATGATCGCGGTTGGGAAGTGATTCTGGTATGGCAAATCTTTTTTCGTGGGCTTGGCATCACAGAAACGCGCGTAGCGCATACCGCGAAAAATGATGTTCATCGTGTTTATACTATTTCTGGTTTGACCGAAAAGGTGAAGATGCAAACTGAATGGAATCCAATTGTGGTCGAATGCACGGTATAGGAGGGTGGTCTATACATATTTTCGTGATCGCGATGAAGCAGTTCAAAGGCTGTTCATTTTTTTCGTGTTGTCTCAATATATATAGATTGAGGAGAATTGTTAGCATTCTAGAGAATACTGAAGTTTGGCTAAGGCGCAAGAAAGGCTCTTCAACACTCGCATAGGAACACTGAGATCAGCACTCATTGTCCAGTGACCCTACTAAGATCAGAATTGGATTTGATAACAGTTTATCGTTAGTACACTCGCTTGAATTCAGACACACGAAATTCTTCCATCGTTCTCCCGCATATTATAATAACTAATGGACGCGACCAAAGAGCTTCCCCAGGGACTGATTGTGACAGCGAAACAGACATACTATCCAATTGAACTGTCAAATGCGGAATTGTTGGCCCACTATGAGACTATCCAAGATTATCATCAGGAAATCTCCGCGAATGTTATATCGCAATCTTGCAAATTCAAACCAGACCCCAAGCTTATAGACCAGCAACCTGAGATGAACCCACATCAGACTCGGGAACAAGTGATGGGCGTTTTATTTGAGTTGTCAGTGAAGACTAGAGTTACCAATGGTATATTTTTCCATGCTGCCCGTCTTTATGACCGCTATTGTTCTAAAAGGGTGGTGTTGAGGGAGCAGGCAAAGCTTGTCATTGCTACTTGTCTTTGGCTTGCAGCAAAGACATGGGGTGGTTGCAATCATATCATCAATAATGTCACTATTCCGACTGGTGGAAGATTTTATGGGCCCAACCCCAGAGCACGTATTCCGCGTTTGTCCGAACTGGTACATTACTGTGGTGGATCTGAGGTTTTTGATGAAAGCATGTTTATGCAAATGGAAAGACACATTTTAGATACCCTAAATTGGGACGTTTATGAACCGATGATTAACGATTATGTGCTTAATGTCGATGAGAACTGTTTGATACAGTACGAGTTATACAAAAAGCAACTTGAGCACAACAAAGAGTGGTTCAAAAGATCAGAGCAAACCTCTGATAGTGACGCCACGGAGGAAGATGAAGACGAGGACGAAGATCTCGATAACAAGATCAGATCTATCAATATTAAGAAGTTCTTGATAGATTTATCGACTTGGCAATACGAATTACTAAAGTACGAGATGTTCGAAATAGCACATGGAATATTCTCTGTGCTAAACAAATTCACGAAGCAAGAGCAAGGTCCACTACTGATGGCACCCTTACCAACTTCGGCCAATCAAACGACTCTCTTAAAAATCTTCATCTCCGCTGTAGCTGATGCTCCTCAGGATCTAATTCAACTCTATAAAGAATGCTATGGGGTTTTACCATTTATTGCAACTGTCAGAGAACATCATACTTCGATGCAAAAAAAAATGCAATACGCAGCTGCTATGGATCTATCGAGGAGATCAACCCTATGCTACGAGGTTCCTTCCATGCCATCTCCCCCATACCCTAATCACAACTACACGCCTATGAGAAATGTGACAGCTACATCAGACACTAGCATCTTTAGCACCGTTGAATCCCAACCCTCCCCCGTGACACCGATCATGTATTCATTTCCTCATAACAAGGGGTTACCAGGAAGCTCTTGCGGGTCCACGTTGAGCGTGAATAGCATCACTAACAAGAGATCTAGAGGGGAGGATTATGATTACATGGATGAGGACAAAGAAAATCAAGATCCCACTTTTGTTGTCCCACCCCGCGCCAAATTTGTGGGTAACGGTATTTTTGCCTCTGGTGGCACATCAGCTACAAATAGCAATAGGTCTTCTCTCGTGTCTCTTGCGATAAGCAACATAAATAACATGGTCTAGTTTTCAACAGGAGGTGCACGGCACGAACATAAATAAATATAAATACACAAAAATCTAGGAAAATGGCAAGTAGAAAATAGAAATGAGTCAATCGAGAATGCGCAATTCATAGTTGCTGTGGATCTAGACATTCACAACAGCGATTTTATAGAGAGAAGACTTTAAATATCTCTTGGTCGAGGTCACGTGATCAGTCCTCAAATTCTTGTTACTTGTTTTTTTTTTTTTTTTTTTTCAGTGGCTTGTCACTCGAGGAAGCGCGAAGTTTCAAGTATCCTCCTGCAATAACCGTCCCATCATCCCTTCAACGGCAAATATGGTGTCTCTCGTTTCGTTCCTGACGGTGTCGTTGAGTATAATAGGTAGTGTACTAGCTGATGACTCAGTAGACTCCCTGTATGGTACGTGGACGTCAAAATCAAATCAGGTATTTACCGGACCAGGATTTTATGATCCTATAGATGAGCTATTAATTGAACCATCTCTTCCTGGAATCTCGTATTCCTTTACCGAGGATGGGTGGTATGAAGAGGCTACCTATCAAGTAACGTCCAATCCTCAGCAACCGGACTGTCCTAAAGCTGCAGTCATATATCAGCATGGGTCTTACGAGATTATGGATAATGGAACGCTAATCCTAACCCCCATCTCGGTAGATGGCAGACAATTATTCAGTGATCCATGTAACGACCATGGTACTTCATCTTACACGAGATACTCTCAGAAGGAGGTGTTCAAAAGTTTTGAAGTTTCGCTTAATACATATCATGGCAGATACATGCTGCTACTATATCAAAGTGATGGCAGCCCTATGCAACCGCTATATTTGGCCTACAGACCCCCATTGATGTTACCAACTGAGACTCTGAACCCAACCGCAACTGAAGACGCTACCAGTACTTCATCCGAGGCATCTAGCACCGGTTCTAACGAGAAGCGATCCGTGAGATCTTTGATCCGCAGAGGTCTTGAAAACAAATACAAGACAAATGCGGTCAAAAAGGGTTCTTTTTTCGACACCAAGTTCTATTGGTGGGTCTCTGCAGGCTTGGTTGGTATCGGTTCGGTTGCATTCTTGGTGTTTTAAACCCCAACTTATTGATTATTAAGAGAAAGAGAAATAAAACGGTGCTCTCAAATGGGGTGGAACTACAGGTCCACTCCGCAAGAAGAGTTCTGGAGGTCTTGATAATCTGATCAATTATCCATTATAAGAGCATAGATCTCTAATTGAATAGGACCATAAGACGAAAATTCTTGGGTTAGATATGGATGTCTCATTGTATATCAATTTCACGTTTACTGCTAGTTGATTATGTACATCCTTTAACTTATCTTCTTATCTTCCTCCAGCTCATATACAACACTCATACATAATATTAATCATAATCAACGGTTCTGGTTTAAAGCTCCTTTATTTAGATATTCAATTAGCCATCCTACTTTGTTGTTTTAAACGCCACATAAAATAAGACGCTGACCAATGGCTGCGCAGGTGAACTCGTCTTCACAACTAGATGCCTTGATTCAGCAGGCTACTAGTGAACATATTCCGAATGGTGAGATAGACTTGGCACTCTCATTAGAAATCTCCGATGTGATAAGATCGCGAAGAGTTCCTCCGAAGGACAGCATGAGATGTTTGAAAAGAAGGATAATAGCAACGCGTTCCAATCCAAATTCAAATCTATCCTCTTGGAGGCTGGCTGAAGTCTGCGTGAAAAACGGCGGTATCCCATTCATAAAGGAGGTCTGTTCTCGTGAGTTCATGGATTGTCTAGAGTATGCTATCCTGGAGAATGACTCAAATGAAGATATCGAGTCTGTTTGCACTAATATGCTCCAAAATTTATACGTGGCTTTCAAAAATGACTCGCAGCTCAATTATGTCTCCAAAGTTTATCAGAGACTTGTTACACGCGGCGTGGAATTTCCTCAGGAAACTTCAGTTCCATCAGAATCTGCAACTGCCATGTTTGATTCAAAAACACCCGCAGACTGGATTGATTCAGATGCATGCATGATTTGCTCCAATAAATTTTCTTTGTTGAACAGAAAACACCATTGTCGCTCTTGCGGTGGCATCTTTTGCCAAGAGCATTCGTCCCACACAATACCATTACCAGACTTAGGAATATACGAACCAGTCCGCGTCTGCGACAATTGCTATGATGATTATGACTTGAAGAGACAGTCAGGAAAAAAGCACCGGCGAAAGAGGAAGGGTCATAAAGGATCAACGGAAACCGAAGAAGACGAAGACCTTAAAAGAGCTATTGAATTGTCTCTTCGCGAATCTCGTCATCAGGATACAGCTGTTCCTGTTGTTCCGGTGGTTGATAAGCAGAATTCGGCTGCTAATGAGGAAGAAGATGCGGACTTGAAAGCGGCCATCGAAGCAAGCTTAAGAGAGGCAGCAGAGGAGAAGAAGAGAAGAGAATCAGCAGCGCATCAACCAGCGATGGATTATCAAGTTCCGGCTATCAGGTCTCCGCAATCGCCAAATGAGCTTACAACTGCGGAAGAGGATGATATCCAGCTTTTCGCTTCTTTAGTTGAGCGAATGAAGTCTCAACCGGTAACTGCAGTATTAGAAGATCCTCAACTTCAGCAGCTGTATCGAAAGGTCATCCGAACGGGACCAAAACTCAACGTTGCCTTGAACGAAACTGTCACTAAATACAATACTCTGCTGCAGATGAACGGCAAAATATCTGACATCATGAACATATATGATTCTCTGTTAGAAAAACAACTAAGAGATATTAATCTTAGCCAACAATATTCGGTACCACAGCTTCCTTCTGATCCTTATGCCTATTATAATGTTGCCCAAGCTAAAACCCAGGAGCAGCAGGCGTATCCTTCACCTCACCAACCCCAAGCATATGCGCCGCAGCCACAAGATTCGCAACAACTACCTGTCTATCAAAATCAGCAATACAATCCTCAACAGTTTGCTTCTCACAAATCCAACCAACGAATTGAAACGCAGCCGTATGCTCCTTCCTCGCAGCAGTTATCATCACGTTCGCAAGCACAAAAATATTCTCAAGCAGAGCAATCACAATCCTATCATTCTCAGCAATATCCATCGAACAAAGAAATGCATTCGCAGTTCCCATTGAATCAGCAATCACTTGTATCACCTCCAATTAATCATTCTGAACAGTTGCAGAATTTAGCTTTCTCGTCAGGCCTTTCACAAGCTAACTCTCATCCTTCAATAACACCTTATCCTCAAGAAGAGCAGCGACCAGCAGAAGTTTTATCTGTACCATCAGAACCACCTTATCCGCAAGACCGCGAAGAAAATATCTCTGCTGAACTGCCATCTGATCCTCCGTATCCAACGGATGACGTGCATCGCGCAGAAAACAATAATGGCGACAAGAGTAAGAACGGTATCACAAACTTTGACTTTCCTACCGTTCCTGTGCAAAAGCCATCCTTGGATGGAGAGATAAGCGAAGAAACGCAACAAGAAGTTGAATCTGATGAACCTGAAGAATTGCTCATTGAACTTTAATTTCAACTAGTTAAATAGTTATGGTAGAAATGGCAAAAAATTTGATATTTCAACGTTAATATATAATGCTCATCTGATGTTGGGCCAAAATGCACGGTGCCACTATAAAAGCGCAAACGTACACTTTTATTCATGGTAGCAACAGTATTCAAAAGTGGAAACTGATTTAGTGATTGAAGTAATGGGAGTATGAGGCGTGAGGAACAATTTGGTTCGTATGGCCTGAATATTTAACTACAAAATCTTCCGATCGTTCTAAATTAGTTTATTTATAACTATTTCGCAAGTATTTCAGTATAGATAAATCGAGTGAAAAGTGCTGATCATCATTAATTTCGTGTATCTATTTCGATATTCTAGACTAAATTGCAATCTCCTCAGTTTCCAAACCACACCCAATACACCTTCTTTTCAATACTTGAAGCCCATCATCATTGACACCACCATCAACTGCATTTGAAAATTCATGTATGTGCTCTTCACCATGCTTTTTCTGAAGCAGTCTCTTTGTGTATTCTTGTGCTCGTGTTTTTATCCTCATTTCCTTCATTTTTTGCTGATACTTCTTTTCCCGCCTCTCAGCTTTTCCTTCCTCCCTTCGTTGCCATTCCTTGTCTAATCCTTCTTCACCACCCCACTTCTTGAATGCAAACTCTTCTATTTGGCACCGAGCAAATAATTGCATTCTCGCAAAGGTTCCTGAGTGAGGATTTGGTTTCTCCAACCTGTAGAAAAGAGAGTCATCATTAAGCTCTGGATCAGTCAAGAAATAGTCTTCCTTACACTCTGTCTTCGTTAAAAGAGAATACTTTTCAGGATGAGCTTTCACACAGGATTTGCACACCTGTAAGTGGAAGGTATCCAAAAGTAGAGGGTCAAGTTCGGTGTTGATATTACACTCAGTACATTTAGGTGCAAGTGAAGGGTGATCTGGTGGAGGGGCATTTTCGTACAGAGCCCTTCTCTCCCGTTGAGAGCGTTGCCAGTCTTCCAATGACTGCTGTTTCTTATTGTCAGGTCCTTCGTAATCCTCTTCAATGTTGATGAAGCCACCATGAGAGTTCTTCATAGTGGCAAAGTCGTATTCGATATAGTCCTGCTTCCGTATCGTGGGGCGTATTTTATCTAAAGGCCGTTTTGAACGTTTTATGCCCTCGTCATTAGCGGCTTCTTTGTCTTTACTTGAAGCATCGCGTACCGAACTATTTACGTTGACACTTGCACTCTTGCTATTTTGTACCTTATCCTTCGGTACATCATCACTTGGCTTATCAGTCACAGATTTAGCTGGTTTGGGAGCGTTTCGAGCTTCCATCTTCTTTGCCTGTTCATCTCTGATAATACCCCTCTGTTTTAATCTTTCCAATGCCCTTTGTCTATTTGCTTCCTATACATCAAAAGGACAGATTATACAGTTAGTGAAAATTTAATATAACGTGATTTTAATCCTTGTAGACCAACATACAATCCTGGCCCTCTGTTCAGCGTTCATTGAAAGTAGTCTATAGCTTCGAACCGAGCTAGGGTTTACCCGATGAGGGCAACTGATGAGTTTAGAAATGGAGCGAAGAAAACCCTGCCGTTCGTGAATTTTGATCAAATAATACAGCATAACTTAGCGACTTGCGATATTCTTACAAGTGCTCATTATCCCTCGAGTTGCTTGCTTCACCAGCCCTCCATCGTGTAGTCATGCTCGATGCCTGGGGTAACGCTTGCGATAAATTTCAAAAAAACGATAAGATACTGGTCTACCCGTAGACCATCGTCAACGTCCTCTTGTAAATCCTCCCAGTCATCCTCGTTTAGCCCCTGCCCCCTCTTCACAGACCTTTCGCGCTGTTTCACAGCACGCACTTTCTCCATGAGAACTCTCATTACGTTTGCGTGTTTGCAGGGATGTATTGAGACCGATGTTGCCGGAGAGTTTAGAAATGGTAATTTCTCAATAGTCGCTGTCTTAGTCCTGTAGTCTGGCGATATATCTTGAAACATCTGTTCTGGTGTGAGGGGGGACCCATCTCCGTTGAACCCCACTAAGTACATCTTGGGTACCCTGTAAGATGTCGAATATGTGATGTACAAATCGTAATACCTCTTATCATTTGGAGCAATCGCGACAATATCCTCATCTTCCTCAACGTCTTCGATATCCATCCCTTCTAGCATCTCGTCGATATCTGCGGTTGCTGTCTCTTCTTGTGGTCGTGACTGTGACTCGACGACCCACCCGTCCTCATCCCCTTCCGTACCTTCCTCATCCATCGCTACTAGCTGTTCAGCTCTCGTACCACATGGAACTTTCCTCGTCACCAAGAACTGATTCCCCTTAGGCAGGAAATCTCTGTAGTTAACGTTCTTTGATTGTTCATTCCATTGCCATGTAGGGAACATGTGGCACAAGTAGTCACCAGCTTGTACAAACTCCTCAGGCGTGATTTGGCCGGTAACTTGAAAAGTAGATTTATGAGATACTGGTGTCAAGTACTCTCTCCAGCTGCTAAGCGTTGACCTTAACATTTTGTTCTTCGATTTTAAGTTTTATGTGCGCATTACAAAAGGTAAAGTCTCGTTCCGGATCTTACAAGTAGCTTTAATCATCTGACAAGGTAAACACAAGAAAGACTACGAAAATGGGGGTCAAGAATCGTAAGAAGAAGACCAAGGGGTCAAGTGATCATGACGAGACTGACAATAAGCCTAAGCATAGGCACTTGCGTCAGCAGGGGAAGAAGAGTGGCAAAACATGGAAAGAGTCTCGGAGAATGGTGTTTACGCTTGGTGCTATATTAGGCTTGCTGATAGCGCTGTACTTAGGATCGTATGTGGCTAGTCCTAATACCGTTCTATTCGACAACCTGGTAAACTTTGAATCGTTTCAAGATTACATGGAAGATTGGAAAGAGGTAATACCTCAAAGTGTCTCGTCTTTGATCAACGATTTCCAGCAACGTAATCTTCCCACGACTTCGCCAAAAGATCTCACAGAAAGTTTTGCAGTGGGTAAAGAACTGCATAAGGAGCTTGATCTGTCGCATACACATCCAGTCATCATGGTACCCGGTGTCATTTCAACAGGAATTGAAAGCTGGGGACTTTATGGAGATGACGAATGCCCTAGCGAAGCCCACTTTCGCAAAAGACTTTGGGGTTCTTTTTACATGTTAAAAACGATGGTTTTAGACAAGGCATGTTGGCTGAAACATGTCATGCTGGACCCAGAAACAGGTCTAGATCCTGCAAACTTTACATTGCGAGCTGCTCAAGGATTTGAAGCTGCTGATTTCTTCATGGCTGGGTACTGGATTTGGAACAAAGTTCTGCAAAACCTTGGGGCTATTGGTTATGAGCCCAATAAAATGAGCACTGCCGCCTACGACTGGAGGCTTGCATATCTTGACTTAGAGCGAAGAGATTCGTATTTTTCAAAGTTGAAGCAGCAAATCGAACTCAGCTATGCGCTTACGGGTGAGAAAACGGTGCTAACTGGTCATTCCATGGGGTCTCAAATCATTTTCTATTTCTTGAAGTGGGTTGAGGCAGAGGGACCATTATACGGTAACGGTGGTCGTGGATGGGTGAATAAGCATATAGATTCCTTTATTAACGTGGCAGGAACGTTGCTAGGCGCACCCAAGGCAGTCCCAGCCTTAATTAGTGGAGAGATGAAGGATACCATTCAATTGAATGCGTTAGCTATGTACGGCTTGGAAAAGTTCTTTAGCAGAAAGGAGAGGCTCGACATGATACAAACATGGGGCGGTGTACCATCTATGGTACCCAAAGGTGGTGATCTCATCTGGGGTAATCTTTTTACTTCCCTTGAAGATGAACTTCACAATAACACCGACACTTACGGAAAGTTCATCAGATTTGAACGTGCTTCAACCACCAAATATTCTGAACGTAATCTCACCATGACTGATTCGATTGATTTAGTGCTAGAACTTGCCCCTACATGGCTTCGTGATCGTGTCAAGGATCAATACTCTTTTGGTTATGCGACAACAGAGGCCGAAATGAGGGCCAACGAAAAACATCATAGCCATTGGACGAATCCATTGGAAGTTCCTCTACCCGATGCTCCAGATCTAAAAGTATATTGTTTTTACGGTGTGGGAAATCCCACAGAGAGAGCTTACGTATACAAGGAGGAGCTCGAGCACCCGGATTTAAATATTACGATTGATTATGAGAGCGAGAACCCTGTATTCTTCACGGATGGAGATGGCACCGTCCCGATCGTTACCCATGCCATGTGCCAAAAATGGGCCCAGGGCAAATCTGCATACAATCCAGGTGACTCCAAAGTCAAGATTGTCGAAATTAAGCATCAACCAGACCGGTTTGATATCAGAGGTGGAGCAAAGAGTGCAGAACACGTTGACATCCTAGGAAGTGCAGAATTGAATGAGTACATCTTGAGAGTAGTATCCGGAAATGGAGACACTATCGAACCTCGCGAATTGACCAACATGACGCGTTGGGTTCAAGAAATGCCATTTCCAATGTAGCTCCACGAAAAAATCGCGACTGTAAACAAAAACAAACACGGTAAAACTCAAAAAAAAAAAAGTTGGCAAATATTAAGAAGCAAATAGTTAGATAGATCGTAAAAGAAGAGTGTTGTTGCTACTAACTTTCAAAGCCATGACAATAGAACAGCAGCGTCAACCCTTGAAGGTCCTCTCCAGCTCCCGAGTCAATCAACTGAGCTCTAGAAATCTGCTGCATGAGGAAAAGAACGAGAAGCTACAACTGCCCTCCATAACGTCGATAATTGAGGGGAAGCCTACTCTAATTTCTACCAAAGATGGATTAGTACGTTCTTCAGCGAGAAAACACAAGACTTTCCCACTTCCAATCTCGCCCGTGACGTCTTGCGCTGTGGCGACTGGTTCACCACAAGTGCTCTGTGAGTCACTTCGCCAACAACCCTCTACCGCAGAATACGAAGAGCTCGCGCGCAGACTCAGGGTACGCCTTCAATTTGCATACTACAAGTACAAAACCAACCAAACACATCTCAAATTCCGCCAGCTACACCGTAAGGTCTCCAATACATCGCGTTCTACCGGCATAGGCATTAGCACCAATAACACAAGTACTAGCGCTAGGAGGCTTGTGGGCTCGAGGGGCCATTACCGAACCCCCGTTAAGCATGCGACATGGCGTTCTCGAGACGCATCCTCCAACGCGGTGCCCACGCCGCAGCAGAACACACCCATGTCTGTGAAGGCTGCAAAATCGCTACTGCAACTTTTCGCAAGCGTACCTTAAGCATATAAAGAGTGTTCAACCACTTCTTACATTACACATGCCTCAATCGGACACCCAGTACCCTGCCACAGCCACCGTGTGTGTTGTACACCGGTAAAATAGCTTTATCGGTCGTACGGCTGTTCAATCCAGGTCACGTGTATATCGTTTAGAAGCGAAAAATAAATAAAATCGTATCGATTTCTGTATTTGAACTGCAACCTTTTCCTCATCTTCCCTCTCAAGTTTTTCTCAGCTAACTATAGTTTCGTCGCTATGAAGATCCTCTTCTTCTTAACGTTATTTGGCCTTGCTGGCTACTGGATGAATCAATTAATGTACACCTGGTTGCCAAAGAACTACATCTTTGACCCAGTGACTTTAAACGAGATATGTAACAAAGTCATTTCCAGACACAACACCACAGATGAAGTTACTGCTGTGCCATTGTTCACCGATCTACGTGATGAATTGGCCGCAAGGTATGGTGAAGAATACATTAACAAGTACGTTGACGAAGAATGGGTTTTCAACAATGCAGGCGGTGCCATGGGCCAGATGATCATCTTGCATGCATCCATTTCCGAATATTTGATTATCTTTGGTACTGCGGTCGGAACCGAGGGCCACACTGGTGTGCACTTCGCAGATGATTACTTCACCATCTTGCGTGGCCAGCAGACTGCAGCCCTGCCATATGCGACGAACCCCGAGGTCTACTTGCCTGGTAGTACTCACCACCTGCAGAAAGGGTACGCTAAGCAATACAGCATGCCTAGCGGCTCGTTTGCATTGGAATTGGCCCAAGGCTGGATTCCATGCATGTTGCCTTTCGGTTTCTTGGACACCTTCTCTAGTACTCTCGATCTCTACACTTTGTACAGAACCGTGTACCTCACTGGAAGAGACATGATCAAGAACTTGGTCCAAAACGGTAAGTTTTAGAGGCCTTGTGCTGATACAGATTTAGTTTATAGAGACTATATATATCAAATTCTATTCTTATCAACTCGATGGTAATCCTAAATCCTCTTCCGACGCAGGAACAAGGCCAAGGAAAGTACTTAGTTCGCTCACTTGACATTTGAAACTTGGTTTAAACCTCTTTTATCAACTCAATGGCCTTCATTCACTTCTCCACACGGCCTTTCATAACTACAACACTTCGTTGCCCGAGGTCATTTATTACGCCTTCTATTTCGTCTTCCTACAAGTTGAGTCCATCTATAGTCCGGTGCTTGATTGGCGCAGAGAACACGGAATGGTCACTCTAAATAACCCACACTTGGCTCAAATCCACTCTACACTTGTACCGGACCCCAACTCCGAACACCAAACGCTAGAGTTCATACCTCAGTTGTACTACTCACTCTACCAATTGAAAAAGGAGCCAAATAATAGTTCCATCTCACTTGAAAACACAACTTCTAGCATCCGACACAGACTCAAGCAATGCAAGTCGTACATAGAAGAAAGCGAAGAGTGCAGGACGCTTCTTGGTCAGACGTGTACTGAGTGGGAACATGCCATTGAGCAACGCGAGCGAGAATTAGAGGTAAAAAAACAGGTATTAACTACACTAAGCGAGCAAATAAAGCAACTCAAGGGCACCTAGTGCAGTCGAATACCTCAAGCTATTGCTCATAGTGACGTTTCAACACCTCAAAGAGGAGCAGTAGTACTAAGTAGAATTGTAATATATCAAATCACGTGATTTCGTATGTACTTTAGTACGGCAAATCGGATGAAAATTTTTTATCCCAGACTTTTCAAGGTTGAAAATACAAGTTAGCAGTAGGCCGAACGCAAATAGAAAAATAGTTCAGAACTGTGATTCAAAGATGTCTTCTTCGACTCCTTTGCCGCTTGGCGACTTTTCCAAAATTAACACCATTCCTGGAGTCTCTCCAATGACTAATGAGCAAAAGAACGGGTCGTTTTGGTCTTCTAACCCAATCTTCAGCTATCTGAATGACGTCTACAACAACATTCACGCACACAGGCAGTCACTGTCATTGGTGAATCCTGGTACAATTGAGAACCTAAACAAGGAAGTTTCGCGTGATGTATTCTTGACACAGTACTTTTTCACTGGTTTGAGAGCAGATTTGAACAAAGCGTTCGCTTTGAACCCTGCTTTCCAAACCTCGCACACGCTGTCAATGGGTTCCCCTAACCTACCCAGCTATGCCTTCTCCGCCCTTTTTGCCAATGACAACTTATTCATGCAAGGTAACTTTGATAATGAGATGTCTTTGTCTGGAAGATTGAACTATGGCTGGGACAAGAACAATATTTCCAAGGTAACTTTACAAATTTCGCAGGGTCAACCTACTATGTGTCAATTGGAACAGGACTACCAAGGATCTGACTTCTCCTTGAACTTGAAGGCGTTGAACCCTAGCGTCTCTACTAAGGGTGAATTCACTGGTGTTGCAGTCGGTTCAATTCTTCAAAGTGTTACACCTCAGTTCGCACTAGGTTTGGAAGCCATCTACTCTAGAGGCCAATCTACAATGCCAGCAGATGCTGCTGTTTCTTATGTTACTCGTTACGTGTCTCCAAAGCAAGACTGGATCTTTTCCGGTCAATTGCAAGCCAATGGTGCTCTCATCACATCTTTCTGGCGTAAAGTTGCTCCAAACGTCGAAGCTGGTCTAGAAACAACTTTGCAGGCCTCCATGATTCCTATCTCCGATCCTGTCATTGGTACCCCAATTGGTGTTCAGCCAACTATTGAAGGTTCTACTACTTTAGGTTGCAAATATGAATACAGACAGTCCGTTTTCCGTGGTTCCCTGGATTCTAATGGTAAGGTTGGCTGTTTCTTGGAAAGAAAGATCTTACCTACTCTTTCGGTATTGTTCTGTGGTGAGATCGACCATTTCAAGCAAGAAAGCAAGTTAGGCTGCGGTTTACAATTCGAAACTGCCGGCAGCGAGGAGCTTTTGATGATGCAACAAGGTTTGGATGCTAATGGAAACCCATTGCAAGCTGCACCTCAAATCTAAGTTGCCAAAAAATTAGTAGTGCGATAACCTAAGTATGTGCACTTAGGAAACAGTCTTGTCTATAGCTCAGTTAATCACACCTCTTTAAAGCTTATGTACCATTTTCATAGTAACGAAATCTAAAGAGTCTTCTCATTATCAACTGACCTGGATTATAATCATTTTAACGCGATGGGCCAGCCATCGCCATGAATTTTACGTAGCTATCAAGTCTTTTTATAGACGTCTTCGAAGCTGATATCCATCCAGCCTCCATCGAAAACAGAGCGTTCTATTTGGAAATTATTTGATCTCCTGGAGGGGAACTCAAAAGGAACTGAGAGGGATCGCCTATTTTGATTGGCAACCAATGAAGGAGACGGTAAACCGTAGTAAGAGCTGTACCTTTTGATGAGGGGAGAGTGAGACTCTTTATTTTCATGCAAAGTGATATTTCTTATAGCATTTCTAAATGCAGCGTTGATCAATGTTTCTGCACTTGTTTCATCTTGCATTTCATCGAAGACACTGTCTTCATCAGAGTCGATGTCATCCAATAAATATTGAAGATCATTAACCTCTTTTTTTTCCATCTCACTCACGATTTCCTCACTCTGTCCGTCATTTTTATACTGGCAAATGGTCTGAACAACGGTTTCGAAGTCTTTTTCAATCTGATATGGAAAGGCTTCATTTGCAGCAGGCGGCAGAAATTCAATTTCCCAATATCTTTCTGGGTTGAATAGAAAAATCAAGAACTTTAACTCCTTGCAGCCTAACCTCGTTATCTGTAACTTCGGTAAGATAGGATGCACAATATTACCTTTACGCCCAAGGCATAGATAAGTCATCTTTTGAGGGGGGGCATTGATATTTTGTGTAATGATTTGATATATTTCCAGAGGACCATTGGAAACTAAACAGGTGGCCCTCTTAGAGTTTTTGTTTACAGGATCGTCTTGTGGATTTATTCTTTTTATTACGCTCGATTGTGAACTCAAAGTTGACGTTGATGATCCCGAGTTGCTTCTTTGTTTGTAAATTGTGAAATTCATAACCTTAACATGGTCATACTTGAAAAGAGTCACTCTCTGGGCGGATAATCGTTGGTTCTTCCGCTCTCTTTCTAAATCTCGAACAGAATCGTCAAATTTGGCCTTTCGTATTTTAGCATCGCCGGTGTATTTCAACGTCTGGCTATCTGCATCCAACTTTTTCCCCTTATTGTTACGCAAAAGAAGGGTATTTCTGATGCTTTTGAAGGGCGATTGTGGCTTCTTCTTTGGGGTACGTGATTGCAGGGAATGGTCCTTGTTAGAATTGAGCAAAGCTTTATTATTTCCATTACTTGCATTTTGAATGGAATTCATCCTTGCGCTCGGGTTTTGAAACGGTTAGTCGCAATGATGAGATTGTATATCCTTCAATTTTCTTTGTTTTCATTACTATGAAAACTGAGGAAAAAAATACTAGAAACTTCAACATCACTTAAGCAACGACAAAAGAATAAAAAAATAGCAGAATTTTAGACATCAGATTCACGCGTTAGTGGTATATATTTTATTGATTTATATATGGCCTTTTCCGTATATTGGAGTAGGCATTGTGGGCTGTAAATGACACTACCCAAGGAAACCACGCTATGCCAAAAAATAAATAGAATAAATTCCATCTCTTATGATTTATCAGTTAGTCGTAAATTTGCTATAAGACATCATTAAGTATACAAAGCATTCATAAAAGAGATAAATCAGTCTATATCGTACATTCCAATTTTAATGCAGTCATCTCCAGAAACAAACAAAGCGCATTAGTCAGTTTCCACCTTCTTTCTGCCAACTAGATGGTCAGCAATAGCCCTGGTGCCCTCCCAGTGGATGACCTTTGGCATTCTCTTGGCCACTTCGGTCTCGAAATCGTATAGTTGTCTAATCGAAGTGAAAGTGACATGAGAACCCTTGATACCCAAAACGGCAGCAGTCTCAGAGATAGTTTTGTCATCTGGGTCGAACTCGTCTTCGTCAGCACGAGCTTCACGAATGACTTCCTGGTTAGCCTCAATATATCCGACAGCTCTGATAGCAAGTCTAGTACCTCTAGTTCTGTCGATTGGGGATGGTAAGCCACCCTGTTGTACGTGACCTGGAATAGCAGATTTGGCATCGAATTTACCATTGGCCTCGGCTGTAATGACTCTGGCCAAGACGTCTGGGGTGAAGACCTTGGAAGCGTTCTTGGACTTCAAGATCAACTTACCGAATCTACCTCTACCTTGGGCCTTGTCAAAGGAATCACTTAGAGTTTCAATGTCTTGAGACAATTGCTCTAGGGAAATACCTTCCTCAGGAACGTAAGAAACTTGAGCACCAACAGCCAGGGCGGCGTTAGTAGCCAAGAAACCAGAGTTACCACCTTGAACATCAACAACGAAAGCTCTGCCTCTAGTCGAAGCGGCTGATTGCTTGATAACGTCACAGTACTCCATTAGAGCGTTCAATGCAGTATCAGTACCCAAAGAGTATTCAGTACCTGGGACGTTGTTTGATAGGGTAGCTGGAATCAAAACCATTGGAATTCTGAATGCAGGGTAATTGTCTCTTGCTCTTTCTAGTTGATGTAGAGAAACAAAAGCTTCGAAACCACCAACGATAATAAGACCGTCGAATTTGTACTTTTGGAAGTAGTAGGCAACCATACCAATGTCTGCCTCTTCTGGGGTAGTTCTGTTGGTACCGATTTCAGAACCACCACGGCTTTGCCATCCCAGCATGGATAGCCAGTCCAAGGCGCGAACACTTTCGTGTCTAGCCAAACCAGACCAGCCATTATAGATGGCATAAGGTCTGTGACCTTGAGACATACAGTAGGTAGCCATAGAATAGACAGCAGAGTTGATACCACCGGCTGGGGCACCAACGTTGACGATGGCGATTTTTAGTCTCTTGTCATGGCTCAACTTAGGCTCATTGTGGTCAGCAGAGTTGATGGCCATGAAGTTGTTCAAATGCTCAACAAATTCTGTGTCTCTTAAGCCCATAGCCTTTTTGAAATCTTTGGCATGGATAGCCTCAGCAACAGATTTAGTTAATCTGACCGATTCCACTAATGGCTTGCGCACAATTTTGTTTTCATTAATGGCGATCAAAGGAGATGGAGTATCAGGGGTAGAGTCCAAAACAGCATTGACTGCTTCAACACCTTGAAGCGTAGCCAAAATACGGTCGAATGCGACAGCAGTACCACCTCTTTGAACGTGACCTAAAGTTGTAACTCTAGTGTCCAATCCCAATCTATCAACCAAAACCTTGTGGACATCCTTTGGAGAAATAGGAGTCAAGTCTGCAGCGATGGCACCCTCAGCAACAATGACAATAGTGGTTCTCTTTCCTCTTGCTCTGTGCTTAGCGACAATGTCACACATTTGATCTTGCCACTCACGCGAAGAAGCTGGCTTTTCAGGTATCAAGATATAGTCAGCAGACGTGGCAATACCGGCCATCAAAGCCAACCAACCACAGTTTCTTCCCATAACTTCGACGACAAAGGCTCTTGAGTGAGAGTTCGCTGTGGCTTCGATGTAATCGATAGCCTTGCAAATTCTGTCCAAAGAGGAGTAAGCACCGATGGTAGCATCTGTAGTAGACATATCGTTATCAATGGAACCAACGGTACCACAGATGTTTAAGTGTTGGTATCTTGTGAATTGTTCGTCAGAAATTCTTCTAGTTTCTCTCAATTCCTTGATCAAGGATGGCCATTCAGATCTAAACAAGTCAGCACCAGTCAAGGAACCGTCACCACCACAAACAATCAAAGCGTCGACACCGGCTTCAATCAAGTGTTGAGCACCCAAAAGTCTACCAGCACGTTCTCTGAATTCCATACAACGAGCGGTACCAATGTTAGTACCACCCTCGCTTGACCAACCACGGACATCTTCCCAGGTGAATTCCTTGATGTATTCTGGACCACCACGAACCAAACCCTCGTAACCTTCCATAACTACGTAAGGACGGCAGCCTTTGAAGATGGCAGTACGGACAATGGCACGGACATTGGCGTTCATACCTGGAGCATCACCACCAGAGGTCATAACAGCAATAGCCTTTTGAACATTACCGTTTTTGGTTGGCAGAGAAGGATATTCCTTTGCAGTGGAAACTGCAGATGACAAGTCCACAGTCGATTGAGATGAAGATGGAGCAGTGGAAGCAAAGGAGCCTTTGGCAGCTGGAGGAGCTGTTGGCATTGTACTGACTGCGTTCTTGGTCTTGGTAACACCAACGATGTTACCCATAGGGTCGACGGTGTACAATTCCATGGCATATAGCTCTGTTGGGAATGCCTGGTACCGAATGGAATCAGCGCGCAACTTGGAGGAAATGATTTCAATGTCAGCAGTGTTGAACACTATCGAGTCTGACACGTGGGATCTCCAATCGCAGCTATCGCGAGAGTTGAGGATGTCCTTACGACGGGCATCAGCTGCGCTTTGCTTTTGAGCGTCTTCCTTTAAAACGACCTCCAACGACAAAGAGTCGCTGTGGAATAGGGTCAACGTTGATGAAGCGGAAAGACTTTTTAGTTGGAGAAGCTTCTCATAAAATTCTACAGTTGCCTGATACGCAACATTGGAATACGCTTCAACGGTATATTGTGAGGTACCGTTGACTAGAGGGATTTCAACAGTCATATCAAGTAGTATGTTCTTCGGGGGAGCCGGGGGTTCTTTCTTTCCGCTTCCAAGTTGTCTTTTATAAAAGAATGATGAGGTGATAGGCCGGCAGGGGATTCCACAGGTGATCTTGTCAGCGGAGGCCGGCTTCCACTATGCATCTGGCTTCCTCTTCCATAGACAGCTTCGCATCACACATGTGACGGCTACGGTTCTGAATTGGGAACCCACGCCACGTTCTGAGAGGCATTTCGTGAGTGGTCGGATTTCGCTCGTCGCGCGTGATTTTTGTATTCCTTTACGAATCACGTCACGTGTCGTTGCCTTTTGGGATTAATTGGATGGTGGCCGGTCAATCTGCGTCAGAGAAGCGAAGTTTGATTCAGTTGAGATTGTTTTATTTGCGGAAATGGTGGGCCCTCATTCTTTCTATTTTCTTTCTGTTACTGGTTTCCAATAGCAGCATGAACAGTTTTGTAAAGAACAGGAGGCAATCAAATAGCGGCGCGGGAGTAGCGACAACAAGCTAGAACGGTGAATTAAAATACTGTGGCTCTTCGATGTGATGATAAATAGCTCAGTTATTATTATTGGGTCCCGACCTGGGTTTATGTGTCCTCAATGCATGTTTTGACTTGTGATTGTTTTCTGACTCAGCGGCAAAAGTAAGAAATTGAAATGTTCACAACCTTCAAAAATTGAAAAAATATGACACGATCGTCGACATCTTCGTCTCCGTAAATTGGATATCCCAAAAAGGCCTGTGTAGCTAGGTAGGCAGTTAATTAATGCAAATAAGCTTGCGTCGACGCATATCTGTAATCTGTTAGAACGTATTTCAGTATGAATAAATATATGGAAAATAACATATAAATTGTAAGGCAGTTGTCAGGGACAGGATTTGATTTGCTTCCCTAAGCCTAGTTGTAGCCAAATGGGATTATTTCGATCGAATATCCATCAGGGTCTTTGATGAAAGCCAAGTTCTTCATTTTGCCCTGGTTAAATTTCACCGGCCATTGGATCTTGTCACCGTACTTATTCTCGATCTCCTTACAAAGAACATTTGGATTCACTAAGCTAACGCAAATGTGGCCGTATCCTTGAGGTTGTTCGTTACCATTGTGATATTTGAAGTCAGCGTCATCTTCAGTGCCCCAATTGTGTGTCAATTCGAGCACACCTTCTTGAGACCACCTTGCAGAATCCCTGGAGTAACCCAAAAAGTAGAGAGTGAATTTGGCATTGGCGTGCTCACTTACGTCTAATAGGTGCATACCAAGCACGTTTTGGTAGAACTCAAGAGACTTTTTAGCATCCTTCACACGGATCATGGTGTGGTTGAAAAGATAGCCTACATCAAATTTATCACTGGCACCTGGTCTATTGTACTGAACCAATTCAATCCAATATCCATCTGGATCCAAGGCGAAAGCAATGTCCTTCTGTCTTCCATCCGTCAATCTCTTCTTGAAATCAACACCTTTAGATTCAAGAAGCTCGCAGGTGTGTGTGACGTCGGGAACTGTGAAGCAAATGTGACCAAAACCACGGTGAGGCTCTTCATTGCCGTTGTTGATTTTGAAGTTGGGGTCGTTTTCCGTACCATAGTTATGGGTCAACTCCAAAACTCCGCTATTTCTAAAGACATCGATGTCACCATTGGCGTTTCTGTGAAAGTTGGCCTTGGGAAACGATAAAAAGTACAAATCAAACTTCGACTCTGGAAACTCTTTCTTTCCGATCAATTCCATGCCGAACTTTGATTCGTAAAAGTCAACACTTCTCTTGGGGTCCTTTACACGCAAGCATGTATGGTTAAATGTTAAAGAAGAGTCTGTATGTGCAGCCTCAATTGGAATGGGATAGTACTTAGCGTCTGTAGCCATTTTGCGAAATTGAAAATGTCTTGTTATGTTTAAAAGCCTCGCTAATGGACGGGACAGAGCCATCATGTAGTCATTATATACCAGCTCTTTCTCAGAAATTATTGGCAGCAAACTGACGAAGTCCACTGGAATGACAAAGGAAAAGTTTGTCACGTGGTTATTGTTATCCGAGTGAACCTGTGAATATTGGTCTAAACAGTCTACATATTCCCTTACATGCTTATTTCTTATTCGATTTGAATATATGTGGGACCATTTCTTGCAACCATTCTTCTCTTGCAATAGGCATGCAATCTCTCATAAATTCCTTTGAAGTCAGCACAAGACGCTGGTAGAGAATGAACTTGGTGGGTTTCTTCATTTCTTTCCTCATTTCCTGGAATACAACGCTGCTCGGGTGTATGCTAACGCTGACACCACCGCTCTGTTCACCAATTGTTCTGTAACCACTAGTGCCCAGTTGAGCGATATTCATAGGAAATCCACTGATAAAACTTCGAACAATTCGAGGCTCCAGATTAGCTTCGCCAGTAATCTTCTTGAGAGCAACTTCGTTCATCGCAACCAAGCCAAGTTTTTCACAGCATCCCCACAGCTGATCTCTAATATTGCGAACTCTTATCATAGTCTTGTATTGAACTTTGTGGTCAAAACACCACGATTTCGAGTAATCCATATCTCTCCAATTATTGTAGGTCTCGAGGTAGAGCATGTGGTCGCTTTGAACTGAGCCCACTATACCACTCTTTCTCGCGTTGTCGTTTTGATTATGCGCAAAGAGTGATGCAGTTTCATGAAGCATTGCAACTATAGTTACAACATCTTCTAGGACACCCTTACACTTTTCATGCGTTGCAGCAGTGTGCATAACTTTTCCCAATTCAGGTTCGCATGGGAACTCGCACATCATTCTGCCGAGCCTTGTAATTGTGCCTTTACTATTTAATGCCCCAAGTACGTATAGATTCTCTAACGCTTTCATTAGACTTGGGATGCTTGGCTTATCTAACAATGGAAAATTAATCAAATCTGTTATTCCAAGAGAGAGAAGCAATAGAACGACTTGCGATAAATTTATTCTTAGTATTTCTGGTTTCGGTAGCGGCTCCAATTCATGGAAATACGACCATTTGGTGAACAATCGGAAACACTTACCTGGTCCGACACGTCCAGCACGTCCAGCACGCTGATCCACAGACGCCCTTGAACATGGAACTGTTAGTAGCTGGGACATGCCAGTTGAGGGAACGTAAGAATTTTCTTTCACAAAACCAGGGTCTATAACGAATTTGATTCCGTCGATTGTAAGAGAAGTTTCGGCTATGTTTGTTGCAAGGACGACTTTCCGGCATCCCTGTGGCGTTGGTTGAAAAATTTTTGATTGCTGTTCTTGGGGAAGATTGGCATATATTGGAGCAATTATCATAGGTTTAACTCGAGATCCCAAGATATTTGCTATCTCTTCTATATTTGCTTGAGCAGTTTCGATTTCCTCTTGACCAGTTAAAAACACGAGTATATCACCAGGTAATTCTTGCGTTGTGTGTATTTGGAATACTGTTGTTACTGCTGCATTCAAATAATTGGCTTCGGGCTGTAGCGTGTAATGAATATCCACAGGGTATCGTCTCCCTGGTACATTGAATATAGGTGCATCATAAAAGAACTTAGAAAACTTGACAGCATTAATTGTTGCCGAAGAAATCAGCAGTTTTAAATCTTTTCGATGAGGTAATATATCCTTCAGTAGCCCCAACAAGATGTCAGTAGCCAAAGTTCTCTCATGTGCTTCATCAATCATAATACAAGCATATTTGGAAAGTTCTGGATCCACCAGAAATTCTCTTAGTAGCATACCATCAGTCATGTACTTTAGAACAGTTTTCTCAGGTGTTGTCCTGTCTTCAAAACGTATAGAGTATCCTACCTCCTTTCCGAGAAAGACATCCATTTCATCAGCCACTCTTGCAGCAACAGACATAGCGGCCACACGTCTAGGCTGTGTACAAGCAATTTGCAAAGTTCCATTCTTAGTGTACCCTTCCTCAACGAGGTATTGAGGGAGTTGAGTCGTTTTACCTGAACCAGTTTCACCCACGACAATCAAAATCTGATTTTCTTTGATGGCATCTAACAACTGCTGTCGGTACCTATAAACAGGCAGGGATTTCCGAGTAGATTGAATTGATTGCAATCTTGACTGCTCTTTGTCCAATTGCTCAAGCAATTTTGTGTCATAATCTCCCTTTTCCTCCGGTAAAACATCATCGGTCACTTCTGTAAACTCTATTAATGCGTCTTCGTCGAAGACAAAATCGTAATCTTGGGAACCTTCAACTTGTATTTCATCAACATCCGGCTTTTGAACCGCTTGTTTCAACTGCTGCTCTTCCCAACGTTTGTCTTTGCTAGTCCTTTCTCTTTTTGGAGATTTCCGATTCAATAGCTCGCGTTTCTTATTCAAGTCTATCTTCCCATTTTCGTCAGTGTAGTCTTCCTGTAATCTGAAGCCTTGCAGTTTCTCATCCTCTTTCTCTTTAATTAAGGCAAGCAAGTTTCTCTTGATGGTAATCTCCTGTTGTTCACTCTTCGTTAGATTATCCCAGCCATATGTATTTACATCTTGTTCTAGGAATTCAAGTTCTTTGGCCAAGATCTGCAGCTTGTCCTTTTCCCTTGCGGTTAGGTACTGCTGTCTTGCCAACCTTCGAAGCTCTTCCATATCTTCTTCATTTGCTGATACGCTCTCTTGTGCACTATTCTCCGTCTTGGCAGCATTGTCTTCATTAGAATCGCTGTTCCATGTTTCTGATTCTCCATCTTCTTGCACTACGGTTTCAAGCGTAGTAGACGGTATAATAGCATCATCCTCCGAGTTACTGAGCTTTTGTCTTCTTTTTCCTACACCAGTTTTGACTTTCTCCATTCTTGGGCTGTTGTTTAGGGTTCCATCTTATCTCATCGCTAGCATGAAGGGCCACTTTCTACAGAAAATTTTCTTGAAATATCGTTTGAAAGACGTTGCACAGCAACGATATCGAACACGGAAGTGAATAGTGGAAGCACGTTGAGTTGTTTTGGTTGATATGAGTAGCCTGTCATTTGACCAAGGTAGTACTTCATCTCTATTTTTAGCAAAAGATAATGCTGATAAGGATAATCATGGATCGAGATACATCCCACCTTGGACTACTCCATACATTATTGGAGTAGGTGGCCTATCAGGTTCAGGTAAAACAAGTGTGGCAGCTAAAATCGTCTCATCTATCAACACCCCGTGGACGGTTTTAATCTCTTTGGATAATTTCTACAAGCCATTGACTCCAGAAGAGCGAGAGCTGGCTTTCAAAAATACTTTTGATTTTGATCAGCCGCATTCAACTGATTTAGATCTAGCTTACCAATGTCTTCTAAGTCTTAAACAAGGTAAAAAGACAACAATACCTGTCTACAGTTTTGTGCATCATAATCGAGTGCCAGATAAAAGTATCACAATTTATGGGTCAAGTGTGGTCGTGATTGAGGGTATTTATGCATTATATGACCAGCGTTTGCTAGATCTTATGGACCTGAAAATTTACGTAGATGCAGATCTCGATGTCTGTCTTGCGCGACGTTTGTCGCGAGATATTGTATCAAGAGGAAGAGACTTAGAAGGCTGTATCAAACAATGGGAAGACTTTGTCAAGCCAAACGCGGATAAATTCGTGAAACCTACAATGAAAAATGCTGATGCTATCATTCCCTCGATGGGTAATAATGGAGTTGCAACACAAACCTTAATTAACCACATAAAGTCGAAATTGCAATTAAAGTCGAAAAAGCACCTGAAAGAATTAGTCAAGCTGGGATATATTCAAAATACAAAAGCATTATCGGAAATGTCAAATATACACGAGTTAGAGCCAACAAATCAAGTTCTTTCGTTGAGAACCATGTTACTAGACAAGTATCTCACTCGTGATGATTTTGTGTTCTATTTCGATAGAATTGCCACTATCTTGGTCTCGCGTGCCCTTGACGACATTACTTGTAGAAAAGGATCTCAAATAATAACGCCATCGAACATAGTTATTGATTCTCCTACGGTTGTTGAATTTGATAAAGTGACTGCGATAAATATTGTCCGCTCTGGTGATTGTTTTATGAAATCTTTGAAGAAAACTATCCCCAGCATTGCAGTTGGAAAGCTTCTTATCCAATCTGATTCTCACACTGGTGAACCTCAATTGCATTGTGAGTTTTTGCCTCCGCAACTTGAAGATTTTGAACAAGTGCTCTTAGTTGATGCTCAAATTATATCAGGGGCAGCCATTATCATGGCCATTCAAGTTCTCTTAGACCATGGAGTCCCACTTCAAAAAATTAAGGTCATTGTTTACTTGGCAACGGAAATTGGAATCAGAAGAATTTCTAACGCATTCAATGATAGGGTTAGCATTTACGCGGGGCACATTGTGGCCACTGATGCTTTAGGAACTGACAACTGGGCTAGAATTCGTTTTGTTGACTCTAAATATTTTGGTTGTGATTAAAGGGTTGTTTGTGTATTAGTACTTATCTTTTATAGAAAGAGCTTTGATCAGAGAGAATCGAATGCAAAGTCAATATGTTGTAAGAAAAGTTAAAGAAATTTTCAAAGTATCTAGGGTTTTGAACTTAAGTTAATAGCCGATTACTTTCATTAAACCATAGCCAACAGTCACAATGAAAATGTAGGCAATTAAACTTGCAGGGATGCCTCGAGTAATGAAGTTACCTACAGTCAGGTATCTATCACCAACTTCGTCTATCATGGATATTGCTGTAACGTTAGGGAACCCCGAGGTAGGCAATCCCATTGCGCACGAACATAGGAATGCGGCCATCATGATTAATAGTCTAGAGTGGTCGCCATCGGGTAGATTGCTACCAATTTCACTCATTAGTGGAACAATAATCATCGCAGCGACTGTGTGAGAGACAAAAGTAGCCATTGTCAAGATAACAATACCAAAGATAAGAACAATTACGAAAATGGGCTTGTCTTCGACTTGTTCTTTGATTATCGTAGCAATTGCAGATAATAGGCCCGATGATGAAACTGCTTTACCCAACGTAGTACCACCCATGGCAAGAACAACAATTGTCCACATAAAATTATTGAAATCGCCGGAACTTAGCATACCGGAGCCGAATAAAACAACAATTGGGATGATAGAAATTATACCCATTTCACCAAAAACCCCGGAGAGCTGGTTTGCCAAACACCATAATACAATTGTGCCCACCGTACACAGAGTGACGAACCATTGTTCTACCGTGAATGGATCTTTGATTGGATGCAATTGCAAAATCTTCAAGTTCTTTTCGACCGGGAAAGTAACAAGAAGGAGCAACCATATCGCCAAAACACACATACCACAAAGAGGCAGTGCGACTATAAACCATTGAGCCCAGGATGGTTGCGGGTCCATCATTCCGATGGATATGATGTTTTGTGGAGAGGCGATGGGGGACGCCATCCCTCCGACGTTAGATGCAAGAGCAATCCCCATGATTAACGATTTCGCAAACGAGCTTCTCTTTGGCAATGTACGTAGTAAAGGTTGGATAATTGAGTAGCACAAGACAGGAGCAGCTACGTTTGACACCCACATTGAAACAAAGAGCGCCACAGCCATGTTCGTAAGTAAAATCGTTTTGGGGTTGGTTCCAGCGGAAGATAAAATGTGAGTTGAAATAACTTTGGCAACGTTGTATTTTGACAAAGCTGCAGCCAAAGTAAAACCACCTAAAAGTAACATGATCACACTAGACCACATAGTCGAAAGAATATATTGGGAGGCCTGAGGGGGGCTCATCGCGACACCGTCACCATCTTTCAAAACCGGCAGTACAACGATCAAGAGAGGTACAATTAAGGAGGTGACAAAAAGTGGAATGGTTTCAGTAGCCCAGAGTAAAGATGCATACACCAAGATGGCAAAACAGTTTTTTTGAAGAACGTCATCAATGGGTGAGAAGAAAAGCAAGATCAAAAAGAACAAAGTGATGAACAAAAATCTCAATAAGCCCGTGGATCTGAGAAGCAATTTGAGATAATGGGCTGGTGTAAAATGGAGGGCATCCGTCAAAGTAGCCTGAGGAAGTTCTTCGGGAGAAGGTGATGGTAGAGCTTCGTCGTCCATGAACTTGGCACTTGCCTTTCTCTTTAGCTTTTTTTCAGTCTTCACGTTTTGAGCTTTTCTTTCTAGATTCATCATATCCTTCCACACTGTGTTCCGTTCCCAGACAACATGTTCTCTCAAGTGAAGCGAAAGTTCGCGCTCAGCTTCCTGGAAGTTGATAACATCTTGTTGGGAGCTGTCTCCACCGCTACCTAGAAGCTTGGCATACATGACTATCGTGTCAGTGATAGCAGTTTCCAGCGCAGACATGGTTTCAGGTTCAAATACATGCGCCTTCGAAGGTAAAGAGGAAAGATACTCTGCTTTAAGATTGGTACCCAGACTCTTGTCGAATTTTTTGCAAATCTTGGAAAACCCAGTCTGGTTGAGCTCGATGAAACTCTTTAGCTCGCAAAGTTGCGTGTATTCCGCAACCAGACGTTTTTTCAAGTTGATCATATTTTCCAGGAACGGATCAATCCCTGTGTAGTACGTGTTTCGAGAGACGACCGGCAGGATGTCGCCCACGGAGTTGCCCATTCTGCTTGACACGACCTCCTCCGGGACGTCGTCGTCGTCGGAATACGACATGGCGCGGCGGATCGACGCGCCAGACGCACTGCTTCTGCCGCTAGCAGCATCGTGAAGAGAGCTCTCGGCTTGGTACTCGGCCATGTCATCGCGTAGCTCGTGGAAAGCAGCAAGGATGTTGCGCTCCTGCTGGACGTAGAAATGGTCAATCTTGACGACTTCGCGATCCAAAGCCTCGATGAACTTGCGTGTGTACGACTGCTGGAGCGGAACCTGCTCTGGGTCAGACGAGCTGCTCTGGTACAGCTTTTCCTTCTGCAGAGAGTATATGAGCCGTTTCAGCTGCGAGTAGGCTATGTAGCGCGACAACCATTCCGGGACCGCGTTGAACTGGAGCGAGTGTGAGAACTTCATGAGCCAGTTCTAGTGGGAGCAGATTGCAGGGAAGAAGTAGCAGCCGTTGTAAAGATCAAGGCAAATCTAGCACACGTTCGGCCAAGGATGGATGCACTTTGGACGCACTTTCCGAAAAGGAAACGGGCCTCATGCAGTAGGGAAAAAGAAGAAATATTATAAGAGAAAAAAAAGATTTCCGGACACGAGATTGCATCACGTGGCGCCAGGTTGGGCGACAGACTCTCTGCATTTTCGTGTGCCGTGATGTCGATACAGTGGTCGCTTCGTACGGCGCTTCGCGCGCTGCTAAAAATAGCACGTGTCGCTTTTGCGACGGTATCCCGTCACGTGGTTTTTGTGGCGTGAGCGCCGCGCGTCTGTGACCAAAAAAGAAACGACGGAAACCCAAACTCCGCCCATTTTTTTCGTCGTTTTTGCGGCGGGGCAAACCAAATCTCCTAGTCGTCGCAGGTGACCCTCGTACATCGTACGTTCTTGCTTGAAACATCACAAAATTTCACCTCATCCCCCCGCAATCTTGCGTGATAACCCTTTGTTTCGTTGATTTGTTGATAAGTGATTCGTGTAGTATACATAAGCAGAGGATTCAGCGAGCTTCTTGATCTGGTTTCCGATCAGTGTTTATAAAATCAGCTCATTTAGCATTTTTCTAGATATTCTACACAAGCCTTCCAGGATTCCATTCTTTGACGCATGTTGGAAGTTCTCAACACTCCTGTAGACGCACATCTCGTGGTGCATTATGACAATCAGGATCCCAGCCGCGGGCGGTGCGTGACTGGGACGTCGATCTGCGTCGGCGACGAGTTTGGTGGGCGCCAGGACAGCGCAACTCCGTTCCAGCGGCGGCTCTCTGCGTCGCTGCGTGTGTGCGACCTGTACCAGTGTGTTCACTCGAGCAGCGGCCATCACGCTCTTGCACGGCGCTTCAGTGAAAACATCTCGGCGCCCCGTCCCCGGCAAAGTATCACGCGAACCGCGTCGTACGCCGCCGACAACGACCAGCGCGTGCGATACCTGCCCGAGATGCCTGCCTTGCCTACGTGGCGGCCGCTCTGTGAAGCCTCGAGACGGTCTTCCGTGGACAGCGCCAACGAGGACGCCGTCAGCGCTACCAGCACAGGTAGCTCTGGAGGCAGCGCGTGCGGGTCCGATGCCCCAGCTACTCATATATGCAACGTTTGCGCCCCGCAGCAGGACTGCTGGGTGGATCTCAGCACGCCCTGCGGGCGCCACCATCATCGCCGCAACTCCACGGCCATTAAATTCCGCAAGGCCCTTTATAAAGAATCCTAGCCCTTACATTACATTAGTTCCTACGTACTTTCCATTTAAGATACCTGTTTTTTGTCCCTCAGCCCGCGAATACTCCGCTTCGTGCGCAGCACGACGTTTTTGATCATGGAATGTGATGGGCTGCACACTTCCTCACTGCTGCCAAGCTCGTTGCAGCAATCCAAGTCCGGCCACAATCCGTCGTCGTCCGGAAATTCGCTTGTGCACGTTGATACCCTGCGCAGTTTGTCGCGATTGTGGGGCGTTGCAAGGTGCAGCGCTGGCAGCGGTTGCTTGTTGTTCAATTCGGCCCGTTTCGTGGTTGTGGGAAGCGTGACATTGCACGAAAACCATGTCGCGGTCTTGGAGCTACCCAAATCTGCGTCCGAAGACTCTGGAGATGTATCGAGGTCTGCATCCTCGTGCAACGAATCCCCTGAGCTGCTACCTCTGGCAGCTGCCTTTGCGTTTTGCCGTTCATATAGCATACGCACACGTTCGAAAACGGTAAGTTCTTCTGATGAGAATCGTGGGTCCACGCTTATGGTATTGTAATTATCCAGCAGATCGCTTAGTAAATCGCCAGTCATGTTTGTACGGATCATGGCTTCGTCTTCGGCAGAGATTCCTGCGCGTTCCCTAGTCTCCACTGGCGATTCTGGTAGAAGCATCACAGAATATGGATGCCCCTTTTTGTCTGGACTGGTCTCGTCCTGCTCACTGCTCACTTGCGTTGTTTCGGTAGAATTAAGATTATCCTCCCCGCCGCTAGACACTGCTGTCGTGTCCGCGAATGAGGAGATGGATGGATTCTGAATCTTCATGGGACCCTTCGGTAGATGACCCGGTGGTGCTCTATCAACTGGAGTACCCATTGGTGAAGGTCTGACAACCTTAGTCCCAAGAATCAAGGGAGATAAAAGTCCCGCTTCTGGAGCTTTTTCCGGAAAGGTATTTTCCTTCGTGATTTCAGCATGGATGCTTTGCATTTCTTTGAATTCAGATCTTTCTGGGATTATCTGAAGCCTCGGCGTGCAGATGACATTGGGTGAAGCTTCACCGTGTTCGCTGCTGCTGTCTTTACCTGCAGGCATGTCCAAGTTTTCTGTGACGCGAGCCGCTTCTTTTGGGATGGTTTCTCCCGATTCGTTGATAGATTGGTTGGAATTTTTTTCTGTAAGATTTGAGTCGTTCTTGTTACTCTCAACCTCAATCTTATCAACAGGCTCCTCTTGGGAATTCGCTAGGCTCTCAGGATTGCCGAGTGCAGGGGCTTCAATTGTTCTGATTGCTCCAGCACCGCTCTGTGTTCCAAAATTTATTGGTTCAACAACCGAAGTTACCGCTGAACTAGCATCATTCATCGTAGCTACTTCTTCATCATTGTCTTCATTTTCCTCCTTCGGAAGAGTATTTAATTCCTGGGGTTTCTCTTTCGCGCTCAGGTTATCTCTTTCAGAGTTTTCGACAGAATTTTGGGGTCCGGCATCTTCTTGTTCTTTAGTTGAGTCTTCTGGAATTTCATCAAGAGCTAAGCTGTCACTTACTTGTTCAGAACTTCTTGGTGTACTTTGAACAGCTTTTTCTTTTTCAACTTTCAAGTTGCTGCTTGGTATCGAGCTCACAGATCTCCTGTCTGTAAATTGCTTTGCAACGTTAATCCTGGGCGACATGTTATGGGAACCACGACGTGAATGGGATTTAAAACTGGAATTCTCTGGGTACAGCCCTAGTGAAGAGTCAATAAGAGGTGACGATGAAGGTTCACCCAATAAACTTGGTGGTGGAGGACGAGATTTTGTAGATGAGATGCTTGGAGATGCGGTATGTGATGGAGTGCGGTCCTTGGATGGTAATGGAGGGGTATTAAATTTGGACCATTCCTGCTCCTTGGCCGAATCACCAGATTTGCATGGGGTCAGATAGCACTGAGATCCAACCCTTTCATCGGTAGTAATGACAAGCCACTCACAATCAGCAATTCTTTTAGTAAGCTTTATCACCAAAGTGTTTTTAACTTTGCTCAAAAATGTTTCATACTTCCAAGAAGAGATGAACCACTCCGAAACATCCATCTTTGATACTCTCACAGGGGGGAAAGCAGGAGCCTCATCTTTGGCCGACTTAAAATTGCTGCTTCCAAGTGCTAATGTGCCCTCACCGAAATTGTTGTCATCTAATACTGACAAGAAGTCATTAAATCCTTTGTCTTTGCAAGAATTAATCCAGGTTGCTACCGCGTACTGGTCACCAGGACCTAAACTTTGTAATCCAGAGCCAAACCCACTTCTCATACCAAAATTTTTGAAAATCTCAGGATCAAATTTGTCATCAAATTTATACATGTACCGCTTTGATGATCTTGAAAATAATGAAGTGACAACTTTGTAAGGGTCCTCCTCGAATTTGTCTAAAAATGTGTTGTCCATCTTAGTGAAAGTATGATTCGATGAGTAAATCCTCGTAGACGCCTTGGCTGCGAGTGTCATAAGCTCATTGAAATTATTCTCGTCCGGATTGGGTAGTTGAGGAACCGTTAGAGTCAAAGCACGTTGGGTCATTGGCTTGTATGGCTTTGGCGGATAGTCGTCAATTTGAAAAGTGTCGATTAAATAAAAATCTTTAATCTTGCCCTCCTCGACTAGTGATCGTAGATATGACACGAATAACCGATAAAGAGCTTCGCCTTTAGCTTGATAAACCTTGACAAGTGCGATCAAATCAGGAGAATCAGATGACTTATTTTTGATATAGTTTCGAAGATCTGGTGTACTGACAAAGCAAACCTGGCCTGCAGTAAATATGAGATCCATTTGCGTGTATTTGTCAACAACCATGTCAACCTTAGATATTATCGCAACAAGTATCTCCAAAAACTCAAATGCACAGCATGTATAGTCGTGGTCGGGAAGGACTCTTGGGAGGAAATTGTAGAAACACATCTTGGAAAAATTCTGCTTCGATTCAATTGCACAGAATTTCAAATAAGCTTCCCATGGAATAATACCTTGGGGAAGATGGGACCAGATGATCCGCAAAGCCAAAATGAGTTTGTTCTTATGGTTTCCAAAGCTCTTTTTGATACTTTCTTCTAGAACCTTACCGTTCAGAGAGCAACCATCCCAAGGGAAAAAAGATTTTAAAATTCTGGTTGCACCTTCGATCTCTTGATTGGAAAAATGTGAAAGATTGGGTTTGAATATCTCTATTGCGGACTTAATTGAACCTGTATCGCGGCTTCCCTGCGCAATGCCGTCGTCGATCAACGTTTCCTTGAAGTACCGCGTCAGATAGTGAATTACATATCTCGCAGACGTCGGATTTATACCTTCTTTCTTCTGGAAAATATCAAAAGTAGGATCCGACGTTGCAGATTCGTCTGTGGGACCTCGATACAGGGTAAAGTCATATATGTAGTATCTTTCGGATTGCTTACGGTTGAAGTTTTTTTCCTTTAGTATTTGCTCATGTGTTGAAGGTTTTTCTTTGGTAATTGTATACTCCTGTGTAGGAAGAGGTGGCAGATCAGTCTCTACATGTCTTGTCGATGGAATAGCCCTGCGGCGAAGACTCGACCGCGTTGACTTCACGTCTCTGTGCTTGGTTTCATAGGTTGCAACAGATGACCTATCCTTAGAATTGCCGTCGAATCCGCTCGAAAGTTTCTTCTTCAATGCCCTAAGTTTAATCATTCCTCTTCAATGGAGCTTGTAAACACATGATAAACAATTATGTTCATGTCGGTCGCTTCCATAAAACATCCCGTTTTATATCGATGAATTTCGCGTCCCCGAGAATGTCTGTTAACTGTGAAAAATGTGAAACGTCTGTGAGACGCGCTTTGCCGCATCGACCGTAAATAGCTGCATTCGCGCTGAGAACTCTACGACGCATGGAACTTGTAACATTGATGGGTTAAGCACCATGCTCTTGTTGCTGTTTTGTTCCTTTGAGCCTTCTTTGCTCTACAGTTTTAATCTTCATGAATTCATTGATCAAAGGTTGGTGAAGAGCCCTCTTGTGAGACACACAAAGAAATCCAAACTTGCGCAAGTAAGCATGTTCTAGCCCCTGTGGAGAACAAGGAGATATGAATGTTGCATTTCTAAAGAATGTTTGTAAGTCAACAAATCATGCTTGCTCGGTAAGCAGGACACTATCGAGTTGGCATGTGATCATTCTATTCACGTGATCGCTGAAAAAGATAATAAAAAAAATCTTTTAGCTCATCGCCAATGACATCAGTTTTTTTGGAAATACCTCGATAGATGCAAAAATGGTGACTTATGCTGGTAAATTGGTATTGGCCCCAATGGTAAGGGCTGGAGAACTGCCTACAAGACTTTTGGCACTCAAGTACGGTGCCGATCTTGTTTGGTCACCTGAAATTGTTGATAAAAAGCTTATCCAGTGCTCAAGACAGGTGAACGATGCTCTGAAGACAATCGACTTTGTGGTGGCTCCAGCGCAAGAGGGAAAACCTACTAGTGTGGTATTCAGGACATATCCCGATGTAGAAAAGGGCAAGTTGATATTTCAGTTAGGGACTTCAGCTCCATCTCTCGCAGTAGAGGCAGCTTTAAAGGTGATTCAAGACGTGGACGGGATCGATGTGAACGCTGGTTGTCCCAAACATTTTTCGATTCACTCTGGAATGGGTGCTGCTTTATTGAAGACTCCAGAAAAACTCTGCTCAATCCTCGTTTCTTTGGTTGAGGAGGTGGGAAAACCACATAACAAGCCCATTAGTGTCAAGATTCGCATTTTGGACAATGAGGAATCAACTCTCAGCCTTGTTAGAAAGCTCTGTGCAACTGGAATTGCAAACCTTACAGTTCATTGTAGAACTACTCCAATGAGAAACAGACAAGCGCCAATCAGGGACTACCTACCGCAAATACATCGCATTTGCAAAGAAAACCATGTTAGTCTGATTATGAATGGCGCGATTCAAAATCGAAGTCACTTTCTCAAAGTACGTGAAGAACTAGGGTTGGCCGAAGATGTGGGCGGAATGATGGCAGACTGTGCCGAGATGAATCCCACAGTCTTCCACCCGACGCCGTTGCCCTGGTATGAAGCAATTAGGTGCTATCTTGAAATAGCGCGCAAGTTCAATCACAATGTTAGTAATGTGAAGTATATGATCACTCGGATAGTTCCTGGAAAGTCGAAATTCTATCAGTACTTCACAAGATGCAAAACAATGGATGAAATCACATATGTAGCCAATCAAATGGATGAAACAGGTCTTCCACTGAGTGATCCCAGTAGCTACCTAGAAGAAAAAAGGCAAAATGAGAAAAATGAAAAAAAAAGGGCTAATGATATGAAGTCACAACGGACACAGCAAACTAAAAAGCATAATGTCAAGGAGAAGTTGAAGAAAAAGTTAGATACTGACCAAAAAAGACAGCATGAACAGGCATGGGAATCTATTGAAACAAAAAAAATCAGGACTGAATGAGCAAATTCTCCAGATACATTGATGTACTTTAGTTCAGCAAGTCTTCCATGAACTTAATATCGTTAAAAAATAATGAATAATATAGGACGTAACTACATATTTAAACACAACAATCCTGGTAGACATAGAGAGTATCTGTTATCGTCGAGGTAATCCAACAACAACAATTCCAGCGCCAATAACCTTACTCCCCATGGGAAAAAAGTACATACCCCAGAATAAAAATAATATAACAGCTTAAAAAAACAACGTTCTTATTTCAAGCTCTTAAGGATCTTTGCTTTATCTTCAGCAGACAGTAATTTCAAAACTTCGCTCAACCCACTGATTGTGTTTTCGTGGTCGCTTCTGATCGATTTGGCCAAGTTTTGAGCAAAAGATTCCATCTTCAAAGATTTTAAGTGCTCCTCCAACACTTGATAGTTATCCTCAATCCAATTGGCAACAACTCTGTCATCGTCTTGGTCAATTGAGGCAGGGTACCAAGATGCTAGTCTTGCAATCTTTTCGAGTCTGGACGCGGTTGGCAACTCGTTATCCAATCTCTTTACCAAGTACTCTTCATTTAGTCTTCTTCTCAATCTCCAGAAAAAGAAGCGACGAGCTTGAGACCATTCTAACTCCTTTCTAATGGCACCCTTTGCCAACATACGCTCAGATCTATCATGTAAGTCAGCAAATTGGACTGTGATTTGGTGATAGATCGGCAACAAAATCTTTTCACGATCAGCCAATTGGTTGGCAATCTCTTGATGTTGATCGGCAGTTAGAGAATCATCAGATAGCTGCTCCTTTAAGCTCTTATATTTATCATCCAACCTTGCCATGGTGGATAGAAGCTTTTCTCTACGGTATTTGATACCAACCATACCCTCAGGTTCCAAAACACCTGCTCTGGCGTTAATGTCTGCATACATTTCCATCTGTTCCAAATTGATAGTTGGATCGACAACAACCCAAGAACCACCTCTCAATTCACCAGTTGGTGGAATATAGGTGAAGATTGGTTGCTTGTAGTTAACTAAAGCATCAACAATGAAGGAACCGTATTTTAGCACTTCATTGTACATATCACGTTGGCCACCAGAGAAACCTCTCCAGTTAGCCAAGATCATCAATGGCAATTGCTCACCATAGTTGAAGTCGTTAATAGCTTGAGCTGTCTTAAAGGCGGAGTTTGGATACCAGACCTGACCAGCTTCCTGGATCAAAGATTCGGTAGAGTCAGGGTTAGCAGGATCAGCTGGGATCAAGTTTTCAACCATTCTGGTTTCAACACCAATCACACCCAATGGAATACCACCCAAACGAGCTCTTCCTACAACGACACCCTTAGCCCAGCCTGAAAGCGTTTCTTGGAAGGAACCCTTGTCAAAGAAACCATATTCAAAACCATCTGGAGCGTCGCGACCTTCAATCATCCATCTAACATCGTAAGGCTGGTTTGGAACAGGTGCAAAATCGATCTCTCTGTCCCATTTGTCTTCTGTCTCCAAAATAGGAACCGGCAAGTTACGCTTAGCTGGAATATAGGACAACCATTCCATGATCTTTTCAACACCAGCCAAATCATCTTGAGCAGTCAAGTGAGAAACACCATTGTTGTACATGATTTGAGTACCACCCAACTGCAAGTTCGATGAGTAAACTTCTCTACCAAGCAACTTGTTGATGGCAGGGGCACCAGTCAAAATAATTGGTTGGCCTTCGATTTGGATAGCTCTTTGACCAAGTCTAACCAAATAAGCACCAATACCAACAGATCTACAGGTAACCAAGGTAATGGTGAAGATGTCCTTGTAAGCACGGGAAGTGGCACCAGCGATCAAACCGGAACCCTTCAAACACTCAACACCTAAGCCATCATCAGCACCAATAATTGCTTTGATAACAAAACGCTCTTCTCCTTCTTCAACAACACGCTCAGTGACGATTGTGTTGTCCTTTCCTTGCTTCTTTAGCTCAGCCATATCCTCGGCACCTAGGTACAAGTAGTTGAAACCCTTTGCAGGGTTTTCCTTTTCGTTCCAGTCTACCTTGAATAGTGGGACCAATTCTTCAGCAATACCAATTCTGGCACCAGAGTTTGCAGACAAGTAGATTCTTGGGATACCACGCTTTCTGGCGTACTCAGTAACCTTGTTGAAGAAATCATCTTCTTGAGGACCAAATGAACCAATCTTGAAAGTGATATCATTAGCAATAACCACAAATTGACGTCCACGAGGATATTCGGGGGTCTTGACAGTGATCTTGAAGGCAACCATACCAATAGTATTAGCACCAGCTTCACGGTCAATTTCAGCCAATTCACCATTATCATCTTCGATTAATTCGTTAGAGATGAAAAACTCATCATTCAATTTAGTCTTTGGAGAATACTTCTTCCATTGAGAGACTGCGGCTTGACGGAATAATTCAGGGAAATCATACACATAAGTGGTACCCATCAAATGAGCCTTGTAGCGCTTTGGTTGCAACCATTCCTTTGCTGGGTATGGAGTGGCAATTGGTCTCAAGTGCATTGAACCAGGCTTGTCCATAGACTTGAAGACCCATTCACCTTGAGCATTCTTCACCTCTGTGTATAATTCAGTCCTGACGACATAACCAGAAACATTGTTAATCAATGCTCTCAAAGGAACAGGCGTTCCGGTTTGAGGATCCTTGATTATAATGCGGATTTCAGCGGCAGCGACACGCAATCTTAGCAATCTTTTACCAAATCTTTCCAAGAAACCTCCAAATGCAGCCTCGACATCCTCAGGGGAAACGTCAAAAACAGCTGAGAAATTGATAAAGATGTGATTCAAATCAGAGTTAGAAGTGTCGATAACTTCCAAGTTATCCAAAATGTCACTCATCAATCTGTTTGCTTCGGAGGTCAAATATTCTTGGATAGTGATATCATCGCTGATGCGGCCGGTTCTAATGATACCTCTAGTAAAGAATCTTTTATCAACTGGGGAGTTCTTACCAGTGGCTTCGTAAACGTGAATGTTTCTGTTTTCAGTAAAAATCTGCTTGATGTTGAAATTAGACATTCTTCCCAATTCCAATTGGAAAGCCAAAGCAGGTTCAATGTGACGAATAGTTTCATCCTCAACATAGTTTGGACCTCTGAAGGTGTAATACTTTGGATATGTACCATCGCTGTAACCAAAGATAAAGGTGATACGACGGATAGCGGCATTGACCAAATTCTGTTTTTCCATGTCAAGAATTTCTCTCAATCTACTCAAGATTTCCTTTTCGGATTCGAAGCCCTCTGTAGAAGACACGAAGACATTGGCAACGTTACTCAAAGTGGCGTTAGAACCAGATCTATCAGGTGCAGGGCCACTGGAAGAAAAGTGATGTGGGATAATCTGGAGACCCTTAGACAAGCCTTCGTCAACATCATCCAAATGAGGAGAAGCAACCAAGATACCAGTTCTCAAAGGCTGGTTATCAGTTTCGGAAGTGAAAGTTAAATCAGAGACAGAAATAGCTCTGTTCATACCTAGCTTGGTCTTCACTTGAGGAACGGATGTGAAAGCGGCAGATGGCAATTGGAATTTCCATTCAACCACGGTACTCTTAGGAACGCCATAATTTTTCAATTCACCGATCGTGTATGCTCTGTAAGCACGACGGATGTAGACTTCAGCAGCGGCAGCAGCAACTGCTGGGTCGCGGTGAGTCAAAAATTGGGTCAAAACATCGAAAACGACATAGTTGGAGTCTATCAAGTCCTTGATAATTTCAGGATCAGGTTCGGTGCGTTTCGTGTCAAAAGCGCCGTAAGCAGTCTTCACAACAGAGCTCTTCAAGATGTGTTCAACTTGATCGCTTCTCTCTTTAACAGAAGGTAGAGCACCTTGAATCAAGATTTCTCTAGCTTGAAGAGCAACCTTAGCGGTAGCCTTAGACTCTAGATCCACAATGTGTTTCAAAGGTTCCGCAATAGCTGAAGAAACCTCTGAGGATAACTTACAAAGTGGTTGATAATGCTTCAAAATAGCCAAAATCAAATTGTTTTTGGCAGACACCCTAGAGTGAGACAAAACGGTGACAACAACGTTATCCAAATTGTCGGAATTCTCATCACGCAGTCTCAAAATGACATCTTCTTCACGAATATTAGAGCCACTGAAAAGTTTTTCAACTTGGTAGTAGCTTTCCAAGAATTTGGCGAAAACTGAGTGTTCGTGAGCTTCCAATCCATTTGCATAACGGTTGGTAATGTCCAACAATGGTTCAATAACGCTGGCGAACAATGGGTCGCTAGCACGTTCAGTTTGAGCAATATCTAGAAGTTTGCCAAGTTGACGAGCTGGGAAATCGGCACCCCGCTTCAAAGAACGGTCAACTAGTTGTTCCAATTGTTCATCTAACTTGATTGGCAATCTAGAGTGCAAAGCTGAGATTTGCATTTTCCATTCTGAGTATGGCAATTGAGGGTTTCTCAACACTTCGATCAACTGTTGCAAAGAAGCATTCATAATGACTTGGTTATCGTAACCATTCAAGATGTTTACCAAAGTAGTCAACAATGACTTGAACTTGTAAGCAGGCTTCGTACCTTCCACGATTGGGGCACCAAGTTCAGGTAACATACCTTCGAATGGCAAAGCGTGCTTGACTTTAGAAGGATCGTCAAGGGCCAAGATAGCCAAGATATCACCAGCAGCCACAGTGGAACCAGGTTGTTTTAAAAGTTGGATAATACCACTTTCTTGTGAAACAAGAGGCATTTGCATCTTCATGACTTCAACTTCGGCATATGGCTGACCAGCGTCGACGTGGTCACCGCTGTCAACCAAGAACTTCACTAGCTTACCTGGAGAAGGAGTACGCAATTGAGTTGGGTCATTTTCCACCTCTAGCAAAGTGGTCATAGAATCGACTGACAATCTGGTGGCAGACACTTCTTCCTTCCAGTAGATGGTATGAGATTTACCACCAAGAGCAATCAACAAACCACCATCGGACAATTTACGCACACCAACTTCACACTTGGAACCGTTGATGAACAAAGTGTAACGATCGTCAGCGGACTTGGCAACCGTGAATTTGTATCTTTTCCCTTCATGAATGAACTCGACTGGGAACATAGTTTGCAACAAGTTCTTGTTTGGAACTTGACCCCTTTGGAGACTGCTGATGTAGTCCTTACGGCCATTTTCAGAGGCGATGAAGGCCTTGGTGGCAGCACCGCAAATGACAGCCAAAGTAGAGTCTGGCTTTTCAGCGGTCATTTTTTGAGAGATCAAATCATCCAACCAACCGGTGGTGATTGTGTTGTCTTCGAAATCTTCAGTTTCCAGAAGTTTAATCAGGTATTCCACAGTGGTTCTGAAATCACCCCTGATAGACAATTCTTTCAAGGCAACAACCATGTGCTTTCTAGAAGCTTGTCTGTTTTCACCAAAGGCGAAAATGTGACCGAATTGAGAATCGGAGAAAGAGTGGATACCACCGCTGCTGGACACGGAGAAATAACCCCAGACATTGGAGGAAGAACGGAAGTTCAATTCATGCAAGGAACCACCAGAAGGCTTGAAACCTTCGTTTGGATCTTCAGAAGTAATACGACAAGCGGTACAATGACCCTTGGGAGTGGGCTTTCTTTGAGTTTGCAAAGAACCCGTGGAGCTGAAATCGAAGTCAACTTCGGTGGCGGTGTGAGGGTCGACTCCGTACAACAATCTAATATCTCTAATTCTATGCATGGGGATACCCATGGCGATTTGCAATTGGGCGGCTGGCAAATTGACACCGGTGACCATTTCAGTGGTTGGATGCTCGACTTGCAATCTTGGGTTCAACTCCAAAAAGTAGAATTTGCCGTCGTCGTGAGAGTACAAATACTCGACGGTACCGGCGGAGACGTAACCAACCAATTTACCCAACCTCACGGCGGATTTCTCCATCTCTGTGAAAGTCTCTGGTTTGGCGATTGTTACGGGAGCTTCTTCTATAATCTTTTGATGACGTCTTTGTACAGAACAGTCACGGCCGAAAAGAGAGATGTTGGTACCGTATTGATCGGCCAACAATTGCACTTCCAAGTGACGAGCTTTACCGGCCAATTTCATAATGAAAATTGGAGAGCCTGGGATTTCATTGGCAGCCTGCTGATATAATGAGATAAACTCTTCTTCTCTTTCAACTTTTCTGATACCTTTACCACCACCACCCTCGGAAGCTTTGATCATAACTGGGAAGCCGATTTTCTTGGCCTTTGCCAAACCGTCTTCTGGGGAAGTACAGCAACCTTTTTGGTACACGTCGTCGTCGACGGATACCAGGCCATTCTCATCGTCGATGTGCACCTTATCGACGCCTGTACCGGACCAAGGGATACATGGGACTTTGGCGTGTTGTGCGACAATGGTGGATGAAATTTTGTCACCCAAAGACCTCATGGCGTTACCTGGGGGACCAATAAATAAGACTCTTCTCTTGGACTTTGCTAGCCTCTCGGGCAGCAATGGGTTTTCGGAGGCGTGACCCCAACCTGCCCAGACAGCATCGACGTCGGCTCTCTCTGCGAGCTCGACGATCAAGTCGACGTTGGCGTAGTTATTGTTGTTGGTTCCACCTGGAACTTCGACGTACTGGTCGGCCATACGGATGTACTCTGCGTTGGCCTCCATGTCCTCAGGGGTGGCCATGACGACGAACTGGACGGCTCTCTCGTCGCCAAAGGTCTCGTAGGCCCATTTTCTAACGGACCGGATCTCTTTAACGGCGGCAATACCATTGTTGGCGATGAGCACTTTGGAGATGACGGTGTGACCTCCGTGGGACTTGACAAACTCTTTGAGAGGCGAGTCCTCGGCCACTTGGACGGTGTTCAGACCGATGAAGTGTGGCGCCAGCTTGGCGTGTTTGCTGGAGTAGTCGGTGACCTCGTATTGCTCGTTCTGGGACACGGCCACTTCTGATAGGTTTTCTTCGCTCATGTTTGATTTGGATGTGGAATAAGTGATGTGGGAAACGAATGTAGCGCTGGGTCGTAGGAGATAGGCGGGCCGAATAAAGCGGGTAGCGGCTACGGAGACGTTACTGAAAGGTCGGAATAAAAACAAAAGGCTGCAGGGTAAGCGGGTTAGTGACAAATTCTGAAGTGAGGAAAACAGGAGAGGGGGGCGCGAGAGTGCCGGGCGAAACTTGTGGGCCAAACAGGGGACACGCTGCGGAGCGAACTTGCTCTCGTAACTGGGGCAGGTAAGCGAGCGAGCGAGCGAGCAAGTGGAGGGCGTTGCCCGGGGCCCGTGCCGTTTTTACGACGCGACGCTCAAACGACGCGCGCGCGCTCCGCTCGAGCCAGTTTCTCGCCAAATTTCTCGCCCGTCTCTCGCCCGGCTCCGCGGGGCGAAAACTCTCCCTCACCGGAAACCAAAAAAAAAAAAACACAGAAATCCACATACTCTGCGCGGCAGTTCTTGTAAAACGCGCTCTAGACTATAAGCACAATCGGATATCCTAACTTCGCGCGTCAACTGGGTGGCGAAACGGCTGGGAAAGCTGTTGTGGGACTTTCTACCAAGGGAACGACTAAATGCGTGCGCTCGTGCGTGTATCCTCTGCTGTGCGAGTTACCAGGAATATGTTTATAGATCGAACACTGTAGGGCAATTGGGCAATTGGGCAATTGGACAATACAGTTTTTCGAACGTTAGACGTTGTTGTTGTTGTGGGACGTTGTTGTTGAAGCGCGTGTTTCGCACACCGGGGGCCCTTTAAAAAATGACAGCCATTTATAAAGAGCCGCCGACCTGGCGAGAGGCCCAACGCTGGAAAATTTCTCCCTGGGCCATGCTGGAAATTGTTGGGTTGGATTGTGTCCGTTGAGTTTTCCCAGGTCACGTGCGCCCGCCCTGCTGCCGCGGCCGCCTCTGTGCGCGCCCGTCTGGGCGCGCACCGGCAGGCTGCGCGGGCGTCTTCGCGGGCCTGCTTTCGTGATCCCAACAAAAATCGCCGCCGTGCGGCGCGTCTGGAGCCGCGCCGGGCCTGACGTCAGGGTGATGTTGGAAGAGTGGGTGGAATCGCGGGTTCGAAAACTGGCGCGGCGTGCTTTGAGCATCGAGCTGGTGGTTTTGTGCTTTGTGGTTTCTGCGACGCTTATGCGTCGCCTTTTTGCGACGCCTTTGCGTCTGGCAGGACACAAAAACCGCACACTGCGGGCCGCCGTCGCACGTCACCCCTTGTTAGGGATGACGCTTTGTTGAGTGTGGGCCGGGCAAGGGGCGGGGAGATGGGGCTTGGCGGCTGGTGGGCAGCGGCCGACAGCCGGTGGGGCTGCGGTGAGGCTGCGCCGATAGCGCCGAACGCGTTGCCGGTGGTAGCGGGTGGCGGTCGCGACGCACGGGACGCGGGGGTAGCCGCGGAGGGATGGCGAGAGAGGAGGGTAACAGAGGGCGAGAAGGCTGGTAAGAGAGGGAGAGAAAGGGGCGGGCAGGTTACCCGGCGCAGAGGATATTTTGCCGCACGTGACGTGTGTCACGTGGCTCGCAGGCGGTTGGCGATTCCCGTCACGTGCCCGCCCGCCGTCCGCTGTGACTGAAAAAATTTTCCACTACAACTGCTCAACTCAAGCCCGTCCCGCAACCGGCTTCTCCAGACCCAACCTGCAACACTCACATGTCCTGGCTATTCGGTGGCAACAAGAGCAGCAGCCAAGAAAAGCAGTCGGCCGCCGGCGCGGCCCCTGGCGACGCCAACCTGCAAAACTCGCTCGGCTTCGACCCAAACCAGGTCACCAATGTTTCCAACATCATCTCCGCCCCCGGCGCCCTGGACCCTTCGCGCCTCCACCCTCTTGCCGGCCTCGAGCGCGGTGTCGAGTACCTCGACCTCGAAGAAGAACAGCTCTCCACCATGGAGGGCTCCCAGGGCCTGATCCCCTCCAGGGGCTGGACCGACGACCTGTGTTACGGTACCGGTGCCGTGTACCTCGTGGGACTGGGGCTCGGAGGTACCTACGGGTTCTTCGAGGGCCTGCGCAACATCCCTCCCAACAGCCCGGGCAAGCTACAACTCAACACAGTCCTGAACCACATCACCAGACGCGGGCCCTTCTTGGGTAACAATGCCGGTGTCTTGACGCTCACCTACAACCTGATCAACTCTTCCATCGACGCCTTCCGCGGCAAGCACGATTCGTCGGGCTCCGTCGTCGCAGGTGCCCTCACCGGTGCCTTGTTCAAGTCCTCCAAGGGTTTGAAACCCATGGGCTACGCATCTGCAATGACCGCCGGTGCCGCGGCGGCTTGGTGTGGTGTCAAGTCCCTACTCTTATAATGTGGAACCACGTCCAACGCACCTATCGCAACACTCCCACCTGCAGACTCATAACAAGTCTCGGCGCGCTCGTTCGCGCCGCCTGCTCTAATGTATATTATCATCATGAAACTCCAAAACTATCTTCCGGGATGCCACATTGTTTCCTCTTTGCGATGACTTATTAATTATATCTGATGCACTTGTACATAACTCTACTTGCGTACATTTTAATAAAGATTTGCAAGTTCTACGTTTTTGCTGCTGCACCTCGCACATCACGCCCAAGGTGCCAGTGTCACTGCTGCTCGTTTGCGTACGGGCAAGATTGCATCGTCTTTGGACACTCGCAAATCTCTGTTATATTCCTCCAGGTCTTTCACCAATTCTTCGACGTTCACTAATGGATACTTGCTGTCTTCGAAGAAATCGTCTTCTTTGTCGACTCCACTGAACACAATTCTGTTAGGGGTGCCTGGTTTAAAGATCAGCGTCCGCTTCAAGAATACCCCATCAGTGGCCAACCCTATGATCGCCGTCTTTATGTCGCGCGGTTCCACACCACTGTCAAGAAGCAGAGCTGCAAGCCCAGCAACGATAGGAGAGGCCATAGAGGTTCCAGAATAAGTCACTGGCTCAAAAGGTGGAACGTTTGACAGTGATTCCACGGTGACGCCTGGAGCGAAAATGTCTACACACGACCCCCAATTGGAAAATCTCGCTATGGTGTCCGTGCGGTCGTCAAAAGCACCCACCGTTATTGCAGCTGGCGATGAGGCTGGGCTACTCCAACATGCATTTGCGTTGGAGTTTCCTGCAGCTGCAACGACAACTAATCCTGACTCCATCGCAGCTTCCACTGCCTGATTCAAAACTGTATTTCTGAACGACCCCAAGCTCAGGTTGGCTACACACCCTCGGCGGCTTCTCCTGCAATGCTTGACGGAAAATTCGATAGCGCTCAACACTGTCGTGAGATTTCCTTGGCCTACTTTGTTCAAGGCTTTCACTTCTATCAAACGCACCTCTTTTGCAACGCCAAACTCTTCGGATCCCACAATTCCGGCAACGTGAGTTCCATGACCGTTGAAGTCACCCGGTCCCTCTCCTACTAGGTCAGCTCCGAAGTGAGCACGTCCTTGGAATTGGTGATGGTCCTTGAATATTCCGGTGTCGATTATGTAAGCATTCACAGAATATCCGAGATAGTCCTCGTCGTAGTAATAATCAAATTTTTCCGGATCCTCATCAAGTTCGCTGTAGGGTAAAGGGCCCCTGCGTGAGATCCTTGCCAAGTGCCGAGGCGCATCAGTCTGCACGGCAATATCGTTCACCGGATCATCAGAGTCATCAATATCATCCTCCTCTTCTTCCTCGTCTTCTTCGTCATCCTCGTAGTGATCTTCGTCATCTTCATCGTCGTCATCGTCTTCTTCGTCATGCTGTTTCTTAGTTTTGTCTTTGCCATCATATTCAATGTGTTTTGCCTTTCCCTTACTACAACGGGTTTGGTTAGCTGCTTCAATTGTAAAAATATTGTTTTCATCAAAAATATTAAATTTAATATTGGGTACAATATCGGCTACCAGGGGATTTTTTCTTAACCTACTAGCCCACTCAGCTGGGAAATCAATTGCAATTGCTTCGAATTTGCCAAATGAAAATGATCGCAAGACTTTGCCCTCTAAAATGGATTTCAATTGCCCGTTTCCTATTTTCGATTCCATTAATTTCGCGAGAGTTTTCGGCGTTTTCAAGCGGACAAGAAATTCTTCAGCAGCAGCATTGCAGCATAGTCCTATGATTCCTAATAAGAGTATCAATATTCTCATAATGTTTAGAAAATTGACCCTTTGTTGGGTCAATTGATTCTCTATCTTAGTGTACTTGCTTATGATTTTTTCGACACTCCACACTCTACACTCCACAAAGCTACAACGACTGAGTAAACAAATAATGTCTGGGTGTGTGTCGCAGTTTAAGCTTGGACGAATACAACAGTAAAGATGAGTGGAATCTTTTGCAAGAAACAATGCCGTTTTATGACCGCTATCATCGTCAAACGGTTAATAGAATTATTTGGGTGAGATATAAGTATCAATTTTTAAGAGTTGAGTTTTGCGACTGTGAGCACACAGCAACATCGTTGAGATCAGAAATATTTTTAGACGCTACATCACTTGATCTCAGAGATTATTTGACTATCTGAGAAATCTATCATAAATGGAGTTAGAAGTGATACACCACCTGATTAGACTTCTCATAAACTCTCTATTTTTTAGCTGCCCTTTTTAATTCAAAAGAACATTTTTGCCGCTTGAAGCTACATTCTCCTATATAGTCACATAGCATAACAGTAAAATCACAAATTTCAATATACGATACGTGCCAAGATCCATTATTACGTCTTTTAGACGTTGAATGATTTTATCAGAAGTTTACTGAGCAGGCTTTGATAAGTGCGTGACAAGATTTTAGAGGTTGATCAATGGCTAGGGTTCAAACGTGATCGCCCATTTGGGTAATTCACTTTCGTTACTTTACAAGTACTGAAAGACATGTTTGATCGTCCCTTGTCTTTGTCGGTAGTTTCTTCACCACGAACAAACAGTAAAAAATGCTCAAAACTACCGTTGTCGGCGTTATCTAGATAAAAGGCCGACAATAGAAACATAAGTTAGCGATTTCTGGACGTACAGAAAACCCACGACCTGGATTTTATGCTTTAAAGCATAAATAGACACTGTGCATCCAATCCCGCCTTAATAAGCTGAGCTTCGTGGCTACATTCTAATCATTTCCCGGGACGGGATTTTCTTATCTTGAATTTCAGCCGTTTGCATAATAGTAACGGCGCAATAGCAAACATACCGCAATAAGCATTGGAATTCTGACCAAATATTTCACACTCTGATCTAATTTGTGCCCTCCCGTATTGGTGATGACATATCGACCTTGTTCCACCTGCCGAAGCGATGGCCGCTAAACGAGGTCTGAGTCGTATATGCAGTAACGGAAGCGCCGGCTTTTGCGGGCATCCAACTCAACGTTGCAGCTTCCAAGAATGTCACATATATGTCGCTCAGACTTCGCTGGCCAGATGCCGCACAATTATGTCGTGTTAGTTGGTACCTTAACGCAGGTTCGCGACATATGCTACTTAAGGAAATGACCGCAAATCACCATCGCTTGCATCTAGATATCTAGATAAAGAAGTGATTTACATGCGAGTAGTTATCATCTTGAAGTTAACTATTTTAAAGTAAACTATTTTTTATGCTCGCTGGGTGCGCATTGCGCGCGAAGCTAACTAGGATTGCTGGAGTTTTCATTGGTCTCAAATAGTGTAATAAAGAAGCTTGGCTGTGAATTAAAACAAGTTAGTGATCGACAACGATTACATTGATATGACGATACTCTCATGTCTTATCCGGAATACTTCTTTCGGAGTTACGCATTCGCCGGACTATACTTGTATGGTAACCACTTTTTCTTTTTCTGCCGATGGCGCCATCAGTTTTTACAAGTAGAAAGATCCGAGATTGAAAAGAAAAAAATTATATAAAGGCGCCAAAATTGTAAGGATTCCTTGCCCTCCCTTAAAACATCCTCTAAAAAACCCGTATAACCATCACTATTTACAATGAAACTGTTGACACAGGAGGAAATTGAAGCTCACCATTACCACACTCTTTCAGGGGGCATCAAGGGTGCCGTTGCAGGTTTGATCGTTTCTGGTCTTTTGTTTAAGTTTGCACCTGCCAGATATCCAAAATTCAACCCAGCTAAGATGCCATGGTCTATGAAGACTGCTATCTTCATCACTCCACCAACTTTGTTAGCATCCATTGCCGCTGAAGAGTCCTCTACGAGCTTTGACAATATGATGTACGGTTCTGGATCATCATCCCGTGAGGCCATTGAGGAACACAAGAGATGGAAAAACCTTCCTTTGTCAGAAAAAATTACTGAGGGTTTGACCCAAAACAAATATAAAATCATCGTTGCTGCTTGGGCTGCATCGATGTATGGTTCTTGGAAGTTTGTGGACAGAGACCCAATCATGACTAAAACTCAGAAGGCTGTTCAAGCCAGAATGTACGCACAAACCTTAACCGTGTTACTTCTGTTAGGCTCTGTGGGTCTATCCATGTATGAGCAAAAACTGCATCCAGATGCCTCTAAACTTGAGAAATCTCGTCGTTGGGAAAGAGCTTTGCAACAGGCCGAGGAAGAAGAGGCTAGAGCTCAACAAGCAGCTGGTTTCAGGTCCAACGAAGATAGGGTTAAGGCTAAGATCTTCAAATACGAGTAGGCAAAATGCATTGGTAAAACCTTTTGTACTATTATATCTTTTTAAGCCGGCTGGCGTGGTTCTTGCTTAGTCGAAGACATATAAACACTCTTTAATGAATTGATGATACGTGCAAGGTTAAAACGCAATATTTACAAGATTGTATACTAGCAAACTATTTTCTTTTTCTCATACCCGCTTCCAGGTCACCAACATCCAGTTTGGTGCCTCTTATGTAATAGTGCTTGTTCCTTTCTCTCCTAGCATCCGCTCTTCTGATTATATCAATTCTCTCAATTAAAGGAGAAAATAGTGGAACTCTAGTTTCAACAAATGTTTTGGAGATTTGATTTCTTAAAAGGAGAGAAGCGTCCTGTGCCAGAGCCTTGCGATCCACTGAAAGCACGTAGCCCATTATGTTGTCATACTTACATTTTTCTCCATCGTAAACAACTCTTACGACATCTCCTGCTCTGATACGCTCTTTATTGTGGACAGAGATTAGCTTTTGACGCCATCCATTAGGATCCAGTATGGAATCAACATCTTTTTTTGCGATTTTCTTGACAAGGTTGGATGCAGGAGCTTCTTGTACTGGTGGATACACAGGAATAATCTTCCGGGTCGTTGTAGGAACTTGATAATGCCTCACAAGCAACCTAGTAGCTCCGGTAACAGCTTTTTTTGAAAACATAATGTCCCTCTCAATTATGTCTAAAATGAATCTGATAGCTCCATCAAAAATTTTTCAAAACAGCTCTAAATTAACGATCACTATTTACGATAATAATTGTTCACTAGCAATTCCCTAACCATTAACAGAAATTTGTTATTTCATACTATACATTGTAGCTAGACATAGTTAAGTTCAAAACCGTGGCCTTCTCTTTCTACCTGTGAATTTGGAATCTTTGGCAACCTTTCTACCTCTCCTTTTCATAAGCTCTTTCTTTCTTGTAATATATTCTTTCCTGGACTCCTTCTCTTTCTTCTTATCGCTTCTAACTTTCACTGCTTCGGCATCCATCGTGATACCCTGTAAATTGACCTGCTCTTCCTCGTGTGAGGAACCTGAACTTAAAACCAGGTAGAATTTTTTATTTTTCTTGGACTCAGGGTCATCGATGACCAAACCACCGCTAAAACCAGCAACTTTGGCAGCCCCCAGTATTTGCTCTGTCTGCTCATCATTCTTGGGATAGAACTGTGCTACAAACTTTCCACCTTTCTTTAATGTCGCAAACAAAGTGTTAAAAAAGCGCATCAGTCTTTTCTTAGGATCATTATAGGATGTATCGGCATTACACAGCCATTGAATGGCACTGATACTGATAGCTGCATCAAATGTACCAGCACGGAAGGGTAAACCCTGACCCATATCCTGTAACATAAGATCGCCTTCGACTTCTCTTGTCAATCCTGTGGCCAACATCGAAGGTGAGATATCAACACCACACCAAAAGTGTCCTTCCTCAGATATGATTTCCCCACTCAGGCCGGAACCACACCCTATATCCAATATGTAAGAGGTGTGTGCCAAATTCAGAAGCTCTAGTGCACGTAATGTCATCTTAGCCTGAATATGTTGAACTCTTGTAGACGATGTATATTTCTGCGATTCAGAGTCATTATAGAAAAATTCTGGGGGTGCGAGCTCTTCTGGACGTGACATTTTTACTTGTACCTGTCGTGTATCGCCGTTTGCACTAAAGCGTGGAATGAGATGAGCTTGGGTTCAAAATTTTCAAGAAAATTTTGTATTTAGATGATTTCTCCGATGCGCAGGAAAATATTCAAACGCCTATGAATAGAGAAACAGACTACAAGGACCGCACGTACAGAGCTTAAAATTCAATAGGACACACCATAAACCAGCGCATTTGAATTCAGGTACTTTTCTATACCCTCTTAGGTATTGTAACGTATAAGATGCCACCTAGTGCACAACGGAGATTCTCCCCTTAGAATTCTTCCGCTTAGATTGCAAATCCCGAACTTATTTCATTTGCTGCGATCTACTTACGGATACAAGAAAACGTACCCAATAAAATTCTGGACGAATTAATGACGTATTTTTAGTGCCACTTATTGGTACGAATAGTTAAAACGACAATGTAATCGCCAAACGTTGGATTACTCCGTATTCACTCGTAGCAGATGACTCACACTAAGACACCCGCGGGACCCTTCCTTAAAAAACGGTTGCAACAAACAGAGAAGTGTCAATATATGCGAGTATTCATCTATAATTTTTGTAATATTTTGTATTTCTTGAAATATACGAAGGCTGTATAGGGGCGCCTGTGACACTTCTAAACTTTGCGAGTCGTAAAACAGTTGTGTTAGAGGAAAATTTAACCGGAACGCGGAATATTTGAAGATAGCCACGTTTAAACGACAATAAAATATTTCAAATCTTATCCCATTCAGCCAAGAATAAGCAGTACCAATGGCCCGAAAGAAGCTTGCTAAGAAGGACATCAAAAGAATTGAGGAGATCTCAGAGTTAAATGGAGACAGACGTCCTCTCCCACCAATTGAGTCAGGTGTCGAGGAGTACTCCTTCGATAGTGGCGCTATGATTAATGAAAAGCCGTCCAGAGTCCAATTGTACGCCAAGAGACTCCACCGCAAGGAGAAGCATAGGTTCCATAAAAACTCCGGTGAGATGCAATCGCTTCTCAGGGACGTTGACTTTGATCATAGAAGCTCCATTATGGATGAGCTAGTGAACAATAGTTTAAGAGAAACTTCGTTCCAGGGAACAACCTGGGGTAAGATCAAAAAAGGAGATGGCTCTAATGGGGGTTCTGAGAAAGACCGCCTAGTTATATTCGATTTTTCTGGGTTCTATGTTCTGTTTTGGATGATTGTAGCATTCATCGTCGCTAGGGTCGGAGTTGACTATTACGTCGCCCACAATGGTGATTTGACCCAATCGGAAATCCTCAAATTCATGACTAAGGACGTAGTTTCTGTTGCATACATCGACCTTATCATGTACCTATGCACGTATTTCGTGGTATTGGTACAATACGCTTGCAAACTGCGGCTTATTTCGTGGAATGGTCTAGGTTGGATATTAACTTCGGTTTATGAGTTCAGCTTCGTGGTCGTGTTTCTCTATGTCGCCGAACATATCATGAAGTTCCACTGGATCTCAAAGATCTTTATCTTCCTGCACTCACTTGTCTTATTAATGAAGATGCATTCATACGCGTTTTACAACGGTTACCTATGGAATGTCTGGGAAGAGCTGAAGTTCTCCAAGGATACATTGGCTAAAAGCAAAGACTTAGATATGGATGAAGCGACTAAAAAGACGCTTGAGAAAAGCTGCCAATTTTGTAAATTTGAATTGGAGTCTCAATCTAAGGCGCAACTATTTCCAGCAAACATTACATTGAAAAACTACTTTATATTTTCAATGTTTCCCACACTAGTCTATCAAATCGAATATCCTCGGACCAACAAGATACGGTGGAGTTACGTCTTCGAAAAGCTTTGTGCAATTTTTGGTGTTATCTTTACAATGATGATAGTCGCACAGTTTTTTATGTACCCTGTTGCAATGCGCGCAATTGCCTTGCGTGATTCAGGTGTGCCCATATTCTGGGATCGTATCCTCCAGTGGCCCTATTTACTCTTGCAGATCGTGCCTAGTTTCATTATGATGTATCTTTTGGTTTGGTATTTGATCTGGGATGCTATTTTAAACTGTATTGCCGAATTAACGTATTTTGGTGATCGCTATTTTTACGGTGACTGGTGGAATTGTGTGTCTTGGGATGAATTTAGTCGCCAATGGAACGTACCCGTTCATAAATTTCTCTTGAGGCATGTTTACCACAGTTCGCTCAGCTTTCTGCAACTGAACAAAATTCAAGCTACTCTGATGACCTTTTTCCTAAGTTCCGTGGTCCATGAATTAGCAATGTACGTTTTGTTCAAGAAATTGAGATGTTATCTATTTATCCTTCAGATGGCTCAACTACCACTGGTCGCATTGAGTAACTCCAAATTTTTGAAAAAGAAGAAGATTCTAGGAAATGTTATGTTCTGGGTAGGTATATGCACAGGGCCCAGTTTGATGTGCACTTTATATTTGACCTTCTGATTATAGTTTATGTACATGAAAGAATATCAGAATTTTCTTTATATCGAATTCGGGTCACCTATATATCTCCTCAAAGGGCCTGGTATCGTTAAAGCAGCTGTCCCATACCTCATCCACGATTTTCCTAGCATGTTCTTCGTCTTTGCAGTTGGGATTACCCATGACGCTCAGTGTTGCTCTCCTCTTGACACATTCCTGATGTCCCTGGCTGACTTTGAAGCTAAAACCACGTCTAGCAAATTCTTGCATAAATCTACATTCACCACTGAGACTGGATGCTCTAATCTCTGAACAGGCATGATGTTTTAAATTTAGCCAGTCAACCTGCCACTTTAAATTGTCGAAGTAGTGCACCAATTCATGAGCCATGGTATCTTCAAGATGCCACTTGTCTCGAATACGGTTCTGGCATAAAAGAATACCTAGCTCAGGATGGAAACCTCCACTTCTCCACTCAGGGCAGACGTCACATATGATTTTTGACTCGTCAAACTTTAGCACATCTGTTCTTTTGTCGTTCAATTTTGCAATCTGCTGAGTCATGAATATAACGGTGGGAGAGTACTTCAAGAGCCAGTCTCTATACTCGTAACACTCCTGACATTGCTTGCGTTGCAGGACGTATTTATAGTCATTCTCGTACTGTGCTTTTTCGTCTGGAGTCAGTCCTAAACCGGTCTTGTACTGGAACGTTCGTCTCCACCAGTTAAAACCTTGCACCGATGCTTCCGAAGCAGGTGGGTTTGGTTTAACTATCTCTTCTTTTGGTGGGATTGAGTCGGCCATTATTTTCTTCCACTGTTGAGAGCATATTGAAATTGAAACTCGACAAAATTTTTATTTAATGTCAAGAGCTCATCGCATCAAATTAGTAATAAAGACTAGCCAAGATATGAATATTTGGATTGCAGCTAGTGACGGGAAAGTGGACGTGGTGGAAAAATTCTTGGCAAATGGATTCAGGGCTGATAGCAAAGATCCGAATGGATACACTCCACTTCACGCAGCTGCCGCATACGGACATGAAGATTTGCTAAGGAAACTTTGTGCCGAACCTTACAACGGCGATATAAACGTCAGAGACAATGATGGAGATACCCCGTTACACCACTGCGAGGAGGTTGGCATTGCTCGCATCATCATAGAGGAACTAGGCGGAGATTATACATTACAAAACAACGAAGATAAAACGGCGTATCAGGTATTTGAAGAAGACGAATGCCTCATTGATCTTACGAAATACATGAGACAGGTGTGTGGTATTACCGAGCCATCTCTTGCTGATGTCAACGAGGAGCAATTTGCACAATTCAAAGAGAACATCAGATACACATTAGAAAATGATCCTTCTACTGACGATCCAGAGAGTATCCAACGTAGACAGAGAATACAAGAAATTCTCAGCGGTGACAATCCAGATGAGGAGCTTGAGAACTACGTCAGAGAAATGGTTAGATCCCAATTGTTGAACCAGAGCGACGATGGTTCATCTGCGAAAAGACAAAAGTAGAATGGTGGAAACAAAGACTTTGATACCATATGAGCAATATTGTAATTTATTCAATACCTTAAGTAAAGGCTAGTTGTATAAAGCCACTCAGTTTCTTCAAACCAGCGAACAAAGCATGCTGTTATCTATCATCACGTGATTAGTTGTTGGTGAAAAATTTCGTGAATTGGTTTTCAACCACCCTTTCGAACGATATCAACACCAGACACAATGTCCATTTTAAGTCCATTGGTCAAGGCGGCTGAGGCCGTCAATAAGCTTAATGCAAATTACACTTCCATCAGTTATGAGGAATTGAAAGCTATGACGTTCATGCAGCGTGTACGCGCATACAATTGGACATTCGAACTGGGCGCGGTGGCGGTTCTGGGATTGGTGCTCGTTTTCTATTTAGTGGGTACTAAACTAAATACTTCTCGTGCTGAAAAACTATTCGACTCCGTCAGCCAATGTTTCCACGATCTGGCTTTTGCACGCGTTGGATTCTCGACAAAGTCGGGGGACAAGAAGAAGTACATCAGTGAACATAACAATACTTGGTTCACGACCTTCACTACTGGGCGTTCCACCATCAAGTATATTACCGTGCGTTCTCACATGTATGCTCGTTTCAATCCCATGGCCATGATCACAGAAAGAGTCCTTGGAGTTTTCTTCCCAAGCTTAATCGAACGAGACTTACAAGAATACGTCGAGGTGGTTGTAGCTCCCAACGGAATCTATGTGCCAAACGAATTGGCAGAAGTACCAGCCAATGCTAATGAAGCTTTGTCCAAATTCAAGTTCATTGCGTCCATTGTTAATAAGGGAGACATGGGCAAGGCTCGCGAGCAGAACTACTTTTTATCTTTGACGCATACTGCCGAGAGTGAGAACCTTCCACTCCAATACGTGTTCATGTCGGAAAACAATCAATTGAATGGCTTTTTTTCCCGTTACGGTGGTGCTGAGTTTAGAACACTCTTGGAAAAATGTGCCAATATTTTGAGCTATATTAGCTTCACAGACCTACCCGACGAGAAGCCAATTACTGACAAGTTATGGAACGAAAATCAAGAACCTCGCTGTGTGATCAGGTGCAAGCTATCTACTAATTCTCGTGACTTGACTAATTTGAATGAATTGATCAAGTCCGTGGTAGGGATCTATGATTCTGTTACCCAAGAATTCTTAGAAACCCCCGCTAGTGCTTTCATCACAAACGATATGTTGAAGAAGTCGTACAATCTACGTACTCAAGAATTGCAGAAGATCCAAAAGGTAATGAAGCAGGTGGAAAGAGAGTTAGCCATGGAAAAGAAGCAGAAGCTCGAGAAAGAAAAGAGACGTGAATTGAGAAATAAGCTAAGCGGTGAAGAACAAGACAAGCTGGACAGAAAGATGAAGGAGAAAAGAGAGAGACGTATGAGAAACAGACAAAAGACTAGAATGTAGCACCTTTCTCTGGATTTTTACTTCTTGTTCTATGTACAGATTTTATTTACAATTTTGTGAGTTTATAAATCCAAACCAGGGATTTTGACATCCTTTAACGTCACTCCGCTAGAGAGTACCTTTTCTTCCTTCTTTTTAGGGTTCTCATCAGTTGAAATTGTAGCCTTTGTATTGCTGGTCACGTCAACCGCCGCAGCTTGGGTTTTAGGTTTGACTTGCTTGATCACTTTGCTCGTATCAACGGGTTTCTTTAACATCTTTTCAGCAGAGACTTGTAGGAGTTCTTCGTCCACATCGCTTTCGCTCAGAATATAGCGAGCACCATTACCAATATGTAGGTAGTTTCTCATAAGAGATGGACTAACCCTGGTTACCTGGCCCTTATAAAGCTGAAATTGAGGAAAGTCTTTGAGTATCTGAACCTTGACCTTATTTGTACGCTTCGAGAGAGCCGAATATGATCTAGTTAGTGCGACTTTTAGCATAGTGATCTCTATATTTTAAGTAATTGAACTTTAAGGAACAATTCTGCAGAAAATTTTTCTACTACAAATTGTTTTCTCTAGTGTCGAGAAAAGTTCCAATGCTGGTAACGGCAGAAAGATAATATTGTAGATATGAATGTAGAACTCTATTGCAAATCAAGGACCTTATATAATAGGACAGTGAGAAAGCTTGAAGATTTCCAACCCCATTCTAATCTTTTTGTGTATGGCGAGTGGTTGCCTCTCCGCGTATGTACCATGCAAAATCAGTTTAGTTTCGTTATAATGATACGAATACACCTAATCATGCATTGTATACATGCCGTACATGCATTTGTTTCTGAAGTTTAGAGGTTTTCATGAACGCATTCTGCAGGAGACAGCGTAAACGCGCGTAAGAAAATGAAAACTTGGAAGACAGAGCCTCGAGACATAATGAAAGAGCTAATGCTCAGGTATCAATCCAAATTGGCAAAACCGGGATTCGTTCTCATAAGAGTCCAAGTTCTTATGTATGTCACGTGACATATAAATCTGCTTTCAAATTTGTCGCTACATTTTCTCTTGTTAAAGCTAGCTAGTTAATAAAATCAACAACAGCTTTCAACGAGAATGTCAAAGATGCGTAAACCAGGTGTTGCTAACATGCAAGGGGTTGCCCAGCAACAGACAAATCCTATACCCGTCACACAGCCAACGGATGCCTACATACCCCCCTTCCTCGCGGCGAAAATACCAGAGTTGGATGCATATCAACAGCTGCTGGAAACAGAGCGCAAAATTGACGTGTATATTAGTCGCAAGAAAATTGATCTATATCAGTCAGTTTCACAGTGGAATAGCATAAAACCTGAATTCCAAGAAAAACAGTATTTGCGTGTCTTTGTTTCAAACATCGCCGAGAACCAGCCCTGGCAGACTGAAGAGGGGAATACTGAGCCCAGCTGGACCCTCAGAATTGAAGGAAGGCTTTTAAATGACCAAGAAGTTCAGGATCCACAAAGACCAAAATTCAGTTCTTTCTTGCAAGGAATCGCTGTTGACTTTAAGAAACCGCAAGACGAAGAAACACAGGCACCAGCTATTGTCGAATGGCACGCGGATCCCTCAACACCAGTTGAGTTCGATGGTTTAGACGTCAAGCGTAATGGCTCTGAAAACGTGGAATGCACCATAGCCATCCAGCTACGGGGAAATACAGGTGAAGTGATTCAATTTTCCCCACAGCTTGCTTCGATTATCGGCATCTCGAGAGGAAATTTACATGAAGCAGTCTATTCACTATACAAATACATTTTGCTCAATGATTTACTGACAAACGACGACTCTGATGTCACCACACAGACCAATGCATCTTCAAACAATACAAATGGTGAAAAAACAATTGCTAAAATTGACAAGTATCTAGCCACTTTGTTCCCAGAAGAGAGAAGAACGATGAAATTAGCAGAAATTCCTGCACTTGTGAACCATCATATATCTCCTTTACCGCCCGTGAAGATAGACTACACTGTTCGTGTAGACAAGTCTTCTACTTATGGTGAAACTGTTATCGATCTAGAAGTGCCAGCGAAGAGTGAGGACATAATAGGCCAACAGGGAATGTCTTTACTTGGTGAATTGAACCAATTGAGCACTACCTTAGAACCAAGACTGCAAGCTTTAAATCAGGAACTGAATATATTGCAGTTGCAACTTAATGCCAGTGCCAATAAGTACCAGTTTTTCAAGAAGGTCGCCGAGAATCCTGCTGTTATGCTACAGGAATACGTACAGTCTACTTCTCGCGCTTTGAAAATTCTCAGTGGCGACGACGGCTTCAACGAAGATACGGTGCGGAGAGCGAAGTTTTACAAAGAGAATGAAGCCATGCTGTTTGAAAATTTAGGGGTTCTTCTATCAAATGGGAGGATGTAGCTCCAATATACAGATATTATGCAGATACTATGCACTAAAATGTAATATAATCGGTTCATTTCCTATAATTGCTAATGATTCGTAAATAGTGCTAATCAAAATTTTTCATCATGGCATTTTTTATATTGAAGAGTCATCTCACTGAATCTCAGTCGTCGTTCTTTGCATAACGTTAGCACATAATGTCCCAAACCTATAGATCTACGAGATCCGCTGTTAAGGAGAACAAATCTTTCGAAGATGCTATTATCCAGGGCTTAGCATCGGATGGTGGTCTTTTCATTCCATCAGAAATCCCTAAGGTTAGCTCTGAAACTCTCGACAAGTGGTCTAATTTGTCTTTCCAGGAACTTGCTCTTCAAATAATGAAGCTTTACATTTCTAGTGATGAAATTCCTGAGTCAGATTTGAGTGATTTGATCAAAAGGTCGTACTCCACTTTCCGCGCGAAGGATGTTACTCCATTGGCTGAAAACATCACTGGTGAGGGCGAAAACCTCCACGTGCTGGAATTATTCCATGGGCCAACTTATGCGTTCAAGGATGTCGCACTTCAATTTGTGGGTAATCTTTTTGAGTATTTCTTGCAGAGAAGTAACAAGGATTTGCCTCAAGAACAAAGAAAGAAAATTACCGTCGTTGGTGCAACCTCAGGCGACACCGGTAGTGCTGCCATTTACGGTTTAAGAGGTAAGAAGGACGTTTCCGTTTTCATTCTTTACCCAACTGGCAGAATATCTCCAATTCAAGAGCAGCAAATGACCACGGTCCCTGATAAGAATGTTCAAACTTTGTCTGTGAAGGGTACCTTCGACAACTGTCAGGACATCGTCAAGGCTATCTTTGGTGACAGTGATTTCAACAAGAGACACAACGTTGGTGCCGTGAACTCTATCAACTGGGCGAGAATTTTGGCACAAATTACTTACTATTTCTATGCTTACTTCCAAGCTATCAAAAAGAATCCAGGAAAAGTTAAATTTGTTGTTCCAAGTGGTAACTTTGGTGATATCTTGGCTGGTTATTACGCCAAGAAGATGGGTCTTCCAGTTGAACGCCTAGTTATTGCCACAAACGAGAATGATATTTTGGACAGGTTCCTAAAGAGTGGTGTTTATGAGAGATCTGATGATGTCGCTGTGACACTATCACCTGCAATGGATATTTTGATCTCCTCTAACTTCGAAAGACTGCTATGGTATCTCGCCCGCGAAGTCCTAGCTGGTGGTGACGACCTCAAAGCTGGTGAAATTCTAAGTCAATGGTTTACTGAGTTGAAAACCAAGGGTAAATTTGAAGTTTCTGCGTCCGTTATTAACTGTGCCTTGGTTGACTTTGATTCCGAGAGAGTTTCAAATGCCGAAACTACTGCCACTATCAAAGACATTTACGAACACTCTCAAAACCCCAAGCATTACATTCTTGACCCTCACACTGCGGTCGGTGTTTGTGCTACTAAAAGACAAATGACAAAGGACAATGATAAATCTATAAACTATATCTCTCTTTCTACAGCACACCCTGCTAAATTTGCAGACGCTGTTAACGAGGCGCTATCTTCTTTTGAAGGCTACTCTTTTGAAAAGGATGTTTTACCTGATGAATTGAAGGCTTTGGCTGTTTTGGACAAGAAATTGAAGTATGTCGAAAAAGCAGATGTCGAACTGGTCAAGGCTGCCATCGAAGAAGAATTAGTAAAGATGGGATTATAAGTTTTTAAGCTACACACTTTTTAGCCCGCTTCACGAATAAATAACGCACTTAGAGTATTTAGTTAGTAATCAGTGCAGTACGCTCCACAAGAAAATGTGGTTATAATTTGGTCTTCAATTTATCACATTCCGTTTAGGCCCTAGCTCAAGTTTCCCATTGGCATTCACATTTAGCTCGTATCCTGCTGCTGCTAGAGTATCATCCTGAACAGCCTGCTTTGCTTCTAGCTGAGCTACGAATTGCTGATTTTCAGAATTCTCATCTAGCAAAAACTTGATGCACATTATGCTACGCTCCTTGATGAATGGATCGTTGTCGTCAATAACACAATTCGAAAGTACTAGTTCTAGCGCTTGAAGATTTCTCAACATGTCCTGAATTTCTTTGTTTTTATAAGTCAAGAACCCTAGTGTTTCGATTATCAGAATTTTGCACTCAGGGAAGTTAGTGGACTTGATCTTTCCTGTCTCAAAATCAATTCTACTGTGCAATATAGTTTGACTAGTGATTTTTTCACCGTTCATATTCGTGACCTTCATATTTTGAATGCCATTACCTCCCTGTTTTAGCATGTTAACTCGTAGTAAGTTCTGCTGCAAAACATGCAAAAGTTTGACAAGAAGCTCCACGCCTTTATAAGAAATGATGAATTTGCGAACATGTTCGAATTGAGAAAGGGTTGAGATGATGTCTAAACAGATGGAAAGACTATGATGTATAATTGCCGCCTTACCTTCATCTTCGGTACCAAGTGCAAAATACTGCTCGACGTCACGAACGGCTGATTCAAATACTCTGAAGCACCAAGCCATTATTCCCATCAGTTGAAATTTGTCCCACGCGGAAGAACTTGTAATTACCAACTGTGCCATTTTCAAGTAATCGAAGTATGCTCTAGGTTGGCTTGATTGAAAGTGCTCTAAAAATGGGCCGAATGATTCATGACAAACAATACGTGTGAATGTTGAAACCTCAATTGTTTCTAGCTTCGAAAGGTTCTCCAAATCACTCTCTTCAGTCAGTAAATCTTTTGAATGTTTAACGTTGCTGGCAAGTAGTTCGCGAACGAAATAGCCTAGAACCTTGTCAATCGCCTCGCTTTTTAGAAAATAGTATAAGAACTCCTCAGATCCACTAAGATTTCGGAGATACATTGCATACACTATCAAAATCGGCTCTTTATCCACTAAATCAAAGGGATATAGAAGGAAGGTCATAGTATCATTAAAAGAAGCTTTATCGAAAACGACTGATATTCTTGATAAATTGAACAGAAGCTCGCATAGCATACTGTAGAGAGACAGTTCTATATGCTCATAGTTTTTAGATATTGTTAGAGCATTGAAGCGTCGCACGAGTTTCTCTGCAAGCAGCAAGCTTTGTGGTAGATCTTGATTACTTGTGGATAGATTCCGTGCGAGCAAAACTACGCCTCTCAAAGTTCTGAGATACCAAAATCTGCGTTCAGGGCTAGCTTCAATATGCTCAACATTTTCTATTGGATCGCCGCATCTTGATAAGAGCCTCCAAACTCGTTCCGAAGATGACATTGCATGACGGTACTCTTCATTTTGAGAAGTCTTTTGTACAACGGTATTGAGTTTAGGTAGTAGTAATTCACATTCATTTGGTGAGAAATTTGCATCATTAAGCAATCTACTGATACTTTCAATGATGTCAAAGTCAGAGTCCTCCATCCGTATATACAAGTATGAGATGGTGGTAGAGAAGGTCAATCATTTTTTAAATTCGTTTCCGGCGATGATTTTAAAAGTAAATCTAACGTATACCTAACGTATATTTAACGCTACTTAATTATTATGCAATTTTTTTATCGAAACTAGAGCAATTCTTCATCAGAATCTTGATCTTCATTCAGCGGTAGGTTGTCCTTTTTTTCGGTGAAGCCTATCCATCCTTCCTCCTCGTCAGAAATGTCCATTACTTCATCCTCCTCAGAAGCCTGCAGCTCACCATCAGAATCAGCTATCTCTGGATCAGAGTCTTCTTTCTCGATGCTGCCATCAGTAGAGGTCAAGAAATAGTAGGCATACTTGTTATCATTAGCAGCTGAAACCACTTCTTTTGAAACTCTAACAATGAAACGTTGCACAGCTCTCAACGCACTAGCAAATTCATGTTTATGATTGGCAATGTACTTGCCATGGCTGGAAACCAAAGCTTTTATCCAGATCAAATTGAATTCTATGTGCTGAGATTCCATTGCAAAGTCACCTATGAATTTGAGTAGCCTTGGCACATAGACAGAGGGTATGCTGCTGCTCACCAAGGAAATATCTTTCAATGGCACTGCCTCGTAGACTTGATTGATGAGATATTCTTCGTTAAGCCTAAAGGCCATAATCAAAGCACTCAAATGCTCTTCTTCCTTAAGAGCTTCTAAAACTGCTTGTGGCGTCACATCCATATCCAAGTCAAACGGATCAAAAATAAGGGTGTCATCTACTGAGTATATCAACAGCCCCTCAGTAGAAGCTGCAGCAAAAGCGTGGGCCGTAGGAGAGAATTGCAAAGATGTAACTCTGATTTCAGGTCTAACTCTTCTGGTTGATAAGTCTCCTCCCCTCCTAGAACCAGGGAGTGTGTTATCGATACGATCTTCCAAATCTGAATTTTCAGCATCGCGATCAATCAAATCTAAAGATCCCGCTTCTGTCATTTTGCTGCTGTTCAAAAATTCCATTGTACCATTCAGGGACATGTTTCTAGACACTATGAACCTTTTCAAAAGAACTTCATTAGGAACATCATACAAGCAGATAGAATTATTGTTACCACCTGCAACAATTGAAAGGCCATCAAAGCTATAATTGATAGTGGTGAAAAACTTTGATCTGGCAGAATTCTTGGCTGTGAACCTATCTTCCAAATGTCTTCCCGCAATAATATCCTTTTTGCAATCTATCAAACCAACCTGCTTCCCATCCTCGATGTTAAATAATAGAATTTGACCGTCAAGCGTCGACGCTGCGACCTCTTTACCATCTGGTCGCATGGAAATTGATAATACATCAGAGTAAAGTTCTAGAGGCTCGACCTGTTGAGATCTACTGAAAATAGACCATATTCTGATGGTTTTATCCCAAGATGCAGAAGCCAAAACGCTGTTTTCTGAACTGAAGGAGAGACAAGATACCGGTCCCTCATGACCAGACAAAGTTTCCACCAATTGACCCGTTTGGACAGACCACACATGTATGTCAAAACTGTCAACAGATCCAGCACAGACAACTTCACCGGTAGGATCGGCAGCCAGACAATTGAATGGTATCCTTTCTGCTGCGGTGAATGTTCTGAAGTTACGGTATCTAATTAAATCCCACACTCTTACAGTCCCATCGAGTGATGAAGAGAATAATAGCTGTCCTCTTTTGGCAAATTGCACTGCTGTTACAGCAGACGTGTGTTCCTTAAAAGTGACCAAACAAAAACCCGATATCACATCCCATAACTTGATCCTACCATCTTCAGACGCTGTCACTACTCGGGAACCATCTGGAGAATATGCCAAGGCATTCGCAGAATCGAAGTGGCCCTGTTGTTTTAGGATATAAGACTCTGATTGCCATTCATATACCAGCAGTTGTCCAAGTTTGCTTGAACCGAATGCTAACCATTCGCCAGAGTGGTTGACAGAAACAGTGTTGACTGCGTTTTGGCCCATAGTTAGTTGCTGAATTAGCGTGAAATGAGGCAATTCATACAATCTGAATTCACCATTAGTAAATCCCACAATCAATATATTCGAAGACGCATGGAATGTTGCACACTTCACTTTTGCTTGAGAAGCATAAAAGTAATTCTTCTTGGTTATACGCCAACTGAAGGTTGAAGGGTCAGGTTCTTCGCCATCTTCAAGTAGATCGGAATCTTTTGCGGTGTACTCCCATTGGAAAAGTGCACCGTCTTTGCTAACAGTGTATATTTGTTCTTGATCTTGTGAAAAGAATGCGCCCATCACATAGTCTCTATGGCCTGCAAATGTCATTGAAGCCAAATTTTTTTCATCGGAATCAATGGACCATATGCGAGCGGTGAGATCCTTGGAGGTGGAGATCAAAAAGCGCGAGTCTCTCGACCAGGTAAGTGAGATAATATTGGCAAAATGACCGGCATGCACGCGATAACGAACGAAAGGAGCAAACTGTCTATCTTCAGTTACACTTGGAGTCTTCCAAATCTGCAGAAATCGGCCACATGCGAGGGCAAATAGCTTTCCGTCGGGAGAGAATTTAAGATCAGATACTTTTTCTTTAAAGTTAAAATGGTGTAGGACGGTTCTCGCTTTAAAATTGACCAGAATTGCTCGGCCATCTTCATCGACAGATAAAAGCAAAGTTCCTTGGGGGTTGAGGTCGATGCAAGCGATGTTCTTCCTGTGCTCATACTCAAATGTAAATGACTTATTGTTAATGAGGTCGAAAACTGATACCCTATTGCCTACCGGAGATAGTAATTGCGTGCCGTCTCTAGAAAAAAGCACATTTCCTCTACGGTATACAGTCCCAAGCAAGTTTGAAAACTTGAAATCAGACTTCATCGTTGTATTTGTAGACCTTTTTCTGATGGTAAGGTATCTTTTAGCTCATCTCATCAGCTCTGCGAAAAATTGAAAATTTTCCACTATCGAAAAGAAACGTGTGCGATGAGGTGGGACAGTACAGTTGCCCAAGAACAGTTGTTTAAAGAAGCTTAACTTCCCAGTCCAGAAGAGCAGAAATGTCCAAAGAGGTGAGCGGGAAGCTTTCAAATCGTGTCATGAACATGAAGTTCATGCGCCAGGCAGAGCATGCCGAGGAAGAGGCTAAGGAGGAACAGAAAGTGCGTCAATTAGTGGACTCGAGCGAATGGACCCTCGCAGGACGTGACAAGATCGCAACAAAGCTACGGTCGCAACCCAGTACTATCAGTCATACGGGATTGCGTGGAGAAGGACAGCATGAAGCTAGTGTTGGGCGCCGTAAATTTGGACAAAAGCCTGTCCCTCAATCTGAGAAACCATCACAAGAGACACTGGATGATCTTTGGGAGGCGCAGAAGCAGCAGCAATCTGACAAAAGTAGCAAACGTAAGCGTGGGTCCGAAGAATTGGAACCTGAGAAACGCCAGAAAGGCACCAAAAATGCCAGGAATGAGCAAGAGCACAAGCCTGAGCTCAAAGGTGAGCGTGAGCCCGCTGTGGGATCTAAAAATACGAATCAAAATACACGTACGTATGATATAACGGAATGCTAGGAGTTTATTTCTTCTTTTTGCCGGCTTTTGATGGATCGGCAAATTCACCGCGCAACACTGCTTCGCGCGCCGTGGAGTTTATATGTTTGAAGCGGTCAGGGCCAATGTGAGCACCTCCAAACCAGCGCACCACGGCAACCACCACGTCCCAGGCGTCCATGAGAGTGAGAAGATGTAGTACGCGCCCGCCCGCGGCGGTCTCGCCATCATCATCACAGTCCTGGTACACCACGCTACCAGCTCCGTGGATACGCCACGCGGTTATTACATGCTGCGAGCGTGCAATCTTCCCATCTGCGCGCAATTGGTCGAGCTTGGCACACGCATCCGCTTCGCTAGACACAGAAGCTGCGAAGGCGACAAATGTCGACCCACGGTCCACCACAGGGTCACTCTGAATCCACACTGCGGGTAGATCTGGCAATTCGTGGGCGGTGGCGCCGCTAGACGCATCAGCACTCACTGCTCTATTACCGTCTGCCATGTATCCTTCGTCCGATGTGATATCGTGATTCACGTGACCCGAGTCCTCGGCGTGTGCGTCGCAAGCATCACTGGCTTCTGCCAGAAAGTCGAAAATGCATACGTCGTGCAGCCATGCACGCTCCATGGCGGTCTCAAGTGCAGCAACTAACTGTTTGCGGGGCTCGGGTGCGACCACGTCGAGCACCTGCGGCGCTGCCTCCGTTGGGTATCCCGTGGGAAACGACATGTGGACGCGCACGTGCTCGTGACGAGGGATTTGGACGACCCACTGTGTGTCAGAGAGACACTCAACGTAGCCAGGATAAATGGCATTGATTGCCTCGAGCTCCAACTCTCGTTCAACAGAATGCTCTTCCATGCATATCAAAACCCGTTATGAGTCGTGGCCTCCAAAGAACGGCTTTTAGCTCGTGCGAGCGCCGCCGGCAGCCGGCGGGCAAAAGTTACAGATAAAAGCCGGGTAATTAGTACACGTGAACACCACGTGTACTATCTTACGGGCTAGTTGGCGAGAAGCGGAGAAGTAGAGGAGGAAGAGAGGAAGTTAATCATTCCTTGGACTCTTGATGAATCGTATCCATACAATTCCTTGCGGTCAAAGAACAATTACCATGAGGTGTGTGTGGCTTGACTAGATCATATTTTCTATAGTTTCGTGAGCAAATCTACGTTTTGGCATTGGAATATTGCAAGCCCTTCCAAGATGTGCGCAGTTTCTGAGGCAGAACTTCAGAGTGCATATAGTGTTCAGGCTCTCGTGGTGATATGAATTGTGCTCTCTTGTTTTTGGGGGGTGTGTACGTAACCATTTACAACCTTGCATGCTCGGATTTTTAGTTGTTCTGACAAATTAGGAAGAAGACGTAAAGGCAAGGAAGGGCGAGCTGAAAGAAGTATTGCTATATAAGAAAAGACCCTGCGGAGAAAAATGCGCAAACTTTTTAGTTAAATTTCTTACCATAAATTCACATAAATTCGCTACATTAATAGACTATTTACACCATGCAAACTGTTTTCGTATCTGGCGCTTCGGGATTCATTGCCCTACATGTTGTTAACGACTTATTGGAAAGCGGATATAAGGTAATTGGTTCAGTCAGAAGTCAGCAAAAGGCAGATCGTTTACTAAAACAGTTCAATAATCACAAGAACTTGTCGCTCGTAATTGTCTCCGATATTGCACAACTAGGAGCCTTCGATGATGTCTTCGAGAAGTATGGTGAAGAAATCTCGATCGTTCTTCACACTGCCTCGCCATTCCACTTTTCTACCACAGAATACGAAAAGGATCTGCTAATTCCAGCGCTCAACGGTACTAAGGGCATCTTGGAGTCGATCAAAAAATACGCTGCTTCTTCTGTTGAAAGAGTCGTGGTGACGTCTTCATACGCGGCTGTGACGGACTTTGCAGGCGACAGTGACAAAACTAAGACGTTTACAGAGGAATCGTGGAACCCGGTTACCTGGGAAGAGGCTAAAAAGGATCCTTATACCGCATACTATGGCTCTAAGACGTTTGCCGAAAAAGCTGCTTGGGACTTTTTGAAGGAAAACAAGGATAAGGTTAAGTTCAAATTAACTACGGTGAATCCCGTTTTTGTCCTCGGTCCGCAATTGTTTGACGAAAATGTTTCTGCCAACTTGAATACATCTTGCCAGTTCATCAACGACATAGTTCACTCCACACCAGAAACGGAGTTAGATAAAAACCTTTTCGGAGGCTTCATCGACGTTCGTGATGTTTCTAAGGCACACCAGCTTGCATTTGAAAGAGATGACTTAATTGGCCAAAGACTGATCCTTTCAGAAGGAAGATTTACTATGCAAGATTTCGCTGATATAATAAACGAAGACTTTCCAAAACTCAAGGGCAAAATTGCAGTCGGGAAACCTGGTTCGGGGCAAGATCTTTTGAAAAGCATTGCGAAATTGGACAATTCTAAGACTAAGAGACTCCTTGGTTTCAAATTCAGAAGCCTACAAGAGACTGTAGATGACACTGTATCTCAAATTCTAAAAGCTGAGCACAAGTAGAGTTACGTTTCTTTATAGCCCTTTAAAATACCTGTTTTATTGAACCATTTTGAAGTAATGGAAGAAGTCGTTGCTCTTGTATAGGTCCTTTTTATATAATAACAGATCTGCAGCACTAGAGCTAAATTTTGAAAAAAGAATAACATTCGTTGTAAAATTGTAAATGTGTATAAATGGATACTGAGAGAATTATGATTAAAAAAATAAGTTCATAACATTTGAGAATTGAGAGCAAGAAAAGATGTACAAAACGCTCCACTATAAATCAACACTATCATTAAGAGTTTTAGACAAAGCTATTTGAAAAATAAGTAAAAGCCTTAAAAGCAGGAGCATCAATCAATCACTCTCCACAGTATCTACACCAGAAACTACCTTGTGTTTCTCAACTACCACGTCTGATTCAGTTGGATTTTCATAGCTGATTTGTCCCATTTCGCTATCGTGTTTATCGAGAATGGCTTGCTTGTCTTCCCTTACCTGCAAATACCTGATGGCGATAGCAACAAAACCAGCGGAAATGGTCGTGGCTAGCATCGCATAACAGCCCTTTTTGAACTCTGGAACTGTTGTAGCGGCGTAGAATAATAAAGACCACCACGCGTTAACCGCACCAGAAAACATATTCATAGACGCCAAGACAACGGCACGCTCCTGCATATCCCGCCTGCATACAACATTAGCCCAAGCGAAGAAACTCGCTTGCCCTGCGTAAGAAATACCTGATAGATATTGAGCCGTGAACATAACACCGTCGCTGAGAGGTTTAGCTAAAATCATAATAGAGACCACAACCAGTGTGGCGCTAATCAATAAAGCGATATGCCAATGGTTCTTCCCACGAGTATGATCGACATACAAGGCACTGAAATACGTCGCTGTGATACCAACCCCAAAGATTCCCATTGGGTAATGATTTCTTTGAGCGACTGAATAATTGTTGTATTTCAACCATAAAGATAGTAGAGAGTTGGATCCAAATGATTCATTCTCACCTCCAAGCACCCATAACAAACTGAATAGCCACCAGTGCCATCTTCCTACAACTCTTTTGAAAACTGACCAATCTAGCTTTGTTTCCTCTCTAGGTGGTAAACGAGCCTTTGCCATATCCAGGTTTTCCTGAGAAAATACCCAGCTTGGCTTGGACTTACCGGGCAAACCAGGAAAGCATAAAAAGCCGTACACACAAATTGGGATTGTAATGATAAAGTCAATGATAAAAAGCCATCTCCATCCTGAAATACCATTCTTACCATCCATGTTGTTGTAGATGGCACTTTGCATGAAACCCGAAAAGATGGAGCCAACCAGCCCGCTACTGGTGAAAGTGGCACTTCTGGTGTTGATTTCTTCTTCTTTATACCATGATCCAAGGATTAAGTGAGTCCCTGAGAAAGTTGAACTCTCGAATATAGCTTGGAAAAACCTAATAGCGCAAAGTTGATGGTATGAGCTAACCTTATACATACCAAGGGTTAACAATGCCCAGGCCAAAGAACAGAAAGATAACCAGTAACGGGGAGGTACTTTTAGTAATATTAAGTTGTTTGGAATCATACCCACGACATAACCCACAGTAAAGCAAGTATTGATGATGTTATACTGATCACCGACCATGTTTAAATCTTCTTTCATACCGGAAACGTATGCATTGGCCAAATTGCTTCTATCCACATAATTGATCCAATAATTCAAGCACACATATGTCATAACAAGACAATCAATCTTGAGTAAGAGTTTTCTTTCTTTTGGATCCTTTGGAGGTCTACCCCAAAAGAAGGCCTTCACCCGGGACGGAACTGATAAAGACTTCAGATCAGCAAGCTCGCTGCCTTTCTCTTCAAATGTTGAGGACATGATCTCTGACTACTGAGTGAGCAGAAAGAATTAATGGAATAACGGCATACTCATATTTATAGCTTGGCGCTTCTCATTGATCTACTTGATTACAGCGTGGATAAGATAGATGTTTCGTTGTTAAAGACAATTCATATCTCGGCGATCAAGATCCTCCGCTATCTCGTTCCGCATTGTTAATTCTAAGCTTAAATTTTGGGAGATTAACTTCCTTCGCAACCTCTCCGATCTAGTTTCTTGCTCCTCTTCAGCAATTATTGCAGCGATTACCATCCACGTGAGAGGTAGATAAGATAACAGAATGCTATTATGCATTAGATAAAGAAATTTAGAATGATAAAAATTTCTTATATGCTACGATAAAAGTTCGGTGCAAAGTTTGATGTACCAATCTCGAATCTTTACGATCTCGCGGGTTGATCCCCGAATGGGATTGTAATTTAGTCGTACAATCGTTTTCTCTGACAAGGTGTGGAATCCAACAAATGCATCAATACATTACACCCTTTCAAAAAGTTGTCAAATCTTAAAAAAATAGTCACGCTATCTATCTGCCGACACCTCCAAATTGTTGTCGGAATTTGAACGCCAAAATGCCAACTACATTATTGTTCCTTAATCTACGATCTTTGCATTATTTCCTAATCTGACCATACTATGACCGTCAGTTGCAACATAAAACTGGCTGGAAAGTAATACCTTGATATTCTACGGTAGTATATATAGGAACTCTTCAAGATAGTTAAGTAATGCTTGGAGATCAAAAGCAATCACCAAGTTGAGAAGGTAAAAAAGAAGTAAGAATTAATGACACTACAATCATACAAGGAAATAGCTTCGAAGAAGAGGCTTGAAAGAGATTTGAAATTTAATAAAAAGTGGTTGATTCTCGAAGAAAAACTACCAGGGAAGGAAGTGAAGGATGTTCTTACATGGCCAGTGAAATCTGGTTATTTGAGCGAGAAAGAGATTGCAATCACAGAGTCGTCCTTGGTAGAAATTGCTGAAAAAATCAAGAGTAAAACCTGGACAGCGTATGATGTTGCCAGTGCATACTGCCATAGAGCTTCTATTGCACACCAATTGGTGAATTGTTTATCAGAAGTTTTTTTCGAGGAGGGTTTGCAGCAAGCCAAGGAGCTGGATGAGTATTATGAAGCTACTGGTAAATTGAAAGGGCCAATGCACGGATTACCAATATCATTAAAGGACAATTTGAATGTTAAAGGTCAGGCAACGACGATTGGGTTTGTGGGATTTGCATTTGAGCCTGAAAAGTTTGAATATGACTCTCAATTGGTTGCCACTCTCAGAGACATGGGTGCTGTATTCTGTTTCAAGACAAACGTTCCAGTTGCAATGATGATGCCTGAATCAATCAATTTTGTATATGGTAACACTGACAACCCTTTCAACAGGAGTTTGACCAGTGGTGGTAGTTCAGGCGGTGAGTGTGCGTTGGGAGCATTGTTGGGTAGTTGTTACTGTGGTATTGGTTCCGATATTGGTGGATCGCTACGTATACCTGCATCTTTGCAAAACTTGTTCACTTTGAGGCCTTCCTCTGGTAGGTTTACTACTTACGGCGCAAGGTCTGGACTACCAGGTTTAGAGTCGGTTGCCAGTGTCAACGGGCCTATTTCTACAAGGTTGGAGAACTTGGAATTTTATTGTAAGACGGTGGTCAATGAAGGGAAACCATGGTTGCACGATCCGAAATGTTTGGAAGTTCCGTGGAGGACAGTTGAATTGCCAGAGAAGCTAACATTTGCAGTACTGAAACACGACGGAGTGGTGAAGCCTTATCCTGGCATTAGTCGTGGTTTGGATATTGTCGTTGAGCAGTTGAAGAAGGATGGGCATGAGATCATTGAATGGGAGCCATTGCACCATAAGAGACTGGGAGACATCATCACCGAGTTTTTCCTAAGTGATGGTGGTATTCATTGTAAGGATTACGCCAATTTGACCGGGGAGCCCTTCTTCCCTTACATGGAGATGTACAACACGACCAAGGAAAAAGGCGTGAGTGAATTGTGGGATTTGCATGCTGAGAGAACCAAGCTGTGTAAAGAATACCTTGATAAATGGAATGCTACTGCCAAGAAGACTTCGAGCGGCAAGCCGATAGATGCGATTCTATTGCCAGTGTCGGCGTACTCCGGAGTGAGTAACGGGAAGTTCAACTACGTTGGCTACACGTCTGTTTTCAACGCTCTAGACTGGGCAGCTGGTACCGTTCCTGTTACTAGAGTGGATAAGGACATTGACGTGAATGACAAGGACTACGTTCCGGTGACGGATCTGGACAAGCTGACTTACGAGGAGTACGTTCCCGAGGACGTTGACGGGGGCGCGATCTCGGTGCAGATTGTGTGCAAGAAGTTACAGGAGGAGAAGGTGGTGGAGTTGATGAAGCTTGTTTCCAAGTCGATCAACACGTTTGACTACTGGAAGAAGCAGTGATGTGGCGAGCGCCCGCCGCGCTGCAACTAGACGTACGTTATATAGCAGTTCATAGAGTAAGACTCGATTTGCGTCTGGAGATGGACCGGCGGGGGACGCCGGTGGACGACGCCGGTGGACCCACGACGACAACGCCAGCCCGCGTCGGGAAAACGACGCGCTCCCGGCTCGAGAACCCGCGTCAGGGTAACCGCGGCGACAATGGCGCAGAGCGAGCTGGTTCGACAAAAGGGCGCGCAACAGCACAGGACGTGCCTCGCAGCGCCAGGTGCCGCCCGCTATAGGCGAAAAGCCAGTGTTTCGTCATCTTTGGCTTCTTGGCGGTGTTTCTCCCAGGTACGAAATGCGTCGGATTGCGTCGGGATGCGTCGAAATACGAGGCGAAAATCGCATATTCCCTCGTCACAAGCTGGCGCGGGGCCATTGAGCAAAAAGGGGGGTTGCGCTGCGCGTAGCGGGGGATTTCGCGTAGAGAGAGTGTTGATTGGACGTATTTCGAAGCCTATTTGCTCATCTTTGCGTGAGGAGGCAGCGCAGACGGAGCGCAGACGGAGCCACGCAACCACGCAGCCCAGCTCATTAGTAATACATGAGCGGGCGGAGACGCGGTCACGTGCCCGCCGGCGTTTTCGCGGAGTTACGTAAGGCAAGCGCCGTTTTTGTGGCGAGCCCGTTGCCGCTGACGCCTCCCTTCGGGGTCCAACTCTGGCACGCTCTGCATCGAGCTGGCCCCTGACGCATCCCACTTTGCGGCGCCCGCGCTGCCCGCGCGCGATCCCTATTTGCTGTCGTACCAGAGCCCGTTTAGCGTCCGCCATTTCTGCGGGCCCTGCGGCCTTCGGCCGCAAGGCCCACCTGACGTGCGGCGGCCTCGGCCGGCCGCCGTCCCCTTACTCGTTATGTACATTGCTTACCCGCCATCGCTTACGCAGTTTGCGGGCAAGCGCGCTGCGGCGCGGTCTGGGCGCTCGGCGGAGTTGGGGGCTCGGACGCCGGCATCATATACCGCGCTGCGCGGCTCCCGGATCCGAGACCCGTCACGTCGCACGAACATCCCACCTCGCTGGGCTGAGGCATTTTGCTCCGCGGCGCGGGCCCGGCGCACCAACGCCAGTATATAAGGCTGGGGCCCGGGTGCACAGGGAGCGCGGGCTCTTGGCCGCCCAGAAAGCGCAGCTGCTCGCCCACACGCTATACAAGGAAAGGGGAGGCTCACTACACGCTCACGCCCACGCTACCACCGCCGCATTCGCATTCCAACCGAGTCGCGCGTATCCTTTTTTTCCGCACCCTTCACACTCTCGTGCCCACTCAGTAGGCCCTCAAAGCAGCGTCGCAATTACGACATGAAATTCAGCAAAGCGCTGGCGGCTATTTCGTGCGCCGCGCTCTGCTCGCGCGCCGTGGCCATGGCCATGGACATGGACATGGACATGGACATGGAGGACGCGGCCCGCTCCGGCTCCGGCTCCGCCGCCGCCGCCGCCACAACCTCGGATCTGTCGCAGATCACACCCGTGCCCCACGAGCCAAAGCATCTCCACGGGCAGCCCATTCTCGACACCCAGCTCACGCCCGCAGAGCGGCTGTACTGGGAGAGCTACAACACCACCACGTTCTTCACCACCTCGCTGGGCAACCGCCGCGCGTTCTGGTACCACTGTTTCTCGCTGGCGGCCACCACGCTGGTCGCGTATCCGGCGTCGCTCGTGCTGCGCAGCGTGCGCTCCAATTGGTACTTGCCCGCGCTGTGCGTGCACGTGGCGCTGGTGGTGTCGTCTCTGATCGCATTGTCCGTGTTCGCATCCTCGTTCCCGGAGTCCTGGTACCCGGGCAGCGTATACCCCAAGCTGTCGCTCGCGGTGCTGATCGCGACGCTCGTGCACTTTGGTGCGGCTGTGATCACGCAGGCCGCGCGCTGGGTCGCGGGCGACGACGAGCTCGACGCCTACTTCGGCACCGACTTCATCCCGCTGCACGACTTCGACGCCGGTGCGGGCGAGCCCGCTCCCATCGGGTCGCCCGCCATCGGCGGCGCCGAGGGCGCCGCCAGCGTGGCGTCGCCCACCACGGCGACTGCGACGCTTTTCGACGCAGCCGCCAAGCCCCACGACGCAGACGACCCCAAGGGCAAGTACCGCGACGACTCCAACTCGTTCGAGCTCGGCGACGGCTTCCCCCGCGACTTCGAACAACGCACTGAGGACTCCGCCGGCATGGCGCTCCGCCACAAGTCGCGCACCTCCACCCGCAGGGACCACTTCCTCGGCAAAGTGTTTGCGCAGCCCCTAGTCAAGGCCGCAGCCGACAAGTTCGGGCGCGTGTTCGCGGTGGTTTACTCCGCGCTCAACTACCCGCTGTTGCTGCTGCTAGCCGCCGACTGCGTCACCGGCTTCGCTGTCGGTAACCTGCTCGGGAAGGGCCTCCGCGTGTTCAATCTGCTGGCGCACTGGATCAAAGGAGGCGTTTTTGTGGTTCTCGGGGTGGTGTCGCTCGCGCGCTACTGCGGGTTCGGCGTCGCGCGCGGCTGGGCTTGGAACAAGAGCATCGTGTTCAAGAACCAGATCGAGTCCGGGTCGTGGGTCGGGCGCGTCATGCCGCACGGCACGGTCACCATGGAGGGCATCGAGTCCGCGCTTATCTTCCTGTACGGGTCCACCAACGTTTTTCTGGAGCATCTGTCCAACCAGGACGGCAAGTGGGCCGCCAAGGACCTGCAGCACGTGTCGATCGCGTTCATGTACATCGGGTGCGGGCTGTGTGGGTTGATCGCAGAGCACAAGCTCAGCGACTGGCGGTTCAACCACGTGCTCACGCACACGCACATTTCGCCCGAGGTGATCCACGCCGGGTCCCCCGGCTACTCGCCCAACCCGTTCCCCGCATTCACGATTTTCTGGACCGGGATCCTCATGTCGCAACACGCGCAGGCGTCCGCCACGTCCACCACGATCCACGTGCAGTGGGGGTACCTGCTGTCGTACGGGTCGTTTTTCCGTCTCATCACGTTTGTGCTGCTCATGCTCGTGCCCAACAAAAACCTCAACCCTTCGCGGCCGTTCACCGAGCTCGTGACCTCGTTCTGTCTGCTGTGCGGTGGCCTCATCTTCATGGAGTCCACTGACCAGGTCGTCGAGGCCCTCGAGTTCCGCGGCTTCACCAGCATGTTCACTTTCAACCTCAGCGTCGGATTCACCGCGTTGTTCATGGCCTGGGAAATGATGCTGTTCCTGTGGCTCGACTGGCTCAAGGAGCGCCGCAACAAGCTGTGAGCTCGCGCGCCCGCCCACTATTCAAAATTTCGCTCATCGTCAAAACATCTGTTCCGTTCTTGCTGCTCTAGCTGCTACTATGTAATATTTAATGTGCCCTCGCGGACCCGCGACTACTCGCTAATCCCACGTCCCGTGCCACTGCCGTGGACCGTGGACTAATATATACTAATGAGGCTCGTTCACCGAGGCGCTAATGTTCTCCGTGTCACTTTGTTTTTTTCCGACGCGGCCCAGGAGTACATGTTTTCCCGACACTTAGTACATTTAAAGAAACTAACCCGTGAAAAACATAAACAACAGCATTGCCACACTAGGCCTCGCTAATCATTCTTCAAACGGTATCTTGAAATGCAAAGTATTTAGTTTAGCTATCATAAAGAGGCAATGCTGTTTGTAAGCGGGGTTACACTTCTCGAATCACGGCTACAAAATTTGCAACCGGGTATTCGACAAGGCATTCCCCCGAATTTGAATTCTTTGAAATAGATTGCTATTAGCTAGCGGGGGTTTTGATCTAGCTACGAGGTTCGCATAGCTACCAATACGGTTTTCCTTCCAGAGGCGACTGGCACTTTGAGCAAGACAGAGGAACGCCCTTTCTGTTCTGTTTCTCAACTTCACGTTGGGATGGCACATAGCGACACTGGTTATTGGAACACATGATCTTGGTATGAATGAACCGCTGACCGCATTTATGACACCAGTATTTGGATTTGTCCCATGGGAGGGTGTGCCATTTGATACTGGATGTGGGTCCGCAGTGATTACATTCTCTCGTTTCAGGTCCGGTTTTCTTCTTAAATCTATGTTTTGGAGGGCCTTCGCAAACCAAAACTCCTTGACAATGGTTGCATTTGTGGCCGGTCAATGTCTTCCCCTCTGGCGTGACCTTCGTCACTGTAAGATCTTTTCTGTCTACTTTTTCCCTAAATTGCAAGAACCCGATTACCCGATTGCAATCGTAGCAGCGTGTACGACTTTGGATGTAGTAATCATAGCAGCTGCGGCACAATTTGTAGCAGTTTAGGTTCTCTCTCCAAGGAACGTTCTTCCAGGGATTAGAAACGCCTTTACCGCAAGAATAGCATTTGTTATTGAAAACGTCAATGACCTTTGTTTCGCCTGATTCCCTGAGTGAATCTCGAGTCACAATTTGGTGTTCTGGTATTAATCGTTGTTTTGAAGTGTGCGTGATGTGAAAGACTTTAACTTTTCGATTCAGTGGGATGCTGTAAAAAAACTGGCGTGAATAATTGTAGCAAACCAGTTGTTTATCAGAGTCGTTCAAATCACTGTGGATCTTTGTTATCTCTACATCGCTTTTCCCCGTGGTATTACCTACAGATGCGTCTGCGACAGCCAACGTACGTTCAGATTCCTCTTCTGGGGCATGGTGTTCCTCCAATTCCTCCTCCAAATCTTCACCGGCGGTTGCGTCCTCGGCGGCTAGAGTAAGATCTGTATCCTCTTCGAGGTTTTCGCCCCTGTTAGCCTCGCGCTTTTCCCTAATGAACCTGTCTTCAAAAAGATCATCATCCTCTTCGATCAACTCAATGTCATTATTAGACTCACCGAAACATTCTTGCTCGTCCAAAGCTTGAAGTCGCTTTTTCTGTTTGTGGGTCGCTTCTGTGGGATTTCTCTTTCTTGTTGCAGAGCATCTATCGAGGACCGAGCGTAAAACATCTGGGTTACTCCCATTTGAAAGATGAAAGCGCCATTGCTTTTTTCTGATATACGGGGTATTTGCAACAGGGCCTGAAGGCCGAATATGAGTGGAGATATTTAACCCCAAGGAGCGGACAACAAATTGAATGCCATCTCTAATTAAAGGATATACTGTAGTTATGGAGGTGTAAAGATACCCGTTTACAATCGCTGCAGTCCCATCAGAATCGATCAAACCCGCAAGAAACGCCTCGCGGACCATTAATTGATCCGTTCTCAAGAAATGTGGAACGTTCTTGGCATCATTTATTTTTCCATTTTCGTAGAAAAATAAACCTTTTAGAACGGTGATAAAGGGGTTTCCCACATTCCATCTGCGAATGCCATTTTGAATAGTGTGAAGTGCAGCGTACGCACTGAAGGTTCCTGGTCTGGGAGGTTTTTGGGTATACGTCATTCCCCAGATCCTGGCATTTTCTTCTAATCTCCCATTTACCTCATGATCTTCCGAGTGTAGAGCAAACATTGCACCTGCTCTATAGCCATCACCCATCCAAAAACCAATCAACCAAGCCATCGCTTCTAGCTCTCTTGCAGAGACCTCTTTATGAAAGGTCTTTTCCAAGAAAGGTAACAATGTTGGTTTTTCAAACGCCAAGGGCATCAACAGTAGACGGGTGGAGGCACGAGTCTTATAACAGAGGTGTTTCAAATCACCAACTTCGCAACTCCAACGCACAAATCTGTTATTATCCGCTTGCTTTCTGTATTTTGATAGATGCTCTTGAATAACCTCGTTTGATGTATTGGAGGGGAAAACTTTTTCGACGATTTTCGCCAGCTTAATCAGTCTGCCCTCGCTAGTATCAAAGTCCTCCACGGTAGTGATGTATGCTCTGCGCTGATTGTCTTTTTCTTTCCTAATAGACTCTGCACTACGCTGGAAAGTTTCTAGTAACACCACTTGCTTTGCGAAAAAAGTCGTTTCAAAAAGGCCATATGGATTGTCGCGAGTTTTGTCCAGAAAATGAATATAGTGGTTTTTACGTTGCTTGATTCCGAAAGCATCTTCCCAACGTTCTTCAATTTTTTTCACGACGCCAGTTGAACCGTCTTCCGTTAAAAGCACATCTCCGATTTGAAGGTATTCAACGAGCCTGCAATTACCATCGGACATGATTACACTTGTGCCCTGTGTGAAATTCTCCGTAAGCAGAGTCTCAGGGTTTTTTGGAAAACTATTGGAAATAGCCATGCGACGTTTTTCCGTAGTCGCTTCTGGTGACCTGGGGCGCTTCCGACTAGATTTTTCGAGATTTTCCCAAGCATTGTCAATGCATCGAGGCTCTTGTTTTTTAGGAGTTTCTTGGCGCTGTTTGGGCCGAGCGTTGATATTATGGCACGCCTTACCACTCTCACTAGGAACTTCTTTCTCAGGCGTCACTAGATCAATCACAACAGGATCACATTTCTCATTCTTATGTGGCTCCGGCGTCACTTGGTTGCTTGGCAGTTTCTCGTTGGGATTTCGCGCCTCCTCATTGGGATCTGCACCCTCCTTAGACATGTCGACATACAATGGTTGGGATTCCAAACTCACACCGGGAGGGTCCAGATCGATAAACTGATGCTCGTGGCCTTTGTGCGTTGAGTTTTCCAGTTTGGATCCAGTTTTATGAGAAATAGCACAATCTACCCTCTTTCGAGGCTCACCAGCTTCGGATGGCCGCCGGTAATTTGCCATCGTTTTAGCCGCTGAGGTATATTCTAAGTAAAATTTGTCTCAAAGAAATTTAACCTTTCCTGATCAAACAGATTGCTGCTATCAGATTTATGGAGCGGCTACTCTCTTCAAATTGAGAATCTCCTTTGAATAGTTGAGGCGCTTGTCTCATGATAAGTGATACGTCCTTAAAACCTTGCGACGCGTCAGGATGGTATGAAGTGATATTTGCTAGAAGGCAAACGTGGAGGTAAAAAAGCCACCCGGAGCCTTCACTGTGAAACAAACCAGGTTTCGCACATCGGTTTTTGAAGAAACTGTTGGAACGAAATACGACTATCGACCATCGACTAGTATTCGTGTTACTAGCATATTATCATACACGGTGTTTTAAGATGACATAAAGAATAAGAAACGGTCATCGAAGTTAGTGGAAGCTGAAACGCAAGGATTGATAATGTAATAGGATAATGAATGAAATGTATAAAAGGAACAGAAAGAGTAAGAATATTTGTAAGTAGAAGTATCGACTCTTCTTTCTGGATTCTTAGAAAGATGAGGAGAACTTCCAGTACAACCGTATACCAATGATTATAGCCTTAATCAAAAATGGAATCCCAAAAACTATCTCAATATTCACCTAATTCTCAAGCTCGGGCAATAATGCGGTACCAAGCAAGAGACAGTAGAAAAAATTCAATTTTCTAATTTCCAATTCCTATTCCAAAAAGCGCAGAAAATTATGCATGTGAGCGACGTGATTCCTTACAGAGAGAAGTGTGGCGCTTCTTGCTCTCATAAACAGGCTATGGTTTGAACAGCCTTCTTTTATTAGCTGAGATGTGCAAAACAATTTGTTCACCAAGTACTAAGAGTTTGATTGGAGTTTTACAGGCAATTGAGATGAGAAAACAGAACCTGTATGTACAAAAAGAAGCGATTTACCAATTGATATCAATACATCTTTGTATTCCATACACATAGCCTGGAAGTTTTCCATTACAGTAATATACGGAACTAGTAAATATGGTGTCTAAATTCAAGACCATCAGGTAAAATATATGAATCTTCCTTTTAGATAAGTGTGCAACGTTAAAACTAGAAATTGAGGAGTACCGACTTTAAAACTTGCAGCCAAAATCAACACGCTTTACCAATACTAAAAAGCTGTCTACACGAGCTATTTTAGCGTTTGGCATTCTCTGATTGTCTGGAAAATACTTCCAAAGTACGAGCCCACAATGAAGGTAATAACCACTAGTAATATTGGAATAGCGTCGAATACGTATATGAAATATTCATGCGAGATAATGAATCCATCTGAACCTTGAGCAAATTCTACCAATCTTACGATAGACCGAACCATTATCAGAACACTGGAAATTAGTAAAGTGAAGTTCAGGAACTGCCACCTCTTAGAAATATATTGATAGAATGGACAAACGCTTCTTACCCTCCACGCAAATCTTAGTTCATTAATGATAAAAAACGCAAAGAAAACAACTTGAACGACGAGACCACCAGTTATAACATTTGAACCGGTTTTTCTCGAGCCATCTTGGCTCATTAAACCTCCACCCGCTGCTTGCATGAAAAAGCTTACAACATCCCCAAACACAAAAAAACTGGTACCGAAGCGAGATGAAATAATCATAAGTGATTGGCATCTCAAGACCTGTAGCATGCGCCCGAATATCATGTATATTGTAGCAGCGTATAATGCTGGTGCAATGAGTAAGAGGATGGACTGAATAATGTATGGGCCAGTTGCCTGTGGGTTAGAGCTAGAAAGAGCCCTTCCAATGTATCCAATTATTTCCATGATGCACCCGATCAAGAAAGGAATGAAAACCAAAGTCGTTGAAGAAATCTTAAGCTCTTTATAATCCTTGCTTGGAGAAATCTCGGATGTAGAATAATCTTTTTCCTCACTTTTAAAAGGATCGTCATAAATTTCTTTCGAAGATTGCTTTGCATCCCAGATAAATTGAATAGTATAAAATATCGTCAGAACAATAAAGAGTACTGTGACAGCTATAGCCCCTCCTTTGCTCGGAGTATAATGATAAAGAACCCATCCAGAGTTAGTTGAACTTGTTGACATGTTAATTTCACGCTGGTATTATTCAGTTGGCGACAATTTTTTTCGTATGAATTAGCTGTAATATATGTACTTCAATCTGGTTGAAAAGCTGCATATGCGGTTCCTCAAGGCTCATGTACCAGTGACGGAGCAATTTGTGCTAATTCGCATTAAAAATCACGTGAATTTGGATTCCCGCGGATAAATGGTTCAAACCTAGGACGAGGCGAATTATGTTGAAATTCAAAGACAGACCGTAGCATTTTTTTTCTTCATCATAGTATTTTACTTGTCGTTCAGTAACTTATCACGTGAGTTAGAGTTTTCCGCGGCTTCTTGGGAGTCAGCCACTTTCTGTTCTTTTTTCTTTCTTTTTGCAAAGGAAGACAGCCATGCAGGCCCTCAACATGTTCTTTCAGACGAAGGGTGGCTGGTGCTCCATTTATATTCAATTACAGTATAGTAAGGCTGAGCAGCAAGACAGCCGTGGAAACATCAGTAACGAAATAATACTATACTGCCAACTTCTTTACCAGGCTTAAACCCTCACAGAGTGGCCAGCGCCACCCTTTTACCAAGCCTCATCGTACCTTCAAGAATTAAAACGTGATTCAGACATCACGCAAATCTTTAAAGAATTAATTAGATCAGGACGAAGCGGACAAATAAGATTTCCCAGAAACACTCTTCTCTTGAAATCACACTACTAAACAATTTTTGAGAATGAACGTGAACAAGAATTTGGTGAAGAAGACAGGAAGAACCCCAAAAGCTTGCGCAAGGTGTCAGAAAAGGAAGATTAAGTGTAATGGTGGTAGACCATGCCTTAGCTGCCTGGGGTGCCAAGCAAAATGTCAGTATACTAATCAACAGTTTCCATCTCCTGACAAATTCTTTCTAAGGAGAAATCCACCTTTGGGGGTTAATGGAGCAAGTCTAGTACGTCAGAGCAGGTCTGCTGTACCCCTTCACTTGCAGAAGTTGTTGTCCGATGTTGCTATGTTCCTCGATGGAATAAATCTGCAACTTTTTTTGAATTTGGATTCCAGTCAAATCAGTGCTTACGAAGGTAAAACATCGATTGAAACTGTGTTAATAGGAAAGCAGATGCAATACTTGAATCGATTTTCAGACACTTTGTCTGCCACAGCAAAACACACACCTACCACGTATTTCGGTCTTTACTCATCTCTCCTTCATTTCACGCCTATGGGTATTAGCTGGTTAATTCAGAAACTTATATCTTACTCGGACGAGAGAGCAATCAAAGAGACCGTATATTTGATTCTAAAGTTCTTAGATACTAGCACTTCTAACTATGAATCGGATCAGCGTCTTAGACTAACGCATCCTCTGAAATTTTACGCCTGTTCAAAATCTCTGGTATATGATGAAGAAAGAATTATTATGCATATTCTAAATGAGTTAAAACGTAGTTTTGAAGAAATAGGCTCAGTTCCAAACTCCTTTCATGCATTTCGAGAGGCAGAAAATGGCTTCTCCTTCTCAGCTTTACTTCTAAAGCAGCATCAGTCTACTTTCAATCACTCAAAACACAATCAACAATCTTTGAAAAGGTTTCTTGAAGAGAGTGACTCAATTTTTTGTCTTTGCCTCGAATTTTTTCAAAAATCTATTTTTTCTCAGTTATATGATATAGGTCTACTCAGCAGTTTGCTCTCTTTGATCGAAATTGTTTATTGGAGAGAGGATAGTTACATTATAGGGCAACTCATCAGTTCGATCTCGAGAAGAAGCTTAGACAGCGGGTTGAACAGATGGGAATATTACGTTATGAAGGATGAATCGACTGCTGATGAGTATAGACGATTGTGGTGGAACACATATTGGTGGGATAAATGGCATGCTTCTATGACTGGAAAACCACCTTCAATCCCAGAAGAAATGTGTTGGTGCCTGTTTCCAAGAAACTTAATGCAATTGGGAATAGATGAATCAATGGATTGCCTATCATTGATTGATAACGTTGATCTAAATTTATCAGACCATAATTCTTCTACCTTATTTTGTCACATTTTGATGTCTAAGCTCATTACTAGACTATTTTCTGTTGTCTTGTATAACAGAAATTTTACAGATTACAGGCTTTTCACAGCGGAGGCAGCCAATAATTTGGCATGGACGGTAGAACAATTGAATGAAGAGTTTGATTATGTTTCCGGTTTATATACAGCATTTGAGAGGAAAATAGGCTCTTTTCTGCGATCCAACTCTCAGAATGAAGTTTACTTCGAAGTTTTGATACAGTATGAATTTATCGGGGCCGTTTCTTTCCAGTCAATGCAGAGTTTGTTGCTACGAATTCAAAACCTTTCACAAAAGAATCAAAAAGCTAATTGCTTTAAACAGATAAGCGTATGTGAGGAGAGGGTATCGCATTATTCCACTGATCTCTTGTTGAGTGTCATTAAAAATGGTGATCATTTTCAAATCATCAAAAGTATGAGGGCGGTGTTCACCACTGTTATCAATTCAGCGTCGTTGTTGATAAAAAACCCTAGGAACAATCCCTTTTATCATTTGTCTTTAATATGCGGTGTTGTTAGTAAGCTCTCAAAATCATTAAGTTGTACAGACGATGGGTCGTGCACCTGGAAGCGGCTACAGCAAGGAGTAAGATTTTCTCTGATTCTCGCGCGTGCCTGTTCTCAAGCTATCATGTCCTCCCAAAATATTTCCTTAAGCGATGTCAAAGCAGAACTGCTCAACTATGGACACAGTTGTGTGGAAATACTCGATTGGGCATTTGATATAAACAGTGCTTGGTACAAAAACTTGATGTGCAACTATAGACAATCGTGTTTTAGCGAGTCCGTCCTTCAAAATATTGATAAGAGAGTCGAAGATTTTGCTCACAGTGAAAAAACAGATGCCACTAGTATACCATTAGCCATTGGGGTTGACAATGGTGATAAATCAAGCTCTAGCGAATGGTCACCCAAAGAAATTGATCTTCAAAATCTTGACTTCTTCTTGAAGTCGGATGCTACCTTAGATTTTTTAACTTCCCTTTGGCATGACGCTCCACCACATGTATTCGATTTTGGTAATCAGGATTTTAGCTCTCCCGGTTAAAACAGGGTAACTGAACCAGCTTTCTTAGAAGTGTACTTGAATTTTATGGACTTTATGCCCGGAATTTTCGTTCCATGAGGTTTCTTAAAAATTTCAAGCATAATGTTAAGTATTCGTGCCTTTGATTCGGTTTCCTTTCCGTTTGGATGATTAGACCATAGATTGGAGATCATTATTTCTTTGTGCATACTTGAAAGCCGTAGGCCTGGAGACTGATGCCAGAATTTTTCACTACCGCATATTACAGGAGTTCCTTTTTTGAACCCCGAATATGACATATAAGAATTGAGATACCTAATTAGTCCATTTTTTATGTCTTAGAATTGCATTACCTCAAACTTTAATGGTTCTTGAAAGACGCGAATCCTTTTCTGTTTTGAAGACAATCTTTCGGAATCTGTGATTGTCTAAAATTCGCAACAGATTTCTTTTTTGCAGCAAGAGCAAGGGTATCGAATCTACTGATGAGTGGAGTTCGCTCCTTTATCTTCGAGTCTACTCTCCAATTACAGCGAAGATTGAGCTGACTTGTTCTCGATATTATCCTGGATTATTCCTTTTCCAGAATTGACTCAATATCAACTTCATTCATTTTATTCTTTTGTAAGTTTCAGACACCAGATAATCATTCTAACGCTTCGTTCATTAATGTTGCAGAAGAATTCGTCAAATGTAGCGGATAAAATAATCGAGCAAAGATGAAAACTTGTACGACAGATTTTTTAGTGTTTTGTGGCATTCAAAATTGTGCATAAATGGATCAACATTATTCAAATTCAATAAAGCTACTACCAAAAGAAGGTTCAAGATCTTGTTCTTTCAAATGTTGGGTTAATGTTAAAGAAACACCCCTTCCAAAGGACTTTTAGGGGATCATTTGACGTTGCATCAAAATTACATGGGCTTATATTGCCACTGAAACTGGTAAGAGGATCACCGTTGGGATTGTTGGCAGACTTATATAAATTTGAATAATATCTGCTTAACTACTTTCCCTAATTGGCGAATCCTCATCAGGCGATATGTTATGCTGCTAACCTCTTTGAATCGGCATAGCGACTATAGTAAAATCGATAAATTCATATATCTAATGACATATGGATTGATTTATTATGTTAGCTGCCTTCTTAGTTAAAGCAACTTCTACGCCGATATTCGGGCTTTGAAAGTCTCTGAATAGAAGCCGCTGAGGATTTATAACATTAAAGGGCTGTAAATATTCAACGGTTTTGATCTCTGTCGTAATGCAAGTTGGCATACACTTGAACAAAAAAGTGATAAAATTCAGAAAAGATACAATAATGGTCTATTGAACCATATAACGTCCATTTGCAGAACCTTGCATATTTTGAAACAAGGTATTCAGGCGCTCATTATCTAAGTATTCCGCCAATGCATAAAACATGTATAATTTAGGCCTGAAAATTTTATGAACGTCAAAACGAGCATATCTAAATTTTACATAAAGTGTAGGAGGATTACTGTCTTTATTTACATTTATCCTAATAGAGACATAAAAGGGCTTGGAAATCCCCTTAGGGGTCACTTCATGCGGGCAAAGGCCTGTAAATTAAGGTACATGTTCGTCAAACGAGCTCAAAATAAGCGCTCTGGCTGTAAAAACATCTCATTTCCACCTAGACGACATATCTCAGAGCATATGTATTTTGCCCAAACATTTTTCTTCGCTCTTGTGAAGAATCGAGGTTTCATAATGAAACGATTCAAAGCGGAACCAAATCTGCGCATGAAGAATACTTGTTATAAAATGATACAGCTCTTAAAAGCTTATTTGAGAAGTTTTGATGGCATCCAATCATTCTAGAGGAGGGAGAAAATGAGTTGGAGTTTAAATAATCTCAGATGGTTTATGTTGCCGTCTCTATGTGGTCAAAGAGGTCATATTCAGTGCTGGGTCTCTAAGTTGTTTTATATCTTTCAATATTAAAGACTAAGTGTCTTACTTTTACTCCCTGTTTTTTTTCTAGAAAGCCAACAAGCCCAACCTGTGGAACCTTTTGACTATCACAGATGCCGAATTTACTTGCCATTAATTAGCCCATTGTCTGAGGTCATAATTCCAATATTTCATAGTATTTTGGTATTTCTGCTATTCTTTATTTTTGTCTCGGATAAGTTGATGGTACGGTGGTCTAGGATCATAGCTCCCACATTTTGGGAACTTGGCATGTAAAAGATGTCGTCTGGTTCCGAAGTCTTTGATGTACCTTATTAAAGGGCTTACCGGATACAATCACCCCGTCTGGGCCTCGAAGTCTTATATCATAGTTTAAGAATATAAGAATATGTTCTCCCAACTCTTCCGGCAACTGGCAGCACAGGGTGAGAGTCGGTACTATCATGGCTCTCCAAGGCATGGTCCTCTTCCGATGGTTCGTCTTCTTCATTTTCATCCGCATCCTCACTTGTCCCGCGCTCCGCTCGAAGGTCAAAAGCAGTCAGCCGAACCATGATTTCCAAAATAGTTCCCAGTTCATCCTCATCCTGTAGCATCCTGATAAATATACGAGAGATTTCTTCTACTGTTATTTCATCAGAAAGGTCATCTTGTAATTCAACCTCGTCATAAACATCGTCTTCTTCACCAAAACATTCCATCAACAGGGGAAACTCCCGAATGTTCAGAAGCATGTAGAGAAAAGGTGAAAAATTCAGAGCATACTCGTTGATGCTTCTTTCGTGTAAGGTCTTGAGGAGGGACTCGCCTACTTGGGGTCTTCTGAATGTTCGTGTTGCTCTGTAACGAAGCATATTTCCCTCCCTTGACCTCTTGTATATGGCTTGGCACACACGCTTGGTTTTGGCGTTGTAATCTCCCCGAAATGCATGAAATCGTCTTAGCGACTGTATCCAAAGGCACGAGAGGTCTGCACGAGGTACTAAACTTTTTCGTTCTTCGCCCAGTTGACGACCAACTTCAGCTTCGTCGTACTCCCAGTTTCCTCCTGTTTCCTTGAAAACTATCGGTAAAACCGCTTGGTTCTGGTGGTAAACACTGTTGTCACCGAGTAGTAGGGTTCATGTAAAATTACTGGACCTGATTATCTACTAGATCGAACAAAACTCCTGAGTTGCAAGTACAGATCGGTTTCGTGGTCCTCGTACTTAACGTTCTGAAACCTACTTTGCTGTTTCTTGTTCACTCACGTTTTACTGTTTGCCATGACGTGATTTGATCTACACTATGTATGTACCTTAGAAGTAACTCATCCGTCAGCGGTGTTTGGAAGGTTTTAAAATTTTGGATTCAAACAATACTGCATTTGTCTCTTTTACCAGTTTCGCAAGATATCGTATTACTTAATATGGCATTGTTTTTGTTTCATTTTGGGTATGCAAACTAAAACAAATCAATTTTGCAAGGTGTCCGAATTTTCTATGCACTCCAACTCGGATTTGAATACGCCAGGAAAGTTCCTAGTCTATTTTCTGCTTAGGTTACATCGCACGCTTACTCGACAATATTTAAGTTTTGGGCAGGACGAAATATATGTTACCCGGCATCTTTTTCGTGGGTTTGGGAAAAAAATCAGCAGAAAGCACGAGACAGTTATCGAGAAAATTCGGAGGTTTGACGGCTCACGGGATTCGTACGGTGATTTCTAGGGAGAAAACAGAGCCGCCGCGCTCTGCGGAGCGCGGCCCCTCTTAGCATATTTGAATACAATATATTCTGGAAGAACGCTTTCTCTGCTCGCAACTTAGCCAAATCATGAGGTATTCCACACAGGCTTGTCAAACTGAAGGGATGCTCTGATCACGACTAGGACTTGCGGTGAGCAGCTGCTTGAAATCGTAGATTTGGGCATTTTGAAATCTTCATTATAGATTAGCAGTAGTTTAAGAGTGTTGATTTAATCGTCCTATTATTTCAAAAAGATCTGCCACAGCACTTGTGGGATAGACACTCCGAATTAAAGAATAGGTGTTTGGGTAGTGCAAATACCTACATAACCTGGTTTTGAGATCATAATCCCTCCCAGCCAATTTTATCATCCCTAGCGCTGTAAGGATTTGGTTGGGTGGCTAAATTGCTCAGTATACTCTACGAGCAGGCTCGCACTTACCTTAGCTGTCGCAAGCGCTTTGAGCAATTTGGCATAACCTCTGATGTAATTGAGCATTATATAGAATTGTTGAAAAGTAACTTCTTTCTTGGCGGGTGATCACCTGATGTTTGTATCTGCATCTTCGGACTTCTGCAGGTACGAGATTCGGCTTTAAAAAATAAACCTCAGCGTCACCTTCGGTTTTTACAACCACGCCAAGAAAAATATAAATACATGAGTGAATAGCTACAAGCACATCTAGCAATCCCCAATAGAGAGTGACAAGTCATCATGTCAAATTTACTTGATATTACAAATATACTCAGTGAAAATAGCACTCAGACTTTTGAACAGTGGTCGGAACAAATTCCAGACTCAGCATTTAGTCACTTCACCCACCCCGATAATCTCGACCACTTTACTATTTGTGTGAGCAGCATCAATGCTACTAACAATACAGTTTTGGACTCTATATTGTTGTCAACATTGGAGAACGCTACTGCTTGGTTAGAAGCAGCAGAAGCGCATATGCTAGCATTAGATGAAATTGACGAGGAAACAAATGAAGGTGCCGACACATATAGGGACGCAGATAACTCATCCAGTTTTGAAGCTTCTCCGACTTTTGCGTACAGTACGCTTCTCCGCTCACCCTTGGTTACAACCACCTTAGAACCTCTTAGGCTTGACAAACGATTACGCAGTCCCTGTGGATGGTGGTGCGGAAGCGTTAGACATTGTCGAGGAAGTACCTTATCTGGCTGCCGCAATTGTAATGCTTATGGTAATCATAGTCACAGGAAAAGATGCGCTTAGATGCTCTTGAGTGCTTAGGAAGAAGCTGCTATTTCTATAAACGTCATAAACCTTGGATAGACAGCGCTCATTAGACAATACGAAGAAAAGCAAAGCACACTTACAAACTATCCCAAAAGTACTCCAATAATTACGAATTAAATAATGTCAAAGCATGCGATAAGAATTGACGTGCTCTTTTAGGAAGCTCATATAAGAAGCTCATTTAAAATACATACCTACAAAACCTTTCTATACGCAACTCTAGAGCAAAGCTCTGAGAATTAGATCATCTGATCTGTATCTGAAAGAAAAAAAGAAGGGTTTCTCCACATAAGAGTTCCTACCTAGGCTTTGATTTCTCAAATACACGGCTCGATAATTGTGGCCAGAATTTCCTTCATTAACTCTATACTTAATTACTTCCACAGTCAATTATAACTTCACAGTTTTCATTACAAGACCAACCATTGTCAGTGTAGCTGAAATTATCATTAAGAGATCCAAATATCAGAATTAATAATCACAGGGAGACTAGGGATATCGTTGGAGCGCTCGTAGCCAGCACTATTTTGGAGAACTCCCACCGAATTACTAATTAGGCAGTCACATTTGTGAGCAGATTAACAAGATATTTTAGATTTCCTCTCAGGAAAGAGAACTAACATCTGTTTTGCAAAGCGCATAGAAATTGGGAAGAAGGCCCAATTATCATCGCCAGACTACTGAAATCTTTCACTCTATAATGATCAGAAAGTCCTCAGCAGGCCAAATGCTGTGTGCATTTTACCATAGTGCTTGGATTCAATGATTCAACGCGAAAAAACATGATCAAAGCCGGATGAAGCTCATCTGTCAACGCTCCTAAAACAATACTTATCAAACATAATAGTCAGTGCCATGGCAAGCAGAGCTGAGGCATTTGTCAATAAATCATCACATTCGCATCAAAATGTTACATCCCTTTGATCGTATTCTAGAAATCCAGTTCCTTTCATTTGCGCTTTCAACTATAGAAACGTTTAACTTAGCTTGAGCACTTTAAAAAATCTCAGAGATCTTCCGCAGCAATCACCCCCCATAACCTTAGTCACAGTTTAACGGAGAAATCAACCATTCAAAATTTCCTTCCCACAATGAGAATCTGACATGTGTGAGGTTTAGCTCACAGTTATTTTAACTCTCAATGGACAATTTTTTTTCATTGTTGTAATTGTAGTATATAGTTATACTTCTATAATATGAAAGCACTGGTTGTGTTGCTCTTTCCAGTCCTCAGTACTTTACTAGGTATTTGGAGGAAGTTACAGTCGAGGAACTCATATCCCAAGGCCATAGGGTTAAAATCGCAGATCTTTATTTTCAAAATGGGAAGATTTTAATTTTTTGTTCAAATTTTTATCAGGTTGCGGAAAACGATGAATTAATGTTTGAGACCTCCTCTAGGGCTGTTTACGCGTAAGAACGTCTTACCGATGATGTCAAGCTGGATCAGGAGAAAATCTAATGTGAAGACACCTTGCCGTTGCATTTCCTGTTATGACGGTTTTTGATGCCTGCATTATTGAGGGATGGGCAGACTGCGTTTTTCCTTGCGGAATATTGTACGGTGTCGGAAAATACGGTGATCAGTAGTATGTTGAACGCTATGGTGTTGGAAAGTCTGTTGGTGAATCTGCAATGCTTGGGTGGCCACAATAGACGGATGGAAAGATCATTATAGATATCGTGGTATCGATGGGATTTGCTCTTTCCCCGTCGTCATAGCATACTTTTTTTTCGGCTCCAGCATACTTCCATCATTAGCGGTTCCTCAAGCTTTTTAATACTGTCACTGTCTTTATAGCTGGTAACGTGACTTATCGTATGCATTGTATCAATCTAACGCTTGATAATAAGATTCCAACAACTCAAGTAATGATCAAAGTACTATAACTTTATTTCACAGTGCGGGACAAATATAAATACAAAGCTGCAGAATTCATTCTAACTATTGAAACTTCGATTCAATGCAGTATGGAATAGTCTATCTGCTCATATCAATAAGCTTCTTTCGCCATTGTGAGAGTTTTTATATTCCACAATAGGATTCTTTTGAGGCTATGTTTCAAAGCTGACTCAAGAAAGAACTCCACAACACCCGCAAAGTGCGAAGATACCCTTGTGGAAATGCTAACAAGCTATATGCGAAATCAGCTGGTTCGCATCACGAATCTAGCGTGCAAAAGACTTGAGGAATGTTATCTATGTACTCTCCAAGCTGTTCCAATATTCGGATACATTGTGCATGCCATTGATTCTGGAAGCTTAGTATCTGTAACGAAAATTTTTTGGGAAAAGACTGCAATCGACGGGGAAATTCCTAAACATGTTAAACAAAAGGCAAGTCTTAAATAGGGTTGGTGAGAATTTGGTGAATATTGAGCTAAATGTTGGGATTCCATTTTTGATTAAGGCTGTAATTATTGGTATATGGTTATACTAGAAGTTCTCCTCCTTTTTCTAAGAATCCAGAAAGAAGAGTCAATAATTCTACTTACAAATATTCTTACTCTTTCTGTTCCTTTTATACATTTTCATTCATTATCCTATTACATTATCAATCCTTGCGCTTCAGCTTCCACTAATTTCAATGACTGTTTCTCATTCTTTATGTCATCTTAAAACACCGTGTATGATAATATACTAGTAACACGAATACTAGCCGATGGTCGATAGTTGTATTTCGTTCCAACATTCTCAATATTCTTTAGCGTTCTGGGTTGAGGTTTCCATTTTCATAGATCTTTCCCACATTGAAAACGCACCACCACCTATCTTCGAGATATTTCCACCTAATCTCAACGAATCACCGCTCCTAGCGGAGCGGTGAGTATCGTTGCAATTCTCGGGTTCAATACTCTTGAGAAGCGTACAATTTGAGAGATCACTTTGTACGGCCTGACATTGTGGCCGAGGGGTTAAGGCGTGAGACTCGAACTAACTTGAGAGATCTCTTGGGCTCTGCCCGCGCAGGTTCGAATCCTGCCGATGTCGTTATTTTTTGGCTTCCGAGGAGGCGGGATCGTTGCGCACGGGACGTCTGGCGATGTCTGGGCATCTGGCGAAAGAACACAGCAGCGGGCATCTGGCTGAAAGACCGCAACACCGGATCCGTACATCGTCGCTACACATGCCGCGAATCAAGACGAGCAGAACCAAGGCGGCGCCCGAGGGCTTCGAGAAAATCAAGCCCACGCTGGTGGACTTTGAGCTGCAGCTCAAAGAGGCGCAGGGCGACAAGGCGTCGAAGCTCGCTGCGAAGGCGGACGAGGGCGCGTGGAAGGTGTTCCAGATATGCCACGAGCGGTCGCGGTACGTGTACGAGCTGTTCTACAAGCGCAAGGCCATCTCGAAGGAGCTGTACGCGTGGCTACTGAGGGAGAAATACGCGGACAAGATGCTGATTGCCAAGTGGAAGAAGAAAGGCTACGAGAAGCTGTGCTGTCTGCGGTGCATTCAGAGCACGGAGACGGCGCACGGGAACACGTGCATCTGCCGGGTGCCGCGGTCGACGCTGGAGAAGAACAGCGCCGACGGGGTGGTCGCGTTCAAGAGGTGCGTGCACTGCGGATGCAGCGGTTGCGCAAGCACGGACTGAGGCCTGCAGGCTCGTTGCTGGGATAGTCGCTCGTTGCTGGGATAGTCGTGGAGGGTGGAAGGCAGCAGCACGTGACCACGCGGCGACATCACATCGAACGGATTTGACAATTTTTTTTTCTTTCTTTTTCGGTTTCTCTCTTTCCTTTTTTTTTCCCCTGACGCGACGCGAACGCGAAAAACGTCACGGAAGATGCGCGCGACGCGAAATCTTTCTCGGCACATGTCAAGTCCCCGCGATAACGATATATATAAAGTTCACAAGGCTGACAACGCGTAACACGTAGATCGGGAACTGGAAATAGGAACGTAATTCGGTCGGAGTACAAGCCAGCGGAACAACCATGAAGGAAATCTTGGTGGAATGTCACACGGTGGATGCCGCTCAGCGAGCACCTCTGGAAGAGTTACCCCCGAACAAAAAGCGCAAGATGAGCACGGTGGTTGCCGCAGACGCGACGCTCACGCCTCCTCATTCGACACTCAGAAAAGTCTCCACGCCTGCAAACAAAGACCAGTCTGTGCGGCCGCTATCACCAGAGCTTTCGTCGCCCATACGGCCGCACAGGGCGCGTAAATCCAAGTCCGAAACCGGGATGATCACGACGCGTTCGTCCAACTCGCAGACCATCGAAGAGCTCATCGAGGCGTTCTCAGACAAAGAGCGCCTTTGCAGCCTCCAGGACCCTCAGAAGAAGCCGCCTTTCTCCTACGCCATGCTCATCGGACTGGCGATTTTGCAATCGCCCGAGGCGCGACTCACGCTCTCGCAGATCTACCACTGGATCACTACCCATTTCCCATACTACAAGCCGCGGGACGCCGGGTGGCAGAACAGTATCAGACACAATTTGTCTCTCAACGATGCGTTCATAAAAGCCGACAAATCCATCGACGGAAAGGGGCATTTTTGGCAGGTGAAGGCAGGCTGTGAAAACAAGTTCTTCAAGGGCGATCACTCGGGGGATGAAATAAAGAAGAAACTGCGCGCCCTGTGTGCCACGGTCGAGCCCGTAGAGGCAAGTGCGTTCCAGGTGCAAACTTCAACGCACCAGGCAATCCCCAGCAAGAGCAAACCACAGGAGAGCAGAGAATCGCATCCAAAGGCCGAAGAGCCCGTTCACGCCTCGAAAAGTAAATCCTATGACAATTACGAGGATTTCCGTCGCAAGTACTGGAATCCCGACACGTCAGATATATCGTTCGACTCTGACGACGACGCAGACTTGGAACATAAGAGATACGCTTGCAATCAAGATGCGGAGTTGGCATCGTCGCCTCATGCGGCCCAGAGGTCGCCTACTCCCTTCGGTTTGGGTAACTCCGTGGACAAGTCTGCAGATCAAGATGCGTTCGTCGACGATGTAAATGAAAATCCCGTTGCTGCAGATCAATATGACTATCAAACTCAAATGAGCACCAATAATCCCCCGCACTTTAAGAAATCACACTCCGCTATAGACGTACAGAGGAATAATATCTACGATTCCCAGGACGAGTTTTGGAGGGGTTCCCTTGGTATGACTAGCTCACCGAAAGATTTTAAAAAATACACTTGCTCATTCAACACAAACTTCGAACTATCTCCTATCCCTAAAACAATAAACTCGGGGCCTCTGTTGGAGCCCTTGTGCTCACCTAATAGAAATATGGATGGCGTGGCAAACCCAGCATCTGATTTACTAAAGACTCCAAAGATCAAACAGTTTGGCGCTTTTGCCGAGAATTCGCCGCTTCCACTTACGGAAACCCCTCGCGATCCCGCCTCTCTTCGCAAGTGGCGTACTCCAAATATCATTCTTGAAGACTTTTGTCGTTCTCCTGCCCTTATTCGTCCCTCGGGTACCCCGATTCTCTCCATTGATGATTGCATGATTGACGAATTAACAAACACCAAAGTCGATCCGAAACAAGCCCGCAAGCTCGGTGTTCCATCAACACCCGGCAGTCTTGCTCGGGCGCAGAAATTCTTTGAGAACATAAGGTTTTCATCAAGCGGATTGTTTGGTGTGGACGTTTGTTCTGTTTTGAAGAGGGCTGTCGAGAACTGCGATAGTGCTGCGCATTCGTCGTCGAAAGAGGATAGAAAACTCGGAGTGCCCTTTCAGGGGTTTAATGATAAGCTTTCGTCTACGAAGGACGTAAAATAACGGTTAAAGTTTTGGACAAGGATGTAGTTATAATGGTTTTTTCTAGTATAAAACACCACAGGTTAGAGGAAATAGATATGTATTATAAGAAAAGGGACCATTTCGGCACGGTATAGACATTTTGGTGTAAAGCATCAGTGGGTCACGGTGCTGTAGCCTGTTCCAACCGCATTTTTGTTGTAATCACGAGCGGCGCTTACCCATACAAAGATGGTTTTTTTCGTTATTTTTTCGAATTCAAATAGTGAAATCGTAGCAAGGTTTAATCTCAAAAGTTCATCGACCGAACCTTGAAGTCCGCATGACTACGAACCGGGGTGCACGCGACTCCAAGTTAGAGCAGGATATTCAAGATGTCACCGATCCTAGAGATTTTTTACAAACCTCGCTTCCACAAATGATGGATATCGACACACTATTAAGATGCCATATCTGCAAGGATTTTATTAAAATTCCTGTACTGACCCCTTGCGGACACACTTTCTGTTCCCTATGTATAAGAGAATATCTCAATCGAGAACTTAAATGCCCTTTGTGCTTGGCTGAGTTGAGGGAATCAATGCTCAGAAGCGAATTTTTGGTCAATGAAATCATAGAAAGTTATAAGCAGGCTAGGGTCCACTTGCTAGAAGCTCTGCATAAACACAACAAATCAGTGGCAGCTCAAGACGAAGATTTCACTATTGAGATAGCTTCCGGTGACAATGAGGAGGAGGCAAGCGATGACGATATAAAGATCATTGAGACAAGGGCCAGTAGGCCCGCCAAAAGAGTCATAGGTACTGTCACTTCCGGAGGGAAGAGAGCTCGACAAGAACTTGGAAATTCGGGGATAACTGCGATGTTTGGGAAATCAAAGGAAAAAGCCCAAGGGGAAACAGCTTCATGCCCAATTTGCAACAAATCATTCTCATTAGACTATTTGCAAAGAACGCATCTCGACGATTGCTTGGTGTCAATGAATTCAGCGGTGAAAACTGAGTATAAGCCCACATCTGAACCGGAAACTAAGTCCAAAAGCCCAGGATTTGAATCACACATTACCAAGCATACAAATAGGTACCTAGAATCAGGACAGAACAAAAACTCAGCGAGACTACCGAAGTTGAATTTCCCATCAATGAGCCAAAGTCAACTCAAACAGAAGCTATCATCTTTATCGTTACCGGTTAATGGAAATAGACAGCAAATGATCAATAGATACAATCACTTCGAAATGCTGTGGAATAGCAATTTCCTAGATAGCATGGAACCGGTAAGCGAAAGGGATCTTAGAAGAAAGCTAGCTAGTTGGGAAGCGTCTCATAATAATGGCGATAATATTCAGGGGAAGAGTTCAATTTCCACCATGCTAAGTGGCAAGACTACTCTGTCTAGGCTCAAAGACTTCAAAAATGATAGGTTTGATAGAAAAGGATGGATTAGAGCCCATCGTACAGAGTTCCAAGAGCTTCTTATGGAAGCAAGAGATAGTTTGAAAAAGATGAAAAACTCAGAACAAAGTTCGACTTCACACTCAATGAATAAGCCGCTCTTAGATCAAGTTATACCAGATTCTAAAGATGTCCAGTTGCAAGAAATGCAAACGGAAACGGATCAACTGAGGGAGGAGCCCTCATCGAGAATATAGATAATCAACAAATACGCCAACGTGTTGCAGATAAATCTGCTTTACTATGTAAGGAAGTATTACATCTTACAAGTTCCTAAATAGAGCTCAGATGGTGAGCGCAAGCATGGATGTATTCATAACTCATCGTGATCGATCTCATCTTCGATGAACTGAGCAGGATCATCAAGGTTGCTATCGTCACCTGGCTTTTCAAATGAAGTCTGGAAATCTGCAGTTGTTTCAACCGTGATTTCCTCCGTGAGCGTTGAATGCAATTCTAAAGAAGACTCACTATGAACTGCAAGTAATGATTCTTCATTGTTATAAACGCTGTCTTCTTCTGGAGCCAAGGCGTTATCATTGATATCTGGCGTGAATTGTTCATCAAAGCCTTCTGGAATGGCCTGAGATACGGAAGGCTTTGGACTGGAATGCGTAACAGCCGAATCCCACTCCGTAGTTAATGCGGTGCTCAAATTGCTGTCAAGATTGTGAATGTGTGAGTGTTTCTCCTCTGCGTGATTCTCTTCAATCGCAGAAGATGAACTAGTCTGGTCAACTGAAGAGGTTGAACTTTGATCCGCTGTCTCACTCGTGGCGAATTCTGAACTCACCGTTGAGTCGAGATAGATATTAATCTCGTCTATAATTGTACGTTCGGCATCGGCACTCGTATCGGAAGACGCTATTGGTGCAGATGTCATCGCCGATGCTGAGAACTCCAAAGAATCGCTGGTTGAGAGGACAGCTGGAGATAAAGATGCTTGTAAACTCGATTTTGGTTCAATTTGCTCCGAATTGCTCTCACTATTGGAAACGACTTCATCAACGAGGGTTGGAGTTTCTTCAGACGTTGTATCAGTTTTAGAATGATTCTTCTCCGTTGTTTCAAGTGTTAATGATGACTTTTCTATTCCGTTTGAAGACTCCGATTGTGGTGAATTGCTCGAATTATTATCTGAAATTAAAACTGCAGTTGTGGAATTGGATCCAGAAAGCGATAACTTACTCTCTAAATTACTAACCTGCTCTTCTTTCATCTTTGTAGTCAAATCAAGCACATTACTTTCCATCGAGCCACTTGAGAGATACTCGGTCTCAGAGACGCGATCATTGAGAGTGCTTAGCGATGAAGTCTTTTTAGATGATGTGGCGACAAAAGTCGAAACCACAGAATTGCTCATACCTAAGGACCGGTTGTCGGTATCAGAACTGATGCGAAGAATCTCACTTTCATCTGGGGTCTCAGACTGAAGAGCAGAGACGATTTCAGTAAGGATTGGCGAAGATGACTCGAAAGAGTTACTCTCGTGGAACTCTGAAGTCGTAGATGTAGTTGCGACAGATTCGCCGTCCGAGGTAGATGCTATACTAGTAAAACCTGTTTCGCCCTTTTCTGAATTCACAGCTGATTCTACAGTCGATGAGCGTTCTTCAAAACCCGCCTCAAAAGAACCGGCTTGTGAAGTCACTTGATCATCTGATGAGAAACCTGACAATGATATGGACGATGTTAATGAGTGCACCGTTGTCACAGGGGAATTCGATGATTCAAACGTATGGGTCATCGTTATAGAATTCGAATCAGATGGCTTATTAGCTATCATTTCATCGATCGAGGATCTCGACAACGTATGGGATATTATATCCCTTTCAGAAGATCCGAACGATTCGGATGATGCCTGTGTCGTTGTATCAAGAGGTGAAGATTCGGACGACGTTTGGGCCATTGTGACAATAGGAGCAGACAACTCAGAGCTAGTAAGCTGCGTGGTAGATGATACTATCGCAGAACTGGATAGAGTTAAGCTACTCGTTACGGTTTCAGGGCTCGCTGTTTCTGAAAAACGCTCTAGAGGAATTATCGATAAAAGACTCATTGTTAATCCAACTGTGTCGTCGGAGTCCAAATATACAGTAGTTTCTGAAAACGACTCCGGCATCACCTGAGTCGAGGCCATGAGTTTTTGGTCTGTAATGATGGAAGAAGATGCTGTATCCAGTGGTTTGGTATACGTAGACACGCTTACAACATCACCCACTAAAGTCGTCTGACGTAGAACTTCATTGATTTTGGAAAAAGGAGTTGTGTCATTTTTTGACAGATATTTCGAATGAATAAAGTGGTATAATTTCGAATGAAGGTTATATTTGTAAGACAACTGTGCTGTCAAAGCAATTATAACAATAAGAACGACATTGATGAAAAAGGACACAATTCTTTCCAGGAATGAACTAGAAGATGCCAAATTTTCAGGTATTGACACAACATGAACAGTATTTGCAGCAGATACACTTGCTAAAATCCTACTGTCAGGAGAGAAGACAATTCGTGTGACTGCAAAGGAATGAACCTGTTTAAAAAATTTTGCCACAGTAAAGTTTTTCAAGCGAATAATAGCAATTGAATTGTCATTACCGGCTAGGGCGGCAAGTTGGCCCTTGCTGTCAACGTCCATCGATGTTACTCCCTTGAATTTAGTAGTAACAACTTTCGTTTTCAGCACAGAAGTAGTTCCACTCTTCAAGCTAATTTTGACGAGCACTATTCCTGAACCTTTCTTTAAAGCGGCAGCAATTAAGACAGTATCCTCACCAATGAACCTGATTTTGGAAAGTGCCCAATTTTTATCGAAGTCTGTCTTCCTGATAATAAACCGTCCCGTGACAATAGATATGACTTCCAGAGTAGAAGCAGTAATGTAACTAAGTACCTTGCCATCAGGGCTGAAATGCAAATCTTTCACATCGTTTCCAGTTTCAATTTCATAGGTTTCGGTCAATGCAACTGGATTTAAGATTCTGATTATCGTTGGGACTTTCGAGGATGCAATTGCGGCTACTGAGCCATCTTGGGACATGTAAGTCAGTTTAGTATAATCCTCTACACTCTTTGAACGATCAAAATCCACACTGGCAACAAACTTAAGGTGATCATTTTCGAACACGTATTTCCTTAAATGATGATTCTCTCCAGAGGATTTGATTCTCGCTGAGTTTTCATTACACCCCATCAAAATGATATCATTAGAAGCATCTAGAGTTGTCGGAGAATCGTCGTTCGGGTCCAACGTGAGCTCTCTGAACCTCTTTATCACCTTTCGCTTGTTGAAGTTCACCTGCAGCGCCGTGAGTTTATTAGGGATACCATTATTTCCCTCGCCACCACCTCCAGCTACTAGCAATACATCATTCCTAATAAATCGAGCGCCATATGCAGGATAACCTACGTTATAGAGTGACTCTTCCATTTTCATGTTTTTCTTATAGATACCCAGAATAGATGAATAAAGCTCGTTCTTCGGAAGAAATTTTCATCTTTATCTACAACCAAAGAATTGATGGCCAAAAAGGTGTTGTCGATACAATCACACGTTGTTCACGGGTATGTGGGTAACAAAGCCGCAACATTCCCATTACAATATCGTGGTTGGGATGTGGATGCATTGAACACAGTACAGTTCTCAAATCATCCTGCTTACGGCCATTTTAGAGGATTCCGCTCGACTGCCGAAGAACTGCGCGAAATAATCGAAGAAGGCTTAGTCAAAGGTCTTGGTATCAAGTACGATGCAGTACTCACGGGGTACCTTCCTGATGTGGCAGGACTTCGCACTATTGCAGCCACAGTAACTAAGATGTGCAAAAACGATCCTTCTACTAAATGGATATTAGATCCTGTACTCGGTGATAATGGCCGACTTTACGTACCTGAGGAGACAATACCTATCTACAAAGGAATTTTAGAGCAAGGCGAGGTGTTTCTAGCGACCCCTAATCAATTCGAGATGGAGATTTTGACCTGCATTACGATCAAAGACTATGACTCACTTAAGCGAAGCATCAACAAATTTCATGAGCTCTTCCCCAGAGTCAAATATGTGGTAGTAACTAGTGTTTCTATCCCTGAACTACACGATCATTCATTCTTATCAGCTTGCAGTGATAATAAGGCCAAGTCAGCTCATTACTTTCAAGTTGAAAAGATCGACGCGCACTTTAGCGGGAGCGGTGACCTCTTTAGCGCACTCCTGGTAGATACTCTTTTGAATGACGAAAATGTAACGATAGATTTGCCTCTGGCCCTCAATAAGGTGCTCTCGCTGGTTGACAGCATCCTTCAAAATACATTTAATATTGTGAGCAACGAAACGTCTAAAAGGCCGCTAAAAATTAACGACTTGAAACTGATAGAGTCTCGAAACCTTCTGAGAGGCGAAATAAAACCTAGATACAAACCTATAGAGCTTTAAATCAACAATGTCCGATCCATTCATCTTTTACCTTGTCTTATCATATGCGTATATAACGACAAAAATCAACAATTTGATCAGATTTTGCACGGATCATGACTAGATTGAAACTGTTAGTTGGGTAATCATCTTCATGATGAAAGAAAAAAGCGATATTGGTGCAAATAAAAGGCTAGCGACACGCTGGCGTGTTTTCGTTTTGGCACTTATAGCATGTGGCATTCTAAGCTGGCTATCTTTTCCTTTGCATTGCCCTGGTAGGGAGTTACCTGATCAAAAACGAACCCCTGGCACATTTAAACTCAAGACAATATACAGGCATGCGGCTAATGGGCCTCACGCAGCGCAGCAAAAACTAGACATTACACCACAACTTTTGGAGAAAGGTCGGGCAGAATATGCTGAACACTTGAGTATCAAGCAAGAAGGCGATGACGAGCTATGGACAAGTAATGAACTCTATGCCACGAATAATCCATTAGACTTTGAATTCAAACTCAAAGTGGAACCGATTCGCATGACAAGAATGATGTACAGAAGTCCTGAATTTGTTGAATCGTATTTAGATTTTGCGCTCGAAAATCCCGATATGGCTGCGAAGGTTGATCTGGATTGGGTCAACGACATAGTATTGGCGCCTAATATCAGCGATAAAGACACGATTTTGAGTTTAGCTTTGATGTCATCCAATGCTTATGTGAGGTTACCACACACCGGTGACTGGAGAAACGTCACAGAGCCATGGCATAATTCTGGCGGAGATGGCCACGGCTGGGACGGGGATGGTATCAGAGGTCATATTTTTGTCAACGAAGTTGAAGACGTAGTCGTCATCTCCATTAAAGGCACAAGCGCACAGGGACTAGCAGGATCTGGTGAAGATGACACAACTGGAAACGATAAGGTAAACGACAACCTGTTGTTTTCTTGTTGTTGTGCGCGCGTCAGCTATCTATGGACGACAGTTTGCGATTGCTTTGTAAAATCTTACACATGTGATGAAACATGTTTAGAACGTGAGTTAAGGAGGAAAGATAGATATTACTCAGCTGTGCTGGATGTCTACAAGCAGGTCCTCAAAGACTATCCATCTTCAACAATCTGGGTGACTGGCCACTCTCTCGGAGGAGCTATGGCTAGCTTTCTGGGTCGCACATATGGATTGCCAACAGTGACTTTTGAGGCACCGGGAGAACTACTAGCAACAAGAAGATTGCACTTGCCGATGCCGCCGGGATTGCCTGCTTACTTGGAGGGCGTATGGCATTTTGGTCATACAGCAGACCCAATTTATATTGGAACCTGCAATGGTGCCAGTTCATCATGTTCTATCGCAGGTTATGCTTTCGAAACTTCTTGCCATTCGGGAAAAGTATGCACATATGATGTCGTCAACGACAAAGGATGGCACGTTAATATGCTCAACCACAGAATCCACACGGTAATTGATAATGTGTTGAGTGCTTATGATAAAGTGGCAAAGTGTAAACCCCCCGAACCATGTCACGATTGTTATAATTGGAACTATATTCAGGGCAGAGACACAAGCACTAAGATCCAAACGGAGACGAAGACAAGCAAGTCTAAGACTAAGACCAAGACTAAGGATCTACCGACATCAACATTAACCAGTGTGACTTCGACCACCGATTTTACTACTCCAGAACCCACAGCCTCCAGCTGCATAGGGCGCAATTGGTTTGGAATATGTACCAGATACGGATTATAGGAATTTCTTACGTAAGGTAATAATACATGGAGTTCAATTGAATTAAGAAGTGCGATGAACTATAAATCATCATCTACATTTATTTCGTACTCTGGAAATTTATCTTGAAGGCAGCTTTCGATAGCTTTGTGATATTGCAATATAACGCTTGGAACTTTCAAATCGACCTCTTCCACCCAAAAGCTTTTTAGTTCACCTTCTCTAATTTTCTGTAAACGGAGACTGAACTTTTTAACATCTGTGAGAATCTTTTCTAGGTGCGAATCCTTTAGTTGGCATTCTTCAGCGTGATAAAGACTATGTGCTACCATCAAACAGATAAGCGAGCAATGCATACATGAAAAGAATAACTGATCAGACAAGTATCTAAAACTTGAGAAATTATCGTTTATCATAGTTTCGACTGATCTGTGAGCATGATCCAGCATTTCCAGTTGCTTTTCATGGGGTATTGCACCGATCACCTCCTCAACTGGATACTGGGAATTAAGATATTCGCCAACTGCACTTCTTTTCGCGGACTTTAATCCTTGCGACTCTTGAGATTTCAATTCTTTTCTACCAACCTGAGATTTTGCCAACCTGTAGCATTTGTGGAACCAGGTGTAAAGAACTGTAGCATACCCGTAATGATAGGCAAATTCGACATACTGCGTAGTGGGTTGTATTGGTTGGGAAAAGAGATATCCCCATTCATCAATCCAATCTCTTAATTCATCAATAACTGTGTCAAAAGCCGTCGGATCGTTTGAAGGCTTTCCTATAATTTCCGTGTTGCATTGCTGCATGAAATTATAAACAATAAGTTGAAGACTGATCTCCGCCACCATTCTTCCATCAAAATTTGTAGAATTGGACAGTTCTAACGTGCGCCGGCACAAGTCAGCTCTTACTTCATCAACAATACACATCCTTCCGGAAAATACGCAATGTGTAATGTGCACCAGGCACAAATGGTTCCATAATCTGAAGGATGTCAGTCTCTCGAACCTCATATCTTGATCAAATATGTTTTCCTGAGGAGATACCAAATTGTTGGATATTCCAAAAGAGAAAAACTCTGAGGTAGTTGCTTTATCGTTCACAGATCGCAGAAGTGCATCTGCAATATTTCTGGTCAGATATTGTTGCAAACCTATCCCCGAGAGGTACCAAGCATCAACCGACATTATATCACTGCTAAATGATGAGGCATAGATTGAAAGGATGACAATAGCCTGAATGAACTCTGTGGTTTGTGGAACACATTTCAATGAAGTCTCCAAATCGGATTTCAGTTTGAACAACAAGTTCTTATACACTCGCGTTTTCAAATCATGGTATTTAACCGTATAACGGAGTGCCATGACACATGATGCACTCAGTAAAAGTGAAGCGTTCCGGGAACGAATATTCGAAACGAGCTTCTCAGTGGAAATTGTTTCAGGAAACGAACACCAATTACCGTACCGATCTCTGAAATCCTGCATCAGCCAGTGGACTTCCTCCAGCGTCACTAAATTCAACGTAACGATATCATCTAGTGGATCTTGTTGCAACATATCAGACTCATGCAATTTGAAAATAGGCAGAGGCAAATTATCACGAGATATCATCTGCGATACCATCGTGAATGGGCTTGCCAGATAGGGAGCAAAATGACGCTGCTCCGTTTTAAGCAGAGAGTCATCTAAAATAGGCGTTCCACACCTGGATTGCGAAGTGCTTGGATTAGATGGTATAAGTGTTTGACTACTCGTCGACGCCATCATCTTGACTGCGTCTATGAGAGCAGAGTCAATAGTGCGTGCCTTGGGTAAAGCCCCCACGGACAGCTGGCTATTATTACTTCCTTCCATCATGTCAATGACTTTGAGTACATTTTCATTGATGGCGTGTAAAAGTTTGGAGTGAAGAGCCAGATCATCTGTCGAGTAGCCGCTTTTTAGTAGACGCTTCGTCCATTCTGCCGATTCATGAAGCGGCTGAACTTGTGGGGTCTTTTGAACGCAAATTTCATCTGCACTATCTGTATCCTCCAGTAAGTCTTGAAATGAACATCGAATTTTGAGAGAATCACACCTGAGACATTGAATTTCATTTGGTAATGGCGATGGTATGCATCTTGTCTTCAACCTTCGACAACCATCACATGCTCTCAAGGCTCTTCTGCCTCTCCTTTTGATTACACCTGAAGGCTTATTAATCTTCTCATTCGACTCCACCATCGAAAACTTGGTTCGTATATCTTCAAGGCCTTCTCAAATGATACTGGCTAACCATAAGAGTTTATTTTTTTATGGTCGACGAGGCACTTCCGGACGGATCTCCCCGAGGTCAGATGACCTCACAACCAAGGTATCTACAGATAAGCACTCCGATATCACCGCGAAAGGCTCTAAGCTCAGCCAATTGAAATGCTCTGGCAGTAGTTGAGAGTAGCCACCAGGCTAGCGATGCAACCTTAGACACACGGCGCATAAGGGCGTCCTGCGAAAGGTCTTGGGAGTTCTGCACAAATAATAAGAAATCTTGTCGCATAGTCCTGTCAGTATCGACCGTAGGAAGTCCAGTGAGATGATATTCCGTCCTATACTATCATGAGTGGGGATTGAGCCTCATCAAGCCATGGCGTATGTGTCTTTTTCACGAAAGCGTTGATTGCTGACGAAATGTCCGCAAATTATGGTGCTATGAACCAAACATATGCCAATTGAAACACACTAGCGCTATCTTCTTGGCTGATTGGGCAGTGTACACTGGCCTCAGTATCACCTCCTCAAAATATACGTGTGATAGGCAAGCCACGAATACCTCTTCATCATGGTTTTACTCGCTAACAAACTAGAAAACTCTTCTAACGGCGCATCAGATCGCCACAAAGCCTTCTAATAGATTTTTTGTAAGCGGAGAACTGAATCGTTCGCTGCACCATGTGCTTTAGCGGGGCAAAAACACCAAAAATGAACTGAAAGATGGCTTCTGCAGTGCTAATCAATGAGTGACTACTTCATCTAGCTTCCCAGTTCGATATGCTCATGGAGCTATTCTGAAACCTTGTATGACTTACAGAGAGACGCGTTCTTTTCAACGTTATCCGCCCTTATCTAAATAAAGCGATACACGTAGTAACAATTTTTTTTCCTGACCCATCTTTTTGCATTCAGTTCCTTCGGCAACAAGCACATCGAAAGCTAATAATGCTGTTGAGTTACTTGTTTGGTTTCTTCTGCTTGCTATGTGGGTTAACAGAAGCTGCTGAAAAGGTATATGAACCCAATCCGCCTGTCACGCACCGCGTGCTTATGTCTATTGAATATACTGAAAAGGACGCCAAAGAACCCAAGTTGCACGACATAACTATAGAGCTATATGGAACGGTGGTCCCCAAAACTGTAGAAAACTTTTACAAGATCTCTCAAGGTGTTAGAGCATTGATTAGAGGTCAAGATGAGAAAAACCAATTCGCTTTGTCTTACAGAGATACGTTATTTCACCGTATTGTGCCAAATTTTGTTATTCAAGGAGGAGATGTTTTACCAGATGTAGGTCCCTTTTCGATTTACGGCGCTAAGTTCGACGACGAAAACTTTGACTTGAAACATGATAGACCAGGAAGGTTGTCCATGGCTAACACAGGGGAGGACACTAACGCGTCCCAATTTTTTATCACCATGACGGAAGAACCGCTCAGCCAGCTCGATGGAAAACACGTTGTATTCGGACAGGTAGTTGCAGGGCTTGAAGAGTTGATGTCTAAAGTTCAATATGTTGACACTAATGCTTCCGAGAAGCCAATTCATGATGTAAAGATCAAGTACACAACAGTGGAGCAATTGCGACTTGCCAACCAAGAAGAACTTCATAATAAGTACTTAGCACAATTGAAGAAATTTAAAGATGGCGACGAAACTGCAGGTGTTACAATGAAACAAACCTTCAAGGTAGGTGAGGAAGAAGAAGCTGTTATGGAAGATATCTTGTATGCCCAGCTGCATCACCCATTTGCAAAGGTTTTATGGGGTGTCGGTCTTCTTTGTATCGTCTACGTCGTTGCAAAGAATAGAAACCGTATCTTCCGCAAGACATCACAAGTAATTTCGGTGAGACATGATTAGATAGTCCTAAATATGGCTTTTTGTCTTCAACTGAAAAATATCTAAAGTTGTATAACTTTCTTGAGGATCTTCATCAATGAATCCTCCTTTATGCTTTTACCAATAAAAATTATCCTGCACTCGTTAACTTCAGGAAGACGAGTTCCAGGAAATACATCGAAAGTTTCCCGCACACCTTGAATGACTCTGCAGTCATTGCCAACAAGTATGAGTCCCTTAGTTCTGTGTATCTCAAACTCATCATCAATATCGTGACCGAAGTCCTTCCAATGAACAACTCGTAGAAATTCATTGAGAAAGCGGCTATATTCTGCTTCATTTTTAAGAGGTGGGAAGGTGAGTGTGACTGTCCGTATTCTGGGGTCATGCAATGTGCCCCGCTGCTGCTTTTTGAGAGAGGCAAGCTCGAAAGCATGGAGATTGAGAATTTTGTCAAGGTCTATCTCACCAAATTTTGTAAGATAGACGGGCGCTAAATTATTAATTGAATTCACCTTATCTTCGATTGTTTTCAGCTTCTCCGAATCATCAATAGCTTTATCAATTTTGTTAAGAAGAATGCAGTCTGCCATTGCAATCTGTAGATGGGCTATTGTGAGATTGTCATCGACTAGAACTTTCTCTCCGTGCCAGTGTGCTTCAGGCGAAATATCGTCCAAACATGCCAAAATATTACCCGCGTCCAACACTGTGATGATTCCATCAATGTAAACGTTGCTATATAGACCCTCGTCCTGCCAAAACATTTTTGCAATAGGGCCAGGATCTGCAATTCCTGAAGTCTCCAGTAGGATATAGTCGATTTTGCCAGGACTTCTCGCGATCATATTTTCAATAGCCTTAACACCAACATCTTTCAAACTGCAACATAAGCAGCCATTCCCTAAATCCAACCACTCTTCATAAGAATTTTCACCGTTTCTAATAGTCATTGATTTCTCAATTTCACTAGAGTCCCCAAATTCATTCAATATTACGGCTATTCTCTTGTCGGAACCCTTTAGTGCAATTTTTTCTAATAATGTCGATTTCCCAGAACCAAGATATCCAGTGATTATTGTCACTGGGATTTTTTTGGTGTGATCTCCACTTTCTTCCACTTGCTTGTTGGCTCGATCAATCTTTACCTCACTTACTAAGTTCACACCGCCATCGCTAGCGATGTGTCCCAATATTTGAGACAAATTGTTCTCATCACCTGTGACAAGTACAGGAATTTCGCCATCTTCCTCCTCCTTATAGCTGAAATCCTTTAAAGCAGACATCTTTTTGTGTATTAGCTCATCTTTGGAGTATTTTTTCGCAGACAAATTTCAGTTTTCTACTTAATACCTCTTACTATGAAACTAGCAGTACACATTAGCCGAGCCGAATAAAAATTGTTCTGAAATGCTGAGATGGTCTTTTTTGGACTCGTTCCTGCTGGTGGTAATTATTACACACCTTATGATTTCACCCTTTACTAAAGTTGAAGAAAGCTTTACAATTCAAGCTATTCACGATATTTTGAAGTACGGTGTCACTGATATCTCGCAATATGATCACTTAAAATTTCCTGGGGTTGTGCCAAGGACGTTTGTTGGCTCTCTTGTTATTGCTGCTATGACTAAACCATTTATTTACGTTTCCAGTTTTTTATCTCAACAGAGTGTTCCAACTTCTGGATTTGAAGCACAACTATTAGCAAGGTGCATGATTGGATTAACAAATGGACTAAGTCTGGTGTTTTTGAAAAACAAAGCTCAAAAACTAATTGATTCTGTTCAGAAAAAGAAGAATAAGTCTAAGGAAAGTCCAAATAATGATGACGAAGAGCCCCCCAGTACCATTGGTGGTTGGTTTTCAGTATTTTGCTTATCCCAGTTCCATTTGATGTACTATAGTTCTCGCTCTCTTCCAAATTTTGTGGGTGCTCTACCTTTGTCAAATATAGTGGTAGCTTACGTTTTGGGCGGTGATGCCGGAAGAGCAATTGGTTTATGTGCTTTTACAACAGTGGTGTTCAGGCTCGAATTGGGTGCTATGTGTGCAGGCTTGTCATTATTCAGTATTATATACAAGCAAGCGTCGGTTACTAGGGTGATCAAGTACGGTCTTATAGGTGCGATTTTTGGCTCAGCTTTGACAGTATTTGCAGACTCATACTTTTGGCAGCGGTGGACTTTTCCTGAGATGGACGCATTTGTTTTTAACATCGTTAACGGACAGTCAAGTAAATGGGGAACAAAACCGTTTGTTGCATATTTCACTGGGTTCTTGCCAATGATGTTTATGCCACCTACAGTACTTTTGCTGAATTATCTTGGATTCAAAATTGCTCCAAAACCTCTTAAAGTCATCGCCTTAGCTTCCTTTTTCCATGTCTTCGTATTGTCATTTCAGCCACACAAGGAATGGAGGTTCATAATATACGCCATTCCTCCAATAACTCTCTTGGGTAGTCATAGCGCCTCCTACCTATTCGAGAATATGGATCCAGGCTTGGGTCGGGCAACTATCACACGTATTCTTTTACTACTTTCTCCAGTTGTTTCTCTTTCCATTTCAGCCGCGTTCTTATACATTTCTTCGATGAACTATCCTGGAGGTCAAGCCTTAATGAGTTTCAATGATTATATTCTGCTCCATGATATCAAAAATGTCACTGTACACATTGACGTACCTGCTTGCATGACAGGCGTCACTCTTTTTGGCGAGTTGAATGATCAATATGGAATAACCTATGATAAAACCGAGGATGTTCAAGAATTGACAAGCATGTGGCCATCTTTTGATTACCTGATTTTGTCCCAAGGTGATTCATCGGCTCTTCCAACCTCAAACAACAATACAAAATGGGAACTCATCCACACCACAAAAGCGTTTGCCGGATTTAACACATCTTATTTGGCATACACCTTCGAAAATCAATACAGTAATGGCTTTTCAATTGTACACCATCTTTTGGAGGAACAAAGCTTTTCTCCACTAGTCGATTTGGTAAAAAATACCATCATCCAAAGCGATCTTTTGTTCACTTACAAGAAAGTTGATGACCTAAGGTAGACAATATATTTCAATTCCTATTTACAGATATTACGCGGGATATTATAAAGTATGCATCTCAAATGTTTTAAAATGTAGTAGATAGAACATGTTTAACATCTCTTACCGCGTCTCCTTCAATTACAATCTTTTTTGATTGCATTATAACCTTGAAAGCCTTTTTTGAAATGTGAGGAAGCCTCTCCTGGAGGTCATTTCTTAGTTGAATTGGGTCCCCTTGTATCTTCCTGATTTCAGTCACTACCTTTCCATTCCGTTTGTATTCTGAATAGACAGGTAGATTTCCCGTAGAAGACCTCTCTACAAAGTAAGTCTTGAAGCCAAAAGAAGCGCCCCCAACCAGCTCTTCAGGCTTAACATTCTCAATGCTGGGGAAAACGGTAAATGATTGGTGTGAGTCAAGGAGCGAGCCCGAATTCATCACTTCTTCTTGACTTAATGTCTCATAATTCTTAGGACTGCTATCCTCACTGGTCATCGTTTTTGCTCCAGTGCTAGCATCTGATACCGTAGATTGGAGTCTAAAAGATCCTCTCAGAATATGTGTCGAGGGTCTTTGGAAACTCGTAAGGGCCTTTTTAAACATGAATGATTTATGCTTTCTTAATAATTTTGATAAGTCTTAACTCTTAAACATCATCAAGGCAAAAAGTGCCAAAATTTTTTTATCAACTAATATACATCACGTGAAAATAACACGAATTTATATTCCCTCTAACAGGGTCGATAATGCTTTTGTATTAAGAAATGCTAAGACGAGCCTTCAATGAGTCCAAATCCTGACCATTTTATCCTTACCAGCACTGCACACACGCTTCCCGTCAACACTCCAATCCACAGTGTAAACCTCATCCTTGTGTCCCGGCAAATCAATTGAGAGCTTTTTGGTTCTCACGTCCCAAACCTTCAAAGTGGTATCCTTCGAGCATGAAACTAGGTATCTACAGTCAGATGACCAGCTCACTTGATACACACTGGCTACGTGCCCTCTAAAGGTTGTGACAAAGTTTCCGTTCCTTCCATCCCACAGCTTGATGGAGTTGTCGAATGAGGCCGATACGATGTATCTGCCATCAGGAGAGAAAGCCACCTGATTGACTAACTTCTGATGACCTGTCATTCTAGTGATTGGTTTCGTGGATCTGAGTGGATCCCAAAGATACATTGTGAAGTCGTCACTAGCTGTGACCATTAGTTCCTGAATCTCACCATTTTTCATAGCAATTTTCTCGTAGTTCTTCAACGCTTTTGCACGAGCTGCTTCAGGCGACTGTGGTATCTCTGCACTGTGGTCAAACGCACCCGACCTAAGAGCATAGTCTGTCGATAATGAGAGATGGTTGATCCAATGCGCATGTGACTTCAAAATGTTAATACATTTACCGCCAGCATTCATGTCCCAAGCTCTGATACTTTTATCATGAGAACCACTGTATAAGACTCCACGACCGCCCCATTTAACACAGGAAACTGAACTAGTGTGTCCGCTTAAGGTTAACAAACAAACACGTCTTGTCACATCCCAAATTTTAATGGTCCCATCCTTAGATGCAGATGCCAATCTTGGTTTATCCCCTGCCTTGACTAGGTGAATGGGCTCCCATGCAAGAGACGTAATCCATTTTCCATGACCTCTTAGAGCATCACCAGCGGATTCACCTTTCTTTGAATTCCAAAGCCTGATAGTATTGTCCATCGACCCAGTCGCAATCAATTCCCCATCAGGCGACCACGAAACACATAGTACCCAATTTGTGTGTCCTTTCAAAGTGGCCAAGGGGGTATGCGTTTCGCAATCCCAAATGCGAGCTGTATTATCCCCAGCACCGGTGACCATTCTTGAGCTAGTGTTAGGTGCAAAGGCTGAACATAGAATGGTTGATCCATGCCCAGCAATTGCTGATGAACTTCTAGTAACAGGTTTAACCTTGAAAATGGCCCTTGGCGTAAAGACAATAGTGAGGAAGTCTTCTGTTGTTTTGTGACCAGGCTTCAAAATAGAGCTGTATAGATTGTCTTTTATATCGATCATCTGCTCCGGTTCATCTTTGTTCTTACCGGTGACAACACAACCAAAACTGTAAGGAACGGGGTCCTCAGAGTTACCATGTAATTGATTTAACAAGTCTTCAAGTTGCTTCTCGGAAATACCACCAGGGACACGCAGTGAACCTCCAATTGTGTTACCAGTATCAAATGCCTGAAACTTAACAAGAACATGAGGTAGGTCCTTTGGGAGAACATCAACCTCTCTAGGTTTCTGTGCCTCTTTTTTTTGCTTCTTCGAAGGAGGAGGGATCAGTGTAGCCATCGGAAGGGTTTATATTCTGTCAATCAATGTTGTCGTCGACTAAGCTACTCATCTCTTCTAACCTCATCGCAATTTCTTTTTTAGAAAATTTTCTTTTTGTAATGATCTACGAACATGAAATTTAGTGAAGTAGTAAGATCAAATTGAACTTACTGACAATGCCACTTCTAGTCAACGTTAAAGTAATTCCATTCTTGGCATCATTCATCCATTGATCATTTTTTAAACGTCTTACACGTAAACCCATATTCAAGGGAGAAGTGCTACCTTACTCACACTTCGAGTGAAATTTATCAAGGTATTAATTAAAGACTAAATATTCAATAATGATAGAACTTCTGCGATGTGTGAAGACTGAAGAATTGATAAGAATGCCTTCTTCAAAGCAACTGAACGATGTTGACCATAACAGTTTATTTATTTTCCTGAGGCACACTATCTACATCAGCGACCTGTTCTTCTGGTCCGAAAGCTAATTTTCGTATCTCAACAATCCACGGGTCCATTAAAAGCTCCATGGCAGTATATCTGTTGTTTGGATCCTGCGTTAGACATTTTGACAAAAAGTTACGACCACTAGGAGAAATCTCATCCTTATTAGGAAATTGAGGAACGTGGCCCGCGGCGACATGATACATTATTGCCCATTCATTATCCAAATTTGACCATGGTCGTCTACCTGTGACCATTTCCAATACAACGCAACCCAGAGACCATATGTCGTCGGAACCAAACTTTCCCTTAACGGCGCCTGTAATAGATTCAGGTGACATATACATCGGCGTACCCATCATGCTATTGATACTTTCATTTTTCCCTTCGACCACATTGACAGCTTTTGTGCCATTTTCTGCAATCGAACGGGCAGCACCAAAATCGACATACTTTATAACCCCGTTGAAATCTAAAAGTATATTTTCCGGCTTGATGTCGCGATGCACAACTCCCGACTGATGAAGATATGCCAAACCCTCTAGCATTTGCAGGGTGTAAACTTGCGTGACCATCTCATCCTCGATTCGGCCGTGCTCAAGAAGCTGAGCCAGTGAACCACCTTCACAGTATTCCATGAAAATGTTAACCTTATCTCTGTGAACTTCAACACCATAGTATTGCACAATATTAGGATGATGTAACATCTCTAAAACGGTCATTTCCTCCTTAATAGAAGGAAAAACTTGCTCAAGAGACTTCCTGTCTTGAATTTTGATTTCTTTAACCGCCAATATATCACCTGTATCCAAATTTACCGCTGAAAAAACCGTACCAAACGTACCCCCGCCAATGAACTGGCGCTTTTGCCATCTAATGGAGACATTAGAAAACGATGACGCTAAAGACAACAATAATTTGTTTTCTTTATCAGTACCGTCCAAAACTTTTCCAATTTGACGAGGATTGCTTTTCACTCTCCTTTCAAGTTCATGAATAGCTTTGAGCCTAACTTGAGAGTTCAATGCAAGAATAGCATCGTCATCATCTTCACATACTTTCATGGTTGACCTAAACAACTTCATGTTCATCTTCTCCGCCTCATGAGTTCTTGCCCCCATAATATCAAAATGTGAGATTAGCAATGACATACAGCTTGCCACTTTTTCTCTAAGCGTGCTAAACTGATTTTCATCCAAACCTAGAATATTCCATCCTGTTGTCATTTGCATGGCGAACTCCATAGCAGGAACACACCATCTAAAAGTACGCGAATCAGTTGGATCGCAATCATCCACTAAGAAAGTAATCCAACCGATACTAATTTTTAGCATTAACATGATAATCATAGATTTTTTCTCATATGTTGCGACGTTTAACCTGAGAAAGTTACGAGCAAAATCCCGACAGAAAATGAAGAGGTTGTTCAACGTTTCGTTACCACGATATTGCCTCTGTACTGTATCCAACATTTTTGGAAAATTTGACAGCACAGAATAAGTCATTCTGAAATATGCTCTGTTTATTTTTTGGAGAGTATACTCTATGCTATGAATAGAGCATCTTCTTTCACTGAAAGAAACGGAATCACCAACGTAATGTTGGAATTTATCACATTGATACTCCATGGCATAAGTGGACCCTTGGTTAAGAAGAATGAGTGTATCAGGTGATATCTTCACATCAAAATCGCTCATGGTTAATGTTATACCTTCAGAAAGATTCAACATCTCTCCTTCCCACAAGATGGGCTCTTGTGGACAAACCGCTACAATATAACCGAGTGATCTTAATTTCATTTCGAGTTCAAACATTTCATCTTCTTGACTTTTCACATCCTCATAGATATTATTGGAAGACAAATTCATTTTCCTTCTTGTCCTTGCTAGTGGATTTCTCATATGCTGATCCGACTGCACATGATAATAGGCGATACCATTAGATCCGTATTCTTGATAGATAATAGCATCTTGATCCCATCCACTTTCAAGTGCATTATACACACTTAGACTGTTGTCGATTTCGACATTTGGTATCAAGTCCGAGCCCACTTCAGTATTATGCAAAATTCTTAATATATCTTCGTCGGAGGAACCTAATAACTCACCGCTGCAGAACAAATAAATCCCATTCTTTTCCAGTTCTCCACCCGTATATAAAAGGAAGTGTCCAGAGTTTTTAAGATTTTTCAGTAATTCTTTATTATCATTAACTTTGTAGTTTACTGAATTCTGAAATGCTTTGGTTAACACATTAGAAAATCTGTTAATTTTTCTTTTAAACGATCCAATATTCTCCATTGTTTGAATAAGCCATTTATCAACATCAGTCTCTTTATCAAACTTTGGTGGATTATTCTGTTCTCGAAGAATATATGAGTGAAGTCTGTTTAGTAACCTCAAAGTCAACTGAACAAATCCTTCAGCAATAACTTTTCCTGCCCCGCAGATGAAACAACCCACATTCTTCAGTTGATCCCAATGCTTTAGTAATTCATCGGGTTCCTTAAATGTCTTGAAAGACTTTCTGGCGCTGTCCAGTAGTTTCAGATGAAGAAGTTTGAAAAGGTATCGAATTGCCTCATTCACCATATCATCGAAAGAACTTTCTATCTGTTTCCCAAAATTCCAGTCTGAACAATAAACAACTACCGTGTGCTTGATTTGAACAGATATTCTAATATAGGAGCTAAAGTCATCAATCATCTGGTCAATCATCATCATCGTTGGATTCTTCAATTTCCTGGCGTAATCTAACCTAATTTTTATAATTTCTTGAACCAGCTTGAGTGGAAACATCAAAAGAATTTCCAGCTCTTTATTTAGCAGAGGTACGTTCATCTTCTCAAAAACTGGAGCCAGTGTAAACATGGCTACTTTTGCCTTCAAGATCCATGGGGCATGTCTGAAAAAGATTTTCTTTTGGAAAATACTTTCAATATCTCTTTCCTTGAGGACTTTTTCTGCGAATGGCCGATCATTCTTGTACAGTCCTTCGATGTCGTTCATTGTTGAGGCAAATTGAACGTCTAGCGCGTCATTTCCTGTCCAATCTTTGAGTGTTTGAATCTCTGATTCAAACGCATGCTTGAGAGTTAAGAATGTATTCATCGCCGCAATACGCTGGCCAAATTCCTCACTCCCGGTTAAAGATTTTTCGTAATGCATATGCTGTAGATTCTTCCAGTATGATGTAACTTTATGAAATTGATCAGCCAAAGGTTTCAAAATGTCTTCAGCCTCTTTTACGGTTGTATCGTCATCAAAATGAAGAGCCATAATTTCCTCGAAAAGTGAATCCGTAGAGCTTTTTAGGTACTCTAGAGATCGCGATTCATCCTCTACAGAGCGGCAGTTCATCCATGCTTTCAATTCTAGCCAGAGTTCATCTGCATATTGAGAATCGAAACCTATTTGTCTAGTTTGATTGGCTATCTTGCTCTTTTCACTCTTGACAATATCCCCTCGTAAGACATTGGCCAGCATTGTTTGCCACTCTAACCTTTCCATAACGAGAGGATTACGAGAAATTTTTGCCAAATAATACTGGGACTCTTTTTCACTTACGGCCAAGGTCGATGAAGCCTGACACATGACGGTGCCATTGCCCCCAGAAGTTCTCTGTATCTGGCCCAACATGCTTAAAACATCAGGATTTTCAGGATCTGCTTCACGAAGCCATTCCATTCTGCTCAACAGATAACTGGTACTAATACTTACTAACTCATCATCAAAAGTCAAGGTCCCGCCTTTCTCTGTAGTGGTGAAAAAGTTGGTGCCAAACGCGCTTTCATCATTATCAGTTTCGTCGGCATCTAAATCGGTTTCTTCATCGTCGTCATTGATTGATGCAGCAATACCTCTCGTGTAGTAGTCGTCGAGGTTACTGTTTTTCATTTTGTTAAGATAGAGCTGTTCATTTAAAACATATTGCTTTTGAATGGGCTTGAATGATCGCAATGTACTACTGGCACTATTGTTTCCCGACCTGTTAGAGGAAGAAGAAGATATCTGCTCCAGATGCGCGGACGGAGTCGTTCCATTTGTTTGCTGAGCTGACTGAAATTGGGGAGAAGAAATATTCGATGTGCTGTGAGAGTTCAGAGACGCTAAGTTGGGGGGGAGAACGAGTGTTGGAGTATTGTTCAATTCGGAAGTGCTCCCTAAAGGCTTGGAGCTACTTACAGAGTTAGAGCGATGCGTGTTACCAGGTGAATTCTGCTTACCTCCCGATGGCCCAGACAGTGACGGCTTCCTACTGGATTTTGCGGAAGAACCCGTAGATGGAGGAGATAACGCATTGACGGCTTGCTTCATCCCAGCCGTACTTATCTTTAATGTATTCAACGGGGAATGTCCCGAAATTGGTGGAGGGCTCCTCAGGTAATTTGCTGTATGATAACCTGGACTCCTCGGAGGCTGAACCGCTTGTCGAGAAGGCGAAAAAGATCTGGTAGGGGCGTTGATGGTACCAGAAGTTTTCAATCTTGACTTATGCCTCTGACGGATGGCTGCGTTAGTCAGCTCATCATAGCCGTCATCCTGCTTAAAGGAAAAATAGTCTTTATCAGCCATGATGTTTGGACTGAGGCTAAGTTTTTGGCTTGTGTTCCGCATTTAAGATACTTTCAGTTTTCGGCAAAACTTTATTCCTGGACGAGAACCGAAGAAGAAAATGGAGCTAGACAAGTGTTTAGAGAAGCTTTACGCTGGTCAGCTACTCCCAGAACCTACATTGAGGGCCTTATGCTTCAAACTTAAAGAAAAACTCGTAAAGGAATCCAACGTTGTTCACGTTTCGACACCCATCACGGTAGTAGGTGACATTCACGGCCAATTTCATGATTTACTTGAGATTTTTCACATAGGAGGCCCTGTACCAGACACTAACTATTTGTTTTTAGGAGATTATGTTGACAGAGGGCTTTACAGCGTGGAAACCATCACTCTCTTGATCGTCCTAAAACTTAGATATCCCAATAGGATACACCTCATAAGAGGAAATCATGAATCGAGGCAGATCACTCAGAGCTATGGATTCTATACCGAATGTTTAAATAAATATGGTGGCAGCAGCAGAGTATGGCAGTACTTTACAGATCTATTTGATTACTTAGTCCTATGCTGTATTATCGACAACGAGATATTTTGCGTGCACGGTGGACTTTCACCCAACGTGCAAACCATAGACCAGATTAGAATCATTGACAGAATACGAGAAATACCCCATGACGGTGCCATGGCAGACCTGGTGTGGTCTGATCCTGAAGATGATGTAACAAATCGGGAAGACGTGACGAGCGTGAGCAGTCATTTCCAAGTATCGCCTAGAGGTGCTGGCTACACTTTTGGCCGAAATGTAGTTGACAAGTTCCTACAGTTGAACGGCATGTCCAAAATTTACCGAGCTCATCAGCTTTGCAATGAAGGTTTTCAAATTTATTTCGACGGGCTAGTCACAACCGTTTGGTCAGCACCAAATTATTGCTACCGATGCGGAAACAAGGCGTCGATATTGGAGGTGTATAGCAAGGACGAGTTTTATTTCAATGTCTTTGAGGAGGCTCCAGAGAACAAACTGCTGAACAATTCCGCCATGTCTAATGGGAATTTCATTAATAATTTCTTCAATGATGGCATGGTGGACGTATTCTCTGACGAATACCAGGCCGCTTCTGCCACATCCAGACACGTTGACTACTTCCTGTAAGCATCTTTGAATGCACGTCACAAGTAATAGAGCTCCAGATTTGTTCCATCGTGTATTTCATAGTCATCCAAACATATATGATCCTTCAATACGGATCCCCCCTTTTGCAAAACAATCTTGTTGTGTTGCGTACCTAGATAAAGGGAGAGAACTTTCTTAAAGTCACCTACAGTATCCTCCTCCAAACACTTCACCTTAACTTTCTTCCCCAGACGATCGTTTACAACCACTTCTATCATTAGCTCAGATTCCCTTTATTGTGCTCTGGTTTAGGATTCGCAGAAAATTTTTCAAGATTCGATGCCCATTGCAATTAACGATGAACCCTTACTAAACCTAGCAAATTGGACTCGAGAATCAACAAACACTCCAATGACCCTCAATGTCCTTTTCATCGATTCATACGACTCCTTCACATACAACCTAGTCAGTTTGATTAAAAAAACAAGGCCGGACATTCATGTTACGGTCATTCACAATGACACTTTTGGCGATATACAGGACTTGCTTTCATACTTTTGTGCATTTGACTGCATTGTTGTAGGCCCTGGTCCAGGCAATCCAGTCAATGGGCCAAAGGATATTGGGATTCTTGACCAATTATACAAGCATGACGTCCCTATTCCAATTTTAGGCATATGTTTAGGGTACCAAGCTATGTGTCGTGCGGCTAGAGCAGAGGTAAAAGAACTGGAGGTTATTAGACACGGCCAAGTATTCGAAATTGAAATAGACAAACCTAACCATGAATTGTTTCAAGACTATCCTGTGTCATTCAAGTCTGTACGCTATCATTCTTTACATGTTATATCGCACCAGCAAGAGATCATCCCCTTATGCCACACCATCGACGGGGATCACACTGTCCTGATGGGTGCGCAAATTGCAGGGAAACCATGGTATGGTGTACAGTACCATCCTGAATCATGTTGCTCTGAGCTTGGGGGTCTCTTGATCAAAAATTTTATCACTATCTGTGAATCTTACAATCAAAGCTCCAAACGACTTCAATCACCTTTCAGCCTAATAACTGATTCAAGCATAAAATCGAAATTAGTATCTTACCTTGATTGCAAAATAGACAAGCATAATATCTATGATAAACCGAAACCTGCAGAGGTCGAAATTCAAATCGAGGAATTTCGCGTAACGAAATCCCCATCACTTACTTTGGGCATTTGCAATAAGCTATCCCAGCATTTCTTTCTCATGTCGTCAGCGAGCATTCATGCAAATCGGGGAGAATTATCTATTATCGCCCTTCCAAACGAACACTCTACGGTCTTCACACATTATGACCAAATCCATACTACTACTATTCACCAATGGAGAAACCCAACTTTAACCCGCACAAAATTCAAAGCGGCTTTAGAAGCAGGCAAGTCTATTGATGGGCTTGAGGTAGTGCGTCAAAAGAAGCCTGACTTTTACACCACAATTGGCAATTTCATGAAGGACAAAATAATTGCTAATAACCCGGAGCTACCATTCATTGGCGGTTTAGTCGGTACACTTGGATATGAGATGGGCCAGTATACCACAAGTTCCGAATTAGATCCCTTGAAACCAGATGCGAAACTGGTTTTCATTGAAAACTGCATAGTTGTAGATCACAAGAAGGAAGTCTTATATTTGATATCGTTAGCGAAAAACTTCCCCGATGATGTTAAATCACTAGTTACTGATGTCATAAGCAAAGAGGAACAATCCTTTGTTAGGAGTGTTAACTTGCCAGAAGGTATTCATTTTGACATCGAATTTCCCACAAAAGATAAATACTTTTCTGCCTTTCGAGAATCCCAGAAATACCTTCACCAAGGTGATTCATACGAAGTTTGCTTAACAACACAAACTGAGGTGTCACCGAGCAAACGGCTTGAACCCTGGGTGATATTTCAGACACTGATCACACGTAATCCAGCACCGTTTTCAAGCTACTTTGAATTCAGTGATATCGAAGAAGGCCACAGCGATTTATGTTTATTGTCAACGTCTCCTGAGCGGTTTTTAAAATGGAGCGATGATACCTGTGAACTAAGGCCGATTAAAGGAACCGTGAAGAAGAGTCCTAACATGGATTTGCAAAAAGCTACCAACATCCTCAAAACACCAAAAGAATTTGGGGAGAACCTGATGATCCTGGACCTTATTCGGAACGATTTGTACGAATTGCTTGACAACGTCACAGTCGATGAATTGATGTCTGTTGAAGAGTATGAAACTGTATACCAGCTTGTAAGTGTGGTGAAAGGCCATCAACTACGAGAGAGCGTTTACTCAGGGCTTGACTTACTCTACCACTCTCTTCCTCCAGGGTCTATGACTGGTGCACCTAAGAAAACAACTGTGGAGTTGTTGCAGCACGTCATCGAGCGCAGTCTTAACGGGCATATATACAAATCAGGCGGCCGTGGTCTTTATTCCGGGGTGACGGGCTATCTGAGCTGTAACGACCATGGCGATTGGTCCGTTAACATCCGATGCATGTACTCCTACGACAACGCAAACACTTGGCGCCTTGGAGCCGGCGGAGCAGTAACTGTCTTAAGTACACCAGATGGCGAGTGGGAAGAGATGCAGACAAAGCTAGAAAGTGCGCTACAAGTATTTATGTAAATAGTTTAATCTTGCACAAGTAGCAACACGTGAGTTTCTGTGTGTGTAAAGTGTGTCAAAAAGTTTACATCGCAAAAATTTTTGGAGATTGGAAGGGATGGGTAAAACTCGACGTATTCCACAAGTTGAAAGTAACGCACAGGTCAGCAATAATTGTGAACAATGACTACGACGGTTCCCAAAATATTTGCATTCCATGAGTTTGCAGGTGTTGCTGAGGCAGTAGCAGATCATGTTGTTCATGCGCAGAATACGGCTTTATCTAAGGACGGATACGGAATTAAGGGCAGTGGCCCAGGAAACGGAGGGCCGATGTCGCGCACGTCGTCGTCGCGAAGCCTGAAGAGCAGTAGTAGATCTGGAAACAGCAAGCTCAAAAAGGTGAAAGAGAGGAGATTCAAGATCGCCTTATCAGGTGGGAGTCTTATTCAAGTGCTTCACGAGGGGCTGTTGAAGAGGACAGATGTGCAATGGGGAAAATGGGATGTGTATTTTGCAGATGAGAGACTGGTTCCTTTTGAATCTGCAGAAAGTAACTTCGGGCTGGCCAAGAGGAAGGTATTCGACCTTATTGACACTGAAAGATATGGTGCACCCAAAATTTATCACATAAATGAATCCTTGATAGACGACCCACAGGAATGCGCAGACGATTACGAAAAAGTGCTAATTAAGGGATTTGCAGGCAGGGACTCGGTGAAACTACCGATGTTCGATTTGTTCTTGTTGGGTTGCGCTCCTGACGGGCATATCGCGTCTCTGTTTCCCAATTTTCAGGAAAATCTCAGGGAAAACCTAGCGTGGGTAGTCCCAGTTGTAAACGCTCCTAGTGGGCCTTCTAATAGAATATCGCTTACGATTCCGGTAATTTGCCACTCCCATCAGGTCACATTCGTAGTTGAAGGTGCTACGAAAGCCCCTGTGATCAAAACTATAATGGAAAGGCCTGAAAAGGGTTTGCCTAGCAGCATTGTCAATGAGGGGGCCGCTGGTCGTGTTGCATGGTTTATGGACGATGATGCACTGACGGATGTCTGCGTAACAAAGAAAAAGTACAAGTTTTTGGAATCGAATGACGTCGTGGAGTAATTATTTTGATTGCTCCCCATATATAATCCATTGTGATATGTAAATGAAATTAAAGAACAATGTTACTATGGCAATGCCAATTTTGCCAAAATTGGCAATCAATGCTACAAATGTAAACCCTCTGGCTTCTTTGGACAATTGTATTGCCAATTGCCACATTGAGCACACTCCTCCAAGTACATCGCACATCACACTTTGAATTGGAAATCCTCGCATAGACTTTCGATCATAGTTGTGTTTCACTTGCGGTATGTACTTCAGTAAAGACATTGATATCTTCAACAGGAAAAGGTGATTACAAAATGAAAGGGTGTTCTGATTACTCCAGCCCTGAATGGTGTTTTGATAAACAAATTGAATCAACAAAATGACGGCCATCAGAATGCTACCGAGCAATACCCTTCTGTACACGGCCTTCATCCTTGCAGCACCTCCCTGGAATTTCCAAATGGTCGTACCCCACAAAACTTGGGTAGTCAATACCAAATTCATGACAAATCCATGTAGACAGTACCAAAAGTCAAAGTGCGTAACCTTCGGTCTGAGAGAATTGTCTTCCATTTCAGTTTCTTGCCAGTGGAACAACTGCAGCCAAAGAGAGCAGATCAAATAGAAGTACCCTACGCTGTTTAACATAACGAAATCCAATGACATGGCAGAGGCAGATCTGCGTTTCCAATTATTCCACAAAGGTGGGTATATAGAAATAGACCATGCACATACGTAACAATATCCTAGCACCTTCTCGAGGTCCATTATTGAGAAGTCTTAGCAAAGGAATGCCTTCTATGGACCCCGAAAAAAATCATTATAGTGTCAGAGACGCGTTATATGCAGTGCAACGCGAGGAACAAGATTTTAATCTTAAAAAGCTCCTCGAAAGAGGCGTTTTAATAACTCATTCCTAATCCAGAAATGCAGCCACAGAATAATCTTGAGCTTTTCTTGTAGGCATTCATGAGACTCAATAAATTCACGAGATAACATGCTCAACCAAAATATGCTTTTCTCTAGACGTATAATAGAATATCACGTACAGAAGACAGAGAGATCACTCATCTTAAGGAGCTTGTCAGCTCAACTGAAAGGTGTCGTTTATTTTATATGATGCGCTGACAAGGTATGTTTATATAAACGTGCGTGTATCATAATTACTATCATTCTCCCCCATCCCGAAGTTGCTAGTTGCTCTCTGAAATAAATATCTACCGTCCTGCAAGGAGTATTCATAGTCCTCGTCTAATCTGGTTCTACCAGCGGGCGACTGATCTTCAGAGAGACGATCATATTGAGGTACAGGATCGTATAGAATACCAAACATTTCGTAGTAATAATCTTCTCCAAGCAGTTTTAACAAAACCTTTCTCTTGAGATCGAAGAAGTAGCTTAGTGGAACCACAATCACGAAAAGCATTGGCAGAAATCTATTCAGGAAATTAACGAGTGGAATTAACTCCAAATCCTTATAAAGAACTCTTTCAAAACTACTTTGTTCTCCTTTTGGTGCACGTGGAATCAGAGCCATAAAATTGAAGCAGAGTGGTAATAATAGCCTACTTGAATAGAGAGAAAAGTACAAGGTATTTTTTGGGTTGCTGCGGCCATTGGGAATCAAATGAAAGTTTTGAAATTTGATGCAACTCATTGCATAAAGTGAGACAAGGGTGTTGTAGACCAAGATAGAGATTTCTAATAGGAAATTCCACCAACTGTGCCCTTCAAAAATCCAAGCATGTGCAAATTTTGAAGGAGTCAACTCCAAAAGAGCAACTAATATCGAGAGTGACATGCAAATAGAACCAATGATGTAATTGAAGATTGTTTTTGACATAGAAAATGACTTACTCTGCGAGCGTGCTAAGTCATGAATTATACTATCCGAATGAGCTTGGTAATAAAGGTAATTATAATATTCTGTCTTGAACCCATTATAATGTTTGTTGATCTTCTCAAATGAGAGGTTGTTTCCGTTGCCCGCAGAATTGAGGTTTGGTATAGATATTTGGATTTCATTAACCAGCGATTGAACTTCAAGTTTACACTCTGTTGTGACTTGATTGAGTGCAACATCGCCATTCTGTACAGGAGGCAGTGTCAATATCTTTTCGGCAAAATCAGTCATTGATAATTTTGCATCGTTAGACTCATCATTAGCTTTACTCAATTCAACAAACATCCTATTTTCATTGTTATTCTCGAACAGCAACGCCTTTGGAAGTAGTATTAATCCCATAGAAAGTAGAATTAACGTATAAGAAAGAGAGTACAAATGTGAAAGAGAAATAATCAATGGTTTTAAGTCACTTAAACCACGTTTCATACCAAAGATCAAATACAACAATCCAATTCCTAATCCAATACCAAAAAGGGCATAAAACTTTATGTTTGTCATTATGGCCTTTTTAATACGAGTCCAAACAACTTTTCTGTGAGATGTGCCAGGCTCATTCGCGAATAGATATTTGAGTTCCGTGTATGATATCAAGACTGGAAGAATAAACCAACAAACCATGAACTCCAACCAGTACACAGCGTACCATATTAACGAAAAATTCGGTAGAGATTGTGAGGTATCTCTTCGGAGAAGGGGCGTTGTTTGTGCCATTCTTGGATAAATGCCAGTAGATGGACTTGTTGAATCGATAGTTGAGTTACCATTGTTACTTCTATTTGCTGCAGCAGAAAACACATCTAAAGGTAGCAGATAGGTGATCGATAGTAGAAGCCACATGTTTATGAGTAGTGTCGTTAAAGTAAAGGGGAAGGTATTCTTGTGAAGTTTAAAAGATAGATAGCGGTTGATGAAAATGAAAGAGCAGCCGGCAGAAGCCAGCGAGGCACCTATCAGCAGCAATGGTAGCATCTTCTCCTGCTGTACTTAGTGGTATTCGAAAATTTACAAGGGGCATCGTCTACGAATAATTTCATTCTTTCAGTTCAACACTTCCAAGAAATGAGTGATCAGCCAAACCAGAAGATTGATCTCGCACAAGTTGTTCCCAATGCCGTGGGCATGCTAGCATTTGATGAAAATGATAATGTAATTGAGGCCTCCGGTTTGGGTAAGGATAGAGTTACTGATATTGCGCAATTAAAACTGGTGGAACTTGATAGTGAGGGCTTTGGACTCCTACAAGTAGAGAACGTTCAAATTATAATTTTGAAGCAAGAAGGCAAAATGATTGCCGTTTACACATATATTAAACCTTAAACACCGCGGAATAATCACGTACTATATAGAATTTCAAAATGATATACCCTTCAAATGAAACCAGGGCCACCTCCTTGATGTGACATCCTTCCGAAGGGGTCATCAAATCGGGCACCTGGAAAAGGAGGCTTAGGCCCCTTAGAGTGCGTTGGGTCTCTTTGAAGTGGATTCGATGATGGGCCGCCTCCACGGAAAGGATCAAATATCATCCCACCCTTCTGTTCTCCCCTTTGCGTCAGTGGAACACGAGGATCCTGTAAGTTAGGAAGTTTTTCACCGGTAGGGTAAAGATCTGCATCCCCATAACCCGTATTCTGAGGTGGGAACGCTGCCAGACCAGGCACTCCGAACTCTCCGGTGACTGGAATGCCCGGAAACGACTGCGCTTCATATTCATCTTCAAATTCAGGCATATCCGAAGGTCTGCCACGTACATCCGAAGTATGCTGTCTAGGTGGAGCTCCGAATTTCAATTTTTCGATTTCTTTCTGCACCGAGTTTAGCCTTCGCGGCTCGCCCTCTAACTCATCTTTGCTGGGCCCATTAAGGTCTGAGTCTTGAATAAGCCGGAACTTGCTTTGCAGTTTCGGCAGGACGTGAGCAGCAAAATTCTGAATAGCATCATGTTTCTGCATGGGAAACTCTAGTTTCGATTCATCCAAGAACAAATCCGATCTGTAATTAAATATCCGCTGCTTAAGCGACTCCTCCTGAGAACAAAGGCTAATCATGCACTTTTCCCCATTACCCATATCCATGAATATAATTTCAAAAGAACTAACATTTGAACCGAAAACTGGAACTGAAGCTGCTTGATCAGCTGGGGCGGTAATTTCAACGTGTTTTCTCGTTCGCTCGTTGTATTTGATTGTGGAGCTTTCGTTTAGCAAGCCTGCTTTTTCAAGATATGCAACGAATAAGCAGGCCACCAGATCCAATCTTGTGTTAACTTCCTCCGTTTGGTTGCTCATTACTGGCTCTTATTAATATGTAGTATAAGTTACCAATGATGCATCATCTCCCTTTATAAAAAAAAGGATCATCGCACGTTGAACGATTTGTACAGATCTGGTACTCAAATATTTGTAATACTATACACAATTAACAACTGTTTCAATGGAAAAACGCTTCTACTTAAGTTCTGTAATCTCACCATCACGAGCGACTAGTCCCATGACGTTTAGGAACAGATTCAAATCCTGATACATTTTGTCCCTTTGGTATAACGCCACCTGTTCATCCACGGTGGTGGACTTTGCGAGTTCTTCAGCTTTGCTGATCGTTCCAAAAATTTCGTCTCTAATCTCATCGATAATAACACGTTGATGATTCAACTTGCCGCTCAAAGCCAGTGAGGCGAAGAACTGCCAAATGTATGAGTGATCGTAATAATGGTTTTTGGCAGTTTGTTCGCCGTTAGCCGACAAAAGTGATGGGGAGGAGGATATAGCCACCACTCTGTTAGTGTATTCTTCTGGAGGAAAGACCAGCGCCAATCTAGTTTCTAAAGCTGTGAACAACTTATCATAAATTTCATTCCAGGTGGAGATTTCAGAACTTGACAAAACTGTTCCTCTGTTAATGTCTTGCTTTATCAAAGCTGCCCGGGAGATCAATACGGTGATCAAGTTGAGACCGATTTTAGACGTGCTGATGAAAGAAACATTATTATCTTTAATCAAAGCTAGCAACAAACTGATAACTTCCAAAAATTCTGCGGAACTGGACAAAAATGAAACAATGATCTTTAAGAAAACGGATTGGAAGAGTTCAATTTTCTTCAATTGCACATCAGTCGGATGAGGATTGGTTTTGTACGAACTGGTCACGATAATGTTCAAATGAGACAGCTCGCTGAAGAATAATGTCAACAATCTCAACTTCTGGGCTTTATCCAAAAAGTTGAGAATACGAGGCATGATTTTAACACCTTTGTCAAAGGACAAAATGGAGATGAAAGGACTCACTTCATATGAATCATCAGCCACGTGTAGGGCATCCCACAACGCTTTGTTGTCAATGCTCTTTCCACTTCTCAATTGCGCTTCCAATTCGAGAACTTCAGAGTAAACACTTTCAATGAGAGAAAGAACAAACTTTCGGCCACCAGAACGACACAAAACAGCGCTCTGATCCATAGTACGGAATGCATAAGACGATCTTCTTCTTGCCTTGGAAGCCGAGGAAAGTTCAACACCATTTAACGATTCCACAACTTCATCAATAGCAGCTGCGTTAGATTCATCGTCTTCACTCTTTTGCGTAGGAATTTGAAGTTGTCTACGAGGTGCCTTACTATTCATAGTGGATGAGATTTTTCCCAAAACACCTTCTTTTGCGCCATCGAAATTTTCCTTATTTTTTTGAGGTCTTTCCTTAGCTACGGTGACGGCCTTTTCAACCTGACTTTGCATTCTTTGTAGAGCTACATCAGCACGTTTGTAACGGCCACCTAGTCTGTGGCCAGAATGCTCCAAGTACGCGCGAGCGATTAAACCCTTGTTAGATTCTCCTACAACACCACCACGTTGAATAATTTTGTAGACCTGGAAGTAAAAGTCTTCATTATAAGGATCGTCTGTGACAATCTGAGACAACTGATATCGGGTGATAAAATCCTTATCACGAGGAGTCATAACACCACTGTGTCTCAAAATTTTATCAACCTTAGCTTGACGAATTTGCAAGCGCTTGTGCTCCTCTTCCGTCAAGGGCTCTTGCTGTCTCCTCATAGAACCCCGACGACCATTCCTAGAATTGGAATCTCTTGGAGTGTGAGGTGGCGATAGCGCTTGGGAACGAGGGGATGCCGAGTTGCGAGTGCTATCCATCTGCACGGGGAAGTTCGATCCCTGCTGAGATTGCTGCTGTTGTTGCTGTGGCCCCAATTCCTGAGCTTGTGGAGATAGACCAATTGGAATAGACTGCTGTGGCAATTGCTGTTGCACTGGCAGATGTTGCTGCTGATTACTTGGAGGGCTAGCGACTTGCTGTTGCGGATGTTGGTGGGGTTCCATTTGCCGGTTGAACATCAATGGCATGGGTTGATATTGATGGGTGCCCATATTTTGTGGTGGAACAGCTTGTGGAGGGAATGATTGTGGTTGATTTGGGAAGCCACCACCCTGCATTTGATGAATCTGAGGCATGTATCCCTGAGGGGAATAACCATATCCCATTGGCTTCATGTCCTGCTGGGGAGGCATACCGACAAAACCCTGTTGTTGCGCTGGAATGCCCATTTGTTGTTGCTGTTGCCGTTGCTGTCTTTCCAATTGCTCCATTGATAACACTTGTTGGGGGTGTTGGGGGTGTTGTGGAAGCTGTGGCTGCTGAAACTGCTGAGGCATTGGCATAGACATTGGTTGATTAGTCCAGAGCGATTCCATTGGCTTGAAATCCAAACCGTCATCCAATCCTTGCACTGCTGCAGCTCCGTATCCAGTTTGTCCGGATGGGGGGCCGGCAACAGCCGCAGATGCATACGATCTCCCGTGGTCAGCATAGGACTTAGGAGCTACGTCCGATTCCAAAGAACCCTTACCATAACCAAAATCAAAGTCTGTCCCCAATTCCGTAGCATTGCCGAAAGTTTCGTCATTCAAATAATCATCCTCCTCCTGATCGTGTTCACCGAAACCTTGATACGTTTCTTCAAAATCCAACGGCTTTTCGGCTTTCTTATCTCTTTGTCGACGCCCAGATCCCCTGCCCGAGTCGGGCTTGGTAGGATCAAAGCCGAAGAATGACATAGAGACTACAATTGATTTTGCTTTCGCTATGACCTTAGAACTTGACACCTTATCCCGGTCCTTTGAAAGTATCAACAATTGAAAAAAAAATTTTCTTATCACAATATACGTAACATGTGATCATCTCAATACACGAGAGGGAGTAGGCTGGGCACATCTATGTGACATATTTGTAGTTCGTAGTTCTCGAAGCTCTAGAAGTAGTTCATACACGTCAACGCCTATAACTAAGTATTGGTAATTCATTGATTAATGAAGAATAATGGCGAAAAACAGCCAGGTTAGAGAATCTGAAAGAGATTAGAGAGTTTTATGAATTTATAAAAGGCTTCTAGTCATTTAGTACACCATTTTTCTTCCGGTAACAGTTCTTCTTGTGGTTTCCTCAGAGCCGTCCTCATTTTCGTCTAGTTTTGCTCTGTTCAAGACCTTAATAAAGGTGTCGACCCTGTATCTCATTCTGCTGTGCATGTATGCCTTTGAACACTTGATGTGATAGTGGAAGTAGTTTCTAAATAGTGCCAAATGACAAATAGACGAGAACTGTAGTTCTGGAGTCTGGAAGTGACGAGGAAACAAAACAAACGTAATAAATCTCCTGCTCTTCTCGGAAACCCTAGACGACACAAGTTTGCTGATTTCTAAAGGTGGCTCGTGTGAGAAAAGAACTTGAGGAGCTGATTGAATTGCGCGGTTTCTCTTCCTTGAATCCACAAATTCCTGTAAAAACACTTTCCCGAATACTTTATCCGTCTCATCCTGGAAAAACGTTTCGAAAATAACAGTAATACGGTCATTTGAAGGCTTGATAAAGACGTTTTCATCATCACGGTATTCAATCTTGTGCACCGTCTCCGTAGTATTGGAGCCCTCTGGGAGTTGTGCAAGGGATGCAAACTCGTTGAACGCCAGCTGAAATGGGTAGCTCATCGTCATGACTTTGAGGAGGGACAATTGAACCACCGCGTCATTCTGCAATGCTTTTAAATCGACTTGAAGGGTGTAATCGTATCCACCCTCAGGCTGGCATGTGCTGACACCAGCAAGATCATCATACTTTGTGTTTAAGTAGCCGACCAAATCAGGTCCACACTTTGAAATGCTCAACCAGGCCTTAGTCTTGATACTTATCCATAATAGGGCCTTCTCCTCAGGGGAGTTAGAAATGTGCAAGGTTGTGTAATCGAAATCAGAGATGATTCGATCTAAAATCAATGGCGTGCCTCTAGCATTGGCCTCAAGGGCCTCTGTAAGAGTTTTCTGCACTAGCAAGTTTTGAGGTTGAAGGTATAACATGTCCCAAGTGCCAATTGATTCTGTTTAATCTTGTATGAAATTGAATGCTTGTCGAAAGCCCCTTTTCTAAGTTCGCCCTACAAAACTAGGTCACAAAATACGCCTGAAGCACGTGAGCTGGGCCTAACATGGAAATGTAGAATGCATATCCAGAAGTTGAGTATATTTACATGTTAAGTGTTTCTGTATATACATTGAAATTATTCCTTTTGAGGCTTTTTCACCCCGTACTTCGATCTCGAGGTAATTCTGTTCACGACACCGCTCAAGTCACCTGCACCGCGGACTAGATGATATTTGACACCAGGCAAATCCTGGCAACGTCCACCACGAACATAAACAATACTATGCTCTTGGGCATTGTGACCTTCACCTGGAATATACGCCGAGATGACGTTTCCGTTTGTAAGTCTTACTCTGCACGCCTTTCTTTGAGCTGAATTAGGTTTCTTTGGTTTCAGGACCATTACCCTTAAAACCACACCTTTACGGATGGGACATTTTTCCAGATCTGGTGAAACGCCGATCTTTTTACGTCTTGGGGGCTCAACGCCTCTTTTTATCTGGTTTAAAGTGGCCAGACGAGGTGCATTGATGGAAAATGCGCGTTGTGATAATAGCGATAGAGGATTCTTCTGGGGATATGCCAATCGTAGGCTAGCGAAGCTGCTTGTTAGTTTTGAAAACAGCATGGTACGGGATCCGTTGCTTCTCAACGTTTCTGTTGTATGATACTACAGATGGAAACTCTTGTCAGAACTTGTAAGAAAACGAAAAATTTGAAGATGATAAATCACGTGATTCCAACCAAAGATGGTCAAAACGAAATACATCCCACAGAGCATTATACCTGCCTACTAGTATTTTCAGGTCTCGTCGATGTTTAATTTGTCTCGCCAGTGGGCATGCTCGAGGCAAAAAATGGGCTGGCGAATATATAAAAACTCATCAAGTCCATTGGTAGTCGGGGGAATTGAGTTTATAAAACGCAAAGAATAAGATAAAATCAAACTTTTCGCAGCCGCATTAAATAGCCCGTAGTTGCTTATCTCAAGTGGTCCGCTTACCCCGTGGAATCGTTGATCTTTCCACCTTTATTCAGTGCTGTCCAAAAAGTGGACATTTATTACTCTGTACGGACAATCTTTACCTGATCTCCAAATGGAAATCCGAGGACATCCTAGGATAGACCACCATGGGGAAAGCCCAGTCATATATCCATCTAAAGCCTGCTAATCTTATTCTAAAATCGACAAATAAACGGAATGTAGCAATTGCAAGCGAAAGTCATTCTAGAGGCAATCACACGCCTATGTTAAGGGTGCATTTGGAAAAGTTTCCGAGTTTCATTGGACACTCAAGTAGCAGGATTAATAGGAGATTTAATGAAGACACCTATTCCATCAACATGCTGAAAATGCCAGCATCTGGAGACGAGATTTCCTGTCTGAGAAATGAGGCCATAATCGATAAGGAAGCGTACTGGCGCGATATGCTTCCGCTGAAAAAATCAGTGCTCAATTTGTCTATATTCGACGGTCATGGTGGTAGCCGTGTCTCAAAGCTACTAGCAAATGAATTACATACTGAATTGGTTAATACATTCCCATCCCTGGAGAGATTTTACCACATACTGCATGAGTATAGTGAATTAGTTGGGGGGAAATATTGGTCCAAAATCTACAATCGACGGGAAGAGTATCACAGAAAATTCATAACCAGCTGCAATACAAAGCAGGAACAAGTCCTATTTGAATCAGGAAACTCAGGAGCGCGCATGATTTTTGACAAGTGGGGTAACATTATCGACAAAACTAGTTTGTTAACGGAAAACGAACGACTTAGATTGTTTCTGTCTTACATGAAATTTGACTTAGAGAAGTGCTGTGGATTCAACATTGAACCAGGAAATACGGAAGATACCGTCTCAAATTTTCCGGGGGGCTCAACTGCTTCAAGCTTATTTGTAACGTCATATGAAGAAGCAGATTCTTACGATGAAACATTTTTTGTGAATCCAGACGGCCTACTTAAGCTGGTAGTTACCCAAGTTGGTGACACGAAGATCATCTTATGCGATAAAAATGGCATTGCTCACAGTTTAACGAAAGTCCATCATCCTTCTTCTAGTCGAGAGTCTCGTCGTTTGGGGACCGATTTTCAAACCGATTCTTTCGGCGATACGCGATTTCTCGATAACTTTGCAAATACTAGATCATTTGGCGACAGGGTCGGTAAGCAGGAAGGGCTCTCATGCGAGCCCGATATTTATTCCTATTTAATAGGGAGTACGCGTCTTCTACCACATTCAGAAATGAGTAAATTACAATTTGGGGGAGATGAGTGTTTTATATGCTTAATAACTGATGGCGTTTCCGATCTCATGAGTGACCAAGAGCTTGTAGATTTGATTACTTCGACAGTCAATATGCGAGGACTCAAGAACGCCACCCCACAATTTGTCAGTGATGAAGTGATCAAGTTTATAGCTGCTATAGGAGGCAGACATGCTGATAACGCTACTTGTCTGGTTCTACGCCTACCCAATTGGGGTAATTGGCCAGTAATGGACCGCACAGGCGCAATTAGGGAAGAGAAACTGATGTCAGGTGCTTCTGGAAGCGACCGATCCGACGTTTAGAAATAATATGCATATTTAACATTACGAATCATGAAACAAATCATTATGTAGACCATTTTCCATCAACTATATACAAGGAGAGCTACAACTAGCGGTAACGGAGGCAAATAGCATATCATTTGTTCTTAGTCTGAGTGTAGCTAAATCTCTTACGGGTTGGAACAAATTCGCCGAGCTTGCTGCCAACCATATCTTCCGAAATCTCAAACGCAACGTACTCTTTTCCATTGTGGACCTGAAATTTGAGACCAACAAACTGAGGTAAAATGGTAGCGGATCTTGCATTTGTTCTGATCGGAGTCCCTTTAGCCAAAGCTTCTCTCACAGGTAGTGGAACCACATTTGGTCCTTTCCATGCGGATCGAGAAAGCACTCTAAGCGTGGGATGCATTCTAGTCAAGGTCTAAATACAAAGTTCCAAATGTTCAGAATACAAAAATTTTCATCATAGAAAAAAAAAACCATCGCGGTACTGAGACTTCAAAAAGACTGATCTATTAAACAGACATCACCATGTTTGCAGCCCGATTTGATCCAACCAAAACATATTTGGGTGAAGAACAAAGATCCCAGCCAGTCAAATCGATCTTACCTCTAAAAAGAGCACAAGAAGATGTTGAAAGTGAAGGAGATCACCAGGAGGACTATGTCAATGAAGATGATGACCTTGAAGAAGATGATCAAGAAGAAAATGAACAAGTCGAGGGCAAGCAAGAAGGCAAGCGTTCAAGAAATGACAATACAGCGGAGCTGTTTGATGATAAAAATGTGAACGCTGCTAGTGAGAATAATGACTCTGATGAACATGCTACTGCAAAATCAGCGAATGAAAATTCACAATCAATCCAAGAGGAGGTAGCGGATACTGAAATTGAACAAAAGCATTCCTCGGTAATTTCGAGGTTTCAAAAGACATTATCTCTTCAACCAAGCATCTCTGAGTTTGAGGGAGTGGAGCATGATGAAAGTTCAGATATTGTACCGCATGATCTTGCTCCTATTCCCCAACCAGATGTGATCCGCGATGATGTTCAAAAGCTCAGCTTGAGTACAAATGCTGATAAATCTGTCGCTTGGCAACACACTGAGAGGATACACTATGACAACTCAATGATCAAAGAGTTCAAAACCTATTCTGGCGAAATTGACGGTAAAATCTTGGGAAACATAGACAGAAACTTCTCAAATAAAACGTTTCCGATTCAAACCGTATTGTTGGATACAATTTTGCAGCCTCTCACTTTTGCTCACTCAGTGTCTAAAAAGAACTACCCTAGACGTTGCGGCGATATTTTAGTAAACGCATCTACTGGTTCTGGTAAAACATTAGCTTATTCAATCCCGATCGTACAAATTCTTGCAAAACGCACGGTCAACAGATTACGTTGTCTAGTTGTCGTTCCCACAAAAATATTGATCCACCAAGTCTACGAAACATTTGTCAAATTGTCTCAAGGATCGAGTCTTATTGTGGGTATATCAAAACTCGAAAATTCGTTGGCCGAAGAGCATAAAAAGTTCAAGCACCAAGAGCCCGATATAATAATAACCACACCAGGTAGGTTAGTTGACCATCTTCAGATGGACAGCTTTTCGTTAAGCAACCTAAAATTTCTGGTTTTAGACGAGGCTGACAGACTGCTAAATCAATCATTTCAGAATTGGTGCCAAGAATTACTTACAAAGCTTAAGATTGACAAAGATGATGATAGACCAGGAAATGTAATGAAAATGATCTTTAGTGCCACCTTAACCACTAACACAGAGAAGCTGCACAATTTACGCCTGAACAAACCCAGATTGTTTATGATGAACACAGTTAAACTGTACAATCTGCCAAAGCTTTTGCAAGAGTGCAATATTCACATACCTACTGCGAAGAGTTCGCTAAAGCCTTTAATTATCTTAAAACTTTTAACATTACTTACTGGTAAGCAGAAGAGAATTATCATATTCGTGAGAAGTAATGAATCTTCTATAAGATTGACAAGGCTGCTTCAAATCATGGTCAAGAATGGAATTAACGAAGGTCGAGCATTGAAAATTTCTTCAATCAACTCCAACAACAGTAAAGGTGAGAACCGAAGGATAATCAATGAATTTTCGGCATGTACTGATGAATCACAAGTAAATGTACTAATTGCTACCGATTTGATGTCTAGAGGTGTTGATATAAATAACATAACGCATGTGGTTAATTATGACTTGCCTGTATCCTCCCAACAGTATGTCCACCGTTGTGGTAGAACAGCGAGAGCTCAGACAAACGGTATAGCATATAACATATTGGTTGGAAAAGGTGAAAGAAAATTTTGGGCAAGTAACATCGATGCTGATCTAAGTAGAGATGCTGATGGTTTCCAAGTTAAAATCTATGGAGATGACGAAAATGCTGCAAAAGATAATGATATCCTACATATAGAGGCTTCAGTCGAGGATACCTACAAAAAATGTTTACAAGAGTTACAAAAAGCTGTTTTAGGTAATTAAGGCATATAATTTAAGATAATAATCACCTCACATACATTTCATTCCGCTTAGTTTTCAATTTACTTTCGTCCTCTTCAATTCCCCGTGGCGGTAAATTACCTTGCATCAAAAAATTTACCCGTACAAGAATAAGACTGGAATTCCAAGAGGAAGCACTTGAATAAAGGAGAACAGCTAAATTCGCTCTAATCTTCTCAGTTTCACATTGGAGGGTAGAATGATTCCAAGCAAATATACTCTAACTCCACCTGAGGATTTACATCCTCTCAACTTTGAAGGTTCTAAACCAATATACCCTGATTTTGATCCATGGTCCCATACTCAGCTAGAAGATAAAATACTACTCAATTTTGTGTCCAAAGGGTATTACAATAGTGCAAAAGTGAACTTTGAGAGCATTTCAGCAAGGTCTTCTCTTCAAGAATCACTTCCTACTGTTTCTACATTGTTAGCGGACCAACTATCCAACGTTTTGCATATTAGAGAACAAGACATAAATAAAATATCATCCGTGGCATTGGACGCGAATTCTAAGAGGGTTAAATTCAATGAACTGGCTGGCCCAGGATTTTCGCTTCCCACTCGTGTCACCTTAACTGACCATCGAAGAGAACTATGGCTACAGGAAATAAGCTCTCCGCATGCATCCTTATCCAACATATCGAAGTCAATTCCACACGGCCTTAAAAGAAGACAAGTGTTAGAGCAGTGCTTTACCAAGCAGATTCCTATATCCCGAGCTGTGTGGCTGATCAAGTGTAGTTACTCGATTGAATGGAAAATTCTCACCAGCAAACAGAAGCACGAATCATCAGATGAGATAACAAATCATCTATACAAAGAATGGACCGACAACATGGCTCATATCCTTGAGAAGCTCGTTTTTGAAATGACGCAGTATTACAATGAACCAATTCAGCTGAGAGCATGGAAAAAGAAGATTTCTTACTATCTTAAGTTACTGGGGAATTGTTATACTATTAATTTACTTGACAAAAATATCTTTCATCATTGGCTTGTGGAGTTCGTAGGGAAGGTCGAAAACTTTGAGTGCATTCCTTTAACATTGCATATAATGTCAGTCTTCTGGGACGGATTGTGTCAGAAAAGTGAATCTGCCTCCTCGGAACAAATCTTCTTAGTCAACAAAATAACGGAGGCGCTACTCTACAAGTACTACATGGTATCCCGCAGCAAATCTATGATTAATGATGAACAGTATTTGATCAATGACGTGAAGAAAAACTCTAAACTAAAAGAGCTAATTTTAGCGAAGTTGAAAGGATTTATTTTGAGAGTGTTTCATGAGCAATCATTAGAAGCGTTCATCATGTCAAATAATAACTGGGATATCTACAAAAACTGCCTTTATGAAATTTTGGGAGTTGACAAGCAACATGAGACGGGATCCAACAAAACAGAGCTGAAGAAGAAATTGGAATTAATTGTTTATAGAAATGATTCCTTAAAGTTCAATTCAGTTTTACAAGACAATGAAACAAGTGATACCAATATCAGCGAAGCTTTTGAGGGATCGCTAGAGTCACTATTCATAAAGGATAAGCCCCTAAAATTAAAAAGAGTCGACTATGGTCTTACGACAGTACTAGATGACAATTCTCCTGGTGATGATTGGGTATCGTACGTCGATCAGAAGTTGACACGAATTGATCAAGTTATTCAGATGATCATGTGGGCAATTCATCCATCGCGAGCCTCTCATTACGAAGGTTGTCAATTGATTGCTAAGCTCTTACTTTTAAAGATTAATTCTCAGAATAGCTTTCAAGAATACAATATTGAAGACACGGTATGGGCCTTAATCTTTCGATTCGCCAAGTTGAGCAGCCAGGAAATGAATACGACATTAGTGCCATCCAGATTATACCAACTTTTGAATATTTTCATAGGATATGGGCTAATTAAAGTTCCCACTTACGTTCGCAAACTTATTAGCTCAGGAATTCTCTATCTTTCGGAGTCGCAAGATAAGTATTTTCACTGTGAACTTTTGGTAAACCTGAAAATAGCACCTCTTATGAAAAGCCAGTATAACATGGTTTTGAAGAATGTGAAAGAGTACGACCCTAGTTTTTTCGAAAATTTCAACTACGATAAATTGATGGAGATGCTAGAAGTTGCTAAATCTAATGTTTTGGCTGGAGATTTTGCGTTCGTCGAGACCGTTCCATATAGTGTAAAAGTTTTGTCATCTGAATGGTACCTAAACTTTATCTGCACCCCAACAGATAATTTGCTAGAGCCTGTTGACAAGGAAAACATTATTAATAAATTGAAGGTTTTTTGCATTAACATGAAAGAATTTCACCATTTCTACAAATGGGTGGAGTTCATCGTTTATCATCAACTGCTGAAAGACATTTCAGCATTAGAATGCCTGGTTGATATCCTAATGTTTTATGATAAGCTCTTCCCGCTTCTAATCAACGATCATATTTTGTTGATGAAAACCTTATTGCATTTGTACTCGAAAGAACTAGCATTGAAGGATCCACAATCTTATCAAGTCTATGCTTTCAATCACTTTTGGAAGTTTTTTACCAGAAAATTTCCTTTTGCATTAGAAATTGATGGAGATCTTCAAATGAAACTGGCTGAGGTATATGAGAGTGAAAAATTACGAATGGAAAAAATAGCGAAATCTTATTCAATGGCATCTGAATTGTATGATCAAATCAATAGATCAACACCTTCTTCAGGCTCAGAAATGAATAAACTTGAATCTCATAATTTTCCAAGCTTATTTCAAAAGAATATAAAACTGCTGTTAAATTCTAACGACGAGGGAGTTAAGTACTCTGCCAAGACCAGTATGAGACTATTACTGAACTTGAACCCCAGCGAGTACAATAAGTTTATGTCAGTTTTTTTGAAACGCAAAGATTTCACTGATGAACAACTCAAGCACTTAATCTCCTTAAAAGTCCTATCTTTTGAACAAATTAACAAAGTCTTAGGAGAGCCATTTCTTTTAAAACTATTAGATTCGACCTATTTTGATTTGGGATTAACATTTGAGCTACAAAAACACAATTACATCAAACAAAACTTCAAAGACTTACTAAATGCTTATCAGAAACTCAGAAGTGATAACAATATTAGCCTCTTCAACTTGATCATAATTTTCAACACCTCTCCTGCAAGACAAGACCAGTCTTGTAATACCTTATACAAGATTTTGAAAAGTAACGATACAGATTGCTTATCTACCATCACGAATTTGTTGGGGTTCGGTACCAAAGTTTACCCATGCACTGGAAGTCTTGAATGTGTAAATAACGATGAAACTGACGATGAGGGCGATCATACTATCGAAGAATTGTCTCCTGTTGAACTTTTTGAAGAGCTGGATTTTGCAAACCTATGGATTTTTCAAGTTTTCACCAAATACTATCTGGAGATACTATCAATGAACGCAGCTAATGATTTAGTATTCAAAAAACACATTTTTGATATTATTGATGTTACAGGTGATGATCTACTGTGCTCAAAAATTTTTGATCGGATTTCTGATTTGACTTTATTGGAGAGGCTTCTTTGCGTTGTGGAAATTGATTTCTTTGAAAAGTGCCTCTCGAATAGAGATGTTTCTTTGCCATACTTTAGAGTTATCATTGAAATTATAACAAACCTATCCAGGAAACTAAATAAAATTTCAGGTGGGGTTATTGCGATGCATGACCGTGCGTTTAATTTATTACAACTATGTGCAGAAAACTTTGCTAGTATGCTACCAGATGAACTATTGAATTCCGAGAGCAAGCTCGACGTATATTTGAAAGTCATGATTGTTCATCAGCAATTTGTTTTTCGTAAATGTATCGACGGATTACAAACTGGAGGTCCCGAGAAAGACTTGATTTGCCACCTATGTAAGCTATTTGGGAAGGTCGGTTTCAGTCTGAAAGTGAAATTATTGTTATATGACATCCTTACTTCACTCAAATCCTTTACAATTTATGCGTCAACCAGGAAAAGCCACTCAAACATGGCGAAAATCAATATAAATGTTCCAAAAGAACTACTCGATTTACCACCTTTCAGCATTTCGTCGTTCATGAAAAGCGATCCGACCGATGACGATTCTGCAGATATTCACCTGGGTATTGTGGATGATTCATCCACTGAGCGTCAAATTGAACCAAAATATTTTATTTTCAATAAGAAGACTTTGGAATATGACTGTAAATTGGTTTTGAAACCGTTTCATCTATTAATCAATTATCAAGAAGCAGGAAATGGTCCTTTTAATAATACTTCGCTGAGTATGAGCTTGTTCAATGCAAGTTTTGACAAGAAAAATCCCACTTAAAATATCTAGGAAACTACATGTCTAGATGATGGGGAGATTTGTAGATGAGATTTTTATATGTAAAAAGTAGGTAGATACGACGCAATTCTGATATGTGTCATGAAACAATAATATTACTAGGAACATCTGAAACACGAAAAGAAACCCCGGAAAAAAAAATTGTTCATTCGTTATAAGCCCCCGATCTATGTCTTTTCCAGTTTCGATTCCATAGAAGAGTTTTCGAACTGATGAATGCACTTAATATGTAAAAATGCTCACATGATTCTTCTTTAAAGAGAAGGTATGTACAATATTACTGTTAATATGGAACTTCTTCAAGGTCAAAGAATCCTTGAGAAACAACAAAAGGAACAGAGATGATTGAAAGTATTGAAATTATCTGTCACCATAATAGATAGCATGATAAGATTTGAACAGCTATGCAACATAATAACATCGTTAAAGTCTGTCAATTTCAACGGTAGTCTCTGATGTGGGGAGTGTCTTTTTGATGCACTTGTCGATGGCTAGTAGAAGATCTTTTTCATCATCATTAGAACCGCCTGACATGCTCAGCTTCATTAGAACGATATATTTGTCAAAGTTAACCTTTGCAATAATTAAGTTATCGTTGGATATTTTACAGTTTGCGCGAAATGAAGGGAGGGCCTCAATATTTTCGAGAATTTTGGATTTGATGATTGTCGAATCATATTCGCTCGATGATTTCTCCTCATTTCCTGCCTTCTGATCTAATACAATAGCTGTTGGTAACGTACTTTTTGATCTGCGAAGCACATGCGGCTGTTTTGTATCAGAAGAGTCCTCATTATTGTCATCCAACATTAAGCCAGTTACGGATGTAGTTGAAAAGCCCAAAAGTAGCACTGTTGCGGTCCATTTTGCTATAGTCCAGCCATAGGAGATAATGAAGATTGAAAGAAGCCCTGTTGCTAAATAGTCTGAAATAGTTGCTATCTGCTGGATGAATGGATATACCATGAGATAAACCACGTAGACACACGTAATTATGGGGTTTTTGGTTTTGAATTTTGTGTGTGCATTTGAATGAAATATATCAAAAAAGCATTTCAATGACAGCAACAAATTCGAGGACAAAAGAATATACCATATGTAGATATCATTTGTTCCTTCCATCATAGCACCCGAGTGATGTGTATGAGGTATATTTGGTGCAATTTCATCATGTTGCTCGTAATGACTGGATTCCACAAATAAGACGACAGTTTCTTCAAGTATGTGAAAAAACAAGTCTAATCCCATAAAGCATAACGAGACAGCAAGCGCAAAACTCAAGAGGACATCTATTCTATTCAAACCGAATGGAAAAGTTATGGTTCCTGTGTTCCAAACTTCAAATTGCGACAGATTCTCGACAAGAATAATCGCCACGGAGCCAAGAATATCATAAAGTACAAAATGCGAGAGAGTTATCAGGTTATTCCAACCGCGAACATGACCCGTCTGAAATGTTGCAATGCAAGTAATGCACTGTAAAGTCACGATGATGAGCTGTACATAACCGCGCGGCCATGGTATGTTTGCCTTAAGATCTGCGAGATCAGGTATAGGAAGGGATTTTGCAATGTTCAACGGTACCTTAACGTCAGGCTCTTGAAAAAAATTCATGGACACAGAAGAGTGTTTGTATCGATGCCCCTTACGGAAGGACGCTCTGGACGCTGATCCAGCAGAGGCAGGAGGCTGTAAGGATGATGACGAGAAATTAAACGGTGCGTCAAGTATGCCAGAAGAAGGTCTCCTAGACCTATCTGGGGACGGCGACCGATTTGGACGGATTGGAGAACGATTACGCGATGAAGATACTGGAGGAAGCTTCGGTCCTGGTATATATTTGAGCGAGTGACGTTTGTTCTCGATTTGCCCTGAGGCGCCAGCATTTTCCCCAAACGAAAACCCCTGGTTGTATATCAAGCTTCCGCTTGAATTGTTGCCGTCTCGATTCGAGTAGAACGACAACGGTCTCGGTGGTGTGCTTACAGCTTCAGTTTCGCGAAAAGGCGGACCCTTGCTGGTATCTTCCTCCACAATGCAGTTCATTCTTTGAGGCGTTGATCCTGGCAAACCAAATGGTGAGTTCAAGGCCAACTCCTCTTTAGAGCCATGCAAAGGAGAGCGCATTTTAAGTAATATCGGTTTTGTAGATAATTTCCACCAAGAATAATCCTATGGTGTCAACAATGTCGATCGGGAATGTTCGGCCTCGTTATAGATGACTATGGATACAATTCCTAAATAACCCCAGAGGTTTATCAACTAACTCAATTTGTACATTGGCCTCGTTACTAGCCTTCGGATAGCAATGGATCAGATTGGATCCGGGAAGTTTTAACCAGAATTTTTCTGGGGATGAAGTTTCTTAGACTACCATTCTCATCTCATGAAGACGATGAAGGTAAAGGTGAGAGTACGTAAAAAAAACTAGCCGCTGATCAGTGTTTTAGCCAGGTTTGAGTGAAGAAAACGAGCATATAACTTTCAATTCCGTCCCTCTGATTGAATACTGCGTTGTAGATATGGAGTGCAGACGAGTTACTTGCAAGATAGTTCACCTCATTTCGAAGGATGTAGGTAATCATTGAATGATTTGCAACATAGCTACGTTAATCAAAGAGTAGTGCACAACATATATGCCTTCATCTGTCGGGTGACAAGCGCATACTGTGGAAATTTGGTTCTCTTACATGTATTGGAGTTTTTTCATGGATCGTTTTTTTTTGAAGTGATCGTTCAATTCTTCTATCATCCAAAAATAAGTAAGGCAAAACATTCAGAATGTTCAGATCGCAAGCGGTCAGAGTTGGCAATCCTTTGCTGCTAGGCTTTAAAAATGGTTCTCTTCGCGATTCCGTTTGGAGGTCGCGCACAACACTGTATAGATTTGCATCAAGCTCGTCCAATCAGAAACAGCATGAAGTTTTCACTCCAGAGGAGCTCGAACAAGCTCGCAAAAACCGTCTTACAGGATTGGGACCATTTGTATCGAAGCTACCAAACAAATTAATACCCTATGCGGAGCTCATGCGACTTGAAAAACCCGTAGGGACTTGGCTTCTTTATCTACCATGCACATGGGGGATCACAATGGCTGCGATGGAATCCATGGCCCCAGTTTCTTCAACATTGTGGATGCTTTCATTATTTGGTGTTGGTGCATTGGTCATGAGAGGGGCTGGCTGTACGATAAACGACCTGCTGGACCGGAATTTGGATGATAAGGTCATAAGATCAGTTGAGAGACCAATTGCGTCGGGAAGAGTGAGCCCCGCGAGTGCTGTGGCTTTTCTGGGCGCCCAAACTGCCGTGGGTGTTTCTATTCTTACTCAATTACCTGCTCAGTGCTGGTGGCTTGGCCTCGCATCTTTACCACTTGTTTTCACATATCCACTCTTCAAGAGATTCACGTACTATCCACAAGTAGTGTTGAGTGCTTGTTTTAACTGGGGTGCTCTATTAGGGTTTCCGGCTATGGGAGTGATGGACTGGTCCACGATGCTCCCATTATACACTAGCAGCTTTCTTTGGTGCATGACCTACGATACGATATACGCTCACCAAGACAAGAAATTTGACATCAAGGCTGGCATTAAGTCAACTGCCTTAGCGTGGGGTGCTAATACAAGGAAGATCTGTACGGGTTTATCCGTTGTACAAATGGGTACACTGGCACTTGCCGGTGTCAACAGTGGCCTTCTGTTCGGGCCCGGCTTTCTGGCAGGAATGGGCATTTTTGGGTATAGATTGTTCAATATGGTTCGGAAAGTGGATTTAGATGACCCAGAAAACTGCTGGAAATATTTTAAGAGCAACATTCAAACTGGGTTGTATTTCTCTGGGGCGCTTTTCTTTGACTATTTATTGAGAATATTTGGCCTTCTCTAAGGCATGTAAGCGATAAGCAAAAGTCTTGTACTATGAATAATGAGGCCAATTCAACCTTGGATTCTTCCTTCCCTTCTGATCTTGCAGTTATATTCTAGATAAGAGCACTGCCCTTGATCAAAAAGGAAACATTGACTTTGTTTTAATGGTCCATATATACACGAATTATAGACACTATAATGTCATTTTCTTTGATTTTTTAATATAATGTCTTTGGCACTAGTGGCATTACCACTTAGTTTGGTTTTCCTTTCTTCATCCTCGATCATATTCAAGAGGGAAGATGACTCTTTATTTGTTTCAATGCTATTGGTATCGAAGTCTTGTCTCTCCAAGCTTTTGATGCTGTCTTTCCCGAACAAGGCGTCAAATATTCTTCCATCTTGTCCCCAAAAACTCCCGGATCGATTGACTATGTAGAACCGATCCCATAGTGGCCTAGTTTTATAAGTGAGGAAAAATACAAAGGATGCATTGTCTTGGACACCTTGGAAACCTTTGCCTGTATAAACTCTAGTTTTCTGATTTCTAACCACATCTGAGATTAACGCCTTGCAGCTTATTGGTTTTCCGGATATGATAGCCCGGCGAGTGAGCTGGCACGAGCCATGTGGAATGTACTTGATGCTCGCTACAACCCTTGAGGGTAAGTATAGTGCTGCAGCAGAGAGAGTAAGAGGGATCAACGAAAGCACTACCGACCCACTTATTCTAGAAGCAAATAAAAATGTAGGATTATTCCAGAAACCAGTTTCTTCGTCTTTCTTTTCACTATCTTCTCGAGCATATAGCTCTCGAGAGCTTGATATCGACCAATCTGCAAATGTCAAACCATAGATGAGGAATACAACAGAAAGGGACCATGACCCAAATTTCAGCAGAGCCGTTGGTTTATACAGATAAATTTGCTCGGGCTTGGTCTTGGCGATCAGCGCAGCCATTTTAGTCGAGAATGGAATTGATGAACTGGAGCCATAACGCCGGAGCACAAGTGGCTTTGGACTGGCAATGCGAACCGAGGAGCGCAACATTATAGTCACCAGTTTGTTCAAAAGATACTACAAAAAGTTCCGGGCCAGAAATTTCAAAGGTTTCTTTCTCCGACAGCGAGGCATCGAAACAAGCGAAAAGGAAAAGCTTGAGCCGACCGTGAGGGATCGAGATTCCAATTACAGGGCGGCGAAAACGAACGATTGCTCCTTTTCTTGAGCTATAAGTGGTTGGAATAACTATCTAATCCACTATTTGGCCCAAGGAATATATCCGATGTTATGTTTCCCCCAGGCCCTGCCAACAGAAATAAGGTTAAACCCGCAAGAGTCAGATTGGCTCACGAGCTACATCAAACGAACAACTCAAAGTACATGGTCAAAGGTATGATTTAAAGATACGTACGGGGTCGTTACATAGGCGCCTGTGGCCAAACAGTCAAGGCGAAGGCATAGGTCTCAGAGCGCAGACGAATATGATCTGGAGTTTCAGCCACGACTGGGCAATACCGAGTAGTTAATCCTTGAGGTCCTCAATACCCTGGTTCAGGCCGCGGGGATCAGCGCCCACCACTTTGCCTATAGCTTGGCCGTTCTTGGTGAACAGAAAAGTGGGCATCGCACTCACGCCGCAGAACCCTGCGATGTCTGGCGATTCGTCAACGTCCACCTTGTAGAACGAAACGTCCTGGTACTTGGTGCTGAGCTTCTCAACGTGCGGGGATATTGCCTTACAGGGGCCACACCACGTGGCGTAAAAGTCGACTACGCTGAGCTGCTTGGTAGCGATGGCTTTTTGGAACTCTGGCAACGTCTTGAGCTGCGTGACAGTGGACTGGAATCTGGCGAACTGGAGGCGTCTTGCCGCAAATGTTGTTCTTAGCATGGCTTTCAATGTGTTCGACTATAGGCGAGGCAGAAAACGTGCGGTAAAGAGGTGGGAAAAGGTGCTAAGTCCGGTTTCCAAAGCTTGTTTTGTGAATTTCCGTAGTTGTAAAATGTCAGAGCACATCCCGGAAAGCTGGAAATTTCACTAGGAAAATAAGGCAGTTTGCGTAAGCAAAGCGCAGCCGCGTCAAACCAGCCAAAGAGCAGGCCGGGCATCGGGAGCACGAAGCGGCCGCCGCAGCGGGCGCTTCTGCGGGTGTGTCGTAGTCCCATTAACATTAACGCTATTTACATATCCTTAAACACCCAGCCGCTCTCGTTGACCAGCTGTCTATTTCCATGCTCCATCAAGTAGGCCTCGACGTCGACGCCGTACTTGCTCCACTCGACCGTCGGTGATACCAGCTTCTCCTGGCGGTCAAGCACAAAGATCTCACGCAGCAACTCCCGGTTGCCTATCAGCGTGTCCACAAACTCTTGATAGTTTCTGGTTTTGTCCAGCTGCGCGTACAGCAGCTGCAGCTGCTTAAGAAAGTATTTTCGCTGCAGCAGTTTGTTGTGTAGATGCGATCGCGTGTGCTCCAGCACGCTGTAGTCGGCGTTCGCACTCAGCTCTTCCTCTTGGAACTGCCTTACAAACCCTTCCAACTCCGCTGGCGTGTACATGTTGGCCACCAGCTGTTCTATTTGGCGTCGGTGGCAAATTCGACGCCTACTGCGCTCTCCCTTTAAAGCAATATAAAGAAAAAAATTTTCCGGTTGGAATCGAACGGGCAGAAAGTCCGGGTAACCGATATCACGTGCCGTCCTCTGTCTGCGAAAAAAGTTCGTTATGTGTGATCTCAGTTTCCGAAATGTTGAATTCAATCTGGAAATCGTTATGGACGTCCCGTCGTGGAAAGATGGAGAAGGTTATCTGAGATGGAGAGATGGAAGCTCGAGGAGATTCAAGGTAAACTCCGAAGTATGACGGAAACTGATAGCAAAGCAACCCTTTTGACAGAGGCAAGCAATGGTTGGGGTGGCATGAAACTCCCAAGAGACCTATACTCTAGCAAATTTTCCTATCTCATTCGCTTCCACAGAATTGCGAGCCTAATCTGTGCTATTTATCTTCTGCTGGCCGTTGCTGTAACATTGTTACTCTTTGTTAAAACTGTCTCTGAAGATGTCCAAGTAATGTCAGTGCTTTTTTATGTTAGTGTACCGGTTGTTATGTTGGTAACGGTCGCTTTTATTACACACCGCGTTGATCTTCCTACAGCAGCAAAGGTGGCGCTCCTCAAAGAAACTATCATACAGCGCCCAGCTGTGTCTTCAGAACTGTGGGATGTGATTGCAGCACATATGAACGAGTTCTTTTGTGCTAATGGTTTAACTTCCTTACCATTTTACTATGATGGTAACGATTGTCATGATCATTTCAAGAGCATGTTTATAGATAGCACTGCACCATTTCCCACAGAGCCTTCGAGTGGGATTAGCGAAAATCAACAGAATGCTACTATTGGGAATAATGCTAACAGAGAAATAAGGTCAACTATTGCTACCATTAGGAATAATGCTAACAGAGAAATAAGGTCAATTATTGATGAGGCTGTAAGGCTTTACGATCAGAGTGTGGATGATCACTGGAGACAGCAGCTTGGGGAAGCGTCCTCGCAATTACCCGAGTATCCTGGACCTTGAAGCGCTCTTGGTTCTCGGAGCTTACTGATGTGCCTATTGTCTCATGATATTGCCGGATTCGTGTCTTGGGATTGTAATCCTGGTTCGGACATCAAGGACATGCTAGGAATTCCCAACCGTTCAAAAGGATTTGACACGCACCCTGCCTCTTTTGAAGAACGATAATCGCAAGTTTACAGCTTCCAGCATTCTGATTAAGATAGGTCTTACCGTAGTATTTTCATAAAAACACACACACCCTAATCATCATACATTTATAATTTATGATTTCACCCCCCGATTTATAGTAGCCGTTGATAAATACACCCATCCCGGTCTTGAACTTCATGGGACTTCCAGAGTCAAAGAGTTGAAGAATTATGAAGGCATTATAACCGTTTAGCTGAGAACATTCAAACGGGCTATTGCCACGTGACATCCAGATCATGGCCGACGTTAATCATTATTCACGTCGTTGAATCACATGATTACATATCCCTTCTTTTTTTTCTTCTTTTTCCTTCCAAACGACCGTTGTTGAAAATCGTTGTAGGCATTTATCGGCGTTTCTGCCACACTCACGTACCGCACTGCCCAATTGCATCTTCTCGTATTTCCTCGCGTGAGGCTCTCACACCTCTGAGACCCCCAGAATCGCGAGCTCACGCAACCACACTAGTTCTCACTCTTGCCTGTCTGTTTCAACACACGTTGCAGGGCTTTCTCTCACAGCCTTCGTTTACTACCCTGCGTGGGACGAGGAAAAAAATTTAAATCGGGCATAATCATCTTGTTGAAACAAGACTGAGACACACACCACACACACCGGCCATGTCTGTTTATGTGGCTTCTACGACCGCTCCGGTCAACATTGCGGTATGTTATTTGTTTCAGGCTGGTGCACGAGCTGCGATACGCTCGGCAGCACCGGCAATTGGTCCAGGCGAACAAATGTACTAACCTGCTTGACAGACTTTAAAGTACTGGGGGAAAAGGGACAAGAACCTCAATCTACCTACCAACTCGTCTATCTCGGTGACGTTGGCGCAGCAAGACTTGCGCACACTCACCTCCGTGGCCACGAGCGAGTCTTTCCCCGAAGATAAGCTGTGGCTAAACGGCAAGGAGGAGTCGCTGCAAAGCGAGAGAACCCAACACTGCTTGCAAGACCTTCGTGATCTGCGCAAGCAACTCGAGGCTGCAGACCCTTCTCTGCCCCGTTTCTCGCAATGGAAGTTGCGCATTGTCTCCGAAAACAATTTCCCCACCGCAGCTGGTCTGGCGTCGTCCGCCGCCGGTTTCGCCGCTCTTGTCGTCGCAATTGCCAAGTTGTACCAATTGCCTCAATCTTACTCGGACATATCGAAGATTGCCAGAAAGGGCTCTGGCTCCGCGTGTAGATCTCTCTTTGGTGGGTACGTGGCCTGGGAAATGGGCTCCAACCCTGACGGATCCGACTCCAAGGCTGTTGAAATCGCCCCAATGGAGCATTGGCCACAAATGAAAGCCGCCGTCCTCGTCGCCTGCGCCGATAAGAAGGATACCCCTTCCACCAGCGGTATGCAGCAGACCGTGGCCACGTCCGACTTGTTCCAGGAGAGAATCAATGTCGTCGTACCCAAGCGTTTTGAGGAAATGAAGCAGGCAATTCTCAACAAAGATTTCGCTCTTTTCGCAGAATTGACGATGAAGGACTCCAACTCTTTCCACGCCACTTGTTTAGACTCCTTCCCACCCATCTTCTACATGAACGACACCTCCAGGAAAATTGTCAAGCTTTGTCACTTCATCAACGCATTCTATGGCGAAACTATTGTGGCCTACACCTATGACGCTGGTCCAAACGCTGTTTTGTACTACTTGCAAGAGAATGAGGAAAAGCTTTTCGCATTCATCTATAAGGTGTTCCAGAACAACCAAGGGTGGGACAGCAAATTCTCTGCCAAGGAATTGGCTAAATTTTCAGAGTACTTCTCGACCAATGTCGAGCCTAAGCTCACCACGGTCTTGGACGATGAGTTGCACAAAGGTGTCACTAGAGTTATTTTGACCCAGGTCGGACCAGGTCCTCAGAACACTACTGATTCTTTGATCGATCCATCTACTGGATTACCAAAATAGAGTTGCTGGTTCACTAGCGTGACGCTACGCTTAACCTCATCGCTGGAGTGCTTGGTGTAGTCGACTCGCATTTTTAGCTATCTCCGTTTTGTAGTTATTTCTGCCAACACAGATCATAATATAGATATCGCCAGACTTTTTAACGTCCGTATTTGCTTTCGGAGAAAGTTTACGAAGTGTTTGTTCGCCTAGATTGCGTTTTCCTAGGTCCCGTCTAATTTTTTGATGACGTTGAATTATCAAGCCTTGAGGGAAAAGGGCGTACGGCCATCGTAACATTCGAAATGGTGCAGACTAAATTGCCATCCTTACTGCCAGGACTATGAGCGATTGGGGATTTGTGGACGATTTTTTCATGAAATTTCAAGAATACCTTTCTTTCACATGAACTGCCCTCCCACTCAACGTCTTCGAAAAAGATGTCGTTAGCTCATACGGTTCGCAGTGCTGACTTATTAGCTAATCTTAGCAACATAATGCCCGCTAAATGGCTTAAACACTTGCCTAGTGAATATTATTATAGCCTCATAAGTAATTTAACTTATTTAGTATCCTACAATTTTACAAGTGTATACTGTTTGATCCCAAAAGCGTAGATGTATTTTGGCTAACATGATATGGTAACAACCTTTTCAAAGCAAAGTATTCCTTCTTCTCAAGCAGAAATCAAGCTGTATTAATGAACATGGGCGAAAATTGTATTAAGCATGATTTGATCACATTAATTCGAGTATTATCTTTCATGTGAATGCAACAAGAAACGACACTAGATATGATTTGTCCTCAACTTCATATTTATGATTTACTTTTAGCAGAAGCAGGCGCCTACCCTTGGCGGTTTGCCTAGAAGCCAAGAAAACTAAAATGCTCACCAAAGCTCTAACACAAAACAGCAATCTACTAAAATGAACGCTATAGAGCACGTACTGCACAACCTTTCGGGTTATTGATAAGAAGCTATGCGTCAGTAGGTCTAATCTAGCCTGACACCCATGTTTGTCACCACAGATGGATTGGCGATGACTAATAATAGGATTCTTTTTTTAATTCTTTTTTTTTTACCTCCCTTAATATTCAGAAGTATTTTCAGCCACTTGGCATAACTCAACGGCTCCAATAGTCGCTCAATGCTATGGTAAGGGATCAACCGGATATGGATTATGAACCCATCGGAACAGATTCTGATGGTGGAGTAAGGAAAAGGCGTAAAGCTATTAAGCAATGTTTATTCTGTCGCAAGCGAAAGTTAAAATGTGACAAACAGAAACCCATGTGTTCAACTTGCTCATCAAGGGGGCTTTCAGAGTGCATTTACGTCGAAAAGTATAGCCATGATGTGAATGCAAAAGAGCTTTTCAAGTCGACTCCTAATGTTGAGTTACTTGCTCGTATTAAAGAGCTGGAAGATGAATTAAAGCATGCCAAACATCAAGGTGAGACGACGGAGAGAAATCCACTTTGTGATCTTTATTTCCTTGATAAGAAAGGCGATAGGTTTACGTATTATGGGCCCACAAGCTTTAGACTATTACTCAATAACAGTGCTATGAGATTTTCTAAGTACTATAAACTGGTATGGAAGCGGTTAAAAGAAGAACGGCGAAGATTCAAAGCGAGCAGTGGATACTCCACATTACAAGAGGTCACCTCCATCGAACTTCCTCAAAAATGTCTTTACAATGATTCAGTTTTAAATGCTATGTGTAAAACCTTGCCATCATATGAGGAAATCGAGGAAGCTCTCACGGAATTTTTTAATGGTAAACTGTATGACAATTTCCAAATCTTAAACCGTGACAAAGTACTTGAGGACTTTAGGAAATGCTTTATTAAGGGTTCTAGGGACCTGGTCACCAGTCAACACCAAGTGATCCAGTTGGTTCCCCCTAACAAGAAAAATTACTATTGCATCGGTATTATCACCGAGATACTATATCTCGTCCGTTACACGGATCCCCTACCTCAATCTTTAGACATGTTCAACAAGTATCTCACTTCTTACATTACCGCAAAGGTTTTTTATGTGGAGCGCGTTCAATATATGATGCTAAGGTATCTTTACAGAAATGTCAAAGGAGTTGGAGGTGGGGATAACAGTCACCTAATTCTCCTGGTTCACTCAGCATTTGCGTCTGCCATTCACATTGGCTTGCATAAAGATATAAGACAGCTTTACGGAGACGACGATTTACTGAAAGATAGTATTGTTTATCTTGAAAATTTGTGGCATTGGATTCTTCTTGCAGATATCGAAATTTCGTTTTCTATAGGGGTTCCATTGAACGCCTCCGACTCAGTTGTGTCTCGTGAATTCTTGCAGGACCCAAATGTAGGTAGCTACCCACTTTTAAAAAAGGTCATCATCAAACATCGTGAAGTATTAATGGCTATTCACAGCCCTGATAAAGTTCCCAATCTAAAAAACATAATCGAAGGTATAGTTGAGTTTTTGAAGGCAGAATTCAAACCCATTAACTTTTACTTGGAGCATGAAAATTTAAGTGTTATCAAATTTACCGAACTTGATTTCCTTTTATTGTCCTTATCAATGGTATCCAACTTCTCTAATATCAGGCGGCAATTTTTCAAAGAGCTGACTCCTGCAGTCATTAATAGAGCGATCCAATATTCTTTGATCTCAACGTCAATTTGTGTAACAGTTCTGGAGGCTTTTTACGCCATGGATAAAGATTTACTACTTGATGGCAGACTCTCGTGTAAACTTATTCCCCCAAACTTAAATTTGTCGATCTACTTGATTCACAAACATTTTCCAAGATTTATTTCCGAGACCTACTTATTAATGGGTGCCCTGGGAACGGTTTCCAATTTTGCCCACTTGAGAATCAATTATCCAATTTCACCAGTCTTCGACCTTCCTCTGGATAGACTCGACATAGTAGAAGACCACTATGTTCCTGCAAAAGTTTGCTCCGAAGTTCTCAGTAGTTTATTTGATCGGTTTGAATTAGATGAGAACCAAGATTTTGTTCGCCGGCTAAAAAACTCATGTTATTCCTTTGTAATTTTGATAGCTTTGGAAAAGATAAACAGAGAAATGTTGAGAAACGCTTTTGAGACAAGCGAAAGCCTTAGAGCCGGCTGTTGTCTATCACATTGCTTACCGACTGAAAATGAGATTTCTCAATCTGCCACTTCTTTGGTTTCAACAGATCTTGCTCCGGACGTTGATATGTCCGAAGAAGCCCTGAAGTCAATAACTGATGAGTTTTGGGTTAATTTTGAGACGGTATTAGATGATTGGGTTCGAAATGATGCAGATGAAATACTCCTTTCTTGGTTTAAGTCCGATGATAATATGTGAAGTACAACTCGTACTATCTCTTCCACCTTAAAAAAAAATAATGAACAACTCTGACGCGAATAATTAATCATAAAATATAAAAAATATGTTGGTGGGTATATTTTATCCTTCCTCAACAAATAATCAGCCCCTCAATCCTGTATATAACCAACCACCTGAAACCAGATATCTTCAAACATATAATTAAATGGTATAATATAAAGCTATGTTCTGCTGTACATATCGAGCTAAGTTTCTTTAATGCATGTTTTCAACAATTACAGCCATAAGAACACATTTAAGTATACAATTCTTCTGTTACATTATATAAAACCATCAGCCAGATTTATCAAACATAGTTTGTATATGATGAGGGTAATATTAGTCTCTTTTTCTCGAGTCTACAAAAACAAGCTGCAGCACAATCATTCTTTTACTTCCCTAATTTTAGGCTCAGTTGAGCTTTGTTTGGTGTATTTCCAAATTCTTGCCTTGCAGTCACCACTGCCAGTAGCAAAAACACCATACTCTGGACCTAATGGGTGACCATTGGCCACAGCAACAGATATTACAGAGTTTCTATGCCCCTGTAACATTAGAATAGGATTTCCAGAGGGTGTGTCCCAAAATAGTACACCACGGTCTTTGGAACCAGATAATATATACTCATCATTTTGAGTTGTAGCAACAGACAACACAAAATCTTTGTGCCCAGTATATGTAACTTCGCTGGTTGCTGTGTTGGGCTTTCCGTCATTAGCACTACCATTCGCGCTACGCAGATTCCACAACTTTACGGTTCTATCCAATGAGCCTGAAACAACCCCTTGTCCGTCTCTTGTGAACACAACGCTGTAAACAGAATCTTTATGACCTGTACCTAACTCATTTTCAGAATCAAGCCTTTCAACCAAGAACCCAGTTTCCGAATCCCAAACACGAACAGTTCTGTCCAAGGAACCAGCCGCTATGAATTTACCTTCACCAGGAGATACGGCAACTGTAGTGACGCCATCTTCAATAGACAAGGTTAATGAGCATTGGCCAGTACGCAAATCCCAAATTCTAACAGTTCTATCACCAGAACCAGAAACAAGTTTGTCGCCCGAGGGGAAGTAATCTAGGGAATAAATATCCTGTTCATGGCCTTGAAGTGTCATCACAATTCTCTTAGTGGATAAATCCCAAATACGGATTAACTTATCCTCTGCACCAGTCGCCAAAAATTTGCCATCAGGAGAGAAGCATACGGAACGAATGTAGAGGTCAGAGGAAGAGGAAGCTGAAGTAGGAATAGCAGGGGTTGAGTCACTCTTATCTCCACCATTTGCATCAGATGAAGCTGCATTAGGACCAGCGGTTGAGACAGTGGCAGCATCCTCGGATAATCTTGCGACCAGCTCACCTGTAGCAACCTTGTATACCTGTGTGGTCTTGTTACACCCAGTAGCCAAAAATTCACCGTCATTACTGAATCTAACACAGCAAACAACTGAAGAGTGATCTAGCGAAACATGCAAATCGACATCAAGCTCACGAGGGAGAGCGGGATTGTAGAGTATATAGTAGTCGTTTGTCTGTTTTTTCAAATGAGCTGGAACTAGCATCGAATCTAAGTCAAGGAGAAATGGAGGTATTGGCTTAGCATGACTAGCACGTTGATGTGGGGGAACGAGGTAGTATTCCTGTGATTTTGAATCTTGAGTGTCAACAGGGGCCGTTCCGGACGATTGCACAGGACTTTGAGCTGTCTCCTGGGAAGTTACCTGCGTAACGGGCACTGACGCAGCTGGGGGTACGGGAGCAACAGCAGAAGAGCTTAGAGACTTGTTGGTTTCTATCGCGGGCCTTTGGGCTGGGGCTACGTTAGGGTTAGAAGCTGTTCCTGTTGCGGAGGAAAGTCCAGCATGAGCCATACCAGCGGGGGCCCCCATTGGAGACAAAACGCTAGGTTGCTGTGCAGTTCCCGGAATCGTAGGACGTTGCTGCTGCTGTTGCTGCTGTTGTTGCTGTTGCTGCTGTTGCTGCTGAGCTGCCGCAGCAACGGTTGCAATTTGCCTGTCTCTCTGCTCAAGCTCGAGTTTCAAACGACCAATTTCCTCTTCATACGCATCTTTCATCTTTCTATGGGTCAGCTCCAGTTCGTATACTGTATTTCTGATTTGTTGCATCTCAGCCAACTGTTGATTAATTTTGAAATCGTAATCCTTTTGGTTCTGCAATCTATAGGAGTTCGCTTCTTGCGAGATTTGCGCAAACTCTTGCCGGATTGCCTCCAGCAAATCATTTAGCTTATTTTGCGATGCACTAACCGCACTTGAAGCCATCTTCCGTGTGGAATTTTTCTTTCGTCGTGAACGGACTATTCTTATTATGGTTTAGGGCGTTGTTGACCGATTTTTTTTCAACACGCATTCTGAGGGTCCTCCACGTACACTGTGATGTATTACGTGACGTTTGCAGACACCGACTTCACCTCGATTGGTGTCCCATAGAATTGATTGAAAGTCCGTAATAGCATCATAAATGATCTTGTGACTTTTCAGAGTATGGTAAGTGCCGGTTTCGTTTCCACTTTGCTGTACAGGGCCATCGTTTGAATTCCGAGGGTGCCATTTCGTGGGTCGTGGATATTTTCGAGGGTAAACTTCACCATCAAGTTTCAAAAGCGCGAACCGAAGGGAAACTTTAGAGAGGTCGTGGCACAACAGCAAGGCGATGGATCCATTGGTAGAATACAAAAACTCTGTGCAAAATCGACTGGACAATGCAGACATTCTAGTATCGCGCCTGGTGCATGAGAACTCGCTACTGTCACAGGAAGTGGAGAACCGCGACCAAGAGATCGAAACTTTGAAACGCCAGCTAGAAACGCACAAGCGCGAAGAGGAAGAGCGCCAACATCGCATGACCTCCCTGGAGGAGGAACTAGACATTGTACGGGATCTGTTCGAGCACCTGTGTGGGGTGAGGGTACACAAGTCGTACGAAGACGACACCGGGCTGTGGTTCGACACGTCGCAAGGAGGTCGCAAAGGTGTCATGGACTATAAGCTGGGCTTCGTAAAGGGCGAGACGGAAGGTACGGAGGTCATATACGTGCCGTTACTCAAGCAGCGGTCGGCAGAGGAGCTGCAGGCCTTACAAAAGCTGCTACCGGGCTATATGTTCGACACGCTGAGTTTCCCACTCAAGTCGTTAAATCAATTCTACAATAAGCTAGCGAAATGTTTATCTAGAAATACTACAGCCGATGCTAAGTAAAATGCTATATACGCGCGAATTCTGACGCTTATTCTTGCAGCACGAGATGGCCCTCGTTGTTCACCACCAGTTTTTTGAGAAGATTCTTCTTTTCGTCTTTGTTCTTGACAGTTTTCAAAATTTTGTAAAGAGAGGCCCCTTTTTTGAGCACGACAGAGCCCGTGGCAACATTTTGGGCTTTGCCCTCGAGTTTGCTTTTTGTTGCATCCTTTTCGCCCTGTTGTTCCTGCTTATTCTCCTGCTTCTTATTCTCCTGCTGCTTATTCTCCTGCTGGCCCTGTTTTTCCTTCCCCGGCTGGCCCTGCTTGCCCTTCATGTCCTGATTTCCTTGGCCCTGTTTTTTGCCCTTATATAGCCCCTTCTGGTATTTCTCATCCTCGCTGATACACTGCGTATGTTTCTTGTAGCTAATCCCGTCATCGAAGGTTTTGTTGCAGTCGATGCATGTGTAGTACGCGTCAGGACAACGGTAGTAATGCTTTTCGGTATTCTTTTTTGGCACAGTATCGTTGCATACCTCACAGTTAAAAGTAACCATGACTCGCTATTATCTTGCTCGCAACTAAAACCTCTGCTAGCTCATCGCATCCAGATTATCGATTTTTTTTCATTTTTTTCTTTTAGCCTCGAAGAGAAAAAGAAAACGAACGGAAACTAAAGAAGATGGGCCACGTGACCATATAATGAGTGGTGCGCCCGGAAAAATTAAACTACATAGGGGTTCCAAGAAACGCGATCTTGCCAGCACTACAGTTCATAAATCAAAAGCACACAGTGCACGGAATTGATGGCTTTGGAACCAATTGACTACACCAGCCACTCGCGTGAGATCGAGGAAGCGTACCTCTCAGTGGTGAGGGGTACTGACCCGGATACGACGTGGGTGATCCTCTCCCCCAATGACAAGAAGGAGTACGCTCCCGAGTTCACAGGCAGCGAGTTCACAGAGTTTCTAGAGGGATTCAGCGATACTAAGGTGCAGTTTGGACTTGCGCGCGTGTGTCCACCGGGATCTGACGTTGAGAAGCTGATCCTAATCGGGTGGTGTCCGGACTCTGCGCCACTTAAGACCAGGGCTTCGTTCGCATCCAACTTCGGTGTGATTGCCAACCAGGTGCTCAAGGGCTACCATGTGCAGGTCACCGCGCGTGACGAGGACGACCTTGACGAGAAGGAACTCTTGATGAAGATTAGCAACGCTGCAGGCGCACGGTACTCTATCCAGCAACAGCCCAGCAAGACTACGTCTGCAGCCAAGCCACGTCCTGCCTCGGTGCCCTCTCCTGCAGCCAAGCCTGCCCCAAAGTCTGTCCCAACACCCGCCGTGAAAGAAGAGCGGACACCAACGTCATCTGCGGCCGCTCCCAAGCCCGCAGCGATCGCTAGCCCTGCTAAGAAGCCGTCCGCTGTGTCGAGAGCACCCCAGGACGATGATGATGAGTGGGACGAGCCTGAACTCGAGGAAAGGGACTTCGACTCCAAGCCATTGCAGCCCAATAAGTCCACTTACCAACCAATTGGAAAAGTTGATCTCCAGAAGGTGATCGCCGAAGAGAACGCTCGGGACGATCCACGCCTGGTCAATCAAGTCAAAGCGGAATCATTCGCAAAGATTAATCCTCAGGATGATATCGAGAACCTCAGAAAAGAGTCTCGGGCCAAGAGAGACGCAGAACTTGACAAGTTCATGGGAACTAAGCCTCCAGTTGCTGCTTTACCAAAAAAGAATGATGACATGGTTATCAAGGGCTTCCAAAACGAGAAAACACCAGCACAGCTATGGGCTGAGAGGAAGCAGAAGACAGCGATTGATACTCCAAAGGTTGAAGCAGAAAATAAGAAAGATGCAACATTCGAGGACGACGAAGAGGAGGACCACGAAGTCACAAACATCAAGGCCAAGTTTGAAAAGCTTGCATCCGATGAGCCTTCCATAATTCAACCCAAAAAAGTGAACGCACCAGCTAAGGTCACAGAAGAGACATCTGCCCCAGTCAAGAAAATGCCCATTGGGCAACCACTGCCAGGGATGCACATGGAAGTGGAAGATGAAGAGAGGCCTGCTTCCGACGATGACTGGGATGATGATGAGGATGAAATACCTTCCACGGACTTGAAACCACCTGCTTTGGCCGAGGGACCACAAAAGTCAGCCGCAAGTCCTTCGCAATTTGATAAAATATCTCAAGGACAAACAGAAGAGGAAGAGGAAGAACAGCCACCTCTTCCTTCTAGAAGAGAGACAGCCCCAGCTGAGGAAGTGGAAGATGAGGAAGAGGAACCTGCTCCTGCTTTGCCCTCTAGGAGTAAAGAATCTTCACTTCCACCACCTCCTCCTCCACGTAGAGCGACTCCTCCAGCAGAAGAGCCCACTTTACCAAGCGCTATTGCAGAATATGATTATGAAGCTGGTGAAGACAACGAATTGACCTTCGCTGAAGGAGACAAGATTGTCAACATCGATTTCGTGGATGAGGATTGGTGGCTAGGTGAACTTGAAAAGAATGGAGAAAAGGGTTTATTTCCAAGCAATTACGTCGAATTGGTTCAATAGTTTTGTGGTGTGACGCTTGTCTGGTCTAGCTTACCTAAATAAAATAATTACTTCGAATATCTGTTATTATGTTTTGCTTGTCTAGTTTTTTTTCGATGCCATCTATTTTCGGCGCCCCACACAGTTCCTACATGAAACATCGCATGTTGAGACAACTGCAACCTTAATGAGATGAGGCTACAGAGGCTACATACATTACAGATTTGATGTTCCATATTCGAGAAAAATAGGCACTTTGCCTCATTTTGTCTCACTTTGATCTCGGCACGCAGTTCTCGATTTCATCTTTGACAGATCGCAACCTTGATCTGTTCGAAACTCAGACATTTCCACAAAGTATAAAATGCAGCAAATACGATAAGGTACCCAGATACTTGGTCTGACGAATTTTCCGTTTCAACACTTACGCTCGTTAAAACTCAAAATGCAGCTAACAAGTTTGTTAGTTGGTGGTGCACTCGTCAGTGCCCTTGAACGTGTTCATTTCCCGAACACAACCTCGTGGACTAGTTCACATGATGCAAATCCGTCAACTACAGTGGTTAGCATTAGCTCAGTCGATTCGCTGGGCTCAACGATTTATTTTACATCCCCGGCACTAGTGTCTCTTGCAACGTCAACTGTAGACAATACGGTTACAACTTACACGACTTGGTGCCCTTTATCTACCTTTGAGTCATCGTTTACAGATACTTCTCTAGCCTCTACGGTGGAAAGCTCACAGACAACGTTAGTTACGTTAAGCTCTGTTGACACTATGGGATCTACAAGTTTGGTTACTTCGAAAGCACTGATGTCCTTAGTCACTTCTACTGTGGATGATACTATAACCGTTTACACAACATGGTGTCCTCTACCCTCGACAACTCGAAGAATTTTGTCTAGTATCTCAACTGATTCGTCGCTCACAGAAGTAGCCCCAACTATGTCCACAGAAAGCTCTGCAACTACAGCAAGCTCTGTAGTCACGCCAAGTGCTGTGACAACAAGAAGCTCTGCAGCTACGTCAAGCACTTTGACAACGAAAAGCTCTACGACGGCAGCAAGCTCTGCAACGACAGCAAGCTCTGCAACGACAGCAAGCTCTGCAGCTACGTCAAGCACTTTGACAACGAAAAGCTCTACGACGACAGCAAGTTCTGCGACGACAATCCCCAGTACCACCACCGTTGTTCTTAGTTCGGTTGATTCGTCTGGACTGACGACGGTTTTAACCTCAACGGTATTAGCGTCTTTGTTAACCTCCACTGTTGATGATACTACCATAATTTATACAACATGGTGTCCACTCACTTCTACCTCTTCAGTACATGTCAGTTCTTCAAATTCCTTATCAACTACTGTTTCCTCCATAGCAAGTACATCTGGTACCATAACCACAAGTACCCTCACAACGGCTAGCATTTCTTTGTCGAAAGATTCAATCGGTGATATTCACACCACACTAGTAACGCAAACATATACATATACGTCTACTGTGTGTGATACATGTGAGCATCACATGTCCTCATCTAAAGCGTATTCCACCTCAAGCAAACCATTAAGCTCTTCTAAATTCCTGACAAGTAGCAAGTCAAGCTTGCAGGAGCAATCGCCTACAGTGACTTCTTCTTCGACCTATTGGTCGTCTACCTCAAGCAGCACAACTCAAGATACGACCTCAACTTTTCAAAGCACAGACTCTTTGCATGGTAGTGCCAGCAAGTCGACTGCTACAAAGATTACCTATTCACCTGCAACTACATCTTTACCATCTACGACTATTCTCACAATAAGTTCTAGCAGTGGGGGGATTACTTCACTGAGCACCTCAGTTGCCTTATTGACATTGACAACTGAAACTATAAGCGGCGTTGTCACATCTTATATAACATGGTGTCCTTTGACATCCGAAAGCTCGTCTTCATTTACCAAGCTATCTTCATCAACTACTAGCTCATCGGGTAACGAGGTTTTGACATCCTACTCATCCGAGTCATCCAGTAACAGTTTGCTTTCTTCATTTAGCAGCCTGAAACCACTCTCAGAATCATTGATATCCACATCTCAATTGCAATCATCGGGTTCCTTGACTGCTACTCTATCGACTTCCACCAATACCTCATCTTCAACAATAGCAACTACCCCCGTAGGATCATCCTGGATTTCTTCGACAATCTCAATCTCTACAAAGACAAGATCTGAAAAGTCCTCATCCACTATCTCAACTTCGCTGTCTAATGCGTCCGCTTCTCCTTCGCTACCTTCATCAGCGATTTCCAAATCACGAGCGGTCCATTCTTCAAGCGATAGTGCAAGTTCCTCATCTAGTATCTCCTCAACATCCTACTCCCCATCATCCGGCTCCTCTGGGTTATCGACTTTCTCTTCAACGACGGCTTCGGAAATACCTTCCGCCCATTCTTCAAGCAATATCGTGAGTTCTTCGTCTGGAACTCCCTTCTCCTCTATCTCGTCTATGTCGTCGCCACTTTCTTCAGTGATGACATCAAAAGTGGTTAGCACATTGATCTCATCATCACCACCGTCATCATCGCAGTCTTCGCATGTCACATCGGAATCTCGCTTCCCTGGATCGTCTACTAGCAGTTCACCCTCGTTGAATAGCACTTCTGGGTCTTCGTTGATTGTTTCCACAACTACCTCTGTGACAAGTTCTTTTGATTCTTCCACCAGCCCAGTCTCCTCTTCAGCGAGCACTGAAACGTTGTCTTCACAGTCGAGGCTAAACTCAACGCCTCTAGGCTCTTCCATTTCATCATCAAGTGAAATTTCGAGCACCTCTATAACTTCAAATGGTGTTACAACTGTAACTTCGTATCATACCATAGTATACTCGACTGAAGTATGTTCTTTGGGCACTTGTCATAGAACTGTCGTCACCTCTAAATCATCTAGTTTTGACACAGTGTATGATACCACATCAGAATGCAGCGGTGATAGTTGCATTAGATCGAGAAAAACTACTTCTAAGCATGAAGAGTGTACGCAAGGCTCTTGTATAAGCTCCTCTTCGACCTCTACGCTTGCACCTAAGTCCAGTCACACTGGAAGCCAATCCTCGATGGTTTCAAGTTCGGTGTACCCAACCACAGTACTTTCCCACACGATTGTTTTATCCACTGAAGTCTGTTCATCAGAACGCTGTCACACATCAATAACAACCTCATTACTTCCTTCAACGTCAACATTTTCATCGGCAACAATTAGCTGTACGGGGAGATTGTGTGAGAATTCCTCGAGTACGAACTCAAAAAGTTCCTCACATGGAGAGAGCTCGTCTGTGAATTGTCCGACATGCTCTTCTTCCAGTCTGCGAACTTCTTATAGCAGTATAACCAGTGGAAAAAGTAGTGTGTCCTCTACGTTATCTCGTGAATCCCAGAGTTCTTCTTCCAGCCTGCGAACTTCTTCTAGCAGTACGACCAGTGGACAAAGGAGCGAATCTTCCACATCATCTCATAAATTCCAGAGTTCATCCACATCTGACAGTGAACTGCCTACCTCATATGCGCCACCTTCTTCGAGCAGTGCTTCATCTTCGCAAACAATCCAATCTTTGACCTCTGTGTCATCCTTGATATCACAGGCCTCTTCTTATTTATCTAAAGTTACTACAACGGTGAGTGGTGCTGTTACGGAATATACAACGTGGTGTCCATATAGCACGTCTTTCACATCACCCTCAGCCACCGTGAGCTACAAATCTTTAACGACGGAAATAACCAGTTCTCAATCTCTCACAACGGAAATTTCCCAGGCGTCAAGTTCAGATCACCAAAAAGAGTCCACAAGCAGTGGGAATGAATCATCTTCATCTTCATATGAGCAAAAAACAACTAGCAAGAGTGCGGGGACTACCTCATCAGTGGAAACCTCTGAATCTTTCGCAAATACTGAATCAACTTCTGTGGTAAGTTCTACAACTATATTATCAACGACCCGGTCCTTGGCCTCAACACCTTCCTCTCATTCAAAATCTACAAGAAGCTCGTCGTCGGCTGTTTATTCCTTATCTAGTACTTCTTCATTGGCACCTAAAAGTGTTGGATCAACTATAACAACAGTCGCTTCCTCTTTGATTAGTGCCTCGGCTTCTACTTCCACCAATTCAAATCGACCCTCCTTTTCATCTCATTCCACGCCTTTTATTGCAACGTCTGTACACACCACTGAAACCATTTTTTCTGCTTCTACAGTTGAAAGCACAAAATCTACAGAAAGCTCGATTCCGACTGCAAGTTCCATCTATTCGATCTATTCGATTAGTACTTCTCAGCAGACACCGCTTTCATCGTCAGTCTTAACAGTTGTAACAATAACTTCAAGTGGAGTTGTATCGGAGTACACGACCTGGTGCCCACTGACTGATGTTTCAGCATCTGTAAGCTTGGGACTTGAAACCAGTTCTAAAAGATCAGTTTTGACAACAATTACTACTACTTCAGAGGGATTGGTCACGCAGTATACTACATATTGCCCCTTATCCTCCACGAGTGTGTCGCAAAATAGTGACACCAGGATATCAGCCACTACCAGTCAAGTTACAACTACCTCATTGCAAGAAAGCAGTTCAGTCACGACGCATACGTTAGCATCTAGCATCACGAAGTCTACAAGTGCTAAGAACAGCGCGGAGTCGTGTAGTGGTACAGATTGCGCGACGTCTAGTTCGGAGACTAGTTCTTTTCCTGATTCTCCAACAGTCTCACAATCCACAACATTCAAAACATCCTCAACTATATCAATAACAACCGTTCTGCCGATAACAAAAACATCAACTCAAAGTGGTGGTGAGATTGTGACGGTCGTGAGCTCGGTTTCCAGTACTATTCCGTTCACAACAGATTTCATCGTTACGACGCAGATGCCTGTTGCCGAGAGCAAAAGCCACGACGTTCAGACCATGTCTTCAAAAGTGTACACTGATACTGCACAAACCGAGAACACTCAAAGTCAGAGTAATTCAGAGAGCTTTTCGACACTTGCAGCAATTTCCTCTAGTACAGCGGCAGTTGCAAATACATTTGAAGGCAAAGCTGCAATTACCGGCAACAGTTATTTACTACATATTCTCAGTGGATTGCTATTGATGGTAACCGCTTAGGGTGACGAATAGATAGAAGAATAGGTACCTCGTTAACGGTTAGTAAATAAATAACCTTTAATAATTTATGACATACTCACCCAAGTACGGTCATTTACCTTTCTCAATATCGAAAATTACATCGGTTACAGATACCTCTTCACCAAGATCCTCATCATAGTCGTACCATTCATTTTCTCCATCTTCAAAAGAGCATTCCATTGTCTTACCAGAAAGCAACTCGACTACAAAAATTAAGTTTGATGGGTCTAGAGAAATCACTTCACATCCCCTGCAGTCTAATGACAAAAGTACAGCTTTCCCTAAATCAATATTCTTGATTCCGTGCTTCTTTCTCTTCGTTTTGATATTTGCCATCAATTCTTCACGGCATTCAGGACTGTAGATATATTCTTCATTGAGAGCCAAGGTTACGGAACAGTCTTTTCCACAAAATTTACATTTCATCACAAAAGAAGCCTTACCCTTACCACCACTCATCTCATGTTCTTCGAATCTGTTTATGGTGACCTTGGAATCATGCTTTTCCCGACAGTCAGTACAAACCAGTTCGAAACAGAACTCAGCCGGTTCCTCTTCTGTATCCTTGGGATACACACATTTGATGTTGTCCGATAGAGTTGCGGTAGCTGTTAGGTAGAGCATCCAAAGTTAGGTTTTTCTTGGACACATCAGACAGCGTTAGGCAAACTTTGTAAGAATCAAGAAAAAAAAAGACAAGTTCGTGCTCTCGAGTTTTCCAACTTACCGGAGAGAAGAGCAAAAGTGTAGTCCACGAAGGCTGATGCGATATTGTGGATGGCGTTCTACGTGGTATAGACGATCCATTCTTCAAAAATGGTACTCAACAAATACCAGCGCTTTCTGTAGTTTGTTTTCCACATCTAGCGCTCAAACGTCACTGAGACGCAAGCAAAGAACTATGGATATGGGTAGGACCTTGTGGCGGTACTTTAATGCACCAGGGAACTTAATGTTTGTGACAACAAATTTGGTTACTCTCGTAGGAATGATGTCTTACACTACTATTCATGAGCTAACCAGAGAGCAGACAGGTGTCGAACAAATCAATCAGGATGCCGAAAAGATTCTAATTGAAACGGGGGACAAATCTGCGGAAAATGAACCATTCAAAAGATATTCAGAGAAGGATATTCGGATTCACAAAGGCGATCCACCAATATCGTCTTATTCACAGCACGCTAAAATGTCATTATTTCACCTATTTTATTCCTTCTACACCTACCACGGAGTCTTATCAGCGGGGAAAGAGGCAGGGACTGATTGGAATCGAGAAATAGCGATGATTAAGGAAAGCGTCTACCAGAATAAAAGAAAAACAATTTCACCATATGTCTTCTACCAACTGTGGAAACAGCAGTTTGGAGAGGTGCTGACTAACTTGAGCAAATCACAGCAGTATCACTCTCCAAATTGGGGAGAATATCCAGCGGGTCTTCAGAAGATTTGCCAAGCCATCTACGATAACGAACTCCGAACTCTGGATGATTTTATTGATCTCTACAACACTGTAAGTGTTTCCTCACTCAAAATGCTATTGCAAGCATGGTTGTATGACAACTCATATTTATTTAAGGTCTCAACCAAGACCGATAATGAAGTATTCTATCGAGATCTGCTGAAGGCATCATCCACTGATAGAGTACTTTTCGATCGATATGCTTCTATTCTTCTCAACAATGACAATCCACGACGTAAAACTTTTTTCAATTCACATCCAAAGAATGGCGTGCTCACGGCATCCTTAGAGACCGTCATTCAAACATTAAACGGTACAGTGACTCTGGCGAAAACTGCTTTGGACAAGACAACCTACAATGATTGGATCATTCAACTTGTATCTATGATACGAAGGAACTGCATAATTAGTAAGGAACAGAAGGGCTCGCAAGCTGTGAGGATTATACTATCCGATGACCATACTGATCACTTACTTGCATCACCAGCGGAGAGGAGTGCTTGCTACAAGCTGGTCAGTAATAATACAGAAGCCATGGCAGCTTTAGGTGCCATCTCTGAGCTGGGGGATTAAGTAAACTTGTAAATAAAAAACCTAAAAACGAAAATAATGATCTGATTTGATGTTCAGAAGTTGATGTTCAGAAGGAGCCTGGCGGAGCTTGTTGAAAATCTTGAGTCTGAAAAAATTTTTGAAGCATGCGATGAGCTGAGTTTAAGTTGAAAGCTAAGTAGAAACCAGACCAAATGAAGTTTCTGACGACTAACTTTCTGAAATGCTCTGTCAAGGAATGTGATAGAAGTAACGATAACTTTCCCTTAAGATATAATGGCGAGAAATGCCAGCTCGAACAAGATGAAAGCATAGAATTCAATCCTGAGTTTTTACTCAGAATAATTGATAGAGTGGATTGGGATGCGGTACTCAGTGTTGCTTCAGACCTAGGAAACTCCAGCTTGCCTCCAAAAAAGCCTATTTTCGAGTCTGAACAGCTTTCGGATGAGGACATGGTCATCCTAAGAGACCTACATACGCTATTGATACAAACCAATATTATCGAGGGTGAGATGACTTGCAAGAACTGCGGGCATATCTATTATATCAAGAACAGCATTCCGAACTTGCTGTTGCCCCCTCATTTAGCTTGAAGCCGTGATGACCGATATATCACAGTTTTCATATGTATCACTATGTACATCACGTGCGTGATTTCTTCAAGGCATTTTTTTACCATTAAAAAAGGAGGCAGTTATCACTAATGATACTCAGAACCCCACTTCCAAGATCAAATAGGGAATTTACAGTTGTTGAAGGACGTTTTGGCAAAGAAGCGTAGATGGAAAACCAGCAGGTCATCTCACAGCCCCCTTCCTTTGGTGATAACAACCAGAGGTCGCGTAGCGTATCTCTTTCCAAGTTATTACCGCGGTCCCTGAGAAAAGCAAGCGTGACTCCTACAAATGAATCGAGCGCAGGGTCAACCTCATTAGGAGATAATGGGAAGTCCAAGGTACGTCCAAAGGACATTGATAAAACGGAAGAAATATTATCACCTTCGAACGCGCATTGCCACGTTTTAGAGGATGTCGAAGGACAAACGCCCGCTTCCCCAGACTTTTCCGATAACGTCGAACAGCAGCAACAGGAACAACAAATAACGTCGAGGTTTTCTTTGAAGATAAAAAACCTTTTCAAGTCGTCATCATCAAAAGTTCTCGACACTACTGTCTCTGAACCACTGCCCTCTCCTCCTGCGACCCCAGATGAAATTGAACTTCCGCAAACGCCGAACTTGGCACACACTCATTTACCTGTGGGTGTTGAGCCTACAAAATCTTCTGGTGAAAGCGGAAACAACTCTGCAAGAAGGATCAGGTCGCCATCAACTCCAATTATGCCAAGTCATATGTCTGCATCTCACCCAGTAGTGATGCAGGCTCTCAGCGGTAGTGCTCAAGGCTCACCGACAACAAGCACTGCTCGGGCCGACAGGCGATCTAATAGGTCAGATACTGTTCGAGGCAGCAACCCTTATTTTGTTTATCAAGGCCTTCCTCCTCATGCATTATCTTCACAAGATTTCGATAACAGCAACAACTCTAGTATGAGGCCTGGCGACTATCCTTCATTGTCGTCTGCAACAACTCCTACTACAGGATCATCACCGTTATCCACTTACATACAGAAGGATCACCGAAATTTGAGTAATCTCTCCTTAAATGATATAAATGAAAACGAAGAGGTGCAAAGTTTTGGTAATTCAAATATTACCAGCCCAGAAAGAAAGCAAACCAGCAGTACAAATCCCTTCAGAGAAAGCTCCACTAGCCCACGCATGCGGGCAGCGACTTTGTCTCCTTTTCCAGTGATAGTTGTTGAACCTGAATCGAGGCATGATGAAGAGCTGATTGCCCTTCCTCCACCAGCAATTGCTGAAGAAAGCGGGGGGAAGAATTCAAATGTTAAACCTGTTCTTCGCAGAGTAGCATCTGAACCGAATGCGTTGAAAAATGCTACCGGAAATTCAAATTCCTCTTCTTCAGTTTCGAATAAACACGAATCCCATAATGCATGTACAACATCTCAAGGTGATGATACGTCGGGAGCTATTTCAAAGGAGCCAAGGAGGTCAAGGCGTCTAAGGAACAAATCTTTTAGTAACAAATTTCAAGAGGTCGTTGTAGGTCCCCAGTCTTTTGAAAAAATCAAAATGTTGGGACAAGGAGATGTGGGGAAAGTCTATCTTGTTAAGGAGAAAAAGACTAACAGACTCTATGCTTTGAAGATCTTCAGCAAAGCTGAAATGATAAAAAGGAAAAAGATCAAACGTATTTTAGCTGAACAAGAAATTCTTGCCACCAGCAATCACCCATTTATCGTGACTCTTTACCATTCATTTCAATCGGAAGACTATCTGTATTTGTGCATGGAATATTGTATGGGAGGTGAGTTCTTCAGAGCACTTCAAACTCGCAAGACTAAATGTATTGATGAAGATGATGCAAGGTTCTACGCAAGCGAGGTAACGGCTGCATTAGAATACCTTCATTTGATGGGATTTATTTATAGGGATTTGAAGCCAGAAAATATTCTATTGCACCAATCGGGTCATATCATGCTGTCTGATTTTGACTTATCAGTTCAAGCAAAGGACACCAAAAACCCTGTGGTCAAAGGTTCGGCTTTATCATCGCTGCTGGACACTAAAATATGCTCTGATGGTTTCAGGACTAATTCATTCGTCGGAACGGAGGAATATATTGCGCCCGAGGTGATTCGAGGCAATGGCCATACAGCAGCCGTTGATTGGTGGACACTGGGGATTCTTATATATGAAATGCTCTTTGGATTTACTCCATTCAAAGGTGATAATACTAATCAGACATTTTCAAATATTTTGAAGAATGACGTTATTTTCCCAAATAACAATGAAATATCTAGAACTTGCAAGGACTTGATCAAAAGGCTTTTAACGAAGAATGAGACCAAGAGGTTGGGTTCGAAACTTGGAGCAAGTGACATAAAAAGACACCCATTTTTCAAAAAGGTCCAATGGTCATTGCTGAGAAATCAGGAACCACCGCTAATACCAGTTCTGACGGAGGACGGATATGATTTTACAAAGCTGTCAAACAACACTAACAAAGGAGTGGAGAAGAGCAAAGGAATTGGTAAGGGTAAAGGCTCCGGTGATCTTACGACCGAACAAGAAAGGATTATGTTTGAAGAAAAAGTAGAACCAGATGACATTGTATCTGATGATGACCCCTTTCATGACTTCAACTCAATGAGTTTGATGCAACAAGATAATAACTCATTAATTTACGGAGACAATAATTCTTATGGAAAAATATCATACACTCCGAATCATAATAGATCTCGAAGTAATAGTCATCGATTTTTCAAGAGAACATAAACACATATCTGATGTGCAGGGGGAAGGTAGTTACATAGCATTAAAAGGACTGTTGAGAGTTACATAGTTTCAAAAGTTTAAAGACTTTTTCTTCGTTACGCTGATTTGCTAACATTATCCTTTTGAACTCTTGAACAAAGTGTAAGCCTCTCCCACATTCCATTTGATTCTTGAAATTTTCTGAAATACAATAGGCACGGTTTATAATTTCAGTTGAGATATTTGCGAGTCGTGCAACATTCAGGCCATAAGAGCTATGCGTTGGTCCTCTGCGAAGCTCATACAGCAATATAACGCTTGGCCAGTTTTCACCAGGCTTTCTTTCCTCAATATATGACATATGATAATTTTCTAGCAGTTTGGATGTAATTTCCCCTAAAATGGGATAGTGCGTAATGAACAAGATAAAAGGGCATTCCGATTCAAGATCAAGAAAATACTTCAGAATTGCATAAGATATGCTCACGCCGTCTGTAGTTCCAGTTCCTCTACCAACCTCGTCCAAAAGAAGAAGAGAATTCGGCTTGCTTTTGTTAACAATTTCTAACATTTCCAACATTTCTACCATGAAAGTTGATTCCCCTCGAAGGATATTGTCATGAGCTCCAATTCGTGTGAAAACGCTATCAAAAACCGAAAGATCAGCACGTTCCGCGGGTACGAATGAGCCAATTTGAGCAAGAATGACTGTTAAGGCAACCTGTCTGATGTAAGAAGATTTTCCGCCCATGTTGGGCCCTGTTATGACCATTACTTTATTGTTGTCTTCAAACATTTCCACGTCATTTGGAACATAATTTACATCTAAGCATTCAATGATGGGATTCCTTCCGTTTTTGACTTTTATAAAACGCTTTCCCTTTTTGAAAATTGGCCTCGTGTAGTTTTTATTCATAGAAGTTGCTGCTAGGGATAAGATGCAATCAAAAGATGCCAAATCATCTATGATTTGCCTTAAGTTTTCATAGTCAGTCTTAATGCGTCCTAGGAATTTTCTGTATTCATCTTCGGTGACTATCACCAATAAGTTCCTTTGTAACTCCAATTGCTCGACTAATTTCGTTGTTTCAGGAGTACGAAATCTACTTAAGGCTTTGGTGCAGTTGACTTTAACCCACTCTTTTGGTAAATGAGAAATCTGTGAATTTCGGACTTCGATGAGATACTCGTTTTCATCTCGAAAAGTGAATTTTGGTCTATTGAGGGTCTTTCTTATGCGTTCCAACTCCTTTTGTAAGTCGTCTTTGATATCTTGAATATCTCGGAGCTTTTTGATAATGACTTCAGAATTATCGTAATTATTCAAATTGAAAAATTCGATGCATTGTTTCTCTTTATCCTTGTCCAGAACCGCAACAACATTTATCATGTTGAGGAGTTTGGGTATGTCGAAATTTCTCAATCGGTTATCGAGGCTACAAAAAATTGATGCCAGGAGTTTTGAACTCTTGAAAATACCACCCTGTGTTGATAGAATCTCGTCCTCGACATAATTGCGATGAGCGAGAAAATGTTTGGCAATTTTATCGAGATGCCTTAAGAAAAAAAATACTTCCCTTCGTGAAGTCTGGCCATAGTAGATTCTGTTCAAGATACGCAAAAAGTCGGGCGTTTCTCGAAGCATTGTACTTAATCCCTCCATAAATACCTTTCTAATCTCCTTCCTGATACATTCTACCGCATCTAATCTTTCGTTAATGTAATCTTCATTAACTAATGGCCGAGATAGCCAATTTTTAAGCTTTTCAGATCCAAATGGGGTTCTGGTATGATCCAGTAACCAGAAAAGAGAGCCTCTTTCGCTTTTATCCGTTTTATTTTCAAATATTTCCAAGCTCTCTAATGTATTTGGTGATAGTATCATGTGTGATTTTTCCTCAAAGGGATGGTAGTTTGTGGCCAAGTCCATTACCTGCTCAGTATCGTAAGATTTTAAATAAGAGCGTAATACTGAGGCCACTCTTTCTAGATCAAACGAAAAATTTAGAGCATCTGGTGAGACCTGTACACTTTCATCTTCAAGAGAAGCCTCCCTGATGTTTACGTTAATACCGTGATTATACTTGGATAAAAGCTTTAACACTTTTTCAGGTAGGGGCGTTTCAGTGACTATTTCAATGGGGTTAAGATATGAAACACGCTTTTCAAACTCAATCATCAGTCCTTTTTCTTCAGAGAAGCTGTCGTAAATAATTTCTCCCGTGTTTAGTTGCACAGACAGCAGCCAATAATGATACTCGTCTCTGGTTTGGTGACACTTTAAGGCCCAGATTGTACTTCGTCCAGTGCTTGAAGTTTCAGAACCAGATTGGAATGTTTCGTTGACATCATATGTTGCACGAGTGAAAACTTTGCTAACAGATCTTTGAAAAACGCCGCTTGTGTTACCACTGCTCTTCTTTATAGCCTGCGTTTCATTTTGCTCTACCACTCCAACTTTTAAGTTGTGGTGAAGCAAACGTTGGAGGTGAACTTCAAGTCTATTATCCGGAATGCTGCAATAAGCTAGCTGTCGGTATAGATGATCGTCTGGATTGGAGTCATCTAAGGTGAGTTTTCCCTTTATTAGCATTATTTGTAGAATTTTACTCACTACAACAGCATCCATAGCAAAAAACTTATACTTATAGCCAACTCTGATTGCCAAGATTTTATCCATGTTAGCGAGCTTCAAATCTTTAACCTGCTGGTCTAGAGGCGTTAGTTTAGAGGAGCTTTTTGATTTTTTTGATGCAGGTTCATTGCTAGTGTCGTCTTGCGTAAATTCTTTATTGGGGGTCATTTTTCCGTAGTCTCTTTTCTGAAGAATTGATTGCAACTTATTTGCAAACGTTTGCGATCCCTTGTCTTGAGGTTTTAATTGAATAGCATTTGCTTGGATCGATTGTAGTTCACGGGTTGAAGGCGCTGAAGCAACTGTGTGACCGTCTGTCATCTTTTTGGAAATGCTTGAAAATCTGTGATTGAAGTTTTGCGGCGGAATCGAATTAGAAGGCAGCCTCGTTGAAGGCTCGTCTGATTCTGCAACTGTTTCGATTTCATGCAAATCATGAAAAGGTATTTTAGCCTGCCTCTCTGTTTCCTCTGATTTACTGTTCTCAAATTTCGAATGTGAAGGCTTTCGGGCTGTAACAAAGAACTTGCTAATTGTTGGTTGGTAAGACATTGCAACTATCAGTTACGGTTAGTTTTTCATTCTAAATCATTGAAGATTAAACTATGATATTCTTCGAAATTTCGTTCAACTTGATGCTATTAGAAGGGCAGTCAAGGGTTACAACATAGCAAGGTTTAACGATAAGAATATCAGACCAGAGATAGGTATATTTTGGAGACAAACGAATTGATCCTCGCTCCATGAAACATCTATTACTTATTTTTATAATTTCCCTTAGCTTTCAATTTAATTTTGAATTTAGATACTCAAAATCCTACAAACATGACAAAAATATGAATCTGCAATTTTAAGAAATGAGACTCTTAACCCCAGTGGGAGAATGACAACTATTTAAAGCGAAAGAATGCTCACGCTAAGATGGATAGATACAAAGAACTTCTGTTCTTTGGTATAATACGTTTTAAATTGAAAAAGCTTGCTTTGAAAAACGAAAAAAATTCAGAGAGCCAGATGCACAAGGTGTTATCATTTAAGATGTTAGTGTATCGATGAAGGATTTATTAGCATAAAACTAAGATCTAAGGTATGTTAAGTCAAATCTTAACGAATCATGATTACATAATCTTAATTCGTGTGAAAGACCGGGTAACATTGCTTCGGGAAGGGGGCAAAATTTTTCTTCGATTGCATCACAACAGCTTGGGCGGATTTCTCAATTGAAGCTAATTAACAATTAGCATTAGAGATAGCCCAGGTCATTTTACATCAAGTGGTAAGTTTTTAGAACTTTTAGGATAATTCTTTGTTTTTCGGCGGTGCTCAATCCAATTTGTGTGGTTTATTATCTTCTCTTTTTACCACTACGGGAAGTTACTGAAGAATTGTGAATTATCAAGTGAATTCTTTATCGTAAAATTGTTACTAACCCCAGCTCAGGCTGATCACTTTATTACATGCATACTCCGCAGCCTTTCAATTACAGCAAGAAAGAAGATATCCAAGCAGCCCAAATTATCATCACACAAATCAGTGTTTTAATTACCTCTGCTAATAAGTCTAACCATACCCAGGTAGAAAAGGAAATCAATAATTTGTTGGAGAAGTCTCCACTTATTGTTTACATCAAATATTGGAAAAAGCTTTTAACACTAACTTCTGTACACATAAAAGAGAACCGTACATTAGATCTCGCATCCAATTTTTTGCACACTTTACTTTACCACCTGTTCCAAACACTGGCATACAAAAATAACGAATCGCTAGATATAGTCAAAAGAGAAGTCTTGGAAAACAAGAATTTTTTGGCACAAATAGATCTCGAACCACATTACTTGTTAGAGCTTCTCGATACAGAAAAGGACGCGCAGATCATTATCAAGCTCAACGCAGGATCTCATATCGAATATTTAACGAATTTACGAAAGTTGAGAATGAACACGTCGCAATCTTTGCAGCAATTTTTAAGCGGACAGACACCTGAAACTCTGGAGCCCAACCTGAGCAGTCTTCTATCTTCTTTGGAGGGCGAAAGCTTAAATGATATGGTAGCATTGATTTTATCGGAAGTATTGTGCCCTGGATCACAGAATGTACAGCAATCTTCATCGACGTGGTTTACTCCTTCTGCGATAGGGGAAGCTTTGCAGAGGGGAGTTCAAGTATGCAACTCATTCACAAAGTTAGGCCCTTCAGCTATTGATTGGAATCGGGTATTCAATCTTATGTCCACCAAATATTTTCTTAACCGCGCAATTTCGGTTTCACTAGCATCTTTGAATGCCCTTTTTGCCGCTCTTAATCACGGCCGCTTGATCGACCAGTTTTTCAGTTGCGATTGGGATGCCCAATTTAAGCTAAATATCTGCCTCCTTTTGCACAAATGGGATTTGCAACAAGGTTGCGTTGACCTTTTGAAGATGCCTCACATCAAGAAAGTTTCCGATTCGTTGACAAACACAGACAACACTCTACTATATTTGATGTTCGCCGCAAAATTAGACGTCGAAATATTTCTTCTCCGAGAAGAAGTTGCTAGCAATCCGATGCTTCCTCTATTCCAGGAGTATTTTTTTGCAGACTATAATGCAGCTCCAGAATACTTGGCCCTCGCGTTAATGTCTGACACTAAACATTTCACATTACTTGTCGAGAATAAATCTGTGATTGACGAATTGCTCATCACTCTACTCATTCAAGTTTTCGAGAAATCACCCGGTGTGACATCGGAAGTAATCAAGAAGTTAAGCTCTGAGAAAATACTAGAAGTTGGGAGATTTATAATCGGTAAAGATACTGCAGCATTGACCAACTTCATACAGGCGTTATCAAATGAAGGACTTTTGGTCGAATTCATGAAGAATCTATCATTCAAAGAAGCACTCAAAATTTCGCCTATTGCAAGAAAGTCAGGATGGCCAGACTTTGACGAATTTTTGAAGATCAACTTAACCGCGGAGAACGTGTCAGCCATTTTAGATTTTCTCGATATTCAATCTAAAATGGATGACTCTAATACGCCATATAGATCTTCAAAGGTCTATGATATGCCTGCTTTACATCATATAATTACTGCGTTGAACTCCTCTACAATGACTTCTTCAGAGCGGTCAAGGTTTGAGATTATTCAATTTTCCCTTCTGATCGCATTCCCCAGATTGATTAACTATGGCTTTGGTCATGATCAAGCAATTTTGGCAAATGGAGACCTCGTTCCCATTCCTATGAATGTTGAAAAAGAAATGCAGAATTATCTTCAAAAAATGTACAGCGGCGAATTGGCGATAAAAGACGTCATTGAAATTTTGAGAAAACTGAGGGATAGCGATGACCCTCATGATCAAGATCTTTTTGCCTGCATGACTCATGCGGTTATCGCAGAATCAAACTTCTTCAAAGACTATCCTTTGGAAGCTCTGGCTACAACTTCTGTATTATTTGGCTCCATGATTCTTTTTCAACTTCTACGCGGTTTTGTATTAGATGTCGCATTTACTATTATTCTAAATTTTGCTAGGGATGGGAATGAATCAAAGATGTTCAAATTCTCCGTACAAGCTTTGTATGCCTTCAGAATGCGTTTGAAAGATTTCCCTGAGTATTGTCGTCACCTAATCGACGAAGTTCCAGCGTTGAAAAGCCAGCCACAAATCTTCCAAACATTAAGTGAAGCAGCTGCCCAGCCTTCAGAGAGGTATTCCAACAAGCAACAAAACTTTCAATCAGCTCCAGAAATGATAAGCCTTAACTACTGTTCTCTTAATGAAGTTCCACCAGAAGTCGTTCAAGATTTTCCTCCACGTGAGTTAACGGAAAAAGTGCTGTTCGTGGTAAATAACATAACCATGGATAATTTCGATGATAAAATGGTCGACTTAAAAGGTGCTCTTGAACAAAAATATTTCGGCTGGTTTTCAAATTACTTGGTAAATCAGAGAGCAAAAACAGAGCCTAACTATCATCTTCTATATGCGAAACTGTTGAACTGTTTTGATGCCAAACTGTTGTATGATTATATTCTGAATGCCACCTTCCAGCAAGTTTTCTTATTACTTTCCACAAAGGAACTACAACCTAACGACAAGACTCATTTGAAGAATTTAGGATCATGGTTGGGTAGCATTACTCTATCTCTCAACAAACCAATTCGCCATCAGAATATTGCTTTCAAGGAGCTTTTACTGGATGCCCATCGCACAGGCCGTTTGGATATCGTTGTACCATTTGTAACTAGAATTTTACAACAAGTTGCGAACTCAAAGATATTTATGCCTCCCAATCCTTGGACTTTGGGCATATTGAAGGTGCTCTTGGAACTAAATCAAAAAGCTAATTGGAAGTTGAGCCTCACTTTTGAAGTAGAGGTTACTTTCAAGACATTAAAATTAAAGTTAGATGATGTTGAGCCATCTAACTATGTTAACGTTCCTGATATTGCAGAGAACTTGGCAGGGCATATCAAATCTCTGACATTGGACCAACAACAGGCTGAACAACAACAACAATTGGTAGTTATGCAGCAATACCAACAGCAATTCGTGTTAATGCAACATAGACAACAACAACAACAACAGCAAGTGGTATCCGGTACAGTACCGTCTAATATTGAACAAGGACATACATCAATAGAGTCGGCAACTGCAAGTGAAAACCCATTCAGTAACTTATTGGGAAGCACGATGTTCGTAACTCACCCGGATTTAAAGCGGGTATTTCAGATGGCTATCGCCAAATCAGTGCGTGAAATTTTAGTCCCCGCAGTTGATAAGTCTTCAGGAATTGCGGCTGTTACTACTATGAGTCTTGTGCTGAAAGATTTTGCTACTGAAGTTGATGAGTTCAAGCTGAAAACTGCGGCAATTTCAATGGTACGGCATTTAGCCCAAAGCTTATCCCGTGCCACATCGATAGATTTACTGAAGGACACTATTCGAAGCACAACGCAGGCGCTCGCTCCAAATCTAATGAATATGCCAAACTCTCCCATTGAGGAGCTCAACGCAGCGATCAATGATAACATTGGCATCGCTTTAGGCTTAATTGAAAAAGCTACGATGGATAAGGCCACTCAGGACGTTAGCGAACAGTTGTTGCAGGCAATTGCAGTCAGGAGATATCATAAGGAGAGACGGTCCGACCAGCTATTCCTCGCCCAAAATGCAAACTCTTTTTCCTTGACGCTACCGGAGCCTCTAGGTCTGAAGCCCACAGGTGTCACTCCCCAGCAATTTAGAATTTATGAAGAGTTTGGTAAAACAGCTTCAGTTCCTGCAGAACAAAATACCGGTACAAGTTTGGGCACGATTGGAAATACGCCAATGGGAGTCATTCCACAGCAGGTATTAGGACAACAAATGTCGCAACAACAACAACAACAACAACAACAACAACAACAACAACAACAACAACAACAACAACAACAACAACAACAACAACAGCAGCAACAACAGCAGCAACAGCAACAGCAACAGCAACAACAACAGCAACAGCAACAACAACAACAGCAACAGCAGCAACAACAACAACAACAACAACAACAACAACAACAACAACAACAACAACAACAACAACAGCAGCAACAAGAACTTCAAAAGCAAGACCAACAGCAGCATAAACAGCTTTTACTTCAGCAGTTACAGCAATCACAAAACTCTAATCAACCTCCTTCTGTGCTACCACAAGCTGCAATTCAAAATGAATTAGAACAGAATCACAGAGTTTTAGTCCTCTTAATGGATAGTCTAGTGGCATTGATAAAGGAGAACGCCGACAAGCGTCTAGATGATCTTGGCCAGGAGAGCAGTATCAAGGATATTATTCTTCAGATTTTGGGCTTTATATCCAGAAGTAATCAAAAGGATCAGCTGGCATTGAAAGTATCCCAGGCTGTAGTCAATAGTCTCTTTGCCACAAGTGAAAGCCCCTTATGCAGGGAAGTATTATCGCTGCTATTGGAAAAACTATGTTCCTTATCAGTCGTTGCACGTAAGGATGTGGTATGGTGGCTAGTATATGCTCTAGATGCAAGAAAGTTCAATGTTCCGGTTATACGATCATTGTTAAATGTGAATTTGATCAACATCTCGGAACTTGACTCTGTATTAGTCATTGCCATGAAAAACTCCATGGAAGGAGCTGTCGACTTTGCAATAAATTTAATAAGAGACACTGTACTATCTGAACAGCCTTTACTCATGCGCTTAGACTTCATCAACACCCTGGCTTATTTGAAATCAATTGATAATGAAAATACAAATTCATTTTTCTTGGAATACGAGAATACGAGAATATTACCTGTGCCAAAAGCGACAAGATCGACAAACAAAGAAAGAATGTATTTGGTATTCACTGAATGGGTAAAACTGTTGCAACGTGTACCTTCGGATGATGTCGGAGTTTTGGTATTCATAAGGCAGATGGTTAGTAAAGGTGTTTTGGATCAAAGCGACAAACTGATAGAGTTTTGCAAGGCGGCTATCGAGCTTTCTGTGAACTCATTCAAAGAAAGTGATCCGACAAGCGAAGTTTTTATCGCGATAGATGCTTTCAGTACTCTCATTGTGAAGCTGCTCTGTTTGTTGGACTTTTCTCAAAGCACTAGAAAGGAATATTTTGAGATTATATTTTCAACAATTACTCTTGTATTCTCTGAAGATCAAGCCAAAAATGGCAACAATTTCAATGAGAGACCTTACTTCAGACTTTTATCGAGCTTACTCTGCGAGTGGGAATACTTACGAGGCCATAATTTTGCGAAGATTAAAGATGCACGAGCCAGAAAGGAGCTGAAGGAGTTTGAAGAACAATTCTTTGAAGTGTTCGCATCATTCTTACATGCCTATCAGCCTATTGCATTTCCGGGATTTTCTTTTGCTTGGATCACACTATTGTCCCATAGAATGTTCTTGCCTAGGTTGTTAAGACTACCAGACAAAAAGGGCTGGCCAAAATTACTTTTGCTATTCAGTGATCTCTTGAAGTTTATGGGCCAGTACACTAAAAAGAGTCACGTACCTGATGCAATATCAGTTGTGTACAAAGGGACTTTACGAATCTTTTTAGCTGTCGGCAATGACACTCCCGAGTTTTTGGTTGAAAATCATTACGTGCTCTTGAACTATCTTCCGATGGTTTACATGCAGCTACGGAATATCATTTTAGCAGCTTTTCCTAAGAAGCTGTCAATTCCGGATCCCTATGATCCTAATCTAGAAATCGAGAAAACAGAACTTTGTCAAGACGCACCTTTGATATTTTATGATCCTGTACAAGATTTGAAAAACCTTAAGAAGCCTGTGGATAACTATTTAAGGATTCCAACCACTTCCTTGATGAGAACAATCTCATCTGGAGTTTACTTGAACGAGTATGAAAGAGAGAATGGTATAGGATATGATAAAACAGCTGTAGATGTTAAATTGATCAATGCCATCGTTTTGCATGTGGGTATCGAAGCGGCACTTGAAAAGGAAAAAACATCCGCAAATGCCATATTCAATACAGAATCATCTTACTACACAATATTGACTAACTTGATAACTGAAGGCACAACTGAAGTCAAGTTTTACGTCGTGCAGGCTATCTCCAATCAATTAAGATATCCCAACGCTCACACATTATGGTTCAATTACGTCCTCAAGAATATGTTCACTTCGAATGAATGGGGTGACAACAAGGCTGAGATTCAAGAAATCATAATTCGCACTCTATTAGAACGTATCATTACCAACAAGCCTCATTGCTGGGGCGTTATTGTTACCTTCACCGATCTCCTCAGGTTGAATGATGAATCCTTGGCGGATCTCTCTTTCATCAAAGATATTCCAGAAGTTGAATTAATTGTCAGAAATCTTTCCAAGTATATTGTGAAATCCCAGGCCGCACCAGATAGTCCTCTAGAGTCTCAACTAAATTCTCAAGAGGTCAAGTCAGAAGCATAGACTAGGTTCTTTCAACGTGTATAATGATATAAACGAATTAAATTAGTCCATTTTGTACTGCCACTATTGAGAGTGAACACATTCATCATCCAACGGAGGAAACTGACCCGTGAAATCGCCTGAAAGCCTTCACGTAAATGGTAAGTTTTTGGAACAGGAAGAAACCAGCCGAAGAATCTGGGGAGGATCTTACAAAGAAATCTCGCAGACCGCCAAACACAGCCTTTCGACAGCAGAGATTGAAGGCTTGGCAGCCGATTCTTTCACCTCAATCGGTATTACCATTATTGATTCTCATAAGTGCTATTTTTGCACCAATTGGTGTCGCTTTAATTATTACCGCCAATAACGTTCAGAATCTTATTATTAATTACAGTCAGTGTGATACCGTAGCTAACTCGGATTCTTTCACTACCATACCCTCACAATACATTAAATACCATTTCAAAAAAAAACTAGAGGTGAAACCATCTTGGAAGCTTTCTGGAAGTGGAACAGATTCATCCATTTGTCAATTACAATTTGAAATTCCCAATGATATAAAAAAGTCCATCTACGTTTATTATAGGTTGACAAATTTTTACCAAAATCATCGAAAGTATGTGCAATCCTTTGATATCAATCAGATAAAAGGGGACGCTGTTGGTGTAAATGATTTATCCAGTGACTGCAGCCCACTCAAGAATAACGAGGATCGTGTCATATATCCTTGTGGACTTATTGCCAACTCTCTATTCAACGATACTTTCTCTCTCACTCTACAAGGAATAGACGGTACTAGTAACTATGTTATGACAAATAAGGACATCTCATGGAAAGCAGATAGGAAAAGATTCAAGAAAACGAATTATAACGCCTCTCAAATTATTCCCCCACCAAACTGGATGAAAAAATATCCCGAGGGCTACAATGATGATAATATTCCTGATTTATCTACTTGGGAAGAACTTCAAGTGTGGATGCGGACTGCAGGTCTTCCAAAATTCTACAAACTTGCGCTTAAGAATGAAACGGCCGATTTACCGAAGGGCATCTACCAAATGGACGTTGGCCTGAATTATCCTGTTTCAATCTTTGGAGGATCAAAGTCATTCATACTCACTACAAATAGCATCATAGGCGGTCGTAACATGTCTTTAGGTGTGGTATATCTGATAGTCGCAGGCATCTCCATCATGTTCGGCATAATATTTCTCATCAAACTTATCGTCCAACCACGCAAACTAGGGGATCATTCTTACTTAAATTTTGAGGAAGGTCAAGACTTGAATGCCACTCCATCGGTTGCAGAGGTTCCTCTCAGAGAGATATTATAGAGAAACCTAGCTGTATAGCGCATATACTAAATTTATGGATCCGTCTATATCATGTCGAACGTATTATTCGAAGTATAAGGCCTGAAAATGTGTATGACAGGACTTACTTCGTACCCTTGGAGAATACTGAATACAGTTCGCAAAGATGTCAAGAGCAAAAAGACTTATGAAAGAGCTTCAGGCTGTCAAAGATGATCCAGAGGCTAATGTTAATTTGGAATTCGTCAGTGAAACCGATATTCATCACCTTAAGGGATCTTTTTTGGGTCCTCCAGGTACACCTTACGAAGGCGGTAAATTCATTGTAGACATTGAAGTACCTATGGAATACCCCTTTAAACCTCCGAAAATGAAGTTTGACACTAAAGTCTATCATCCTAATATCTCATCGGTCACTGGTGCCATTTGCCTCGATATTTTGAAGAATGCATGGTCGCCTGTGATCACATTGAAATCTGCCCTGATTTCCCTTCAAGCTCTTTTGCAATCTCCCGAGCCAAATGATCCACAAGATGCAGAGGTAGCGCAGCACTATATTAGGGATAAAGCATCCTTCGATAAAACAGCTGCCTTATGGACACGCACCTATGCTCCAATAGATATTTTGGAACCTAAGAACAATGTCGACGAGGCTGATCTCTACGGTATTGACAAAGCCTTGATAGAACAGTTTTTGTCGCAAGGTTTCGAAGAAGCAAAAACAGTCGAAGTTTTAAGAAGGTTGGGTATCAAGTCTATGGATCCTTCTGACAATGAAACTGCAAATAGAATATTAGAAGAGCTTTTGAAATAAGCCTTTCAGTCACTGTCCGAAAGATGAATGGGAGTCTACGATCGAAAGCATGTTAATACAGCGTGTAAGTATTATTAAGAGGATGTTTATTATTAACGCAAAGAGAAACTAAAGAGGATATATAAATGTCTTGTTTTCTAAGTCAGTCAAATCCAGTAGAGCAACATCAACTTTCACCTTTTCACCGTTTTCCTCCACAAACCCAATATGATCGTTCACCGAGTCTATTTCCGATAGCCTGGTCTGATTTCTGCGTCTTAACAAGTACCATATCACTAGAGCAATTAAAGGAGCCATAAAGAATGATAGAACTATTTGTACTATCCAGGCAGGAGTGTATCGAGGGCTGTTCTTTTCTTGCCATAACTGGGGTGAGATAATATTGGCAATACCATACCAAAACATCACAACAGCATTTCTAGTCAGTTTCTTTGTATACCCGGAACAACTAGTGGTGTTCCAACTGAACATTAAGATCCATGGAATACCAAATAGAGGTGACGCTAAACAAAGCATAGCAAGCAAGGCTATCTTCTTATCCCAAGGAATAGCGACGACTGCAATGGACGCTGCGAAACAAGGAACAGTCCAAAAGACAACGGAAAAAGCGGTGTAATTCTTCTTGTACATAAGGAAAACCGTAGCAATAACAGCACAAACAGCAGCAAATCCACCAGAAGCTACAGACACCAAAGTGGAATCCAAGTTTGTAATTTCACCAATACCCTCAAACAATAAGTTTTGTTGGTAGGGCAAGTTATTGGCTAATTGCTGAAGAAGGAAGAAAGCTCCAAAAAGCCAAGTAATTGGATCCAAAAGTGCCTCTTTTACTTGGTATCTCTTGAAAACCTTTTGCTCAATAGAAGAGCCAGTAGTCTTCTGCACTCTTCTGATGACCCAAACTTTTTCCTCCGTAGATAAAAACTTGGCATCCGTAGGATTGTTTGGATACAAAAGAGCCACTAACACAGTCATCAAGAATGTACAACCACCTATGATAATAGTGAAAATCTTCCATAGAGGGATGGGTGGGTTATTAATATGCAAGACACCGTATGCGATGAAACCAACAGGAATAGTGACTCCTAAACATGTGGAGTAAAAGATAGGAGCTGTGGCAGCTTTTTCCTCAGCAGTCAAAAACTGACCCATAGTAGTATTGAGTACAGGAATTGCAATAGATTCCACGAAACCCAAAAAAAACCTCAACGCATACACCCCCTCGTAGTTAAAAGCCGTACAATGAAGGAATATTATAGCACACCACAGTCCAGCCATGGCAGTCATCACTCTTCCAATTGGAAGCTTTTGCACGAAATATAGATTACCTTGACCCACAATATACCCGAAGTAAAACAAAGTATTGGCGTTATTATACTTGTTCTGTGTCAAACCAGTATCATCCCAGAACTCGAAAATGGAGGCATAAGACATAACAGCTTTGTCGGAATACAATATTAGATTGATTAAAGCAGTCAAAGGGACAATAGTCCACATCACTTTCCTGGACAATTTTCGCTCTTGAGCTGGCGTAATCGGTGAAACCAAATGATCATTATCCTCTAAAAATGCAAGAGTCACGTCGGCATCTAGAGAGCTAATGACTTTGTATTTTTCAATCTGCTCCAAATCTTTCTCATTAGGCTGCGATACTACGCAATCCAATTCATTGCTTTCTTCTGCATCGGGGGTATTACTTATCTTCTCGTTTGCAGCAAGTTCTTGCCGTTCAATAGACGATGATGAAATTGTCGCCATTATTGATAATTTTACAGCGCAAGTGTCATGTCGAAACAAAGAAGCTGTTCTTTCTTATACATTGCTTCTGTTGTTCAACGTCTTTTACTAAGTGATGTATGCCACAATCGAGTAGATGCCACACTTATCTCTATAGGATATCTCGTGTTAGACGCCTCTGTTCTTAAGACCGTTGAAGCCCAGATTCGGTGATAACAAAACCTGGAAAAGTTCGTAGAGCGGAAATATTTCAGCAACGTTCTGGAAAGTCTCGACGATCTCAAATCTGTGTGGCTCCCACCGCCTGCAGGAAAAAAAATTTTCCACAAGGGGGACAAGAAATGACTTCAAAGCTTACAAATAAAGCAAAGGCAAAGCTGAACTGTTGTACAGTCACACACACGTTGTCTTCATGTAAGGCTTCTCGAGGTGAGGCGTAAGCGTTAAAGTTACACCTGAAAGCCGAGATCATCGGGAAACAAGAGGAAATCATTGTTCAAGAGAAAACTATTATTCAAGAGAAAGCTGGTACGGAGAAGTGCCAAGCATACGTTCAAAAGGTAATCAAAAGGTATCATTCAATTCTGAAATTGACGAACGGTAGTTAGTGCTTAGAAAAACAATTCGTAGTCTATTAAAAACTGAAGCAAGGGCCTGCCATGTTCTTCGGCCGCAACTATTCCATGGCCTAACCCACATGCATCTAAATCTGCTAAATCAATCGTAGAATATAATCTTTGTTCGATCGTATAACGGCCTGATGGTATGCTATATTCACAAAGGTGGAGTTAGACCTCTCGAATCGGAAACGTACAAATCAGAATCGCAAGCTCACATCGAAAGGGTAGGAACTTGCCAAATCCAAAACTGGATTCGAAGAGGATGTTATCCCGTATGATTTATGCATCACCATAACCACCACCGCCAGGCGTCATTATTACTAAGCGATCACCTGGCTTAGCGTTGATAGTATTTTTACCCCCTATGTTGATAACAGCACCATTTTCTTTTCTTATCCACAAATTGAGACCTCTTGCCCCATTTTCTCCGCCTTCGAGCCCCTGTGGTTGGATGACACGACGCTCTGAGAGAATAGATGCTTGTACTGGTGCGCAAAACATTATTTCTCGTACTAAGCCATCACCTCCTTTGTATTTGCCATTACCGCCAGATCCCCTCCTTATTGAAAATTGCTCAAGTACCACCGGATATCTTCTCTCCAGAATTTCAACGTCAGTCATTCGGGTGTTAGTCATGTTTGTATGTACCGCGTGAACCCCATTCCATCCAGGGCCTCTCCATGAATCTCCGCCTGCACCATGCCCCCCACATATTGTCTCGTAGTAGCCAAAACCTTTAGAAATCTTGCCGGTTTTGGCATCTTTTCCACCCTGTCCAAATGTTAGGTTATTGCAGTCACCCTGGGAGTCACCCATCACTTTGAAAGTTTTAAGAACGACATCAGTTACCCGCTGAGATGTTAAAACATTGCCTCCGACAACAGCAGCACCCTTCCTTGGACTTAAAATCGAGCCCTTGGGAATATTGATTGTGATAGGTTTCAGACATCCTTGATTCAATGGTATATCTTCATTAACAAGACATCGTAAGCAGTATAAAATTGCAGAGTTTGTAATAGATTCTGGCGCATTCAGATTAGCATAAACCTGTGGAGATGTTCCATCAAAATCGAAAATATAGTTTTCATTGGTTACATCCAATGTAACCGTGAGTTTAATGACACTACCATCATCCATGTAATCTTCATTCCCAAACTTTGTGACCCCAAAATGCTCAGTCATTCTCTTCAAAACCCTTTTAATGGTATCCGAAGCATTTTCTTGAATCGCCTTCATGTACTTGACAATAGTTTCAAGCCCAAAGTCTTTCATAAGCATAGTAATCAATTGAATACCCTTCACGTTAGCTGCAATTTGTGCTTTCAAGTCACTAATATTATCGGTTAGTCTTCTTGACCCTGAACAGCCGGGGAACTTCGCCGGATCTTCAAAAAGGAGTTTGCGAACCAAATCTTCGTTAAATATACCCCTTTTGACAAGAAGCTCAGAATATATAGCTGCTCCTTCTTCATAAAGTTCTCTCGAATTTGGTGGAACCGATCCTGGTAAAATCCCTCCTATATCTGCATGGTGAGCCCTTGAAGCTACGTAAAAGATCAATTCTCCTGTCGTCTCTGAAAATGCTGGACTAACCACAGTAATATCGGGCAAATGTGTTCCACCCATTTCAGGATGGTTACTGAAAAGCACATCACCCGGTTTCAGCTTTCCTTTCCACAACTTTGCCTGGGCAGCTATACAAGTTGACATCGAGCCTAAATGAACCGGCACATGTGGAGCATTGGCCACCAAATTACCATCAGGGTCAAATAAGGCACAAGAAAAGTCGAGCCTTTCTTTAACATTTGTTGACACTGAGGTTTTTCGCAATTGATTCCCCATTTGCTCGGCAATATCCATGAATCTATGACTGAAAATAGAAAGAAGAACGGGATCAATTACATCATTGGATTCTTGTGCATGCTCTTTTGTTTGTGAAACAATCTTAATCACAATGTGTGACTTGGTAACAATCGCTTCAGCACTAGGTGGTATGACATTAGTTTGAGTTTCATCGGCTAAAATGGCGGGTCCCTTAATGCGACTGCCTACAGCAATGTTATCAAGCCTAAACACGGGAGTTTCAACTCGTTCTCCATCGAAATACACTTTTTTGAGAAATTCTGCTTCTTTTGAGCCGGAAATACTTTTAACAACAGTTTTGGAGAGCTCTACATCAACCGAATCAACTGCCCGTAAATGCGAATGCCCAATTGCTCTTAATCGTATGTCATCCACTATAATTCGTCTACCGGTGAAAGTGAAGCCAAATTCCCTTTTATGAGCACTTGTAAAAGCTGCCCCAAAATCCCACGATTCTTCTTGCTCTTGGAAAGTCATCAATCCTGCCTCAGTACCCTCGTATCTCAGATTCAAATATTTCTCAAGTGTTATGTCACTTGCAGTAAACCCCTGACTTGCCAATTTACTTGTACAGATAGTAATTAGTCTCTCGAAAGCTGCGCTCAGGTTCTTTTGGGTTCCATCATCCCCCAGAATAAAAGAGCAGGGTTCTTGACATTCTTCCACAACGTCTGCAAGGAACATTCCGTACGCCGAAAGAATAGAGGAATAGCGATGTGCGATGATCGTATTGATTCCAAGTGATTTTGCAACAGCTACTGCATGCTGCCCACCGGCACCTCCGAAAGTGACCAACCTATGATCAGAAACAATATGTCCCCTTGCCTCTGTTAAAGTTCGGATGGGCCTAGCCATTGCCTCGTTAGCAACCTTGATGAAGCCATAGGCCACTTGATCGGGGCTGAGCTCATGCCCCGATTCATTGATGCTTTTCGTAAGCTCCATGAACTTACGAGTCGTAACATCTAAATCTAGTGGTTCATTTTCATAAGGCCCAAAGATTCGGGGAAAAAATTCCGGTACAAGTCGGCCTAAAAACAAATTTGCATCAGTAATTGTCAAGGGACCACCTTTACGATAAGCAGCTGGCCCAGGCTCAGCTGCTGCAGACTCTGGTCCTACTTTAAAAAGACCATTGGACCAAAACAACCGGGAACTCCCACCCGCTGCAACTGTGCTTATATCCAGTTGAGGCGATTGAATGACAATTCCAGCCGTAGTCGTTTCGAAAACGTGTTCAAGTTTTCCCTCCCCAAATCTACTAACGTCTGTGGAAGTTCCACCCATATCAAAGCCAATTAACGGTATTTGGTTGTTCTTATCATAGCATGTCTGAGAATATCCAACTACACCTCCCGCAGGCCCAGACAATATTGCCTTTAATCCTGAAAACTTCTTTTGATCCACCAAACCTCCATCCGATTGCATGAACTGAATGCTAGTATTCTCTGTGTTTTGCAACCCAGATTCAATATTGTCAAGATAGTCCTTGATCACTGGAGTCAAATAAGCGTCTGCAATTGAGCTATTAGCCCGGGGAAGAAATTTGATCATGGGAGATACTTCAGAAGATAGGGAAATGTGTGTGAATCCAATCGAACGTGCGATTCTACCGATCAATTGTTCGTGATCTGGATAGGTATATGAATGCAAAAGCGCAACGCCAATAGAGCGTATTCCAGTTGCATATACGACTCCCAATAACGACTTTATAGCAGCCTCATCAGGTTTCCGCAGAATTTTTACCACTTCTCCGCTTTTTCCTAGACACGTATTTGAACTAGCGGTTGGTATCGATCTGTTGCATTCAGGATCCTCAGAGAAATCCGCCAAAGTAACCCTCTCATCTATTTCAATAACCATTTCATAAAGAGGTTTAGGCTTAATGATATGAAGGTCAAAGATTTTTGGTCGAGTCTGATCGCCAATCAGTAAGGAGTCCCCAAAGCCTTTTGTCGTAATGAACGCACAACGTTCCCCCTTTCTTTCAAGTGCGCAATTGGTTGCTAGAGTCGTTCCCATTCTAATGCTATCAACACTCGAAATATCTAACGGTTGACCTCGAGGTATGTCTTTCTTTTCAAAGATTTCTAAAAGTCGTCTCATACCTTCCAAAGGGGCATCGGGATAATTTCTTGGATCTACCGACAAGAGTTTAATGACCACATCATCTTCCTCCTTTCCTGAGCCTGGATTTCCAATACAGTCTGTAAATGTTCCACCTCTGTCTATGGCGATTTTTATTCCCGCCATCTAATATTTCATAAGCTTCTTTTTCGCCTATCCTGTAAGTTGTGCAATCTCTTCATGTAGACTAGAAAAAATTCCCAATTCCGTTTAAGAGGAAACAAGCTAAGAATGGATAACAAAAAACAAAAGCCGTCTTTCTAGGATTAACTGGAACAAAGCTGATTAAAAAAATTTTCAATCTTCTAGAGACTTTTAGTATTTAAAAGAACCGATATGAATCTAGGTCATTGTGATGTTATCATATAAAACACCTGCAAAAATAGTGCCAACAATTGTCTCTTGAACATTCTGCTCGATACTGACCGGAAAGAACAATATTATTTGGAAATTATCGATCTGAAACGCTACGATCTTACTGTAAAAATATTCCCACCAACCTCAACCAGCTTACCAATACGAGGTATATTATGATATGCAACTAAGTAACCTTAAAATGTACATAGACAAGACCGTCTTCCCGGTCTACCATCATCAACTCGTTATGCTATACGATTACTCTTGAGAGTCAATATTGAGAGGTATTATTGATACAGCTGCTTCAAAGAAACCTGCTAATGAGAGTGATCTCCGTGTTGGCTACTAATGATAATGCGTTTGCACAACAAAATACTAATGGAATCATTTCTAAAACTTCAAACCTGAAAACATGAAAATTACCGTAGCATTTGAAAGCTTCATCAGTTTCAAGGGTTGGAAAAGTGACTTCATACACATATTATTCAATCCCATTTAACAACCACAGAGTACATCAAGCTCACCAATTCTTTCTGACCGCATTTAAGAACAATAGTCATCTAAAATGATTACATAAAGTTCATCTTCTGACTGCTCTTCTTGAGTCGTTCACGCATTAACATGTAAGAAGTCCGAGGTGTTTCTCCTGGTGAAGCTGCGGAAGCAAACTCCCCCGAAGACTTGGGCAAACTTGACGAAGGGCTTGAATTTGAGACACCCTTATAAATGTTTCTAAAATCTGTACCTGCAGTTTTTTTAACGGGAGAAATGACGGCCGGATCATTATGCGAATGCTTTTTTGTACGACTCTCCACTATACTATGATTTGTTTCTTGAACGTGATTCTTTTGCTTTCTAAGAACCTTCTGCTCATCAGGTAAATCTTCTTTATGTCCCAACCATTCAGGGAAACCTTGAAACGGTTCCTGGCTGGAATAAAATTTCACTAAAGCCTTATGAACCATAGTGGTGTTCGGGGAATCGCCATCTCGCTCTTGTTTTAGCGATAGCTGAGATAACGAAGTTGACAGTGATTTTGTAGACGATTTGAACTTGCTCCAGAGCCTACCCGGCTTAGGCTGTGAGGCCGAGTGCATTTTCAATTATCGAGCGAATTCCCAATTGGTAAAGAAATGGTCCAATGTAAATTTGTCTGATATATGATGACGTTGATAACGACAGAATCATTCCAGAGAGCTAAAGTATGAAAAAGTACTTAACCTATAGTTTTCTCTTTCAAGTAAATACCGTACTGATCCTTCAATTCTTTCATGATAGGATCATTGATTTCAGGACTGTATGGGGCCACCAATCCTGGACCTTTAATTGTTCCGTTGAGAACAAGCTTGGTGGCAATAGCACAAGGATATCCCACAGTAGCAGCCATTGAACTGTAACCATCTGGCTTCCCGTACTCAACCAAAGTAGATGTTCTTGTCTCCTCTGAACCATCAGCCCATTCGATGCCAAATTTGTGCTGTAGAATGATCATGTCACGTTCACCTTCCTCATACTGCATAAGTTCTTCTAGAGTGGCACATAAGGTATCTAAAGCATTTCCCTTTGGTGTGATTGGCTTTTCAGAAAACAAGCCGAGCCAAGCGAAACCAGCCAAAATTCTCTCTCTATCTTCGTTGGAAACCCATTGGGTTTTAGAATCTATGGCTGCAATCAAATCTTCCTTGGATGAAGATTTGCTACCCAAGTATTGATGTAGGGCCTCATTCCAAGCAATTGGCTTAGAAAAAATTTCGCTCTCATCATCTTTCAGCATTCCAAGATCAACCAATACTTTAACAAATTCAGGGAATCCTTGGAATCTCAAAGTTCCCCTGATAACTGTCTCAGCTTCTGGAATTTCATAAAGTTCTTTGAAAGTGGTGGAGTCTCTGTTAGGATAACAAACGAGAGCGTATCCTGGGAAAATGAAGTATGGCTTGGCGGAGCTCATTAAATCTTCTGAAGAAACTTCTTCAATTTTGCCGTCCTTCCAGTACTTTGCTGAGTTTCTCAGAGCCAATAGAACACCCCTGGAAGACCAAGAAAATTTATAACCCAATGGATTATCGGAATCTTCTGGAGCAGGTAAACCACCACAATAAGATACGAAAGACTTGATCTTCCCTCCAACTTTGTGAACTTCATCAATTGTCTTGACTGCATACAAATGATCAATACCTGGGTCCAACCCAATTTCATTCATAACAGTAATTCCGGCCTTCTTGATTTCCGGTTCAAGCTCCCTCAAAGCAGGTGAAATGTAAGAGGTTGTAACGACATCCTTTTTCAGTCTAATGGCACTCTTGACAACATTGGCATGGTAAATGTAAGGGATCAAAGAGATAACCAAATCATGATCCTTCAAAGCAGCATCCAATTGGTCATCATTGGTTACATCCAATGAAATTGCCTTAGATCCAGAATCTTTGGCTAATTCTTGGGCTTTAGACAACGTTCTGCATGCAACCGTAACGTTAATGTTATCGGTTGAAGCCAGAACGTCAACAACTGGTTGAGCGACAAATCCAGACCCCAAAAGAAGGACACTTTTAGACATTTTCTTAACAAAAGTGAGTTAACTTTGAGTACAGAGCCTTGAGGAAAGCAGCCAATATTGTGCTGCTAAGGACCTTTTTATACTTAAACCATGTACTACTAGTACAAGTTTCCACTGGAATTTTTGAAATGGAAATTTGTCGTAATTCCGGTGGAATTTTCGGTAGCGTTATACGAAAATGAGTTTTATTATTAGGAAGGAGCACCATCATTGCCAGCAGGAAGCGTTGATTCAAACGCTCCTCCCATAATCCGTACAGTTGGATAATTCCTAGGTTGTAGTGATTTTTTTGTACATCGTTCTTATCTTGAAAAGCCCTAACAGTTGAAAAAATACCACAATCTTCATTCCAAATCACGTGACTGCGGGTACAAGAGTGGGAATTTTTTTTCTCATGTACTTTTCTTCTCCATAACCATTGGGACTTTATCTCTACAGTTATGCCGTAACCCAGATAGCTGCAGTAAACGAATCCCAGATATCAAATCCACGTTCTTTTGCAGAGTGGAATGGTCAAGATTGGCATAATCGCTTTTCTAGCTCCATGTCTCATCCCATTTTGAAAGCGTGGGAAATTCGTTATATAAATATCTTTTCTTTGTAAAAATTGTGCTCCTCTTTCACGTTCTCCTTCTCCCATAGGTCTCTCTGGAAGACAAACCAAGCAGGCAATAATGTTTCTTTGGGAATTGTCAGGACTAAAGTGTTTGTATTCAAGCTCTTGTAATATTCATAATCCGCACGCTCTTGTTTGTTAAAAGCTAACCTATAGCGGTTACCAAATATACCAAGATTAGAATGTGTTCTAGACATATTTGGGACTTTACTTGGATTTCGTTCAGAAGTAACATTGTCGTTCTCCCCTTCCATTTCTTTGAGTACTTTAAAAAGGTGCCAAGGTAATGAGGGGGGCAATAAAAGATCAGTTTCACGTACGACTTCCCAATGAGGTGCACGGTAGGTACCATTTTCTTTATTCATGTATCGCTCAATATCAGCATCGTCTATGTTATTAGTTGAACTATCGTCATGCTGTTGAATTATTCGAACATTTATGATCTCCAGAAACGTTTCGGCAAAATAATTGCTGTTCTTACCTGTAAATAGGCGATATTCATTGACAATTGATGATATATTCCACTTTTGTATTTTCCTCAAAATCCCTACTACTATCGAAGTTTTATCAACTAGTAAGGTGTTATGATTCTGAGTATCCAGCAGAAGTTTAAAAGCTTTTATCAGACATGTGCTTTTGATAAGCATCAGATCATCGTTATCATTAAGTTCATAAGATACTTTAGCGAAATTTTGAGTAGATTTATTAGAGGTTATTTCGTCGTCTCGTTTTGACCCTGCTGGATTAAGTGGATCCAACGTTGATGTGACTTCAGCCGTTTTAACAACATACCACTCAATGCAACATCTTTCGAAGAACTCTTTGAAGAACTTTGATGGTTCCTGCCCTCCGACAAATATCACTGTTTTCAAACCGAGAGTCTCCAAGAAGGATAGATTCAGGGTTTCGATCTTCGAACACCGGTCTAGTGTTATGTTGTTAGTATCAAGATCCCCATTTATCGAAAAAAGAATGGTTTTACTTACATATCCCCTCCTCGGCTAACCCAAAATTCGCTGGTGGAACTAACATTGATTTGTATGTAACTGACTTTCACGATAGAGCACAGGGCTGTACTTTTCGGTCTCGCGCTCTGACAAAATTAATTTTGTTAAGGCATACAAAACAAAAGGGCATTACTAGTACACTATATACACTAACAATCGAAGAAAGAAACTAAAGAATTTATAGTCTATATAAATCGATGCTTCATTGCGGAGATCTTTCGCTCTTCTAATTTTTTTTTTGTTCAGGTGTTTTCTACCAAACCGTTGTCCCGATGGCGAGGGTGATGATGATGACGTCGTTGATTTTCTTAGAGTTTTCGGCTCCATATGCACATCAACGTTATTAATCCTCAAGATGCCTCTCTCAATTGCTTCCGTTTGACACCTTTGGTCCTCGAAATCTATGACTGCAAATGTTTCCTGAGAAGAGATCTTTTTTACCACGCCAAATTCCGACTCAAGAGCCCTAACTAACTGCTCGTCTGAAACGCCACCAGTACCCCGTACATAAACGGGGAAGAATCCATCTTTGTTCACCAAATTGAACACCTTTTTTCTAAAATTTTTGGGGTCTCTCAATTGACCTGTAGGCGAAGTTGACTTCCTTTCCATGAGTTTCTTTGTTGATGGTGCCACTTGTGGTTCTGCACGGATGTACTTTGTAGTTACGTTCGGAACGTCTTTAGACTCGGAACTTGCTATTTTTGAAGCCCAGTTCATTTTCTTTGGAGGTCCATTCTGCTGCTCAGTAGACCTGTTTTTTTCAGCAGGAGACGAGTCATTGTCAGTAGTACCATTAATTTGCTCAGAAGTTTCAACTGACTCCTTCGACTCTTCGATATCTTTTATATTATCTATAGGTTTTTGGGTCTCATCGTCGGTTAACGACGCTGTTGTTCGCACCATAGAAGGAGGCTGTTTGCTTTCCATTTGCACGTCCTCCAATTCTCCGTCACCCATTTTAGATTTAGGATGATCCGATGATGGTTTCTCCTCAATCGTAGGTTTTTCATGCGTATTTTTAGTTGATAATGATTCTTGAGTTGAACTTTCAGTGTTCTCCACTCCATTGGGCTCTTTTTGATTTTCCTCATTTTCATTCATTGATTCCATCAAAGCAGCTTTTGGATCAAAGTTGGGTTCAGTTTCATGTAAAGTTAACGTTACTTCCGGAATGAAACGTAAGATATCATTTGTGACATCGTATATTTCTGGATTATTTGTAGCTGGAGTTAAGATAAATGTTTGGCAAAATCTGTAGCTGGGTGTTTGAGACCAGCACATTTCTCCCACTGCGAGTATTAAGATACTAACATTGTTCGAGCCAGTAAACTGAAAATCACATGAATCGACCTTGACTTTCACAGTAGTGACTTTTTTACTGTGTCTAGTGTAATATTTATTAATGTTGTCTTTGCCGATCAGCTTTATAGTAGGTAATGAGGGCTTGTCACTGATTAAGTCAACTTGATAGTCAACATGCGTTAGCTCGGCCGTCGCGGAGTATAGATGGTGAATTTTTGAAGGATCGTTACGCATCCGCTGATAGTAAGTCTTCAGGAAAGCATAACCTATTTCTTTAACGTTGGTTGAAGTACTCATGCTGAACTAACTTTAGATAATAAGGAAAACCAATTGATACCTCGAGATATTAGATTTATCACTATAACGTGTTGTTTATGCAATGCAGGATACGTTTTTTCGCCTCTATCAATCCGCTAGCTCCATTAAACAGCTGACTGGTTTATTGTCGCACTTTCGTAAGTTGAGTGACGAAATTAAGACCACCGGAAAATTTTTCATATCTCAAAGTACGAGATTAAGAAAAGATTTCCCACTTGAGGGGAGATGTAATCTACTACTATTTAGACGCCTCCCAGCTAAACCTATTCGTTTGTAATACCGTAGATCATGTTCTTGTAGTGGGTTAGCTCAAAACCAGGTTGAATATTATGAAGAGGCAGTTTAGCCAGAAAGGTAAACGTAAGCAATGCTAGTAAGCTTTGGCCTCCCGTTGTCGTGAACAGAGGGAATCGAGGAATGCCTAATTCATCTGCCATCGACTCTAGGCTGTACTGGGCCTGCTGTTGTGGATTGTGCTGTTTTGTACTGGCGGTAAATTTATTGATGAGATTCAAATCGTAAAAGTTAGGCATGAAGTTCTCAACCCACCATACATACTCTTCCTTGTTATTAGGCATGGCCTTACTCATTAACATATTCACCAGAAAGCCAAAGTCATATGCAGCGTGATAGCTCAGCCATGTAATTTCTTTGGATAACAATAGGCCTGAGTCTATCATCAACTGTGCAAAATCAAATGGGTCAATTCCTATGTTTTGATGTTTTTCAAAATTAATACCAGACTTCTTTAAAAGTTCTAGTGATTCTGCAGACACCATCTCTTTTGTGACATCAAAATGAAAATTGAATTGCCAAGTAGAAGGAACATTGTCGGGCTTATTACCTTGAGAATCGCTCAATGAAATACCTATTTGCACGGGATTTAGCAGGTCTACGTTTGCTCTCATGGTCTGATAGTGATAGTCGTTCTTAGATCGAAAATTTCCAATTGGTCTTGCTATTGTGCCCACAAATTCAGTGCTGATTGATACAAAACTGTACTGATCAATCAATTTTCTTATTGTGGCAAATTCTGAGTTCAAATTGTTATTCCATACATCACGCATCATGAAATGATTGGGAGGAGGCAACGCAAAAGATCCCGGCATTATATGCCTTGGCAAAGTTCCTGGTACGGGTGTTAGACCTGGAGCTCTCTGTGGTAGGCTGTTTACTGCAGAAATAGAGTTTCCATTTGTATTTCCCGTATTATTGAGAATATGTTGCTGTTGCGGCTGAACTTGGCGTTGCGAAATGGCTTGCTGTCCAAAAGCAGAATTAGCCGCCTCCATTTTCTGCTTCAATAGATACACATTGTGTAAGTCTTGGTTATTCTCTAAGCCATGAATACTTTGCATTATCCCTGCTTGTTGCATTCTAGCCTGAGACATCTGAGGCGAGAATACCTGTGGTCCTATCCCAGGAGGCTGCTGATGTTGTTGTCCCTGTTGCGAGAAATATTGATCGCTAATAGGGATAGCTTGTCGATTCATGAGCTGCAACGAACTTTTGATGCCTTACAATCGACGTTTATCTATTGAATATCAAATTTTCTTAAACTCGAGGAGGGCAGAGCGTTCGTCGCGAGGCACATTTCCCCTTTCTAAAAAACGCCTAACTTTCAAATGATGTACCAGTATCAAATAACTATCTGCATCCGAGATTCATTATCAATGAAGATGCTATGCTACATAATTTACAGAGAGGAATGCTAAAAATATACAATCATTCTTGTGTTAGAGATTTTCCCCTTTTGGTTGCATGTGGTTCTCCTCCAAAGTCAGTAGCTTGCCGCTTTTGAGCACTCTTCTTAACATCATCGTCCTTTTCTTCCAACTTTTCTGGAGGGGAGAGGAACCAAGGTATTTTTCCTCTATTGAAGTCATTTAAAATCTGCTTTGAAACTCCACTCTCATCAGGTTCTCCTCCCTTCAGAAGTCTTCCCTGTTTACGAGCTAGTAGTTCAATAAACTCCGCAGCATTGCTCCAGCCCGATATTTCGTACGTTCTTTCCAAATGCTTTCTTTGGCATCTCTTAAGAACTGCTGGTATATACTGCTCAGGATTTGAAACATGCTCAACTCTTACGACCCCTCTAAACAGAATATCTTCCTCAGAGTCTTTTGATGAAGGGGGTACAATACCTGGACAGTCTATTAGAAAGATTCTTTTCATAAGAGTAATGTATTGCCACACCTTTGTCTCACCGGGTATAGGAGCCACCTGACAAACTTTCTTCTTCCTTAGGGTGTTAATGATTGAAGACTTTCCGGTATTTGGATAACCTATAAAGCCTACCGAAATTTGTTGCCTGTCTTTGTGAAGCTGTGAAAATTGACGTAATAGCTGGATCAGAGAACCCTTTCCAAATGAATTTGTAATTGAAGCGTGAAACGCAAGAGTTGGACGCTCTTTAGACAAATGCTTAACCCAAGCGGCCTAAAATTCCTGTTAGTATATTATTTCTCAAAATTGTGAATGATAACTGCTCGAAATGTGCATGATTGATTCTCCTTGAACTAATGTAGGGTTCCTTACTACGAAAACAAAAATAGTCACGTATTGGAACGTGTTTTGTATTCAACTCATAGGTGCCCCGATACTCTGAAGTTGATGGCATATCTTCAAAACGAAAATTACCCATCAGTTCTGTATAGACTATCTAAAACAGATAGAAACAGAAGTGAGTACTATCAATCTTCCAAAACAGTAACAGATACTTTCTTGAGAGTATATTCACAAAGAAATGGAAAATATCCTGACTAGAAGTTTTGGTGTCGAGTATTTCAACCATGCAGCATCACAAGCAGTTCATTATGGATATAAAAAAAAGTCATACTGCAACCCATGTTGGCACTAAATCACATTTATTCAACACAAATATCAGATGTTTGTGTGGAGTCTCCTTTCTCATGTACTCCTCGACGGAAGTACACCTGGTCCCCAAAGGGTCTCTAGCATCTAAGACATGAATTACCACATCTGAAGAATCAATTACTTTATAAAGCTCATTCCAAATACGTTTGGACTGACCTTTGCTAAAGATAGCCTCCTTGGCTGTCTGAGACCAACCCTCTTCCTCATCTTCAGTCTTACCCATTAATCCCAAAGTAGACTTAAGGTCTTCTTTCTCCTCAAAAGTTTGATTATCTTTCTCTGTTATCTCAGCAAGGTCTTCAAGGCTTGAAGCGGCAACTCTAGGCTTTTTGCGCTGAGATTTCGGCCCAAATGTATGTTCGAACGTCTCCGTTTCCAATATTTTAGCAGTTGGCGATTCTTGGGTATCTTTCTCTTCCAATAGAGACATTGGAAGCTTATTACGCCTGAGAAGAACTTGATAGGAATCATGTTGAGTCTCTCCTAAGGCGTCTCTGAAGTGTTGCAGCGCATCCTGAGATATAACTCTTGTGTTACCGAACCAACGACGATCAGGTTGAACTCTAGCTGTTGGAATGGCAGCATCTTGTAAAGGAGCTGCTTTGATGATATCACCTTTCTTGTTCCTAGTAGATTTCCCCCCTTTATACATATTCAAAAATTGAACCCGCTTCCCATCTCGATAGAAATTTTCGCCCTTTACTCGAAGATTTCCATCCTTAGTATCACCTTCACGAATTCTTCTCTGCTTTTCTTTTTTCCCAGTACCCATGACTTCAAATAGTTTCTAAAGAGAATAAAGATTGTACTGTTGATATGTCAGTGCGTATGGGAATTGGCAAGAGATGCGATGAGCTGAAAATTTTTTCCCAAATAACACAGGAAAAGAAAAGAAAGAAACCGACGTTTAACATGATATTTTCAGAACAAATTATGTATGACGGTATCTAAGTCCTTCGATACCTGCTGCTTCAGCTCCTTCTGACCTGAGGCACGGTTAGTAGTAACATTGCGCTGTTTGAATGTTCTTTGAAGATCTTCTTCTTCATTAGTGGTCTCTTCTAGTTTTCTTTTAGCTTTAACCTTATTGATCATCTTACTTTTTTCCACATTCCTAATGAACTCAGCATTCAGCTTATTCGCTTGTGAAATTTCAAGTTGAAGTTTTGCTTGTTTGATATCATTTTCTTTGGCTATTTGTTCAGTCAGATCAGCCCATTTGAAGCCCGACAGGTACTTCACGTTCATGATGTCGTCATGATAAAAGTTCCCTTTTCTGCCTCCGATAATGTTCCCATTGAGAGTAGAAGCACATAGTTTTGCGTCCTTTTTTCTTAGGAACTCTGCCCACCCCTCCTCGAACATGGTCTTCTTGTTACCACCACCCTTTACTCTGTTCTTATATTTTTGGTCGTCTTCTTTTTTGAGGAATAATCTATCTAGGACACCAAATCTGGACAACACCTGCCTCATTTTAGCAGGTTTCATATACGGAGGTATTTTAGAGAGGTAAACGACACCTGTTTTATGCTTATTCCTTGTTTCGGCTCTGAGCTTTTTTAGATTCTTTAGCTTTTGCAACTTCAAGTCTTCGTTGTGATCCTTTCCAATCACCTTGGTTTCCAGTCCTTCAGTCGCTATTTGATGTTCTTCAGCGTTAGGCCAGGGTTGTTCCTGAGCTTCTTTCTGCTCCAGCATCTTCTCATCATCTTCATGATCACTCTCATCATCGCTCTCGTTGTCCTCGAAATAATCTCTCTGCATCATTTTTTTAGATTTAATTAATGGAGTATCATTTTCCTCATCGGAAGAAAATCCGTCAATGCTACTCGCTTCATCCTGACCCTTCATTTCGGTGTTGTTAGGCTTTGCTGAGTCGCTACAAATTTTGTAATTGATGGAATAAAATTTTTTATTTTTTTCTCTAGTATCTGCTAAAAGAAAACCAAAAAATAAGATGCTAGTGAAGATCTGCGGGAAGGCAACTTATAGTACACTCTGCCCGCCTTGATGCATGCAAGCTTATAAAAACCCGTCTTTATGCATAGAAGACGTTTCACGAAGCCATAGATGGATGATGATAAGGGAGAAAGAAGTCAGAAAGGTTCAGCTGCAAACCAAAAACACAACACATTTTCGGATATCCCTTGAAATATCCAGCGAGGGTGGAATACGTAGGTTCGATGGCAAAGAACTGTAGTGTTGCACTCTCACATTGCTTTTCTCTATGATAAATGATAATCATAACTGTTTCCCTTTCTGTAAAGCCTTCGAAACGAATGGACGACGATAAACAGCATTTTTTTGTACATGGCAAGCAAAGATAGAGCCACTCCATAGTTCTAAAATAGAATCATTAAGTCTCAAGAAAAAATAAAATAGCCCATAAAATCTACAGTATTTGTACAGACGTCAAGCGTTAATTACTTTAGAGGTGAAACATAATGCGTCTCAGAACATCGAGTCTTTTATGCTGTTTACATTTTTAGCTGACTACCTCGTTAAGGTGGCTCTTATACCTCATTGTTGTGGTGGGGCGTTTTTAATGCATTGGTTTCTGCGCGGTGAGCTCTTGGGTAAATTGGACAAGCTCTTCCGTATTAAGTTAGATTAATGTGGGTTTTCATGGGTTAACTAACCACCCTGTTTTTTGTACCTCACCTTTTTCTTCCAAGAATTAAACGTAAAACAGAAAATATTATGATCTAACCTACTCTAGCGGATTTATCCGTTAACTTCCAGACGATTTATGTTTAGTAATTTTTTTCTATTGTGTTCTTGAATTGAATGTACATTTATCTGTCATTGACAGTAGGAGGAAGTTCTTCCTTTCGAGAATACAGAAAGTTTTTGTACTATGACCTTTACAATACACAATAATCAAAATCATTGAAGTGCACGGACGTCCCTATTCACTAGAAAAATTCTACTATATAAATACATCTAATTCTTTTTCTCTCTAGTTGACGTTAAACACAAAAAGAAAACTTGATACATGAAACGATCGAGAGCAGTCCGACAGGCTCGGATTATTCGCTCTAACACAAAAATTATATTTCCAAAATCAACATCTAGCCCAATCTTATCATATCATAAAATTGCAGATGGCCTTTTTATCTTTTGCAGGTAAACGAAAAAGTAACATTGAAAGTAATTGGGAGATTTTTCGTTTCAAGTCATGCTAAGACGACATTTTGTCTATTCATTATTATTTACCTATACTATTCGTGGAGGTAAACATTATAAATTTTTGATGATGGAAGGTTGGTATTCAAGAGAATACTCATTGATGTTTTCCAAATTGTTTGGTCACAAAGTGGAGGTTCCCCAACAAAAGTGTTTCGAAGTATAGCTATGTATTTTGATTAACAAACACTTGTTCCTTAGACTCGACAACAGCATCTTGGAGTAAAGTAGCATAATTTTCATAAATCTTATCACAGACTTCTTGAAAGCTACAAAAGAGGATTCAAAGGGGCCTTCGCTTGGTTCAACCACCGCTTCCAAATTCGGCGTATCTTACATTGGTAACAATATACTTGCCGTCAGTAAATTACGAATAATCTGCCTAATGACTATTCGGTTCCTCGCTTGTCTCCTTGAATTTTACGTTCGGCAGTTGAGACGCTAATGCATGTGAGGAATAGTGTACCGGGCGATCCAATAAATGCTGAGACGTGCCTGCAGAGAATAAGGAAAGAGGATAATAAATTGAAAAGAATATGTAAAAAGAATGAGAAATGAGAACATGAAATCTTGAAGGATTTGGGGTAGCGTGTGTATATGAATAGAGTATCAGGAAGTGGAAATAAAGAGAACTAAAATTAAAGAAGAATATTTGAAATGTACGAATCTTCCAAGAATGATGGTTGGGTAGAGTGTCAGCTTCCCAATACTGAGAAACGGAGAATTATTTCTTTACGCAAATGCAAGAAGGCAAAGGGAGAATTCCCCTATGGGCAAGTTAACGGTAGTAACAACAACAGGACCTGCCAGTTTGTTGAACAAGGAGATGAATTTGTAGAAAGTCGCAACAGTAGCATCCGAACGAGAAATAAATTTATCTTGATGCGAGGGATTCTTCATAATATTATTATCCAATACAGCAGTTACAAAAAGGCTGGGTGCGAGAAGAACGCACACTTGGCTCTTGAAGAAGTATCAAAAATAGCTTCTTTGGTTTGGAGAAAAAACAGTGGGAAGTTCCAAAAGTACTATGAGATGCTTGCAGATTTCGAAGAAAATAGTGACCTGCTTGGACGGCTGAGCAAACAAAAACGTTTCAGAAAACAGCTTGTGCTTAAAAAACTGACCGAAGCCATTGGAAGAGAATGCATACCATCAACCTACAGTTACGAAACGCTGACCAATGGGGCAGACACTACAGAGCCAGAACCCATGGAGAGCAAGAACACGTACAAGGCCTTCTGTGGGAGATTTAGGGTCAGGAAGAAGAAACCCATACAAACGGTCGCGGTGCGCTGGGCCAAGATTGAAGACGTGTTTCTTATATAACACCATGTATCTTTCTCAACACATCATCTGCGCTCTCCTTAACCCAATCCACGTCTTGTAAGATAGAGGGCAGTTCTTTGGATCTAACATCGTTGAACTTAGCCACTAACCCACAAGCTTCCAACGAGCTTTGTGGATCCCATTCTACTGGAATGACGCTACAGACTTTGGATAACATGTCCTCATAAACCACTAACTGGTATAGGTTCCATATCAATTTACACGAACTTTTGTAGATATTTCTTCTCTTGGCGGTCTCTCCTGTATCTACAAGTAAAAAAGATTTCACGGCCAAAATGCGATGAATAAGGTTGGGTTCGGAAGAAGCTACTAGAATTACAAATAACATGAATCACGAATAGTTCGATAAATAAGTTGTATTTTGAAATGATTCGAATCTCAAAACAATGGTCCAATATATCCTTTGCTTAAAAAAAGTTGCATCATACTTTTATCCCAGATAGCAGGACAGCAGATGAGAAAGAATTACAGTGCTGATATCAGCAGCTTCTGAATATTGATGTTGACTGTTCTAATATATGCAACTTACTTGGAAACGAATGAAGGAACAGTTACGTGTATATATTTTATGACTCATTAATGGAATTGGACATTAAAATTTGCACATGAAAGTTCTTTCGATCACATCAAATGAATACAAAAAAGAGGATTTATGAATGGTTTTATACGTATATATTCCTTTGAAAGTTATGTCAAACCGTATGCAGACGTTATAAGACTAATAACAATATGCAATTTATTCTTTACTAAAATTCAAAAATTATTGGATTTATCACTGATTTTTGTTTACACATAGAATTTATTTTGAAGTTCCACTCATTACAAAGCGACAAATTCAACTTGTTGCGGTTCCTCCAAAATACTAACCAAATTTGATATTTTAAAGTTGCTCTTGAAAAGAGACAAGAAAAGCCAACTAATAGAACAGAACAGTGATTGTTGGAATTTCATACGAATCTCAGCAATTGAAATCCTCACATGGTTGTTAGTATTTCTTGAAATTCACTTTTTTTGAGCCTGTTAAATATACTGACAATACATACTGCTTGTTGTTAGATGTAAATAAGTACGACAGTCTCTTAACATTCTTTTATGATGAATCTGTCAGGCCCTTGTCCTACTTGCTATTTTGGCTGTGACGGGTTTTTTTCCGGGAAAATTTTTTCGTCAGAGGTCGCCAGATATCAAAATTAACCGCGTCAAAATGAGCTTAGCATTCTCAATTCTGTTTTTCAGGTTAAAGTTCATCTAGTTTTTCTCATTTTTGTGTGTGCACATTTGACTTCCCCCTCACTACTCCTTGAACACTGAGCTACATCATGCTTAGAACCCTAAACGATAAGATCATCAGCTGTTACAATCATTGCGAACGAGTGGTTCTTAAACTGTCGCCACATTTGACTTCCCCCTCACTACTCCTTGAACACTGAGCTACATCATGCTTAGAACCCTAAACGATAAGATCATCAGCTGTTACAATCATTGCGAACGAGTGGTTCTTAAACTGTCGCCCGAATACTCATATATTAACAGCAAACAGTGGCTGATGAAAACACTTGATTAATTGAAGAACTTTTAGTTATTTTCTTGAATTGAAAATTGAGAAGTGGAAAAAGGTAAAGAGAATTAATCAAACAAGCTTAATGACGAAACCTATTTTACCACAAGCATACGGTTATGGATTTGCAGTTGGACTTGGCGCAGCTTTTGCAATTATAATGGTTTTAATTTCTAAACTTCTCACGAATTTTATGGGGCAAACTCAAAATTCGGAAAGGTTCTCTACGGCTTCCCGTAATGTAAATTCAGGTTTGATTGCTTCTTCAACAGTTTCCGCTTGGACTTGGCCTGCTACACTTTTGGTGTCTGGAACATGGTCGTACCTCTACGGCGTGAGTGGAGGGTGGATGTACGCAGTCGGGGGTACTGTTCAAATAACCTTGTTTGTATTTTTGGCTTTACAAATTAAGCTGCATGCCCCAACAGCTCATACAGTTTCTGAAACTATTTTCATTAGATATGGTAAAGCTGGTCATATCCTTTTTTTGTGTTACTGTGCTGCGACGAATATTATTGTATCTTCATTATTGCTACTTGGAGGTTCACAAGGATTTTCTGCGGTTACTGGAATGCATACAGTCGCAGCAAGTTTCTTACTTCCATTGAATGTTATAATTTACACAGCTTCTGGGGGTCTGAAAGCTACCTTTATCTCTGACTGGATTCATACTGTCATAATCTACATTATAATCATTGTTTCGACCTATAGGGTATTCTGTAGCTCTCCGCTAATAGGATCCCCAGGGAAAATGTGGGAGCTCTTGAAAGAGGCTCAAAATACTTTTCCCAGCTCATCGACAGGAAGCTATCTTTCCTTCAAACATAGAAACTTGATATTAACTAGTTGGTCTGTTATGATGGGAGGTATGTCCTCCGTATTTGGCGACCCTGGATATTCACAAAGAGCAATAGCGGCCAGTTCTTCAAGTGTTTTCAATGGATATATGCTTGGCAGTATTTGCTGGTGGGTAATTCCATTTGCGTTAGGATCCTCTGCTGGATTGGCATGTAGAGCACTTTTGACTAATCCAGTTTCGGTGACATATCCTAACGCATTAAGTGAAGTAGAAGTTAACGCTAGCTTACCGTTTATTTACGGCTTGGCTGCAATATTCGGGAAAGGAGGAGCAGCAGCTGGATTGGTAATGCTTTTTATGTCAGTAACATCCGCTACATCGGCCGAACTCATCGCATTTTCTTCGATCTCAACATACGACGTTTACAGAACCTATATTAACCCCAATGCAACCGGAACAAAATTAGTACGAGCATCACATATATCAGTTCTCATCTTTGGAATATTCATTGCAGTTCTTGCGGTAATATTCAATTATATTGGTGTTACAGTGGGTTGGTTATTGGGATTTCTAGGAATAATTTTAAATCCGGAAGTTTCGGTAGTCACTCTCTCATTGTTCTGGCCAAAAATGACTAAAATTTCATTACTCGTTGGTGCACCACTTGGCACAATTACAGGAATAGTATGCTGGATAGGAGCGACTTACAGCTATGCAAATCATGTGATCAACAAGAATACTGTCATGACAACAGAAGCTGCCTTTATAGGTAATATTGTAAGCCTTTTTTCAACTCCCATTTACATTATCCTAATTTCATGTATGAAGCCTGAAAAATCATTTGATATGTCCACTCTGGAAGAAAAGATCAAGGTTGCCAACGACATCGATTTTGAAGCAGAAATAGCTATTCAGGTTGGCGAAAGAGAAAGAAAACTACTGCGGTCACAAACTTGGATGAGTCTATGCATCAATTCTTTCATTCTTTTAGGGGTTTACATTGTTTTGACATGTGCTTTATACGGATGGGGACAAGATCTAAGCAAGGGCTCTTTTACAGCTTTCATGATTGTGATGCTATTATGGCTCGTAATCGCAGCACTTTATATTATTATACTACCATTGTGGCAGGGCCGTAAATCCATAGCGACAGTGATACGTCGTATTTTAGGAAAAGGTACCATTGAAACCACCTTAAAGCTTGAAACATTTAATGAATCATTGGGTTCAAAAAGTTATGGCGTCGTTAAAAAACTTAGCCATACAAGCACAGATGATATTTAATATCATGCAGCTTTGAGAAAAAAAAATTTTCGGCAGATAACAGGTATATGTATCATTTCATAATATCCCATTCAGAACTAAGTATTTAGTACTGAAATAAATGTTCATATTAGAGTGCATTCGTCAGCAATGCAGAAAGGGAATAGTGATTTCCAAGTAGGGGTGTGGGTTATTTTGTCGCTCTTTATTCTTATCTGGTGGAAACTTGCTATAAAGGGCGAGCGCGATCTTCGGAAACTACTGAAATCCTTGCATAAAAAACTCGAAATTATGTATTCACTCTTGACATTAAATAAGTCATACTTCATTTCCCTTCTGTAGGTAAAAATAGTAATGATATTTAAGTGGATTTATGAGGCGGACGTCCATTAGCTAATGCAACAAAGTGGCCCCAACTTATCAACTCATTAGTGCAGTCATCCCTATTGATCTGTACCTCAATTAGAGTTGGACCATCTACATTTGACTTGGCCTTTTTAATAGCATCCGCTAACTCAGCCCCCGTATGGACTTGGAATCCTTTTGCATAACCATCATCAGCATTAAAGGCCTCTACAAAAGCGGCGTAATTCCAGTTCTTTATGTTGTTGTATGGGCCATCATGTATCTCAACTTCAATGGTATACCCGAAATTGTTTATCAAGAAGATAATAATTGGCTTCTTAAGTCTCACCATCAAGGACACCTCTTGTGCCGTCATCTGGAAGGAACCATCGCCAACCATTGTGATAATTCTTCTTTCAGGAGCGCCCACTGCATATCCAATGCAAGCCGGAATCGACCACCCAATATGGCCCCACTGCATTTCAATCTCAAACTTTGCTCCTTTTGGAAGATCCATCTGAATCCCGTTAAACCAAGAGTCACCAGTCTCTGCGAAAAGAGTGGTTTCAGAAGTAATAAGCTTATGAATTTGACGAACCATCTCCTTACGAGTGATAGGAGCTGTTGGACTAGCTGCTTCGATGATAGGTGGTGTGGGACGCAAGCGATTGTACTCAATTAAACTTTTATCGTTCGTTGAGATACGATCAGCTAATGCATTCAAGAAGTCGCTTAAGGCAATCTGGTCAAAATAATGGCCAGGGAACTTGATGTCATCGAACCCTGCTTCAAAACGATGTGAAGCAGGTTGCAGAGAAGTCCAACCAGTAGTACTGTAGTCAGTAAAAACGCAGCCGGCGCAAATGGTCAAATCTGACCACTCCATAATTGCGTCAGCTTTTTTGGTGCTCACTTGACCCCAGTACACGCCACAATATTGAGGATGATCCTCGGGAAACAGTGATTTTGCTGCAGGAAGCACAGCAACCGCACAGCCAAGTGCTTCAACAAGCCTTAAGAAAGATTTTTCGGCTCCAGCACATTTCAACTTGGGACCTGCAAGGAGTGTTGGCTTTAGACGGCCTTCTATAAACTTGACTGATGCATTCACAGCGGCTTCAAGAGCTTTAGGATTTGTCTTAAGGGGACAAAGTACGGCTTCTATTGGTCCGGGTGGAGCACAAAAAGCTGAGGACATATTAGTGGGAACTTCAATATAGCAAGGCTTTTTTTTAGCAAGACATTCTCGAATTGCGTGGTCAATCAATCTTGGAGCGTCTTCCGCATGTTTTAACTGCACTGCTGCACATGTAATCCTTTGTGCCATTTCATACTGGTAGTCAAATCTGTGGGTTCCAATAGTATGGTGAAGCAAATGATGGTCACCCTCGTCATTGGTGTTTGGGGAACCGCTGATTAGTATGACAGGAAGGTTTTCCCCATATGCGCTTCCAATTCCATCGAAAGCAGAAAAGGCACCAACGCTGAAAGTTACAACAACAGCAGCAATCCCATTCGCTCTAGCATAACCTTCTGCGGCAAAGGAACAGTTGAGTTCATTACTGCAGTTCACTTCCTGCAATTTGGGGTTCTCTTGCAATTTATCCAATAGTACTAAATTGTAGTCCCCAGGGACTACAAAATGGTTTTTGATTCCAATTTGCACAAGCCTTGTTGCAATATAAGTTCCGATAGTTGTCATTGAAGATGTTTAAGTGATTGCACTAGATTGTACTTCTAAAGACTGGTAACCGTCTTTTCGTAATTCCTATATATACTCCACGGCACAAGAACCCGTTTTTGGCAAACAAGACCACTCCATCTAGCAATGTGACGTTTTGCGAATACCTTAGTCTGTGAGAATAAATGGTTACTCGTGCATTAGAGTTCTAGTCTCTGAGACGGGCGGCTATGAAATCCCACGCTAGCGTGTATTGGGCTTTGTTATCCGATCTGTGAATTTCTTTTTTTCCCGGAGTTATGTACGAGGGAGTATGTTATTGAAAGGCTTGGCAGGGGTTGCCCACGCTTTAGGCATTTCGAAATCTCACGGGATTGTACCCTTAAACCAGACAACAACTTTAGATGAGGTGAGGCCAAACGATTGGCGAAAGAAAGTGAAGATATCCTATTCAGCGCGCATCATTATGACAAGAATAGCTCCAGGATAGTTAACAACAGATACAAACAAGAGTTAATCTTTCACAGAGAAGCTGTTGGAGAGAAAACATCCTCTCTTGCTTAAGGCTATGATGCGGCCTGTGTGTTTGTAAATGATACTGTGAACTCGGCTACCATTTCAAAATTGTCAGAATTGGGCGTTAAGCCAATTAACAACGTGGATCTCAATGCAGCTAAGAAAGTTGGGTCACCATTGTCCACGTACCAGTATACTCGTCTTCTCGCCTTTTGCGGTTACAGAGTACACTGTTGGTCTAACATTTGCAGTTAGTCGTAAAATTTACCGTGCATGAATGCGAGTTCGCCTAGACGCTTTCAGTTTGGATGGTTTCGAAGGTAGCGATCTGCATGGTAAAACAATTGATATTGTCGTAACCGGGCGATTTGAGGCACTTGTTACAAAGGCGTTCAAGCACTGGTTCGAATGCGAAGTTATTGCTATGGATATATGGAAAATTCCGATATTGAAAAGATGGAAATTCTGTATGTTAACTTCCAGAATTTTTAGCAAAATTCTGATGTTGTCTGTCTGCAATGCCCTATGACACCCGAAAGGAATCTCATGATCAATAAGAAAACTATCAAGCTGTTTAAAAGAGGCACTATGTTGATTAATACAAGCCGAGGTGCACTCACGGAGCCTAGCGCATTAGTTGAGGCAATTGAACAAAGCTTTCTAGGGACGCTTGGTATGGATATGTACGAAGACGAAAAATAATTATTTTTCAGAAACTTGTCGAACTTTTTTGTCAAAGACGCTATTTTTGAGAGGCTTACTTCTTTTCGCATTGACTTGTGTACGGGTCATCAAGCTTTTTTTTATTCGAAAGTCCTTAATGCAATTGCATCAACACTAGAAAACTCACATGACTTTCATTCTGGAAAAGTTTCAGCGGAATACAAATTATAACGAAATGAATACTATGTAATACATAATGCAAAATTATGAAATGGACAGCAATTGCCCGTTGTTAATTCAATTCTTCCGTAATTTTCAGATGTTTAGTAGACATTCATACACACACTTAGTTCAAAGACCGGGTCCCATGCTCTTATTGCCAAAGGGGCGACTGCTTAGCTACTGCAAACCCTTGTCATGGATTTGAACGAAATTCTTGGCACAGCTCCGGGTTCGGGGTGTACGTATGGATAGATAATCTCCGGCGTGGCATATCCCGCGTGGGATTCGTCATTAAGGATCAGCACTTGCACTGTTTAGATGCGCCAAGGCTCGAATATGAATCTTGCGTCAGAATAACGAGATAATTTGTTGTGCCATAGATTTCCAAGAGCAAAGAAACTTGTTTTTGGTGGAGCCAGACAATTAAACATTACATTATTGCCAATAAAGCTGTACAAAGGGTTGCTTGAATGGTATAAATATGTCTATTTGATTTAAGTCAAAGATTCTTCAAAGCAAAACAGAAATTGTAATAACACCATCTTCCAAATCAAAATGTCAAAATATTCCCAAAAATCTATTTTAAAGACAGATCTTAGACCTGCAACTATTGCTATTGTAGGTGTGGGAAGTGTAGGTGCTACAACCGCCTACACGCTGCAACTCAGCGGGATGATTGCAGATATCGTCCTGATTGATATTAATAAGGACAAGGCAGAAGGCGAGTATATGGACTTGAACCACGCTGCACCAATGACTACTGAAACCCAGGTGCGTGTTGGTGAGTATTCTGATTGTGTTGATGCCGCAATTGTTATTATTGCGGGCGGAGCCAATCAAAAGCCAGGGCAGACCAGAATGGAACTGGCGGCCAAAAATGCTAAAATTATAGAAGAGATTATCCCCAATGTAGTCAAGTACGCTCCAGATACGATTTTACTGATTGCCACAAACCCTGTTGATGTCTTAACGTACGCAAGTTACAAGCTGTCCGGTTTCCCAACTAGCAGAGTTATTGGATCAGGCACTCTTTTGGACTCAACTAGACTTAGATGTAATATTGGAAGGTATTATAATATATCATCTGACAGTGTCGATGCATGCATAATTGGGGAGCACGGTGATTCGGAGCTCGCGGTGTGGTCAAGAGCAACTATTGCAGGGATGAACCTTGCTGAATTTTCTGCTGCTACTAAACAGGAATATGATAAAGAATCGCTTCATAAAATATTTGAACACACTCGAGATGCAGCCTATAACATTATAAAGCGCAAAGGGTATACAGCTTATGGGATTGCTGCTGCACTCACGCGTATTGTGGAAGCTGTTTTAAGAGATGAAGGATCCCTGTTGACTGTTTCCATTGTGGGCGATTATTATGGAATAAAGAATGTGGCTTTGAGTGTTCCCACGAAAGTGGGAAGAGATGGTGCCCATCATATTATGGACTTGACCTTGAATGAGAAGGAGAACGAAGAAGTTAAAAACTCCGCAAAGAAAATCAGAGCTGCTTGTGACTCTTTAGGACTCAAATAATGGGTATTACGGCTATTTTAGTAATAAATTGCGAATAATTATTGCTCAACGAAAACCTCTTTACAAGAAAACTTGGGTTAAAGGTTTTTCGTAATGCCCTCATGGGGATTTATGAACTTTGTAGATCTGATCATACATTTTGGTAAAAAAACTCACGAACGTTTGAGATTTCATAGAATAAACTTTTAAGGTATAATACATACTATCTCTTCTCTACCGGTAATTTTATGGCTTTTCTGTTGAGACATTACCAAAGAAAGTCTTTTCACTAAGTTTAGCGCCATTTAGAATAAATTTTTTTTTGAGAGCCAATACACATTAAGGGGAGTGATAGCTTTAAAAACCAAAAATTGCCCAAAGAATTAAAGACTCTCCTAACTGCAGCTCTATTCGACAGTAAATGATTGAACCAGGAAATTATTGCGAATGAACATATATTCAAACTATTCATCAAGCGAGAAGGTTTTTCATCTTAATATAAATAGCATTTGCTGTTTTTTTTGCCTCTGAAAGAGAATTTACGTAAGAACGTTCCAAGTTAGAATACTATATTTTCACGTAGAACTAACCTCTAATTTCAAATCCGTCTAGAACAGAAAAAACATGAAAAAGGAAAACTTCCAGCAAGTCACAATGAAGTTTCTGTAACATTAACAAAGGATCTTCCGGCATATGTAGTTGCAAAACTAAATATCAAAGCTACAGCAAATACAGCAGTGCAATTGCTCGACCCTTTTACAGCTCATTGAAGAGTTATTTTGATTTTTAGATCACAGACCGGGGCAAAAAAAAAGATCATACCCGCATATTCTCATAACAGACAAATCTGAATTCTCAATCTTCCAATTTTGTTAAGGGCAACAACTTTTGAAAAAAAATAGTGACATAGAGTATGATAAAAGTCTAAAATCGAGTCTTCTAAGCCAGTGGATCTAGAGGTAGGTGTACCATAATATAAAAGATAATTGTCCTCTGATAGCTATTTCAATATTTAAATTAGCATGTAAACGATGGTGCGAGTTAAGACTTTGATTTGGTAGCATCTATCTCACCTTAAAAGACTTGCCAAATTTTCTGCTTTAATTGCAGAGGAAGAACAGGGTCTATGTCAGCTATAATTTCCGGACCAGCAACATGTTGTTTGTTTGATATTAAAGATGTGCGTTTATCCCATCAAAAGGTTTCCTTATCTACCTAATATCTAGACGAGCCATGTACAAACAAAATGCTACTTAATAATAAGATTGCCCAGGCAAGCCCCAAGCCTTAGATTAGTTCCCTTTTGACGTAAATTTCGTATCGTTTGGTGCGATAATTAGTGCAAGGCAAGGATAAAAAAATTCCTATCGTGCAAAGTAACCAGGATACCGTGCTGATTGACGAGGTTGACTTTCAGGTATTATTATCCTAGCTGAGAAAGTAGTCCTCAACGGCTTCTCCGAATACTCCAAGGCAGCGTCTCATAGACTTGTGTATTTATTGTCTCGAAGTTGTGATGAATAACATTAGTTGACCATCGACTGGACTATTTGGGAATGAGCTAAGAAGAGCTAGTATAAAGTGCGAGAATTATAAGTTCTGTTAAAAACGCCGTAAAGTTTGATCTGGTAGAAGTACCAAACATTATTGCACATTTCACGTTTATTCAGTGACATCATAATACTGACGAGAAGTTTCAGAAATATCAATATCATTTTGCCAAAGCATTTAAAAAAATGGCTCTCGTACTTGAGTATCAATAAACTACGAGCAAACATTCAAAAATCTTTTGGACGGCCTTTTTAAGAGATGAGAAACTTTTAAATTATTGAATTCATGCACAAGATCGAGTCTGGCTTGTGAAGGATATTCTATATGTAAACAAATGAAATTTTACTGCCCTTTCGACTAATTTTCTGGAGCGCTATCGTGCGCCTCGTCAACATGGTCTGAGTAGGGCTCGTGAACCGGTGTGCCGCTGTCTTCTTCGGTATCAACATCGAAACTGGTATCATCGTTCATAAAACTGACCAAGTCACTAGCATCTTCATCATGACCAATTAGTAATTCGTCAGCCTCATCCAAAAATTGATCATGAGTGAGCGAAGAGTAGCTGGGACCATTTCTATTGCGAGAAAATATGGATATCAATCCTTCGACTGCCATTTTTCTTTGTCGGTTGAAAAATTGAGCCACTGCATCATCCCAGTAAATGCGAAAACACCAAACTTCACAATTGAATTGACAGCACGGTCAGTTTGATTTTCTTCAATTAGCTCGTCATCACCAAGTCTAATCTCACCAAACCGAGCGAAGCCACCGTTTCTTCTGATTCTCTGATCGTAGACAAACCATGTGGCGAAGACAAAAATAAATAGCGGCACTCCAATGATGAATACTAAGGAAATCCTGTTAACCTTGTACTTTTCATTAAACTCTTTTTCTTTCCCGGGGCATGCCTTTGGCACGGTAGCTTTGTCCAATTCTAAGCCCTTTACACAAGTTGACATTGGAACCTTTCTATATCCGGTAGGCTTGAAATTTTCTATGGCATCTGTTTTCTTACAAATATCACTAGGTTCAGATGGATCCAAACCTTCGACCAATTTACAGGTGCCGTCTTTAGCCTTACAGCCGTTGTAATCACACTCGAAATCATTTCTGGTACAGGAACAGTTTTTCACAATTCTTACCATTTCCTTGAGTGGAGCGGCGCCATTGTAACAATCATAATTTATTTTCTTCAAGTATTCCGCCTGGTGTCCAAACAAACACTCGGATCCTGGGTTGGCAATTGGGGCATAATCGTAATCGTCATTCCTTTCGTTTTCGAAATCGAGGACACATTGTCTATTGAAGCAACCCGAGAAATCTAGCGTGAAAGTCTTGGTTTTTTGACCTTTAACATTTGGTGACGTTTCAACTATCATAAATCTCATCGCGGAATCCTGAGAAACAGTGACAATATCGTCCACGAACAACTCCTCTTCAGTGAAATTGAAATCCCTCCATGTTTTACCCGAATCCGTTGAATAAGTGACGGTGTCAGTTTGCTTGCTATCCGGTACTAGCACGATGATACTGCCATGATCACCATACTTCCATTGATATGGAGAATTTTTAACTTCCTTCCATGTAATTCCACCATCTGTGCTCATAAAAGTGGAACAATCTTCATATGGCAGAAGATATTCGCCAACATTTCCGACACCGATCATATATCCTAGAGCTGAACCTGAAGAATACGTGTCCTTGATGTCTTACCTTTCGGTGAATCCATGAAGATTTAGGGAACAGTCTTCTAATGATTTTGATTTACAAGCATAGGCCTTCCCTTCAGAATTTTTTGGAGGAGAATATATGTATTGCCAATCGGCTCCTTCATTAAATGTAATTTTTGACTTTAATCTCTTGCTATCTTCTGAACCATCTTTGATTCCCTCGGCATTTGAAACAACGTTCACCAATACAATTCCTTCTAAGCCTTGAAGTTTTTCAAAATCAACATAGCCTCGAGGTCCTTTATTGACTGCTCTCTCCAAAACCACAAATGATGTTCCGTTAGAGTTGGATTTCATCAACGCCCCAAATTCTTTGTCGGGGGACGATTCAGTTGTTAAGTGAAAGAAAATTGCACCCTGTTGGGAGCCAAGAATGGTATAGGCTTGTTGTTTAATGGACAGATCAGCTGGCAGGACTGCTTCCGCAAACTCTTCACCATCAATTGTTACGTAAGCTCTTAGCTCATCAGAATCATGAGGGACCGCAATGATAGTGTACTCACCAGTAGAAACATAACCAACTATTTCATCGAATACTACTTTGCGATTATTTTGAGGAAATCGTTACTGGTCACCAAGGATCTCTTGTTAGTCTCTTTATCCTTAATCGCACACATAATCATGTTGTCGTCAGAAGGATGCTCATAGGTCGAGCCAACAAACTCGCAAGAGTACGCTCCCTGTGCGAGTTCTTCGAAATTACTACCACCATCCCGTGTGACGAACGCTACCGCATGAAAAGCATCATCATCCAAACTTTTGCAACCTTGGCCACAATAGAAAATGAATGTTTCAGAATCCTTAGCGTGAAACGAAAGTGGGAACCCCAGTTGTTTTGCGTGGGGTAATTCAACAGATGAAAACGATCTCGCTCTATCGTTTGTAATGTAAAGCTTACGACTCTTCCCAAACAGATATGCGGATGAATTGAAATACGGATTGAACATCACTTCTATAATGGTATCATCAATTCTGAGCTGGCGGAAGTTTTGACGGTTGTCATGTGACAAGTAAACGTCGTGTTTGTCGGAAAGGGCAATCGCAGTTTCATCACCAATAGTGTCAAAGTACTGGTAGAATGTCATTTTAAAATCTAGTTCGTTTTCGACAACCGAAACATTATCAATTGCTCCCTCATCTTCGTTACTCGTGCATTTTACATCGAGGTCATTAACTTTAAGTGGTTTGTTGCATAAATTTCCTCTCTCGAGTTGTTTAGGGGCCAATTTGACATGGGAATTACGTGTGGTACAAGCACCTGAACGCGATAGTAAAGTGTGATCAAGTAAACAATTTCCATATCCATTTGGTACAAACTCAGGTGCACATTCGTAGTCCTCATAGCCACAGGGACATGTTTCCTCGATTATCTTGGCATTTTCGTAAAGCTCCCGGAGGAGACACTTTGCGTCTTGCTTTCTTCTTCTAAACTTACGTTTTGCACCTTTCAGGCATTTGCCATCATTCAAATACCAGTCTTCCATTTCGTCGCTTGAGCACTTTTTGCTTTCAAATGCAGAGCTGAAATCAACCGTGTAAATAAATCCCTCCTGATCCTCCCTGTTTCCATATTGTTGACCTAAACGCCAGAAATTATGAAACTTAAACCAGATCCATCCAGAGAGGTGGGTGAGACCTCACGGATAGACATTACTTCGTCGAATTCATATTCCGACCAAGTTTCACTTTGATCAAGTGAATAATAAACCTCAAAGGCAGCAACTGCAACCATGATATTACCCAGATCTCCAAAAATCACTGCAGCTGGAAAGTCCAAGATATTCCTCCACGTTGCACCTCCATCTCGGCATATAAATGTTTGTTATCTGTCCCATGAGTGGTAATACTGGTCTCCCACAGTACAAGTTAGGGCAGGAATACCGGCAGTTGATAGAGACTACAGTTCGACTTGAGCTCGCAGAGTGGGAAAAAATTGATCTTAAAGAGCATGTCGCTGGATCGCTGACATTACAAGAATATTCGTTGTTTGGTTCATCAACTTTTTAAATACGACCAGGAATGACCATCATTGAAGGATATTCTGGTTTTCAAGACGGCTTTAGAAGAGGATCTATCATTTACGAAGGCGTTAAAAGTACTCAAAATGGTGCCCTCCAGTTCATCTACCGATTTCAAAAAGTAAGAGCCCGAATCATCCGACAATAGCGACGACATTGGGGTGAACTTCAAGCCAGTGGAGTCAGATAAAAGGAGCTTCTCACCACCAAAGGTGCCTTTGTGTAGTTGGCGCACAGATGCTGCAAGCTTCTTCTTGGATCCTCCTAAGGATCGGATGCTCAAACCTGAATGCAATTGTGATGGGAAGTAGGCCTCGTCAAAATTTTTACCATCGTGGGAGACCTAAACGCGCCTCAAAGATTCAGAGTTGAACCTGTCCTCCATGGTGGTTATCACGCAATAATCACCTATTATTTTGAGATCTGTGAGTGTCATGCCTTCGAAGTTGCGCACAGTCGAAGTTGTTTTGCCGTGATCATTTGTTGTAATAACGGAGGAAGCCTTCAAGAAGTTCGACCCATGCCCAACGGACAAGGTTCTTGAGATGCATACGACCTCATGGTCGCCACCCAGTCCTGATTCCTTATACTCTCGGAAAAATCCACAGTCAACAGACGAGTAATCATTTTTGGAAGTCTTTTCAGGTTTGGGCAGGTCCAAATTGTTGAAGTCTTTGCCGTTCTTCGACAAAAAAAACCTTTTAATTGCACGAGTGAGCATTCTCTCTGCAAAAACTACATGAGACGATGATGTCGCCTTCAAAGTGAGGTTGAGTTTCCACGGTGCAGAAGCTGAACCCTTGATCCTCCTCTAGAAAACCATCGCCCCAGAGAAGGCTGAGTTTGCTCCAAGTTTCTGCCTGGTCATCTGTAACTATACGGTCCCTGGTTTCACGGCATAGGCAAACGCACGCTTGCCTGGGTAGTTCTTGTCCACTTCGAATAACGAGATATTTCCCTTGATCGACTCGATGGGTTCCCAAGTCTTGCCACTATCTGAGGAACGGGAGAGTGTCTGGCCTTCCTCCCGCAAAATCACAAAGCTATCGTCAAAGGGCTGAAGCATATACGACATGACAGACTTTTGCTTGGTAACCTCGGGTCTCCATTGCGCTGCAACCAGCTGCAGCAGCCACACCAGTGCAAGTTTCGTTGTCCTCCGCACGGAGGATGTCATATATAGAAGCTTTGTGAAGTAACACGAAAACTTGGCAACAGTAGACCCTTTTGTTTCGGGGTTTACACACGTGATGCCGCCATCTTACCGCCATTTCAAAATCAAAACATCACGTGACATGATGTTTGTAAGCCATGTTGACGTGCCACCCTTAAATCTCTGTTGATTAACATTTAATATAGTATTTTTGTCAGCAAAATAATTTCTGCTTTTATTTCCTGATGGTTTTGTGTATTTCCATCGAAAGATAAATTACTGGACGGTGGAAAGTACCATTCAGTTTTAATCAACTCACAATATTTTCTGTGAGCGCTTCTTGTGTCCAACAATTACACTTATTGGTATAATTAAGCGGAATCGAATTTTAGAAAACGCAATTCTCAAATTAATTGGACAGTATACGAATTTCTAAAAATTCGGAAGATGTAAGGAAAAATAAAGTAGTGAATGCAAACACCAATTAGAAGATTAGAAGATTAGAAGATTGTATAAAAATGTAGCGTTGCCCTTTAAAAATAGAGAAACTATCCAAACTGACTATTTTAGCTATAAAAAGGCATTTATCCTTGATCATTAATACTTTATCAACGGAGGGAAGAAATCTTTGCTCTCAATTTCCAACTTTCCAATTTCTCACGCAATGAAAAAATTTGACCAAATTACCTCAGAATAAAACGATTCCATACTCTTAAAGCGGGTGCGCTACCCGTACCTCTTTGACTTTTTCATCAACACATTTATTGTTGCATCTGAAATTTGTCAAAGCCGTAAAAAGCACGCTACTGGAATTGATTTCATTAATTCGACGAACTCTTAAAAATTATTACAATCTGGAGATTAGTAGAAGATGCACGACAAAAAACAAGTTCTATCATGTAATTAGCACCTGAGATTGAGATTGATATTTACCTTTAAATCTATAAAAATGTGAACGAAAGCCACTTTTCAAGAACTAAACAAAACAGTCAGATGTATTTGTAAGGGTTCAAAATCCCGTTAGGATCATAGTGACGCTTGATATCCTTCATAAATCTTATCTCAATGTCACTTCTCGAGTAATGTAATTTACCCTTTTTGTGAAAACCTACACCATGCTCAGCACTGATCGAGCCCTTTTTCGATCTGATATACTCATAAACAAATGGCTCCAGCAAGTTTTCAATTTGCTTTGTAAATTCTCTTACTGCAATATTCAAATGAATATTTCCATCACCAACGTGACCATAACCACAAGACTTAACAACAGGCTTAGGTGCGTCACCAATCAAGCCTGCCGCATTCAATCTTTCTGTAACAGCTTGTGATACCGAGTACAAGTCTTTCAATTGTAAGGACATGTCGTACTTGTACATGCCACCATAAGAGTTACATGCAGTTGGAACAGACTTTCTCCAAGTCCAAAGTCTATCATAATCAGCTTTATCCTTTGCCATCATACCCTCTGAAATTAATTTGGAATTCGAAGTTTCTGAAACAAAGGCTCTCAATTTTTCGTCGTCGTGTTTTTTATTAGATCCTGAAGTTTCTATTAGGACATAAAAGTTGTGTTGCTTTTCCAACGGAAAGGGTAAGTCTTTCAGATACTCTATCGTACATTCAATTGAACCGCGATCCATGAATTCAAAAGCGGACAAAATTTCAGATAATTCACTCTTAGCCTTTACAAACAATTTTTGAACTGTGTCAAAATTCTCAATCCCAAAGAAAACAGCATTTAAAGCTTTGGGTTTTGCCGCTGCTACTATAGATACACCAGTGATGACACCAATCGTACCCTCTGCTCCGATAAATAGCTGTTTCAAGTCATATCCGGTGTTATCTTTTCTCAAAGCATTGATATTGCTAATGATTTCGCCATTGGGCAGCACTACCTCTAAACCTAAAATATTACCATGCAGTGAGCCATATCTCAAAAAGTTCAAGCCACCTGCATTCGTAGAGACTACACCTCCCACTTGACAGTTATTTCTTGATGGCAAATCTAGAGGAAAGATGTGATCATGGTCGTGTAAAAATTGATGGGCATCACGCATTATAACACCCGCATCACATTTAAAGGTCCCACTAACGGGATCAAACTCTCTGATACTATTCATATTCCTTAAAGAAAGAATAATTTCGTCAAATACTGGTACAGAGGCCCCTACCAAGTCAGTGTTACCACCCTGTGGCACTACTGCCAATTTATTGTCGTTACAGTACTTCATGATCTTCGAGATTTTATCAGTGGATTTTGGCAAAAGAATTAAGTTTGATTGGCCCCTATATTTCTTCATCCAATCCTGATTGAAAGCAACGAGCTCTTCAGGAGTCTGCGATTCCAAGATTTCATCATTTGACAAAATTGAATGGAAATATTCCAAATCTGCTGAGTCGAGAACTTTGAAATCAGGGTTTCTCTTGACGCTTGGGTATGCCTCGGCTGTCAGATGCGCAATAGGATTTGTTACTGTCATAGCTTTTTTATGTGTATCGTTATTCACATCCACTAACCAATCTTCTGCACAAATCTTGACAATTTCGTCCGACGAACGATGGTTTTTATATAGATATGCATGTTTTGGCAGTCAGGCGATCGGTGTGTTTCATTTCCCTCTATGCCGCGCGTGACTTGGATCGTTTTTGGTCATCAAGTGCGGTCAGCAGGTGCTGAAAATGTCACGCGCTCAGATAATACTATATATTTCGACACTAATGTAAGCTCTTTTAACGAGTACCAAAGGTGATGACTACAAAATGGGCGACTCGTATACAAAATAGGCAGAGATAAGTTTTTTGGGTAGAGTCAAAAAAATAAATATAAAGGCAAGCGGAATTGTATGCTCTACTTCGCGAAGAACGAACCACACCGAGTAGAGGAGAGCGATGGCATCAATGACCTAAAATCCTTATAAGTATTGTTGGAAACTCGAAGGATATCATTTTGGAGTTTTTCTTTAACACTCGGTTCTCTCGAACCAATTTTAAATTTATGGGCGAGCGTGATGTACATTAAAGCTGTAACTTCTAAAAAATTAATTGATGTGATACCTCGTTCCAGTTCTTACATTAATATTTATGGTATGTCTAAGTGACCTTTCAAGTTGATGGGCAGATCAAACAAACCGTGAGTTGCTCTACTTCATCTTCCTGTTCAACTGAACTTCAATCTCGTAAAATTTACAGTAAATTTTTCACGAAATTGCACAGTTGGTCAAACTACAAGTTGAAATGGAATACAATAATTCACCGTATGCTTCGATACTCAAAAACTTTAGTTCCGTGGCGAAACACACCTTTGAAACTCTCCTATGATATAAAGTGACCATAACTGTTTTTTTCAACCAAGAAATACCGTGCTCGACTAAATAATATCGTTTTACACGTATATTCGTAAAAAGTCTTCGTGTTAAATAAGGGAGACCTCTTTGAGAATTGAAAAGTTCTTATCGCATGATGTTTCTGTAACTGTGCCCATCAGAGCATCGTTGCAGTCAAAATAATAATAGTAATGTCAACATCGCAATCAGCGAAGTGTCATGTGGCATTCAATGGATCTGAGGTGGAAGCAATTGATACCCCTTGCGTGGGGCAACCGATGGACATTAAGATGAGAAAAGGACAATGCTGCATTCTCAAACCCCGTGAACAACCTAAAGATGAGCAAACTGAAAGGCCTACAGCGGTTTCCTTTGCAGGGAGCACATGCCAAGATGTTTGCAGCAGCAAAAATCAACGGAAGCTGTGCCCCATAAAAGCCACAGCAGATAGTAACCCTTGCAATTGCCTTTCCGAAGACCAATGCAAGAGGACTTGTAACCACAACATATCTGGCTACGCCGAATTGAAGACCCAGATAGACACCTCTGAGGAAGCATACTTGAATGGGCAGTTCACTAAGGTCAGAGATAATAGCTACCCCCTTGAAAATCTTGATGATTTGCTTCCTGATGCGCTGAACGAACAATCTGATCAGGCAGAGACAAATACCTGCGTAGAAATGCCCTTTAGGACAGCTTGTTGCAAATCATCTTTTAAAAATCGTGTTGGGTATTCTAGAGACTTTTCAGCTACCGACTGTTCTCGGAAGAGATCGTTTACTTGTTGTACCGACGCTTGCTTGGATCGCGCAACTCAGGATGAATTCGAAAAAACGCTAGGCAAATTCTTGCCCAAAATGGAGACTGGCGTTGGAGAAAACAGAAACCAGAAAACTAAAGGTTCCTTTGCCAATTTAACCACGGTAGAGACTGCAGTTTCCAATAAAGGATGGCTGTTGAATAGTGGTGACATGAGTATTTGGAATTCAATTTATGAACAATATGCTATACGATTAGTTGCTCTTGGCTGTCTTTGTCGTTCTTTGGTTACTGAAGGGAAGCGTTCTTGTTGCAATCCTCGCTCTTCAACACGCTTATCGAGGAAAATCGTCAAGAATGTTGGGGAGGAAAAAAGAACTGTTCTAAAAGCAGCATGCAGAGATTCTAAACATAAGAATATCAAGATCGATGATGTGTCGAGTTTCGCAAGGTGTGAAGGAGAAAGCACTATCCCTAGGGACTGTGCTGGATTAAAGGATGGTCTTTTTGGGGAGGATGACCCAGGTTCTTCTGTCAAAAAGAAAAAATGCTGCGGTGATAATAACTTTACCACTTCATGTCAGAGAAACAATGAAAGTAATTCGTGTCATGGAAAGGCCCAACCGATTATCGGAAATACAAGAACAACGTCAACAAAGAGCCTCAGTAACTATGATGCAAGAGCAAAAAATGTGGAGCATTTTATTCTCTCAATACAAGGTATGACCTGCACAGGTTGTGAGACGAAGCTGAGAAGAGTCCTGGTAAAAAATCCTGGCTTGAGCAATCTAAAGACTAGCTTAGTCTTATCTCGTGCTGAATTTGACCTGGATTGTGGCCTTTCAACTATCGCTGATGTTATGAGGCAGATACAGCATTCTACAGAGTTTCAATGTGAAAGAATTGTCAGTGAGGGTTCGATGCTTGATCTCAGAGTTCTCGGAGACATGAAAGCTTTTCTCAATTCTGTGAAACCTGATGGGGTGACAGAAATGTTTACAGTTGGAAAAAATCAGGTTCGTGTCCTATTCGATCCAAATATCGTAGGCGCGCGTACTCTTTTGGATTATAATTGGGCTGAAATTGTGGAGCTTGCACCATTACGCTGTGATCCGGCTTTAAATGCTGGAAGAAAGCATGCACGCTATTTGGGATACATGACTATTCTTTCTACATTTTTGACAATACCTGTTTTAGTCATGGCTTGGGCGCCAATTCCTGAACACCCGATTGCCCACGGTGCAATTTCACTAGCTCTTGCAACTTTAGTTCAAATATTTGTCGCAGGTCCTTTTTATCCAAAAGCTTTGAAATCCTTATTTTTTTCCCGGGTAATTGAAATGGACCTACTTGTTGTTTTGAGTACTAGTACTGCATACATTTTCTCTATTGTATCTTTCTCTTTTCTCGCTGCCAAAAAACCACTTTCAACAGGTCAGTTTTTCGAAACTAGTACTCTACTTGTAACACTAATTATGGTTGGTCGCTTCATTGCTGCTATGACGCGCCAAAAGGCAGTTGAATCAATATCTATTCGGTCTCTTCAAACACAGAATGCCATCCTCGTAGATGGATCAGATGATTCCGAAGGCAAAGAGATAGATATACGATTATTGCAATACGGAGATGTATTTAAGGTAAAGCCTGATTCGAGTATTCCTACTGACGGGATTGTTATTTCTGGATTTTCCGTGGTCAATGAATCATTAATTACTGGGGAATCTCACCTTGTCGAGAAACGTCCTGGAACTAGCGTAATTGCCGGAACTATTAACGTTTCAGGTACGTTATTTGTACGTCTTTCCCAGCTGCCAGGAGACAATACTATCAGTACTATTTCTTGCATGGTTGACGAGGCAAAACTCTCTAAGCCAAAAATGCAAGAAATGGCGGATACGATAGCCTCATATTTTGTTCCAGTAATCCTCATGTTAGCTATATTGACATTTGCGATTTGGATTGCTGTCGGAAAAACGCTTCAAAAAAGATCCGCTTCAGATGCAGTCGTTCAAGCCGTGACATACGCCATCACCGTATTGGTTGTTTCTTGCCCTTGTGCTATAGGGCTTGCAGTTCCAATGGTTATTGTCTTTTCAAGTGGAATTGCTGCAAAACGAGGTGTTATTATCAAAACTGCGTCAGCAATCGAGCAGGCCTGTAAAACGACTCACATCGTTTTTGATAAAACTGGAACTTTAACGGAGGGAAAATTAGCCATTGTATCGGAACATTATCGTGAAGATGCAAATACACGACTACCAGTATTGTTGGGACTATTATCAGATAATAAACATCCTATTTCAATAGCAATCAGCAACTATCTGAGGTCAAAAGAATTTGTCGGAAAACCAGTTGATAACATCAAAGACTTGCCAGGTCAAGGGGTCGAAGGCAAATATTCTGGGCAAATCGTACGCGGCGGAAATGCTCGTTGGTTGAAAGCTGATAACCATGCCATGGTGCAGCAAGTACTTGATCTTGGTCAATCTGTATTTTGCTTCACTATTGATGATGTACTGTGGGCAGTTTTTGGTCTCCAAGACTCACTTAGGGATGAGGCATTTGATGTTGTTTCCAAACTGCAAAGCCAAGGAATATCTGTGCATATTGTATCTGGAGATGAGGTAGGGTCAGTTAGACGTATTGCAGCGAGTCTGATGGTCCCTAGTAGAAACACTAAGTCTAGAAGCTCTCCCAAGGACAAAGAGCTATATGTTCAAAATCTTTTGGTATACCCTCGAAATATCAAGAATAATGTTGTGGTATTTTGTGGTGATGGTATCAATGATGCTATTGCACTGAGTCGTGCAACTATCGGTGTTCATATTAATTCAACAAGTGACATTGCCCAATCTGCTGCTGATGTAATACTAACGAAACAAAATTTGGTTGGGATTCTTACTCTCATTAATCTTAGCAAAGTTTCTGTACGTCGCATCAAGTTTAATTTTGGGTGGAGTTTTGTCTACAATTTTTTTGCCATATTGTTGGCTGCGGGTGTCTTTGTGAAATTGAAAATCGCTCCGGAATATGCTGGGTTGGGCGAGTTAATAAGTGTAGTACCTGTTATCGCTGCTGCTGTCTTTTTGAGATGGAGCAATTTATGAGTGTATTGACTATTGCAAAGTAAATGCGGGTTATAACCCGCGCTGAAACCATTTTTAAACCGTTGTTAACCTAAGAGACGTCCTGCATCTCATCGTACCGAAAAAAGCTTCTCTTAATTAGGATTGTATGTAGCCTTGTGTGGGCAATTATAACACCAATAACTTTTTGAAACTCTCACAATAACCAAATCTCGCGCCTTTTTGATGAAGATCGAAAAGACGTTATCATTTGAAGCACCCTTGGCAAATTTGACGGCCATTTTCTTTCCCTAATTATGTAATCTGTAGACTGTCGATACAACCAACGTCCATACTCAGTGTAAAGTGAAACAAGTGGTAGCCTATCCTGTAATGAAAATCAGCTAAATCATATGTGAACTAACCGTTGAGTAGTAAGCTATTAGAGCTAAAAATGAGAGATACTGCGCATTTATATTGATCACTTTTTACTTACTAGTAAAAGCAGCCTTCTTTTTCATCCTGTCACCCTTATTTTTCTCATCTAGAATGTTACCACGATCTGTATTAAGTTGTTCATATCACTGGATTTTCTTCACTGTTTTTTTGCATGACCCTCATGTGTTTAGATTCGCAAGAGGGCATATGATCTACCAAACCAGAATAGGAAGCATAAAGAATGCCTGTTCGGGCAATGCTACTGGAATTTCAAAAACATGAATTCATCAGGATTGAAATATACAGAGACTATGACAGAAATTGTTTTCCTTGTAACTTTAGAGCTAAAGGTTATTTCGCCCAGACATCGCCGTACAAATCTCGTTAGGCGTCAAACCTCCGAATATTTTCAATTACTCTATCGCGCTTTCTGCTGAATTTTCTCCTCAAGCCTACGAAAAAGAAGATGCCAGATAACATATATTTCGTTCTTCCCAAAACATAAATATTGTCGAGTAAGGGTGAGATGTAACCTAAGCAGAAAATAGACTGGGAACTTTCCCGGCGTATTCAAACCTGAGTTGGAGTGCCTAGAAAATTCCGAGACCTTGCGAAATTGATTTGTTCTAATTTGCATACACAAAATAAAGCAAAAACGATTCCATATTAAGTAATGCGATATGTTCCGAAACTGGTAATAGAGACAAATGCGGTATTGTTTAAATCCCAAAATTTTAAACCTTCCAAACACCGCTGACGGATGAGTTACTTCTAAGGTACATGCATAGTGTAGATCAAATCCTGTCATGGCAAACAGTAAAACGTGGATGAGCAAGCAACAGCAAAGTAGGTTTCAGAACGTTAAGTACAGGGACCACGAAACCAATCTCTCCTTGCAACTCAGGAGTTTTGTTCGATCTAGTGGATAATCAGGTCTAGTACTTTTAAATGGACTCTGCTACTCAGTGAAAACAGTGTTCGCCACGAGAACCAAGAGTGTTTTACCGATAGTTTTCATGGAAACAGGAGGAAACTTGGAGTATGACAAAGCTGAAGTTGGTCGTCAACTGGGCGAAGAACGAAAAAGTTAAGTACCCCGTGCAGATCTCTCGTGTCTTTGGATACAGTCGTCAAGACGATTTCATGCATTTCGTGGAGAGTACAACGCCAAATCCAAGCGTGTGTGCCAAGCCATATACAAGAGGTCAAGGGAGAGAAATATGCTTCGTTACAGAGCAACACGAACATTCAGAAGACCACAAGTAGGCGAGTCCCTCCTCAAGACCTTACACGAAAGAA